CGGAAAGACACCCGCCGGGAATGAGCACACTGGTCCGTGCGTTCGCCTTTCCTGGCCGAATATGAGATAGCTCCGTTTCCAACCCCGGAGCCTGGACTCCGGCTATGTCTTAGTTTGGGAGAAATCCTGTCACAGACCTCGATCAGTGTCACACATCGTCACGCACCATACCCTTTTGATTCTGGCCAGACAGCAACTTATTTCGGATGTTGCGACAGCGGGACCCCGCGCCCGCGTTTGGTGGTATTGGCGTGGAGGTGATCACTTCGACCGCTAGTACTCGTCCAATAACTTTCATGGTCGTTTCCAATCGACGTGGGTGCAGCGGCTTCACACCTGCAGCCAGCTCATTAAGTCCACGTCAGGGCCTGCCGAGTTAGTGGTTGGAGCGGTCTTGGGTAGTGGAATAACGCCAGTGTATGTGGGGTTGCACGAGATCATGCCGGCTAATCCACGAAGTGACACTAGTAATCCTATCCTTTGCATCTACCGGCTGGCCATGGGGTTGTATAGCTTCCTGATTGGAATGCAAAGGTGGCATGCCAGTGTTCTGGCAAAGTCCCCAGGTCATGCATGGAGCAGGGAGTGGGCATTGTGAAAGTGTGCCAAATTTCCGGCCAAGTGTCGAGGTCTCTGGCAAGGATCTAGTGGAGTTGGAATTCACTTTCTGTACTCCGATGATGCCACCATCCGCACGGGTAGTACGGGAGTTTGATTTCTTAAGCGAGACCTTTTATCACTGTGATCCATCAAAGTTTTGACACGGCGCGATCGCGAATCTTTCGTAGATCATGAACCACGGCAAGAGGTAGGTTTCGTATCGTATGTTATTTTATCGCGCAACGCGCAATGCCCACGATCTTCTTCTGCCTTATCGAGAAGGGTAAACGGTGGATTGGCAGATGTGGCCAAGGTCAAAGGTGCTGTCTACATTTTTCTTAGCCAGGAAAGCTGATCATCGTATGTATTTACAATGAAATCCCCCTCCATTGCCTCCACCCGGATACAATGATGACTAACGCCTCCTTCATCCAGACACGGAATCCGTCTTAATGATCTAGATGCACACGAGCCAACAGTATGGCAGGAAATTAGATGCTGTTTCGGGGAATCCAGAAGAAGCAAACGTGATTTCGTTATGCAATGCAACTACCGTGCGGCGTGGGTCTGGGACGAAAAGGGCCATTGTGAAGTTCAAAGCCTCTACTCCGTAGGCGACCTGCAGAAGCGTGGCCTGTCAGAAAGGGGAGATTCACATCGTTACGAGTCCTCCGTAGTTCATCCATCCAGTTAGCGTCAAAGCACCGACCCCCTTGACAGATAACGGCCGGTTATACTTGCAAATATCACAGCTCGGGACGGCCATGCTTTCCCAAATGACCACTGATGCACCTCGCTACTGCTTTTGACTGGGTGGCTAGCAGACGTCTATCAATCTGTAACTTGACATGCTCTAGGCGTAAATAGCAAACCACTCATCTCAAGATCGGAGGCAGGATTTTCCTACATAGGATACAAAAGAATTGTTGAGAAGATGGACAGGATGCCTGTTACCCTGACCACAGGCCATCCCATCAAGCGACTAGGATCAGGTGCTCGTCGTTCTACGGGTACAGTAACATGAACCATGAGCAGGAACAATATTGTAACGCCGTATTCGTCAACCAGGCCAGTGAGCATCCATTGCGGTGCCTTCTGGTACATCAGTGCTCCGTGCTGTGTGTTTGTCCCTCGTGCCGGTGGCCACACTACCGCCAAGTGTGGGAATGATCATTACTTCTCCGGTTGAGAAAAATGGAAGTTGGCATGGTGATCGCAGTGGCCCTGCTGGTCGCCGACTTGCAGTTGAGTGAGGAACCATCAGGGAGCACAAACGAGTCGCTCATTTGTGAAGTTGGCACGAACCCAATGATGGCACCAAAACGACTCTCGCGATATGCGGCCGTTCACTGCATTCCATGATATGTGTTTGTGCTTCCTAGAAAGGGCATAACTCTACACCACTGCCAGCTCCGTGACAGGCACCAATACCAATTATCACCACAATCACTGCTCGTATTAGGTCTGTATGGTTGATAGCCGCAAAACACAATCTTCAATTACCCAACCCGAGAAGTAGACGAACTCTATCCCTCACTAGCCTAAGGACGAAGGACAGGACAGTCCGAGCTTACCTTCTTACGAAGTTCTATTCGTATCTTGAGCTACTGCGTAAAATAGATAATCTCTTTCACCTCGGTACCGGCCTCGTTTAGGACTAGCTGTCTCCTCGCCACCACTAAACTGATATCTTCCAAGTTCTATCTTAGTTTGAACCTTCATCCTGAGACCACTCCGTCTTTGTCTCAACTCTAAGTGCCACTTTCACATGGTTTTTCGCTTCAAACTCTCGAGCTCAGGCCGTAAATCCTGACAGTGTATGTGTCAGCAGAGGTTACTGAGCTTGTTCTAAACTCACCAGTCCCAACTTGACTTCTGCCTCTAGGTTCGCAGAAATGTTCGATTACCAACAGACTTCGCAAGCCCGGTACGAAGTATGTACAAATGAGACTTGAAATCGGTACGAGTGTCCAGTGCCGAAAGTCAATTCCTTGCCCGGTTAGAGCTTGCAACGATTCAAGTATGTTGAGCGCCTGAACCCAATCCCACTCATTGTGGTGGGAGACTTGCTTTCCGATCGATCGGTGGTGGAAGCCTATGAAGTTTGTATCACTCGGTGTCGAAATGACCGCGCCAAAGCCCGCTTTCGGTGACGAAAAACTGTGACAACGCTAAACAGTGTGTCACGCGGCAAAGACCAGAGTTTTGGCCGGATTCGCTGTGCGACCACATGGTGAATATGTTCGTGTCTGTGGTTGTGTCACCTGAATGCCTCCAATCCCTGAAACGCCCTGGATGATATCAATCACTGGACATCATTTGTTCCTTGCTAGATACGAATTCGTTTTTCAGCGAGCTTTGTCTTCGCAGGGTTTCCATGAATATTTGCTTGGAGTCTCCAAGGTCGCTTCGAGGGTCACTTTGCGACTCCATGCTTCAAATTCATACGTATTCGGGGTTTGGACATGAATTGTCAGCAGGCGCGCCGTGTTCGGAAGAACACACCACCTCCGTCGTTTTCCTGGATACCCACAACCAGTGCCAGAGCCTCTCAGGTAGGTGCGACGCTTCATTGACTCAAAGTGCGATCGAGCATCGAACACATCGCACAGCAGGGCTTCTCGCAGCCCGGATATCGTTAACCAAAGCCAGTTCACCTTGTCACCTTTTAGCTGACAGCTGTAGTAGTGAACCGTGACGGAGGCGACTGGCCAAGATCGGCATGGGTGGCCCAAACTCACCCATACCTAATTATCCTCCGGTTCATTAATTTCGTGCCAGGGCACTCATACTCCTTCCAGAGAGTCCACTAACTTGCAAAATCTGCAAAGCGGATATTGCTCTCACAGCACAACCTGCCGTTGAGGATATTGTCTCCACGTCACACCTAGGTTTAAATTTTGCCAGTTCAATTGCATACAACTAGTGGAAACATTCTCCGGGCCCTTTTAAACAGATTTGTCTGTCCGTGGCACCTCTCTGTTCGCGCTTTCCCAACCCCGATTTGACCTTGTGGCACTGCAATCGGCACTACAGAGAATTCGAGAAGTGTATTCAAGCCTAACGAACATTCTTATGATTAACGCCTAGTGGCGATCATCCGTCGCTCCTCAAATCAACACTCGATCCGATGTGCAGATCCAGCCCGCTCCGATCGAATTGGGAGCCACCGATACTCGTCTGACTGCTTTCGATTGGAAACAGCAGAGATCGCTTATAGCCTTACTACCTTGTCAATCCACACTTCAAGCCGCCAGGATGGTCAATGATACTATGGCAGAGGACGGGACTAATCATAACACTATGGCCATTTACGCTTTCGCACAGCATTTCAAACGAGACTTGATCGTGTTCACAATGACCCAGACAGTGGGAATATTGTCCGATTAGTATCAGATACTACCAAGGTACTATTGAATCCGACGATCAAGAACCGCACGATCTCGTCGCGTCCTCCAGTCTTTCAAGTCATTTTCATCTCCTCAATAATGGGGACTTTTGGTGCTGTAAACATGCCGATTGGTGATACTGTGTTTGAGGATCGGGAAGTCCAACACTTGGCTAGTTTGAATCCCCTTGGAACATACTTCCTTTGGTTCACACCGGCGAAGTTTATTTGGGCTAGCTTATTGGAAACTTGAAAGTTACCCTCGGCACTGAGACTGGTGGTCGTGGGGTTCATGGTTTACTCGTATGAGGGAGACTCGGGGCGACCAGGATGAACCACAAATTCTATCCTGACCGCCATCTTTCCTGTCACGGAATTTTGCGGATACTTCGAGCAGAGTAAACGATCTGTTTTCCGTGGGATCGTTGATCATCTAGCTCACAATCGCAACAAAGAAGATGGAGCCACGATTGTGAGGTGCTGGAGAAGGTTGTTCAACACGATGGTGAGACGTTCTTAAGTCACGTTGCTAACTAGTCACGCGGTCCAGACTGCAACCCCGGCGTATTAAGGTGGAAGAGCGATCTATCAAGACGTTTCCCTCCGGTCGAATTGGCCAACAATCACTGAAGCTTCCTTGACACTTCGTACACATCCGAGTCCATCCCTTTCGTTAGTAGCCTTACCGACGAATCATTTACTTCCTAACTAGACCCATTTGAGTCGGCTGCTTATCATACAAATACTGTTTATGGTTTACCAACAACGGATCCAGCAAAAGGTCCGCAATGAAACACCATTCCCCTCATCTCATCCATGGATTCCCACAATCTTCTCACCGGATCTCGGTCCGAATAGAGGTACCGAGACGAGGCAGCAGAACGCGCGTAACACAGCGAGATAAGATCTTGGCGGTATTTGGCGACACATGGTTCTCCCCTCTGTGGAGTATTAGAGTTATAGTTCTCTAGGGAAATCCAAGATGCAACAAATTCTAAATTACCGGCATGTGATGGCTGGTGCGTTTGCGTTTGTCGGCTGGGACATTTGCTTTGTTGGCGCTGTTTTCGTCACAAATGCTAATTTAAACTCCAGCAAGGAGAAACCTCCGCGGGACTGCTGAATTGGTCGTCGACACCATCGTCGACCGTGCTGTCGACATCGAGAGGAATTACAGGCCTGGTGTTGATTTATCAATGGGCATAGCCACTTACAATGCTATCCCAATTGCTACTTCGACCCGTGCTCTGGGAGAGTGGGTTTTGCCTCGTGAGAAAATATATCAACATCGGTGGTATATCGCAAGCCTCTGGGGTGGTCGTTCAGCCAATATCATGGGAACTGCCATTCACACTGACTTCTTCGCCTCCCTCTTCAGCTCGATTGACGTACACAACTACTCCCATGTTCATTATACCCTTCAATTCCAGGCTCGAGAGAGAGAGAGGACGAAGCAGTGAAAGTATTTGAAGCAACTAACTCCGTAGATTGATCTAGCAGCTCTTCAGCTCTGGTATGGATAGATTGACAGAAAATCTATGCCAATACTGGACTGCTAGTGACTGCCACTACTACTTCAGATCCAAATGTAAGTGCCGTGCTGCATGAGAAAACATTGGAAGTTTGGAGCAGCAAAATGAAGAAGACGACTCTGACGGTAGGTGATTTGTGCAGCACCATTTCCTGCGATTATTTTCGTGAAGTGAAATATGCAGAGGGCATCCGGAATCGACGACATGGGTCAGGCGACACTGGAAGTCAGTGCTTTCCCCTGCCGTTTGCAACGCGGCTGGCTTGCCTGTCATTGCGGAAATCATGGATTTCCAGACCGGGACTCTAAAGCCAGAGGTTAGAAACGACTCTCTATGCAATTTTGGTCCTCGAGGCTGGTTCGCCTGTGGTTATGGAAACCAGGACATTTCTTGCCACAGCTCCTGAATGCAGATGATGACCCCCTCTTGGGTGGATTTTCGATCCTCAAAGCTGCGACCAACTAGACCGGTCACGGACAGTGATAGCTTCGTACCAGGTAAGGAAGTGGCCTCTTGAACTTGACAGGGAACACAATGGTTTAGATGACCTCGCAGTTCGTCCTGACATCGTGCCCCCTGTTTCACCTTACGCTACGAGTTTGCCTTCCCGTATAACAGAATTCGACAGATCATTTCAAGCAGCAACAAGACTTTCAGGAGGAGTGAGTGAAGAAGAAACTAGATCTGAAGGTCTCGGAATAGCTCGACGCCTATATACAGTACCGAGTTCTTTTCTTCGTTGTCACAACCACCATCATCCATGCCACCCCGAATAGCATGCTAGATGAAAGTACGCTTGACACAGGCATAAAACTCTTCAATAAGCCATCACACAGCCGCAGATCTTCGTCCTGGCGGTAGTTCTCGTAATTTTGGTGGTCCTCATATGCGCTAGCTGGCTCGGGGAAGGAAAGTGCTTGTCGGAATACATGGCCTAGAGACAAGATGGGTGATCTGGGAGGCAGCGTCTTGCTTTCCTCCCTTGGACCAAGGACTCGGTCATTGATAAACTGCTTACGCACCAAGGAATCGTCGAGATGAGTGGCCAGAGGAGTTGAAATCCTCGATGTTAAGCGCAACAGCACTTCCTGCGCCAACCATTCTCATTTTCGTGCCTATCCCAATGTTACCTCCTTCCCTGTCCCAGACTTACGCTGTCAGTAGGCCTGGGTATGTAACGACAGCTTTAAGATCCCTCCATCTTCGTAACACTCAACAATAAGAAGCACCCTCCCCAGGCGGAAGAAAGTCGCATGAAGGGCCGACCTATGCTCCGAAGCCCTGGAGTAAGACGACGTTGCGTTCATAGCGCAGGCTGCCAGATATCGAGGGGCAAGAGAAGAGGGAAAGGGCCCATTTATCAGTCGCTCTTTAAACACGGAGTATCGTGGTACAGCAAGGGAAGTCGTCCAGGTACAAAAACCTACCTGTCCTCTGCCCCTTGGCTCGAGCTGCTCTATGCAATTGCAACAAGAGGCCAAAGGCTTAGGTTGACCATGCCCCAGTAGTCGATGTGAGTGGTTGAAAGGCCTAATCGGACATTCAGGGCGGCTCGACTGTGATTCCAAACCTTTACAGTCCCTTTGCCCCTATACTCAACCAGTGAATTGTGGCGTCGTGCCGGTTGCACAACCTGGGGCTTTGCCGCCGGCTTTTGAGGTCTTTGTGATAGTGACAAGAACACAAATCAAGACGGTGGCGCTTTGTGCATGGGCCCGGATGGTCGTCTTTGCACATGAGGTCAGCGGACTCGGTAACGCAAGGGCTGTACGCTTCTCCTGGGCATACTTGGAGAGGGGTGGTTGCCGTTAGGTCGAGGCATGTTCAAGGGGTCATAGGAGAGAAGCAGGGAATCTGTACTTTCATGAATTGGGTTGAAGTTAGTGGTGGGAAGGCCTGGGAAGATGAGAGACAGAAGCAATTCGCGATGATATGTGGGAAAGAAATCGTGGGTTGATAGCATGTACGCATTGTGACCTGAGTGAATAGGGATTCCTGCGTTGTTGAGTGGACACATCATGGACATAAAATGGGCGAAAGAACGATTGTATTCATCTTCCTATCACCTCTTGGGGAAAAAACTCCTATCGTTTTCCTGCTCGTCCAGTGGAAGAGAGCTTTCGTCGCTACATTTCAGCCCGGATATTCCCCTTCAACGACAACGCGAAAAAGAAAACTGGAACACACTCTAATCTAGTTCTCGTGTAGGAGTTCCACGAACTTCTCGCTGAGAGGCTCAGGCTTCTTGTTCTCTGCCGTGCTCGTCTGGCCAAGCTTCTGCTTGGAGTATTGGGCAGCATAGGGGTTGAGACGGAGTAGAACTTGTTTGTTGCGCAGAGGATTCTTCTTCTGGACGCCAGTTCGCTTGGTGGTAGCATAGCCCTTGGGCTCTTTGAGAACGGACTGAACTTCGGAGCTGTTGATCAGACGGGTGATGTCGGCGTTGGAGACAACGTTAGATGGGAGGAGGAAGTCCTTCTTCAGTGCAGATGGTTCGGTGGTGGAGCCGTAGATGGTGTCCAAAGCTTCGAAAGCACCGGAAGTCCAGATGACGAAGCGACCTAGATGACCACCAGGGGCAAGTTGGAGAAGGTTCAAGGCGAACACAGAGGATGTCTCGACACCGGGGATGTTGCGGAAAGCACGGACAAGCTCCTTGCCATCGCTCTCAGGGTTGTAGACCACTAGGGGACCACGACGTTGACGGTGGCGTCGGCCTCTCAGTTTACCCTTTCCTGCACGGAGCTTGCGTGACTTTTGGACCTTGACGATATCTGGACCAGCGCCAACGGCTTTCAACAGAGCAGCAGCAGCAGAGGTCTTGACCAGAGCAGCACCTTCGAATGCCGCGCTGGAAACGACAAGTGGGACTTCCGGGACGGTAGTGATGCGATGTCCACGGGCCAAGAGGAGAGCTGGAACGGCGCTGGCTGCGATGGCAGATGCAGTTGCGAATCGGCTGGAAGATTCGTCAGTCCATTGAACGAATATCATAGGGCCTTCTTGTCCCTTACCGTTGACCCTGGTTGACCTTTTGATGCCACTTTCTCCAGACCTTGGTGGGTGCGAACATACGGCCAGATCGACATTGATTACCGAAAGCAGCTTGACCGGCTCGGTGAGTACCACCACCAGAGACACGAGGGATACGTGCAACAGCACGACCTGGCAAGCAACTCGTTAGATATTTCTGATATTCCGGACCCAACTTTTCAACAAAGTCATAACCTACCAGTTCCCCATGATTCTGCGGATGTCTGCTCGCCTGCCTTTTCGCTCACGGCATATGGCTGTCTCTTGTTCTTTGCGATTCCAGTGTGGACGCTCCTAAAAGTGAGGGTTAGGTGACAATGGTTCTCGTAGGATATGGGTTTTCGTACTGAACGATATCGGGACGGATTGGGGAGCTGAAGACAGCTGGCAGAGACAGGGTCTTGCCGCTGCTGGCGCCATCGGCACCGACGATACCAACGGAAGGACGGTTCGACATCTTGACGGTGTTGGTGGTTGTGAAGTACGAGGTCGAAGGTTGTCGTCGTGAGGACAAAATCAATCGGTACACCAGAGCGCAGGCAAAATGGAAAGTGTGGCTTGGAAGGGCCTAGTGCTGCCAAGATTTCTGTTTCCGCCAAGACCTTTTGTTCGGTGAAGCAAATGATCCATGTATGACGTCCTCACCGAGGGGTATTTTTGCACCCCTCGAAGTTGGAGAACACATTTGGACAAGCAAGCATGAAACCAAACGATCATCTACTTGAGTATGAAGCACCAAATGAGATCGGGAACTATACCCATAGTTTAGACTCTTAGGAGCTCGCAGATATGCTTACTGAGTCTTGGAATGCCCACGGAAGTCTCATGGATTTTGTTGTGGAAGGACAGAAATGGTCACTGAAACTAGTCGATTGCATCACACGACAGGCCCAAGTGTTATTGTTTAAGGCGATGCAAACTCGGTTGGTCTACGTAGAGTTGCAGTTGTTTGTATTAGAAGTACTAGAGCGTTGCGTTGCATCGCGGCACAGTTCTGTGATTAAGTTTAAATGGTTTAGCTCATCTCAGAGCAGCGATTGATCAGTGATTTCCATATTCCTATGGCCTATATTCCTTGCACTCATACACCCAATTCAAAAAGGTTCTCGCCTAGCGAGATTCAACCCATAGAAGTCGTCCACGTTATCAACCCAATCGTTGCGAGGATCTTTAGCCCTAAGCCACAGGTGGACGAGCATTTTGTGTTCTCTTTTAGACATCAATAGCATCAACAACAACACCTTTGACCCAGTCATATTGCAAGAGTCTAGCCACCTCTTGGGCAGATTCGTGACTGACCAAGGCAGAAACGAGATACAAGGCCGCGTCAAGACCACTGACGGCTCCGCCACTGGTAATGACTCTCATGCCACCAAGCTTCATGCTTTGGCGACGGACAATGTTCTCGCGTTTCGCGTTACTCTCTTTGCGTGCAATGCTGCCCTTACGAGCAGTAGACTTGGTACGGGTCTTGTTGAAGACGTATGGGTTTTCTTCCATATCTTCTCCGAGGTCGAAGCGGGCGTTGTTGACCACGTAACGCTCCTCCATAACGTCTGTGCGTTCCTGTGTATCATTGGCTGCCGCCTCTTGACAAGCATGCTCAAGCTTGATATAGAAATCGGGGTGGGTGGTGGCGCCGAGTCCTTGCAAGAGACCGGCCTTTGCGAGTAGAAGGGCAGCCGTGTCGATGGCCAAAAGGGTTCTCTCCCGGCTGGGATCCGCGGTTTGAAGGTCAGAGAATGCGCTGATGAGAGGAATTGGTTGTAACTCCTTCTTGACGATGTTGAGAGCATCACCACCCGGGACCAGGAGCACGTCAAATTCCTTAAGGCGTTGTAGGGCTTCTTTGAAGGAGACCTGCGCGTCGATTGAGACACCTTGTTTGGTCATGACGGTCTGATCACCGGCAGCGAAGGTAAATTCGAATGCTTTTGTGTCTATATTGCAGCACGAGTACGAAGTCAGTGAAGTGGGCATTTATGCTGGTGCAGGGCAGGGGTTATAGCTGACCTTCGTCATTGGCATCATGCTGAGCATGGTTGAGAACTTGAAGAGGACCAGCAAGATCAAGCAGACTCATGTTATCATGGAGAGTGACGAGCACCTGAATGGGCTCGAAGTTCTCGTTGTCACGAATTGCACTCATCTTGCCGGTTATGGTAGGGAATTGGTTGTTTGGGTAGACAGAATTTGGTTGGCTAGGACTGGATATGCAAAGGAGATGTTTTCTGTCGGGAAAACTCTGGTTCAATAGTGCAGGGTGATGTCAAAAAGCTGATGGTGGTCCGTGATTGTAGTTGTGGTGTGAGAAAATCAGGTGAGGAATGTCGAACGTGACAGATGGAGATGGATGGGTGGCTTCTTTGTGTTTCTGCGGAGACCCCACGATTCGAGTGTTTTGAGTGTCTGGCTGGAAACGTGGGGTAGTGGATGCCAAGGCGAGGGGTTCAAGCACCGTGACGGTCGTACCTTCTCTCGCGTGACTTACTCCTTCAATCAGGGGCCCTGGCACTAGCACCAGCAGTTCTCAGACACACAGTATCGTTCTAAGCCTTGCCTGCATTCTCACCTACAGCCTTTCGAGGTATCAGGCTGAGTGGTACACTGAAAGACCGAGTCACCCAAGCAAAGCATTGCCTAGAAGGAAACCGTTCCGTGCCAAGCAGAGCATTGTTTGAATCAGTATCTACCTAAACAAACTACGGATTTTACCCGCGTGCCATTTCGCCCGTAAGACGCCTTGCTGATACATGGAGTAGTGGACATACGTATACCCTACATGCGCCTCTATACAAGGAAAATCCACCCATCTTTTACTCCTAGGAGATCAGAGGGTCCAACGGTGGGGCCTTTGTCTTGACTCAGTGCAAAGCCAAGCTCAGCAAATGCCTTCATCGTCCACTGATTCAGGCCTCCTATAAATTGTGGAATGCCCCGAGGCAGCTCTTTGTCCTGAAATTGACATTGCTTCATCTTTTTGAAGAAACCAAGGTGCTGACCGGACCTAATTAACGTTATGATTTTCGAAGTGTTACTGTATGGGCGGGGCGGACTAAACAGAGCTTTACTTTTCAATGACGCAAAGGAAAAGAGGTCGAGCCATTTTTCTCTTAGGCACATAGAGGCCACCAGCTTTTTCCGGAAAGAATAATGAGTCTACCTATATATACAACGAGTATCCCTCAGTCGACATCAACGGTGATGGAGTCTCTGAAATTCTCTAAAGATCTCCCACCACGCACCGTATAATGACTGTCAGGCTTCTGGTTATCCTAGGTGCTGGCCCAGGAATTGGGTTGGCCACGGCCTCACACTTCGCTTCCGAAGGATTTGATATCGCGTTGCTTTCTCGAAATACCGACCGGCTGAGGAACGATGTTGCAACAGTCCAGAAGATTGCACCAAATGTGAAAGTTCAAGCCTTTCCAGTCGATGTTGGAGACCATGTCGCACTGAAGAAGGCCCTTGAAAAGGTGGAAACTGAGATGGGTATTCCAGAAGTGGTGTACTACAATGCGGCAAGAGTTGCGCCGAGCAAGATTGGAGAAACAAGCCCGGAATATATCTTGGATGACTTCAAGGTAAGATGAACACGAAGACGGATTGAGATTTCCTATGTGCCTTCTGACCACCATACAGAGTATGAACATCGGCATGTACGTGGCAGCGACATGGGCACTTCCTCATCTCACATCTATTGCCCAAAAACCAGACAGGCATGCGTCGTTCTTGTTCGGCAACAGTGGAATTTATGAGTTTCCCATAAGCGATTTCTTCTGCTTGTCAATGCAGAAAGCTGCTCAAACGAATTTCGCTGGGAGTCTTAGTCAGATTGCCGGTCCTAAAGGCATACACGTCGGCAGTGTCAACATTGGAGGGGTCGTTAGTGACGATGATCCGGACATGAATGCCAAACTGATTGCAAGCAAGATATGGGAATTATATTCGCAAGACAAGGATCACTGGACGGCTGAGGTCAAGGTTGGGGACATTAGAGATCTGATCAAGAAAATGTCGGGCCAGTAAAGTATAGAAGCTAGGTCTTATCTACGAGTCATTAGTTGTTGAATCATGTACTACTGTAGACATACTTCGTACTGAATTTATTCAATCCATCCTCAATTGCAAATCTGGACCAATTTCACACGGTACTCCACTCCACGTGGTTGCTGGGGTGTCGGGACCCCAAATTTGAAGCGGAAGAGGGATCTTGAAGTTGGGAGGCTTCGGAGTCTGCACCCATGGGCCACCGCCCACAGGCCGCCGCGGAAGCTGCCTTCAAGTTCCCCTCAGATGAGGACCAACTTCGGTTAAAATGAAATGCTGTGGGTGACGCCATACGCTGATAGGGAAGGTGATTGCTGCTCGTGTGGTTGAAGTGGAAGGAACGTTCGACTGCAGTAGTGGTGAACAGCACTGGCAACCCTGTCCCTTCCCTTCTTGTTCAAGTTCTCGCTAAGGTTCTCTCCCAAAAAAACATGTATCCTCTTCTTCGTTGATTCACTTCAAGTCCCCTTCACAAGAACTGCGTCTCTATTCCTGATTTACAAGCACTCTAATCAGTGTTGTGCGGGCGTTCCTACCTTGGTGCCTTTTGCCATACATTGATTGAGTGCTGCGTCGCTCATCATGCATTTCTCATCAATTCTCCTACTCGCTCCTCTTCTGTCGTCGCTGGTAACGGCAGACCAGGTGCCCTTCGTTGGAAAGGCCACTGAATGGTTTGACAAGGCCAAGAGCTTCCTTCCTAACCAGGGACCTGTGGATGCTGGTGCTGCCTATGTTGCTGAGCACAGAGTTGAGCGCATCAATATCCGCAACTGGCAGCGCAAGCTCGCACCCAAGTTGGACACTGAGGAAGAGTGGTTGATCTTTGTGACTGGTGGAAACAAAAGCTGCTTTGGTCGATGTGGACATGCAGAGGCAACCTGGAATGTAAGTCTTTCTCAACACCTTCGCATGTCTCCAATGAGAATCTAAGATATTCGTCCTTATCAGCTTTCGGTCCCTCTGCTTGCTCCAGTTCAAGCAGCCTCAGCAAAACCTCTTCACCTAGCAATCCTCGACTGCGATAGGGATGAGATCGTGTGCACTGCATGGGGGACTACCCTTCCATCTATTTATCACTTCGATGTGCCCAAGAAGACCGAGCCACAAGCCAAGGTCCCTCTCCACGTTGTCCCATTGAACATGTCTTCTGCCACTACAGCCGATATTCTCTCCATCCCATCCGCCACCAAGGCGCGCTATCTGGACTTCCCTGAATATGAAGGGGCTGTACATCCATTTGATGGCTGGCTTGCCAAGTTCAATCTTCTAATTCCCTTTGGATATGTCATGTGGGGATTCGGGAGTACACCAAGTTGGCTGATGATGCTTGGTATCTCTTTTGTCTCCCGACAAATTATGAGTAGGAGAATGGGCGCAAGAACAGGAGTTCCCACTCCAGGCGCTGCTGCTCCGGCTCCTCCTCCGCAAGCCCAAACTCCTTCTCGACCTGCTGGTGGAACACCCCGGTCTGGTGGATCGAAGAAGAGAAGATGAGCTCGTTCTGGGCCATGGACTGAACTGCTATTTGGAATACTTTTTCAACGATGGAGGTTTGGTGGCATAGGAAAAGTCATTTCTTGTTGCGCTTTCGACCTTGTCCTTTCTCCCTGGATACTTACGTTTCTAGACGGTTGAAACTTGGGGTGGTAAGACTAGCTGGCCCTTAATGAACACTTCCATATCTATTATATACACGTCCACCTATCGCTGGAATTCATACACTAAAATCCATCGTCGCTTCAACACTGTTCCTAGTCTATTTTCTGCAGCTATTCGCTGAATGTAACTGTCACATCTCACACCTCATCTTTATCCCTAATCACCGCCAGGTTGTTTCTTCACGATGACACCAATCTCATCCTTCAGCAACTCCGACAAGCTGGACCCATCACGAATATAGATCCACTTGCCACCCTCACCATCATCGCCTGCAGCCTCAGCATCGTCCAGCAACACAGACCCCTCCTTTTCATGCTGCGCCGCATCCCTCCCCGACACGACCCAATCGTAGCGCTTGGGCCCCGACACCGGCGACGACAGCCAAATCTGCTTGTTCGGCGGCTGCTTATTGATCACGTAGCTGCCTTGTGTCGGATGAATGATCGTCAAGACACCGGCCTGTGCAAGCTTGTCAGCTGAAAAGCGTTACATACATATACACATATATGTTATGGTGGTCTCTTACCGAGTATTCAACGTCAATACCATTCTCGGAGCTCTCGCTCAGTTCCTCCGCGGCATAGACCAATGTATCTAGATATTCGTCTGCGATCTCATGGTATTCGGAGTCGGAAATCGAGGCCGCGATGGGACTGGCCGTGCTGCTTGTGCTTGGTTCCGTTTTCGGTGGTGCCGGGTCCGCGCTGTCGGGTTGTATGCCCTTGAGCGTGCGTTGGGTGGTGCTGATCGGTCGAGTCTGTTGTTGTTGTTGTGGTTGGTGGTGGTGGTGGCAGCGTTGTGGATTCGAGAGGGAGAGGAATGGTCGTACGGAAGCTGATAGTGCTGTTCTATGGTACAGAGAGCGCTTCTGGGAGGAAAGTCGTAGACTGGTGCTGGTGCTGATTGAAGGGTTCGAGATGGGTTGGGAGCGGCCCAGGCATAGTGAGCTGTTTGCTGTGGTGTTGCTGGCGCGGGAGAGAATCCGTGTTGCCTTCATGGTTGAGACTCGAAGGTAGAGATTATGATACCGTTAGTGGTAGAGTTTTGTTTGTAGAAGGATGAAGCTCGTGTAAGTGGGTGAGTGAGTGAATGAGGGAGTCGAAGCCAGTCCGGGGTAAATATGTCAATTGCGGAATCCATATGACGACAGGTCTTCGGCCCAGGGATTAAATTATTCGGAGCTCATTTATTGGTTCTCCCTCTCTCTTTATGAAAGCATCATAGTTACCACTATTGATCTATGCACGGATATATCATGTTTTGATACAAGGAGACTATGAAGGACCTTTGGTATCAAGATGTGGATTTTTCTATACAGTGGCTGGCTCATATGTGTGCGCAGATAATATACAATATTGAAACATTCCCCTACTATTCCAGTTCCGTTCTTCGCCTCACTTCCATGCTTCGGGGTTTGAGGACTACGATTTGTAGTGATTCGCGAAACCACGGTCCCATGCTCTCGATCTTGGGCACAGCTTCGTCTCATCCATGACTCGTTTACGGGCTCTCCAACATGTGATGTTCTCCGAACTTGGATCGCTTGCACTTTTGTGAATATCGGTCCTGCTAGCAGTTCGTGTTCCCAGCGAGGCAGGCGTCTTCTGTATTACTCAGTACTGAGTCTGATGATCAGGGAAGAAGCGAGCTGAGATAGATTCCTCAAGACTTCGATACCAGAGAAGCCGCACATGGCAAGCAGCTGGGAGTGAAGAGCTGATGGTCCCCCCGGTCGCTGGCAGCCAATGTCGTGTTTGCAGTCTGAGGCAGTGGCCTGCTAGATGTACGAGCCGTCTCCGGGGGACCTCGATTTGGCATCTGGGTGCTTGTATGTGGTATGGTCGCACCTAAGCTCCGTGTCAGGGTGGCTTTGTGCTCTAGTCCATTGAGTCGAGACTATGGCCGACGATCAGCATCTGATCGAAGCGACTGTGCAACAAGAGAAATGTGGCGCCGTTCATCACTTCAGTCAGTTCGATGAATGCCTCTTTTCTGCATCCAGCTTCAAAATCTAGGCGATAGACTTCTGGTCCCTGGCCCGAGACTCGATGTAGAATCCGGCGTCCGGTACTCGTTCTTGGTGGACTTGTTGTTTGGTCAGGGGTTTGTCGACCTCGCGGACGGCGACCAGCTCTTTAACTTTCATAATTTGACCGGCCACAGAAGGCTCGACTGGGTGGAAGACGGTGGCCATTCGTTTGCGCAGACCAAGAGCTTTGAGGACGTTGGCTGATTTACTCGGGAGACCGATGGCGGATCTGATAAGGGTGATTCGGAAATACGACATGTTGATTATTGCTGTCGGAGAGTGCGTACAGAAACGGGTTTTTGTGTGCAGGATGATTGGTGTTGTTGAGGATGAAGAGGTAGCTAATCCTGATGACCTTCTAACTCGGACTTGAGGATGGGAAAAAACAGGTGCGACGTGGACGTGTATACTTCGCAGGAGTAAGAACGGTACGGGAGTGCACTGAATCATAAACGGCATTATATGTTCCGCTCAAGGTAGTGTTCTGACTGGGTTCTAGGCGGTGACACGCCGACGGCCGTCCCCTAAACCAGCACGTTATGGGCATCTCCTGGCTCGGCTACTCTATAACTTTGCCCCATAAGGCGTTCTGAACTTGGGGGCACCACATTCACTGACCCTACCTCTCGTTAGGCTGCGTCCCACCTCCAAATCGATCAAGTATTAACAGCATGCAACGACTTCACAATCCCCTGACAGCCTTCTTCTCTTGATATCTAGCAGGGCTGTGATCTGACTTCCGGTGGATCTGATTCATGCAATGTTGAGGGAACGCGACAGTCCTAAGAGTACTCCCTGAGTCGCTGTCGCCAAACCCCTTTCACTCTCTCTCCGCAAGCATGGCTTCCAACTCTACCGCGAATGGCACCGTTGGCCTGCCACGACTTCAAGATGTCCTACGCACCCCGGAAGATCTAGAGAAGATCATCAGTCTGAAGGCCGAGATTAACCGCAAGAAAAACGATGTGGATGCCAGATTACGAGAAGGTCTACGAGAGAATCTCGACAGTACGCAGAATGGCATGTCGACGCTGTCCGAGGGTCAGAAACTGGTCGGACAGATTAAGGAAGAGATGAAGAGTATTCATGATCTCTGTGAGCAAGCGCAGGCAATAAGAAAGAACTTCCCACAACTCGACTACCTTGCAAGAGTCCATCGCAACTTCGAAGCCACCAGAGCAATGCAGGCAGGTCTGGATACGTTCGAAAAGGATTGTTCACTTGTTCAGAGACTGTTGGAAGATGACGAGGCTGACTTGGAGAATCAGCCCAACTTACTCGAGGCACACATGCGATTGACTCGCCTCCGTGATTTCCGCGATGAGGCTCTGGACCAGATACGAAAGGGAAAGGACGCCAGTCTGGAACAAACCTTGCTAGACTGGTTTCAACAACTCGATAACATCATCGAAGTGTTCGACGATCATATTGGCCAGGTCTGCCTGAGCCTCATCGAACTAGTTCAGAGAGATAACAATGGCATAATTGTTCGTCTGGCCATTGTCATTGCTTCGGAGGAGAAGAATGATGACCGAGTGCGAGCTTTACAAGACGCGCAGAAGGATCACCAAGACCTGGTCAGCAAATTTACATCCTTCACAATAGGTCCCAAAACAATTCGTGGGTATAAGGAGAAATTCCTTCAGGCCATCGAAGCCGTTGCTCAAGCCAAATTCGAAGAGACAAGGCAAGAATTTCAAGGCGATCCTGACAAGCTTGACAAGCATACGAAATGGTTCTTCAATGACTTGTTTGTAGCCAAGCAGGGCATGCAAAACCTCTTTCCCAAAAAGTGGAAGATTTATAATACCTATGTCAACATCTATCACAGACTCATGCACGACTTTCTCATTTCTTTCGTCGATGATGAAAATTTACGCTCTCAAATGATGCTTGCTATTGTACACTATATCGAAGTGTACTATAAGAAAATGAAGAAACTCGACTACACCCAGTCTATGTTAAAACCTCATGTACTGGATTCACGAGAAGCAGATTTGATTCGGGATTACAGAAATCTGATTACAAAAGCTCTCAATTCTTGGATCGACCGGATGTACGTCACCGACAGAAAGAATTTCTCTTCACGTTCGGCAGAAGCTATCGACCAAGATCCGGATGGTCATTTTAGAACGAAGACCCTCGGTGACATGTGGCGAATGCTACACGAGCAGGCTATGGCTGCTGGTGATTCTGAACGTGAAGATGTGGTAGAGGGCGTCATGAGTGCCATGTTTAGCGCTCTCAAATCGCGACAGCAACAATGGGAGAAAGTTATCGATGAAGAAGTGGATCGGTATAAAAATCCTTCACCTGAATTGCTCGAAACCTTACAGCCACTTCAAGATTGGCTTTTAGCCATTGCAAACGATCAGATTGCCTGTGTCGATGATGCTGCAGGAGATGTTGTAGACGATCCTACCGCTCAAAAAGGATATCTAACTCGTTTCAGAGAAGATTTCATCAAACTACCCACACCACCGTCTGCCAAATTCATGTCAACGAATGGCGTCACCGAAATGGATGCATTGCGGGATGGTTATGTAGATTTAGCCACCCATTGCATCAATCGCTTCGTTCTTCTCATCTTCAGAGTCGACTTCCGAACCATTCTCACGGAGCTTTTCGTCCCCGGCAAATGGTATGAACAGTCTGCAATTCAACGAGTTACCACCACTTTCGACGACTACATTTCGGACTACAATGCTGTCCTCCACCCTTCACTTTTGGATATCATGATTGAGGAGCTTTCCGATGGCCTTCTGATCCAATATCTGACTCTGATACGTACAAACAAAGGCGTCAAATTCCGACGAGGTGAACCATTCCCGGCTAGATTTAGGGATGACGTTCTAGCAGCGTTTGCATTCTTCGAGAAATATCCCGACGCATTCAACGAAACCATCAAGCCAAAGTGGAAGGCTGTAAACTTCACTGTGCAGCTACTGGAAGCTGACAAGATGGAAGTGATTGGTGTTTACGAACGGTTCAAAACAGAATTCTGGGACCTTCAACTGTCGTGGGTTGAAGGGATTCTAAAGACCCGTGATGACTGGGATCGTGCTATGATCACTGCTGTTAAGCAAGCTGCCGCAAGCACATACACAGAAAGAGGGATGGATACGATAATGGGCAAGGTCAAGTGATGGAATTAAACTTGATGTTTGGCATGTCCAGGTGATATCAATGATTCACCCGGGCTGGTGTCAAGACATTCTACGCAAGTTGGCTACATGTCACTAGAGAAGCATCCCCAGAGGCATGGCATAGGAGTATGCATATTTTCTATTACGTCGCTCAGTCAGGGTCATGGTTCGAGATCGATCACCCGAGATCTTCGTCTCCAGACGCCTGGCTCAACGGCCCAAGATGGTCAAAGCAAATGTAATAAGAAGTCTAAGCCCACCTAGAGGTACTTTACAGCAGATCGTGCACACTTTCAACAAGCCATCTCTCTTGTTTGTGCCAGGAGATCTGCGAATACGGTCTAACAGATCACTCTGGCTATGACCTTCGGAAAAGGGCCCTCGAGCTGTTTGGTTTCACTGGTATTCGACCTGCATCAGGTCCAGGAATGGCCATGAGCCTCGCAGAAGGACCTGAACTTCTTTCCCGGTCGAAAAAGCCATGGAGAACACAGATAGAAACATAACATCATGTTGGAATCTAGCTAGCTCACTGTTCGATGTAAAGCAAACAATAGATATTGTGTCCCATACATGTGGCTTTTTGCCTCTCGTGATGGAATTTGAGTTTATGACGCGTTACTCGCCATCGGTTATCCCCTCGTGTCAGATGTTCTAATTTCATCAGCACCGCGAGTTTCATGGCAAGGCTCGAACAAGTACGATCACGCAGAAACCGACAAACTCACTTATGTAGGGAAAGCACGGACTCTTGGAGACGTTTGGTTTTGTGGCTGGGTTTGAAGAATGATGAAGCGAACAAGGAATATGATATACAGAGAGATATATATAACGTTCTTTGGATTTTCAAAACAAACAGGAGGGAAAAAGAGAATTTTCCAAAGACACACAAAAATGCCCAAACCACAAATATCAAAGACAAGACGTACTTTCCAGCCACACAAATCGTTCGAAAGAATAGTGTGGACAGGCCGTATTCCGCTATGCAATATGCACATGACACAACATACACAAACAAAAAGCATGTGACGCTGAAACCCTCGCATACCATTGACACAATCCACGCAGAAAGGGGAGGGGGAGAGAGGATGAGATGCGGTGGGTTGTTGGCTGGTTTCCTCCTTCACACTCGTTTTTCTCAACATCCTACTTCTTGCTCCTTGGCTCAACAGCCGATGCTCAACCATACTCATCCGAATCCCGTTACCCTCCCTCCTTGTCCTCGCCCTCCTCGGTGCAAAATGCAGATAAACAAAGAATCAGCTCACAGGCCAAACCAATGGCTGTCGTCTAAAACAACAGTCCAGCAACAGCGACAGCCAAGCACACAGCCACGCTCATGACCGTGCCAGGGAGCTGAGCCTGGGCAGCGGCACCGGTGAAGGTGGCGACGTTAGCGGGCTTGACGCCGGTGGCTGAGGTGGCGGCGGGGCTGGCCGGCGCAAAGGGGTTCGAGCCCACGGGTGCAACGGTCACGGCGGTGGCGCTGGAGCTGGGTGCGAAGACGTGGGGAGCGGCGGGCGCGGTCGGCGCGGCGGCTGGGCTGGGCCATACGGTGTAGGGTGTGGCGGCGGGCGCGCCAGTCGGGATGGGGATTGTCAGCGTCACCGTCGATGTGACCGGGGGCTGGGCGATGGTCACGATCGTGGTTGTGAAGCCGTGCGGGCAGCCGTTCGAGTCAACGGGCCACACCCATGGAGCGGCCGTGGTGCCCGGGTAGACCGTCAGTGTTGTGGTCGCAGTGTAGGTCCTTGTCACGAAGGTGGTGTGGTCCCAGTCTGTGTAGTGGGTGGTCCAGATTGTGGTCGTCACAGTTGGGCCGTGAGGCTTGCTTGTCGTTACTGGCGCCACCGTCGTGCTGGAAGTCCAGTCTAGCCATGGCTCGTTGATGCTGCTGGTGCTGCTCGTCTGCGCTGGGTCGACGGGCTTGCTGGTTGTGCCCCAGTGTCCTCGAGTGGTGGTCGTGGTGGTGATAGGTGAGACTGAGGATGAGGTCCAGTCCTCCCATGGGTTGTTGGTGCTACTGGATGAGGTGGTCACTGGGCCAACAACCTTGGAGGTGGTGGTGGTGCTGCTCGAGGTCCACTCGCCGGGTCCGTGGGGACGACTGGAGGTGCTGGTTGTGGTGGTTCCGGGGGCAGCAGGAGAGGTTGTGCTCGAGGTTTCACCGCCAGGTCCATGAGGATGGCTGTAGGAGCTGGTGGAGGTGGTGCCCGGAGCGGCGGTGGTGGTGGATGTGGTCACTGGTGCAGCAGAGCTGGTGGTGCTGCTTGTGGTCTGCTCGCCAGGTCCGTGAGGGCGAGTGTAAGAGCTCGTGGTAGTGGTGGTCGTGGCTGGAGCTGCAGAGGTGGTGGTGCTTGTCGTCTCATCACCAGGTCCATGAGGACGGCTCCAAGAGCTTGTGGTCGTGGTGGTGGTCACTGGAGCAGCAGGAGATGTTGTGGTCGACGTCGATGTCGTGACTGGAGCCTCTGTTGTCGTGGTTGGATGAGGTCCGTGAGGGAAATCAGTTGTTGTCCAGGTTGTCGTGGTAGTAGAAGGAGCAGCAGGAGTAGTGGTTGTAGTGGTTGTAGTGGTTGTTGTTGTCGACGTTGTGGTAGTGGTTGTCGTTGTCGACGTCGTCGTTGTGGTAGTGGTTGTCGATGTAGTGGTTGTGGTTGTAGTAACAACAGGAAGGCAGGACAATCTGCCGAATGCTGCCTTAACATTATCAGCAAAGGGCAAACCATTGGCTTGAGTATTTCTGGCCGATTCGGTGGCTTCCCAAAGCATGACACCACCAAAGATGCCCTGATATCTGGGGTTGCATGAGAATTCCTCGAGCAAAGCTGTCGTCTTTTTCAGGTCAATGTAGAAACCAGGATTGGCGGCGGCTGGGGAAGCAGGCAGTCCCAAATAGAGCTGGATGTTCTTGTTCTTGGAGTTAGTCTTCAGCCAGTCAACCCATCCAAAGGAGACATCAGTGTTTTTGTTCAAAGTTCCTGCGGCGTTGAATAGCGATGCGGCAGAGCATGCATCAGTGTTGTAGTATTGAACCCAGCTGCAGTGTTCAGTTAGCTAACAATGACCTCTTCGCGGCGCAAGCGAATTTTGACTTACACATAGTCAATGATGGAGTTCTGGATCGCGTCACTCAACTGAGGGTCGTTGGTGAAGCATTGGGGAGCAGCAGAGATGATGAGTGGCTTTGGTCCAGAAAGTCGTCGGAGCTCATTGACCAAGTCGGCATAACCAAATCCACCACCGTTTTCGATATCCAGATCGAAACCATCAACAACAACACTCTTTCCAAAAGGTCGAGGAAACTGAATAAGATCTGGGTCTTGAAGAGGACCGAACGAACCCCAAAGGAAGTCAGCGAATTTTATGGCGGAGTCCTTGGAGGTGATTTTATTGTTGGGGGCGTGGCCTCCGATGGAAGCCAGGACTTTCTTTCCGAGAGCCTGGCATTTGGGAATATCCTCCTCGATCTGCCAGCATGAGGTAAACATCTTTGTCTGAGTCCCATCGGGGGCAACCCAGAAGGCGGCGCCACAAGCATTGGCGTAGTTGGTACCGGGATATCCATTGTTGCCCCCCTCATCGGGGAAAGAGTTGACGAAACCAACAGGAATCACATCCAGAGTGGTGTTTGCGCAGAAGTCGCCCAGTCTTATTTGATCGAATCCATTACCCTACACATGTTAGCGCAATTGTACCACAATATGTTTGTCTTCCTCCTCACCCAGTAGCTGACAAGCTTCGGGGGTGTGAATCCTCGTTTTGCGACAGATCGTGTCTCTAGGATCGGCGATGCGAAAGTAGTAGAAATCAAAGCAGCCGTAGCCAGTACGGTGGCAGTGATTGTGGTTGTATACATGTTCTGGAATGTCACGTGTTCGGGGTGGAATCTGGTGGTATAGAAAAAGAACGAATCAAAAATTTCACAGCACAGTAGTAAATGAGTGTCTGGACTCAGAGAGTCCGAGCAAAGGAATGACTGGACGCAAGCAAAAGCTCGCTGGCGCAATAGTAAGGACCGTGGTTAAAGGAAAGTATAGAAAACGGAAAGAGGAAAGGGAAAAGAGAAGGATAGAAGACAGGACACACAAGACAGAAGGAGGTCATATGCAGGCCTGCCCATGATGGAGTAGCACGTTTGGAACTCTAGATCCCGCTCCACTTTGTTCACGATGTTGCCATGCAATGCGGTACGAATTATCCGTACCCATATCCATATTGGGTCACAACATGTCCCTCCCACCGGCAATCTGAGAGACTGGGGAGACTGTGACCCAGCTCACCGGTTTGCCAGGTGACGCATCAAGGTGACAGGATTTTCAGCCTAATGGATGAATAGCGGTAATAGGAGCGCGAAGTTTCAAAGAGTTGATTGGATAGAAGAACCAATTTGATACTTCTAGGTTGCATCTACCGCGTACGCAGGTCGAGGCAGTCTCAAGAATAGCACACACCCGAGGGGTTAGTCCTTGAATAGGTAAGCAAATCGGAAGGAAAGGGTTTGGACTGTATGAACTCGGAGTAGTCAGGTTCATAGTATGAAATGAGAACGGGGTTCCACTTCGGTAGTCGAACCCCTAGTACGCGGGTGAGGTGGATCAATCAATGGTGACACGTCTTCGTGAAAGGTGTGGAAGAGGTGTTTTGGTGTTAAAAAGACAGTCAAAGAGAAGGCTTTCATGGTCAAATCTCCGGACCAGGCTGTGTGTTCGCCAGTGGCGTGGTCAGGGGATCGAATGAGGGTAAAGGAGGACTCGAGAAAATCTGGCTAAGGGGGTCAACTAAGCATTATACTAGCCCTCTTTGGGCAAGGCTCCATCATGTCAGGGGAAATCAACCTTCAACGGCGCCATCTCCTCCAGCCGTCAGGGATTCCATGTATCCCCTCAATGACCCTCATCTGTTCCGTTCTAACCAAATTGTTGGACGCCTGATATTGAGACTCTTCCCCATGGACAACAATGGCGCATCAAGTCAGCCACAGACGAGTGCCTTGCGCAAGAAGGTTGTTCTTGCGAAGCTTGTCTACACCGTACCAGAGGGAGCAGGTACTCGTAAGCATGATGTCCAAGAACAACCAATAGTCTGACCGTTGAAACATCTCGTTCTTCTCGTTTCTGAAGCATGGGAGAGGAAGAGCCGTCAGCAGATTCTGTGAGGTTGAGGGGGATTCGGCAATAAACTTGGTTTCCTTGGACTTTTCACCATCATGTTTGGCAAAGTGTTCACTCGAAAGGCCATTTACCGCGCATCTCCTGAAACGATTCCTATCCTATGAACCAGGAAATTGCCCGACAGAGTACTCCGTGCTGGGCTTTGAGAAAGAAGCGAGATGACTAAAGTAAGGAGATCGCTTCCGCAACTGTTTCGGCTACTGTTACGAGGTACAGATACAACTGTAAGATCTCCGTATAGAGTAGAAAGTAAGTCGGAACCCGTCTAGACTAATCACCCGTAAACTCATGTCCGTGCATGGTACGTTTAACTACGAGTAAGCATGTTTTACAATCTAAACACACAAGGTAAATCGAATCGTGAAACCGATATCGTTTTCTCTTTATCCTGACCGAATCCCGAAAACGAGACATGCAGATTCATATGATGACTCACGAGCATTGAATTTGAGCTGCCAGTCTGCCACGCGTTCTGAATTTTATTTCCATATCATAGAATCTCATTTCCCATTGTGGATCGGGTCATGTCAACATCATGTCAGGATGGGCCGCCCCGCTGATTTTTCAAGGTCAACAAACAGCGTACTCGGCATGATTTATCCGCATATTGCGATTTCCAAAATCCTGTAATCTCGCATTGTTGGTGTGTCGAATTGGCTGCTTTTTCGCAGTGTCGAACTTCAGCAGCAGAGCTTGGCTTAAATCTATAGGTATTCATGAGGCTTGATGTTGCATGTCTGGCTTTTTAAGAGTCCATGTTCGAGGTTGTCCTGGGTCCTGCATACGGTAAGCTTGTGTGTTTTAAGAAAGAAAGATTGATGAACATCTTTGATCAACAGTGATCAGCACTCGCTTCCGACTTTCAACAAAATCGTACACATGTCAGTCAGCATGCCGAAAGATCCGATCTCGAATTTCCATGCTCGAGACCAATAGTGTTTGATACACATATATCGGCCCTCAAACAGGCAGCTGATCGGCGCTTCTCACATGCTTATTTGAACTATTGATTGTCATCAAACCCTAACCCAACCATTCCACTTCAACCACCAATACAAGAGAGCAACGTGCCGTTTGGGAAAACCATGGATGAAATGAGAAATAATCTTTTTAGACAATAAGATTTCCACCAGAGGCGACCGCCGTGACCATCGCGACGACTAGATATATACCTGCTATCCTGAAGGTACATGCTTTGTTGCGATGACTAACTGAAGATCTAGATTGTCGCTACTGGTCTTGCTAATGACCTCTTTGATAGGACCCGTGAACCGCTTTCGCGCACGAACAACGTAGTTGATGACAGCAAAAACCATGACGGCAACAAACACTGGGGAGGCGTAATTCATATTGACCCCTGTGACCGGGAGTACAGGTGGAAACGGTAAGAATATGATGAGAACGACACAGAATGTGGCTGCCAGAATGTTAACCGCCAGACCAATCTTACCCATTGTCCATGGTCTATAATCGATGGGGTTGGGACGGTTGAAGCGTCGGATCGCAAACAGGATTGTGGGGATGGTGCAGGAGAAATAGAATCCCAGTGTCGTCAATGAGATCAAGGCGTTGAATGCGGTTGTCGAGCCGATGTTGATACGCGAAAGTAGTGAGACTGCCACGGTAAGTGAGAGAACCGCGTTCGTCGGGCATTTGTTGGAGGTAGATATCTGGGAGAATAATTCTGAGAAAGGTAGGCCGTGATCTCGAGAGAAAGCCCATATCAAGCGCGAGACCGAAGCCATGATCCAAACAGATTCATGGAGAACACGATGATCACTGCAGTCATCATTGCAGTCGCGGCTTTCTGGTTATTTGTGGCTTGAAGAAAGACAGCAATGATTGGAAATCCAGTCGGAGTGGCGAGGACTGCTTCAGTATCTGTGATCTATTGAATAGTCAGTCAGCTATCCAGCCGGGTAGTCAAATGGCGCCCGCCGATCCCAGAGATGTTACTTACACTGTACAAAACGGTAAGGATATACGCAAATCCAGCCAAGCCGTTGATGATGACGGACCAAATCATTGCACGGGGTACGTTAAGTGCAGCATTGTAGCTTTCTTCCGACATATGAACAACTGCATCAACTCCAGCCAAGGCGAAGGCTGGTGTCAAGAAACCCAAACAGAAGCTGACCCCATCGCTTTTCCAACCACCAGCGTTGATAAAGGTTCCCCAGACGTTGTTATTGCTTGTCTTCTCTCCAGTGGCCAAGATACTGATCATGACGATGACGAAAAATAGAACATGAAGACTACCTCCCAAGGTCTCCCAAAGGGCAATAGTCTCTTACCGACAGTATTTCCAAGGGCTCCGAAGATAGCTGCGGCGATCATCATTAGGGTGGCATGCCATCTCTCCGGGGTATAAGAGGAATAATTGAGGGCCGCAGCACCTTGAATCATTGTGGCGATCAGGAAGCACACCGATGCAACAGCTGCGACCCAACCAGTTACAGTCACCTAGCCTTGGATGTAGGAGATAAATGCTCACCATTTGACAGGAGAATGTTCAGCACTCCAATGATATTGAGCACCAGCGATTGGCGATCTGAAACCTGTGTCAATCGGGGTGCATGTTGACTGCCCATTGCTTTTGAACCTTACATTGACGCCATCTCTGCCAGTGAACCTGCAACGCAGAGAGTCCCTACCACGGAGACGATGAAGCCATAGACGACCGACGCTGGTCCACCATTGGTATGTGCTCCTGCAAACAAGGCACTGGTTGCTTCCCAAGTGCACAATGTGCATGCTGACATGCCCAGCAAAGCCCAGAAGTTCCATTCTCTCTACGAAATCTGGCTCAGCCAGATATCCTGGACAAGCATATTTGGGAGGAGAGTCACCTCGAGCACCTGCTTTTTGCCAGCGACTTCCAGAGCCGCAGCATCCGAGTCGTAGACGGTCATCTCGAGACAAGTCCAGAGAATGTCACTGAAGACGCAGCGCAACAGCAGGAAAATAAGAGTAAGTGCGACTTCAGGCCACAGTTCGAGCGAACGGGTGGGCTGTCAGTATTCTTATGGGCGAATGATGGGACTGCGGGTTCATGCACATGGTGTGAAGCTGGACAAAGCACAGGTTTCATTCATCTCAGAAAGGCAGGCGGTAACATGGTTCTGTACAACCGATCGTGACAGATATTGGTTGGCAGCGCATTCCCTCTAGGTTGAGTTCTGGTCCAGACAAAGAACCTACGAGTAGGGGTGACTCGCGTAGTCTGTAGACGGTACTGATGTAGCATACTCGACCAGACGAGTTAGCCCAGGATCCTTCTCCAAGTTAGAAAGAGTGGTGATCATGAAGCAGGACTGCCAATGATAAGAACGAGTTAGATGTTGTACAGACGCCACGGGCATCGGCGCCGGGACACAACTAGGGGTCTAACTGCCGGTTAAGCTTCCCTTAGCCTGCAGATACCTACGAGTACGAAGTACGTCGTACCCTAAGTATCCGTACCTAAGTAAGTACTCAAGCACCCCTAGATAGTAGATACCGCCAGGATCGCCCTTGGCAGTGTTTAGTTGGAGCTTGGCCTTCGCCTATGCCCCATTAGACCTTTTCCTGGAGTTCGATCATCAGAGCAAACTTGGTCGTTCCTAGACGTTACAGTAGAGTGCGAAAAGTCCGGCACAAGAGGAGAACTCGTCGAGATGGTGACATTTGTCAAGAAGACGTGGGAGCCAGGCTGTCAGTGTGGGCGAGCACTACTAGCAGAGAATAGAAGGACGTATCCTTAGGCCCTGGGGGGCATGGCCTGGTCTGCAGAGGCAGCAGTTGACCTATCGTAGACTGGATTCGTCCTTTGAGCCAGGGGTCATGTCTGTATCCCTCTGCTGTGCAACATGGAGTGCAGCGGTGTCTGCTGTCTACGCATGATGTTACCGATCTTGAACGGAGAATAACCATGTCGATGCGGATGTATAGCCGATATCCGATGCCAAAGCGTGTCTAGACGAGCATTCCCTCGCAGGGCTGTACCTACCCGACCTCCCAGGGGCTCTCGATACTCAATACTGAAAGCCTATCAACCAGCGCATTATCGACAGTCAGGTAAGCATTTATTTTAGGCCCCTAGGTGCCACACACTTATTAAGTACACGGCTAAAACCGCGGGGGCGGCACGGCATCGGCTTCCCCGCACGGGCGATGATTCAATCACGAAAAATTTCTGGGAACTTTTCTCCAATGTTGCACCAGGCGCCGCCGACTTTCCGGAAATCCCAAAAAATTGCACAGAGGCTGAACTCGACGACTTGTCTATCACCACAGCAGTTTCTCTGGTCTGTGTGTTATACGAAACTCTCTACAATCATCAATTTGAGAAATAAATAATGTCGGATGCAGGTGAAGACATCGCGACGGTCTTCGAGGAGCTCGGAGACCTGGAGAAGGAGTTTGCCGACACGGAGCTTGATGCTCGTGAGTTCGCTGTCCCAGGCTGCAGGCACTACATACATTATACCTGCTGCTGCTGCTGCTGCTGCTGCTGCGAATCAACGGCCGCACCTTGAAGAACTTGCGCTGACTGAAATTTATGAAATCAACCAGTTCGCCGGAAGGAATTCGCTCTGAAACCACTCTACGCAAAGCGCCAGGCATTGCTCGAGCGCGTACCCGGATTCTGGCCCACCGTTTTCGGAAATGCGCCCGAGGAAGTCCAGCAGTTTTTCTCACCTGAGGATCTCAGCCTACTCTCGTCCCTCATTTCGTTCTCGGTCGACCGATATCAAATCCAAACAGAATCGAAAGGCGAGCCGCGCAGCCTGCGCTTCACGTTCGAGTTCGGCGCGAATGACATCATCGAGGATGCGAAGCTGGTCAAGGATTTCGAGTATCGGGCCGGCGTGCCTGGTGGGAGTGGCAATTTCGTGTCGAAGCCTGTGGCTATCAAGTTCAAGAATAAGAAGAAGGACGTCACACATGGTCTGCTGGACGCCGCGGTCGAGCTGTATTCGGCTGAAGAAGCGCTCAAGTTGAAGAATGGGGATGGTGAGATCGACATTGTTGACCGTGAGGCTCTGTGGCAGCACGAGAAGCTGCGGCAGAAGATGATTAAGTTGGACGAAGAGCCCGAGCAGGAGCCGAGCTTTTTCAACTGGTTCGGTTTCCGTGGTGCCGTGAATTCCCATGCGGAGCGCGAACCGAAGGTTTCCACCACCAATGGTACCAGCAGTCCAGATGAAGAGGAGGAAGGAGACGATGATGATGAAGACCAGATGTTGGAATTGGAAATATTCCCTGCAGGCGATGATGTCGCCATTACTCTGGCGGAAGAGTTATGGACAGATGCCATGGACTTTTTCAGTAAGTGCTTCAGATTGTAGCGTTGTTGCTCCCGAGAACTAGACGGCTTGCTGACTCTCAAAAACAGTGTCTGCTCAGGATGAGGGTGCATTCGATATCGACGAAGATGATGAGGTGTCAGACGACGACGATGAAGCACCAGAGCTGGTCCCGGTGGAAGATGACCGCCCACGGAAAAAGCAGCGCAAAGCCTGATCGATTTCACTTAGGTTCCTGGCGCTTTGTCTCTCGGGCTCTATTCTTTCTCATTTTCTCTTGTGGATTCTGGATCGGTGAAAGGCTCGATAGATGGCGTATGGTTTGAACCTCGGTTTCGGGAGCAATGTAGATATCGGCTGGAAGAATTTGGAGACTCGGTTCTTCCTTCACAGCCAAACCCAAAACAACTTAAATGACGATGACCAATATCAATAGGATGATCAACACGAAGATCAAGACCGCGATGCAGCAACTGCTGTAGGTATCCTCGTTCCTCCTAATAACCTCCCCCACCTTCTTGACACCGACGTTCAACTTCCCGCCAACACGATCGGCCAACGTATCCACCTCGTCGAGCATGTGTCCTTGCTCTTCCAGCTCGCGCCCCATATCGACTGCCTGGCCACGTAGAACGCCGACGGACTGGAACACGCCGTCGAGCTGCTCGTCCTGCTCTGCCATCATTGTCTGCTGCTGCTGTGCCTCGAACTCGCCGTAGGGATCGTCGTTGTCGCCATCACCGTAGTTATTGCGCTCGTCGTCGAAGGGCGCGAGTGGTCCGGAACCCTGCGTCGGCCGTGTACCTTTCCCATTCCCTCCAGACGCAGCCGTCGACGCAGCGACATTCGTGTCGTGCGTCACGCCTTCTAGTTCTCTCCGCATGCCCTCCACCTCGGCGCCGACATCCTTGATGAACTGCTTGCGGCGTTGGACTTCCGCGACATCGAGTCCGAAGCGGTAAGGGTCGGATTCCACTGCGGAGACGGAATCGAGGAGGTCTGCGAGGTCCGTGTTGAGGGTTTCGAGGTTCGTCGTCAGGTCGGCGCGTGATTGTTGTAGCTCGGGGCTTGTGCTTGATGTCGAGATCGTGCGGATCCGTAGATAGCTGGAGAACAGGTGGCGGGTCGAGGTGAGTGTTGAGAGGACATCGCTGCGAGTCGATTGTGTGGTTAGCTACATAGATATGCATAGTGAGGGAGGCTTCTGGTGATCTCGATGGTGGGGAATCATGTGTGCTGGTGGTGGGATGCAGATCAAGTGGGAGGGGAGGGGGATCTGTACGTTTGCACTTCGAGGAAGGGATCCTCGGGCTGGGGAATCGCCATATTCGGAGTCTTCGACAATGCTGGGAGAATAGGTCTTGTGGGGGTTATATCATGTTCACGATAATATGTGGAAGATGGTGGTATTATTGGGGCGTGAAGAGAAGATCCCGGTCATGTCATAATGGGAGCCTTGTGGAGACGATTTCGTAAATGGCCAGGCTGGCTCCGATCTTCAAACACTCCTTACTGCTGTTCCTCAGGTATCCCTATACAATACTTTCTATTTTGGAATGCTATCATGGGTAGAGATACAGTCAGAGTGTGATTTAATTTCTCACAGTAAGTAGTAATACACATGTCATGCCTCTATTCCTGGACTCCACTCCAAAGCTTCCGTGAGCCCGTCGTTCCTCTGATATATGCACAATCTGGCTGTTCTCCAGCAAAGCCGATAAACCTTTCCCACACAGTCATCCCTATGAATGTAATTGATCGTACATCAGCAATGCCCGCCTGGTCGGTAGACGCCCTGGTCCACGAGATTCCACTTCTGTACGAAGAATTTTGGCTTGCACATTTAACTTCTTGTTGAGCGTTGGTAGGTGGTCCTTCAGAGTCGCCTTGTCATCGCCCTTAATCGCGTCAAGCTTCAAGGCTGTCCTGATTGCTTCTCCAATGATAACTCCTGTTTCCATATCCTCAGACATGAATGCCATCTTCCTCATCTCGGCGTGTTTGCTGTCCTTTGACGCTTCGGGTCGAGACGGAGGCGGGTCCTGAATGACGATCGCCAGCTTGCTTGCATAGCTTGCTGCCTTTGTCTTAAGAGTCTGAGTTTGATGTTCCAGAGCCATATGCGAACTCAATTCCAGAAGCGTCGCAAGCACAGTAGGCTCGGACCGCGCATCAGTGTGGTCCATCGGCCTTGGGCCTTTCAAAGAGTTACGTGGTCTGTGTTCTGGGGCTTCGAGCATGAGAGCGACATGGTGAGCACGAGTCCATACTTTTTCCAGTGTCGCATCTTTGAATCCGTCCGCGGCCGCGCGTTGGTGGAACGCGATAAACAGCTCGCGCGCAACTCCCGGTCTGCATAATCTGAATTCTGTCTTCTCTGCTGAATTGGCGCAGTCCAGTAAAACACCCTCTTTTCCTGCCTCGCCGGCTTTCCGGGTCAACTGTGCCCAGTAGTAATCGGGCGGCAGAGCTCTGGCCATGACCAAGCCTTGGAGAAATGGAAGCACGTTGTTCCAGTTCGATTTTCCTTCTTCGAGTTGTGATAAAAATTGTCTCAGATAGAGACTGCGTGAGGGCTTCTCAAATGCGTTGGTGGTTCGGAGCCTGATCTCTTCCCCGTCGTCCATGGTGACTGTAACTCCAGGGTCCTTGTTTAGCAGTTCAAAATGACGTCTTTTGTAGATGAGCTGTTGATGTTGTTGGGAAAGGGCGGCGGGCATGAAAATCTTCTGCCGGACATCGGCTAACAGCTGGTCAAACTCAGGTTCCGCTGTGGGCTCAAATCTCGGAATGACTATATGTATATCAGCAACTTTGCCCTCAGCCACGAGACAGCGATAGCAAGATTCATACTCTTCAATCGTTGCGGAGTGGTGCTGAAGAGCCGCGGAGAACCACTTGTGACTGATGCGTGCCTCCGTATCCGACAACTTCGACATATATAGCGCAGAGGCTGTGCTAGTTGGGCCATACCTGCGCTGTGGGTAGATGGGAGTGTCAGCAGTAGCCGACAATGAGAAGGTGTGGACTGCGTGATGTCTTTCGCAAAAAGTATCGGGGATAATTCATTTCGAGTTTAAGTTGCAGGGAAACTCCAACGACAGCGTGATGTGCCAAAACAGCAAGAGATAGCTACCAGATATAGAATCTATAGCACGCTGCTTTAGAGGGCCTTGATCAAACACAGATCACCATTCATGGGAGGTGATCGATGAATCTACTTTTCGTTTATACGGCTTTCCATTGATCGAGTGTGACTGTTGCCTTCCGCATTCCGGTAAGCATTTATTCATGCGCTGTAGAAGACCCAAGCATCTCTTCATTTCCCTAAGAATGCTCCTAGAGAAGCAAGGCATATCACTCATGTGCTCGTCGAGTCAAGGTACAGATCAATCCTTCCTGTTGAACAAACCAGTGATTGCAGATCTCCCACTCCTTCTCCGGGTATGTTAAATCAACCTTGTACAATCGTAGTAGCTGTGGCAGCACCTTCTGCATCTCAATCATACTGATATTCCGACCAATGCATTTCCGACTTCCGCCACCAAAGTTGAGTTCCAAGATGTTATCCATTTGCTTCAACTGAGATTCTGATGCTTTCAGCCAACGTTCTGGCTTAAATTCATCTGGGTCGGGGAACACGGTTGCATCACGATTGGTCACCCATGGATTGATTCCCACAATAGTACCGCCTGGAATATGGTGGCCAGCGATTTCGACGCCTTCCGCGGGCACATGGCGTTCCATGAGTAGGCCGACTGATGGGTGAATTCTCATAGATTCTTTGAGGGTCGCATTGAAGTAGGGAAGGTGGGTTGTTGATTCTTTGTAGGTAATGGGCGAACTTAATCTACCTTGGTGGTCAGCCTGGTCGATCTCATCTACCACCGCTTTCATGCACTGAGGGTTGCGGCACAAGTAGTAAACTACGGCTCGAAGTGCTATGGCTGTTGTATCACTCCCTGTCCAATTCTTTTAGCATCACCATCTGTCGCGAGGGATTGGGAATATGACTCACCAGCAAAAACATTTGTCGAGAGATGAACAATAATATCTCGCGTGCTCATTTTGAGCGGGTCAGAAGACTTGACATATGCCCACCGTGAAAGCATATCTCGACCTTCTGAATCGGCATTGATCAATTCTCCATCTCGCTTAATGGATGCTCGACCATTGATTGCTTTCAGTGTGAACATGAGTACCTGATTCCACGTCTCCATTGCGGGCATCAGCATCGAGAAAAGAGGATTGCCAAGGAGAAACTTGTGGTATTCGGGGACTTGACCGCACAGAGATGCATAAAGCAGCATCCCTTCAATAGCGTGCATCATTTGATCAACATCTTTGCCCTGTTCCAGAAATCCAAGTTTGCTGGAGAATGTAACTTCCCCTATAACGTCGAAGGCAAAGTATTGCAGCCAAGCTCCCAGGTCGACAGGTTTCTTCGCACCCTCATACTCATCGAGGCGACTCATGAAGAGATTAATACACGAATCAATGGCTGTCTCTGATTCCAGAAGATTTGGCAGGCTATACGCTGCGCCGACTTTTCGCTTTTCCGCTCTATGATAATTTGGATCCCGTGTGGAGAATAGATTCATCTCCGGCTGTTTCTTCCACGAGATGCATTGGATGGGATAAAAGGCCGACTTTGTGTAGTTCTCTTTGATATTGTAAATGATCGGAATGAAACTCGGATCAGAGATCGAGACGTGATTGGGACCGATGCGGACAACTGAGCCATATTTTCGGTGCACCGCGATGGCGGTCAGGTGTGCTTTGCCCTTCCAGACATCATGCAACCTCCAGAATTTGGTATAGGCTGCCAAAGCCGGGCCAGGGACATTCACAAGGTGTCGTTGGAATTTATTCCATAGTAGCCTGAAGAGGATGAAACCCCCAAGTAGTTGGAGTGGGTATCCGAAGATGATGTATTGAAGCTGCGAGATGACAAGAGAGCTTCCCGAGTCCTTCGCCGGTGCCATTCTGACTTACTGACGTTTCTCATTCACACAGTGTAAGGTAGTCCAGTTGGCAAGGCAAAGATGTCTAACCTGGTAGGAATTCAGGACAGATATAAATACACGTCAATCACAGCCAAAGAGCCCGAACACGAGCTGCAGACGCCCACAGCCGTTCCAGCTCGAAAGCGAGGTCATCATCCGAGAACATCGTATAAAGACATACCATCTCCAGACCCCAGGCGCCCCCAGATATCGCCCCGCAAGCCTCTCTAATGTCAGGTTCATGGCAACCCGCAGTACACGGAAAGGGGAACCCAGGGAACCGAAAATGGCCACTTTCCGAACCGATGTGTTCTTCCCGGATTGTGGGAATGATTGTATTGAGATACAAAACAATTGGGCAACGAGCAAACCCATGCCTTTGGGCAGGGAGGGGAGATCCCTCCCTTGCTTTACTAGACTTAGTAATTCCTGTGTCTGTAGTTGAGGGTGAATCACATGTCTGGCGGGGTTGCCACTTTGCCGTTCGTGCGATTCGCACAAGGTAGTACAGGTTCCACATGATACATAGAAGCTTGGCGACAGGTGCTTCGCAAGGAAATGTTTGTGGAGATCTGCAGTCTAGTAGCAGTGGAAGAAGATTGATTCAAGCAGTTTCTGATAGTCACCAGCTCGACCCCAGGACTCCGGGTAGCCCAGGTCACCCAGCGGTTGGTCGGGCAATGCAGCTTCACAACTTCAATTTGAGTACGTCGGCCAGTGGAAGGCAGGCGATATGAATGAAGTTTAAGATGTCAACCATTTACAAGAGCCCTGGGACTTGGTTACCCAGAAATCCCATTTGATAACACCTTTCGTACTCTCACCTAATTGTTTCTCCTGCGAGAAAATTGACATGGCTGTCTGATCGTTAGGGAATAAACAAGAACTACTAACCAGCGGCGGTGAGCTGGACAGTGTAAGCTGCTTGGGGCCAACTCGAGGTTCATGAAGTGAATGCAAATCCAAGCATGCACAGAGGCGTGATTAATTGGGACAGAAGTCAACGGTCAAACACTTCCTATTTGGAGATCAGCATCGCTTAAACGGGAGATAGCCTTCCTTTTCCATGACCCAGCAAGCCAATTTCCATGTGTTCATCGCGAGCACAAATTCACTTCCAGCGAGCGAAGAGGTGAAGGATAGGTTTAGAGCAGCAGCAGAACTTAGCCTGCTCGAGCAAAAGCAGCGTGTATCTATCCCAAAGAAAGTTAGCGCAATATCAACTTGATCTTCCATTATTCGGCTTCACTACCATATTTCGCAGCATTGAACAACGCATCTCTTGTCTCCGCGCCCGACCGACGGCATCGGAGTCAAATATCTCTCAATCATGTCGCAATCGCTGACGACCCGAGTGTCGCCATGCTGCTGGAGGACACTGTTCAGTGAGCTCCGGCCACAAAAACAGGCCCGCAGAACCTATGTCCAGCTCCAGCGCGGCCCCGTCACAAAACTCGAACTTCCTACAAATCTACCCCCAGCCTATTGGTCGCAACTACCAGAGCGACTACGGCCAGACCGAGGTATGCAGAGACCCCGGAAGACTCTTGCCATACAATCTGTCCTCTGAGTACTAACATTTTCCACCCTGACACAGTCCGGCGAGAAATCATGATCTACAAACCACCCGTGTCCGCCGCAAAGACATGCAAGGATCCGGTGGCCCTGATCGAGCAACAACAACTATCCATCCTCGACCCGACAGGGGCGCGGTCGCGGCTGTTCTCCAAGACGAACCTGGAGCGCGCCAAGGTCGGCGACATCCTGTACACGACGTTCAAGTCCGGCGAGCCGTTCGCGGGCGTCATCCTCTCAATCAAGGGCTCGGGCCCGCACGCCTCGGTCCTCCTCCGCAACCACCTCACCAAGATCGCCGTCGAGATGAGCATCAAGATCTACAGCCCGCTCGTGCAGAGCATGGAGATTGCGCAGCGTGCGCCCAAGAGGAAGCGTAGGGCCAGACTCTACTATATGCGTAAACCGGAGCATGATCTGGGGAGTGTGCAGAAGGTCGTCGATCAGTATTTGAGGCAGCGGGCCTTGTTGACCGGTGGTGGTGGTACTGCTGGGAGGACGACGGGCCACAGTCGCGGTGGCTTCAAGGGGAAGAAGGGGAAGAGATAGTACTGGGATTTGATGAGCATTTGCCGGATTATACGCTTGAAAAAGACACTGTCACCTTGGGAGTCCGTCGGTTGTATACTACCATATTGTAGGAAAATACAGGTCTTTTCTTCTACATTCACCACACGGTAGTGTCCTTCGGCTATTTGAAGCATATCGTTTCTTTTCAGCAACGGTCGCCTTTTCATCTCACTTCATGATCAGATCTTACCTATCTGCGATATGCTCGCCAGGTTTTTCGTGTACGAACATCAGGTACGGCTGTCAGACGCAACCGTTGCAACTCAGCCGGCCATCTTAATCTCCATTCACGGCAGAATCACTGTATGATCCTTATCGATCTGCACCACAAGGTCCAAAGTAACCTTACCACCACCAACCACAGCGGGACCCTTGACACTAAGCTTGCCTTGGGGCGTGCTGCCGCCCACGACCTCCTCATCGCCTTCCAGATTGACTTCCACGGAGCTTAGCGGTGCGCCGTAGCAGACCACATTGTGGCCCTTGTCCCTGTAGTCGAGGATATTGGTTTGGGCTACAGCCCCGGCAACGAGAGGCGTGGTGAGTGCGTAGCCTATGCGTGCGCCCAGGACGAGACGCAGAGCATGGAGATCCGCTGAAGTGAGTGTTGGGCTTGGGCGGGTGCTCGAATTGAAGGCTTGGGGAATCAGGAGGACACGCAACGCGGACAGAGAGGGGAGGTTGGGGATGGTGCGTTTCTTGCTTGGGAGGTTGCCAGCTTGGAGATTGCGCGTGTCGTTGAACTTCGAGATGCCAGAGGGCTTGACGGTGCGTGGATCAGACAGATACGATGCCACGGCCTGGGGCGACGCGATGAGTACGGTGGGCTTGGCGATGGAGACGGCAACGTCGAGTTTGATCTTCTCGCCGGCCACCGAGTTGAGTGCAAGGGTTGAGTGGGAATATAACGCAGCGAATACCCACGACAAAGTGTAGCTGTCGGTAAGGGGGGTCGTCGGAAGAACAGTGTCAGATGCAGATAGTTTGTAGGTCCGTGGTAGTGTCGCTTGGGTTGCAGCAATGGCAGAGATTAAGTTCTCCGAAGCGTACTTCACTACATCATACGTGCCACTCGGCGTGGGTGTGAAAATTGATACTGGTGGTACCTGAGAGTCTTTGTCGAGAGGCAAAACTTCCGAATTGGTCGAGCGTCGATTGTTGTCAATCAGCTCCTGCCATGAAGTAACGTTGAATGTGGTGGGGGCACCAGTAGACCAGTCAAGGTGTTGACTTCCAGCCTTGGTGACCCAGATGATGTTTTTGATGTTCTTGTTCGCGTTCAAGACAACATTGAGATCAACAGAGCCAGCCTCAGCGATCAAATGATCAACAGATGTGTGGGCTAGTAGTGGACCAAGTTTGTCTGGTGAGACACCGTAAGGCAATAGCACCGTAGAAAACCCGTAGAATGACCCAGCTAACAGCAACGTTAGACCCTTAAAGAGTAGCACTTACAGTCAGAAAACCTACCAAAGATTGAAGACAACAATTCCGGGGAGTTTGAGAGCGAGACGGCAACAGACTGCCCATTATTTCGCTTCACATATTGCCCCACCACATTAATGCCCAAAGTGAGATCATCAAGGCTGTGGTCGACGATTTTTTCCCTTCCCAGGATGGTCTGAATCTTGCCTTTCTCTCCAGTTGGAGTGCCGTCTTCCTTCACTGCTCCTCGTACAGCCTGTCTCCAGATATCGCGAAGATCTCCAGGTCTGCCAGCACTCCATCTTGGCGTCCCGGCATCCTTGACACCAAGTCCAGCCCGAAGTGGATAGCCGTGCGGAATGTCAATTGCACGGTAGACAGCCGACTCACCAGGTTGACGGATAGGTGCCATTTGTGATTGTCTTGCGAGAAGAAATGGATGTGTATCCGGGTCCTTGCTTGTCAGCAGCGGATAGGCTAGCAGAGCAGCCAGCAGTAGGACAAGAAGTGTGGTGAAAATATTCCATGACGAGAAGAATTCTGCAATTGCAGCATCGATTCTTTCCGCTGCGCCTGGTTCTGCCATGATGTCTGTTGTAATTCTTCAAACAATATGAAGAAGTTTTTGTGAAGAAACATAAGGCAATCGACATGCATGAAGAAGGAAACCGATCGAACGTGGATGAAGTGTCATTCTATCCGGATTATCTCGAATCCCGGCCCGAATCACAACCCGGCTGTCACGTGGTGTGCCACGCTTTGAAGAGCAGTATGAGAAGCTCAGGGAGGTAGGTCTACAAGCGCTGCAGTGGTACGAAGAGAAACAGTGTTTCAGCTATACATGTATAATGGACATAATGTCGATTAGGACCAGGTAATCTTCGGATATCTTCTTAGGGGTCCTTCTTTCCTTCCTCAGCCACTCTCGACTCTTTTCAAACTCCGAAAGCATTCGTTTTATATCAAATCTAGTGTATGTCACACACTTGTCCGTCCATTGGCTTCATATTGTCACATTATAGCTTGCTCTGGGGTTGGAAAACCTTCCTTGTTCTTTCCACCGATTCAATGGCTTCCTTTTCGATTCTCGTAATGAGCTCTTGGCAGGTGGGAATGTCGTGGATCAAACCGATGACTTGACCAGCGGTCCAGACACCAAAGTCCTTGTCTCCATTGATGAAGACTTCTCGCCCTCGCTTACCAGACACAAAGGGGGCAATTTCCTCGAATTTACCAGTGGTACTTGCTCTCTCAACTTTGAGAGCTTCCGAAGCGACCTTATTCTTGAACAGTCGGGAAGTGTTGGTCCACCGTCTCATCACAAGCTCAGTATCGTGTTCGGAAGCATCAACGATCGCCTGCTTGATCTTGACGTGAATTGGGGCCTCCACGGTGCACATGAATCTGGTTCCCATGTTGATGCCCTCCGCGCCCAGCGCCAATGCCGCTGCCAGGCCTTGACCATCGGCAAAGCCACCCGAGGCGATGAATGGCACGCCGAGGGATTGTCTTGCCCTTGACAATAGAATGAAGTTTGTGATATCGGACTCGCCAACGTGACCGGCGCATTCGAACCCGTCTATTGATAGGAAATCAACACCCAGCTTGACTGCGGAGGCTGCATGTCTGATGGTTGTGCATTTATGGAGAATTATTATTCCGGCGGATTTCAATAGTTTAATGACGGGTCCGGGGGAGTTGCCAGCAGTCTCAACCACCTTGATACCCTCGTTGATGCAGACTTGCGCATACTCGTTATAAGGAGGAGCGTTCATGGTAGGAAGGAGCGTGATGTTGACACCAAAGGGCTTCTTGGTCAAGGTCCGGGTCTTAGCGATCTCCTTACGCAGGTCTTCGGGCGTAGGTTGTGTAAGAGCGGTAAGCTATACACGGTCAGCTTCAATCCTCTAGTGGATGATTGGTGTTGCTCACAATTCCCAATCCTCCTGCATTTGATACTGCGGACGCTAGCTCTGCATATCCAACCCATTGCATACCACCTTGGACGATAGGTGCTGTATATAGTCAGTTTTGAGTCAAAATTTTCAGGATTTGGGCTGAAATCGTACCTTCGATGCCTAATCGGCGTGTGAGTTCTGTATTGAAGCCCATGGTGGACGGCGATGGAACTTGTGGTGACTGGAGAAAGGTCTATGCTGGCCGAATGGACTTGTTTGAGAAGTCTTTGCAGTCACGGGGTAATACACGGATTTTGTCAAAAGCAAAAGATAGTAGTGGAGGTAGATCCAAGGAGGACAAAGCACACAAGTATCACACTTGTACTCTGACTCGATCTGGCGACATCCGAGGCTTTGGACAAAGGAGTACTTGCGGACGTTGGTTACGGGCGTGTGCTGAGGGGCGGTCCAGCAGTTCAACCGAGGTTGGGGTCAGAATATGGGGACGGCCGAGATCCATGGCCCATGACCAGAGGGTCCGTCTCTGCCGTGCTATGCCTATCCGTACGACCTACAGAATGTTTGGATTTCTGACCATTTTCATGCCGAGGTTTCAGTGGTCAATCATGGATTACTAACTATGGCACCCGACGATACCTATTGCAAAGTACAGTCTGAGGCTCTGTCCTGCCAAAGTCTGGGGTTGTGAGCCACGTACGGTGTGAGGGTCCTGTACCTGGGAATGTAGCGACGATGCTGAAGGTACTTGGATCTGATGTCCGAGTTCCAAAACCCGAACACCGAATTAATAGGGACGAACATAGGGGTAGTTGGTCCGAAATAGGTGCATTTCATCGTCCATCGTACGACGCAATGGTTTGCAGTGGTTTGATGTTGTAAATGTCAGCTCGACACGAAGGTCTAAATCTTTATCATAGCTTCGTCTAAGGCACAGGCCTAAGAGACGTGCATACTTACCAGAAATCGAGATTTTGTTGCTGGTGTCGAGTGCTGCATTCTGCCACAACGTCATCGAACTGAAGACTGATCTCGTCTCCCACTCAAGGCACTGGAGAGCTACCAACAGGCTAAGCCCTATTGCAAGATAGAGGGAGTTCACAGTGATTCATGACTTTGTCCAATGTGCAGGCAACCAGCATAGCCTGGAAAGGGTTGATGCTCTATACACCGATCTAGAGAACCGTCTATATCAATGTTTCGCGCGGTGCCAATGGCAGATGAGTGCAGATGGAAATCGCGAGGTCTGCGGCCGTAAGAAAAACGGCAAGGCACGAGCCTCGTGCAGAGATCTGTATTGGATCTAGTCCCTTGGCGCCAATTTGCTCAACGGCATCAAAATTCGTATGGGGAAGCAATCATGGCATCACCACTATCTCTTCGTCGGATTGAGCACCTTTGTGGTTGCGAAGGCACCAGCGTTTCAATATGATCCAGCCTATCAAATGGCGATTGGCATGTATAGGATGGTATGCTTCTGCCGTTGCTAACGTGATTCTGAACCCAACATCCAATCGCGCAAGGGGAAGGACGCTGCTCCGCTATCGCAGGACAGCAACGGAGCCTTTCATGTCAGTAGGTCCTTTACTGTGCTCTATATTTACAACTATGTCTATATCTACACCCGTCTGCCGCCCAATGTTGCTTGATTGTTTGGAAGGCACTTCATCAGCCTCTCAAGAACTATTTGTGATTGTCCTGGAACTTGTCTTATCACCTGTACCTGGTGCCCTTCCTACAGCCTTTCATTCGAAATGGTAGTCAACCCTGCTCACGTCAACCCGCTGGACTGCGATGCAGTCTCAGAAAGCTGCCCCGTTCAAGCCTCAATATATGGTTACTACCCTAGCATAGGCTGGAACGCATTCTTCGCTGCGGTGTTCGGCATATGTTTTTTCGTCAACTTCTGGCTCGGCCTGCGATTTCGGACATGGACTTATATGGCGGCCATGTGCTGCGCATGTATAGCCTCCACTATCGGCTATGCTGGTCGCGTTACAATGCACGATAACCCTTTTGCAAAACTCGGTTTCCAAATGCAGATCTGTGCGCTTACAATGTCGCCGGCGTGGAATGCAGCGGCCCTTTATCTTATCCTGAAACACCTCGTCCTCCTCTTCGGCCGCGAATGCTCGAGAATACGCCCAAAATACTACACTTGGGGATTCATCTTTGTAGACTTCCTGGCCTTGTCGCTTCAAGCCGCAGGCGGTGGAATTGCAGGGAGTGCCGGGGACAACGCCAGCTTTCGAGATGTCGGAGATCGACTTATGATCACCGGTATCTCATGGCAGGTTTTGACGCTCTTGATGTTTGCAGGCGTTGCGGCAGACTATTTCCTTCGTCTGTCGAAATCCTCTCAACCACTTCCAAAAGAAGCGCAAGCATGTCTACAAGATCGGAGGTTCAGGATCTTTGTGGTCTCGCTGGCATTTATCTACATCACGATCTTTATCCGCTGTGTCTACCGTATTGCGGAAATGGCTGGTGGGTGGCGCAACCCTATCATGCAAGATCAAGCTCTGTTCATAGGAGTTGATAGCTGGTAAGTACCACGACGAAAAATGTAGGGACTCCAGTTGCTCACCATCGCAATAGGATGATCGGAATCGCCACGGTCTTGCAGACAGTTGTGCACCCAGGGATATTCTTCCCATTTCTCTGTCGGTCATCGAAATTAAGGAAGTCGAAAAACCACAGTGAGATTGCAAGCGGTGAAGCCGCGAGCGAGGACTCTGTGGAAAAATCTGCGGTTTAAATGCTTCGTGATGCTTTCCCTGCCCTTCACTGGTGGACTATTGAGATGTGGGAGAAGTGTGTTTCCTAAATACTTAGGTCAGCTCGAGTGCAAGAGTTCGGTTTTATAGATCATATTTACCAGCTTTGGATGGTTGGGCGGTCGAGATAGTGGTATAGATTAATTTAATTCCTCTGACAAGGCTCCAAGCACGTGATATTCTGATTCATGCATTCCCGCAAGGCTGTGTGACTATCCTTGGCATTGGATTATTACGTCCTCAGACTCCATCTTTATCCAACTCAGGGTCTCTCGCTCGCTCCAACTGCGGAACCCCAACTCCTCCTGTGCTCTTTACTCTCGACAAACGCTTTACACCCAGACCTTCGTTTTGTGCCACAACTGCTCCTTCACTCTCATGCGACTTCCTTAACCCCAAGAGTTTGCAATCCACGCCTTGACTGATCGGCCTCTCTTGTCTGCCGCCTGCAATGCACTTGTTGCAATATGGGTGCTTCAGAGTCGAAACTGGTATTTAAGCAGGGCATCTTCAGACTCTCAGAAGAACGAAACATCCCCGCCGATGATCCTTACTGGACAGGGGTAGGTCCCATGCTGCTGGCAATATTTATTTCTATGATCGCTGACCATCCAAGTTCTGGGAATTGCCCGAATCTGTCGAAGATGTCTTCAGCCTATTTTCATCCAATGATATCCGCAGGACACGAGATGCGGCACTGGAAAACCTCGAAACTCTTATACTCGCTGTAACATCACGTCTGAACGTTCTCAAGAACCATCCTTCTTTCCCAGATCCCGAGCTTGCGCCAGAAAGAGATGTCCTTAATTGCATTCGAGTCCTCACGAGACTCCTCCCTTACGTTTACGAGGCGGACCATTTATCGGAATGGGAGGAGAGGTTCTTTTGGGGCATGCGACGTCGGAAGACAAGAAGGGGTCAAATCTCAGGCGAAGTGCTCTTTGATGGCAATGCAAATGCTCAAGACCCAGACGTGGAGGGGAAGGAACAGGAATATGAAGAGGTCAAGCCTTTGGCTGAAGAGCTTATCGACACACTGGTTGATCTTCTGTTCTTCGCCGAGTTCACCATACCTCTTCTTCCATCAGCGAAAAGCAAAGTCAACTACGCGATATGGCAGAGTGGAGTTGGCTGCAAGTCCTCCATCCCAACGAACAAGGAACTCGAGAGCAACCGGTGCGAGATTCTGCGACTTTTATTGACCTTGACCGGCAAGGCGATGTATATGCCTTCCAACACACTCCCCGTTCAAGGTGTGAGAGCCATCACTTATCTTACTACTTGTTCCGACAAGCAGATTGTTCTTTCTGTTTTATGTTCCCTCATCAACATCACCATCAAGTCCAACATGACTTCATGGCGTCTCCCTTATGACCATGTGGTCCGCAAAGATTCGAAACAGACTCTTGTGGTATACAGTTTACAGTTATTACTTGTTCTTCTACTTTACACTGTCCCCGAGGACAATAGTGGACCTGCACCGAAGAACTTTTATCGACATTTCCTGGGCCGCTTACATCGGCCTGAGGATTTCCAATTTCTAGCCGACGGCATGACTCGAGTTTTGAGTCAGCCAATGCAAGCTACTACATCGTATCTGCCGGGTAGCCAGAAATCTGTCAAATGGACTCCTGAAATGATTATGCTCTTCTGGGAGGTCTTGCAGTGCAACAAACGATTCCGAGCGTTCATCATTGAGTCCAACCGCGCGCATGACTTTATTATCCTTATGTTGTTCTATGCAATTGAACACAAGACGGATTCTTCGCGGCAAGGCATCGTGCGAATGTGTGTCTTCGTCCTACAAACCATGAGCGTTGAGCCCACGTTTGGTCAGAACCTCAACAAAACATTCGAGGCACAAGAAACTTTGCCGCAGTCAATTCGATTGACAAACTTCAGGGGCTCCTATGGCGATTTTCTCATTTCATCAATACACACCTTGATCACGGGTAGCAAAGGGAAACTTGATGCCATTTACCCTGCTTTGCTTGCCATCATCAATAACATGGCCGCCTATGCACAGGGCCTATCTCTCTCGACGAGCACTCGACTTGTTCAGCTACTAACTTCCATGTCTACACCCAGCTTTCTGCTGGCCAATGAAAGCAATCATACTCTACTACAAGCTTTGCTAGAGTCTATTAGCACCATGCTTGAGCATCAATATACTTCAAACACGAATCTCATCTTCGCTATCTGGAGAGCACGGAAGCGGATTGAGGCGTTGAGACGATTTACATTGGAAGGCGGCCAAGAAGAAATCGAAAGGGCCGAACAGAGGAGGAAGGAAGGCCCACTGTCGGAATTGAGCAACAGCCTCTCGAGATCGAGCACAGCCGAAACTCTAGCATCGCCGACACGTAGTGCTCCGTTTTCTCCACGATCAGAAGGTGGCGTGGATGAAACATTTGCCATCGGTGATTCTGACGACTCTGATAACGAGAACATGCAAACACCGTCGCAGTCTACGCGATCGCCACGAAATTCTCGCACCCCTTCCATGGCATCCTCTTCCGTCGCAGATGAGCATGTACCATTTCAACTCTCGGGCATGTCTGAAAAAGCCCGGGGCAAAATGCCGGCTGGCGCACCCAGTTTCTCACGGCAAAATAGCACCACCAGTTTATCACAGGCTTCAGCTTTTACAGCTCGTGGTAGCTTTACGCCAACAGCCGAATGGCTAGAGAGTTGGCTTCCAGACCTATCTCTTCACACCTTGCTGACAGTAATCAAAGTCCTATCAGCCCATCCGAGTGCACCAGATCGCTCGAGCACGAACCAACACAGTAGCCATAACACTGCCAATCCACCATCATCGGCCTCATCACGCCGATCCTCTATTGCCAATGATGACACTTCGCTCACCGACTTCCGAGCTTATATACCCACAACAGCCAAACATCCTTCAATCGCACCTATTCTCGCCTCACCCAGCGCCATTCGGGTGCACTTCTTTGAATGGTCATCTCTTTCCCTTGGCTGGTACATGTCGGTCCTGTGGTCGCTGATCTTCACCGCAGAGATGACGATAGCCCCCGCGGCTGGTACGACAGCCACATTGACCGGCACAAGCGGCATGGCCGGGCCCGTCGGCGTTTGGAATTCAACAAATGTGAAATTATTCCAGGTCGCGACACAAGGAAAGCGTGAGGGTCCTAGTCTCTCTCAGCCGAGGGGTGCCGTCGATGCGGTCGGGAGCAGACTTGTTCAGGGTGTCCAGGGCTTAAATCTGGGAGGACTAGTTGGGAGGGTCGGAGCTGGTGTAGCTGGGGCTGGTGGCCTTAGAAGTCCTGATGCATCTAATGGTAGTCGACTATCTCGGGCGAGCACGCGAGAGATTTGAGCCTTGCCATGAATTATACCTAGACCTGTATGGCCCAGTTCAGCAGCCCCAGATCCAAATCGCCCTTCACCCATAAAACCTCCCACTGTATTTCTATATGTCCTCTTGCACGAATTTGAGTTTCTTCTGACTATCCACGTGTTGTGTCTGCCTTTACCTGGTACACTGATCCGCACGGTATCTGCGCCGCGACACACTTTTAGCGCAGCAGCACTCTGCTCATCACAGCCCATCTCCAAAGGCAACGTGATAAACCACGCTAGATCGATCTCATCGTCCGCGCGATGATAATAATATCCGGTGCTGTATCAGGCAGCGATGCGCCGTCGATCTCTTTGAGGGAAGGTGTCTCGACCATGCGGTGACACAGTGTAATGGCGGCAATTTCAAAACATGGCTGTGCCGAGGCGGTAATAATGTGCAGTGTTGTGTCAAGAATGGACCCAATGATGCTCTTGTCGACTATGTTCGCACATTGTACGAGTTGGCGCAGGAGTACCAGCCAAATGGGTCACCCAACCTACGTGTTATGGAATGGTTGAGACATGCAGATTATCATGGCCCAGAATGGTGGGTCGTCCTAGGGAGCATGGATGACGGATATCTCGACTTGGTGAAGAGCAAAGGTGTGACAATGATTGAGTGGCTGAATGATAGTCTGTATGCTGAGGTCAACTTGAAGATCTCGCATATGGGTGCGTGTATGAATGGTGCCTTCCTCAAGGGAATGCCCTCGGGTACACCAGTCAACTTTGCTGATTTTACATGCTGGGGAGGGGATCTGATCACTTTTTACGCCGAGTGGCAACGCGTTTGTCGACGATCGTTTCCGGGGTCACATGAGGGAGATCGTGAAGGAAATGCTGGTTTCGTCTGATGAGACCAAGCTCGCTACCGCGCGTGCAGCACTTATCGAGCTGAACACCGTGGGAGCCAAATTACCCGGCAGACTGCCCGTCGCAGATCTTGATGGATTTGTTGATGGCTGTTGTTACAGTAGTCGAGGAAGAATTGAGCAGTGAGCGTGACACCTGGGATGAGTAGGTTATTTTCCTTCCTTCTTATCAACATTCTCTTCCCTGGAAGAAGAACCTTTGCTGATACCAGACGCACAGCACGGCCCCTCCGGGAGCACCTGGTCACGATGAGCTACGACGCTCTGTTTTGTGAGTAAGCGTCGCCTCAATTTACACCCAACAGAAAGATGATTGCTGCGGGGAGCTGCGATCGAGATTACATTGTCTCATAAGATACGAGTTCCCGCTTGTATGGACTGCTCACAGCCACCGTCCAACGCGATAGACGAAGCTTGATGACACGGATATCGAGCAGGCATGGGTAATTTCTCTCACCGAATCGTAGACCGATTTGTACGTATTCGAAGCAGCCAACGCAAGCGGTGAAGACGGCGGCCAGACTGACACCACCGACAACTAGTCGTGCTATTTCTGCCATGCGTACGAAAGACTGATTTTCGAAGTCTTCGTGCAAAAAGTAGAGGTTTCGCAAGTAGGGCATAGCAACAAGGCTGAGAACACTGGAGGTACCAGGTTGCAAAGCGGTGACTTCTTGGACCGAGTCTACAGGTAGACCCAAATAGCATAAATTTTAGTTTACTGTTTAGCATAATTTATCACAAGTAAAAGAGCAAGTACAAATCAACGGCGCTGAATCCTGTTGAAGGAGGAGAGTTGAGGTTGCCCGTTGCAGTCGGGTCCAGGGATTTGAGGCACACACGTGCTGCAGCTATAGCCAGGCTCAGCGAGGCGCAGAAGAAGCGTGGCCATTGGGCCTGTATGGTGTTCTCGCCTTACTTTGCACGGAGTAGACTATTGGTACTCTACGTGTTAGACGCGTAGATTGTTCCGTCACAGAACCTCTCACTCCCTGATTACTGCAAATTGCTATGTGCTACTTGTAGAAAGCCTACTAACGCCACGCGCTGTCGTCCCACTCAGACCAACTTGATTCCATATGAAGCCACATAATGTGTACAAGGGAAGTATTGAGTCCACTGTTGGTACATCTAGAGGTTCATTTACTGCAGTCAAGAAAGACTTGAACTCCCAATATGGAAAGCGTCTGCCAGCAATGCCTCTCTCATCGTTACCCACTCCCAAGTTACATTACTCAATCCAAAAGTGTATCGAGACAGTGGGGCTTTAGGCCATTTAGGATTTCAGTCCTCACAAACAAGGGCTTGGCTCGAGAACATGACCAATGGTGTGCAACGAGACATAGCTTTCGCCGGGCTCGAGAACACAATTCAGTCGTACGGGTCCCAGATATTGCCTGTCCTTTCGGGCTTCCATGTACAAGAATGCTGTGGATTGTAGTTTAACAGTAAGAGTAGAAACCTCTGGGGATTGGAGGCCGATGTGTACTGACCATGGAGACTGCGTAGTCTAAGTCATACAGGCTAATTCTTGTTATGGACATCGGTGTCGGTAGCGAATAGAAAACCTCATGTAGATAGAGCCAGATCAGTAAAGAATTGAGCATAAAACTCAGGGTCATGTTGTGAATGGTGCAGATTTGAAAAATCAAAGTCGAAATCGCTTCCAAGCCCTGGACTGTAAGGGGTTGCACTGGCGAGGAGTGCCGCCGTGTCGTATGAGTCGCTGACGGCACGATCTCTGCTGATATTCGCTACTTGGGAATTATGTTCATCATCTGGGGCTAGCTGCATCGTAGCCGGAGTATCTTTACTCTGTCCCGAATTATCACTGGCTGCGGCCGTTGACATTGTGCCATAGTCGACAACTGAATATAGATAGTCGATGTCTGATTGGCTTAGATCGATAGATTCGCATGCGACATTAATAAGTGATCGGTACTCTCCGACCTTGAGGATGTAGTTGTCTAGCGTTAAAGCCTAGAAGAGAAATTAGCCTTACCAAGTGAGAACATGGAGAGTGAGGTCTCCACACCATTTTAGCCGCATTCGGCCAGTACAAAGCATGTTGTTGTAGGAATGAAACGTTGGCCTGTAAAGCTGAGACGGACTGCTGACGAATGTCCGCATCTTCGGAATATTGATAGAGGGCATTTATTGAGGCTGCAACCAAAGATGAATACCCATAGAAAGAAGCTGCGGCCTTGTGTCCGGATTGCCGCGCGAACGCTAAGGCGTGCGTAAGCTCTTGAGCATGCTCGAAGCCTGATTTCATAGTAGCAGTGAAGAAGCTTGGGAACCTAGGGCTGGGAGCTCGTATGTGACGCCTTATGAGAAATGGATGCTGTAGAAGGCAATGGCAAAGGTGAAACACGACGTAAGAGTACAAAAATTGCTCCGATGCCCTGTAATCGATGGTGTTCTCGTGGACAAAGTGGTTAAGAATTGTACTTGAGATGGGCTTCCATGTCTCGAAGTAAGCGCCAAAGCCGTGTAGCTTGGACGCTAGCACTGAATATTCCGAGGCGTGGTCCCAAGGGGGTTTTATATCGAGGCTACTGCCTAACTGAAATGCATAGGTTGCGACTTGACTGACGGTGGAAACGACGACTGTGACTTTGGCAAACGACTCGAGTCCACTCAGATCACAGTCTGGAGTGCTGACGAACTCTTGTAACGTCGGAGCATTTTTAGGGTTCCCAGAATTTGAGAAAGGACCCGGTAGTTGGAGCATGCATGTGTGGTCTTGGAAAATAGGAGGGCGCGCTCGGCCACAAGTTCCCAACTTATCCAATAAATAAATGGACCAGAAAGTCTTTCGGCGTTCCTCTTGGATAATCCAAGGCAGGCTAGGATCTGGGTCAGACATCATATGGAGTGATTGTGCTATCGTTCCAGCCAAGCCGATTTTAATCCAAGCCCCTCGGTGTTTACATTCTAAGACTGTTCAGAGCTTGCTACTAATTGCAAATTGGAAGCTTACCTATAAAGTCGAATATCGCAAGTAAAGTTAAAGCCTGCACACCTACAAGGTCAGGGCCTTTTTCACTGTTGAAGCATTCAGTCATGGCGGCTGCCCAGCCCATATCCGCGTAGCATTGCGCTTGTGCGGGATGTCTATCAATAATCGAATTGTCAACAAAGCGATAAGCAATAGCGGACACTGCATATTGCAGCGCGGGTGGAAGTGTTCCAGCACGAAACCGCTCCCGAAAATATTGCTCGTCGAAGAAAGAGTAAGGCTGATTATGGAAAAATCGGAAGTAGCTGTCGATCAAGATTTCTGGATCAGGCAGGTTCGATGTTGAAGTCAAGTTACTACTGTTTGGTAAGTGCGTGAGTAAGACCGCATTGGTGGACTACTCACAAAGCTGAAGGATTTGTTTGAAGTTGAGATGTTGGTGGGTTGGGGGCTAGCGGATTGCTGTCTATAGATGATGTGCGACTTAGGTAGTTGGACTCTTGAGATTCGGCTGGCAGCGATCTGAGATGATGATTAGACCCATTCACGGAATTCGGTGGCGATATTCACAGATCTGGCTGGATTGTAGCCTTCGAGAGTCGCTCCTCTAAGGCTGAAATTCTAGCAAGTAGAATTTCCTGTCAAACATTAACGATAGTTCGACGAGGGGAGAGTTCGTGCGTCTTACACGCTCTCGATCTCTGCCGACTTCAGCACGATCGAGCGCTACCGACAGGGAAGCGGAGGATTGAGAATCTGGGTATCGACATTGCTGACCTAGGCGGGTGCAGAAGCGACAGGCCGGCTTTTCTCCATGGCACCTAACTTTCTTGCGCCTGAATTCGACGTTAGCTGTCGTGGATGGACCATTGTTTCTAGGCATTCATCACGGTTGCCGGACGGATGGCTTGCCAACGCACCGACAATTGAAACAAGCTCGATGGCCTTTGGTCCCGTAGACATATGTGAAGGATTGAGGAGTCATCTTGGTTGGACACGAGTGTTTCGCTCTCTTATACAGGTTGCTGATGAGGGAGAGAACCCATCGAAGCCGACGCCGTAGTTGGTATAAAATCGGGCAGACCACACGCAGAAGCAAAAGTTGTTGTCCAAGTTTTTGATCCTCGCAGAGCAGCCAGACGGGGAAGTTTAATGTTACTCAATAGTCCGAGTCGCTCGTGATAACAGATCCCCGCACACCACGATTTACTCGTACTCGTAGTCTCATCCACAGTTATTAATTTATTAATAACACTCGGGCTGTTCGTAAATCGGCACCTGTCCGTCATCCTTTGGGGTTGCCATTGGGGCAGGTATGCCGGGGCCGATGGCGCCTATTTTCTCCGTAATTGTCCGGGGTCGTTTGGGGTGGGGGGGGGGGCGGCTTTGTGTGGATCAAGCTTTTCTCCAGTTCAAGTGCCTTTACCCCATTACATTGAAAAGATCGTCTAGATAGATTGTAATGGATGGCCTGGGAATTTCTTTAATTGGTCTATAGCTAACCTTACAAGTGATCCTTTGGGAGATCACTGCTGTGAATCGTATGAACAGTTTTGTACTAGAATCTTCCCTAACCAAGGTTTGTCACCCATTGAATTTGATCGCCTTAAAAAGCAAAGCCCTGATCTGAGAACAGCTCGGGTTAATAACCAAGCGTGATGGCCTGATCGAAGACAGCACACTTAACTCACTAACCATTGAAGTCTTCAAGGATTCGTTGGTTAAACTAGCAGAGAGGCATAGGAATTAGCTAATTCGGCCCGATGCCGAACGAGCATCCCGACATGAACAGCTTCACACCACCCCGCAAGCCTTCGGTGCAAGGCGGCTTGGTTGCAGAAAGCGAGACTTGCAAAACTCAATGCAGGGCACCCCATTCTCTCTGATCCATTGGATCCTTTGTATTCGAAGTATTCCAAGGCGTTCGATAGAGTATCCAAGTCCTGGGCGGCTTGTAGGATACATGTCCAACCGCTCATATTGTGGTGGTTCAGACGTAAATGATATCCCATCCACCTTTCTGCGTTCTCTGAGGTCATCAGGTCAATGTTTGTGTGGACAAAGCCTTCCTGCATCGGAATAAAGTTGTGTGTTGATGGCATATGTAGAAGCGAGTAGACGCCACAAGTTCATTTATTGTGATGTGGTCGTGATAGAAACATTCGCCTGGTATTAAATAATGCAAACCCATACGCTCAAACACCTCGCTATGAGAAAGCAAAAGATGAACCCATGCAAATCCGAATATGTGCAATAATACACCAAACCTGGCAGCACTTCAGAGACCAAACGAGCCAAAGGATTCGCTCTTGGGTAGCGTTCGTCCCTTGGCATAAAGCCATTTGTAGTTCACCCCAGGCACCATCTGGGGACTGCCAGCTCCAGGTGTGGGCGACGCCGGTCCGAAACTGGTTTTCTTTGAACGCTCGCGCAGACTCTGGGATCTAGCAAGGCCTGTTCCCGTGCTCAATCCGAAGGATTGTGTGCTGGCGCTGAAATCAAGATCGGAAAACTGTTGCGAGGCTTGATTCGTTGCCTTGTGAAAAAGAGGACTGGCAACTGGTGACGGAGCAAAAGGGGAATCAGAGGTACGTCGATTTGACTCTGGTGTTGGTGAGAATCCTGGCTTATTTCGAGATATAGACAGCGGTGAATCGGAATAGTTGGCCGACGCACTCCTACGACCAGTTGTTGCACCGCCACTGGTTGGACCCGAAAACATCGAACCCGATACACGTCGATACTTTGGAGGAGTTATGTAGCCGGTATTGGACCCTGCTGATGCCGGGGTAGCCTTTGTAGACGGGGGAAGGCCGAGCAAAGCTCGCTGGGTGGGTGTCAAGGGAATATCTTCGCAATTGTCTGTTTTCGCTATATATGGGAGAGCAGGCCGCAGAGCCAAAATGGCATTGAGGAGAAGAAGGCCACGGAAGAGTTGCAGCAGGACGCGAAGGAATGTGAGTGATCCTGAAGACCAACCAGAATTCTTTGAGAAGCAAAGAGCAACACCAAGATCGATGCTGGCAAGACCCTTAGCAGACAGTTGACAAGGATAGCACATTCATACATACCATGCATGGATAGGGTAGCTCAAGACAAGGCTCAAGGCCAGGATGGCCATATTCCATACTGCTATCCTGACTCGTTCAGGCGTGAGAGTCGTAGCAGCTTGTCGGCGCACAATCTCTGTCATTCTAGGATGTCTGAAAGTGCCGGGAGAAGGACTGGGTGTCGTGTGGTCTTTGCGGAGAACCGGTGTCTTGGGTCTAGAAGGATCGAGTGGTCTTCTGTCCGTAGAGGTCAATACCACAGACTCGGTCGTCTGGACCACTTGGCTCTTTGTGGACGACATTGTGTCTGGATTTGACTGTCGTGTTTACTGAAAGCCCTTTTGATATGGGCTCGAAAGGAGACGAGAGAGCGTTGACTCGATCAGGCAAGTCTTGGGGTGTGAAGTGCTGGACTTTATGGGTTAGATGGAGCAAGCGCAAGATTGAGTGGTTTGGGATGGTTTCTTACCTGTTAAATTCACTCGGGATATACGTACCTATCGCAACTCAATGCAGGCTCATGAATAAGCCGAAATGTGCGGTTGCTTCGCCGTTGGTGACTATCGTTGTGGCCGTGGCCAAGGTGGTCGAACGAGGTTGAGATGTATGAAGACGGTCGTTTGCAGACTCGTCGCAGCCTTTGTTGACGTGAGCGCGATCAAGGCTTGGCGTCACGATATCATGTGATCAGGCTGTTGCTGGAACCACTATTGTGCACAACATGCACCATTTACTTAGATACACCCTTCCTTGTGCAACAGTACTTGCTCATTGACACAAAAGCACCACACTCGCTGATTCATGTCTTGTTATCATGCGAGTAAATAGATTCAAATACATGCATCCCACGAACCTCGTCAAGCAGCGGCATCCACATGAAAGACTTGAGCACCTCTTGCATCTCTTTCCACGTTTTCATTTCACAGCTCCTAGCATGCTCCTGTAGTGATTGCCCTAACCATGTTTCATTGGAAAGCTCAAAGAGCGAGACGGCTCCAACCATCAACAGCCAAATAGATAGTTGAGACGAGATCTCCTTTTCGAATGTGCCCTTGACCAGACAAGCTCGGTAAGCAGCAGCGGACTCATAGTAGGGTGTCCTCATCTCATGCCACTGCAGAAAAACATGTTGAGAAAAGGCTAGAAGGCCAAGTCTGATCATTTCGTCGACTGAAGTGGTGCAGAATCTCATATGAAGAAGGCGATAGGTCACTGCCGCCATTGTTCCTCGAATGATGTCTGGGTCGATTCGACCATGCGTCTGCGTGCCTAGGTTGACTAACAAGCAGAATCTCCTCATCACTTTCCAACTCATCGATAGCTCCTCGTCAATGATCCCAACCAAATGGATGTTGTCTTGGAATTGCAGCTTGTCATCGCCTTTGGGAAGGAGCCGCTCCGGGTAGTCAGGCACCAGTTCTGCCGGTGGTCGGAAAAACACAGGATCCGAATCATTAAGCAGTGCGACACTCAGGTCGATTCTGTGGACATTTAGTAACGACCCATGGATATCTTATCCGCCTGGATACTTACCTTACCAACTCTCTCAACAGTCGTTCGTCCTCTATGGCATTTAGACCGCCCCTCAGGTTGACCATTTTGCGAAGTCCATCCATGTGCACTCTGGATGACTTCTGATCTCTGTCGAAGTGGGCAATACTGGCCAGTTTCAATACTATACTAATGGTAGAGTCCGAGACCTTAATTGCTTCATCGCCTTCTAGAAGTCGCTTCCGGAGCAGACCGACTCCTTTCTGGAAATGAACCATCATTGAGGTCTTTGGAGTATCTTGATCTCGCAATACCTTTTCCACAAATCCTTCCACGGCATAGGCCGTGATGTGAAGAGCAGCGGTATCTGTAGCCATGGGATACAGTGTCCCCGAAGCATTTGCTTGGAAGCCAATCGCCACTAGAAGAGGGAAGATGACCTTCATAGCGATTTCCGAGACTAGAGGGCGCAGCCAAATCAGTAAAGGAACGAGTCCCAGATCGAAATCTACCAACATCTGATCATGTTCGCAAGCACTTGTGGCTCTAATTCGTCCTGGAAATCGACGAAACAGGATAAATCACTGCCGATTCGAGCGGGCAATAATGGCATGCCATTTTTGATCATGTCCAGTAGCTTGAACGCGGCTATCTCCCTGGGTTTGCGAATGGTCCGGTCTTTCGAACGACCCCTATTCTGCTTCCGACCTTGCATCACATGGCTCCGGATTAGCTTCCTAGTTACTTGGTCGACTTTTTCGACATTTGACGACACGATGAAAAGCATTCTGGCTGACGGACTGAAGACGTCCGGAAATCATCGGCTGTGGTTGTTACAAGGCTTGGCCTTCGAAACAGTGTATTCTACACTGGGCTAAGTGAGATCTAAAGTGAAGGCAGTCGAAACTGAACAGTCCACTTGGGCTCGCTCAGCAAGCCTACTGGAATTGCATGTTATAGGTGTCATCATGTCGGTGCCTGAATTCTCTCAGAAAACGTTGTCTGAGGGCCCTGATCAATCGGTGAAAGATCGACCCGATTTGCCAAGACATCCTTTGTTTCCCCATTTAGGAAAAGCGTGCGACTATTTGCAGGGGTTCTGCCTCGAGTATTCCACAATGACCTCCTCCTCAAGTACAACTACGATGGAGATAACCAAGATAATGCCCGTCAGGCAAAGGTATAAGATGGGGAGAATACCGTGCTCACTGTCTCTCCCCGGCCTGGTCTATTTATCTATCTTCAAATCCTACCGGCAGCAATGGCGGTTGCACGCAAAACTATCTTGATAACGGGCTGTACCGTCGGAGGTATCGGCGGTGGACTGGCTGAGGTATTCCTGGAGAAAGGTTACCATGTCTTCGCCGGCTTAAGAAACCCCTCCAAAGCCTCGCCTACTCTAACCAAATCCTCGCATGTTACGCTCCTAACACTGGACGTCCTACGTGCCGAATCCATAACCTCTGCAGTCGAGCGCGTCACGACTCAAACTGGAGGCAAACTCGATATCCTGCTCAACAACAGCGGCGGCAACCTCATTCTACCAGGCTTGGATGTCCCCATCGAGAAAGCAAAACAAATGTTCGACCTCAACTTCTGGGCCCCGGTCGCCATGATACAGGCGTTTGCTCCACTTTTGATCAAAGCGAGAGGGACTATTGTGAACAACACATCAGTCAATGCAGTGGTGCCGATGCCTCTGATGAGTATGTCTCCCAATTATGTCCACCTGGCCATTCACTCACGATTTCACGCTTCTACCAGGCATGTACAACGCATCCAAAGCAGCACTCGCGACCGCCAGCGACACCTGGCGCATTGAGCTCGAGCCGCTCGGAGTTCGAGTCATCGCGCTCGCCACAATGGGTGTCAAGACGAATGCCTTCGTCAACAAAACAATGGTCGAACTCCCCAAGTCTTCTCAGTATTGGGACATCCGTGAATTCATTTACGGCATTTACGACGGCAGACTCCAGAGCAGTGGCATCACCACGAACGAATACGCCCAGAAAGTGTACCACGAAGTCGAAAGTGGTGTCAGTGGGATCACTTGGGTTGGCGGAGGTGCTGGAATGGCTCGATTCTCGTGGTGGCTCTTCCCCCGTTCGCTGCGCGTAAGTATCTTGAGGCCTTGAGGTTGATGTGTCACTACTAACGAGATCTCAAGGATATGCTGGTGGAAAGTATCATGCCTTTCAAGAAGGAGATGGCCAAGGCTTCACAGAAGAAAAAGGTCTAGGCCAGTAATGTGCCTTTGTTACACAGTGCGATGTGGCTGCATGGCACGGCGTTCCGGGCATCGCGCTTTTCGATCTCTCTCCGAGCGAATGCTTTTGTTTCATCCACACGATGTTTCAAGTATTCAGGACAATGTGAACTCAGAATTTTATTTATTGTGACACTGCACTTGAGCCATGCTTGATTATATGCTTAGATTGGACTACAATCGCCCGGGGCTTTTGAGGAACCTGGAGGTGATATTTCGACGCTCACATCTAAAGGAGACACTGTGAGGGAGCTTCAAGTGCCAGTTAATCTGCCAGCTCGAACTGAAACTCCAATCTCGACAGACCAGCTTGGGCAAGTGAGCCGCTTGTTAGCAGACTGCATCAACGTTGCAGTCCTAAACCCATCAACAATCCTCCACGGACATCATTGAGCTCGTCTAACGACCAGCTTCAATGTCTTTGGTGACCTCTTCAGTGTGCTCAATTGCAGATGTTTTGTATGTAGGAGCTTGGTTGTGCACGGTGGGAACCATATCTCTTGTCATTTTCGTTCGTGGAATCCTGTACTTAGTATCGTGATTGTAACCACTGTCAAATTGTTAGCAATCCGTCTTTCCTGCTCAAGGCCAGGCGTGAAGACGTACAAGATGATATCCATCTGATCAATAGTGACTCCCTTCGTCTCTGGAAGGAAAAAGAAGGCCCAACAACTGGCAGTCAACATCCAGCAGGCGAAGAAGAACCAAGTACCAAAGCCGAATGAGGCAAAGATATATGGCAGAGCTTTGGTGATGATAAATTGAACCGCCCTATCAAGCTGTTACACCTTCTGCGTTTTCAAGAACCGGATGGGAGCACATACCATTGTACGAGTGCAGCATATGTGCCGGTGATGTTGCGCAATGCGCCGGGGAAGATTTCGGCCGAAACAATCCATGGAATACCGTTCAGGCCAAAAGACCAACTGTTGCCGAAGTTAGCAAGTATATCAACGATATGATAGATTCAATCCTTACAAAACTGAATATATCATGATCATCGTGATAGCGGCCCGGCCTCCGGCTGCAGTCGAGGGAGAAAGCTCACCGCCAGCGGCCAAGATGGTGGCAGGATGTCCGACTTTGACGTAGGCTCCAACGAACCACAAGCAGAGCGAACAAGCGATGGAAGAGATTATAACTGGTCGTCGTCGACCGACCATGTCGATGAGGGCCACGTAGTAAATGATTGAAGCAACAGCTGCACCAACCCGTAAGTCTTTGCATCTGGAGCTTGCAGAAAGTTACATTAACCTACCTTTCACCAATCCGTAGATTCCAGTATACAATGCAACATCTGTTACACCGAGAGATCCAAACAGGGTGGGCGAGTAATAGTTGATCGCTGTGTAATTGTCAGTATTTATTGTGCAAAGGTGGGGGGATCCATATACCAGCAGCTCCTGAGAGGTTTTGAAGTGCGAATGCACAAAAGACGAGCCCGACACGGTTGCGCATGCCCTTCTTCGAGAACTCATGCAATGCACCACGGAAGTAGCCCCAAAGCCCGCTGCCATACTTTGAGGTGATGGCAGCCTCGTCGTCAAGTCTCTCTTGAATCGTGGCCAGCTCTTCCTTGATGTCTGTGTGTAAGATGTCAGCAAAGATGGTAGCTTGAGACTACTAGTAGGTAACTCACATGGATGATCGGCTGGAATCTTTCTCAACTCCTCCAGAGCTTTATGAGCCTGTTCGACTTTACCCTTTCGCATCAACCATAGCGGACTCTCATGGAGCAGGAATCCACAGACGAAGAGGGGCACTGCAGGGATCAATTGCACTGCCATGGGGACTCGCCAGCTTGCTGAACTCGTGACAGACATATGATTATTGATTCCATAATTGATCCAGAAGCCGATCAGCGATCCGACTTGGTAGGTGACCTCGAACAAACCGGTAAGAATACCTCTAATTGAAGAGATAGACAATTCGGCGATGTACGATGGGACTGAGAAATGTTAGTCACCGACGGACATTGTTTGACTGGGTTCTGGAGCATGGGATGCTCAACACTTACCTGTAGCAGTAATGGCTCCACAACCAAGCCCAGTCAGTACTCTTCCAGCGTCTGCGACACTTTGTCAGTATTTCAATCGTCACCTCGAGTTGATTTTTACCTACAGATATAAGAAAGCTGGCCTTGAGCAGCAGTCATTATCACGGCGCCGATAATGAACACCAAGACGTTCAGCTGCAGAGCCCATTTTCGTCCCACTTTTTCTGTCACGGGAAGACAGAAAAGAGCGCCGAAGAATGCACCAGCCTGGAAAGCCGATGTGATGTTGCTTGATATACTTTTGGCATGGGCTTTTTCTACATGGAAGTCTGCCACAAAGCTTTTCCGGGCGATTGTTGTTCCAATGAAGGCGGAGTCATATCCGAAGCTGTGTGTGTCAGTGAGTGCCATGAATTATCATCGACTGGTAGTACTCACAGTAAAGCACCAAATGCGATCACGCTGGCCTCGAAGTATAATCGAGAATTGTACACCTCTTTCGGGGTTGGCCGATCTTCAACAGCACGAAAACCACCCATTTTTGACGAACTTTGACAATACCTCGAATACCCAAATGAAAACTGGAGATATCTGGGGAATATTTGGTTCCATCAGCTACATATGGGGAAATGTAACGACTTTTATAGAAACGTGGTATTGGATGGACCCCATGGCTGAAATTGCCTGTCGCCAATGCCAGAAATGGATATAGCGACAGAATGCTGGCTAGCTTCACCTCGCCTCGGGGTTCTCACCAAGCGAATGGTCAGAGGATCCTGCGGGGTGCAGAGGCAGACACCTGACAGGGCCTAACGGGCATGAGCCGGGTGAATCCCCACACGTGGACAGATCTTCTCCATCATCACGCGAGCCGACCTTTGGTTTTTGTCGGTAATTGATTTTTCAGATGATGGAGCAATGAGCATCCTACCTCCCTGTCGCGAGGTAACCAGGATTTCTCATCCAGGCTAATCATTCTGCTGGTTTAGTGGAACTATCACTAACGTGCGCCACAGTCTCTCGTGTCAAGCATACATGTTGTTTGTGACTGTGATATGGATGATGCTAACGGGTATGAAACTTGATATCTAAGTCACTTGCTGGAGCATTACGGCATCTCTACAGCACTGGGAATGTACACCGCTTGGCATCAGAAAGACCCCAACAAGTCACGTAGGACTGAAAGAAGCAAGAACGGGTGTCTAACTTGTAGGTGAGTATCAGCACCGCGGATGAATCCCTGAATGTCCAGGCCTAACGACATCTAAATAGACGACGGCGAGTACGTTGTAACCAGCAACGGCCACAATGCAGTCACTGTCTTCGTCTACGTCTCGACTGCATCTGGAGTACAACATCCAGCTCCACACCTCGATCAAACATCGACAACTTCACAAGCCCGACCAATAATGACCATGCTTCTAGCTCAACACAGTCGACGGGCTCTGGTATGGACACATTGGATGAGATCCCAACCTTGACGGTTTCAAATTCTCCGTTGCTACCTGCTGGTAACATGGGGCCGGCCGACCTTTTTGACTACGCGAGTTTCCTCTGGGATGATCCAACTTCACCATCGGGAGTAGACTTTTCCCTTGGCACTCGGAATCCGACTGGTGTACCAAACATCCTCGACTTGGACTCTAGGCTTCTGGTATCCAGCGCTCTTGCAAAGACGCCGCATCTGCCAGATGCCGGCCAGTTGATGGACCACTTTAAACAGTCCGATGCACCACCGATACTCGCACCGATCGAGACGCCACCGAGATGGAGTTTTATGAGAAACCATCTGGTAAATATGGCTTCGACATCTCAAATGGTCCACCAAGCAATTCTAGCATTCTCTTCATTGCAAACGCAACGTCAAAGTGATCGGCTTGAGTCAGACTTCAGTTCCTATTATGCTCAATGCCAAGAGGAAATCACCAAGTCGCTGGTTGAGCACAATGGCGAGGTTGAGGTGATGGGTGCCCGAGTGCAACACGTCCTGGCATCGCTATTCCTTCTCAGCTACATCGATGTGGGTGTAACTTGATCTATGACGGCATCTTGCTAACCAAAAGCCCAGCTCGTGGCGAACCGAACAGATTTTGCGCATGTCAACCTTCGAAAAGCTTTCATGATCGTTTCGAAATCAGAACAAGATAACTGGGACTTTGCAGGTAATTCCATCTCAACTCTCGATGTCCCATGTGACTAGCTGATGATTTTCTCAGAGAAGAGAATCGTGATATGGATCCGATTACTTGATGCACGAGCGGTGTCTGCGGGCGGAGAGGGCTTATTCCTTCGGGAAGAGGATGAGAGCCAAGAAACCAGCCGGAGCATGTCACCGGTCGAGAGAGACGCAGAAGCCATTCTTTTTGACTTGCTCTCTCAGCCACCACTCAGATTCTTCCAGAAAACCCAGTCATTCATGGGCAGGATCAGTAAGATTGATCTGTGGCACAGGAGTCGTGGCACCGTGTCGGACGAGACAGAGGTGATGGCCATTGCGGCCAAGATCCAATTGGACAATCAGAAGCTGTACCGACACAGGCACCCCTTTATGGATCTCGCGATCAATGGCAAGCTTGAGGCTCCGTTATTGGCGGAGAGTCTGGCGGAGCGTATCACGATGATTTCACGATTGGCGCTGGCGAACCATCATGCGACATTCATCCACCTCCACCGAGTAGCCTATCGCCATCTACCACGGACGGTGGAGGTGCTCAACGCGATGACCATGATCAGAAAGACGGCTCGTGATATGCTGGAGACTCAACGGCCCGACGATTCGTTGCCTGTCAACATGCTGTGGCCGTTATTGATGTGGGGCTCCGAGGAGGAAAACCATGAAGAGCGGACGTGGATCTTAACTACCATTCGTGGTATCTCCAAGTCTATCAGCAATGCGGGCCTTACTGCTGATGTCCTTCAAAGTGTCTGGAAGAGGCAGGATGAACTCGGACAAAGGGCGGATATCAGAACCGTCATGCATGCCACTTTTGATTCGTGCTTTGCCATCGTATAACTACATAGAGACTAATCTACCTGGATGCCCTGGCTATGAGCCAACTCTTTTCAACAACGTATTCTCAATAGCGGTGCACGGTGTCATCTTTTCCAGCAACCATGCTTTCTTCTTGTCGTCTCTGAACTTTGGATATGGTCTTCTGCAGTGCGACGAGCCTTCTGAGTAACCTCTCAGATGGGCAACAATCCATTTCGTGCCATTGATTCCAGCCCTCCCAAACCCGATCTCGGTTTTCGAAACCTCGATTTGAAGCTTGTTGGCCTCCTTACTCTTCCCTGCCAGCCAAAGCTCATACATCTCCAAACAAGCCTAGAGAGAAATTGTGAGCAACCTGAACACCACCACGATATCCTCCGAGAACATATCTCACCTTGGGGAAAAGATTCGCCAAACCAGTGATACAACCAGAACCTCCCACATCAAGAGCCGGCACGAGCCAATCACTCTGACCAGCCAACGCCCTGAACTCGCCCGTCTCGGACTCGTCCTGAAAGGCGCCGAACTTGGCACTTACCCTGGCGACCTTCGCAATCCCACCGCAAGTCAACTTCACACCGACGATATTCGGATGCTGGCCCAGCACATCCAGCATCTCACTGTTGACGTCCAGCCCACTCACGACGCCCGGGAAGTTGTAGATCACTATCGGAACGGGCGACTTATCGGCGACCTCCAGGAAAAACTCATTGATGGCGGCGTCGTCCAGCGCAAAGTGGAAGTAGCTGGGGACGAGCGTCAGGGCAAAATCCGCTCCGGCTGCCGCTGCCGCAACCGTATCTTTGATCACGGCGCGAGTGCAGCCGCCGTTGCAGCCCACCGTCACCGGTAAATCGGGCTTTCCAAGTGAACTGGCGATTTGACGTGTTCGGCGCACAAGTTCGTATTTCTCCTCGCTGGACAGTGCCGCAGCTGGTGCGTAGAACGTCAGCTAGGCTACTCTCCTAATACCGGTACATGTAGCGGTTTCTTACCTTCACCGTTGGTGCCAGCAATCACGACTAGATGTCATGTTAGCAGACATTTCTCATAAATCTGATGCTGGCACTTACTGCCGTGCAGACCAGCCTCGATTAGAAATTTCACGTGGCTTTCCTGTAGAGACCAGTCAATCGTCTGGGCATCATCGTCTTTGAACCACGTTAGCGATGGGACGTGGATCCCTGGTGGAAATGCTCGAGCCGGCTGGCGGGGTGCGAGTGAGCCCATTGTGAATTTCTCTGAATCAAATGGGTTGATGTATTTTTTTCGAATGTTAATAGTAATCAGTAACGAGTGTATGATCAAATGATGTGAGAATATGCAAATTCAACAAAACAAAGACTAAAACCTTTTCCCGCACGATTGCTCTTTGTAGCAGTTGGCATGGCCCCGGCTATCACGACTTCACAACGGAGCGATCCAATCGCCATGTCAAGGGCTGAGCGGCATTTGCAAGCCCCAATCGAAAACCGGAGCCTCCATCATCGAATGGGGTGAGATGGAGACTATCCTGGGGCAGAAATCTGGGATGGTCGGCTATTCTATCGCTTTCACCGAAAGCGGCAATACCGACGGTTGGAGATCATCCACCGGCTTACCGCCAGACGGGAATGAGCATTACGAAGTGGGAACAATATTAAGGACGTAAGATTTGCATGGGGTGGTGAATACCTCGATTACAAGAGAGCTTTCGTAGACTTGTGGTCTGTGGTATGATGTCTCTCCAGGCATTACTGCTTTAACTTCGCAGTAATTGTGATATTGGTATTCCAGTTTTTGGTTCCGCCTTTGTTGACGTGCGCTCAGAGTGGAGGCAGTCTCGGTCTCTCAAGCGATTGTCATTCTCGAGTCGGTTCCATAATGGTTTGTCCGTCTTGAGGTTCTTGCTTATGACCTAGGCACGAGCTGCGTCCTCACTGGCCACAGCCTCGTCCTCGTCAACGTCCATGGCTTCGTCTTCTTCTTCGTCTTCGTCGTCGTCGTCGTCGTCGTCATGATCATCATCACCATCATCTTCCTCATCTTTCCCCTCCTCCACTTCCTCGCCGTCATCGTCGTCATCTTCCTCCTCCTGAGTCTCCGCTGCAGGAGCACCACGATCGCGAGCAACAGCTGGCTTCTTGCCAGCCTTGCCACCCCTTCCTCCACCGGGAGCAGCGGGCACCACTGCCGACGCTCCACGGCTGTTGGTCTTGATCACAAGACCCGGGAGTTTCTCCCGTAGGCGGCTGACCTGCTTCACCACCGCCGACACTTGTATGCCCCTCGCTGCCGCGATGGCAGCCACGTCCAGCTGTAGACGACATGATTAGTAAAGTCGCGTAGAGATATGTAGGTACTACCAAAGACTTACCATGACCTCATCGCCGGTCAAGCGCAACGCATCTGCAAGCCACACGCTTGCCTTCTCGTCCGAAGACGAATTATTGCCGTTGGCCACTTGTTTGGGCGGCATATTGTCTGGTAGATTTGAATGTTATTGATCGATCTGGGCCTGCCTGTGGGCTGCAGGATTGTGATTGTGAGGAGTGTCGTGAGGACTTAAATACTATTTGCGTGGAGAAGTGAGACGAGTAGAGGTGACTTACCGACAAAAGATCAACGACTCGCGTCGCCGAGACACTAAAAAGCCCTCAGGGCATTCTAGAGAATGAACTAGAGGGGCGACATGGTGCGCCCCGTCCCCCAGGTCGATTGAGGCGCGCCGATCTAGCTCCCTGGTATGTCAGCCTTGTGTCCCTTGAACTGCATTTTGATATCACAACGTTCGTAAGTGTTAATTCGGGGAAATCATTTGCCTCGATCTGAGAGTGATCTTTCCTTGTTGATGTGCAAACATTCAGCAAAGGTCAGTATTCACAGGCTTTTGGCTCACTTGTAGACGACAGCGTCCTCAGACATGAGATCGAGATGAATGTTCCAATCAACCTGTGAGCTGTCATCTTCAGATTTGATCATTTGAATAGGCAAGATCGGCGTGGCAACGCTCTGAGTCACTTATCGACAACAGCGTTCTCGTACATGAGATCGGTTGCCAGCAGTGATCGACTCATGTGTCGACGACAGCGTCCTCACCCAGCAGATCGGAGGTTGGTGGTGTGCATATCCATCAAAGGGCCATCTTATTGGAATTTGTGCAATGGAAAGGGCAAGATCGGTGTCCAAAAAGGGTCAACTCACCCGTTGACGACCAGCGTCCGGCTACGTTCAATCGCTGGCGATTGATAGCCCCAAAAAGCAGGCTGTTGTTCTGCTCTGGAGCGCTAAAAGACAGGGTCAATGAACCTGAGGATAATGTTCTTGTTGTAGTGTCTTGACACACACACAACCAGGATGGTTGGTGGCTAAGCTAAGCGGCTTGTTCTGAGATCGAGAGATCAACTTCACAAGGTCGTCCGACGATTCATGAATGATAAAGGGTCAAAATCGCTTCGGTGGAGTATACGAGCAGGAAAAGTACTGCTTGGCATTGTCACCAGTTCGCCGTGGAGAACCTCATTCATGCTATTTCGCTTCTTATTCATACATCCCATTGTCCATCTCGGGTATTGATGGCAGCATGCCACCAGTTCCTCCGAACCCAGTGCCGTCATGGAACCCCAGGATCGTTTGTTACTTCCAGACATATCATCATAACAATGAATACATCTCACTGCTCCCTTTGATCGAACATCCATCGGGGATCACCCATGTCATCTTGGCAGCCATTCACGTGAATTGGGACCCTAATAACCTCACTTTGAACGACGATTCACCAGAGCATGAGAAGTACACGCAACTGTGGGACGAAGTACTTGTGCTCCAGGACTCAGGGATTAAAGTCCTTGGTATGCTAGGAGGTGCAGCCAAGGGGTCATTCGCGCGACTTGACTACAGCGAGTCACGCACTGATGTGCCGATAGCTCGCTTCGAGGCGTACTATGCTCCGTTGCGAGATATGATCCGGAGGTACAGTCTCGACGGGCTCGATCTGGATGTGGAGGAGGAGACGTCTCTCGTGGGCATTATTCACCTCATCGATAGGCTCAGAGCGGACTTTGGAAACGACTTTATCATCACCCTGGCACCAGTAGCTACTGCCCTAATGGCTGGACGGCGGCACCTCTCAGGCTTTGATTACCGCCTACTGGAAGAGGCCAGAGGCAGCAGTATTGCGTGGTACAATGCACAGTTCTACAATGGCTGGGGCGGATTGCACAACACGGACGCCTACGACGAGATCATCCGCAATGGATGGCCTGCACAGAAAGTGGTTGCAGGCATGCTCACGCATCCCAAGCATGGAGGGAGTGGGTACGTTCCGCTCGAACTCACTGCGGCGGTCATGAGTCTTCTGGTGGAGAAGTATCCACATTTTGGAGGTGTCATGGGCTGGGAATATTGGGATGCGCTGCCACAAGAGGAGAACTGTTGGATGTGGCCTTTTTGCATGTCTCTGTGTCTTGGTATGAAGAAACTTAGAGATGCAGCTTTGATCGTGCGGATGGGAAGAAGCTTGGCCAACATCAACGTTAGATAGATCGGCTAGAGATGTGAATGAGCTACGACATAGAACCTCACAACAGGACAATCCTCCACGAAATTTTGAGGTATTCTGTGAACAAGTCGTCTCACGCGCACTCATGAGACTGTGTTATAAAAACTGGTTGCTGAACCTCAGTTCCAGATCTTGAGTAAGCCTTCGAAAAAGATGTAAGTTTCATTGATGGACCCTGCCTATTGCCCCAACTCCAACGCTATCTAGTTTACGTACTGCTAGTTCCTTATTTCACATACAATCTGGTATTATTAGTGCCATAGAAAGGTACCGGAAAAGCAATCTGGTCATGACACCATCCTCCATCACCTGACATCCAAAGGCAGCAGAGGGATGCGGAATCGGTTCATGGGTGCAGCAGCCGCAGGTGCATACGAGTCTGCACCACTCGAGTAAGTGCTATCTGGCTGCCTGCCATTAAGAATCGGAGCGGGGGCAAGCCTCAACGCACGAAGTCCATGATCTGCGCCTTCACCAGATCTAGATGAGGATGGTGAGCTCGGTTTTGTCTGAGCTCTCACAAGCATGTCGTTTTGCTGTTGCATTTTGATCAACAGCTGGTCATTCATATGGACTGAGGCCATTTCTGTAGAACTAAGGGAGTCCTGTGCAAGCAACGCCTGTGCCGTTGGACTGAATGAAGTGGGCGGCTGAGCTACCGCTTGTTTTCTGGGTGAAGAAGCAGATGTCTTCCGTCGTGCTAATGATTGCACGACTGGCCCAGGCCCATTCAGACCAGATTCAGACGCGGCTCCTCCACCAATTTGCCGACGGTTTCTCGTGTCTGAATCTGATCGCGTTCGGGACTGAGATCGTGATCGATTTGCGAGTTCCAGCGGCAAGGGCATCGCCGAGTTGGACGTAATTGAGGGAGAACGTGACAGCAAACCGGGTCTTCCCACAAACGACATGTGGCTTTGAGCGCTTGGAGCTGGATTCATTGGCAGACCACTGACGCTTGATATTGAGCCATTAGTTCCACGTCGAACGAGTCGTCGGCCACTATCTGCCGCTGCTGGACTTCTGGTTCTCGAATGCGACCGCGTACTTGTAGAGGAGTTCGTGAGTATGTGTCGAGTAGCAAGGGAATCATCTCTGCGGTGATGCAGCGCGGCCTTTAAAGACCTCTCATCTGTGTCCGGGATTGGTGGGACAGGGCGTTGATCACGAGTTCCATGGGTACCATATGCTGCCATGATATGTGCATAGCTGAGGTTTGATGGCAATTGACTGAGTCGTTTGATCGACTGCACATTGGAGCTCATGAATTTTGACATAGAATGAAGAGCGCTATGTGCTTCATGAACTTCGTATGATGATGGTCCTTTCGAGTTTGGCACAGCCCTTGCCGTGTGTGAGTGAGCAAGGGTACGTCTGCCTCTGCTTGCATCAGCTTCGGACCTTGCTGATGCAGCCAGTGTCGACTGAGCATGACCATCAAGTGTGTTCTTGGCTTGTGAGACAACTTGGGCAAAGAGAATGTCTTGATCCACATGTCTCGTTGCTCGGAATGGTTTGTCACCAGCTTTTAAACCAGTAAATGCCGTTCCCTGGCTTAGGATGAAGAATGAACCGTCTCTGATCTTGCGCCTGAGGACGTTCCATCTGGTCCTAGCAGGATTCTTCTCGATCTCAGGTCGGTAGATAGATTCTCTTGCAAGTCTTGAGTAAAAAGTTTCGAGGCGCTGCGCCACACGCTCAAGAACCGAAAGTAGATAACTGCTAATGCTGACCAGACGCTGTTTATCATGGCCTGAACCGGAGTCCATAGTCTCGACAACAGTGAATGCGTCCATCCCAAGGCAGATGTCTTCGCGAATCTCCTCGAGAAACCGGACGTCCAACTCGGTCACAGCCTGGGAGTATCTTAGGATACCATTTTCTTGGAATTGAGCATTCTGACTGTTGCACACGAATTGGCCAATTTGTGCAATCTCGTTTGCTGCTGTTGCAGAATCGGAAGATGCCTGCGCTCGAGTGATGGTGCCAATGACATCGGAGACGCGAGTCTCAGGTGTACCGGAGCTGACCAACGCAAAGGTCAATTTGAGATACAATTCCTGGAGTTTAGCTCCAAATAGTGTTGAGAAACCATTTTGCATCAGTCTGGACTGAAACTGATAGAACTTTCGAACGCCGCCCATATTGAACAAGTCGCCTTGGAACCACGTCCGGGCATCCTGCTGGATGTAGTTGACCTCGAAGTACAAAGTGGTGAGGCTTTCAACGCAATTGCGGAGATATTGATACCAAAGATCGTAGAGGCCGCTGATCTCATTTGAACGGAACTCTGGCTTCGATGCCAAGTGGCCAATAAAGTACTTGGACAACAAGCTCGTAACCTCAGGGTTCGAAGTATGTGCAACATCATCAAACGTCTTTGAAGCATCGAGGCCGCCACTCGCTTGGGCGATCAAAGTGCCACCGGGGTGCATGGGCAGAAAATCCGTGATATCATAGACACTACCGTGAACACCGATCCACATTCGAGATCCTTTGCGATGCCCAGTGTTCAGAGATAATTTGGAAATTGGTATCCGGGGCGTTGAATAGCTCACAGGCTTTGGAGTCATGAAGATGTCAAGCATAAATCGTCTTTCAGCAAAAGCCTTTGCGACCAAGCTGTCTGCTGTTTCTTTGGTGGAAGCCCAATTCTGGTAGATCGCTTGGCGAATTCCTGACATGATGGTTTCATACATTGCAAGTGATCCGCAAATGTATAAATGACCTCCAAGACCTCCTTGGCTTTTCGAGACGACAATGTCACAAACAGTGCGTCCTTGCTCGATAATCGTAGTGTCGAGATATCGGGGACTCATCTGCTTTTCGATCAGATCTCTTGACATAGGGTCATAGACTAAGCCATTGGTGTCCCTAGAAAATGCCGTGTGCAACTCCATTTGGCCATTGCGGACAAAGTCACGGAGTTCATGCTCGTAGGAGAAGCGATCGCGTGATTGAACTCCGAGGAATAGTATATTTCTTCCAACGCTGGTCTGCGCGCGAGACTGCCAAAAAGAACGGAACGGTGCAATGCCTGAACCACCAGCAAACATTGCAATAGGTCCTGACATTGTCGCGGGGAGCTCAAAATTGAGTGGACGGCAGACACCAATGAGATATTCCTCATCGTCGAACATTTCTTCCGAATATGCTGGATCAGGATTGAGGCAACCGCTACTAACACCGTATCGTTGGTTCGAAGATGATCCCATATCCAAGACCTTTGCCACTTTGTATTCACTTCTTGCAACAGTCAGATCGACTGTACTTGGCAGTAACTCATTTGAATAGTTGGAGATACTGTATGTCCGTGGAGTTTCGACGGGAATCAACTTGGGTAACCATGACAAGTCATTGAGATCAAAAGCCTTGTCCCATAGCGCTGGAGAAACTTCAGATACGGCAAGTTGAAGAACATCTCCGATGGTACCCTGCACAGGCCACATTTCAGAGCTCAGCAACTTCACCAGAGTTGATGATGAGGCACGGAGCGCGATATGGAAGGCCATGATGAGGTCCTTAGTGAGAGGTGCAAGATGGCCTCGTCGGAGAACATCCTGAACCGTCACGATGGCTTCTCCATCCGATTTGTTGACAGCTTTGATATGCTTGGAAAATCGATGCCAGTCTGGCGTGTGTGCCACTGGTACAGTTTTCTGGAGAAACTCATCCAGGCCCAGGGCCGCTGTGACCTTGTTGACTTCTGTCCAGCTGTTCATAGGCATGACCGCAAGGCGGTCACCTGGTTGAAATGTGATTCCAGTATCTTCGAGACCAAAGGTTACCATGCCAGTCAATCGAGCTGGGTCGTTGTCAATTGACGAGCGGGAGAGGATGCGTGCTTTGAACCTGCACTCTTCGAAAGTTCCTCGAAGTTCTTGGGGCTGCAGATTAATCTTGCCGCGGAACGGTTCGAGTCGTTCTCTCATGGAGTCAGAAAGGCTCTTGTGAACCTCTTCCCAGGGACGCCCAGCACTGTCACCAGAACCTGCATTCCCGTTCGTCTCACTCCTGCCCGTTTTGGCAACAACTTCAAGAAAGCCGTATACCTTGTACCTGAGAGACAGTTAGTCCCATTGATATGTGAGATTGGAAAAGAATACTTGCCGATGTGTTCCCATCCAGCCTTTTTCTGAGATATAAGCTTCTAAGATACCCTCCATAACCCCCATCAATCTGGGATCACCAGATTCTTTGACAAATGCCGGGACTTGGTAGTGATACTCAATTGAGGCAATGAAAGCTCGAATGTTGAGAGGCAACCAAGCGCGAAGATGCAAGGCCTCCTTACCCAAGAATGTATCATATTTAGTCCGTCCAATGAAAGCGTCCATGAGTAGGAACACCGGTAATGCGAGTCCAGACAATGCAGGCACTCGCTTGGAGAGCGGTGCAGAGAATTTGGCATATCGTTGGCCCCACTACATGGACTTGTTAGTCGAATCACTCTCCCGCTATTTCGTCTTCATCTTACCTCTACGGGGTTGGCAAAGTTTTCTCCAGAATGGGGATTGACACTGATTTTGTGGAAGACGTGGGCGAATCTGTCGACAATCGTCTTAAGCTTGATGAGCTCTCGAAGGAGCCCTTCCTTATCCCTTAGCATGACTCTTTCTTGACATCGAGTCATGGTCTCGACACCATTCACAAAACAGCCATGTGTCTCGGCCATGCACAATAAGAACATTGCTTCCCCTCGATCATTGAAAACCTGTTAACAAGGTCAGCTACCCGGCAGCATAGCGTAGACTCGAGCACAACTGACCGGCCATCTGAGATCCATGTTCTCACAGCGGGCAACATAAGGGTTGATGCTCGTTGGATCACGAAGCTTGAAGTTGTAGACAGACACGTCATACTGGGTCAAATGGGGTAAGATACGGCCCATTCGTGTGCATATCTGCCGTAATGGAATCGCTATGTTCCTTGGGATTGCTTTTGTCTCCTCTTCTTCGTCGGCTTCACCCGCAATGTTTCGAAAGGTTTCTGGTGGAGCAGAAACACTGATGCCTTCATGGCCATCGTTCATCTCTTCATAACGATAAACACTGGCGAGTATGCCGAGGCAGACTGTTGCAGCCCACAAAGCGGCATCGGGAATCACGTCTGGCGTACCGAACACCATTGGCAATTGAAGGATTGATTCACGCATTTTCCCTCGGGCAACAACCGCAGGCATGCGTTCGCAGAGATCTGACCACACCCTTCCTGGAGATATTGCAAGTGCGGCTGGTGCCGCGGATGGATCTGGAGGACAGAAGCCATGAGTGCTTGATAGATATCCATCTCGCCAACCAGTCCGAGGACCCAACTCCATAGCTCGATTGAGTACTTGTCGAGCAGGGGCTCCAAGGGCAGAAGCCAGTACATCAAGGTCTCGAGGGTTTAGATGGTCGGCATTGGCGAGTCCATTTGTTACAGACCGGGGAGGGGGTTCGGGGATGAGTAGCTCTGTAATGGTTTTTCTTTCTTGGTCTACCAAGTCGTCCACTGTCTTGCCATCTAACGGTGTCTTTCTCAATTAGCTCAAGGTCATATAGAGGGTTTTGTGATGCACGTACACCAGAAGGTGAATAGTGAGACTGGGATGACATTTGGTATGCGGCGAAAGCACAGCCTCGAGGCCCAGTTCTCTGACCACCAGCAGCACATGTTGAGTGAGGTCCACCCTTGTGTCCACTGACTGGGCAAGATCTTTCCGACATCTTGATAATTCGATTCTTCTTTAAAAACGTAACGCTAGACAATCGAGATTAATGCAAATTGGGTATCAAAATCTAGAGAATCAAAAGGTAATGCAGGATCAAAGGCCTCAAGTGTACCAGCACCCCAGCAAAAGAGCCCAGCTCCAACGAACAGAAATGAGAGGGGAAAAGTTCAATTTGTGAATATCGACCGACTTTGGAGAAGGCCATTTCTCATGAGTATCGACACAAACCTATATATTGGTACCCCTTAGTCCACAACAGGTCCCCATCATGAAATACGATCTGGGAGAAGTTGAGCGTTGGACATCGTCCAACCCTGGCCACTCGTTACGTGATAGTTTGCTCTAAGTGGAGGCCAGGGTGCGATCATAACCCGACATTGAGGTTGTACTGGACAAACTTGGACGCAGAAGCGTTGGCCAAGCATGTGCCCAGGCTCAAGACAGGACAATCTCTAACACAAGGCTGCGGCCAAGACGATGAGGAGGTGGGTACAAGGAATTCAATCGCCCTCTGAAGGGGCTACCGAACGATCCACAGAGACAGAGGGATCCTTGAGCCAGTGCAAAGAGAAGCTGAGGAAACGAACCACAATGACGGGGAAGTACAACCGGAGGTCCTCCGTGTTTTCCGCACGGTCTCTAAACCCAAAAGTGACAACGGTAGGAAAAAACGGTCGAGATCGTGCTTGAACGAAGCCGATCAGGCGCATCGCTTTCACCCAAGGAATATTTAGATGGGGAAGATCGGGGGTCGAACGAGCTCGGCGGCGTGACGACCAGTCACATTAAGCCTCGTGGCTAGATGCGGCTAGGAGACGTGTATCAGACCCGCCAAGGTGTGAGAGGTTGTAATAGCCCCTTGTCGCCCGCATTAAACGCGCGTTTTAGAACATGACTCCTTTTATGGTGTGATGAAAACAATAGGGAGAGTGTTGCTATGATTGGCGTAACTACCGGTTACTCCTTACCAGTTATTCAGCATTTCTCGTGGCGTTGAGGTTCATGGAAGTTCTAACCTACCTAGTAATTTGTCGGTATCAAGCCTTTGCCTCTCGGCTGACGGAAGCATGAGGCCGACGTGGAATCTTCCCCAAAACGCGGCCACCAAAAGGACGACTTAGACCCAACGCACTGCTTCTTCGTTTGCGTGGAAGCTGGTTTTATAAGCCAAGCGTACGAGTGGTTCAATGGAGTACGAGTAGTAGTAACATTGTCCAACTCCTCATTGGGTTGTCAACTGCTTTGTGAATTGCATATGAATAGGAGGGCCGCCCCAGTACCCACGAATTCCAGGGCGGAACTCCGCCTAGAAAGACCCTCGAGCCTCAGCCCGGAGTGCGCACGGACGGCCGAGAGCAACTCCCGGGGCTTCCCTAGCCCCCAAGCCTGGCCCCAGGGGCCCCAAACTACGCCGCGCCTGGGTGTAACGTGCTAGATACCTGTAATTTTTGTGTGACGCCGGCCTCGATGCCCAGAACCGCGGAGAGGGTCAGTACAACTGTCGCATATATTGCCACTTAATCTGAATGTCCATGTTGACATTTTATGATCGCCGATGAATCATGCCCGGAGAAGCAAAAAAAGCTTAGGGAACTACCTAGCCTGCGAGTCCGCAGGCCATGTTGCTATCAAACAGTGCATTCTCATTCAGTCTCAGCACAAGGTCTACAATTGCATAACACGACTTGTCACTGACGACCGATAGCAATGAATAAGAATAGTCCACAAGGCTGTAAATCAGGTGAGAAGGCTGCCTAGGCTGCCTCGCCTTCGCGCTACGTCATTTTTGGTAGTTTGTGACGTTTGCCATGTTTGTTCGCCGCATCACACTGCAACTCCAATCACCTTCACCTTCCAGCTTGCTGTAGCCAACTTTTGGTAGGGATGTAACCAGGATATATAGCTCACTGCTCTGGCAGTGAGTACTCTTTCCGTGCAAATTCACCATGTCATCGACAACCCAGCATATCGTGGGCGTCAGCTCCACCATCGCGAGGCTCTCGGCCTATGCATTCTTGAGATGGGTAAGTGGCTTTGCATGTGGGCGTGAGGTTATGCTAACTAATCTCAGATCCCGGGCCATCATTTCCCTCCGATCATCATTTCGTCTATCCTGATCTACCTCATCTGCATATTTGGTAGCAATCCCGAGGCTTTCGGTAGACACCGTCCAACTCTACATGAAGCATTTCCGAGACTCTTCCCGCACCCCCAACCAGAGGATGAAGCAGTGATAGAGACTGAAGACCCCGAGGACCATGCAGAGCCCGCATTCTACGAAGATGAGAAGTCGTTTTTCAAGATTTTCGTCTTTGGAATTCCGAAATGGAAAGATCCACAATGGAGTTATTTCACGATTGGTGTGAATATCTTACTGGCCCTTTTCACACTGGACCTCGTATTTCGAGGCCCGTTGTTATATCCTTCAACAGATCTCACCTTCAGCCGACTTGGATATGTGGATTCCACCTCGGCCAAAGTCTTGATCAGGGAGCCCAATGCAGCTCAATTGCCTATCTATGTCTATATTTCGCCAGCCGACAAGGCTACCTGGACGACAACAGACACAATCTACTACCTCGGAGACGACACCGATTTCACCTATCCCATCACGTTCACCGGACTCCAGCCATCGAAGAAGTACATTTATTCATTATCGAATGATTTGTCAGGCACTTTCACTACCACTGCAGCATCTTACTCCGAAGCCGCGAAGAGCCTAACATTCCTGACCTCGTCTTGCATCAAAGCAAATTTTCCGTACAAGGCAAGGGCTCATGCACTCACCATCCACGGTTTCCAATATCTATCCAAGGTCATTCAGACTCTGCCATCTCCACCAAGCTTCATGCTCTTTTTGGGCGATTTCATTTACGTGGACGTTCCACTTCGTCTATCTTCCTCGCTTAGGCATTATCGATCCGAATATCGACGTGTGTATGCTTCACCTTCGTGGTCATTGCCCGGACTGAGCACCATCCCTTGGTTGCACACCCTTGATGATCACGAAATTGCAAACGACTGGTCAGGTGGAAATGATACGGACCCTTTTCCAGCAGCATCAGATCCGTTCATCCAATACCACGTCTCAGTGAATCCACCATTGCCAAAAGGCTCAGCCAGCGGTCCAGAGACAAACACAACCTACTTTCAGTTCACTAATGGGCCAGCATCATTTTTCATGCTCGACACAAGACGATATCGGACGGACCCAGAACCAACCCCATTGAAGTCGAAGTCCTTCTTCGGCTTGTCCCGTGGTCTGGAAGAACCTGTTCCTGAAGTACCAGTGACCAACCATTCCATGCTTGGCCCCGTCCAACTGGAGTCCTTACTTCACTATCTCTCCAGCCCGGAGCCACCACACGTGTATTGGAAGATCATAGCCTCATCAGTCCCGTTCACCAAGAACTGGCGCTTCGGTACTCCTGACACATGGGGCGGGTTTCTCCAAGAACGCTCCAAGATCCTAGCCGCAATGCACAAAGCCGAGCGCGAACTCGGCGTGCGAGTTGTGATCCTCTCAGGCGACCGCCACGAATTCGCGGCCATCCGCTTCCCACCACCGATCGCTGACTTTTCCTCAACTGCCCTTCCATCCCTAGACAAAAGAAACAAGATCAAGGCCCCCCAAGAACAACAGAGTCCCCTCATTTTAACCCACTCCACCACGACCCAAACAACAACAGTTTACGACCGCACGGAATCCTCCGGCCCACACGAATTCTCCGTCGGGCCGCTGAGCATGTTCTACCTCCCGTTTCGCACGTTCAAGCAGATCGACGAGGAAGACGTCGCGATCAAGTACCTACCGGACGGGAACAGCAAAGTCGGGCTCATCGACATCACGCCGCTAATGGGCGAGGTGCACAAGAAAAAAAGCATGCTGAAGTATTCCCTGTTCATCGACGGCAAGCTGCAGTGGGAGTACAGCTTGACCAGCCCGGCGGCTGATGGCGATGTCGTTGGCAAGAGGGGTGCTAGATGGTGGCTGTGGAGTTAGTTGATCCATTGGCGATGCTCGCTGCGTCTTTTTCTCAATTGCGGCGAAACAAGCCAGAGCTCAAATTGATCTGGGAAATCGGCGTGCAACACGCTGCCGTACAAGGCTGTGATACCCCAGAGAGGAGCCATATGCCGGCGACTAAATAGCTATGTAGCAAAATGAGAGCCCTTCAGATTTGGGGGATACGCATGAACGCCGATCCGCACGAGAAAACACTCCCTTCCTTCTCCGGAACTTATTACATTTCCCCCCCTCGCCCCCATCCTGAGTATGAAAGCTCGCTACTAGCGGTTATTTAGTGCCCGTCGGGGCGGGGCCTCCTAAAGCAATCGACTGCTTGCTGTGGCAACTGAGCGTTACGGTGGGCTGCCAACAACAGCCAACCTGCTTTGACCTCCATAGTTCCACCTGGGTAGATAATTTTATAAGAATTACTTTTGGAGGACTGAAAACTCCAGTCCCTCGCGTCGAATACAGACCATGGCGCCCAGGACGGAATCTTCAGTGCTGGAGCACTACACGGGTACTTCAAGGTACGCCAGGAGTCCTCGTCCGTGACCTGGTTCGCGACACAGGGCCATAAAGGTATCTTGATCTTGCCAGGAAAATGTTCCGCCTTTATTCTGGGTCAGCATAAGTTCTTGAAGCTGATGTGTTGCACGAAATCTGAAATATTCTACAGACGATCGCTGGGGACACTTTATTAGCTATATATGATTTTCGGATCTAGTGTACCGTGTTTCCCTCTTGTTCCGATCTCGTAGCCGATTGACGGTGGAAGATGTCGTCTGTTCAAATCTGCACCATTTTTGAGAACATTGATCCTCATGCCCACCGATTGCGTCAGCTTGCCACTGAAGCTTGCTCCTCGAAGTTGATCCAGTGTTCTCCGGTCCACTCCTGCCAATATAGATGTGAGGCCGAACGTACGCCCGATTGGAACCCTACCGAGTGTCGTCGTTGTCATATAAGCAACAACCACCATGATTGGTTGAATCGCCAGGATAATATAGAGGCTAGGCAAGGCTTTCATGGTCGTGACTTGTAGTTGCAGGCACTCATCGGACATGTAGGTCTCGTTGTAGAGTCCACTGCAGTTGTATGGTATATTCGTATAGTTGTTCCAGCCAGATGCCGCATCCGGGAAGCACCAGTCTGATACAATCCATCCACGTGGCTGAACATTCACATATCCACTTCTGGCGGCAATGTGACTCTGCATTGTCGCAGCGAGGATGACCGTATGTGTTGGGATCATCCATGGAGAATTCGGGCGTTCGCCTGCTTGGAACACCCCAAGAATCCGTGACACCGCCGTGGGTAGGATTTCGCTGATCTCGAATTGCGCATTTTGGTAGTACTGATACATCAGTGGAAGTGGTCGAGTGTCACAGTACCGTCCTGTAGATCAACCGACCCTTTTGTGATGAACCAGGAAACTGTGCAGTTGTGCCTTGCAAGATCAAATCGCATAGCTGCCTGTTTCCATGACTCCTCATCTGATGTGTTTCCCCCATGGGGACCCCACGTGCCGACAAAGAGCCATGAGTTATTCCACTGTTCTGGACCATCTCCCGCGGATAAACCTTTGTAGCGAATGCCGAGATTGAAGCCATAAGGGCCATCCTTCACATTACCAGGTGCGTAATTTGCTGCTTCAAGTAAAGACAAATCCTCATATGGCGCCCAGTAATCCGAGTCGTTTCGTTGATTATCGAGAGTAGGATCATAGGTTACGACAGTGCCGCGCACCGTTGCTGTCAGCTGAATAGATTCTTGGTCTTCAAGCTCCTGTTGAAGCTCCAACAGGCGAGCAGTAACAGGTCCATCAATCGCCACTGCTGATGTATTCGAGAGAATGATTGTATTGAATCCAAAAGGCTGTGGTTGCGCAAACCCGTTTTCTGGATAATTTCTGTCGTTCTTCGCTACTGTTAGGAAAGGTTGAGTGGCATTGGCCATAATCAATACCGCACTCATATCCCTCATACCAGGCGGGCCTGTGGGTGTATAGAACGCTCTTTCCATAGATGGAAGTGTCTTTGTTGCCACTCCACCAAGGTATTGCTTGTATAGAATACTCAAAGCAAGCGGCAGTACAAGTAATAATATGAGACATGTCCTCCAGATATAACCGAGGCGATCGGTGAATGGCGACCATCGGAGAATCCCTTCAAAATTTTGCAGTGTAGATTGACCATAGCGTGCCTCGACCAGTAAGAATAAGAACGGAAGAATGCGCTGAAGGCACTGGTTCATGACCCCCAGGATGAAACCAATGGCTATGATCTGGTTTGTGAAGCCTAAATCGGCAGCGTACGGGAGTCTTGGGTCAATGATAATGACTCCTGCAATTAAACAGAGTAGAGCTGTGACCACGGATAATGTATCCTTCAGGTCGAATGTGGACTTCGATGCAGGTATTCCAATATGAGGGGATGGTGTGTCAATGGTGAACTGCTGGATTTCATGCCGTGGTCCAAGTTGAGAGGGTTCTTCACCAGTGCTCTCAGTGATCGGCTGATAACTCGTAGCCACTGCACTACGGGCCATAGTGCCAGATATTCTCGATGGACGGCCGTTGGATTCTAGTATTCAAGACAAGGATCATCAGGCTGATCCAAGAACCTTGAGTGGCGTTGAACAAAACGAAAGGTAGAGGCTAGTATTTATAGGAAGGAGCATAATCCGTGGCTGGACAAGTCCTAGCGGCATCAGAGCTGGACAGTGTCGATGTCATGGAAGTCTTTGCAAAATCCCCTAACGAAGATTGTGGTGAATCCATCCACCTTACAAAGGCGAAGTTTGGCGTAGACGTGCTAAAATAAACCATGGGGCGTTCACCAAGGTACTGGTGCCCGAGCACGGCTTAGATTTGCTTTCGGGCGCAACTTGCCATGTCTATCGGTTCTGGGCTTGCAGGAGGACTATTGTGTGGGATTCTGCCTCGTCGAGTTGGAACCTTTGTGAGCTAGTAGTTATCATGCATGAATGCTCGTGTTCCGCAAAAACTACAGGAGCAAGTTAACGTCACCCAGCCGCGTTTTTGTAACCACGCCCTCATGCTTCTTCTGCACAGCTTTGGTGATCTGAAGCACCCCCAAAACTACTCGACCTGTAGCCCGAGTAACGTCTGAGACCTGCTTGAGCCACCCAAAGGAGTCGCTTGAGTGACTCGTAAATCGCCATGCGAAATGTGAATATCCTTGTGGACGATTAGGCTGGAGTGGTGGACAATTAAGCAAGGATTGTTTCAAGGTTTTGGATCGTCATATATAAAAAAGCCACTCTACGATAGCCCTAAGCTCTCGAGAAAGGAGTACGAGGTGGACCACCACAAGAGCCTCCTGCCAAGCAAATTCCTGGGGAAGGTCGACGCGGTATTTAACAGCTAGAGTACCTAACTAGAAGTAGTGGTTGAGGAGGCTCTTAGAACGTGTCATCGTCTGGACTGTCCCACGACCACTTAAGATAAAATCTCTACATATATCTGAGAGTCAAAGAGCTAGCTTGACACTTGCCTCGTATTATAGGCTTCCCTTACCTTCGGAGATTGATATATCAGTAAAGTCTCCTGAGCGCATCTTCGTAGAGGACCCCTTGGCCCCTTATCTAAAGACTAATGCTGGCGGTTGTCTTGATGCTCGGGGCGAAGACCTTATGGAACTGGTCCCTACCTACCTTTAAAGTATTTACTAACCTCCTTTAGTGTGCAAGATTTGGTCTAAGTACAACACACAGCGATTGAGGTTATAAAGCTGGATGATAGTTTCATAGTCAAGAAACTACGTGAGTATGATGGATAGTCAGTGTGACATCTACATCGTATGTACGTCTGCGCAGAGCTTGCACCACGGGGGAGTTTTTGCCAGGTTGGTCTTTTAATCGTCTGATCTTTATTCACGGGGTATAAATTATTGTTGGCTGTAAATGCCAACGCTATATGTACTGAGCCTTATCTAGGCCATGTTTATTCAAGTGCAAAGGCACCAACCCCCGCAGTTCTTCCAGTTGCTGTACAGTTGTATTCATCAGACAATGCATGCCGCTCGGCCCCTGGGTATATATTTCGAGGTCAGTCGCCTGGTGGGTGAGAACCTCAGCTGGGCAATGCGACCCAGCTGCTTCAAATGTAGGCAGCGCCTCGTGAGTGTCAAATCCATGTCGTAATGTCTATGGGGATTCTCAGGCAAGACGCCTATTGAGAAGCCCGACCCTTGTTTTAACGTACGTTAAGTACTTTCCATCACTATGATCAGTGAACTGAAGACCCGTTGAAGGTACCAAGTACCTAAGTTGGGATCATTCGGCAAATCCCGATATTTGACCCCCGTAAATACCAAACGCACCACCGATGGTGGATGGGCACACATCAGAACGGCTCTCTGCAGCTGCCAGCTGGTGGTGTCATCTAGACACACCTTGCTCATTTGGTATGATACAAGTATCTGAGATGAGAGCTGCGCGTCGGCATTCTAATATCGGGCATGGAGGTATAGAGGGCCATGACACACTGGAGAGAAAATTGAGCATTCCTCTGTTCAATGATGTCTACTGGCCCAAAGTGTGGCTGATGACTGAACTTTTGTTCAGTGTAGCAAACTAAGATGTTGTATAAAACTAGATCATGTTTCAGACTGAAGAATTAGCTCGACGGTAGACATAATCACCGAGCTCAATTTTCAACGGTTCTGCCCGAAACGACGATCGAAATCTTTCAAAACCGCCATGACGTTTGCAGCATCAATCTCGAGAGCCGGACGGCCATTCATACTAGCGCCAGCTTCTGTAGCATGCAATTTTGGTAGCCACTTGGCGATATCGCCTGAAGCTCGTTCGTAGGCAGGATGTCGGCTGAGTGTAGTGTATGCATCCGCGCAGGTGAGAGTGAGGCCAGCTTTGGGTGGTAGACGTGTGTGTGCGGCAGTACGAGACCTTGTCGTCCGAGATGGTAAAGGGACTGAATCCGTGCGGGATGGGGTTTGGGTTTGACAACATGAGCCTCCGGGAGTCTGACCACCGCAACAACCAGAGGGTGTACCAGCAGCTGATTGGGCTCGGGAAGCAGCAAGAGACTTGCAGAAAAGAGTGCTGTTTGGATCGGCACGACATTGGGAACACGTTCCTGGCCCTGAGGCACAACCGGCAGGAGGAGCTGTAGCAGGAATTGATATCGAGACATCGCCCTCTGATGGTGGCGGAGTGAATTGATCAAGCTGTCTGGGAGGATTGATGACCGCCACAGGTCTTTGAAGGCTCAAGGGCACAGAATCAGCTTGTTCTTGTTCAGCAGCCATCTCGGCACATATGCACGGCGTGCCATCAGAACAAAATCCACAGGGGTCGGCCACAGCCGATGTGGGTGATCTCTCATCCTGTGTTGTAAGACTTGGAACGGCCTTTGCTGCGTAAACCTCAGTAAAGTCGATTTCAAGCACCTCCTTTGGCTCAGGTTTGATCCTCTTTTCACTGTACATGTGAACTGGTGAATGGGGTCGTTTCTCATGTTGATGCATTGAATTTGCAGCCTCGCCTCCCATGGCAGTAAAAGCATCATCAATACACTGACATCGTGTTTCCAATGTACAGTTTCCACATCCCACTGCTTGGTCAATTGGCACGGGATCATGCACAGCACCAGGGGAGCTATTGTTAGATGTGTTGGTGCTTTTCTGGGTGGACTTGATCGCACTCAATTCACTTTCGAGTCTTCGACAACGGTCGACCCAGCTGACCAGATCAGAACGGTACTGTTCAACTTCTTTTTCAAGTCTGGCTACCGTTTCCCTTAGACTATCGTTCTCCTGGTCATGCTCATCTTCGAGCTGCTTCATCTGTATCTCAAGTTCTCCAACACGAGCGGCTCGTCTTTCTCTGAAAGCCCTTTGAGCAGCCCGATTTTGGGCTTTGCGTTTCGTTGGTGGAGTGTCGGTGGCGGGCTTTCGACCCGGCTTTGGACGTGGAGGGATTACCCATTCCTTGCTTGTCAACGACAGCGGTGCTTGTGAGGCTGCTGGAGGTGATGCGGCTGCTGGAGACTGGGCCGGTTTCATACAGAGCGAAGGCTGTCGCGAGAGTATGGGCTTGACATCATTGAGGGCTGTAGGGGTGGTGGCTGCTGGTGATGCGGCCATTGTTATGTGTTGAAGGAATTGCGAAGGTTCAAGTGACAATCCAGGCCGAGTTTGGCCGAGGAGGGAGAAATACGGGAGTCGATCAAGCTTGTGGAAAACGACCGCTTGAGCCGTACTGTTTCGTCTGCATGCAGCAATAAGAGGCTGGCCTCCACGACCACTGGAGCAGAATATGGTAGGAAGAAAATTCGAGTGTATGGGCAAAGTTGTGGAGGAGCGAAAGAAGCGGTAATTGACTGATCAGGTGAGTTGTGAAGGGTTGGAGAGCCCGGAAGTGAGCAAGAGTGACTAGTTAACGTTGGCAGGTGGGAAGGTGGGAGAGATCAAAGATCAAATTCTGATCATATCATATCAGATTAGATTTGCAGCTTGCCCGTGCGACTTCGGCCTTGGCAGGAGGGGTCGGAGACTCGGGACCGTTCGGAAAAACCATCCCCAGAAATCACACCACCACAGTGGCTATCGGCCAGGTCCATCTTGTCGTGCGGACTTGTCCCAGGTCCAGATCACCATTCTCATTCCATAATGAGCATGATTATCCTCGAAGGAAAGCACAGACAACAGTCAATAGCACATAGCCAATACTTGTCTGATAAATCTCATTTTCATATCGAGAAGAGTAGGGGTATCTCAGAATCCAACAAAAAATAACCAGGGACACCTGATGGCATCCAGGACGCCAGGCTACCTGCTTTGCATGTACATATATTTTCACTCTGGGTATACCACTCAGAATTTGCCGCCATGGACTCCCGCGTTACTGGCGGCCTCACTGCCACTTTGGATTCCTCCGATGAACGAGGTGCCCCAGACCCCTACAAGGCCCCAAAACCCGACTCTCCAACCCTTGTACAACCCTTGCACACCCTGTCCTTTGCGTTTCCTTCTGGGTGCTTTACCCAGTAATGCCGCTGCTTTGTCCTTTTCAGATTCTGAATATCCCTCGTCATTGATAATTGTCCATATCATGGGCAAGATGCCACGGTAGGATTGTGGGACTGGTACAATTGTTGTCACTGCTTTCCTTTTGGAGGAAGAAGTAGGTAGTAATTGATTTGGGGCAGTCCATGTAGCGATCTGGGCTCTTCGTAGAACGGTCTCAAGTGGAAACTTGATGGCTAAGTCTAGGGTCGAGCTGGCAAATGTGGCCACACTCCAACTTGCTGGATTCATGGCTGGATCTAGCCCCAGATATGTCTTCAAAACCACGGGTGTGCTTGCCGAAAGAAGTGTGGGCAATGTCGAGGTGAGGAATGTGATGGGTATCAAATGCGAAGGGATCAAATAGGAGGTTGGAAGTGTTCGCAACGTTCCTAAAAGTGTTCTTGGTTCTTGGCTTGATGGCGTGAGAATCAGTCGAGTCCTGGCAGCATCGATCGGTGCGAGTACGAGTGCTGACATCGCTGCTGCCGCAGTTGCGATGAGAACTGTAGAGATGGGTGAGGGTGACGAGAGTATTGAAGTATCTGGTATGGAACCCGAAGATAGTGGAAGCAGAACCTCGCTCTCTGAGATCCCAAGCACTGCTGCTAAGAAACTTCGGAAAAAGGTCTCTAATGTCCGGATCAAAATGTTATAGACAAATGTCGAGTTCGTCGCTCTCCACATAGCCAACGCACCGCTGTTCGAGGAGAGAGTGGACAAGACGTCCATGAGAGAGTGAGGGTTTTTGAGAGAAAGATAGCCGTCTGACGCTTGCTGACGATCTCGGTGGAGAGGTGAGGGCTCACTGCGTGGAGGTCTTCCTCTTCTTCCACGATCCGGGGAGCCGCTGGACAGAGGTCTCTCGTACGGGGCGCTGGAGCTGAAATAGTTGGGTTCATCGTCTGAGGAGTTGTCATAATCGTATGCAGATACTGCTTCTTCCTCTTGCTCTACGTTGCGACTTTGTCTCTTAGGCCGGTCACCATCACTCTCTTGAGCGACGCGTGCCTGTAGAATGAGCTTTGCAACCTCAAACGGCTGTGCAAAGACGACGCTTGTATATTTCCATACCGTCTGGTCGATTATTGACTTGATTGAAAGATTGAGTGAGGGTGCAGCATCAGATATATAGTCGGAATAGTCGAGGTCTGGGAAGGAAAAGGTCGCTCCTGATGTCGGCTTGGAGGCTCCAGTGGTGGCATTGGAAGAAATGTCGGCCACGCCAATCGAAGCAGGTTTGTAGTATGGACGGAGCGGATTGGGAGTGTATCGCGCGTCTTGCATGGTGGGAAGGTGTACGCTCTCACTTTCTCAAGGGATGCAACAACGCAGTCCGGAAACCGTGTGCAAAGTTAGCAGTGATGCATGGAGATAATGATGTGGTGTGAATGTTGATGCGAAGCGGCGACTGCAATCGTCATCTCGTTTCATTCTTCACGTGATGAGCCTCGTTAGCGAGAACCTCCAGGTTACACGGCATACTGGTATGTATGCACAAAGGATCGGACACAACACATCATTTATGCTAATTTATTTCACTGTCATAAAATATGTGTTTTGCTGACCAGATCATCATTGTTACGAACAATTCCTTGTTTCGAAAATCGAGAGACCTCGACGAAATTGACGAACAGGGAAATCTAGTTAGGATAAGATGCCTTTCCATGTGATTAGATTTTATAAGAATAGTCTTTGGTCGATGGTAACGCCCTGCTCATAATCACAATAGTTTATCGTCACCCCACCGTGCCTTGTACATGCCCAACGCTTTAATGGGGAATATGAACTTATAGTTCGGATAGGTAATCATGCAGCTGCAGTTGAAGACTCCTTCAATCGACTCTGCCAACCACTCGCCATTACTTCTTTGACGACTCATGACCATCTGGAGAGCTCGACGAATCGGCTCTTTGTCGTCGTAACCTGCGTACATCAAGGCTATGACAGCCCAACAGGTTGCCACAACCTGCGATGTTTCGGCGTCAACCCACACTTTGAGCTCGCTTGCCCGATAAGATTCTCCCCAACCACCATCAGCCATTTGGTGTGAGAGGAGGAATTGGCAGGCTTTCCGCACATGGTCAGATGTGCTGTATGTCTCTCCCACAGTGCTGAGAGATTCCAGTGCGAACATTGCAGCATAAGTGAAACAGACACCCCAACTACCATACCAGGATCCGTCTTTCCTTTGAGCATTGCGAATATAAGCGCATGCGGTCTTCTTGATATTTCTGATCTCCTCTGCCCGGTAGTCCGGATAATGCTTCTGAAATAGAGACAAGACTGTAACAACAGAAGTGGTGCATTCTGGATAGTCATATTCGACCATGATCCGCCCAAAAACCTCCGCAGCATTGAGCAGCTCCAGATGCTCCGAACCACGTTGTGTCTCGTATGAAGCGAAGCCGCCCGTATGCTTGTTTTGCATAGTCAGTAGAACGTCTACAGCGTCCTTGATTCGCTGGTCGTCAATGATTTGCTTGAAGCCATGCTCTTTCTGCAACTGCAGAGTTACACGTAGAGCCTCGCTCGTACAATCACTGACCGTATAACCTTGCAGTTTGGTGCTGAAAGGCCATGCCCCCTTCCGTGATTGACGGTAGCAGATTTCCCGATCAGGAACTTCGTCACGAATCTGCTCGGCTTCCAGAAAGGCGAGTGCTTGACTGAGGACAGGCTTCCATTTGGGCGAGTCTGCAAGACCCGCCTCCACACAGGCTTGTATTGTAAAAGACGTGTCCCAAACTTGTACTCCATTTGTTCCATTAGCAAGCATACCTTCTGCGTTGACCCAAAAGTATTCGTGAAGGCGGTACAGGTGTTTCTTGAAGGAATGGCTGTCAGGACCTTCTTTGATATAGCAAGCGAGGGTGTTCATTGGGGCATTGACAGGAGCGAGGTCAGCGTAGTCTGTGTTGTGGTCCTCATATTGAATCAGTCTCCAGGTCCAGGCTTCAGCCTTGCGCACAATGGAAACTGTACGAAGGAAAGGAATCCAGATCCAGACCAGTATCCAGTTGATCAAGTTGAGGACCCAGGACTTGGGGTGATAGTTGTCCTCGGCGGCTATGGAATTACGGTGGGACAAGAAGTCAAGAGAGTCATACGACTGAACGAACAATTCCTGCCTCAGTTGGCGAACAAGGGGGGTTTCCGGCATGACGAATTTCTTGGACCAGATATAGGACATGGGCAGGAAAACCTGTCTCATGTGTATCCACCATCTCCATGGTGCAATGGGGACCCAATCTGGAAGTAGCCACAGCTCTGGTGGAACAGGATTCACAATGTCCCATTTTGTGACTCCAAGGACACTCAGCCAGAATTTGGCCCAGTGAGGCCCATTGACGGCCCCTCCCATCTGATGCAGTTTGCCTCTCGCTTTGATTAGCCTTGGGTCTTCTTCGCTAGCGCCCAGTATCCTCAGGATGGCATAATTCATGGCTGTTCCAAAGACAGAAGTGTGACCCTCGGTATGGAGACCCCATCCTCCATCTTTATTTTGTCTCGCATATAAATAGTTTCGAATCTCGATCTGCCACTCTGGGGGGATCGGAGTGTTGGTTGCATAATAACAGATGACCAGTCCAGGCAAGAGAAACAAGGGGCCACCGTACTCGCAGGCCCAGTTTCCTGAGGGCAGTTGAAGTTTCGAATAGAACGTGAAGACATTTTCAATCGATTCTGAGGGTTTTGTAGCAGGAGGGAGGTCTGGTTGTTCCTATATCGATTAGACGACATGTCTTGACAGAAATGATGAGCCATGGCATACTGTTGGGAGTCCCACGAAGTACTTGTCCGCTATCGACTGTGGCCATTCCTGGGTATCTTCGTCACTTTTCAGATAGTGCCATACATGACGATTTCCCTCTCCAACCTCGAGCCTCCACCTTGTTCGGTCAGTCTTGGTATGACTAGGATGTGGCGCATGTGCGTCGTTTGAGAAGCCGTTGGTGTGCCCATTGGTGTATCCATTGGCATGGCCATTAGCAGTGCCATTGGGCTTGGAGGGAGCCATGATAGTAAAGGGAGGACTCAAGAATCATGAAAATGAGTGGACATGTTCAATAATGAAAGTAGGGACTGCAGTGGAGTGAGGAGAGCGGGACAACCTGGGGAGAGGCGTTCAAGTTGCAGTGCTGGAAAGACGGTCAACAGGACTTTGCTGCGGGCAGTTGTGATCCTTCGGAAAAAATTATGATGCCACCCGGAGAGACAGGGGTTCAACACCACTAACGAACTACCAAATCGGAGCACATGTCAAGTTCAGCGTTCCTGCAGCCCAAGACTGCTTTGCTTTAGCGAGGGGTACGGTTCCGGGTTAAGAGACTCGAGATCCTTTCAAGCCCGGATGGGCCGAGGGGGCTGCAGCCTCCAGCCTCCAGGCACCGCAACGCCCTGATTGGCCTCCGGGTAGACTTGCTTGGAGGCACCTACTTGGAGGTACTCAAACCCCTTGGGAGCTGTAGCCTGTAGCCTGTTGCACCCAGATTATTTGGTATACCCCGGAACGAAAGCAGCACTGGTTTCCGCCTGCTGAGTCAGAACCTCAGAAACCGTGACTCTCCACCTTGTCCACCAGTGCACACTCGTACTCTATTCTGTCATATCTAGGTCTTGACTTGAGTTCTGATGTTGTTGATGTTGTCGTGATGTTGTAATGGGAGATCTCTCGCCAGTCCAGTCGCATTTTCGGCAACCGTGGGCGGCGGATCGCATTAACTGAGACCACAGGCGGTAATGAGTAATGAAGGGGCAGAAGGAATGTGTAAATGACGAGTGTATCAATGATGATGCTCTACCTAGGTAGTTACTAGACGACGTTGTTTAAATTAGATCTGAGCCTAGTGCGTCGGTATGTACTCCAAGTGGACTGTTCCCGTCCAACAACATATCACCCACTAAGATCAAACTGTATATGGCAGTTGGGGTTTTCGTTCTCGAGTAATTGACGAAGTCACGAAGCAACATATCCGCTGATTGAAAATGTCCCTGCAGGACGTTGCTCCGCCTTATTCCCCTGCTAACCAGCAAGTGCTTACTTACATCGAAGCCACATTCAACCAGATCATCCAAGACATCCAGAGCGATGAATGTCAGAAAGTAGCCATCGTGTTGAGACGCATCACCAGCATCACTCCGTATCATGATCACGAAGACTCCATGCGACTCAAATGGCACATCCAAGACACAGAAGTGGTCTACAATTTCCCAGGCAAGAATAAAGACGAGGCGTGGAGATTCGGTTGGTCGACCATATGCAGCTGTGGACAGACTGACCTGCAGCAGCATGCTTGGCTCGAATCCTGAGCGAGATTCATACAGCTATCAACCAGGGTGTTGTTGTCACAAAGAGGTAAAGAACTTTCATGGAGTGCGTGATCTGTGCCTTCATACTCAATTATCTAGGGACATCTTCTATCACGACCCAGCGCTCTTCAAGCAACAGGCCACGGTCGATCGCTATGTCGATGATATTGCACATACTTGTGGTGTCACGAGACGTGATCTGAACGTTGTAAGTATCCTATCATTGGGAAAGGTTTGGATCTCATTTCCATCTCTAGACTGCAAGTCCAAAAGGCCTTGTTGCTGGGTTGCGGCCAAGCAACGCTCCAGATGAAATCGCAATCATCCACGACGGCTGTGACCTCATTGCATCTGACGATTTGGAAACCATCAACTGGGTTCTTGTCATTGAAAAGGAGGTTGGTCACAAGGACGATGATTTCCACTACCCATGCTGACCATTCGGAAAGGCAGTGTTGAATACCCTGGTAGAAAGATCGTTCCACCACCACCCAATCATTGGTCCTGGAGTGCTCGTAACAGTGAGCCATCCACTTTCTCCTACATGTACCACAATTGACAAGATACCCAGGCCAAAGGGTATCCCGATCTGACAACACGTCGGTTCTTGCGGGCCTTGGTAGATCATTGTCAACCCCATGCAAAAGTCTTCGGATTGTTCGATAATGACCCCGACGGCATAAGAATCTTGAAATGTTATCTATACGGGTCCAAAGCCATGGCGCAGGAACAGGCTTGCATTCTCCCCGAATTGGAATGGATTGGACTCAAGTCGGAAGACCTTGTGACGATACCCGAGGCCGAGAACTTGTGTCTACCAATGTCGACACGGGACAGGACGGTCGCGGTTTCCATGTTGAACAGCGAGGAGTGGAGAGATGAAGACGGGCGTTCTTTGCCAATGCTAAGCGGCTGCCATCTTGAGCTTCAGAGAATGCTTTGGCTGAATCGCAAGGCTGAAATACAGATAGTGGATGAAATGGTGGGTGGCTTGTACGGTTGGTTGACCCGAACGCTTTCAGTCCGCTTGGAAGATGTCCAAATACGACCTGAGTATGTGGAGTCTTTCTAATTTAGAGTCCCAAAGACCGCCTCACGCCTTCTCTGACCCTCTTTTCAAACTCGGGCCGTCTATCTCGCCACATCTTGGCTGCTTCGACATTGGCGGGACTTTCGTCGTTGGGCTCGGCAAGCATGGACATGACTGAGATGAGGATCTTTTCAACACTCTGAATGGGAGACCATCTCTCGGAGGCGCTTTCATAATGATTCGGATCATCACCTGGTGGGTGGAGGATGGATATGCATACTTCGCCATTAGCGTAGACTATCACAAACATGACGTGTCAGTCGGGTTCATAACGGATAGTGAAATTGAATGTACCATTAGGATGCCAAATCTCACCCAAGAACTTCATCTTGGGAGGATTGAGCGGATAATCTTTAGGGAATTTGAGCTCGGCCGGGAAGATGCCACCTTCGAAGGGAGTGCCTTCCGGGCCTTGAATCAAAGCCTCCCAGACGAATAGGTCATCTTCGCTGACAGGGCCGGCGGTGATCCCATCAGGCGGGTTGGTCAGGAGAGCCTTGTATTCCGAGAACAGACGCTTAGATGCCACACCTCCGCTCATTTCGGCAATATTGTATGTCGTGCTGTCTAAGTGCGTAATTGGGATGGTTGAGGTGACGATGGAATCTGAAGTGGGATGATTGTAGAAGTGGTGACTTGGAGTTGGAGTTGGAATTGGAGATGGAGGCGCCGCTGCTTTTACAAGAGATTATCCGGGTCCGTTCCGGTTGCCATGCCGCGTTCCTGACTAACCCGTTCAGGCACTCAGTGACATGGGGAATTGCACCATTCGTGACCATCTTATCTCGAATGCTGCATCATCTTCCAGCACCCTCTTCCCATACCTACCTTTTCTACACGCGCACATACCGGCATAGGCAGTTTAATATCCCTATCACTCAATCATCATCTTTCTTGCTCACTCATCATGGTCAGGAAAACTTCCTCCGGCTTCTTCACCTCTATACATGAAGATATGCCGCTGCATGTCGCTAGAGGCTACGATAGAATGGTTCAGCATACTGCGTATCCCCTTCAGTCACCAGCCTCCTCCTGTTCAGCAACCTCGCCTGCTCCTGAGTCATCCTTCTCCCCCGAGAAATATACGAAACCCTATATTGATTTCATGACAAACAATCCAACAGTATTCCACGCAGTTGATGCTTTCACCTCGCAATTGAAGGCAGCTGGCTACGAATATCTCTCCGAACGGACATTATGGAAGATAAAGCCTGGCGGTAAATACTACACCAAACGAAACGGCAGTGCTTTTATCTCATTTGCTGTGGGCAAGGACTACAAACCTGGAAATGGCCTCGGCATAGTCGCTGGACACATCGATGCCTTGACTGCAAGGGTCAAGCCAGTCCCCAAGCTTTCGACAAAGGCCGGCTACGTCCAACTTGGAGTTGCTCCCTATGCCGGTGGAATGAACTTTACATGGTGGGACCGCGATCTGGGTATCGGCGGTAAGGTTCTTGTCAAGGGAAAGGATGGGAAAGTGACTGAGAGATTGGTCAAACTTGACTGGCCTATCGCAAGGATTCCGACTTTGGCGCCTCATTTTGGCGCTGCTTCCCAAGGCCCTTTCAATTTAGAAACAAATATGGTGCCAATCGTTGGCTTGGATAACTCCGATCTCACTGGCAAGAAGGACGCATCACTCAATCTGCCGGCTGGTACATTTGTTGCCAAACAGCCCGAGAGATTGGTCAAAGCAATAGCTGGCGAACTAGGTGTACAAGAATACACCTCAATAGTCAACTGGGAACTTGAACTATTCGATATCCAGCCCGCGCAGCTTGGCGGACTTGACAAAGAATTCATCTTCGCCGGGAGAATTGACGACAAATTATGCTGTTTTGCTGCCATCGAGGCACTTTTGGCTTCTTCGGACGATGCCTCTCCAGGAATTGTCAAAATGGTCGGATGCTTTGATGACGAAGAGATTGGCAGCTACCTCCGCCAAGGTGCTAGAAGCAATTTTATGTCCAGTGTCATTGAAAGAATTGTCGAATCTGTCTCTGACTACAGTGGTCCCAACCTTATCAGCCAGACCCTCGCCAATACCTTCTTAGTATCATCAGACGTAATTCATGCCGTCAACCCCAATTTCCTGGGTGCTTATCTTGAGAACCATTCACCACGATTGAATGTCGGTATTGCAGTGTCGGCTGATCCCAATGGACACATGACTACTGACTCTGCCTCGACCGCGCTACTTTCACGCATTGCAGAGAAGAGTGGTAGTACCCTCCAGGTTTTCCAAATACGAAACGATTCCCGAAGTGGAGGAACCATTGGTCCAATGACCTCGTCTCAGCTAGGCTGCCGTGCGATTGACTGCGGTATTCCCCAATTGAGCATGCATTCCATCCGCGCAACTACTGGATCCCTCGACCCTGGCTTGGGAGTCAAGCTGTACAAGGGTTTCTTTGATCACTATGAAGAGGTCGACAAGGAGTTTGAATGAACAGTCGATACCCTAGACTAGAATAGATGTAGCTATACCCCAATTCCTGTAAGTTTAGTCCCTCACGTTCTGTTTCGATATCAGCTTCAATCTTTTCCGTGAGATAGTGCACGCTGACTCCGGCAGCGACGTGCCCGGTGTGTCCAGTCGGACCCAGGTTGAGTCAGTGGAATAGGAACAGGAGACTAACCACTCCCCTGCCTGGGTCAACGATCCTGAGCAGAATCTCTGTCACTCACCGATGGTCAGCATCGACAAGTAATGATTCTGTGGCAGTATGAAAGAGTATTTCTGGAATGCCAGGAATACTCATGCTACTTGGACAGCCATAGCGAATTTCTCCACCGTTGTTTTCAAACAGAATGCAAATTCTCAACTCCTGCTCAACGTTACACCCGATGTTGAGAAGGAGGGAGTGAAGAGTCTAGACCATTGAGAACGAAAGGTCTCATCAGTGATTCCGCGCCATGTGTGTCAACTGGTCAGAGTCCTGTTGTCTATTGAAGAAGCAGAATGGCACACCCTAGAGACGATGTTTTGCATCCAGGACCTTCAATATCATGTGTGAACAGTCGATTTAGAAGGGCACCGTCCTGCCACACAACAGTGGTGGCACTATAATGTAAGCATATGCCTTCTCATGGTCAGCGTTGTGCTTCTGGTCAACCTCCATCAGCTTCGTTCTATCACATTGAGGGAACCACTTTTAGCTGGGAGGATTTTGTCATCGAAGAGGTAGGAAGGTGTCAATGGCACTCCCAAGGCAAGCGTACTTATATCAGACTGTTGAGCTCGATATCGCAAAACTCCCCACCACAACAATAACACAGCGCGACCAACATTGCATGCCCTCGTCAATAATACTTACCGAGAAACAATGCTTAAGGTAATAAGTTCTCGAGGGCTATCGCAAGCGACTTACTGACCATTATGCGCAGAGTATACCACGCACCCTGTTGTTCCTTGGCTTAGCTGGTATGCCGTCATTCATTGCGGCGAAGCCTATGCCCTTTTCTGGCGCGACTGTCGCTCATTACAATCAACGCGACATCTTGTCCCTCCTCCACCCTGAACCTGATCCGTTGTCATCGGCGCCTGGAGAAACATACATAGTTCGGCCAGGCGACACTGCATGGAACATTGCCACGAGTCATGATATCACTTTCGAAGAATTGAAGAAAGCAAATCCCTCCGTGCAAGATTGGGACAACATATTGGTTGGGCAAGCCTTGAACATCCCCGGACCATGCAACGGCGGTCTGCCAGGCCCACCTCCTTGGACGCCCAACCCGAATGATATCCAAGTCATCGAGGCTCTAGCAGTGCACAACCTTGATCAAGATGAAGGTGCTCCATTACAAGATGTCTACTCAACCTTCCAGGGTGATGGCTCATTGCACTCAAATTGGCCTGCGAAGTCGCAATGGGTATCTTTCAACGCGATGTGGAATCATGTGGAGCCGGGTCTGGGACGGACCTGTGTTGGTGGTGTCCAGAGCAACTCGGAGCAGGAAACAAAGGACCTGAAGGATGCCATACTGACCATATCGGCTGAATTTCTGATCGATCCTCGGTTCGTACTTGCCGTCGTCTTGCAAGAATCGAATGGTTGTGTCAGAGTCGCGACCACAACCCCATCAAATGAAATCCGGAACCCCGGCGTGATGCAGACGTCCAATGGAGCAGGTTCCTGCAACGATGGTGTGGAAGTCTCTCCATGCCCCCAAAATGAGATTTACAAGATGATTTTGGATGGTGTCCACGGAGGCGATAACAACTTGGTCAAGGCTATCAACTCGGCCAGCTTCGTTCCAGGGTTGGGTCCAGCAGAAGAAGCGCAGGCATTCTATCGTGCTGCCAGGACGTATAACTCAGGATTCTCCAGCTTCACTGATGGTGCTGATCTCGCTCAAAATGGAGCCATGGAATGTTATTCTAGCGATATTGGAAATCGTCTGCTTGGTTGGTATTCGGCGGAGCATACTTGTTGGCTCAACCATGATTGAATCTATCTTCAAGAAGGGGCAGGAAAAGGAAAAGTGATACAGCTGAGTCTACAAGTTCATTAATCACTGAGGCCAAAGAGTTGGAAGACAGGGCACGTTGTGGGCTGTTTTTGATGTGTGATGAAATTGTTTGATCTTTTGGCGACCAAGGCCAAAAACTGGGGTTTTCAGCCCTGTCAGTTATCAGGAATATATTCGTTTACTCCCCGAATCTCTTCCTTCAATAGTCTTGCCTGTATTCCTTAATGGTGTTGATCCCACAATAGAACTGTCGTTATCTAGCCTGCCCAATCATCAACACCTGCATGAATAGTTATCTGCAAAACCAGCTTTACCTTTCTACTTTCTCAAATGAACGTTGAGATCTTAAAGTAAAAACACCGAACTACACACGCATGGAGTCCCGTTCTTTGCCAGTGGGAAGTCCTTTTGAAGCAGGAATAACTCCCAGCATCTGTGGTGTGGGTGTCTCTGGCCCGTCATACTCACGATGCGAGTATCCTACATAACGGAACGCCTTGAGCAACCCAAGTCTATTTGCTATTGAGGAGTTTTAGGAGAGGTCGAATCTTGAGGGGATCGAGCGCGGTAGAGTGTTTAGACGGTCCCGTTTTCGCTCCGTGGGACCATCCACGCTGCAACTTGTTCAGATGAGAATTGAGTTGCTGGATGCACAGGCCCGAGGATCACCTTCTTCAGTTCCAGGCAACTGAGCATGAGTGCCAGGGCATCGTCATCACGACCTTGACACTTGAAGACCAAAGCGAGCCGGCTCATACGCTTCAACGTGGAGGGGTGCTCTTTGCCCAGCACTCTGCCACTCACTTCCAGAACCTCCTGGCTCATCTGCTCCGCTTCATCGTATTTACCCTGACGCCTCAGCGTTTCTGCAAGGGTACCCACGCTCTTCAAGGTGTCTGGATGCTCCTTGCCTTGTACCCTTTCCATGGCTTCCACCACACGCCGACCGATTCTCTCAGCTTCTACGTACCTCCCCTGATCTCTGTATAGTCGAGCAAGGTTGATCATGCTTCCTAATGTTCCTGGATGCTCGGCCCCCTGCAATTTATCCATGGCTTCGTAGGCTTCTCTGAGCATCTGTTCCGCTTCATCATACTTGCCTCGACGCAGTAGTACCGTTCCGAGGTTATTCATGCTCTCTAATGTGCTAGGATGTTCCTTTGTCAGTATCTTCTCCCTCATCTTCAAAACATCTCGACGTATTCGCTCAACCTCGCTATATTTGCTTTGGCCTTTTCTCAAGATGTAGGAGAGGTTGTTCATGCTAATTAGGGTATCTGGATGCTCTGCGCCCCATACCTTCTGACGAACATACAAAACTTCCTGGATTATCGGTTTCGCCTCATTATACTTGCCTTGTTCCCCCAGTACCATGGCGAAGTTGTTCATCGTAGTCAGTGTGTCTGGGTGCTCCCTGCCCATCAGTCTTGTCGTTGTCTCTATAAGTTCACGATATAAATTCAAACTGGCTTCAAACCGACCTTGCTCAAAATAGAAGCTCGCGAACTGGACAGCACTGTCAGAGGTCTCTCTCTCTTGACCCAAAAGATGTCCGTTGAAGAATTCTCTTATGTTCAACTGAGCAGCGTCCATGTGCTGGAGCAGCAACTGTTTGGTTCTAGGATCCGTGCGCATGTTTTCACAAGTCCGGATAGAGCTGCAGAGCGTGTGGACGACTTCGTGAGAATATCTACGACGCTGTTTAGCGCGTAGCCGGAGTTGCAGCCAGTCACGGATGAGTGGGTGAAGCAGGAAGGTCGCTCCTTCAGAATCTGCTGCAGGGAGAATGTCATGTAGCAATGACATTTGGTGGGCCTTGCGAATGAGTTGCCAGAATCGTTCCGTGTCCCAAGTTTTCGAAGGGTCCTCCAGATGAGCCTCTTGCATGCTACGTGATATATCAGCGGCCCAGTTTTCGTCTCTTTCGATCCTCGACTCCTCTCCATCCTGGTCGCTTGTCAAACTCTCTGTCTCCGAGTCGGGCGACACCGTGAAGAGCCTCGCCCAATCTGGTGGTGGCTGACTCATTTCCCAGTGGTATTTGAAGAGCGATTCGGTGACACTGACAGGCCCTAGAAAGGCTGCTAAAGTCATAAAATGTTCCACACACTGAGGCTCGTCCCAATCATTCTTCATTTGCCGAAACGACATTTCCCACGTCGTAAATGCACTAACCGCAGTCTCACGATCTTAGGCGTCATTGATCTTGGTATATCTCCAAAAGTGTTCTGCGGTGTGCTGAAGAACTTTCTTCCGATTATCCTCGTACTGTTCGAGAAAATCACTCAAATTGCCAATGGGTATTCCCTTATACTCAAGGTAAGCCGAAGCTTGATCGAGAGCTAAGGCCAGACCACCTAGACGCTTCACTATTGGAGTTGCCTGTAACTGGTACTGGCTCGTATTGATGTTGCGATACCGATGCAGAAGAAGAGCGACTCCAGGGTCATTGGGCATTGGCGGAATCTCGATGAGATGTCCCAACTCACGTAGCCCTTGATGCCGGCTAGTGAAAAGAACATTGCCTTTGCCACCTAAGAAAGTCAGCATCATATATACTACTGTCAAGGTAGTTCCAAGAGGTAATACCCTGTGGAATGAAATGCTCTACGTCTTCAAAGTATGTCGGATTATCACAATTATCAAGCACCATCAACCAGAGACCATCCCATCGTTCGAGGGTATGCCGAACAAAATCAGCCTTTGCTTCATTACTTAAACCAGCCACTGCAGACGCGTCGAGAGAATGGGCGATGGTGACAAGAGATTGCGCAGCTGAAGAGGCCAAACTGCTGTTGATCCAGAATATGCCCCGATACTTTTTACGTGCTCGGTGGCAATACTTAAGAGCAATCTGAGTTTTGCCCTGCCCTCCCATCGCGTGGAGAACTAAAATTCGTGAGGTTTCTGTTTCCTTGTTAAAGAAGGAACTGATCTGCACAAGCTCTTCTTCGCGACCAAAGAAGTTCGTCGCTTGCTGTCTCGGGACAAGATAGTAGGATTTCAGTGTAGGAACAGTTGGTACTGCAGTAATAGGTAAGTACTTGACAAGAAGAGACTGATGCCAGGCATTTAATCATCATGTATGCATCTCAGGAGGTCTATGACAAAATTGACATACCGGGAGCCAGGTCTATACAGGTGAGGAGTTCCTTCGCGCACGCCGCGGCGGCCGCCGCAGCATAAGGATGCCACACATCATTCTTGTGAGAATCAGCATAATCACAAATACCTCGAATTACCACACAGGGAAGTTCGTTACTCAGTCCTGCAGCCTCCATTTCAAAGCACAGGGCGCCTCCGGAGGCAGTGCTGAGCGCATCTCTTTCGTATGCATTTTTGATGACGCTATCTCCGGATGCGATCGTTCCATAAAATATTTGAGGATCAGTCACGCCTCGACGAGAAATAGCCTTGTCCTTGCCGCAGTCATCGCATGTTGACTCGCCTTGACGATGTTCAATGTCAGGGGGGAATAGAACATCTAGCTCTGGCGCCGGCCGAGAATATTTTCGCAGTTTGGGGTACGTTTCTAGCATTTGTAATATGAATTCGGAAATCTTGTTCGACTTGGCTGTATAGTCGGACTGCATTTCCACCACGGCTGTTCTCCAAGCAACCGGTGGAGGACATAAGAACCCTTGGCGTTTGAAACCATCCACTGTCTGTTTTCCGAGATCATACTGTACTACACCTCCGTGAATATCATCCGGCATACCCACCACCACATCGCCAAGGTAAATGTCGTTCTTCGGGCTGGGAGTACCTCCCCCGATGCCTACCAGCAAGCGTAGCTGAATAGATGTGAATGTTCGTCTCATGTCCGTGGCAACGATTGCTGCAGCCCCAATTCCCTGTGATCCTTGGGGTAAATAACCAATTGCGACATTGTGTTTTCCCAACTTTCCAAGGATATATCTGTTATGATCATTGTCTTTCCCTGGCAGCCTCACATGTTCCTCGTCAAGCATATATCGCATGGCCGACATCTCTACCTCTAAAGGACATATTATGGCGACATTGTAATCGTCGTAGCCGAATGTCATTTGACCTTCAGCGATGGTGTGGTCAGAGTGGCATAGCGTTGTACTGATGTGTTCTCGCCCAGGGGCTGGAGATGATGGCGATGCTTCAGGCAGCGAATTAAAGGGACAGCCGAGACATCTTCTGCGTCTTATCGATGAATGACGGACGATAGTCAGTGGCTCATCGGATGCAAGAGAACAAAGAAGCGTACGGAAGGCGGACACTGTGGACTATGGTGCAGTGCGGCTGAAATGATACTGAAGGAGGTCGAGACCAGCCCAGTTATGGTGGTCGAGCCTCACTGGAAGATGTCTAGCATATTGCATCAGTTTCGTCCATCTGGGGACGACGAGTGTAGACGCTTGTGAAGAGTGGTCTTCTGTACATCAGATGAAGAACACCAGAGGGGTTTTGAGCGGATACGTCTAAAGTGGGTTGGATAAAGCTAACTGTATATGGTTAGTTTCAGCGGCAGAGCGGATCGAACCGAAGCGTCAACGTTTTGGAGATAAAGTACCTTGATGGGTACGTCATTGCTCTGGTACCATGGGGCATCAGTTCATTGTGTCTCTTGGTGTCCTTTCAAAGGGATGGGCAAGTTGATTCGCATTGTCCCTCAAAGTGTCTGTTCTTTTGAGCCCCTCTCATTTGCATTGTATCTTGAGATCTCAGGGGCAGAATAAAAGTAGGAGATACCATGTATTCAAGTCTTAAAAATCCATGGCTTAGCTTGGGTAATTTTCAGCACATCACAACACCACTACCATTTCGCAGGAGGACGCATTCAGATTCATCGTCAAGAACTATCTTCCAAGCCATCTCTCGGCGAAGAACATCCCACACTACGTTTTGTATTGCGACAAGCACCTTGTTTGGGAACTCGCTAACCATTCTCAGCTACATCGGGAGCATGGCTGACAATCTGACTAACAAGAGCACTGTAGATCTCATCAAGATTCTCAAATCCAAAATTGACTTCAAACGCATCTCCGCAAGGCGTGTGCGTTGTACCAGGGCTGCGGATATGGTGCTGGCCCACGCCTTGAAATATATCGAGCTCTTGTGTGATGGCCATATCACTTCTTACAATGCAGAGAAACTCACATATCGCGAGATCGTGGCAAAGCTCAGAAGAAAGGAACCAACTGTTCCATGGCGAAGCCCGAACGCTCGGCGTGAACGTCCCGATTATAGACGATATGTGAACCAATCTGCCATTGAGCTGATCGATTACTTCATCGAGCGCAATGCAAAAGGTAAGGCTGAGGATGGTCCTGCGGAAAAACTGAGTATACAAGATGAATTTGTCACAAAAAAAAATATTAAAGTGAAGGAAGTCGCGGCTGGTCCAGATCGTGGTGAACCTGAAGCTGCAACGACTGACAATCGTGCTAAATAAGTTCAGTGAAAGGCCACACCTCCAATTACTGAGACTGAGACCAAAGGGCTCAGTGAGCGAGAGGACTGCCTCAGCAATGCTTTAATTTGTCGACCGCCGCTCACGGGAATAACCACGAAAAGAGCTCAAATAAGGTACGCAAGTATATTCGTTGTTATTGAAGTTCATATGCTACAAAGGTGAGGCGGCTATTTGCGTGATTGATCGAACAGATCGTAGGCTATGAAGCTCAAAGGGCATATGGGCTTACTAGACCCTCAGCCTTTTTATTCATCCTACACTGAAAGTCCAAATCTAGGTCTGGAAACATGCGATCGAGGATTTGTAGAAGAAAGTGATCCATGCCACATCGTGACTTCGACGAGCACCAGACACAAACTTTGCCTTATAAACAATGATAGTCAAACAATAAAATGATCTCTTTTCTTTTTACTCCTGCTGATTGCTCTTCTGCGTTTCCTTTGTCTAAAAGTCGACAAGATAGACAACAAGCCTGTCTGAGAACTAACGCTTCACGTTGTACCACAGCCACAGCGAGCCGCGCGACTCACACTAAAATCTTCACTGTTGGCACTGCCTCTTGGTCTGCGTGATCATTCACCAAGAGTATGATAAATAAATTACTGCCGTTCATGTTTACCTCTCTTCCACTTTTGCTTTTCCCTATCGCCAACGGGTTCTCACTCTGACCTTTGAAACTCATACATTACCGACGGTCAGTAAGTTAGGGCTCAATTATGTCTCGCAACCTCCGAAGCAAGACCAACGACCAGCTCTTGCAGATCTTGCGCCACAGCATCTCATATCGCCGTATCGACGCAAGATATCCGCGCAACGTCATCGCCGACAACCTGATCCTTGCTCATGCACTTAAGTGCATTGAAGTACTTCAAGACGGTCATGTCAGTTCCAAACACGCCGAGGACTTGTGGTACCGTGAGCTTGCGATTCGGATTCGTAGGAGAGAGGCAGTTTTCTTCTACGGACCCAGCAAGAATAACTCAAATATCAGAGTCTCCTGGGCCTTGCGTGATGTGACTATTGTGGCGATTGAGCTGATTGATAACCTCAGAAAGCGTGCCGGTCGCGATCAGCATCAATCAAGCGGCACAGGAAACAAAAATGCGAAAGGAAATGCAAAAGAGGTGGATAACACTGCTGGATCATCTATGATGACAAGGAGCATGCGAAACAAGGTCTCTGCTGAAGTGACTCGCGGACAGGGAAACTCTGGAGATGTGAACAGCAGAGTCAATCCGGCGGTCCCAATAGTAGCATGTGTTAGGAAGAATCGATTTCTAATGGCGAAGAAAGATGAGGAGCCAACTGTCGAGCAGCAATGTGTTACACGGACGCTAGACAGTATTGAGGCCTGGGCTGATGCTTGGTTGGTTGGCAAGTTGAGCACTGATGAGGACTGGAAGGGTTTCGAGAATTGTTTGGGTGGTCCAGGGGCTTAGATTGTCGATGCTGGTGGAACTGCAGCTCAGATCGAGTGAGCACAGAATTCAGCTGTGGAGCTAAGATTTTGAAGGCCACTCGCAGGATTTACAGCTGATTGTCCGAGTACTACGCTAAGCTACTTGGCAGTAGGCACGTAGCAGGGTACGTCGAATTCGTCCCTTGGGGTTCAACAAAGGGGCGCCAGCCTTGCCAAGCCTGTACACAGCCTTGCCATCGAGTCTCAAATCATGGAACGGGTACGCAAGGGTGCTTTGGGTTGGGACATTTCGATCACGTAGATGTCCTGGTCTTCTCCGTACTTTAGGAACAAAGGCATTAGATGTCTGGTCGATCATACAAGCCATAGACACACCCTGAATGCTCCTAGCCCCCAAAGTTGCAAAGGCTGCAGATGCCAGAATTTAGGAACTGTTTCTCGGAGAAAAGTGTTCTTCCGGGCGGAAAAGGTTTTAGCCGACGTTGTCTCTCCAATGCAAGCTCCCCCTGTCAATGTCCTCGCTTTCTTTAACCCTCAACCCAGACTTTCGATCATCCCCCGGATTTCCCCAACATTTGGCGAGCACGACGGGTCGAGACCATGCAATCCTCGGCGATGTTCGCCGCTTCATTGCCCGACAATGTGATGCGCGATATCCTTCATCGTGGCCGTCACTCGCGATGGTGCCCGATCTGTCTGCCGGAGCGTAGATTATTGTGAAGCTTCCTCTGCCACTTCTCCTTTATGTATGTGCTTTGTGTCCGCCTTCATATGTTCCATGCCATCCTCTTCCAACTATAGCCTTACAAGATTACTGAACGCCCAGATCTCACAATGTCGAAGAAGAACCTCTGGTTCGCCGCGGCCGTGGCACTTCAGACTGGGGCAACATTCGGCTACTCGGTTGGATTCGTCGGTGGTGTACTTGTCCTTCCTTCCTTCCTCCGACATTTCCATCTCGACACTGCTTCTACGCATGATCTGGCTCGTGCGCAGTCCGTCATTGTTTCCTCATGGATCGTAGGTGCTTTCTTCGGCGTGCCGACGGGTATTCCAATATGCTCGCGCTATGGTCGCAAACCGTGTCTGGTATTTTGTGCTGCCCTTTACCTGCTGGGAGCTGTGCTTCAAACGATTAATGCTGGGTCGTCGATCGGGCTCTTTGAATTGGGGAGGTTATTGAATGGATTTGGTGTCGGCGCTGGGACTTTGGTGTCTCCCGTATAGTAAGTACCTAATGATTCGCCACCCCACACGACGTAGTACTAATTGAACCCTACAGCATCTCTGAAATCTCATCACCAGCAGATAGGGGGATGTTGATGTCTGGTTATCAAGTCGTTATTCAGGCCACTGCCCTCGTTGGATTTTGGGCTGCGTATGCTGCAAACGCCGTGATCGAGAACGCGTTTGACCTACAGTGGCAGATACCCGTGGCGATCCAACTGATACCAGGATTGGTGCTGCTTCTTGGTACATTTTTCATACCAGAAAGCCCGCACTACATTGCGGGGAAAAGAACTATATTTGAAGTCGAGCAGACTCTAGCCTGGCTACGAGGTCGACCATATGGCGATTCCCTCGTCACTCGGGAAGCCAGGGAGATTTACGACTCCGGCCTGGCTGCCAAACGAAGACAAGCTCTACAACCCGTGTCTTTCACTCGTGCTGCACTGACGAATCCTGTGCGAAAGAGACTCCTGGTCGGAATTGGCCTGTTTATCACCCAGAATGCCACCGGGATGAATGCACTAAACTATTTCGCGCCAGTTGTCTTCCTCAGCATCGCCAAGTCCGTCTCCGGGGCGCTTTTCCTGACAGGGATATTCGGCGCCGTGAAACTCATCTCGGCCTTCTCATATATGTTCTACTGCGTACGCGTCTCCACAAACAGATTCTGGCTGCTCAGCGGCACAGCCATTTGCGCCATTTGCATGTTCATCCTGGGCTACTGCGCTGCACCGGAACCCGAATCTACAGACCCCGGGCACTCGGCGCATCTAACGATAAGAGGAGCATCTGCCGTGGCCAGCGTCTACATATTTGCGTATTTCTTCGGCCTCTCAAGCGGACCGATCGCATGGAACGTCTGCAGCGAGATCTTCCCCTCCCACCTGAATGCCAAATGCTGCGCGATAACCACATGTACGCAATGGGCATGCCAAATTATCATTGCTGCCGTCACGCCGATCTTGCTAGCATCGATTGGAACACTGACATTCACCGTCTTTGGTGCATGCACAGTCCTGGGCTTCGTTTTTTGCTGGGCCTGTGTTCCCGAGACGCGGGGTGTCGCTCTGGGGAAGGAGATGTCGATCGCGTTTGGACAGGACGTGAAGGATGACGAGGCTGGTGCGGTCGAGGAGATTAGAGATCTTGCTGATGAGGTCACGCCTTTACTTGTTGATCGGAAGCGGAGAAGGAGAAGCTCCGTGGCCATTGTGGTCTGAGACTCAGCGGTGTACATGAGATGAGCATTTCCTCTCTAATCGGTCTCATAGGGAGATTGGACTTTCAAGCAAGGCGTCAGAGGATATTTCGTTTTTGTGCAGATTTATCAATAAGTTTTCCCCGTCGTGTATATGGTTATTTGTAGCAACTACCCGCTTGTTTTTCGCAAAGCTACAGTATTGATGTTCCCGACGCAGAAATTCGCCAAGAGGAAATTCGTTACATCGTTGTCATGAAATAGGTAGTAGAAGATCCCGAGAGCCCCGTGTACTTCGCGCTCAAAATATTCAAAACGATTGTCCGCAGACAATCTCACTGAGTGATATCCAAAAGCCACATGCCACACGATCTAAAGTGGTCGCTGAGGCCGATCATAGCGATCCATCTGTCGACGATCGTAATCATCATAATCGTCGTCGCTCAAGGATGTGTATGCTGCCGGGGCCTTGAGAGATTTGAACCGCGATATTCGTGAATCTTGATTGGCTGGTGACAAGAATGGCGATGATAATGTTGAGATAGAGGTGGGCTCAGGTTGTGCGAAATCTCTGACCTTGAGTTCAGACGCTTCAGCTGCGAGCATTGGGGATGGCTTGTTTGAGTAGCGTTGGTCATGTGGAGAGTCGTCATCGTAGTCAGGGAGATTTGCAGTGGAGCCAGACATGCTGTCAAGTGGGATCATGCGAGCTCTGTCGGAGTCAGGATCTGCCCCTGGTGAGGGTCCCATTGACTGATGATCGCGGCGTTTTGGTCGGCTTCCGCGATGGAAAATGATAGCGCCTGTGTCGGGATGTTCAGAGAAGAAGGTGAACACTGTGTCAATTATGATGACTACCAGGTATGCGATCGCAACAACTGGTATCAACAGCGTGCTCTGTTGAAATTTATACCCTGTTGTACCGGTGTCGACAAAAACCCCTAGACAACCTGATCCGATGAGGAGCGATCCAACGATGACACGCACAATGGGACCACCTGCCTCGGACCGCGTGTGATGAGGTTTACCAAACCAGTACATGGCGCTCAAAAGGAGCAGTGTGGTGCCAGCCCCAATATAGAAGTAGAGCGTCACGACGTCGTAAATTTCGTACATCGAGGCCAAGGAGTCGTGAGCGGCTGAGGATGATGCCTTAGTTGTCGATACTTTGATCATTTTGGACATGCTGGCATCGTGTGCCTTGAAAACGAAGTTTTCTGCATAGTCGAACATTTCATCAACGATAGGTGCGATCTCTGACGTGTAGACACCACCGTTGAATGTTGTATCGTCGGCTATGTTGATGATGGAAGTGAGGTTCAAAGTCCAGTCATACTCCTCCGCCAATTTGTATGACTTGAAATGATCCGATATTTTCCACATGGAGTCATTGAGATAAGTTACAAAGGCGGAATTGTTAGCAAATGAAGTGCTTGGGGCATCCTCAGGACCCGGTCGGACGGACCAAACCAAGTTAAGCCCTTGCACCGCAGAACTCCACGGAATAAGGCTCGTGTTTCCTTCAACCATGAGCACGATGGCAGAATGAAGTGGAAAATGCAGAAGAGCCCATATTTGTTGACGAATAGTCCCCATCTTGCCTTCTTCGTCCAATTGATCAAAGTATAGCATCCAGATGAGGTAAAGAAGTAATACCGCAGCGATCACAGAGCCTATATCGTTGGCGCTAGTTGATTTATTAGCTTTCGTGATGGTTGATAGTGACTTTGAAAGACCAATTATTCCTTCACCCGTCACAATCAGCGTTAGCAGAGACAAACGTTCAGTTAGATGGGCGTGTTTGAAGGATATGACGCGGAAGAAGACAGATATTAGAACCGTCAAGACACCCGAGAGTACCTTTAAGGTGTACCTATTGTTGTGTTAGGGGTGCGGAAGACAAATGGTTTCAGGGTCAATCTTCAGGAAGCCTTACCAAATGACCAAACTGTGCCATGCAATATCATCGATTGGTAGCATAGTTGCTGTTACACCAAACCCAATCGCCGCGAGTGCGTTGACCAGAGTGGTTAAGGCAACTGGAAGAACTGCTGTTCGATATCGACGACTCTGTATCAGTACGATGAGGTACTGCATCGTCGTTACAGCATGCGAGATGGCCATTGTGACGGCGAACTTTTTGTACGTCCGTGCATCTGACTTGTCGTCGTAGAGATCGAAGATGGGACCACAAAAGACGAAGGCAGTCATGACCCCGAAATGGACGAACTTGAATGCGCGCTCAATGATTGAATCGGTGGCGAAACGAACGTCGTATAAAGTTGTGTTAAGCCAGGTAAACCACAGTAGTGTGAAAAAGCCTAGATAGGCTGCAACGGCTGTCGATCTTTGTCAGCGGAGCGTTCTCTCATTGAATGATATGCTCACATTCCGCATCGCTGTGATTATGTGCAGCAGTAAACGTTGCAAGGTTAGCTACGAAGAATAAGTCGTAAAACAGCTCGATCGTGCTTGCTTCATGACGAGTTTTGTAGAGAATGGGACCATCGGTGGATGATATGGCTGGTAAAACACTGGCACGGGACCTCAGTTTCTCCAAATTGGGAGTTCCATCCGAATCTAGGACGTCGTAGAGCTGATCGTTAACAGGTGACTCGATAAGAGGAAGACGCTTCCGTTCCAGGTGATTTTCGTGAGAATGCTCGCCATGGTGCTTTTGAGTAACTTGCCGGCGGCGAACAGTCAGGTACCGTCCCAGTTCCATCGCACTTGCCGATTGAGGATCAATAGGGCTTTCTTGTTCTAAAGTCTGCCACAGACCTCAAGCTCCATCAATCAGTGGTTACCTAGGGAAGTATGACTTGAGTCGGCATCTTTACCCGTTCAGACGATGAAAATCGGTTGACATGTGAGTCGAACGAAAAAAAGTCGAACAGAACGAATACTACCTAAATAAAAGGCATGATCAGGTAAGTCGATAGGCTCGCTTGCTGATTGTCCCACTGCAGCAACGTTGGGAGACGCCAGTGATGCTTGACTTTGGCTTAGCTCAGCTGCCCCAGTGCTTGTCTATCATTGAGTTGGGTCTGGCAAGCTTGAGCCGAGCCCGACACCCCGACAAGCCAAGGGATGATAGCCCAGACGAAGGCCGTGAAGGAATTTCGATGCTCCATACTGTGTCAAGCAACATGGGTTAAACGAGGCGACAACGGGCGAGCTGGGCCCTTTGCCGCTTGTTGTGACACTGTTGAATGATCCACGGCAATGCCTCCAAAGAATCCTCCAATCTGGGGCTACACAGATGGATGGTATTACAGTACTTACTGCAAATAGACACAACTGGAGTCAAATCTCGGGGACATCCAAACTTCCCAAGCACTGGATGGGGCGATGGTTCAACATTTAGGCACAAGCAAACGCCAAGGGGTCGCTTCCAGGCACCAAATCTCAGCTAGAGGCCTAGGGCTTACTTGCCAAACCTACCAGCTACCAAACTGCCCCCAAAAGGTACAGTATTTAACGCCACAGATCTCCATACCCGGCCTCGGTCCGTCGGGAGATTCTACCCTTCGAACATGATTACTGTAATTAAGAAGTACAAGAGAAACTGACATATCCAGAGAGGTAGCTTACGAAGACCTGAGTACTTCTACAATGCCAGTCGTGCTTGAGTCAGAAGTACTCCGCCAACCATCAGCTCATTAAAAGGGTTGGAGGGACGTCATGAAGTCCTTGATCAAAGAATCCCAGCAAACCGAGAACAAGTTTCAATCGATCGGCCAATGTTGGCAGGTGAGTAGCAGGAGAGCAAGTTGGACTCTGAACCGGCCACTACCGGTTCACTGAGAACCACATTCATCCCTCAACACATCTAGAGCAGGGCCTGGTATTCGAGCAACTCCTCGGCGAAATATTGAACACATGCCAGCAGATTCTACTGGAAGGACTAGCAGAATCACCAACTAAAGAGCTCTCAGACACCTTGCTTGATGTTCAAGTTCCTGAACCGAAGACAGATAGCATTGCAGCCATGGATACCAGTAGCCCAACTAGACGCACAGATGCCTGGCCAATAACGGACCACCAACTTCCTACACCTCCTAGATCGCACCGAGGACCAGACTTAGGGGTGCAATCGAGTGCGGAGAGTTGAGCATGACAGCTTGGACCTGAGAACTCACTGCCGAGTTCTGGTGATATGACACTGCGCAATGTTTGTCTTCCCCTCATATTCCATCCCGCCCTTGGCGCAGACGAACATAACCGCCCTGTTGAGTACTGCAATAACCGCATCGAGCATGCTTCCGAGGAAGAATCTCAAAAATCCAGCATCATCGCCCGAACTCTGTCTCCGAGAAGCAGTATACTCTTATCACAGTGAGCAAGCTTCAACTTGAAGCCGTTCCTGGCCGAGATCTCAGGTGTTTCAGCTGTCCTTTTGTATCTGCTAACAGATACGGCCTTAGCCTCGTGAAAGAAATATCTGGTCTGGTCAGATCAAGCTATGTTCTCGTGTACGGCCGCAAGCTTCTCTCCCTTTCGTGCAATACCGAAGGATGGACTTCTATCGGTTTTGTTCGCTTGTTCATCTTACTTCTAGTGGCCAAGATCGAGGTCCGGGGTACCGACGTATCACATCCACCTCCGCAACGCCTTCAGCCTTGGCCTCCTTTCCCCGCATATATGCCAATGCCTGGCACAGATCAAAGAGGAAAACCCTCGGTTTTATACGCAAAGAACCCTTGGCATAATGATCTGTGAGCCGAGCTGTAACCGACAGATGGAACTTGATAAGATGGACGATGCCCTCGAGAACAGAAGTTTGGAAATGGTAAGAACAACAGGCGAAACATCTCGATCGAAAAAGATTGATTCAGTTCGAAAACAGGCTCTTCATTGCGCCGAGCAAGCTTCATCATGGCAGATACAGAGAAACCTCAGGAAGTACGTGAGGAGCATCCCACTACTTCCGCCACTGAAGGGACAGATCTGAAGAAGACCCTTACTATTGACACCGTCCACAACGATGAAGCAATGAAAGTGCTCGCCACATACTCTGGCGAAGAAACATGGGACGAGAAGGAAGAAAAGCGTGTCCAGAGAACAATAGACAAGAGGTTGTTGCCAATCCTCTGTGCCACTTATGGGTTGCAATACTATGATAAAGCAATGATTTCACAAGCGGTAGGCACATGAGATACAACAAACACCGATGGTGATGACTGACTGGACCATTCGCAGGCATTATTCGGACTTCGCACTGACTTGCAACTAACGGGAAATCGTTACTCAATGTCATCAGCTATATTCTACCTCGGCTTCATTGTCGGAGCATACCCTGCCATTTGGATGGCCCAGAAATACCCCATCGAAAAAGTGGCATCAGGGATTGTGTGTCTTTGGGGCATTTGTCTCATTTGCACTACAGCATGCACGAATTGGCAGGGTCTCTACGCTCAACGCTTCATGTTGGGCTTCCTAGAATCTGGCATTAGCCCAATGTTCATGCTCGTCGTTGGTCAATTCTACAAGAAAAACGAGCAGGCCCTGCGCATGGGCGCGTGGTATTGTTGCACAGGATATGTATCAATCATCGCTCCACTTATCAACTACGGTCTCGGCCATATCACGGGAGCGTTATCCCCCTGGCGTTATATGTACATCGTCGCGGGCATATTAACCATCCTCTGGTCATCCGTCATCTATTTCTTCATGCCCCCGGATCCAGTACGAACGAAAATCTTCAAAAGCGAACGAGAACGCTACATTGCGGTCGCTAGACTAAGAGTGAACAACTCCGGCGTTAGGAATACGCACTTCAAGAAAGAGCAAGTCTGGGATCTCATGACCGACCTAAAATTCTGGATCGTCTTCGCAATGGCATTTCTCATGATGATTGCCAATGGACCTGTTTCAACATTCGCGCCTATCATCATCTCTGGCTTCGGGTATAACACCCTCAACTCATTATTGCTGGTCATGCCCGCAGGATTCATCATCGGCACTATTGAACTACTGGCACCTTACATCGCCTACAAATATCCCAATATGCGCTCATACCTAGTCGTCATCTGCGAAATGGGAACAGTCATTGCAGCCCTCTTGCTCTGGCTACTACCTCGCAGCGCCAAAGGGGGTCTCTTATTCGGTGTTTTTATCCTAGCCAGCTTTGGTGGCGCTTATGCTGTGTTAATGGGCATGCAAATCGCCAATACGGCAGGCTATACGAAGCGATCGCTCTCTTCGTCTATCCTCTTCATTGGCTACTGTCTTGGTAGGCCTCCTGTGTTGATCGTTAACTTGAAAGCCAAACTGACTCGAAAACTAACAGGAAATTTTGTCGGTCCTCTCCTCTTCAAGCCTGAAGACGCCCCAGCTTATGCACCTGGCTTCCAAGCCGTGGTGATAACGTCTGCAATCACTGCCGGTTTGGCGATTGTCTATCGTTTTGTCTGTGTGTGGGAGAACCGTAAACGTGACAAGGCCGGCACCCCGGAAGGGTTCGAGCACGCTTATGAGGATGACTTGACTGATAGGAAGAACCCCCAGTTCCGTTACACGCTTTAGGCCGTGTATCGCGCTTATCAGCAAGTCGCAGTACGATGATCTCAAACCCAGACTCCTGCCGAGCAGATATCCAGGAGAGTAATCAACCCCAGGAGGAGTAAATAGAGACAGCCATACATACAAACACAGCCATCAATCTTAAACCTGAACTCAAGACCGCCGTCTCCTCCCTTTCCAACCCCAATCCCCTTCATGATCCTCAGTATCCTCAAAACTCCTCTTGCGAACATTCACCCTGCCCTCTTCCCCACCCAGGACCCTCACACCAACCCCATGGGTACCCAGCAAGCCACATCTCGAAAAAGCCACGCGTGCAATGCGCTCATCCACACTCCCACCCCTTCTCCCTCGCATCCACGCTTGACTCTCCACAAGACTCATGCCCTGCCACAAGCGCACACAAGCCTCCGCATCCGCAAGCACCCGTGACACGATTCCGCGTAGATTGACCCAGCTCGCCCACTGCAGGTGCGCGGCTCGCGGGGGCGGACAAGGCAGGAAGAGCGCTGGGGTTTGTTGGGTCTTTGCCCCACTACGTGCTGCTTCTTGGAGATTCGACCGGCGCTGCGTATTTGAGTCCGGCGAGTTCGGGTCGTGGAAGAGGAGCAGCTGGTATGGGATGGATTTGTACAGGGGAAGAAGTCGTGATTGTAGCGTGATGTGGGTGTAATGTTTACGGCGGATTCTGTGGCGAAGTTGTGCTCGGAGGGTTGTTGGTGACGATCCTCTGGGTCTTCTGGATGGCTTGCATATCGCCATATTGATGGACCGCGATGGAATGGCGTGTTGATGGTGTGGAGCTTAGTGTGGCGTTTTCCGTCTAATAGATGGGCTGAGACTCTTTTTGGTATTGAGTTGCAGAACAAGTTACCTGCTTGCTGTCCGACTTCTGAGAGTTCAGTGCTAGAGTGTGTTGATGTTTTGCGGCGAGCAAGATTAGGATGAGGATGACGAGGGAAGAACATGCGCAGGCAGATGGGAGATTAGAATCACAGATAGCAACCTTAAACAGAAAGACTCAATATGGGAACCTTTCATTGAACGGTCCGGGCACAAGGAAGTGTCAATATCAAGAAGCGAGAAAGAACGGCGTGCAAGACAACACAAAAAAAGAAGACCGGGCCGCATGAAAACACCCTCGCGAAATGATGCTCTGCTGGATGGATCCCATCAATGAACAATGGAAAACTCACTGGGAATGCAATTGTGAAGATGGTACATTTGACTTGGGGTCAAGATGGGAATGATCTAGGATGGCAGGCAAAAGACCATGCAAAGTTCAGCAACGAATAAGACAATGGAGGTTGCAGGCATTGTTCAGAATAGGTATAATGATATGCAAGAATGAAGATTCTATCCTGTTTGTTGTCCAGATCCTGAACTGGGCACTCAACTGCGAATGTGTGATGCCAGCAAAAGGCGAACATCCTATCGATTGACGGGCTTTGTCGTATATGCATTCATCTCAGTCGTTGAAACGTTCTTTATAGCCGTTGCGTTAGAAAGGATAGGGCATACCCCAACCTCATCATGCGAATGTCTAACAATCATTAACCGCATGAACCACACTTATGTTGTTCGTTGAGTCGCTAAATATCGTCGACATCATCATCTTCAGCACCGTCGGTTTTCAACTTTTGCGACCTTGAAGAGGGTGATCGCCTGGTCAATTCATACTCGTCTCCACCTGCTGCAGCCAAAGCTTGGCGTGCAGTTGGTGACTCGTCGAGGAAATCGCGAAGACGTTTCTTCCCTTCCTCGAGCGCCTGAGCAGAAGCAGCATTTGCCATTTTTAGCATTGGACCCCATAAGTTCAATGTAAATGTGACGTAGCCTGCAACTGCAAGGAGGATCAAGAAAATGAAGTACACTGGATTTCGGAGGACTAGATGGTGTGTCAGTCCAAGTTTGGTGGGAGTGTGGGAACAGAAAGTACTTACCAGCCACGATCTCGTTCCACCCCAAGGCGAGGAGCAAACCGTAGAAATAAAGCGGGACTTGGGTCATGCCACCAATCGCGCTACGCTTGGCTTCGACATAGACACCATCCGCAGCCTTCTTGAATCGGACTGTGAGATCCTGGCGTTTGGCTTCATTAAGCATCGTAGTTTCCTCTTCCAGGGAGACTCCCTCTTCCTCGTCAACACCACCGATTGGTGTTAGATCTTCTTCATCCGCAGGAGTGGCGGCTTCGGGTACCGGACCGATCCATCGGTCAAGTGGTGGAGGATTGCCTGACTGAGAGTTTCTGAAGCGAGCCAGTAATGGGATCAAAGTCAATGTGCTCTCTCTCGCCTTGGTGTAAATTCCTTCGATATCGTCCGTGGGTCGCCATATCCTAGGAACGCCAGCCTCGTCATATCGAAATTTGTCTTCGAAGTTTTCTCGTAATTTCAGCAAGAGGTTGCCTTCCATCATTTCCTCGTCAATCTTCGACCGCAAGACACCCCAGGATTTCCTTCTCAGTCGCCAAACACCAACTTCAACCTCTTCGGCACTTGCGTCAAAGGAAGCTGCTCGATCAGCAAATCTTCGTTCAGCCTCTTGTACGGTTTCGGTAAAGAGGACCCAGATTCGGTCCCAGATGCCTTGCTCAGTAGGCTTTTCTCCGTTCTCCGGAGCACCAGACCCGCCTCGGCCTGAGCCAAGTGCATTAAACTCCAGACCTATGCTGTCGTTCAACTTGCTCCTCACCCATCTCTCCACCCTAGTAGCCAAACGACGCATCTCGTCACGTCGTAGCTGACCAGAGATCTTGTCAAGATCTTTTTGGTAAAGAGTGAGCTCTTGTTTGTAGTTGGACCATGGTAGACCTTCAAGGGTGGCCTCCTTGGCGGCGGTGTCGAATTTCTGCAAAGCCAGTTTCTTCTGCTCCTTGACGATCTCAGCAAAATCATATGAAGCACCCTTCTTCTGTCCAGATTTTACCGCGCTGCTAACAGCGTCGGAGAAGTGTTGAACCCCATCCTTGTGCGCTGCTGATAATTGACCACTGTAAAGCGCTTTCAGTCTGGTATCAATCTTGCCTTCCAATTCGACCCGTTTCCGCTGGTACACAGCCTTGTGATATCTGCTTGCTTCGGTCTCGAAATTCTTGATGGTGTCCAATCTTGCAGCTTTCATCGCCGCTCCCAGACCTTTAATGACTTCGGGTCGGCCACTTCGGGTAGCATCTGCTTGCTTGGTCTCAATGGGGGTGATGGCAGCGTCGAAGGCCACCACAACCTCCCGCATAATCTCGTCACAACGAAATTGGGCGAGAAGTTCTTGCTGGGTCGGCAAGTCAAGGTCTTTGTTGTTGACAATTTGATCCCAAATACCTTCAGCATAATGCGAAAACCCATCTGCCGGTATTCTTCTGTGGTATTCTGGAAGGAATATACCGCCCTCAAATTCGCCAAGTAAGGCGTCCCTTCTGCGATCTCGATGGCCGTCTTTGAACCGCGTAGCCATCTTAACAACCTCTGCCTTGAATTGATCTGGCTGGTAGAGCTTATGGGGCAAGGCGGTAAAAGCAAAATCGAAGTAGTCATCAATGCTGCTCTTCTCCAATCCTGGTGGTTTTGAAAGACTGGTCCAGATCCTACTTAGGTCCTGCATTAAAGTATTTCGCAGATTCTGTAGTGGGGTAGTCCCTAGGAAATCTCGGATGACGAAGTAGAGTAAACTCCTGGACATGGACTTCCTGTCCTTGAGAAAGAGTTGTAGATTGACTTCGAACACAGTCTTGAGTAGTCCCATATTTGCACCTTGGTACAAACCGACCTGATGTTCCCAAATATTGACCATTAAGACTTCGCTTGTGGCTAAAGCGAACAGGGAACTCTTTCGCTCAAAGTCTTGATCTTCTCCTCTTTCGCGACCATCTGTTCCTTCGACATCCATGACCAGGATATTATCCGCCATGGAGGTGGATGAAGACTTGTTCTTTGACAACCATATTCCCTTGGTTGTCTGACGCCTTTCGGCTTCCGACATAACGCTGAAGTCGGTATTGAAGAGCGCATTCAATAGGGTGGACTTGCCGGTGGACTGGGACCCGAAGACAGAAATCGTATGGTAATTAAATCCTGCATGTGATACACCGGTGTGCTGCAAGTACTTGGCGAGATTGGGACTGTGAGTGCATGGTCAATAAAGGTGTTGACTTCCGTCGTGGTTAATTTGCGCAGGAGACATACTTGAAATCTTTGTCCTCGTCCACGACCTGGACCCCGTTCTCGAAGTTGCTGTCGCCATTTTGACCGACGGAGGCAAAGTGGCCATTAACAGACATCTTGTCTGGCGCAGTATAAGCCCGATTTGCAGGTATGGGCCTCTGAGACGTGGAGTTCGAGGAGTCTAGCGACTGTGGTGGGGAGAGTGTTGAGTTGGCCATGACGCCCAAACCGGATGATATACCCCGGCAAAATATCCTTGGTGTAGCGATGTTGGCATTAAGAGGATATGGATAGAGTCACCGGGACAAAACAGGGTGAGTTGGTGGTGGTGTGGTCGTCTAATTCTGTGAGATCTGGCCAGTGGTGGAAGTGCAACCCAGAACTTGGTCGGATGACCTCAGGGGGAGCCTTCCCAGCCAAGGTTGAAGCGTGACACTGGGGCATCAAAATGACACCTATAACTCGAAGTTTGCCCCCGAACCTCCAGGCGGTTCTGGGTGTCTGATTTAGAGTCTTTTAGTTAAAGCCAGGGCAAAGGTGCCACCAACCCCCGCCACAAGAGCCAACTGCCAATACTGGCAATTTTAGGCTTCCACTCTGTGTGCTCCAAAATGAAGTCGGTAAAGTTGCTGTTCCTGGAAGGTGCCGCCTCAGTGCCTGAAAGGTGACGGTGGCTAGGCCGAGGGGAGCATCATTTCAGCCTTGCCCAGAGGTTATATTACGCAAGGACTCGAGGAGCCTAATGTGCTGCCAGTGTGATGCACTCTCTGTCATTCTAGATACCTGCCTCTACACACCATTCTTAAAACACTATCAAACGATTCTCTTGTTCTTCATTCGCCGTCATTCGACTAAAGTGCATTCAACTCATTAGCACCATCTGTAGAGGCTTCCCTTGCGTGCAAGACATCTCCTCTCAACGGCAGACGAATTATCGGCATCAGAATCACATAATGAATTGATCGTGCGCAAGATGATCTTCGCATTAATCAATAGTTCAGAAACGTCTCGACTATCGTGCTTCATGTCATCTCGTCGAAGTGGATGAGATCCTGTTTAAAATTCAGACAACAGCCTTTCAATCTGATTCACATGCCTCAGAAGAAGAGGAAACATCGACACGCCTCAAATGAATCGAAGCTCTTGAAAAGCGTGACCCGCGAGACCCGTGGAGAGGCTATCGAGGTCCCAGACGAATCTCACCTTGGGAATAAACTGGCTAACAGCCAGGAAACCAACTGTAATACGGCTCATGTGAGAGACCATAAAAGTCCGCGTGTACACCGGACCGTGAAATGCGAATTGGGAATTCAGACAACCGACCAGAAGAATTCATGGGAGGAGCACGCCATTCTGAACGAACTGGTGAAGCAGGAACTGAGAAATATCGAGGGGATCAGGCGCAAGGAATTCCAGTATCTCAAGGGAGTTCCGAAGGATGAGGCACTTAGGCAACTCGACTCCATGGGGTTGGAGGAGCTGAGGAAACTTGCAGCACAGCTGAAATCTCTTGGAGACGGCGAGACAACTGCAGAAAAGGCCATGTATGACGATGACGAAAGCGGCGACAACGACACCCCGAGATGCCTCACACCACCAGCTGAAGAGTGATATCTCATTAGCCCGGGAACTTCGACGGGTCCCCAATCATGGGCAAGCAGGGCTCTCTGCCATTCGAATGCAAAAGATACCCACCGTCTGGAAATAGAGCACGCAAGAGCCAGATAAGGGACGATAATTGATGTATCATGACGCCTTCCATTCTTTCATCCGGGGTGATACCAAATGGGTACAATATGTACAAAACTTCTTGTTCTCTTGTTTTCGTCTGTCGATAAGAACACAGAATTTTTCACCCTTGATCGTATGTCCATGCATAGCCTACCTGATCAAGAATATAGACATCGCTCTAGAATCCATTTTCTTCGGCCATGGTTCACGCGGCCTTCTTCAACTCTTGTCCGTCCTTTCCGATACCGACGTCCTTCTCGTTGGGTCTGAGGATCAGTCTGTCGTTGGCAAACGTCTGCCAATCTCGTAAATGTATAGGAGTTTGTCCTTTAGGTGTATCTGGGATGACCTTTTCCAAGCCCTGTAGACAAACGTGTATCAGCACCCGTCACATCAACGACCAACGTCGACATATCTCCCAGAAATTCACGTACAATTTTATTGAACACGCATTTGTTTAACAACCTCTCCGGCCGCCGACACTGCCATAATTGATGGTTGTTGTTCTCCAGGCACAACCAGTGTGATCTGAATTCCTCGAGGCAGTTCTTATTAATGTCGTCGATCCTGTAGCCCGGAACCGGTCAGCTCACAGTATATCCAGGGCGGGCCTCCCGTAGCCATTTCTGTATCGTCCCTCCAGGTGTTGCCCTCAGCTCCCAAACGGTCAGACTTACACGCTGGAAGCACATCGCGTCACCTTCCTCCCCTCTCTCAAGCAGTCAATCTCTCCACGGCCGTAGGCCTCGGTCTTGCACTGCATGTAGTCGTCATTGTAAGGCCGACACCGGGCACCAATGAAATAGGCTGCGCTGAGTAGAGGTGCTGAACTGGCTCCGACTTCTTTGACCGCGGGAATGTGCTCGGGCATAGGCGTCGTGTCGACCAGGACGCCTTGCGTAAATCTGTGGTCCTCGTTAGCTATCTTTGAGCTTCGTTGGGTGCGGCCACGGTCCTGGGTACCTTGCTTCTCTGTTCGACATGGCTGCGGCAGTGGGACGAGACCGTTCTACCTGTTTAAAAGCACCAGGAGGGTGTTGCGTTCTAAAGTGTCGACTGCGGTCAAGCCTGCGGAGCTTCAACCGGGGAGATGCCAAGCCTCTACTTGGGCTCCCGATTTGGCAAAAAGTGATGCTGCTCTATTGTTAGCCCTGTTCATGACAACCTCTCTCCAATTACGAGTACTCCATACGTCAGCGAACACCCTGGGGACTAGAAGCGACTTCGAGGACGTCGTTATTAAAGGGCAGCGTCTTTTTCAAATCCCTTGCATCTGATCTCGAGAAATAGGTACGTCGCCGCTCACTGTCTTCCATCTAAGTGAGAACTCCTTAGCCCGTGCAATTTGTACCTCAACTACCTAGATGACTACGTCAGTATCGGAAGCGACATATCTTTCATAGACTTGTATTGAAGACTAAAGGACCTAGGTAACTACTTGAGTCTCAATGGTTCACACCAATGATTCTCTAAGTGTAAAGCGGCGTGAAAGCACTCAGTGGATGGCTTTAGATGACTTGAGCAAGAGAACTTTGTGTTTCTCCAATGTTGGGGAAAGGAAATATCATTAATTGGGGAGAATTGTGTCAAAGCCTATGAATTCGATATGAGGGGACAATGAACAGTTTTCACAATATTAATCTCCTGTCCATTTATAGTGGCACCCATGAAAGAGTTTGAAGACGTAGATGCGTCCATTCTATTACGTGTCTCACGACTGAAGAACAATCTAACAGAAGATGGCCTCGAAACAGACCTTATCCATGAATGGACCAACCTTTCTACGAGGTTCGGCAATGCTCATTATTTGGGGTGGGCTTGATCAAGGAAAGACAAATAAAGAGGAAGAGGAACTGAATGACTGGTGGAGTAATGAGCACCTTCCGGAGCGACTTGCCATTGACGGCTTCCTCAGAACACGTAGATTTCATGCCCTGAGGGAAGGTATATCGCAATACTTGGTCTGGTATGAAGTCGCAAATTTGGAAGTGCTCACTTCGCCCGATTATATGGCGGCGCTCAATAGTCCCACGCCTGGAACCAGAAGGTTCATGCCAATACTTGCTTCAATGAACCGGTCAGCTTGTCGTGTTTTGTACTCGGTGTCCCGACCTGAATTTAGCAAGTGCAAAGAAGGTCCCACAGGTGGGACAATAGCTCACGTTGTCCTTGAACCACCCCAGTCTTCGGAAGGCAGGCAGCAAATACTGTACTGGATTCAACGAGACGGATGGGCGGGGTTGGTTTGCTATCCAGGCACACTGGCGTTACACCTGATGGAGCACGATGAAGCAGCGTCCAATTCTGGGAGTAAGACAAAATCGTATGATGGGGTTCGTTTCCAGGACCGGTCAGAGGATGCTCGAGGCCGGTGGATCCTGTTGGTGGAATATGCTGAGACGATCACAGCACCATTTGCAAAGCACCAAGCAGCCAGTGAAGCGCTGAGGCGGGGAATACACGGCTGTGGAGTTGTGTCGGGAGATCCTCAATATTATAGCCTCATTTGTGCTGCAGCAGAGTAGTTAGAATGGTGTCGTGATATGTTCCTGTCTGAAATAGATCAACACAAGAACAACACAGTGAACCTGAGAGGCTTTAACCGCCTTCACAACCGGTGGATATGCTTAAGATGAAAGTCTTCCTGTGCCACACGAATGCTACACTGTCAATGGGTCCTCGAAGTATACTTACAACACCGAGGACCAGTTCTTCAAATACTTCCGAATCTCTCTCTCAGTTTTACGACCCCGTACTTATACCGAGGTCTTAAGAGTCATGGGATTAGAAAACAGCCCCCAGTGTTATAAAATGCTATCCCCAATATTGAGCACCAGATTGCCAACCCGAGGTGCAGAAGGAGGGCAAGACGCATACATGCTCAGTATGTACACTACTCCAGGCGAGTAGAATAGGTACTTTTGACAGAATTCTTGACAATATGCCAGGCCAGGTGACAAAGCTCATGGAAAAGTGGAAAGACTTTTCATTTCTCCAAAAGCTGTGATCCTCAAATCGAGGCTCTCAGGCCACGATCCGAGATGTGGATGTTCGTCGAGCCCAAAGGAAACCGAGATCAATCAAGCGGCACCAGGGCCCCATTACATTCACTTACTATAAACTTACTTATGAAACTTGATAGTTTCTATTGCCAGCTGGCTCGGGGGGCCGTCATTGTTTGCCAGAGAAAAGAGATGCACAAGCTTCTGGCTGGCTAGACATGGTTGCGGCAGTCTTCCAGGAGTGAAAACAAAGTCTGCAGTATGAAGCGAGGTGACCGACAGTGATTTAGTGTCGTAAGGGCTCAACGGCGTTGGTGACACGGTGAACAACGTGGAGGTTGATGGTTCCCCAAATTGTCCTGCCAAGCCTCACGACTGCCACTGCAGAGCCTCGCTCGCTTCCTCCGCAAGTGCCTCCCTCAATCGCGTCCGCGTCAAAACATTTCCAAAAAAAGAGACTGAGCGCATCTCTTCAGCCAGACATACGAGTCACCACGATCAACACTTCTACTACTACCTGTTCCTGCCTTAATCCTCCTCGCTCAATCTACCGTCTAATTCCACTTCATAATCGACCGCTGAGATGAGTTTCTTCGGTAACTCTCAGGCGCAGGCGCAGCCTGCTAAGCCCAGCCTGTTCTCTCAGCCCTCAATGTTCAACCAGTCGCAGAATCAACAACCTCAGCAATCGCAACAACAGCCGAACCAACAGAGTCAAGCTGGAGCAGGACTGTTTTCCGGCTTCAGCTTCAGCAAGCCTGCAAGTCAACCTCAACAGCAAGCAAGCGTTGGACCCTTTTCAGGATTGAATCCCGCGTCTACGCAGACTCAAAATCAGTCAGGATCTGGATTGTTTGGTACAAGTACGACTGGTGGCTTCGGGACAAGCATGCAGCAGCCACAGCAACAGACTGGTGGCATTTTCGGAGTCTCCTCTCAACAGCCGGCACAGGTGCAGCAGCAGCAACAACAACAACCACAACGACCCTTGGATCAGACGCTGCGCTTCGGTCAGTCTCAACAAGGACAGTCGGCTTCGCCCTCATTGTGGGAAGAAGGGCGTGGCTTGAACGTGTTTAGATCAATACCAGCGCAAATGAACATTGTGAAAAACAAATGGGATCCACAGAACCTGTCTTCGCCTTTGCGCGCCTACTTATATCAACATGTTGGAAACGAAACAGAAGCATTCAAATACCGAGCTGGCCCAGATGAAGATGAGGATAAGTGGGAAGAAGCAGTCAACAAACGACCTGGTCCTGAATGGGTTCCGCTAGTAGTGAGAGGTTTCTTTGAACTGGGCCGCAAAGCTCAAATTCAGATGGAAGCTATTCAGAGATGTAACATGATGCTCCAAGAGATCAATGCATCACTTGACGCCCAGTTGGATACCCACCGCCAGAACGTTGCTACAAGGCTTGAAGAATGCAAGCGGCGACAAATTGCAACTGCGCAAAGAACTTTGGCCTTGGCAGTCAAGGTTCAGACTCTCCGAAACAGGGGTTATGTGATGGACAACGCGGAAGAAGAGCTGAAATCTAAATTGGAGAAACTCCAACGTGAAGTTTTCGACCCAAGCCTCAACGCACGTGAACAGGAGGTTTGGGCACGCATGTTGGCTATCAGGGAGCGAGCGAAGCGCATCAAACTGGAAATGGAAAAGGTCACACCAGCTGCGACTGAGAAGGACTCGACCCTCGATGAAGAGACCATTATGGCTGCCAAAAAGGTACTTGTTCTTAAATCCAATTTGACATTCATTCGCTAACATAAAATTCAGACACTGGAAGCATATGATACTCAACTACGACACTTGCAAAAGGAACTGGACTTGGTTTCACAAGAATTCCAAGACTGGGATAAGATCTCAAAAGACCGAGATAGTGATGTCCCTCGACGACGCTGATGGCGGGGCTAGATGCTTCAAGCTACACTCAAGTGGACTTTCAAAACTTGCTGTCACAATTTGATGGCGTGGGGGAAAATCTTGCATAGCGACTGGCGATTTTGGGAAAAGACCTTGATGGATCGAGAAGCTCTTCATGTTTTGCTATGAGTTGTAGAACAACAGTTCAAACTTCTCACAATATTGGCCCGATCTCATACTGTACAAAAAATTCTAATGTACAACAAGAGAGGAAAATAATCTCTTGTCTTTGGTCCACCCCATGATGCGATCTGAATATGGAGAAATTATGTTTTTATGCCGTCATGATGTTGCATCCATTCTTCTCTAACAACCTGATATCCCAAATCTCCACCCGGTGAGTCGCGAGTCAATAACCAAAAGCGAATCCATATCTAAAACAGCTTCTGCGCCCAATCGATCACATGTGGAGCTGTGTAGCATTCTCATCAGCAAAGTCGTCCCTTCGAAACCTCGACCGACAATTCGACAATGCAACAAAGAGCATCAGAGGATGCATCCGGGCGAAGTACATAGCCTTGGGCGTCTCTGTCTCTAAAATTCCAGCAGTGAGGAGGAGAGAGGACGTAACGTACAAAACCATAGCGCCAGACATGCGACCGTGAAGACCTGCACTTCCGTCGTGGCGCGAGCCTCGCCGGCGCGGATCTCTTTCTCCGAGAGTTGTTCTGGTGCTGCGTCGTTCAAGAAAGATATGTTAGCATGGGTTCGGACATAGGCATGGCAGTTCGGGAACTGCTCTTGCTACCCGTGGGATATGGGGAAGATTTCGGAGAGAGTGTTGCGAGTGGGACACTTACGACCTCCAAACATGTTGTGGATGCGGGTGATGAGGGTGGATGTAGTATATGTGGAAGGGGAGGAATGGATCAAGTATCGATGGGAGGATGTGTTGACTGGTTGCGAGAGGGATGTAATTTGTGGTTCGGTTGTCGTTTTGGTATACAAAAAGTTACCAGTTGGCGCAGGTAATTCGTGGCCCTAAGATCCGCCGGACTCGCTACGGTGGGGGGTTTAACCTACATTGGTGAAAAGATATACGATATACAAGGCCCCTGGAGGTATCATTCACGGCCCGTGGCAGCCTCGTCTTCACATAAAATTAGTTGAATATTCACTACGAAATTATTAGTATATATTTTTATGTCGACCAAAATCCCTCAACAATTAGCAGGGTAGGGAGCTACGTCAATGGCGGACCTCCTGGCCTTAATTGCTAGTCTGTTACGAACTCCATTCCTTGAAAGTCCTCAGATGAGTGATGGTGGAGATAAGACAAAATCTCGATAAAAAGAGGTTTTATCCTGCTTCGGCAAGAGTTTTTGTGTTCTGAGTGTTCAAATCCTGAGCTCGTCGTTTTATCTTACTTTTTTGTTGATTTTTGGATCTCAATTGTCTTGGTGTATTTACATGGTTCGGCAGAGATGACTTCCTATCGCAAGAGAAAGCAGAATCTGGAGATCTCAGATTGAGGACTAGTTATTTGGTTCTAGAACAGCCCTATTGAAGCCGCAGAAGTCGCACTCGCCAACATCAGTCCGTCACCACGGGTTGTTCAGCAGCCAGGTAGTGTATAGATGTCTGATGCCCAAATTGTAAAAGCCGAAAACTGGTCCTCTGCATGGTTTGATTTATTAGCCAGTGGCTCGCAGATGTCCGTACCATGGTTGAGGTGCGTGATGTGCTAGCATGGCTGACTATGATCACCGAGGGATCCCTCAGGCGAACAAGTCCGTCATGCCAGCAGTAACCTGCGCTAGCAGTGGGCCATCGACAACATTGACCCAGGGGCCGAGAGAAGACGATCAAAGCCATACTAATATTACCGAAATGAAACATTGTTCGTTGAAATACTCAGGATCTTGAAGCTGTCTTCTCCCAAGCCAAGCTTCTGTAGTCGCTCGAGGACCCTATCCCTTTCGTCTTCGAGGCAGGCGGCAAGGTCAAACAGGGACTGAAGACCCTGTAGTTGCGGTTTCAATGCTCGACTTCGGCTCATTGAGTGCTGAAAGGCACGGAACTCTTGGGAGAAGATGCTCGGTTCGGTGGGTAGGTTGGTGCGAAACACCGGAGTCTCCATGGTTGTAAGGTTCATTTTGCCAAGTTTGGTGGGTAGTTGACTATTCTTGATCGATATTGAGGGTTCGGTCCTCTCATGGACTTGCCCATTCGCAGTGGGTGCTCGGTCTGCTTGATTTCGAAGTTCGGATATTTCACGTTCGCACGATTTCCTAGACTCTGCCCGTTCATTCATGTCGACTGTGTATGTTTGGTATTGCTTACCTACATTGTTTGAGATATCTCGAATAGCTTGGATCGCAACTGTCGGTACCGCAAGCTATCCAAAAGCCTCTCCACATTACGAATTTCGAGACTCGTGAACTCAAAATGTTCTGTCGCCGTGCTGACCCTCTTCGCTATCGAGAGTCGCGAGAATTGTAGCATTTTCTCCGACAGGAGGAACAATCTGGCATATAACTGTCGGACATGTATCTCGCCCTCTCTCGTCCCATAGAACTCCGTATCCGATTCCAGCAGCGATGTATCTCGTAAGATGAAGTAGACGGCTTTGAGATGGTCCAGAAATTGCATGTCGGCCTGGAGCTTGTTTCTGAGCCAGGAAGCACGAGCATAGAATCCCACGGCCAGTGCGACTACGAATGTCAGGATAGCTAGGATGTTTGCCGTCATCGACAGCGGGCTGTCCTCCGCCATACCGATTCAGCACAAGCGCAAACGCGCTTCCGTTGAAAGGGAGCGGTGGAGGAGCAAACTTCGAAGAACAGAGCGAGCTCCAACGAGTATGTAGCCCTCGTGTACTCCGTAGTGTGCGACATTGTTGGTGGTTGGAGCCTGTCTTGAGCTTCCATGATCATGTTCTCGCTGCTCTAGTCAGGCTCTAAGCCACCTCTGAGCCACACTGGTCTGGAACTACAGCACAGAGTAGTGGGGTCCGAAATGGCGTATCGCGGATCACACCGATAGGTAGCGAGTACCCCAGGAAAGCCATCGACCTGACTCATCCTACCGGAGCGATCGGGATTGTCTCGTCTTCGAGGTTTGATCATCCTTGAAAAGAGTACGAGGTATATAGGGCGACCAGGAACCAATGGCCAATCCTCACATGAAGTCTGCCTCAGAAAGACATGTGCACAGCAATAATCTTTGCATCCAGGCAAAGCGTGGACGTAGTCACAGCATCTCCCATGTAGAAGTCAAAACAAACCCTGTTTGACGGGATGACCCTGGCCGTTGTGCCGCAAAATTAGCTGGCCTGATGAACCTGCTATTTGTCCGCCCCCTGAAGGCCAAGGCACTAATGAGAGTGCTCGCATTCAAGTTCAGTTGGTCGCGCTCCATCGGGTTCCAATAAGAAAATATAATCTTCGAACTTGGGTGGCCTTGAAGCGTGAATATGACAAAGTGGTCTGCTTCCTTCAGAAACAGAAATCATGCAAGCGAGGGTTTTGGTGCGTGTATAATCTGAAGCAAGACCTTTTGAAGGAAGCTGTGGATATGTTGTCCCAATAGAGTGCTACGAATGATGATACACCCGTCTGCTGAATGGCTAAGAACACTAAAGCATCTGGAGACCAAGTCAAATACCTTGCAGGGACACCACAATATCACAGCTGGGGCTAAAAGTCAAGGTCGAGGGTTCACGGGTGACAATCTGGCTCGGACATCACTTCATTGGCTCGTAAGGCGTGCCGTCCACTTCGTTGCGAACATTTTAGACTCTTAGACACGTTGGGTCGCACCAAAACTAGCCCCAGACAAGATGGATACAGGATCTGAAGACATCTGAGTAGCATCCCCTACCCGTACAAAATGGATCTCTGCCCATGTTTAGTTCGTCCTTCAGCTAATGTAAACACTTCGACTGCGCTCGTTTTTGCCGTACATCTCATCGCCGCTGACTGCATACCTAGTATATCGCACAACTCTCGATCGCATATTCTTCAGCTTTATCGTTATCAGACTGTCGATCATCGAATAGAACCTAGACTTTATTCATACACGAACTGGCCTGGCCGTTCGATAGCAGCACAATGTCACAAATTGGCGGACATCCAGGGTCCATAGCGTCTGGAACAGGCATTCAATCATCCGTGACCACAGAGAAATATCCTGCATCGACAGCCAACGAAAACTATCCTGAAGTCGCACCACAAATGACTCAACCAGCGCTGCGAACTGCATATGCACCACCCAGGCAAGATGCTTATAATACGAGTACTATGACCCCACAAACACCATTTCAGTACCAAGACCCAACCGCCAAACAGCACATGTACGAACCTCAAGAACGACAGAAACGTAACCCTTGGGGTCTCTCTCCGCTAGCTTTTGGGGTCGTGATCGCTCTGGTCACAGCGCTCGTTGTTGGTGGTGCGGTTGGTGGAGGTGTAGCGGGGGCTATGTCAAGTAGCAATAAATCCGAGTAAGTCACAAGACGTCGAACACAAAGCGGCCCTCACCAAAATCCCTAGCTCCCCAATAAGTAGCTAACAGGTTCTCAGTTCGAATGTAGCCCTTCAGACAGTCACCGTAACGGCAAACGGTGCCGCAACAACAGGGTCTGGCTCAGGAACTGTGACGATGACGGCAACCTCCTCTGGACTACCAGAACCATCCTCGTTGAAGGAATTCACCGTTCCCGAGCCTTATTACGTCGACACATTGCTTGACCCCGGTTGTCAGCAATCGAGAATAGGCGTTCAGTATGGCGAGAGCTACGACTTGAGATGTGGTGTTGATATTGGTAGCGGTCAAGCAGCCGACAATGACGACACCAAAATTGTGGCAGATGTCGCCGCACTCTTTGCCTACAGCCTCACTGACTGCTTATATGCCTGTGCGAACATGAATCACTTCACCCAATATTGGAAACAGGATGTTGCAGGCGGCGTCATGCAGGAATGCAGAGGGGTCACCTGGAACTATAACATGGCAAGCGCCAACTCATCGGATCATGCCAACTGTTGGTTAAAGAACGGCACATCAAATGGCTACCAGTGTAACAGTTGTATCAGTGGGTTGATTGTGTCCTGAGAAGTGGTATAAATGGATTTCAATATTAGCATGGCGTTAAGGTGGTTGACATGATGGGAACTTCCCCAGCGAGCTGCGAAATGAACCCAGACTCGATACGAGGTGATTAGGTATAAGACTGCTCGTTTATTTAGGATCCAAAATCAAATATTACATTTTCTCGTCCAAGAGATTCCGCAATTAGGTTGGGCTAGTCAGTCCTTTCACTAATAGATGGGAAATGGTGACCCGGGCCTTTATGTTATCCGATGGTGTAGGAGCTTAGTAGTGGCAGGTCATGATAATGGAAATTACGCCTCTGGGAAAACGCTGAATATCACATATCAACTTGAAGGATTGACGACATGTTTATCTGTGGGAGAATTCCTCCGAGTCATGGTTTAGTATATCACGTGGTACAACGAGTCACGCATATTCCTCAAGTCCAACTTCATTCATCTCTCATTGTCAATCCAGCTGCATTCCTTAGTACTTTTCATACATAAACTCCTACTTGCTATACCTCACTCCATCCTCCGACTGAGCCAATTCTGATTCAAAGCACCCCCTCTCTGTATCATCAATCTGCAGAACCCAATTTCCTTTCTGAATCAACGTTGTCACCATGAGCGAATCCGGAGATGATAGACCACCACCAGATGTTGGAGGGGAGGACCGACCTTCAGAGAATGAAGACCAAATTAATGACCTAGATGATGACTTTGCCGATCCTTCCTCCAAACATGCCGCAGATGCCGACTCTGACGACGAATCTTTACTTTCCGAAGTCGATGAAGCCCAATTTGCCGACTTTGATGCTTCCGCTGTGCAGGTCGCGCCTGACTTTGACGCGCTCAAAAGCATCAAAGTGAGCAAGAGGAAACGACCCGAGGGAGAAGAATTGCCTAAGAAAAAGAAATTAAACACGCGAGAAAAGGTCAGGAAGAACAAGCGAAGACATGATAGCGATGATGGCTTTTCGGGGGGCGAACAGGTCGAGGGCAAAAGACGAAGAGCGAAGAATGGCGCAGATGGCGAGAGGAAGGCTCGACCTGTACGAGCTGAAATCAACGATGAAGATCTTACACCCGATGAGCGCAGAAGACGCGCGCTTGATCGGGCCATGGATATGGCAGTCAAGAAGTCGTCTGGGAAGAGGATCAAGAAGGACGAGATTGTAAGTGTAGAGACCAGGAAATTCAGTCCCATCTAACTTGAACTAGGATCTTGAGAAAATGGCCGATCAGGAAATCGACGATATGCGAAACCGCATGATTGCGGCCGCTGAAGCTGACGGGGAACTCGTACGACAAGGCCTCCCTGCTTCTCAGAAGCTCAAGATGCTACCCGAAGTACTGTCGTTGCTGAATCGAAACACCTACGTGCAGTCCATTCTGGATCCAGAGACCAATCTTTTGGAAGCGGTTCGATTTTTCCTGGAGCCGCTGACGGATGGCAGTCTTCCAGCCTACAACATTCAACGTGAACTACTTGCATCACTTGCGAAACTTCCGATGAACAAAGAGACCTTGATATCCTCTGGGATCGGTAAGGTGATCTTGTTCTACCGGAAATCGAGGCGCACCGAGCCAGCAATCAAACGGCAGGCTACCAAGCTGATGGAGGAGTGGTCAAGACCAATCTTGGATCGAAGTGATGACTATACGAAGAAGACATGGGCCAAAGCAACTTATGATCCCCTCAAAAAGCGAGATGATCTACAAGCGGCAGCAGTGCTGGTTCCCAAGTCGAAGGGCAATGTGGCGCCAGGACATAGGCCATCCAATCGAGCAAGACTCCTACCTGGAGCGACCAGCTACACCATTGTTCCAGAAGTTTCGACAATCGTCCGACGCTAACGTTGGAACCTCTTGGGTTTTGAACTTCATGCATACATCCTCAGGAGCAGGTTCATCAGTCTCATTGACCCTCAGTCAGAACTTCGCCGATTGCCCCTGGTCACTCAGCATCCAACACAGCGGCAAGAGTTCTTGCTCTGATGCATGACACGGTCGACTATTGCGAGATCACAAGCAGCTCGTAGTCATGGTGGATTTGACCTGCTGCAACCTAGGCATAAAGCTTTTGGTACTGAGCAGGGTATAATGATGGGCGGAGGTATTCCAGGACGCATGGGGAATGGAGATTCCAGGTGGACCCGTGCTCGATTACCACTGCATCCATGCGCCTCATTAAACAGTGCACTCGTAGCGATCAAACAGACCTTTGAGACACAACAACTATCATAGTAAATTTCTTGTGAAAAACTCACGACGAAAACAAGTCGGTTGAGAAGAAAACAATGTACTCGTACGTTGCGGTTTGAGCTCCAGTCCTGATGACCAGAGGAAGTTCTCCTATCATATATCACGCGATGTTTCTTCACGAGCATGGCCTCACGTGTTGTGGCCGAGAAATTAGGTGTCCACCAGGCAGTGATCCCCACAATCGCACCAGTCTGGATGAAGCAAACAGCAGCGAGGGCGGGCATTCAAGTGGTAGTCTGTGTGTGAGACCTTGCAGGTAGCGACATGGACGTTTGAGTCTCTTAGTACACAATTACCAAGAGTGAGTGAAATGTTCCGGAACCTGAAGCCACAACAGGAAATTCTGGTTGCGGCCGAAGGAATACCGGAGGGGAAGGCTTGGCTGGACGACGCCCCCGTGGAAATGGTAAACACCGCAAGACACACCCGGGAAAACGTTGCCATCATTAAGTAATAGGGAGTGCTGGGGCTATACCTAGGTAGTCCTTGGTCGGCGACACCCGGGGACCTTATTTTGGTATTCAATATTCGGGCGGGCTAATTCTTTCACTACCTGTTACAGAAGGCAAAGCTGTAGGCGAGTCCAATTGCATGGTACTGAAAGTTGACTCGTTGCTGCGTGATTATTCACGCTGAGTTACGAGGTTGACTAAGGTGCAGAGAGGGCGGCCAGGAGGAAGGGGCGGATATGCTCTCCCTCCAACTCTGTCAAATGGCGGCGGCAGGAACGACCCTGGACCTGCCGTTAGTTAGCTGATGTCATAATGAAACTCGTTAGGTAGGCAAAGCGGGACTGCGTCGGCTCTAAACTTCCTGGTGCGAGCTCGTGTGGTTGAACTATTACTACCATAGATATAATTGATTACAACCCACCTCTCCAGAACAGTCTTCCATCAACTTACAAGCAACACTCGACCTAGGTACCAAACCTCGCAATTCCAGCAAGCATTTCTAGTCCTGATTCGTTTGAACAAGGCGAGACCTGAAAATCAACTCAAAATCTCCCACTACAGCACCGCATCGCCGAGGAGCTTTACCACAAGGGCACCGGCCTCGTTGAAATAGCGATCCCTCCCCAGCTGTATTAACTTGCTCCACCAATTTCAGATTGAAGACAAGCTCCCTGACCAACTTTTTCCCTCCTGATACATCGCAACACATCTCATCACCATGAAGATCCTCACAAAAGAACAAGAACGAGAGCACTACAATGCAGTCCTCTACGGCGGTACAGTCGGCGGCACTGTCGGTCTTGCCGTAGGTTTCGCGGGTGTCGCTCTTGCCCAAAGGCGTTATCAATATTTCCGCAGTCTGACGCTTCCCCTCAAAGCCTTTCTGATCACTTCCAGCGGTACTTTTGCCGGTATCATCAACGCTGACCACTACTCTCGAAAATATGAAAGCGAATCCAATCCACTGGACGTGGATTACAGGCGACGAGAGTCGGAGAAACTGGCCGCCGAAAGAGCAGGGAAATCGTTCACAGAAAAGGCCATGGACTTTGGACGCCGGGAACGGTATAAGATTGTCGGTGCCAGCTGGATTGCATCAATGGCCACGGCATTCGCTATTGTCAACCGGAATAAATACCTGTCGGGTCCCCAAAAGCTTGTTCAGGCCAGAGTTTACGCCCAGTTCCTGACTGTGGGTGTCCTTGTCGCAACCGCAGCTTTCGAGATCTCGGACTCGAGAAACGCCAAAGGACGATATGAAACTGTCAGATATCTCGACCCGAGTGACCCAGAGCACAAGCGATACCTTGAAAAGCAGGTTGAGCGAGAAACTTCCAGCCAAGGCAACCAGCCCGGCTCTGATGACCTATGGAAGGACATGGTCGCGGCTGAAGAGGAGAGAATCAAGGAACGCGAGGGAAGACACAAGGAACTGGAGAAGCAACACCACAAAAAGAATGGCAAGAAATCAGAAAAGAAGCAAGATGATTCTGGAGACAAGAAAGAATAAGAGACCCAACTTGGTATTGAGCCCGTTGATGGCGCTCCACTGTGACCACATTGTTTAAAGCCTCAGCATTGATGGTTACATTCTCGAATGATTGCGCTTTGATCTTCGACAGCCACATGCAGTCATCACATGAACGAGAGACCCGATACAAACACCATAATAAATCTATCACGACATCTACCATTCCTCCACTCTCTTTTTTCGTTGTTACGAAATCAAAAGTGTATAATACGACAATTGATGACGAGATACCTGTGGAGGAGTTTGATAATATCCATCTCAGCCTGGTCACTATCCTCCAGACTCGGGTTGTCAGCATGCGGGAGCGGTATGGACATGCTGTGGGCCACGATGCAGGATTCATGGGCGGCCATGGCGCTGAAGGCGTTTAGACCCAACAGGTCGGACGGGTGCATTTGAAGAAAATATGTTTTCCTAGTTCAGTAGCCATGCCAATTAGTTGTTGAGATATATGTCAGTCGTCTACTGTGGTCACCAAAATGAATCCAAACACGAATCAGATACTGGGCCAAATAAGTCCATGAAATTACTGTCAACCCCAGGATGGAAACATCATATCAAGGCTCGTTGTAACACGGGCGCGACCAGTCTCCGAGTTCAAGTTTTTCTTTTACGTTATGAGCAGTCTTTGCGGGATGGGTGGCACACAACCTCCAAGGACTGGGGTAACGGGAACAATGCCCGGAGCCTCCCCTCAATTCATCCACCCACCCACTGACAGCCTATAGAAACTGCTTCAGGAGCACCATATGCCACACCACGCCCAACATACAGCCTACTCGTACTTAGGTAGGTAGAGAGCTGTGGCTAAAGCTTTGTACTCTCAGTAGCTCAACTGGACGGAGATATTATCCAAGCCGAGTGGACCTGGCGGCACCCAAAAGCTAGCTCTGATCGGGCGGCCATGACGTCTCAAGCTTCACATGCATCATTCATCATTGGGGGAAGAGGCATTCCGAGGGAGTGCATGCCATTTCGACAATTGCTCATGATTCAAGTTCCCAGTTCATCTCGATAGCAATGCTATAATAGTACTATTGTTGCCTGCCCACCACCACCACCACCTCATCATGATCAGCCTTTAAACATGCTATGATCATAGCTCCAATTGTTCCATAGCCCTCAACCAGTCTTGATCTATTCTCCTGCACTTCCTTCTCTTATCGACACGGCCACTCCACATAATGTCGTTCATTGCTTCCTGCTGTGGCTATGGCCGCAAACGCGGTGACGATACCGAGCCTTTGCTCCCACGATACGAAGATGATACCACTCGTCAAAGAGCTCTTCATCAGAAGCTGCACTCATACCAAATGATCAGGGCTCTCTCCAAGGGTTACATGCCATCAAATGAACAGACCATCATCAACCTTCGCACCCTCCTCGCCTCAGACATCCTAAACCCAAATAACACTGAATTGAGTGATTCGGGCCGCATCCTCATTCGAAACTGTCGAACTTGGTTGAAGCTGTTCATCGAGCTTCTAAGAAACAAGAACAACGAGGACCAGATTCAGGATTTTATCTGGTATCTCACAAAATCAAGGATTTCTCTCGATGTCAATGATATCGCTCACTCGGCCTCCAAGGTCAAGGCTAGAGCCGATGCCCAAGCAACATACGAGAGCTTCCGCACGGTCGGCAGCCTTCTCCTTACAAATTCAGACTTCAGACTCTTCGTCAATGATGTGGCCACCGTGGGTAGAGAAGTCCTAGCTGACACTGCATTTTCTCTGTCCGCAGCTGCCGAGAAGACCGGCAAACAGTTGGAGTTATCCACCGAAGAAGAGAACGCTATCAAAGAGCCTGGAGCTGATGAGGGGTCACTGCCTTCCAAGCAAGATCTCGAACAGGGTGCCGAGGATACTGCCAAAATCGTGGGTCAACAGGTTGCCCAGGTTGGGAAAGACACCCTCGAGAGTGCCAAGCAGAACTTCAGTGGTGCTCAGGCCGACACCCTGCTTCACAGACTCAAGCAGACCATCATACACTTGAGAAAGCGGACCGATTATCAAGACTCGGTGTCAACTATTGCAAAGTTGATTCAGCGATACGCCGTGGCCTACTCCAGAGTTGCTGATGTCGCTATCGCAACGGCACAAGACGACGTTGAGCCCAACCCAGCGTTGGAAAGAGCTATCCGTAATTTTTGGGAGCTGTTAAGCAGCTTTGGAGACAAACAAGCCTGGGAAGAACTGGAGAAAGACTTCAACCAAGTGCTTAGCCATGCTCAGTCTGATCCACAATTTGAGGATTTCATGGTCGATATTGGAAATTCGGTTCAGAAAATGTTGACCGATCCCGATTTCTTCGACAATGCCGGAAAGAAGATTGATGAGTTGAAAGAGAAATCAGCCAAGCTCGGTAACGAAACCACTTTCCGTGATGACCTTGACAAATTCTTCAAGCAAGCCCAACTTACAGTCTCTTCAGTCGTGGAGGACAAGGACGTCAATGGTCTCCTGTTGACTACTCGCCGCATCTACAGTACACTCTCACCGCCGAACAAGATCACAAATCCGGATTTGATCACCGATTCGATCCATATATTCTTACCTTTGCTGATCAGAAGCATCCAGTACATTCCCATTCCTCGTGTCGAAGTTTCGGTCCCCGAGATGGATCTTCTCCTTGAGAATTTGGTTCTTGAGCCCGGCCGTAATGTCAACGCAACGTCTTTCTTGCCATATCGCCTTCTTGTATCAACCAAAAATGATCTGGAAATTCGCAAGGCCCATTCTAAGAAGACCGTCTCGAACATCACATCACTCATCACCGTCTCCGTAAACGGCCTGTCTGTCGCTGCAAAAGATCTTGGCTTTTGGATTCGAGGCCATCCCGGTTTGATCCGGTTTGCGGACGAAGGCATCGCCTCGTTCTTTTTGGACGAGCGTGGCATCGACATTTCGATCGACATGGAAGTTGGCCGTGAACGCCTCGAGCAGATTCTGAGCCTTAAAGGTGTAAGAGTCCACATACACAAGCTCGACTATAAGCTCCGCAAGAGTAAGCTCTCGTGGCTAGGTTGGCTGTTCAAACCCTTTTTGAAACATCTCATTCGCCGTTCGCTCGAGAAACAGATTGCCGAGGGCATCGTGTCCACGTTGCGCGCTGCAAATCGGGAACTTGTCTTTGCACGTGAAAGACTACGAGCTACTCGTATCGCAGATCCACAAGATGTTCTCACATTTGCCAAGGCTGTCCTCGCGAGGTTGACTCCAGCAGAAGATCCCGATGTGTATACCCGGGTGGGCGTCGACGCACCTAAACAAGGTGTTTTCAAGAACGTTTACACCCCTGGAAGTATTGTCAAACTGTGGCATGAGGAGGCTCTACGTGCTGAAGAAGCAGTCGAAGATGGAGAGGAGCGTGGTGGTGGATGGAGGAACGATATATTCGACACACCAACTCTCTGAACTTGAGTAACGAGCAAGAGTGGGAATAGCACGGCGTTGTTCGTTTTTCTCAAGGGTACATAGGATGGGAGCTACAGAATGCAAATGTATATGACCCGAATAATGGTGGATCAGCTACCTGTCAAATCAGATATGGAATACGAAGCGGAGTCGACTGTGTAAAAGTCCTGGATTCCTGATTGATGCCTACTAATTCATATTACAAGTCATTTCCTGTGAATCCAAGCATTCTAGAAGCCTCGTCGACTGTCACTGCCTAACTCTGCGTGAAGCGCTGTCTCTCAACCGATCTGAAAATTCCCCAGATTTTCTTCGGCTAGATTGCCGATTTCGTAGTTAGCGGCCGAGGCCGTGAATGCAAGGCTGGCCGGCTGCATATTAAAGCCGCTCTCCCCAATTAATTTCTTTGTCTCTTTCCTCTTTGTCTTCATGTCTCAGCTGCAGCCTGCCGATGCGATGGCTGTTGCCGCCTCATCAATCTATCCAATATGAGACAGATATACAACGAAAACTGATGCCGTGAGCTTCCTCAACTTGCATTCGCGCCGGCCGCGTGGGGTCTTGAAAACTCCAAACGGTCTTGGTCGCACAGGGCCCGGGCGCAGGGTGTTCTTCTGGGTGAGTCCAAGTCAAGTGAGATCCTCACGTCGATTCCTATTGATGCTGCTGCTCGCTGCTTGCTCGTCGGGAGGCCCCCTCTGCGACAACTATCGCGTGAGATGGACTCCTCTCGGCGCTCGGAGGCAGACCAGGAGTCCAGGCCCCAACCGTTGGAAGGCTGTTGCTGTTGATGCTCTGCTGCGGAGCGGAATCGCAGGCAAGACAATTCTTCACGGGGTTTTGACTGTGGATGACCTGCGAATCTCCTTCGTGTGTGCTTTGGATTGTTTGGATTATCAATCAACATTCCAATATCTCTCTGGGACACAGCTTGCTTCCTTCCGTCTTGGATACTACGACAACAATCTTTCTCCTTCGACTGACTATCTCTGACGAGGCTGTTACTCCTTCCTTGACCGAAATATTAGTCCAGCACAAAAGCTCCCGGTCTACACAGCCAGTCCAGCCCTCAAGCCTCAGCCAGCTCACCCACTCCTGACTCCTCCAAAAACCTCCGTCAAGATGTCTCTGTGGCCCTTCAGATCTCAACACCACGATGCAGCTCAGCCATCAAGATCCCATCAAGACGAGACAGCCCAGCCTCTCCAGCAAGCAGAAGTCGACAAAATCTGCCACATCATGAAGTCCATGCGACTAGATCCGTTAACACAAGCAACCGGCACGACCTCTCAGAGAGAACGAGGCCTCTGGGATTTGATGTTCAAGCTGAAGACTGAGGCGGAAGAATTCGAGTCCTCCACTTTGTCATTGGTGGCACATCTCGAAGAGGGATACACTGTCCTAGATTATCGCCCAATGAGCATGACTGAGGAGATCACCTCTATTGAAAACGGTCCAGAGCGTTGGGCACGACTTCGAGAATTGGCTGTCGTCCTAGCCATGGAAACAGTACCACGACTGAGAATCCAATATGTCAAGGTCAAAGAGCAGCTCGACACAGTGCTCAATCCAAGAGTCTTGCCAGAAATCAGTAAATTCTCAGTGCTCAGGATGCCTCAGGGGATTACGTTGGTATGATGGAATGAAGTGAAAAAAAAGTTCGAGAAGGAAAAACTAGGTGGCCTTTTCCACTGTCCATTTGGTGTCATAACTTGGTTGGAATGCTTCCAAGATGTGCTGTTCAACACTTAGATAGCGTCTCAGCTGTCCATGTAGAGCTGTGCTCGTGGTACTCAACCGATCACTACTATCTGAACCAAATCCCCCGTCCACTAACGCGTTGAATTTAGAAGATCGTCCTTTCGAACGTGGCGGACGTCCAAAGGCGTGGGTTCTTCGACGAGAGGAAAGATAGAGTCCTAACCCCAACGTACACACACTGCGGCACCCATGTCGACTTCACACATGATGTGTATGGTAGACTTTCACAGGGGAACGTTGCGAAACTTTGGATCAGCTATTGAAATCTCCTGCGATGTTGGAGGGAGATAGCAAAGAGCGATAGGGAGTATCCCGCTTATGAGGTTAGGAGAATTTATCCGGAGTTTCTCCGCGTTCGGCTTGTGAAATGCCACCCACCGAATATGGAAAGCTTGCCGATACATACGACTCGTAAGATCTTCTCGTTTTGATCGGCTCCTCTGGTCGAAAAGGCAGTGTTCATGACCTTGCGAGAACATTTCAGGGAATGCCGCATTTTTCTGGCCATGTTACACATATTGATCACCTTTTCAAATTCGAAACCAATGACCGCGTGAACTCAGTGGCGGTTAAAAGAGTTCTAGTCTCATGTGATCGGCTCATAAGACGGCTCTTCCGACCTTCGGACCGCACGACTACATTAGCTCGTCCCACTTAGGACATATATCTCCCACTGACTGAGGACTATAAACTAGCAGTATCTAAACTCCTCAAAGTGGTGAGTCGTGATTTATCCTGAACATCTTGATTCTTCATACAATATCACACCAAAAATCGAGAAGCAAACGTGAAATATGGCTCAGTACGATGTCGCCGTGGTAGGTCTAGGAGCCCTGGGTAGCGCAGCAGCATACTACGCGGCTAAGAAGGGCGCGAAAGTGATTGGCTTTGAACAATTCGAGTTGGGACACGTTCGGGGCGCATCCCACGACACATCTCGGATCGTCAGAACATCATACGATCAATCACAGTATGTTGCACTCGCCAAGTCCGCGTACAAGGACTGGGCCCATCTAGAAGACGCGTCGAAGCAGAAGCTACTAACCATCACCGGCGGCGTGGTTGTAATCCCTAAGGATGACATGCCCAACACGCCCACCGCGACCGAGTGGGCGAATTGCATGAAGGCCAACGATCTGCCGTATGAACTCCTCACGGCAGGTGAGTCCAACAAACGGTGGCCCCAATTCAACTTGAAAGACGACTACCAAGTAGTGTACACCCCAGACACCGGCATCGCACACGCCGCGAAGTCAGTCATGACGATGCAATTCCTCGCCCGTTTCAACGGGGCCGAGCTGAAGGAACACACCAAGGTGGAACGCGTGACGCCGCGAGGGTCGGCTGGGCCCGGCGTGACCATCGAAACATCAAAAGGTACATACACAGCGAAGAAGATCATCCTCGCCGCCGACGCGTGGATCAACGAGCTCCTCTCCCCACTGGGCCTCCACATCCCGCTAGAAGTCATGCAAGAGCAAGTCACGTATTTCAAGCCCAGCGACCCCACGAAATACTCACCGGAGCGCTTCCCCGTCTGGATCCTCGGCACCCCTGAACAATGGTACTACGGGTTCCCGACCTTCGGCGAGCCGACCATCAAGTGCGCGCACGACACGGCCAAGAACCACATGACGCCCGCGGAGCGCACGTTCGAGCCCTCGCCCAAACTGCTCGAGCAGCTGACCTCCGCCATGCAGGACTTCATCCCCGACTCCGGTCGCAAGGTCATGCGCACCGTCACTTGTCAGTACGCCATCACGCCGGATCGCCAGTTCATCATCACGCCCCTGGATCGGTATCAGGATATCATCGTCACGCAGGGCGCCGCTCACGCGTTCAAGTTCGCCCCTGCCATTGGCCGCGTGGCTGCCGAGCTGGCCATTGACGGCCAGACGACGGATGATATTTCAAAGTTTGGTTTCCCGGCCTCGGTGGACACGCCGTTGAAGGCGAAAATCTAGATAGCTAATCGAAACGATATTTTGGAACTCATCGACTGCTTCTCCTATTCCTGTGCCGTTTGCCCGTTGCATGTTCTGGACGTATGCATCTTGGTTATGCGCCAAGTGCACGGAGTTAGTTGTTCCTCTGTTTTCCACGGCGCAATGCTCGGGAAGGAGAGAGACCTTGACATTCAGGACAAGGTGGAGAGTTGATCGCTTACTCGACGTCTTTGCGACGCATATCCGACGAGCCTGCTATCTTCGATATCCTCGACGGTCAGTTTAAGAGCGGGCGTTGAATATGCTGTGCTTTACGTGTTGACATCATTGGCTCAGCACCGGACTGAGACTCCACTTGACCTTTCTCCACGCCGTGAGACATGCTATCTTATACGCTATCTGTCAACGGTTGACAACTTTGACATTGGTCAATTTCGTATGGAGTATGAGTTCGGGCTTTTACGAATACTATCGGTCATTGAGCTAAAATGTGTGCACCTTGACAGCATACCCTGGGCGGGAGCTGTAATTATGATTCGTGGGGAGGACCAGCATACTCCTTCGTCGAACTCGATTCGCCAATGCTTTCCTACTAGTAGAATCTTCAAGAATTGAAATCACAAGGTATGCATTCCTGTCATCCAGATTCCCTTGTCACGATGCACTGTTCTGTTCTTCGCCATCTTCGACTCGACATGATCAATCGTGTCATGTCAACACAGTATCACATTCAATCTGATCTTGTTGAAATACCAACGAATAACCCGAACCATATTATACTTTTTTGTCGAGTACACTTCCTTGAACCCGGAGTGAACTTCCCGACCGTGCCATTCGCCGATAGTGAGGAACAGTCTTTCCTCGGCTGTCCTATCTTGTCTAACCGTCCCGTAAATCATCTAGGCATACACTGGGGAAAAAGAAAAGAGGCGCTTTTAGCCATCCCACCACCCAGCAATGATGAACACAATCTCCCGTCGCCAAAACACCAGTCGCTAATTGTAATCAATGTCGTTGTTGCTCCATGAGTGTTGAAATTGTCATGCTCCATAACATACATATCAATCAACTCTGGGTATGATTAAGATCGGGTTCATCCCCCTATACCGGATCATGCCGATGTAAATTCCTGATCTCGCAGCCGAGCCAGGAAGACGAGCCCGGCTGCAGGTCCTTCGAAGAGTGATTGAAGTGCTGGAGTCACTCTTCATGATTGTTGTCTTTTGGGTGTTTTGTCATCTGAAGCAAATATAGAGTTCTTGAAGCCAGACCAACTTCTCTGTATAGAACTCTTGATTTTTTCACTTGTTGGTTGATTGAGCTTGTTACTGAGCTCCCGGTACGAGTACATCTCGGACCAACAATCCCGACCCCATTGACAACCTGCCATATTGACCAAAAAGTCACGCTCATCCTCATTATAATGGAACCGGGGATTGAGAAGCGGGTTCTCTCCTGCGTTTGCTTCACCACCACAAGCTCCAGGAGGGAAAGAATTGATCTTTCGTTGAGGAATGAATGCGAAATGGTTTCTCATGTACGGTTGGGATGCATAAAGGTGCTCAAGCGCATCCTGCTCCTTATGCTCCCAGTCCATATGCTTCTGCTCATAGAGAACCGGATCCCACCACATATCAAGCAGACGATCGGTGAATTGGGATCTTCGGACAAAGAAAGACCCCAGGTTAAATCCATCACAGTCTTGTGGAATAATGATGTCGATGGAAGAGGTGAGATTGTCACCAGTTGGTGATCGGGCCACGATATCGAGAAAGCCGGTCTCGGGGGGATGCGTGATATTAAGAGGGTTGTACACATTGATGTCCCGGTAGACGTTGTCATTGAGATTGGCGAAGATATGCGACTGCAGTGAATACGATGGCTCCATTATGAAGGTATTCAAGTCGAGCCACCAGAACCTGGAACAGAAATCAGCATTTAAGCAGCCCGTAACGAGCGGGCGTCGCTTACCATTCCGCACTAGGGTATCGCGCCATAGCATTGCGTACGAGGTCGACCTTCTCCCAGCTTTCTCTCCATTCATGAGCATAGCGTTTCTTGGTACTCATGTCGCTGACCTCCAGGTGGTAGCCCCAACGATCCGCATATTTCTTCTTGTTCTTGATACTGTCTCTCTCGATAGCCCATTCCCGTGGACCTTTCCATTCCATGACACCACCGCCTTCATTGGCTCCAAGAATGATGACAAATTTGCTTCCACCACCCAACCTGGAATTGCTGCGGTATCTGCCACGGACATCTATTGTCGAATTAGCGTATAGACCAAGCATGTATCTTCAGTGGGAGGTCTCACTCGTCTGTGACATTATCAGAGTTGTAAGCGTGACCAGAGCCAGGATAATGAAGAGAAATCTGAATTTCCGTAACACATTCCCCAGGAATGTCTTCAGCTTAGGAAGACCACCTTCCCCTCCCGGTGTCCACCGGCTTCGACCGAGTTTCTCTGGGTCTTTCCAATTCGACGATAACGGGGTATATGGACTATTGAAAACAGGCAAGGTAGAAATCTTCCTCTTGGATCTTTGAAAGAAGCCTTCATTTTTGGTCTGGATACTCGGACGGCCTCTGATCTGGGCACTCCTCGCTTTCGCGGCGGCCCATTGATCATCAGTGTTGCTGAAACCGTTCCCATTGCTGTATAGGCTGTTGGGTGTAGAACTTCGGTCCGTCAAGCCTTTGGAAGTCCATCCTCCATTCGGTAGTGGTGATGGAGACCTCGAGAGGGACATTTGAGGATATTGACGATAGAGGTCGGCGGGATATTAGACAGATGGTCTAACAGAAGTTGGAGATGGAAGGCGTGGTGAGAAGATACTATGAACCGATGCCACAAGAAAAGATTACAACATAGGCTGTTGAATGAAAGTAAGACAGTGGAGAAGTGAAGGTGGGTGAAACAGATCAGCGGACCATGGTCGGGATCATGCAACAGAAAGTACGACGGAAAGACTGGGATGGACACGCATTTGATTCAGCTGCCACAGTCCAATGCACACGTCTAGAGCGACGACGTGGCCAGACCTTGAGAAGTGAAGGGAGATGTTGAGATTCTCATGGAATTTGTAACCATCAACTCTGAGCGGAAGTCGGTCGCAGTTGTACTCGTATGCCAGAGGACAGGCAGGCGCAGGCGGAGATCCGTATGCCAAGCGCACTGTTCCTTCCCGGCTCGGTTTACTCTTGCCGCTGTGAGATAGAAATCATGCCGCCTTAGGCAACGACCACCAGGTGCATTTACTGGCGACTCTTTCCCGTCTGGCCCTGCAATGACCCTTTGTGTTGGTCGACATTCAAAGTCTTTCAATTGATAAAATGTGTCGTCGGATTTTCCCTTATCTTGTACATTTCTAGCAGGTGTATTTCTTGAAACAGCGGTACGAGACCTGAAGCATGCTTCTGTGGGTAAAGTGCTCAGATTTGAAATCCCGGTGAAGATGTTCCACCCAGCAAGGATGATCCAGGATATTGACTGATTCAACACAATCTTCCTTGCTCAACTGGTCGGATGGCGAGCTGTACGATAAGTTCCATGCCTCAAGCTCCAAGTCTTATGTTTGTGTGGACGATGAGTTCATCCCACAGTCATTGTCAGTTGGCTGAGATTATCCGGCAGGGTGGCAGCCCTCGTTGAGTATGGCCACTGTTGACCTGGACACCATCTGCTAGTACCTCACTTACACCAGCAATCATCAGAGGAGGCCAAGGTTTTGCACCGCCAGGTTTCGGTCATTAAGCTGTCCTCGTTGAAGGATGCTAGCCAGAATCCAATACATAAATCCGGCACAGCTACATTTCGGTATGCTAAGCCAACTTGCCCACTTGGTCTCCCGCTCGCAGGGAGCTGATCACCATTGGTGAAATGTTCACCGGCATCAATCATTGGCGTTGTCCAAGTTCTAACCTGAGAATGGAGACTCTCAAGCTACCTGCGGATTTGTTAGCAGTTGAACGCAAGAACAACTCCCTGTCGATCGTTTTGTCTTGCTTCTCTACCTTCAAAGCAGGTCAATTACGAAGTATATGAGAGCTTCTCGGCTTGATGACGATGATTTTGCGACAAGTGGAGTAGAGCTGGCACTATCTATCTCCAGCATCCGTACCTGCCAAGAGTGCCCCTCATCCTTCAAGTGGCGGCTTAGGGCCGCCTAGAATCAACGGTCTGGCCCGATCGACAGGCACCATTTCTAGCTTTGGAGCCCCATTCACGCTAGTTGATCAGGAACCACAATCCTGTTAAGACTACCGGTAGTCTCGCATTTCGGAGATGAGGGCTTCTCCAGAGGCAGAGTGCTCTCCGGACGATTCGATGGACGCCTCACGATACGTTCATTCCCATTCCATGAAGACAGAGTTGAGGTTCAGTAAAGCAGACCTGCCACAAGGAGTTTCGATCTGATGATACCAAGCATAATGTGAATTGACACCGTCAATAGCGGCTTCAGTATTGAGTGCCGTTGGCCCACCAGGAAGGTGTTCTCAATAACTACGCTAATTAGCATAGCCTATACATGTTGCAATGTCGTTTATCCGGTAAAAAAGACTGCGCGTTCAGACTGGCCAATCTTGCACCGAGGCGACTCTCCGCTCACTACTTCTTGGAGCAATCTTGCTTGATGCTTTGTTCGGAAGCGAATGGATCATTCGGCACAATGCCTGTCAACCGCGTGGTTGCTAAGATCGTTCTGCCTTCTCGAATATTGAAATATTGACCGATTCTCGTCTTATAAATTGGGGTTTCCTTCCACGTGTAAACAAGAATTCCGTTTCCAGCATCCGTCTCCCTTTCATTTCCTTTTTCAGTCATTTTTACGTGCGACATATCTGGTTCAGGACTATACAATTATGTTGTACGCATACTACCTTTTGGGGGCTGCTGCGGCCGCTTTCGCCTTGCCTCAAGACTCGTCAGCAGTGAATGGATCGCTCGATGCGACAACATATTCGACAGCCACAAAGCTCCAAAATATCAACTATGGCGCTTTCACGCAGACGGCCACCTACTCGATAGCCAACCAACTGGGTTACTTCAAGGCATACGGTCTTAATGTGACCTACCTCCAGGTCCCAAATTCGACCTATGGTTACAATCAGCTCTTAACCGGTGGATATGATATCATGACAGGAACTATCGACAACGCTGTCAATCTACGATTCAACCAAAAACAACCACTGACAGTCACTGGACAGCTGGACGGTGGACCCGAGCTGACGATTGCGTCAATTCCGTCCATTACCTCCATCACCCAACTGAAAGGAAAGCCGCTCATGGTCGACTCACCAGTCAGTGGCTACGCGTATATTCTTCGAAAGGTGCTTGCTCTCCACGGCCTCTATCTAGAAAATGGCGACTATACCTTTCAAGTAAGTTTGGAATATTTCTCTTCAAGGTTCCCAGCTAACATCGACAAGGTTGTTGGCTCCACCGTGATTCGTTATGCAGATTTAGTTGCTGGAAAGCTTCCAGATGGCACTCCGGTCTATGCCACCATCTTCACATACCCTTTCACAAGTCAGGCAGGTGATGTGCCAACCGCGCAGCGTCCCAACATCCTGGCCAAAATTTCCGATTTCATTCAGCCGTTCTCCTCTTCAGCATTCACCATCCGTGAAGCAGCACTGAGCAACAATGCCCAACGCACTCTCATTAGAAAGTTTACGTCTGCTATGTATGCGGCGAACCAGTATTTAGCCAGCCCAGGCAGCCGGAAGTGCTCAATCAGCGCCATTTCGAAGCAATTAAACGTCTCGACATCCGTGGCCACCTCGGCGTACACTTCAGCAAATGACCCTATCACTGGCGAGACCTCCTCACCAGGAGGCAATTTCACCGTCAACCGGCAGGGTCTTCTCAACGTTATCGATGTTCGCAGTCAATTCGGCGGCTTTGCATCAGTACCTGCCGGCTTCAACTACGCAGATGCCATTCTTCCTGGACAGGGCAAACTCATTGACTACTCCCTAAGAGACGATGCATTGAAGAATCTTGTATCGTTCAGTCCATCAACGAAATGCTAGGGGGTAGAGTAGGATAAAATTTCATTTGTTTTAAGCTCATGCCGGGCATACGATTTGCGGAGATAGAACTGTCGTGCTTAAGAGTCTATTGACACTCAGCACATTAATACTATAATCCTAATGCTTCCAGCATTTCCAATATCAAGCTAGTCTAATACCCGTTCACCACGGTCTGTGCTCATCGTCTACACGCATGGAGACATCCCAATTCTCGAGGGGTTGATGAATGATGGAATACGGATAATGGACTGCAACAAAACCCTTCAAACGAGATTCCGTGTTTGGGCATCAGCGGCAGCAGTCTGCAGTTGTGGGGAGATTAATGGTGGCCTTGCAGGGCTATCCTCTGTTTAGTCTTCATTAGGAAACTGTCGATGGAGTTTTGGCATAACTTTTGGGGGCTTGTGATTTCGCAGTCTTGTGAATATCCCAAATACCGGGCACCGATTGCCGCAGGATCCTTGAAGTTGTACACCACACTCCGTACCCGCTCAGTCGTAGCGCCTGCTGTGGGGATACCAAATTGTAACCCTGTAAGGATCTACAACTCCAGCCAGCTCTCGAATCCTGTGGTGCGAACGACTTTGACTTAACCAAGCTTGAAAATACTTCCTGGCTATACCAACAGCAACCGGAACTCCGTTTGGCTTCTGTTTTGGGAGAGTCAAAATGCGAACCTTTTCATACTCTGAAAATTGGGACTCCGTTTCTTGTAAACGTGACTCGGTACTCTGTTGTAAGATACCGAAAAGGTGGCGGCCTTTTAACCTCTGGTGGAAGACGCGGCACAAGTCTTGACGACTTCAAGCACCGGAACAAGGTGCAACCAAGGGGAAAAGCTTTAAAGCCTCTGGCAATCTTAGCAACGGTTTTCCTCGACAAGATCCTGCCACAGCCGGCGTGCTAAAGGCGCCTCGCGCTACCTTGACTATGGGGACGCTATAAGCGGGAAAATGGGCATTCAACCCCCAAGATCCAGAAGGATAAAACAACGGTCTTGTGGGGAACCCCGAGCCAGCAATCCGGGATGCCACTGCAGGGTTGAACGCCAATCATGCCTGAACTTTATATTGGCACTCTTCCAAGATCGATATGATCGTCCGAGACAAGAAACGTCTCTACCAACGCTGAGCTGTGTCCACAATACCTTCTTCCATTTCAGCACGCAGTACGAGGTACCGATAGCGCCACTGGGGTTTTTCTGCCGTCCGTCGACTCAGAAGACGCTCAGTGTTCTGTTCGGTCACTTGAGCTCACCAATTGTCGCTTCCGAGGAAAATGTGGGACACGTTCTATGCAGGAACAAACTCATGGTGAAGCTCCTGCCACAGCTAGCCTAAGTGCTTTGCTACCTTACTGAGTACATACAGGGGATGGTGTCAATTCGTTTCGGCAAGCTCTTTTTGCAGTATTCGGGATCAATAAACTACGAGTATGAGTACGGAGTACTTCGTACGGAGTAAGTACTCGGGACATCCCACGCTAAGAAACGTCCTGTTTGCGAGTAAGTTTGTTCTGTATAATTGATATTTTGATTGAGGCGAGGCAAATCCTTCCCGTTGCAGCCTACCACCTTGTCCCTGCGAGGCACTATCGTCCACACTATCGCAGACGGAGTGTAGCCCCATTGCAACTACAGCAATGGTGCGCGACTCCTGCAGTAGCCGTGCAATCACCGCAATTGTCAACCTTAGACCGTTCTAAATATCTAGTTTCAACCAATTCACCAAGCCCAGAGTCAGCACCACTCTCACGCTACGGGAAATACCGTGCAAATCATCAAGGTCCGAGGCAGTGAGGCTATGCCACACCTGCAGTGCCTGCCGATTTGCAAATCCTGGGGCATTTTACTGCGTTCGAAGGTATTCAAGGTGAGACCAAATAATCATATGGTGGTGGTCACAGCATTGGCCATTACCGCAAGCACTGTGCTTCTTTAATGCTTTTTCTCGAAGGCGCGTCCCTCCTCGCTCCTATAGTTACATTCCTCCCAACCCCGGAGACCTAAGCGTGTTTCAACTCTTGCAGCGTTCAGGTTGCTTCTATAAGCGAAGTTGATATACTTCCACCGGCTCTCAACCTAAGTCTTACGCAGGAATTGCACTGAGGTCCCGCTGGGCCTAACATCCCAACTGGACGGCGAGTTGCAAGCCTGTCCTAGTGCACAAATGCATTCCAGGCTTTCTACTCTGATACCTGGTAAGAGTTTGGCTTTCTGAATTGGCTTCCATTTCTCGCATCTGTGCCTCTCGCCAAGAGACAAGGTACTTGTTGAAATCTAAGCAGACCTTTGAACAGCTCTCTTATCCTTCCGGACGTCGGACAGAGGTGCTCACTTGCCACCTGTATACATACGGGCTTAGGTGGTATTTAGTACCTGCACCTCCCTCCTTTTCTGCAGGATTGATACTATTCGTGCTCTGTCACAGCCATGCTTGTATCCAGGGCCGCCGCCGGGCTACCGCCCAACCCTCATGGGCAGGAACTCGCAAATATCAGTATCATCATGTGCGCTCTTGCAGGTGTTCTGGTCGTTGCGAGACTCTGTGTTCGCATTTTCATGCAACGGAACACTGGTTGGGATGATTATACACTCATTGCTTCTTTGGTAAGAATCATCCACCGTGCGCAACCTTTTCGATTACTGACTATATAAGATGTTGGCCATTGGAATGACCATCTGCTTCAATCAAGGCTCGTGATTTCCACGCAAATTTCTATGCCTTTAGACTGAATTAACTCAATTGTAGAGGTCTATTACGGCATGGGGCTTCACACAAAGCAAGTTGACGCAGATAACAAGGTCATGGCATTCTTGGTGCGGACAATCCAAAATCATTTCGGGACTGGAACTAATCATCAGCTTTAGTGGCTTTGGATCGCCCAACTCTTATACAAATTCGCAAACGGATTGACCAAGATATCGCTTGTGTTGCTCTATCTGAGAATTTTCCCGAGCAGAACATTCAAGATGATCTCCTGGGGTGTCATTGGTTTCGTCATATCCTACTGCACTGTTGCAGTTTGCATGAGTATCTGGCAGTGCGAGTATGTGTCCAGTATCTCAATCTCACGGAAGCTTCCAACACTAACATAATATCCAGTCCCATTGAAAAGGCATGGAGGAAAACCCTCCCAGGCCAGTGCATCAAGATCGGCATACTGTGGTATGTGAACTCGGTGTTCACACTGGTGGCCGATGTGTTGCTCATCGTTCTCCCGTTGAATCAAATCTGGCAATTGAAGCTACCACTGTCACAAAAGATCGGACTGGTATTTGTGTTCAGTTTAGGAATATTGTATGTCGGACTCTATGAGACTTGATCAAATAATACTGACCACATTCTAGTGTCATGGCCTGCACTATCATTCGATGCGTAGCTTTAGGACCAACAGTCTCTCAAACAGACTCAGTTTGTATGTTATCATTGTCTCTCTCTGATGACTGAACGGGACATCAACCAGCTAACCTAACTACTCTCCAAGACTACCAAGCCAAGTCGAACAGCTGGACGTTCCTCGAAGTCGACGTGTCAATCATTTGCGCAGCCTTGCCTATCCTAAAAGCACCCCTGAGCAAGCTTTTCCCCCGCCTATGGGGCAACAGAACAACGACTGCAGGTACTGGGGGCTCTGACTCCCACAAGATGAGCCAGGGAACCCATAACATCGGACTAAAGGCCTTCGGAGATTCTCAACTTCGATCTGGCCACCGACATTCGCGAAACGTGCACGGTGATGCAGAAAGTGACGAGGAGGGCATATTGGATTCCCGAGGGATCCGGAAAACGACAAACATCACTTTCGATTATGAAGAGGCGGCGTCAACAAAGAGCTCGGAGAAGAAAGGCGTTCGTGGCTTCGACTTTGAGCTTCAGAAAGGAGGCTTGCGAAATCATTGATAGAGGGTCACCAGCATATCTTCACCTGTTATTACAAGACACAAGAACGGTAACACGTTTCCGGACAGCCATCAAACAACAGAAAACAACAGCAGGCTTACCACAACAACAGCTATAAGCCCTCACTATTAATCTATTATAGTCAAGAAAGAACTAACCACACTTTCCCCATTGGACCTCGTATGCTTGGGTGAACGTCGACACATGGATGTGTCGTGTTATCATGGCCAGCCACAAATGATCTCGGGAATGCGCCGCTTCTGGGTCACAGAAGATTGAAGACCCGGTTGAAGCCCCCTCGAATGCACAGTCATCAAGTCGATCCTGGAACTCGACATCCTTTGGCCACCATGTTTACATACACTCTCCTCACCCATTCACTCAACACAAACGCAGAGATCGAGCAGGTGAATGTACGATATAATGAGTTGAGATGCGAATGATCGCAAAGCAAGCAAGAGTTTGGCGGGGCGTGAATCCCCAGAATTGAGCATTGGTGACTATTGGTGGGGATCGCAGGTCAGGCCACCCGTGTTTACGGAAGCGAGTACGCAATCTGCCAGCAGCATCTGATACTGCTAGGCAATTATTGCTCAGCGGTTTTCTCACACCGTGCACACACAGCCTTCGGTTCTGGTGCTTCAACTTGTCGACTTGGCCATTGGTATGAGTTAATGTGATAGTGTATTGTCCTCGAGTCTCAGATATCCCCATGCAGCCTAGATTTGTGAATCGAGAATCGTGAATCGTGAATCGTGAACACCAAAGTGTGAACTCCAGAACTACGGCTTCTGCGCACTATCGACTATCGCATCGCCGGATTGCTTCTGCGCACTTTCGACCTTCTTCGTTGTCGTCGCATCGCTGGGTTGCTTCTTATAGTGCATCGCGGATTGGCCGTGATAAGCGTCCCTGCCAGCTGGCCTCCCAATGACTGTGCCCGGCGCTCGGGTCTGAGCCCGCCTGTGGTTTTCTTCGGCTTCTTCGCGCATCCCAGCTTCTGCGCGACCCGCCCCGCAGCAACACCGGCACATCCAGCTCAGGGGAAAGCCGCCATCGCTCACGTATTGAGAGGCGGAGTAGCTGTGTGTTTCTCGCATGTCTTATTTGTGTGTTGATAGGTGGAAGTAATTGATGGTGGTGATGGTGAGGTTGATGAGCGTCGATCGCTGGTCCCCTCGGCTTTTGAAGTTGAGCTTTAAGTTGATCTCGCACTTTTCTCCGTCTTCGTGATAGCGCGGCTGGGCATTGGTTTGAAGCGACGTTGTTTCACTGGCACCGTTTGCCGTTTGCTATGCATTGGCTTGCACAACTCGGCCGAGCAGGCTGGAGCCGAATGTGCCGAGCTGCCGAGCGGAATCTAGTACATTTATGTAATACCCCTGAGGCTACACTAAAAATAGTCAGATGTTGGCCGATGCAGATATGCGTGAACTCTACCTACTATCACTCCTGTGATGAAAGTGATCTCTATCTATGCGACGTCTCTAGAGCCGCAACTACCAGCTAGGGTAAGAAAGTTTGAGATGCACTCCTTGAAAATCCCTTGCTCGCCGACCCTCACCCTAGGTGACCCCGGTTGTCTAGGTTCGCAGCTCGTCGAGGTATAGACGATGTAGAAGACCGAAGCTCGATGTCGCACCGATAGTGCAAGTCATCGATATTGAATTGGTCAAGTGGTGAACAGAGAGGTATTCCGTGAGGTGAACTCCAGTTCCCCCTTCCCGACCGCTCCAACAAGGCCCTTAGCATGTTCAACATCTCAGTTCGCCGCCAACCCTTGGCCATAGCCGACTCTGGATACCGTTTTGCATGTCTCCACTCAAGTACGTGGTCGAATGACATGCCAGCGGTGATAATGAGCACAGAAAATGATATCGTCAGCATCATGCCGATGAGACTGAACGATAAGTAGCTCGTGCCCCTAATGATCTGACTATAGCAAAGCCAGTTCAGCTCTGATGAGCGCGTAGTGTTAACATAATTGGTTCTCGCGACAAATTGACCGGTGACATACTCGATGACGGCCCTTTGCATGTTGGTCATGAAAAGAGCCTGCCAGTAGTCCACCTCTTTTTCCCATTGGTCGTCAGGAAAGCGGAGTCCAACAACATCTTGGATGAGCCGACGTGCGAGCAAAGGCGGGTCGCGCTGAGCAAGACCACTGAGGACGAGAGAAATCCAAGAGTCGGCTGCTGCTTGCAACACCCTTTTAAGTGCCATGCCCTGGTGGGAATTCCATGTGAGGGACTCGACACCATTGGTGTCGCTGAGAAGCCCCAAGTATCCCTTCAATTCGATGCAGCTGGAAGGTGCTGCGGACTGAGAACTTTGATTACAGATCTGATACTGTTCTGTGCACGCCATCACGGTGATTGGTTTCTCACGGGAGAACACGGTACCATTATAAGTGTCCTTGCCTCCGGTCGGAGGATATGGCCCGGCGTTCGTCGCAGTGAACCAAGGGTCATTCACAGCGCCCATATAGAACTTATTAAATGGAAGAAACACCAGGGTCACGTCTGCGTCCGTTCTTTAAAGTTCAGCTCTTGGGGAGAAGTCAGACACTATTAGATCTGAATCACCAGCAATTGCGCTCTGGATGTTGAGTTGATATGGAGCGATTTCGGAAAACTGATCATACGCGAGACGTTGGACTAGATCTGAGTAGACGTATGTTGCGTTTCGATCAGCGAGCGGGTTCGATGCAAGATAGACTCGAATGAATTTTTTTGCAGGTGCAGTATCAGTCGCTGGACAGTCTTTCCAGTCCGTGGCATAGCGTGTTATATTCAAAGGCGTACAAGTCATGACCTTACGAAAAGAAAGTCGATCAGATGTCTGAGAATTGATCCCAAAATGTTCGTTTGAAGATAAACGACCAGTATCGAAACTCATCGCCTTCACATCTGATTGGCATAGGCTTGAGTCAAAAGGACACTCGTCCACCCGGGTAGTAGACCAAGAGATATGTTGGTATGGTAGGTCATTGCATCCAGAGGGCAAAGCCTTGCAAAACTCATATTAGTGTTGAGTTCTCGAAAAACGAGTTTGCATGTGAGCGGGCCATTCGACGGTCATTTGATCAGGCATTCCAACCTCTCTTGAATCGGGAAATGATGCAAGATAATCCATATCGTAGAAGCCGCAGTATGGAGGACGTGATAATACAGGATCGCCTGCATCTAGCAGATAGGATATCAACAAACCCAACGAATAAATTGAGGCTATGTGCGTTGAGGGCCACAACATCATCCAGCGACATGTGGATAGTGACTTTGTCGGCAGGCGCTTTCTCCACGCCCAGCTTATGCAAGAGAACCTCTTCAGAGCGCCGAGTGCGGTTTCGACATTCCTGATAACAACTTGTATCATCCAATATATCGGGTCTTTCGGTTCATTGGTGGCACGTTGTTGTTGCACGGCAACTTGACAAATATGCCACAGTTGTGCTCCAGCTACCTGTACTAGAAGTGCCAGCGCAGAAGAAAGGACTTTAGCCATCTGAGGTCCTAATGTCAGCTTGTTGCTAAGTAGCCATGACATTGATTCATCTTTCCACAATCCTACAAACACGTAGGCTGAGGCGTCCTACATTTGGAAGAAAAGCTTTTCGGCCTGTCGACTTCAAGTTTAACCATTTTCTACGGCATGCATTTTCGTGATGCCGCGGAGTTTTCTCCTTGGCTCTTCAAGCGTTCTCGGCTGTGCAATGGCACGAATTTTTGATTCACGAAGTGGCTCAAAGCAGAGCATTCTCCGAGATCGTACTCAAGGCAACCCGTTCGTGATGTTGTCAAGAAATGAAATGTTTTCCAGAGACGTCGTAATGAGCATGCGTTGCCGAGGCACCACCACCAGTCACCATCTGCGACAGGATCAACACGAGTTGGACCTTCACTTAGTCACAACGCGAAACGTTTCTCGCTGGGGGCCGCGGATAAGGCTGGTAGAGCACAACATGAAAGACTTAGCTATTTGGATCTTCGAATTGGCCCTCATGCTACCCGCGGCATGCACAATGTCTAGGTAAGTGTCAGCATTGTTCCGATATTGCAAGTTCAATTAGACTATTTTCTGCCTCGAGTTCTCACTCGAAAATTGTGGAGATTACTCCAGTGGCGAATTTGGCTTTGGCGAGTGAGCACCACCCAGAAGAATTAGCGCCACGGACATCCTCCGTGCCCCTTTTAGCTGACAGCCTTGTGCGCTTGGCTCTGATGTGGCGTTTTGGTCACGCTTGAATAGCAGTCTGATGAGATGGTGACCATTGTGACCCCAATAAGCATTCTGCAGGCTATCGTGACGCGAGCTGGTAGACTGATCAAAGAACAATAAATTGTTCAGCACCTGACTTGCACGGCACTGCTGTAAGTGTTGCCCTGTATAATTCACCGTGAAAGAATATGACGATTTAGAGCCACAGCCCACATAGTCTCGTTCAAACAAAGCGCTGAACCCTCACAATCAACCAGCCACTGTCATCCTCCCTGAAACTGATCTCCAACCCACCAATAGTGCGGATGCGGGAGACCAGGACTGTTTCGTTGTCTGGGACGACATCGCTTTCAACATGATCTCCTCTGGCTGTCGTAATTTCAACAGAGTTACTAGGCTTGTCAGTGCCTGAATTCGAGGGGAGGACAGGTTGAACTTGGACCTGGGGTGGGGCTGTCTGGCTTGCGCTTGTAGTTGTAGCAGGGTGGGTGGACTTGTCGGTGCAGTCGTGCAGTGGGACAAGCTTGATGCCTTGCTTGGGTGCTGGCGGGTCTTGTTGGTTGGAGACTTTGGTGGTGGCGGAGGATTCCATGGGGGACGAGGTATTCTCAGTCGGCATAGTAGGGCTTGGATCACTATTCGGTTTGGCCAACGCTTCTCGTGAGGTTGATTTGTTTGGAATTGCAGGCGAGCGCGGCAATGCGGATGACGGTGACGGATCAGGTGGAGGTTCCATGTTCAAGAAGAGTTTGCAGTACATGGAACGGAGGTCAATCAGTAAGTGCTTCGGGAAGAGATGAAAGGGTCAGGGTTTCTACAGGTTTATCGCTTTTTGAGGGGGATTAGGGGTCGCAGGTAGAATTGGGAAGCTCTGAGGACATCCCTGAATCAGGCGGAGATAATTTATAACTTTCTAGTCAAGTCGCCTGTTTGTAAATTAGATGTCACTCCACAGGCACGCTTATTGTGCCACGGGAAGAAGATTTGCGAGGACAAAGAAAGAAAAGCGCGATAGTTTCAATTTTTCGTGATTCTGTTATTGTGACAATGTCTTCTGAGCTGCCGAGGAAGTCTCTAGACCATGCCAGTGTGTGTCGCCAGTCGTCTCATCATCATGGTGAGGCAGTGATTATGCAAATCCCTCATCTCGCTCCTCCTAAGTTTGGTGACTCAATTAACCTTGCTCACTTGTCCGAGTTTTGGGTCGTAACTGGTCTGAAAAATGTGGAGCAGTTGCATCATGTTGATGATTCGGGTGATTGCTTCTCTGTCCCTTTACATGGCTGGTAGTTGGCATGTTGTCTTCACATCCTCAGCCGCGTCATCTTTGAAGATCAATTGCTAGGTTGTGTCTGTGTCGTTGTGATCATCACGGAGCTGCATGAAATCACTCAGGCTGATCTTCTCAAAGCTGAGTGTCGATCCGGACGGTTCACTGGCTTGTGCCATGATAGAATATTGCTTGTCAGACTTGTCTTCCACCTTGGCCAAATTCTCCTCGTGTCGAACAGCGAAAGGTCCTCTTTGAATTTCGTTCATCACCTGCTCGAAGAGCTTCTTTTGACGACACTCAGGACACATGCTACCAGCTGAGAATTTCTGATATTCAGCAAGTGATTGCCATGCCCATGTCATGAGGAAGATACCCCAAGCCTCTGCCCATACTGCATTGCAACCGCGTGAGGTGCAGTAATAGAAATTCGTTCCAAACTGTGAGGGAGGGGGTCCGTCTGGCTGAAAGAGTCTTGGAAATACGGTGAAGGAGGCCATAATATCGGCTTTGGTTTTATTCAGGGGGTTGAAGAATGATGAGACGTGGTTTGATTGACAACAATCTCGGAAGATCTGTTGATGAAGGGGAAAGGTGGCCAAGTGAGATGACTGCATGACAACAGCCACATGCGAACTAAAGGCTCATCGCATTCAAGCTCAGCGCCGTCAAATGTTTGAGTTGTGGTGCCCATTGCGTTCAAAGGGTGACATCTGTTCCGTGTCTGTTTGCCCGCCAGGTGTACACTGCGGGCACATGTATTGTTTACAGATTTGATGGACTCAGGGACACTGCGGACATGACTCGCCGCCACGCGATAAATATATACGTAGTTATCAGTTGGTTAAAGAATCAATTTTCTGCTCGATGGCCAGCAGGCGACCTGACAATGTATCATGACAAGACTGCCCATTTGATTGTTTTTCGGTCGGACAAGTGGGACGCTGGGCAGCATCTCATTTAGGAAGTTGGCCTGGTTATAGTTATCGCTTGACAGCGCCAGGGACCCAGGCTTCGGGTGTCCAAGTATTGCCTGGATTGGCGCCAGTTTCTGCAGCCTTTTTCCAAGGATCATCTGTTTCAACAGCGCTTTTGGTCTTTTTCGTTGGTCCGGGTTGATTGGGAGCTTGTTCAGCTTGTACTCTGTCAAATTGAGGATCACCACTGAGCTGGGGAGTAATGGCGGGCTCTGGCTTCTCAATATATTTGGCTTTGGCAGCCCATCTTTCATCTGCCAGTCGAGCATTATGTTGCATCTGTGCTATTCTCTGCAGGTCGGCAGCTTGCTCTTGAATTGAGGGAGGGTCTGCACGGGTCTGTCTCAACCATTGGTGCCACTGAGGGGAGATCTGGACATCTGAGTGATGAGTCTTCCGATTAGCTTGGACAATCCGCCGCCATCGATTGTGGTTGATGGCGTCTTTGAATTCCCAAAACGTGTTTCCTTTGAGGTCCTGGCCTGGAGGATGAGTTAGACGGGACGCGTGTGAACAGGGAGCACAGTCAAAAGTACCAACTAAGAATCTCTTCCGCCATGGAAGACGAAGCATCTTCCATCTGATCCAGAGGTCTCTGGCAGTGCCCATGATGGAGTTGGTAGGTATTGATGCATTGATTCCATGGATGGCTCAAGTCACCAAACATTGAAATTCATGAAGTCATGCAGAGAACGTGATCTGTCTTATGTAATCCAACCCGAACTACGTCAACCTGCAGGGATCAGCCTCCTGGTGGCGGCGGGGCCTCTCCGGGTGGTGTCTCAGCCTCCATCTCGAACTGGCCCGCCTAACCGCATGCCTATCACTGTCTGGCGCATGCCTATCGCCCCCGGGACGCCCCTCATCCATCCGTAACTGCCTGTCCCTGGGCACATCCAACTTCAACTTGAACTCGAAACTGGTCATTTCCCACCCCAAACTGCGCCATCAAGACACCTCATCTAGCCAGGTACATATGAAGACTTGAATTGTCTACAACACTGCCGCCCTATCCGCCCTCTTGATCCCCGAACCCTTCCATCTATTTCTCTTCACCCGAAAACATGGCCTCCGTCACAAGTCTCGACCAGGATATGCGCAAGTTGCGCCTCGATCGGTACACTCCAGGCGCGGCTAAAGAAGTCAGAGGGTGGATCGAAGAAATCTTGGGTGAGAGATTACCTTCTGGGGATTTGATGGATGCCCTCAAGGATGGTGTCGCTCTTTGCAAGTATGTTAATTCCCAGAACTGAAGGCGCGCTCTCCTCCGAGACTGTTGCTGACCTCACCAGGCTTACCATCCGTGCTGGATGTCCGGGTGTCAAATATAAACAATCCAACATGCCTTTTGTGCAGATGGAGAATATCTCACATTTTTTACGGGCATGCGAACTTGCTCCCCTGAATCTCCCATCCCACGACCGCTTTTTGACTGTGGATCTCTACGACGGCAAGGATCCCGCTCAAGTCTTGCAATGTATTGCTGCCTTCAGTCGAAGAGCCAATGCTGTGAATCCATCAGCCTTCCCTACCACTCTCGGCGCGAAGAGTAAAGGTTCTTCCATGAGCCCTCAAGGCACTGGCTCCAGCGGTCCAAGATCACCAGCCTATACTACCACTTCGACGACGCGCTCTCGCGGAACAAGTAACGCTACTCCCGAGAGCCCATCAATCACTTTCAATCCCTTGAATAGAGCTGCTTATTCCGGCCGAATCAGTCCTACAAAGACCACTCCTAGCAACACTCTAGGACGTGGAGGTCTCGCCTCCGGAGGAGCCGTCAGCACTTGGAGTAATGCTGCTGACGAAGGCAAGACTGCTCCAGCTTGGAACATTCATCAATATGGCTACATGGGTGGTGCATCTCAAGGAAACCAAGGTGTCGTCTACGGTGCACGAAGACAGATCACATCACCCGCGCCTAATGTGCCCAGTCTTGCCGAGAAAGAGAAACGCCAGAAAGAAGAAGCCGAACAGAAGCGCATGGCTGAGGAAGAATATCAGCGATCTCAAGCCGCTCAACGCCAAGCCGAAGAAGAGCAGGCCAGATTGGAAGAGGAGCGGAAATGGGCAGAAGAAACTCGCCGTCAAAGAGAAGTTGAGGCCGAACAACAACGGGCAGCAGAGCGCAGACGTCTCCAGGAGGAAGATCGCGTCCGCCAAGAAGAACAGCGCCGGAAAGAACTCGCTTATGAGCGAGAGCGTGAACGTGAAGCACACGACCAAGCTGAACGAGAGGCCGTCAGTACTCGAAATCGTGAGCGAGCTACCTCCGATGCGAGACTGAACGGCCAGTTTCTTAGCCAGTATCAATCAGGGACGCGCAACCCTCCACCGGGCGCCGTGGCTTCTCCTCAGTCAACTGTCTCACAACGAAATACTGAGAGTGAACGTATTGCAGAGTTGGAACGACAACTGGAAGAAATGCGGGCTCAACAAAGACGTGGTATCACGCAGTCCGCGCAGCAACATGAGCCTGAAGTACCCGGTCCAACTCTACCATCTCGATCGAAGCCTCCCGCGGCGGCACCAGCCCAAAGTAGTAACGAAGACGACTGGGCGTCATCAGAACGCGATTACCTCAAATCAGAATGGCAAAAGACCCAGCATGATGCGTCCTCACTTCCTCCCAAACCGGCACCTCCACAGCAGTCTTCAAGACCTCTTCCTGATCCGGCAACATACAACGCGAACAATAACCGTACAGATCGATTCCTGTCATCCAACACCGCACCTGAAGCCGCCAAACCCAACCAACACCGCTACCAAGATTACAGCACCACGAGCGAAGTTGACGCCGAAAATGCCCGACGCCTGGCCTCTCAACAAAAGACCAAAGCGGGTGCGTGGGCCAGCAAGTCTCTATTGGAACGCGAGATGGAACGCGAGCGTGAGAGACAGAGGGAGTGGGAGGAGGGTCAAAAGGCCACACAGGTGGCAGCACGTGATATCAAGGAGGGCTCCGGGCCGGGCCAGACTTGGGATGTTCACCAGTACGGATATATGGGCGGTGACAGCCAGAATCGAGGTGGAACTGGGTTGGGTGTGAGTGGTCCCCGGAGGCAGATTATTGGGCCTCGACCACCTCCTTGATTGATATTGGGAATACGGATAGGGTCAAAATATTTGTATGACGGTATGGCCAAGTCACCACGTGCTGTCAGACGAACCGCACCGGGGAGTGAAACTGGACTGATGAGTACGATGGACACGATGCTATGCGACCCGAGATATACGAGTTGAGTAAAAATGGAATGAGGCGAGACGAGCAATGCAATAAGATGTCAAACGTACTTCCATTTTGCCTTGCCGGGATAAACATGATGCGAATAATGCTGCCTATCTTCTCCACCATAGTAACAAAAGTCAAACGCTAGAATCAAACAACTATACAGTCGTCGAAGCAGAAGTCAGCGCAGCAGCATTCCGCACGACGTCCGCGATTCGAACACCACTCTCGACCAAGCAAGCCCAGGCCTCGTCATGAGCACTCTCTCCCGCACCACCAGCAGTTACCCCCTTGACCTTCCTCTTTGGCGCCGCCGCACCTCCAGCACCAGCGCCATTAGCACTAGCATGGAACTCGACGTCGGCAACCCGTCCCAACCGCTTCACAACACCGGCCTGCACCGCCCTTCCCAACACGCCTTCCTCACCACTCAGCCTCCCGTGGTTGACCTGCACCAAACACCGCGTCAAGCACTCGAGCAGCACGCTGACGCGGGCGTTCGCGTCGGCGGTATTGCGCGCGGCCGCGAAGGGGAGATACTCGGTCTCGAGTTTCTGCTGGGAGAGCAGCACGTGGGAGCGGATGGAGGGTGCCGAGGGTTCGAGCAGGCGCTGCAGCACGAATTCGCAGAGGGTCATGCTTGTCTGGAGTGTGAGGAGTGGGGTCGTGAGTGACGGCGTCGGTAGGATGAAGTAGGTGAAGGTCGGGAGGGGGAGCGGCTTGATGAATTCGACGAAGAGCGTGAAGAGGTCTTCCGGGTCTGGGAATGTGGTGGGGGAGGTGGCGGTTAGGGTTGGATGGGTGGAGATGTGGGTTAGGAGGTTGAGGAGGCGGAGGCGGAGGTTTAGTGAGGCGTGGTCGCCGAGGGTCGTGGTGGAGAGCGTGGACGATACTTTTTGCGCCGCGAGTTTGGCCGCTGCGCTGGGAAAGACCTCGCCGCCGGTGTCGTGGTCGCTGCGGAGGCTGCCGTTGCTGTTTCGCGGTGTGAGGCGACGGGAGGATGGCGTGCGAGTGCGGTTGCGTTTCGTCGGCGGTCGGCCAGGCCCACGTGCTGATGAGTCTGCTTCGTCCGACGTGTCTGAATCGTCTTGCATCAGGTAGTCTCCGAAGATGTCCTGCTCGAAATTGACGTCCACCTCTCGCTTCTTGACGCCGCCCCCTTCCTTCAGATTATCCGCCGGCGGCTCCTTCAGCTCATTGGCGAAAATTGGACGGAACTCGTTCATTGACCGCGTCGACCCATCAGCGAAGACGGCGCGCAGAATCCGTCGTTCCCGCGCGTGCCCTCCAGCTGCCAATTCCACGTAGTGCCACATCAGGCTCTCCTCGGCCGAGTTCGACTGCTCTCGTAACCGCCAGTCTGTCTCGAGCACATCGAGGAGATATTCCAATAGGACTTGATAGCGGCGCCATCGTTGGGCGTGAATCCCTGAAACGCATGCACAATTGAATGCCCAGCCTACGACATGCCAAAAATCGTCCGCACGTGTCCATAAACCCTGAGAGCCGGCGTACGAGGTGTTCAGGTCCTGTGAGAGAGGATCCGTACTTCGCCTCCCATCATACTCGTCCTCGTCGTTATCTTCGAAATGGGTCCGTCGCGAGGATCTGGAATCATTTCTCTGAAAGGAAAAGGCAGCAAGTAGATTCCCATTCACAGGACCAACCGTCTGGTTGACCAGGCGTAGTAATCGAACGGCGAGGTTTGCCTGTTCCCATTTCTCACGCGATGCAGTTCGAGTCGTGAAGGTAGGATGCACGGACACAGTGGCTGCGAGAGCGAGATGAGGTGCTGATGGAATAGTGACGGGTGCTGCTCGGTTCACTGGGGAAATACTGTTTCCAGTAATGGAGAGGAGAAAGGTGTATGCCTGGGTGAAGAGACTCTCTTCGTAGTATGTTTGCACGTGTTGGGCCAACTCAAACGGTAGGTCTTTCCTACTTCGGTATATTCGATTGATATCTGATCCTGTTGTTAGTTTGGAAAATGATTGATCTGGTGGAGGCGATGACAACGGTGACGACGCTATAAGATGGGCCATGATGTTGAGTTGGTCCCCTGGCCTGGTTCTTGAGAATCGCTTGGAGTAAACGCGTGAGCTACTAGGAGACAACACCGCGTTATGTCACCGAGTCCGGTATGTTTGAATCATCAACTGACGTTCATTTCGCCTGCAAATTGACGACTCAATCTTTCGATAATATCAGAAGATGCCGGAGAAGAAATTGCGGTCTTCTGGAGTGATGGTTGACGGTTAAGTCGACGCGCCAAGGCCAAGGGACTATCTGTGTTCTGCGTTTGCAGCCTTGCGGCGCCATGCCACTTCTGGTGGGACAAGATTGGAAGCCTGTTGGACACTTTGACAACTTCACTATACTAAGTATTTGCCTCCTGACTCTTGATTCCAAGCCACAAGTGCAGCTGTACCGCTTTTTAAAGTTGGACGTTTAAGTTGGACGTTGACGTTTTTGCCTCGCAATTACATCTACTCGATTACCTAGGTACTCTGATGAAAGGACCATCATTTTTGCAAAATCTATCACAAAGTGAACAGGATGGATGTATAATAGTGTGGAAGTTTGTTGAATTGTACCCAAAACCGTGACGATGCTATGCTATATACATGAACAAGACTCCTCATGCGATCCGTAAAAATAAATGCTCAGAATGGATATTCAGCCAGCTCTCTGTGGAAAAACTTTTCGTGAAATAAGAAAGATTAAAAGTTATCCTGGTTGGCATTACCCATCAACATGGTATTGTCTGGCTTATACTTCTTCGAAAGTAATCGAACATTGTACTCGACATCCAAAGTCGCTCCTTTAGGCTCGTTCTCGACGGGCTTGAATTCCAAGAGTAGATCGTCCTTGACAGCGCAGACGGTGTCGGTCTCCAGCCAGGGGTCGTCGTTGGGGTATAATTGAGCGGTCACGCCGACGTAATCGTCATGGGTAACCATCATATGGATATGGGCTGGGCGGTTGGGATGTCGGCCCATGATCTTGAGCAGGTCGGCTGAAGGTCCTGAGGTATCGATGGCATACTCGGTGGGCTTCAAGCAGTAAAACCAGAATTTACCCTCTTCGTTGGTTCGGAACTTGCCTCGAAGGTTGTGGCGAGTCTGGTTTTCAGGGTCGAAAACATCGTACTTGCCGTTGGTGCTGGCCTGCCACATGTCGAAAACGCAATTCGGTATGCCTTTGCCGGTCTCGGCGTCTTTGATTACACCGTGGAAAAATGTGAGTTGACCATCCTTGGGCATATCCTGAACCACGCTGGCACCCAAATCTCGGAATGGTGTCTCGGGTGACCAAAAGGGTCCGAGAATGGCTGACGATGTGGGAGTGATGCCTTCGTCTGTGACGATCTTGTGATTGATCTCATCAACAAGGCTAGCAAAGAGTGTTAGACAGTTGGTTTCGTTGATAAATGAAGATAGACAATACTCACGATTCTACGCCGAGAACGTCGCACACTCTCCAGGCCTCATTTCGGTTCTTCTTATAAGCCTGGCCGATGGAGTTGACGTAGTTGACACCGATGATCCATTCATCTTGGGTGAGCTCGACATCTCGGATGAAGTCGTGTAAATGTGAGATCAATGAGCTGAGGATTTCGCGATGTCTTGGTTTTGTTTCGGCGGCCATCAGGCCAATGACGTGTTTCGTGAATTCAGGGTCATATTTGGCGTTGTTGTTCTTGACACCATTCGTGCCGTTGGTACCGTTGGTGGCCATGATGAAATTTTATGTATATAAGGAGAATGAATGAGACTATGTCTTGGTCGGCCTGTCTTCCAGTTGTGTGGTGGGAGATTAAGAATGGAGATGGTCGAGATAGAGTGCCCGTTCACAAACCGGCAGGGAGATGTCTTATTTTAAAGGATGAACTGGACGGACCAGAGCCTTTGTGGATACGAGATCATCTGATTGACCAGCCGTAGGAATCTTCAAAAGTTTGCCATGGTCATCTGGAATAGCTGGGAAAACATAGGGCGGCAGAGGGATGCGGAGTAGTCGGCTCATCAGTCGGCAGATGCCCTGCCATCCAAACTCACCTGTAGACCAACGGGATAAGTTCTACTCCGACGAGTCACCCCTCCAAATGCGGGGGGCCATGGGTGAGCACGGGCGAGGGAACCGCCACCGGCAGTGACACATGTCTGGGCTTATCTCGAGGGATGCTGTTCGGCAAGTATGTGGAAATTCACGTTCGGAGAAACCTTGTGTTGATAATCGAAAGGCACTGAGAGGCTCCCATTTGTACACAAACAAACTCTGTGGGATGGTCTAGTACGGTGCGGCATTCTTCCGATAGATGCACGTCACGTGCTGACAAATCTGCGCCTCGACCAAAATCGCTTACCGTAGTGCCTCGCGAAACTTGAACTCGGGCCTACAAGTCCTTAACTTTCTTTAAATATTAGAGACCTGTGTCATCCTCCAACACTCATCCCATTTCTTCCACGACAACTAGATTATGTCAAGATTTCCTGCGATTATCTCATATCTGGGATTCTGCCCATGATGAGCAGCAAACTTGGCATGACCAGGTACTGGCAGCCTTGCAGCATTCCAGCCTGCATCAGCCACGGCCACCGGATGGATAACTAGAACTAACTGAGATGGCGTGTGACCGACCACCTGGTCAATCAGGCAGAAATGCTTCATTAGCCCCCCACGGTGATTTTGGCAACTTGTCCAGCAATTAACTATACAGTCGGATATGTATTCAAGTTCAGTTTTGTAGATTAATCCTCCATCCTGACTACTCGTGTACATTGTCGTACTTAGTACTCTGTGCTTTCAAGCATTTGCTCTCAGCTAAGAGAATCATAGTTGACAACCGCGCTCAACACTGTCCGCAAGCGTAGACGATCAGGACCTGGAAGAATACTTTGCATCCCTAAGACCCAGCACCCAGCATGGCCGAGCTGGCTCTAGCTGTGGTGGGAGTGGCAGTAGCATGGAAGAACATTCTCGACTTCGGGCAATTGATGATGGACCTGCTCGCGGACGACGACTGGGAAAGGAAGGGGTTGCTGTACAACCTGAGGACGAAAGACTTCCTACTGAGGGACTGGGGCAACCACTATGGGGTGGACCGGGACAACGGCGACTTCCACAAATTCGAACCGCAGAGGAAAGAATTCCTCATCAAGGTCATTTTCCGTTTACATGACTCGCGGATGCGAGCGTTTAAGATCCTCAAGGGCAAGTATCTGATGGCGGTGGAGGACGGCAACGATGATGAAGAGGAAGAGTATGAAGGGCCGGATCTGTCCAGGAAGGCGAAAGGGTTCGCGAGGTTGATTGACAAGGCAAAGACGATGTCGAAGAAGACGAGAGACAAGGGACGGTGGTTGACTCATGATCAGCGGACGGTGAAAGAGTTGATTCAAGATGCAGACGAACAGTACCGCCACCTGAAGGCACTGACGTTTGAGTCTATTCCTTTCATGCTCAGTGTGATGGATTCGCGAAACAGTTCCCAACCGCTCCAAGCGAGCCTCGATCTCCTGGAGACGAGGGCGAAGCAGGAAAATGAAAAGGAGATCGATCACTTGCGTAGGACCAGAAGTTTTCCCATCGAGAATGAGGCCGTCGACTGGGACAGAGAGACGGCCGTGAGTTATGCAACCAAGAACATAGTATCGTGCGATCAAGCAGAGCGTGTTCGGGAGCTCGTCAATCAAGGTTACTCGATGCTCGTTGACACCAGGATCATACATGGAGTCCATGACTGGTGGATGGACGACAAGTCCGGGTCCTTGGTCCTCGAAACTCCCTATGATGGAGGAGACGATGTATCGGCGGTGACTTGTGCAGCCGTGTACTATTTGGCATCCTGTCACAAGATCATCTACGTCTTCGATCCAACTGAACGAAAATCTCCTTCTCTCCAGCTTGCAGACATGGTGAGCACGATTACCATGACACTTATATCCATTGCTGGTGAAGACGTTGACGCGGACCACTCATTGCTACCTCCCGGGAACGTGGATGGGTCTGTAAGTTCTAAGCCTGGAAATCTGCCCGAGATCATCAAAGCATTTGAGAACATAGTCGGCCGCTTCATTGTCCGCGCCGATCAACGCTTCCTGATCATCGTCGAAGGTCTTGATGACTTGGTTGATCTGACCACAGATGAACCTGTTCGTCCTGCCATTCGATTGTTCTTGCAGAGTCTGGCCAGAGTCTGCAACATAAAACAAGATGGAAGATCCGTGGTCAAAGTCTTGTTTGGGTGTCGAGGTGCTGCTACCGCAGTATCAGAGTATGTTGGTGATACGGAGGTCCTGAACACCATGGATAGGGCGGCAAGAAAGGAGAACATCATGGCAGGGCTTGCCGAGAGATGGTGACAGCATTGAAAGGCGATGCCCAAGATTTGTCATGACCAAGCCAACATTGCACAAAGAAAGAGTATGAGCGAAATCGTATAGCTCCATTGCTGATACGCTATGGGTGAGCGGCTTCGACGTTATCCGTATCTAGCCTCATCGACACCTAGTCCTTGTCTAAATGGTCTTCGACGTGATAATCCCCTCTTCTCCTTGCTCTGGCAAACTCATCCTTACCTCCCATATGGTCTATGTACTTCATGAACCCGGTTGAGCGTCCAATCGCGGTTACCACATGATGACGTTCTACTTTGATGAAGTCTTGGCTATGCAGTTGCTGGTTACGCCGTTTCTGAATTTCGGCGATTGAGACAGCATTATTCAGTGCTGGTGCAAATCAAAATGGTCAGTATTCAAATTCTCTCGTTTGTGGCCCCTCATGACAAGTTCTTCTTCTCTCGATCCATGGACACTTACTGTTTCGGAGCTGACGTCCGTTAAGGCTGCCACAGTTGTCTATCAGATATTGCTTTGCCTTGGGGTCCACCAATATTGTGCCAGTCTCTTGAGAGTTGCGAACTAGTTTGTCGATGATGAGTTTCTGGGTCTCTGGTCGAAGACTCGGATACTGAATGGGCACTGTTATCCTTGAAATGAACGAATCGTCGATATGTCCCGGACGGTTCGTTGTCTAGACCCGAAATCAGTACACGGAAACAAAAGCTCCAGGATCACCTTACAAGGAACAGCACGCCTTGATAATATTCCATCGTTCGCAGGAATACTGATAAAACGATGAGTAAGTGCAGATTCATTCCATCATAGCAATGGAGTCAAACTTACCAGTCACGAGACTGTTGCGATCGACATCTCCCTCACGTCTCCGTTCAAGGAATAGATCAGCTTCATCTATGAGAAGGATGGCGTCCCATTTTGCAGCAAGAGTGAACCACATTCGCAGTTGATCCTCACTGTTCTCTCTCAAACCAATGTCAGCTGCCGTCAAAGCCAGGAGTGGGCGCTGGGTGTCGTTTGCGATGCACTCCACAGTCATGGTCTTGCCGGTGCTGAGTTCGTACACGTTAGTACACATGGACCAAGTTCAGCTCCACGGCCAGCTCTTTCATGCTCAAACGCCTGATGATATGGAACTTAACTGCTTATAGCAGGAGTGGGAAGATGAGGACTCACCCTGGTGGTCCATGAAGGAGAAATACCTTGCCTTCGCCCTTGTCTTTGATGAAGTCTGACAAAACTCCGATCGGTTTCTCTCCCTTTGGCAAAACTGTCCGCAAGCTTTCTTTGTCGTCGTCATCGAGCATGACAAGCTCATTGTCTAATTGATTGGGTCTTGGGATAGGTGGAGAATTCGAGATCCAGTCAACACAGAGATTCACCCAGCTTTTGGTCTTCAGGAAGAAGCCTCCAATCATCGATGGTAAGAGCAGGTAAATATCCTCTATGAGTCTATGAGTCTCGCAGTGATTCGGATCGATCTTTGTGATATCGTGGAATCTTTTGCCACCTTCTGCGTCTGTGACCTGGGTACTCAAATCGGTAAGGCGACGTAGAACTTCGTCCCTGGCGTATGATTCTAGAGAGGAGCTATTCACCCATTGCAGCACGGTGTTCTTCCGCTCTTGCTCCAAGTCCACCTGTTGCTGGTTATATGTTGTTGCGTCCACAATCACATAACCATTGTAACTCAAGCCAGCATCGTCGTATTCGCGGTATGCAGTCTTCTCCTTAATCAGTTTGAGGTACTTCTGACCACGCTCTCTGAGGATCTGTCGGCGTTGTCCAGAATCAAACCTGTCATAAAACTCACAAGGCACAGCCTCCAAATCTCTGACGAGTCTGGAGCCGTCGTAGCGTGCCACGTTGATGACTTTTACACGCCGCGTGAATTCTATGCCATCAGAAAAAAGATACCAGACATAAAGATGGATTCTATCGTTGGAGTCCTTCCATTCCGTGAAATATGAAACAGACCCAATGACACAGGAAAGCAGCTTCCCGTCTTCCCAAACGTAGACAAATGTGCCTGGCTTGTAAAGAAGCCATACGCTCTCATAACTGATACTCGGGTCATTGATTGTGAGCAATATTCCCAAAGTTGGTATCGCCCTATTCCGGTACATTGGCGCGAGATTTCGGAGTAAAACAGCAATGTCATAAGCAGTCGCTGCGTCACAGGGCTTGGTGATGTCGAGCATCCCAAATGCAAGTCGTTGGCTTATCCTGTCAGCAAGCTTACTATCACCACAATCTCCTATATCCTTTGTCCACATCCAGTCCGAAGACTCACGTGTAGCAGTGTCAGTTGTCGGAACGGAATCAATATAGGTCTTGTGATATGCCTTCAATTCGGCGTAGAAATGCATGATATCAACATAACAGCCGTTAAGCTTCGATGCGTACTGTTGAAAATTCCTCAGGTTATCAGGGTAGTAGTCCATCAATTGTTCCATGACATCAATCAGTCTCTTGGAATGGATCTCAAGACGGGGTGCATGGACTTTGAAGACCATGGCATCCTTGGTGAGTTCGAAATCGGCAGGTTCTTCCTTCCATGTTGCAAGGCTGTTGCCCAATTTACCTGTCTTGTCAAGGACATTGACTTCAACCACGATTCCAAGAACAGCATTGTCATCGTCAAATTGAGTAGTCTCCGAGGTTATGAGACCTGTCTTGACTCCCTTCCAGCTCTCGTCTTTGTAGAAAGTTCGGTCTGACTTATTGAATTCCTTCGTTTTCAAACCATATAGGATATCGGGTTTCTTTAGTTTGAGAGGCGGCACATCGCCACTGGTTGAGCTTGTATGCTCTGGGGTCTCAGCTATGCTGGCATTGCTGCCTTCAGAAGATTGGTTTGAGAAATTGTGAACCATTTGGTCTCGCAGATCTTCGTTGGATAAATGGGTTTCTGCATGCACGACTGTGGGCGATGAAGAATCTATTGACGATAGAAAGTTGTTGGAATTGTTCGTACGGCTTTTGTGAACTATTTGGAGTTGTTACTCTCTAGCAAGCCTATAAGTTAATGGATCGACTTTGAATGTAGCCTTGAAACTGGGGACATTAATGGAAAACGAATCATCAGGCTAGAGAGGCAGATTTGTCGTCTAGTTGAGCCCTAGACCAACCATTAAGTAGAAGGGTTAGTGCACTCAACAATGATGCATCAGGCTTGCAACCTCAACCATCGCCCAGATAATAGGCGAGAGGGCCAGAAGTCTTGCAAAAATGTCTATCAAGGCTGCTCAGCCTCACAATTCATGCACAACCATGGCACCGACAACGAGGCATTATTTGACTCCGCACAGACGCCTGCAGGCCACCTATGCACAATGCATGTCGTGACTCGTGAGATGTCTTGAAACAGGAAATATGATTGAATTAGCCCCTGCATGGGTGATTTGGGCCTCAACTTCGCGAAATGCTCGCCAAAGTTTAGTGTCCCAGGCAAAGGCGGCACGAGCAGCCAGCCAGCCTTCATTCAGCAGGGCGGGATCATGCATGCAAGGCGGCCATCCAACCCACGACAAGGTTATTTTCGAGGAGTAACTACCAAAGAAGACTTTTGAACAAAGGTGCTTCGTCTCCTCCAAAGTCTCAAAAACAGGTGAATAGGAGAGGAGACCACAAAAAAAAAAGAAAACGATGCTTACAACCATGAAAGAATCATATAGATACTCATGGCGGTACCCGGAATCGAACCGGGATCGGATCGGAGCTGGTTGTCACATTTAAGACAATCCACAACGATACATGCTGACCATTACTGGAGAAAAGTCAGCTACCAGGGCGCTTGGAGAGATATTGGTTTGAGAAACTCACCACCATACCACCGCCTAGGTTTTGGACCAATTTTGGGGACTATAATATAAGACAAAACTGCAAAAATGAGGGGCGTCTCACGTGATTCATGGCCAATGGCGTTCCACGGATAAGTCACCGGAGAATTGTTACAATCGTGGTCTAGCGCAGGAAGACGAATACGTAATCGTCCTCAGAGGCTTTATGATCCATGTAGATCTATGTCTGGCGCGGAGGTCAATGATGGTGCGACCTCTCACAAATGGGGTTCTCAAGGTTGAAGGTTGAAGGTCGAGATCAGGAAAAGAGAGTAGGTGAGATTTGGACTTGGGGGAATTATGATGCTAGCAGGTTGCGATTTCTTAGTCTTGCATTACAGCAGCACAAGAGTTCGGCTTCATACACATGTCAAACCATCAAGTGGGAAATGCAGTCAGTCTTTCCCAGGGATTGAGAGGGAGGACCTTGACAAGTTTCGATATGTGGCAACGGAAAACAGGACGCAGCCAAGGGTAAAGAAGTGTGTTTTCCAAGATCGTCTTGTAGGACTGATTAGAAAAGCCATGATCATATCACTTGCGCACATCATCAATGTGCTGGAATACGATGTAGAAACGAAGCGTGCATGTCATACTTCAAGAAGTGGAAATATTGGTATCATATCTAGGAACAATGCTTAGATGTAGATGCCTTTTTGCCCATAATTCCTCAGTATGCTGGTATTCCAATCCAGTGGCCAACGCTATGCTGATACAGGACATGGTCTTGTCAACCGTGGCAACCACTAACTGATCACCCCTTTCTTCTCTATCCAATCATTCCTGACTAGAAAGAGATCGGAAAGTCCAGCACCCTTCATCAATAGTTCGTAATCATGTCATTAAATCATCGCTTCTGGCGTGGATCATACATCACCTTCCAGCCTCTAGCTGCGAAGGTGTTGGATGCACCTCAGGTGCTCCATTACCGGAAGGTTGATTATGTGTTGCTGGAGGAGGTCGAGCCCTTCCAGGAAGACGTAGACCAATAAATCGTGACCTCCATGTTGGTGTTTGCGATTGTGTCTCCGGAGCGTCGCCATTAGCGGTGGTCGCCGTGCTGACTTCTCTTTCTCTCTGTCGGTCATTCTGGCCGGCTCTTTCAGCTCGTACCACAACAGGAAATCCATGTCGATCGCGATCATGGTAAACTATACTCATGAAACGTCCAGGAATATACATCGCGGGTCTACGACCCTGTCGAGCACTCGCGATGATGGAATAGGAGGTTTGGGGAGGTTGGGGAAGATCTGGATTCGTGGCCGATCTGGTCAAGCCCTCCCCATTGGGGCCTTCTGGCCGGGGTTTGGGTACATAATAGTCAGCCTTACACAGAGGACAGCACGCCCTCCGCGAGGTTAACCAAGGGTCGACGCAGGATGCATGGAATGCATGGCCGCATTGCAGACCGCGAACATCGTCGTCGTCGTCGAGAGTATCGATACAGATTGCACAGGCGTCGCCGGGATCTGGTAATTGCTCGGCGGGTACGGCTGTCTGAATGTGGTCATCGTCCTCATCATCCTCATCATTGGTGGTCACCTTGTGAACAACAGGGGAATCTGGAACCATGGTTGATTGCGTTGATTTCGGCCTGGATGGAGTGTCCGGTCGAGAATCAGAATCGGCGACGCCACCAACCAGATGAGGTTGGCCATGTTCAGGTTGCTGCGCTTTCTCGTTTTGTGCGGCGTCGGCTTTGGCCTGTGCCAGTTCTCGAGCTTCGACTGAGTTGGAAAGATCTTTCGATGCTCGGTCTTCATGATGTATGCTTGCTGCTCGACTGACAGGCCGGGATGCAGTGTTGATACCGCCAGCGGTGGGTAAACCCTCGTCGGCTCGAGTGGCCCGCCATGCTTTGTATTTGGTCAAAGGAAACTTCTCGTTGACTTCTTCCATGGTCATCAGTTTCTTTTCTCTCCTTCTCCGATGTTGTCGGGGCATTGCCCCCAGATCGACGGCATCCGGATCCTCTCCATTCATTCGCTGTCGATTGCGTTGATTATATCGGAAGCAATACTTGACACCGACAATAATCCTAGGTTTGTTCAGTCAGCGAGTCAAAGTTTGAGATAGTAAATGAAACAACTCACCATAAGTTGGTGAAAACTACACCGAACCCTAGAGCGACAAAAAAGAGGAGAGGCGAACTGGGGCCATTGCCTGAATTACCATTATTACCAGTCGCCGAGGGCGGAGGAGTCGCAGTTGTGGTTGTTGAAATCAAACTCGATGTCGTGGCGGACATTTTGACGGAGGTGCGATGATTATAGGATTGGGTAAAACCGATGAGTGTATAATTTTATTCAACCATCAAATACGGTTGCCGTCGATTTCACCAATTATACCAGTCCGTTAAACTTCGGTGAAGGGACGCATCGAACGACAGAGGGTCAGCAGTGTGAGGGATATTGCTGCAGTGAGGCTGACACAAGGTGTCTGAAGGGTCAAAATTGACAGCGGTGATCGCGTGGGTCTGGAAGTGAGATGGACGAGCAGTTGTTTCAAGGGAATTGGGAGGATGCGTCAGGGAGGTCGGGGGAAGATTGGTGGGCTGGTGGCCGGATTTAAGCAGCCTGAGGACGCTAGCCGATCAGGACCGGAGGTCCAGGAATGTAAACGGATGGGTGAAAGATGACCGGATCAAACGAACGCGAGTAAGGCGGGTTCGAAGAGATGCGGACTCCGTCGATGCGTTGAATGAAAGATGGCGGATGGGGATGGAGTGAAGATGGGAAGATGGAAGAGAAGAAGCAACGACGGTGAGCGGCAACGGGAGGGAAGGAAGATGCAGACGAACTTGAGGTAGGGTGAAATCGAGAGGGGAAGGAGTGAGGGAGGGAGAGAAGTTTGAAAAGGCTGGTTGACTTCGGTGCTAGCTACCTGGGAATCTACTAGTCAGTTGTCCGTATTCGCAAGAGGTACTATCAGAGTGCCAGAGTCAAGCCCAGGCTGTGGCACGCCGACACGGACAGGGACACGTAGACCCTGGCCTACCTTGGACCTGGGACTGCCAGAGGCACATCGCCCCTAAGAGTCTCCTCGTCACAGAATCCAGCTGGGCTGGAGACACCCAGGATTGAGAGGTTCTAGGCTTCTACCCTCCCCGACCAGAGTTCAATGGCACCCAAACTGGAACGAGCCCGAGCCAGCGTTGGGTGCCCCAGACCCGCCCAGAGAACCTAAAAATGCCACATGTGTTCGTCACTTGGCAGGCAACCTGGTGGCGATTACGGAAACGCCAGATCATTATTTCTCTTTGTGTTTTTCACCACAAGTCGATCTTGAATAATGCGGCCATATCTGTAAGATGTATCCATCTCGTGATGACATTGATGATTCCACGATCAAACCTAACAGTCAAGTGCAGAATGAAACCCGGTTGATGGCCGCCAATTTTGATGATAAAACTGGGAATAGCTCCCTGTCAGCGTATGCTTTCAAAGGTTGTCTAACCTCTACAAGGTCTAGTCAGGACACTCCAGCCGCCTCTCTTTACGCCTTCACACCCTCGACTCGCAGCCGTCATGAGACCTCTGCATGAACAATCGGCGGATTTCTTGCGGCCAATCGATGCTTCCCCAGGTCTCGCTTTGTGGCTTCGCTTGCCAGTGCCCACAGTCGCAAGTACTAGATATCCTTCTGGGGCGAGTAAGGAGTACTCGCTGTGTTGGACCACTGCAAAATGGCCAATATCTCCAACAAGCCCATGCGTATTCGGTACAGAGACCGCATCTCAAGTTAACACCTCTCTATTCTGATCGTGTCGATCATTGCTCGTTCTATCACAGTGTTATTTAGATATACACCAATGCCCATCATGCTAACAGATATCCGAACCGTCATATCCGCCATTCCAAATCCTCGGGTACGTACACTATCACACATGTTCGTTTGGTTTTGCCACTTGCAGATGTCTTTCTCGGACGCTGGTTAGATGTCCGAGCGTCACTTACAAGCCGAATCAGTCGATGGGCAAGGCCGAAAGCACGGATCTTAGTGGACATTGCATTTCAGCTACAAATTGTGAAACGATAAGGATCAAGGGTCACCGTCGCTCGAGGCTGCTACACCAAGAAAATTCCATTCTCATATCTGGCAATGACTGGTCTCATTATTGATGTCCTCTCATCCATTATAAATACGCCAGTATCTAGCAAAGCCAGCGACGCTCACTTTTGCATGCCCAAAACGATCCAAGCAGTGGGCGTGGAAGACATGATCTACTATCAGATGCTACTTTTAATGCTCCGTGATGGAGTATTGTCAGCTATCCTGTTCCAAATGAACTAATTTCATCCACTGATTTCCTGAGCTGTATGTTTTCAGTCCGATCACCCAGTGTTAATCAATCTTTGGGCCATGCCACAAACTATGTGCTCATATCTACCGATGATTGACTTGATAACGACCTGTCTCATTGTATTTTTGCTTCTCGCAACTCACAGCTATTGACGGATTCCACAAACCTGAAATCGACCGCAAGATATCCAGAATTTCCCACCCATAATCGTCCAAAGAATGCGCTTATGGGATTCAGCCCTGACCCCAATATGTCGTCAAGCATTTCTTTGTTTACCAAGCCGCCGAATCGCCAGCGAGAATATCCCTAGGCACACTTACCAATACATATTGGCCTTTGTGTCTTCTTTATCATCAGGTCACTTCACTGCTTTCATGTGCAGTATCGAGGAGTCCATGAGGCAATCCTAGCCAAGACCTCTGTCGCCAAAGCATTGCACAAGACAATATGATGCATACTGCCATTCTGTACTCGGTATATCCTAGTCACAATGGATATACCAAGAGGCGAGGCGAGATGCCAAGATCGCGCATTTGAAGCACAGCCATATGCCAAGAGCCTTGGATGTTTGGACCATCATGTTGCCTACCATTCGCAATGAGCACACTATTCGTCTATGGGTTTCTCGGACTTGACGACGTGAACTATTGCGATGCAAAATCACTGATTAATGACCAGGACAGGAGAGATTCATCAAACAATACATCGATCGTGTGTCCTGCCTTTCCATCATGATCAGCGAAACCAAGCTTTCCTTCCGTAAGGTTATCGCCCATCAAAACCAATGCTAACTTCTCTATCACTACTCACGTACCTAACTACAGACATACAGACATACACTCTAGCAATCAGTAATACACACAAACTAGCTGATCAGGCAGGTACATTCATCTACCTGATCCCCTCCCTATCCTCGAAGAAGGTACATACCAAGGCCATCGGCATTGGGGGCTGACCGTTGATAATATCAATACCCTGCTACTACATGCCCAACCTTGCCTCCCCCAATATACAGACACCGAAATATCACATCTAACTACTATATCAGTCATCGAATGGCACTTCCCATCTCACCGCCAATTGCCCTACCTTGACAATCACGAATTGCCTGCAGACCTATGCTATGGACGAACCTTTAGTTTTACTCTCTAACCACCCACATGTCCAGTCAATACCACCCGCCCACGGATTCAAGGGGCTACGAAGCCCGGCGCCGCTGAATAAATAATCCACTCAATTAGCTAGGCGACGTGAAACAAGGGCAGATCTCAAGCTCATCTTATTTTTGAATCCCAAGATGTGCACTACGTGCACTGTGTTTCCCGGCTCTCCTGGTGTTCAGTGCCGAGTAGGTTATTTACTCCGAGCCTAGAGCGCCGTCCACCTGCCCAGGTTAAGATCTGCCCGTCCATTTTTATCTGGTAGACGTCCGAAGTCGTTCTCTAGTTGTCAGAGTAAATCTGTAGAGTCCGAGTTTCATGGCATGCCTGGGCATTGTGGCCGCGTGGGCACTATTATGAAAGAGAAGGAGGAACGCGCTGTACTGGCCGAGATATCTATCTATCTATATATATTCATCTTGAGTATATAGATTCCCGTGCTGAATGTGATCCACCATACTTCAAACCTTTTTTAGCTCCGTACACTAGTTACTATACCTCACCCCTCGTTCAGACGTTCAGATAAAGACGAACTGACCCTCCCGGGCACTCGTCGAAGAGACGTATATCCAAAGAGAGAAAGAACCCAGACACACGACACACACACACACACACACACACACACGCAACCTGGTCCCCACCGGCACATCAAAGGGCGACAACCATCGACTTCCTCAAAGGCCTCACGGAAGCGGCAGGGCACTTCGTCGACGATTTCCAAGACCAAACAAGAGGAGGAGGAAGAAGACCCTAATCAGGAAGAAGGCCAGCATGGCGGGGCTGGACACTACGAACACGCACAAGACGACGAGGAACAAGAGAACGATCCTGTTTTGGATCCGAATGAAGAAGACAAGGACGAGGAGGTTCAACACGGAGGGCGGTACGGTGATAACGATCATTATCAGTGATCAGCGTGGTTTGTACGTTTGCGAAACTAAAGGTTGGGTCTATCGAGCTGGAGGCGATGGTGGTGATGTTAGCTTGTGTGATGAAGCATCATGTGCTGGCTTTGGGGTAGAAACTGGTCGTATAGCACTTTGCTCGTTGTTGGTATTATGAATATTGTTTTGCATTATTCAGATTGCCTTGCTGTCTATGTATCAAAAGCACGGTCTGGAGTGAAATTAAGAATGTACAGGTTTTAGTGACTGGAGTCGAGCCAACTTTTGATGAAGTGCGTTCGGTGCTCAGGGGTTGTTGAAGAACGCGTTGGCGGTGGGCATCTTTAAGTAGCGATAATTACTCAACATGCAAAGTCAAGCCCGTGAGTGCACAACGACATCTCCGGGCAGCATGTTGGATCTCGCAAGTGATCCTTGCAACAGCCACAATTAAAACTCGCTTCAGCGCTTTCCCCTACTTCGCTTTGACACTCTGGGGATTTCTGAAGAGATTCTTGGGATCTCTCTTCGCTTTGATCTCCTGTAATCTAGGCAGATTTCCCCTCCAATACTGCTTCTGTGCATCTGGTAGGAAAGGGTCGACATACCCGGGATAGCTGCCCTCCACGTCCGGATTGTTGTCAATGATGACCTTGTTCAGGCCGTCCAGGAATCCACGCTGTTGCTTGGTGAAGATGCCCAGAATGTCGACTGCATAGCTCTGGAGGAAATAGATCGCATCGCGGAACGCATATGCCGTCGCGTCCTGTGCGACTTCGTTGATCTTCCCTGCTTCAAGATCGTAAATCACAAACCAGGGAACACCGAGAAGTTCTAGATTCGTCGATGCTGCGCCAAAGTATTTGAACATGGCGTCGATGGCTTTGTCTGACATGAGCGTCTTTTCTGTGAATGCAAGAGATTTCGAATAGAAGTTGGTGGGAAGTCCGCCGAAAAGGTCAAGTCCCAACTCTGAAAGATCGTGTCCAACTGCGACCGCAGCATCCACTACCCGTATGTCACTTTCTGGTTTGAGTCCAGGTATCGCAGATTGGATGTTCAGAGCACTGAATTCCTTTTCGGTACCAAAGAAGAAACCTGTGATGATAGAGCCAAAGGGGAACACAATAAATTGGGTCGAGATCTTGACGGAAAGTTTAGGGTCCGAGATCAACTTTTGCCAGGCTTTGAACGCCGAAGCCTGTAATTCAGCGTTTCCAAGAGTGACATTATAGGTATAGGCAATGGCATTGCCGGGAGCGGGATGTGTCCGGACATGGAAGTCGGTCACGATACCAAATGAAGCTCCGGCACCACGGATAGCGAAGAATATGTCGTCATTTTCGGTGTCAGAGGCTGTGATGATAGAACCATCAGCTAGAACGACCTCGGCGTCGATGATTTGATCGGTAGCAGCTCCGAACTGGCGAGATATACGACCTAGGCCTCCAATGGTGTAATGACCACCCACTCCGACCTGAGGTGCATCTCCATGAGGGACGAGCCGTTTGTATTCGAGTAGGAACTCATTGACGTCCGCGAGGTGATTTCCAGGTCCGAGATGTGCAGTGTTATCCGAAGGATCAAAGGTCAGTTTGTTCAAGTATTTCGTGTCCACCACGACTGCTCCATCGTCTCCCCCAAGACCTAAGATACCAATTTAATCCTGGAGCATTTCTAGAAGGGTGTTCAAACTCACCATAATTACCAAATGAATGGCCTCCACTCCTGGCCTGGACGAAAACATTGGCAGCGGCGGCACATTTGACGACCCCACTCACTTCTTTGGCGGTCTCCGGATACGTTATCGCTATGGGGTCAGTGTCGTAGGCCAGGTTGTACCTCTTGACATCGAGGAGATCGAAGAGGAATTTATTTGAAAACGCTGCCCGACTGGATTTGCCATTGAGTGCTTTAACTATGCAATCCTTCAGAGCTTGAGATTGTGCGAGGACAAACAACTGGGGGCATAATAGTGCCCAGCCGAGTACCAGTAGAATGAAGGAGGGGACGACCATATTGATATGAGAGAGAAACGAGAGAGAAAGAGAAGGAGCGTAGGTCTTGCGATCAATGAGCGAACAGACAGCCGATACAAATCAGGAGGATTTCAAAGGAATGAAAGACACGGATGTTCAAGCGATCTGGACATGAAGACACAACTGGAAGAATAGGGATTGATGAACACGTCCGTCCGTTTGATGAAGTGATAGAACCATTCTGCAAGGTACCTACCCAAATGAAGTATTTCTGGGGACCTTACGAGTAAGACCCTGATGCCAAGGGAAGAATGCGTGAACAAAGAAAGAGTAGAAATGGATGCATTTCCCAGGCTTCACACTAACTTAGGCAAGTATCAATCAACCCTCACCAGCAAGCAAGCAATCTCCAGGCCATAGCCATCGAGAACCTCCAGACACGTACCTGGGTTGAGCAACCAAGTTCCACGAAGTTGATCAAGGCCATCGACAGCCCAGACCTGCGAACCAATTGCTGGCGACGAACGCGCAAGCAATTTACAGGGTCAGGTGGGTGTGAGGGAGGCGAATAATAAACAGGGAAGGTGGGAGGGAGAGAAAATCAAGTTCAGGGAAGGAAGGGGCGATCAGCAAACGGCAATAATAATAACATTTTGGATCCCGTCTTGGCACCCGTTGTTCGTGCATGCATGGTCTAACCAATTGACTGCGGGGAAGGCGCTAAGCATCTCGTCTGGCAATTTACGAGAGCACTCGTGCAGGCCAAATCAACTGTTATTGCCTACTGTCCCTTTGGGATGCTCACAGGTGCTTGTTACCGGGAGATGGATAGCTCACGCCAAAAATTGGATAGATGGATTGTTGGAGGATGGAATTGTGATTGACTCTTGCGACCTCATTTCGACCAGGGGCACCAAGGACCTGAAGTCCGAGTACCTAACGTACTCGACCACAAAGCTAAGTATTACGCACTTCCCGCAAACGGAGAACTCCTGTTCGAAATGCGCCTTCCCATCTATCACAGGACCCAGATCATCAACGGCCAAGTCTGATGCAGTGCTCGCTCTCTCAATAATCATGAGTATGCACGTACTTCGCCTGAGAATCCGAAACCCCCTGGAATCAATGGTACAATGAAGAGGAATAGAAGCCACAAACACATGCGTTTTCTAGTGAAAACCGAATGAACTTGCAATCTCTAATTCTTCCCAAAGGATTGCGCACATGAATCAAGTTCCCAATCCAAGGAATACTCTTTTTTCGTACGACCATTACCTTCACCAGCTTGCTCTTTCTCTTTCCCAGAACCACCAGCTAAACTTCGACGCCACTAGCTTTCAGTACAAATAGAGAATAAAAACTTCCCTTGACCTTCCCGTCAAACTTTGGAAAAAGAACGCCTATGCTTATCCCCGGCCTCCAGCGCTGTAATTCATTGACAAAAGAGATTCGGAGCTTGTCATCGAAACAAATTTGGATAAAAAGTCGAGTAATCGTAATCATGTATACATTGGAGAAAAGGAAAGGTTTGACGAGCGGATGTGTTATTGTGTCACCTGTCCGGCAGGGCTGCCATGAGGCTTCGGTGTCGGTTCCTCCTCCAGGTTGATGGTTCTGGTAGGCACCGGTGTAATATCATTGTCCATAGAGATTTCAGCGACACTCGTCCCAGGTTGGAGAGGGAAGATGACTGGTGGTGTGATATGTCCACGGCTGGGTGGTCGTTCCGGCAGGGTTTGTTCCGGATGTGAATGCTGTGAGGGAATTCTCTCCATGGTCTTTCGTGGTTGGATTGAGCCCAGTATTGCTGGAGAAGGCTCCTCCGGAATCTTCAGACTCTCCATGCGTTCTTCCAGAATTTCCAGTGACTTGCGTAGGTTATCGGAATCGATGTTGTCGTTGTTCATGGAGATGACACTCCCACGGCTATTGGTACGCATCATTTCAATCCCCAACTTGGAGGTCGGTCGAGCACTTTTGCCAATCGGAGAACGAGCTCGGACTTGAGCATCGCCTAATTCGTCGTCTTCATCGTCTCCTTCTTCGGCCGCTCCACTGAGAGCTTGAAGATTCTTCTCCAACTGCTCGCGCTTCTGCCGCACTGCCTCTGAGGATCGCTGGCGACGTGGAGTCCGCAGTCCGAATCCACCGTGTTCATCAATGGTGGCGCTCGCAGGTGCGGATTCGGTGTGAATGAGATGCGGGAAACCACTTTGAACGTAAGGCTTTCGGCTAATGACTATGTCATCGGAGATGCCCAGTCCACTATTCGCCCAGTCATCTGTGGCTGCACGAGACACGATGACAGGGATTTCATCCGCTTTCATGGACTCCATGTCACTGAAGAATCCACCACTACCAATCGAGTCCTCACGACTCGACCCTTTGTACGACGAGTCTGGCATGGTAGGTGCCAGGCTCGACGCTACCGAGCTAGGGCTGTCTTGTGTATGTGTCCCGTCAAGACGACTGCTCATGGGTGGGATCTGCAATGGCATTGCCAACCTAAAGTCTTTTGGTGGTGGTTTCCACGTACAATACTTGCAAAGCATCTCGCTCAGCTTTTGAGTAGTGGGCGGCTTTTGCATCAAGGTGTCGAAGTGATGAGTTTCAGGAAGGTCTTTCAGGTACCCTGTGATGCAAACAATTGGTGTGTTGGTGTTGGCGCTCTTCGTGTCGCGTATCATTCGAGCAGCATCCACTCCACTTATGAGCGGAAGCTTAAATTCCATGAAGATGATGTCGAACTGAATCTGGCTAACAGCAAGTCTGAGAGCGTCTGGACCATTTGCTGCTGTGACCGTCCGGCATCGGAGCTTTTCAAACAGTCTCTCCATCACCATTCTTGAAACCGGATGATCCTCACAGATCAAGACGTCCAGAGGTCGATAGGTAGGCCCATCCATGAAATTGATCTGCGACATTCTGCGTGAGCTCTGCCTCCGGCGCTGCACTTTCAAAATGGCTTTGGCTTGTGTGTTTTCGTTGTCCGATGATGAAGGCGATACGTCTCGCACAAAAAGCTGACTCTTACGTTTGTGGTGGCCGGGGATGAATCCCTCGCGGGCGGATTGTCCATCACTTTCTTGAGAGCCCACAGTTTGAGATCTTGGTCGTCCATTGACACTGGACTGACGCGACGGTGGTCCGGCCACTTGCTTCGCTGGGGAAACGGCAGGAAGTCGATGCGGCTTGATAGGCGAAGCAATGGCAGTGCTGACATGCTTGACGGCATCATAAGGAATGTCGAAGAAGCTGCCTGGAAGAAGAGAGTTACTTCCACTAGAAGAACCAGAAGTCTTCCGACGTTCATGGTGTGCAGTCGAAAATTGCACGAGCAACGGAGATGACGGTTGGGAAGGTCGACTTGGTGATGAATTGTTCGTCACCAAACTAGCGGGCGAGCCAGGTCTGTGGCCTTTGCTGATGGATAGGGCGCGCTTGACTGGCATCGGCATCATTGGACTGCCTTCAAGAGAAGGGCCTGGAGATCCCATCGCTGGGCTGTTCGCCGCAGAGATAGCTTGTGAGTGGGTGTAACCACGCGATTGAGCTTGCATGGCTTCCTTGCGCATCTTTTCGACAATATCTTTATTGGCCTTTTCAAGCACTGGCAGATTCTTGAACGTGAAATTGCCAAAATCATCAGCGACCACAGGTTCGCTCAGTCGCCGACTACGAGAGTCACGGGCAACATGTGGAGGTATGTGGAGCGGCATGAGCCCCCTTTTGGCGGACGCAGTTTGTGTTCGAGCTCTGAACAAGGCATCATGTGGCCGGTTGGGGTAGTCGACGCCATTCGGTGTGGTTCCCGAGGGTGATATCTGATCCTCAAGCTCTTCAGGAAAGGACGACAGCGTTGCTCCTCGAGAATCGAAGTACTCTGTATCTTCCGGATGTTCAGGGGCAGGGATAAATTGTGCTTCATCCTCGAGCAGGGTATCCCAGTTGATGTCGGCAAACCAAGGATGGGCTTGGATTTCGCGTCCTCCACTGGGGTATTTCTCCTCGAGGTTGGCTCCAAGTCGCTCACGTGGGTCAAGCTGAATCAGCATATTGATCAAGTCTTTCGCCTCCACACTGACCTCGAACTCATCATCCTCAGGCCAGGCAATTCGCCGATGGAGAATGTTGTCGAAAACTTCTTCGGTCGTTTCGGCGTTGAAAGGCGGTACCCCATACAGGAATTCGAACAGAATACAGCCGAGTGACCACCAATCACACATCTCGTCTTGAGTCTGACCATTGATGGTCTCTGGAGCTAGATAGTCCGGAGTCCCAACAAAACGGCGCCCACTCTCGTCTGGGTCAAAGAGTGCAGTTGGTGGCGGAAGCATTTGTGAGGATGCAGGAGGTGGTGGAGGTGCTTGTGAAATATTACTCATTGATTGGGAAAGCGGGAAGAGGTCAGGTGAGTTGCTGCCTTGGCTGTATAGCTCTTCCTCAAGGGCATGATTTCGTAGGTGCGATGATGCTTCGGCTGCATCTTGCACGCCCAATTTCTTGAACAGGTGGTGCAGGTCGAAACTTGAACCACTGTCGCTTCGGTGGCCGGAGCTTTTGAAGGACATCTCGCGACTCAAAGAGCTTTCCCTGTTCAAGCTAAAGTACGAGGGCTGATCAAGACCACCGGCGAGCGCAGGCGTCATCAACGGGGTAGGAGCTGGGGAATGTGGACCTTGATAATCAAACGAGGCCGATCTTGAGGTCGGATTTGAACCATTTCCAGACGACTGGGTAAATGGGCCTTGCTTCAGGAGATCCGGGGCAGGTTCGTCAGGCTGGATAAGAGCCCGCTTTTGGCGGCCGACCAGGCCCATACGTGATAGACCGAAATCTGTGAGCTTGAGATGGCCCTTCGAATCGATCAGGAGGTTATCAGGCTTCAAGTCACGGTGGACAATGCCTCGACTGTGTAAATGTTCCACTCCGAGAACAACCTCGGCAATGTACTTTTTGGCCCAATCTTCACTCAAGCCACCAAGAATTTTCACCAGTGATGCACAGTCACCCCCATTGAGAAATTCCATGACAAGATAAAGGTAGTCCTTGCTAGAGAAAGTCCAGTAGAGCTTGGCGACAAAATCGCTTTCGCCCTGCCACATCATGATGGCACGCTCAGCCTTGACATTGGTGACTTGATTTTTGGCGACCATATCAGACTTTCGTAGAACTTTGATGGCAAAGTACTCGCCAGTCGCTTTCTTTTTGGCCAAATACACGCTGCCAAAGGCCCCTCTGCTGATGGGCTTGATCACCTCAAAATCTTTGATGGATGGAGGCTGCGCCCGTTGTTGAGGTTGACTGATAGAATTGAGTCGAGGGGAGGATGGTGTACGCATATCGGATGAGTGCATCGATGACTGCCTCCTATGCAGGATCGGTATGTGTTGAGGTGGCATGAATTCTCCCGTTGTCAACAAAGGCGAGACGCTGGGGGCGGGTGCAATCTCTCCACTGGGAATCCGAGCCTTGTTCATGCGAAGTGGTGAGGGAGGTGGGGGAGGATACCTTCCAGGTGATTGCTGACGATGGGGCGAGGAGGAATTGAGGCCGTGCAAGTGCATGCTCCGGCGTTTTCTGTCGCGAGAATGTGCAGATCTGCCATGTTCGGACACCACTGGAGAGTCAGCACGCCAGTTGCTGGACGGCAGACTGCTATCGCTATCATTGGCGTCGTCGATATACACTGATCGCCGGTTGGATAATGGTTGCGGCTGGGTGATGAGAGTGCTCTTGTGTGACTTGGGTGTCGGACATTCTATGGGACTGTTCGAGCCGGTTGAAACTGCCTGGGAAGACGAGCGTCGCTGATCAGTCATGGGAATGTGTGACAAATCTCTCGAGTTTCGCAAGGCTGATGCCATGGATCTAATGCCGACATATGACATTGACCTTGTGGCCTCTGGTTCCAAGACTTGGGCAAGAGATTCCTCCGTTTTAACAGGGCTCTCAAGGATGTCTTCCAAGTGGGCATCGATCTCTTGGTCGCTCTCAGAATCACTCTCGCTGGAGGACAAGGATTCACCAGCGGCGGCTCTTTCGGCTTTGATCAACGCTTCACTGATGCAGGCGTCAACTTCTGCCACGTACTCTTGCCTAATCCGTTCCGAATACTCAAGAATGAACTGGTGTCGATGGACGGCGTCCACTTTGGCACGAGCCAATTTCTCGGTGTCCGCACTCAAGGCAGCAAGGCCAGGTTCGCTCTCTAGACTGATTGGTGGTTGCCATTGATGAACTTGAGCAATTCTTGACTCTGATTGAGGTGACTGTGACAAGAATTCATCTTCCGAATTGGATTTGCTGTCCTTGATGGAGGGGACGTTGATCTCGAGAGCTGTATCACAGAGATCTAGAATCAATTCGACCATGCGGACGAGTGGTCGTCGAACAACGAATGAGCGGGCACGGTTGTGCCCCATGCCGGCAGTAGATGGACTCCTTGATCGAGCAGGGCTTGCTGCATGGGAGCCTGCTGCCGAGGATACTCCAGAAGAGGGTGTGGGTGAAGGACCAATGGGTTGCCCTTTGTATTCCGGCAATGGTGTATTATGTGATGGGCCATCTGGTCCGACACGGCCTTGTCGGGCTTCAAAGGCGTCCAAGACTTTGACGATTGCATGTCGTTGTTCAGTGAGACTGTCCTGCACCGTCTGAACATCCATCTCAGCACGATGCTCCTGAACACACAAATCGGAATGCTTCTCGAACCACCAGGGAATGATGGATCGCTCACAGACTCGACAGAGGACAGGGAGCGGAGGAGGGTGGTTTTCCGGATCATTTGCTCCTGCTTCTGCGAGTTCAGTGAGATACTTTGCCAGAATCTCGGCACCCACTCCGAGGGTTTCAACTAGTCTCTGAGGCAAAGCGATTTCAATGCGTATGGGTTCCTGGGCAGGTTGTAGCATCCACATAGTATGCGTAACTCCACCAGAGTTTCGGTCGTAGACCATGATTCCTTGTCCTTCCAACTCAACAGTGGCACATCCAGCATCATCGAGGCTGACCGTATCTGGACCGGGTTCTTGACCTTCTTCGACCGGGATCATAGGTGCCATGTCAGACGAGGTGTCAACCTTGACCGAAAACTTGACGATGTGGCTCTTGGAGTCATTGGAGGTCAAGGCCTCGATGGCAGTGTCAAAGACGGTGGGATCATCGCTAATGAATTTGGAGATCTTTTGCCCTCGGACGGCAGCAAGGTCAGTGCCAACCACGTCGGTCCACGACGGGCTGACCCAGCGTATGACACCATCCAAGCCGAGGTCGAGTATTATGTTTCTTGTCTGCTCGGCAGCTTCTTTCAGTTCCTGAGTACCTTCCTGAATGTCCTGGCTAAAAGACCTCTCCATAGCGTGTCGGGCCAAAGGTCCGTTCTGAAAAGCGTCATGTTTGATGGCAGTTATAGCCGGTGGTTCCAAGTAAGACGAGGAAGCGCTATCCTGTGCCATTACTTCTGGGATGGAAGCCGCTGGGTTATATTTGGAGTAGGACGGGCGATTCGGCGGCGAGTCTTTGACCTTTGCAGGACCGGCTGCAGTTCTCTAAGACTTTTGACCCACCATGGGGGAGCCAAAAAGGCCCTTGCTATCCTGACATTTTCCACAGATGCGATACCCGAATATCTGGCAGGGCTCGCAAATGTGAGATCTTGGAGGATATAGACTGCAGAAGCAAGGGTTGCCCGAGTCGTGGTGGGAGACGGGGAGGGAGAGAGGGAGGAGGAAGCGGCTCGAGTGTGGCGTGGCGAGGTGTGGCGGCGTCCGACGACGAGAGACGTGACGGAGTCTTTGTTGAATTCAGGGAACACTTCCACAATGGCCAGCGGTCTACATCAGTGTTGGTTGTCGATTTAGGGTGTCAATGGGGACAATAAACAAAAAAAAAGTAGAAAGGAAAGCGAGTGGTGCAGTTGTGTACGGCGGCCGCCAGGTTTGGGTGGTATGTGGTTCTGAACGTGCAGTGCAAGCGGACTAGGACGTGGACGTGGTTGTGGTTGTGGTGGACGAGAGGGTCTTTGATTGCTGGTGCTTCCTGGTTGGCAATGGGTTCTTGGAGAACAAAAACAGCTGGCCAAGTCAACCAGTCGCTGAACGGCGATGCTCGGGCTAAGCCCAAAGTCAAAGTCGCTAAAAGAAGCACCCGCAGAAAGTTGCAGAAGCAGAAGAACAGGGCCCCTCGGGGCACAACTGGCAGGGTTTAGGCTAGGTGCAGTGGGCTCCTTGGGCTTAGCTTCCCTCGTCTCGTTATTCTCGTAGGCTCGGCCTCGGAACTTTGGGGCCTAGGGAGGGGAGGGAGCCAGTGGCATTGTGCCGGGAGGCCGTTGGTGCATCGACAGGCCCGAGGGGGCCCCCAGCAGCACGGGCACTGGCACTGGCACTGCAATGCAGCCTTTAGGTGGGGCAAGTTGACTCTACAGGTGACTGTTGCTTTCAAAGCAGACCACACTGGCACTCGATGATAGAGAACGATGAGTAGGTATTTCGAGAGTCGAGATTCCAGACTCCCCCATTGTCACTTTTGACGGCTGCCATCGTTGATATTCCGAGTCCCGGAACATCCCTTCCCAAGCCACAGAATCCTGAGTGATGACACTGACGCTGGCAAAAGAACACAGACATTCTGTCCCTTGTCCTCCCTCCCTCATCACTCAGGCTGACTACTCGTACTCTCGGTATCTTTGTCAAGTGACAATGTACTTGGAAGTCTTCTTGTATTGCTTACCTACTCCTACTAGTGACAGTGTCTCTCCCCATTTGCCAATGATCTCTTACGTAGCAGCTCGGCACCTCAGGCATCCTCGAGACAGTTCGGCTTTCCTGGCCCCCTCCAATACGATGCTAGTATGCATGGAGCAAGTCAGTCATTGGGTCTTTGATAGAGTTGACTCCTGCAGGTCGTCCGTGGCCATGGCCCAAGTCCATGCAGAGAAGGCTTGTAGATGCATCCATCCGGGACCATTATCATCACCCAGAACCCATCACCCATCCACCTTTAGAGGTGACAAGGTTCCGGTGCCGGATTTCCATCCCTTCCTCCCAGTCCAGTTAACCGTGTCCTTCGTACTCGTAGATAGCAACAAGCTTGTGCAGACAACTTATGTCCCCCTAGGTTTGGATCTCAAGGGGAACTTTCGCAACCAGGGTTTAGCATCTTTTTTATTCTAAAGCCACTCACTTTCTTCCACGCGAGTGCAAGACCCGACCAGAAGACACCATTGTTTGATCCACCACCAGATGGGTGGCATCATCGTTCGACAAGGACTGTAGTTCGGATGATTGTCACGGAATAGCGGCTGGAGTTGCACAACCCGTCAGCCCTGGAGCCCTGTGCACCACTGCACACGCCCACAAGGAACTCGATTACGCAAGGCCCGTTTGTGATCAGACGTGGATGAAACAACCTTTGCAAACCGTGGACGATACACATGATCCAATAATAAGCCTCTGTATCGATACTCGTCCAAGTTGCGTGAGATCCTCCACGATGTTGAACCACCTGGTGTCCACACAGACCCCTTCCTTGAAGTTCCCAGCGGCTCTCGGTTGAACTAGAGCAGAAAAAAAAGATAAGCCTCCATTCCACATCCAAACTACTCAATCGTGGCAGGAGTGAATATCATCAAGGTTGTTCTGACTGAGAGCGTCTGTCATTGAACCATGCTCCTTCTCGTACAAATCTCACCAAAATCTCACCCTTGCATGGATCGTGATCGTGATCACAATTAAAACAACCACGAGTATTCCTGACAGAATAGTATCTCATTGTGCATTACCGATGACAGGGGGGATCAGACTACTTGGAGATCCCAGAAACGGAAGGACCCAGCAGTCCGTTCAGAGCATCATCGTTGCCTTGCCCATTTGTTCGGAAACAAACCTCTGTTTCTCTTCCTTTGAGACTCGAGGGGGTAGATGCAGCTATTCTGAACTCCACCCCCAGTATCTATTTGAGTAACCCTGAACTTTCTTCACTTTCTTGTCATTTCCAGAAAGTCAAAAAATTTTGACCGCCACGGCGCCTATTGCCCGCAAGGGATGTTTCAGGGGGCCCTCGGCCGTGGTTCAAGACAAGCAAAAAGCAAAAAGGACGAAAACAGAAAAGCAACAGCAGCCAAAAAACAAACACCACCAACCAACAGGATCAGCTGACCCGGCTTCTTCGTGACGGCTGAAGGAGTCAAAAAGAGGGCGCCAATCACCATGACTGTCCAAGGTGACGCTACTGCGGGAAGAGACAACTTCTAATGCAGTCCAGGGCAGAGCAGAGCAGAGCTGCAGAGCAGACCAGAGGGTTGCCGCTTGCCGTCTTCGACTTCAAGTCAGGAAAAGGCACGGATTAACTAATGACCTCCTCTACTACGAGTACGATGCAGTGTACTATCATGCACAGGACTGCATGGTTCGGCATAAATGCATGCAGTACACCGATATGCTAACTACCTCAGTTAACCTAGATACTACGAACACTGGAGTGGTGGTAAGATACTCCAATCCTCCTCTGGTCTCCACCAACTTTGTCTTCCATACCTCTAGAATTAATAATGGAAGACGAAAGAACATTCCTTGTCCAAGCACTACCACTAGATTCGGAACGTCGACTGGAACGAGTGTATACTAACCCAATACTCAAAAGGCCTAGTAATCTACGGAGTACTCGACATGGACCACCTCGCAACAAAGTCGTGACCACTAAACGATTCACGACGCCAGTCCCGTAATTCCCGTCTGTATCATAAAAACATGAACAATAATGTCCACCATGCGCTCAATCCCTCGAAACGAATTTCAACCGTCAGCTCAAGCCTGAGCTTGGACTCTATACAGCTATAATACATGCCTCCTGTCCAGCCCATCCCCAACACGCGACTGCTGACACCAGTAGTTAGTGGGCACTAGTAGTCCCAAGATAGGTAGGTCAGTCAGTGCTCCCTGCTGACTGACCTTGGGCACTTCAACACCCCCACCTACACACAAACATGCAGACATAAGCCTCGTGTGACCTACAGTCAATCCGACCGTGCCACTCACTCCTTGATTGGATTGGAGACGCCGGGGTCGAACGAGTAGAGGTACGGTGGTGGTGTATCTTTTTCCAACTGCCGGGCCAGCGTTCTGCATAAAAGCCCAGTAACGGGTACAGACAGACGGACACACAGCGCCCAGAGAAGGATTCAGGCGGCCTTGCAGTCGAGGTACAGCGATTGCGAATCCAGCGTCCTCGATCCCAGCACGGGTACCGGTAATATTGTAACGCCGTTCGTGCCCAAGGTACCTGGTTATTTAATCTTGATGGCACCCAAAACAATAAATCTAGTTGCTTATATAGGTAGGTAGCGATACCATGAAAGCGAATATAAATATCCACGGAAAAAGCGGCCGTGGACCCGCGCCCTCCGTTGTTCCTGCTACTATGTTCAGCAGCACCGCCAATTCGGGCAGATAAATGATAGGGTTCCCTCATCCATGCATGCGTTCATTCGAGGCTATCGTGTTTTTATGGATCTCCATCTGATCCAGAACTCCTTCAGCCAGAACAAGTGTAACGGGACCCCGAATAACAATGTCGGAAATCGTGATATCTGCAAATCTGCCCCTTCCTGCCTGGCTAAATCATGACGATACCTGTGCTTCTCGTTCCTCCTCCTGTGAGTGACTTGGGAGTCAATCCATATGGGCGCGTTGCTGCTCAGGCCTTCTAGTCCCGAGGTTTGAGGTGATCATTTCGCAGTGAGGCCTGAAGGACCGAGGCGACTTCGTTGCTCTCGTCGGCTGAAGAATCGGCGTCGGTCGTCAATCCTGGTATAGTGTTGGGCTGAAGTCTTGAATAGGGATTGTTGCCAGACCCCTTACCGATTCTGCTCCGAGCTGGCGTCACTAATGTCTGGATTAATGTCGCCGGCCGGCCGTCGATGAGGGTGACGGTTCACCTCGAGAGGGCTCTAGAGCCTATTGTCGTTGAAATAGGCCACTCATCCACTATTGGGCTTTCTTCTCCAGCGAAGCATTCCTCTTCTCCTCCTCCTCATTCGCCTTGAACCACTTAACCGACCTCGCAAACCCCTCATCAATATCTACGATCGGGGCATACCCAGTGCGCTTCTTCAGCTTCTCACACGAGTAATACCGGTGGATGCAGGTATACTTGACGGTCTGGCGATTCAACTTTCCCTTGCGGCCAAACAACCAGTTGAAGGTCTCGGCCGCACCGCCCACGAACTCGGCCATGCCCGCCGGTAGGATCCAGAGCTTGTCGATATTGATGTCACGGCCGTAGCGGCTGTACAGATAGCGACTGGAATCCCAGAAGTATGCGGGGCTGCTGTTGGTGACGTTGAAGGCCTCGCCGTCGACTTTCTCATGGTCCAGGATCGGTAGTTTGCCGTCCAGCGCGCGTTGTTTCGTCACGAGAAGCGCTGATGCCGCGCAGAGCAGCCCGAACACCACGTTGTGGACATATGTGTTGTCAAACAGGTTGTCGTTGGACCCGAGCTGAATCTGCAGCTGCCACAACGGCGCGGCCGCCGCGGTCTTGAGGATTCCGCCACTGAAGCCCCCGAGATCACCTTCGCCGACGATTCCCGCCGGCCGTACGGCGCAGGTCAACATATGCCCATATTCGGGTTTGTTGTTGGCCTCGAGCGCCAGCCGCTCCGCATGGACTTTCGTCTCCGAGTAGTACTCCCTCGGGTTGGGGCAGACATAAGGGTATGTCTCGTCGGCGTTGATGAGGTTTGCCTCGCCGTCGTGCACCACGCTGGCACTGCTGGTATGCACAAAGACCTTGCACTGGCCACCCCAATTCCCATGCTTTCCACCCGCGACCTCCAACAGCGTCCTGGTGCCTTCGATATTCACTTTCCGTAGGATATCAGCGGGTGCTTCCCATGACGGCGACGCCGTATTGATCACCACGTCCGGCTTCACTTTCTCGAATACCTCCAGTAGCGCCGAGGCGGAGGTGATGTCTGCGTCGTGGTATGTGCAGTTTGGGAAGATGTTGCGGGTACACCGTAAGTCGAGAGCGTGGACTTGGGTGTCTATGGTGGACGGGTATCGAGATCGCAGGCTCGGGAAGGATGTAGGGAGGAGCTGCACTTTCGAAGTAGAGGTATGGCTATTTGCAGTGGTGGTATGGTCGTTGGCGCTTCGGATCTCACCGTCTTCAGACGGAAAGTTGAGGAGTTGATCGACGAGTCGTGATCCCAGGAAGCCACATCCTCCCACGACGAGGACGGTGCCGTAGGAGTTCGGGGGAATAGATTCCTCTGCCATTTCTTTGTATGATTGACCTGTAAACTGTAGCACGGTGGAAGCCAAATCAAGGGTGCGACAATGGTAGACGATCTGGGGAAGACAAGTCCAAAGTCCCAATTTTTTTTGATCGGGGATAATAATCTGGTCTGGTACCTGGAAAGTGGGTCTGCTCGGGGCTCGGAGGGGTTGGCGATTTGGTGGCGAGGTGCCAGCTGCATTTGTTAACAGACAAGCTTGACGATCCTTGGAGTTCGGGCTTACGAGGACAACGAGTACCAAATACGAGGGAGGCTTCGCAAAGCAGTGCTCAATTCAGCTAGATAGCAGGAGACGACAAGACCCGCTGGTGCGATAGGCTACATTACTGAATCTGACTGATTCTCTTGTGCTGTTGGTATGGAGAGGGTATGCATGTTTGAATGATGAATATCTGAATGGCGAACTCGCTGAATCCCTGTGACCATCTCATTTCTGTACTCCACATGCAAATTCTCAATGTTGCCGCCATAGCTAATCCATAATCATTTGTGGGCAGCGTCCCTGTGAATACAGCTTACTGCCAATGCCCTGGTGCCATGGTAATTTCATGCATCACCTGCCAGTCCATATGCCACAAGTGCGAAACGCCGTAACTCCATGCGCTCATATTATTACGCTCACTCTGATCCGAGTCTCCAAAGTCATCAGGCTCATGTTATCGGGAAGACCAAAGACTCACATTCCGCCCTCTTCACAGGATTGCTGAGCAGATCTTCTGAGCTGGCGATAGTATCTCTTCTTGTCGCTATCCGAACCCCACAGCAACTTACTAGCCTCGGGACGGACGATCGTTCGAGGATCATAAGGAGGCGAATCCTCTTCCAAGGCCTCCACAATGCTTTCAACATGATTTCTGATTTCCTCGGGCTTCTTTGGAAAGTAGCACATGACACCGTCCTTGGAAACTCGATGGTGGTATATGGGAGTCTCAACCTTGATGCGAGGCTGCTGGTCCGGGAAGCGAGGGCTGATGCTCATTCTGATCTTGAAGATGCCACCATCTAGGTGAGTCATGGGTTTACCAAAGTACGTCATCAGCCACACATATGGATTGTTCTCTTCCAGCTCCACTGATAGGTTATGACACTGCTTTTGCCTGAGATAATCTCCGATCTGCTCGAATTGTCGCTGCACGCCTGCTGCCTTGGATGATTCACGCGTCTTGAGTGCTAGACCTTCCACGGCCCATTTGTTCGTCTCTTCAGTGATGACTTGCTTGACGCGGACCAGGCGTCTGCCCAGATCACCATAGCGGAATTTCCCATCCATCGAATTCCCACCTCCTTCAAAGGGCATTTTGGTGAAATCCGAGCTGTCTTTGTGCTTTGGAGTATGCTCTTCGATGGTTGACATGTAGGTTTCATAATACCAGAGGAACCGTCGTTTGTAGAGATCGCGGAATGGTTCAAACTTGAGTTTGGGTTCAGGCTCAGGCTTCTCGTCACGGGGCTCGTCGTCTTCGTCTCCGGATGCCCATTTCGGGGAGCTGTTGGCTGCAATTGAACCGTCTGATTGTATGCCGAGAGCATCCTCCAGTTTCTGTAGGACGGCAACTCGTATCGTCTCGTGTCGAATCTATGTCGAATTAGTCTGGACATGCTTATGGCTCTCTGTGGTCTTGTATGGCCCTACCTTGGCACAGTAAAGTTCGTTCATCTTCTTATCCTCAGCACTTTTGGCATTCTCGTATCCTGGCTCGTTCTCATAGGGGTTGTTGGACATCAGGCTCTGGATCGACCACAAGATGGACTCCAGGCCTTGAGCGGAGGACCACTCTTCGCCTGGGCGTTCACCATGCCAAGTCCCCAGAATCGAAAGACAAACCTTTCCGCCTGCATAGATGTTTGGATTGAAGCGAGTTCTCCCTTTGTTTGTCGTACGCGCCTCGACCTTGGGAGGTTTGCTAGGGTATTCGGCGCCGAAGTTGACAGTGAATTCAAAGAAGCCGTATTCATAAGGTGTGGCATGAGGGCCGATGATGAGTGCTTTCACATGACGTACGTCTTCTTCCTGACAGGCCACTGCAATGGCTGTGTGTTGATTAGCGAGGAGTTGGGATGGGTTGGCAGTGCGGACTGGTACTGGTACTCACAAAGGTCACTACCTTGCTGGATAGCAGCAACTTCCTGACAAGCAGCACAGTCAGTGGTCCGTCACCTGTCAGTTGGGTTGGAAGACAATGCTCACCCTATTGATCCTCAAGATGGTTTGGTTCGACATGTTGTGCGGGGAAGTGGTTGAGGAAAACCATGAAACGGCGACGGGAGGTGAAGAAGAAGAAGATCTTGATCATGCAGACGTGGGGTTGTCAGAGACATGGCTAGAAAATCTTGAGACGCAGTGCCAGTGGAAGGAATTATGAGGCTGTGGGTTGCACCGCGTCGAGAGTGCCTGCGACTCCAGACTGCAGAGGAATGACTGCCTGCGCCCGCATGAGACCGACAACTTGCACCTTCCCTGGTTATCGGACTGCCTCTGCCCGCTCCCGCACCTGCACTTTTGATCCCAAACGACATTTAGTCGCCCACTAACTACTTTGGTCCACTACTAATCCATTCGGGCTTTTAGCAGGAGGCAACCTCAGCCTTAGGCTGTCTTGCAGCTTGAAACCGGTGACTGCCTGATTCTAGGTCAAGTTGTAGCCTAGATCACCACCTGTAAGGCTGTGAGATGGGATCTTAGGCAGTACCCTCATGCATGATGGAGCCTTGATTCCTGCCGATTGTGATGCAGGCCGAACCCTTGGAGGGTGATTATTGCGTACCTAGGTAGTTGGAAGGTACCTAAGTACCTCCCTAAGTAGCGAGCGAGGTATCCGTACTCCGGTATCCGTAGCGTAGCGTGAGAACCCACACACTTGTAGCCCGTATTCGTCAATCAACAATTGAATCTAAATCAACATCTTGTACTCCACCATGGACTATCAATGGCATTAAACCTAAGGTTTCTGAACATACTCGTATGTCCACAGTGCAGTCCACTCGATACCCAGATAGTGAAGACCAGACTTTTGCGAACCATCCATTGCCCCACATAGGACCATGCAACTGCCCAGCGAGAGGGTGGAAGCCACCTGGAACCAAACAAAGACAAAGCTTGCTGTCGGTATCCTGCATTATTTCTACACGTAGTCGAGACTGTGTAGAGACACAAACTGATCCCAATGAACACCTGACGTGTCAGAGGTTATGGCAGCTTGAAACAGGCATTCAATGACTCAAAATCCACGAGCCGACCCTTTACCCTTTATCTGTTGGGTACCAAGGTCGCTGATGAACTCAAGTTGGATGTATTATACTGATCTCCAAAAGGAAAAGTCCGTAGACCAGGTACTTTGTAACAAGAAACTTGAATCATCTGCTCGCCGCTTTGCTTCGCTGGAAGATTGAATGGCGCTAAACCGGATCAGGATGCGTGGTCGCCCGGCCCTCCAAACCAGAATAGAAACACTTTCACCTCAAAGGGTAGAGAGAGGCTGACTCTCGAAGACATCACAACAAGACTGGTTCTTTGGCCTTTCTGAAAATCCCCATGTCCTCTCTCCCTCTATCAATTCCTACTCCGATCAATTTTCCTCGCTGACGCGCTGGTTGTGCAACTATTCCCCTGTCCATATCCACCCTCCTCTTTCGACATCCTCACTCCCCAGACTTCAGTCCCATCCCTCGATTTCGCCGCCGTACAGGCCATTTCCAAGAACACCGCATGCAACTACTCTGACTTCATTTCCTTACGGAGCTTATACCGTCGCGTACGAGCACCGGTTCTACCCTCCGCCCTTCTCGACCAGCAATCTTCCAAGTCACACCGCTCAACCCTCATCGCTCACGGGCACTCCTTCCAAATTCCGGTGCCCCACGATCACCTGCCATCAACCGGTCGGACTTGGTCTTGATCCTAACACTGAATGGGCCCTCTTGAATAACACAAACATTGTGAAAGTCCGGTCTGAGGGCGGTCTTTGTTGGTTTGGAGACTCCCCATGTCAGATGCTCAACTCTCACAGTTTGATTCATTTCTGTTTGAAGATTAATCATGGCCAGTCCATACGAAGACCAATACCATGGGATCTCTGGCAATAACAACAGATATACAATAGGTTCTCCCTGGAACCCACACGATTCCTCACAGCCTCCCCCGAATGGTCAATATCCTCCTGCCCAGAACAACCCAGGCAATGGAAATCCCAGTGATCCCCAATACGACAGCGATACCAGATATTCTTCAGATAGCCGCACTGGAAGGAAACGATCTCAAGGCGCACCGGGAACAGGCGAGCGGAGCAGGTCCAGAACAAATGGCAGCAATGGTAAATCATCCAGCAGCGGCCTACGTACATGCAAAAAGTGTGGGGAACCGCTTACTGGACAGTTTGTTCGCGCCCTCGGGGGCACATTCCACCTCGACTGTTTCAAGTGTGCTGACTGTGGACAAATTGTCGCTTCAAAATTCTTCCCGGTTGATTACGAGGATGGCTCGGGTCAATTTCCCTTGTGCGAAACAGACTATTTTCGGCGTCTGGACCTCCTCTGCTTCGAATGCGGAGGCGCTCTTCGAGGCTCTTATATCACAGCCTTAGATCGGAAATACCATATTGAACATTTCACATGCTCTATATGTCCGACCGTGTTTGGTGCCCAGGACAGCTACTACGAACATGATGGTAAAGTCTACTGTCACTTTCACTATTCGACCCAATTTGCACAGAGATGCAATGGCTGCCAGACCGCCATCCTCAAACAGTTTGTCGAAATATTTCGAAATGGACAAAATCAACATTGGCATCCCGAATGCTACATGATCCATAAATTCTGGAATGTTCGTCTTGCTCAGAGTGGCCAGATTCCAGAGAAACTAGATATCTCGGCCCCAGTGAGAGAAGATCAGCGAGAGTCCATCAAAGAGGACGAAGAGAAAATGGAGGAGAAAGTCTACCGCATATGGAGTACCCTTTCTACATTTGAAGAGTCTTCTGCCTCCTGTATTTCCGACATGCTACTCCACGTCAGTAATGGAGTCTACGTCGACGGTGTTATCGTGGCACGAAAATTCATCTGGCATGTGGACATTTTATTTGGTGCAATAGATACTTTAGCAGCTCTAGTCATCAGAGCGGGGCTCAAAGAACTTGCCTATGGCCGCGAAGCGAAACTGCTCTGCAAGAAAGTCGTCGCCTTTTTCACATTGCTTTCAAAGACCCAAGAAACTGGGGTACGAAAATTGGGAGTTACCCAAGAATTGTTGTCCTTGGTTACAGGTTTGGCTCATTATCTTAAACTCCTCATACGAATTGGCCTCCAAGGAGCGTTGAAGCTCGAGCGTGAACGTGGCTCTGCAGAGGGTCTTCACGCTTTCTTGGATGAAGTGGCCGATCTCGAGACCATCAAAGAGCAGGAGATGAAGTCACTAGATCTCTCTGAAAGTGTTGCAGGATTAGCCAGTCAAGAGTCAGACTGTTGTGCATCATGCCTAGATCCTATCGACGACGAGTGTGTGATGTTTTATGGCAGACGATGGCACGCAAAACCCCCTCATCTATTATGCAGTGTCTGTCAGAGAGATCTGACACATGATCTATCAAATGCTTTGTACAGTGAAAAAGAGGAAAAAGTTTATTGTGTTGAACATGGAAGACGGACACAGGATGCATTTTCGGGATTCTCGCATGTCACAAAATTGCAGCAATATGTTTTCTTGTTACGCGTTGCATTGGCTCGGTTATTGGAAGTTCTCAAATCCGGAGGTACATTGCCACATACCTCCGATGACCCTAATCTTACTCCCTACAACACCACTGAAGGTCACAGGGTATCTCCAACTGGTGAGCAGTTGGGCCAATCCAAGATGGGGTCAAGATCACGCTCCTTCGCAGGTTCCTCAAGTCAACAACAAGAGTCTTCACTGGAGCAGACTGTTGGGGAGATGAAGCGCTTGAGGTCGACCAGAAACGAACGGACTTTGTCCACAACTTTTAGAAAGGCACGGGAATCCAAGGTTCTCTATGGACCATCTGGTATCCTCTCCGAATCAGCCGAAGGCCCTGACGCAAGGAATCGGGGCGGCTTCCAAATTGTAGAGGAGCGGGACCTCGATGGTAGACTAAGGACCGAGTTGACCTTTGGTAATCAAGACGGACTAACTCTTGATGACATACCCAGGATTGTTGCCGCTGAACAAGCCAAAGAACAAAGACCCAATGCCTTCCGCCATGCAGGAACGAACCTTATTGGTCACCGAGGAAATGAGCCTAGGCTGGTCAATGGACATCAACGCGCAACCTCTGGTGGAAACGATCTTCTGGCAGGGGAACCTAGTCCTCTACGGACTAAACGTTACTTCTCCGAGTTGTCTGCCCTGGAGTATTTCATTGTGCGACATGTCGCGGTCCTTTCTATGCAGCCTTTGCTGGAAGGAGATTACACCTTGGAAGACCTGCTTGGTCTGATTGAAACTCGAAAGCAGACATTCTGGGGCAAGGTAAGTCGTGCTCTGCGAAATGACAACAAGACGAAGAAAAAGGGCATCTTCGGCATTCCACTGGAAATTCTCGTGGAACGAGAGGGCGCAGAGTCCACAAATGGAGTTGGTCCTGGTGCGCTACGAGTTCCTGCTATCGTGGACGATTGTATCTCAGCGATGAAACAAATGGACATGTCTGTCGAGGGAGTGTTCCGCAAAAATGGCAACATCAAACGACTCAAGGAGGCAGCCGAGTTGATCGACAATAACCAAACCCCCGATCTCAGCCGTGACAACCCTGTTCAGGTTGCAGCTCTGCTGAAACGATTCTTGAGAGCAATGCCAGAGCCTCTCATGACATACAAATTGCAAAAGCTTTTCATCACTTCGCAGAAGATTGAGGATGAGGAACGACGCCGGAGGGTCATACATCTTACATGCTGCCTGATGCCCAAGAGCCACCGTGACACCATGGAGGTACTTTTCTCTTTTCTTAAGTGGACCGCTTCGTTCTCGCAAGTCGATGAAGAGTCTGGCAGCAAGATGGACATCCACAACTTAGCCACTGTGATGGCACCTAATCTTCTCTACGCAAAAGAAAAACCCGCGACCGGGAAACAACCTATAGTTCCACAGGTCGATGACAGTTTCCTCGCCATAGAGGCTGTGAACACTTTGATTGAGTACAACGATTACTTCTGTCAGGTATGTAACGTCTCGATGTTTCCCATGAGGGTTGTGTACTAACAATTACTAGGTACCCGAAGACCTGCAATCAATATTGACCGATACTGGCCTCCACAATGGCCCAGCAGAGCTTACCACGAAAGAAATCTTATCGAGATATGGTCACATCGCCAAGGGTCAGGTCCAGAGACAGACAGTTCAAGGCCCCGATGCACCCGTCCATAGTCCAAGTTCAGCTTCGAATACAATGGGTGGTCCAGTGGCAACCCGCGTTGACGTCGACCCATATCAGCAAACAGCTTGGCAAAAGCAAAGTTCTGTCAGGCCTGTACAAAACATACAATCAGGATTATCTGCACCGCAGAACGACTTCAATTTTAGCGCACCAAACAGTCCATACGCTCGGAATCGAGCTGGTAGCTCCGGTAGCGGCGGCAGTTCGGGAGCAACACCAGGTGGACGACACAGTTATCAACAGAAACCCGGACAGATGAATGCTGGCTGAGAAATTGATTTATTCTAGCAAAGGGGATCTTCAGCATACGACTCGGCGTCAAATGGCATGGTTGGGTGGACTGGAGAGCATCAACCGACGAAATGAAAAAAATTCACCGGCAAAAACTGCGGTTACAATGGGACGACCTGATGACGATATTACCAAACTTCGTCCTTTTTGTCTTTTATGACTCGAGGAAATTCCTCGACTTCTTCTTTAGCGCTTGATGTGCTCAATCATTTGTTCTTCCCGCTAGCAGATCGAAGAAACTTTCGTCCAGCAACCTTTTAACCTTCATACTACGGCTTAGCACGGCCGGTCTCGCGGCCTGAATCTCCTGCTGCCTCACCTTCTCACAAGCCTTTATGGCTAGAAAGCCCACTTTTTGAGTCGAACTCCACCGCCTATTCGCAAAGTTGTTCTTTGTTCCACCCCAAGCACTATGCAACTCTTCCGTTGCACACGTGAAAAAGCTCGCCATTTCTGTCCTGGCAATTTTCATACTTCAAGAACATCATTTGGGGCGCATGTTTGGAAAGGGTGGCCTCAAACGACTTGGATTACTCATAGCGACTACATACACGAGCGCGCAAGATTAAACGTTAGTCCGCCGGACCTTTGAAGGTGGCAGAAACGCAGTACTATTGACAGACATGGAAAACAAATCTATCTGGCCACATGTTCAGCGACAGGCTCTCAACATGGAATGGTCAATTGCCTCATTTCATAATCTCCAACCAATCTTCGTGTCAGACTCTTTACTTCCGCATACGAATATTCGACAATGGTATGGCTATGATTGCATCGAGAACATGGAATGAGAAGGGGAGGGGAGCAATGGGGCGATCACATAGGTTGTCCAGCTGCAAACATTACTCGAGGTGCCTGTTGATGCGAACTGCAGATGCCTCAGTGACGGCCTTAATACGCCGACAATGCCTGTATCTCTCCAACTAACACTCGTTACTGCCCCGGTCTGTTCGAACAAACTTTGAGATTAGTGCCTCACTAGTTAGATAGTTGAATAGCCTACACATAAATCGTGTGGTATGCAAGGAATGCAGTCAAAAAAAAAGAACGAAAGTATGATCCTGTTCTCGTGATGCCACACGTCTATCTTTCTTTTTTCAAATCGTACTTCCCATTCTACATAGATTCAGCGATGCAGCCCCCGCTGCACGATTAGCTGAGACGCCACCAGCCAGGCCTTCTACCGGGGAATCTTAGTTCTCAAACTCTGCTCTCGATCGTTTCCCAACACGATTCTTCTGGCCCAGGGCCAGCACCTCATCCATGGCAGCCTCGAGCCTCCGCACGGCGTCGTCGCTGATCTGATAATGGATGACGAGCCGTCCGCCGCCGACCTTCAAGCCATGCTTCGCGGCGACGACGGCCCAGTCCGCAGCGGCGACCCCCTCGTGCTGGATGTCCAGCCACACCATGTTCGTCTCGACGGGCTTGGCGAGCACGCCGCCCTTGGCAACCCACGTCGCTTCAATGGCGCGCGCGCGGTCGTGCGTCGTCGATAACTTGCCGCCCAGGAACGTCTCGTCGACGGCGACGCGCGCGGCGGCGGAAATCACGCCCGCCTGCCGTGTCCCGCCGCCGATCATCTTGCGGATGCGGCGTGCATGCGCGACGAACGCCTTGGATCCGACGACGATGCTGCCGATCGGTGCCCCCAGCCCTTTGCTGAAGCACAGGTTCACGCTGTCGAACAGGCCGCTGTACTCCACGAGCGTGCCCGCGTCCGCCGCGATGGCTTCCCACAGCCGTGCGCCGTCCAGGTGCAGTTTGATGTTGTTTTCGCGGGCGAAGGCGGAGATCTTGCGGACTTCGCTGAGTGGGAGGATCGTTCCGTCGAGGGTGTTTTCGAGCGAGATGACGCGGGTCGGCGCGTGGTGCACGTCGTCGGAGATGACGGCGTGTTTTTGGATGTCCTCGAGGGTCAGATGGTGGTTGTTGGCGGGCTGGACCGCCGTCACGGTCGCGCCGGACAGGGACGATGTGCCGCCCGCTTCATAGTTGACGATGTGGCCTCGAATGTCGGCGAGGACCGAGTGGGGCGGTTGCGTCAGATGCGAGCGGAGGGCGATTTGATTGCCCATCGTTCCGGAAATCACGAGCAGTGCTGCTTCGTGGCCAGTTAGTGATGCGATGTGGCTTTCCAGGTCGTTGGTCGTCGTGTCTTCCGCGAAGACGTCGTCGAACAATGTCGTGTTGGAGATGGCTTCGAGCATCGATGCCGTCGGCGTGGTCATCACATCACTGCGGAAGTCATATGCTGATGGTCCGGGTTGCTGCCAGGCGTTGAATTTTTTATGCGTCGCTGCCAGGCCGTTGGCGGCGTTGATTGATTCGTTTGATGGCATCTTTGTGGTGTGTGTATGTGAGATATATCTATGTGATGCCTGTTGCTCTACTCGATGCCTCGAGAGCAGTGAATGAGACTGGTAGATGGTGAATTTGGGTCTTGATAGATTGTGGGCAGCTTGCCGTCTGAAAGAGGTCGCGAGCATAGCACAACACGTGTGTTGTGCAACATTGGAAAGCGAAGGAATGGCTTCGATGTTACAGACCGATGCAATAGGGCGTCTGAATTACGATCGCCGCTTTGAAAACCCACTTACTGCGCATTCATGGGGTACTCCAAACAAGTGGCTGTGGGATTTGTTTGTTATCGGTTGGGGACCTTGGGGTGTCACAGCCGCCTAAGTTAAAACCCTGCCGACCGGGCCGGTTAGAAGTCCTTCAATCGTTACCTATCTCAGGGGTCGAAAAGAACCATAGAGTCTCCGGAGATATACTGCCGAATCAAGAACAGAATGTTCTAGTCCCCTAGATATGATACCCTCGCTCTGGCATAAGAGTGCCCGTTGCAAACTGGAAGTGCTCTGAGTGCCAATATGTGCATCATCCAAGATCAGATCAGTGCAAAGTTGATGCCGCCCTGTACATACCCTCCTTTCTAAAAGCAGCGCGGTGCAGGATCCTCTTCAAGCCATTCAGTAGTCCTGCTTCCTGACTTTTGTGCAATAGTACTAAGGTCGAGGATCGTATCCCACGGACGACGAACTTGATCGTTGGCGACCTGTCTGAAGAGGGAAACATGTGCCTGCTCTCAACTCAACCTTTGTGAGCGAATATATTGATAGAAAGAGGGGCAAGCCATGTTGTCCAGGTAGTCAAGTGTCTTTGACGATGGTTCCAGTAGTCCTGATGCACTTGGTAAATCACGTCCAGCATTTTTTGAATCGAGATGGGCTGAAATCTTCTCCTCCTGAGACGGTATGCGTCTTCACACTTCCGGGATTCTACAGTAGTGATACGTCACTCGTCAAGTATTCCAGTCGATACCGGACCATTGGAAGGGGTCTGTGAACACCCTCCCTATCTGCACCCCATCGCTCTGTGGTTGGGGTTGAGTTGCATTTTCAAGCCACTGGCAGTTTGCTACCGTGTCCAACTCGTGAGCGCCAAACCGCGGCACAGCTGCATCGAGGCAACCGCGCAAGCGGGTCTCACCATCAGAGATACGACCATTTAGCATATCCAGCACGCCGAGATGACTGGCAGCATAGATGCTTGACTCTTGCCAAACAGACGAGTCGAGCTGCGATCGTGGGTCATTCCGCAGGATTTCCCCATATAGTGCTTGTGCTTCAAGGTGGTAGCATTGATCCAATCTGGTACGAGCGAGCAGAAGCCGGACCATTTCAATATGTCTGGCACTCTCAACATTGGAGGCCAATTTCCAGGATGAATGCAACTCCTGTCGAATCATTCCTTCTGCCGTCTCGTAGTCACCAGAGATACGAATGTAATTGATTAGATTGCGCTTCAACTGAAGGATCGTCGTGTTAGGTTGTTTGTGTACTTCTTCAAGGTTGTCAATCATTCGCTTGAAGAAGAGCGGAAGGAAAGAAGGATCGATTGCATTTCGAAGAACGGTATGGAGGATGACGGACAATGAGTGGCTCGAGCCAAGGATTAGGGTTGACATGTTGTACATGAAGCCAAGTATGTGTCCGCGCATGGCATCGTAGGACGTCCATGCAGGATTCAAGAAGGTCGCGAAGAGGATGTCAAAAATAGTCCTTGGTTGCATCTTGATCATCTCGCGAACCATGCCACAACCGGTGTTGAAATATTTGCCAGCCTGGCTCAGTTTCCCAGCAACCAAACATCTCAACCCGTCCAGTAGACTGAAGCCAAAATCGTGGATTCGACGTGCGTGTATAGTCTTGTTATCGGTTGAGGAGCAACTGTCACTTGAGTTTGAAGCTGGAGCACATGTCAAGTACTTCCGCAGCTCAAAGAGTATCAGACTCATTGCGCGCTCCATTGAGTCAGTGTAAGCAATACGCTTTGTTTCATGTAGATTCATCCGTGCACACTCATTGATAATGGCAGCGTGGAAGGGTGCTGTCAGATCTGAGGAGACGGATGTTTTGTTCTCACAGAACTGGTCGCACGGTAGTGTTGGTAACGTTGGCTTTGGATCTTTACGCCCCTCTCTTACGAAGCGATGAATCCTGTCCAGTTTGACTGGCTGTCCCAGAAGTTCAAGTTCTGGCCAAATTTGATGATGGTTCCGGTAATGCTCCATCTGGCGAACGATGAAAGCTTTCTCGGCTGCAGTATAATTCTTACGAAGACCCCATCTTCTCAACTTGTTTTTGTACATACGCGTTCTAGATTTTGCTCAGTACAATCTGGAATATTCCGCGAATGAGAGAAACCCACGTCGCGATGAAATTGTGGCTCTGCGCCATAATCGATACAATCTCACTGAGTGGCTTACTTTCCGTGATGTAAAGCCTTTCGATCATAGGTCTGTGCAACCCCCATTCATTCGAGGACGTTCCCCTTCTCTGCGATGCCATCTCGGTTGGGTTTGATCCAAATTGGACGGGAGGCGATGGCATGTTACTTGGTATTTGCTATCAGAAGAGGACTGGCATTGATAGTATCAACTACGGTTGTTGTTCATCCAGTGTACCTCCATGAGTAAGTGCACGACATTGTTGCTTCAGCGAGGCTGTGGGTTTTGCCCCTGGCGATCGGCATCACGCTAGCGTACTAGCGTTACAAAAGTCCCTCCACCTGCATTGAGCTAGCCGCATCACGACGCCACCACAATTGCGAGAGCATAGTTGCAGGATCTAGATGGAGCGCGGCCAAGTCGCTACAGAAGCATTGCGGCATTTTGCAATATCTGCAGCGAGGTTGTGCGATTTGACCATGCAATGGGCTTCTCGCGGCCAGGTTTCAAGCTTGGCATCAATCAAGGGGTTACCTAGCCTTCTACGGTACTCGTCCCAGGTTGTAGTATTAGGGGCCGTGAACGAACAGGCTCTGTGAATTGAGCTTTGGCAGCGACTACAAGGAGTCTGGATTACCCATCGTGGGCTTTCAGCATCTGCGAACAATTACTGAATACCTCTTCCTGCCTCTAGCTCCCGCACTCCTCTAGTCTAGGCGGAAACTCCATTTTCAAGCTCGTTTCGCTCTCATAGAAACCAGCTAGAGATACTCCAGTAAGAGGGTTTGTCTAACTACTATATCCACCGAGGTACATATGTATATACAGTACATCAAGTTTGGTAGATGGAGTGGATGTAGAGGTCAGCAAGGTGAGTGTCAAACGGACAGGGCCATGGGTTGTAAAAGCGGAACGACGATTTTCTGCGCCAAGGTATGGGAAAACTGCTTGCAGGTCACCCCATTAGGGGACGAGGATGATGCCGCCCTGTGCTCACCCTCTATTCACCTGTCGAGGGGCCCAAGCCCGTGGATAAGCCATATCTCAGATAAATAGGAAGACATCACGAGTCCTACTTTTTCCACCTTCCCGGCCCGTTCTTCCTATAATGCTCTGCCCTCAACATTCCATAATCTTCTTGGGTCGATGGTATGATCGCGTGGGGTAGCATTCAACGATCACTAAAGTTTAAGATTCCTTATCCTAAAAATTTCACGAAACTCGATATGTCCTACAGACAGGGTTATAGGACAGCCGAATGACAATACCATCCGAATACTCCTGAAAATTGCTTGTTGCCTTGGAATATATCCCTCCAGCTCGTCGCACCAATTCAATTCCTTGTCAACTTGTCTCGATTCCAAACGTCGCACTTGCCCCGTCCATGACTACTTCGGCCTCCACAAATTCCTTCATGCTCCCAAATTGGGGATCAAGCTGAATTTGCCTTGCGTAGATCTTGCACCCCTCATGTCCCGTCGGTTGTAAATGAAGAGAATTAGAACGACGACTTCTGTCACAGCCACTACGATCGAAGCAAACCAGGTGTATTGCTGCACAAGTATAGTTAGTAAGTGATCAATTCAAGGTGCATGAGTGGCTTAGGACGCTATGCTCACCTGTTGGATGCATAAAGCCTTCCATGGAATATCTCCTGCAACATCTTGTTGATGGCAGCTCCATGTCCAGATGTCCCACATGGACTTCTTTTTGCCTTGATAGTTGGCCAATTTGAAATAGAACATCGCTGCAATCCAGAAGGCAATGAGGATAGCCGAGGTTACGTACACGCTTACTGCGTGTTGACGGGAGCCGTGCCTATCGACTAGCTGATGCTATGTTAGCTTCGTGAAATCCCGCAGAGTACGATGGTGTCCTACACAAATACACAAGTGACTGGTCAAGGCACTGAGCTGGATGCTCGTTGCCAAGCCTGCAGCAGCTATCATCGTCCAGGTGGGCCACATATCGATCACGGCCCATGAGTGAGTATCGAGCTTCGTCGTCCGGTTAAATACAACGCGATCGCGGGTTGAAAGCCAAATCTGAGCGGAATGGACTTGGATACCGAGAACTGTGACTGCGATAGCAAGAGCCACCACTCGCAGACCAACACGCGCATGCTTCGCGTGTTTCGCTCTGCCAGAAGACGGACTCTGGAGACGTGGGAGGGTCAAACTGGTAGTCTCCCTCTGGGGTTCCGGCTCGATCAACTTCTCAGAGTCTTCTTTGATATCTTCTGTACCTTGAGAACGACTGCGAAAAGGTTCATAGGATGAAGACATCGTTGTTGTAGTGGGAGGCAGCTGCAATACAATCAACCAAAGTAGTATTCTATTATATACATTGAGTAAAACAAGCCATGAAGGCACATCATGGGTGTTATATTATATTTGCTGTTTGCCTATTCATACAAAAATTCAAGTACTTCAAGTTCGCAACGGCAGTTTCTCACAACTCCTTGCTCCTATGGAGCATTCCCTAACCCCAAAAATGGACTACCTCTTGCGACGCCGCTCAGCACTTGTGTGACAAGTGGGTTCAACAGCTTATAAATGTGCCAAATAGAGAGCACATCAGAGCCGAACCGAGCAGGACTGAGCTCGGACTGTTATCACCTCTATCTATTTCTCTAGATATTGCAACGCGTGGTTGCATTTGACCTCCTTGGCATATGCCAAACTTGGTTAGCACAACACTAAGGATAGATGCTTAAGTACATTTTCATTTTGGAATCCAGTGGAAATGCGTATCTGAGGGTGTAAGGTGGGATTTAGTAAGTTTTTGAGTCTTTAGTACTGATTCAGCCCGGAATTTCCTTGCTCCTAAAGTCTTCCGTGTAATTTCCGAGTTGCCATACCTGGTAAGCTAAAGCCTGTCGATTCAAGATCAGCGAGGATCGCGACAATTGCCACCGTGATATGGTCGAACCCGATCTAGATTGACGAAACGGCATGACAAATATACAGCAATTTGAAGGCCTCATTTGAAGAGAGCCATTGCACTAGAACAGGGAGCCACGCTGACTGGAGCTGACATGGAGTTCAAAGTTTTGACTCGACTTGTTCTCGGTAGATCTCAGCTGAAAGTGGATTGTGTGGAAGAGCTAAGATACTGCTTCTTGAGCCATAAATGTCATATTTGTAATTAGTTGAAGCGTGAAGAGCTAGTAAGAGATATCTGCGTAATAGTAAGCCAGTAACACGTTGATGCATGGCTCCTCGCTGGACCAAGAATAGCATATGATTTAGTCAAGGTTCCATTCATTGTGCTCGAGATCTATCATTGCCACATTCCCGGAACTTACTCTTGGGAACTATAAATGAGCTATGGGTATGTTCTCATATCCTCAGTCGATGAACAAGTCCGAACTCAGCAGGCTTCTTTCTATCGAACAGTTTTCATTCGTCCAAAATTATGTACTTGACAGTTGCTGCCTTATCCCTAATTCATATCGTTGCGGGGGATATCTCAGTCCAAGCGTTCACTGACACTCAGTGCGCTGGAAGTAGTGTGGGCACCAATGTGCATTCGAATCCCGCGGGCGTTCACGATGGAAGCGGCTGCATCGCATCTTCTACATTCAACTCGATCAACACTATTTCTGTCGACGCCGGCTTTCAGTGCAACATATATTCTGACACTGCTTGCCAAAACTTCCTCACCACAGCGAAAACGGTGGGCTGTCTTCCCGTGATTGGCCAAGGCATCATCTGCTTCAGTCAAGAATCATTCGACAATCCTCTGGCTGGCAGCAAGGCTGTTATCGGCATTGGCAAGAATAGCATTATCGCTAGGACTGAGGGCGACATTCGCAACGTAGTGGACCGGGCGCTCACTAACGCCTGTGGCAATACAGTCTGCGATCCCAACACAAATGATGTCGTTACTTATCAGTTTGGCTTCGAGTGTGAAAGTGGTCTTGCCGACCCCGCGGGTAGCAATACGGGAATCTTCTGTGATAAAAAAGAGAAGTGCACGCAGACGGTGTCAACCTCTGGAGATTATGATAATACAGAACAAAGAGACTATATGAAGGAATTGCTGAAAACGACGATGAAGCAGGGTACTTCACAAGCTGCAGTACCACAAGACAGTGATTTCTTCAAGTCAGGGGCAAGTGAAATCCTCAACAACCAACTTTCATTTGCTCAGGTTGTCATAAATGACCCTAAAGGTGCAAATCTGGCACAGGTATGCTATTCAAAATCTCTCACTGATGCTTCAAAGACTTTTGAGACTGACAACGTTCTGTTATAACAGATGTCGGTCTCTATCCGCGTGGAGTGTGAAGCGATACAGGAGAAAGGTTTCAGCTGCGACTCTCCGTTTGTCGATGCTCTCAAACCACTGGTTGCAGCAGTTCCTGAGGTGGGAGAAACCGTGGTAGGAATCTTCGAAGTTAGCTGCGCAGTTGGTGAGATAGTGAATGGCTAATGGCATTTGATCTGGAGCCGTAAATGCTGCGGGAACATTCGCCATCAATTTAACGCAAGCCTCGTTCACCCTTCACTTGCCGACTTCTTTTTCCCTCCCCACGTTGGATTTATCGCATTCGGGACAAGTCTAATACGAAAGCTGTATTCGTAAATGAACGCAGCATCCATTATCACGGGAAAGGGTCAAATCACAAGCTCTGTACTCTGTAATCGTAGAAGATCCTTTCTTCGTTCACAAATGAAGAGCGTCATGACGATCCACCTCAACGACATCTTTATCAGAACTGGGTAAACACATGACGCCGCAAATCTTTTTCGAAAGGAAAAAGGGTACATCTATTTTGTAACAGGGTCCTACCTTGACCGAGAAGTCAACAAGTAAAGTGTGTTTCGAGGCAAGCGAACCCTACCAGTTCAACTCCTATTGACTGGAAGTAATGCTTGAGAAACAAGATTGCAAAATCCCACTGAGGCCGAAACCGTTGTGAAAAGGTGAAGGTAGGTTGTAAAATGAGAATGACAGGGCATGAAGGAGATCATGTATGTCACTGCAGGATCCCTTAATCATCATGAATGTTTATTGCAACAATGATACGTCGAAAATAAATGAACTCCTCCAAGGTTGATATAACTTTGTTTTGAGCCACTTAGCCATCAAGGGTAAGCTTCATCGACGGCCGGAGCACCAGAATCAAAACCATTCATGGCCAAAAGAAATTCCGGACGGTATTCTCTTGCTGCTTGATGTACATTGGATGTCTGGCAGTCACGGCTGTCAGTAGTCGGTCGGCGAGTGTCCAGGGAGGGTTTTCCTTCCCGAAAGTTTCTTGCAGCACGCGAGCAGACCAGACCATCAGCGAAGGGTGATCATGGGCTGCACCAAGCGATGTTGTACTCACGATAAGGCACATCAATTGAATAAAAGCATGTGTCGCCCACCAGGTTTCTATGTCCCGAGCTTGCAAGATACAGTAAGAAGTGCAAGCAAGGACAAATAGCCTCTCCACTGCATTCAGTGGGAGGGTCTGCAAAAACCTAATGCAATAGGCCGCATTTTTTCGGTTTTCTTGCTCCAATGAGACATCCTGGTGTGATACCATGTGACTTTTTCGTCGGTTCCATGCTGTTATCCGAGCGGCTAGCTTAACGATGGGGAGGCTCATCGATCCTGCAAGGCAAATCTGAGCAATACCTCCAGGGAGTAAAGTTGACAACCGAACTATTTCTGAATTGTGCACAACTCGACCAGGAAATGTGTCATCCTCAAGCTCTCCAGCTGCAAGAGCTTGAGTTGCCTTGCTATGCTCTTCGAAACTGCAACAACAGATAGAAGTAAGTTGCCACAATTTGAGCACACGACATATGATTCAATCTTACGATACCACCACTTTTGCAATGAGTCCATCAAGGCCAAGTTTGTCGTACCCACCGCGCAGAGATATGATCCTCTTGACGCCCTGTACATGTTTCTGCAAGTGTGCAGGGTTGTTAATAATGGCCTTGAAACCTTTAGTAAGTTGTCCCCCCCACCAAAGCTGTTTTGGACGTACTGCTTGGCCCATAAGGCCGCAAAGGCTCCATATCAAGCCGTCGGAATAATCCTGGGCGGCGAGAGTATCTTGGATGTCTCGAAGGATTTTCGACTGCCAGCAGAGGATCTCAGCGTCTAATACCGTAGCGCCTGTGGTCAGTGCTTTGTAAAACATGAGTACAGACCCCAGTGTAGAGTCAAGCACAAGCCTGTTGAACATGACGTAAGAACCAATGTGATTTAAATAGTCTTGGTCTACACCCTGTAGCCGCCGTTGCGGCTTTCGGTACCATGCTGGGAAAACGACGTTATACACTTTGTCTGCAAATTAGATGAATTGTGTTTGGAAGTGCAATGTTTCTGCTTACTAAGGTCAAAACTTGAAGCGAGAGTCGATCCTGGTGGATACGGACAATCATGGGCGGAGACGGCTCTAGGAACCGCACTAGTGACCGACACAAGCCTTGTCAGACCATGCCACATTCGGCCAATGCTCTCCTTGTCAGTGTCTTCATCAACATCAAGGGCTACCTTTGGTCGCCATCTATGTAGGTGACTCGCTATCGCAGGGATATTTTTGGGGAGCGGGACTTTAGGAAGGTGATTGACGATCCTGAAAGTGCATTTGCATCAGCGCATTCAGTGCCCAAAGCAAGATTGGGAGGTTGTAATGATGGGAATTTGGCCCGGCATCGGCCCGATCGATGTCTCGCAAACAGGAGGTCCCACAGCTGCTCTGCCCAAGCTGAGGAGAAAGTAGGATTTGGATGAGGTGACGAGCTTCCGATCGGCCTCAATTGGGCTGGATGAGCTCCTACCTCTTTCGTTTACGAGCAGCAGCAACCTTGCCCGCGTGGTGCCGGACTTGATATGCATTGGCACCCTTGCTCTTTTGGGGGTCTCCTGATAGCGGTGTTGTGAATTGGAACATTGTCAGGAAGTGGAAATTCTGCTATTTGAAGGTGAAAGGAGAATCTGAAATCACGATGCTGTTAAAAGGATGGCGTGGCGACCTCCTTGCACCTCCGGAGTTCGCGAAATGACTCAGCACACATTTCAGCTAGCCGCCCAAAACCATGCATGACAGATCATATTGAACTCTGAGTCACGAGAAGTCCTGTATTAAAATCGAGTACGTCGCTGCTTTCCGCGTGTTCCAGGTTCAACCTTGTAAAACATGGAGCAATCAGAGACTCGCATATTGACATGAGCCCACCGAGTCCAGCCCCGTTCGAAGTCTAGAAGTTCGCAATGATTTATGTCACATCTGTGTCCGCCCAGTTGGGCATAGACTGGTAACTGTTCTGTCCCCGTCTCGCTCACAGTGTCTGACCCACAGACGGTGGCTGGAATGGCTGCAGCGCAGAGGCAAAAAAAGTAAGCCGATGCTGCATTTCTTGTACGATCCTCAGACAGGTCACAAGGATGATTCAAAGACGCCGCCACCCAGAAAGAACGACTACAGTCTAGCTTCGACGATTGAAATTTGTTCTCTGGTTCTTAACTTATCCTGCCTGTATCACAGTTTTCCCAAGACCCGGAGCGAGAACAAAACCCCGGGTGAGAACAAAACTCTCTGCCTTCTGCCGCTGGTTTATGGCAATCTGCTCTTTGCCAAGCAGAGCAGACACCGTAACCCGATTGTAGTCACTCAATTGTCATGCAGATGCCCTATTTCTAGCCTCTCACTTCTAAACTGCCACGTCATCCTCTCATGATTGCCATTTTCCCAAGTCCGGAGTGTCGGCAACCCTGTAGAGAAAGTCAGCATTGTTCTTCAGCTTCGGGACATTTTTTCACCTGTAGACTAATTTACGAGCAGAAACTTTCCTATCGTGTAACCTGCGAATTCCATTTTCAACCGAAGCGAGGCCATTTGGCTGTATCTCAATAGGGTGGGGCTTTAGTCTCCCGTCTTTCAAGTAGATTGTCCAAAGTCTAGACATAATTAGGACCAATCAAGCCACTCAAGAAGCACCTCTTACCTATAGAACATGTAGGCAAAATCGTGGTCACCATCTGCTTCGTCTTGGTTTCGATAGGTGTGTGGTTCTCCATACGCCGAGGACACGTATGTTCGGCTGAATTTGAGGCCTTGAGGCCATTCTGGAATAGGACTCGGAGGATCAACCATGTCCAGGCGCGTTGCAGCAAAATTTGGACCTAGTGCTTTCAGAATGGTCTCCCATGTACCACCAGATGAGATTGCATCAAAAGCATGCAAGAGACGTCGACCATTCAAGATGTCCTTGACCCTTATTGCCACGTCCTCACTGCGGTAATCGATGATATGGCTTGTTACATTCAAAGAACGGACGAATTCAATCCCATTGCCAGCCACCGTGATAATAGGATCGAGCCCACTGAGTCGAGCGAATTGCAAAGCAAAAGCACCTACTGCAGACGCTCCTCCATAGATCAGAATCGGGTGTGGCTCAGATGTTCGGGCCCAAGGAGCAGTGATCTCTAGATTTTGATAAAGTGCAAGTCCAGCTGTCATGGCCGAGAGGGGTAGAGTCGCCGCTTCTTCAAAAGATATATTGCGAGGGATGTGGAACGTTGTGCGAGAGGGAGCAATGGCATATTCTGCGTAGGAGCCTCCCGGCTTCAGCATTCTGTGAAATGCCGCAACTCGATCTCCTGGCTTAAACTCCAAGACATTCTGACCAACAGAAGAGACAATCCCAGCAATGTCATCACCCTGATTCATCGGAGGAGGAACGCTTGACATGACAGGGGACCCCATCGCCGCCTGGTTTCAGGTTAGCGTTTGTTACATCAAAGCGTGCTTCTTCACCTTCCAATCCTTTGGATTCGAATCAGTCGCGACTACTTTGATCAAAACTTCATCGTCGCTGGGTTGTCTGGACCACCCATTTAGTTTGGTATTTATTTTCAGACTTCTAGTGTGAGGAAAACTTACGGAATTGGGACATTGCGGAATTCTGCTTTGATTCCGTCCGAGCCATGGATCACAACTTCTAACATTATCACGGAGCTAGGTGTTCTCGTGGATAGACTTTGCTGACAAAGGATGTGCTTCTCGTAGAAAGTTCCAACAGTAGCAGTGGTTGATCGATGTGCTTTGAGTGCAGGTTCACGCGACATATATATACCTATCTATGTTAAAAGAAGGTTAGCCTACATCAACTCCTAGATTTTTGTTTTTGTTCAGTTACGTCCGAAGTCCCAGTGCCAAAGTACCCACATATCGTATACGCTTTGCTAAGTCCGCTGACTTATACAAATTGAGGTATCATCTTTTCAATAAGACCATTTATGATCATCTACATGCAAACTTCTTGTGACTCTCAACATTATTAACGCACCTGCATTGCATAAGTTCTTTCAAATTGGTCTAACAGCCTGCGTACTAGTGGATCTCAAGTACTCTCACCAGTCAATGTCATTGACTTAGACCCCATAAGAGATATTAGTTGCATATGATTATATAACTACCAAGCTCTTAAGCATTATCCGATTTAGGTATCGCCCACACCGTCGCCCCAATGAGTAATATATGATTTGCTCGGCTGTGCTTTCCACTCCTCTCGGGCTAAAATTTATGGAAGCATCAGATACTATTGTTCAAGCTCCAGGCTGGGAGCCTTTTCAGCGACCTAATTCGGGCCAAGAATCAAATCTGGCTTCAGCGGTTGACCAGAGACGAGTCCTCACTCTGAGTGCACCTACTGGGATTGGATCCACTCTCAGTAGATACTCGTAAGGAGGCTAAGCACCAGCTGAAATCTCTCAGTGGGTCCTAACCCTACTAAGACTTATAACACTAAGCCTAATACGGTTAATACTGTAGCTTATCCAACGTGAAAGTCCTCGCTTATCAACCCGTGGTTCCAGTAAGTTAGCCTCCACTATATAACGTCTTGGAGTGTTGATGGGATTGGGGGTGATGAGTGGTTCCTTACTCTCGACTCAAGGAGTGAGCATATGGACCCATGGGACCCGTCTCTCGTTAACCACTGTCTGGCTTTGAAACTTGGCGATGACCAATCTAGGATATTGACAGCTGAGGTTCATCTCACCACTGGGAACGAACTAACTTTCAACATGCAGCAATTACTTTGAGTTCGAAGTTAGCACTATAGGACGGAGACAAAGGAGTGAGATTACAGCGGTAGATGGTGCTGAGTGTTGCCGTGGCACGTTACTAGTAAGTTCGGATTTTATGAATGAAGAATTTAACATTGTCATCAGCCTATATCGCATCCAAAGCAGCTTGGTAGCCGTAGGGTGGAAGATTTGATATAGGCGACATGAATATCTGCATTTTCCTTAAGTTTTATGGTGTTTTGTTGTTCACTGCGGAGGGGCTTTTCTTAACTCGAAAATTCTGAGAATTTTGAGTGTAGATGATGGCAAGTCATACACTTGCAGCCTCTGATATAGGAATCAAAGTTTTGCTAGTCACGGGAGGAAAGCTCTTGTTATGGTTGTTGACACTTTCCCAGCTATCTTTCCATGTCCGCTCTCGTTCTTCACAGTAAAAAAACCTTCTCAAGATGACCTCCACATTTACCCATTGTTTCAATAAAGGCCTGGCTCGTAAAATCCGCTCATAAAGCAGCAGACGAGCCTTGAAGGGGGCAAGTTCAGGTCTCAAAGGCGTAGTTATGACAGTCGCGAGCCATACAATAGTATCAGCTTGTTCTTGTGAATGCCACAAACTGGCATTGTTAAACAGCGACTCTGCACGCTTCTGAGGTTTCCTGAATATCAATGCGCCATAGTATAGACCCATCGATGTCACATCGTCTGCTAGACAAAGTAGAGCAATGCAGATGTGCTTCTCTATATCATTAAGTCCAGAGGGCACTGTGAACCGCCACGCTCCCCGGTCGGTTCTGTCAGGACTGTTACTCAGATCTTGTAGCCACAGATCAAATGCGATAATTATGCGGATCATCTCTATCGAGATCTGCCCACTCAGGGCGAGGTCCGCAAAACCTGAAGGGAGTCTGGAAATCTCCTCGCATATTGACGGCGAGAATGGTATAGAAGGATAAACGAGGGGGGATTTGGCGTATAATTTCTGCGGTGAAGTGTTGATGCTAAGTTTAGTCGTACTGATGGATACCAATGTTGCAAGTTGTACCCCGATGGCGGGTTCCGAACTGCCAACTAGAGCCAAACCACCGCGACATTCTATCATAGTTTCGATTCCAGCTAGATGTGCCTGTGAAAATTCTGTGTAACCGAGATGATCATCGACCGGAATCAGGAGTGTCACAGCCTGGATCAGAACATCATCGATTTTCCTCTGAGAGAGCTGCTCATTGATTTTGTTGAGAAGGCGTTGGCGATGATGTAGAAGTCTTTTTCCAGCCTCGCTAGTACTTTGCTGACTTTCTGGCAGGCAGCATAGTGTCCATGTGACCAAAGCATGAAAGATAAGATCAAAAACACATGCCCACCTCAGAAATGCAGCTATCCTCTCCTGGCCTTGATCTGAAGTCATCCCAAGTGCTACGTTGTCTTGCTGAGACAGTACACTGAAATCTCATGGTTATTAGCCGAAGGGGAATTCAGAATTGCAAAAAATCTGTCTTACAATAATGACAAACTTCCCAGTCCTTTGACAACTTTCCGGTGTTAGATGTGTAAGGATAAATAGGCGAAACACCTAGTGATCTAGGCAATGTTTTGTTTTCTGGGCGTAATATGAAACCTTGTTTCCCGTGAAGCAGGTACAACTGAATAGTTGTGCTGGCGGGAATAGGCGCCTTCAACGAACGCTTTGATTGGTGTCGTGTTTCTCTCGAGATTTTTGAAACATGTTTGTTGATAATTTGTCGAGCTCTAACACGATCGTTTGGTCGCGTGCCGTACGAGACGAATGTTGGGGAAGTAGGGTGGTGCATTGTAGCCTCGGGAGTCCAGTCTAATACTTTTCATCGGGAACATGAAAGATGAGTAGGTCGCCATCTCCCTTGGGCGCAGGGTAATGAGTTAAATTCATGTAGTTTCCCACTCCACTTCGAAGACCAGGAGCGTCGTTATTCGGGTATCAATCGGGGGTCTGGCTAGCGCCCTTGCATTTAGGCAGCGAAGGCGCTTACAAGCCCTGCATGTGGCATTTTCCATCTTAGGATAACTTGAAGTCGGACTCTAAGTTAGCGTTGGATCTACTCTAATTAGTAATTAGCTCTCCTCAGGGGCAAGGCTTGTGCATAGCTGAAAGAAACAACGGAGTCGCAGTCTAATATGGCTCACAGAAATATCTCAGGTGACTTTTGGTCTACCTAGCCGAAATTTTCAACTAGGAAGACACACGGCCTAAGGATAGAAGAATAAATCGGTGCGAGCTCTCTCGAGCTGATGACCACTTTCCAACGGAACGGATATCTTGTCCTTCTAGATTGATACACCTACCTGCTTAGGTAGTAGTATTTATGTATCCTGAAAAAGTGCCATGGTTTGTTCCTCTCACTTTATTCGACTTCCTCGGTCGTATCGATTGACCTGCAGGTGCTAGGTTCTAAGTGGTTTCTTCGTTGTAGGCTGCCATTTTTACTTTTGAACTAGCGACGCTACGCTGCACGCCCAGTGAGCCTGGTTTGGGCGGCCTGATCTTCAAGAATTCTAACATCTCAAGGGCAATTGTTCGATTGGGCCATTTAGACATTTCCCAACTTGAGGATCATAGAAGACCTTTTGAAAACAGAGCCTGGTTGACCGAGTCATGGGCTAGGGCCTTGGATAACACTAGTTGCAGCCATACTTTCCTTGAGGTGTGTTCATTGAATACCGGTTCAATGAGAAATTTGCTGCACGTTTCACTCCTGATACGGTTCTTGTGTGGAATCAGAACGGAATTCTAGCTACGGTATTTACACCAATAATCCATAGACTCTTCGTGTGATGTTTCACCCGCCCATAGCCGTAGAAGGACGGGTCGAGCGCTCGATGGCGGTGGAAAAATGGGAACGGTGACGGAGATAGAAGAGCTGGCGATTGGGAACGACGGTGAAGAAGAGAGAAGTTTACGATTCACATGCTGGGACCCGGGCTGGGCGCCATTTTGAACTCCATCAGAGTCAAACTCAAGGGGGATTTCAAAAGGAGGAAGTGGACTCCCACGGCGGCAGGGAATCGAGGGAAGAATCCCATCAAAGAGGACCAAGAATAGCATACACCCACGGTCGCCAGAATTAGGTCCTAGTTTGAGGGGAGGACGTGCAGACAGAATTTCAGGACGCATGGGAGCGGCACGGCGAGGGTGAGAGAATGGTGAGTTGCAGAGGTGAGTCGAGGTGAGTTGCGAAGAAGTAGTTTGTCAAAAGCGGCACGGTCGTTGTGAGCGCCCACGTGAGCTGCGACTCGCTGTTTTTACATTGCTTGAGCCGCCAAGTCCTGCAACCACTTCACTGTTCGGTCGCACTTGCCTTTTCGGCAATAGGCAAGCACGCGTCCGCGTTGTCTGCAAGGGTTAGACGCGCCCCTCCCACTCTTCAATCCTCGCTATCGTGCTCGAGCCTCGCACGATTTGTTCTATCATCAAATCCGCTTCGATAAAGACCATACTCCATCCCATGTCGACCTCAAAATGGCTAAATCACTCCAACGCACACCTCATCTGAAGCCCGTGACCGTCAACCTCTTCTGTACTCATTGCGACAGCCAGCTTGGTGTTTTCGAGAATGAGTGGACTCGACTAACGTCCTCGTACATGCGACCAGCGCGCGTCGGTCAACATCGTGCCACTGAAATTGGTCAGAAAACTCAAGTGGTTCCAAATGGAGCGGTTCAACAAGCCGCCGAAGGCTGCACAATGGCAGAGGTTTTTTGCAAGAAATGTTCAACCCCAGTAGCACAGTATTGTAAAGCTGCCCCAAAGCCGGAGCAGGCGCAATTGGTGTAAGTTGAGAGCGTCTAGAACCGGGAACTCACACTGACACGCGGAATGCAGCCGTCAATATTTCTACAAGTTATCGAGAACCTACCTCCGAAGAAGCGACAATGACCTGCGGACAGATCCGGTCTTCAGCTCGTTGGGAGAGCCACCGCATGGAAGTGGTAGCTTCAGTGTGCCTCCGCGACCAAAATCGCTTTCCGGTCTCAGATCGTCACAAGCTCCCTTGCGAAATTCATTTACACCGTCGCGCACATTGCTGTCCTCACAGACCCCGCTACGCAGCCGAGAATCCTCGATATTTGCCAATCTGTCTTTCACAGAGCCTGAACAGCCACTTGATATAAAAGTTGCCGCGCTAAGTGAGAGGCTTAGGCATCAGGAGGAAAAGATCGCAGCCAGCGATCAACGCAATAAAACGCGCGATGCTCAGATTCAGGCTCTTGCCGAAGAGCTGGCTAGTTTTCGCGGGGACTTGGACGATCTGCAAATTACAGCTGGTGATTTACAAGCGCAGTTACTGACAAAATTGGCTGAAGGGCCAGATCAAACCAGCTTTGACAGCAATCTGAAGCAGATGTGCACTTTCACAAATAATGTGTTCTCGTTTTCGAGCGAGTTGGAAAACTTAAGGACTGAAAATGCAGCATTAAAAGCGAAGCTTGGTGTCATCAAATCCCCTCCGAGAGCAATAATAGCAGAAACAGAAAGCCTCAACGCCCTCGGCAAAAGGAAACGTAACAATGACTTCGCACGACCTGGCCATTCGCAATCCAATGACATTCACACCAGTCGACCTCCAGCCTGTAACCAAGACCTGGCATCTTCGAGGCCTATATTGACACCACAGTCGAGCATCATTTCGACACATAGCAGCCAAGTATCCGAGCAAGAGTATACTGGCGCTGCGTTGGATGACACAGCCATGGATACAGAATTCAACAACCAGATGACTTACGATGATGACGAGGGCAATATGATTGACTATGAGTCACAAGATATCTCTGACGTCTTGCTCTCAAACCCAAAACCAACAACTCAGGACCCTGGGGAACCTCCATTGCCTGCAGAGGGCAACCCAGCCGCGGAAGATGGGTCGATTATTGGTCAGGGTCTGCAGCGTTCTGAAGGTACAGGACTGTCCCACGCTGGCTACATTGAGTTCAGTGACGACGAATTCGCAGATCCACCATCTGGTGCGCCCGTCACAAGCAGTCGAATTAGTCTAGGTGCCAACGACACGACAGCGGACACTCAACCGCCAGAACCGGCAGGAACAAATGCCAACATGGAGAGTGCTCTTGGGGATGAAGAAGACTCGGCTGCTCTCAACCCAGAGACCGAGAGCGTATTTAAGAGACCTCGAAGGACAATGAGGAGCAACTCGAGGAGATTAACTGACTACGAACTTGAACATAATGTTCGTAGTTTAGCTCCTGAACCTGCCACCCGACGCCGGACTCTTCCACGGAAACTTGACCTTGGCGGCATGGAAAACGTGCGTATCGCTACACCTGTTTCTCTCGCAGACGTGATGAATGGTGTCAAAAAGCCTCGCCCTGACCGGATTATGCAGAGTACGGAGAAAATCTTGAACAACGAACTGATGGAACTTGGACTCGGACATTGGATAGGGCTTAGAGATAAGTCCAGCAATCCTGAATACAAGGCGGCCGTAGACGAAGCCAGAGTCCGGCAAAGGGAGAAAAAAAGACTCGAGATTCTTGCCAGAGTCGGGATAACTCTTGCACCGGACTCTCAGCAGCCACTGCATTCAAGCGTCTTTGTGGATCCCGAACTGACTCAACTACCTAGCCCTTCTCTAGATGCCAAAGACCATTCACAGGCCAGCCCTACCGAGGATAGTATTCTTGGTGAATGGGATCGAAATGACGCTACAGTGTCTGGGGAGACAGTCGCTCAAATACAGCAGGTACCAACTACTGAAGCGACTATACCTCCGGAGACACTTACGACCATACAGACCCCTCCTGTTGCGAGGACCTCGAGGGCAAGGAAAAGTGACACAATTGAAACGCCTGCTGAAGATGATGATATGGGTATGAAGACACGGAGAAAGCAACGTAGACAAGAAGAGATCCGAAGAAGAGATCAACTGGCCCAAGAAGCGTTAGCCATGGATTGAGAACCTGGATTTGTGTACTCGTAGAATGGAAGTGTTGATGCTGTGGAGGCATTGTGTGTTAATCCCGTGGTCCCCATGACATTGATCTAGACTATGTTCTTGAAACTATGAAGTTTGATCAGCTGAGAGACTCCTTTTACTACCGAGTACGGAGTGCATTGGATAATGATGCCTAGACATGAAAAGGAATCCAAAGATTCGGCCTGGACAATACTCCCTCCCTTGTTGTACAGCCGAACAGCAAGCTAGCTCTCTTAACAATTGGACGAGATCAACGGCGCCCAGAAACACACTACGTTAGCCAGGAACGGGGAGGCGGAAGCCGTGCTCTAGGCATGGGCACGGCACGCCCGAGAAGCAGCCCACGCCACGCTTATATCCATCACGCTTGCACAGCCTAAGAATTGTTTGACGCCACCCACGCGCGTGCCTGCCGCGTGCGAGGACGCCTGATTTTTATTATTCTTTTGGGGCCGCCAGGGCGCCTTCCTTTCGGATGCAGGGGTCTCAGCAATCGGATCGGTTGGTGGGGAAATTCTCTCTAGCGACTGCAGGTTAATCTTGACCTCATCATCTGCGCTCTGCACTTCCACACTGTCACTTGTACGTACATTCCGCCTTTTTCTTTTGAGCCTCCATTTCTCGTTCACTTTGCAAGCGATACTGGGTTGTTTCTCTGGCTGTTGCTGTTGTCAAGGACAGTTCCTTGAGGGTTTTCCATCTAGCACACTCGCTTCTTTTGCTGGGAGGAACGCATTTGTCAGGACTGCTGTGGCTCAGGTCTTGAGTGAAGAAAGGTACGTCGATCCCCCTGCACAGTGTTGAGTGGCTGCTGATGGTTTATTGGTAGTTCAGGTGTCGACGATCAAAAATATCTTCGAGGTACGCTCTTCCATTCCATCCCTTGGGCAAAGGCAGATCGTCGTGCAAAGAAAGATGTCGAGTCCTGGGAGATCTTCAAAGGGTTGGTGGCTCGAAAACAAGGCTGGAAACAAGGAAGACTATCTCGTATGAGAATGCTCCATTGTCCAAGACGTATAGTCTGGTCTGGCTGGGTCCTTTGTTCTGCAGCAGATGCTCGTTGTCGTTGCTGCTCGGCCAACGTCGTCGAGACATAGGAGTCAACAGGAGTGCGGACCGTCTCCAGGCTTCTTCGGCGTTGGCCAAACTTGCACGACCTACATCTTGCATATTGAAAGGAGAGATCTCGTTTTCGGAAGGGCAAACTGCAGTTCGTTATGAGGATATGCTAACTGGGCTGTTGTTGTGTTGTAGTAAAAGTCTTGAACCATCATTCGAAGTAGGGTGGTGGAAATATCCAAGGTAAGGTTATCTCAGCGCACCGTTGACGCAGCCTTGTGACTATTTCATGACATCGTTGCCTGAGCGCGGCCTAGTTTACTGCGAGTGACTGTCCACCTTGTTCTTGTCTTCTAACACGCCCTTTCTCTTCTATCACTCTTTTTCCTCGTCCCTTTCTTCCAGGGCGACCATCCTTGTCCTTCAAACCATGATACCAAGTACTGACAAAATGGCAGCAAATCATCTCGTTGAGGGATATGGGTATCGCCGACTCAATCTTTCTCAGGAGACAATCATAGTCCCTGAAGAGTATTACGAAAACCGAATTGGTGATCTTGCAGCGTTCGTTCCGGTGAGTAATCAGGCCTGTCTCTTCAGTAATGAGCATTCCTGACGTTGTCAAAAAGAGAGGTTCTCGAAGAAGACGCATTGCAAAACTAAAGCATTCAACCCTTTCAGAGGTTCGGTATCCTCCTGATTGGACTGGTTCAGTCTCAACCTTCATGATGGGTTCATCCCAGCCTACTCAGCAAGCTACACAACAAGTTGAAGATCCGCGGAGACTCGGCAGGAACTTATCCAACGTTTCCGAGGAGGATGCCACAGATGTGATATGTCTCCTCCATCCCAACTCAAAAGCAGCAATCGAAGCTGTCAAGGCAAACCTCATTCTCTCTCCTCAACACATTTTGCAGAATGCAGACTTGCAAGACGTTGACGAACAAGAACTCTTGTTTGATGAAGAATTATGGGGAGCCAGTAGAGACATTGCGCTCCGAATGTCATCGAAAGTCAAAACCATCAAGGATGGTTTTCGTTTCGGCCGGAATGGGTCAATGTGTGATGTTCTCCTCACTCCCGCTCTGGACGACAACTTGATTAGCAAGATTCACTTCAAGATTTTTGTCAACAGTCAGGGCAGTCTTATGATTCAAGACTTGTCCACAAACGGAACAATTGTCGATGATGTTCACCTCACAACACGTGGCAGAGGCGGTCGACCACTCGTGAAGCCTGCAACAACCGTTCTCAAGAACGGTTCAATCATTTGTGTGCTTGCCGGAACAACAAAAGAAGAAGTCAAATTTATGGTTCGAATTCCCAATCGTGGGGATGGAGAAGATCTCTACGAAGAAAAGCTGAGAAAATATCTGTCCGACCGAGGAGCAGTGGCCAACTTTGCTTCAATGCGTGAAAATTCATATGGTAACCATTGGAACGGTGGGACCAAATACAATTTTACTGGCTGTCTGGGCAAGGGTGCATTTGCAACTGTCTACAGAATCCAGACCAAGAAAGAAGGAGATGTCTACGCCGCCAAAGAGTTGGACAAACGCCGCTTCCTCAAGAATGGAGTGTTGGACACCAAATTCGACAGTGAGTTGCAAATCATGAAATCTCTGTCGCATCCGAACATCGTAAATTACGTCGATTCTTACAACGTCCAACACTATATTTACATTCTGATGGAGTTTGTCCCACATGGTGAGTTGTCTCAGGAATTGAGACGCCAAGGAGGCAAACTTGCAGAGCCTGATGCCCAACAAATCACACGCCAGATGATGCACGCGCTTGGTTATCTTCATCGGAGAAACATCACGCACCGTGATATCAAGCCAGACAACATCTTAATTGCCTCTCGAGACCCTATGATTGTTAAACTGTCGGACTTTGGTTTGTCGAAATGTGTCACAGATCAGGAGACTTTTCTCAAGACATTCTGTGGCACACTCCTGTATTGTGCACCCGAAGTGTACCCAGATTATCAGAACTATACTCAAGGCTCATCCACCAAGAGACGTCGACTTGGTGAGCCATCGTACAAACCGCCTCCGTCTCCTTACGACCAATCGGTTGACATGTGGTCCTTTGGGGCTGTCATTTTCCATATGCTTTGTGGCAAACCTCCCATTACAGGCAGAGGCGATGACAGAGGTGCACAAATGCTCAGCAATATCATGACAAAGGATGTCGATTTTGAACCACTCAGAGATGCTGGCACTTCAGAATACGGCATTGATTTCATCACGAGACTTCTCAATAGAAACCCAAGATATCGACCAAACGAATCTGAATGTCTCAGACACCCTTGGCTACGCCATGTGAAAGATCATTTCGATTATGAAGATACAGAATCAGTCCTCTCACGCAACGAACGAGAGTTGGGCATTCTGGATGAAGCCGAGGAAGATCTGCTTGACGACGATCTTATTGACAATCTTCAACAACTGACTCAATTACCCTCATCAGTGCCAACCCCAAATCGACCAGCCAAGCGACTGAGAGCCAACTCGCAAAATGACGAAGTCACATATCCTGCTTTACCTAATCTTGGTGCCACGTTTGCGCCACTGCCTTCATCGGTAGCACCAACAGCTCCGGCAGAGCGACTCTTCGGAGAAGTCACTCCATCCGTACTACGTAGTTCGGGGATTTTCGGCGGTGCCCTTCGTCCACAGGTGCAGGCCGATGTTCCAGAAATCCGCAACCGTGTTGAGCAGATTAGCGTGAATGATTTTGTCACTCGTGGTGGTGAAGTGGATGACACAAAAAGCGCAGACAACTTTGGCCAACCATTGCAATATCCTCAGACCCTTGGCATTCCGCACACTTTTGCTGGATCAGCTTTGAGCCTTATGGGGGCAGAGCAACAGATCGGTCAACTTAATATGGCCTCCCCAGACGCGGAAGCTTCTGATGCTGCAACTTCGGAGTCACCAAACCCTGTCACACCCCAAACTCGGGAACTTTCTCCGTGGACCGGTTCCAGTCATGCAGCGGATACAAAAGTTGCAGACACTACTCGTCACTTCGAAGAACGAGTTTCTACCCGGGAACCCCTTTTTACCCGTCAGTTTGACCTTGATCTCGTAAACGACCCAGAAAACTTCGATGCTGAGATTGAAGCCCGCAAGGCCTCGAGAGCTACAAAAATCGGCACGAAGGCAGAAACATTCAGTGGGAACGCCAATAGTCGGGTGCGTCTTCCGTCTGTTGAGCTGGCAATCACTATCGACGCGAAGACTGGAAAAGCGATCCAGAGTCACGACAATGTTGACCGACTGATCCATGATCCACTCACCAATTCAAGTCTGCAATTCATCAAGCCTCCGAAGCGATTTGGTAAATTAACCACAATCCCTGGCTCTTCAGCCAATCTAACAATCAACCTGGAAGATCGTCTCACCTCTTGGGGTCGAGGAATTGACTGCACTGTCCCTTATCCTGATCGAAAAGACACCCGCATTCCAAAATATGCAATGAAGATCACATTTTGGGCTCCAGGTATTGAGAAATTTATCCTGGACGGGGGGGACTGGACTCAATCGCCGGGCGTGCGAACTTTGATTTCTACCTCAGCCAGTAAATCCATCCTGGTCAATGGTGTTCAACTCCAGAAGGAGACTATAAACGGTGAAGCCGCTTTATTCGGCCAACTGTATACCGACGATATCATCACAATCTTCGATTTTAATGATGGCTTTCTAAAATTTAAGGTCGAAATCACCTTCGGTGACAGTGCTCGACCCCGCCCAGAGAGTGAACGTGGCTTTCTGATTCAGCAGGAACGACAATATCATCAACGTGCCATGAAGGAACGTGAAAGTATGAGAGCCAGCAGGGCTGGAAGTGAGATTGGTAATGGAGTCAGCTTGCCATTGTTGTGAATGGGGAATGGTCACAATCGTGACGCTTGAATTATATTGGATTGTTCACCGAATGGTGAGTGCTTGGTACGACACATAAGGTGTGATGCGTCAAATTGACGGGGCTTGTACAGTAGCTAAAATATACAGCAATGAATTCAATGTGTTCAAAATGCATCGGTGTCATATTTGACGTTTGCGCCCTGTAACAGGGCAACGCTTGTCAAGGTCAACGTTTCTGCAGATGCTAGGTCTTCTTCTGAATATGCAAATGGTTCCCCGTCCGTCAAAACTCCTCCTTCGGCCACATCACAGAGGAATAATGCGGAGGAGCCTCGACCATGGTTTATACTGTGATCTCTTGAGGGCGTCACTGTGAAGAAAACACCGATTTGTCCCAGCATGCATCAAAGTGAGATGGCACAAGCATCGCTTCACGACCCAGATATCTCACAGTCCCGCTAACCAGCAGCGCCTGATGTTCACGGCAAGGCTGATGCCTGAGAGCGTTTGGACCTGGGGATCAGTGAGTATAAATCTGTCATCATCTACTATCAATTTGAACCTTTTCCTCCCCATGGCAATTCTCTCCTGAAGAAAAGAAACCCACATTGTTATCCCACAATTTTCATCCCCTGACATCGAGGACCCTGAAGTCAAGAAAGCACAACTCAACCTATCTGAGGGGTTCATTCATTACCTGAACACTGGAACTCTAGGCCTTGGAGACTCTGTCCCTGTTGACTAAGTCTTTGAGATTCCCTAAACGCAATCTAAAATTCGCCCAAGGATGCCATGCAACAGAATCCGCCTTCCACCCGGTGTGCGGGCGGTCGACGACGTGGATGAAATGCTTCTGGAAGCCGGCATCATCCCGACATCGATGAGGGGCATCCTCACGGATGACAATGGAGACTTTCGCGAAGAATTCCACTGTGATGGATGCAGTGACAGTGGTCATTCCGACAATGAGAGAGCTCCGGCCGGGAGGGCTCCCATTGGGAGAGCACTCGGTGGTCGCAGGGGCAGGGATAGGGTTGGAGACAATTATGGTTTGTGGGATATGGATTTCGATCCGCATCCGCGTCGGCGTCGGTTCGGGGCTTATGATGACTTGAGTGATGATGATAGGGATGACTTGGGAGGTGCAAGGGGGTTTGAAGATCTTGGTCCCCTGGACAGTGATGAGGATTTGGGAGGTTTGGGTGGGCTGGGTGCTCTGGGGGAGAGGGAAGGCAGGATTAATGGCCTGCGCGGAAATCTGCGTAATTGGGCTCGGGGAGAGTATGGCAGAGGTGGAGCTGCGTTGGATGCTGACCCTGTCGGCGGAGGTCCTGGAGCCATGGGAGACCTAGGAGATATTGGTGGTGGTGCTGGCGGTGCTGCTGCTGCTGGCACCGGTGATGTTGGCCACAGAGGTCGCCGTGGAAGACGCAATAGACCACGCACAGGAGGAGGCCGAAGAGGCCGTCGCCACCGCAGCCCGGCCGACAGCTCCGATTCTGGCTCTATCAGAGAGCGGGCGGCCAGAGGGCTCGAAGGAGCTATACGCCAAAACGATCGCAACAGAAATGCTCGAGGAGCTGGTCGCACGCGACGTCGACGTCGACACGGTGGTTATGATAGTGATTCTGATGACTCCTCTGACTGGAGTGATTATTACACTAACATTAGCATTTAGTGGTAGCCATTTTGAGGGACTCAGGGCGGAACGGAACGTCTTTGACCTGATATTGGGCCATTTCTGGGGCTATGATGCGCTAGATGCACACAGCATGTTGGTCTGGCTTGTCAAGGCCATCTCTTGTGAGATGTTGGTATTAATCGGCATTGGTGATCTGCTTTATGGGATTTATCTTGTGCATAAGTGTTCTGGACTTGTTGATATTGGGAAGGGAACATGATGTTTACATAGACAGCACATCTCAAAGCTACAGCTTTTGCAAGACCAAAATCTCGATGAGACAGCGATCTGGCGCTAGAGTAAGGGATCACTACAAAGAACAATGGATAACAAAGCATGGAATTGGATAATCAAGATCATTGTTCCGTGAAAAGCTCGACCTGTATTTCTCGCTTCATCCGTCAGAGACCCCAAGATTATTGCACAGACATTGCAACGGCGCTCATTTGAGTAAGAACTCTGCTGCAAGACCTAGCCTGCGCTGTCGCTATTGCCATATGCATTCAAAACATTCAATCTGGAGCCTGTCACTCTCTCATTCCTCCAAACAATGCTCTATCTACCCCATGATGGCGAGATTAAACTGACATTTCCTTTTCGATGATTCCCGCGATGGCAAAGGATGCCTTCTGCGTATACGATGCGCCTGTTGTAAGGCTGACAACTTTTGATCTCCTGATGATTTCCGCGATGGCAAAAAGTGCCTTCTGCGTGTTCGGAACCCCTTATGTGGAGCGAATACCATGTTGACGGATTTGATAAGGGGCAAAACTCAACCCCGTGGTTCCAGTGTGGTCTCTATACAACTCCATTCCATCCCATTTCACGTCTGCGGCTACCTGCCTCTCAACGTACACCGCTCACCCTGACGGTAACTTGTTTGCCATTGCGTCCTGCTATATTTCAGATAGCTTCGTGATCATCTGAGACTGCGAACGATCCGAATAATGGCAACCACGGCAATAGTTGTATACATTGGATACATCGCATACATCGGAACCCCAACGACGGCCGCGGCGCCCAGTATTGATGGGACTGACCAGTGTCCTCCATGCTCTTCATCGCCTTTGTCGACTCGCTTCGGGGATAGAGGCTCGGGCAGATGATCCAAGTTTTCCCTGGGATCCTCGCTCCAACTGCCAATGGTTCTATGAATTCTCTCGGCCAATTCATCAAGCCCCAAAGGCTTCTCGGCTGAATTTTCTTCGTGTTCAAGCACAATAGTTTCCGCTGTGCATGATCCTTGCTCTGGTTCTGGACTTAAATCGTATGTGTTTTCGAAAAGATGTGTAGACTGGACTGAATCATTTATTGGGAACTTTGAGAACTCTTCATTGAGACCAGCTGTCTCATAAAAAGACGGGAATGGTTCCAGTTCGTCGTTCTCCAAATTATCTTCCTCCATGATGACGATTTTCTCATCTTCATCATTGCTCATTCCGTCACCAACTTCCTCATCAGCGAATCTATCGCCATTTTCGGAGGAAAAATTAGATTCGATCTCAGATTCATCATCCGTTTCTTCCTCATCTTGCACTCGATAGGCAGCAAATGCTTCATCTGAGAAGTCCACAACGAGATCATCGTGGGTGCTCCCCTGATTTGATTGATCCCTTCCAGTGGCATCATCGGAGCATGTATCATCAGTCTCGCCATGGCTGAGAGTTGGTAGATGCCTGATTATACCATTGATGTGACTGGGAGATGCAGTTGGAGAGGGTCTGTTGCTTTCATTATCGGGAAGTTGGGTATTGTGCTTGGTGACAGAGAGCCCAGCGAAACAATCAGAGAGCTCTGCAGGATCAACAAGAGCGTCGCTTTGATTGGCTGGTTTTTCGCTTTGTTCAAAGTAGTGCTCTGTAGTGATGGCTTTTTGAGAGGCTTCTACTGCTTTCTCTGAAAGCTTCTCAGCATCCTTTTCTTGGGTATGTTCATGTTGAATAGTCGACTCGGTTAAAGCAGCTATTGTCATCAAAGTCTTCAACTCTGATTTCTCTGCCCTGTCTTTGGCTTCAGCTTCTGTTCTCTCCCAGGGAGCAAGTTGGTCGAGGTGTGGCAGGATGGTGGCTTCGAGACTTTCATAATCAAAAGTGATGAAGTCGCGGCCTTCATCATCCAAAGTTTCAAGGTGTTCCTCTGCGAGTCTAAGGAGCATTATCATAAATACATTGAGACCTCCATATAGAGTCTTCAGATGGAGGCGTCGGTGCTCATGTTCCTTTGCTTCTCTCGGGTATCCGATTCCGTTGAGAGTCTCTATTGCAGCTTCGTAGTAGCTGAAGACGTTGTCCATGTTGTTAGCGAAGAGATTCTTGCCATCTTTGATAATGTACGCGAGATGTGGGAGTTGCTGGGGTTGAATTGGATGGACATGAACGCGTACCACAGCCTCGTCACGGTAAAGGGCTAGGATACGAGGTAGGTCAAGGTTAACCGTGTTGAAGCTGTCCCTCATGAGTCTAGGCTCTGTGATTGGGAATGAGGAAGCCATTGTTGTGAGTTGTTGGGTCGAGAGGTTGATAGTACTGCAAAGAGGATGAAGAATATTGTTTCCAGGGCCTATGAGGATGGTGAGTCTCCACCTTTTCGTGCATAGATCTTGAATACAGCCCCTGGCAGACAAGTCCTGAATGTTGGGTGATTCTTGATAGGCTATTTTTAATCTGGGTGGTGGTGGGCTTGAATTGAGTAGTTGTGCTGTTACGAGTCGAAAAGTTGGATAAGGAGGTGTATCAAGAACAAAGAAAGGAAAGGAACACAAGATATATATCTCGTTCCCGCAGCGTTGTATGTTCTAGGCAGTAGGTTTATGAGGCAGTGTATCGTTCGAGGCAGGCAGCGCGACTTCACAGCACTAACTTGACGCGAGAATAGATCGCTCAGGCAGTGAATCCTCCAGTGACAACATGGTCGTTGTTTCTGCTATGATGGCTTTAGAACTGGATGCGAACTAGGCCACAACGCTGCAGAGAGCAAGGACTATGTCATGAATAAGGTCTTGTATGATTTGTAAGTGAATAGAGCAACTTGGGCGCTGTAGACCATCAATTTATTATGGAATAACGCCCAGGGTAGCCCTCTCACACAGAGATCTCTTCGTTGTGGATCAAGTGCTTTACACTCGGCTAAAACAGACTTTTTGGATTCCCTGAACAGGTATGCATGGAATTAAACATAGCTCCTCCTATGCCGTCAATGTTAGCAAATACTCATACATCAATTGTCCATCCAATTTTCCATGAACAATGCCGTCATTATCAAAACTCGTACCAAGTCTCCATTGCATTCATCAAGTCGTTGTCTCATATGTAAGAACACACTTTGTTCCATAGAAACATGCTTGTTCTTCATCCGCCACGCTCGGATTCTCCGATTTGTTGACCTCAACGATGGCTGCGGACAAATCGAATCATTCCATACAGAAGTACCGCAGTGGTAATGGGATAGACAATGGAAAAGGGAATTCCAAAGACGCTCGCTGCGCCAAAGACTTTCAGAACGGACAATCCAGGTGATTCGCGTTCGAATGGCTTGGTTGGGTAAGCGCCAGGCATACTGTTCAACTGAGTCTCCATGTCCTCATCATTCTCGCCGTTAATTGCTTCAGGTTCAGTCTTCTCCTCACCCTCTCCGTCTTCGAGCAGGGTAGATTCTTCAAAGGGTGGATTTTGTTCGATCTGAATGATTGGAGCCTGCTCAGCCTGTTCTGTAGTCTCCAAGATAACCTCAGAGGACTCTGTTGGAAGTGCACCCACTTTGATGACATAGTGCTCACAATCTTCGTCTGACGTACTTGCTAGAAAGTCTTCTGCAGCCTGAACATCGCTGAGAAACTCGAGATCTTCTTGGCTAGCAGGCGAGGCCCACAGGAGGTTGTCAACGGTCAGGCGTTTCGAAGGAGTTTCGACATTTTTTCCTGCACTAGAGGTAGAGGACGCTGGTGTGTGAGTATGGTGACTGGAGACCGGTTCTTCCAAGATGTCTTCCTCACCGGATTCTTCAGTATTTTCGACTTCGATTTCAATTTGTGGTGCTGAGCCCCCCGTGAGATCTGCGTCTTCTTGTTGAGCGGGAACCTCTTCAGCAGTCTCTGTCTCTTCTGACAAATCTGTTCCTTGTGGTGAGGGGTGTTCTTCAGTCTCCCCAGTCTGCTCAGTCTCCTCGTTTTCTCCGGACTCTTCGGACTGTTCAGTTGCCTCTTCATCCTCAAGCGCTTCGGTGATAATTGTGGTTTCCGCTTTGTCATCTGTGACTTCTTCACCATCAGCCTCAAGCTCTCCGTCCGAGGCGGGGTCAGTATCAATTTCAAGTACTCCGTCATCAGAGGAGCAGGAGTCGACATCATCAAAGGGGCGCTTCAAGTTTGCACGAGTGTTTTGGTCGGTAGTAATCTGGTCTGTGCTTGAGTCTTCTGGCTCTTCGGCGCCAGAGTTGGGAATATCTTCATTTGAACTTTCCAGAGCAGTCGATGTGTTCGCGGCAGTGAGATGTTCTGAGAAATCGATTTTGGCCGAGACCTCGCTACCCTTGGTAACTGGAATGCCGAAATTTCCAGAAACTTGAGCACTGATAGCTCCAGCAACAACTTGGAGATCATCGACGTCGGCAGTCTCGAACTCCTCTTCAGCCAAAGCAGCATCGATGTCCAGATGTGAAATCAATACCGCCTCGGTGAGGGAGCAAGCCAGATTGTTTGAGTCATAACAGTGCCCGTTAAGGGGTTCAATCTGTTGTTCTAAGCCTTGGAGTTCACTGATCATCTTGCTGGAGAGGCCGTCGACCACAGCCTTGAGTTGAAGTTTGTGGTTCTCGAGTTCTTCAGCCTTTGAAGTGTGGCCTGATAGAGCGAGTCGCTTGCAAGCGGTCTCATAGTAGATGAAGATATTGTTCATGTTACGGATGAAGACATTTTGACCGCTCTTGATCTTGGGAGCAAGCCATGGAAGGCGATTTGGGGGAATGGGGAGTATATGGACACGTTCCACAGCTTGCTGTCGGTAGTGATCAATCACGTTGGGCAGATCAAGACCAGTTTTGAGTAGAGTGAGAGATCCCTGGGGAAACGCTCCGAATTGAGGATTGATGCAAGCCATATTGGAAGCCATGGTGGGAGTGTCCTCTGCTTCAACTTGAGAACGGGTGATATCGAAAGAGGCTGGACTTGCAAGGCTGTCGCGTATTGTGTAAAGCTATTGCTGGTTAAGCGGTTCGATTTGAAACTGACTGTTGGTGTAGAGGCTGGTCGTGTGTTTGATGTTTGGAGATTGATCCAAATTGAACAGTTGTAAAGGGCTTGAAGGTCTTGAAGTTGTGGTGGGGAGGAGGGAGGAGGAAGGAAGATATCCAAATCTCCCACCCAATATATATTTCGTTTGCGCGAGGCTGCGCGTCGCATGTCGCGGAGGCAGCGCACCCCTAATAGGCAGTTTGTTGTCCAGGCAGCGCATCATAGCATGTGTCGCGTCCATGGGTCTGCCTCGTTGAGGCAGCGCATCCTGCATAGGCAGTGTCGAGAGCTACCACCGGACCGTGCTTGGACGCGTAGAAGATCGTGCAGGGAGATTGCGCTGCGTGTTGTTATGAAGCAAAAAGGCGAATGCATATAAGTAATCACTTATGAGCGATGAGTAACTAGATCAAGTCATTGATTTCTACCTGAAGGAAAAAGAAGGGGGATTCATCTAGCACTTTGCAGACTCGTAAACCTTTTATGCCTTTGAAGAAAGTAGCAATTTAAGCACAACTCCATTTTGAAGGCCACTCCCGGCTTCCGTGTCGTAGATCATGCATGATTTCCACGTCGCAAATTATCGGTCTTGGGAGAACCCTTCATATCATACTGTCGTTTCATTGTGTGTCCACTAAGATCTCACAGAATTGAGTCGAGAAGGCGGATCCAACAAATGGCTCCAAAGAGTACGATAGCGGCGAAATTTGTGTATAGCATAGAGATAAAGATTGCCACAATAGCAATTGTCGGAGAGCTGCTTCGTAGAGGCAGTCTTGCGGTTCAGGCAGTACCTTCTCCATAGGCAGTATGGCGTTCTTTTCACACAAAGACGCATCAACCACGCGTGAGGTCTGTTTCAACCTGCAACTAACTAATTATTGTTAGCCCATTTGTTTCATGGTGCGTGTGGGAGGGGAAATGAGAGTTGAGCACAGTGAATACCTGGGAATCTGACGAATGTTATCGCACGTCGCACGAACGAATACCTGTCGGATGTCGACGTAAATATATATACGGAAACATGAAACGCTTGAAAGAGATGCATTAAAGAACATGACGAACTGCTCTGGCTCCACTGCTGTTGGTAGTCAGTCACACGGAGGATACAAATCCATCATCTCATCATTCATGGATTTGTCAAGATATTTCCTTACACTGTCGAAATTTCCATGAGCCACTTTTCCGCTCCTTCAAGCATATAGTTCCGGAAAGCCTTGAAACCTCTGCTGACCTCCATAACCATGGACGACTGTGATTGGATCGGATCGTTGCAAGATGACAACTGGCGGCAGCAAGTATGGCTTGTAGAGATCGCGGGGATGCTTCGTATTTGCCAAGCGGCTTACTCAGGATTCCAAGCAGGACTGAGTATTGTGAATCTCTCACTTCTCAGTACAACTGAGAGTGCGTGTTCATTTGAAGTGCAGCATTAAGTGATAAGCGCTAGAATGACGACTTTTCATTCCAAATTCTGGCCATAGGCGCCGAATGTGGTAGAGTCAGGAAGACAGGTAAGGATTTCTTCATCGGGCTGTTCACTACGACTGATTTCTTCATCAGCCTCCCTAGCAAGCTCTTTAAGGTCGACATTCAACTCTGTGCAACTCTTCTCGTCTTGTTTGGCGGCAAGGATAGCCTGCTCTGCTTCGTACATCTTTCTGTATTCGTAAGCAGCAACTTCGAGTTCAAGTTGATAGACTTCATCGTCCGAGTTTTCAGAATATTCGGACCCGGAGTCTTCACCGGAGTCTTTGGTGAGAACTGCAGTTTCAAGTTCTTCACTAGACTCTTTGATAATAGTCGCAATCTCATCATCTTCATCGGATTCATACTCGGAGTACTCATCAGCATCTTCAGAAGGGGTGTGGTCATCATCTTCGTCATCGCTCTTTGCAAGCTCGTCACCGTACAATCCTTGTTCGGCAGACTGTTCTTCTGACAATTTTTCAACCACATTATCCAAATTAGACTTCAGGACTGGTTTACTAGCATCTTTAGCGTCGTTGTTGTTAGATGTTGGGTTATTGGGCCCTTCAACATGCAGATGAGTAAGACTACCAACGATGTCGATTTGATCCACTGCCGGAGCAGCAGAAGAGGCCATCTTGCTGATGACCTTGACAGTTGTGCGCGGGGTCGTGATACAGATTCGAATTGAGTCCTATCGAGAGTATTTTGCGCGGATGAGCGTTGTGCTGGGTGTATAGTACAAGCAAGGAGAGACATCTCCAAGAATGGATACCTTGTAGATAACACATATTGTTGTTACAAGTCCGCCCTGCAGAGGCAGCGTCGAGGCAGTGTCGAGGCAGGCAGTGTAGCCGAGTCATCGGTGACTGATTTCTTACAAGACTGCTTCGCAAGCCATGGCATGCGTGCTCATCTTCTCTCATCTGTGCTAGGATCGTAGACATAACCCATGGACGCAAGCCTCGAGCCGCAGCTTCCCGTTCATAGCCTCGGCCACTCGCCACAAGGGAAAAAGAATATCTCACAGACGCAATTATTGGTAAAAGGGGTCCGAGGGGGAGATGCAACACGGGCAATCTTAGATTAGAGAGATGAGAGAAACAATGAATGTACCTAGAGGAGTTGGGCGTGACTGGTGTGTTGCACAGCATTTAAAGCGCAGAACAAAGAAACAGTCTTCCATTGTCAATGCGCTCAGAGGTAGTTAGTCGTCCAAAGGACCTGGACTCGACATCCGCATCTTCACTTGGTGGCGTTGGTCTACAACTCATATATAGAATGGTATGGTTGTCTTGCTCAAGGACGATACGTCGTAGACAAAGCAACATTAGGTCGTTGTGAATATTCAATTTTTCGTGCGGGAACTATTTTCAGAAGTAGCATCACACTGGCGGCTTACTCAAAGCGTTCCTTGACCCTTATCTTGATATAAGTGGCTGTACCAGAGTGACCAAGGCTGACCATGTTGCCATCTCAGCGGCTCGATAGATGAATAGTAGATACCGTCTTAGCCTCAAGCGCCTAGTGTGTCACTCGAGGTTCCTAGTCTTGCCAAAGGACATAGCAATGGCATGTGTCAACGTTCGACGAACCAAGGATAGAGTGGGCAGCAGGCCTGGCTATCAAATGGGGAAGAAAGGTCCTTCTCGGATCTGGTATCTCGATAGATCACGCGGTCAGATTCGAAACCGATGCTCAAGCACCAGTGCCCGAATCAGGATTTGATCGCTTCGGGCGCAAGGTAATCTGCTGGGACCGCAAACTATCGCTCTTTTACGGTACTGGCCGTTTCAATGACGCGTCAACCCGTACTCCTTACTGACTTAAGGCTCAAAAAGCTTGAGCTGCTAGTGGCTGGAACACGGCGATCTAGGACACTAACTCTCGCAGTTGCTATCAAGAATCAGTGGGCGATCAAAACTGGTCACAAAATAACTTTGTACTCACCCATAATTGACTTCTCTTGTCCTCACCTTTCAATTGCGTCTGGTTCATGACTAAATCTGCCAAAGTTTTTTTACGTGCCTGGACTGCCATAATTTTCTCTTCCCAGGTGTCCTTCACAACCAATCGAACTGCTGTCACTGATTTGGTCTGACCGAGGCGATACACGCGAGAGATAGCTTGTTCTTCCATCATTGGATTCCACTGAGGCTCGACAAGAACGGCGTGGTTCGCTGCAGTCAAATCAAGACCTTGGCCTCCACAGCTGATCGAGACGAGAATGACATTGATGGATATGTCTTGTGCAAAGGTTCGAAGAACCAAGTCTCTTCGAGCGCGGCTAAGTTTTCCGTCATAGCGACAGGATGAGATGCAAGACCTAGCAAGGGCTTGTTCGATGATGTCTAGCGTTGACGTCCAGAAGGTAAAGACAACACATCTATCTCCGTGAGGCATCCCATCAAGATATTCTAGCAGGGCTATGGCTTTACTAGATATCTCATCATCGTGGGGTTCGGGGGCTTCAGAAGCTGTATCATCAGAGCTCGTGGTCGCTGGAGACAGCGAGGCATCGTTCTCACTTAGCTCTAGACACTTCTTGCACAGCTCAGAGTGGGATAAGTCGAAAGAGGAAGTTCTGTCGTCGAGAAGTCGACTTTCCTCGTCTTCTTCTTGAATATCAGTCCCACATTGAATACAGATACCATTGCTAGTATTCATCATGTCCAAGGCATCGGTTTCGTGCATCCCCCGAAACACTTGTCGAGATTGCTTTCGTAGATGCCTCCTTCTGGCGAACAAAGTCCCGTGATTACAGATGAATCGGAGATTATTGATCTTTTGCAATGCTGTTATGAAGGACGATCCACTGGAATTCGCAGCTGACATTGCCGAATCAATAACGTCCACCGCTCCTTTCCGAGCCAATTCATAGGATTTGCGCTCACGTGGACCGAAATTGACATAGCAAATGTGTTCCGTCAGCTGAGGTAGTCGGACCACATCTCTCGACCGACGTAAGGCGATCATGCGCACGAGCAGTTGGATTCTGTGTAATGCCGCCTCATCTAGTTGATTCCTCCATGGTTGTGCTATGTCTCTTTCGAAGTCTTCCAGACTATCATATGGATGAATTCTCAAGAATTTGAGAAGGCTGTATAGGTCGCCGAGCTTATTCTGGATAGGGGTTCCGGTGATACACCAACGATGGTGGGATTCAAGGGCACAGATAGCCCGAGCAATGTTGGTGCGTTGGGAGCGCACCATATGAGCTTCGTCAAGCACAATGCGGTGCCAATATGTTGTGAAAAACTTGTTTCTGCCCGATTGTGTGCGTGAATCTCGATGCCTTTTCCATTCCGAAGCCACAGTGTTCAGGGTTGTTATGACTACATCATAGTCGAAGAGATTAGCGGCAATCAGATGGCGTCTAGCGCCGTGAAAGACGCAAGTACTCATTTGACCTGGCTTGACGTGCAGGTTTAACTGCATAGACCAGACGAACAGAAGCGAAAATGGTACTACAACGAGCGTGGTTTTCACCGTGGGAAAGCCATGAACGTTGAGATGCGTACTCCTCGATGGGTCAGTCCATGTGTTTGAGGCGATCAGTGACAACATCGTCAAAGTCTTGCCTAGGCCCATAGGATCCGCAATAACTCCTCCATGGAATGGTGGCGGAGGCTCGAATTGCCGGTGGCCTGTCAGAACATTCTCAAATTTGGTTGCGCCTCGGATGTCAGAGTGCGCCGTCCAAAGATCCAGATTCTTGTCATGAAACTGCCATCCATCTTCCCTCCGTTTCATAAAGGTCAGTGCCTGCTTCTGGTGAGCGTGTAGAGGAGTCAGGATACTTTTGGGTTGCTGCGCTTCTTTTAACGCCTCGATACTGGCCATTCCCGCAAAGATGTCGGTAAATGATTGGATTCGGGAGTCTGGAGCAAGCTGTAGATCGGTATCCAAATCGTTACTCATGACGAACGATTCGTCGTCCACGAAAAGACAGTGGGGATTGATGTAAGGAACGTTGTGGTCGCAAAATCTGGGTGTTTGCAAGTATAATCGGCAGTCAAGCAGATATTCTCCAACACGGTCGCCCGTGGTAGATGGCCCGTACATAATGATCGACAATCCGACGCTATTCCTGTCCGGTTGTGGAGCATCAGAGGTTGGGTTCTTCAAAACGAATTGGAAGAAAATGCAACCATCACAGGCCAGCGATCTGAGAACAGAAGACATGTCTTTGGTCACATCCACCACGGTGCCGGTCTCCCTGTGCAGAAGGGATGAGGAGCCGTCCCAGCTTAGGCCCGGAAGATATGTCCAATCTTGCGTTTTTGTCCTGAAGTTGTGAAATTGTATTTCAACCAACTACAAGATCGATCAGCCGGGATTCAGCATTTGTCTCCAGTCTTGAGACCCACCATGCCAAAGCACACCAAGTCAGTGGTTTGTTTTCTTTGCTGGTGGCCGCTGTCCCTACTTCTTTTGAAAGTGGTCGAGCTTCCATTGCACTCGGCTAAGACAGAGCTACACTTGGTCGATTCCAAATCAAGTCGAGGGCGTTTCGAAGGACGAGGATCTTCAAAGTCCCATGATGGAGTATTTTGTGGTGGGCTTCGTGGCTGAAGACAGTAATTCAGGTCCATGAGTCTACGGAGGAGTCAGTAATCGGAGTAGAGACGATGGAGACGAGGCCATGAATCCCAACGCACCTAGCCATCTCACAACGAAGACCAGCCCCTCAAAAAGCCTACTTTTGTACCATGACGGTGGTAGTCTCTGGTGGCAACCATGGCAATGAGCACAGAATATTCTCCATGGATGAGCAGCAGAGTAGAGACGATCGCAGGTGGTAGATATCAAGTGAACAGGGCGCGAGATCAGCCACAGGAGCGCCGCTGGTTTGCAGGTTGATTGAGACAGAGTGATTGGATCAGGCTGGCGGTGTCTGCCGTGGTGCGCCGTGCATGCAGGGCAGGGCTGGGTGCTTTCAGCCTGACCGACAATTTCATCGCAATGTGGCACAGGACTGGCTGTTGCCTCTTCTTTCGCGGTTGATATCGATTCTTGAACATACCATCATCGTTGCCATTGCGAATACGTGAGGACAAGAAAGCAAGAGAGACTCGGATTAAGACGCCCTCGCGTGAGCAGGCGCGAACCGCGCGTCATGAGCGACCAATCAAGACTCGCCATTTCGGCCGCCTTCAAGAAGCTGGAGACAGCAATTTATCCGGCCGATGCACGACTCTTTTGCTCCACCACGTTGAAAGATGTTCAAGAGGCGGCCAAAGTAGTACAGAGGGATCAAGAAGCCCGGCAATGCATTCGTAACCTCCGCCGTATCAAGCCGCTGTTCGCAGCTCTGGAGAGGCTAGGAACTGCAGTTGAGACACTATGTCAAGGGACACCATACCTGTGCTTCATATGGGTGAGATCCTTATTGTAGATCTCCTTGAGTGGATGGCTAACTTCGGACAAGGCTCCGCTCAAGCTGATCCTCACTGTAAGTATGTCAGCCATCGAATGCCAACTAAGCTGATTATCGGATCCCAAAACAGATTGGCAACGAGTATATCTCGGGCTTCGAGAAACTTGTCGATGCCTATGGCCAGATCGCCCGGCATCTACCTCGTCTAGACAGGCTGAGTGAGGGCCTTTCTAGACAACGAAGAGTTTCAAAGCGTTATTAGTGACGTTCTTGCCGACTTGCTCGACTTCCATATTCACGCCTACAAGTTTTTGCGCAGGGGAGGTAGGATATTAATCATGAACACCACTTGGCGATGCCTAGACTGACGTCAGATAGGCTGGCGACATCTATTTGATGGATCGTGGAAGTCTTTTTCTCCTCAGTTTGAAGGAATCTTGGAGAATCTCAGGAGAAATCGTGATCTGGTAGACAAAGAGGCCAACAGTCACGATATACCCGAGGCATGAAAAGCACGGAAACTGCTGCTGAGCGACATTGAACACCGGACTGTGCAAAGGCGGGACCACCAATTGTTTGCCACGCTCAACTGGCTTGATTTAAAAGGCCGAGACTGTGACCAAGAGAACCGCTTCGACGAATACAACACCAAGCGTAAAGAAGGTACGTGCGAATGGGTACTGGAGCATCCAAAGGTTCGGTCATGGTTGGATGAGCATGATCATCGTCCATACCTCTGGCTGAAAGGAAAGCCTGGGGCAGGTATGTCTGGTACCCTACTTCTCAGGCATGTATTCTCTGACGCCGACAGGTAAAACTACTATTGCAACTCACATCATCCGGAACTCCCAGATTCCACCCAATGCAACAATTCTATACTGCTTGTGCACATATGATCTTCCTAAGGAGAGCAACAGCTTCTGCAGTTTCATGCTCCGACTCCTGATCATCCAATATTGAGACTCAAGACTGAACTTATTCCTTTCGTCTACGAAGAGGTAGCAAAGGGGAGTAATCCAACTCTCGCCAGGCTGCGATCACTCTTTCGGGCCCTTTTGGGCTCGCTTGATCTGGTCTATCTCGTTGTGGATGGTTTGGACGAATGTGACCGAAATGCACAGAAAGAAACTCTCCAAGAACTGCTAGATGTCCCAATCACGGATACCTCTTCTCAACATTACCGATTGAAAATACTCTTCTGCTCACGGGAAACAGAGGAAATCATCCGCAAATTACGGAAGAAGCCATTTATTTCACTAAGTGTCGAACAAGAATCGCTATCGAGGGACATATCGGCGTATACCAAAGCACGCCTCTCGAACCTCCGAGGTGACTATGAAAATGGTTTGGTGGATGGTCTTGAACAACACATCATTTCCAAATCTCAAGGTAAGAGAGCCACCCTTATGCTAAAGGTGCATTGAGTTAAGCCGTGGCCTAGGCATGTTCTTGTGGGCCAAACTTGTAGTTGACCTTGCGTTTGAGCAACGAAGTGTTCGCGATCTCCAGAACGTAGTCCTGCAAACTTCACCCGGACTAGATGGAATGTAAGCTTACATCTTGCCACATATTTCCCCTGCTCAAGTTACTGATCGCATAAAATAGCTATGCCTCTATTCTTGAACGTCTCAATCACTATACCAGTGAACAGTTGCGCAAAGTCAACTCCATCCTCGGCTGGATCGCTTTCGCTTTCCGCCCGTTGAAAACCTTCGAAGTTTGTGACGCCCTTGTTTTTGAAGACGATGATTCGACACTCGACTCAACGACAAAACTCTTGAAGAGTGTCCTGGACACCTCCAAGCCTCTGATCGAAGAGAAAGACGACCAGACCGTCGTGTTAGTGCACTTCTCTGCTCGAGAGTAAGTTCTACCACCTATGGCATTTGAAATCACAGTGGCTGAGTACTGATTATTAGATATCTTCTGAGTAAAAGGAGTGGACCATATCTTCCTGCCTGGTCTACAAACGCAAGAATCACAGCATCGAGTTTGAGATACCTCTCTACGTGTGCAGTTTTCCTGGCGAACCACGATGGACACGATGCTAAATTTCAAGTCTTGAAAGGTTTCCACGACCTCTTTCCCTACGTACACGAATTCTGGATCCAACATTGCTTTGCTGTCACTTCAAGACCCCCCACGAGCATTACTGATAAGCAATTATTTCTGGCTTTGCATCAATTGCTTCTCAATCTCGCATCCCACTGGGCCGTGCGGACTGGAACTTCATCCCATGACACTCAACAAAGCACTTTCCACATTCCACTGTATGCTAATAGTGATGAGATAGAGGAAGTGGTGTTCACCATATCTGCTGCAGTGTCTCATGCCACTGATTTACCAACCGCCCAAGTGTCATTTCGCAAGCGATATGCAGACCTAGACCCCCGCACGCCCATGCTTTACCCAGGTTCGACTCAAGCCGCCAGCGACCAACATGCTTCGACTTACAGAAAGCTGTGGGAGGCCTTCCGTTGTTTCCAACACAACTTTGAACAATTGTTCGAGTCTTCCAAGAACGATGTATTGATCGAACTCAACCAATTCGGCATTAAAGGGCTTAGACCTTGAAGCGTTCTACTGTCGCCACAAAGGTCTACCATATCGATGCAAATATCGAGGCTGCACTTTGCCAATGTTCGGTAGCACAGAAGAGCGTCGAAGGCATGAAATCTCCCACTCCCGGATCTTAAAGTGCTCGGACCCCGCTTGCGACCTCGCAGATCATGCTTTCACGCGGCAGTCTTTGCGCAGACACATAGCAAAGTACCACCAGGACACCACAGACCCGATCTTTCCGGATTTTATCTCCGACGCATACGGAGCGATGACACCGCAGAAGAAACAACTGCTCGTCCAACGGGATATTGCGGCGATCCAAAAGACACCCCAGCCTCATATACAGCAAGACATCTCTGACCCCTCTCAGCTTGATCAGCGAAACTATTTCTCCGAAGATTTCCTACGCAGTCCTGGAGGCAAAGCACCCTTCACAGACGAGAGAATATCCGATCCCGCTCCGAACCTACGCGAACTCCAACGGAAAGCCTTTGAGCGACAGCGAAACGGACGCCTCGCACCCGCCCAACGAGATATAGCAGCGAACCAGATGACACCCGAGCACTATTTACAGCAGGACACGACTACCCAAGATGTTCAGAAACGCGAGGCAGCCGTGCAGGATCTCCCTGCCCCATTACAGCAGTTATTGAGGCACAAGCCGCAATCTGAATGGCAAAATATTCTTCAAAAATCCCAGAGGGAGAATCACAAAGCACAGATGAGACGAAACCTTTCGCAACAGCCACAAGGTTTACAGCAACAGCGACCACAACAGCGACCACAATTACGACCACAACCTATGGCTCAAATACAAAATGGTGCTTTCGTGGGTGGCACCAATGTAAGTGCCGTCAATTTGCAGCAATCTCTATCTGCAGGCCCGTCTCAGCTGGATCAGAGCAATTATTCCTACGACAACTTTATGGATGGTCCCAGAGGAGAAGTACCCTTCCAAACCAGGAATCATTCGGGCACAATTGACCCCTTTGGGAGGACCTCATTGGAACAAGAGCAGAAACGGCAACAGCAAAGACCTAATTCGCCTTCTTACATCCAGTCAATCTACAACTATCGGACGGAAGTCATGCAACAAGCCACAGCTAGACATCTAGGCAATAACAGCGTGCAAGAGCAAGACGTGATAAATCAGAGCATTCCGCAAGCTCGTGAATCTCCCGTCGCTTCCGTTTACAAGCACCGATTGAACGCAAAAAACATGAACACTGACCGTCCAGGCGACATGTCGCCTGGGCCATCAGTGTCAGAACCTCAGTGGTCCAATTCAGAATATTATCTGTACGGTATAGATCGTCAGAGGCCCAATATGCCCGATCATTATCATCCGGTGAGTATGTCACGATTTTAATAAAATCAACCACAGAAAACCCCTGCGTTGTTTGATCTGCTATTCATATACTCACTGTATTTTGACCTAGGCCGATGTCACGCCGACGAAGGACGGGGCCAACAGCATAACATCTCCTGCAGAGCCTGGAACTGAGTATGGGCACTTGCACGGTGCTGACATATCCGGAGCCGATACCGCTATGTCCATAGATGACTCGAGAGACAGATTCGCTGGCGACGATGGCCCTGAGCTTGAGATTAATTATGAGAGACTAACTCCTGTAGCCGATCACCATGTTGATTCCCGAGAGACCAGACGGAGTTGCACACCCTCGCCTCCCACCCATTGCCAACAATCCGCACCGTTTGGTGAATGGAGACCTGGATCATTGGGAGCCTTACCCTGATCCTCCTCCACCTCCCCTACCAAGACATGCCACTCCTTTATGATGACCAGACATGAAAATCCCGGAACGTTCTAGTAGACGGAAGCGCATGTTTACACCCACACCACACTCTTTTCCGATGAGACCTTAGACAGACGAAAACTTTTCTCACCGATCTGCGATATCGCCGCTTGATCTTTGGGTCCAAGCTACTCATCTGTAGTTCTTCACAATCCAAAGGAAGATGCCGGTCCATCATGACCCTCGAGTCCTACTCCTCTAATCAATAAGTGATCACGGGATCAAACGTCGCCTATTAGCTTATCGCTGTTAGCACGTGCGATTTTGCAATGGCGGCCCGGGAGTTTCCCAAGCGAAGCGCTAGTAGAGCCTAATTACCACGGCTGACGCTCAGCCGAAAGCTTGCCTGTTAGGGGGATTCTTGCATTTCCGGGACATTCTCATGTGTGTTCTTGGACGCGTACGCGTCCTCTCCGCGGGGCTGCGGGGTTATGTTTTGCTGTCAACAGTATCGTGTGCCACCTAGGGGATTTGACATGTCACTCTCCTGAACCACTTTGAAGGGCAAGTGTACGGAGAGCTCGTGGGGTCCAAAAAAACATCTAGCCTGCAAGTCTACAATCGAGTGGTGCTGAGCATGTGAAAATACTTAGTAATTGGCATTTGAACGGATGGCTGTCATGGCTATTTATCTCCTATATCTCCCTGTGAAAAATGTATCTGCAGTCTGCAGACTGCATATTAGGTCGCTGCGATACTGCTGCTGCTGCTGCTGGCGGTGATATTAACTGGAGGATCCCGCGGAGGATCTACCCATCTCGCAGTCGAAATTTTGCAAACGTGCTCAGCCTGATACCGAGCGATCTTGTCCAGATTCCAACCCGACTGGAAGGAGATGCCATCCTCAGGCTCCCGTCGCGAGCCCATCCGGAAGAACCACGAAAACCCGCAGGTGTGGTTTGAGTACGTATATTGGAAGCATCGGTTATCTTCCTCGCATGCTCGGCCGCATTTTTCGAACGAGAGATGTGCTTCTTGTTGCACGATAGACATATCGGCCAGCACTTTCTGCCGGTCACCTGTTGTTCCAGGCGGCCGGACATACGAATGATCTGACAAATTGTCCCAGTCATCACGAGTGGCGGGCATGTCGGCCTTGATCATTGCTTTATATAGCTCTTCGTAAAGAAGTGGTGCCTGTTGGATCCGTTAGTTTTGCTTGTCATGTTGAACAGGACAATGTTTGATCGAGTACCTACAGTGGGATCAGGTCTGTGCTGCTCCAGCTCCCACAACGACGAAGCTTCTTGGGGAGTGATATGGTGCAGAGTAACAATCGGTCTACACCAATGGCTATCGATCCCAGCTGGTCCTGGACCGAATGGTAGAGTTGTAGGCTTCTCTGCCGAAAGCATCGGTGCCGCATTCGTGAGGTTCACACCTTTCGCGATCAAGGCCTGTGAAAGCACATAATCACCAAATGGCTCTTGCTTCATCAACTCGTCATGCCTGTCAATGACTCCATGATCCCCTTTGACAAACTGGGCAAGTGCGACCCCAGAAAGCAAGAAGCCGCTACCACCATGGGCAAAGGCTGCTTTGTGAAAAGCATGAGAACCATAATAATGCAGCTTTCTCGAATCCATACGACGGAGCCAATGGAACAAGTTGGTCTGCACAAGATACGTGTCGGCCTCCAGGAAGAAATACCATTTCCGGCCAGGTCGTAACCTCCAAGCGTCTTCCATCATGTGAAGAAACTTGTACTTGTCTAGTTCCCAGGCTGCCGTTCCGTCTGATTCTCGAAGTTTGCCAACATCCTTGCCGTGCTTTTTGTAATGCCGCAACTTGTAATAATAGTTGAATTCGGCATTCCCTCGCTGCACAGTCATTGGAACATTTTCCAGAGCATCGTGGACATGATAGCCCCCAAACTTCTGCTCTAGATCGGAGAAAACCAGTATATCTCGATAGCAGCTGAGTGATGTTAAGAGCTGGGTTGGCACTTTGTCGTAGACTTCATTCGCTCCGGTCTTCAGTACGATGACAAGATCATTTGGATACTTGAACTTTGCACAATATGCGTCGACTCTCCTCAAGTGTATTGATTTGTGGCGGGAAGATCCATTCCTAAGATATTCACCCTGAGCGACCACCACAGTTAGCGTTCAAGCCATCCACCAAACGTGTTAGACTTACGGTGAAAATCCCAGTGAAAAATACAAATATCAACAGCAAAGTTGACTTTTGGGATATAGATCGCCGGAGCATCTTTTTGGGTGTGTGGTTGTTTGTGGAAGACACGATCGTGCCTGGGAAAGCCATAATGGTCGTTCCATCACACTGCACATTCAGGGGTGAACAGGTGTCAGGTCGAGATTTTTTGAAGGCTGTCAAGAGAAACACCATGGTTTGTGTTTTTACCCCGTGGATTGTGACAGCTGAGCGAAACTCTATTCATTGTGCTGACGGGATCAGCTTTCTCCTGGTTTCCCCGGACTATTGATGCTTAATTGAGTGTTTATCTCCAACGGGGCTGCTTGGTGGAGATCCATAGTGGCGTTTGCACGACCACTTTCGGCCACCTCAGTTTCTTCAAATACGAGCCTTCCAGCCTGATGATTTGAGCTTCCATCAGACTCTGTCGGGGAATTTGCGGATACTCCCCCAATGTCCACGGCAATTTGTGACACAAAAACATATGTCTTATCAAAGCACGCGTCCCAGTGCACCTTCCCTGAGTTCCAGAATCTCTCAAGAACGAGTTTTGTCGTCAGTGGGACGCTTGTGCCGAATTCCCGGCTCAACTCGGAGAGCTGTTCCCTCACGAATTCACGCATGCTCACGCTTCCACGAGTTGCCTCCATACCGAGCATAGCCAGCGGCCAGAGCATGGCTCTGTTGAGCACCGGGGATTTCAACGACTCTTTGAGTAAGAAGTACAATGCTTGGCCGTGGGAGGCAGATTGTATCCTCAGTCGTGGGCAACTCGGTAATACCGAAGAACTCTGGAGCGACGATATGCAATATATCGCCACGGCAGCCTGAAAAGCACATGCTATGACAGTCCAGTTTTCAACACTTTGTTTCTTGGACATTGCCCATTGCTGTGGAGAGAAAGTCTCAACCGCATTCAACAAATCGTAAGCCTTTTCTGAGAGGCCGTCTTTCTGACTATGTCCGTTGTTCGTCGCTCTCCAACGTAGGTGATTGATCTGAACTACGTGGACGAACAATGGAGGTGGGCACATCTGGAAGGGAAATATCCTGTGGCCATAGTGCTCAAGAAGACATTCAGTATCTCGGATATGCGCGCCCGTCATTGTCAAATCTGATGCTGGGGATGTCGTGTTTGCGAAAACAGCGATGCTGCACCTGGTAAGCTAAACTATCCTGACCCGAGGTACTTGCCATAGGGGACCTACAATGTCAAAGTCAAGAGCAATGGCTCCATGCCCTTCATGCCAACCAAGGTGCGCATGCCGCCACAAAGCATGATCAATCGATACACTCCATCGAAGTGAATGCGCCAATTGAGAAAGGCACCTGGATGGACTTGTGGCCCCTGTTGAAGCTAGATAAGGAGAAGTTTCAGTTATCTTCGTCTATCTCTTGTGTATTGAGGACTTACATCAAGGAGCAACAACGCTACAATGCCAGCAATGGTGATGCCATCTCTTAGTCCACGATCCAAATTCAGATCCTGAGTGAGGGAACGGATGACTAATCCTCGATAGTAATAAAAGTTCCTTGCCAAATTCCTGCTCTGAGATTCGTCATTTGCTCGATTGGTTCGATGGCTGAAAGTCATGCAGAGGAAACTATACCGTAAATGGGCGGGTAGAGAGAGCCCATGCTGGAAAACAGCAGGGGTGATGATGTACAGATATGGGTTTGACCCTAGCTCCTGGGTCGGTAGTATGTCCTGAAATATGCAGGAATTGTCTGGTTCATCAGCGAAAAGACAACGATCTCTTCTCATGAACTTTACTTACAATACTCGGCAGCTTCGACAAAGGCCCGGACTTCAGTCTCGAAGCGAAGGTGCGGCACCACGGTTTTGATCATGCTACCTTGACCACCGTCTGCGTCGTTGAGTATGGTGTCTCCGTCACAATCGGTATCCTTTGAAGGTGACTCCTTCCTTGGTTGATTCCGGGATATCACTCGTCCAGGCGCGAGCCATCTCAGCCTTGCTGGCTTAACCCCATTGTATCCAGGGCAGGGAATTCCTGATTTAAAACATCTCTTGCATCCAGGTCGCAACGAGTCACAGACTAAGCGGCGTCGGCGACATTCCCAACAGTGGGTTTTTTCTCTTCCCATATCATTTGTGACGATGCGTCCGGATAAGGGTGTCCGTCAAAAACTACCCCTCCTCCAGGTTCTCGACAGGCAAAGACAAAGAAACGCCGAGATCTCCGTCTGCTCTCATGGATTCCATGAACTGTGGTCAAGTCTCTGCGAGGAACGCGTACCGATTTGAGAAACGAATACTACAAGTATGTACTTTGTAACTAATCAGCATCGTCAAATGAAGCTATTCAAGTATTCAATGCTTAACTTGCTGCCTGGCTCCAATTTCGGGTTCTCGAGTCCCGCCACTAACCCAAAACAACAAGGCCGAAGCGGCTTGGCCAAAATACACTCCTATTTAGGCTCAAGTGGCAGTTTATCGAAACTACTCGCAGAGACCCTCACTCAAGCATGTTACAATCTCAATAGTAACAATGATGCTGCCTGCCGCAAAGTCAACGGGACCGTTACAGGAGAAGATCTCTTCTCACTAGGCCGCACCTATCATCCAAGGAAGAATATGGACACCTAATCGAATAGTACCCACCGGATAGGCAGGGCATCCTTAATACTATGTTGAACGACGTTACCAAGCGCGGCGACACTCCACCACGGTTTGTGCTGAAGCCCCAATGCCCATCTAAGCCACCTATTACTCTTCTACGGAGCTTGACATGGAACGATGAAAATTATTATCCAAAATTGGGAAGGCTATCGTAGCAGAGCCCCATTTGTGAAAGTACTACAGTAGCAAGATGAAGCACCAAGGCGATAAACTCGGTAGATTTTGCGAAAATCACATCGACGCAAGATTGTCGCAAGTACCACTCGCGGGAGGCTATAAGAAAGTCTTCACGTCCTTTTCAGAGAATGTACCCATCCTGTTCCCACAACCTCCAACCCACAGCGAACACAGTGAAGCAGTCGACAAAACTGCTTCCATTCTCATTTTACAGGGAGAGTGGCCTATTTGAGCCATAACTATCTACAATGTCAAGTGGCGAGCCCAGTCAGTCCTTCGATACATCGTCTGGTGCTACCTTTTACTGACATGCAGCAGTTTTGATGAGCCTTTACGTCTATGCTCCCAACAAAGTCGCGCCAATTGTCTTCACAGTCGCTTACGGTATTTCGGCCATCGGCCATGTCTGGCAATGCTAGTGAGTCGAATATCCTGTGCTCGCCTTCGTCAAGAATCGGTTAATAATCTCTGTTCAGCTATTACAAATGCTTTAAAGTTGTTGGGCTCCAACCCCTTTGCGCGGTTCTGTTTACCGCAGGTTATGCCATGAGAGAATATGGAGCCTACAATTACTTATACAGTACCCCAAACCTGATCGTCTTCATTATGAGCCAGGTCTTCATATATGTCTCACCGTAAGTAAAATCTAGAGTGCGACCATGCCATCCCTGCTAATAGGAAGCTTTGTGCTGTACTTAGTCCACTGCTTGAACTTGCGAATTATCATGTCCTCGGTCGCATATTCCACTATGTCCCTCATCTATCACCATTCCCTCCAGGGAAAGTTCTCAGAGTATTTGGTGCCTTCATGGCCGTTGTCGAGGCTTTAAACTCTCTAGGCGTCTCCTTATCCTCGAATCCATCCTCCTCCCACACTACGCAAGAATTAGGCAGTCGCCTGAACACAGCAGCGCTCTCGATGCAGCTGGCAGCTATCCTCACCTTTGTCGCTCTTGCCAGCATCTTCCATCTTCGTTGTTACAGGAACAAAATCCTGGTGAGAGCTGTCAGGACGCCTCTGAACACGCTCTATGTTAGCATGGCTTTGATATTTGTCCGATGCATCTATCGGCTAGTAGAGCATTTAGGTGCGACGACTGTGGACCTCAGCGATCTCGAAAGTCTCAGGAAACTGACACCAATCCTGAGATATGAGTGGTATTTCTATCTGTTTGAGGCCACCCTTATGCTCATCAACTCTGCCATCTGGAACATATGGAACCCCGGCCGGTATCTTCCTCAAAACTATCACGTTTACCTCGCACGAGATGGCAGGACTGAAGTACAAGCAAATGTCAAGCCTGATGACAGGTCACTGTTACTCAAAATCCTATCGATCTTCACTTTTGGTTTGCTGTTTCGTGCAGATTCGACCGCCCACCCCACTAACGAGCAACAATGTGGAAATACAGATCCCGGATTACAAGGAAGCTACACGGTCGATGACAGGCCTCTAATGCAAAAGATGATATGGATTTTGAGCTTCGGTATTTTGTTCCGTCCAAGACTACAACGTCGAACTACTGAGGAGCTCAGGCTTTATCCTGTTCGAAGCCGTGAGGTCGTGGCCCCAGCTTGAGACATGTGGAAACAGCTCACCATAGGTATCCTCGCACGAATAAGACATGGACAAATTCAATTGCATTGGGTCCAGACCCACGCCAAAAACCTTGGGAATCCCTGGTCAGTACATTACTTCTGAGCCAACACTCATACCTGAAGCAAACCAAATTCTATAACTCCCGAAAGGTTTCCCGGCATCGAATACAATACGCAATATTTGACGGGATGTATCCTACCTGAAACATTTATGGTATAATCATCCTAGTGTCTCTTGTTCGCAAGGCACATCAATGGTCCTTCCATTTCCGAAATTCCCACATTCGCCGTCACAATCTTCTGCTTGGGGTCCACCATTTCCAATTGATAGTTTTTGAGTAATGTTGTAAGCACCTTAAGTATGCTTGTCATAGCCATGTTGCGACCAATACACATGCGATGTCCAACGCCAAAAGGCCCCAACCTCCTTTTGGAATCTTCTTTTTCCGGACCAAGGAAGCGACTGGGATCGAATTTGAACGTGTCTGCACCCCATAAAGCTGGATTATGATGCACAACGTGATTCAAGCTGAAGACGGCGGTCTGGAAATCGAGGGATGTCAGCATTTTGATATGTTCGGGAGCAGAATCAATGGGTAGGCCTCACATCTTTTGGTACCCAATGCCCATCTATTTCGGCTCCCGTAGGTGAGGTCACACTTCGAGGCAGAGTCATAGTGAAGACAGAATTGATTCGAAAACTTTCGTTGATGCAGGCCGTGGAATATGGGATCCGCTGCTCAAGACCGGAGATACCAATTGCTTGTCCAGGAACAGCAACGATGTTCGAATCGATCTCAGCAACAACGTTATCCAAAATCTCAGAATTTTGAAGTAAACGCGCGAATAATAGCGTCAATGTTCCGGCAGTCGTGTGAGCACCAGCGACGCTTGTATCGTATCAGCAAGAGTCTAGAGCTTTCAGATAGACTTACATCATAGCAAAAGCCTCGGTGTTTATGTCAATCTCCGTGAGTTTTGCACCTGTTACAGGATCCACCGCATTGATCAGCGACGTGAGTAGGTCCTTCCGCCCGTTGACCTTCTCATCGAGCCGTCGTCTTACGCACTGCGCAGTAAGACTTTTCAATTGTGCGCGAGCTCTGAACAGCCTCCTTAACCACGGAAGAGGGGTCCATGCTGCCGCAGCTCTCAGATACGGCAACATCTCGGGCATCATTCCCATCAGGCACGCCAGGAAGACATGGTCGTTGATAGGCGGCAGCTTTTCAGGTTTTTGGTCCACTTGTGCATTGAAGCTTTGGCTGAAAGCAAGGTCGCCGAGAACATCGAGCATGTAAAAGGCGAAGAATTCTTTAAGATCAAATGCTTCGCCAGTCTTTGCCTGGCCCTCGAGAACTTCCAACAGCTTTTCGATATGTCTGTCGATATATTCTTCCATGTCTTTGACCGACTGCATTGAGAACCCATGGGCTAATTGCCGACGGCGTATCGCGTGTATCTATGCTGCGCGTGAGTATATTATCACCGGATTTGCTGATAGCTGCTTACATCTTCATCTCTTGTTCCAAAAAGATTCGGATTGAACGTGGTAAAGCCCTCGTAGAACCCCGTCTTCGGCATATCCCGCCCAGCCTTGTATATTTGAGTAACAGCTTCTGCAGAATTGAAAGATAGATCATTTGGACCAACTCGCACAACGCTTCCGTATTTCTGGTGTACCTTTATCAAATTGTCAGGCAGGTGTGATGTCCATAATTGATACACTTTCCAAAAGTTGGTGAAAGATGCAACGAAGGGACCAGGGTATCGCGAGAGCGGATGAATGTAGCGATAGTATGAGATGTATGCCACGCAATACAGAACGAAGAAAGAGCCAAGTGTGAGAAAGATATAGCTGGAATCGACTTTGATGATCGCTGGTGAAGTTTGAGCTAGCATGGTTGCTGCCAGGATGCCACACTGGGAGGGAAGTCAAATGTCAAGTTATCGACCAGGGTTTCTTATCGACAGTGAGTTCGCGCCCCTATTCAGCATAGACATAAGTAGACAATAAGCCAGTACCCCTTGCGCACGATAGCATAAGCATGAGGTTAGTGGAGGTCATATTTCACCCTGGGGGTCCTCGAGACTTTGACATAAGCAAGCAGATCGGGGAACAGTATTTTTGAAGTTCAACACCTCATCTGACTACCTGTCAATCAAATGAACCTCTCTGAGGGCTCGCGCACATGAGTCAGACTCCATGTCAGATAGTGCATAGCGTTAAGCCTCGAAAGCGCAAAGTTCGTCATCCTCCACAGTCTAACCCTTGAAGTTTTGTTATTTGCACCAATCAAACATGGTATTAGTGGTGATGATTCTCGATTGTTTAGTCGAGCTTAGTGTTGCATCCTGAAGGTCGGGAGGAAATGCAATGGTAGAGGCAGCAAAATCGGACTTGTGCTACAGCATCATGCAAATCTTGCCACCCCGTTTCTGGCGGCATTTGGCCTGATTGTTTAACCAATTGGATTGATACTCGGCAAATCTTCCATTTGTCACTACCATGTGGCCTACCTTGGGGAATGAACTGCCCCGATTTGGTTCAGTGCACATGCATCCTCGTAAATCATCCCAATATGGTCTCTTAACCATTGGAAGTCATCGGTTTGGTCGTCGGATGACGCACTGCATATTGTTGCAACTCAAACATAAGATATACCTTCACCTACAAGAGGTTTGAGGTAGCTGTTCCCCCTCTAAACTTTCTGCAGGACCTCTAGCTTGCTTGGTGCAGGCACAACTCAGCTTTGATGTTTGTCGTGGAAGCATAGATAGGGTCTTCTGATCATCCAAGAACTGTTTATTAGAGTTGCGTTGACATCAATTCTTCATGACGGAGTCTCCACCACCTCGTGCGCGGTGTACGGGGCTCTTTCGGATCCTCTCATCGCCTGGGCGGCCTGGGTAAAGAATGAATCAATCCTCAGTGCAACTGGCCTAATCAAGGGCACGGACTCTTCGTCAACAAGTTCTCGAATTCTTTGGAGCGATTCATGGAATTGTTCAAGAAGTCGATAAGTCTCACGAACCTGCCATGGATTCGAAGAGAGGAGAAATAAGTATATCAGAAAGTTCCCAGCTAGAATGAACTGCGAGCGCCCGTCTGCAAGAAGTCATGTTACTTGGCTGACCAGAAACGGAGGGGTTTGAGGACTCACGTCGACCCCAAAACGATTGAAGGGATTGGAGCGTTATCTCGTTGGTGAACGCCAAGAAAAGACCAGCCAGTTCAATGGATGACTTAAAGTATCGATGAAGAGAGGATTGCGGATCATTTTTGGCAGCCGCGGAGGCTGGCGACATCAAAGCCCGATGAAGTAGAACTTGGGTCGCAAAGTACGCAAGATGTAGAGGACCTAGCTTGGCATCAGAATTGGAGCTCTAATCTTGTGGTATATGAGTATCATGAACTCACAATTGTTAAAGATTCCATGCTTGTTTACAGAGTAAGTCGTGGTCACGCACTGTGGAATGAGAGAGTGCCAGGAACTGAGCTGGGATTGAATCTCTAAAAGTTTGATTTCTTGATAAGAAGGATCTTGCGATGCGGATTGATAAGACTGGTCAGAACTGCTCCAAGGATTAGTTGCGTATCAGAATGTGCGATGATCAAGTTCTTCTCACAAAGATTCACGGAGTAAATTCCCAAGTATTCGGGTGAGTTTTACGAGCTCAAGAAATCGAGCCGCCGTAGAAACATCAAATCCTACACTTGAGATATCAACCATATCACAGAGATCTTCGGGGACATCTTCGTCAAACCTCAAGTCTTCCATATCTAGATTTGAGGTGGCGTAGGAGTCCGTGTGAATATGCGGAGGATTGCCATGCGAAACTGACGCCCAAGCATCTGTGACATAGGTCGCCCACCATAGCTTCTTCCGTAGACTCTTCTCCCATGGCGCCAACTTCCACTGAGACGGGTCACGGTGCAGACCTATCATCTGTGCACAAGCGACCGCTTGAGCAGAGAGCATCCACGTCCTTGGCGTCTCGAATATGCCATTACCAGCCGCTCTTTCATGCAGCATCAACAGGCATGCCTGCATTTTCCACAAGTTAGGGGCTTCAAGTTCTTTGTCCAGTGAAATCTGTGCAGCTTGAAACAACTCATGTTGTTCGAAAGGTCGAGTTATTAGGTTAAGGGTGGGATCATGGTCCCAAAATGCAGCTCCCAGTCCATATACGACTCCTCTAAGTGAGGTCGGAATACTTAACCTGTCCTCCTTGTATGCTCGGAGGAATCGCACCTTGGAAACTACGCAGTACACCGGGTGAACATATTTGAAGAAGAGCCGGACAAGGCTGGGGCCATGATGTTGAACTTTGGACTCAATTCTCTGGGAAGATTCTTCTTTGAGAGCATTGTCGTATGGCATGAATAAGTCGCTTAGGATGTAAAAATGAAGTGGCGGAGCTCCTTGCCTAGCATCTCCCGGATGCACCTTGATTATGTCGCCGGCAACGCGGTTTCTTTCGTTGATGATTACGGAGCGGTAAGTCGCTAAGAGATTGGTATCTTGCTCAGCAGATAGTCCCATGGAATGTGCTGTCTGATTGTTATTGTCCTCGAGGGTGTAGATTTGGGGTTCGCCAGCACGTCCATCGCTTCGACTTGGCGTTCTCGGAAAAAGGTTCACAAATTCGTCGCGCATCCTCATCTGTTCCATAATAGGGACAGGAGAGAGGAGTGTGTTTTCAATGGTGCTAGTAGGGCTAATATGTTGATGAAAAATTGGGCTGTCCTCAAGTATAGGGTCCAGTGGAATGTCCTGTGAAATGGCAAGCTCGACCTCCTCATCCGCTGGCGGAGGACTGGATAAATGAGGTGCTTTCGGAAACTCGAGCGAGGATTTGCAATCCAGTCCTCTTATTCTGCAAAACAAGCCTTGAGGCTTGATATGAGTGCTCGAGGTCCTCTTCGTTCATAACGAATCACTCACAAGGCGGGCTGTCCTCAATCACACAAGCAGTCTTCCGCTTTCGACACACATCGCATGGTCGACTCTTGCGGCCCCTCCACTGCCTGGACTTGCCAAATTCACTCTGAATCTTGAAGCGTCGCTTCTTCTGGGGTTGGTTGGGAGACTCCTGTGACATCTTAAAGACAATGCAAAAACAAGAGGGGTTTCTGTTGCGGATATTCAGTGATTGTAAAACAAAATAGTGATGAACAGAGTAATGATTGTTGGTCGTAAATTAGATGGAGCTCGGCTACCTATCCGGCGTGAGAAGGCCAAAGGTTTGTAAAGGATCATGATGTTATAAAGTCGAGTTGAAGGACGACCGAGGTAGGGTAGAAGACTAATCCCTACAGCCTCTTGGCGCATCCCCTAGAAGTGCCTAGGTTGTGGTTATCATAGTCTTATCATATCCCCACAGTCTATCCGAGACAATGCATGCGCTAACTAGAGGGCGAGCAAATAGCACCTCTATCAAAAGAGTGTATTCTGCGTTAGTTAATACTAGTATCTACTTGGGCGGATAGTCTCCATTGAGTTGTGTCAGGATCCCCGTCAATCATAGCAACGAACGAATCTTCTGTTACTCATATGAAGCAGCAATAAGCGGCTAGCACTACATCGCGTATCGGCCCTCAATTACATGATAGCAGGCGCACAACTTATCACGCAGACAAGCTGGTCACAGCCGTATGCTTATCAGCACTGGCTTCAAGTTCCTTCTGGCTCTCAATTGAAGTCTCTTCGCCTACGCCGTATAGAACTCCACCGTCCACAAATGGTGCCTCTTCACCAAGCCCTGGAGGTGGGAAGCACCAATTCAGTGTCCAGAAAACCACGAAGCTGATTGTGAGACCGATGATGAATGTTAAGTTGTAGAGGCGAATCCAACCCACAAAACCCCGGTCTGTGATACTGTTCACTGTGCCGACCAGACCAGCTAGAATGGAAATATTAGATTGTATCCATACTACTTCGTGGGGTTTCTTACGTAGAAGAGGCCAGACACCAGCGAGAAAACTGACGATTGCGCGCCAGTTGACACCTTTATTGAACCAGTAGATTGATGAGCTTGTGCCGTTGTATAGATCATTCACCTTCAGCTTGGCCTTTCGGATAACATGGTAATCTGCTAGCATAATTCCACTGACAAAGGATGTAAGCAATCAAGACTTTTGCAACTCAGGAGATTGCTTACGTCGCGGGTGCCATGAAGACACCAAATCCTGATAGAACCTTGAGGAACCTGTCGGCTGTACTCACTAGCTGCCAGGGCTGACATGCGATGCCGATAATCGCCATAATGTAGCTTCCTCGGACAATATTGATATATTTCGGACACAAGCCGGCCATGTCCATTCCGGTCGACACCGAATTCAGAACCACAGATATCTGGATCACTTAGTCAAGACTCAAAGGATTTGCAGGTGAATTCACTTGAGTTGACTTACCGCGAGCTGCGAGCTGACCAGTCCCAAGCTAGCGAAGAATACACCGGCTCGAGAACGAGGGCTGGAATGGTATTCCTCCTGAAGTTCTGCGAGCAAATAGATTGGGTTCCATATAATTTCACCCAGGACATCTTTGGCAGCACTTGTGACAATGATGCCGATTATTGCAGTGACGGAAATGGTTATCGGAGCAGCAATCAACTGTGACAAAGTCGGGGCGAATTTTCGATTTGCATAACGCGTCCAATCAGACTGGCCGAGAGTCCCAGCACCCCATGCACCCAGAATTGCTACAACATAATGAGGAAACTGAACACAGAAATCGAAGTACGAACGTACCTGTGATGCCAAACATGAATGCCCAACCCACGTTCTCCGTGCTACCGGGTTCATGAAACATACTACCGGGACCACCAGCGTGGTGTACAGACCTAAGATTTGTTAGAAAGTATGATATACTGATGTATCACATGTGTACCCACCATATCAATATGCCGATACAAGAACTTCCGAAAAGGACGAAAGAAATTGCAAAGGGAATTTGAAGACGTTCGGGCGGAACCAAGACGAGCGGGATGAAAGCAGCCATCCAAATGATCAGGCCGATGAAATCGTTTGTCAGTAGGTGAGAGCTCTCGGAAAAGTAGTTCTTCATGTGAGCAAAGCCTTCGTAAAGTGTCAGCCATGAGCCTCAGTCTTCCATGATTGTGGAAGTGGAGGACTCACCTGGAATTATAGCACCCCAAAGGACTCTTGTGGCCTGTCCTCCCCAGTAGGCCTGGAGACCAAACCATATGCAAGCAACAAACACTCGCAAAACAACTGGAAAATAGCTCCCTCTCATTCCCCAAGAGAAACGAGAGGAAACTGTAAATCCAATGTGATGATTTTCTCCCATCCAGCCACAAGCTACAGCAAGCAGGCCCGTGAGAACACCACCAACAATCTTGTCGAGACCATCAGCATCGTGCGTGCTAGAAAGCCTGTGCTGTACTTACCACAACGCCAATTGCCTGTGGAGGGCTCAGCCCAAATGCGAGAAGGGTACTTCCTGTCGACCATGCAGAAATACAGGAGCCTGAAACGGTCCAGTATCCTGCGACCATCTGTTAGACAAATTTCTGCTCACGTCAGTCCAAGGGTGCTGACCGAAATACCCCCAGATGCCCCAGGTTCGTCTCTCCGGAGGCATGGGGATGAGATCCCTGTTGCACCAAGTTGTGTTTTCATAGTAAGAGTCCTGATCGATCGGGCTGTTGACGAGACAATTAGCACTTGCACCTACACAATCATCATTCTCGCGGGCCTAACTCACACTTGCAACCGCTCTTTCAATTGCTTCCACCTCGTAGCCATACTGTCGTATACTCTGCTGTCAATGGCGGCTCTGTGTGGGTTGTGGCAGGAAGAAAAGCAATGTCAGAGAAACATGTCAAGCTGGCCGTTAAAATGGAGCATGAATTATCCATACATATGTAAGTTGACCCGGACATACTTGAGGAGGCTTCGGAGATGGTGCTTATCCAGCTTGTCGTTAACCGATGTCCAAGATAAGTGATAATCAAGGAAAAGACGAGTTCGCCGATCTCGTGCGGAGCAGGTGTGAAAACTTATCGCGGACAACGATAGAAATCATGGAGTTGAGCGATCTTTGAAGTATTGGAATTTGTAGTTAAACGATAGGCTGGCCTAGGCCCCTTAAAAGGAATAGGGAACTCTGGGCACCACTAAACGCGCATTATACTAAGTACTTGGTCATACTTGTACATCATTCATACTTGGCCTTCCCACAGCCTGCTGCAGATACTATCATGAATTTCCGATCGAGGCGTAATGAAACTGCAGGCTTCTGCTGGGGCAGATGCGGGTCCAAAAAGTAACCTTCGTGACTTTGAGCCACCCCTGCTCGATTTGCGGCGCGAGCTCACAACCAAGGCTGAGACGCAATAATTTTACATCCACACCGATCTACAAGACATAAGGGCTAAATTGGTGAAGAATAAGATACAAAAGACCCTTCTGAAGTGCGGTAGTGTATGCTCGCGATCAGAACCACGCCAATGATTAAGACTGTTTGAAAAACACCAAGAATATTCTTAACGATGGCAGCATTCAGCAACACATCAATCACATTTACTCTGAATTCTGGTGCGAAGATACCCGCTGTTGGACTTGGAACGTGGAAATCACCACCAGATGAAGTCCGAACGGCAGTCAAACATGCGCTCCAAATAGGCTACAGACATATTGATACCGCACTCAACTATCAGAACGAGGTTGAGGTTGGTCAGGGCATACGGGATTCAGGCGTACCCAGAGATCAGATTTGGGTGACAACCAAACTTGACAATCCCTGGCACCGCCGAGTTCGTGAAGGGTTCGAGAAGTCTCTAAACGACCTGGGCATCGGATATATCGATCTATATCTAATCCACTTCCCATGCTCAACAGACCCTACCGATCCAACCAAACATCTACCAGATTGGGACTTCGTCAAAACTTGGTGGGTTTTTGATGCTATTTTGTGATACTGAAATATTGTTACTGACCAGAAACGAAGGCAAGAAATGCAAAAGATCCTAGACACTGGCAAAGTGAAGAACATCGGTGTTTCTAATTTTCAAATTCGCCATCTTGAGAAACTGCTGGGCGACGTTTCCTGCAGGGTGGTGCCAGCAGTAAACCAAATTGAATTGCACCCGGGCAATCCTTCGTGAGTTGAGAATATTTTCAACTTGCGCGAGCCGAGGTGCTAATCTGCTTTATTTCTTGCAGAACGAAGTTGCTGGAGTATTGCCAGTCTAAGGGAATCCACTGCACTGCATATTCCTGCCTAGGGGGTGCTTCAGACAACCCATTGTACAAACAACCGGTACTGTCCCAGATAGCCCATGCAACTGGAAAAACTCCTGCTCAGATCTTGTAAGTGTCGAACTTTGGATACTGCGCATTATGTATATGGCTAGTCGCTAACACCATAGCAAGACTCATGTGGTCCCTGCAAAGGGGAACCAGTATCATTCCGAAAAGTGTCACTCCAACGAGAATAGAGAGTAATTTCCAGCTTGATGGCTGGGAATTGAGCAAGGATGAGATGCAGGCCCTTGATGGGATTAAAACACGTTTCAAAGTTGTGAACGACGCATGGATGCCTATCAAAGTCTTCTTTGGAGACGACGAGTAGACAAAACTGACCATATACTTTCTCTGGCTTCTGAGTCGTGCTTTGCTATCACAGTGGATGGATGGCCACCGCCTCGTGCAAAATCACCACTTCTCCAATCAACCAAGAATTTTGCAACAATATCCTAGGCATTGGTTCAATCTCAAAACTTAGATTTCAATTTGTGAACAATCACATGCCCGACTGTCGTCGCCCCTGCAGCGTGCGGCATTCGATAGGTGCATCAAGGACCGAGCAGAACCTTATAGCTAGTCATTTCCTACGTGGTAGAAGCAAATGAGTATTGAACGCTATCACGTCGGTAAACTGTGCACATTTCTATTCACGTGGCATCAAAGGGCGGATAGGAAGCGGGTTCCCTGTCAGAGAGCTCTCTGACACGGTTCAAGGAGAATAATAGGCCTTCCATGTCCAGCAGGAGGTTCAGGAGGCACGTGGATAGGCGTTATCGACACCTCCAAGACGAGATCGACTGGATCTGGATAGAGCATGCCAACGAGGACTTTCAGATCCGGAAGCGTGTTCAACCCCACTGTGAAGATCACGAGCATCTCCGCAGCCGCTTCGGACAACTTCAGATGCCATTGCTTCATCCCAAAAGTATGTGCCGACCGTTGGGTTCCGACCGAGGAGCGCCTAGCCTCCCAGCAGCTGCAGGCCTGCAACGGCTTTGGAGGGACCCCAAAGGCCCAAGGCGCCAGTATAACTGATGCCCACCGATAGGCCTAAGTTGTTGTCCGATCCTTGCCAACCAAGCTACAGATCTCGAACACCATCACCTGTCACGGTGAGTGCAGCTCTGCACTAAATAGATAAGCAACTTGAGGTGCAGAATCCATAGAAACCTCAATCTGCGATAATCTGAGGTCACACGAACGAGGCAAAATATCCTTCACCATGGCTAGTAAGGCAGAGCAACTTGCGATCCCAATCATCAACCTCGAACCACTTAGGTCTGGGACCTCAGATGAAGCTTTGGACACTGGAAAGAAAGTTTATGAGGCATTCAGAGATGTAGGGTTTGCATATATCAGAAATCATGGATTGCCTCAAGAACTCTTAGATCAGGCATTTGAATGGGTAAGTGTCACAGTTGAAAGTCCCAGCCTTGTGAGCCCCAGTATTGGGATATCTTTACTCATCGCATGATCACTAGAGTTCCAAGTTTTTCGATCTTTCACAGGCGGACAAAGACAAGGCGCCGCATCCGCCATATGGCTGGTGGCACCGGGGGTACTCCGGAGTGGGACGAGAAAAGGTTGTCCAGATGGTCTACGACAAAGAATCCATCGATGCCCTACGAAAATGTCCTGATTTCAAGGAGTCATTTGAACTCGGCCGCGAGGACGACGAGCGCACTCCCAATATCTGGTTTCCAGAGGAAGTGCTGCCCGGGTTCCGCGATTTCTTCACGAAATTCTTCGATGTCTGCTACGAGATCGAGCTGAATCTTCTCCGAGCGATCGCGCTGGGAATGTCACTTCCCGAGAACTTCTTCAAGGAGTATCACACTAAACGAGACAATCAGATTCGACTGCTGCATTATCCACCAGTCGAGGCAGAATTGCTTCGTAACGGAAGTATGGAACGGATCGCGGCGCACACGGATTTTGGTACCATGACTCTGCTCTTCCAAGACCAAGTCGGTGGTCTGGAAGTTGAAGACATCCATGAAAAGGGGAAATTCAACCCTGCGCCATTCATCCCAGGGACCATCGTGGTAAATATTGGCGATTTTCTGCAAAGATGGAGTAATGACACGCTCAAGTCGACGCTTCATCGTGTAAGGGCCCCGCCACTTGTCGAAGGAATAACAAAGGCGAGATACTCGATACCATACTTCGTCACGGCTGATCGTGACAGGACAATCGATTGTATCCCTGGTTGTGCCAGTGAGGCCAGGCCCAGCAAGTATGAACCAATCAACGCAAGAGAATATATCGAGATGCGATTGAACGCGACATATTGATGAGATACCTTTGGATTGAGATGATGCTTGGCTTGATGCAGCCAGGCTTATTCTTGTGCTTGTCGAGACGCATTGTTAGTTAGAGTATTCTCCTCCAGTTCGGAGCTCGAAACTGTAGTCCCCGAAAATGTCTCCAATTTCGATATTTTGATACTTTGATACTGTTATACTTTGATACCCTGATACTCTGAATGCCGTTTCCCAATCTTAGACAAAGTTGTATCCGGCCAGCGAGTGATTCACCACAGGTCTGATGGACAGACTTTGGGAGAGAACAGGACTCAGGGCTCGGGGAGGTGCAATCCTCATAGGTCAGACACCGAGTTTGATTGTCTGATTAGGCGTCAGTTGGCCAACGAGCAAAGCGAGGTAATGAGCAGAAACAGCAGTTGTCCGACCATACAAGCCCCTGGAAATGTCGCTCAAGTCCATTCTTCGGCCAAGCATTTAATAGGTGGAAACCCGAGCTTGGAAATCCGAGCGATCGTCCACTAGATTCTAACACTCTCCTCCGATGGTCCTCGGTCTGCTTTAACATAACCCCATTCAAAAAAGATTTCTTCGATGAAATTCGCATTAGCGGGCTGGCGATAGGTGCGACTTCAACTGTGGATCATGTAAGGAATTTCTTGCAATGTCTCTTTCTGAATTTTTGCACGAGCCGAGATAAACTTGTGAACCCAAAAACAAACCATTACCCGAGGCGCATCACCGATTGGAAACGCGCTGTGTGCCCTCGAATTGCAACATTTGAAGGGGGTCCACAGGCTGCAAAGTGCGTGGTCATAGGCATCGAATTCTGGTCGCCTTACTCCGCAGATTTGCGGCATGATCGGTCAACTCCTCTCACTGACGTGACTCACCGTGGTCATCTTGATTAAGTCGTTCGAGACAGCGTCCAAGATCAGACACATCTTATAGATTGCGTGAACCAGCATCTATCCCTCAGCATGTAGTAGTGAAACAGGCAGCTTAGCGTCAAAGTAGTCACATCATGGGGAGTGTTAGCAATCAAGGCCAGCTGGAAAGATGTCGTATCGGCGTCGATGTTGGAGGTATGGCATCGTCAAGGCCACAACATATCAGAATCGTATGCTGACGATTGTGGTTTCACTTAGGTACCAATACGGATGCTGTGCTTATCTCATTATCGCCAACACAGATAGTCGCCTCACATAAGGCACCGACCTCCTCGGATGTGACGACTGGAATTGCCGAAGCTGTCCGCGCTGTCATTGATGCGAGCAATGTCCCGTTGGATGCTATCAGCTGTGTCATTATTGGAACAACCCATTTCGTCAATGCTGTTGTGCAGCGGTCGTCTTCACTCCAACGTGTCGGAGTGGTGCGTTTATGTGGCGGTAGTAAAGAAGGTTTCGGGCTAGGGGTGCCACCCTTCGTGGATTTTCCAAAGGACCTGCGGCATTTGATCTCCACGAAGCCGTATTTCTGCCAGGGCGGATTTCAAATATCTGGCGCGGAGATCTCACCGCTCGAGGAAGCCGAGATCCAAGAAGTGGCAGAGAAGCTGGTCAACGATGATATTCTGGACGTTGTTGTCGCTGGGATCTATTCGCCGTTGAACTCACAACATGAGGTCGAGGCGGGCAAGATACTGCTTGACAGAATGAATGAGCTATGCACTGCTCGTGGTCTGTCAAACCATCCAAGAATCACATTGTCGCATCGCATTTCATCGCTTGGTTTCCTTGCTCGAGAAAATGCAGCAATACTCAATGCTACTCTGAGACGCCTCGCCGAAAGGACCATTTATGGATTTGAGAAAGCCATGCAGGATATCTTCGTGGGTAACACATGCGCATTATACCTTACGCAGAATGATGGTAGTGTTTTAAGTGCTGCGGATGCTGTTGATCTTCCAATCAGGACTTTTAACTCAGGTCCTACGAATTCCATCCGTGGTGGAGAGTTCTTATGGAGAGCAGCTAGCACCGCAGCAGGTCAGGGTCAGGCCGATCGTGAGGATGCTCTTGTTGTGATCGATATCGGTGGAACCACTTCTGATAGTGGTCTTCTGCTGCCTAATGGCCTGCCCCGAATGAGCTCGGTAATGAGTCTTGTTGGTGGGGTTCGCACTAATTTCGCATTACCCGCAGTTGAAAGCATTGGACTAGGTGGTGGGAGTATCATCAGAGGAGAAGAGCCCGCTCTGACCGTCGGTCCTGACAGTGTCGCTCTCGAACTCCTTCAAAAAGCTCTCTTATTTGGCGGTGATACCTTAACGGCAACTGATGTCGTCGCTGCTTCTGCAGTGCATGCACCATCGGGTGACAGTCCACTGAAAGGGCTGGGAAACCCGGACAATCTTGGCCACCTGACAGCTGGGGTAATCAATAGCGCCAAGGATAGAATGCGGAAAATGATCGAAGAACTGGTTGATCGGACTAAGGTACAAAAGGGCGATATCGATGTCCTGATCGTTGGAGGAGGTGCTATCGTCATTGATATTGGAAGACCACTCTCAGGCGTTCGTGCCGTACGGAAAGTCAAGGGTGGAGAAGTTGCCAATGCAGTTGGTGCAGCGATCTCTCGTGTGTCAGGTATTGTGGATACTGTCGTTGACACATCGCAAAAGTCGTTGAAGGAAGCCCAAAAGGAAGTGTCTAATATGGCTATTGATGTTGCCGTCAAGAACGGAGCACGCCGTGATACTGTTGAGATAGCAGAAATAACTGTGCTCCCCATCCAGTATGTTGACGCCAAGGCACGAATTCTGATACGAGCTGTGGGTGAACTCGATGTTGTCGAGCAGATCAACAAACGAGGCTCAAGCGTCCTGGCTGTACCGGAATCCCACAATCTGGAAAGAAAGCTACCGACGTCCATCTCCCGTGGAACAGACGAGCAAAAACTCCACGATCTTGAGGCATACAAACCAAACATTGAGAACAAGGAGTGGATCATTTCAATACTTGACCTGAAGTGGATTGCAGATGGTTGTAAAGTTCTTGGTTGTGGAGGCGGCGGCGATCCATACCAACAGTATTTGAAGATAAGTTCCATCCTCGAGAAGTCGCCTGGAAGCATCAGGGTGGTATCACCTTTTGATCTGCCCGAAAAAGCTATGGTTGGATGGACAGGTTGTCTGGGGAGTCCTGAAGTCAGCATGGAGCGCATGGAGTCCGATGAATGCAACAAAGCTCATGATGAGTTGACAAGGGTAATGGGCTACCCACCTGCCGACGCGTTCATGGCTCTGGAGATCGGTGGGGCGAATGGGGTCGTCAATCTCGAGGTGGCAGCTGCACATGGTGTAGCTTGTGTTGATGCTGACTTTATGGGACGGGCCTACCCAACTGATTGGCAGACGACAGCCAATGTGTATGGTGACGGGCAAGGTAGTGGGCTTCTGCCAGCCACCATTGCTAGTGGCGATGGGTCTTCCATGACCATGACAGGTTCTCGAACAGACAAACTCGTCGATAGAGCACTCCGAGCAGCTGTTGTAGAGATGGGGTGTCGAGCAGGAAAAGCAGGTCCTCTCAAATCTGCCAAGATGGTCCAGGATCAGGCCATCGTCAACACGGTTTCATTGGCGTGGTTAGTTGGCCGCTCCATTGCACTCGAGAGGAGCATCAAAGACAAGGCCAAGCGTATCATAGATGCTGTCGGCGGATCCGAAAGTGCAAAGATCCTGGCAGAAGGAAAGATCACCAGCGTCGAGCGTGTTCTTAAGACAGGCCATACATATGGGATTGTTGAGATTGATGGCGTGCTGGAGGATGGGTCCAAGGCCATCATCAGAATCCCTTTCAAGAATGAGAACGCTTATGTGGAGGCCACAAATTCAAGCAGTGGTGAGGTGTCAATCCTGGCTGCGGTACCAGATTTGATTGCTGTCCTTGATTCAGAGACTGGGACCGGATTAGGGACGCCCGAATACAAATATGGCTTGAAGGTGACAGTGATAGCCATTGCAGCATCGCCCAGGTGGACAGATACTCCTCGTGGGCTTGAACTCGGTGGTCCAGGTTCAATGGGTTTTGATTACATCAAATACGTGCCTATCGGTAAGTACAGCAAGCCAGCAAGTGTGATCGAGACATACTCCTGAAGCACATGATCGGGATCACGTGCCAAAGTCAGCCTTGTGGCCCCTTGCCAAGACATGCCTTGCCAGGCTTCTGGGGAGGGCTCCCAAGCAGTCACTCGCCCCGACACTTCACTACCAGAAGAAAAGGCGACTTGATAATTTTGAGTCCTTGAATTTCTCTCAACATACGACACCCCTGGTAGGGTAGCGCAACCGTAAAGAGTCCCATCTCTCTTCAGGTGTCTGTATGGGGTTTGGCGGTTGGGCTTCGCTCCTGGACAGGAAGGTTGCACCCAATCAAATGGGACTGCCTGTCTATAGGAGCAGGTACCAGCGGCATGCGGGATGGTTCGAACGGCCTGAGCTGGGTTACAAAAGAAGGGATCGTGGGCTTCTGAGGGACCTGTGGGATGAACGATAAGACCGCCGCCAAACTTTTTGGACTTTTGAAGGAAAGTCTGGGGTTCGCATCTGGGTGTGGGAGTTCTTTTTTTTTGCTTTTCGCTCGATATTGTTGAAAATCACGTTGCGGGATGTGGAAAAGGAAACTTGAAGTGAAGACGTGAACTTATGAGGAGCGCAAGTCAAGCATAAATTGAAGGAGTTGTCCCTGGATAACAAGATAATCTCCCAATGGTTGGTATTCCCTTAAGCCAGAGCCGCTAAATCCACTCTCGAGCCTCAATATCATCCAACGTCCACTCGACCATGCTCTTGCAGCTCAGCGCTCTGGTTCCTACGAAGCCCTGGCCAAAGATACCGGAACTGCAAATGAAAGACCGTTTATCGAAAGGCTCTAGCGGCCATTCTAGCCTTCTGCTAGGACTTTCCGACTAACCTTTTCGATCTCCTTGTGGCCTTGAGGTATCAGTACTGATGGAACCTTTATCTCCAACCATCATGGCCAGATTCATTGGTCCGTCTCGGCAGGGCTCTTGTTTCCGTGACCATTCAATACTCCCGTCTTCTTCATTACCTCGCATAGGGTCAGAAATGAGAAACGAGTCAGCGTCCAATATTGCCTAAGCCCTTAACGAACCGCACTCAGCCATTACACACGGACCAAAACCCAAGACATACCTATCCGTTGGCGCCGTTCGAGCATGTAGAAACATGCAACAGTTCTCCTTGATCCGTCGGTTCGCATTTGGCATTGCAAATATCAGGTTGATCTACTTCACTACGTGCTATTTGGAATTTAATCAGGCCATGGATACATGACGAGGAGGATGGATGTGGTGAAGATACTGTCTGCTTGAACAAAGAGGCTCGGGATTACATAGCTGGGTACGTCACGTCGGGAGATGAGGCGCGTATCTGGGCAGCCAAGTAGAGAACTTTTCACAGCCATGTTGTTGTACATCAAGCGACTTATGATAACCCGGGCCATGTTGTGCGCTAATGCATCACGATGGAAACTAACACATTGTGTGATCTCTCCACTAAAATGACAACCTCCCCTCCATCTCCGCCGGCCTGATGATTTCGTCCAGCAAAACATGTCCACGGTCGGGCTGAATTAATGCGCAACAAACACCGGTCCGAGCGGATACTACCTACCCGGCGGAAGGGCATCGATGCATCACCATATCAAGACTGGTTTGATGACTTTCCCATCTAGCATGTCTTGGACAGCCTCATTGACGGCGCCAACAGGGTACGAGCGTTCCATTTGATCGATCGGGAATTCACCCTTCTGGTAGAGATCGGCTAAAAATGGAAGAAACTGACAATATCAAAGTTAGTTCGGAGTATCGACCATATTCTTCATGAGAATGGGTTCGCAACTTACTTTTCTGGCAACACTATCCCCCTGGTGTGATCCACGATAAGATTTACACCCGTTGATGAAGGGAAATACCTCAATGGACATTTTCGACGTCAGGGGAGGCGCACCTACAGTCACGGCCCTACCACAAGGAGCCAGTGCAACAATCATGTCGTTAATGATTGACAACGCTCCAGTGCAGTCCACTGCAGCGTCAGCTCCAACACCGCCAGTGATGCGGCGTATTTCTTCAATGAGATCCGATTGGTGTTCTTGTCCGTTGATAGAGTGCGTGGCTCCGAGCTGCCTGGCGAGCTCTAAGCGTTCGGCTTTGAGATCCACCGCGATTATGACATCTAGAACCCCTGGGTTCTGCTTTGCAAGGTACGAAGCCGCCATGATGGCAGCGCAACCCACCCCTCCAAGCCCAAAGACCACCAATGACCTTGTATCGTTCTCGACAGGCTTGATGATGTTGAACACTGTCCCAGAGCCCGTTTGGATGCCGCAGCCCAAGGGTGCCAGTATTTCCAATGGCAGACTCGGGTCTACTGGCACACACGAAGACTCCTGGACGATTGCGGGATTCGCAAACGATGACTGGCCGAAGAAACATCCATGAACATCGAGCCCCTCCCACTGTAATGGACAACTGCCGTCCGGTCGTGAGCAACTGAAATTGCGCCTCTCCATTTCCACACAGGCATACGGTTTTCCCTGTTTGCAAGTGCCACAGGTCCTGCAGAAAGCGTAAGAAAGGAGAACGTGATCTCCGATTTTCACGCTTTTCACGGCACTGCCGACTTCTTCGACCACACCAGCGCCTTCATGACCAAGGACAAGTGGGAAAGCTCCAGGCAGTTTTCCTGTTCGCACTGCATTATCCGTATGGCAAACGCCGGTGGCTTTCAGTCTAACGAGTACTTCACGAGCCTGTAGGGGCGTTCGGTTGATGCTCTCCAGGCGAAAAGGCGCACCAGCATGTGTGACAATCAGTGCGGTAGAGTTGGCCATTTTTTGTTATTTTTTGTAAGGCGGACAGATCTGCTCACATCCATATTTGGTCGAGGCTGCAAATGTCCCCTTATATGGTATATATACTCGGCTGGACTCTCAATATTCGCCTCAGTAGTGCACCACGCAAATTTCCATGTGCTTGGAGATGGTTTCAATCTGTCGACTCGCTTCCATTGGCCGAGTGAGGCACCGTGCTTTGCGGTAGCTTCCTCTCTAACGGCAAGCTTGATCGGCAATTCAGCCATGTGAAACATGTCATAGGGTTACTAACTCCAATCCTGGGGTTCGTCTTTCTGGGGAAGCAAGAGGCAGCACGATCACAGAAACAATGATGGTCGGGATTCCCCCACATCTCCTTCATTTCTTAATTCATACTAGTCATCAATCGCTATACCTATGCAGCAAAAGTCGTTCCTACATCTATCTGATCCCCAAGATCTGACTATTTTCGTCGCGGGAGTCGAGTTCCTTTAAAGCAGTGACAGAATTGATTAGCCCCTGAACTATTTGCAAAGTCAAACCTCACGCGTTCGATTGTGATGGTGGGGAGTAGAAAATTAATGATGGCTTTGGTGATGAGCCCATCCCCCAATACATAGCAAGCGCCATGTTGAAGAGGCGTTTATATTCAGGAGCACTCATCTCGCTTGTGCCCTTTGATAGAACACAATATATGCTTCCGAATTCTGAAGCCGATCTCGAGCGCTCAGTTTGTTCGGATCGAGATCGACATGTCTTTCATCGTCGAATTTGCGCCAGCTGCCTCTTCCCTGATCCTTGACAATGCTGATATAATGTCCTCCATCGCCACTGTTACCCAAATGTCTCAGAACACCATAGGCATCATAGCTGTATGGAGGAGTTGTCGCAAGGTCGATCTTGCCATCCTGATCAGGGACAGGTGGGGGGCGAGGTATAACAAAATCATCCATAATCAAACCATATAGAGGAAATTCAATTGGCGTGTGAATTTTCTTTGCTCTTTCATTTTTTGAAGCTGCGAAACGCTTGAAATGAACGACCAGAAATTGTGGTAGGCGGGTTAAGATGATCTGCTTTGTAGCTTCTCGCTCACATTTGCAGTAAGGGCACCTCCATAGCTCCGATAATTTCTCCTCACGACAGTAAGAGTTGAGACAATCATAGATGTGCCCACTCCCACTTCGAGGAATCTCGATGCTGATACTGTAGAAAGCTTCGTACGTAGTGGAAGTTTGCTTGCAAGTGAGACAGCGTAGGCGAGAAGCATGCTGACCAGCAAACAATGAGGACATATAACTGTAGTCTCGGTGTTCGTATCGTTTCCACTCAATCGGACTCGCACGGGCAATCTCCATACGCTCTCTTTGCATTTCTTCTGCTGTTGTCAATGGTCGAAGGGGGTTTCGTTCCCAATGCACGTTCAAATCTTCGTGCAAACAATCCACTAGAAAATCAAAGAATTCTTTGGCGTCCTGTTGGCGATCGATGACCCACTCGCGATTCATCCGGCCACAGAAATTGCGAAATGTCGATGGCTTAATCACATCCACATCATCGTTCCACACCGATTGCACAACATTGGCATAGATCTTTGGCATGATACCATTGCTACCTTTCCAATTCTGTTGTACATATGACTCGTAGGCACGATCATTGAAGAATTGTGATAATGGAGTAGTGGCGGAGAGACACTGAAGAGTCGCGTTCATATAGCACGTAACTCCGAAATTTGTCAATCCGGTCCGTGGCAGTTTTTTAGTCCGCATGGCTGTTGCAGACGAGTAGAGTGGGGGTCGTGAAGCTGAAGTCACACGAGCGAGTGAGGGTTGAGAAGCATTAATATCTGCTTGGCCTGAGTAGCTTGGCCGGGGAATTGCTGGTGCTGGACGTGCAGGGACGGCTGGAACCGAAGGCATTGTTGGGGGAAAGTATGCAGCTGGATGTGCAGGAAGTGGTCTTCGAGCTGGCATAGTCATTGATTGTTGCTGCTGAATCGAAGGGAATCGACGCAAAAACGTCTCATAGTCAGGAACAAAAGGCGAAGGCGGAACCGCCTCCTCTTCGACCACAGAGTATTCTTCGTCGCTACCAGTTTCAATTCTATCTGTCGGAGTGACTTCTTCTTGCATCGCTTGCTTCCGCCAGGCTTCTTGTTCACTTTCATCAAGAAATTTGTGATCCCGCAGTCGTCTGTTACGAACATCGTAACGGGTGTTCGCACTAACCAGTCTTTGCCGAGCAAGAGGCCTACCAGTGCCGACGGCTCGCCTATGCTGTGTCGTGCCCAAAGTTGCAGCTGTTCTTGATTGCGCAAGGGCATGGATACCCAGGTATTCGGTCCAGGCGTCAATGCCACCAACAAGCAGGGCTGGAGGCCGGCCATCCTTTAATGGCTTGGTATCGTTAAATTCGTATAAGGTATCATACAAGGCTCTCAAAGCAGGGGCTCTTGTCATGGTGGGAGGGCCTCTCAGGTAAGAATTATCGTAAGTAGATTGGTCATAGTAGACCACGATATCAAATTCGTTCCGGCGAGAGAACAAAGATTGCTCCGTGTCTGGTGCGAGAACAAGCCGTTCTTCAAGTTCCTCTGCAGAAACACCTTCCTTCAAGGAGATGGGTTCGATACATATAATTGAGCTTGCCATGATATGCCCGTCGTCGAACTGAGCCCGCTCTCGAACATCAACAAGCAAGACATTGTATTTTCTCATGTATTCGTGTAATGTCGGTGCATCGAGGGTCGGTTTGTGAGGAATTTCACTTGATTTGCTTTTAAGTAACGCTGAGTTGACGCCATTTGGGGTAGTAGGTCGATATGGCAAAAGAAGATCATCGCGGGGCTTTTGCATATGCAAAGAGGAAGACGACGAGTTATGAGACTGGTTGTAGTAAGTTTGTTTTCTCTCATTTGGAGGACGATTGCCTTCGGAAACTCCACGGCTGTGACTAGAATGAAACGCCCCAGAAGTGGTTGTGATTGGACTATAAGTAGGGCTTGGTGGTTTTGGCATAGTCATAGAGGTAATCAGCGGCACTTTTGGAGGTAGTAGAGGCTTGTTCGGAGGGCTCGACATATCTCGGGGTCCACTAGGTCGGGGTGGTGTGCCATTGACAGCGGTGTAGGTTTGGGCCTGATAGGATTGAGGTCTTGGTGTGGAGGCTGGCCCAGTCTTAAAGTCGCTAGGCTTGGGCATGGAGAGGATATTTGCTTCCTCGGGATGACCTCCCAATCCTCGAAGACGCGCAAATCTTTGACTGAGATCATTTGAATTGTCTGTGAGTGGACGGCCCTGCAACGACTCCGGCTTTGGCCTGCTAGTTGGACGCGCTCTGTCGATTCTCAATGCAGATGGCACTTCGGCGGAGGTTCCGGAGGGCATATCTTGATGGGACGAGATATTGTTTTCTCCCGAAGATGACGGCCGTCCCTCTGCTACTGTTGTCGAAGCATGGGGAACGCCAAATCCTGAAGAGTAAACAGACTTCCTCTGAAGTGTCTGGGCTTGAGGCTGGGTTCCAAATCTAGCGTTATTGTCCTCGATCAATCCTTTGACTTGGGCCATCTGTGTCTCAAGGTCGTTCAGCATCTGCCGAGCCAGTCTATATTTTTGAGCCCATGCCCTGTTGTTGTCGGACGTAAAACCATAGTCCCGGTTGCGGGGGATTATATTGACCGCGATTTCAAACGCTCGCATGTAGTTCTTGTAAGCCATGTCAGGCCGTCTAAACTCGACCGATGATCTGGCTGTCGCTATGCAGTTCTCGACTTCATTGAGCAATTGAGGCAAAGAGCCGTCAGAATTGGTGGTCGTTATGGCTTCTCGGATAATGTCCTTGATATGCGGATATATTTTTTCATTTTGGTCTGGAGATGGGCCTGACCCACGAGGATCGCCCCAAGATCCTCTGGCTGATGCGGTGGTGGTCTGACTAGGGAAAGACGAGGGCGGTGCATACGCCGCCATCGCGGTGGTGTAGGATGTTTTACCGGACTGTCATTGCGTGAATGTGACTCCGCTGCGAGTCTAACATGGAACCGACGCTAGCTACAACTTTGGCAGTGCTGGTGTCGAACGAGGAGGATGGCTGACTCGGCGGGGTGGCCAGTTGCACTAGGCTTCTACGAGGCCGATGTGGACTTGAGGTCGGGCCCGGAGGGGACACTCGGTAGACGATTGTGAGACTATAGAAATGAATGAGGGATTGCTGAGCGTTCAGTCTCCACAAGGATATCTGATGGAGGGTTTACAGTGAACAAATGTTGTTCAAAAAGCCCCAAACCACGAATAATGATTGACGGTGGAAGATGAGTGATGAGGGCTTGGTGGTGGCTCGGTGGCTGCAATTCAACGACCACTTTAAGTTGGCACGTGTCTTGTACGGTGAATCTAAATCTCCGATGCAAATGCACTTTCCGGGGTCAAGAGTCAGTGAGAATCACATGGGTGAAAATAGCTGACTCGGATGATGTTCACGAAGGCTGGTACTAAGCCCAGACGGGATTATATAAGTACCTAAGTTAGACAGTATTCTTTTCATAGATTCTTAGTTCACGATCTCTGGATGGCTTTGAGCGCCAAACAATTTTGTCGCGTGGCATTGACCAGCATTCCCACATCCTGCCCTCCGATCACCCACCTGGCCCCCAAGTCATTCACCACACGATCCATTAGATCTGGTCGATGGTATAGACCTCCGATGGCAAACACCTTGTTGTGCGTTTTGGAAGCATTCGATACTTTCTCCAGGGCCTGCATAAATTTAGGATGATCAAAATCCCCCATGATGCCCAACTCGGTAGCGAGGTCGTTGGCACCCACCAATAGGACATCACAGCCAGGCAATGCTGCAATATCATCAACAGTTTCCAGTGCATCGGCTGTTTCGATCATGATGAACACCGTGGACCCTGATTCATTCAGTTGAGGAGCTGTCGCTGTCGCTGGTGTCGGAGCATAACCGAAGTGTGGTAAACCAGCAGTCAACGACCGCTTACCAAGGGGTGGGAATTTGGAGGTTTGGATGACTTTTCTAGCATCCTCTATCATATAGTTAGCGCCATGATCATTCTCGACTGACTTGACTGCCATACCAACCCCAAGGATATGTGGCACAATGATTCCCATGGCTCCGCCATCAAGCACTCTCTGAATAAAACCACTACCACATTCATGTGGTACCCTTACAAACGGAGTAATCCCTGCACATAAACCTGTAATGCAGAGTTGACTGGCATCCTTGAGTGTGAGGGTTGTATGCTCTAGGTCAATGAAAAGAGAGCCGTAACCGGCCTGTTTTGCAATCTGCACGATCTCACCTGTGGGGATGATTTTGATTCCAAAGGCCTAGTATTAGAAATTGGTAAGATGGCAAGTCGAGTGCCTCGTTATGTGGTCTTATGATCTAATTAGCTTACCGTGCAAACACGATCTTCTCTAAGATTGTCTAACAGATTGTTTCGATATATTGCAATTTGCGCCATTTTGATCCTGTCGAGATAAGTGCTTGGGTATCTGTTGATATCCAATCTAAAAGATCCCAAAAATTGTGATTCAGAGGGAAGAGAAGCATAACCTCGACTATGCAACTAGGTGATATCGGCTGCAGTCCGCAATATACCCGCTCAACGAGCACTTGGAGAAAGCCATTAGTGACAAAAAGTCGTCCTCAAAATATCGGAGTGTCGTCCGTTGAGACGTTGAAGTCCAAGGACGATGTACGTCACCACTGCGTCTAGCGCTGCTACACTCCGTCGGTCCACTACGGTGACGAGCTCATGCAACAGCCGCAATGATATAATCGGACCAGGAGTGGTACAGCAACACCAGACTCGGGGTTCATGCAAACAATAATACATAATCAGACCTGCACCTGCAGATGACATTACTCTTTATCACTTGTCTCCGTCTTCACATTGACGCTTGATCTCGAAACACAAGACCAACTCGATCCTTCCTGTAAATCCACACTTCCTGACCCTCTGTTCACTTCCACCTCTCCGCCACACCCGACCAAATCCGCCTGAAACAATTACCCTGTACTACCCAATATCCCAACAGAACCCTCGACCATGGCGGGATGGTTTTCCTCAGGGACTACGGCTCTCGATCAGCAGATCGAAACAGCCACGACTTCCAGCCTGGAAGAAATTGCCCTCAGCCTCGAAATCTCCGACCTAATCAGATCCAAAACAGTGCAGCCTAAAGATGCTATGCGCTCACTGAAGAGGCGGATAGGCAACAAGAATCCCAATGTCCAGTTGTCTGCCTTGAAGCTTACCGACACCTGCGTCAAGAATGGCGGGGCGCACTTCCTAACCGAAATCGCCTCACGAGAGTTTATGGACAACCTTGTTTCATTACTCAAGGCTTATGGTGTCGCCGCTGTCAGTGAGGAAGTCAAGCAGAAGATCCTCGATCTCATCCAAACTTGGGCCACCGCCACCCAAGCTCGATACGATCTCTCCTATATCAACGAAGTCTACAAGAGCTTACAAAGAGAAGGTTTCACATTTCCTCCAAAGGTCGATATCTCCAGCAGTATGGTTGACAGCAGTGCTCCACCTGAGTGGACTGACAGCGAGGTTTGCATGCGCTGCAGGACAGCTTTCACATTCACAAATCGCAAGCATCATTGCAGGAACTGCGGCAACGTCTTTGATCAGCAGTGCTCCTCCAAGTCCATTCCTCTTCCTCACCTGGGCATCATGCAACCGGTTCGTGTTGATGATGGATGCTATGACAAGCTGACCAAGAAAGGAGGTGGTGGCACCATCGGCGGGTCGGGCAGTGAACGTCGAGTATCATTTGCACCAAAATCCAGTACGATGCAGCCACGAAGTGCACGGATAGAAAGCAGTAGCTTTGATGAAGACCTGAAGAAGGCATTGGAGATGAGCTTGGAAGAGGCCAAGGGTATCTCCAGTTCAGGATACGTACCCCAATCTACATCCAAATTAGAGCCTGCAAAGTCAAATGGTGTGTCGAACGAGGAGGAAGATGATCCAGATCTCAAAGCGGCACTGGCGTTATCTCTAAAGGAGGCTGAAGAACAGGCTAAGAAACATGCTGCATCAATGAAGAAATCGGCCACAGATGGAGCATCCTCCACACAACCTTTTGTCATGCCTAAGAACGACTATGAGTTGTCACTGGTGGAGGCTGAGAACATCAATTTGTTTTCGACCCTGGTAGACCGACTTCAGCATCAACCACCAGGAACCATCCTCCGAGAGCCTCAGATACAAGAGTTATACGAAAGCATTGGCAAACTTCGACCCAAGCTGGCCCGGACCTTGGGTGAAACCATGTCCAAGAACGACGCTCTCCTGGATCTTCATGCCAAGTTATCAACCGTGGTTCGCTATTATGATCGCATGCTTGAAGACCGCCTTAACAACACATACAACCAGCGGAATCCAGCATATGCTGGTTATGGTCTTCCGTCCCCTGCTGCACATCACCACGCTCCAATGTACTCTTCTATGCCCATGGGACCACCACCAACATTAAATCAGGCTCCAGGAGGTGCAGAAAACTACTATTTCTCGAATGCCCCTGTCGATACGTACGCCCCACCTGCACAATCAACCTCGATGCCTCAACCACAGCGTTCCTATTCATATTCCAGTCAACAGCAAGAAGCCCCCGCATCTCCTTACGCCCAATATGCTCAACAACCACCTCTTCAACAGCCTCAGCCCGACCAATATAACCAACCAGCCCCGTCCTCACCCCAACTATACCAACAGCCAGCCCCTCAAGCACAACAATATCCTCCCTCGCAACCCTCCTCCGCCTATCCTCAACTACCCCCGCCCGACCCACAACAGACCCCTACACCATACAGCCAACAACAACGACAAGAAGCACCCACGCCACAACCACAGCCTCAATATCAACAACAACAACCGCCATCTGCGCAGCAAACTCCGCAGCCTTACCAGCAAGCAAGCCAACCTCCACCGCAACAGCACTATGCACCACCTTCCCATCAACAGCAACCGCCTCAACAGCCGCCGCCGCAGCAGCAATACCAATACCCGTCATACAACCAAGGCTCGTTCCCATCTGCGCCCCAACACGACCCTTCGTACGGCCAGACCTACCAGCAGCAGCATCAGCCTGCGCAACCGAAACCAGTCGCCGTGGAGGAGAGTCTGATTGAGCTATGAGCGAGGATCAGGGCTTCACGGGTGTGAAATTATTTCCTCCTGTAGCGAGACCACGGGCATCGAGCATCGCAGGTGTTTCTCGTGCTGGCGCCTCGATTCCTACGAGGTATGATTCGTTCCCTGTGTGTGAGTGGGCCTAGAACATGGATTTCTGGTCCTCCCGAAAACACCGGGGACCCAATTCTAAAACTGTGACTCGGAGTCGAATCGAAGAGTCACAAATCACCCACGAAGATTTAAACTTCGAGTCCACGGATCCAGGGTGTACTATGGTGCATATCGTCTCGCCTTGGCCGAAGATTGTGTTGTGTTGTGTTGTCTTGCCCTGCCTAAATATCCAGCATACCATACCCCCTAAATTAGTAACTTGAGCAATATTGAAGCATTCATTTCGTCTTTGCCTACGAAACTAAGTATTTCCCAGCCTTGCTTGCCTGCGAGGTCTAGTGCTACTACTGCGAAATCTATACACCTTCCTCCGTTGTGTAGCTCAAGAGAGCACAGGGAGAATGAAACCACAAACTCCACAGAACCAGTGTTTCCACCTGAATCCGTTCCTTTTGACAGCCGGAGGTCTAACCTTCAAGGATATCATTTGTCTCGCCAGCATAAAACGGAATATCACAAGCCATCATGAACCCAATTGCCATACCACTTATCTACCCGACTTTGCGAAGAAAGGGTTATCATTCGTCAAGTCTGGCAGCCACGCGTTATCGTCTCTGCGCTGCTTCTCAATGGCTTCTTCGATGCCCTCTTCTTTGACAATTTCCTTTCTCCAGTTCAGCCAACCCCAATCCTTGTCGATTGGGGCATAAACCAAATTATCCGTGACCTCGTCTTGCAATGCTTGCTCATCAGCATGCTTGTCGGTCTTTTCGGCCCATTGGTCCCCTAGTTTGTTAGCTTGGTCGGCATGGCGACGATCTTCTTCACTTTTTTTCTGTTGTAAGAAGGCAAGACGTTTTGCAACCTCATTGGCATCATGGAGAGATACCAGTTTTCGTGGTGCAGGAAACTTGTTCACTAGTTGATTGATGAGATGATGCATTCGACGCGCCGGTCCAATGTTTCGATTGTAGGAATAGTGAATACCGTTGTCATCGTCATCGTCAGGGTGATAGTTTCCATCAATATCGTACTTGTCCTTTGGGAGGAAACTTTCCGCCGGACTATCTTTGACACTCCAATGGTCCCTACTGGAAGGTGCTGGTGGATTCTCGATTCGGGTGCGGATATATAATGTCGCCACCACCTCTGCAGGCGTCATCCCAGTAGCATTTTCCTGGTACAGCAGTTCAGGCCGATAATGAACAAGGAACTTGACGAGATCCGAGTTATCTGACCGTACCACAGTATGAAGTGGATAGTCACCAGCTCCATTCATCTTCTCAAGGTCCTTTCCATCTGTATACTTCAGAATGAGCGTCAAGCTATCTTCCCAGCCAGACGAATGAGCGCATTGATTCAAGAACGATACAAGCGGAGTCGTCGTTCCCAGCCGGATTCCGCAGCGTTCCGTCAAAAGAGATGGCACCAACTTTTGGTCGAGCATTTCAAGGGCTGGCCGCAGTATAGTATACTTTTGGGCACTAGTATCACTCAAGATGACATGAAGTATGTTTCGACCTTGGGTGTCTCTAGTGGTTTGATCTGCTCCGGCATCAATCAGCATCCTTGCGCTGTGATACCGCCCTGCTTCAAACGCCACAAAGAGTGGCGTCTTGCCATCAGCTGAGCGAACATCAATCCATTCGGGTGCTTTCTTCAGCAGATAGTCCAATATTGGTTGCGATCCATCTTGATTTGGTGGTGACAGGACTGCCATATGCATGGCAAGATTGTTTCGAGTTGCCAGCCATGAGATCACGGTGCCTTCAACCCCACCATCTGTCTTGGATAGTCCTTGTATCCTCTTATCATCTTTGATTGTGTTCGCAAACTCAAGATATCGTCTTGAAGGAGAATCTGAGAAGAAATACTCCGCTGATTCCAGATTGCCTTGCAGTATAGATGCCAAAAGAGGAACTCCTAAATCCGACTCATAGTAGCGGGAACGAGATCCCGTTCGAGCTGCATCGACAAACTGTTGACGTTTCTTGCCGTGTACTGTGAGACCCTGGTAGTATTCTGGAGATCGTTCAAGCTGCACACCAGATTTCTGGAATATTTTCTGCAGGGGGAATCCGAAACCAGTGGCTTTCAGAATTTCACCAATCATTTCCACTCTTCCCAGGCGGATCGCGGTCTGGAACTCCTTGGTACTGATAGGATAGACTTTGAGATCGCCATCATCTTTTGTCTGCTGAGCCAGATCATGCCCGATCTTCAAGATGAACCTCAAAAGCCGTAGATCATTTGTAGCAATTGCGTAGATAACAAGAGAGTCACGATTAGCCCGGTTGATATCCATGAGAGCAGCATTGAACCATTGCCAGGAAGAAACCGCGTCATCAAACGCATAGGGGCGGGGTTCTTTCAAGCATGTGAAGCACCGCATTGCCTCTTCATTCTCAGCACTGTTTCTCACAGCCCGCAAACCTGGAAAGCCCCAGGTCAGCATCTTCAACGGAGAAACCTTAGACTGGACATGATCAGCGAGCGTTGCAATGTCGTCTACTGTAAAATTGTCCTGGACAAGATGTGCCAGTACACCCACTTCACTTTCATGTGAGTTTTCACTGTCACAATCACTGTCGTCGTCGTATTCCTTTTCGGTTCGAAGTGTATATCGATACTTCTCAGAATCAGAAGCAGGCTTGTATTGAACAGTTGCAATCTCGATGATGAGCTGTGCCAAGTCATGGTAACCGCGAAGTACTGCAATGGAAAAGGGGCTGAATCCATGGAGGTCTTTCACCGCAACTTCCAGAGCGCCTGAAGTGGAAAGGCAGAGAGACTTTACAGTCTCAACATCTCCATTCCAACACGCTTCGAAGAGCTGAATCCGCTCCGCTTTTCTCTCGGGTCCGAGGACGTCTGAAGTAACGAATGAGATGCTTGTTTCGTAAGGCGCATCATTCATACCAGCTGACCCAAGCCGGGCATTGTATGTATTTCTGTGCGCCTTGGGGTGGATATCATAAAACGATTTTGCTCCTCGCTTGCATAGCTTATTCTCGATTTGAGTGAGTTGAGTGAGAACCTTTTCCATTGCAGCATTTTTCTGCAAAATTCCATTTTGATCGCTCTTTCCCGGCAATTTGTTCTTCTGATCGCACTTCAAAAACTGGTAGCGATGGAGTAACTTGGCGTCTTTGAGATCGTGATAAGCTGTCCAGTATTGGTAGCTATCTTTGGGGAAATCGAGGTAGTGTTCATCTTTTTGGAGAACATCGGGTTTCGAGGAATGTTGCGGGTACAGCGCCTCCTTCAGTTCCTTGATGTGATTTCTCACAATATCCAACAGTGACCTGCCGTCATCTCCCCATTGATAACTATCAATCAATCTCCAAGCACGCATCTCGATCGTATTGACGTTCACGCCGTGTTCGATTGCGTAGTCCACAAAATCTAGCATTTGCATCTTGGCAGCCAGAATAATCGGTTGCTCAACACAGCTTTGATATTTCTTGTAGATGTCATCATGGTTCTCATAAGGGTAGTTAACGCCACGCTTATATGCTTGCTCGAACGGTGCAAAGGGGACCTCAATATCGGCGCCCATTTCAACCAGCTTTTCAACGAGATCTTTTCGACCCGTACGAATTGCTGTCAAGAGTGGGATCTGGACGGAAGGGTTGTCTCGATAGCCTTGCGCCGAGACAAAGTTGATGGCCTTTGAGACTGCATCCGGATCTGCATTTTGCAAAGTGTCTACTATCAGAGTTTTTCCACTGTTGATAGCATAGTGCAATGCTGATATATGGTTCATGTCGGCTTGAGTAGATGTCGCTCCATGGGCAAGGAGTGACTTGACGGTTATGTTTGCCTGCTGTAGAGGAAGCTCCAAGGCCAGAACAAGTGTCAGAATGGCTGCTTTCGCACTCTTGCGATCGTAATCGTGCATGATCTTGACTGGGAGTAGAACATCTGCACCATATTCGTCGATCAATAACTCTATGACTTCGATGTTACCGGCAAGAATGGCGAGGTGAAGAGGAGACAATGGGTTGTCCCAAGCAAGAACATCCACATCATAGACGTCCGGGTCATCCTTGTCTTCAGCCAATGGATCAGTCACTTCGCTCTTTTCTCGGACCTTGATGAACGACCCTTCAGTCATACTATCATTGCTGTCGGTATCTTCGTCTTTCCACTCTTCATCATCTTCGCCAGATTCGCTTCCAGGATCGGACTGGCTCGTAGCGTTCTTCTCACCTTCGTTGTTCTCAAGTCCTGCAGCTGCACGCCTGGCTATTTTACGGCCAACTTCTTTACGAGATTCTTCTTGCTCGTTGGCAGCACTCTTCTCCAAGAGATCTTTGACAATCTGAGCATTGCCACGATGAGCTGCTATGTGCAAAGCGGTCATCCCATTATAAAGTCTTGAGACCAGTCTAGCGCCGTGTTCGATCAAGACTTGGACAACTTCCGGAATGGAGCACATGGCAGCCAATTGAAGAGGAGTACGTCCGGTGTGATCACGCCGATTTACATCGGTCACTTCAGGTGACGAGAACCAATCCCTGACAGCATCAATGTCTTGGTCCACAATTGCTTGACAGAGTCTCGTTGTGTTTCCGACATAAGCCATTTCGGTCCAGTCTTCATTGGTGATGGGATTGAAACTTCCGATGGACTGGCGGCCAGGGTCGTCCTTGAGAAAGGTCAATCCACCTGAGATGTAGATTTTACGCTCGTCTTCTAGTGCCGCGAGGTCTGCATCTGTAGTCGCTTTGGGACAGAAACCGCAGCAGTCGTGAACAATATCGTCAATGAGGCCAAAGAAAGCTGGATGGCGGTGGAGGTTGGTTTCTCTGTCTTTTGGCTTGTTCCACTCTGCATTCAGAAGTAGATCTTTCGTGAAGAGAAGCTTCTCAACACGTTTTGCATTATACCGGGGCCCATAGGGAATAGAGACCGTATGATAGTTGGAGACGTCGTCTTCTTCCACCCATTCGGCAACATCATCTGGCTGGACATCTTTCAAATTTCCTGCCAGCTTGTTGTTAAATCTGTAACTATTGTACAATGGAGGGCGACCTCTCTCTTCTCTCCTCTTAGCCAGATAATCGTCTCTATCTGTCGGATGTGGCAATTTCTCTAGCACCAGAAGTCGAGCAAGACCTTGAACTCGGGAGAACGACCGTTCATAGATGGTTGGGTCTATACGTTTGCGGTCAATCAAGGGCCAGTGGACTTCGAAGCCACGATGAGAGTACTTTGAAAGGCGGTTTTCATAGGAAGGTGAGCGTCTCGTCAGGTCGACCGAATTGACCTGTGTCATGAATGCAGCAACAGCCCGCGGTGATGCCCATACGTGTTGGCCGTCGTAAGCGACGCATGAGGAGTCGACATCGAAACCAGTAAGAATTTCCGAGATGCTCTTGTAAAGACGCAGGACAATCTGGACGTGGCGGACAGGATACTCCGAGACAATAGTGATGGCATTCTTGGTCCGGACCGTGGTGGTTTCTGCTAGGATACTGTCGCGAACACTTGTTTCAATTTGCTTTATTTTCTCGACTGCCTCTTCCTCGTTGAGGCCATAAAGAAACAGATCAACGTCAGAAGCTGGAGCGAGTTTGTCATGGTAGTAATTACGAAGTGCTCGCTTGAAAAGGTTAGTGATGGATACCGTAGAGTGGCAAGTGGTCTGCTTGCCTTGGACTTGCTGTAGGGAGCGTTGAGTGGCAAAAGAGAGGTATTGACCGCACTCCCAGCGACAACCACATTATCCCACTTCAACTCGGTCAAGGAAGATTCCGAGAAGATGGTGAAGTTGGTGCGGAAATCCTTCAAGGATTGAACGGTCGCTGGGGAGCCATGCTTTCGTCGAAGGTCATCTGGGAGAGACAGGAGGTAGGCGTCCTTCTGGTCGGCCGATTCCTTGTTCAGATCCCTGGCTCGGGTGGTGCATGGAGAGGTTTCGAAGATTGAAACCAGATGATTAGCACTCACGGCTGGATGATCAAGGTGTTGGGCGTAGATTTCTCGAAGCTTGTTCTCATACGCTTTGAAAGGCTCAACAGCTTGTCCCACACCGACTTGTGTATGCGGTTGTTGGTCAGCATAATGAACAAAATCGGAGATTGGGACAGGAAGCTCAGGGAGTATGATTGGCATTGCGGGTGTGGGTGAATGGGTGGTGGTGGTGGTGTAATAGTGGCGGGCCACAGAATGGGGGTTCAGGTTGGAGAGAATGGGAATTTGAAGGGATGGAGGCTGAGAAAAAGAATTGCTTGAAATTGGCTTGCAACAGAACGCTTTTAAGGATTTCTTGGATGGACTCAACACGAGCGACGGCGTGGTCTGAACGAGAGAGGCCGTGACACGAGATCTGCACGACTTCCCGTGACTCGGATGGAAGCCTTGTGCGGTGCAGGCAGAGGCAGGAGCCTTGACACGCTGTTCCACAAAGGCAGGCAACCACTCCACAGAAATTCTTGATGATTGCAGTTTCCCAGAGTGAGCAATCGATCTCATGTCTACAACTCCATTCCTTAGCTAGAGCGTGCCCATCAGGGACCTACGAGGAGGTAGCCATGCCGCTTATTAAGTTGCGTGGTTCGAAGCCAACCACTGGAAGGGGGAAGGCTTTGAGCTTGACCTAGGAACCTGAAACTGGCACAGGCGGTGCTTAAGCGAGTCCAACAAGACCTTTCAGCCCCCGCGAACATTCAGGCACCCACCTGGACACCCCACTTGGGCTTGGGCTTGGGCTTGGGCTTCCCCTGATTGTTCGTCTGGGTCTAGTTACACTCCGCCATACCATGCACAACCACCAGGCCATCATAGCATCAATTGATCCTTACTACAGCAAGAAGCTATGTTTATTCCTATGAGATGCAGTTATCCTGCGACTGGTCCACATCAATATCATATATTGCTAATCATGATAGAAGCTATGGACTTGTATCAAGTGATTCCGATAAACCGACTTGGATTTGGCATGATGAAAGCAGGCTGTCTCGGAAAAGTCGACCCTTCAAGGTGCAGACTGGTATTAAGAAGAAACGCCGAGTTGGTGTCAATGAATACCAGAAGTCTTGCCAGCAAACCATCAAGGCCAAGGTTCTGCAAGCCTCCCCTAAGCTGTACCATTTTCTCTACACCACTCATGTGAGCATGGTAAGCACCCTTTGCTCCGTAAATCGCTTCGTAGCTGGCCATTTTGGCGGTGGCGGCGATCAATTCATCATGCACCTGGCCATTGGACAACGCCAGTCTCTGAATAATGCCTTGGAGGGCAATGTGCTTGAGGTGGAGCAGTGTCGGTGCAAGTGACTTGTCCTCGGTATATGCTGCAAAGTGTGAAGCAGAAAAGAGCACAATGACTTGGAAAACGATGGGGGAATTGATGACCATTGGAAACCATCGTGATCTCAACAGGCATGATTGCTCTTCTCCATCAACCTCAGGAATGGCCACCGCGAGATGTTCAAGATCTGTTTCCAATTTAGTACACCCTTGTTGCTCATTCATTGCTGAGTGGAGGACAAATCCGACCTACAATTTCCAACCACCAAGGATACGAACGGCTCATAATAAATGGAGCTTTCTGATGCCGGAATCATTTCGTTGCCAGCTAAAGCGTGCCATGGACTCGTCCTCACTATCCTTTCCCTAGAGACTATCTCATCAGGGGAATTGTCCAGAATCTCAAAAGACCAGCTGAGATGCAGCTTTCGCGATCTTTTGCGCCGAGGTCCAGATGCTGAGCTACGGTTGCATTCTTCTTGAACATTGTACCGTGCCACATGTGATCGCACCTCACGCCGAGTACGTCTTGCTTGTACTTTGTCTTGTGGACCTGCAGATATAAATTGATAGGCAAGTTCGGTCATGCTAGTCACTGTACGTGAAAAGCATCAGCCAGGATGCTTGACTAGAATGATGGTGTTGTCCAGCGTCGTGGATTGAGGCTACTCAACCGAGAAAGATATGCATGGCTTGACATAAATTGAGGTGTTGGTTGGGTCCCCATAAGGTTTGTAGATGTCGCGCTAACTGACCAGCTGCATGAACCTCTTTTAGTTAGTCACACAGAGTACCTATCATCTTCGACCATTGGCTTGAGCTTCACAGCTCGATGATGTACATCACCCCGTATGGGTAGCCCTGCTCAGACAGTTGGCCAATGGGGCACAACTCGAAATCCATGCTTGCTGTTACCCAGGAAGCCTCACGCATGTCATTCGCCAATGTGGGGACTGAAGGTACTAAGTAGATGCTTGGAAAGTCGGCGCGCAGATGTGAAGGCATATAAGACATCATGTCTCCCACGATGGAATCGCCTGTAGCCAACCTTAAAGCTCTTTTCAAGTGCCAATCCTATCTTGACCAAGCCAAGAGAGTAACCAGGGCACCATGTCCCTCAACGGAAAAGTGGCCCTTATCACTGGCGGAGGCAAGAACCTTGGGGCCAATGTCGCGACACTCTTTGCTGCCGAAGGAGCCCATCTTGCACTCCACTACAATTCCACGAGCTCCAGGAAACCCACCGAAGAACTCGCGGCACAACTATCAACCAAACACCCCGAGGTCAAGATCAAGATCTACCAAGGCGACTTGACCAGCTTCGGCAACGTAAACAAGTTATTCAAGTCCGTCCTTAGCGACTTCGACTCCAAACTCGACATCGTCATCAACACGGTAGGGATGGTGCTGAAAAAGCCGCTGGCTGAGATCACCGAGGCCGAATATGACACCATGTTTGCCATCAACTCGAAATCGGCATTTGCCATCACGCAAGAAGCAGCCAAACATGTCGCGGATGGTGGGAAGATCATCAACACGGTCACGTCCTTGCTGGCTGCATATACACCCTTGTACACGTCATACCAGGGATCCAAAGCGCCGGTTGAATTCTTCACCAGAGGCCTGAGCAAAGAATTGATGGGGCGACGGATCAGTGTCAATGCCGTTGCACCAGGACCGATGGATACACCGTTCTTTTATGGTCAGGAGTCGCCTGAAGCTGTGGAGTTTCACAAGTCGAATGCAATTGGGGGGAGGTTGACATTGGTCGAAGATATTGCACCTATCTTCAAGTTCTTGTGTACTGATGGCGCTTGGATCAATGGTCAGACTTTGTTTGCGAACGGTGGGTACACTAGTCGTTAAGCTGTGATTGAGATTGTGGTACATTTCTACTCAGCTTCGTATCGAAAACACTCTGGATAGAGCTCCTACCCGAAAGTCTTCAATTGTTAGCTCGTTACTTCTAATGCGAACAAATATTAATACATGTAGTAACCAAGCGCATCTAAGCAAACAGATGAGCATCAGCATCGATGCATAAGTGATCAGGATAGCCCACATGGCAAAATGACGAATGGTAGAGGATGTGTTGGAAGCGGCCCTCGTGCTTGGTAGATAGGAAATGCACTGCGCTCGATGTGAGAGGTACGGTACCGTACATTCATGATACGGTGAGGCATACGTGCCAGTTCGTGCCGATACTGAGTCCCAGGTCGACCCACTTCCTCCACATTCGACGAGCGAACTTTTTTTGCCTGACATCGTTCGTGTACGAAAAACACCAGAATAGAATTAATTGTCGCAAGGCTACAAATCAGCCTTGTCCAGAATCAAGAAAAGTATTTGGTCAAGGATCCTTCCAATGGTGGTGACTCTGGGTCTCGTACTGCCAAAGATCTCACGACCACAAACTACCACCATCTTCAGACAGCTATTCTGCTCGCAGTTCAAACCAACATCCATCGTATCTAGCAGCGCAATCAGAACCTTCAGCAGCAAGCGACACACCCCATCTCGTAAAGAGCCCAAAGATCTAGACATCACAACCGGCAAAATGGCCAACGACCACTATCTCAACCTGTCGTGCCCAGACAAGCCAGGCATCATCCACGCGGTGACGGGCATCTTCGCGCGGCACAACCTCAACATTCTCGACCTGCAACAATTCTCGGACCGGTCGTCGGAGAAGTTCTTCATGCGCGTGCATTTCGGCCCCGCGCCGGAGACGGGAACCGACTTCCTGACACCGGACTTCCAAACCCTAGCCCAAGACCTCAACATGGATTACGAGCTACGCGCCGTGGCCTCCAAGCCCAAAGTCCTCATCATGGTCTCCAAGATCGGGCACTGCTTGAACGACCTTCTCTTCCGGCAAAAGACAGGCCAACTGGCCATCGACATCCCGGTCATCGTGTCCAACCACCCGGAATTCGCGTCCCTGGCGCAAAGCTACGGGATCGCGTTCCACCACCTCCCGGTGACCAAGGACACGAAGCAGGAGCAAGAGGCGCAGATCCTGCAACTGATCCAGCAACACGGCATCGAGCTCGTCGTGCTGGCCCGCTACATGCAGGTCCTGTCGCCGGGCCTGTGCTCCGCCATGTCCGGCAAGATCATCAACATCCACCACTCGTTCCTGCCGTCCTTCAAGGGCGCCAAGCCCTACCACCAGGCCTACGACCGCGGCGTCAAGATCATCGGCGCCACCGCCCATTTCGTCACCGCCGATCTCGACGAGGGCCCCATCATTGAGCAGCGCGTCGCCCGTGTCGATCATAACCTCACGCCCAAGGAGCTCGTCGATGAGGGCAGTAACGTCGAGAGTCAGGTCTTGGCCGCCGCGGTGAAGTGGTGGAGTGAGAAAAGGGTCTTTATCAATGGGGCCAAGACGGTGGTTTTCAATTAGTTGTGATGATGGGGAGATGAGCTGGGTCTGGACGTTTTCACGTAGATATCGAGATATACACAAAAAATATGTAAATGTGAAGAGAACAAAAATAGACCATGATACCCAAATTCGTATATTCGGGCTACCACATTTCTTACAAGAAGACTTTCATGGTCCCCATAGACGTCCTTAATCCGAGGAAGAAAGCTTCGGACAGTGGATGGATGAGGGAGCAGACCGAAGAAGCATTCCCCAACAGCACCACAAAGCCTCAACACAGCTCCATACATTGATCTATAACTCATCCTTCTCAGACCCTCGACCAGCTGCACCAGCTGCAGAGCCAAGCACGGAATCCTTAACCATCAAGGCAAGAATATCCACGAGCAGATCACTGGCAGCAACACTGGTGACCTCGGCCACGGTATCATAGGGGGGACTGACCTCGACGACATCGGCGCCCACGAGCCTCACACCCTCCAAGCCCTTGATGAACCGTTTCACCTCCCGGGTCGTCCAGCCACCGCTCTCCGGCGTCCCCGTCGCCGGGGCGATACTCGGATCCAGAACGTCGATGTCGATGCTGAGGTAGACGGGCGTGTCGCCCACGACGCGGCGGACCTTGTCGACGATGCCCGCGACGCCGATGTCGTCGATTTCGTGCGCTTCGATCAGCGTGAAGCCCACGTCGTCCCGGTCGATGACGTAGTCGTTCGGACTAAATAGTTTCGTGCGTAGTCCGCCGTGCACAGATGTGCCCTTCGAAATGCAGCCTTCACGCGACGCGTGCCAGAAGAAAGTCCCGTGCGTGATTGCCGATTGCTCCGAGACGATGCCTGTGTAGCCGGCGTACGGGTCCCAGGTGTCGAGGTGCGAGTCGAGGTGGATGACGGAGATGGGGCCGTAGACCTGCTTGAGGCTGCGCAGGATGGGGAGCACGATCGAATGATCGCCTCCGAGGCTGAGGATGCGGGGCTGTGGCCACGCTGGGCCCGAGGCCGTGGTCGTGTTGTGGTACAGGATCTGTCGGTAGCCTTGCTCCATCTGGATGAAGGCGTGCTGTGCGTCAAAGGGCGTGATGGGGATGTCGCCACAGTCGACGATGCTGAGGTTTCCCGCCGTCAGTGGGTCGATGTCCCAGACTGTGTTGAAGCTGCGGCCCTTTTTCTCGCGAGAGCTGGCTGCGCGAATCCCGCGCGGGCCAAAGCGTGCTCCTGGACGGTAGGATGTCGATGTGTCGTAGGGAAATCCTACGAGGGCAATGTCGACGGGTTCTCGGTGTGCTGCGGAGAAACATCGCTGCCAGGGTAAATGGGCGAATGTGACGGGTTGAGAGAAAGGGAGGTCCTTGTCAAGATCTTCCAGTGGGTGTGCATAGTTGGGTCCAATGTTGATAGCGTCCAACGAAGGTGAGTGGCAGTGAGCTGGCGTTGTCTGGGACAGAACGACCAGCAGACCAGCCGTCAGGTAAGAACAGAGTCCACGAGCCATTTCAATACCGAAAGGGCTGTTGCTCTAGCTGTAGTCCAATATACCTTTCAACACACAGTGGTATGCCTCAGCTTCCGTCTTCTGGATAGTTTCCTGGCGACGGTGGTCGGGAAGAGTGTGGGCGTCTTGGGACCCCGAAATATAACATGAACACCACGGCAGCGACAAGCTTTATACCCTTGGAGGCTGCGATGGCGCAATGAAATTTCTCTTTGCTTGCATTCGTGAGGTCTGGTACCCAGAACAAAGTATCCAAACGCGCATCTCCATGTTTGACGAGGATATGCATCATCTGCAACTAATGATGCAGTGTGCATCTCCGTTCTCCACGCCAAGTCTTGGAACAATCTAGATACTGGAGCGTCAATGATGTACCACGGGTACTTTGAATGGGACTTCTGGCATGCTCGTGTTGGGAGCTCGGCTTCTGGTTAGTCTTCATCAAAAGGTCTGTGAGCTATGTGATTCTCGAAGTTCGATGCAGTGTTCCTCATGCACAGCAAACTGTGACCAAGCCTGTGCGGTGATGGTGATCTTACAGATATTCAAACCTAGGTAGATAGGTAGCCATGACCTTGTCAGAAGTACAGAGCCTCTTTCCTTGGAAGAAGAGTAGTTCTGACAGAAGCAGAATTGATAGATGCGGGACTGCAACTTTTCAAACTGATCCCCATCCCCATCGCTGTCGCAGTAGCACTGAACTCACAATTCGCCCGAAGAAAACACCATTCAACAGCAGCCAGCTCAAGACGAACGTCAGAAAAGTCAACGCAAGGAACATCGGTGTCTGTGATAATGTTATCATTTGCAGTCTCTCGCGTTGTGTGCCCAAGGCAACACCAACACATAAGGAGAAAAGTATGTCTTTGGGTATCGTTAATCATCCTTACTTCGATGTCTTCAAAAGTCCCAACGCCATTTCATTTGTTACATCGTCCCGTGATCGACAAGCTTCTCTGAGCTCCGGATCAAAGTTCGAACCCAAGCTTGAAAGATGAGCTCCGTCATTCCACTCCACACATTGATTTCGCAGTGCAAGGTTCCATCAATCAACCGTCTTGTCTAGACGGGGATCGCCAGACAATCAGCAAGCACCGAATCTAGTCTGGGCCTGTCCTGAGCACCAGCTCCCTCCCAGCCGTAATTATCAGCATTATCGATATCCAGGGCATCAGGATCGTCCACATGACCATTCGTCATGACTTGGTCTTGTTCGGTATACCACTCGTCGTAGTCGTACCCTGCAGAAGCATTGTTGATGTTCCACGCGATCACGGGTGATCCATTCCACGGCAGCGGCCCAACCTGGCTGGAAAGTTGAAGGTCCACCATGGCGAGAGGTCGCCTTGAATATGCCGCTTGAGCCTCGCAAGGCAACATGTCGTCGTCTCGGGTGCGCTGCAGTTTCCCAGCCTTGACCTCGGCTTCTTCTCGCTCGATCTTCCTCTTGTACGAAGTGGTGAGGATTCCTCCACCGGCGCTGTTCTCATAGCGTGGCCCGTTCGATCTTGTCCTGTTGAATACCTCGCTTAGGATGTTCTTGAGGTACATCTCCGATGCTATCCCGACAAGATCCGCACATTGGGTGGAACAGCCTGAAGCAATGGCTTCCTCATAGCAGATTGGCACCATCCTAGCATGTAATGTATTTGCATCCGGGAATTCCAGCGTCTCCGCAAACAGAGGTTGGACATATCTCTTCCTAATCTCCAAATCCCAATTGGTCTTCGTCGTGAGACCGGTTGCTGGACCTGCAGTGGACTCGGGTACCCGGATTCGACCGGCCTGATAATAGTCCTCGTATTGGTTTCTTCGTGCAGCGGCTTCTTCCTCTGCTTTGTCGTTTGCGACACCTTTGAACCTCCGTCTTTCCCTTGGCGGTAGAGCCATGACTTCAGCTTTGAGTCTTTGTTCTCCTGCATCGCTCGTGATGGCAGGTTTGGATGTGGCAGCCAGAGAGGCTTTTTCTGTAGTCGCACTGACCCACGCTGCAAGGCCTGGTTCAGGAGCATCCTTGGTTGTGTTACACAAGACAGCGACGATTAGAGAATTATGCGCATGTTCGGATTGCGGGGAGGCGTAAACGAATACATCGCAGAGATCGCCGAACTCGCGGGCATGCAGCTCGCCTATTCAGATCATATTAGTCAAGCAATCCCATGAAGATATGATCAATACGTTACCTCTGATGAACCGTGTAAGAGCGTCGTAGTATGTATCCCAGTTGTGACCGATCAGGGACTTGAGTTCAGTATAGAGGGGTTCCAGGTCTATCCGGGGGTAATTCTGAGTAGCTTTTGGGGTTTTGGTGGCAGAGCCTGGTGCGCCTTTGGCGACGCTGGCCGTTGAGACGATTGTATCTGACCGAGCGAGCGCAGCAGGGTTAAATGTCTCGTCGAAAGTCGCCATGGCGATCGGGAGACGTTTCGATGTATTACAGGTTGCGCTTTGCGCACAAGAAGCGCGGTTTCGTCGAGGACTTGATCATCCAGTCAAACAAAGAATGGCTGGTCTTGCACGCGCATAGTGGTCCAGAAGCTATGTGAAGCGGAGCGATGGAGGCCGAAGCGGGTTACCGTGCGCGCATGGTTCTGTCGAATTGATGATTATTGAAATGATCAAGACGAATGGTTCGGGGATGCGTTCGAGATGCCGGTTCACTTTAGACAACCCTTTTGGGAGAAGCTCCTCGCTGTTCTGGGTATGGCCACTCGCAAGCACGAAAAGGTGTCTTGGCGCGGGGCTAAGGCTGACCCAGTCACTAACTGTCTATGCTACTTCATCCCGATCAAAGAGCATATAATATGGTGAAGTTTGGCTTTTTTTTTCCCATGTACTATACCTATAGGGAGGCTACTATGCAATTATACCCAACATTGTCACGAACGGCCATGCATGAGACCCGGAGTCTCATTTCGACCCGTTCTTCTCACCCTTGACCTCATCATCCTCTCCCAAGTCAACATGCTTCCGCTTCTTCTGATCCATGTCCTTATCCTTCATGCCCTCCTCATACTTGACAAGAACATTCTCATCGTCATCAATCATGTCACTCTGATTATCCAGGCCCTTCCACTTGACAACTCCATCGCCACGGAACTCGGCCACTCTCTGAGTGTAGAACATGTGGCACGTAGGTTTAAACGCCTCCCTGCCTTCCTTGGTGTTGATATTCTTGACCAAGGGCGGGAACAGGAGGATCATGTTGCGGCCTTCGTCCATGATCGGTGAGCGACAGTAACTGCACGACACTTTGCATGGGAGATGGTGTGATGTGTCCTTGTTGGTGGGGTCGTACCAGCCCAGGTCATGGTGGCCGTTGGTAAAGTTGATGTCGCTCTTGTGGAAGATGGCTGCCCATTGGAATGGTGCCTGCCCAGATTATCTGTCAGTCTTGTGATATTTCCCGCCCCGAACATATCAGGGAACGGTGGCGCTACTCACACCATGCAGTCTCTGGCACGTCGTGCAGTGACAGTATTTGGCAGCTAGAGGTTTGTCCCGGCTAAGCTGATACTGCACTTTCCCACAGTGGCATTGGCCCTCCCATTTCACGTCGAAGTCATCCGCATTGTCATGTATCCGATATGGCTCCCTCTTTTTCCACTGATCGATATCCCGATCTGTCGAGTTACCAGCCTGGTGTTGATGACCTTCTTCCTTTGGAGGCATTTTTGTAAAGTTCCTGTTCTGACTCACTCCGATCCGAGTAGACTTAGCCTTCAGAACAACTGTTCTAGATGTAGCAATAGAAGAGTAGCGACAAGGTGTCAAAGTCTTGCTTGTCCCAGAAGGTAGTCGACAGGTATGAAAGAGTAATCGGATTGGGTTCAGGGAGTTCATAGGGGAAACAAACGACACGAGTCAACAAAAGGGGGGAGAAAGGAGAAATAGACCCAACGCACGACGACCAAGCAACCTGGGGATTGTGAGCAGTTGCCCATCCACCGTGGGTAAGGACATCACGTCCGAGTTTTGAGCATGGATAGGTGAACCGGGGAACGTCAGTCCAGGACAGGGCGTATTGGCCGGAACTACCATTCATGGCGCGTCACACGGTGTCGTAGCGGTGACTGAAGAAACGACATGGGATACTAACCCAGCGAAGCAGACGATGAATCGTCGACTGTCACTTAATGACCGCATCATTTTCGGTCAGCCGCATGCATTTAATTCTATGTCGTGTGCATATTTGGGCCAGTGTGTAGTGGGTACGAAGTGGTTAAGAATTTTCCCCAGAGTGAAGTGACATCACCAAATCGAGGCACTGATGCGGACTCATCTTCCTCATTCCTCTTCCACCCAATGAGATTAGACTGTACCTGACGGACTCGGTATGTCTTAATTTACTCGTGTAGACACGGAGACATGGCACGCTTGAGACTGCCGGAATAAGAGGGTCATAATGCTTATTATTACGGTAATCCTAAGAGCAGAGATGGGCAGACACCAGGACGACCTGTCGATAGTGGGCAGGACACAGAACAAGCAAGAGTCCCTCTACGTAATGCTTCTCATTGCTGACATGCTTGCCTGCTCCATATCTCTGCATCTTGTGCTCAGCCAGCAGGACCTAAACTACCCGCTGGGACTCGCGAGTCTGCTGTCTTGAGGTGTGCCCTACTACCTCGGAACAGGCTCTGCCAGATGAACGCTTCGGACAGTAATAGCTCAATGTCCTTCTCTGTCCATTCTTTGGTCGGCAGTGCTTGTAAGAACATCAAGATCTCTTGAAAATTCATCTTGACAAGTTGCTCACTCCATTTCACCAAAAACGCCGCGCAGACGTATAGGTGAAATTGTGAGAACCCATTCTCTTCAGCCTAAGGCAAGGTATAAGCATGAACGACATAAACATGAGAGAGAATTGGCTGATGCTTACCATATAAGTGTCCCACATCCGAATCACACTCCGGATGTTCAATTCACGCATGAGCAGACAATTCATCCATCGGAAACTGAACTGCATATATTCCACATGCTCATCCTCGAAATGTCTAGCCAATCCGGCATCAATTCTAGTGGTCAGATCCCGTAAGGCCGCGACCTGTCTGTGGATACCCGGCTGAGCGACAATGTAGTTATCTTGTATGCCATCCAGCAATTTAGTAAGACACCAGAAGGTGTCGGCCTCAACAGCATCGAGGACTGGGCGAGGCAGCTGGCCTGGGTCCATGCCACTCTCCACATTCAGATCTGTGACATATGTGCCGAGGAATACCTGCCAAAATGGGGTGGCTAAGTCGTTAATCCCCTGAACGTAGCCGCTTGCCGGGTGTCGAATGGCCCACACGTAAAGGACACGCTCCAAGGATCGTTGTGTGGCTTCGAAGCCATAAAGAGGAATGTGAGGGTTGGTCCGGGGAACGTCGATGCTGACCTGGTGCCAAACCGCTTCATCCAACCCGCGGCCTTTACCTGTACTCATCGGTGGCTGTGAGGCTAGTCCCGCTAGTCCCGCAGAAGAGCCTTTGGTGCTTGCTCCTGTTCCAGCATTGAACGCTTGCCTCACCGCATCCAGGTATTCTTTGCGTTTCCGCTCAAGTGTGGCAACTCGGCGTTCACTGTTCGTGGGGAGGTGGCCCAGTAAGAGTTGCCATGTGATGGCTCGAACTTCCTCAGGTATACCTGACCAAGCCGCCGCTCGTAAATCTGGGAGAGAAACGGAACTATTCTGGAGTATTCGTTTGAACTTGTTGATTCGGGATATGCGTGTCGAATGTGCTTCACTCTCCTTTGGAGTGGCATTCGGTGGCAGAATAGGGTGATTAATGAGGTGTAAAGAGTTCGCCGGATCTCGTAATATGTCTTTGTACTGAGGCCGTAGGATTTTACCGTCCTTCTTTGCACTGGGATAAGAAAGTGGGTTTCGCTCTTCGGCAATATCAAAACTATTCGACCTCACACGGTTGAACTGCGGCGACGGCGCTAATGCTGGAGCTGAAGATGTCTGGGAGAGACTCGGATATTGGATCTGCTGTGCCCTCTTGTTTTTGTTCTTGAGGCTGCGCTTTCGGCGCATGCTGGCGATGCTTGGGAGTCCGAATTCGTCTTCTTCGTCATCGTACACCAGCTCATCGTCGTCCCCGTCAACATCACTTCCCCCTAGGACATCCCAACTCGTACTACCCAAGGCTGAAGAGGCATATGTGGGGTGTGGTCTAGGTTCGGGAGAATGGAAACTTGTTTTTTCAGATGGCGGAGTTTGGGTTTGTCTAGCAGATGATACCGGGGGTGTTCTCGGTCTCGAATTGGATCCCAGGGATCTGTGCCTTGTTTCAGTCACTGTTCCTCTCCTGCTCGCGTGCACTCTTACAACGAATCGAACTTCAACAGGTCGGCATGTGAGTATGATGCACCTATCACTTTCGTGGGCTTGGCAGAACTTTGACGTGAACTGGAAGATCGGCTCCTCCAGAAGGGTGAGGACGGCCGCCTGTGTTTCATCTGGTCAGCTGCATGCTCGAGGATAATGGCGAAATTGGCTGTACATACTCGGGTCGGTCTGCGATTTGCGATTAATGTTAGCAGATAGTTCTGGCAGGGGAAGTCGATGCGAGAGTGAAGAGTATGCGAGAGTGACACGGACCGACCTGAACCATCTCCTATGAACATTAGCCCTACACTGGAAGACCAGTGGTGGGAGAAACAGTACCTGTTGTTGGGTCTTCTTCTGAGCCATGGTGGGCTGCGGTGGCTCAAGAACCCCACCAAGATGAGGTTGTTATGATTTCCTTTTGATTTCTTTGGCGTGAACAGGGGAGAACATGCTGGTTGTGACTTCCTCGCCCTGATATCACGTATTTAATGGGGAACAAGGAAGTACTGAAAGGGAGGCGATAGGTGTCTGTCTTCTGGCATCAGTCCGTTGTCCGATCCGAACGGCGTGACCATCATACGCGCCAAGAATTTATATCGGCCTGTTCAATCGCAAATCCGATGCCGCCCTAATCAGTGGAATAGTTAACCAGCCTCGTTGGCGTCTGCACCGAGAAAGTCTCTCATTGCTTTTCAACGCTAACCAAGTATCTGGGCAGTAATCAAGAGTAGACGACAGTATGTCATCACTTCTTCTTTTTCTTCGTCTTATCATCCACCACAATCCACCGCTTATCTACTCCTCTGCGGCCCATTTCCTTTTCCAAGACATCTCTCTGATCTCCTTGGATCAGGATCTCCATCATCCCAGGTTTCCCTCCAACATGTTGCCCTACACTAGCACTACCAGCACACTTCTTCTGTAGTTCAGGGCCGAGAATCTGTGGATTGATGCCAAACATCTCCAATCCGGAGACCTTGGTCACAAGTTTGGTTCCTGTTCGTTTCTCGATGGTGATGTTGACGTGAGGTGAAGGTCCGGATTTTGGTTTCAAGCTCGGGTCTGGATGTTCTGGGTCGTAGGTCTGGTCGTTTCTAAGTAGCAACCAGTGTGGAATGGCCAGGTGGTCGTCCTCTAGTATCCGCCGTAGGAGAACATCTCGGCCGACCTCACGGTTTGCAAGGATTCGGGTGTCCGCACTGGATGGATTGGAAGAGAGAATATTGTTGGCGATGAAAGGGTCGAGTTTTATGAACCGTGGAGAAGAGGTGCCGGTGGTAAGACTGGCGTTGTTCTCGATATATTTCTTGAGAAACGATGAGATCTGTGACGCGGTGTAGTATGTCGTTTTGGAGGGGATGAGATCCGGTACGAGTTTATTTGAGGCCCGATAGATCGTTTGTATGACCAGTTTTTGTCCCAAGGATGGATCACTCCCATTTGCATTGGGTTGTTGTTCGCCACCACCATGTGCACCTTCCTGGACTTTCTGTTTGGGCAACTTGTACGGTGCAAAGTTCCTTATTTTTTCATCATCAAAATCGACATCCAATATCACGGTCTCTCCGCCATTTCTGTCCTTGGACTTGACCAATTGGGCTTTGTCCAGAGATTTGATAAATTTCTTGGTATTTTTCCATGTCGTCTTTTTGATATTGTAGTGTTGATTTTGTACCCGTAGATGTGGCTGGATCATGTTTGCGATAAGGAAGGAAGGTTGGATAGGAAAGTCGATTCCATAATGCGGCCCCTCGCCATTCTTCTTTGCATTGTAGAGAGCATACAACAGGGCAGCCATAAAAGCGTCATCGACTTCCTTCGTGGTAGGCTCATGTTCGGGCTCAGCCCCGGAGTCATGATCCGGCGTCCCAGATCCATTGGCATCAATGCCTTGCGTATCGTCTTGCACCTTGGCGGGTGCTATCGCCACACCACCCTGATCGGGTGTGTCGAGGTCATCGTCGTCTTCAAGATCCAGGTTCTGTACGGCATCCCCAAGGGTTTCGGCCCTACTGTCCCAACCCTCTATCCTGTCCGGAGACGATCTGCCTCCGACCCCAGTTTGACTCCATCCCCAAATCTCATCTCCCTCCCAGTGAACCCCTTCCACAGCAGCACCCTTCGCACCCTGCACCCTTCCCAGACTGGAGATATCGATCTTGCAAGTTCCTACCCATATGGGAACGCTATCTTTCTCGAGACCTGCGACAGCAACAACCACTCCAACCTTTGCGGCTTGCGGCCATGGTGGGCCGCCCACAAGGCCCGGTGTCATCAAATCTGCTCCAGTCCGCAGCTTGTCCAACACAAAGTCTTGGGTGTGTATCAGAGGCACCAGTCCAGGATTCTGCCACAGCGTGTACACCGTAGGATATAATTTTGAGTCTTTGCCATATTGCATCCAGAGTATCCTTTCTTCATGGCCAGGGTGCGCTCCTACGTAAACCGTACCCGAGACAATGGTTGCATTTGCGCCTGCGTGCGTGGTGAAGCGGGCGGAGAGGCACGTCTCGGGTACAAGGCTTGAACGTATTGATGTCAGAGCGGGCGAGGCGGTGTTGGAGGAAGCAGATTCCTGGATCTCGGTAATGGAGGCGGTGGTGTCGATTTCCTGCAGTGTTGGAACATGCACCCGGTATTCTGCGATGATCTGGTCGGCCAACTTCCTGCGGTCAGAAGATCGAAGCGGGGAGAGATTCTTGATCTGTGGTTTTTTCTTGAACATGGTCAAACGGCGGGAAGTAATCAATTCTGTGTGAAGGTTGAAGGAGGGGTCGACGAGCAGATGTCTGCTGAGGTTCAAATTAGTGGGTAGAGCGTGATGCAACTTTTTGATTATGGGATTTATGCTCTGCCAGCAGAGGTAATGAGACTGGATGCTCTCGAATGCTCAAGGAGTAATCTAAATGAGTCACGCATGCAGTAGCACTGGCGACTGTAAGTTGTTGTGGCCTGAGGTGGGATAAATTACTGGAACATTTTTGGAGTCGATATAAATATTCGACTACGTCACTCAAGTGCGTGGCCGCGTTATCTTTCATCGACATGCCACACGATCCGTCTGCTGCAAACACCTATTGAAGACGGTCGGACGAGTGTACCAAAGACGCAAGCACGAGTTTGTTCTTCATCTCATCATCAATCAGCATAGATACCCCTCTTCTCCCTCCTCGCCTCCTTCCACCAGTTATCGGACGAGTCAGGTATTCCAGGTAGCGGAATATGGGCTCTCAACTTTCGTTTGTTCTCTTGATCGATGCCCTGTTCGTGATTTCGCGAAGCCATTTCTCGATCCACGTCCAATTGCTTGAATTCAGTCAACGAGCCCATCAACTTTGGCGGTCCGAGGGGCAACTCATCCCTTTTGTCAACGTCCCAGAAGTGATAGAGCTTGCCGTAAAGTCCAACCACTTCTTCCATGGCGGCCGTCTCGATTCTATCCCACGCATCCTTGTTGTGACTATGTGAAGCAGGGTACGGGAGGACCAACATCCCTGACTTGACCTCAAACTCGTGCGAGTGCCACAGCTTCTGCTCTTCCTGGTCCAGCTTTTCGTAGCGCGATTTCGGGATCATGTACTCGACTCCAATGAGTCGTGCATCAGGACGGCATGAGTCGTAGATCAAACATTGTCTCAAGTCTGAGATATAGTCATTTTCCCGGCACATCCCGTCTTCTCACCCACTGGCTTACCTTTGCTCACGTGCGAACAGAAATGGTGAGCCGAGACTGTCCTCACTTCGCCACGCCTGGCTTCCTCGGTGTAAATGTGCAAAGCATGGAGATATTCGCAGATACCGTGAAGGGGTTTGAGTTCAGGCTCAATGGTGCCTCTCACGTGGGTCTCTATCCCGAGATACAGTAACCATGACTTGATCCAAGCGGTCGGACTGAACTTGAGCGCCCAGGAAGCGATGTCGGAAACCGAGGGAGCAACAACCTGGCTTTGACTCATGATGAGGGCCTGAAGTGTTCGAGAAAGTGATTACAAGACGACAGCAAATTTGAAAGGACGGACCCTGGAGTGTCTTGCAAATAATGGTCATGGCCATGGTCCGAAGCAGAGACTGATGTCACAGGCAGGGATGCATTACGTTCTTCGCCTGACTCCCGTCATATCCTGGCTACTCACCGTATAGAATTGCTCAAAGTGGACAAAATTGAGTCACATCTGGAAGGCAATAGATGATGATCGTTTTCTGATCAGCTCCTTTCTCTCTTGATCTCGAGCTCGCAAAATACGTATACAACTGAAAACATTGAAAGTAGCGGAAAGAGCTCCCGTTGCTGTTCCAAGAATGATAGAAGCCACCCCACCCCGCACGAGGCTGAGCAAGGCTCGGAGATGTCCCGCGGGGCTCAAGTTACCCGAGCTTTCATTCCCCCTCGGCTCGGTGATGCCCCTCCATCCCCATAATCGGAGCGAAGCGCAACGCGTCAACAGACTATGAATCTGATGATTGAACGGTAGGAAGGGCGTAAAGTCCAAGTCATACAGGAGAGACTGCTTGTGGATTGCGCCAAGTGTTTGTGTTGAATGCTTTTTCAGATAAATTAAAGCAATTCCGAAGTTCGGAGGGGCACCTCATTCAATCGTTGTTCTATTTCCGTACGACGTCTTTGTTTTACGCTCAAGATCTTTTAGTGCTGCGGCAAGTAGAGTCACTTCGTCATCGATATAAAATGGTCGGTCGTCTCGAAGGCAAAGTGGCCATTGTCACAGGTGGTGGAAGCGGGTTTGGAACGGGAATCGCGACTAAACTGGTGCAAGAAGGTGCCAAAGTTCTGATCAGCGATCTCAACGAGGAAGCGGCCTCGAAAGTTTCTTCATCACTGGGAGTCGAGTATCTCGTGGCCAACGCAACCAAGCGTTCTGACTGGGAGGCACTACTTAAGAAAGCCATCGATGTCTTCGGCGGTCTCGATATTATTGTCAACAATGCCGGCACGACGTACAAGAACAAACCGACGGAGACGGTCACGGACGAAGAATTCGACCTCGTCTTTGACGTGAATGTCAAGAGTGTGTACATCTCGACAAGTGTTCTGTTGCCTTACTTTCTCGAGAACAACCGACCTGGTGTGTTCATACAGATTGCGTCCACTGCTGGGCTTCGACCCCGCCCGGGCTTAACATGGTATAACGCCTCCAAGGCTGCCGTGAGCAATGCAACCAAGACGATGGCGGTCGAATATGGCCCTAAGAAGATCCGGTTCAATGCAGTTTGCCCGGTTGTGGGAAGTACAGGCTTGTAAGTGCACAGCGTGCCGATGGTTGTTGTAGCTAACCATACTCCCCAGGACACATTTGTTCATAGGCAAGCCAGATACAGAGGAAAACAGGGCGGCATTTGTTTCGACCATCCCATTAGGCCGAGGAAGCACACCCAAGGACGTTGCAAATGCCGTTGCTTACCTTGCTAGCGACGAAGCAGAATTCATTACTGGAGTCAACTTGGAGGTTGATGGAGGTAGATGTGTATAAGTCTCTGCAAGCTGGATTGTATGGCTGTGCTAGGAATGATAAGCAGGTGAAAACACCATTCGCAGACTCGTGACACACATGATCCAGAGTTTAGAATAGATCGTGCAAGAAGCTCACGACCAGAGCTTCGATATAATTGTCCAAAAACCGTCAAATTGTCCAAGTGACCTGTCATTTCTTGGTACCGGCAGGGTATCTCCCATGCTTGTTGACACTTGTGAGGTGCATGCCAAACCACGAACAAACGGCCTAGGTACGAGAAGGACTTACCAGGCTCAGAGGCATCGAGCGGTCTAGAGCAGAAGTGTCAAGCACGTGAATCGTCGAAGAGGAACAAATAAACATGCGGACCAAAACTCGCGAGTCGTGACGGATTGGCAGATGTTCCCACCTGACAGGTTTTTGCCATCACGGGTGAGGGAGCCGGAACACTGGGCACCAGCATCCTGTGATCATTCTCAAGCTCGAATGGGTCTTCCTACACATGACTGTGTCTCCAAGTTCTGGAAACGAGCATTCAAAATATAGAAACAGACAAGGCTGACTTCGATGGCCAAGGTCACGTATCCCAAACATTTACATGTCATCTTAGAGAATCATCCGTCAAACCTCGCACAGGTTCATTGGTTTACATCGACCGATGAGCCGTACTGCTGTGTACAGCGTATGGTTGTGTGGAAAGCGGTTGCGCTTACCTAGGTTGCTGCCGTGTGCTGGCCGTGGCCTGCAATTCGTGCGAGTAACGGGTTGCACAGAAGGGGTCGTCTTTGTCACCTCTTGGCCCAAACACGCGTGACAAAAGACGAGGACAGGTTGTAAGGGGTCGTTGTCCGATTGACTAGGACAGCAGGACAGGTCTCGGTAACACCATGCAGAGCGGGACCGGCTGGTTAGTGTGGTTGTTTCCGAGGTGGAAGTGGTACAAATAGCAAAATCAAATTGGCGGTTGGTAGATATTGTCCTCCATCCACGTCCATGTCCACGTAAACTGGGGTTTTCTGCCTTCGTAACATTGAGGCTGAGTGCAGTACTCCAAAGCATCCCAGATTACTTGATGGCACAGGTTGGTGTTGCCCCAGGATTGGATACTCGTCCTACCAACCTCACGCTTCATGGCATGTGGTGCGAGACAAGGCAGAGGCGTTGAATGGGCTCCTACCTTGCGCTTGAAACAGGGCTGAAGGACAAGGTAGGGGCATCGTGACGTTGGGTGAGGAATGGATGGCAGATGAACGGTTTCATTGGAGAACCAAACTTCACAGCGTCGTATTAGATTGATTTGATTCAACCAGTGTCCGATGAGATCGGAATACTTGATTGATGTAGCAGCAACCTTTCATACAGCCAATCAATCAATGGAATCCCATTGAAACTTCTCAATGACGGGAGTCTCTGTAGCACAAGATGCTTCGGGCAGATTTTCCAGAAGGGTGTTCGTGATATGTGATTTGTCTGGATGGCGCGGTTGACTATTGAGAAGAGCGGAAGATTTCTGGTCCAATCATCGGGTTCCGAGTCGAAAATCTGTAAATTTCCTGTGTCAGGTGCTTGTCAGAGCATGAACCAACCGGATTCTGCTGTCAACAGATGTGCACCACTCCTGGCCGCAGCCTGCATCTATCAAAGACGTGGCCGACAAGGAGCGCTCTGTACCTTGTACTCCGTACAACGTGGAAGACCACAGAGGGTCTAGATCTAGGGTGGCTGATCTTCAAAATTGTTGACTGGTACTGTAGTCTGCGATTCCGTCCACAACATAGGGACATTGAACGGGCATACCTCAGATCCGCACAGACTACTCGGACAGTAGGTACCTAGGTAGTGGAGAAGAATGTCCATTGTTGCCGAAATCAGCGATCATCAAATGAGAAATCACCACTGGCACTCGATACAAGCGCACGTTCAATGCAGGTACCGTACTGAGTTAGGTATCAACAGATGTGCAGAGGGTCAATTGGCAGTACGACAACCGAGAAAATCAACATTTCCAATTAATAGTAATCACCAGGAATCAAACACGGATCGCGGATGTTGGACTGGTGCGGAGGAGACACTTTGATAGTGTGAACTTAAGGGAGTTCAAAGAAAATCATGTGCCATGATTGGCGTCAGTGAGCTTCTCGTAAAGACTAAAGAGCACCTCAGTAACGAAGGTCAATTTCAACATTCGTACACTATACTAAAGGGAGCTATGGTGGCAACGTTAATGGACCATGAAATCCGAGTCCAGCATGCTCTGGGCTTCATCGCGCTGTGATCAAAGCAATAATGTCTCAAGAGCTCTTTCTAAGCGAGACCGTTTTGACACACGGTGTCTCTCGATCGCCGAGGATGATTGACGGAATTGCAAGTCAGGTTGGTGCTCGAACTTAGAAGATCTCGCACGACTTTTGCAAGGTGGCGTGCCAGTTTCAGTGGCAATGAGACTTGGAAGTTGGCGAACCATGCACGCTTCTGCAAAGCTAGAAGACTCATCACCAAACTAAGGAGAATTTCGGTATGGCCTCATGCAAGTAAAGGGACGGCTCAGTGTCGGCTAAAGGCCCGCCTGGGCTTAATTTTTGGCGCTATCCCTGGGGGTGCCAGTGGTCGAAACGGGCACTAATGACATGAATCCAAAGCCCAGAGTTCATACTAACGAGTCATGGACATCCGGGACTGGATGCCGCCCTCCATGCACCAGACAAATCGCCCGTATTCTTGCAGCAGGCGTGTGATTCCAGCCTATGGAACATTGGTCTCCAGAGTCCAAGGTTCGACCGATTTGAGGCACGGATTTCTATTGAGTGCCTGTTTAAGCGAAAGTCCCCCATTTCGTACAAAACACTCGCTGTCTCCGAGTCTGGCGTTATCTGGACAAGCACGCTTTTCAACCCAGTTAGACACTGGCCTGGGTGGCTGTCTTGCTGGCGAAGAAGGAAAGCTCGGGTACGGACCACAGCTGGAAATATCGCCGAGCTTGCCATCTGGTGCCCTGTGCACACCCTGGAACCTAACTAAAGCTGCAAAGGTTTAGGCTCTTTAGGCCTGCTCTCGTCTATCTACCGCCCCTGGTTTTCTGACTTGGCTGTTTGACCCTGCAATTTTACTGGATTCCACGCCCGTGTTCTTGGGATTTGCTGTCAACCACGATACGGAGGAGCGAGGACACCTGAGTGAGAGTACCGAGTAAACTTGAAGGACGTCATCCCAGCCTAGGCTTGGGGATTGCTGACCCTCAGGCCCCTGGTGACCAACCAATGCTTCTGGTTCTGAACGATGGTTGGTATCATGATTCTTATTGATGATCTGATTGAGTTTCTCAATATCATCAAGTAGAGACACATATTCTGTCACTCCTTTACATCTCACAGATCAAGCCCGCCGAGGGTGGAAACACTGGGTCTCATCAGTCCATAGGCTTGTGAAAAGCGATTGAATTTGTGACACGGAAAAAGATTCAAGATGAGCCAACCACTCTGAAGGGTGTTTGTGTTCGTTCAACATGGAACACAACCTGTTATCCGTCCAACTCGGCAAGTTCCTTTAACAGAGATCCTCACTCTAAAGCTAGAAGCCTGAACAATTGACTCCCATTGTCAACCTATTCTTATTGTTGAGGCAACAAAGTCTGCTTTCAGAAGCTGTACGGAGTACCTAATCCACCACTATTGTTACGCACAGTCATTCTTGAGAATTTAATCCATCAGGATTCAGGTGAGGTTGCATGTCTGTGCAGCCAAATTCGCCTGACAGGAGAGTTTTTTTGGTCAATGCAAACAGCAAGAGAGAGCTAGCCCGAGTCAAGATTTAGACATGTCGCTTAGAAATCACTCGTGGGCGGGCGCTTTGAGCACGAAGAATAGAATTTTTTTCTTCAAACACGTTGTTGCCACGCTCTTCGCTTCCAGAACAGTTTAGATTGATTCGAAACTGGCTTCTGTGGTCAGTCTAGCAGTACTATTGCATTATTCCGTAGATTGGTGCACATCATTGTTGCTTGAATCATTGAACGAACAGGCCTGCCACAAGTGAAAAGACAAGACAAGACGGCGGCGGAATCACGGATACATACTAGCAATCAGACCCATCAAACCAGACGAAATGGAGGTTGGCTGTGACTCGGATGGCAAAAGTTTAGTGGCATTGATGTCCCGTCTGGGCACAAAATGGACGGGGATGATCGCCGCTGGAGGTCTGTGCTGCAGGCCACCACCATCAAACGAGCAGGGGCCGGAAGGCCAAGATGGCTGACTTCAACGATGCCCTTTTTCAATCTAGGTTGGTGGGGGGGGGGTGGTTCATGGCGTACAGGTCATATTGGGAGGAGGGCAGCCCATGCGTGCCAGCACGAGTGAGGGGGAGCGTGTAGCGAGAATGCACCATTGCTCAACATAGCTTAGTCTTTTGGGCTAGGGAGGGGCGTGGTACGCTAGACCAAGGGCTCCATGCAGATGCTTTGCCCGGACATGCCTAAGCCAGGGTGCCGGTGCCACGCTGGTCCCAGGTCGGCTAGCCAAGGAGTAGTCCCCTGGAAGGGAACGAGGATCCGCGCGATGACAAGTGGATCGAATTATTGAAATTGGTGGGTGTGTGCTCCCAAAAGTCCCAGTCTCGGTTGCTCCCACCAGCTGGGTCAAGCCCTCGAACTGCCTCCCCGGCACTGCAGTCTGCAGTGGCTTCAGCACTCGGATTGAGGGTGGAATCTGGGATTTTGGGGACTGGGGACTTGCCTTGGGCCCCCGACCCTACTGGGCCCAGTCCTGGAATAGTGGACAGACTTCGGTGCCCATGCCTGTGGGTGATAGGACTAGCACTTGGACTGGTTCGCCCGCCCGCCCGCTACGAGTACGAGCACCCAAATCCTCAACTACCAAGTCGTCTGGCCTCACTTCTGGCACTTCCACCGCCTACACCTGCTCTTGCACTTGCTACACCCATTACCACTGTAGCACCTCATCTTCTTCTACAAGTGACCTCCGTCCTTCTTCATCACACCTTTTCCCAGCTCCCTGTCGCTACCCTCTTTTCATCCCAGGGTTTGGCAGACTGCGGTTGATCTCTTTTCCATCTTTGTGTGATTCTCCTCTGGTTAGCTCAGCTGTGGTTTGCGTTTCTACCAACCCAAACGGCGTCTTCGAAGCCTGACCAGTCCCACATTTGAGAGTCCGGCAGATTCCTTCTACCATCTCCCCCTACCAACAAAAGTCAACAACAAACAACATCATCCGCCAATTATCTCATATAATCAGTCGACTTGTCCCCATAGCCTTGCCCACGATTTAGGCACGACTATCCATTAAATAGGTCGGCTGAAAGAAGTTCGACCAATCTATCCGCAGTCTCTCGCGAACAACCAGTCGAAAACCAACTCGATCGGCAATCTCTAATTCCCAACGACCACTACAAGAACATCATTGTCGTGGCCGAGCCGGAAACCCACAGGACGACTCCATTCCAGTCAAGAGGTGGTTCGCAAAGTTCATTTATTGCCTGTTGTGTGGATCAGGAAGCAGCATTGCCAACCTCTTCTGAATCATTCTGCCAGCAACGACCGCAAACTCTTTCGAGGAGTGGACTTGCTGCATTCAAAGGCGGGTGTTGACAAAGTAGGAATCTATCAGACCAAACCCAAGGTTTAGAACAAGGTTAGTCTTTCTATTTTCTTTGGTTCAGGTGCGCGCCCAATACCGATCCACCCTGTGATGAGGCCCAAGAATTGCTTGAACATGATTCTTAGACGTGTACCAAAGAGTGTTCATGAATTTCCATTTTCTCTTGGTGGTGTGAATTCTCAAGTTCATCACTTCAGGTCTTTACACTCCATCCTGCACATTGAATATCATCATTGGCTATGACTGCCTTTGAACATTTGTTTCTAACATCTCAAACACACACCCGTTGTATTTTTCAAGATGGCTGACCATCCCGCAGTCCTAGAACCGCGATCATATTCGGTCGAGGTCGATACAACCACAAATAATCCTGACTCTCAGCCAGAAGTTGAGACAGGGCAGGAAGCTGAAGCTCAATCGGATTCACAGCCGGAAATCGAGCCAACCAGTAACTCACAACTAGAGGTAGACTTACCATCTCGTTCCGGAACAGTCACACCGATCGACAACCAGGCTGTCTCTCCCACAAACCACAACGACGTTCGCCTTCCTGGGATTAGAGAGGTCGTTGGAGAGCAGTTGCTTCTGCCTAGACCACCTCCAGTCGAACTGGGAATTCCACCACCAGGACGTCCGGGCGAAATACCAATCTATCTGGACAAGCTTCCTATTCAACTCTACGAGATCGCCGGAGGATTCTACAATATGACACAACCTCCGAATGAGACTAAGTCATCGCATGAGCGACTGACTGTAGATCACAGAAAGATCAGATACACCCTCGCGCTCGTCCAACAGCCAGAGAAAGCCAGAGCTTGTGGATCAGGACCTCGTTGTACGTTGCGCTCCTTAATTTGACTGATTTCTGGCTGACGATTGATCTATAGCATCAGCTGACCGTAGACCTGTTGACCCTCCTCCTGTTGTGGAGCTGAGGGTCTTTGCGAATGATGTCGATGTCACCATGTCTTATGATGCTACATTTATGCTCTACGCTAGCTTGGAAAATTCGCGACCAATAGCATCCGGCAAGATGCATTCACCTCCAACCATTCCAGTCCTGACAGGCGTCGCGGTTGCTAGCGCTGCCTACTTGGAACGCCCAAACCCTGCAGCGTACTTCATTTTCCCAGACTTATCAGTCCGACATGAGGGTTGGTACAGATTGAAATTCTCTCTGTTCGAAGGCGTCAAGCACGAAGCAGACGCAGATGAAGATAAACCTTTCCACAATATTCCTCTGACACAGGACAAATATACACGCCCCGTTCGCCATGAGAGCATGTTTAATCGTCTGGAAGTACAATCTCTCCCTTTCCAGGTCTTCAGCGCAAAGAAATTCCCCGGCCTCAACAAGAGTACCACGCTCAGCAGAATGGTCGCTGAGCAAGGCTGCCGTGTTAGAATTCGACGAGACATCCGCCAAAGGAAACGAACGGGAAAGGGAGATGTTGATGTCGATGATGTCCACAGCTCCTACCAAGGGACACCTCAAGCAACCTATCGAACACTGGATCATTCGCGATCTGCGAGCCGTAACAGTATTGGCAGTCAGTATGAACCCGATGCTCGGCGACTATCCGTGGACAGCAGCTATCGACATCCAGGTATCCAAACTCGGCAACCATCAATTGTTGGTATGCCTCTAGGAAGCCCTTCCCAGCCCACTCCTTCTCAAATGACGATATCCATGCCTCCTCCATCAGCAGCGTGGTCCCAAGGCACCATGCCACGGCCGCTATCGGATGCATCCCCTCTAATATCTCCTCACACACCAACACGAATGCCAGCACCCATGACGTTTCCACAATCCTCTTCACTCCCTGTCGAGCCATCGAGACCCATCATCAACAACAGTGGCATAACTCTTCCCCCGTTGTTTACCTCATCTTCTTACCATCGGCCTCTGTATGCAGTCCAGGAAAGCTTCCCGACGAAGCGATCAGCAAGCTCGTATACCTATGAAACAGAGACTGCTTTGAAAGACCGTGGACGTCCTGATAATCGTCCTCCTGCTTCTCTACGGCGCGCATACTGGAATCCTGACACAAGCGTTGATGGTGCCAATCAGGTGATTGAGCCGGATAACGGCGAGGAAGAGGAGTTTGAGGAAGTTTCCTTGTTGAACGGTCCTTTGGTTTACGAACGTGCCGATGGTTCAAGACAGAACAAAACATGGCATGGACATTTTTGAGGACTGCTCAATCATTTCTTGTCCGATTTCAACCTCGTCTGTCTCGGGCGATTCCTCTCTAATAATGACGATACCGATCAACTATGAACATACCCCTTCTGCAATCACCCTTTGGACTTTTTACACTGGATGTACGGTCATTCTGCGTGGTGCTGGCGGCGAATTGGTGGACTTGTTTTGTTTTATGTTACGCGATGGTGTGTGAAGAAGTTTCTTGTTATTGGGACAAACAGAACCATCCAACTTTTACGGCACTACGGTGCCGCGATGAGCACAAGTCTTCAGCTTCGAAGCAGTTTTGATTTAGTCTGCAGAACCAAACGCGAACAGTGTCCTTAACAGCTAATCAGTGGCTGTGCCTTTCTTTTTCAGTGGATTTCTACACTGATGTGTATGATCTTTCAAGACTACTCTCATCCCTCGGATTCGTTACCGAACCCAACAGAGTTACGCAAGACGGAACAGAGGCATTACAGTTGCCTTGGAAATGAAAGAGGAGCCCCTTTTGAACTTCAATGTGCATCATTATAGGGTTTTGGAATTCTTTGGGACAAATGCTCGGTTCATGAGAGGAAAAGGCTATGGGAGGAGTCAGGTGGGTGGTGGAAGTGTTGACTTGATAGATATAGTCATCGGACAAAAATCCTAACTATACTATTCACACTCGCAATATTGGTACTTCATGACCTTGATTTCTTCCACTGAGTTGTATCTCAACTATCTCAACCACACAGTCATCGTGTATACTATCTATCTCGAGAAATGAGCTGCAAGGTAAACCACGACCCAGTTCTCGAGGAATTCGTATCTAGATCGAGCTTCTCACCAACAAAGTCAGCATTAACCGCAAACAGGGGATTGACCGACACTGACTTTAGACGGCCATCAACTCTCCTCAAAAGACAATCTAGCGAGGTAGATTTCGACCGCAAAGTATGCCCTGTTGATCGCACGAGTATGAGATGCGGGGCCTAGTTAGATTACTGAGATAGTGGCGTTCCAGATCCAAAAATTGGCAAGGCTTCGGTCGAAATGGCTACTCTGTTTCAATGTATCGTTGTGATCATCCGTCTTAACCTTTCTGCGTCGGTCGGAAACTGTAAAGCTGCTTGCCGCTACGACTGACCTTTCAGATTGATCGCGGCCTCGGGCGTGAATATGGCCACCATTGGGAGAGTGACATTGAGTCTGACATGACAGACAGCCCAGTGCCATCCGGACCCTCGTTTCCAGCTGTCCCAAGGAGACTCTCTCCCGACTATGTTTCCCGCGGTGTCAGGCTGTCTGTCAAAGCATACTGTCTCTCAGGTCTCTGACTCGCTAGTTCGTGGGTCTAAATCGTCCCACGGACCATGACTCGTGCTCAATCAAGGTTGAGGGTTGAGCCATCCATAGTAGTAGTTCAAGTGGCTGCAAACCGGAAATGCTCCGTTCTTTCTGTCTAGTCGGCTTCTATTTTCGAGTACGAGGGCACGTCCATCCGTGACAGAAAGTGTCGGAAATCAAGGGTCCATTCTTGCCCATCAGAATGCCAGTGGTACACATCAGATAAGGAACGATCATCCGACCCTGGACTCCACTGGTTACGAAGAGTGCGCGAACAAAACGAGACTTCAGCAACAGCCGTTCGTCCTCGTACGGATCATGATGTATCTACCATTTTCGGGAGTGGGAAAGGGGGAGGGGGAGGACAAGGGAAGTGCCGGAGTCTAGTCAGGATTGAAGTGGACAGACGCTAGACACTATCTATTTTGCGGAGTCACTATCTGTTTCAAGGAAGCCATAAGGCCTGTAACTACGGATAGCGAAAAGGGTCGGTCGAGGCTGAGTGTAACCCGAAATAGTGCCTGCTCCGAGTTGTGTGGTAAGTTTTGGTCGAATTGATTCATCAACTCTACTCGGTACCATGCAAGAGGTCTACCAGGTAATTCTGAGCACCAACCTGAAGTCAGAACCAGTTATACTGGGGGATGGCATTTGGAATCCTCGGCATTAGAATTTCTTATAAGCTGGTTTTGATATTGGGTTTTGAGAGTGACCAGGGGTTGCCGGCAATGAGGTTGGAAATACGTAAGTGGTGTCGGACTGCTGATGAGCGGTCCGCACTAACTCGTTTGACTACCCAAGCTGAGCTCTGTACCAGGTGACAACCTTTGGGTTTGCAAGTCACCAAAAAAGGGTTCGAAGCATCCGTACGGAGGACGTGATAGTGTTCGGACCTGGCCCCGAGTTACGAAGTACTACTACCTGTATCAACCTCGGACGATGCCAGATCCACAGACCCGAAGATGAATGTGTGAAGTTTCACTACCAAGAGGCGTCTAAATATGGAGACTTCGGATCTTCAACTATAATCTGCCAGACAAGTTTGTCGACTTGTCAACAAGTTGTCGCTCAAGTTCAGACGTGTCATTGGCGCAGAAGCAAAGTCAAAACCAGCGTGGTTCGCACACATGAATCTTCAGGAGCTGGAAGGTCTTGAAAGTGCCGTTTCTGTCACTGTTAGCATACTGCACCGTCAGACTGATGAAACAGCCACTGGCCCCAGCGACTCGAGTCGGGGTACTTTGGCCAAGGTGTCCTCTTTGAATATAACAAATGGACCTCTTTGCCACCGGGACTTGCCTGCAAGCTCTTTCACAAAAGTGCAGCAGAGTGGGAAGAGCCAACATCGCGTCGGGATGATTGGGGTATCCATCTCGTTGTTCATTCCTGGTTTGCCCCAAAGTCAATCGACCATGCATTGATACATACGATGGATGGGCACACAGGCTGACGGAGTACGCGAGCTGGCGAATCGGCGATGACATGTCAATCACGTCGTCGCAAAACTGTCACTGAACTTAAGAAGCGCACTGAGGTTTCTTCTGGGACAACAGAACATTCACGGCATCCCAATCACTTGGAATCCAGCAGCGCTTGGGCCGTTACTCTCAGCCTCACGGCGGACGTGTCGTGCGACGATGATTGGATACCTCTGTCAGATGATCACTCCTCGGTCATGGCTTCTGTAGGCCCGAGCTGAAGTTCAATGAGGGCGAGGACGAATGGATGGCAGATCCCAAAGGACAGGCTGACACGTTTTGACGTGGAAAACCACGATGTCAAGATTCCCAGCTACGCCTGATCCGACAATTTGGATGGCAGCTGTCAACTGAGGTTTGGCACACTTCCTTGTGCCGCGATCACTCTCTCCGACCAATTTGTCGGATCGCTGTTGCATGCATTGGACTCTGCGGATCGATCTGCTTCTCGAGTTATGAGGTTTAATTATTGGGGTTTAAGATGTGATGCATATGCAAAGCAAGGCAGCGAACACCATATGCTCCCCAATCTCAGGAAGACATCACAGTTAATGTCCCAAGAGCTCATTGGGCCATTCCCAAGCATACGGCTAATGGACCCATGAACAGGGTACACCATATCAGGGCATAACACTTTCCATGTAAGGATCTCGTGGTACCCAGTACCCCATCACATGGTCGCGAAACCTTTCCATTCTAATGGACTCCACCAAGATGTGGAAGAAGCCAGATACCGTCCCGTGCTTCGCAACTTTGAGACTATTTCTCCTAGCGTCTCACTTTTGGAAGAGACGCTGTCAGAACTGCACGGACTAACGTCTGTTATGCTATGACGAAATTTGTGTAGCACATTCAACCGTGTGGAGGGATCTGACGAGGGGCTGGATCCTACTAAGCCCGAGCTTTGACACTGGAGTTCCAAATTCTCGATTCGATTGTGTTGTCCACGATTGAGTTTTCTCGAGTCAGTTGGTACCCGTCGAATCTGGTCTAGAGAAGTTCGTCCTTGTTTGGACGCCTGGATCTGGGACAACTGGCTGTTATCACAAGTCACCAATCACATTACGCTCAATATTTGTTCATCTCGTACTGGTAAGTTGCCTGCACTGCTACGGCTTTAACATTGTTTCTTTGAGTCTTGTCAAGTCTACCAACGATGAGTTGGTCTTCCACGGGATATTGCTCCATTTGTAGGAACTAAAGCCATCACAAGGCTTTCCAACTAACACGAAACAACTTGTCAACATGTCAACGAAGGAGTTTTGCATTTGCCAACTACCAGGAGAGAACGGTTGCGATTTGTGCCTTGCCGACACACTTGAAGAGCAGGTTTGTGCTGTCAATTGCATTAAATACTCGAAGAGTGCTTGGGGGCCCATGAGGCCACTACCTCAAGCCACGGGGAAAGTACTATTCTTTCAAGCTATGTGAGATTGAAACGCACAAGGCAATATTCGGTAGGCCAGTCGTTCAAGCCTCACCCTTCGATGTATTGCAGTGTTTACTCGACTTGGAACTCCTTGACAAATGTATCGCTAGATCACCGCGACCTTTTTTGATACTCCTTCATACTTCCTATGTGCACGTATCACTTACAGTCAATTGGGCCATGAAGATTTTTGCTTGGCGAGCTAGATGTCGACTCAAGATGATCGGACCGGATTACAGGGGAACCATGGAGGCTCAGGGTGATTGCTAAATCGTGAGCTCCCGACCCAGAGGCCGTCTGTCAGCGGACTTGACACACGAACCACTCATCAGGTTCTGGAGTTGTACCCCAAAAGTGAGCCTTGGGTGGCTCTCTCATTCCACCACCGACCTATTTATTATCTTTGATCATCGAAGACACGAGGATATGATGACCTAGCAATGTGGTTTCAACACATCTACATAAGCTATTACCGGTAGTATATTGGCATAGGTAAAATATCAAAGGTGTAGCACGTTCCGGAAAAGATATCCGTTTTTGTTCAACTCACGATCGAGTTTGAGATTGAATGGGAGGCACCTGACAAACTTGGGGCTGGGCACATGAGAAGTACCTAGTGTTTGCTATTGAGACTAGTATTCGGGCATTGGTACTGGTAACTTCCATTGACGCGGATGTATTTTCTGACACTTATTGAAGATACCTCGGTCGCTAATTCGACATCTACACCCCTGTAGCCGGGCTTTTCACACCCTGTAAATTTCACACGCAAGATTCAAATCGCCATATTTTTTATGAGATTGAACGTACTGAGGTCTATCGGTAACAGGTAAGTGTTTGCCACTCAGTTAAAAACTGGTTACAGTAAACTTTCAACCCGTCTGCCTTTCCACTCGCCTCGGCAGAAACAAGGAGACAGGAAAAAGAATCCAGAATTTGAGTTTACAGCCAATTAAAGGATTCAGGAGTTGCAGTTCCGTCGAATGAGCCATTTTGATTGATTCGCCTAAGGTTTCTTTAGATTTCTGATGCGAATGGGAGCATCGTCCATTCGGCAGATCGAGTCCCCATTGTTCTCCGTTGGTGGGCAGGAGGTCTACGAAGTGGTTAGGGTGCCAGCCGACCACTACAGTCACCTCAGCACTTGTGTGATGGCAGTTGGTCCAATGTTCGATTGATTATAATCCACCTTCAATTTTATATGGGCGTCATGATTCTTCCACGTGGCTGCACCGTGACTGTCAGAACTCGCAACTCTTGAGCGTAGTCGTCAACAGCTTATCCAGGCGTCGGAGGTAGTGATGTCTATCTCTGCTCCGAGGAAGAAATCCTTCTCGGAACGATCACCATCACGCAAAGGCCGTTTACCAACTACGCAAAGCCGAGACTCATATCGACCTCTCTTGCCATGCCCGCAAGTCCTGAGTCCGCCCTCTGTTCCATCGCCGGCAGGACAGGAAGATTCAAACTATGAGAAGCCCGTTCGAACAGCACGCAATAATGTTACTCTCGCTTGCAACGAATGCAAAGCCAAGAAGGCCAGATGCGACGGTAGCGATCCGTGTTCAAGGTGTACAGCCAAAAGTTTGCATTGTATATTCGACTCGAACAGGGACCGACGGCGCCTGAGAGGCACTCCCGCCGAGAGTCTCATCCTGAGAGAGAAAATCTCCCAGTATCAACGACTTTTCACCATCATGCACGACACGTCCGCAAAAGAGGCCGTCCGAATACTCCACCTTCTTCGCTCATGCTCAAACGATATACAGCAAAGCCCCGGAAATCCTAGCAATGACTTCCCTTTGGATGAACTTTTGCAGCTCGTCGAATCATTCCACCAAGGCTCGGGTAGTCCAGAGAGCATCAACAGTGTGAACAAAGCCGCTCGTTCACCGAACTCGCTTGACAGTGCACCCCTTTCTCGCCTCAATATGAGCAGCAGCAATCCGGGAAACCTTAGCATTTCACCTAACTCGCCTACTGATTATCATCTCCACAACTCGACGGTACGTCGATTCACAAGCAACCTGCATTCGGTTTTCTTGATGCTACACAATGCCCATGCCTGACTTATTCTGACTGTTTCTGGTAGGTTCAAATGTTGTCTCCAATCAGCGCGAATCAGCAACAATCTACATCAATGTAAGTGGCCATGCTCCGGTGTTTGTAGGCAGTACTTATTTTCATGGAGCAGTTCTCCTAGTCGACACAATCGCCAGTACCATACCGGCTCCGAGTCATACGGGAGTTCGAATACGACGTCGCCTACCAAAGACTCGCCCGTTGAAGCTACAGCGGCGTCAAATTGGCCCGCGGTCGTCAAAACTGATCTGAAACAGGTCACTATGTGGTTGAACCAAGACATGGATATAGCGGCGAACGCATTGAAAGGCCGCCAATCGTCGATCAGTCGGCTTCTTAATGATGGAACCGCTACCAGCTGACAATGAGCATTGGCGGTAGGTCCTTGTAAGCAGGTCACTGAGCTTCAGCGTTCAATGAGATCTGGCTTTTGGCTGGTCACTGATCGCAAGATATAGAAGCTGGGGAAACGGAGGTGTTTATTGATCTTCGATGCTAAGGTGCAATATGACAAGAGCATGCGTTTTGAGTTCAATTGAAATGGCACACTACTCAATCTCAATCCCGTGCTTAGTGGGGATAGTAGCCAACGGAGCAGCTCTGACAGCTTTGAGCGTGGCAGGAAAACCATAGTGGGGGATGGCGGTCTTATCGACTGCAGTGCGCCAAAACCTACGGGCAGGTCATGATGAGGTACAAAAGAGATATCTTCGCAAGTCAGTTGTCATGGGAGACCTCGGGTTCAGCGGTCGTCGCTATTCAGTAAACATCTGCATCGAGCGGCAGAAGCGGTCATGTAGTTATGTCGAAGTTTTTACAGCGATCTCCATTTCGGAGGGCGCGATTCATTTCTTTGGCTGAGGCTCTTGCTGAAACATGAATGACTCATATAAGAACGTTCCCTGCAGGTGGCGATTGAATTATACGAAAACTCCTTCCCAAAAAGGGATTAGAGGAGGAACGCAGCCTTGCGCCTACTCAGCCTCACGTTTCAACGACGGAAGGTTTTACCGCGGTATGGAAAAAGAATACTCCTGTCTGCCGAATTCTCGCAGAGTACAGCAGATGGTATTACTCCTTTATTGGTGTCTAACATGTAATAAGCACCCCGTAAGGCAAGCCAGATGAGCTGCTGTCGTAAGGCTTCTTAATATGATCGCTTCACTGGTGGTACTGCCTTGCATTCATTTTCATCCAAGGTATGCATAGTGACAGGCCTATACCCGATCTTTATATCCTCGCCCACATCCTGCTGCCAGCTCAAACTATGTTTTAAGAATTCTTTGTCGAGGCGGTCTGGGAAATCCTCTCGTGCATGGCTCCCCCTCGACTCCTTGCGCAGTAGTGCACTCTTTGCCGTCTGGGTTGCGCATGTGAGTAGGTTTCGCATCTCCAACGTCTCGATGAGGTCCGAGTTCCATATAAGACTCTGGTCTTTGACGCAGAGATCAGTCGTGAATGCCTCTTCGACTTCTTTGAGTCGTTTGCCGCCTGTGGACAGGCTCTCCTCGTTCCTAAATACCGCGACATCGGTCTGCATGGCTTTCTGCATATCGAGGCGTAGCTCGGCTGTCAGACGGGTCCCATTAGACGTGCGCAACCTCTCTAGGTCTTGGAAGCCTTCGACTCCTGTCTCGGGGCCAACGCTTCCTCCGTTACGGAAAACTGGCATGCCGATTTCATTATTCTCTGCAATGTGGCCCGCGGCTGCCCGACCGAATACGACGATATCCAGAAGACTGTTGGCTCCGAGGCGATTGCTCCCGTGGACACTGACGCATGCGACTTCACCTGCGGCATAGAGTCCGTTGACTGGTTGTTCAGAGCCAGAAATGGGATCGACGCGTAGTACCTGGCCTTGCCAGTTGGTTGGAACACCTCCCATACAATAGTGGACCGTCGGTATCACTGGGATAGGCTCCTGGGTCACGTCGACACCTGAGAATATACTTGCCGTTTCTGCAATACCTGGAAGTCTCTCCATGAGCACTTCCTTTGGTAAGTGGGAGAGCTGGAGATAGATGTGGTCTTTATCTGGTCCACAGCCTCGGCCCTCTCTTATCTCCATGTTCATACTCCTACTTACCACGTCCCGACTGGCCAGGTCTTTTGCGGTAGGAGCATATCGTTCCATGAAACGCTCGCCCTGACCGTTAAGGAGATATCCTCCCTCTCCTCGAGCTCCTTCCGATATCAGGACACCAGCCCCGTAAATGCCACTAGGGTGGAATTGGATGAACTCCATATCCTGCAGGGGCAAGCCAGCTCTTGCTGCCATTGCAAGCCCATCGCCTGTGGATGTGTGAGCAGAAGTTGCTGAGAAGTAGGCACGACCGTATCCACCTGTAGCAAGGAGGGTGTTTCTGGCAAATATCCTGTGGAGTGTGCCAGTCTCCATGTCAAGGGCAGTAAGACCTATGCAGTCATCGCCATCCATCATGAGGTCTAATGCGAACCATTCGATGTGAAATTGACAGTCGTGCTTTAAGGCTTGGCCGTATAGAGTGTGCAGCATTGAATGTCCTGTCCTATCTGCGACACATGCAGTCTAAGAACCCTAGTTAGAACGCATTTCTTAGGACAGTGATGCTCCATTCTTAGTATTGCAGATAGACTTACTCTGTATGCCTGTTCTTTCCCATAATTTAGACTTTGACCACCTAGCGGCCGCTGATAGATGAGCCCTGAGTCGGTCCGACTAAAGGGCATGCCATATTCTTCCAATTCGCGAACTGCCCGTGGAGCTTCACGACACATATAGTGAATCGCATCTTGGTCCCCTAGCCAGTCGGAGCCCTTGACTGTATCGTACATATGCCACCGCCAGTCATCCTCGGTCATATTTCCCAGCGCTGCGTTGATGCCGCCCTGAGCGGCCACTGTGTGCGAGCGGGTGGGAAACAGCTTGGTGACTACAGCGGTATTCAGACCTGATTCGGCAAGTCCTACTGCTGCTCGAAGACCAGCGCCTCCGGCCCCAACAATGACAGCATCATACTGATGATCCACCACTTGAAAGCTCTTTTGTGTATCCCTCACTGAGCATGTAGTCGCTTGTCGGCGCTGGTGCACCCTCCGCTTGTGGGTGATGGGGCATGTCGATGGGCGCTGTCTCAAGCACTTTGATGGCCACTTACATGTGGTGGGGAGGATTCTTGAGAATGTATTCATCTCGTAGAGTCTCCAAGAAACCAAATGCAAACGGACAGGCCTCAAAGAGCAGTGGCAATCACTATCCTGGTTAAAGAGGGGACAAAAGTCCCCAAGCATAAGGATTCGAGATCTCGAAACGACAGTCCGAGAGTCTGGGGCAGTTCCGAGACCGCTGCACCTCTTGGGGTACGGGATCTCGGAATCCAATCTTTGCGCAAAAGCCCTCCGTCTGTGGCCGAGGTTGTACAACCATGGCCAATCAGAATTGAAGCATTGTTCATCAGGCCATTATCTTAATGTTACAACTAGTCCCATTGAGGACATCATTCTTAGGTGATGACGCACACACTAGGAGCGGTATCGGATATCTGGCCGTCCTCTGATCATCAGAGGTTAGTATGTCCAAGGAAGAATAGAAATGTACGTGTACGATCAGTATTCGAAGATCCGCCCAGGGAGCTGAAGGATCGGTGTAAACATTCACTATCAAGGGGATGCTATCTCTTCGTCGAGAAATCCTCTGATACTGACTGTGAGGGCTATTGTCCACAAAATGTCACCTATCTATCGAGGCATGCATGGCTTGCTACCACTGCCTAAATCTGTTATCACCATCCTGCTCAGATCGCAGACTCTGCTCGTATGATTGCCTGGTAATTTTTTTGGCCGCCGGCGCCACCAGCATCTAGGTAGTTCCTAGTATATGTACGGTGGACCGCTTTTAGGTGTTGGAATGCTTTGGCCCATTAATCACCCGAGATATAGTGGACAATATTGGCTAATGATATATCCAGCCATATGCTGGCACTGATCTCAATTTGAGTACAGGACGTGAATAAGGAAGTCTTCCTAACAACCATGTACTCAGCAGCTCAAAATCACCGCGTTTCTCTTTACTTCTTATAGGAACACCATCCTCCTTCTGAGAAGCATAAGAGTTGCCCTTGGGGCTTTTTGAGAACCCCTGGAAAAAAGATGAAGCTTTATCAAAGGTGGGATCTTCTGACGGCCTTGTCCGTGCCCACCTATCATTGAGATGCCGATGGACCCGAAGATCCATTTGACCAACTTGGTTCGCGGGTTCAGGCAGAACGCACAGTAAGCATTTGCTCAAGCTCAACCTACATTGCCGAAAACTTAATGGCTTCCTGGTGTAATTGGTTCCCTCATTGTCGAAATCGGCAGGGCGTGACGGTGGCAGGTGGAATATCCTGCTCACGACCAATGTGCATCTGCAGCTTTCTATCAACCGAGTCCACTGTTCGCGGGAAGGACCAGAAGTCCAGAGGAGGGGTAGAATGGTCTGCCAGAACCATGATAATGCACAAGCTCAATAGACGCTGCCGCTTCATATAATGGGCATCTACTTGCACTCTCATCCAATTCAACTCGTCTTCCAGAAGCAGACTCAAAATACTACATTTGGCACAGGCAGAGTCTCGCATTGAAGTGAAAGTCAACTGAGCAATCGTTTGATCCTATTGAAGTCGTTGCTATGCATTCCACAATACTTCCCTTGTTGACCACTTTGGTCTCGTCTGCGGCAGCTGAAACCGTGCTGGGAGTATATATCTTCTCTCGCCATGGGGACAGAACTGCAAAGTCAACGCCACCTTCCAGCTTGACCGACCTTGGTTACGCTGAAGTCTTCACCTCTGGATCGTATTACCGAAATCGCTATGTCGCAGACGATGCCTCTCGCCAGATCTACGGTCTGAATACCGACGTCGTCAAACAATCTCAAATAACAGCCTCCGCGCCCGCCGATGCTGTGCTGCAGAACTCTGCCATGGGGTTCTTGCAAGGGCTTTACCCACCAGTTGGACCAACGTTGGGCTCGAGCACTCTTCGCAATGGCACCGTTGTTGAGTCTCCGTTGAGTGGCTATCAACTCATCCCACTCGAACAAGTGACCACGGGCGCAAATAGTGAGAACTCTGCATGGCTGCAGGGCGCCACGAACTGTGCCAACGCTCAAATCTCCTCCAACAACTATTTCACGTCCTCTCAATATTTGACCACCTTGGCGAACACTCACGATTTTTACAATGGCCTGTCTCCAATGATTAACCTCACTTTCGCACCTGGCCAGACCAGCTTCAAGAATGCGTACACCATCTTTGATCTGCTCAACGTCGCATCCATCCACAATTCAAGCACGAAGTTCCCCAACGCTGACCTCCTTACCCCAGAGACATTTTTCCAGGCACGTACTCTGGCCGATCAGCACGAGTTTGGCCTTGCTTATAATGAGTCCGATCCCATCCGTGCGGTGACTGGTTCTATCATCGCAGGAGAAGTCGTCGAAGCTCTGAACAACACAATCACGGGTAATGGAAAGAACAAATTCAACATTCAATTCGGAGCGTACGCTGGTATGATGTCGTTTTTCGGTCTGGCCAACTTGACATCTGTCGACGCGGATTTCTATGGCGTGCCAGATTATGCTAGCAGCTTGTCGTGGGAACTAGTCACCAATGCCACAGTGAATGCGTCTTCCTTCCCTAGCGAAGACGATATCAGTGTCCGATTCTATTTCCATAATGGCACCACCAGTGCGAGCTCAGAGCCACGTGAATTCCCACTTTTTGGAACCGGTCGCAGTCCGCTTCCATGGAACGAATTTGCTAGCAAAATGGGCACCTTCAGCATTTCTGGGCAGAAGCAATGGTGTACAGCTTGCGGCAACAGTACGGGAGTCTGCTCGTCCAGCGCACTGGGAGGTGGAGACGCGAGTGCAGGTACCAGCTCAGCCGGTTCCAGCTCCGATAATACCGGGAACGGAGGAATTTCCAAGGCTGTTGCAGGAGTCATCGGAGCCATGGTCACCTTGGGGGTTGTCCTTGGCATTGAACTCTTTATATTGTTGGCTGGAGGACTCAAACTTGTAAGCAAGAAGAGGCTGGCAAGAACTACAAGCATCGACAGCGCACCACCTGGCATGGGAAGAGGTCATGTCGGCGCCAAAGTGTAAATTCACCAGAAGCGATCCGAGAGATCACCTGCAGCGCCTATGTGTTGCATATATATATATAGATTGGGAACAATGATACTTAGTGGTGTTGATGACGATTCGAATGAAAAGTATGCAGCCTTCAAGTTTGGAACAGTACACTCTTGTCTTCTCTCCTACCTCAGTCCCTGGATAGTGGAGAGGTTTTGTGATGGTGGATAATGGCTCTGCGATCCGCTCAATTATTCTACGGTGGATTTTACGGCAGACTTCTACCCCAACTTTTCTGGGATTGAAAGTCGACTTTCGTCTGCACCCATCTGTCGATGCTCTGCGCAGTCAATCCCGAACCATCTCACAAGTTGACGAGCTGGGATCTTTAGCGTTGTTCAGCTCGTACCTCCTCTTATACATATGGCTTCCGGGGCGCCAAAAACAGGACGAGCACTGGTTGATGTATTGCGATCAAGTCGTCCTCGTCCTGTCTGCGAATGTCTCTACACCCAGCCCCTGCGGCGTAAAAGCCTACGACTTGTTCGAAATGTTTCAACTGCTACTCCTCACCTCTCAGAGATGGAGGTAGAGCCAGACTCTACTCCCCGCTGGTCTCATACCCCAGCCGCAATGAAGGCGCCATACCGAGCGAGCCCTCCCAAGAACAACCACGTTCGTGTGCTGATATGCAACTCCGACCCCAAAAAACTCGACGAGGTATATGTTAGGTTTCTCGGAAGAGGAGGAGACAAGCTGCTTTCGGAGGAGAGCAAGTGGCTTGCTGTCACTGCGAAAAGTTTCGATCACGGTCGGCGCGGATTTAATGATCGTTTGGCGTTCTTCGGTTTGTCTCACTACTGATGGCCACAAGAGACTGGACCGACTGATTGTTTCACAGGAAAGCGGATAGTGGAACTACAGTGCTCTCTTGGGCTACTGAATGCGAGAGACAGCTCAAAACATCACCTGAAAGATCATCCAAGTTCTCACGGGCGGGAACCCTTTTCGCATCCCGCCACTGATGCGATTGAGGTTCTTTCTGGTGGTGCCAGACACTGGTTCACACATCACAAACAGCTTTCAACGATAGCTCAGAGGAATGGGTTTCCTGAAGTGGTACGGTGGCATCCAAAATATGTATGTCACAACAGTTCATTCGTGCCACGAGCAAAATGCTAATCCCCTCCAGCAAGACAACCTGGAGGCATCCGGGTCCGATCTGGTTTACTCACAGGCACTGATGGCAGTTATTGGGGCTCTGGCACTGGAACAGGGCAGCGCGGTCGCAAACCGCATAGCCCGAGAGAAGATATTATTTCCTCTGGGATTGAAGGAAGCTACGAATGAAAAGCTAGAGGTTCCACAGCGGTGAATCGAGGCTTCCAATGAGGAAGCCACCTCTGTATAAATAGGGATGTTTCTCTTCAGGTTGTACAAAATTATAGATGTATGGGTCCTCTGACACCGCCTAAGCAACAGTTGGCCTCAAAAAGACCAAGTACTCAGCCAGCTCTTATGGCACCGTCTTTCATGAAAATGATTGGTCTCCGCGTCTCTAAATCGCAAAGTCTGGCAATTGATGAACCCGTGGAATTGCGACAAAATGTCACGTTTCCAGGAAGAATGCTGCATTGCACTGTCTTTTGGACGCGTGGATGAAGAGAAAAGAAAGAGGATCGTAGAATTTCCAAGTTGCGCTCAAGTACCTAATTTTCTGTCTCCCAGAAATCTTGGCGTTTAGGTCAGCTCGGAAGCGGCATGTCGACATCGCCCAATCCAGACTCGAAATCCTGCCGTTTCTGCTGATCTTGGCATCAGGTCCTCTCCCGGCGAATGTCCCTCCCTCTGAAGGACTCCGTGGTCAATTGTCCCGGCGTATGCCACACTACACGAGACTCAGCGACTGTCAGAGGGATTATTTCAGCATTTTGATACTCACAATGAGACATCCTTGATCTGTTTCGTAATCTCAAAGCGCAGGTTTTCGTTGCCCCCGTCGTCCACCTCCCCTCCCATTCACCATCCCCCATCATGGCCTCCGCACTCTTCTTCCTCGACCTAAAGGGCAAGGTAAGCAAGAAGGCAGTCAGTATGAAGGCCAATCAAGTAATGACAGTCCCTCCAGACCCTCCTCGCTCGGAATTATCGAGGTGATATTCCCATGTCCGCCGTGGAGAAGTTCCCAATCCTGCTATCAGAAGCCGAAGAGGAATCATCTGCCGTTCCTCCTTGTTTCTCCGACGAAGGCATCAATGTTCGTACGAAAGATGCCTGGGGATAGTCTTGAGTCTAATGGATCTGCAGTATCTCTTCATCCGACATAATAATCTCTACCTCCTGGCTTTGACAAAACGAAACACAAATGCTGCGGAGATCCTCCTTTTCCTTCACAAGATTGTGGAAGTCTTTACCGAATATTTCAAAGAATTGGAAGAAGAATCGATACGGGACAACTTCGTCATTATATACGAGCTACTGGATGAGATGATGGACTTTGGCTATCCCCAGACAACTGAATCCAAAATTCTCCAAGAATACATCACCCAAGAATCACACAAACTCGAAGTGCAGGCCCGACCTCCCATTGCAGTCACCAATGCCGTATCGTGGCGAAGTGAAGGAATTAGGTATCGCAAGAATGAGGTCTTCCTGGACGTGATAGAGTCTCTCAATCTTCTGGTATCCTCAACAGGCAACGTATTACGCTCCGAAATTCTAGGGGCCATCAAAATGAAATGCTATCTCTCTGGAATGCCGGAACTCCGACTCGGTTTGAACGACAAAGTCATGTTCGAAACAACAGGACGGGCGACTCGAGGGAAGGCGGTGGAGATGGAAGACGTCAAATTCCACCAATGTGTGAGGCTGTCACGTTTCGAAAATGACCGAACCATCAGTTTTATCCCACCTGACGGAGAATTTGAACTCATGAGCTATAGGCTAAATACTGCTGTTAAGCCATTGATTTGGGTCGAGGCTGTGGTGGAGTCACACTCAGGCTCAAGGATGGAATATATGGTCAAAGCCCGGGCACAATTCAAACGAAGATCAACTGCCAACAATGTTGAAATCATCATACCCGTACCTGACGATGCAGACACACCAAGATTCAGGACAAATGTCGGCTCAGTACATTATGCACCAGAGAAGTCGGCGATCGTTTGGAAGATTAAGCAGTTTGGTGGATCAAAAGAATTCCTTATGCGGGCAGAACTTGGCTTACCCAGCGTGAAAGGTGACGATGAGCGCGGTGGCGGGATGACCGGTGGCTTCGGCGGCAGTATGGGTGGCATTGCCGGAGAAGGCAAGTCAAAACGACCTATCAACGTCAAGTTTGAGATCCCCTATTTCACGACTAGTGGTATTCAGGTCCGGTATTTGAAGATCATAGAACCAAAGGTATGTTCGGATCCATGTCAATCCTGTCCCATTCGTTCGCTGACCGATCATAGCTTCAATACCCCTCGCTGCCTTGGGTCCGATATATCACGCAGTCGGGCGATATTGCAGTTAGATTACCGGATGTACAGAATTAGAAGGCAGTCCAGTGTTTGAAATGAAATACGAACAAATGATCAGCCCACCTTTTTCTGAGACGAGTGCCTCTCTCGATGACCGTATGATCTTTTAACAATCACACCGCCATCGTAGGCTATCCGAACCAGGGTCAAGCCCATTACAGTCATCATCCCTGGAAACATCGTTTGAGATGAAGTTCAACTCTTCAAGTCCGCGGGATTTTAGGTGCCATTCAACCGTGGAGGAAGTGAACGCATCGGAGCTGATGGACCTGGTGGAGTGCTTGAGTGGTTGGCGGATTGCAAGAATAAAATGTTGCAGGTCGATCCACGAGAGAAGAGGTGGGAAGACAGGACGCAGATTGCGCCTTCCACCAACAATTATGGGCATCTTGGAAACAAGGCAAAGCCTGATCTGATCCAAATCCCACTACGGAGTCTTACTCCCCGTACACTGCGGTTGCTGTTTTTTCCTCAATATCTCATTTTCACGACCGTGTGGCTGTGCGTCCCGGACAAAACCGCACGTGATACGAGAAGGTATCTCATCACCATTGGCCATGACTTTCTTTCTCAGCCAGATTACACGCCATGCATGCAGACTGCAAGTCTGATCCGTGATCGATGTCTTCTGTCGGACCTCATTTTGTTAAGCCATCAGGCAGACGAGGTCAAATGAGATATGAGCGGAATTGCAGTTGCCACCAATCAAAGACCTCGACGATTGTGAGTACTTGACCCCATGGCCTGAGGCGTAGCACCGAATTGTGGGCAAACCGCTTGGATCTTATCATGAAAGTGGTGTGCCCCATTCACTCCACAATAACCCGCTCCGTGGCGCGGCGTCTCGTGTCAGCCCGTACCGACCATGACTTAATGTGACAGGTGTTTTCTGTCGGCTCCATGGGGATTGGAGAGTGGTCACAGTCTAGATGATAATAAGCTTGCAACTTGCAGGTGGAATTATTGCAATTGCTTGCCGATAGTTTAGGCTCGGGATAAGCGGCACGCCCAAGGGCTTTCTAGGAGGGAACAAAACTGCCCCTAGGCACACGAAATGAACATTTCACAGAAATGCCTACCTCATAGCGAACCGGATCCTGCCCCGAACTTGAACTCCAACGTGGCTGTCGATCAGACAACGATCATTAGCATCATAAGACCTGGTTTCTGTGAACTGCTCTCACTCACCCACAAACTTGAGATGCGTACGCGTTCTTGATACGAGGCGACCACACCACTCCCATCAACCGTTCGCTTCATTACCCCGCTAATCGAGCAGTATTGGCAGCCGACATGGTGAGTAGCACGGAGCATTCCAAGGATGGGCATTCGCTCGAGCCGTGAATATCAGCTTCCGAGGAGGCGTGGATCCTCTCCCCTCGGACCAGCAGAAGCATTGCCCAATACAGGGCAAGAGGTGCCTTGCTAAACAAGTTTCGCGGCAAGCTGGGGCTTATGTCAAATCCAATCGGTAATGGTTGTGGGAAGATCCATGCAGTCCGAACTCAACATCATTTGTTTGCACCTCCTGAAGCCTATTGCCACAAAGTGGAAGATTGTCCAATGATCTGCCGTCGGAGAAAGGATCCGCTAGCTGTGCGCCTCGTGATTGGTTGTAGGTCAACTTCCACCTCCTAAATTCAAGCACCAGACTGTCCCAACACCCCGCAACCATTCTTTGACCCCCAGTCGTAGCCGACCGAGCGAATGGCGAAATGGACGGACTTACTCGAGCTACTTCCGATCCAGTGCAGGTTCTGAGATTTCAGCAATTCTGTGCTACAGCCGTTTGTGCTCAGATTCCCAACTAGGTCGTGCATTCATGGGGAAGGGTCTTCGAAGTTGGGTCAGAACCTTCATGCTGCAAAGTGCTCGTGGCTCGAGATCAGAGAGCGATGTTTTACTCCGTACGATGCCGCATGCCTACCATCCTTACTAGCACCGGATTCAACATCCTCGAACTTTGAAGGGATGCGATTTCAAAAGTGGCAAAGATTGCCATTCTCACGCTATCAACCCGCAGGAAGGGTTCGCTCCCTGCTGTCAGAGATGAGGGATAACGACCACTCAGAGCTCTAGATACATATAGACTTTGGCCACCATGCAGGAGAACAACGGATCATGATCCCCCGATCAAAGTTTCAACGGTAGCCCGGTGATTCGTTGCCAGGGCCTACATCAGAAGACACTTATCGTGTCAAAACCTGTGTGTTCTGAAAATTCAAGATTGCAGGCATTTTCCCGGATCGGTGTGCGTCCACGCGAGTGAGCGTCATAGCAGATTCCTGCACCAGAATGTTCGTAAAGATCGATTCGCACGTCACAAACTCCCTGGCACAAAAGACCCGCTACAAGGAAGCAAGCCGAGCCGGAGATCAGACTCCGGCTAAATTTCATTGGACACAGGTGGGACATGTAGGTCTACCTTCCCTTTAACATGACCACCTGTACCCGCACAGCGGCTTGGAGCCTTTCACCACTAAATGGCATCCGCGCCCGCCCCTAGTTGACGCGCACTTACCCGTAAAGCAAATCATGAGGTCAAAATGGGCAGTTCCATGGTGGTGTTCTTCTACTTGCCATGAAACGGGGGTCGCATGAAGGATCCGCTCGATATCTTTCTACTGATTGTGATTTGGAACCTCAACTTTACTTGCCTCAATGCTTGTAATTATTGCCAAACATTCAATTCGATCTGGTAAGCCTGCGTTATGAGTTCAAAGACATCTACCGTATTCTCAAAGCCGACCGAGTCCTCTTCATCAACCAAACGCCACCGCAAGGCCGCGGTTGCGTGCATCGCCTGCAAGGTCCGCAAAATCAGAGTGAGTCGTTTTCTCATGCTCACCATGACTAGCGATAACGAGTATCATTCAGTGTTCAGGAAGTGCCCCTTGTGAGACGTGTGTCTCACTCGACACCAAATGTATCATTGACGAAACTCTCGACGGCAGAAGAAAAGTCGCGTTAAATCGTAGACTTGAGGAACTCTTCCACTACAAATGGATCTTGGAAGCTCTTTTATTATGCCTCCGGAGCTGTCGCGGGAAGCACCTGGTGGCCATTCTGGAGTTACTGTCGAACGGATCTCCTATGCCACTCTTGGCTGCCGCACTCTGCTCACTATTAGGGCAATGTCGGCTCCCAGCAGAAAACAGTAAAGAAATTGCAGAACTCCAACAGAACCTGACCAACTACGTTCAAGAAAATGAGTCGGTGATATCTAGCATGTCAGAGCATGATCCAAACGACCTTACTCCCGAGGACTATAGACCACATATTGGCGACGAGATGACGCCACCCATGAAACCTCCAAGGTCTGCAACCGCCATGGAACCAGATACCAGCTCTCCAAACCCCTACTTACCCATCCGTGGTTCACCCAATTTCCTCTTCAGAAGGCCCAGCAACTTTCTTGGGGAGTCAACTAGGTTTCCAGGCAGCCTTGGCGCTGATATCGCCTCAGTTGCGGAGGATGTTGGATTGAACGTTATCATCGACTGTATGAAGGGGGCTTGTATAGAATTGCCATCGCACGATCTGTTCAATGGCTACCTCGCACACTGTAATAGCTTTGTGTTCGTCTCATTTGATTTAATGGGCTAACTGTTTCCTCAGCTTCGAGATATGCTGAAGGGTTGACCGAAGTGAACGAGAATCCAGGCCAGCAGGAACGGGAACGCAAACGATTATCTCCAGAATCCTCGGTAAGTCCAAGTACCCGCTACACCCCGTGAAAATATGCTCACCAACATATATTTTGGCTAGTGGAATGGCAAATCCGAAGGGAACAATTCCATATCGAAGAAGCGTCCGTTGTCGACCATCATAATTCCGCCTTCCCATACTACATTTACAGAGATACCAGCTACCGCTGTGCTACCATCCAGCGCCACTAGTTCTCGTCGACCTTCGGTGACGTCCTCAGCAGTTTACTCAAGTTTCACAGAACATTCTCCACTCCCAGACCACACCTTCCACCTACAAAAAGAGCATGCCTGGCCACGCCCGCAGACAGGACATTATATGGCGGTTCCTCAAGTCGAGTTAAACGGACATCCGATGGCTTGTGCCATAACTAGTTACATTGATCTTGCCCGAACAATGCTGACACAGGGGAAACCGATTCAAGAGATCTTCGGTCCCGGGAGAGCCGTTGTCGATCTGCTGTTTAGAAAAAGAAGACAATCAGACCCCCATTCAGTATGTCACTTTGCAGCCGAGTTGTGCGCAGGTATCAAAGATATGGAGATGTCTGCCAAGTTGGGCATGACCTTCATGTACATCTATCTACTACGGGTACGTGATCGTTTAGTTACGGCATCGCATCTTTCTTGCTGACAGTGATATTCAGTGGATGATTCTACCTTCATCGGACAGTTACAAGAAAGTGCCCGAGATATACCGCCCAACGCCAATACAGATCAGCGTTCCTCATTGCGCCATCATCGAATTTTGCCCTTTCCCTTTGCTTCGCGATACACTGTGCCGTCGCAATCGCGATTTCCTGGCCACGCTTACGAGCAACATCAGTTGTAACTGGCCATACCCGACAGAAACGTGCATAGAGCGCGACCCTGAAACAGGGCATATCATGCTCACCGATGATTTCGCACGACATTGTCTGAACGCTGGAAATTGGACATTGCAGCCAGCTGTATTCGAAACTTTTCCCGAATGTCGAGGTCTTATCAGGACTTTGGCTTGATCTATTTACCGGATGCTCACCTCTATGTCCGATCTAGACCAACATTTCCCTCGTCTGGCGATATATGATTTCCTATGTTTCTTCACATTTGACCCACTCACGAGGAATCGAACGATAAATAGGCAGGAAGCAGGCACTGAAAAAGACTCGGAAATACCCACCGCCGACGAACGAGACGACTATGACTTATTTTCTGCAGGCTTTTAGGCCTACTATTTTGTATAAGCTATAATTGATAATGTGTTGCAGGCGGCCTCCAAAAATATTTCGGGGGGTACACAGTCCTTTTCTCCATGCATGGTACCTGATAGGGAAGGTATGCATAGGATCTACTAGATTTTGTGGCGCCAATTCGAGTTCCGTCAAGGTTTTCATGTTATCAAGGTAATGAGCGATTCAATGGGCTGGTCTTGATGTGCACAGGCGCTCATTTTAGCATGGTGGACGGCTTGCCCGCGAGTTGGTTGCTGCTTGCCCAGATACCCGAGTTAACAATAATCTCGTGGACATTATGAGAATATTCTACTGTTATTCAAGCTCATGATGTAGATATCAACAGCTGAGAAATCACTTAATACTGTTATCTTTCGTCCTTCAGTAGAGCTACTCGATACTACCTAGTCGTGGTCGCTGGAGAAGGTGGGGGGATTTGGAGGGCATTTCCAAACGACGTCATTCGCGGGTCGCAACTTCCCAAATTAATTTTGTTTGAAAATTGAAAATCGATTTGGCACCGGCGACACACTTCTTTTCTGACCAAACCGCATACAACATCCGCGACTGGTCTTGGTGGAACCATCCACAAATAGGAAGATCGGTGAACAGTGAGAAACTAAGAACCTTTAGAGACCGACAAAATGCCCAACAACGTACCTCTGCCTACTCCCACTCCAGAAGAGCTCGACGATCTGATTTACTTCTCTCGCACCGGCGATCTCGAGTCACTGAAGGCGTCCATCACAGAACTATGCTCAACACACAGCTGTGCCCCTTCCAACATCATCGCCACAGCCATCGATATCGACGAAGAGGGTCTCGGCTCGCAGTCCTCGCTCCTGCACTACCCAGCCGCGAATGGAAACCTCGAGATCGTAACCTACCTCCTAAGCCTGTTGGTGCCCTCGGCGTCCCTGCACGGGAGCCATAGTGGAACGACGGCTGATAAGAGTGCGCCGCAGCTGGTCAATCATCGCAACGTCAGTGGGAATACCCCGCTGCACTGGGCGGGTGTTAATGGTCACTTGGAGGTCGTCAAGAAATTGGTGCAGGCCGGCGCAGACGCTACGATTATCAATGCTGCGGGTCGTGATGCTGTCGTGGAGAGCGAGGCTAGTGCCAAGGACGGGGCCGCCGAATGTGCTGTCTGGCTCTTGAAGAATTGTGATGGCCTGGAACAGAGTGTGGGGGTGGGAAAGGAAGAAGAGGAGGATACCGGCTTGGATGAGCCTACGGGAACTGAGAATGGTAGAGCAAACTCGACAGATGAGGTTGGCACTTCGGAGGATTCAAAACAAACGTGATACGTGCACCCAGATGGATGAAAGGTTCGGAAAAATCACTCTGACGTGGACAGATGTCGAAGATGAATGCTACGCTCGACGCTGGCTATCCTGTCGACCCCATTGATGCAACCAATCCCTTTCGCCAGAACCTTACCAAACACTGCCATGAACTGAGAAAACCCGTCAAATTCCATGATATCCGACATGTCCCATTCTCAATCTGGAATCCTCCGACCAAGTGCCCCACTGTTTCTACGACACAGTCGCGTCGCATTATCAAAAGAACACAATACTTTTCAATGTACCACTCAATCTGTGATGGGAAGACAGTGACACTTCTTCCCTTCTGAATCTGACAGGAGGCAGAACGGTGTTGGGCATTTTCTCCCCGTATCGATGTTGATAATACAATGTTGTTCGACACAGACCCCGACCGAAAGACGCTATTCATCAGTCAGTTTCGGTCTACGAGGGAGGCCGGCCCGCAGAGAGAGAAGACACTGATCTCTGGTTGCGTGCCTGGGCTCACTGAAACTCACCTTGACTAACTTGTCGTCACGGTTGTTATGTAAACATATGTCTTGGACGGTGTTCCGCTTATCGTCGCGATTATTGTGTAAGCATATCTCCTCGATAGTCTCCGGCACCGGAACGCTCAATGCTACCCCGAGAATGAGTGCCAAAGGCATGCACAGACGAGGAAAATGCATCTTCTGGGACTTTGGTGGTGGTGGTGGTATGCACGCAAATGTCGTGTGTAGGGACACCAGATATGCAATAGTGAACTTGACTCTGGGAGGTCACACTTTCAGATGATCCAGACAACACAAAGGACGAAGCTTCTTCTTGAGTCGACTGGAAAGTTGTGATTGAGCAGCAGAACAGGATATTTATCAGTTTCAATATGCCGCATGAAAAGGAAAAATCCCAGCCCTGAACGAACCACAACCTACGACTATATCGAATTCTCCACCGCATCTCACCGCAGAACCAATCCACGAGGTTCTCAAAAGCCCTCGAGTTGGTTCAAACCACCCGCGGCCTTTCCCCAGCGAATGTAAAGGTCGATCGATTCGTTAAACTTTATCATCTACTGCAGCAAGTTCGTGCCACACTTCGTGTTCGCCCGCGTTTTCTCTAACAGCCAAAAAATCAGCCGTACGTGGCACGACCTGACCCAAGCTGACGCATCCGAGCCCTCTCCGATATGGGATAATTGGAATATGGCTGTTTATTCTTCTTCTTGCCTCACAATCGCAATTGCGTTCTCCGCTTATGTGAGTCGCGGTGACACATCGAAGCACATTGCGGGAGAAATATAGCCAGACATCAAATCAATAGCCTTGTCCTGACCTGACCCTGATCTGACATGACGTCTGAATGAATTGGACGAAAGTCCGCTTTTCCTCCACGTGAGACTAAATGCCTGTTTAATTCCCCTATGTAGCCTGACCTGAAAATTGCCGGTATGGGCAGTGGCCTGTAAGCCGTTTCTTTTCCTCCATTTACTAAGGCTGACATGTTGAGGATGTCCTTGCCATTCCAATCCAACGCCCGCAGAATTCTCCCTCTGACCACTCGAAAAGGGAATTCTGCGAAGTGGACCGCCTGGCCATTTACACTCTATGGCTGGCTACGGCTGGAGGTGTCGTTACTAATGAAGGTGAACAAACGCATCTTAACAAAACCTACCGTACCAAAAACCGAAGTACAGGAACCTACCTACCTACCTACCCCACTAAGTCACTATTTACCCGCAGGTCGACCCCAACCCAAAAGCGAAACAACTGCCTGTTCGAGAAGCGAGTTCGGCTCGGATTATAGCTTTTGAATTTGTTGTGGCTTGCGCGTACTCGACACCGAGGACATAATAAATACGGATAGAATAGCCTAACCAACGAACATCATGTTTCGAAAACCCTTCCCTGGGCCAGGCTTTGCAGCCACGGAGACGACATCTCCGCAAGCGAAGCGAAGGGACGCGAGGCGGGCGAGGTGGGCGAGGCGGGCGAAAACTCAAAATGTCCTGGATATGGTAGGTCTTGTCTGGCCCGGAGGCGTGTCGAGTCTGGCTGTCTAGTTAGACATGCGATGTCAAGTGAAAACGTGGGCGTAGGTAGTACTGATTGGTAGCGAGGGTGTTGAGTGTGAGAGGGAGAGCGAGAGGCTTAGCTGAGAATGGCCTTGAGAGGTCTGGTTCATGCCTGCTCTTTTGAGACTACACATGCACACACGGGAAGGGCCAGTTCGAAGCATTCATACCAACTAATGTACGGATATTTAGGAAAAGGCTTCGCTTGCTTAATATCGGCGATCAGGGTTCTATCCCTCTTTGAATCACTTTCACATTTTTGACTTTCCCGGGGCTGTCATGCGGGGGCTTTTGGAGATATTTAGTTACTTGAATGCTAGATACGAACACATTGAGTCAAGTGGTGGGGTGTAGGAATACTTGATTGGGACGAGTAGTTAGGTGCTGGTTGAGTAGTATGCCAAACTTGTAAACACGGATACAGAAAGGTGGTTAGTGGCTGGCTGGCCGGTTTCTACAGCCTATTCTCGTGATCCTCGTGTTCGCTTGGAGCGGCACCTGTTTGTCATGCCAGTTGGGCTGGAGGCTGAGCTGGGTCATCGTTGGGCTGACTGACTGACTGATCCGGTGAATGGAGTCGGGCTTGCGATAAGTAAGTAAACACGCGGCTCGAGCATATTTGCTCGGGGTATGGATTCTGGTTGTTGGTCACTGTAGATCTTGACACCGTCTGGACTCTATCCGGACGTTGATCAGGGTTCGTCTCGATTGCACACAACAAACAGCCCACTGTTGGAGTTCGAGGACGTCTAGGGCTGTTGTTGCCAGACATGATAATGTTGAAATAAGGCTGACCTGACTTCGCATTCTCAAATCCCAAATGCCAGGAGCTTACCACGTCGACACATCGTATCGGAAGTAGATATAAAGTGAGAAGCCTGCACGTGCGAGATATCTGACTAAGGATAAGCAACAGGGGGAGGCTGTAAGAGGATCGGACATGAGGACGGATGACAGTATGAGGGATCGCCACCAAAAGGACACTCATTAATCCTATCTTCATCAATCGCTAAAGTCGCCTTGCGCGTTTCGTGGACAAGGTCATATTGATATGTAACCCGAGTCCTTACATTCTCACCAGGCATCTCGCCGCCATAATCGAACCTTCACATCTCTCTCAGGATTATAGGCGCCCGCGGCAATTTTCCTGCCTGGATGAACCCATTTATTGTCATTGCCAACCGGGATCATGTCCCACTGCATGATAATTGCGGCCGAGAAAAGTATGACTTCTCTCTCGGCAAATGTCTTTCCCTTACACATGTTCTTCCCGCCGCCCCAAACTTTCATCGTACCATACTCAACTTTCACCTCTGCCTCTGGATCGGCGGAAGTTGAGATGGGTAGTTTTGACTCTTCCTTAGTGATAGCATTTGTTGCATGATCGGGCTTCGCCCAGAATCGCCTCGGATCGAAGCGTTCGGGGTCGCGGAAATACCGCTCATCATTTTGATGAACTCCATGGGGAATGCAGAGCAGTTCGCCCTTGGCTAGAATATAGCTTTCGGGAGCCTTCTTTCCTAATATCTTCGCATCCTCCTCGGATTCGGTGACAACAAAATCTTCGCTAATCATCTTAAAGCTTGCACTTGCAGCCTCGAGTCGCATAGTCTCGTAAAAGGCACCCTTGAGCAGTGGGCATTTCGTCCATAGGGAATCTATATCGATTTCGAGTTTCGGGGCGTCCTTAATCGGTAGTCCATTGTCCGGAGCTTGAACAAATCTGACATATGGTGCGATCTCGGTCCGGAGTTCTGAAAGGAGTGTCCTATCAGAGAAGGCATACCATATGAGCCAGAATATTACTTGGTTGGCGTTGACGTTCATGGCCTGTTGAAGAATTAGTGACGAGAAGAAGGCTGTTGAAAAAAATAACATCGCAAAATAGTGCTGCATTAATGCCACCAACAGTATTCAGCGTATAGTTACGACTCTTGACTTACCCAGAGTATGGTACCGTTGCCCGTAGACCAACCTCGCGGTGTGGTGCCACTTGCTTTGAATGCCTGCAGACGATCGACAATGACAGTAGAGACGTCCGAGAGATCCGAATATTGAGAACCAGGATCTTCGCCATTTAGATATTTTATCAAAGCATCGTGGTGTTCTTTGACCGCAGACAATAGTCGTTCTCGTGCCTGGTATGCTGCACCCATTCCTGGCCACCAACTGGGTAGCCCTGCAAGGAATTTGTTGAATTTGGCGTCCATGGTCCACAAGTCACTGAGGAGGTTGGGGTTATTTTCGATAAATTCGTGACCAAAAAGAACATTGGTGGCTATATCACCAACAAAATCTCTCAGCAGAAGGTGAAGATTGGCTTCGGCAATGAATGGCTTGGAACCACTGCTGTCGCTGCCTGAGATGATCTGGACGCTTCCTGCACGCTCCCAGGCAGATTGGTCCACGACACTCCTGCAACCGGACACCAAGTTCCAAGTACTGCGCTGGACTTCTTCGACCGTCTTCACAATTGCTTTGGTGACAAAAGATTCCCTCATCATTCCATTGAGAGCTGCATGAATCGGACCCCAAAGCATGGCAGGATCAATCGCCCGCATTGTGCCTTCATCACCCCAGACGTTCTTCATGACATAAAAGATGAAGCTCTCCATTTGGATGGGAGCATGTCTGTCGAACAGAACCTGTCGTGCAAGGCTAGGACTCGTGACGATGTTGGCTTTCAGCCCACCCATGTATATGCCGTACGCAGAGCCCTCTGGGCCAAGGGATTTGGTCATCTTGGCCAAAAATGGGTTTGCGTTCAGGGCGAATTGAACAGCCTGGCCGAGCCAGGGAATCCAGTAAGGAATCAATGGGACATTTCTCGTCGTGCCTGATGATGATTTATTGCTGGAGACAGCAGACCAGTATCTAAAACCTGTGATGGTACGTGTCAAAACGCATATGAGCGTCAAGATTGAAATTGCAGCCACGAAAGGGTGATGAATGGCGGTGGTGATAAGTTGCTGAAGCAAAGAATTACTGGCTTGTGTCGCTGAAACTGTCATTTTTGCCACCAGGTACTGCTCAAGTGGTTGATAGGAATTGAGGAATATGATGCAAGCGTAGACGGTATTCTATTGAGGAAATTTGAAGCATGAAATCTAAGAAAGTGGAGGAAGCCTGATAAACACAAACTTGGGAAGCCACAGGGATTGTGAATTGTCCGCTTACGGTGGGACCTGCATACGAAGCAGTAGTGGCGGCTTGTATCTCGGTGCCATCTGTATGGCAACTGTAATTGGGCGTTAGAGGTCATATTCACTTCCCTGTGTAACGTGTAAATTGCCAGTGTATACGACATGTTTTACGTGTCAAAGCTAATACCGGTAATTTGTGTTTGAGGAAGATCGACCCTCGCTTTCGCTTTCGCAACGGCATGTCGCACGAGCAGGGTGGAGAGGCATGCACCTACACATGGGTTCTGCCGTCTTTTCTAAACAACATATCAGTCCGATCTGTTCGGGGAAGATTGCTTCTAATACGTGCACAATTGCCCCGAGTACCTAGGTTGGTACTAGCAGCAGGAACATAGCACCTACTCCGTATCATCCTGCGGTGCGATTCGATGTGTCAGCTTACGACTAGACTGATCCTCCATCATTATTGCTCGCGACAACGAGCTTTGCGGATACAAATAGGTATCGAAGGATCGATTCCTGTCCGTGCCAATTCTAGCCTGGAGAACGGTGAAGGATGGAGTAATCCTGGGGAATGTGTCCACTCTTATGCTACAGCGTTGAACGCAACATCGTACGAAGTAAAATCTTGGTATATGCTTACTATTAAGTGCATTGTTCGGCTTCAAGTGCTTCAATTACCAATCATCAGTCATCAGTCATCGTCCTCGTCATCGCTGTCTATGATCCGTCTCTTTCGGTTGATTCTCGAGCTAGGCTTCTCGCTAATACCATTGGTCTTCATTTGAAAACCCTTGCCCAGGATTGAGTCCAAGTCTGGCATTTCTTCACCATCCTCGTATCCCATACTGCTTTGAGAAACTTCAAAAGTATCTTCCGATCTCACGAGAAGCCTACGTGACATGGTGTCACGTTCAGCCACAAGACTGAGCTCCTCGGATATGGTAAAGCTATCGTTAACGTATCTGTCTCTGCGGCTGTCTCGGTCTGGAGGAGAGCGCACCGTATCTGACGATAGAGTACTAGGTGAGCGTCTCATCCTAGTTTTGGATCCTTTGGGCTTGTTTAGACCGCTAGATCGTTGTTCTGGTTCTTCCTCCATGTCGACTTCGATGCACTCTGCAGGCCTCATCCAGTCTTGATGTGGATCTCGCATTGCTTCGTAAGCCTTCACCAAAGAGCTCGTCAAACCCGAATGTTTGACCAAGTCTGTCGTTCCCAATCTCTGCTGTTGCTGTGGAAATGCGTGGAGCCTCACAGGCTGTATAAATTGGTCGACCACCCCCACCACTTGGACATATCTGGACTCCAATTGGTCTTCTTCTTCCTCATTCAGCAAGACCTCATTTAATGATGGTAGTAAAGCAACGTCCAGATCGACACGACTTTTCGGTCGGGCCTTGGATGCTTTGGGCTGCTTCACCTGATTTTTCCCTTTACCAACAAAGGAAAATCCCGTTTCGACTCCATCAGGCATGTGAAATTTCTTAGGAGGTTTTTTCGGAATTTTGCCATTCCTTCGACGGGGTCTAATCGTACCCGTTTGAGTATTTTCGAGGGGTATTTCGACCACTCGCTTGTCAACCTGTGGCAAGATGTCTCGAGGTACAATTCGAGGGGAGAGATCATCATGAAAATTAAACTCACGGCCACTTTCGATCTTCGCCTGCATCTTCAAGTAGTTGTCCTTTGCTTTTTCATAGTCGCTCTCCTCTTTTCCCCGCATCAGGAGTAGAACTATGTTTCCAGCTCTCTTGCGGCCTGTCCGGCCCATTCGCTGTAACATCCGGATTGGAGATTTCGAACAGTCATAACAGACAATAAGGTCCACCTCCCCGATATCCAGACCTTCCTCTCCTATTGAAGTGGCGACAATGGTATTAAAAGTTCCATTTTTGAACTTCTTGATGACATCAAGCTGGGTTTTCTGGTCCATGCCGTCGGAACCTTTCGTCCCTGACTGTCCAACGAAGACGTGAGGTCTAATCATGGGACCATGGCGCTTGAGAACCCTCACAATTTCTTCTGCACTGTCTCGATAGTGAGCGAAAACCATTATCCGTGTGTCCGAGGTCCTAGAGGAAGTCGCCAGTCCTTCTCCAGCGTTCATAAAGTGATTGAGAATAACCGTGCTCAGATATGACAACTTGGGGTGACCAATGAAATCCGGATTGTTGACCCAACCTCTCAAACGATTCATTAATTTGGTGAAGTTCTCGTCATCTGCAACCTGCTTGGCATATTTACCTCCTGTGCTAGCACTATCTGCAAAGACTTTCATCTTGTGATAAAAGGGACCGATGCCATGATATTTGAGGAGCTCTAAGTTGTGAGCAAGGCTCATCAAGACTGTAGCTATTGCCCTGATCATGCCTTTGATGCCAAAGTTGGCATTCCTCCCGGCTTCTGATTTGGCCCATTTATCAACAGAAGTTTTCAGACCAAACAGTGTGAGGGCTGCTGGGTTTTTATTCCAATACACATTCTGTGAACACAATTTGTTGAGGAGTGGACCTGTAGCAGAACAAAACAGCTCCAAGGACATGGTGATCTCATCCGAGTTGTCGAAAAGTTCGATATCAACGTTCCTGGAATGCACAAAGTCGCGAATATCCAGAGAATCTTCGGTCCTGATTTCGACTCTAGCTATACCAAGACCATCGATTACTGCCTGAACTGCCTCCACGGTGGATCCTGGCGTGGCAGTCAAGGCAAGGACTCGGAAGCTTGAGTTAAATTTTCTAAGAAACTTGATAACCTCAACATAGGCGTAGTTCCCGGTGGCCTTATGAGCCTCGTCAACTACAACCAGAACAATCTTCTTCGGATCACACATCCCGTTCTTTAAATCATTGATCAGTGTTTGTGGGGTCATAAAAAAGACTCTTTTCTCAAGCCATTCCTCAGCTCGAATTCCGGGAGGCACATCGCCTGTAAGCATAGTTGTCTGCGACCGTGGAATACCTGCAATGTTAAAGCAGGCGTCAATCTGTTGCGATACAAGTGGTTTTGTAGGTGCCACAAATATTATTTGAGCTTCCTTGGTCCATCGAAACCAATTTAGCATAACAGTGGCGGCTATGAATGTTTTCCCGAGTCCTGTAGGGAGAGCGATGAGCAGGTTGTTGAAAAGACCTTTGTGAACAATGTTATACTGGTATTCTCTGATCCGACCAAGATTTGTTGGATACACCCACGTCCCCATTGCTTCTAGGTTGACCTGATGATGGGTTGGCGACTCGTTCCGATTCACAAGTGGCCAATTGTGCGCTCTAACCTGTGTCTGTGTCATCCAGGGTACCTGTTGCGTAGTGTGAATTCCATGAAGAGTCGTCTGCCTAAAGGATTGTGACGCTTGTACTGGGACACGGTTGATGGGCCCAGAGTGGCTCGATGGTCCCAATCGAGAGTCAAAGGAAATATTCTGAGGATTTTGCGCTGCTGCATTTGCAGCCTCGAATGCTTGCAGTAGTTCCAGATCGTCCTCGTCGTCTTCGAACTCATCAACGGAGAGCGGTCTCACTTCGGCTTGTTTTGTGGGTGCAGCTTGAGTATTTGATGCATGAAGGGCACGAGGAGTTGGAGGGGGAGATTCCACGGGAGGTTTCATCCAACGTGGGCCTCTTATTCTTGAAGGTGACGACCATTGCTGCGTCAATTGTGTCACAAATGTGTTGCTCGCTTGCATGCCATATTGAGGAACGTGGATATGGTCCTCATATTTCGATTTCTGTGCTTCGACAGACCCGCGCCGGGTCTCATCTCTTCCTTGATCGCTATTCGATGGTAGATCATACTCATCGTCATCGGGTTCGAGATGTCGGGTTCGCCGTCGTTTTCGAGGTCGAGGAGGGTCGTCGGTTTGAGAGCTTGGGACAAGAATGTCATCGCCGTTGTTGAAGTCCGCCTCGTCGTCCAGAAAGTCCATTGCAGGCACCTAGCGCCGTCAGAGTCGTCCTGTACTTATCCGATAAACACACATGCATGTATGGCAAGTTGCAGAGCACTGGATAAATTTAGGTGGGGTGCTCTTGCTTCGCGACGCGCAGAAACGCGTCAAACTTAGTACGCGAAGTCACACTTAAAACCTACGGTGGATTAATGCAGCATATCCAGTCACCCACTATCAGTCCTCAAGTACTCGGAGTGAAGGAGCTTCACTGCTGTTCGGGTGCCCTCCCTGAAATCATATCTTCACTTTCGAATGCACATATATTTGGATCTCGGAATTTCTCCTAACAACTTCCTAGATCCGGGCAAGAGACATCCGCTTCCTGGTCTGGTACAAATAGCTGAATGGTTAGCGTACTAGATTTCATAGTTAATGGGCCTCTCCTCCCACCATCAGGTTGTTTAAAAATCAAAAAAAGATCCGGAGTATAACTCTCAGTTAGGATCAACTCTTAAAAATGGCTTTTCATTCCCAAAGTGGTGTGTTTTTTGGTAGTCTCGTAGATTATTTTTGTAAATTATAGGAGAGAACGGCGAGGCTGTCCAACCTTTTTTTCCTCATGCATCGTCTATCCTTGAGTGAATCCCGACTAGGCTGTGCTCATCTCGTGTTCCTAGATTTCTCAAACATACTTCTCTACCGCAATCCGAGGACGTTTTCCTATCTTTTATCTTGTCCTCTTTCACCTAGGCGTTCTCCTTTTCCTTCCACAGTCGGGGCTTCCCTATGTGAACTCTTCCACGACAAGGACAATCAGGCAACCTCTTGCTTCGACCACAGCTAGTGTAGACTGGCCAGTATGACGAGATGACTGATCATCCTATTATTTAGTATGTCCGATCGCGGGGGCAGGCTTGTTCAGCCAGGCAAAACACCAACTCTCCTGAATATGCAGCTCCTTGAAGGTGTTGGTATCAGTTGCAATGATGATTGCGCATGAGGATCTCCTCTTGGATCATACGTCTCCATATCAAGTTAGGCTTCGCTATGCAACTGCCTTGGTCGTCAGCAATCAACCTGCCAGAGTTCCGCCTTCACGATGGCTTTGATTACCCTTCCGAATACTTCACCCAATAATGGAAGGCACAGACCAATGCTGAGCAATAACAGCGTCATTGTATCGTAGGGACAGTATATCAGGCCTGTCCCTAAACACAAACATCTCGATCAGCGCGTGGCCATAACCGTCGAATACGGATTGTCATTGTTTTCACAAGCACTTAATCCAAAACTTCCTAGCAATGAGCACGCACAGACTGCAGGTGCGAAGAACAGGATTTCACATATCTTTCATACGCTTGGAGTTCGAGATATCGCGTTGAGAGTTGGCTGGCCTCGTGGTTCAGTTATACTGGTATACCTTCACTGTCGGCCAAAGTTAAAGGAGAACCCAATGTCCTTTTCTTATTAATAATGGAATTTGGCGAAGCGGCTCCGAGACCTTGGATGCTTAGCCAAGAAAAGTTGGGAAAGGTAAACGAACTTGGGCAGACACGAGGCAATTTCCGACTCGAGCTGGGAACAGATGACCATCACTCCACAATTCCTTGGTATTATGACAACATGAACGACCCCAAAGCCAGTACGGAGAATTTGCTGCCTGTCAAATGTCACATTTATTCGATCCAAAGACAATGAGACATTATGATGTACGATTGACGTGGTTGTAAATACTTGTTACACGAGTACTGGTGGTGTTTAGAACTGGCGAAACTTTTGCGCCATACCACAAGTTTGTTGTTCTCTAAGCAAGATTCGGCGGTTCGGGCCTGGATAATCAACCAGAATCAACCCTGGGGGCGTGGCCAACGAGATGCATAGGCGAGATTCCGACCTAGCGGTTCTGGGACAATGAGCAAGGGGCACAAGGCTAGGTCTTAACGGACAAGATCCTATTCGAAGACGGACGTTAAAAGAAAGCCACCTTGTAGGGTTCCGAAACACTAACCTAGTCAACCGCTTCCTGGGGAGATTGACTGGTGGAGATCTTCTGGTCCAAGATTGACGAGCCTGTCGCCCGACCCGGTATACCATATATTTACTGTTGAGTCGCGTTATCCTCGCGGAGGCTGCCCTTGTCCCTGTGTCGGTCTCTCAGCGCATCTGCATCTGGTCTGCTTCTGTGCCCGGCATTTCTGCCATTTACATTCGTTTCGTTCCTGTCAGTTTCGACTATCTGACTGCCGCTCATTTCGCTCTCTCGAACCTCGATATTCCTTTGCTCTCTCCGAATCTTCTCGAAATTTTCCGTTTGATACCCATTTCTACATCGTAAAAGACCTCGAGCAAAATGCGCTTCTTCACTCTTTTCGCCACATTCGGGCTCGCGGCTCTTGTCGCAGCACAAGACACAAACTCCACTGGAACTGCTACAGGAACCGCCACTGGTAGCGCCGCATCCGCGTCAACGTCCTTGGATCCTCAGATCAGATGTCTGCAAAAGTGTAAGTTGGGAACACACTGAACGACAGTGAATGGTAGCTGATACATGATATGAATAGGTGGTTCCGCCGATGTGTGCTGTCAAGCAGCCTGTGTCAATGTGCCTTGCCCCAGCCAGCTGCAAGCCAATGCAACCACTGAATGCGCCGCTCAATGTCCTCAAGGAAATGGCACAGCAGCCGAAACCGAAGAATATGCCGAGTGCCAGGCTGCTTGTATCAGCGCCAACTTCCTCACAAACTCTGCGACAGCCACAGCCACTCCCACTGGAGATGCTGCAGCTTCCACCGGATCGGCCTCGTTCGGAGATGGTGCAGCGACCACGACTGGTGCATCAGGTTCAGGTAGGCTATATCCCGAAAAGATAGATAGTAAAGTGACTAATCGCTATCAGGAAATGGTGCAGCCTCGAGTACATCTGGTTCATCCGGCGCCGCACAAACTGGCAACGGTGCAGACAGTCTGCATGTTGGAGCTGTGGGACTCGGATTCCTGAGTCTGGTCGTCGCGGGGATGGCCTTGTAACCGCCCGACCCAACTATTGATGATGTGGGAGATGAAGTCCATTAAAGCGCACATACCTTGATATTGGAGTTCTGAAAGCAACAGTGCCATTTTGGCCATTCTTAGCCAACCAGCCTTGTGCTGGGTTTCAGGCATTTTCGCTCAGTGGAGACGAATATTAATAGCCCAGGGGGTTGGATGAGTTTTGGGGGTTACCATTTCTGGAAATGCCACGGGCTGGATAAACGCTACCTACTGTGTACTGCAATCAGAGATAAGATACCCCATAATGAAACATCACGTCAAGTTAAAAAAAAATGCGATGTGGAGAAGAATAAGTAATTGATCGCGTGCTGAGCATTCACGGTCTGTCTGCGGAGGCACAGGAGACACACGACACAAAAGTCTTGGCGTCACCCGCTGAGTCAAGGTCGTCCATACTTCGTGCGCAGCCTCGTTCTAGGCCATGTGCTACAATTAATGATGATGGTCTCCAGTAATGAGGATCGATGCATACATTGTACTAGGTTCCCCGAGGAAAGCTACCAAACTCCTCAACACTGGAGACATTGCATTTGCCACCCATGATAAATGAATGTGCACCTCTGAACACCTTTCTTCCCAGCTCTGCAAACCCTAAGCCCGTATTCTGCAATAAACGTACGCTGAGCATGATTGGCAAGGTTACATATGCATTGCCATTTTTAAGCGTCAGATGTCCAATCCGTGCCCACCGGCTCTGGCACCGCATGCCCATCAGCACTACCAGCCTTGTCGTTGACCCCGGCCTCGAGGTGAGGGAGGTTTAGCTCGCCAGAGAAATCACTCTTCTCGCCCAAGCTACTAGTCGACTCTAGAGGTTGTTTGTCCGATAGATAGCTAAAATATCGAGCGCCTGGCGGATATTCTAGCCTAAAAACAGTATATCTGGCATCTCTGCGATGGGTGTCTTTAACAAGGTCCAGCAGTCTCTTCGGACTCAATGGCTCACTATCATCCTTATCCTCGCGCGGTTCCTCTTCATACCACGATCTCCTGTATCTGGCTCCACGGTTCACACGGCGCGCAAGGCGCGCTATATCGAGCGTGATCATGCCGGGCTTGCCATGTGACAGGATGAAGTTCACAAAATACTTACCACGCTTTGTGGCGATGGCGGAGGCCAAGTCCCTGGATGTGAAACGCAAGCTCGGATCAAATTGGAGAAGTGATCTCAATAGCTTGACAGTTGAACATTTGGTCATTGCTACCGCGTGCAATACTGAACCTGTAAGTGGGCCTTGCCAGAAGCGGTAGAGGAAGAGTCGAGCGATGTCGGGGTCAAACCTCCTGAATATGCAGGGTGCTAGTATGGCTATCTTGGGATCGAGTGCTTTCCGCTCACGTTTCAGCAATGCCATCATTATTTCTCTCTTGTGGTTCTTGTTCTTCGAAATAATCTTCAAAAGCTGAGGGGACCATAAGACCGGAACGTGCAATATTTCAATCAGCACTTCGACGGAGTCCAGGCCGCAGTGCTTGAGAATGTATACTACTGCTTGCTTGTCCACACTCCTGACCCCACGTAAGAGGATTTGCAGTGCGTCTTCTGTCGAATGATAGCGTGTGGCCGCCACTGCCAAAGCCTTCGTCACCACTGGGACCAAGCTCAGTCCACGGTTTAGCAGGTAACGAAGCGTGTCTTTAGCAGTAGCCACATCGTAGTATATCAGAGTACTGCTGACTTCCCAGTTTCCCAGGAAAGGAACGGTGCAATTAGCACGCTTTAGCACGGCCAAAAGAATTCTCTCAGTGACGGGCTGGCTCGGCGCCAGGGAAAATAATCCCTGCAGAATTTTGGTCCCGTTGCGGCCCTGCCGGGCTGCCGCACAGAATGTGCTCTCGTGCAACACGAGCTGAGGGCTATGGTCGCGGAACAATTGCACAAGATGCAACGCATCCTTGTGATTGGCGGCTCTCCTCAACACAGTCTCACTGATCTCCAGTGAAGGGCATTCTGACAGAATCACTTTGGCTAGACCGAGCGCCATGGTCGAGTTCAGCATCGTGCTCCTCAATAACTTTGGTGCCATCGTCGCCGATATCGAGGAGAATATCGAGGAGTGTTTCCAGAGAAAACTCAACAACTCAGGTACACTTCTAGTTTTGTTCTGAGTCAAATGGAGAAGGGTATCTGCTTCGATAGGAATTTCTGGGAAATAGTTCAGTGTTCGCCTTACTGTTACGAAATCGAGTCGCTGAAAAATACTGACAACATCAAGACTGGGTGGTGACTGTTCCGAGGTGTGGCGCGGTCTGTCCAATAAACGATTAACGGAGAAATTGCTGCAATTTGCTGCAACAGCATTGAAGACACGATTCGTGACCTTGAAGCTCGAATCTGCTTTCTCCAACATTGTTATTGCGTATTTTTCCGGGAAAGTGAGTGCAACTTCGCAGACGGCATTAGGTGAAATCATGGAGGGATCCATGTTATCCGCCATCAGATCGATGAGCTCATCGAGGTTGTGAGTCGGAGGCCCCCTATATACGAATGAAAGATAGCCACTGTAGTGCTGTTCTGAGCGCCCGGTGATCAGTCTTTTGTTTCGGGCAAGCTTGATAACAGCATACTCGCCCACGACGACAGTATCTGGCCGCTGGAGCAATAAATCCACAGCACTGCTCCCGCCTGGCCAATCAGACATTGTGGAGAGAAGGTCGACGGTCAAAGTGATGCGCATTTTCCTCTCGGGTGCGAACAGGAACGGTGGAAGTGAATCCCAGCCCGGTATAAGCCCGAGCAGCGTCTTTTCAGTGACAAGGTAGTCCGGATTCGTGGAAAGGAGCTTCTCGAAATTGAATTCATGCTTCGCAGCGAGTATCAACACCTCTTCAGATACTCGATAGTCAACGAATCGCGCAAGGAGAAAATCCATTATTTCGTGAAGTTGATGGCTTTGTTGCGATGAGCAGACTTCAGACATGATCCTTTCCACGTCAATGGACCCGGTGTACAGTTCCAAAGTTTTTTCTACGTCATCTCGCGTCCCAAAGGCTGCGACAGCATAGACCATAGATTCAGTGATCAGAGAACCACTTGAAGAGAGCAGTACCGTCTGAATGATGTCTGACTTGTACATGCGACAGATTGCTCTGAAGGCACCTTCGTCGAGTTCCACACCGGGATGGACAACCAAGAGTCTGAGGTTCTCCAGCTCTGGTGTACTATAGAAGAGTGGTTGAAAGCCCATGTGTTTTGCTCGAACGTAAATCTTCGAGCCATTGTCCATCAATGGCTGGACTCTCCTGATACTATAGTTTACAGCGAGAAAGCTGAGTGCCGTATCGGTGAGGTCCAGCAAGCTAGCATGCGTCATAATTGTTTCCAGAATCTTGTCCTTCCTAGTTGCGTGTGTGTGTTTAAGAGCTGTTATGAGGATATCATCCGTTAGTTGTACACGGCGGAGCTTGCAGACCAATGGAAGTAGGCGATCACTGTCCCAAGCACCCAAGATCGACTCGAAGACTCTGTCTGTGAATGAAAAGGCTACACCACGGGTCAAGAAGAGTTCGATGAGCTCGCGACGGTGAAAGCTTCCTGTTAACTTGAGCATCACATCTTCTTCAACGGTAATTGTGTTGTCCAAATTCAGCAGAGCCGACCACAAGTCAAGGTTGCCTGCTCTAGCCGCTTCCTCGATTATGGCATCCGTGATTCTGAACCCAGGTCCAGTCTTCGAGAGAAGGCTAATAATCTTCGCCGCCAAAGAACCATACCCTGATGTCAAGGCCTCAAACAGTACAATTACACCCTCTGTGTTTGTTGCCGTGACATCGGCACCATGCGCGACCAGGAGGTCAAAGATGTCCTCAGAACCTCTATGTGATGCAAGTAATATAGCTGTACCACCTACCTTCGCATCGTTATCGTACTCCGTTGTTCGGTAATGCGATATGAATTCGTTCGGAGAAGTACCATGCTTGATGAGCAGGCTCACTATCTCCGTGCGGCCTTTCATAATCGCCTTGAAGAGGACCGAGTATCCGTACTTATCTTGATGATTAGGGCTGAGACCTTTTTCGAGGAGCATTGCTGAGACAGCGGTTGACCCTTCTTCGACTGCTTGATGCAGCGCAGTGCAGCCAGCACTGTCCGTGACGGTAAAGTCGAAATCCCAGGAGAGAAGTGCTTCACAGACTTGGATGCAGTCCCCCCAAGCCGCCTCATGAAGCAGTGTTTCTCCCTTGTGGTTCCTGTGTTTGAGATCGGCCGGTTTGTCATGCAAAAGGCGGACAAGACCAATATTGTTCCTCCGTGCGGCCACACTCGCGACTGTGTCTCCGTTGTTCTCGAGATGGTCAATACTTGCGCCGGCCTTCAAAAGGAGATCAACCATGTCCATATGATCGTTGTCGGTGGCCACAAACAAGGGCGTCCAACCCCATCCATCCTTGTGGTCGACATTAGCACCACCCTGTAACAAACTTGTTGCAAGCTCACAGAGTCCAAAGTGAGCTGCAAGCCACAGTGGTGAGACGTCTTTCGGGAATTACTTACTCCAATGCCGCTCCGATTGGTCTGCAGGTGTCACAGATATGCACTGCACGGCAGCAGAGCAATTGCCTTCTTGGCCAAGCAAGTCACAAATGTGCGCCAAGGTCTCAGGATCTTGAGCCTGGCTCGCATATTTGCCCCATGATGTGGCTGCATACTCGAAAAATTTGTACTCTACTAGTCGAGCTTTCATGGCTGAATCGTCGGGTGCTGGACCCATCGCGAAATTTCCAAATCCCAAGTAGGTGAGACAAACTCTCGTCATTTCGTCGGCGTAATCGGGGAACAGTTCATGCTTCCGTTCACTCAAATATTCTTCCAGCGTATAGTGTACAAGTCGAATCAGCCTACTACCTTCGCCAACAGCTACCAGGCCGCAGCATATGGATATCAGGTGGCTGGACTCTACGATTGCATCGGGGTAGAACTCTTTGTCTCCAATCTCCACGGCTAGAGCATGCTGTAGTTCAGATATGGAGAGGGGCTCATAGGCATTTGTGATCCAACAGAGCACTTGCATAGCCCGTTTCGCTGTGTATGTCGACTGCTGTCTAATTCGGGTGATAGCATCGTCAAAAGTCGAATTATAATCGATTGGGAGCATGGTAAGGGCTTTCTTCAACTGACGGCGATTGTCATACGAGGCCAGAGAGTTGAGATGCAATTCTGCCAAGAGGAATCTGTCGCATACCTAGTTAGTCGCAATTCTGCAAGCTGAGAGGGTCCAGTGATTAGTACTGACATGCCTTGCACTTTTCCTACAATCGCGTTTTCAATCTCTTCTGCCAGATTCTGCTCAGCAGTAAGAAAAGAGGATAGGGTTGGTTCTTTGTGCAATCTTGATGGGATGTATTTCCTCATGTCCTTGTCGTCTGCCCGGATCGAAAGTTGTGGTTTCCCAATGAAGTTTTCAGCGATGGACGGCAAAGGTCTTGACGTTACGAAAACATTAGCAACACCATCGAGACATTTGAGCTCGTTAAGAATAGCCATGCGGGTTCCTTTTCGACTCTGAAGACTCATCTAAAGCGTCAACAACCACGAATGTTTGAGGGAATTTCGCTGCTTCTACTCGTAAAAGGTACGACGTTTCTTCTCTCGTGAGCCGGGTTTGTCCTTGCCGATGTTGCTGGAATGCTTGTTTGATTTCTGAGGAGACTTCAGTCCGTGACTCCGACAATTGCCTCAACAAGGCACCTGAGACGTTATGAGTACTTTGCAGCTCGGTGTTCTTGAAATTGAAGTAGACGCAAAGTACAGCAGTATCCTGGGTGGAATATGTTCGCTGCAAGTGATCGACAACGATCGCACTATAGTTCGAAAGATCAGCGCTCTAGCTTCGAAAGCGCCGCGGGAAGCACTGGGGCCGTATTTTCACATCTAACACCTCAACTTACGCGATGACAGTTTTACCAGCTCCCGCTGTACGGCGTGTTAGCAATGCTCTCCCGGGAAACTTGATGGCAGAACTTACCAACGCCAGGACACCACAGCATATTGCCAGGTGAATCAATCCAAGTCCTGAACTCCAGTGCATCAAATACCCAGCCACCTGTATCCTTGTGCCGTCGACGTAGCGTGTCGTCTTGCGTGATCCAGAAGTTCAAGGGCGATAGCCATTCCTCGATGCGCCGTTTTTCTTCAAGCGCCTGTGCCTCCGTCTGGACTGGGACCGTCAGTTCAGGCCAGTCGGTCGAGTTGGCAATGTGCACCATACCTTTTTGCCCCTGTTTGACATTGTCCAGGTCATTGGTGACATTGTCGATTTTTGCTCCTAGCGCATCTGTGCTGCCTTGAAGAGCAAGCGAAATTGACCTTGGCACAGTCAGACTCACTCGGTTTTAATGGCGTCAATAAGACTTACAAGTGGTCATCCTGAAGAGCAAGGTTGAACAGGGTTTTCTGTCGATTCAAAGATGCTATTAGCGCTTTGATCTCGGTCGTTTTGAATGGCCATGCTAATTTGTCGACGGTAACTTTGAGACGACCTGTGCCGACGCTGGGTACAATTTTGCTAGCAACCGTTTGCAGATCTGATTTGTATTGCTCCAAAGGGCCTCCAGGAGCCGCGAGGGTTTTTGTGGTCTGCAAAGATGTCACATGCGGCGAGGTTGGGCTGAGGCGAGCCTTGAGCATCATCAAGACGGCAACTGAGCTGCTAATCTCATCTCTGAGACGGCTCCGATCATCATCAGCATGGCTGGCGGATTTGAGGTATTCGATGACCTTGCCTGCAAGGTCCAGCAGCGTCACAATGCTCGACACCGCACCCAGAACCTCTGCCATGATGCCGACCGGCTACGACGCCCTGAGCGCTTACTGCTTTTTGGCTTGATAAAAGAATGGTTCGGTCGTCTCACGGGATTTGAATGTTTGAAAGTGGAGGAAAGACACCTCGTAGCCTGGTTGTCCAAAAGCGCCTTGCGTGGCTTGTTGACAGCTCAGCCTCAACACCGATTTTTGGGCGGGGTAGCCAAAGTGGTAAGAGGGAGAGCAGCCCTCAGCCGTCCCTACTTCAGCATAAGGGAGTCTCCGACCATGCGACAGCCTGTTCTCGAAAATTACAGGAGTCCGAAAAGTTTTTGATCGGTTGGAAAGGGTAAAACAGATGGGGAACATGAAGTAACGATCTCGAGCTCGTGCTTTCTTACTGACCCTTCACTCACCACTAGTAGCCACAAGCAGCTGGAATTCTCTTTTTATACTATATGCCAGGTAAGGAGATGCTAATAGATGCGTTAGGATAGTAGCAAAGTATAGAAAGTATTCGAGGAAGCAGTTGGGAAGAAGTTTCACGACTGGAGTGAAGGGATCCATCGTTGTCTTAAGCATCTCACGGGAAGTCAATAGGTCTAGAATTGTTCATGTTCTTGGATCCCCATGAAGGCCACTGAATCTTGCCGCCAGAAGCACCTTGTACCTCTGAGGCTCAAAGAAGAACCCGAGCTGGATAGAACGTCTCGTTCTGGACTGTGTTAAAAGCCTCAGCAGTTGGTCCGAGTAGTATTGATGCTGGTTTCTAGCTGTTTTGAATTTCCGATGTACCATTGCTCACTAGATTGAGAACAGATAGAGAAGGGTCGGACTTAGTGATTACTCGGTACTCTGGATATGCACCAAAGATGTGAGATATATGATACAAGACACGATCAATAAATAGAGCTCTTGGCGAAATCAGAATCTGAGTCCTTTTGCAAATTCTCCCTTGGCGGACTCCGAATTCCGGGCCATTGTCCTGGCAGCACTGGGCGATGGGCCTCCCGATTGCCTGGGGGTTGCTTCTGCCCTTCCTCTGTAAATGATTCACGTTTGACGGCTTACTCAAAGCTCTTTATCTCCCGTCACTTACCCATCGTGTCTGCTTTATCCTGCCTCTGTATGAAATCGATGGTTGGCAACATCCTCGAGATTGGTCCTCTATTGAGAGGTAACTAGTCGACGGAAGTGACGGATAAAATGCCCGAAAGTCCTTTGCCAGCAAGCCCATATCCAGGCCAAAGACTGCGCAAACCACTGACGGACAACTGCATTAATGAATGGCGAGATAATCCCAAATACAACAATCCCGACGACAGCAATCCTGCCTACCTTGCCGCCCTCAAAGACCATGAATTTCTCGATCAAGTCGAGTCATACTTCGACCGATTCCTCGCTGTTGTCAGAGCACCCAAGTTTAGAAGACTTCTGCTCTTGATAATAGTACTGTCACTCTCTGCCTTCTTCCTTCTCACGAGGATCATTGAACCATTTGTTGAGGAAGAGACGGCCGTGTGGACTTCATTAATTGCCAATACAACCACTTCAACCACTGGCATATTTGGAACGAACGTCCGACCCCATTTTCCCAACATGATCCACCTTCAAGACCTCGACCCTGCGCTCCTCCCGGGTTCGTCCAAAAGAAAGCAACACAAAGGCGTGGAGGCTAAGAAGAGGCTTATATTTATTGGAGATATCCATGGATGTAAAGACGAACTTGAAGATTTGTTGAAGGCGGCACATTTCAATCCTGCGACGGATCATCTGATAGCCACCGGAGACATTGTCATGAAAGGACCTGACACTGCAGGAGTTATCGATATCCTTCGTGGCTGCAAAGCATCTTGTGTTCGCGGCAATCATGAAGATAGGCTCCTCTTGGTTGCCGAGGATCTCAAGGCAACGTCACTCAGATCGAATAAAGGTCCTGGAAACGGTATCGATCTGGGCCATGAGGCAGAGTCCTTCAAAGCTGATAGTCCAGAACGAAAACTGGCCTTGTCACTCAGTGCAGATCAACTCGCATATCTCAAAGCCTGCCCAGTCATTCTCCGGGTCGGTGAATTGAAGGCTTTTGGAGGTGAGGCTGTGGTCGTACACGCTGGCCTTGTTCCCGGCCTTGCGCTAGAGGATCAAGACCCTGCGTCAGTCATGAATATGCGAATCGTCGATCTCAAGACTCACGTTCCATCGAAGTTGCACGAAAAGGAAGGCAGTATTCCATGGTATGTCCTATGGAAGAAGCACCAACAACTCGCTCCAGCCCAACAACATCTTGCTGATTTACGAGATTCGGGGAAATGGAAGTCAGCTGTGAAGCCCACAACCATAATCTACGGCCACGATGCCAAGAAAGGATTGCAAATCAACAAATATACCAAAGGATTGGATAGTAATTGTGTTCGTGGGGGCAAATTGTCTGCCTTGGTGGTCGACGAGAAGGGCAAACAGGAAGTGGTCCAAGTTCCATGTCGCGACGAGAGACAGGTTGCCTCGTAATCAAAAGGATGGTGCAGAAGCGCAAATTCACTCGATAAATGATTTCGTGAGCTGACCCCCTTTCTATGACTCTGTAAGTGGGATTGTGTCCAACGTATGGAATGTGACACTCCTGTGTGGTCCATGGCGCGGGCGCACGATCCACGACACATGCACTAAAATGTGGGTGTCTTGTGGCATGCCATGTATATTTATGTTGAGATATGGTGAAATGTACACTAACTCCTTCGGTCATTTACCATAGTTGGAGAATCAACTTGTGCCCCTTCACTATGTTTAACAAGCATCCGGTCATGAGAATGCGAAACCAGCCTTGTGTCATATGGATGAATGAATGGCCCTCACCAACAGATCCTCGCAGACAACTCCTGCGCAGTACGGCGGTCGAAATTGGGGGCCATTTACCTAAGTCACTTGTCGCATGGGTGTGACACTTGCTTGTTCGGGAGACTACCTTGGTGAGTTTAGCATCAAGCTAAACTCATCGTTCCGTTACTTCTATTTGTGAATCATTCACAAACCGAGCCTTTTCGGCGAACACAGATTCGAGAAATTCCCGTGCGCGCGAAGATCTCAGAGAGTTTAGGAAGCTTCTTCGGCTTATTGCCGTAATTGCAACATAGCATTCCAGATTATATTCACAAGTCAATCCTTGATCGCGCTCAGATTTGATTCCTGGATAATGTTCCCAGTGTTCAAGCCTCAGAATTGCTAACAACCCCCTCAACCTCACGGTATCAGAAGCCCTCCTTGGTATTCATCTTCACAAGCTATTCAGCTTCTGCGAGAAGTGGAACCACGTTGCTCAGTATTGAGACAGTGGTAAAAGAAATCCGACCGCGGGTCGATTGGCGGTCTCATTCATTTTGACACAATGCGAATTGATGATCTTCACCTTCGCCGCCGAGAAGAGTGTCAACTTATTCGACTTTCTTATTGACTAGCCTTCTCTACTTCAATTCCACCATACGGTTTGAAGGACGGATTGATTCATCTGATTAATCCCTGAACAAGAACGCATCGTAAGTGTTAGCTGCATTCGAAGTGAGAGGAATGTGACTTATTCAAGTGGCCTGTGCGTCTACAGTCATGTCTTTGTTCCTTTGCGACAAAGCTTCCGAACACGGAGTTCCACACCACAGCCTGATCACGGCTGGTACATTGGCATCCTCGTCCTTCTCCAATGGTCATTTCGCTATCACAGGTTCAAACCTACACCTTCAACCGTGTTCTCAAAGACTCAATCAGGTAGCAATTCACCCCTAAGCACTTGCACCGGTGTATACCCGTACTCCTGCCACGGCGAATCTGAGAACAAGGAGAAACATGTTGTGGTCTGCTCATTCACCTGACAAGGAGCATTGATATATTAAACTTGCCCAATCCCTCAAGCTGATCAAGGACATTGAAAACAACACAAAAACACTATTGGTCTTCTAACAAACAACAAAATATCAGCATGCAGTCCGATTCTGAACACTCAAACATGGAGCAAGATCGGCCAGCTCGACCTCAAACACCAGATTCAAGCGTACCCGACGATAATCCAGCTCGGTTTAGGCACGACAGGGACTCGATCTCTGGGTATGGAGCTGGTTTGGAGTTGAAGTCTCCCACACTAACTCCTGGGCGATTACGACCACCGAGTTCGAGAAACCGAGAGAGAAAATATTCTCAAGCACCAAAATCGACTATAGAAGAAACCCGAACCCTCGATCTGAGTTCTCCGATGGAGAATCCCAGATTTTCGAACATTGACTACTCTGCACCATCCCGGGTTGTCTCGCCACTTGAAATTCTGGAAGACATTTCCAAAGTCCAACAGATATTTGCAACCGCGTCTGACTTCCATGAAGATGACAATGACGATGATGAAGAGATCAGTCCCAAGAATCTCAGACAAGAGGTTCCCGTCAGCAATCTAAAACCGAGAATGACTGATGGGATAACTCAAACATCTGACACAGATTCGGACGAAGATACAGCAAATGTTAGAACCGAGGAAACAAAAGTATTACGGGCCAAGATCCGGCATCTCTCAAGGCACAAGCATGATCTCGAGAAGTTCTTGACCAATCTCGAATCTGAGGCTGGCGATATAAGAGAAATGATATCGAAACAAAAGAGTGAAGTTCACGAACTGAAAATGGAGAATGCGCTACTTTCCGAAGCCCACGCACAGGCCGAAAAGGATCTGGCCTTCGTTCTTGAGAAGAATGAAGACCTAATCAAGACTCATGCTGATGCCGTATTCAAGCTCAAGGCTGAGATTTCAGAGTGCACAAGAATGAACGACCAACAAATCAAAGTCTTGGAGAACACAGACGAATATCTCACGGGTGTCCGAAACGAATGCCAACAGCTCAGGATTCAGGTGGAGTTTCTACGTAAAACGAACACAGATCTTCAAAAGAGGCTGAAAATGCACGAAGTAGCAGCGGGCGACAATGAACGGCTGTTTTCTTATATTACTCGGGCAAGAGATTATCAAGTGAAGCAAGACCTTGAGCATTTAATGCTATACGACACACTCGAACAACAATTTGCAATGTCGAGAACCCGGCACGCATCTGCGTCATCGGCTGTTCCAGTGTACGAAACCCAGACTCTTGGGGATTTTATGCAAACTCTATCCAATTCTCATCGCGGTAGCTTTGCCACCCTCGCAAGCTTGCCCATGTCCGCAGCTATGTCTGCACATATACCTGTGCCTATGTCTCCGTACAGTGGTATAAGAGGGCTAAAGACATTCAACATTTCACTAGGAGATGTTGTGTTTGCTATTCAACTAGGCATAGACCCTATCAAACCATCTCTGAGTCAGCGGTCTCGATCGAAGACCATTCATACTCTTCAACCCGGAAGACGGCCCAGCAGTGTACGTTATCGGCCTCCTTATATGTCTCGCAGAGGAACTATGATTCATAGCCCGTTAGAAACCATAGACGGCAGCTTTTCCGATGAATCAGATAAGGAGTCATCTCAAGCATCTACAGGCTCTTCAGAGTCAGATACAGAGCCATCTCAAGCATCCACAAATGGACTGAAATCAAGCGAGACCAACCCAACAAGGTACCTTCGATCATTTACAGAAAGATATTCCATGCCTCAGAACCCATCCTGGACCGTATATTCGAATAAAGATGTTCCAGGATCCAGGGAAGCCAGTCCAACGACGCGTCGTAGATCATTCGCACAACGGTACTCCAAATTCACGAGTCTTTCCTGGACCCCAGATTCGAACAGATTTGCCTTGGGATTGGCGATTGGCGATCCGTTCGTTGCATCTCCCACTGAGGCAAAACATATGGAAGCAACAAGTAGTAGTGTTTCCTACCACGACACGGGCAGCACGAGAAGGAGATCATCGCAATTCGTCATTTCACCCACGTCCTTTACGACACAGAAAACCGAGCAATCTTCGGTAATGTCGGATTTCAACATGGCAAAGAATGAGGCAGAGGAATTTCGATCAGGTTCAAACTCATCGGGGGAGTTCGTCGGTAGAAGTCTGAAGAAGTTCTTAATTGATTTTCCCACGCAGCAACATGACGACTCAGCAGTATCCACACCACACAAAACAACTCCGAGCACGTTGGAGTTCAGTCCTGTGCGAACCCTTTCAAGTTGTGATTCCAGCCCATCATTCCCAGAACCCGAGTTTGTGTCTAGTCGTTACAAGAAACGGAACTCTACCAGCAGCATGACATCAATGGTGTTGAAGAGCATATATGATCATATCGTGCAAGTTTATTACACGCCACAGATTACAGATATTCCCTCTCCAACGTGCGACGATTATTATTATGATGATGATGATGATGATGAGTCGACATCTCTTTTCAGTCTGGGCAGCTCGCTTGATTGCAAAGCATCTCCATCTACTGCGGCGACTTCTATCAGCACCCCAAGATCAGACGCGATGAGTTTTAGTTCGTCGGGCAGTCCTGTTGCTCCGAGCCCTCTTGCTCTCCGCCTGGTAACTGGCAGCCCAACCCCTGCACTGCGTGCCGCTGCGAAGAGCATTTCTGTCAAGCCATTCCCTGTGGGGAGCATTAGTGCGAAACCTGTTGCTGCGAGTCCTGTGTCTACGGCAAGTCTTCCTTCTGCGGCAAGTCCTAACGATGGGACAAGCCCACGTTCTGTTCGTTCTATGGCAACTGTTCATTCCGTGTCAAGTCCACGTTCTGTCGCAAGCCCTATCTCTACGGCAAGTCCTATTACTACGGCAAACTCTGATGAAGACCGTAATGAGAGGCAGATGAGTGGAGACACTTCTATTCAAGCACCTCTGCAAAATGATCAGAGACATCCTTCAACTTCAAAATTCATGACAATGGCAAGGCGACGCAGTTCAAATCCCACTAAGCATTTTGCGTTCCTGAAGAAATATACACATTCAAACAAGGCAAAGGAAGCAGCTAAGGATTATCAAAGAGAATCGATCGCGAGTCTGGAATCTATCCCTGAAGTAGGAGCATGGCTGCCCGCTATATTCGATCGTCCATTGCCGAGCCTCCACAAATTCAACGAATTCTATACCCATTATACGCAGTGTGTCACACCAGTCACTGACTGGGGTGACTTTCAACAGGATGTTTCCGTCGCTGAGCAACGAAGGCTATCCTATTGGGCTTGGACAAAGATTATGTGGAACATAGTCACTTGCCTCATCCTGTTGGCGTCAATATTTGGTTACATGCCAACCAAAGGCTTCGGATCGATGGAGTCAGATTTGATGATGAATACATCTTTAGCCGCGTACGTAGGAGAGAAAGACAAGCGAGAATCTACCAGAGCAGATGCAGAAACTGCCTGGGACCCAGTCGTCAAAAACGATCGGGCCATCCTACCATGGATTGGAAGACCTCACATGGCACCAATATTCTCTGAAGTCACCGAGAGTGTCAATTTCTTCACCATGGAAGGACCAAGTGAACCAATCACGGAAACATACTGGACCACGATATCGAATACGAAGCACAAGACAATCACATATACCGAGATTGAACAGGCTGAGATATCTGTGATACAACATCACATGGAGACCTCTAATGAAACCTGTACCGAAACCACTACCGAGACTGATTGCACGAGCACTACGACAGAAGTCCAAGAAAAGACAGTGACATCTACAGAGGTCGAACACATTCTCCTACCGTGGGTGCGAAACCACACATCGACGATTACGAATACCTTCACAAGAACGTCTACGAAAACTCTACCCATCAGCTTCACCGTGACAAAACAGATATCGCTATTATGCACAGAACCGACATCAGCTTCGGGGAGGACCAAAGTGATCACAGTCACGGACATCCAGAAATCTACCGTGACAGAAACTAAAACTCAGACCGAGACCAAGCACCAGACAGTGAAGGAGACCGTGGCTGCAGCATGTGTGCCATGCACCCCATCCGGTTCCTCACATCTCCAAGCACAACCACAACCACAATCACAATCACAACAATCATCATCACCATCCTACGACGCAACCGCTCGATACCGCCAAATAAACAACAACAGACATCTCAACCCCGCAGACGAGCAGATCATGCCCGCCTGGTCCATGGCAGAGCCGGACCGCTACGCCAACGTAGGACCGGGCTATATCGGGCTCTCGCCGTGGCTGCAACGCTGGTGGGATATTTTCCGATTCACTGTTGAGGAGCGGATTCAGTCGAAGATAAGGGGTTGAGTGCAGTACTACTCAGACACGGCTACATAAGTCCCAACTAGTAAAACTAGTGATGGTAAAGATGAACATCCTTCGCAGGGCAATTGACCCAGAAACAATTGTTGTATGTGCAGCCCGAGCATCCATCCTCTTTCCACGTTCCGTGTCTCTCGTCTTGTATCCTCATAGCGCATCGCATAGCGATATCACTGCCAATTCCGTATACTATATACTACTACATGGAGCCCCTCGTACGCTTTCGTCCTGGCATCACGATCAAGTCTCCGGGTCGCGCAAAGAGAGTCCATTCGATCCATCACGCATCCCATCAAGGCCTAGAGATGTACCATAAAGAAGCCGCTAAAATATTCGCCGCAACCCGCAACCTCGGTATGCAGCTTGCGTAAGGCTTGCCGATGAGGTGAATATTGGGAAATTCTTCTTGCGAATCCTCGTACAACTCTCTCGGGAAGCCCTGCGGGAAAAGGTTACAGAAATTTACGATCAGTGGATTTTCAATTGACATTTGAAGGCGGTTATAATGCTTTTCGTTTTGGGTAAATAGCGAGCTGTAGAGAGGAATACTTTCCCAATGCGACTTCGAGAGAAGGGGTTTTGGGAAGGGTTCCCTGTGCCGCACCGTAGGCGGTTTGCTCAAAGGTCGGCAATGATTCCCCGTACAAAACTGTTGCATTAGGATATACAATTTTTTTTGGACGAAACCTGGGGAAATCAATTCAGACTGTTGAAGTCGAGCGATTGAAAAAGGCCCACCAAACGAAAATGGCACCAACTACTTTGCATCTACGGTCAGAACGTAATGTCTACCTATCTCTCTAGCCGCGCACATTCGCTGATGTTCTTCTAGTTGGAAAGTTGCTTGAGCACCGAGCCGCCCTGACTCCCACGACCACAAAAGCACTCATTGCTGCGGGATACCAGGTTCTTGTTGAGCGGAGCCCTCAAAGAATCTTCGACGACGAGGAATACGAGAATGTTGGAGCCACATTAATACCGGAGAATACGTGGCGTGATGCCCCAAAGGACCACATCATCATTGGCCTCAAGGAGCTACCAGTCGAGACATTCCCCCTTGAGCATGTACATGTCCAATTTGCCCACTGTTATAAGCAACAGGCAGGGTGGGAGAAGGTTCTTGGCAGATTTGTCCGAGGAAATGGGGTGCTCTTGGACCTCGAATTCTTGACCGACGCGAGCGGAAGGAGGGTAGCAGCATTTGGGTATCACGCTGGTTTTGCTGGTGCAGCTTTAGCTGTCATGAACTGGGCGTGGCAGATCAACAATCCCGACCGGCCACTTCCATCTGTGTCATCGTATCCCAACGTTGACGCTTTGACGACCGACGTCAAGAAGGCTGTCGCACAAGGAGCCGAGAAGACCGGCAGGGCACCAAGAGTGCTTATCATTGGAGCCTTAGGGCGTTGTGGCAGTGGTGCAGTTGACCTATGCTTGAAAGCTGGTGTCCCAACCGAGAACGTCCTCAAGTGGGATATGGCAGAGACAGGTCAGAAATCACGGTCCGAGTAAAGTGAAATTTGGAATGGCTAACAGACGCAATAGCGAAGGGTGGGCCCTTTCCGGAAATAGTTGAGAGCGACATCTTCATCAACTGCATTTACCTCAACACCAAGATCCCCAACTTTGTCGATCTGCCATCGCTCGATACACCGAGTCGCAAGCTGTCCGTGGTCTGTGATGTTTCCGCCGACACCACAAATCCAAATAACCCGATCCCTATCTACACGGTAGCGACCACCTTCGATGAACCTACTGTTTCTGTCGAGGTCAAGGGCGAACCGGCGCTTAGCGTTATTAGCATTGATCATTTACCAAGTTTGTTGCCCAGGGAGGCAAGTGAGGCCTTCAGTCATGACCTGTTGCCCCATTTATTGGAGCTCAAGAATTGGAAAAGCAACCCTGTATGGGCCCGCGCAGAGAAGCTGATGCAAGAGAAGGTTTCTACTTTACCAAAGAGCGAGTTATAACCCAGGGGAGATGGGTTTTTTTGGCGAGCGGATTCATCGATTATGTCGATGAATGTGGACGTTTACCGATTTCGACTCTTGGTGCATATTGAGTAAAGGAAAGAATTGAGCTCTCCTTCATTCCACTGGGGCACGCTTACCCTGCAGGGTTTTTAGTCCTTGGTTTGCTACCACACCATGAATTGCAGGAGAAACTGGCGGTCTGTCTTGAGACAGCAAAGTGATAGAGCAGCGGGCGTTGGAAGACGGGGCGGGGTGGCTCAGGTGGTCCGGAAACCCTTCTTCCTGGAGACATTGCTATAGCCCTAGTCAGCTCCTCATAATCATCCCCTTGTGTGGACTTCTCTGATAGCTGACCCTCGACTTTGAGAGACAAGACGATCGCTTGTGTCGACATCTCAGCTTCGTCTTCGCTCTCGTGGTTCTCGACGCCTTGATGCCGATCCTGATCAGTGTCCTGGGGTTGCCCCTTGGTAGGATCCTCAATATTTCTGTCAAAAGTACTGGGCCGTCTCAGCGCAGATACTAGAATCGGGCTATGTGCCTCTCTCTCTCAACATCTACCTCTACATCCTCGTCATCGGTTTTGAAGCTCTCCGATCCACTATCTCCGGCCTCATCATCACGAAGTCGTGTCCACTTGCCTCTGGCATATTATATATGTGACGGAGTCGAACAGGCTCAATGGCACATTGCCATCAAGCACTGAACTCTATCGCCCAGCTCGCCCGGCAAGATACAAAGCATTCTACGGTTCAGACCGTGGCACGCCGTACCTGAGTCGGCCCCAATATCGCACCGTTTATCATGGGCGTGGTCATTTTGGGTCCTGTCGGTCCATGTCACAGTGCCTCCCTGATTCGCGAAGCGCCTTGTTGCCATCCAACAGGAAAGGGAGACCCATTCGTTGCTGTGCAATTGAAACCAGCTCCCCCCTCCTCTGATGAATCTACCTTGCACCATCTAATCTCGAGTCTTTGGAGCGAACCAAGTAAAGTTAATGGAATTATTTTGTTATTCATATACCTTAAATAAACCGTACCAAGCCAACCTGGAAGAAGAGTCCAAAGTTGTAGTGCTACCTACATGTTCAATCTCTGGTTCCAGGTTCAAACACAGTACCGTGAACAACCTGAACTAAAGTTGAATGCAGACCGTTTGAAATTTCCATCACGCCCCGGTCGACCTCATTTCGTGTCCCTGTCACCACCCCGGCCCCAATGACGGGATCCCTCGATATCAACACCTGCAATGCTTTGGGTATCTCATGAATTGTAGGATATATTTTGTGTGTTTCCTTTTCCAAATCCTTGCGTGCTGGAGGTTGCAAACGCAAGGGAATCAGATCCATATCTTGAAAATCACTTCTTTTCGCCCTCATCGACAGAGGCCTCAACATCTTCATATTGAGGAGGATTAATTTCACCGTCGATGATCAATGCGTCTTTCTCATCATCTTCAATGACGATTTCGACGGCACGGACATTTCCTCGACGACCACCACGGTGGAAACGGATCCATAAGAAGACAAGAAATTGACCAACGAGCATGCCAATTGCACTTGCCATCAAACCTCCAATGACCCCAAGAAGAGCGGGAATAACGAAGAATCGGAGGACTTGATGAAGCAAGCGGCCGAACCTGTGAGCATTGTGATTGTGGTGATAATGGTGTCCTCCCTGACTCGCCTGGCCGTGTTCATGGTGCATGAATGGTGGGCCACCTCTATGACCTCCTGGATGACCAAATTTGCCGGGGCAGCCTTTGCCTTGACCCTTGACCCATCCTTTGGCGGCTTGGGTGTGTGTTTTAGCAGCATTGAGCATAGCCTGGATACGAGCAGCGATTATGGCTCGGATGCGGCAAATCGACCACTTGGAGGAAGTATCACAAGTGGTGGCTCCAGGAGTATCGTTGAAGGGGATTGTAGAGATCTTGACAATTTTCGTTTTCTTGTTGAAGAGACGCAGGACGTGAACAAGAACAGTGTCGACCTTGACTGGATGTCCATTGAGGGCAGTAATGGTCAGTTCAAATTGGAACATGGAAAATCCATGGCCATGTTTAGGCATGCGATTGGAAGGGCTAAGCTCTCGCTCTGCCCAAGCGAAGTCCAGATGGAGGGGTGATGTTTTTTGTCCATCTTGCACTCGAATTTGAGGGGCGGTAAGGCGGAATGAGAGCACGGGATCTTTTGAGAAAGGGGTGGGAAGAGCATCCCCATTGATGGTCAAGCCGTCGGTGGTATCTAGAGCGAAGTCAAGTAGCTGTGAAAAGCATTAGCATGTGTTGATGCAGGACAGTTTCCGTATGCCCACAATCTTGTTCTCGATATCATATTGTACTTCTGCTGTGTCCTCGACGCCAAAGAAAGGACATCCAGGGCAATCGAGTTCGAATTCGCTAGGACCATTGAGGAAGGGGGGCCTACCAAGCTCAACGGCATTGGAGACCTCGAGTGGTATAAGGAAGGCTGCGGTATGGAGGGCGAAGGCACTGGTGGCGACCAGCGCTGAGGAGAGGTACATTGAGGCAACAAATGAGAAGGACAAGCACAGGAGACGGATGATTGGTGGTGAAGGAAAAGAAAAGAAACAACTGTATACAAAGAATATGACAGAAAGATCAGAGGTCAGGGAGATAAGAGGAGGAGAGGGAAGTGAGGGAGGAGCAGGTGGAAGGAGGTTGTGGTACGGTTACTCGGTACAGTAGTTGAGAATGTGGCCTTGCTGATGCAGTGTCTGCCAAATGCAGTGTCATGGCATGGCCTTGTTCTGTAATGAAACAAGGCCAGGCCGGAGAGCCATGAAAGTGATGATTGCAGTTTGAAGGCAGTCCAGTGCAGTGCAGTGCAAGTGATTACGAGGTACAACTCAAGTGGCCGGGCGATGCGGCTGCGGATGCTGACGGAAGCCGGACAGGTATTATTTTTAAGTTAGGGGCCCGCCTGCCCGCCTGAAGCGGCTCTTTGGCAACCCGCGGAGCCTTGGGAGGTTAATTGTGCACACGACCGTCACGACCGTCCCCTGGACCAGAGGTCATTAGGCCCCATTGTTTACCAAGTTCAGGAAAAGGACCAGGGGGTCCTCACTGATAAGCTTTACGTAGTACGAAGTACCTGGTGCCCCCCCCCAATCCCATGACTTGATTTGGTGCAAGTGGGAGCCCACTCGCTTCGGACTTTCAATCACTGGCAACATGGTGGCGTTGCATTGTACGGCAACTATGTCCGAATGCGAATGCGTGAGCACATCAACAACATTCACTAGTGAGCCAAGGCTGCAAATCTCATCCAAGTACGTACTCCTCTGGAGAATATGCTGGCTTTGTGCACATTTCTTTATTCACAGCAGCATCCTAGTCTGAGACTCCCTCATCACGATCAATAGGCGAAGTACTCTACAGTCTATACTGACTGCCATCAATCTCGTCTCAACTCTCCAATGATAGTGACCAGCCAACTTCACCATCCCCCAAAAGTGATCTCGGATTGATGCTGGCCATGACTTCCGTCCTCGTACGAGTTCCCATGTGGCCCTGATTGGGTAAGTACTTTGATGACCTCAGCGCTCACAAAGCCCCAGCGAGCTCCACTATGGCCCCCCTGATTTGGTCTTCTCCTTATCAAAGCTTTTGATCAGAAGATCTTGGTGTGTTTGCTCTCTAACCATGCAAGTACGCGGTATTCTGTATCTACTCGTAGGTGGGTATTCGTTCCTGAATTCCCTGTCTCCCGTCGAGATCACCATCGTTAGTATTACAGCACTTGGTATCTAAGGTTGATGTACCCCATAATCTATGGTCCTCATATCATCGACCTTGATAGATTCCCCTCTTCCGTTTCCTCGTCTGTCACCGTCTCCGACCGGGGACTGACCATCGTCTGTTTCTCCCATAGGCCTACATATCTCCCCCCTAACAGCAACAGCTCCTTGTGCGATCCTCTCTCCACAATGTTACCTTTATCAACCACCAGGATCTGATCCGCACTCGTCACCGTTGACAATCGATGTGCAATCACAATGGTCGTGCGACCTGCTGTCAGGTTCTTCAATGCCTCTTGAATCTTACTCTCGGTGTGAGTGTCCAGTGCCGAGGTGGCCTCGTCCAGCAGAACGATCGAAGGGTTCTTGAGCATCACTCGTGCGATTGCGATTCTCTGTAGCTCACCCCCCGACACTTTGACCCCTCTCTCACCCACTTTCGTGCTGTATCCTTGCGGAAAGGAAACAATTCTCTCGTGGATGGCTGCTGCTCGGCACGCTTCATACACCTCCTCGTCAGAGGCCTCCAAGCGTCCATACCTGACGTTTTCGAGAATCGACGTGTTGAATAATGCTGCATTCTGTGGAACAAATCCAAACATCTCTCTCAACGAGTGTACGGTGAATTCGCGAAGGTCATGTCCATCAATCGTAATGCTCCCCGAAGTCACATCATAGAATCTCATCAAGATCTTGAGTGTCGTTGATTTCCCAGATCCTGTTTCTCCCACAAGAGCAATCGTTTGTCCGGGTTCGGCTGCAAAAGAGAAATTTTCAAGCACATTTCGACCTTTGTGATATCCGAAGAACACTTTCGAGAACTCGATCTTACCAGCACCCGGTGCGTCTGACAATGTGAGCGGCCCATCTTGAATTTCAGACCGCTTTTTGAAGAGCTCCAACAACCTTTCTGCATCGATCAAATCCGAGGCCAACCGGCGATAGCTGTGGCCCAGCGTCCACAGAGGCCAGGTGATGGTGTCCCAATATGACTCGATCGCCACGAAATTCCCCACCGGTATAACACCATAAGCAATGCGATATGCAGCCAAAATCGTCACGAGAAACCTCCCGAAAACTTGACACAACTCTTGAGCAGCAAATAGAAACAGTCCCACGTCGTTGTTCCACTGAGTTGCCAAAGTGGCATTTTTGATGGTCTGCGCCAGTTGCGCTTGCTCATACTTTCGTCGGTTGAAGTATGACACGGTTGCCCAATTGCTCACCATCTCGTACAGCATGCGGCTCTCGGCTCGACTGTTGACCGCAGACTCTCTTCGGGATTTCTTCAGCACTGCCGTGATGTAGTGAGTCACGAAGATAAAGGACAATCCAACGAAAACCACAATTACAACCGCATAGGCATCCAGAAGGAAGGTGAGATACCAGGAGGCAATGACGAGATCCAATAGGACCGGTGACGTGTCCAACACCACTGTCCGGAGCAGAGAATTTATTGATCCAGCCTGTTCAACCGCTCGGATCACCTCTCCTGAGTCCTTCCCGTCGTGGAAGCTCATTGATAGACCCATCACATGATCGAATGCTGCCCCGTTCAGTTTCTGATAAGACCAGTTTTCGAGTCTAGTTTCCAGCATCTGGTTCAGAACCGAAAGCCCTGACGACCCTGACGTCAACAATCGCAGAAGACCAAGAATGGCCACGTCTTTCCACGGTATGTGCCCGGTGGACGCTGATTCATAAAGTTTGTCGATGACAATCCCAAATTGTCGGGGATACAAAACATTCAACGCCCGTTCCGCCAGGATATTGGCGCCCAAGACAACGAAGTAGAGTTGAAATTTGCGATCAGTCGGCCAGATATATGGTAAGAAGATCATGTACTCCTTCAGGTATTTGGTCCACCCTCCTTCTTGTTTGATTTTCTTCTTCCGCTCCTCACCCCAGAATTCTGCCGATTCCGAGTCTTCATCGTCAGGCTCATCTTTACTGTCATTTTCTGCGGGATCCGACTCGACATCAACCTCTGTACCGTGATAGGAACGATCCACCCCAGTGTGAGAAGCGGTTTCAGAATCAGACTGTGCAGGAATCAGTGGCTGCGTCTCATCCTCGCTCGCCGTTTCCTTCCTTGTCAAGATAATCGAAAACCCCAGTGCTGATAAGAGCACCAGAAGGACGATTCGGGCGCATTGTAAGGCGAGGCTGATACATCTTGGCTTGTCAGCCTTGCTGCCTGTCAAGACCGATAGAACAGTGATGAGGAATTCGATCATCAGTGCCGTTGTCCATGCACTTGTGAAGGGTCCCCATTGAGGCGCAGTGCTGTCCAACAAGGACAAGAACAGTGTGGCCCACGTCAGCGATTGTAGTAGATGATAAACAACCATCCTCTGCGGATGGAAGTCTTGGCGATTGCGTAGATTATCTGAGACGAACAAGGTGCTTTGCACAATGTAAACCACGGCTATGAGGGCACTCAAACATATCGCGACTTTCTGCCTCTTTTTTGCGGGTGTTATCTTTTGCTTTGTTGCTTGTAATGTGAAGACGCCGATTATCGAGGCTCCCAGAAAAGACGCTCCAATGGCAACACAAGCAAAATAGCAGAGGCCCGCCAATAGGGCCCTCATGGTCGATGAGGAACTGGCGTGGACTAACATTCTAACACTTCTTTGAACAAAGGAAATGGTGAGAAGTATTAGGCGCACAAGGCATTGTCCAAGGTGAAAAGTCGAGGTTCTTTTGTGTATAAATTGAGGGAGCCCGAGGGATCCTCGATCGAATCAGAGATTATCTTGCTCCCCACATTCTATTCTGATGACTCCGTTGTGAGGCGTAATCGACGGTAGCGCCAACTCTCCTACCAAAGATTGTAGTTAGTCACTAGGAGTGGCGGCTGTGTGTTAAGCTGTAGGCCCTCATAGCTCTCAGAGTTGTAGAAGGATAAACCTGGTGGGTGCCTGGACCTCATCGAATGGCTCAAGCGCGAGGACGGTCTTTGCAAACATTTAAACCATACACAATTAAGAAAAGCGGGAAGGATGGTGTCACAAGGCTTGCGTGTCGATTTTTTAATTATGCCTGGTCATGGCATTATTGGTTGGGGTTACAAGTAGGAGTCATTTGGTAGTGGCCCCCGGGCTAAGAGTTGCAGAGTGCATCAAGCCACACTCCAGGCCTGCCGCTAAGGGTCTAGTTGAAGAATTACTTCGACTCCTGTTACGCGGCACTACATCTCAAGCCTCATTCCTTGACCTTAAGTGAACCTCCATGTCAAATAGAAGGTCCAGCGCCTTGCCAGCCGGCGTAGAGTTTATGACTTGAGCAGAAGACAGCTATGTTCACAGGATCACTAAGTCATTGCAGATCATATGCTCCTAAGAAGTCTTTCCAGCTGTACACTGAAGCTGAGGAGCCTGCGAGAGTCCATAATATGGAATACTCAACAACTCCGTCCCTCTAATCTTCCTTCACCGACGCTTCTTGCTAGATCCATTTCTCGGAGTGTCCTTCCTCGCTTTCCGGCGAGCCTCCCATCGACCCCACCCAGCGTCTTGAATATCCTCAGTTGTGATTAGATTCCTCACTCTCAGATGCCGGGACACTGGAGTTTCCAAAAGCCAGTCGATGACACCAGATTGATGCAAGAAGGTCGTCAACACGAACCATGCCAGGGCAAAAGCAATTCCAGCACCTACTCCGACCAGCACCTGTTTAGGTGTGTGATAGTTCAGATAAACACGACTTGCCGCAACAGCGCCTGAGCAACAACATGCCAACAAAGCCAGTAATAGTCTTTCTTGAAATGTTGACGGTGAATAGCTTGTTGAATGATTTGGCACATGCCGTACCAGTAGAAATAGAGTGAGAGATACAGCAAAGAAAGCCACAAATTGAGCATGTGATGAAGGCATACCATAGCCTTTACCAAACATTTCTTGTCGCTGTCAATACGTGGCAGGATTGGAGAGGAACAAAAGACTGACGTTTAGGCCGCTCTTCACGAATGAGCCGTTTGAGGGCAAAATTGAGAGCTTCACAGCTCATTTGTCCTGCAAACATGAGGAAGATTTCCACTTCTCGGGAAGCCCAGATGAGAGTAACGTAGACCACACAAAGCCCTTGTGGGACTAAAGCTAGCCATGCTGATAAATATGACAAGGGATCATCAGGATTCTGTCAACGTGAGTATATTGCTTATTGCATGTGGCCTCTGGAGGTGAAGGGGACAGTACATATCGGACATGCGTCAATGACAATGAAGCGAGAGCAGGATCATCCATGATGATTCAAGTAGTAGATGGAGGAGCAGATGGACGGTGGAATAATCAGAGATGAAGGGATGGGTACAGATGTAACACCTGGCTGCGACAAGACGAGGCTGTACGAGAAGGAGGCGAGAGGGTCGAGGGTGACTTGGTGGCAACTTCCATTTTTGATTGTTCAATAATGTGCATTACCTCATCAGCAACTGCCCACCCGCCAATGCATTTCGGTTGCCCAAATTTGCTTTCTTTTAATCTAGGTATATATCATTCAACATATACACCCCTAATGACTCACTGGTGGCCATCTTTATGCATCTATTGATTCTTTGCCTTCCGCGCACTCTCGTCATTTTTGTCTGTTTGTCAAACTCATAGCTGGGTCCAGAAGTAACGCCACCGAGCTTTTCTGTGAGGATTCGACCGACCATGCGCACCACTGATCTTCGGTGACCTTCTCAGGCTTGATTCATTCGCTTTGTCTTGATTGCCTCCTTCTAAACAATCTGCTTCAATTGAGGTTTTCTTATTGTCAGCCATGCAAACATTGATCTATTACTAGTACAGGAATTTTGTCCGCAGTCTGCGTACAGACATCAATGCCCTGTGACTACGATTTCTCCATCTCCAACACCACCTCTCTCTTTCACACACCTCAGCATGAACGACAACAGCAATGTCAGCGAGGACGAAAGAAGCGAAGAACTCTCATCTGTCGCCTCCATCTTTCCCGAGCTTGTTGCGGATCCCAATGATCCCTACACTGCGACTCTTGATTTGCCTGTAACTCCAATCGAACCTCTTCGCATCCTCTTTCGACCGGCCACAGATGGTGCACCATTGACTCCTCCTACTTCGGCTGAACAAGAGCAGGATAACTTGAATGAGAGACCTCGAGTCCAACAACTTGTCCAGCTTGACTCCCACAATCTGTGTCATTTGCCTCCTGTCACTCTACGAATCACCCTTCCAGAGGGCTATCCAACTACCAAATCCCCAAATGTCTCGCTCTCTGTTTCTCCACCCTGGCTCCCAGAGTCTACTCTGAAAAGATTGAGTGAGGATGTTTCGAGGTTGTGGGAAGAGGTAGGTAAAGATCTCGTTTTGTACACATACATTGTCCATCTACAGGAAGAGGCGGAAAGTGCGTTTAGATTGGCGGGTCCCAACTTGTCGTTATCAAGTACCTTAAGATTGGAACTCTTGGATTTTGACCTCAAGACCAAACAACTGCATTTCGAGCGAGAGACATTTGATTGTGGCATCTGCTTGGAACCCAAGAAAGGTGTCAATTGTCACAAACTTACCTTGTGTGGCCATGTTTTCTGCATCGCCTGCCTGCAGGACTTTTTCAAGAGTTGCATCACCGAGGGTGATGTCGACAGTATCAAATGCTTGTCTCCTGATTGTGGGAAGAATGCATTACCTGCAGCAGAAGGCGACACCCGACCTTCAAAGAGACGAAAGCAAGATCGGACCCTGAACCCCAGTGAACTTCTTCAAATTCCAATTGACCAAGAGCTTATTCAACGATATGTACGACTCAAACGTAAGAAGCGGTTGGAGGCTGACAAAAACACAATCTATTGTCCTCGGCAGTGGTGTCAGGGCGCTGCTCGAACCAAGAGACACCCTAAACCTGTCGATCCAATGAGTGATTCAGTATTGGATTCAGACTCTGACTCAGAGGATGAGCCACCGATTCCCGATAATCTCGAAACCCTCCCCAAGTCTCAACGCTTGTGTGTCTGCGAGGATTGTGACTTTGCTTTTTGCTGTGTCTGTCGAAAAGGATGGCATGGCGAATTCGGACAATGTAACCCTCGCAGCCTTGCAGAGCTTAGTCAAGAAGAAGCTGCCTCTGCTTCGTATATTCAGAAATACTCAACACCCTGTCCCACTTGCAATGTCCGCGCACAAAAGACATTGGGTTGTAACCACATGATTTGTGGCAATTGTAAGACGCATTTCTGCTATCTTTGCTCCAGCTATCTCTTGGCCGACAACCCTTATCGACATTTCAATGACGTTAATAGCCCATGTTACCAGAGGCTTTGGGTTCTGGAGGCCGGTGATGGAGAGGACGTTGATGTTGAAGCACACTTCCGGATCAATTGGGAAGCCGCTATACAAGCACAAGAAGATCAGGAGCAACCTGGTGCCGAAAATGGTGTTCCAGCAGAAGGAGTAGAAGATATCGAGTTTGAACTTGCACAGTTCGTCCGAGACGATGATACATCTGATGAAGAGCCGGCACCAGATATCCGACGAAATCGTGAGAGACATATCGAAATTGTCAATTTTGGAGGTCGTGGAGGTCACAATGCACAGAGATTTCTATTACCTGAACGGGCACATGCTCTGCCTGTACCTGCGCCACCAGCGGCACCCAATCCACCACGTCGACCCCGTGGACGTCGTGGTGGTGGTCAGCAGGGCAATCGGCAACGCGCCATGCGCAATGAACCAGCCCGAGCCAATAGACAAGTGCCGAATCAAGAAGCACGACTTGCAGCAGTCCAACCGGTTCAACCACCAGTCCAAGCACCGGTACTCGCTCCTGCCCAAGATGCAAATCACAATGTTGTCAATGCTGAGGGTCAGCCTTTGCCCGGTGGGTTACCTCTAGCTGCTCCAGGACAAGGCAACAATCCAGGTTTTGCGCAGGGGCTCGAAAGATTTCTCCAGCTCGCGCTTGACGATCAGGAAGATGAGTGGGACAGTGATGAACTCGAAGACGATAATGACGGCTTTGGTGATGAACACTTCCCTGATCCAGAAGTGAGGAGACGGCGGATTCAATGGAACTGACCCGGTAACTTTGGGAGGGACAACTACCTAGCAGGAAGCACGACTATGTGTTGTCGTGACATGCTGGCGCTCATAGAATGGAGGGAGTCAAGATACTCAAACATCAAGAATCGAATTTCGAGTGTGCGACACGGTGCATGAACGAGACGACATTACGAATGGACATGCGCACGACAGAGAAAGAGCTGTACATAGGCATGAGATGAGATCAGGTAAGGTGGTGGAGCAAGAACCATACTCACACAACGCGAGAGACACTTCCACCATGCACGATACTGTATGAATACAACTACTCAAAATCTAAAACGGTCCAAGACTCACCTAGTAGACCCATGACTATTCGTGACAATAGAATCTTATAATCTAATAACCTTGCCAGCCCGATCAACACCCCCACGAAACAACTCTTTAATGACACGGCCGCGCAGCACCGTCTCCTCGACAATGCCCTGCACATGCCGCGGCTCGACGCGACCGTACCAAATCCCTTTGCCGACGAGCGGATGAGGTTGTTGTTGTGGTGTGACATCTGCACCTGCACCTGCATCTGCATTGACCACCACGGCGTTCGGAGGGATATACACAATCACGTTCCCGGCCCATTTATGCCCGCCGACGTGCGAGACCGTGCCGACGTTGATTGGGACTGGGCTTCGGGACTTGGAGTCAGTATTCGGCGCTCCTCCTCCTCCTCCTCCTCCTGATCCCCCGGTCGCCGTCGCTTCCGATGCACTCGCAGTAAACACGCCGGTCTCCGCAACCGCCGCCAGCCCGGACGGGATCTCGCGGTGGCGGCGGTCGATGTACGTCGCGAACTCGCGCTGCAGCAGCGGGCCGAGCACGCCGCACCGCGAGTCGCGCTGGCCGTGGCTGCAGATCAGGATGGTCGGGGTTGTGATGTCAGCGACGCCGATGGGGAGGGTGCTGGCGAGAGAGGCGTCGCGGGTTTTGGATCGCAGGGCGGACGTGCTGAGTGTCTCTGGCGCGTGGATTGGGTGCAGCGTCGTGGGGAGGAGGTATGCTCGTGTGAGGGTCTGGAGGAGCGTTGGGCTCGTGGTTAGACCGCGGAGGTGTTTGAAGGCTGGGAAGAGGAGGGCGTCGATTTGTGGTTCTGGACCTCGATCTGGATCTGGTGGGGGTTGGGTCGCCCTCCTGGAAGAAGAGGGGTTGTGTTGTTGTTGTAGTTCTGGTTGTGCCCAGGGAGTGAATGAGGAGGTGCTGAGGAGGATGTTATTGTATGGCTATTCGGGCATAGGCTTCGTGTGAGTATCAGCGTCTCCTTTCAGGAACAACCAGAAAAACGCAAAAGGCGAACAATACATCGTGGAATTCTCCCCCTCGTCCTAAGATGGCTTTCATCTCCGCGGTGAAGCGTCCCCACGGCGCCGTGTCACGCTCGTCTTCGATCCTGCTGGTCCAGTCTTTGCGGCCCGTGGAAATGAGGAGGTGTTGCGCGTACGGTGACATGGAGCCGTTGAGGTCTCGCGTTCGGTCGATGTCGAGATCTGCCGGTGTCGGTGAGCATTGGCATGTTGGCGAGGGGCATGTTGGGATGACGGGAAATGGTGGTGGTGGTGTTGCGAGGGTTACGTTGCGGCTACGTTTGCCGAGTGCCGATGTCGCCAGACACCGCTTGGATATCTTGTTCATCTCGGCATGACCAGGGTGATGTTGACGGAGTCGTATGATAAGATCTGACCTGTCGGAAAGTGATTTGGGGGAATTAGTTCTGGAGCAGAGTGCGACGAACTGAATGATGCCGCAGTCCGTGATAATGTGAGCAAAGGAGGAAATCCGAATGACGTAGCGAGTCTTGGCTGCCACAGCCTTGCATAACGGCGTTCAGCCTTGTTATCGATCATGGTGAACAGCCGATTGGTAGATTGTTGTTACTATTGTCTTCCCCCTAGAAATCACACATGGCGTGGCACTATATGAGATGATTTCTTGTCTATATGAATGATATCATTGCCACCAAATCTGTTCTATGAGAACCAACGTTTAGTCTCTTTCACCGTCACACGGCTGGAGAATTTGGCTAGAGCAGCGTCCGACATGGTCAAGGGCCACAACCCAGTATAAAACAGATATACCCCAGTCAATAGCAAGGTGTAATAAGCTATTGTCCACTTCAGACCTAGTTCACCATCTCCACCACGTGCATGGATTGCATCGGTATCATCTTTGCCCCTGATGGCGACCGGGGAGAGAGGATGCTGTTCCCTGCGTTTCACTCGGCCCCAAAACCGAGGTAGACCAACCCAATTGCAGAAAGAGTGGATAATGATACATGCATATAGAGATCCGGTCCGAAGAAAGATGAAATCGGCAAACCAGCCGAACAGGGTGGTATATCCAAATTGGAAGAACGACCGTAATAGTGCGGGCAATAACGGGGTGTGAGGATGGGTCAATGTGAATTCGTAGAAATGATGCACATGGGCGATGCCAAAGTACAAGGGTGTCAGGAAGACGATTTTGGTAGGCGAGATCTTGGCTAGGAGGTGCAGAGGAACCAAGACCGAACGAAAGATGACCTCTTCAGTGACGGGGCCAGCGACAAAGTTGCGGTAACCTTGCCAACTGCTCAAACTCTCGACTACCTTTCGACCGCCATGAAAGTCGGACAGATCCTGTTCAATCCAGATCCTTTCAAACAAGGGTCCAAGGTAGAGGAAGAGTGTCAATGCACAAGACTTGACCAGATCGAGAATTGAGAGGGGCCAACAGCCAAGGAAGTGGAGCGAGTGGATGGGTGTCAGTTTGGCTGTCACAACAAGTAAATAGAGGGTCGCTATAGAAGAGACGACACAGGCCAAGGTGACGGTCTGAATGCGAGCTCGGATGACTGAAGGGGCATCCCGATTGAGAGAGGGCGACGGTCGGGTCGCCCTTGACAGATAGAATGGGACGACGTAGAAAAGTGTAACGGCGATCTAGTCCCCGATCAGGTCAGCACCGTTGAGATTTGTCACATGCCGATGCAACTGATGTTGCAAAGAGCAGCTCCAGAGGCATGAAACCGCATCTGAAAGACCATCGTGAGAGGTGAGCAACGTACAGAGAGAGCGGTTGCCGTGGTGGGAGAGATAACAGGCTGGTCTTTTTCTGTGGTGATTTTGGTATCAGCATATCAAATGGTTATCGATAACAGCGAAGAAGAGGTACGAGGTATGAAGCAGGCTCAGGCTTGATGAGACCATGATTGAATCTAGTGGTGGAGGGTTGAAGTGGAGGGGAAAGGGTCGTCTGAGGACTAGTTTCACGACATGGGCATGAGGGGGTTTCTCAACCAATGAATTGGACAACGTACCCTCATGGCCAAAATAGGTTTCCTTCAGCCGATTGAACAGCTCAGTGGGAGCCATTGATACGTGGACAAGGAATTCAGGTATCAAGAAGGGTCGCAGAAGAGATGGCCACAGGTCTAACCAGGTGTTGAGAATCGAGATGCACCGGCAGCTGAGGTGGCAGTAACTGGAAAAGGAGGCTTCAAATGACCGAATGACCAAATGACGAGGAATTTCTCACGTGTCTCACACAAGAATTGCCAACAGAGGGCTTTATTGAAAGACACGCATATCAAATGCACGCCTCATCGACTAAAGAAATTAATATTGAGAGACAGAAGCACAAAGACGGAGTCACGAAGACAGTCAGCGACTCAGCGCCTCAGCGGAGTGATGCCATCCGAGTCTCTGAGCTGGTCGTGGCTTTCTTCAAGTTCACCCCCTACCCCCTGGTCGCCTTCAGATTGACGCGTTAATTTCGCGACCAGCCCTCCACCAGTCGGAGAATTCGTGGCGGAGGCAATTCCATCGGCCAGTTCCACTGTACGAGTCACTACCACTGCGGTGCCACGCGATCGAGAAAGACGCGACCTCCTTGACACACTTGCAATATACCCATCGTCCAGGACCAACTGAGGCTGGGGCATCCAACTCATCCCAGTCACTGGGCATTATTGAAGGTGAACCGTGCCTACCGACTATGGAGAACTCTTCTCGCTGACTCCATCTTCTTACTCCCCTGATCCTTTCAACATCCTCCAAGTAGGACGTGCACTGGCATCTCCTCCACTGCAGACTGGTTTTTGGGGAGCCAAAATCAAATATCCATCTCGAGTCCAAGCCAAAGTCGTTCCTGAATACCAGACACCGAAAAAACCACAGCAACCTCAAGACTTCGCATTCCTCCCTCGGTACAGACCACCTCCCAATTTTAAGCCTCACCGCTCAGTGGGTGCTATCGCCTGTCAATTCGCAGCCTTTTCGCATCTGTGCTGTCATATCAATTTAACTCGCCCTGCAGCGTGCATATGCATATCCGCACCCGCCAGATCCATGTCTTACAATAGCCCGAGCTACTTCGTATCTTTCATGACGCTCGCACATACACCTACTGTGGCCGTTGCTATTTTTCTTCAAGCATAGGCCTCTTAGCTTTGTTGTTTTTGGACACCTCACCTCCAGTCGTTCGTTACTCTAATATCAACATCTCCTTTCCGTCCTCCAGTCACGCCAGATTCAGTTGGCACAATCCGTCAAACCTTTCAATCCCAACTGCTGTCCGACTGTCCTTCAACCGCGCTCTCTTACCATGAGATAACCATGTCCTCGTCCCCTTCGACGAAGCAGAAATCGCCGAAGCGGACCACTCCAGGAAGATCACCTTTGCAGGAAAGATCTCAGTCTCAAGCAAATGAGTTATCGGGGATTCTGGCCAGAGACGGGAGAGTGGATCAAGAGAACTTGACCGTCTACAATTCTACACCTTTTCCTACAAAGGCCGCACACTTTCTTCTCCCCAGCACCCTTCGCAATCAGCGGAGCGGCGCAAGTCCTCTCACCGACGCATTTGGTCTGGCCTTTCAGAGTGACCCGGCCACCAGCAATGAAGGTGATCGGACTCCTAGGAGTGGTTCGGCACAACCAACCGTCAGGCTCAAGCGATCGGTCAAGGCTCTGAGGGATCTATATGAGTCGCAAGGAGAAGACAATTCTCGTCCCTCTACTGCTACTTCTCCGCCACTCCGACCGAGCACCGCAAACTCTTCGAGGTTGAGGAGTGTCAGTTCGAATGACAGTCTGTCGGGGCCCTACGCATGGGAATCGCTTCGTAAAATATCTTCCGACGACTTGGCCCTCCTTCCGTCTTTACCGCAGAGCAGCCGTTTTGTCAAACGCCTATCGTCTCGCTCTTCATTCACCTCCGTCTCCGAGAAATTCGCTGCAGCTTCAAGCCCAAATTATAGGGTGTTGGGAGCGACCTCGAGTCCCAGACCGTTGGCATTCAAGGATATAACCAGCCCGGCTCTTGAGCCGTTTGACGAGATCGAGAGTACAGACTCCATTGAGGGCAGTTCCTCAAGCCCCAACGTCGTTCGACTTGCTCGTACGTCGAGTACGGAGCAGTTCCAGTCCACTGATTCATCCTCAAGTCCAAACGTCATCAAACTGGGAACATCCTCTCCGACAATGCGAGTAAGAGCACCGGACTTCGTTTCTCATTCCCGGTCGTCGTCCACATCCTCGCGAAAGCGCAAACGGTCGGATACTTTGGATAGTCGTTCGTTTGCCGAGCGGGCGGGCGCTAGAAACCCACTGGCTTCGAGCCCTCCCATCAGTAGATATGCAACCTCTGTCACGGTGGCTCAGTCGTCCCCCGCAGAGAGAAATACACCCAGCTCTTCTGGACCCCAAAGTTTCCACCTGAGAGGCCGATCCGTTGATGAATCCAGCCCCATCGTGCACGTGCTAGCTCGGAATCACCCGAACTCGGATGATAGTTCCGTTGCTGAAACACACACGAGCCTCCAAGGAATCCTCAGTTCCAGTCCGCCACGAATCCAATACCCCATAATCCGTGCCCCTCTCATTACACAACAGGTCGGCCTAATCGTCCCTAAACGAAATTCGAGGTCCATGTCCACGGACGCCTCAGCACCCAAGTTTTCTTTAAGACTGTCTGCTGTCCCCTCTGAAGGTTCTTGGACTCGAACTCGACGTGGAAGCCGAGCATCATTTGAAGAGGACGATATCGACGACATCGACGACCTCTTGACCTCTGATGATCTGGCCCCTGCTTCTACTTTCATCATCAATGAGTCCGCCAATCAGTCGATGATTCGGGTGGTCCCCGGATCCGACCTGCACGACCTGGATTCCCATGAAGCTTCTGATGAGGTCTCGGCCCTGCCCTACGACTATGATTATCGGTCACCTCCCCTGAGACCGGTTCGTAGTGGTGGCTACCTCAACTCGTCCGCAAACTCGTCCTTATCCCGAATTAATGCCATGAGACCGTCAACGCAGTCACGACAAAACAGCTTTCTTTCGACCTCCCTTCGTCCTTCTTCGTCCAGCAGTGTGGCCAGCAACATTGTTCCAACCTGGGCCAAACGATATTACTCCGGATTCTACCGGGACTCGTTTAATTACCTCTATTCTAACGGTTCCCATCTTAATCTGAACAATATGCCGAGTCAAAAGGCCAATCCCATACGTCCTAATTCTTCAAAATCTCAACAAAGCACAGCCCCTGTTCATCAAGGAATGACTGAGCGGATCCAAGCATTTTTTACCCCAAAGAAACGACCCAGACTGGAGGCACGAAAGTCACATACACTACCAGGTACAGGTCCGCTAGTATCAAATCCGATTCGCGGTCCAGCAACGGCAGCGATCGCTTCAAATCGTGTTCAATCTTATCCTGCCGCCCGCCGATCCTCAAACCACGGTCGTTCGATATCTGCTCCTCTGCATCCTGCCGATCCACGTGCCCACTGGGCTGGCGTTGTTGAAATCCATAGCACCATTCATGAGGATGGTCTTGGTTCCGAGTACACGATCCGCCAGCATCACATTCGCACTGGATCAAATGGTGATCTCAGCCTCAGCTCCTCCCAATCCGTCATCCATCGCCATGGACGAAGGCAAAGTCGATGGTCTGGCTCTCCTCATCTCCATCACGATCATAGGTTGAATACTGGATCCTCCGTGTCTTTGGGATTTGGATATCCTTTCAATGCTAAAGCCAAATGGAGTGCACCGAGCATCACCGACACGACCTCCAACATTTTTGGTAGCCCCGACCTTCGAACAGCTCAGGTGGTCCTTTTCACCACTGGCTTCCTTTTGCCACTATTGTGGTTCGTTGCTGCCTTCCTGCCATTGCCGAAACGACCAGAGGGTCTTGGGGATCTTGAGAAGCGCGCAGCTGCTTCCGCCCAATACCAAGCACAATTACTGCAACAGCAGCGCTCTAGTCGTCTTAGTGTGCAACAGCTTCACCAGCAGCAACTCGATGTTGCAGAATGGGAGCAAATGGACATCGTTGCAAAATTGCGGCTCGAGAGACATGCTCAGGGCGTTGAAGAATTGAAATTCCAGAATGCGCGGTGGTGGCGAAATCTAAACCGCTGTATGTGTGCTATTGGCCTGGTGGTGATTGCCGTTGTCATCGTACTTGCAGTCCTCGGCGCGAAGGGGGCTTGGTGAGAAGGAGATACTCAAATCATCGTTCACAGTATCCTTCACCTCTCTCGTTCCCGAACCAAACACCACGGCTGGAGCATCTTTCTTGCATGGGAGAAAACGACAACCCTGACTCGGGAACAAGCACTGCATTTCACATTTCACATTCAACCACTTCCATTACACTATACTCTCTGCTTCTTAGCGTGAGTCCACAGGCTCTTCCTGCCGCGGACTTGAACGTTTATTCAGATCAGATTCCCCAATTGCGGCCCTTTGAGCGACTTTTTCTTGCCAGATATTTGTTTATATCTTACTACCTCATTGGATGCGAACTGCATCTCTATTATGTACCTATCTACCACTTCGAGACGAATTTTCTTTCCGCACCGTCACATCCCACTAGACATACCCCACTTTTATATATCTCACATATATTAGATCATATATAAATATTAACGGCCTATCATACACATGAGACTCCCCTTGATTGCTTCTCTACCATCGTTATAACAATCAATGTCCTTGAAACAATGCCAGAGTGCATTGCCATGAGCCTACCACTTGGGCATAGTCGTCTTGTTCTCCTCAAAAGGCCAACCCCCCAACCACCCTGATCGAAAAAAATCCGAGCATTAGCATACATCTTGAGCCGGGAAGTCCGAATTCTGAGTCTTTTATTTGGAAAAAAAAATTAATTTCTTGTTTTGGAAAATAGTCTATCACACTAAAACACTACTGAGTGTATGGAATTGAAAGTTTTTTGTCATCATACGTAGGTAAGTACGTGAAACAGCCTCTGGCATCCGAATAAATTCAGGAATTCACCGAGAACCATGACCCTTCATTTCAACCTCAAGAAAGGGAGAGACCCAAACTGGAAGAAGCATTCCCGCATCTGCGAAGTTTTTCAGATTCCTTCACCCTTGCATCCAACACACTGCCTGCAGCGCCATCCTTGGAGATGACACTGGCCAAGATACCCGCGCGACTGCCACGATGTCATATGTGTCCACAGGATCGTCGTGTATGATCTGGAGAGTCGACAAAAGGTATTTCGAGTGTGAGAAGAGCCTGAATTCACCACAGATGGCCCCCAACGAATAGAATGAGGACTGCTGGGACACGTCTCTTAAAGGCCCTTGGGTTTCATGAGATCAAACATCAACTGCAGAATAGCCCTCCTGCCACGGCTTGATGATACAAATCGAATGGTTATTAAAATCCATCCGGTGGTGATACATGCGGGGCACCATGCCGATGCTGCCTTGAAGTGCACACTTGAAAAAGAATTGAGCCTTGCGAAAAGGCTTAGACTGGAAGTTTGAAGCTCTTCCCTTGGAGAACCCTGAGGCGAGGTCAGTAGAATTTCTCAACGCATCTTTCGCTTATGGTGACTTACTTTGTGTAGTAAACCCAAAAGAAATCGGAGTAGAGAATGGTCTGAATAATGCCAGCCATAACAGGGATGGGATCAAAATGACCCGCCTCAGCAAAATAGCGGTAAATCCAGTTCGGAATGTATAGTGCCCGGTATATGCCAAGGGCAAAAAGATAATGAGTCGTGATCGTTTCCGCCTCGCCCGTCCTCTGCAGCATAAACAATTGTGGCAAAATGGCAACACTTTCGAGCCAGAGAGAGAAAGCCCAGAGGATCTCGGAAATCGACCACTTGTACGGAAAGACGATTGCCAGGACGGCGGCCCCACCCAGCAGGTAGGATACACGAAAGGTGTCAAGGTTCGGGTCGTGGGTAGGCTTGTAGTCGTTCAACATGACGTATAGTGTGTATGCGGAAGAGGCCAAGAAGATGAGTTTGAATATGGTGTTCCACGCACTGTCCGTGAAGGACCAGAAGATGTCTAATGGTGGTCAGTGCGATTCTCTCACGGAATTCATTGATGGTGGTTGCTGACCGAGATACCGAGTGACATAGACGAAAAAGTACAGAGCTTGCGACTTGAATGATATGCCTGCGCATGACTGTGAAGGAGTGAGAATGGCTGTCGATCTGCGGAGATGGAAAGGATTCGTACATTGGACACCCTCATCTTATGGAGAAGGATGAATATGGAGAATAGATGGGAGAGATCGGCTAGAAGCACAGAATGTCAGTTTGGTGCGCTTCATGTCTTCTATGTCAATGATCCTCACCGAGTAGCCTGAAGAGATTCATATTGGGCAAGGATGGCAGCCGTTCGCTGCGCCGCAGGGATATTGGCTCAACGGTCTGCGAAGACTTGAAAGGACGGGGAATCTCGAGTTATGGAATGATCCAAGGAGTGGCGGGACGGAGATGCGGCGTCCAAATGGTACAGATTGTTTGAGAAAGAAGCTGAAGAGCGAAATGTTAATTGACAGGCTGTTCAACAACTTTTTGGCGGAAACACGCGCAGTCGGCGGATGACCTTTTAAAGTTTCCCCCCTTCCACTTTGACATCCGGTCTCCTTTTCCCACTGCCCCAATAATGGCAAAGCTTAGACGGCGGAACATTAGACCCATGAAATGCTCTCCGGCGCAGTACTGCCTCCATCACGCTACAGAGACCACAAACAAGGCTGAGCTCACAAGGCTCGTGCCCCTCTCTTGAGGTCCCTTTTAGTCACGTCCACCTGAAGTTCGATCTTGAACCAAAATACTACGTACATCACGATACCCGAAAAAGGCACTTAGTGCAGGAGAATCAAGCCACGTATCTGATAGTCTATTTGAGAGAGAAAATTTGTGGGAGCTGCAGCTAGTTCGGCCAGTTGCACCCCATCTCTTCATTTTCCGCAAATACCCTTGCGCGCCCCACGATGGTGCCGGACATCTGGGGTCACTGGTATGACTTATGTCCTCAGGACAGTAACTGCTTTGCCCACCAAGGGGCCTTCAGGTACAGAATTTGCCCTCAGCCCCGACATCTCCATCCTGCCTTACTTTTTTCCGAAATTTGTTCCCGTAGTATGCTTTACGGGCTTGTCCACAAGTAACCGAAACCGTTCTAATGCAGTTTTTCCCTTCTAATCCGATAATCCTCCAAATCGAACCCAGTCATGCTTTGTATGCTTTGTAGCTTTTTGCTGACAGAGCCGCTGGTTGTAAAAGAACCTGAAGATGCAATGATGCTTGTCCGAGAAACTGGTTTTCATCTGCCGATGAAACTGAGTCGATGTCATGCCTTTCGGTCTGGTGGTTCAATATCCTTTTCCGTCATGTTATTTCCCGGTCCCGACACCAGCACAATGCATATTCGCAAATGACTCGATACCAACTTGAGTAACTCGTCGACAGCCAATATTATAAAGATAACGCCGCATGATGACCCGCTCAGCCCTTAGAAAACGGCACCAGATATGCTGGGGCAGCCGTGCAAGGTCTATCGAAAGACTTTGAAACAGTAGTTGATGGCGGCCGCATAATTGTCGGTTTTCAATTCGGTGGGGTAGAAGAAATCTCCAGTCCCCAACCATATTCACCCTCCAACATCCTCTTATAAACTCTAGTAGGCTCTGGCTGGAAGAAATTCGAAACATAAGGCACATGGAAGTATCTAAATATGTGCTGGAAAAAAGTACCAGAGTAAACCGGAGGGTGTAGTCATGGGCCTTGAGTAGTATGTCACATGTAGTTCCGCTCAAGCTTAACTTCATAGTCATGCCCTGCAGGATGATGACCCCGTGGTACCTTGTAAATGGGACCTGTGTTGTATGCTGTCGAGGTTGTGGAGTTGTTCACAAATGGATTCACAGAGAACGATAAGCCCGGTGGAGTGGCGTTTGTGCAAGTCAACGGCATGGGTGCGTTTCTACTGTAACCATCATGGGTGTTCAAGGTGTTGCTGCTGGTCAAATTTGTCGTTCGAATGCCGGTAGGATCTTGCGGAGGAAGTGGTGTCATCCAACGATTCTGCTGCTCAAAAGTCGCACTGGTGTTGAAGCCTGCTTCTTGCAGTTGTAAGCTTTCACTGGCATTGTTATTCTTGTGGGTTGAAGAGTTCTTTCTTGAAAATGATTTCGGTGGAGCTTCTGGAGATTGAGGATCCGTCATCTCTTCTGGGCTTCTATCACATTCGGGAGGTGAATTTCGGCTGGTGCCTCTTCGAACCTGACATGTTGGACAAAGTTTGACAAATCGAGAGATGAGCTCTTTCGGAACCCTATCCAAACTTGTCAGCCTCGGAGACATTTTCCATTGGTTAACATCACCCACCAGGAATATGTACGCCTCACGTGAGCAGAGGTTTTGTCACGTCCACCATGCTGACATTGTCTATGTGCCTTGGTGAGAATTTTGAACAGCTTCTCGCGGACGGCTACTGGCTTCCCTTCATGACAGATTTTTTTTCGCTTCTACGAACGATTAATGTTGATCTCTCGATAACCGAATAATACTGACCTCTGGGAGATTAGGATCATTGGGCTGGAGTGTAAACATCTTCTTGACCCAGAATCTGTATTGGCCGTCAGCCAGAGTAATCTTGACAATGAACGGGGCAACTCGCCGAAATTGCGCAGATTCGATGGAAGTTGTTTTCTTATCTATAAGAACCGACTTGATATTGGCAGCTCTACTCGCATGAATCAAAGCCTTGTCTTGCTTCTTGGGAGAAAGATCGTGAACGTAACTGTCGTAACGGTCAGAAAGGTCGGTAAATGAAAGTAAAGGGATACCCACCGCCTCATCAATTCGTCGAACTCGTGAACATCCGGATATCCAACAGGTATAGGGGTGATAGGTTCAGACAGCATAGTCTCAGCATTCGGAGAGCTTTGCTCCTCGGTCAACTCCATAGCCACTACTTCTTGAGTTGAACAATGGAGTGGTGCTGCACTGCTCCTCCCTGCCGAGCCGGTAGTGGTATAAAATGGACGTGAAAGTGGCCTGCTTTGAGAGGGCAGAGTTGGTGCTCTCAAACTCTGGTATTGAAGAGCAAGATCTGGTGCGGGAGGCATGTAGTGTGTTGATGATGGAGTAGCTGGGCCGGGCAGGTAAGCCGTTGAATATCCATCAAGCTGATACGGCATTTGGGGGTTGTAATAGAGATAACCGAGGCCGTTCCCATTCGAATAATGCGACATGCCGAGGTGCTGATTTGGAAAACATAGGTTGAAATCCTGACTAGCGTTCCGAGATGCATAATCAGTCATGGCTAGAATCGCAGCAGAATATGGTCAAACTCTGTGTATCCGGATTGACACAAGTAAAGGTCCAAAGTCTCAATCTGTCACAACTGTCACGGATAAGAGATATGTCAAGTTGCTAGAAGATACTGCTGGAGGGGAAAAAGGACCTCAATAGCCTCTGGACCCCACCGGTGAGTCTATGATCTGTTGAGAACAGGCGGTACAGTAAGTCTCGCGTCAGGTAAGCTAGTTATGGTAGCTGTGACAGAAGAAAAGATATCGAAGGAGTGACAGCAGAAGACAATGAAGTTGAGACAGAGATATTGTCAAGAATAAAATCAGACTTCAAATCTGAAGCGACTGTGGGAAGCAGAACTGCAAAATTGAATCACAGTAAAGCGAGGATTGATATTGAGCGTGAAGAATCGTTGTTAAAAGATTGAAGATGGCCGACGAGTAGGAGAGTTGTACGTCGGTATTGGTTAAGCTCGAGGTGGGGAATTGTAAGTCAAGAGGCAAGTAAAAGTTGCTTGGATAAGGACTGCCGAGTTGGGAAACAGAGACGAGTGGAGAGTGGATGAAAGACAGAGCAAGGTACAGGGTAGGAGTCTCGTTCGAAAACGCAGGCCCTGCGGACGAGGCAGATATCGGGAATCAACGAAGTGGCTGCACTTGGTCGCTCGAGGCTCAGGCTGTCGCAATTTGTGGGTCTTTGCTGCCTTTGCTGAACTTCGATTTGCCTTCCTCTTGCCCACTCTCTTTGCGAGTTTGATCAGTATTCCTAGGACCCGGTGTTGGCATCGGATCGTGCCGTCTCGGTAATCTCGAAGAGAAAAGATTACTCGTATGGTAAAAATCCATAGCAAAGGCTCGAATAGACATGATCGGCCCATGACTATGAGCCTGGGTGTCCTAGAAAATAAATGATCCCGGAAGAGAGAGGCGTACCTTGGGCCAACACAAGTTTCATGCCTGGGGCCAATATGCTGGAGCCGTTAACACGGATTATGAGAATAATGTCTGCGCATGAGCACACCAAAAGAACAGGGCTGAATCCCATATCCCTCATAGTGGGATTGACGCGCTTTCTGCACGATCTAACGGGCCCAACACCACAGCAATCAGGTGGCGTTGGGCATGCTGCCGCATCACGATTGGCTTCATTTGCTGGTTGTATCCACGCTCCACCCCGTGCAGGGTATACTTAGCATGAGTAGTTTGCTCGCGAGTCGGTGATTCTTGGGACACGTTGCAGCAGGGGACAGTGGTTTGTGAGACCTCAAAGCGGGGGCACTTTTGGAAATGAATCATGGCGTTCAGAAACAGGCCTGAGTGCTGCATAAGGATGGCTCAATTTAAGTTGATCCATGCTTTTACAAGATGAGAAGTACCAGGATTTGCACGACTCTGAATGTTTGCTCCACCGACGTTTCCGTTGAAAAATGTTTGATGTAGATCAGATGGCTTCAAGTTGCAGTGGTGCTGGTGGTGGTATGTAGTGGTGAGCAATTCGTTAGGCAAGCCTGCGGGTGGAGAAGATACGAGGTCCAAACATTGCCAAGCCACACGTGATCCATTACGTCGTCAATCCCCAAGTTCATCCCTGTAACCACAAACCGGAAAGTGACATCCAGAAGTCACTCCTGAGCACGACTCCCAGATCTTCTTCTGTGTTTTACAGATGCATGTCAATATGCATGCTGCCAGACCCCGTCACCCTATCATCTTCTGCTCACTGATGATTTCTTCTATCTCTACATATCCCCTGCAGATTAGCCTGCGGAACTGCCTGCATAAATTGTGTTGGTTGGGCCATTTTGATAGCCTTCCGACGGAAAGAACTGAGGGTACCATCTTGTTGAGACTTGATTTCTGAGCTCAGAATTGCAGCATATCCAGTGCTCTGTATCTATGGTCTCCTTCCCCTTTGGACCGCCTCCAGTCTCCATCCTGCCAAGCATCTGATCCCAACACGGAAGTTTTGATACTGGCATTTGCTTCACTGAGGTGGGTGGCAGCAAGGTTCTGTCTCAGCCTTCCCCAAGGCCAAAGTCTCTCTTCTTTCCCAAAGTTCAGATCATCAACATTGGATATCAATCGACTTTTTCCGCCCTTGGTCATGACTAACCTTACTCCTGGCCAGTATGTTATATGCGCAACGCTTAGGGGCTGGCACAGCAACATCAACAGCCACTGCGCCCGTATGCATTCAAGTTGTGCAAGAGCCTAGTATTCTGAGCATAAGTGTTGAAACCCCGCCACGTGGATGAATGTGGGTGAACGTGGACTCACAGATACCTAATCACGGTTCTCCCAGCCACGAATGGGAAAGCACTTCTTGGTACCACAAGCAGATCCCTGTCTAGTATCACCTGAGCCCACGAAACATGGGTTATGGACACCCCACGAGCCAACCGTCGGGCTTGTACACCCATTACTTCACTTGTACCAGACACACTACCGCGGTGCTTGACGCGCCTTACCATCCTCAATCTGAGACCTTCAGGGTAGTCTCCATACGGTTTCTAGATCTTGATCGGCGTCTCGCCTGTCAGAAGAATCGATCTGTGTTGCTGATCTTCGGGTATGGATCACAACCCTTTTTGGCCTCCAAAGTCCCAACCGTGAAAAGCGAAAATCTACCTCATGTTGCTAGTCTCAGATTTACCAGCGACTGCAGGCTTTCAAATCGCGAATCGGAGCTAAAGCCGATCGTGCCTACTTAGTATAAATGCTTTATGGGAACCTCTACGTGGGACACTTTCCGGGGCTATGTTGTTGCACAGCTTTAAGACAGTGCTGTGCGTTCTCGAGCGTCCTCGGCCCTTAGTCTTGTACATCTTCGAAGTTGGCTGACTTAGTATAGGAATTTGATTAGCCAGTAGCAATTTCTGCATTCAGAGGATTGATGCTCATCTGCGCCCTGAACCATTACCCATCCAAACACGGTTTTCAAGGCGTCAGATGCTGCCTAAATCTCCCAGAGAGTGTGGAGCCATACAAGAGTCAATTGAGCCTTGAATGTTAGGCTGTTCTGATGACTGAGCCGGTTGGACGTTTCTGAGTCGGGCCAAAGACATCTGATTGCTCTTGCTGAAGAATTATGGCTCGTATAGTGCCTCGCCATTGAGGCTTTAAATGGTACGTCCATAGAGACCAAGTGGGTTCAGTGCAAGTGGGCAGCTCGCAGTTGGACATATTAGGCTGCAGTGTTATCCCGAGGGACGGCCATAGGCGCTCATTTGCGTGTTATCTCGGCAGCCCTGTTCTGGCTGTTGATGCCTGCAAGAATATACTGATTATTTGGCTCAGAGCTGATGCACATAACCCTGCAAGGATGAGATCAACGCCTGAAGATGTGCTCATGGTTTGCGAACGATTGATTTGATGAATGAGCTAATTGCTCTGCTATTGGCATAGAGGTTCGTCCTTATCATATCGTCATGCACCTTCCAAGGAGCCAGAAATCAAAGTGATGATCGACAAAACAGCTGCATGAGAAGTATCAACGAAGACTCTGGTGGCTTTCTCATATTTCACGCTGAATGCTGGAGTCATGCCGTGATCATACATATTTCGGACCAGCAATGTTGGGATTGGGCACACAAAACAAGCCACAGGAGACGCCCATTGTTACCCAGGTACCTACAGTGGTTACTTCCACTTTTCTTGTGCAAGTTCGTATTCGCAATCGAACGAACAGAAAGGGGTTCATGACAGCGCAAAGGACCTCGAAAGGCTATTTTGGCCTGACTATCCTCGAACTCCGGTGAGGCATGTCCTCTTCAGCACGACTTTCTGAGACACAACACGAAGCCTTTTGGCATGGTAAATCGTATACCAACCTCGATATGACATCCTTCATATGCGGTGATCATCTTCAGACACACCCCTGGGCTTTTGCTGGATTTCATTGAAGGACTACCGCAATTCTGTGCGCTCTTCCGCATTGATACAAGTCACCGCTTCCTTCCACGCCCAGTCAACCTAGCACCGTCTTCGACGTCTTCGCTCCAATTCTTCGCCAACCGTGACCTCATGCATTCTCCCCAATGCTAATATTGCGAAGTTCCTCAGCCCCAAGCAAAACCATAGACCTTGACTTCCTCGAAGGAAAAGTCAAATATGTTGTCGGGACTTCCTGATGAAGCCTTTTTACAAAGATGATCCCTTGAGTCACCGCCGCCTGACTACGCTCTGAACCTTGAGCCGCTGCAGCCTTACACTCGCGTTCCTTCTTCTCTTACCTCGTCATCGCAATATCCTCACGCTACGTCTACGCAGGAATCAAACCCCATGCCAAGACACACCTCTTTTGCATCATGACATCGCTTAATACGGGAAGATCCACGACTGTAACTGAGCCACATGTGCGCGATGGGTGACATGACATTTATGACTGCAAACAATGAATGGTTTGCAGCCTCCTGGCACCAGAATGGCAAACTCCAAACGTGTTCTAATCGAAAGCATACAAAGCATCGGTCTACCCAAGTCAAAGAGATGCTTCGAGTGACCTGCTCCTGCCGTTTTCTAAATATGCCCAGCCACATTCTAGCAATACACTTTCCACCACCTCAATGGACAGGATAAAGGACAAATCTGTTCCCATGTCAATCTGCAACAAACTGAGCGAAGACCAATCCGATCGCATCCAGACATCTCATTGCCAATTCCCTAGTAGCTGACCGAGACAGAGGCACATCGCGTAAAGACTTTTTCCCAAACGCAGCCTTCCATTCCCCTGCGTCGTCAACCAGGACTAGGAGGCTGGTTGTCAAGCGCAACCAACTAGTGGAACATCATGAAGGTTGGGTGATCATGTTGCTTGCTTCCATAATGATTGAAAGGGGAAAGCCACCGGAGGATGCTCCAAGAAGAGACAGTCAGGAGTGAGGAGACTTCAACTCGTTCGGGACATATATATGTACCTTACGCAGCCATGAAACCCGATGTGTTCCCAGATTGAAAATCGAGTTCCATACTAACTAACTACCTCCCTTAACTAGATGCCCAAGTACCGCACCGCTCCCAGTTTTGATCCTGAACGCCACAAAATCTGCCGTCGCTGTCGCCAACGCCGTCGCCGCCAATGACATGATCGCACGAAGCATTTCTCCACGACTCCTCGATCCCAGTACCGATAGGTAGATAGGTAGGCAAGTAGGTCAGTCGTCCACCACTCCGCCCGCCCGCTCGGACGTATTGTTTCTGTTTTTCGGCTTTGTTTGTGATGGTTATAATAGTCTCTTGTTCTTCTTGTTATTTGTCAGGCAAGGTTCACCTAGTACGCATTTTGTAGATTTTAAGGAGATGAGAACAGGAAGACAAGGGGGGAGTGCTTGACGTGTGTATGAGTCTTGTCATTATGAAGGTAAGAATGCTCTGTTGATACATATTAAGCCTGACGTGGAGGCGAGGTTGCTTGATAAAGCATGCTGCATGCTATGTACGTGACAAGTCTTTCATCGTCAATGCGTTCGCTGTGGACATCAAAATGCAAAAAAGTCATCTCTAAGCATCCATCCACCCCAAAAAAAGGCGATGGATCTCTAGAATCTATCTTAGACGGCAACGGGCAGGATCTGGACCCTTGAGCATGAGCTCGGGATGGGTCCATAAGGAGAGCCGTTTTCGTTGAACAGCTGTGGTACACCGTGCCACCAGTCACATGCTGTACACTCGTTAGTCGGAAATGGACCTTGATAGCATGAATTTGGGGGTTGGAGGTACGTACCTAGCCATCCAGCGTTGGTATAATTATACTGGAGGCCTGTCGAGTTGAAGAAGAACCCCTCTGTAGGCTCATCTGCTATGCTGATGGTGGCGGGGTTGAATTCTGGAGGGATGAATTAGCCATGGTGCGTAACGTGTATCAAAGCACGATTGAGACTCACGTTGATAGGGACCGTATCCAATACCTAGCGGCCAGGGACCGATCTGGTTGTTCTCGTAGGTGAAGAACTGCTGGGTGCCGTTGAGATAGCCCTCCCAGGCAATGGACTTGTTGGAGGAAAGGCCGACGTCACCGAGGCCGGCACCGGTATGGTACGAGTAAAGCCACAGATTGGTTTTGTTAGAGCCTGTGTCCTTGTGGTCACCATTCACGACCTTTGTGTGTAGGTAATATCGTGCTGGTGGAGTGACTGTCTGGCGTGCTTCGAGGAGCGGTAAGCTGTTGACCGCTGTGCTGAGGCATAGCACGGCGGTGGATAGAAGTATTGAGAGTTGCATGGTGGTTGATGTGGGAGCACTGGAATAGCTGGTTTTTGTCGAAGTTTGTTATGTCACTGTGGATATCTGTCTACAGGTGGCTCAACGACGGTATGGTATGGTGGGCAGGAAGACAAGAGAGGATGTTTTCTAGGGAATCACAGAGAGCAGGAATGATGGGAGTTTGTATCTCTTTTATCGGAAGTGAGGCAATTGTGTGTAGTGTGCCGAGGGCGGTCAGCTCCTTCTTATTTCTACAAGAAACTCACGACTGTGACTAGTAGTACTGGCAGCTCGACGGCGGGTACCTGAGCGACAGCTTCTTAGTCAAGAAAGGACTATCATGTGCCAGAAACCGAGGGACATTTGGTACGGGAAGACATGATGGTACTCCATATTGCTACAAAAAGATGAGGGGTGGCGAGGGCTAAAAGTGGATGTTCAAGTGACAAAGTGGATAGAGGCGATGCCATTCAAGACCGCGGCCTGGACAATTGATCGCAGAGTGGAAGAGCACAGACCCCAATCGCCTGGATGGCTGCATTCCTCTCCACCACTAAGATGCTGATCTTCAAGACACGATTAACTCTCATTCGTGTAGCTGCAGCTCTCACTCACCACCTTCACGTCTCGGTACCTGACGAGCAGCTTGGAAAAGGTTTGGATCAGAACAGCCCGAGCTTGAGAGTTTTGCCGATGGCGAGGTGAAGCTCATGATTTTTGTTGTCCGTGTTTCTGGTGATTTCTTTCGCTTGCCACTGAGAGAGACATTTTATTCATTACATCGTCTGCGGAGTACGAAGTACTTAGTACGATCCCTGGAGCTCTTTAGCTGATATTGTGGATGTAGAGCAAAGCCTCCTTGGCCCCCAGCTGCGTCATGATCAACTCCACCTTCGGCTAGGGTCTTCGGTATGATCGCGAGTCAATTCATGACGAGCATAACAATAATCATCATACGAGGTACAATGGAGCCTTGAAGCTTGGAAGTGTGGGGAAGTTGTTGGCCTTTGCGTTGAGTAGACCAAACTCTGCTCATCAACACTAGAGATCGGTAAACTCAAGGCCCTCCCAGTACTGCGGCAGGTGTTTTGAGTAGAACGTCGCATCGTGGATTGACTACGACTAGTCTAAAGTTCAGGTGTCTGATACTACGGTACAAGTTAGCTCACCGTGTGATACTAGTATCTGGGAATTATGTTCCGTGTCTAATTTTGGATGGCTTCGGCGTGCAGAAAACCACGTAACACTTGGTGGTCTCTGTCATCCTTGTGTTATCTACTTTCTGTCTACACCCACTGAGTAGCCGAGTGATTTAACCAACCCATACACACATCCCATCATGCTCTATCCTCCTTGTCGAAGATGTGGTTCCAGAACCCTCGGAAGTGATGGTCCTTGCCCGCGTCGGAGATCTCTTCAACCTCTTTGGGCGTCAATTTGAAGGTGAACACCCGGAGATAATCGCTTAATCTCTGCTCTTTGGAGCTGGTGGTGACTGCCACAATGTCCTGATCAATGACCCATCTCAATAGGATCTCACCGGGACTGACGGCATATTTCTTGGCCAGAGATGCCAACAATGGGTCGAGAGGTCCGCCGCTGGCTTTGGTGATGGGAAGGAGAGGACCGTACGCAGCAATCTTGATATCCTTGTTTTTGTGATATGCCACCAGGTCTCCATGCTGTAGGTAAGGGTGGAATTCAATCTGATTGATGGCTGGACGGACTTTGGCCGTCTTCAAGATGGCATCGAGATGTGGCTTGAGGAAGTTGCTCACCCCGATACTCTTCGCTTTCCCACTGGCAGCAACCTCTTCCATCTGGGCCCATTTCTGCTGAAGCGCGGTCTCGTCACCTTTGGCGAAGAATGGCGCGTGGATAAGATACAGATCGACATGATCTAATCCAAGCTTTTTCAAACTGGTGTCAATGGCCCCAGGGATATCTTGAATATTGGTAATCACTTTGGTGGTAACGAAAAGCTTGTCACGAGACACGCCGCTTTGTTTAATGGCATCGCCCAGTTCCTCTTCGGTGTTGTAGACTTCGGCGCCGTCCAAGTGGGTATATCCGGTTTTGATTGCGAGTTTTGCAGCGTCGATCAGTTTCTGGTCTTTTGGGGAATTGCCGTCTGTCTTGAACCACGCCGTGCCGGTACCATAGCCGATCTACTCAATGAGTCAATATGATGGTTCTCTGCCAAGTTGTAGACATGTGGGTGTTTACTAACAAGTGGTATTTTGTTGCCATCGGGGAGTGTCAAGTCCGGAATGTTGATGTCCAATTTGGCCATGTTTGAAGCGAGGCTAGATATGAGTGATTCGGCAACGGGTCTAAATGTAGAGCAGAAAGATTAATGGAGAAATTGATAGCAATTCAGGATCGTCGCTTGATTTACAGATCGAAGCGCACGAGGTGTAGCTTGTGTGTGATTAGTCAAATAGTCAAATATGTTCCGATGGTCGGAACTCCAATTGATACCAAAGAATGCCACTGGGAAGGTGACGAGGCAGCATGAACACCATGACCATCACCACTGTCAGTGCCAGTGCCAGTGTGCGGACCGATGATGGTGGGGTAGTCAGAAGTGTCCTCGCGAATCTCCGCTACATGAGGCAATGACGTGCGACTGCCTCTCGATTGCATTCGTCACGGAAACATGCGTGAGCCTCAACAGCTCACAAGCAGGAATGATGTTTGCAAATGAACGAGAGCTCCGACATCTTGCAAACCCAGGTCTCTGGCAATAGTAGCACGCATGTGCTAACATGGACGCTCGAGACCCATGACAACCAAGGAAGACTTAGAAAGCCTCGTGCATGAGCCCTGAACTTGGCATGCTCTTTGCCGACTGGGTTAGACCTGCCGGGTGCCAGATTCCCATCATGAGGTTCATGGCCATGTCCATTGTAACAAGATTCATTTGCAGCAAACCATGTCGAGGGTCGATTTCAACAACAATTGTTCCTGCCTTGTCCACTTTTGACAGCATCATTCATGGTCAGGTTGACAGTCTTCGGCGCCTTGCCTTCTTCCCTCCCTGTAGTTCCATAACCTTTGACGCCACTTCTTCGATCGTTCAAGTCGTATTTGCCCGCCTCGATGTTCTGGTATATTCTCTCGGCGACTTCCAAAAAGGCCCGCTCGACTCCTTCGCCGCTTTTGGCACTGGTTTCCACGTACTGCACAATGTTTTCTCTCCTGCACCAGTCCTCGGCTTCTTCTCGTGTCACAGCGCGTTTACTACCTCCTTCGACATCTGTACTTTGCGCCGCCAGGTCGGATTTATTACCCACCAGGATCACCACAATGCCCTCCTCGGCAATTTGCCTTAGGTCATTCAACCATGAAGTAACAGATTCGAAGCTGCTTCTTCGTGTGATGTCAAAGACCAAGAGAGCTCCCGAGGCGCCTCTGAAGTAGCTCCTTGTAATGCTTTTGTATGTTTCCTGTCCCGCAGTATCCCATAACGATAGCTTCATCTTTTTCTGTTCGCCATTGGCGGCATTGTTGGAACGGCCATTCGGCGACCCAATTCCCAGTGAAGTATTTGCAGGAGGACCGACGGGGACTATTCTGGAACCGAACTCTACTCCGATTGTAACATCATGAGAGGCAGAGAATCGGCCCTCGCAAAGCCGAACCGTCAAACTTGATTTGCCAGTAGCTGGAGCAAAGTTAACTACCTCGCACCTTCAAGGAAACAGTAGCATGAGAACTAACCCGAGTCGCCGATGCACACCAGTTTTGCTATATAATTCCAAGGTAGAGTCGGCACGGGAGTGAGCGTTGGCATGAGAGAGATGGAGGAAGGGTATGTATCTCAAGATTCACCAACCGACGATGGGTAGGTATAAGCAGTGGTTAGTAGGGTGGAAGATGGAAGCGTCTAAGATCAATCTTCAAAAGGTTGGTGTTTCAAGGAAGTTCGTTCGTTGATGATGGGTGGCAATAGGGTGAAATGCGATGATGCTGGCTTGAAACGAGAAGGATGACCCAGACCCGTGAACGCGTTGGGATTCCTCGTGTCATAGTGCAGAACCCGGAACAGCAGTGCCAGCGGCTTTGGTCTGAGGCTCCATAATTAAATCAACACAACCACTTGAAACTTGAGGCTGAGCTTGAAAGTCAAAACCAGTCACGGGTGTCAACTGTTGCGTGGAAGCCTGGGGACCATGGGGAGACTTGGGGTGGCTGTGGACGTTCGATAGGTGGCCAAACCATGGGAATTAAGCATCGTTAGTGCCTAGAGAACAGATAGCGAGGTAGCTCTCAGGCACTGAAGCCCCCCCAACTTATCCGTATGAGTGCCAGCCTCAGGCACCCGCGCTCCCCACCTTCAAGGTCCCATATGTCATGAATGGCAGCCTTGACCGCCGCATGCAGCAACGCATCCTGACGCCCTCAAGTTTCAGTTTCCCTTCGCCAGTCTTCTCTCCAACTCCGAGTCACCGACCAAGTCATCACTGCTACCACCGTGAGTGACCGATAACATCTCTGACCTTCTGACTCTACCCACTACCAACGCATTCGTCTTGTCCTACCGGGTCTCTATTCTTTGATTTCACCCTCTTCTCGCGCTCTCATCGATCCACTTCGCCTTCTTGTTGCCCGTCTATCTTCATTTAACGGTCACGTCTAGCTACTCAACCCCGCCTCGGGCTTATCACGCTACCTACCACCTCAACTGATAGCTCGTGTGGTCACTGCCGGCGGGCAGTATGTTCTCAGAATGTAGTCTTGCCCTAACCATATCATTTATTCTTATCAAGACGACTGACATTGAAATAGACGCCTCACGATTCCTCGCCCAATCCCAATCCCGAATCAGTTTTGCTCCTGCTGATGAACGTCGAGCTGGTGATGGTCGCGGTCGACGGCAGAACCAGAATGGCAGATCCGCCACTGCTTCGAGGACATTGAACCCTCGTATACCAAATCCCTACCAACCCACATCATCACAGCTATCAACCCTACCTTTTGCGTCGAGATTAAACCCGCAACAGGCCCCGTTATTCTACAGTGCAACCGACGAGTTTCGAGAAGAGAACGACGAGGAAGAACACGAACGTGAGATTGCCGATTATTACGCCCTTCAAAGGTCCCGAAGACAATTGGGCGCTAGTGACCTCAAGGAATCGTCTGACGCGGGCAATGGGAGCGGCTCGAGTATCATCAACGGCGCTAGTAGCCACGAAGAACTTCCACGCGATACATCCTTCAGGCGGCCCGGCGGCATTAAAAGCTCATGGCATGGTGGTGGGACAAGCCAAAGGAGAAGGTCCCCCAATTTGGACGATCTTGCCGAGTCAACCGAATCACATCGTGAACTATCCAGCCCAACTTCTTCTAGAGGGCGTATGGTCGATGTTGGGTTAGAAGACACTCTTAGGAGTGAGTATGACGATGAGCCTCCGGAAGACCTGATGGAGAACCCACCATCTGTCCAACATCTGCGTAAAGGCGATAACATTGCTCCGGGGAACTTTGATTCGGACGATTCCGACTCAGAGATAGATCGTCAACGACTGCTGGGACGGGTACCTGGGGGTTATGCTGAAGAAGACGAAACTATTCCTGAAGGGACACCTCAGACTCCAGGTCAGCAGCCTCAGCACGACTCATTCTGGGGGCAAATATACCTGCTCGCATTTGCCGCCATGTGTACGACGTGGTTCATGGTGTTTCTTCAAACCCAATCCCCGAAAAAGAATGCCCCTCTCGGCGATACCATATATACGACTTTGCATGGATCTTTCTACTTATTAGCGACTTATACCCTTGTAGCGACTTTTGTTTCATTGTTCTGGTTGGCGGCACTTCGATCATATGTCCGATACCTGGTCTATGCAGTCGTTGTGACCGTCCCCGTCATCCTGTACTCATTTTCGCTTTATCCATTGATTTCGAGCTACAAAGGCGCGAATCATGGTTCGGGGATCCAGGATACAATCATGAGGTGGAGTTCACTTGTGCCCGCTGTCATGGCGACCCTTTGGATTCTCGCGGTGATACGCGGAAGATTGGCGATGCAGAAAGCCATCTCTATCCTCGAATTTGCGATTAGAATCCTGGCCGCCAATCCAGCTTTGGTTTTGGTGGGCTTTGCCATTCTGGGATTTATCATCACCTTCACTTGGATCTGGCTATCCATGTTCACCCGAGTCTTCCTTGCTGGACATGCCAGTACCTTATCAGGGATCGGTCGGTTTGTGATTGATACTTCGACTTGGTGGCTAGGCGTGTATTTTGTCCTGATTTATCTATGGACGATTGCAATCGCGTTTGGCTTTCAACGAACCGTCACGTCTGCGACAGTTTCTCAATGGTACTTTCACCGACTTGCGGTCCCAGCTCCAACATCACAAGCCATTGTGAAAGCAGCACTTTTCCATTCTGCAACCACACTATTCGGGACCATCGCACTCTCTACAGCGTTGAGCCTCTTGGTCAGATTACCGCTACTGGTTCTCCCCCGCCGAATGACAGTGCTCCTCGGAGTGGCAATGTACTCATTCATTCCCAGTCCGATTGCCGTTCTGATCAATCCTCTCGCATTGACATATGCGGCCATTCATTCGCAGCCTCTAAGAGTTAGTGCGAGAGGACTCACACAGATGCACTATCTAGCACCTGGTGATGCTACAACATCTCTGCATCCCAACACCTTCACTCCACGTTCAGGACGTGATGGATGGACTCGAGATACCAGCCCGCTCCTTCCGTATCGACTTTCCAAATTGATCCTCCATGCAACCCGATTTATCATGTCGCTTGCACTTGGATTTGGAGGCTGGGTATCAACAGCCCGATCATTGAAGGTGGAAGGGAATGCAGGGGTTCGTGGAAGTCTCTATGCATACATTGTTGGGCTGATTGCGGGAGCCATTGGGTGGGGCATTTTGGGAGCGATGGAAGGGGTGCTCGCATGCATAGTGGATGCGGTGGTTATCTGCTGGGGAAGTGAAGTTGGAAGCAGTGGACAGGGAGAAGTCAGGTACTGTCGAGAAGCAGGACATTTATTTGGGCAAACCGACGACACAGCCGGAGGACGTGTCAGTCTTGCTTGACGTAGAGTAGCAATTCTAGCTGTCCAGTACCAAGTGCCCAGCTCGCCAGATGTCTGCTCATGGCATTGCTACCTAGTCAATAGGCGACTATCAGGATTCCCACCACTGCCAGTGACTGTCAGATGACATTGCCAGATTGACTGGTGACGGGCAGGACTAAGGATTTAGTACACACGTACTCTGGAGACGCAACCGGTAGAGATTCCTATCAAGGTCCGGGAGCAAATCATCATCATAATGCAGATGCAAAGGGGGACTTTCACGTGCTATGTGGGCCTGAGGCCTCCTATTTTTGGAGAGTTTAGAGGTGGTTTAGGCGTGAGTGCTCCGTCGTATGGAGTGCATCAACTACCTAGGTAGTACTTCCCAGGTGAATAACGGTTCCTCGTTACCCCTTTCGTCCAACAGTCACGCCAAGGTGGTCTCTCGACACGTCTCCTCTTAACAACGACCTGCATCCTACGCAAGTTCCATTCTCAATTAATTCAACCTCCCATCACCCTTTGACCTTTTCTCCCTCAGGACCTTTGGGTCATTTGATGTCGTTTCTTTTAGCCTCTTATTCTTCTTTCTCTCCTTTCGTGTCGCCAATGGCCACAAACTAGACTTTTCCTTACACCTTCTCCGCTTCAACTTTCCCATACAGCCACGCCCCCCTCCTGGCCTGAGACAATCCTCCGCCCCCAAAAATAGTTTCTCGGACAACTTTTTTCTGTCCTTGAGACTCCTAGTTCTTTTGTTCTACGGTCCACCCAAGACCAAGACCATCTTCCGTCCATCCTAATATTCCATCATGGCCACCACTAATGGTGGTTATGCCACCGGCGCGGGCAAAGACGAAGCTGAACTGCGCCGAAGAAATGTCACCAGTTACGAAACCGCCAATGGACAACACGTATACAAAGTCGAGGCTGAAGACAAGAAAAAGCTTCAAAAGGTTGGCTCTCGGATTCTACACAAGGACTCGATTCTAACAAGATGCTCAGCCCCAACCCGGTGTACTCGCCATTCTTGATGAATGGGAGTTTGTCATCGCACCTGTTATCTTCACACTCCTAGCCTTGTTTACCAGGCTATACAAGATTGGACTTTCTCCTATTGTGACGTGGGATGAAGCTCAGTACGTGCGGCACCCTTTTCGTCTCTTTTAGTCGCTGACGACTCCTTTAGTTTTGGAAAGTTCGGCTCCCACTACCTCAAGCGAGAGTTCTATTTCGATGTCCATCCTCCCCTGGGCAAGATGCTGGTTGGCTTGTCTGGCTACCTTGCCGGCTACAACGGCTCCTTCGAATTCAAGTCCGGCGAGACATACCCTCCTGAGCTCAACTACACCTTCATGCGTATCTTCAATGCACTTTTTGGCGTCGTAACAGTGCCCCTGGCATACTTCACAGCAAGACAATTGAACTTCAGCCGCGCGACTGTCTGGCTGGTCACCCTCATGGTGCTTTGCGAGAACTCTTACGCCACCATTTCTCGTTTTATCCTCCTCGATTCCATGCTCCTCTGCTTCACCTTCACGACCGTGGCCTGCTGGGCAAAATTCCACCGACTGCAAAATCAGAGCTTCTCTGTTGAGTGGTTCGTGTGGCTTATTCTTTCCGGCTTAAGCATCGGGTGTGTCTGCAGCGTCAAGTGGGTGGGTTTCTTCGTGACCGCCTTGTTTGGACTCTACACGGTGGAAGATCTATGGAACAAATTTGGGGATCTCAAAATGCCCAAGGTTGAATTGGCTAGTCATGTGGGCTTTCGAGTGATCGGTCTCATTATCGTTCCAGCCATCGTTTACATGTTCTCCTTTTACATTCATTTCTTGATCTTGGAAAATTCCGGGCCAGGCGATGCTCAGATGTCATCGTTGTTCCAGGCGAACCTTCGTGGCACTGAGGTCGGCAAGGATTCCCCTCTCGAGCTCGCTTTGGGATCCAAAGTCACCATCAAGAACATGGGATATGGTGGTGGGCTACTCCACTCTCATTTGCAAACTTATCCTGAAGGCAGTGGTCAACAACAAGTCACTTGCTATCACCACAAAGATGCCAACAACGACTGGTTCTTTTATCCCAATCGGAGTCAACCTCTTTATGATCCAGAAGAACCTCTCAGCTTTGTTGCTGACAAGCAAGTCATTCGCCTGATCCACGCTCAAACCGGCCGCAATCTGCACTCTCACAGCGTTGCGGCCCCCGTGACGAAAGCTGATTTCGAGGTCTCTTGCTATGGAAATACCACAGTGGGTGATGAAAAGGATCACTGGCAGATCGAGGTCGTCAGCGATGCTGCTTCCTCAGATCGATCACGCATTCGGACTTTAACCACATCTTTCAGATTGAAACATGTCGATCTTGGCTGCTATCTTCGTGCAGGGACAGTGAATCTTCCTCAGTGGGGTTTCAAGCAAATCGAGACGACATGTGTCAAAAAACCAAGTTCTCGCGATGTTTATACGCATTGGAATGTCGAGTCTCACATCAATGAGCGATGTAAGTATATTCGCCAAAAATTACTGCGAAATGGACGACTAATTTAATTGTAGTGCCACCTGGTGAGGCCAAGAATTACCGTTCACCTTTCTTCAAGGATTTTATCCATCTGAACGTTGCAATGATGACATCGAACAATGCCTTGGTGCCGGACCCGGATAAACAGGATGATCTGGCGTCTAAGTTCTGGCAATGGCCTATCCTCCACGTTGGTCTCCGCATGTGTTCGTGGGATGACAGTGTCACCAAGTATTTCCTGTTGGGCAATCCCCTTGTCTATTGGGGCTCGACTGCGTCCGTCCCAATTCTCGGACTAATCGTCCTCTGGCATTTGGTGCGGTGGCAACGAGGCTACAATGAGCTAAGCCAGAAGGACATCGACCAAATCCACTACGCTGGTCTTTACCCTGTGGTTGGTTGGGTGTTTCACTACCTGCCTTTCCTGATTATGGGACGTGTCACCTATGTGCATCACTATTACCCAGCACTGTACTTTGCAATTTTGGTGGCAGGGTTTTGTGTCGACTGGACAACACAAAGACTGAACAAGCAGATCCGATGGGGAGTGTATTCCGTACTATATGCCGCCACCATTGGACTGTTTGTCCTCTTCATCCCTGTTGTCTTTGGCATGCAAGGAAGCAACCGACAATACGCATATCTTCGGTGGTTCAGCCGATGGAGAATCTCAGATGCTTGAACATGTCACAAACAAAATGTCGGGATTTCTCGACCCGTCCACCCGATTGGTGAGAAGAGGAATTTATTTGCCTTCTTCTGGGTGATGGAATCATGGAGGAGTTAGAGTGGGATACGAAAAGAAATACAATTTCTTTGAATGTTTGTAAAACCAAAAATTACATGGGAACTCGAATGTTAGCAATGTTATCCGAGTCGATGCTTGGACGGCGGTGAATCATGATGGTTAATAGCAATGACGATGATTTACAGAGTACCTTGGGTGTTTTCTCACTCCTCGTGTCCTCAATTTGGACAGCCAAACTACCTGCGAGTAGGAAAGCTAGACGAGGCTGTGCCAAGACTCGACCAGATTATACTAGGCCAAAACAGGCATAGTTGATCTCCTTGCTAGTCGATCTTTCATGGCTTCTTACTGGCTGTTCCTCAACGCTGAACCTTGCGATCTCCAGCGGGGAGAAGTTCGCCTTCACCTTCAAGTTCACACTTTACGCCGCACGTCTGTCCTCCGTCATTCGTCTTTTCATTTCCTCAATTGCTATTACTCCTGACGACCGGAATCGTGTCTTTTCCCCTCTCTATTTCAGCCTCATGCTCAGCTTCCTAGAATGTACATAATTGTGTAGCTGAGCTCACTCTGTTCCTCTCATCCTTCTCGTTCCAACACCCCACCTCACCCAATCAACCATTAGCTCCATGGATCCCCAGAATCCCTCCTCGGCCGACCAAGCCGCCGACGACTACCCGGACGATTCTAATGTCGACGCAGGTGGTGATGGTAGAGTCGAGATGGACCAAGAAGAGATCGATGCCATAATACGAAACAAGAGAAAGGTCAGAGATCCAAAGGCCTGCTATGCCTGTCACCGCCGGAAAGTCAAATGTGACCGCAACTTGCCCTGTGATTCTTGTGTCAAACGAGACCACCCAGAACTCTGTTCCTACGAACGCCCAACAAAGAAACGGCGAATTGCCCTGACAGGCGCAGTCAATCAGACCGAGGCTACTGCATCCGAGAACAACGATCCTTCTCTCCAGACCGGACCTAATGTTTCTGTCCCTCGCGAACACTGGGAACGCATCAACAGAGAACTGCAGCATCTCCGCAACACTGCCAAAGTCTCACGCGGATCTCAGGAGCAGCCACATTTGGAAGCTGATTCGGAAGAAGGCGCCGTCAGCGGGCTACAAAGCCGGGATGAGACCGACCGGGAAGGAATTCATGCTCCCAGTAATCAGATGGGTCTCATCCACCTAGGCTCGAGATCCATTCTCGCATATATGATGGGTCTCGGAAGGTCAAAGACCACCCAGGACACCGCGCGCTCTCTCCTCGAGGAAAACATTTTGCCGAAACTCGGACTCGACAACGAGAGTGCCACTTACCCTTTTGTCGATCTGTGGAGTACAGAGTCCAGCATGCAAGATGTCAATGGTCTTTGCAAAGCTGTCCCTGATGATGACTTGTGTGATGAGTACGTTTGCCGCACCGTATCTGTAAATTCTACTGATCCATTCCAGGTTCTTCATTGCATATCGAGATGTAGCGTGTACCATTTATCCCGTCGTTCCCGACACAGAAAAGTTCAGAGAGACCTTGTTTCTTATGCTTTCAAATCGCTCCCGACATCTTCGTGATGGTCTTGAAATCGACCCTACCAAGCCCTACGGCGTGACTTTACCATGGCTCTCCCTAGTCTTCGCGGTGTTTGCTTCTGGCGCTCAATCATCCGATAGACCGGCCAAGGAGAGGGAGTTGACTTCACAAGTCTACAGTGAGTGATCGTGCTACTAACTTATTGGAACCCTCTAACATGTTTCAGTATGCTGTTCGTATCAGGCGTTGAGGATGTCGAACTTTCTAACACACCCATGCCTTGAGACAATAGAGGCATCACTAATCATCGGAAATGTGCTCTCATATAACATGAACCCTGGTGTTGCATACATATTCCTTGGCATGACCCTTCGCATGGCATTTTCCATTGGCCTTCAGATCAATTCAACCATTCATGGACCTAATGAGCAGTGGGTTCGACGTCGTGTTTGGTGGGCATTGGCCTGGCAAGATTCGCATTTTGCTGTGAGTTACGACAGGCCTACTTCCAGTGTATTGTGCATTCCCGAAATCCCGTATGGAAAGTTCAGTTCTCCAGGTGATCGGAGCTACGCCGAGAGCATGTTCGCCATCATCAGACTTACTCAAGAGATCATCCGTGAAAGACTTCTTCATCCCCGAGCATATATGACTTGGGACACCATTCGGCGGTATACTGACGAAATTGCTGCGATCTACGCAGAAGCAGCCATCCATTTACGAGAAAGAAGCCATTGTCATCAGATGACTCAACATCTTGAACGGTTGGCCCTGAAGCTCCACAGCTCGTATATCACGAGTGAATTATGTCGACCTGCACTAAAGGAAGCATCGTCATCGAGTACAGATGGACAACCGTCGTCGGGAACACCAGTTCAGTCCCCTTCTGGAAGTCGTCGGAAAGTGTCACAAGGCTCTGCTCAGTCACCCATATCTTCTTCTGATGTGGGTACTCGAGTACGATTCCGACGCGAATGCGTCAAGAATCTCGAGGGAACAGTCGCGGCATATGTGGAACTGCACTCTTTGAGTAAATTCGCGGCACGATCTTGGATAGGAATTCAACGTTCCATCTCTGCTGCATTTCTCTTAGGAACACTGCCTGAAACGAATCAAGAGCCCCGTATAATCACACTGCTCCGCAACCTTGAAAAGGTCATCGCCCAGCGTACAATGGAGGATCCAACCTTTGAAGGGACACAAGCTCAAGAAGCAATTGGATCCCCTGCACAACAGCGTCTACCCCAGCCCACTTTAGCAGAATCGCCACACTGGGCACGCAGTATGGCAAAGTCACTGAATGCACTGGGAAAATTGAACGCCGCATTGGTCGGCGGCCATGCTAGTGTTAAGGTTCCAGGCGGGTACAACAGCAATGCGAATGCGCAATCGGCAGGGCCCGGAGCAGGCGCAATCCCCAGCATCTTCACGAACGTCAGAACAAATCCAAGCGCGTCGCAAGGTTCTCAATCGCAATATACAGTGGTGCCCAATCTCAAACAAGAACCATATTCACCCGGCATGGGAAATGCAGCAGTCCTCAGCGCCAGTGTGGGACTTCCAGTGGCTGGTTTGGGCATGGGGCCGATCACGCCTGACAGCACCGGTTCTTCAAGCGACTGGAATTATGGCAATCTACACGAACGTGCAGCTGAATATGTGCAGGCACCGCTTTGGGGCGACAGTGGGCTTGGTGGATACATAAATTAGCAGGACCAAAGTGTGGGGAAGCGTGATGAACGAGTATATCGAATGTCGACCAACCCGCCAGCCCTGTATGGCCTTACGATCAACGATTAAGCGATTGATGTGGGTATATCTGTTCCTGCATATGACGATGCGAGGACCCGCTCTCGCTACGGGGAATGACGTCCTCTACTACCAGAGCCGAAGAATTCACAGACATGGACAATCAGGCGAGATTGAGAGCATGATTATCTCATTTAGGAAGTCTGGAAAACCGAGTGTGAGAACGAGCATGTATCTCCTCAGCTTGCAATGGCAGCTATCCTGGTTGCTCCTACATGCGATGATCAAAATCCTCCTTCTGAACTGTGTATACCCTCGGATGATCTATCCGCCACCTACCTAATAACGAAAGTATTTATGTCTTATGAAACACCTTATACGCTTGTTACTTCAGTTCATTACCTTACCGAAACAAATTCACCAACATGTCAACCCAGATGAATCTATGTTTTCTACCTCGCGATAAGACGGTGTTGCAAAATTTCTAGCGGAGTCCACGCACGAGAATATCTCATCATGAATAGATTGTGTCCTTCGTACCGTAACGTATCGTTCATATTCCCAAGCTTCGTGATTGATTAGATATTAAATTAAATATATGTATGGCGTGCCCGACTGTCAGCCGTGTCGTTGGATGATGGGAATCGTTCTTCGTGCTCAAATGTGGAGATGTTATAGGACGTCTGGTCGGCTGGGTCGTTCTTCGCCTGGATAGGAAAAGAAACTCTCACTCCCCTGTCTATGGGGCCCGGTTTCGCGTACAGTCGATCGGTATGAATGGATGTGGAGATGGAAGAGCCTAGTCTCTCAGTCATTCATTCCATGTCCCGAATTCGTCCTTTCGATCCACAGGAGAGGAGATAGTTTGACTTTCTTCGTCGACGATTTCGCTGCTCAATCAGTCGTTCCAGGCCTTGGAGTTTGATGTCTGCGATGAGAAAGAAAAGCTGCAGCTCTACAAGCCAAGCGTCTCCTTGACCCACGCGGCGGCGTCGTCGGAGTAGATGTCGAAGTAGTTGAGATGGTTGTCGACGACGAAAGGACCGGGCCCGGCAGCCGCGCAGACGGGGTCGCTGTCGACGCAGTAGCTGCGCAGGATGTCGGAGAACTCGTTCATGCGGGTCAGCGAGTCTGGAAACCGCGGGTTGTTGGCCGAGATGCCGGCGCCCGACAGGATGTTGTATGGCTGGTTCGCGACGTGGCGGTTGTCGCCGAAGATCAGGGCCGCGCCGACTGTTATGAGGAAGAAGGAATGTTAGCCACTGCCCTGCTGGAGGAGATAAACCTGATGAGGAAGAAAATGAAAGGGAGGGCCTTCGTGGATGGATGGATGGATGGATGGATGGATGGATGGATGGGTTTTATTGGAAAACAACTTACGTTTATTACCGGGGCTGGTGCTGCGATCCAAACCCACCGTGTCGCCGACCGTGCAGTACACCGTCTCATTGCCGAACCGTCCACCCCCGCCGCCGAGGATGTCGCCCGCAACGTTGGCGCCCTGCGAGTAGCCGCTGAGCACGAGGCGCGAGTCGGGACACCGATCTGCATACGCGGTCATCTGAGCCACCCCGTTCGTGTTGCCCTCGGTCACGGAGGCGCAGTAGTCGGCCTCCGGCGTGTTGTAGAATTGGATGTCCTCGTAGTCGCAGCTCGACAGGCCCGAGCAGATCGCGCCCGCGAGCTTGCCTTGTCTTCCTGGGTATTCCTCGTTCCACCCCTTTGCGAGGAAGATGTGCACGTCTGTGCATGGTGCGCCGATGGTTTGACGCTTGGATGACACCAGAGGAAGTGTTGTGCTGGGCGTTAGCAGTGTGGCCATGGCGAGGCAGAGGGCTGTGAGTTTGTTGGTCGCCATTATGGGTGATTGGTTGATCGGATTGGGTTTGGTGTTGAGGTTGTGTATGGATATATGAGATGTATTTATGTGGGTGTTCAATGTCCTTTTTCAGTAGCCGACAAGCTGCACGAGTCGGAGCATGGGCCTGTCCTTCTACTTGTACTCTCCATATCCATGAGCAAAACCTGCGAAGATAAGGTTTCCATCACGGTGGTGGCGGCATCGTCGTCTCATGACGTTCGAGCTGTCTTAGCCATGACCAAAGAAATTTTCATCTGAGAGCTAAAGTGGAGTGTGAAATGTGGAGGTTTTCGGTGTCTATCCGTGAGGAGTGGGTATCTTTCTCCCATATTGATAAAGAAATCGATAGGTGAATAGCCGATTATGTATTTGAGGTGGCGAGGCGAAGAACCGGTGTTCAACATTATCTCGACTATTCTTGGAGAAATGTGGGCTTGGTTCTAAGACATTGTCACTCTAGTACCTGCGTGACACTGCTCGATCGAAACAGGTTTACGGATGCCACATTCAATAACTTGCATAATGGCATCCTTTAGCTTCCGCGGTTGTGGTGCACGGAAGGATTCTTCATAAGTATCCACTTGAGCAAAGACATACTTCGTACGATATGGATAGTCGGCATTTGGATCCGGCCTTTATTCCAGGTCGGCAGCTATGAGCTCTCGATCTTGAATGGGGCCTCCACGGTTTTGCAATTGCTTTGGTATGCCAAACGCACGCCCCGATGTATGGAGGATCACATAGTCCTGGTCGGAGGGAAAAGGCTTACATGATTTTTCTCCTCGTGTCGAGAGCATAGGTAAGTCTCAATATTCGTACTTGAGCAACAAATGTTGCGAACCCACATGTGGTGGGGCTGAGGGGTTATTTATCTCAACCCTTACCAACCATCCTCATATCTAACCAAGGCTGATATTCTAGCGATCGGACCATGACCTGTTCTTTCCCGAAACCATTCTCTCCGCACTTTTTCGGACGATGATCTTGACTTTGATGGCGGCTTCATCTTAGAATGCCTATATCTGAGTGGGCCAGTTCTGTGTCCACCCATGGGAGACGACTGCCAGTACTGCGACACCAGAGCGTCCTGCTGATACTAAAGACTTGAACAGTGACAGCGAGGTTGACACAGATTGTATTGAGGGATTCATGAATTGCACCGAAAGGGATGCTGATACCAACATCGACCGATACGGCGGGACATAGCTTCCATATCCCATCACATCCGCCTCGAGACCAACAGAGCGATGTCGCGCCTATTCGTCCATCGCAAGTGCGAACGAGAACCAGATTTTTGGTGTCCCTCTCGAACAACAAGCCGTTCCATCAGGGACGACTCGTCGCGGTAAAAACCGAAGCTATGTAGATAATAGCTTTGTGGGTTATGGGGACTGCTTTTCCAACAGAGGTTTTCAGGGGGACTACGGGTATGGGCATGGAAAGCCTCACAACTACGATACTCATGTAGCACTGCCAGTCTCTAATCGCAAAAATGACTACCGGGCTGTACTAGGTACTGTCGGAAGCCTTGTTGTAATCATCGACCAAACACCACCCTATACTCTGCCACTTCCAGTGTATCCTGGGCTCTGGGGGCGACAGTGGTGCATATCAGTTCTGATTTGGTATGCTGTTCAGCTCTTCCATACCTTTGAGTTAGCCCTTCCTCCACTATCTGAGGCCATCGAAAAATCAGCACCCAGGTATCTAGGTTACGAGGCGGGTATGCATCGGTCTCTGACTCCGGATTCTATGTTGATGACCTACCTACTTTTCTTGATTGTCTCGGCCCCCATAAGCTGATCTGGCCCCTTGTCAACATATACTCGTATTTCAAGCTTGGTGCTCGCTTGAACGACCATGTCCGTTTCCGCCAATGATGTCTGTGTCGGTCTTTGAGTTTGGCGCTAGCCCGTTTCGGGTTCTGTAACGTCTTCATCTTCGGTCTTCTTCATCGTCTATCCCTCCAATATACTATTCCTCTGGCCCTTCTAGCGCTGTGTGACGACTATGATCTGGGCGCAGCCCAAGCGGATTGCGAATCATATTCAGGCAGCAATGAAATTGACTCGTCTAAATAACGTCTTTGAGACGTCCTGGTAAGGCTTTCCAAGGTTGGTGTCATTAGCAACCTTTCTGTTAAAAATTTCCCTCCCCCTTGATATATCAGTTGCACAGACTATTTCCAGTTCCTTAATGCTTATACTGTGTCCTATGGGGGTCACATACGAGAGAAAGGCTCCTGAAGAGCGCTCAGGGTCGACTACCAGTTTGCCGGAGTATGCCGAACTAGCAGCCCACAGTGATGGACCGCCGAGCTCTACCCTCTCGGACTTATCAAGACGAGATTCTTTGGCATCCTTAGATCAAGTCTTTGACGGGCTCATACCTGTTGAGGACAATGGGAGAGTCACCCTTACTGTTGGGAAGGACGCCGCCAGGTTGTACAGCCAACTTGTTCAGGATTTTGAGTATCAAGAATCTCATGATGATCCACAACCCGATGTCCTTCAATACGCAGCGAAGGCATCTCCTCGAAGCTTGAACATTGTGCTCCAAGTCGTGGGATCGCGAGGCGATGTGCAGCCCTTCCTGGCATTGGGCAAAGGTCTCCAGGAATTTGGTCATCGAATACGACTTGCGACACATCCAGTCTTCCGCGACCTTGTTGAGAGTCATGGCATCGAGTTTTTCAGCATAGGGGGCGACCCTGCCGAGTTGATGGCTTACATGGTGAAGAATCCTGGTCTGGTACCGAAGTTTGCAGCTGTGCGGAAGGGCGAGGTCTACCGCAGGAGACGAGCGATCCGGGACATGTTACGAGGATGTTGGAGATCTTGCTTTGAGCCAACGGACGGATACACTCCAAGAACTATACCGTCAAGGATCTTCAGCAACAAGACTAAGAAGTCATCCGACCGTGCTACGGAACCACGACCTTTCGTTGCAGACATGATTATTGCCAACCCTCCTTCCTTTGCACATATCCATTGTGCAGAGAAACTGGGTATACCGGTTCATATCGTGTTTACGTAAGTATCATCTTCCTATCTTCAACTTTGAGTACCATTGACGAAGAATTCCAGCATGCCATGGTCACCCACAAGGGAATTCGCTCACCCACTTGCTGATGTCAAGTCGTCTGAAACCGATGTTGCGTTGGTACACTACCTGTCATACTTCCTGGTCGACGCAATAATCTGGCAGGGACTGGGGAGCGTGATCAATCGTTTTCGATTCAAGGTGCTTGGGCTCCAAACCATTCATCCGACTTTAGCTCCCGGAATGATACATCGTCTGCGTATACCTCATTCCTATTGCTGGTATGTTGATGAGCCTTAGTTCGGCCTACTTCATCGTCAGCGTTCTGAAACTCACGAAAACATAGGTCGCCTCATTTATTTCCCAAACCACGAGACTGGGCCCCTCATATTACGGTGCCAGGCTATTTCAGTCTACCTCGTCACACAGACTATTCTCCACCCCGGGCACTTCAGGACTTCCTCTCCTCTGGCCCTCCCCCGATATTCGTTGGGTTTGGCTCTATCGTGGTCGATGACCCAAATAAATTGACGATGACCGTACTGAAAGCCATAGAGTTGAGTGGTGTTCGCGCAATCATTTCCGGCGGTTGGGGCAGCCTCAATGCGGAGGCATTGGCCGCCAGCAGCAATGATGACAACATATTCTTCCTCCGAAACGATTGCCCTCACGATTATCTCTTCCAGTACGTCTCGCTGGTGATTCATCATGGCGGTGCTGGTACGACCGCAGCGGGTATAGCTGCTGGCCGGCCTACGATAGTTGTTCCCTTCTTTGGGGACCAGTTTTTCTGGGGCTACATGGTCCATCGGTCAGGTGTTGGTCCGGCTCCAATCCACAACCACAACCTCACTTCAGAGAATCTTGCATTGGCTATCAGTGCAGCTCAAGAGCCCCCAATGCAAAGCCGTGCATTGGCGTTTAGCAAGAGGATTCAGTCTGAGAACGGTATCGACGCTGGTATCAGCTCAATACACGCTCAGCTACCCAGAGCCACATTTACACCCTGTGCTCTCTTTCCGGACCGCGTGGCCAGCCTGCAATCTACGATCAAGATCAAGAGCAACTCGGACCCCAAATCCAAGCAAAAACAATCGCAAGAAATATATCTAAGCCCTTTAGCGGCCACATTTCTCCGCAAGCACCAACTTATATCATCATCCACATTCGACAACATGAACATGCACCGGCCGACAGAGCACAATATTGCTTCGGGACCCTTCGACCCCGTATCTGGCGCGGCCTGGGCGGTTCTAGACCTACTGTACGACGCCTTCAAGGGCATGGGCGAGATGCTCACCGAAGTCGGACACATCCCATACCTGGGCTTCAAAGCTGTCGACAAGGGAATCGAGTCTATCCGCTCGACACCGCTACCGCCAACATCAGCAACATCCCCCTCTGTCACCCCAACATCCTCTTCTTCGTCTTCGACAAGCCATCTCCCCGGTGGCTACTTCGTCAAAGGCACACTCCGGGTGTGCAAAGCGTCCGCCCGAGCACCTGGCGCCTTTGCCTCCGCCATCGCGTCTGGCGCGCATAACCTGCCGCTGCTGTACAATGACCCGACCGTGCGGCCGACGCCGCGCATCACGGGCATGAGTTCGGGGCTGAAGGCTTCGGTTGCAGAGCTGGGGTTCGGGCTCTACGACGGACTTGTCGGAGTGGTCACACAGCCGATCATGGGTGCGATCCATCCACATGCTGCACTGGAGTCGAAAAGAACGCGGGACAATCCTGGGGACAATCCGAAGGGCAAGGAGGTGGCGGTGGAGCAGGAGATTCCGCCTTGGACGGTCGGGGCTGGAGCGCTTGGTTTCGCAAAGGGATTGGGACGGGGTGTCGTCGGCATGCCGATTAAGTTCTTTGCGGGTATGTGTTCTGTTCTTCTCCCCTTTGACTGTGCGGTACACGCGTATTTCATTTGAGTGACTAGACCACATTTCTAACCATCTTTGCGTCCGGGGTAGCCGCCGGTGGCATCGTCGGGTACCCGCTCCAGGGCATCGACGCGGAGATCACAAAGGCGTGGAAAGGCGACGATATGAAGGAAGTTCGGAAGCAGAGGAATCTACAAGGCGAAAAGGAGTATTTTGACGCCGCGTTCACGAGCGAGCAAATCAGAGATGTGACGATCCGGTGGAACGCCATTGTGGATGGGTCTGTGATGAGGTGATGGAGACGCTGGGTACAGCACGGCAATTCACAAGTTTTGAAGCTACTCACGGAGTCGATGCCATCGGTCCTCGTTGGACCTGGTCGGCGCGAGAATGTCAGTGGCGAAATGTTCACGATGGATATGGGTGCGCTCAGTGTGTGCATCTCTTGCCACGACGGTAGACGGGTTTGTCATCTTGATCATTCTTTGTTGGGCGTTTTCTTGGATGACCGCCCAGGTTTCGACTGCCATCTAACTAGTCGTAACTTGCCTCCCCTTCAATCTTCCTCCTCTGTCTTGATGGATCCCCGGAAGACGCCCCACACCGGACGCCCAGACGAGGCCATCACCTTCTCTGGTGAGGCTGCGGCCTTCTTGATGTCGGCCATGCCTAGAGAAGTCTAGTAGTCATGGTATCTGTATGGTAATGAGCGGTTCAGCTTACGTTGTTTTCGCTTCACTGATTTGTGCGGAGTCTGCTTGCCAGGAGTGGGTGGTGGTGACAAGACAGAGTTGGTTCGGCTTCTGGGTGGTTTAGGAGCAGAAGCACGGGATGCAGAGGTGAGACCATCATTGTTGGGACTCAAAGCAGCTGGGCTTGTGGTGGCAGGAATAACGATCTGAATCTGAGATGTGAGCTTCGAACATTTGTGGGTAGGATTCTCAGCGGATCTAACCTTTGGATGAGCAGGGGTGACTGGAAGAGAGAGCTTGATGCCACTGAGAGAGGATATTTCGGCGAGCTTTTCTGACATGGCTTCACCAAAGTTGAAGTCTTGCTCTCTGGTCGAATTCTTCCAATTGACATACACCCTGGCGTCGTTGTGCTCGGTGAGGCCAGGCTTGCACTCCATGCCGATCAAAGCTTCGATGTTTCGCCTCATTTGCTCCTGAATTTCCGTCATTGCTTCAATAGAAGCCATCGCGTTGGTGACCTCGAGGATGTCTTTCTCGGTTGCAGGTTCAGATGAACGGATTGGATCAACGCTTCCCTTATCATGCGTCGACTTCAGGCTAAGAAAGTGGGCGTCGAGGTTGCGGGCACGAGTGTTGAGAACGGTACTGGCACGTTGTAGATCGGCAGCAATGCCTTGAAGGATCTCTGCATGGAGCTGAGCATGTGCGTATTTGAGGAGAAGAAGATTCATTGCAGAAGTCATGGTTGCTGTTCATACCGTCGTGTAAGGAGGTGGCAGATCACGTGGTTTCACAAAGGAAAGATTTCGAAATACTGCAGAATAAATAGAGAAGACGCAAACCTAGTAACAGACAAGGGAAGGAAAACAGTGAAGCGAACAGGGTGTCGCTACAGCGAATCAAGGGAATCTCGGCGCTCCACCTGGTGAACAGACCCAAGACCAGCTTGCCCGTATACATCAAGCATATGTGCATCTTTATCTTGGGTTCAGGGGTGATATATGAATACTTCATTGAGGAATACCTAGTTGATCTCGAAACTCAAGTTCTTCTCCAAAAGAGGCATAAAGGTAACTAATGATTGATACAACAATCATCACTCCCAAGTCTCCCTTCACGTTTCTGAGATTTGAGGTTGTTTCAACTGGTCCAACAAGTAAACTCAACCCAGCAAAGGGCCACAAGTATGCGCCAGTCAAATCATCAAAAGCTGTTTGAACTTGGATGTCTGATAATAGGATTGACGGCTGACGTGTCTGCCTATCCTGCATGAGCGTTCTCACTTCACCACTTCATCGCGACAGAATGTTCCCATTGCCTTAGTCTCAACAATCGCCGGCATGGTTGCAATAAGATTCTCCAGTCCCTATGAATTCATATGAGTAGGATCGGCCAGCCGTTGGTTGATCGGAGTAGACCAGCGATTTGTCATTTCTTTACGAGTGGTCGCGCCCATTGCAACTTCGGCCGTCGAGTGCGCTTGGTCATGGGGCTATCCTCATCGGGAGAGAATGACTGTCTGCGTCTGCGGATTAGTGGACTAGTTGATCGAAGTCGGCGATTGGTATTGTCGTGTGGATTCTCGGTATCTTCTGAGTCAGAGGTGTTCGGGTTTGAGATGCGGTTCCCAGTAGATGCGAACTGAACCCTCTCAAGGAAGGTGTTGACATCTTCTGAAGTGGCTTGATTCTCCCGAACTTTAGTGTCTAGCTGAGAATACTCCGTCCAGAGGTGAACGTTGTCTCATTTGATTGGGTCGTCTGGAAGCTGACACCAACGCTGAAAAGCCAGGGTGGCGCGGTCAAATGTGTGGCCAAATGAGATTCATGTCTCCGTCTGCAATTGCTTGAAGAAAAGTGGCGGTAGTGTGAAGGACGTCTGCTTGATCGTTCAGTTTGTCAACTCGATTCTTGAGATGGGTTGCTTCCAGCTTGAGCTCGGCGGCCCGCGAGAGGAGGTGTTTGACTTGGTCGAATGTAGGCTGGGGAGGATTTGGGAGGGAGGACTTTGCTAACGAGTCATGAGTTGAAGTATCCATGACTGCTGGCCTGACAGAGGAAGGTGGGAGTGGAGATGAGGAATGATGTAGAAGAGAAGACGACGAAGGCGCAGAAGGGCGAGCTGAGAAAGGCTGTATGTATGAAGAGCCCCGACGACTGCCTTTGGACTTTGCCGTGAACTGCCGTTGATTGCGACTTCCTTACTGTCGCGCACACATTGCACCTTCCTGTTGCGCCTTCCTGTTCTCGCGTGGATTCAGACAAGACTTGCCGGATTTCCTCCCCAAACGCACCACATCAATAATACAGGAGCAATTTCCGACTGCCGGATCAGACACCATGAAAGAAGTTGGCCGATATCACTGTACAACAGTCTCATCCTGGTCGGTACGAAACGTCTTTGCTTGTTTCCATGGATCTGGTGCCGAAGGATTGGCCTTTTTCCATTCTTCTATCCGGGCCTCCAGTTCTTCGAGATTTCCCTGCATCGAATCTTGAACAGGTACATCTCTGACTTCCCAGACATCTTCACTGCTTGGCCCAGTTTTGTATTTAATGATCTTTTTCTGATAATGTTCCCGGATCTGTCGAGCCCGTTCCCTCTCCGGTATGTTCCTCGTTCTCATACACAGCCAGAAGTCGTTCCAATGATTGGAGCAACTCCTAAATTCACCATATCGATATACATTAACAAATTGCCCTCCAAAGCTCTGGCAGAACATGGCATAGTCAAAGGCTGATCGACATGACATTGATGTCGGGTAGAGTGAATCTGGTGAGATGTCCACGGGTTCATAATCAATAGACGCCTTTGACTGGCCCTCCTTTGTTTTATATTTTTGCTCTTGACTGCGCAACTCCTCGGCATAGAATTCCTTTAGGAGGTCGCGAAATGATGCGTCGCTTTTCCCTTGTTCGGCAAGCTCTGGGAGTTGGGAAGGTGAGGGAGTTGTCGCAAGCACTGATGGTTCGGGGGCTGTTGCGTCAAGCGGACTAGCAGCAGCAGGAGTTGCTGGCTTGGAATCCCAGAACCATCCCATAGCTCGCGCGAGATGAGGTGGGTAGGGGAAAAAATTGTGTTGTATGAATGTCTACTTTGAACGCCTGAGGTAATTCACGTACTTCCAGATGTCGTCGAAATAATAAATTTCACGTGTCAGGTTCAGCCACATTCGGGGTAATTTGGAGACGAGGTTTTTCCGATTCAGCCACAAATTATACGAAGTACGATGGTACAAGGTGGTCGCGTATCTCAAATGCAGATGCTTCGACGTCATAAGCGGTTGCTCTTTATTTTGTGGTCATGAGACAACAGTAGGTCTCTACTGCTCAACCCATTCACTTTGCCGCAGATTGAGGCCGATCTCTCGTCGCTAGATATGTCGTCGCATATATTCTCGACAGTCATGCTCTAGGACGGTCGCCACTACCAACTCGCCCAATATCGAAGCGATAACATGATCGGCTCTAGAACCCTTCGATCGGCTTGGGCGCGTCCTCCCTTAGCTCGGGCAACAAATCCGAGAAAGCAATATTTCTACACTGCAAATGGCTTTCGTCCTCGGCCTGCCCTAGGCACGTTACCCACTGGCAGGAGAAAGGCCACCAACGAAGCTGGCGAGGACGAAACGGGTCATATCGACACTAAGCCAAACGAGGGTATCTTCTTCTTTGACAGTATGCATACTCTCCCTTTGGTCAATATCATTCGCTAATCATGATTCCCCAGACGTCTTTCCGCTCAAGCTGCAATGGCTGAATCTAATCCCATATCTCAACCCCGACAAGTTCCTCGCAACATCCCTCCAAAAGGTCAACCAGCCTGGCCTCGCCCTTGCCGACACCTCAAGTATCATCAAGCGCGCCCTGCCCGACCAGATGCCTCTTAAAGTACTCGAGGTTCTTCCAAGACTTCGCGAGGGTGGTGCATTTGTCAAATTCTCCCATGATGGAGCAATCACCGCACAGGAGCTGGAGAACACATTAAAGGAATATATGAAAGAAAAACCTATCACACCCTGGTTCAATCCTCTGCGCACAGTTCGTGCCTTTTTGGTTCAAGGAAAACCCTGGATCGAAGACTTGTACCGTGTGCCTTGCGCGAGAATCAGAGTCGAGTTTATGCCCACAACTCCCGAATCCTCTGCTGCAGAATTAACCCAGGAGACCCTCTACTCATTGTTCCGCAGATACGGCAAAATTTCAGAGATTATTCCTCAGCCTTCCGACTCCAAGGTTCTTCCCAAATTTGCCTACGTCGATTATACAAGAATTCGCTTTGCCACCATGGCCAAGAATTGTATGCACGGCTTCACAGTCCCCACTGAAGAAGGGGGTGGTAAAGCTGGGACTCTTTTGAGACTAAGCTATGAGTCCAAGCGGAAGAAGGGCTGGTTCTGGGATTGGATCAGTAACCATCCAAGAATTGTCCTCCCCATTCTCGTGGCACTTTTGACCGCTACTTCGGTCACTGTCTTTGATCCTATCAGAACATTTTTCATCCGCATGCACATCACTCATGGCTTGCATTTAGAGGACCAGGCTTTGTACAGGTACATCAAGAGTCAGCTTTCTCGAGGTTACGATATTATCCGGTTTAGAAAGCAGTCAGAGAACGATGACAACTTGAGGATAATATGGGAAGATCGGCATGAAGCTATCCAACAATTACAGACATGGTTGATTGAAACCGCCGACACCTTTATTGTTGTGCAAGGCCCTCGAGGTGCGGGAAAGAAAGAGCTGGTCATGGATCAAGCGTTGAAAGATCGGCCCAATAAACTGATCATCGATTGTAAAAAGGTACAGGAAGCACGTGGCGATAGCAATACTATTGCAGCCGCTGCTGATCAAGTGGGCTACAAGCCAGTCTTCTCATGGATGAACAGCATCAGCAGTATGGTGGACTTGGCGGCTATGGGTACCATCGGCACCAAGACTGGCTTTTCTGAAACCCTCGACTCACAACTGGCCAAGATCTGGAGTAATACTACCGCCGCTCTCAAGCAGATCGCTTTGGCCCCACGAAAGAATGACGACAAAGACATGAACATGTCCGATGACGAATGGCTTGAAGCACATCCAGATGCTCGGCCAGTCGTTATTATCGACAATTTCTTACACAAGAGCAATGAAGGGGCTGTCAACATGGTCTACGACAAATTAGGAGAATGGGCCGCCACATTAACCACTCAAAATATCGCACATGTGATATTCTTGACCACAGATGTCTCCTTTTCCAAATCACTTGGCAAGGCTTTACCAGACCGAGTTTTCCGTCAAATTGCCTTGAGCGATTGCACACCTGAAGTGGCTAAGAAATTGGTCATCAATCAAATTACCCGCGATTCTGAAGACGATGAGGAGGAGTCTAAAGTCACAGAATCGCGGATGAGGAGTGATTTGGATGAGCTTGATGGAGTCATTCAAGTCTTAGGAGGTCGACTCACAGATCTAGAGTTTCTCGCTCGTAGGATCAAGGCGGGCGAATCACCAGGCAGTAAGTTTTCTCGTCCAAAGCAATGCTCCTCTTGGATTTAGTACTAACAACAAAATCAGAAGCTGTTCGCCAGATTATTGAACAATCGGCATCTGAGATCCTTAAGATGTACCTGCTTGATGTCGACGTGGCAAACCGTAAATGGACGCCGCAGCAAGCCTGGTATCTTGTTAGAGAACTGGCTGCCAATGAGACTCTACGTTACAATGAGCTCCTCCTCAATGATATATTTAAGGATGGAGAGGTTGTCCTCCAAACCCTGGAGCAGGCGGAATTGATTTCCATCTCCTCTCAGAACGGCCGGCCATACGGTATTAAACCTGGCAAACCGGTTTTCCAGGCCGCTTTCGAATACCTCACCGAAGATGAGGTCCTGAAGGCACGTCTTGACCTCGCCATTCTGACTCAGTTGATTGGCATTGAGAACAAGAACGTGGATAAATATGAACTCGAACTGAAGACACTGGGAGAATACCCTGGGACACCTAGTGAATTGAAACCCAGGATAAAGTGGTGCTTGGACAAAGCCGCGGCTAGTCATGCAAAGGTCGAAAAGTATGAGACTCAAGCTGGGCGATTCAAGAAAATACTGGCGGAAAAGTTCTGAGAAAAGAGCCAGGCTCAACATATAGGAGTGTAACAACGTATACGAACATGACCAATAGTACAGGATAAAGATGTGGTGGATTTTCTGCTCAATCTTCATGTGAATTCGAGGCTGGTGACAACCAATATAATGGACATACAATACCACCCCTGGCCTGTGATTGTGATTCTCTACTATCCTGACATACATGCTCTTGATGGCTCACTCGTTTCAGGCGCTTGATCTACACTGTATGGCCAAGTCATCTCTTTTTACAGACGAATAAGTTCTGAGCGACCAAGGCTGAGATAAATTGACGAGGCTGAATGAATCCAACTGAATGACTCCTGACGCCACAATGTGGCTTAGTGACTGTGGCGCCACGGTCAACGTTCACGATTCAATGAATCGGGGAGCAAACAGTCTTGCGATCAGGCCATTACCTTCTACGCTTCTTTAACAATTCTGAATACCCTTGTCGTTGTTACTGCAATCATGCCGGAATGACAGTACATTGATACCCCCCACCCGACCACAACCATGGACGATATAGCGGGGTTGAAGTGGACTTCGACCCCTGCCACCAACGCTCACAAACCAGCGCCGTTGACCTCGAACTATTCAGCCTTCTCATCTCTAAAGCCGACCCCTCCTACTTCGGGACGTGCCTCTCCACTCAACCAACCCTCCAGCCAACCGCCCTCGAAACCGGCCACACCTGCGAACGACAGCTTCGCGAATCTCGTCGGGTTCAATAGTTCCAGCAATGCAAACAAGAATCTGTCTTTACAGGAGCAGCAGAAGAGATTGCTCGACTCAAAACTCAAAAAACAACAGGAAAATGCTCAGAAATTACAAAATCAATATGCTGGAGGAGATGAGCAGTTTTGGAACAATCTAGGAAGCGGTAGAGGCACTCCGGCTCCTGAACGTCAAGCACAATCCAGTGTCAATCCTTCGAGGGGGAACGGAGTCAATGATGAGGAGGATGACTTGTTCGCCGCCTTCAACAAGCCTGTAGCAGTGACAAAGGCACAAGCTGTAGTTCCGCCGCCCGAAGCAGCAACACAAAACAATGTGGAGGACGACGACCCATTTGAGCTATCAGCATTCTCTGGTCGGCGGACAGATAAGGTGGAAGCGACGACGACCGTTGATGACGACGATGATGTCCTGGGACTTCTTGGGAAGCCGGCGTCTGCACGACCGAAACCATCCTCCCCACGCAGGCCAGTAAGAGAAGAGCCTACAAGTGGCCACCCCCAGGACAAGGCAGTGGCCGAACTAGTCGACATGGGATTTCCTGCTGATAAGGCCAAACAAGCACTGGAGACAACAGAATCTGGCGTGGATGTCCAAGCTGCTGTTGGTTATCTATTAAACCAAGCACATTCCGAAGCACAAGCAAAATCTCGATCTAGAAATGCAAATCGGCAGGAAGAGCCTCGCGATCGGGGAGAAAGAGGGAGCAGCCACCAAGATGCCCGGTCACAACCATCTCGGCGACGGCCAGTGGAAGAAGAACAGACCCGCTCTCGAGAACGTGACCAAACTCGGGGCCAGGAAAAGGATTTCGAGCAGATGGCCTCTGAATTAGGGAGCACCTTCCTCAAAACCGCCGGTTCGTTCTGGAAGCAAAGCACGAAACGTGTACAACAAGCGGTCCAAGAATTCAACTCTGATGGTGAGGCTAGTGGTGGTACACCCAAATGGATGAAAGAGGCTGAAAGACAGACTGCTCGTCCTCAACCTACGCAAACACATCAATTTGAGGACGAGTATGCACATATGCGACTTCGGCACAGGCCCGCGGAGACAAACAAAGCACCACAAGCGACGGATGAGGCTATGATGCTTGAATCCTCCCGACCCACGCCCCCTCCAAGAGCAAGCAGATCGACTCCTCAAGCAAGAGTTGGATCGGAGTTAACACCAGATCATTCTCGTGACCACTCACCAGCAATTCCGTCTCGACTGCGAGAACCAAGTCAGACGCAACAACCTGCTTTTCTCCGGCAACAAACCCAATCACCGCCGCTAAATCAACGGTCTACCTTAAGCAGACATGCAGCCGAAGAACAAGCGGCACAAGCATATGTCAGTTCGGCGCGACGACGAAAACCTCAGGCACAGGCTCCTGCACCACCGCCAGCGGCACCAGAGGGCGACTTACTAGATGGCGGGTTTAAAGACAAGTCTACACCACCACCACCGAGGTCTACTCCAGTATCGAGCTCACAACAGCCACAACCCCAAACCGCGAGACGGACAGAAACACCTGTGAGACCACCAGCCCCACAACGCAACATCCCTACTTTATCTGCCATAACCCTCAAGGCAGTCCACTCCCACCGGGAGAAAGGGAACGAGCACTTCAAACGCGGCGACTACTCCTCAGCGCACCAATCCTACGGAACATCCATAACGCACCTACCCGACACGCATCCGCTGATCATCGTTCTCCTGACAAATCGCTCCTTAACAGCCTTGAAAGTAGGCGAGCCCAAGAACGCCATCTCCGACGCCGACAAAGCGATCGCCGTGATCGGTATCTCGAAAGGCGAGTCCGAAACCATCGACTTCAGCAATGGCGATGCTCCAAAACCCATGCGCGAGTACTACGGCAAAGCGTTGATGCGCAAAGCCGAAGCCCTCGAGCAAATGGAGAAATGGTCGGATGCGGCGTCCGTGTGGCGCGAGGCCGTCGAAGGCGGCCACGGCGGTGCAACAGCCATCCAAGGACGCGCCCGAGCCGAGAAAGCATCCAGGCCCAGCGCGGCAGCCACACGCCTGACACCCTCATCATCAGCGCCCAAACCACGCCAACCAACCGCCGGCCCGTCCTCAACAGCAAACAACCGCGCTGCAGCCGCCGCACAAAAGGCATCCGCGCAGGCTCAAGCCGCCGCAGTGTCGAAGTTACGTGCCGCGAACGCAGCAGCCGACAAGGCGGACGACGAACGCTTCCAACTAGGTGACAGCGTGGACGCACGCATTCAGGCGTGGAAAGGCGGCAAAGAAGCCAACCTACGTGCCTTGCTGGCAAGTCTCGAGAACGCGCTGTGGCCCGGCAGCGGGTGGAAGAAAATCTCGCTGGCCGACTTGGTCCTACCTGGGAAGGTCAAGGTCCAGTATATGAAGGGGATTGCCAAGGTGCATCCGGATAAGGTACGTATATTTGGGTTCTGTTTCTGTAGTTCAATATGGTGTGGGGTTCATTAGATTTTGTTACTGACGAACAACTTCCGAATTGTGCAGATTCCGACCGATGCGACGACCGAGCAGCGCATGATTGCGGGTGCGGTGTTCAGCGCGCTGAACGATGCTTGGGATAAATTCAAGGCTGAGAATGGATTGTAGCATGGCTGTGTCCTTTCACGTGGGCTCTGATCCTCGAGGCGATAATGCTCCACGAGTAGGGCTTGGACGGTTCAAGTTTGCCCAATACGATATGAAGCGAAGACAAGGCCAGCTTATGCAACTCGATTTCTTGATAGAATTACATGACATTTGGGATGGGCGTCGCCGCCATGTTTTTTCCCCAATGTATGGGATGTCGCCTCCTGCCCCCTGATAGCTTTGGTGTTTGATTTGTGGAAACCTTGATGAACGTGTGTCTATGCCGATACTGAGCACTGGAGACACCGGACCGCCTACGATGGCATATAGTCAGATTACCATGTAGCGAGCTTCTGCTCATGCGAACTAGGAACTGCGATTGGGGTTTGTGGAAAGCGGAATCAGACGATCATGTGCACTGAGATGGATTGAGTTCGGAACAAACACGAGAGCCTTGCGGATCACATAATGCATGAGGTGATTTTCTCGATAGGTTATCAGCTCCACGATGGATACAAATCTCCAAAAACGCTCAGCTGATGTGATTGCCCCATAATGCAACACATGGTATTGAATTTATACATACGGTGAATACAACATGTACATAGCTCCTCGACGATCGCAGTCGGGAGTCCAGCACCAGCACCAGCACCGCCACCAACCATCAATGTCATCACCGCTTCTTGCCACCGATCTTGGCGCCCTTGTTGGACTTCTTGCCTTTGTTCTTCTTGGTGTTCTTCGCCACCTTGGACACCTCGGCGAGCTCGATCCGGGCGCTCCGCTTCTGCCACGCGGACCATCGGTCTCTGCGATCGAACGGCACGACCTTGATGCCCTTCCTCTCCGCCGCGTAACCGATTGAGACGTTGGATTCACGGTTCGTGCCTGCCCGCATGAATGGCAGTGGTGGTGGACGGCTGGTTGTGCCTTTGCTGTTCGCGCTGAGGTGGGATTCGAGGAAGGATGCACTGCTGCTGTTGCTGCTGCTGCTGCTAGTTTCGGGTGTGGGGATCGGTGAGGCGTACATGTTCAGTCGGCGGCGAGTTGGAGCGTTAATCGGCGCGGGGAGCTGTGAGCCCGCTCCTTCTTTCTCCAGCGCGACGCCGATGTAGCGTCGTTTCGGGTGGCGGCGCGGGTCGCGGTAGTATCTCACGTAGCCACTTTCCAGGGCGTAGATGGTGTGGTCTTTGCCTATGCCGACGTTGTCGCCGGGGTGCCATAGTGTGCCTTTTGTTGGGGGTTTTTTGTGAGAAATGAATCCCACAGCGGCGGCGCAGTTTGCATGAACTTACCTCGTTGCTTGAAGATGATGTTTCCTGGTACGACGTATTCTGAGGCCGTCTTTTTCGCACCCAGTCGTCGACCTGCGGAGTCTCCGGGCCCATTGGCTCGTCCCTGTGCTGCGTGCGAGGCATATCTGATGAAGCTGGTTGTCGCCGCAAGGGGTTGGAGGTGGCTATGTCTGGAGCAGAGGCTGAGGGCATTCAAGGACGAGGCCAGAGCTGTCAACGGGCTCTCCAAGGCCGTGTGTGCCCGGGAAAGTCGAGGCTGCAGCATTGTCGATCTGGACCGTTATTATGTGGTGTGTCTGTTCACACATGAGATTCACGTCAACTACAATTGGGGATTGAACTTTGATAATTTTACGGTGGGCTGGTGGATTCTCCCCGAAGCGCAGTTCTGTCAGGTGGTCGTGATACGGTGGCGCATAGCGTGGATATGGACGGAGGGTTCTCATTAGTATTGTCAGGGTGATCTTGACAACTTTCCACATTTACCATTCCAGCAGAACATAACTGCCATATCATCCGATTTTGTCCGATCTTAAGTCGGAAAATCACCTTTGCTACAATCTACCGACGCCATATACTATCTGTCTTCAAGATGAGGCTTGTTCTCACTGCAACCCTCCTCTTCCTGGGGGTCGTATCTGCTCAGTTTCAATTCTTCGAACAATTCTTCCAAGGGGGCCAGCAACAACAGCAACAACAGGAGAAGCAAAACGTGCCGAGTGATTCTAATTGGTATCGCCAAAATTGGGAAAGTGGTAAGTTTGTCCAGATGCGACCCCAACCATACCACTGCAAATCCTCTCGTGTTACCGAGTCCATGAATGGTTTTCTGGACTCGTGCTTTTGTCATATTGAAGCGAGCGAGTCATATCCACCAAGGCTAGCCTTTCTATCCGTCGGATATACTACCCGGCTCTTGGCTTTGACCTTCTAAGGGAAATGTCGGGGCAGTTTCACTCGTAGCTCTCAGGAAATGAAAATTGGCTGACTGTTCATGCAGCGACATGTAGCAATTACCTTTGTGCCGACACCCTGGCGTGTGTGCATTTCCCACATCACTGTCCATGTCCACATCCTGATGTGGAGGACAAAGTTGAACTCGCAGATGGGATTGCAGTGTGTGCGAGCAAAGGGGGCTTCAAGACCGGCGAGGCTGAACGCAAGATTGAATTGGCCAGGAAAGGGTTGATCTGATGACGTCGAGGTGCTTTGTAGTGTGAAGGACTGTCCGGACCTAGGTATTGTTCCGGTTGGTAGACTTGGGCCGACCACAGAATGCTTGACCGCCTGACTGGAGGTGTGTTTGTTTCTGCGTAAATTTCGCCTTGGAAGTTGGACACACCCCAAAGAAGAAAGCGGTTGAGATTAGACTTCTCCCACTGACGTCTGAGCCACGATTCTTTGACTGTGCTTTCTCGCGACTTCGTACCTGCGTGAAGCTGAGGAGGGAATATCTAACTCAATTAGGCTTGTTGCAACTCCATATTTTGAGGTTGAGGTAGCATTGAAGTTGTGAAGCTGTGAGGTGTGCTATCTGTGGAACCACAACCAACGAACGGTCCTTGTTGCATGGTTCATTGTCATCAATAGCCGTCATGTGGGATTAATCCCACACGAGAACGCCATGTGGAACCTTCTTAACGAATTCCGGTGACAAGTGGAGCGGAACCGACAGCTTGGGTCTCGAGTCTTGCATCTTGCATCTTGAATCTCGAGCCTTGAGCCTTAAGCCTTGAGCCAAGGGGGGAGGGAATTAGCGCTAGGGTATCGAACTTTGGATGATGCATCGTAGAACTGTAGCTCCATCGGATGTTTTTTGCGATGTGTCAGCACCACTTCGTGTTCAAAGTTCGAGCTTGAGATTGTCACGGTTTGTCACTGGGTCCAACGTGGTGTGGAAACATGGTCTCTATTTGTTTGTGTTTCAGGGAGAGATGCAGTGCTGCAGCCTGTGGCCTGCGGCCTGCACCCCCAGCCCACAGTCTGCAGGACTTGGGGGCTTCGACCTCCCTGGAGACCTATCTCTGGGCCTTCCAAAAGGGGGCCCTCGGGCTCTCGGGCCAGGGGCCAGGGGCCTTCTAACTAGTAAGCCAGGGGCGCTGGCCAGAAGGTCGCTGAATACCCAACAGTCTCAAGATGTTCACGGTTACCACATTGGATCCCACGCCCCCGGCATCTGGAGCCTGGAGGTGCCTAAGACTGGTGTAAGTGGCTCCAAAACCTCCGTCTTGACAGTTCGGTTAAACGCACAAACTGTTCTAGATTTTGCATCAATCTCGAAGTTTTTTGACTTCCGCGGCACCACCATCCCGCAAGTCCCTTCACGGCTATTCATCAATTTGACTCCAACAACCTGCATATCTTCATGCTCGTCACGGCATCCGCCATTGAAGCATTCCTTCCTATCTGGGTAGGTGCCAACCTTTCTGATGTCAATCGAAAGCAGCCACATGAGGTTCTGAAAGACTGGCATACTCGGTATTACGACCGGAAATTCCTATTGAGGTCCGAGTCTGAGCCCGAGTTTGATTTCCACACACCGGCTCCTGGTGTTGTGTTTTGACTGGAGGCCGCAATGGCTCTTGCGACTTTTGACATATCCTCCTTTGTATTAAGCCCTTCGCTTAAGACAATTCCCAGAGCCCTTCGTTTGTATGCCCATCCTTCTCCCTGTCGAGCTGGTGTGGCCTGATCTTCGGCGATGCCCGACCAGAGACGCTGCACTGCACTGTGAGAGGAAAAAAAATCTCTGTCCCTCAAAGCTGTGACTTCCGACATGTTTGGCATGGTCCTGAACACATCTGCCCACTCAGGCCCTCATGCGCGCGTGGCTTGCAGAAAATACGGGGAGCACGTGGCGGGCCCACCATTTACCTACCAACAGGGTTCCTCGTTACGGATGGCACCCACTGTCTGTCGGGATCTCCATCTGTTCCGATTCCCTGGTATCCTCCTCTGAAAGGCTGAGTCCTTCTACTACACCGGACCTAAGGAGGCTGTGGAGACCGAGTCTTTCGTCAATGCCAGTGCTCCATGGTGCTACCGAGATAACACGAATGCCATTGAAATCATAGTTCACCATCAACGTCCCTAGGATGAAGCCGCTGCCGCATAGTTCTTAGCATCGATCCACCTTGACATCAGATTCCCAGCGCAACCATTCGAGTCCTCACTAGCGTGGATCCAGGGCCCCTTGCCTGTTGACTTCTGGATTAATAAAGGTGCACCGTCAAGGGCCATAGCACGAGCTGCTCCTTCGTATCAAAATATGTTCTGTGCCTTGGATGGGTTTTTACCACTTCAGCTTGACCATATCCCCTCTCGTCTTTTGCAATACCCGACGGCAAAAAGCCCAACGCAAGAATCGATCCCTCAGCGATGTTATATCCCTGACTGCTCTGTCAGTGTTGACAATGTTGTGTGGTGTGCTCAATCTGGAGCAACTCGTCGCAGACCTTTTGATTCGCCAACCTCCTACGTGACTTGCATGACCGCGCCTCTAGAGTCACTGTGATGAGCCTGGTAAGTCAAGGTACTTGCTTCCCTTTATTATGGACCGGCATACCATGCCACAAACGTCTTCTGTGGAGATATATAAGCTTGGTATCTCCACCCAGCAATTTAACAGCGCGTTTCTCATCTGCAAGTGCACAACTGAGAGACTCCCGCCTCCTAGATCATCGGATCGACCATGCAAGAGGACTACGATAGCCAGCCTGGCTCACCTGGGCCCTCTAAGCGAAGGCGGTATTCCAGAGTCAGTCGCGCATGCAATGAATGTCGTCTGCGCAAAATCCGGTGTAATGGCAGACAACCGTGCGAGCCTTGTGAGGACTTCGAACGACGTGAGTGCCACTCTTGAACCCCCAACATCAATGCAAAGTTTACAAATCTTCAATAGATTGCACATTTACCTCCACTAAAGGCCAAAAGGTGGCGGGTGCACCCCGGACCAAGATCTTAGAAGATCGATTGCGAAGAGCGAAATCTCTGATCGCAAAGCTTCGAGCGCAAAACCCAACCACAATATCAGCTGCCGATATAAGTAATGTTTTTGATTCTCCACCAGGATCTCCTTCTTCAGTATCCGATACGACAGGCGCTACTGATGAAAGCACTGGTGAGCACTTGGAAAGTCTGATGGACGGCAGAGGACATTTACTGCTCAATCAAAAGTCCGCAACTTATTATGGGGGCGGCTCCTCCTTTGCATTCCTGCAGAAAACTCAGCAACTCTTTTCTCCAGATGTTCCACCTATCGGAAACATCTGCCTGGAATCTCCGCAGTCTGCAATATCAGAGTTGTTTGACTCGCCTTTGTGGGAAAAGCAGGCCATCCAAGATCATTTATCGCCTCCAGAAATATTGCCAGCACGGCGAACAGCTTTGGAGCTTCTGGAGGCTTATTTCAAAAACGCTTTACCTCTGTTCCAGTTCTTGCACGAGCCGACTTTCCGATTACAGGTAGACCGAATCTATGGCCTTGATCCGTTGGCCTTTGGAGAATTGGATCGCGACTTCCTGCCCTTGTTCCATTCGGTCATAGCAATTGGATACCTCTACAAACACGACATGCATCAAAGGTATGGTTGCAAAGCATCACTAGATCAAGCGTAAGTGGACCCCACCGCCTGTGCTTCATGTCTTACTGACACGCCCCCTTTCTAGCCACAATCACTTTTCCAAAGCGCACCGGATGACAGAACTCAACCGATGTCGAGACATTTTAGGTTTGCAGACCATAATAAATCTCGCTCTATTCCTGATATCCACGTGTAGAGTCGCCACGGCTCACACCTTGATCGGACTCGCAGTGTCTGCCTCTTTGCGGATGGGTTTGCACTCGCAATCGTCTTGCAGCGGCTTAACATCTCTCTCTAGAGAAATAAAGATACGGGTATTCTGGATCGTGGTCAAACTCGACATTTATAGCAGTATCCTTCTCGGACTACCTATGATGCTTGATCTTACGTACGTCGATCAGTTCAAGCCCAGTACTTCCTGCCAAGACTATACAGATGAGGAGACTGGTGGTTTCACTTCGATATTCAGTCGGCGATCGGCTGCTGCTTCCGCTCATTTTCTCGAACTCCTGATGACCATGCGGAAAATGCTTAAACATTTCTATCCAAAGACCGATGAGGAGGTGGATGAAATTGATTTCGCCAAAAAATTCGCTATCAATGATAACTTCATCGACGGGATGAAAGAGGAGTTCAGGAGTTGGCGAGAAGGGCTTGTTGATGTCTTTGGGTCATCCGAGGGACAAGAAAACATGAGCAGGTAAGCTCTTTTTGAGTGTCCCTAGACATCTAACTCCACTAAACAGTTGTAGCATTCTCTATGAAATGGAGATGGTTCATAATGTTGGACACATAATCCTCTACCGACCATACTTACACTATTTGACGAAGACAAAAGACGAAAACCCACCGGATCCTCGACTCCTAAAATGTGCAACATCGTGCGTCAAGATCTCACGCTTCACGATTATTCGATCCGAGGAAATGTTTTCCCAAGGATTTCTAGAGCCAGCTGCATGGCACTCCACATACATATTATTTCTCTCCATCGTTGCCTTGATCTATTTTCTTGCAACCCAACATGGGAATCGGGAGTATATGGCTATACAGAAAGAAGCGGAACGAGGCATTCGACTATTACATGGCACCTGTTGCCAACACACTGGGTCTCGAAAGTTCCTGGTAGCCCTGAAGGTCAGTAGGTCTGCTGCGTTGCCCATATGTTGCTCACATGACTAAGGCGCTGATTGCAAAGCAATCAAACTTTGTCGATCTTGATATCGACAAGCTGTCCCACGGAGTGAAACCTCTCTGTCAAACCAAAACACCTGCCAGTGATGAGCACCAGAAATTACAGCAAACCCCAGAACAATATGGAAACATTACAGACTCACAGTGGGTTGATGGCAGAGCAGTCCACATGGCACAAAGACTACCGATGCAGACAAGCAACAGTCGACAGTTTGTCTATCGGTCCCAGTCATACGACAACCCAGCTGGAGCAGCAAGCATCAACCCTCCCACGTCTCCGTTCTACCAGTCACAATACGGAGCGTACGGCGAACAGAACCCGGCATGGAGCCGGTCAACAGCCACCTTGAATACAACAGCGGATCTACACCTGAGCACGGTTACATTCCCATATCAAACTGGCCCAGCACAATCTATCAGGATAAACTATGGAGAAAGCGAAACGGATCACTCTCATGCTAACCTACACCCGTGGTCCTTTCCGGCGGACATGAGATTTGATCAAGCAGGGTCCAGGCAAGAGCCTACGGTGCAACCTCCAACACCCTATGGGCTTTCACCAGAAGAGGCAAGAGCGTTCTTTGGCAATAATCACGGTCAATAGCGCTTCGTTTTACAATGCCACGAGTTTTGGTGGCGATGAAATCGCGATTTTCCAGGCGAGCACAGCAATGAAGTTATTCTAGGGCTACAGGAAAGATGATTAACGAATTAGATGAAGAACGATCACGACGAAAGGAACTTGGTTGATACGACTGTTGGTCTGAAAGCATGCCCGCTTCTGTAGCAAAAATATTCAAAGGGCACTGAACAGCGGGTCCATCCTAGCGCCTGAGCGTCATAGGCTCCCACTTCCCAGGTACATACGAGTAATGAATAATAGCCCACTTTTTCAGATCAATTTACTTCGGACTGTTTGTGCAGGGGAATTACCCAGTTCCAAAAATTGACTCACCTGAATACCTACTTCGTAATAAGCGTTTGAATCGGCCCTTCTTTTGCAGACAAGGTAACCCCTGAATGAGGCAGAAAGATCATGTGTGCAATGCCCCAGGTTACACCCGGCGGGAGAAGTTGATCTCAAGGCCTCAAGGATCAGACATGGGCATGGACTCGATTACTCGGTTAGCGCTGCCCAGCCCTAATCGAACATTCTACGTGGCCTTCTATCGGCAACTTTAACTAGTTAGTTCGCGTTCCACACTGGTCCGTCACTCGTCGCTAATTTGAAGCATGTGGAAGATCAAAGGGGGGCTGAGCCTGTCCGGGCCGGCAGACCTCTGCAAGTCACTCACCGGTAAATCGCAGACGGGGATGGGCGGAAAGTGTCACTAATGACATACGGATACGATGAGTCGGGAAAAATCGAGACTTCGAATATCATCCTTTGTCTCCCAATAATAATGCGAGCTTGTGAAGGGGGGGAGGGCTTTGATTGGGGTTTACCCGAACGATCACGCATGTGATGCAGATGCCTAACGATCCATCTCCACTGCCTGTCACATTATCATTTACGAAATTACGATAGCCTGGAATTTTGGAGCATCTCCTCGCTCCCAGAAAACCAGTTCTGGGCGATGCCTAAAAGGCTCAGCAGGCCAGCCTTTCAACCGAGGTGCTTGACAGAGGATCCAAACCAGCCCCTTTCGATGATGGCACCTAATTAGAATCGAATCAGACCCGGAGTTGGAGATTCTAGGCACCATCAAGCTCCACCAGTTTTTGCTGGGACAGACGAGCTACTTCCGAGCGGCACGTGATGCCTGGAGCGCCCCGAAGTGCACGTGGTACGGAAGTGATTTTGGCCCCCAAAGCGAGTGTGATCATGTCCCCAATCACGCTTCTTTGCTTCCCCGTTAAACCCCATGGTAGATGGGGGAGCCTATCAACATCTTGCCCATCTCATCTCTATTTGCACTGCCACCGGCAAAGGACAAAGTGAGGCTCGAGAGCCTGGTTCGGACCTCAAGGGAATGATCTGCGATTCTTGAGTCACTAGAGGTGAGCATCGGGGGATCTTCTGGTCGACATTAAGCTCGACGGTCTCTTCCGATTCTCCTCTTCATCTGCGTCTAGCTAGTTAGGACTCTGCAAGATAATGATCCCAATCCTCGCTTGATTGTTCCTTGTGGATCCCGTCAAACCATTCAGTAGGCTCTTGCGTCTTCCATGGCAACAGCATCCATCGATGGATCCTTTCTCTTTGACGGCAGGCGCCCTCCAGATAGCTGGCGCCTGTGCACAATGCACGGTGACTATCATCAAATGGGTTGGAGACGTTCGGACTGTTGATGCTCGCATATCGTCCTTTTGTGACGAGGTCGCTGCCCTTCAGGCCACTTACGAAGGACTGGAGCGAAGTTTGAGCTCGCCATTAATGGCGGAGGCTGCTCGTGTGGCCAATCAGACCTCGGATGGTGCGCATCTCTGGACACAGATCAAAGAGGCGCTCAACGATTCCAAGCGAACTATGCGAAGAGTGAACGACGTTCTGACCAACATAGCCAGGACCTCAGGATTTGGTCGGCGTGTCAAAACCCAGCTACAGGAATCGTTGGCATCGGGTGAGCTCTCCCGACTCCGTCAGCGGATTCAGTTCTTCAATTCTGCCCTTTCCCTTCCGATTCAGATGGTCTGCGTCATGCTTCAACTCGAACAGAGGGGTATGACGGTCGAAAGTCAATCAGCCCTAGACACGAAGCTTGTGTCACTTGAGAGAACAATGAGAGAGCTTGTCCGATCCTTGACTGTGCCAGCTCGTTCTCAGACCCTGGGTGGCTCCACGGTTGTTGCTGCCGAATCAGAGTCTCTGGCCGGGAATGAAGGCATGGACACGTATATAGCGTTTGCTAAGAAATTCCTGTCAACAGCCTCCGCTGCGGCAAGCACCCGATCCTCATTAAGCACAATATCTCAGCCTTTGGATCATGGCGCATTACTCGAACCTCGGCGGCAATCGATCCCAGATGATCCGTTGCCTAGCGAGCACAGAGCTAGAGTCGCAGGATGGATCTGCTCACCATCCGCAAATGAAGACTTTGCGAATGGAAGAAGAAGACCTGCCGTAACGCCTCTGGTCGACGTGACCAATACAGCAAGCACCGAAGACGACTTGGAGGTCGAGTTCCTGCGAACCAAGAGACACTTGAAGCTGGGTCAGGATAGAGTTGAGCAAAACAATCACTCCGGAGCCGAGACGCATTTCCGTAAAGCGCTTGCGCTCATGGAGAGTCATGACTTCGAGGGAAGAATATCGCTCCAACCCGCCGAAGTCATCTTGCTACTTGCCGAAACCTGTCTCAAGCAGGATAAACTTGACGAAGCTATCGCTCTGCTTGAACCTGTCGCCGAAATGCGAAGTGATGTCTTCCCTAGTGACTCCAAGGGAAAATCACATACCGATTACAAGAATGCGGCATCCAATGCTCCAGACAAGCTGCAAGCGTTGGCTGCCAGTCATATGCTGGCACAGGTCTTCCTTATGAAATCAGATCATGATTCCGCCGAAGAACATGCGTTGAAGGCATTCACCGATCGCAGGAAAGAGCTTGGTGCGGCTGACGAGAAAACGATCGAATCAGTTCAACTGGTCATAGATGTCTATCGTGCCCAAGGCGATGAAGAGGAAGCCGAAGGATATGAAATCTTTCTGGCCCCTGAACAAAAGCCACAGATCACTACTAGCCCAGTACAGGTCATGATTCCACAGGATATTCCACGATCGGCACCAATCACAGTTTCACCTCAACAGATCTCATCCATGCCAATGAACAGAAACAGTAGGTCAAGTTTTGCGCAAAGGCTTCGACATTTCGGAAAATCATCCCAATCCAGTCTTGCACAATCGCCACCAATTACCGACCTCCACCGATTGTCCATTTCGCGGTCTACAACTTTGAACGACCCATCGGATGCCGATGTTTTTGGCGGCCGCGCTGAAGGAGTCCGAGGATTGAGTTCGCCCTCGGAAACTTCGACACATGGAAGAAGTCTTTCGATCAACGACGATGATTATATGACACCACCATCTATTGCCAGGCTAGAAAGGTCGAGCTCGAGTAGATCTATCGAGCCGACTTTCCTCGCTGTCTCTCAATTATGCCTGGAAAGAAAGTATGATAAAGCCGTCAAAGTTGCCATGGCTTTCCTGAACACTTATCAATCGCATGTCATGATCGTTCGAAAAGCAGAGATCGAGAAGAATATCCGCAAAGGCCTTGGAGGCGGTCTAGCAAGCACGGGCCGAGGCTACGGCGCCATTCACTACTTTTGTGAGCTTAAAGAAGAACATCCGGAGGAGGTAAATCTTCTGATCAAGCAAGGGGTTGATGTTAATGCCGTTGCATACCAAGCAGGCTATACTGCCGAAAGCCCAAAAGGGGCTTTTACACCACTACAACAGGCAGTAGAACGAGGCTACTCCACCATAACTAGTCTACTACTCGCGATCCCCGGTATCATGACAGATGTCAGAGATGGAGAAGGTTTGACTCCGTTGATGGTGGCGTGCCGAAAAGGCCACTACGATATCGTCAAACAATTATTGGTCTTCCCCCTTCCGTCAACGTTTCCACAGACATGGTACGGCAACTGTTTGATCCACGACGCCGCGCGGAGGTGTGATGCAGAACTGGTCGAAATGCTATTGGAAGTAACGCCAGATCTGGATTCTCGAGACCGGTTTGGGAAGACCGCATTAATGCATGCCATCATGAAGATTGACATCAGTGACCTTTTTGAGCGACGGAAGCGCAGCGTTGGACGCTTGAGGACCGTGCAGGTTCTTCTCGAGGCCGGGGCTGATCCAACATTACGAGATCATGTGTCTGGGATGTCAATACGAGACTATGCCATGAAGGAAACGGATGATGAATTAACGAATTTGTTGGACCGAGTGCCTAGGAGAGGTGTAAGTGAGCTTTTGGCCTGAGACACTATGCCTGATAGAGCAGCCGAGAATATTCCACCCATACGGCTTTCCATATCGTTGGATTTGTCTATGTTGCCGTTGGATAGTTCTATGTACCTTGCTCGCTGCTCGCTGCTCAGGCGAGGAGTTGGATGTACGAGTAGTCCGTATCTTAAGCGAATTAATAGAAGTGGGAAAATGATTTATTGGCAACTTTAGCATCGTTCTGTTGAATCTATTCTCTTGTCGATCATCAACCAAAACCTGAATGCCACATGCTGAATGGCAAAATTGCGCCACACACAGCCACACACCACATCACCCGCCACATATGACATCACCGGAATTGAAACTTGGCACGAGATAACGTGAAACGCGCAAGACTTTAAATGGTTCTATTCTCGTCTGCCTGCCTGCCATCCATAACCTCGTTCTACCACCATCTATTATTACAAGCGCCTGTCTGAACATACATTTCAACCCTCTCCATATTGCAACCGAACCAAGGCTTTCAATAAACAATAATCAAGATGTCGGACGGCGCGGCACCCGCACTACTCATCATCCTCATAACCATCCTGCGTAAGTGGCTCCAAGAAACCCTCACAGCGACAACCACGACCGCCACCAGCTGGGCGGCCGGTGCCTCACAGCTGCGCACAAGCACTTATGAACTCCCCACCACCTACCTGCCCAGTCTTTAGAGAGGAATAGAGACAAAACAACCATCGAAACTCGAAAGAAAAAAAGAACGTTCTGCTAATCACTTCTGCTTTACCCCTCACAGTTCCCCCGGTCGGTGTCTTCCTCGTGGCCGGTTGCGGCGCAGACCTATTCGTCAACATCGCGTTGACGCTGCTCGGATATATCCCGGGCCACATCCACGCCTTCTACGTCGAATATGTCTACTTTGACCGCCGCGATCGCGCCAGACATGGCCAACTGACCGGCGAGGCTGCGCCGGGCGTGTACTCTGATCGCGTGCAGAGTGGTGGGCATCAAGGATACGGCACTCTATAGGTCAAGACCATATGCATTGTTGCGGGGCATAAGGGTATGACGGTTTTCCGATGTCCTTGGTCCAGCCGTAAAGGACTGGAGAAGGGTCGTGTCATGAGGGAGTTTAAGGAGCAGTGAATGGCGGGCAAGCCAGGCGATGTCTATTCAGTTGAGCTCAGGGCGATTGCTCGGAATGAGCCCTTGGAATCGGATGAGCTCCGAAGGCGCGTGATGGAACCTTGAAGCGTGGGGAGTGTTCTATGGTCAACGCTCAACGGAAGTCTATACAAATCAGTGACAATATCAACTCTCAAACGCAAAGGACCAAAATCCACCGCATACTCAGGAATATTTATTCTCAGCGCACATGACTTCTTTCTTGCTTTTTATCTTTATCCAAGTGTAAACAAACCAAAAACGCAAAATAGAAGAGCAGCACAAGAAGTATATGAACAGTCTGTAGAGTAAACTCAAGCGTCGGATTCATAAAAGCTGTAAAACCAAGTCAGCAGTGAACGACATCGGGCGACACAGAATAACTTGAGTGTCACATGTGGACCGACGGAGCGGAATGCTGAGATGAGATGAGCACGGCGTACTTGTAGCTAAGCAGAGGCTCCCCAGGGAGGGAGGACGAGGCTTAGATCTAAGATAAGCAAAGCAATCACAAGGCAGTCCGCCCACGGCCCCTTTTTCGCGTCAGAGCAAGCCTGGAGTTCCGGGTACACATGTGAGCGTACGAGGGACCTAGGTAAGCGGAGTGGAGTACAAGGGATTGTGCTTACCCGTAGCACCTATGTTAGGTACCTAGGTACCTACCTAGTAGGTAACTGCCTTGGTAGGTAAAGAAATTCCCAGTCAGAGAACCCGTTGCCTTGTACCGTGACTTCGTACAGAGTTTTCTCAACATGGCCACGACAAGGCTCCACCAAGGACCGTCAAGCCCAGGTTTCAGGTTGATCGACATTCAACCAGCCAAAAGACTTCGTCCAAGCTTCCGCCCCCTTTAGGCGAGCACTTTAATGCTGGCACACCCTGGTGAGTGAATGCACAGTGTGTCTTTGTATCACCGCTAGAACCTTTCGTGTTGTACCTGCAAAGTCTAACACCAGAGGAAAGTGGCATTGTTGTTCAAGTCGTTGGCCTAAGTGCCTCGAAGTTCGAATCATTGACCTCCGACCCCGAGTCTAGTTACTCCTTAGTTTCACGTCCATTCTTCTCTCTTGTTCAATTTCATTCATCTCTGTGATTGTTCTTCGGTTCTTTCTCGTGGCGCGTTTTCCTCATGGCATGGATGTCGAATTTATGCCCTGATGTCTCACACCCAAGAGCCAGTCGAACTCATAAGTCCATACAGTTCTGCGTATCATACAACCCCATACAAATATGAGGGACTCTCGCACAAAAGTCGACCGTCTTTCACGTCACTAGGCTCACTTAACCGAAAGCGGGCTTCCACCGCTTACAATCCTATTCATGGGGCAGACGAGCCTGATCACATTCGCTTTTCGCAACACATTCCACAAAACATCCAACAATTCGCCGAGGATCGACTACAACCTACCAAAAAGGACTTATCGCCAGGACGCATTGGTAAATTCGGTGCGGACTTACTTATTGAAATATTACTCTGTTCTTTTACTGTACTTGTGACGGTACCTTTTCTATGGCTTGCTGTGGCCATGGCCAAATACCACCATGTGCAGGTGACCGACTCGAGGTCGAATTTCATAAAGCAGGCCACAGCGACCGCCTCCACGCTATTCACCATTCTGTTTGCCGCTGTACTAGGCTCGACTTTGAAGCGATTGGCAACATGGCGGCTGCAGAATGGAATTCGCCTCGGTCATCTAGAGCAGATCATGCAGAGCCGAACCGTCTTTGCTGCTCTAACAACCATGGTCGCCTTTCGCGCAGTCAACATCACGGCATTTGTCCTTTTCTTTACATGGGCATTTTCTCCCCTTGGATCTCAGGCGTCTTTGCGACTTATCGGTACAGGAACTCTTTACACGACAAACTCGTCCTTGGTTAGCCATGTTGACACGACGACAAATAACATTTTCGACTCTGTCTCAGGTGTTTCGTCCTTGATGACAGCACTGAAACCCAGTTACGTCAGTTCGGTACTTGGACCTTCAAGTCTCAAGGCCGGCTCCATGGATTTGTATGGAAATCCCAAGATTCCTTGGCTCCGAACCGATGTTGAGAAGGATGCAAACGGGTGGCAGGATCTTTCAAATGCCAACCTTACTGAGGGCTCCTACTCTTCGCTCGTTGGACTTCCCATTATCTCGTTAGCGAACCGCAATTCTAGCTTCGTGGTTGAGACCACATACATGAAATTGGACTGCGAGAAACCAAAGAACGAGACGCTGATCGAAATAGGGTTGAACATGACAGAGATCGCAAACGGTACCTTCTTCGGTCCCAACACTACAGCCTCCGCCGATGATACCGGAATTCCTCCATCTTGGCAAGTCGCTATGGACCAGTTTGTGAGCAACAACTATTTTTATGGTTACCCGGAACAACTGGTCAACAGCTCGGATGCCAACATCCCACAAGGCACATTGCTATGGCAGACTCCACATGGACCGTGGCAAGCTCGGTGTAAGATCAACCAGATTTACATTGAGTCAAATGTGAGCTGCTCTTCTGTAGAGGACGCACAAATTCCAAAGTGCGCTGTGCTGGCGCAGCGCGAGTCTCCCAAGAAACACGCACCCTCAACTGTTACCACTTTTAGCTTTGCCTCAACCTTTAGTTCGATGGCTCAACGATGGATCCTGGCGACCGATCCGTTGACAAGCTCAGGTTACTCCTCCCTCAGTGAATACTATCTGCAGAACACGACCGCACCGTTCATTTTAAGTGGCAATGGTAGAGATTATGCCGATTATTCCAACGTCACCGCTGAAGAATTTTCGCAACGGCTCGGCCAACTGGCCAACAGCTGGGTTCTTGGGAGCCAGGTGTCGGCAGACACGATGCAATATCTGTTGAATTATCAGAATCTCACGGCCTTTTATGTGGAAGGACATCCGGTTTATATCTGTTCGTGGGCGTGGCTGACCGTCTACTGCGTTGGAATAGCAGTCATGTTCACCGCCGCCCTGGTCAGCATTTACTGCGCGTTCAACACCACGATACCGGACATCCTGAGCTATTGCTCCACATTCACAAGAGACTCGAGATTTTTCGACACTGCCAAGGGAGGAAGTACCCTTGACGGGTTGGTGAGAGCCAAGATCTTGAAAGATGTGGAGGTTAGGCTGGGTGAAGTAGCCGATGAATCGGACCATAGTCTCTCAGGCAGAGATGGGTTCCAAAATGCGGTGCATGAAGGCCAAGGCACCAGGTATCTGGCGATTGCACCACCCGAATATTTACGACCACCAAAACGTGGTGTAATTTACGCTTGATCTCATGTCAACATACTTACGACTATACAATTAATAATTAGATGATTGTCACACTACGCATTAATTTTTTTAAACGTTGTCTTAATCGGTATACGGACCTCAGTTGTCGGATGGTCACTCCAGCCGAGAATACTGGGGTGTGCAAGTTCGGTAAAATGATCCGCACATCTATGGTTCTCACATCCGGAACCTGTCATGATCAGAAGATGATGAACAGCCTCATTATGATTCGCGGACTTCTCGAAATCCTTTTCCGCCTTCCCCTATCGATTGTCAATTAGAGAATGCTTGCTCCACCAAAGATGGAGGTGACTTCTTCTTTGAGAAGATCGCTGCATGGATGATGCTTTGTGTTGTTGACCGTGTATGGTATCAAGAATGCGGAGTGTACTCGTTCAGTCTCCTTCATCTACCACTGGACGGCAGTTGTTCCTGACGGGGAACAACATTACCATTGAGTCATGGCGGAATCAACGACCCGCACATAGACAGGCATGAAGCTCTTTTCCGGACTTGCTCAGAATGCTTCTTAAGAAGCTGTTGTGGTCTCTCGAAGGACAATTTGCACTGGAATTAGCTTTGATCGTTTATTGCAATCCCTCGACATTCAGAACTATTTCGCTAGATATAGTGAACCCAGCCGCAAGTGGATCCCATGAGCAACATCATGTCACACCCCATTCAAGCTATTCAAGAGGTCGCGGGCGCCGCCGGGGCTGACCCACGGCCTATGCAGAGAGCGACTGTTTTCCAGGGACTTAATGATGGCCCTGCTTCCCTAGCGGCAAAGATCACTGGTGTGTCATCTGCCAACAGACAACAAGATGATGCTCCTTATCACACCAACAACGACGGGATCCCATGGCCGGCCCCAGACCACAGCAAAACCATTGGCGGGATTCCCGTTGTGAGCGACATTTTCCTCATGCAGAAGCAGCAAGCCTTCAATCGCCACAAGTTGCTTGAAAGAATGGTCCATCCTTGTAAGTTCCACCAGTCCTCGAAAGCTTTCCAGTATTGAGCGTCATCAGGTGGAAGCGGTGCCTTTGGATACTTCGAGACAACTAAGGATGTTTCTCATTTGACCAAGGTAAGAAAAGCTCAAGCAACGAGCGAATGTCGACGTCCAAGATCATTTATAACGTCTGGAACAGGCGCATTTTCTCCGAAGCTCGGGTGTCAAGACACCTATTTTCCTCCGATACTCAACCGTCACCCTCGGACGAGAATTCCCGGATACGGCCAGAAACCCTCGAGGCTTTGCTATCAAGTTCTACACCGGCGAGGGAAACTACGACATCGTCGGTCTCAATTTCGTGAGTTCAAGAATCCCCTCTTTACCCACAGCTAAGTAGCATTGGTGTCGACCGATGGCTAACGAATAATCAGCCGGTCTTCTTCTGTCGTGATCCAATTCAGGGACCCGATGTCATACGCAGCCAAGGACGAAGACCAGATAACTTTCTCCTCGACTACAATGCGACCTTCGATTTGTTGGCCCATACTCCCGAGGCGTAAGTTTAGCATACGCCCCTGCATGGGTTCCGATACTGATGATCCTCATAGTAACCACGCTGGAATGATGTTCTTCAGTGACCATGGAACACCAGATGGCTGGCACTCCAATCATGGATATGGGTGCCATACCTTCAAATGGTAAGCGAAGACCTTGTCATCTTCAAATCACTCCTCCCCCAAGTCTGACTTGTCTCGTCGCAGGGTCAACAAAGAGGGCAAGTTCGTCTACATCAAGTACCATTTCCTGGCAGACAAGGGTCAGAAGCAGCTCACTCGTCAACAAGCCGTCGAGCTGGGTGGCATCAACCCGGACTATTCTAAGCAACAACTTTGGGAAGGTGTCGAGCGAGGTGACCCGATCACGTACACTGCGTGTGTGCAAGTCATGGAGCCTGAAGAGGCGGATCCATTGAAGTTGGGATTCGATCCTTTCGATGTGACTAAGGTCTGGCCCAGAGATCAGTTCCCGGTAGGTTGTCCCTTTCGCCTGATAGCTTCCGGAACTGTTACTGATATGCCATGCTCAACAGATGCAAGAATTCGGCAAACTTCATCTCAACAAGAACCCAGAGAACTACCACCGTGACGTCGACCAGGCCGCCTTCTCTCCAGGCTCCATGGTGCCCGGCATCGAGGACAGTCCGGACACTCTCCTCCAGTTCAGAATGTTCTTCTATCGCGACGCCCAGTACCACCGCCTCGGCACCACCAACTACCATCAAATCCCAGGTAAATAAGCTCCAAAGTCACACCGTCAAACCACGTGAAAACTAATTAACCCCAACCACACAGTAAACTGCCCATTCATGGCGTCATCAATGTCCAGCCTCAACTTCGACGGCACGGTGCGCATCGACGCCAACCACGGGGGCAACCCAGACTACGCGCCGAATTCGTACACGCCGATGAGCAAGTTCCGCCCGGACACGGCCAACGCACCATACCGGGTCGCGGACCCGATCGTGTCGCGCAAATCGCACTTCTTCCACGAGGGCAAGGACTCGGAGTACGACCAGCCGCGCGTGCTGTACGAGCGCGTCATGACCCAGTCCCAGCGCGACCACCTGCACAGCAACACCGCCGTTATGCTGGGCCACGTCAGCGACCCCAAGATCCAGGTCTTGTATCTGGCGCAGCAGTTCAAGATCAAGCCGAGCTATGCACGCGCCATCTATGATCTGTTGGCCGAGCAGAAGTTTGACTTCGGTGAGGTCGAGAAGGCAAGTGAGGGTGCTGAGAAGAGGACTCATACTCCCATGTTCATGTTTGGTAATGACCAGGAGCGCATGGTTGGCTTGCCGGCACCAGGGGTTTATAACATGTAAGGCGAGGAGGGATATGTATTGTACTAAGGGCTATTCGCCTCATTGTTACAAAGGTTTCACCGGCCAAAGCTACCCACGAGCCATGGTCTTCTTAATACCACGTACCTAGTCCGGCTGATGGTGGTTATATGGGGAGAAGCATTTCAATACCATCCGTTCAAGTACTGCCAGTCAACTCAAATGATCAAATCCTTCCACTACAAGATTACCGAATTCGATGTTAGATAATGTTAACATGGAATAACAGCCTGATTCCGAACAAACCCCTGTTCAATCAGTCCCATTGAAATCCATACCGAAACTCGCATTCGGCAAAGTCATACCAGAGTCGGCGAGCCACGCATCCCACTGTGACCAGTTGACTCCTTGTCCGGCATTATTTGGATCCTGATAGTCTTGATCTGGAGCAAATATGTAGTCCATACTCATCATCATCATCGTAGGATCGTCGAAGTGGGTTGGCATTCTGTCCTCGTGACCACCGCCGTACCAGAAGGTGTCACTGTCATTAGCCATCTCGTTCACCTGCTCTAATTGGTAGTTTGGCTGTAGTGATGGATGCTGTTGAGTCACGGGTGGTTGAGCGTGGGATGTGTCGTTGGCGTTCACGGTCGGAATTGCGTTTTCCAGATTCGGAGGTTCATGCACGACGTTCGGACCTGGATTGCTTCTTTTCCTATCGTTTGATCCCCGCTTACTTTTCGCTGCCTCTCGGTGATGGCGAAGTTCCATGATAAAATGTGGTGCAGCAGGTGGGTTACCACCATCCTTGGCAAGGGCGGCCTCCCGAGCAATGAAAGCCTTCAGACAAAGGTTGCCAACTGCAACATATATTGGCCTCTTAATGTTCGAGATCCAGGTTGGATTATTCTCATAAGTGGCTTCTACAAGTTGCCACGCGTGATCTGCACCCTTCATTGTAGGCTTCGCACGCAGCGTGTCGAGTACATGAATGAAAGCATGCCATTGTGTGTAGTAAGATGCGTACCACGAAAACCCCTTCAGTCGCCGGTCCGATTGCATCATATCGTGAATATTGAGAAGTTTGATGCTCAAATCCCACACATAATCTTGCTCTGATTGCGGTATCGCTTCAAGCGTGACCCACCGCCGAGGATGATGGGAAACGAAATGTCCAACATGGATCGCCGACCGAGCAAAGAGTAACGTCATCAGCTGCAACGGCTGTGAAGGATCACAATATCGAAGGTATTTCAAATCGAATATCTCTTTGAGGCTCTGGACGGCGGCATCTTTTTCCTCAGCGTCTCTTGCAGGTATGTAGTCGTTCCACAAGCCAATATTGCCATTGTTAACCATAAACTTTTGAGCATGGGCAGCGGCGAAATTCCCGAGCTCAGAACGCAGAACGCAGAAGACCATATCCGTCGGTTCGTTGGAATCTACCAACGGAATCGTCATCCCAGGATGGAACTCGTCGTCGTTCATATTGGTTAGTGTCTTTGGCGGGTTGATTCCTGCTGACATTCCCTGAAATTTCTTGACACCAGCAAGCTCAGCCGTTCGGAAATCGTGCATCTTAACTTGCCACCATATCCGTCGTCGAATTTCTGTCTCGAATGGCGGTAGCCCAAGTGATGTTCCATCGCACTGCAGACCCATCCCTTCAGCAATCCTGATAGCGACCCCGGTCAGTACCCATATCAACCGCGGCTCATATATTTCCCGCACTGCCATGAGGTAGAGTACCAGAGCTTGTAAGACAACGATATTGCTGGTATTCATGAATCGAACTCGTGACAAGGCTGTTCTTGTGGCAGAGCTATAGACCCCCAGGAGTGATTTGCGAGACTGACCAAGCTGTCTTCGACAATCGGTGTCCTTCAGTGACATAACAGCCGCGGTGTAGATCGCGAAGAGGAGTGCCTCAAAAGCCTTTGGTACACTGTTGACGTCTCTAGAGGCTTTGATGATAGCAGGTTCTATCGTGTGGACATGGACAACCTTTGTGAGGGGATCAACATTATCAACAAAAATCTGCCACAGTTGGACTAGGCGTTCAGGATCTGGATGTGGCAACGGATTACTTAGATTTGTCGGTACTGTCCCTAGCACAAATGCGCAGTCGTCTTCTGAGTCTTCCTCATAGTCTTCCTCAGAAGTAGACTTTTCTTCACGAGCTTGGTCGAAATCGTGGATCTAGTGTTATACCGGTTAGCATCGAAGAGTAACGCCTTTCATAAGGGGTGACGTTAGCATACCTCCTCCACAACGCGTGACCATAAGCTACTGCTAAAGTGTCAGCAGAGAACCATGCCGATGACCCAATGCACGCTTACTTATCAACAAATCTGAATTGTCCCGTGTCCGCCTTCCGTACAAGTTGTGTTGTAGTCATAGACCTTAAATTTTCAGTGCCAACTGATGCAGGTGTCAGAGGCTGGGCATCTCCAGTTGTAGTGGAAGGTACCACCGAAGTGGATTTTTGATAATCAGGACCAAGGATGTCCTGAAGCGCTTCTGACTGGCTGATACCTTGCCTTCTAAGTGCGGCTTCGAGAAGCATGAGGCGTTCTTGCGGATCATGCTCCCTGTATCTGGCTTTCCTGGGACGTCTAGCTTCGGGGGAGATACACGCGACTTTGCGCTTGATGCAATTACTGCACGGGCGTTGGCGATCGCATTTGACTTTCCGACCCGAGCAACCGACACAGGACCTCACTGGCGTGCCCCCGGAAGATAATGGCACCTTATCCATGATGTGATATATTCCCGAGTACACATGCGACGTCGGCTAAATCATGCGCGAAAAACCACGGAAAATGGCGAAGGTCGGACTGAAAACAAATTCGGCGGGCTTTGGCCATCTTTACCAATGTTCCGCCTGAGGACAGCACCAACCTCGAGTCCGAGTCGATGACATATGCACATTTCAGCCTGTGTGAGTGCCTAATCTTGGGGTTTCATTGAGGATGTTGAAGTTGACGTCGTCGGAAGTTTAAGAACCGTTGTCGGGTTCCGAAATTAGAGACGTTTCGCATCACGAGGCCCCCTTGATTAAATAGTCTCAGTGCCCATCATCGACCGACATTGAGTGGCTCAGAGCATCCATCGCTAACCCATTGAAGGTGATCTTCAACAGCAGCGGAGAAATGAGCTCTGGGTGCAAAATGCGACTATTGGAAAAGCGCGAGTCTTTGATCATTTTTCCAGCTCGAGATTTCGGAGTGGGCCAGGCTTCATCATCTCCTTCATCAGTTACTTGATTATCCCTATCTCTATTGGCGGATGTCACAAGCAATCATCACACAACTCAGAATGGAGAGATTTCGCACAGAGGCCATAGTCCAGGAAAGCGTGGAACAATGTTTGCACTGGAATATAAAACCTGGAGATCGCTATTCCATCGATGGCACGATGCTGCTACTACAGCCTGTAGAGAACAACTCAGGCTACCTCAGATCTTGATCATTCGAGACCATGTCACAGGCTCGCCCCAGTCAAGAACATGGTGACAACCCCGAAACCCAACCAGGAGCCCCTCACCTAGAAAGTCAACTCGATAACGAAAAGACCGATGACAACAATGAGCTCCCAGACACAACGGCGGCGTATCCCCCAACACGCAGGACCATTGCCATCATGATTCCACTTTTCCTAACCTCTTTCCTCATTGCTTTGGACCGCCTCATCATTGGAGTCGCTGTGCCCAGCATCACCGACCAATTTCATTCTTTGGGGGACGTCGGCTGGTACGGTTCAGCTTACCTCTTGACTTCATGCTCATTCATGATGGTCGGTGGCAAGTTATACACGCTATTCAATCCAAAATGGGTATATCTTGCATCCCTTATCGTCTTTGAACTCGGTTCAGCAGTATGCGGCGGAGCCCCAAATTCGAAATCATTAATCGTCGGTCGTGCAATTGCAGGTTTGGGCCAGGCTTGTCTTTTGCAGGGTGCCATCATCATAATCGTTTACGTTGTTCCACTGCATAAGCGGCCTCAGCTCATGGGACTGATTGGCATGGTCTTTGGGATCGCCTGCGCAATTGGACCACTGGTTGGAGGGGCCTTCACTTCTGGTCCGGGGTGGCGGTGGTGCTTTTGGATTAATCTTCCTTGCGGCGGAATCGTCTTTGCTCTGTTGATCCTCTTTCTGCAGATACCATCAAAGATGCTTGAGCGGAAGCCAGAAACGTACAGAGAGAAAGTAAAGCGAATCGATCTTCTGGGAGCGACGTTCTTGCCCTCTTCTGTGGTCTGCTTACTTCTGGCACTTCAGTGGGGAGGCTTGGAGTATAGCTGGTCGAATTTCCGTGTCGTTATTCCCCTGGTCTTCTCTGGACTCCTGTTCATCATGTTCACCATCGTCCAGAAGTGGAGAGGAGATGCAGCTCTGCTTCCTAGCCATATTTTCCGGAACCGTACCGTTCTTGCTGGGGCTTGGTTCTCCTTCTTCAGTGGTGCAACTCTGCAAACGTTGCTGTTTTATTTGCCAATCTGGTTCCAAGCCATCAAAGGATCCTCCCCGATCAGATCCGGAATTCTAATCTTGCCAATGGTGATTGGGATAGTCGTTTCGTCACTTTCCACTGGGATCCTGACGAAAAAACTCGGATACTATACTCAATGGTTGATACTGTCATCGGTGTTGACTCCGATCGGTGCGGGCTTGATCTCAACAATCACACCCTCCACCCCGGGAGGTACACTGATTGGATACCAGGCTCTCGCGGGTCTGGGAATCGGTTTTGGAGCACAGCAGCCCTCGGTCGCAGCCCAGACCGCGCTTCCGCGCAAGGACGTCGCTATCGGCGCATCACTGATGATGTTCTGCCAAGTCCTCGGGGGCGCGGTCTTCATCTGTGTCGGCAACAACATCTTCCAGTCGGCGCTCGTGAGCAACTTGGCAAGTGTAGCTGGCATCGATCTCATTTCCGTGGCAAAGGTGGGCGCCACGGATCTGAGGGATATGGTACCGGCCGAGCTACTGCCGAACGTTCTCGTCGCATACAATGCTGCGTTGCGAGATTTGTTTTACCTCGTGACCGGTCTGGCGTGTGTAATGATCTTCGGCGCGTTGGCTGTGGAATGGAAGAGCGTCAAGGATAAAAGTAAGCGCCAGACACAGAAGAAAGACCCGCAAGCTCTCGCTGATGCAGATGGCACCGAGGCAGCGGGCGAGAAGGCGTGAGTGAGGTGAAATACTATGCGGAGACGAAGATTTCGGTAGCATTGAGCCATTTTGTGGAGTTCGAACTGGGAGGTTGCTTGTTGCGTGAGATCATGTATAGAACCGCGGTACTCCACTCTATCCCATACTTTGCACTGTCGCCTGTATACTAGGGTCATTAGCTACGATGTAGATGCCAAAAAAAGTTGCTTCGAGACAGTAGATTGCCTCGCTCTCGCGGCAAAGAAAACCAAGAATGGGGAAAGAAAACTATCAGGTAAAACTTCTTTTGATTCTAAGAATATTTATACTGACGCTATGTGATTGCGAAGTTATACTCTGAAAGTTCTTCTGCTTCGTCATCTGCAGCAAAAGGCGCGGAGACGTGCCATCAACGAGTGTCAATTGACTGAGTGTCGGCTTTCAGCTCGGCTCTGGTTAACGTAGCTGAAGTAAGCAAACGAGTAGAAGTGGATTCTAATCCTTGATCGTGGGGTTCAGCTCATCATTTCAAGGTGTTGATTTAATGTCTGGTCGAAGCTCGGTGACCGCGTTAGAAAGTCCAGTTCTCGTCAACAGATTGGATTGCCCACTCGAACTTCTCACGCAGAGTCTTGGAGAAGAATCGCTCGAGTGGTACGTTGAACTTCTTGGAAAAGACCACTGTGAGGCGGGGATCAATGTAGTTCTGGAAGATACCATATTAGTAATGTTTCAAGCATTGAAATGTTTGTTGATCGGACTCACGATTTTGGAAGTGCCCAGGGCCACCTCTTTATTGTTCTCCTTGTCTTCAGCTTGCAGAGACATGGTAGCAATTCGGGCATCAAACTTCTTCACATTTTCATCCAGCTTCTCAATCGATGGAGATTTGCCCTCCGCTTCGATCTTCTTCGTCTTGTTCTCCTTCTTGAACTTCTTTTCAAGATCTTTGGCAGCATCAAGACGTTCTTCGAGTTCCTTGTGCTTCATCTCCTTCTCACCTTCTGCTTTGAGTTTCTCGTTCTCCTTCTCAAATTTCTTGGTAATCTTCGTTCTCTGTTCTTCGACCAAATAGGCTTGATGCTCCAGGATCCAAGCTTCATCAATGTCGTCTGGAAGTTGAAAATATTCTGCTCCCTTCTTCTTCTTGATTTTGGGATCAACATCAATCATCATCTGTTTGACACGCCATTGCTGATATTTGAGGCCCTTCAATCTGTCTCCGAGTTTCTCCATTTGATTTGCATGTCCCGCCGCTACTGTGCGTTTGTGGTTGCAGAGAATGGCAACCTTTCGATTGGCGTCATTGTAGTCCTTGATCTTCTCGGCAATTGTTCCTTCAGATTTCATCTCGGTCAAAAGCCGGGACATGGTGAAGGAGGCATTATAAGTACGGAAGACTTTAGCAGTGAGGCCAGGCATGTAGTTCTTCAGGTGATTGTTCAGCTGGGTAGTAGTTAGTCGATCAAAGATGTCGTCACCTTCGCTCTTTGGGGCCTTCTTGAATATCTTGAGATTCTTGAAGACTTGTGGATCGACTTCAAACTCTTCGTGAAATCGAATACTGTCTTTACCCAAAAAGTCGAAAATGACAGTAGCTGGTGCTCGTAACGTGATATGCTCGAATTTCAACGAACAACATCCCACGGTATCGGCCTCATCTTCCCCTTTCTCATTACCAGCACGAAGAGCGAATTGATCAATCAGATACATAGCTGTAGCCTTTTGTCGATCGGCCATCAACTCGGATTTGAGATCCTTCCTGTAGTCCTTTCGAATGCGGTCAATGTGTTTCTTGAGTTCGCGAGCTTTCTCAAATTTTTTGTAGTCGCTCTGGCCTTTGATGTCGGAATTGGCTGCAAGCATGACATATTTATAGTTGCCGTTGATGTTTTCTTGCCACATGACCAGCCAGGTTCCCGTCTTGTCGTGCTTGATCTCTTTCCACTTATGGCCTTCTGGTGGAGGTGGAACTGTGGCTTCCTTTCCAATATTGATCGTGATCTGTTCAGGCTGAACCCGGGTTTTGACACGGCCAGTCTTGGGATGGTCACCACGTCCACGAAACAATCCTGGAGGTTCAACACGAAAGTTGCCGACTTTCTGCTTCTTACCATCCCAGATGCAGTACATGTATTGAGCTTCTGCTTCGTCTTTTTCGGCCTTGAGCGCTTTCCTCTCGGCGGCTGGTAAAAGTTTTTTGGCAGCTCTTTGAGCGTCGTAGTGCTCAAAGATGGGTCGAAAGTCACATTTGGAGAACTCTTTGATCTGGACCTTTTCTCCATTTCGATCAGTCGCTCCACCAGTCTTCTTCAGGATATCTTTGAAATCATCGAAGAAGTTCTTCTGGAATGTGGGGTTCTCCACATTGTGGGTGGAATTGAGCATGCTGCCGAAGAAGCCTGCGACTTCTTCTGCATCTGGGTGGAGCTTGACAGGAACGCCATCGTACTTAAGTCGGACATTCTTGGGAAGAGGCTCATAAGGAGGAGGGAAGACAACACCATAGTGCTGGAGAGTTTCCCACTTGTTCGTGCCATCGCCTTTAGTTGGATCCTCCCACCATTTCACCTCTTCTTCTTCATCCTGATCGTCTGGATCGGCAGATTCCTCCTTTTTCGTAGCCTTTGGTTTCTTTGCAGGGGCTGAGGATGCGACTTTAGCCTTCTTGGAGGTTGCAGCAGGGGCTCGTTTCGCAAGAGGCTTATCATCATCGCTTGACTCGGACTTCTTGATCTTTTTTGGTGGTGGTGCGACCTTCTTCGACGGCTTGGTTGCCTCTTTCTTCTCATCCTTTCTGATTTGTTTGGCCTCGTTCTCAGCTGCCTTTTCAATCTTTTGTTTCTGTTTGACCAGTTTTTGGTTTAGTGGTACATCTGAATCAGATGTTTCGCCAATCTGTGCTGCACTAGCTCTAGGAGGTCTGCTGACTATCGTTCCATTTGGCTTTGCCTTGGAGACCAGAGGTGCATCATCAGAGTCCGAATCGATAGCTGTTGAAACTTTTCTTTTTTTGATCTGTTACGAACAAATGTAAGTAGGGAGTCTTGAACAGGACGATATTGGGGTCTGTTACCAATGGCTGGTCATCATCGCTGCTTTCAGCATCAGCATACGATGGTCTTGCAAGACTTTCGCGAACTTTGCGCTTTGCTGCTCCATTGGTGAGGCTGCCATTAACATCGGTCATTTTGGTGTCGTCCTTCTCCTCGACAATGCCATTAGCCATGGAGATGCCGGGTAGCACCGTACCATTGGTAGGAATTTGTCGATCCATGGTCGCGTCGAGTTTGGAAGGAATCTTGGCGGAGGACAACGGTGAGGGAGCTATGACAATGTGGAGTTAGATAAGTGAATCATCAAAAACATTAACAGCCGAGTTTATTTGTCTTTGGTGTGCGGGTAGGGATGTCTCAGCCATACCTGTAGGTTTGCCGTTGGGTCTCCTTGACCCAGCAAGAGGCATGTCATCGTCTGAAGACATGATGCGCGTACCACTCAGGGAAGTGAGTGCTCTGGCGCGAATGGGGAGCAGGTGTTTTGAAGGTGAAGTTCGTAGAAACGTCCAGACGGTAACGCGGCACGGAATGTTGGCGAATTCGTCGCAGGAGAGTGGGAGGTTGTGAAGGTTTTGTGGGTGAGGGTGAAGTAAAGGGTCGCGAGAAGAATGAGCAAGGGTGCAGACAAAGGAAAAAAGAAGAGATTCGGAAAGGGTGCTGTAAAGAATTAAGAGAAGGAGGAGGAAGAAGAAAGGCTTTTTGAAGGAGGAAGGCGAGGGTGAAGAGGGTCAAAGTTCAAGAGACTCTGAGCCTGAGTGCCTGGTGAGAGAGGCCCACCTCGGTGGCAGACTGCTAATGAGGTTCAAGTGCAGTCAGTCTGCGATTGAGTCCTGAGTTCCGATGGATCGGGCGGTCCCTTTGCTATGCTTGTACCGAACAGGACAATCAAGTAATGCAATTGTACGGCGAAACAGAGGGTGAAATGAGTTGCCGTGAAGCCCGGGTATCAACAATAGCGACCCTGAGCATGAATGAGGCACCTAACCAGCGCGAGTCGGTCTCTGTGCGTTACCCTTCCATTTGGGGTTCGAGGGGCGTTGGGACTAACCTCGAACGCGGTGCACACAGATTCTTAGCCGTTCTGTGCTTTGGCTTCCCACATTAGGCAAAGACACCCATTGTTCCCTCCGTTGAGATGATTACCGTGTGTTGATCGCTCTGTGCATATCTCAATTGATGTTTGAACAGCGCAGGAGATAAACATTGTCAAGAACTCGTTCCTACCCAGAGAGACCAACTCTCCTATAGCCACGTGATATAGAGTCACATGACAGTGAGTGAAGTTCTGGGCGGCCGTAGTCTATTCTAGGTCTAGCGTCTTTGCAGCTCCCTCCGGTCGGCAGCACCTCCAATCTGCATAGTTGCAACAAGAATCTTGAACCACCTTTCAGACTCTCCTCTCCAGCTTTCATCTCCTTCTAGTATTGCTCATTCACGGTCTCGTGGTCAGCAAGTCTACGTACAATGCTGTCCAGAGCTGTGAGACCCGCCTTTGCGGCTGGCAACTTGGCCGTTGTCAGGTAAGACTACTTCCGACCTCCCTGCAGAGAGCTCTTCTCCTGGCAATTATCTTTGAACTCGACATAACTGACTTCGTTGGATAGATCTGCCGTCCCTCAAGTCGCCGGATATGCCACTCTCCGTGAAATCGAGGGTACGAACCACCCGTCTCCTGGAATACAAGATCATCAAAACTAATTTGGATCAGGTCGCCTCAAGTCCATTCGCAACATCGAAAAAATCACAAAGACCATGAAAATCGTCGCCTCCACTAAGTTGACCCGTGCACAGCGAGCAATGACCGAATCGCGAGCATACGGCCAAACCTCCAACCAGGTCTTTGAGGAAGCCGAGACCAAGCCCTTGGAAGAGAAGAAAACCCTTTTGGTGGTTGCCAGCTCCGACAAAGGCCTTTGCGGTGGTATTCATTCCGGCATGTCTCGAGCTGCACGAAGGATGCTTGAGGCAGACCCCAACCTCGATCTTGCCATCGTCGGTGACAAATGCAAAGCTCAACTTGGTCGATCCAACGCCAAAAATGTCCAGCTGAGTTTCGTCGGTATTGGAAAGGATGTCCCTACATTTGCCGATGCGCAGGCTATTGCAGACCAACTGGTACTTTTGCCAGAAGACTATGCCAGCATCAAGATCCTATACAACAAGTTTATCAATGCTCAGAGCTATGAACCCACGGTGATTGAGGCCTTCTCCGAGGAAGCCATTACCCAATCGCCAAACTACGCTGCTTTCGAGATTGATGATGAAGTTCTAGCCAATCTTAGGGAATACTCTCTTGCCAACTCTCTTTACTGGGCACTTGCTGAAGGTCACGCTTGCGAACAATCTGCCAGGAGAAATGCTATGGATGTAAGTGACCGTTGATACTTGTGCATCTCGGGACTTTTGCTTAAATACTAACTTGTCAACACAGAACGCATCCAAGAACGCTGGTGACATGATCAGTCGTTTCACCATCCTGTACAACAGAACTCGACAAGCAGTCATTACCGGAGAATTGGTGGAAATTATTACTGGTGCTACCGCTTCCGAGGACATGTAAGCTGGAGTTGCTTCTTTTTAGTGTTGTTAGAAGAATGAAAGAAAAAGCCAAAGTTGTACATAAGACAACAACACAGTTCTATTTTACTTCCATCCAATGTCTTCTGGTCTAGCCACTTTTGAGGATTCAGCGCTATCGTGCAACGCCTTTGTGGTCATTATATCACACCATTTTAGCCCTCAACAATTGGTGGTGTTTGTCATCTTGCTTGCTGCTGACCTAGATTTGTGTGTTGGTGAGCATTCCGATAACGATCCCTACACTAGTATTTTATTCTAGTTGTCTAGTTTCTTTGGGCTCAAAGCAAGTTATGGTGTTATGCGTAAAGGATGAAGGTACATCAGTCCCCTGTCACAGCCTCATCTTCATTGCTACGCTCCTACAGAAAGTGCGCGAACCGATCTGAGTCACGAAAGAACAAAGCGCAAAAGAAATATTTATACAACCAAGAATGAAATCGTGGCCGACGTCTGGACAGTGGCCTCCGTTTTACACGTTAATGTTCTTTCTTACATCGAACGGAAATGAAAAAGGTACTGTTTGTTTAGCATCAAACCATGAGAGGCTCGGCGTGAATTACTCCTAAAACAGACCATAATGCAGCAGATATCTAAGAGAGAATTGCAAGTACACGCCAGAGAAAATCTGCAGCTTGTAGATCTATGTCTACGAACTCGCGGGAGCTTGCGGGAGCTCGCGGGAGCTCGCGGCCTCAGTCAATGGTGAGGTCCACGAGGCTGTCACTGCTATCGACCACTGTCATTTGGGAGACGAACATTAGCATTCACAAAGCAGTGCTGAACGCCACAGCAAGGCAGTCTGAAAGGTCTCTCCATTTCAACTAAACTTCAGTCCTTCATCCTGAATCCGCTGACACCGCTCTATCATCTCTCGCCCTCAAGCAGCCGAACCTGACGAATTGCATCAAACGGCAAGCGCTCAGACACGACTCCTCCACCCCACAAATACGACCAGTATCGCATGCATGCCACGCTTCTTTCCTCATCAATCAAAGGGCAGCCATGCTTCCACGTTACATTGGCTGGACCAAACTTACGATTCTCAAAGTTTTTACAACAATTACAATTCGATCTTTGCGCCGCAGACCATCAGTCCTAATAGCCAGATCCATGAAATCGACGATGAGGAGCATGGGCATACCTCGGAAAACAGCTTGAGTGGCATCAAGATATACGGCGTTGACGGAGGCTCTCTTGTGAACTTCAGGCTTCTCGATGATGAGATGATCGACAACTCCCCAGACTTTGTGGAAGGCGTGACATCAACGACACGAATGAAGAACCTTGCGACACTTGTATTCGTCTCCACCATCTTCTTGACGATATTACTCAACATCGACAGGACCTTGAACACCATGTTAATCGTCTTGTTGTTTGCCCCCTATCCTCCTCCACTACGCCACTTCCGATTCATCCTTCTGATACCATTGCTGGCTCATGATTCGGTTGAGATCAAAGCCAAGTCGGAGTTTGTGCTCATCTTCTCAACTATCAGCGCCTTGAGCCTCTTGGAGTGGAGCTCTGTCAGCAATGCCTCTAGTCACAGCATCAGTCATGAAGCCGTCGCTCCACTCCACCACTCAGGAAGTTCCGACATGCATGAAAATAGAAATAAGGTGATGCAGGACATGCCAGGACACATCTACGGTGCGTACTGAAAGCGAGGGGTTGCAAATACTCCCTTGCTTTTTACGCTGAGCTCAGCATCCTCATTATCGCAGGGACAAACTTCTATACATCAATACTCCTTTCTTTCACACGTGTACAATGCTCAGACAGAGCACCAAAAATGGCAAAGCCAAACGCTCTCCCATAAATTACTCTCATCCTTACGTCTGTCAGGTCGTTCACACCACGGTATTCTGGCAATGCCTCGAGTAGCCCCTGGATCCATTTCCCCATCCGCCTGCAATCCTTGCCTATGACTCGAAGCCGCATCTGAGCGTCCTCTCTCTCCAATCATTTCCTCCGAGCGGCTTCAGTAAATCAGGCAATACGGCAGTGATGGGTAGGAGGACTTTCATCCGAACCTTATCTAAATCTAACATCCATGTTACGCTCCGATTCAGCCCCATGGCAACTCGGACATCACGATTTGTTCCATGCTCATGCTCGGCCAGGTTATGAGATAGAAGATATGAACGCCCGGTAGTATTGAGATAAAGTATCAAGCTCCTCAAGCACCCACAACCCAACCAGGAAGAACGACACGTCTTGTCTCTGTTATCTTAAGCCGTTGATATGCGTCTAATAGTGCATTTTATGGTTGTAAACGACGAAGACTATCAAAATGAAGACGTGGGTCGGGGGAGGGGAGGAGGAGGATGTGGGGAAGGAGCGTTACAGAAGCAGGTCCAGACAGCTAGTAGTATTCGTGGTTTGGGTTTCGGGAGATCTCGAGTAGTTTGCAATTGATTCATTCCACTCTTTGAGTCTTGGAAGTTGGACATCAAGCTCTACCGCACGAGATCTGCCACGCACGACTTCTGGAAAGCTGATGCCTAGGAGCTTGCGCAGTTTCAAAAGTAGAGAGACCATTCTTCAGTATATCTGGGCGACTACATGAACATCTGAGCCCCAAGGCACCTCTGGCCTTCTTGCGCGCTTTTGTCATGATCGTCTTGACAAGCCATTGCTACCAAACGGTGGTATTATATTCATCATCGATTGTGGAAGGATAGTCGTATATACTCGCTTGTTGTGCATCGCCAAGCTGGGTACCAGGAAGCGGTACCTGGCCGTCCTCTGGCAATACCTGTTGTTGTGTATAGTCATCGTAGTACTGATCTGTGCTTTCTGGATCTAGCTCCCCTGTCATGGGCTCATCTTCCGGATAAAACTGCTGTGCGTGTTCTAGCTCTTGTTCTTCTGGGAAAGTTCCATACCCATAGTAAAGCTGCTGTGTACTCTGGAGGTCTTCTCTTGGGAACGATGTTCCATCCTCAGAGTAGTATTGTTGTGCGGTTCCCAGCTCTTGTTCATCTGTGAAGCCTTCGTCTTCAGGGTAGATTTGCTGTGCGCTTTCAAGTTCCTGTTCTTCTGAGTAGGGGTCTTCTTCTGGATTGGGATAGTCTTCTGAGTAAAGGTCTTCTTCTGCTGGAAAAGCCTCCCCTTCTGGGAAGGTGTTGGTGTCCTTAGGATCTTGTTGCTGCTGAGGCCCTGGTTGGTGCATCTGATACATATCGAGAACTTGATTACTTATCGTGAGACCTTGTTCAACTTGTGCTTGTCTTTCTCCCTGCCTGCGACGGTGTGTTTTAGTGAAGGTGTCAAGAGCTGAATAATGATAGAGGGGCAATTACCTTGCTTGTTGAGCCTGTTGAGCCTCCTCAGCTGCCCTTGCATCCGCCGCTTTCTTCTCCTCGGCCCCCTTTGCCTTAGCCTCATCGGCAGTTTTCTTTTCCTCAGCCGCTCTGGCATCATCGGCAATTTTCTTTTCTTCGGCAACTTTGGCATCAGCAGCAACTTTCTTCTCTGCGGCCGCTTTTGCATCGTCCGCAGCTTTTTTGGCGTCTGCCGCTTTCTTCGCATCATCTCCTTTACTCAACTGGTCCCTCACTGCAGCGGCACCAGCTCCAACACTTGAACTTCCACCGCCTTTCCCTACACCTTTCCCGAGTCTCCCACCTAGCTTTAGCAAGCTAGACATCTGATTCTGAAGATGACTCCGAGGTAGAAGGGTTCAGGAAAACATTCACCATCAGTTGTGAAGAAAAGAAAGGTATGAGGGTGTGGATGACGGGGATTATTTGGTTGTGCTAACGAGGGTATATAGCAACAGCCATGGATAGGCTCTCCATCTTGGACCCAGGAGAAACGAAGGCGACCTCGGTACACATTGGATGCTCTGGTGGCGGATCTTCTTCGTCAACATGATTCCAATTAAGCATACTGACAGCAGCCAGAAATACCACACGGTCAACCACACTCCAATTAGACTGTATTGATGGCCTGAGGACCGAAGGCGGTGCAAGACTCGCGACCTGCAAAGTTGGACGCCGAACGCAGGCATGCCTACAACTCAAGTAGGATTCGAGGCTGGCAGTGGGGTCCACTTTGCCCGGATTCAGCAGCATTTATTGACCATAAATATGAATTCAGATATAGAGGCCCTCGTTCCTGAGTATGAAGTGCTTGAAAATAGTAACAGTAGATGATAGCCGCCAAGATAGCCACAAGTGTAACCTCAAGATATGGAATAGGGGTACTCATTTTGTGTCTGTTATTCTCGGACGGCTGGAATTACCAGGTCGTGCGAATGTTCATTCATCTTACCTATATGTGCCTGTATTGCCTCTTTGTTGATGTAGACCCCTGATATAGGCTTATCGGGTGTCTCCGAGATTGATCAGTAACATTGCGCTCCCGGGTTTCTCGTGCTGAAAGCTGCTAGAAATTAGACCACTCGAGTGTGACTCTTCTTATGCGGATAACAGAGAATAAGTGGGGGATGTACTAAGTTCAGTTGGACCATCAAGAGCATCACGTTGATAGTGCTCCATTATTATACAGAACTAAACTATGGGCCTAGGACAGCAATCATAGAGTACGAGGTACTGAGATGCGAGATCATATCATGACAGGATGACTGGAAGCCTAAGGAGTATGAGGAGGAGTAAGATATGCTCCCCCCCGCCACTTCAAGTTGGTCCAACGAAGGCGCGGCGCGGGGAGAGTCGCGTCTTTCTCAAAGTGGAAAGTTTAGCGAAAAGTCGTCAGCCAAGTTCCCCAGACGCATACAACTGAGGTGTTTGGAAAGAGTTGTAAACACGGACACCGCCAGGTACGTTGCCATTGCTACCTAGGTAGTATATCCACCACGACATTCAATCCTCGTACCTCGTCCAACATTACGCTGTCTACCTCAGGTACTATGGCCTACGTTCCAGGTCTGACGCTACCGGCGTCAATCTTCTCAAACACTCCAATCTCTATCCTGCTCCCCTTGGGTTTGGGTCTTGGGTCGGGCTTAGTATCACAGCCAGGAAGATTGAGGCCCAAAAAGCTTTCCGACAAAGCTGCAAAAGAGCGAGGAACGTTCCGCAGCACAGAAGAACAATATCTTGCACTGAGACAGCCTCCTTTCAGACCACCTCCGTGGGTTTTCGCTCCTGCCTGGACCACATTATATCTCTTGATGGGATATGCTGCCAATCGAGCTTGGACCACCGGAATGGCTAGTTTGAATCCGACTGTGGTAGAGAACACTCGAAGGGGTGCAACCTTATATACTATCCAGCTAGGATTGAACATCATATGGATGCCGCTATTCTTTGGGATGGGAAGACCTATTGAAGCATTATTGGACATCGTGGCCTTGACAGGCTCAGTCGGCTACCTGTCTTTTATTTGGAGCAAGGTCGATCAGACAGCAGCTTATTGTTTGGTACCATACATTACCTGGCTCGGCTTTGCTACCTATTTGACTGCTGGCACCGGATATCTGAATGGATGGACCATCAAGGGGAATGAGGAGACTCAAGAACAGGTGACCAAAAAGGAGTTATGATGAAGACACGACACCATTGTCGAATAAAGACCCATGTCAAGCATGGGACGCGACTTGTTTTTGCCACAGCACTTTTGGTTCTAGTTGATGAACTAGCTCCTTTCAGATGTTATCCAAATAAGTCCTCTGTTTCAAGCATCGCAAGGTGTGAGCAGAATCGTGCACGAGAAGTCTATCACCAATCAGAAGGGTGTGTAGTGGAAATGCCGTCAGATAGATAGCTAGCAGAACTCGCTTGGACGAGAATGTCGACCGAGTACACTCTGACATATGGTGTCGGTCGTTGTTGATGGCTGTTGCCTAGGTGCAAAGCAAGAACCCCTGCTGTCCCTGCATGAAAGTACGGGCGGGCGATTGGTGTAGATAGAATCTCGGTACACAAAAGGGTCGACGAGTCTACAAATAACAATACATCCACCCCAAGAAAGACATCCATGACATTTACTTGCGATTGAGGTATTATTCAACCAAATTATACTCATCCTAATAATTGGTACGACCTGACAGCCCGTTGAAATTCACTATACTATATCACCATGTCTTATACAAAGGGAACATGTAAGCCTGATTCATCGTTGCTCTCAACCAGCAGTCTCTGTTTCTCATATGCTCATGTTACAATCAGGGGACACTGGAGCTCAAATTCGTGAACACAAACTCGCAACATCTATTATCAACCTACATGGAACCGAGGACTGTGTTTTTGATGATATGTCATTGAATCTACTCAAAAGATTTGTCCTCGGCCGATCTGAAGAGAGACGAAATGAAATCTTGTCAGAACGCGAATGGCTTGATGAGGATGGTAAACCATCAAGTACAGCTCTTGAGAGAGATGGAAGTCTCGTTGGATATCTCATCGCCAGATATGGAACCAAAGACGCAGCGTTGGATGACAGAGATTGGGAGTTGCTTGACGAATGGATGGTCAAAGGGATGCCATCGGGTCAAAATGTTCAACGTTGAGGGAGATATACTCATGCCTCTCAAGGTCGATTGGAATCATGTTGGATAGTGCCTTGTAAATCCTAGATGGTATCCTAGATGAGAACCATCTATAGATATCTAGGAAGGGGGACAGAATGTTTGCCTACGAGAATCACGTTGCCCCCAAGAACGGTCCTTGTGGCAACCCCCAAAATCCCCTACCTGGTCATTAGCGGGGAGCCTAAATTGACCCCATTTGATACCCATCTAAGCAAGTTTAGGCGGTGCCTTACCTAAGGTGTCAGTCGCCAAGTCCAAGGACATGATTGTTACTCCAACCTCATTGTCGCAATGCTCTCCACTGACTGCATCTCACATCGTTCTTCTTTGAATCATCATCAACAACAAGCTGAGACTGCTTCGCCAATTTACTACTTTTCTCCATCCCGTAGGTTTCCTACCTAACTCCCTCTAGCAATCAACTCATCATCTTCCGTCGGCTTTCAATTCGCCGCATCACACTTTGTCTTTTGACCCCAAACTGCTATCAATCAATCACTCTACTTCCACCCTTACCAATTATCTTATATAACTGTTCTTGTTTGGATCAATTTACTCCTTCTGATAGGAGCATCAATGCTCTCGACTTTTCTCTTCTTTGACACCCAACCTACTTCAAATCATCGTGCGCTCAAAACATTTTATTTACCTTGACTCGAGTCTAACATCTATCATGTCTTCTTTTAGCTTTCAACCCAGCCTTCTCAGATCCTTTGAAGACGACTTCACTTGAGTCGTTCTCCCAAGTCTTCCTGTCGTCAAATCAAATGAAAGCGAACGGAAGTGTCGAATAAGCAAACAAGAGCTTGGAAGAGTTGGACATCATGAATCCTTATGAAGCATATGGTTCACCTCCGAACGAGAAATCTCCGCGATATCGAGCACGCGATGAAGATTCTTACGAGCGTACGGATTCTTACAGAAGACGATCTCCTGGTATGCTTTGACCTCGTCTACAATATCCACTTCCGTTGACAATTCTAGTGAATGACAGGCGTCGCCCTCCTCCACGAAACCGATCCCGCTCCCCCACTGGCATTGATCGATATCAGCCTGAAAGAGAGCGTCCAGCTCGTGATGACTTCTATGAACCACAAAGAACCACCACTCGCGAAAGAGACGATCGTAGAAGAGCTCCATCACCAACCGCGGCCAATATTGATCGATATGTTCCTGGTCAGGAGCCGAACAAGCCGATCGTTCGTGTGAACCCTTTGGCAAATCCACTATCTTTGGACACGCAAGCTGGCTTTAGCTACTATGCTGATTGGTGGCGTTGTGAACAACAAATCAAAGAGGAGAAAGAGAGAGCCAAACATGGAGGTCGTAGACCTTCTGACCGTGTCAAAGGTGAAAGAGAGGCAAAAGAAGATCGTGAAAAAGAACGATCACAAATCCAACAGGGTTACGATCAATACAAACAAGAGTTTCAAGTTCGAATGGCAAGGCAATTCGTCTTGTTACACAGAGGTGAAGAATGGTTTAAAGAGCGATATGTTCCAGAGGTTCGAGACCCTATTCGACAACGTGTTATGGCTTCAAGGGAGCCCGCTTTCGAACAATGGACCAAAGATATTGACTCGGGTGTCTTTGATGATTTCACATTGGAAGGAATCTATAAAAATGACAGTGATGGTGCTGGTGGTATGATTGAAAAAGAAGAAGGTGAAGCCGTGGGTGGTAATGAGGTTCTCGGTGTTCTCGACCTTGTTCCAGCCAAAGGTGGTGAACTTCGAGATGAATCAGTCCATCAACCTGCCCTACTCATCAAGACATTGGCACCCAATGTTGGGAGGGAAAGAATCGAAGAATTTTGCAAAGAACACCTTGGTGAAGAGGAAGGTGGTTTCAAAGGGTTGTCGCTTAGTGATCCCAACCCAGCAAAGAAATTTCACCGAATTGGATGGATTATGTTGAATCCAGGTCCAGAAGAAGACAATGACGTTATGCAAGATGTCGAACGTGGTGATGGTCGTGATGATGATGAAGAGGGAGAAGAGAAACCCGTGGTTGAGAAGGTTAGCATTGCTCAAAAGGCTCTCGACTCCATCAATGGGAAGACCATCACCGATACTGTCAGAGGTGATTTTACATGTCACGTTGGCATTCACAACGTTCCAAGTGCTCCACGAAAGAAAGCTCTTTGGGATCTGTTCTCTGCAACGGATCGAGTTGAGAGAGACTATGAACTTGCACGCAGATTGGTCACCAAATTGGAGACTGATTTCGGTAAAGACGAACTTAATGGTGGTCTCGCCAAAATTGATCATCGTGTCGAAAGGATGAGAAGTCAAGGACTTCTTGCTCCACCACCAAAACCGAAGAAGCCAAATTTTGAGGACAACGACGATGAGATCAAGTTTGATGAGGAAGGTGAGGAAGGTGAAGAGAATGAAGATGAACAAGATGATGAAGAGTTGTTGGTGATTAAAAAGAAACTTGACCTCATGGTTGAATACCTTCGAAGAGTCTTCAATTTCTGCCTCTTCTGTGTTTTTGAATCCGATTCTATTCATGAATTGGTTCGCAAATGTCCAGGCGGTCATCTACGAAGACCTCGTGCAGGACTCAGCAGTATGGCAAAAGCTGCTGCTCGAGCGAGTGCTGAAGGACAACCTTTCCCTGGGAAGAAAAAGGAAGGTAAAGAGAATGGTTATGATGATGAACCATCAAGTCCAGTTCAAGAACAACGTTCTCAAAAATTCAACAAGACAGATCAACAACTTTTGAGAGCATTCAATTGGGTCAAGACATTTGAGGAAAAGATTTTACAGATTCTTGAACCCGAATATGTCGACCTGAAGAAAATAGGAGGTAAACCCGTGGAAGAAGCTCTTGATGAAGAATTGGCCAAATTTGTCAAGCAAGAAGATGAAGCGAAGTATCGATGCAAAGTTCCTGATTGTGCCAAGCTGTTTAAAGCCGAACATTTCTGGAAAAAGCACATCGAAAAGAGACACGATGAATGGTATGCGGCATTGAAGAATGACGTGAGTATTGAGATTGAAAGAAAATCACTATCCTTAACTAACCCTTCTCAAACAGCTTCAACTCGTCAATTTCTACGTTCTTGATCCATCGCACATTGCACCTTCTCGATCAGACGCCAACTCGAATGGACATTTCCCACTCCCAAGTAATCACCACCTCAACAATGGCACACCTCGAGGTTTCAGTCTACAACATATGGGTATGAACATGATGAATTTTGGGCAGAACACTATGATGGGAATGTCCAACGTGCCCGCACCATTCATGTCCGGAGTCGGTTTCAACGACAACATGAACGGTGGGTCACACAGTGGCGGACCCATTCGTCGTGGAGGAGGTCGCTACGGCAATCGCTCAGGCCCATACGACCGCAATCAACGACCCAATCAACGCGGGTACAACAATATGGGCGGCATGGCGCGAGGCAGCTTCGCTCCCGGCATGAACCCTGCTTTCATCGCTCAGGGCGGTGGAGGTGGCGGAGGGAAATGGGGCGATGGTGCCGGTGGCGGTATGAATGCCATGGGCCCCAGAGAGGCCGTCCAAGGCCGCAGTATCAAGTCCTACGAGGATCTCGATGCCCAACCCAGTGGTGGTTCCGGCGGTGGTGCCGCTGCTGCCGCTCAGGCTGGCGCCGGTGCCGAACTGGATTATTAGAGTGTATTTTGAGGTTGATATGGAGATCATGGTGTTGGGAGCGTGATCGGGAAACCCTGAATCACCTGAGGTACCTCTGAAAAGTCGACGGGGCTGTTTTTTTCTCTCTCCATAATTTATATCGTGCAGTGTGTGTGAGTATTAGCAGCCAATTGTACAAGGATTAAGGGGACGAGAATGTGTTTTTCCCATGTATCGCGACCGTTCAGTTTCAATGCTTCTCGAACCCTTTCTCGGAGACATCAGTAGTAGAGAGTCCTTGTCCATCCTGCATGTTCGTTCGATCGGCATTTAGATCACGGATCACGGCAGTAGGGTTTTATGGAGGGTGGCATCACCTTCGCTTTCCGTGTGATAAACGCGTGAAATTGAAAAAGCTTCAGTGTGACAGATCGGCTGTTGCTGTATGCGAAGCATGGACTGCAGGAAAGTGTACTCTCACTGTGCTATGTAGCTACCGTAGTCGGCACGTCTAGCAGAGAGACGATGGTGGTCTTTGCATGATCTCCATTCGCCTCCTCTGTAACTACCTACCTACTGGTAGTCAAGCAGTCTATGGAAACTGAAAGCCAACGACTGCGGCCATCTTCAAAGAGTCCGTCCCAGTATCCTAAACGTCCAGTCGCTGAGAACATCAATCACGAAAACTAGCCGTAGCATGGGTGGACCATCAGATGCGAAGTCACCAGAGCGCCTGTTGGCTGAACATCATCACCAACACTATCCTCTCATTCAACGCCGACAAGATCCTCAGACGCTTTCCCTGCACACCAACAGTCATTATAAACAAAACTCCATCGTATGATTTTATCAAGTCCTTTTCCTTAGGATCCGTCTCCCAGTGGCAGGCTCAGCAATCACCACCTTCTTGTTTGCTGTGGTTGGATTACGCTTCAAGGCCGTTTTTGCTGCACTCGCCGCCCTTGCAACGCCCCGTCTTGCCATTCCGGGGCTCTTCTGCTCAACTGCTTTGGCTGTCGCTGCCGCTGGGCGTCCACGTTTTGGTTTCACGACGGTCGTGTTGGTCGAGCTTATTGAGATATCGGTAGTCGCACTATGGCTGCTGGATTGGCTGGCTGTCCGTTGAGGCGAGGATGCGCTGTTGAGGCCTGGACGGGGCGGGGGAAGCATTTTCCCTCGAGTTCCTGTGGTTGCTGGTTTTTCCTTCGATGCTGTTCGAGTCATTCGTGCGGCAGTTCCTCGCTTCGCTTGTTCGATCATGCCGTGTACACTTGCAGAAATAGCCGACGTGGCCGCAGTCGCTGCTGATTTGAACGGACTGACTGGTTTGAGAGGTGAGATGGGTCTGGCGATAAAGCTCTTGGCTGGCGAATTGGGTGCTACAGTGTACTCTTTAATCGGGGAGCGAGGAAGTGTCCGAGAGTTATGAGATCGCGGTGAGAGCACAGAGTTGGCTTTCACAGTTCGAGATGCCGTCCGTGTTCCTGGTGCTGCTTGCCCTGCTTTGGTGCGTTTGTTGTTCTTCAGCACGGGTAGATTCTCCAAGCCAACTGCATTCTCGTTTTCCTTGTCCGACGCGATTCGAATGGTACTTTTCCGCTTCTTGCCTCGAGTGGGTGCTGCTTGCGGAACTGAACGCGCTGGGGAAGGAACCTTAGCCACTTCTTGTCTTGGTAGTGGTGGGAGAGGTCGCTCTGTTTCTTCAGCTTCTGCCTGGGATTGTTTGGGTGGTACAGCTTGTATTTTCGTGGTCTTCGTCTTGTTGGCTTGGTGTTGTTCCATGAGCTCACCCATAGTCATTTTCCGAACAGCCAAGGGGATTCGATTGACGCGTCTTTCAATGCGAGCTCGAAGATCGGCGCATTGAAGTGAATAGCCGGCTCGAAGCTGTCGTGCTCGTTCAGTGACTATTGATGTTAGTTACGCGATAAACTAGGATTGAAACAAGGTATGGCTCACTCTCTAATTGCAGATTATCCATCAATGCTTGCTTTTGTGATTGTGTTATCCTCATCTTCTTCCTAGGGCTTCCAGTTGGAGTGGCGGCGGGAGCAGGTTCCTCCTCCATTTCACTGGATTTCCTCTTGCGTGGGTTTGCGGGAGGCATGTTGGATGTATGTGACACGCAGGTTGCGAGGAGTACGAATGTTTGTTGAGATCAGTTGGTGCTTGGAAAAGTTCAAGATGCTGTACCTAGGTGGTTTCGAGGTGGTGGTCGGACTTCTAGTTGGAACGGATGCAATGGTCGATTAGTCCCAGTTGGGACGAGTAAACAAATACCATCGCGCTAGAGGCTTGGCACTGATTAACGACCCCAGACTGCCTCTGCTTCAAGTTTTCGACGTCTGCATAATACGCCAGCAGGCAATGGTTTGAAATCCCTCCGTCGATCAATAGATCAAACCTTGCGTGTGTGTCGTATGCCACCTAAGTACTTTTCATGCTGACCATAGTTCTGTGTGCACCTGGAGGGCAACATGATCAAAAGGCGTGAATGAATGACGTACCAGCAACAAGTTAGCTTTGACAGGCCCAAACTTAAACAAACTTCATCTCTACGAGTCCAGCAAGTAATTCCAAAACTGCCCAGATTTCTTGTAAGTGCTCTGACCCTTCCGTGATGACTACGATCAAGACCCCCGAAGCTATTTCCACGTTATCTGTGCGGGCCCAAGAGCTTGCAAAACCTGATGAGGACAAGAGTCCCATCTGGGATATTTACAACAACCAATGGCACCCTCAAAATAACCCTGAAGGTTATGTAAGTCTCGGAGTCGCCGAGAATGTTTTGATGAGAGACGAGCTCCAGGATTACATCAATCGGACGACCAAGGTGACTGGAGACGCCTTCACATATGGAGATGGCCCAACGGGTAGCAAGAGATTGAGAAAGGCTGTTGCAAGATTTCTCAACAGGAGAATCAGTCCTGAGGCACAGCTAACCTTCGAACATGTTGTCATCACCAACGGTGTTTCCCATGCCATTGAACATGTTTCATGGGCTTTTTGCAATCCAGGTGATGGGTTTCTACTGGGCCATCCTTATTATGGTGCGTTCATTGCAGACATTGAACTCAGACCCAATGTGGATGTTGTCAAAGTGGCATTCGACGAGATCGACCCTATGAGCCTTGCAGCAGTCGCGAACTATGAAAAGGCAATTCTATCGGCGAGGGAGCGCGGTGTCACGGTCAAAGCTGTCATGCTGTGCTCACCGCACAACCCACTTGGAAGATGTTATAGTCGCGAAACAATAATCGAGTATTTGCGGCTTTGTCAGAAATATCAAATTCATTTTGTGAGCGACGAAATCTACGCTTTTTCTGTATGGAAGAACAAACACGACACCCATCCACCACCTGTCGAGTTCACATCGGTGTTAGCCATTCCGTTGGAAGGAATTATTAAGCCTTCTTTGGTGCATGTCCTGTATGGTATGAGCAAAGATTTCGGTGCAAATGGCTTACGTGTTGGGTTCATCATCTCTCAACACAATCAAGCTCTACTCAAGGCTCTCGTCGATGTTTCCATCTATTCCTACGCATCTTCCGTGGCTGAGATCATTGCAGCCAACATTTTGGAAGACGATGAATGGGTAGACGCCTTCATCGAAACGAATCAATCCAAGCTATCTGAAAACCACAGCTTTGTGGTCAAATTCCTCCAAAGACACAAGATTTCCTATAGTCCAGGTTCAAATGCCGCATTCTTCCTGTGGGCGGATCTTGGAGCAAAATATCTGCAGACGAAGGCGGCCACGGACAACAGTGAAGATGTGACGAAGGAGGTAATGCGCCTTTTGTTGAAGAACAAAGTTTTCCTCGCAAGCGGGTATCATTTTGGAGCTGAAACTGCTGGTCTGTTCCGGATCGTCTTCAGTCATCCCAAACCTTATCTCGAAGAGGCTTTGGAACGTGTAATTGAAGCGATTGGGTTGAAGGATTTGGAACTTGTTGCACTGCAAGGCAAAATGTCAGTCACTGACGAGTAATCATCGGCCGTGTCGTTGTTGGGGCGCGCTCTCTTCAAATATCGTTGCAATGGTCTACTTCCCGGCCCATCTCTCTTCACCAATGTCAGCTCTACCTATCTCGACCCTCTTGAAATAGCATGCTGCTATGTGCTACGTTGTCTATAAATTCACCTTCCAACGCTTTTTTTGGTTTCCATCACTCGCTCTTCTCCATTCCAATCCTGGATGTTTCGTTGTGTCTGGTCCATCACTTCTAAGTCGTTTCAAGGTGTCATCATGACTGCTTCTCCTTCTTCCTGAATCATCATGAACCTTCCCCATTGCTGGAAAAGCCAATGCTGTTGCATAGTTCGTGAGTCATGGAAAATCAGTCACCAGCAAATCAATCTTTTCTTGAACCATATAAAGGGACTGAAGTTCCCAACTTTGGAGAAGAAAATTCGAGTTTTCGAACACTTCTTTCCTCGCCTTCTCAATCTCTTGTTGCTCCGTCTTTTCTCCTCTCGGCCTCCTTCCTCTCCTCCTGATCCTATGGCGCTCTGCCATTGACATTTCAGACTCGTGTGTATACGTATCCTGCGTTTACGAAGATTGCCCCATATAGATTGGTAAGTCTCTCTTTGCAAGATACTGCCAATACCTCCCTCAAATCGTTGGCCCTCATCTCTAAGGCAACGTTGAGTGGAAATAAGGACATGTCAGCGCAAAATCTTTGGTCTCGAGTGGAAACACTGGCCGTCATCAAGTGAGTCTGGGTACAACACGAAAGACTTCTAGAGCAAAGACCTGACATAATGCATCCTTTACACCATGGTACATGACGCACTTTTTGATCTGGATCCTTCGTCAGCTATCCTGCTTTCGCCGACATCCTTGAATTGCCACGTCAGCCATCTATCTCTAAAACTGATTTGTTGAAAGTGTGAGTCGCCGGACAGTCAACAACTTTCAATGCAACAGAGAGCGACATTCTGGACGAGGAACTGGGCTCAATCGCCGACTTCAAAGGAAATTTCTGTCGCCAGTTCCGCCCGCTCGGCTCCGGTCATGCTACTTCAAGTAATAAGGACAGAGATGGCGCTGCAAAATGTGAAAAAAATCCGGCAGAGCCTTGACGCGGCATTTGTCAGCCAGCCTAGTGGTATCGAGACCCCGAAGAGTGTTTGCAAGATTAGCGAGACTTTCATCGATGAGGTGGACAGTGTTGTGCAGAGTCTGAGGGACATCGCAGCCAGTTTGCTAAGGACATGGTCTTTTTTGCCACGGCAAGAATCTCGAAAGAGGTTCTTTCGGCAGGTTTGGAACGCAACGATCGTCAAATCGTGTGGAAGGAGCCGAATCTTCCGCAGACTGCATATTCAAGTCGAACTGCCAGTCTGCTATGTACAAGGCGCCATCAATAACACTCTGCAGCAAATCGCCTAACACAAAGACAAGGGAATTCTCGAAGGATGCAAGACAATCGACCGACTTCGGGAGGATCTTTGAAAAGAAGCGTTTGATATCTAGGAGATACTACTTGCTGACGACCGTCATCAACGATGGAGGTATGCCTCGAGAACTCATCGAGTGGCTCAAAATGACAAAGGATGAGGAGGATAGAGCTATTAGTTTGGAACAAGGAATGTTGAACGATGAAATCGAGGCAGCCTAAAAGGCGAAAGAGATATCGGATAAAATACTTGGTATATGACTAACTCACGATCTTAATTGCTAAAGCATTATCGATATGGTAGAATACGGTTCAATTCTCATAAGCTGCACAGGGAAAGGAATTTCCACTAACAAGGCCAGCTACTCAGCATACTTTCGTCTGGGCATCCAGCCATTCCGCTGCCAACCTGGCTTGTACTTGTCATCTTCCTCCTCATCTGCGATCAACTATGTTGAATATGCAAGCTTTATGCTTGTGGTGCATTACATGCTCACGTATTGTATTCATCGCTCCGTGCTTCAAATACAATGCTAGTTAGCAATGTAGTCAAGGTTTTTGAGTTTAGAGTGAACGATTTCCAGGCTGTGGAATTCAGGGGTAGTGAGGCTGGCTTCTAGCTAGCCACGTGACGCAGCTTCATCCTCATCGAGGTCTGCCAAGCCGGGCGGACCTCCGAATCGGCCGGATAAAGTTCACGTTGCTGCATCTCTAGAAGATCTCACAGTCCGGGGCCTGCGACTCTGAATACACGTATTTGCAACCATCCTGCCTCCATGGCCGTTCCCGCACAACGACATGATCCCCCGAGGTGAGCAACAGCCTTTTTGAAAGTCTCCATATGTTCTCACACAGATAGATGACCTGGCATCCTTCCCCCTCGATGCCCTGCTCGCCGAGCTGGAGCGGAGAGATGAAAAGCCATCCTGCGGAACCCGAAATAAGCAGGGCTCTTACAACACCGGCATCCACGTATTTGCGTTGTTCTTGATCCTCGCTCTGAGCACGCTAGGTAGGGAAACCCATTCTCATGAGACTTCAAGTCTAATGTCACCAGCATGTTCGTTTCCGGTCATCGCCCGCCGCTTCCCTAAACTACCCATCCCGCATCGATTTCTCTTTCTCTCGCGACACTTCGGAACAGGGGTACTAATAGCCACAGCATTCATTCACCTCCTTCCCACAGCATTCATTTCCATGACTGATCCATGTCTGCCGAATTTTTGGAATAAAGATTATCCTCCCATGGCTGGATTCATTGCAATGATGGCAGTGTTCGTCGTTGTGTCGATCGAGATGTTCTTCGCAACGCGCGGGGCAGGCCACACTCATGGAAGTGAATGGGACAGACCAGAACAAGGACTTGCGCTCCACCATTTGAACACGCCCATGACTCCATATACGGACAACAGCCCGAGACCCCCCATGCCCGACGACGATGATGACGAAGATGACGATCTGGAGGCATTAGATGCCATAGTGGACGAATCGGCGACCTTGAATCACCCACACCAGAGAAAGATCTCCGAGCATGAAAACCATCTCGAGCCTCAGTCTGCGCCCGACGGACAGGACCCAAAGAAACTGTTTCTGCAATGTCTACTGCTCGAAGCCGGCATTCTCTTCCACAGTGTCTTTATTGGAATGGCTGTCTCAGTGGCTACCGGCACCCAATTTGTGGTCCTCCTCATTGCCATCTGCTTCCACCAGACATTCGAAGGTTTCGCCCTGGGTTCCCGCATAGCGGCACTAATTCCCGCACTTTTCGACGCAAGCAGTCCAAAACCCTGGTTAATGGCTTTGGCATATGGTGCCACGACACCCATCGGGCAGGCGATTGGCATTTGGATGCACGGTCTTTATGACCCAGCCTCAAAGGTTGGCTTGCTGATGGTCGGAATCACAAACGCGATTAGTAGTGGTTTGTTGCTTTTCGCTGGATTGGTTCAACTGATTGCAGAGGATTTCCTCAGTGATAACAGCTACAAGACCTTGACGGGTAGGAGGAGGATCGAAGCCTGTCTCGCAGTTGCTCTGGGTGGACTGCTCATGGCTGTCGTAGGTGCTTTTGCCTAATATTGGATTGTAATTTTAATAGATAACTGTGATGTACATGACTTCATTTTCCATCTGGTACGTGTTGCCTCCCTCGAGACAGCAGCGAGGATGATGTGTAGAAAGAACAAAATTCCAGACACCCGCTGCTACGCGGTCCCAGCCAATGCTGCCGGTTGCTTGAGAGGATGGCTACTTCATCACTGCCAATAGACGGGAATGTGGTGCGAAGATTTCTAACCAGTGTCATCGGTCCGAAATTATAACAAAAAGGCGATTGCATTCTCATGACCGACACATGACTGCGTCCAGATATCGGTCAACTTCCAGTAAAGAGAACAATCTCATCGGACACTGCCATGTCATGCGGTAGTGGAGATTCCCCAAGCTGAAGTCACCGAGCACCAGAACAGGCGAGTTAGTCGATTTGATTTCCCGCAGGTGGAGGGCTTTTCAGCCTTGCGCTCTACCCTCACCTTTTCACGGAACTGTGAGCGAGCACTGGCTTCTGGCAGCTTGAGGGCGGATTTAGTCACCTGAGAACTGTCTCGACCCGAGGCCCATCTATCAGTAATATCGCCAGTTGTGGGTCACCAGAAACGGCAGGCGAGATCGTTGTTCCACCTAGAGCCTAAGTTGAAATCGAGCAATGTCGACGATTTTGGGATGGCAAACCAAACCTCTCACGTTCAGCGTGGCGGGTGAATGGATAATACCGAATAAGCCGAACAGATTGCACAAGACTTCAATCCCCTGGAGATGTCGTGGATCGAGGACGGAAAGGGCAAATACCAAGAGCTTCACCCATTTCACGCATCTCTCGTGGAGCGCCCATGATGTGATTTTTGATCCACTCAGGAGAAGGGCGAGGAGGTTCGAGTCTGACCACGTCGGCTGCAGAGTTGTTCCTTTTCAGCAAAAGCGTCCGCCGTGTCATTGCTGTTTCCCAGACACCCTTCCAATGGACCAGGATATCGTCGGTCCAGAAGAAACTCCGTATGATCTTCTCCAACCGAGACCATTTCCTTGATTCGGGATAGAGGTCTAACATATGGTCCATGACCGTGTGACCTTCTGGCAATTGGGCTCCGCGTAGTCCTAAGGAGCCGGCGACCGAGAGGCTTGTCCAGATCAGAGCGTATTGCTCTTCGATCCCCGCTGGCTTCGAATGGTGTGGCAGAATAGCGACAAATTGTCGTAAGATTGGATCGTAGAAGAGATTGAGTGGCGCAAGACTTCGAAATTGGAACATGAATGATATGAGGCCGAATGACAGGTAGGTCTCGAGTATGTTCGGGGACATGAGGCTCAGACGCTGTAGTGCTGACAACAGGTTCTGGATTGTCATTTGCTGACTGTCGTGATTGGGTGTTTCTGCAGACATGAAACCACTAGCCAAAGAATATTTGGGAGAATCTTTGTCGCTTGATATTTCGAACTGCGTCTTCGCAGCACCGATCGATGCTAGAGTATTGATCAACTGATTGGACAAGTGTGACATCAAACATAGCTCGGAGAATCCAGAGGGGAGGCGTGACAAAATGAGACACAGATCTTCCCCGAATGGCTTCTCCGGGTAAGACAGTGGTTTGTCGAGGTCCAGCGCCTCGAATGTCTCGCTTGCAAATCCCAGGGAACTTGACGGAATATCAGGTGGCTGACCAGTCACAAAAGATCCTAATGCTTTGTATCCGACGAGTCCAGTCTTCACAAAGCGCACCCAATCAGACTTGATGCTGTCGGGATCCGAGTCCTCTGGCAATGGACCCCTAAGCTGGAGCATTTTCTCCAACCCTTTGCAATGCATCGTGACACCGTAATGATTGCCCGTGAGGTACTCCAAGGTCATAAGCATCACAACGGTAAGAAGCGCTGCATCATCAGTGCATGTCTTTGACTTGAGTTTGACATTCAGTGCGGCAAGAGCACTTCCTCGGTGCTGAATGAAAGCCGGGTCTTCATATGCCGACTTGCCGAGTGAGAGTAATATCGATGCCCGACATACAGCAACAATCGATTCGAATAAAAGAGAATTTTCTAGGGCGAAGGGAAGCAATAACGACAAGTGGGGATTTGGAGTCTTTGTGACGGGTGTCTGCTGATACTGGATTCCACTACACATGGTCACGAAGTAGTCCAACGTTTCCACCACGCATTCGGTCCTCTTGATTGGCAAGACCGAAAATGGATTGTCGCGGGTGCCATTCAATGGCAACGGTTGCAGTGGTGAAGGCGGAGGGGATATCAGCTTGTTCGATCGAAGCACCGTAAGACGATCCTTGAAATCCTCTTTTGGCGTTATCGCTGGACTTTTCATGCCTTCAGGAGAGTCATCCTCAACTGCTGGAGGCTGCCATGCCACGAATTGATTTGGTGTTAGGTTCGCGGTCTTCTTATTGGGATCGAATTCCCTCCATCGAATGCGCCTGTATCCCGGTTTCTTTCGCTCGTTGATCTCCGTAGAAGGCGGTTGTCCGGAGCCTGGTTTGCGCTTTGGAGGCAAGTTGATAACAGCCATTGTTTCATCCAAGAGCGACCGGAGGCAGGCGAGAATATTGTGAGGGCTTCGTTTCAACGACGAAGATCGATCATTCAGAGATTCTACATATGTCAAGTTGATCTGAAGTTCAGCCTAGTGGTTAGTTAGTGGAGTAATTCCGCTATGTCAGCTTTGCCTCTGGGGTTGTTTAGGCACGTGTCTCACATTCATCCAAGCCTAACCCAACCCGGTAGCTGGAGCGGCTCGCGCCCTACTCGTAGATGGTCGGGGCTCAGGGAGGATGAAGGGGATCATTGGCAGTGCAACTTGGGGGCTACTTCATATGCTCGAATCCCATGATACTCCCGAACATCCATCTTCGAATTCCATGCCTACGGGATCCGAAATCTCTCGATACTTGGCGGACCGGGCACCACAATCATTGTCCGACAAGGTGATCCTCGCCCGTCTTTCTTCATTCTGGATTCACTAATACTAGAATTTGGTCGAAGTTAAGGTATTTCTGTTTCAACCTCATCTTGCTCACTCTCAACATCCTGTTCTTCAGCCCCGCTGTCTTGCTCTTCTTGCTCTTCCTGCTCCATGTTATCGTCATCCCCTTCATCACCATACAACCCTTCCTCATCTCCATCCTCCATCCCATCAACGTTATCGACATCACCTTGGTCCACGAAACTAGCATTTGCTAAAGGCTTGGGTTTGCTTAATCGGCCTTTCCCACTTCCACCTGCTGTAGGAACATTACCTCCCACAGTTCGACAAAGAGAGCGATATGAGCTCGCCCATTCTTGCTCTTGCTTGGTCGTATTTTTCGGAAGGTGTGCAGGTGTATTTTGGCCAAGAGTCCATTGAATATCTTCTGGTAATAACAAGAACCTTTCCAGCATAGACATATCCAGTGTTGTCCCATCGATGACCGAATCTATCATCGCTTTGATGGCCACTCTCATTTTTGCCATGGTTCCATTTGCATACCACCCAAAATATCTTGTTTCACAATCATGACGAATGTAGACATCAGATGTATCAACCAAGGCCTTGAGGTGTGGTTCGTGGAGATCACAAAGTTGCCACGATTTCCCATCTGTTGGTATGGTGGACTTTCCAGTGAAGATATGAGACTCTTGATCTGCACTCCGATGCCATGTCCGAGTGAAATCTTCTCTATTGTTGGGTTTGTCTTTGTGTCGATTGACAAGTTGCACAAGTACCGTTTGATATTTGCGATGCGAGGGATCTTTTCGTGGATCGACACCAAACTTGCATAAAGTATCTCGCCAAGGTCCAGATCGAATCGCGAAGCAAACGTATGCTGTAGCATGGCGAATGGTTTGCAATGGTACATCGAGTGGCAGTTGGTTCACCAAAGCGCGACGGGTCCAGATGGGACGTTGCTCAAAGAGGTCAAGAACGGATTTGCATACGTCTTGAAATGCTGGATTCTGTTGTGACAGAGGAGGACATCTCGGATGGGGTTTATCAGGCCAAACAGGATCATCGAACTGAGATTGATGAGTGAAGACTTTGGCGGCTTTTTGGAGATTGTAGAGGGATTTCTTGCCTGTTTGTGGATCTGCAAGGATCGTCACAGCTGGATTTTGACGATAGGAATAGTTGAGAGGCAGCGAATGGACGGAGAGAATTGGGGGAGGAAATGTCTCCGTATCGGTTAGACCGTAGGTTTGTGGCAATGACCATTTTTCGATGAGCGGATATTGTTGAGGAAGGATCTTGGACTTAAGCTCATCTATGGCCGATGAATTGGTGACCGAATAGACAAAATCTGGAATGGTACGCCAGACGTGGGTTGATTGTATCGAACCAACAACATCGACCTGGTAGCCTTCAGGATTATCCACCATTGATCGAAGCAAGTAAGAGGCATCTTTCCTGAGAGGCTCGGGCGCTGGGTCCTTCACAAATGGATCATCTGAACCTCGTTTTCTTTTTCTGCCGGTTCGCCTGGGAACGGTGAACTGCAACAAAACGTTGTTCGAGTCATTCCTGAGGGCTATAATGGGACGACAGGCTGGGTCATCGGGTTGGAACTTGAGTCCTAAAGGCTTGTCAGTTTCTGGTTTGAGATGCTGGCCAATTTCTTCAGAGCCTCCTAGCATATGAATGGCTCTGTCAACATTTTGAACAATACATGGGTGTTCGACAGAAAGCACGGGAGCTGCTGCTGAAGCTTGCAGCCATGGCGCCGAACGGCTTTCCATTGCACAAACAGCGAGACGGAAAGGGACAGATTGCTCCTTGATGCTCAGCACTGGGAGCCGCGGATTTCAACCTCGCAGAGGTAACTTGAAAAAAGCCTGAAGTGATTGGAGCCTCCCACCTTGATTTCTATGAGGAGAAATCTCACCCGTAGAAGCAGTTTCTTGACCAGATTAATTGACTGCCTCGACGATGTTCACCTCAAACCGTTATCTGTCCCTACCTGGTGAGTCAGTTGTCTACTTATGATGTGAATCTGAGAAATATTCCCTGCACTAGTTAGGCCCAATCTTTCTGCTTCGGGCGCGCTGTGGTGAAACTAACCTTAAGTAATCAAGTCCAAAGAGCTTGGCATTTCTGGCAGATCACGTGCAGTGGTGATTGCCTCAGCCTCAGATGGGCACCCGCCCACGTAAGGTAACAAAGTAGCTCAAAGAAGATCATCAGATATCTGAGATGATGGTGGTTATAATGATAGGCGATCGCAACCTTTTCATCAATTGGCGAGCTGGGGAAGTGGGTTGAGAACCGCTCAATTGCTAGCAGATCACACAAAGTCAAGTCCAAAGGAGCGTTCTTGACTTGGGAGGCCACCAGACTCGATCTCCAACTTTGAGCTTCTAGTAGTACTCCAGATTTCGGAGGACGAGATGTGCCTAGGGCCCTCGGGGGTCTCCTCCTTGGTCCTTAGGTAGTCAGTCACAGGCGGCCTCCAGGCAGGACAGCCCAGGCATCCTTGCCCCGCCCACAGTCCAAGTTCAACTTAAGTGCACCCCTCCACTTACCCTACCTGTAACCTTCTCGCTCCAATAAACAACCATCCAGTTGATACGGCTACGGGTAGCACCCAAAGTTGACCATTCAATTACGACCTTCAACTTGAACCATCACGATCTGCCCTCTTTTCAACGAATGCAAATCCCACACTTTTCCTACTAGTCGTCTCCAACTTGATCCATTAAGTCATCAATACCGAGTTCAAGTCGTGATTGCTCTCATCTCAAGGCCTTGTAAGTCATTCATTAGCCGGACCCATATGCCTTAACTAACTAGGAGCTGTGGGTGTGATCTCGCTATCTCTGGACTTAGCTGACGAGACTGGATCTCCATAGGCACAGGCCACAGCCTGCTACTCCTACTGACTACCACGACCACTACGACTGCCACTCAGATCACGAACTACGCACCACAAACCACCATCGTCTTGTCACTCGACTCATCTGAAGTTCTACCATTTCAATCTCGTCCACAATGAAGAATTGATCCTTCTCGCACCCGTCCATCAATCATCCTCTCCATCTTTCACCCTCTTCCGCCTACTCCTCAACCAACTTTCGCAGCCCTATAACCACTTTGACTCGAATGCAATAAGGTGGACATCCGGTTTCTCTCGTCGACAAGGCGGCGCCTCTCTCTGCCACCCATTTCTTTAGAGAGTGAATGAAAACTCGAACGTGTCTCCGTCAACATGAAGGGCTTTAGGCAAAGAGTGGTATGTACAATCTCCAGCCAGGTCGCTCCTCGACACTGTTTCAACCCCCGCCTGCCCACTCACAACCACAAACCTTCCTGTTGGTCAAATCATACACTCCAACTCACTAATTTATAGCACGAGCAGCTATCGCGAGCCAAAGACTCCAATAAGTCTTCCAAGAAGAAGGATTCGAATTCCGGCACCGCCTCTCCCCTCTCTGCTTCAACCACGGCCGTTGGTGGTGATTCTAGATCTCCCAATAGCTCCAACGCCGCTACCCCAAGCTCCTCTTCCACGAACGTCAACGACATCCGCAGTAAAAACAACAATGATAGTGCACCAGGAAATCACGCGGGTACACATCATGGTGGAAACGCGACTGGACCTGGGAGTATAGCACAGCATTTTTTGCAACAAGCCCCGGGCCATGGATCGGGCAGCACTGGGACCCCTGGGCGACAAGGAGCCCACATTGCTCCCAGCGTTATCATCAGTCCGAGTAATAATCCTCACATGCCGGCTCCTGGTGCGACAGAAACCATGCCTGGTGACCTTGCGCCTCCTAAGGCCGGTCAAAAATCACTCCTGTTCGATCGACTACAAACCACACCGAAAGATGTACCAGAAGGCCTCAGAACTCCCAAGAGACAGCACTCCTCTCGCTTCGATGTTTCGGATCAGAGAGCACGCGAGCTTGAGAAACTTCCCGGATTTCACGAAGTTCCACCGAACCGAAGACAAGAACTTTTTATGCAGAAGATTGATCAGTGCAATATCATATTTGATTTCAACGACCAGACTGCCGACATGAAGTCGAAAGAGATCAAAAGATTGGCTTTACATGAGCTACTTGATTATGTCGCCAACAACCGATCAGTCATCACCGAACCAATGTATCCCAAAGTGGTAGAGATGTTCAGCAAGAACTTGTTTCGACCTGTCCCACCCCCTGTCAATCCTCAGGGCGAGGCTTTCGATCCTGAGGAGGACGAGCCGGTCTTGGAGGTGGCTTGGCCCCATATTCAAGTTGTCTATGAGTTCTTCTTACGCTTCATCGAGAGTCAAGACTTCAACACCAACATTGCTAAAGCATACATCGATCATCACTTCGTCCTACAGTTACTCGAACTATTTGACTCCGAAGATCCGAGAGAGAGGGATTTTCTCAAAACTACTCTTCATCGAATTTATGGCAAATTTTTGAATCTTCGGTCATACATCCGGAGGTCCATCAACAATGTTTTCTTCCAATTTGTCTACGAGACGGAAAGATTCAACGGCATTGCGGAACTTCTCGAAATCTTGGGTTCGATCATCAATGGCTTCGCGTTGCCATTGAAGGAAGAACACAAGCTGTTCCTGACTCGAGTCCTTCTACCTCTTCACAAGGCAAAGAGTCTCAGCATGTACCATCCACAGCTGGCCTATTGCATAGTTCAGTTTCTCGAAAAGGATGCGGCGTTGACAGAGGAGGTAAGGAACTTCGACCGTTCAACTGTTCAAAAAGGCTGACAATCCCATGTAGGTGGTTCTAGGACTACTTAGATACTGGCCCAAGACCAACAGCACCAAAGAGGTCATGTTCCTGAACGAAGTGGAAGATATTTTCGAGGTCATGGATCCTCAAGAGTTTGCAAAGGTGCAGGAACCACTTTTCAACCAACTGGCAAAATCAGTGGCCAGCCCTCACTTTCAGGTACGATTGTTTCCCTCGAGCCCACGACTTCACTGACCCAAGTTAGGTGGCTGAACGAGCACTGTATTTCTGGAACAACGAATATTTCTGTAACCTCGTCAGTGACAATGTGGAGACCATTCTTCCCATAATGTTTGCACCGCTGTACGAGAATTCCAAGGGTCATTGGAATCGGTATGCACAAGCACCAATACATTTCAACGTGAGACTGACTTCTTGGACAGAACGATCCATGGGATGGTGTACAATGCGATGAAACTCTTCATGGAAATCAATCCTCAATTATTCGATGAGTGCTCCCACGACTATAACGAGTTGCAGAACAGTGCGCCTCAACGTGAGAAGGCACGTCAAGCCAAATGGGATAAACTCGCCGAGTCAGCAAAGAAGCTGAAAACTGGAGTGGCCGCCCCGCCTGAAGCGGCCCCGATCGAGGAGGAATCAGAACCAGATGCAACACAAGACAACCAAGAGAGGTTGGATGCACTCAAACTTCATGATGAATCGGCATCTACCAAGACAACATCGGTAAGTAACTTCCATGTTCTTATAGGTAATGGGTGATTGAAAAGATTACCATGTTTCATCTCCATCCTTCGACTGGCTAAGACATTATCTCATCATTTTAGTGACGTTGGGAAAACACTGTCTAACAAAACCTTGGAGTTTCCAGAGGCGGCGAGCAGATTCGCATGGACAAGCAAAGTCTCATAAGGCTAGCAACAGCAGTGGTTCGGATGGTAAAACCAGGAGACATCGAGCCCATTCTTCGGGCGATTCACATCGAGTAGTAATGCCCCACCTGCAGCGCCATGGCAGTGGAAAATCTCAACACTGAGATATCGGGGGGAACTGTGGGTGGCGGCAACGACCAAGACCAGTCCCAGCATCACAAGCAAGCGTGAGTTTGAAAATTTTGTGTATTTCGAGCTCGGCGAAGCTCGAGAGGCTCTCGGAAAGGGCTTCTGTGGCACGATAGATTCCGCGTTGGCTTTTGAGGATATTGGTCGAAACTAGAGTGAGAGGCAGCAGATGACATCAGCTTCTGAATGAAGATATGAGCAATGCGGGATAAAGAGTCGATTTCAACTTGTACGAGGGTAGGACCAAAATGGCTCGCTCGGCGGGTCACACGCCAGTATTTGATTGGGATGTTCACAATTGTGAAAAGCCTGCTGTTTGCTCATGTAGTGAGAATGCGTAATACAGAGACTAATCACACTTGATTTGGGTCTCGTCTTCCCAGAGAGTTCGAGTTTACCATTATTGACTCAATTAAGTATCGCAAGGAACGAGATAGGAAGCGGGATCTAGTTTTTCCGTTTCCGAAGGCTTGCTTCATATCGATTGGTCGCGCAGGAAGGCACTGACACACGTGACTTTGCTTCTTATTGGTCCATTAAATCCAGGCTCCACATGGATTTCGCAGAGCCATGTCCCACGCGATTTCAGTCCATCTCCAACTCTCTACAAAGCCCCCGGCTGCATACAATTGACTTCTACTAATATTCCTCAAGTCCACCAGATAATTGGGCTGCCACAACGGTGCTCCTCTGTAGTTGTGGTCTTTCTTTTCACTTCTACCTTCGGACATACTTATTCGATCGATACCAACTTCTACATCGGCGGAGACTTCCCTCTTCATTCTCGCGTCCATTCATTCATTCCTTCACGAATTTCTCCTCCGCGTTTCGACAAATGGGCCTCTTCGTCTCCCATTTCTAAAGTCGCCCATGCTTACTGGTGCGCAATTAATATTCCTCACTGCGGTGGAATCTGGGGCCGACTGGAAGCCTCTCTAGAGGATGGCTTCCACCGATGCATCTCAAAAGATTGACCTCTATGTCGCAAGGCTCACGGATCCAAAAATCGGTTCGTTTCGACAAATCTATCCTTTTTTTCCACACTGAACTGACCATGACAATGTTTCAGACACTCGCACGAAATCCAATGTTGCCACTGATCTTCGCGATTCGATCGAGAGCCTCTGTACACCTCCTCCAACTTATGCGAAGTTCCTGTCGAGATTATGGCCAGTATTCAAGAAGATTCTGGAGGGAAAGCCAGATTTCTCGCCTACTTCCCCGGAGCAAATACTCCGAAATCAGATCCTAGAAATAATCCATCGGCTTCAACATGCACCCGCCGAAGTGGAACCATATGCGCTCGATATGGTAGACACGTTGATGGAGTTGGTGCGCGTGGAAAATGAAGATAACGCAGTCCTCTGTTTGAAGACCATCATGGACTTGGAGCGACATCAAGCAACTGCCACAGCCTCCAAAGTTCAGCCATTCCTCGATCTCATCCAAGAAATGTTCGAAATGATGGACCAGGTGGTCAAGGATACGTTTGACTCTCCCACGAGCCATCATCAGCCGGCATCTTCAACACCAAACCCCCCTGGTGGAACTCTTCAGTCGCCTCGTCCAGGCTCTCCTAATACTACTGTCTCAGACCCAGGAAACGAAAAGAAAGAGCATGTACCACTCGCCAAAGGAATGCAGTCGTTCAAAGTCTTGTCAGAATGTCCAATAATCGTGGTTTCAATCTTTCAAGCACATCGAAGTTCTGTCGCCGCGAACGTCAAGAAATTTGTCCCTTCCATCAAGAGCATTCTACTTCTGCAGGCAAAGGCTCAAGAAAAGGCACATGCAGAGGCCGAAGCAAACAAGACCATCTTTACGGGTGTTAGTAAAGAGATCAAGAACAGAGCTGCCTTTGGTGATTTTATAACAGCTCAGGTCAAAACGATGAGTTTCTTGGCTTATTTGCTCAGGGTCTACGCCAATCAATTGACTGATTTTTTACCAACCCTACCAAGTGTTGTGGTTCGCTTGCTCAAGGACTGCCCCCGGGAGAAATCTGGTGCACGCAAGGAACTGTTGGTCGCCATTCGCCATATTATCAATTTCAATTATCGCAAAATCTTTCTTAACAAGATTGACGAATTGCTCGATGAACGAATTCTGATCGGCGATGGACTGACGGTTTATGAGACCATGAGACCCCTGGCGTATAGTATGCTTGCAGACTTGATACACCATGTCAGAGATTCGCTACACCGAGATCAAATTCGACGCACGATCGAAGTCTATACGAAAAACTTGCACGACAATTTTCCTGGCACCAGTTTCCAAACCATGAGCGCCAAATTACTCCTCAATATGGCCGAGAGTATCACAAAACTTGAAAACAAGGAAGACGCGCGGTATTTCCTGATCATGATTCTTGATGCTATAGGCGATAAATTTGCTACCATGAATTATCAATACAAGAACGCCGTCAAACTCAGCAAACAATATGGAGACAAGTCCAAAGAAGCTCAACCTGAGACATACATGGATGACAAGGATCAGATTCCTGACTGGGATGAAGTCGACATCTTCAATGCAACACCTATCAAAACTTCAAATCCACGGGAACGAGGTGCCGATCCCGTGAATGATAACAAGTTCTTGTTCAAGAATCTGGTGAACGGCCTCAAGAACATGTTCTACCAGCTCAAAACTTGCAATCCTCCAGGCCTCGGCATTGATCAAACCAACATTCCGCTGAATTGGGCCGAAGTTTCTTTTGGTTACAACGCGGAGGAGACTCGGGTCGTCACAAAGCTTTTCCATGAGGGCGCTCGAGTATTTCGTTACTACAGCGCGGAAAATCTGCCAACTGATTTGCAATACACCTCACCAGTGGACTTCATGGCTAGCCATTCAATGGCTCAGATGACGAGGGATGAGAAGGAGCTTCTGGAAAGCTTTGGTACCGTCTTTCATTGCATTGATCCAGCCACATTCCATGAAGTCTTTCAAGCAGAGATACCATATCTACACGATCTGATGTTTGAACATACAGCACTTCTTCACCTACCACAATTTTTCCTCGCCAGTGAAGCCACCTCACCAGCATTCGCCGGAATGGTGTTGCAATATCTGATGGACAAATTGCCCGAAGTCGGATCCTCTGACATTGTGCGTTCGTCAATCCTGTTGAGGATGTTCAAGTTGTCCTTCATGGCGGTCACATTGTTCTCATCACATAACGAGCAAGTCCTCCTACCACATATTACGAAGATCATCACGCAGTGCGTTCAATTGTCAGTGACGGCAGAGAAACCCATTCACTATTTCATTCTTCTCCGATCGCTGTTTAGGAGTATTGGAGGAGGTCGATTCGAACTATTGTATAAGGAGATACTTCCTCTTCTCGAAATGCTGTTGGAAACCTTCAATCATCTTCTTCAAGGAGCCAGAGATCCTCATGACAGAGATCTCTATGTTGAGTTGACCCTCACAGTCCCTGCTAGACTCAGTCACTTGCTGCCTCATCTCAACCATCTCATGAAGCCTTTGGTCGTTGCTCTTCGAGCAGGACCAGATTTGGTCGGTCAAGGACTGCGCACGTTGGAACTGTGTGTGGACAATCTAACTGCAGACTACCTTGACCCGATCATGGCCCCGATCATGGATGATCTTATGACCGCTTTGTTCGAGCACTTGAAGCCTCAGCCTTATCAGCACTTCCATTCTCATACCACAATGCGAATACTGGGAAAACTTGGGGGTCGGAACCGCAAGTTCTTAAACCATCCTCATCAATTATCATACCGTCGATACACTGATGATGAGCCCAGTTTCGATATCAGGCTCACTGAGACAAATCGTGACAGAGCATTTCCTCTTGACACCGGAGTTGATCTTGCTATCTCAAAGCTCTCGGAGACGGCCAAGTCTGCGACTTCCAAATCTCTGGATTCTTATTACAAGCAACAATCTTTCAAGCTTATCAGCAATCAAGTGAAACTTTTCATTGGGAGTGATCAGCTACCCGATGATCTGGCAGCTTTGCTCCGGTTAGAGGCTAACGATCTCATGGCTCGTCGTTTCGCTACGTATGCAGATATGTTAGAAGATAACGACCTTGGGAAATCAGTGCAGAAAAAACGAGAACAGGAAGAAAACCTGAAGAAACTGCTCAAGGCTTGCTTCACTGCAACGACAGTACCGGATCTCAAGTCCCAGGCAGAAGCTTTTATTGGCAACTTTTCCCGACATTTCACCCTCATTGAGCTTGGACAAGCTCTTTGCGACGCAGGTCGAAAGACAAAAGAATTTGATGTTCACGGGGGAGAGGGAGCCGTCCATCTCAGCTCTCGCATATTAGCTGACGTTCTCTGCGATTGTCTGTCGTCTGACAATATCATCATCCGGGAAGCAGCAGAAGCCTCATTGATTACTGTACTTGAGACCGCTCGCACGATCTTCGGCAGCGAAGGCAAGGCGGCTGGTCTCCCCTTCTTTTCGCATATCACCCAAACATTCTGCCATAGATGTCGTGAACTCGAATGGTTTACCAAATCTGGTGCGACATTGGGAATCAAGATCCTGGTGACCAAGTTGAATCTTGGAAACGCATTCTTGGGAAGTAAGTATCTTGATATCACCAAGTCACTACTGTACGTCATCAAAGATACACCTCAGGAGGTTCCTGCAAGCACCAGAATCACTGCCCAAGAAAACCTGGAATACATTCTTCGCAAAGTGTTGAGCGGAAGCACGAAGGAAATGCTCACAGTAGAGACCAGTGCCATTCACAAGCTTTCTGCCACCTTCAGCCTTGAACTTTCTCACATGAACAAGAATGCGCGAGACACAGCACAGCATGCCTTCTCAATAATGGCAGAAATGGTCGGTGTTGAGGTGCACGAAATACTCTCACCTGTCAAGGAACGTCTACTACAACCAATCTTCAATAAACCACTTCGAGCTCTACCTTTCTTATCTCAAACAGGTTTCATTGACGCGATAACTTATTGTTTGGGCCTTGGGAACGATTTCGTACCTCTGAACGATCAGTTGAATCGTTTGATGATGGAATCACTCGCTCTTGCCGATGCCGATGCAGAAATACTTCACCCGAAACCAGACGAATTTAATAATGCCCAGTTGATTGTCAACCTGAGGGTTTCTTGTTTGAAGCTATTGTCCATAGCCATGAGCTTACCGGAGTTTGCAACCGGACCACAGAATACAAGTCGTGCGAGGATTATCACGGTTTTCTTCAAACTGCTTTACTCGAAGTCACCCGAAATTATCGAGGCTGCCAATGCAGGCTTAAAGGATGTGCTTGTTCAGACAACGAAATTGCCCAAGGACCTGCTCCAGAATGGTTTACGACCCATTTTAATGAATCTGCAGGATTCGAAACGCCTGACAGTGGCGGGCTTGGAAGGTCTCGCACGATTATTGACCTTACTGACGAGCTACTTTAAGGTCGAGATTGGTGCTCGTCTGCTGGAACATATGAAGATAATTGCAGAAGACTCTTTGCTCCAGAAAGTTTCATTCGGACTGGTGGAACAAAGTCCTCAGATGAAGATCGTGACAGCAATTTTCAACATCTTCCACTTGCTACCCCCTGCAGCTACTAGCTTCATGACAGACCTTGTGAATGGTGTACTCGACTTAGAGGTCAAACTTCGACGCACTATCGCAAGTCCCTTTCGTCACCCGTTGATCCTGTATCTAGACAAATATCCCAAGGAGGCATGGTCATTTTTCCAGTCACGTTTACATGAGGAAAAATATGGTCGATTCTTCGGACAAATACTGGCATCAGAATCCAGTGGTTCATTACGGGAAGCTGTGGTGAATGACACTGAAGCATTGATAAAAGCCGCGTTCGACGTTGAAGGTGAACAAGAAAGGCACACAGCAGCTATCAATGGCATTTATGTTGTCCACTCCATTTGTTCTTTCGATACGGCGAAGAATTGGCTCAAAGACCAAGAGCAACTTCGACTCAAAATATTGGCTGCTGGGCAAGAGCTGGAGCAACGTTTGAGGAAGGATCAACTACAACCATCACAGAGATTGCGCGCAGAGCAAACAGGAGACCAGATCATGGACATTGTGACACACTACCTTGTTTCTTCACCAGAAGATGTAACTTTCATGATGGAAGTGTTTTCCTCCGCTTCACAGGGCACTATCAAAGCACCTTTGAAGTTGACCAAATACCTCTTCGATTCCATTATTACTGATGAATCCGTCGAACGTCGATTCAACATTATCGAGAAATGCTTGGAGATTTATTCGCATAAATCTGAGTCACAGAAAGTCAAAACTTTCTTACTGCACAATGTGGTTAATCCTACCATGGCCAGAGACATACAAAACAACCGCCAGGAAGACAACAAGGCCGGTAGTCTTGCAGACAGCAAACTTTTCCATCTCTTTTTGGAGCGACTTTGGAAATCGGCTTCTCCAGATGTCAGTGAGGAATCTGCCCTACCCGGTGTTGATCATTCCCGTATGGAAGCACTTCAATTGTCTGCTTTCGTTCTCAAGTATCACAAAGATGCTGTTTCCGAAGATCGGAAGGATATCATCAAATACTCGTGGGGTCATATCAAACTTGAGGACGTTATCAACAAGTATGCGGCTTACGTCCTTATCTGCTACTTCATTCGATCCTATGAAACTCCGCCTAAGATTGCTGTTCAAATCTATAACCAGCTGTTGAAAGCCCATCAAAACGAAGGCAAAGCTTTGGTGACTCAGGCTCTCGAAGTTCTTGCTCCAGTCCTACCGGTCAGAATGAATGCGCCTACTAGTACACCTGGTGATAAACGTTCTCCACATTGGGCTCGATTACCACGCAAGATCTTGAATGAAGAAACAGGCAATCTTCAACAAGTGCAAAGCATATTCAATTTCATCGTACGTCAACCAGACTTGTTTTACGAATCACGAGAGTTCTTCATCCCCACGATGATCACAATGCTACACAAGATCGCGCCTCCACCAAATCCGTCAAATGAGAGTAAGCGGCTCGCTCTCGCTCTGATCTCGTTGATCCAACAATGGGAAACACGCAGAGTCTCAGCTGTTTCACCCTCTCAATCCACAGCAGATCTGACGCCCTCCAAAAAGCGAGACTCGAATGGGACACAGGCTTTGGCACCACCAGCTGTCAAAGACAGAGCCGAATATCTGATTCCCATTGATCAGCGAACATTGGTAGTCAAATACATGATTAACTTCATTACAACCTTGCCTGAGAGATATCCAGTACCAGCTGCCGAGCTCAAAACTAAGACAATGCAAAAGGCCCAGCAACAAGCCCAATCCAATGACATGTGTAAGAAGGCTGTGCAGTTGCTACGCGAGCTACTGGCTCCGAACTTGTGGGCCGATGTCGATGTCGGTCTTTACGAGAAGCTCTTACTCCCTATCCTTGCTGGAGAGAAAGCCGATAAAGCGGATGACAAACAGCTCACCTGTATGGTCAATGCCCTGCAAGTTATGCGCATATTAGTGGGCATCAAATCGCACGAGTGGATTGCCAACCACATGGAGGAGATTCAGAAACTCCTGGAGAAGTCCTTGAAAATGGAGGATCCAGAAATTCAAGACTGCTTGCACGTTGTTACCGATGAAACTTCCAAGCAATCCCCTCTCGTTCGACAGATCCTAGAGGCTATTCCAAAACAGAAAACCGAGGACGAAGATGCCATGGAGCTTGACCCTTCACCCTCAGACTTTCCTACCAGATTCTCGAAAGTCATGATAGGCGAAGCACTCTCCTCTGGAAATTACACTTCTGGTATCAACAACCTATGGACACTATCCCTGGTACGTCCGAGCGATGTTGACGATCACATTGCAGGAGCAATGAAAGCCCTGCAACAAAAGCTGGCGAAAGAGCACATCAATGCTTATGTTATTCCTCCTGGACCTCCGCCACAGGGTTGGCGACTTGGTGAACCGCTCATGGACCCTTATGAATTTGCTCTTGGTGTTGATCTCATTAAGAAGACGATCGATATTCTGTCTTCTCGAATGGGTGAACTCAACGAGCAACGTCGGCCGTTCTTGAGTGTACTCGCATCCTTGGTTGAGAAATCTTTCAATGTCGAGATGTGCAGTAAAGTGCTTGACATGGTGGAGAAATGGGTCTTCAATTCGAATGAAGCGTGGCCGACACTCAAGGAGAAGACTGCTGTACTTCACAAGATGCTCATATTTGAGAAGTGGCCAACTCAGAACTTGTTGGAACGTTTCCTTGAGTTGGTTATCAAGATCTATGAGGATCCCACTGTTACAAGAACCGAGCTGACAGTTCGTTTGGAACATGCTTTCCTGATAGGAACTCGTGCGAAAGATGTGGAAATGCGAAACCGATTTATGAGTATCTTCAATCGTGCACTGTCCAAGACAGCAAGCTATCGACTTAACTATGTCTTGACTCTGCAAAATTGGGATACTCTAGCCGATTCATTTTGGCTCAAACAGGCCTCCCACCTCATCATGGGCTCGGTAGAAATGTCCATGCCAGCTCGCTTACACCCAGAAGATATCAGGATGGCTCCGGTTTCACAACTGTTCAGTGCGACATTGGTGAATCCTGACCAACGAAAGGATGATCTTATGATTGAGGACAGTCTTGAATCCTTGGTCGTGGCACAGCGTCGCTTCAATCAAGATATCGAAGAAGTCAAGGTGCGCGATTTACTCGATCCTATCACCCAGTTGCAGCACATAGACGATTCAGTGGCCTATGACGTCTGGGTCAAGCTTTTCCCATTGTGTTGGTCGGCTCTCAACAGAGACGAACGGCTTGATCTCGAAAAGGGTATGGTCACACTTCTGACCCGTGAATATCATCAGAGGCAACTCAACTTGCGGCCTAATGTTGTCCAAGCCTTACTCGAGGGTGCTGTACGAGCCAGACCTAGATTCAAGGTTCCACCTCATGTGATGAAATTCTTGAGTAAAACTTATGACGCCTGGTATACTGCTCTCATCTCGCTTGAAGAATCCACAGTCGACCCTCTGATCGATACTCCACAAGTACGAGAGAGCAATCTTGATGCGCTTGTTGAAGTCTATGCCGGTCTACAAGAAGATGACCTATTTTACGGGACCTGGAGGCGAAGATGTAAATTCATGGAAACGAATGCGGCCCTTTCCTACGAGCAGCATGGTATCTGGGATAAGGCCCAGCAGCTGTGGGAATTGGCGCAAGTCAAAGCCAGAACCGGTGTCGTTCCTTTCTCACAAGGAGAATATTTTCTGTGGGAAGACCATTGGATGATTTGCGCTCAGAAGCTACAGCAATGGGATATTCTTGGTGAATTCGCCAAGCACGAAAACTTCAGCGATCTCCTTCTGGAATCTGCATGGAGAAACTATGAAGCATGGTCTGGGGATGAAAACCGAAATCAATTGGACGGTATGATCAAATCAGTTTCTGATGCACCAACACCGAGACGGACTTTCTTCCAAGCCTTTATGGCGCTTCTGCGGTACAACTCGAAGCAAGTTTCTCGCGCAGAGTTCCAGCATGTTTGTGATGAGGCTATCCAACTTTCAATCCGCAAATGGCATCAACTTCCTAAACGAATCACCAACGCGCACATACCAATTTTGCAAAACTTCCAACAGCTGGTTGAATTGCATGATGCTAGTGTGATTTGCGACAGTCTGATGGGCACGAATGAGCGCAACCTCGACAATAAATCACAAGAAGTCAAGCTCTTACTGCAAGCCTGGCGAGACCGCCTTCCGAATATTTGGGATGATATCAATGCTTGGCAGGACCTGGTCACATGGCGTCAGCATGTATTCCAACTTGTCAATTCGACGTATCTGCCGCTGCTACCTCAAGGTGGAAACAACGTCGGCAACAACTCCTATGCTTTCCGTGGCTACCATGAGACTGCTTGGATAATCAACAAGTTTGCTCATGTAGCCAGAAAACACCAAATGCCGGAAGTTTGCATCAATCAACTTGGGAAAATCTACACATTACCCAATATCGAGATCCAAGAAGCTTTCCTCAAATTGAGGGAGCAAGCCAAATGTCACTATCAAAACAAATCAGAGCTCAATAATGGTTTGGATGTGATTAACAACACCAACCTCAACTATTTTGGTGCCCAACAAAAGGCTGAATTCTACACCCTCAAGGGTATGTTCTTGGCCAAACTTCAACATGCAGAAGAGGCGAATGAAGCTTTCGGTGTCGCATTGTATTATGATCTGCGCTTACCGAAAGCATGGGCTGAATGGGGTCAGTACTCTGATCGCAAGTTCAAAGAGAATCCAGTCAATATCGAAGCTGCCAGTAACGCAGTTAGTTGCTACCTTGAGGCAGCGGGGCTCTATAAGAGTGCCAAATCCCGAAAAATGCTTAGCCGTGTGCTATGGCTCCTCAGCCTGGACGATGATGAAGGACATATTGCAAAGGCATTCGAAGATTTCAAAGGGGAAACTCCAATCTGGTATTGGACCACCTTCGTTCCTCAACTATTGGGAAGTCTCGAGCACAAAGAAGCATTACTTGCCAAATCAGTGCTCGCCAAAATCGCCAAAGCATTCCCTCAAGCGCTCTTCTATCATCTACGGGCAACACGGGAAGAATTTCTTACCAAGAAAAAGCAGTTCGAAAATCAAAAGCGACAACAACAAGCCAAGCAAGAAAAGGCTGAAGGTGGCTCTCGACCAGGCACAGCTAATGGTGAAACACCAGCAAAGGAAAGCTCGTCACCTAAACCCAAGCAAGAGGCCAACGGAGAAACTCAAACCAACGGGACCGAAGTTGAAAAAGTCGAAGAACCCAAGAAGCCTTGGGACCATACTGATGAGATCATGGCTGGATTGAAGACCGCTTTCCCATTGCTCGCCCTTAGTATGGAGACAATGACCGATCAATTATCCAAGCACTTCAAATGTCCACCAGACGAGGATGCTCACCGTCTTATTGTTGCACTTTTGAATGATGGTTTGGCATACATCAGCAGAGCTCCCATCAACTATGCTGAAGGCTCTAAATTGCCACAGTCAACAGAAGCCAATATCGCCCGCTTTGTGACATCTGTGCTCCCAGCTCACATCCGCAAATCCTTCGAAGCTGATTTCGTACAGCAAAGACCAACCATGTATGAATACATCCACAAGTTGAGACGATGGCGAGATAAATTCGAACAGAAACTGGACCACAAGCAACAATGGAATCCTCTCGAGAGCTATAGTCATCATCTGAGCGAGTTCAAGTTCTTGAAGTTTGATGATTCCATTGAAGTACCAGGACAATATCAACAACACAAAGACAAGAACACTGATTTTGTTCGCATCGAACGCTTTATGCCTACCGTTGAGGTTGTCCGTGGCAACAGTATATGTCATAGGAGACTGACTATTCGTGGCCACGATGGTTCGCTGCATCCTTTCGCAGTGCAGCATCCAACTGGAGGTAAAGTCCGCCGAGAAGAGCGGATTGTGCAATTGTTTCGAATTTTCAATCAGACGTTGGCCAAACGAAAAGAATCACGCCGTCGCAATCTGTACTTCCATCTTCCGATGTTTGTCCCGATTGCCCCTTACATTCGCCTAGTACAGGATGATTCCTCTTACATCACTTTGCAATCCGTGTACGAAGACTACGTTCGCAAAGTGCCTGGTATGTCACGCGATGATCCCATGATGTTCCTCCTCGAGAAATCACGAGCCATTGCCGAGCAACAGAAGTCTTCGCCAAGATCGTCTGAACAACTTGCTGTCATGAAGACCGAAATCTTCAACACAATAAAAGAACGCTGGTTACCAAGCACGGTTGCCCTCCACTACTTCCAAGCGATTTACCCCAATTTTGCGGACTTTTGGTTATTCCGCCGACAATTCGCGTATCAATTCGCAGCGACGACATTCATGACTTATATCATGCACATGTCTGCACGATATCCCAGCAAGATCGCAATTTCTCGAGCCACAGGCGATATCTGGGCAAGTGATCTCCTTCCCAACCTCAATTCCGCCAAAGCCTACTTTTTCAACCCAGAAGCAGTTCCCTGCCGCTTGACACCAAATCTTCAAACACTGATCGGCCCCCTCGCCATTGAGGGCATCTTCACCGCCTCTTTGATGGCGATCGCACGCTGCCTCGCCGAACAAGACCAAGGCTACGAAATGGAGCAGCAGCTCAGCATTTTCGTCCGCGATGAGATGTACAACTGGGCAGCCGGGCGGTCACATTCGAGTAGCGAATCCAAGATGGAGGGTCAGCATCTCCGGGAGCTGGTTTCGCAGAACGCCGACTTCGTCGTGCGCAGAGCCCTGACGCTGGCGAAGACTCAAGGGAGTGTGGGTAATACCCCTGAGGCAGCGGGTGTGGCAGGTGTTCTTCCAGCGTGCCAGAATGTCGTGGATCTTGTCAGTAGAGCTACAGATCCCATGAAACTGAGTGCTATGGACGGGTTGTGGATGCCTTGGTTGTAAGATGGAGTGGCGATGTTAATTTGGATGGAGAGCATCTGACCAGATTGGGCGGATGAGAATGATTTGTTTACTCGGCGAGCATGGCGTTCAATTGGAAGCTATCAGTTATGGGAAGGACTGGGATTGACGATGATTAACGATTATTGGGACGAGGTTTCAAACGTAAATGACTTTGGTGGAAAAGAAGGAACGTACGCCTCTTTCCGTCGTTGTCTGCAATTGGCGATCAGAGCAGCGAGCCAGCGACGGTGGCAGAGTTTATTTCATGTGTGTATATCATTCTGCAAAGGGACGGGGCATCTAGGAAATGACCTGGGATCGCTCGGCGCGGATGGCAGGCCCAGGCTTTCGTTCTATTGCGTGTAGCACTACCTTGTCAAGTTAAGAGAATTGTATTTTCTTCTTCAATTTGCAATCTTCCTTGTGACGACGGTGTCCTTGTTCGGCATAAGGGCTCTTAAGGAGTGACTCGGTTTGATTCTGAAATATACATCCCATTACCAAAGCGTGGCTAGCGACTCTGCGCGTTCAGCACCAGCACCACCGATGAGCTTATCCCTCGCAGATCATCTGTACATCGTCAGTGGGAAATCTCTGCGGAAATCTCACCGGCCCACTGAGGGCCTCAAGTACGCTGCGCGCAACATCTGCAGCAGCACCGGTATATATCCCAAAAGAACTGTTCGTTGGGAAGCCAAGTCCCTGCAGAACATTAACCCCACTATTGCCCAACGCACCAACAGCTTTACCATGGCTGTAAGCCTCCTTCACAAATGCCGTTGCCTTGACATCCAAACCTACAGGACTGTTCGTAGTTGTGTTGTCTGTCGGTGAAGACCCAATAAGCACTGCATCGTAGAAGACACTACTGGCAGTAATGAAAGACGCCGAAGCGTTGTTCCCTGTCTGAAGCTCGCCCATGCGAGGCCCGATTATCGTCAGCGTGACATTCTGTGCTTCCAACAACGGCATCACGGCCAGGAAATCCGCGGAGCTGAACAGGGTGTCATTGGCGATGACAGCAATGTCGAGCCCGGCATTGGACTTGTTCGCTTGTCGACCAGGTGCTAGTGGGTAAAGACTGGGATATTCGGCTTCACCAGACGTGCGGTTATCGACAGGTCCAGAACCTACTGCAGGCATTGTTGCACCTACCCCATAAGCGACACGTCGTGCCAGACAATTGTCAATCGAATTTAGTGTCTGGTCAATGTATGACTGCACGACCGAGGCATTTGCAACGTTGCCGAGCTCGAAGCGGTACGCATCAACGGTATGTTGCTGGGCATAAACGTCCAGCCCAAGCCAGAAAAGACGTGCCTGGCCGAACCAGTCGTAGACTGGCGCATAACGGCCGACATTACCTGTGCCTGCCGTCTGACCGGAAGCGGGACTGTATTGTAGACTTTGCTGCTGATCCGCACTGATGACGCCCCCAAGAGTATTTGGGGTGGAGATTGATGCGCCTCGATATATGTTGAACTGCATGTAACCGTCACGATAATTGTTATTGATGGGCGCTACTGGACGATTGACAGGTAACATATAACCATTCGGCGAGTTGTGGCGGTGTGTTGCGGTATCGTCGTAAGACATCAGCCGCCATTGCAGGAGTGGATCGGGAACGAAGCCGACACCGTCGACCACGTTACTTGGTGCAAACGAGATTGACTCGGGTTCTGCGAAGAAGTTCTCGAAATTGCGATTCAGCGTCAATTTTCCGAGCTTGATCGGAGGATTTCTCTCAAAGGGAATGACGACAGTGGGAATCAAGAGATCGAAATCCTCAAACATATACGTGCCATCGTCGGGAAAGAGCTGCACTGCAAACTCCCACTCAGGGTAATTGCCGGCAGCGATGTTGTTGTATAGATCTACACGTTGAAAGTTGTTGTTCTTTCCCTGCAACGTGGTGACCTCGTCATAGACAAGAGATCGGTGGCCGAGGACAGGAATCCAGTACCATTTGATCAACTGCGACTGACCTTGAGCATTGATGAAGCGAAAAGTGTGAACGCCATTGCCAGAGATATGTCGAACGTCCCTCGGTAAGCCAAGATCAGAGAGGACTGTCATAAGCTGGAAAGCACCCTCAGGATGTTGATTGAAGAAGTCATACGCTGTTGTGTGAGCAGAGCCGCCTGTAGGAAAGCCTTTGTCGACCTCAAATTTGACGGCATGAACCAAGTCTGGAAAGTCGGATCCGTCATTGATGAAGAATGATGGAACGTGATTCCCGACTAAATCTTGGTTGCCACATTGACTGTAAATCTTCGTGGCGAAACCGTGCGTGTCCCTCCCAGATTCGCTACCGCCCAAGCTCGCAACGACGACTGAGAATCTGGTGAACACTTCACTCACAGCTCCTTCTTGTAGCCAACAGGCCATGGTCAAATTACTCCAATCGCCATACGATTCGAACTTGCCATAGGCGCCATGGCCAAGAGCGTGGACCACGCGCTCGGGCGTACGCTCACGGTCAAAATGCAACAGCTTTTTCCTCACCGAGGTGTCCTCTAGCAAATTGAAGCCGCGTGGGCCAGCTCGCAGAGAGTTTGACGTGTTGACCTTGACACCGTTGTCCGTTGTTTCGACCTGGCCCCCGGTGTCCACAGTCGCGCCGTTGAGTTGCGAAAGCTTCGGTATTGTCAGCACCAAAACGTCACCAGGTTATCGTAGCCTGACCTTTTCACTAGATACATCTTGCGTTACAACGGTGATTGCGAGAACGCTGAATATGACCGTTGCTAATGCCCTCATCTCGGATCGTTGTCCTGAATTACGTTGGCGAGCTGGCTATCTGGCGTGGTTTCCAGCATCATGAGAGACCAAATTGCTGTTATATACTGCTATGCAAGACCGTCTGAGGGTTTCTGGGATTCGCTTTCGCAGACCACTCGTTCCCGCCCCACTAGAACAGCGCTCTCGTCATGCTGCTGCAAGCAACAGCGTGCCAAATTATGAAAGATGACACGCGTACTGGCTTTTGAGTTCAAGCCCAGCAGGCTGCTCGGGCGAAGAGTCAATATTGATATGTTGTTCGTGATGTTGAGTCTCACTGATTCGCCAGATCGACACCCTGATTTGTTTCTTTGGCTCCGATCAATATGACCGCATCAAAGATATTTGAATTACACAGGGCCTCTCGAGGCCTCATCCTTGAATACTACGTAGGCCCGTCATCTTCGTTATCGACAACAGCACTCAAGTGGATGCCGTAATCAAACCTCTGTGTATTGGAGAAGCAAGATTCCATAATCAGATCTCTATTTCTATGTATGTACCTAAATTAAAGTGGAGAACTTGGAGAAAGCTTATTGACAAGAACCACCACTTAGGCCTCACCAAAATCGACTCATTCCACTACCGCATTACAAAGAGAACTCGATGATGCCACGTAAGACTGACAGTAACTCTCGGGGTTGATTAGAATACCAGCGACATACGGTGCTCATTTTCTTAACGGATCAAGACTCATATGACGATCCATACCTCGACCACTAATGAGCCGTCAGGAGAGACGACATAGCAGATCATGGGTTAGTCCATATATTCAGCAGTTTGTTCCCGTTCCCGTTGTCGAGAGCAGAAAGATGTTCTCGGAAACCCACCGCGCACGATATGACCTTTCTCAGTCTTAATGACTAACAATATTGGTTTGGCTGTGCGGACTTTACACATCGCGAACAGGGCGGCATGCCACGAAAGACTAATGCGTACGACTCATGTCATAGAATGTAGCCTGGTAGCTGGAAGCAAGCTTCGAAGATGAGCTTGGTGTTTTGTTTGATAGCATTCTATAAGATTGCGCGTTTGCGTCACATACGTTCCTCAACAGCTTGGTCGAGCTCTCGAACACCTTTCACGTGATGGCCCCGGATTACGCAGGCTTTGGTAATTCGGATCGACCCGAGCTCAAAGACTACCCTTACACCTTCGTCCGTCTCGCCGACACCACCGACAAGTTTACGCAGCAGATTGGCCTGTGTTGGAAAAGGATAATGATCAACAGGATCGCCAGGATCGCCAGGAGGCGACTATTAGGGCTAGGTCAGGAGCCAGAATAGGGGCTAAATATGCCTCTAGAAGGATGTCTCTGCAGTCTAGATTTAGTACAGAATCACACAAGTTTCGTCGCCGACCCTTTCTGCCCTTCCAACAATTCTCGACCAGGTCTAATAAACATAAAGTTACGTTTCAAAATCCGGAGTTATGGCAAGATCTCACCGTACTGCGCGGCGTATGCATTGCTTTGCTCTAAATTGTCCTTCCACTCGGCTCGGAGAGGAGGTAACCAGGGAAACTTCTGCAATATGCTCACGAGAGTATCCCATTGTCGCACTTTTGGGAATCGTTGCTTGAAGCTGCTAAATAGTCTCATACCGTCGTACTCTAGCACACTTGTAGTTTTCCATGTGCTGATAATCAATATGCCATGGAAGATGAGATTGTCGCGCTCAGCTTCGGTCTGTGGCTGATATTCTATCGCCAGCTCTGTTCCTTCGGAACGAAGAGCCTGGAAAACCGACGAGTTGAGTACTATCCTGCGGTAGTACAAACTCGACATCTGGAGGTAGTGAGCTATGCAGAATATTCTTTCCAAGGGCGACGACCTTGAATCCATAGCCTCCAAGATGCGCCACAGATGGATCAGCGTGGCGTAGAGTGGGCTCACCAAATCCAGATGGCCTGCTCCTGAAACCGAGGCAGAGTTGAAGCGAACTTGCATTTCCCATCCTATTGTTCTTGCGAGGTGCTCTATCATCTCTACACTTAGCGCGTGCTCCTGGTACGCGAGCTCCTGAAAGCCGCAAGGAAGCATAGATAGCATATTGACGATGATTTTTGGGTACGGCAAATTCAAATACCTCAACGGGTTTATATCCCGGATCTTGTTGTCAGTGGAGAGAAACGAGTCCTCCACCTTCTTGACTAGGTATTGATGTCTAACAGATTAAACACTGCTTCTATACCAGTCATGGAACGATAAGCTCACCTAGATTTGACGGAATTACAGTAGTCATTCAGCTTCCCTGCCATCGACTTCGAAAGTGCTTCCAAGCCTTTCTGATGATAGCCAAGAGCGTTCTCGTCGCCCAATAGCGCCTAACACCATTAGACATGGTAGAAAGTATGTTGTAGAGCTTGAATAAATACCTCTGTCTGCATCGTGCATAGAATATTCAGATAAGTCTCGTTATCGTACAGGTCTTGGGAAAGTCTATGTCTGACAACAGAAATGGCTTTGCCCCTGTGGTGAAGGGCTGCGGAGATCTGGAACTGAGTGGGAAATTGGGTAGCTAGCCAACTGTAGAACATGCCCATGACCGCATGTTCAACCTCCCCGAAACTGATTGTCGAGAAGAAGGCAGCCGCACTCACACTACCAGCATCCAACATGACCTGCCCAGGGAAGAAGAAAAATGGATTCCCTTGAAAGACTAAACTGCACTTAGTCATCTCTTGGTCAGGAATTATACGGTGCTAGCCAAAGTATGAATACCCAAAAACAGCCCTGGTAGTGGAGAACTTACACTGCTGAAGCGAAATTCCTGCATTTAAGCTTGCAGGCACTGCATTTAGCACACGCCTTAATGTGACAACATCCTGCGGATCATATCTGGCCTTATCATGAGTAGTAGCTGTCAACTGCTTTTGCCGATGCTGGATGATGGGTGCGGTGCCATGCCTCCAGCTGAGAAATCCTTGAATGACGCCGTCCCGCCGAACGAGAGCATCTTTGGTCCTCTTCTGTCGCCTGTATCTGCCGATATACGAAGCTGTTTGGGAACGAACTTTTGCACTGGTCATTTCCTCGGGGCCATTAAAGGTGATGAAGCTGTCAGACGTGACTAGTGGTTGCTTTATCATCTTGTGACCACTTCCAGGAGTTCACAGTACTACAATACGAGTACCTTGAGAATTTTTGAAATTCTTTGGCAAGGGTGATCAAATGCTTATTATTTCATGTGGATTTTAGGGAACGGACTAAGCGTCTCGTCGCAATGCTGACAAAGATATCAGATATCTTGAAGGTCAGCCTCTTCCGTGACTTGAGCTTGGAGTCTGCGGTACCTCGTAGTCCTTCCACCAAAGCGACCAAGGAAGTGCGACAGCGTTCCTGACTACCCAATCGCATAGCAAGAACTTATCCGAGCAATTGTCAGAATACGATGCCCCAGGACTCACCGGTAGATTACCCCGCAGTATGCATCGGTGCAGGGACGGGAGGGCGACGTACTTGGTACCTCTTCTTGTCGTGTCCGATCTTAGGAGTCCACCTCTCAGTGTGCCTACAGATAAGCTCTCCAGGAACGGAAACTATACTTAGTATTTCAGGAAATTTCGCAATGGCTGACGGTCTTAAATCCGCATCAAACTTGCCAAAATTGGTTAGCTGTCACAGCACTAACCCGCACTGGGACTAGCGCCGTGCATGACTCCCCACAACACCTACGAGTACTCTACGAGTCGGTTCTCCTTTCTACACCTAGTTAGAACCTCCTCGTATTCGTTTTGAATCGTAATCGAGCATCAGTCGTGCATTAGCTCACCTTCTGGAGCTCCAATAGTTCGATTCTTGTCACGGCCTTAGGAACGGCGCATCGTGGGAAATGCTCAATGATTGAAAGGGATTGTGATGGCAGCAGAAAATATAGAGTGCTGCATTCGGCAGGGACTGTGATTACGAATGCTGCGCCTCTTCCGGTCCCTAATAACTACCTCGTCTTTGATGAGAAGCGAAGCATGACATCTGTGTGATCCCTTTCTAGTTCATTTGCTGTCGGGATTTTGCCCAGGAAAACCCCCAGCTTGAGTTGGGTAGTGTCTTTGTTGGAGGCCAGTAGAGCAATTCGCTTCTCCGAACTCTGGCTGGTGAGATCTGGTTTCGTAATAGTACCCACAATTAGTCAGTACTCGAACGAATTAACCCAATCAGATCGAAAAATTCACACGGCTTGAGCACCGAACCTCCCATCTTCTGGCGTTTATGATTCAACGGCGCAATGAGACTCTGGAGGAATAGAGGGTTGATAGACCGCGCATACCACCACCGTCCAGTGACAGTAGACACAGACCCATATCGCGGCTCAGGTTTGGCACCCCCGCCAGTCATGCTGTCGCAGCGAGTGTTTGTGCCATACTGGCATACGATTTTAGGAGACATGGGAAGATGAGGCAGTAGTCGATAGGTTAAATCGATGTGAGGGCTCGAGGGCAACACAGACTTTACGAGGCCTTCACCAAGGCCTCATAAAATATCCTACGCCACATCTACTTCTAATTGTAACCATATCCACCGGCCAATTTCTCCCACCATACTAGACGCTCCTTAGCCCTGTTGAGTGAGGCACGATCCCATCTGGCCCCACTACGCATCAGCATACTTGGCCTGTGCCCTAGGCAAGCGCTCCTCAATACGAGCGATCCAGTAAGCACTGTCGCCCCAATATTCCCAGATGTATGGATGCGCCATACTGCGGTTCGACCACGCATAGAAGACAGGCGTCTCGGCTTCGATGCGCTCCCTGAGGGCCTTGGGGAGGATTTTGCCGTTGCTGAATTCCAGGAGACGCATCGAGAATGGGATGATATGAATTTCGGCGAGGGTTAGTTTGGGTGAGGAGAGGAAGTATGGTGGATTGTGAGAGTCGGATTGTGGGTTCGTGGTTCCATCCGTGAGGTATGTGCTGGGCAGATGTTTGATGAGGAACGGTTCGATCTCCGTTTTCAGGTTGGTGAGAATCGAGTCGATGATTTGTTCCTTGGAGGCAGGGGTGGCAGCGCCGACGAGCTTGAACATCATTGGGTTGACTTTGGTGAAGTATGTGTCCGTCAAGAAGGATGTGAGGTAGTGCTTATGGATGGCTTCCAAGGGTGCAGCAGGAGGTGGTGTCAGGTGCGATGGGTGGAGAGAGGTGAGGAACGTTATGATGAGAGAAGATTCAGTCAATGTATGTGTCTTCTCGGGTGTCGAGGTTGATGTGTATTGCAGAACAGGGACGAGGCCTCGCTGGAATAGAAGACATAAGTACATGTGGCAAGCAGGGATATGATACATTTGAAGAAGATTCATGCGGAGAATGTCTGCAACTAAAGGGGGTGATTTGGACAGCGACTTGGATTGAGTAGCTCAATGCAGTGATTGGCAAAGAAGATTCATCATTCTCTCTGTGTGGTAGGTGCGTAAGACCGAACATACCGGATTCAACTCCAGGAACCAATCCGGCCTAGGGTTATCAAGGTCAAGAAGGACTTCCTGGTATGCAAGCCCGAGTTCCCTCAAGGTAATTTGCACCCGTTGGGACCAACCACATCCATGATTTGTGTAGAGTATGATCTTTGGATCCGATAAGGTGGTGGAAGGCATGTTGTCTAGAATAGGATGTATGTGCTAGGAGCACAGTACAGACCAAAGTGGTACTCGAATGGTTCTAAAAATGCTTTGATGAAGACCAAGTGCCGCTCAAGTTCTCGCCACAAACCGGCTCCAGTGGAAGAAAGAGAGAAGGATTTTATGGAAGGATTCAGGCAGAGGAGGTTTAACTTATATACCTCGAGCTGAACCTCCCGCTAATTTCCAGGGTGTGCTAGCACAACACGAGCGTGACCCAGCAACGCGGATTTAAGGCCGGATTTTCCTCCTTGAAACCGGTCGAAAATCGTCCGAACACTGCAGACCGCTGCGGCGGAGATGGCAAACCTGTTTTCAACGCATTCATCAAATTTCGTGGTGTGTCGTGAAGTTCTTTGTGGAGAAATGCGTGGGTTGTGGTTGAGAAGTGCTGGTTTGGAAGTATTTTGATATGTCCAAGGCTGTGGTGGAAATTGTCAGTCTGGTCGAGCGAAGTTGTGAGCACGGCTTTCGAACAAGGAGGCCCAGAGCCTTGTCACGTGAGAGCAATGGGCCGAGAGGCTACGGCCGAGGACACGGAGGAATGTCAAGAAGTGGACAAAAGAGTTTGGGTGGGCGTAAGTGGAGAGGATTAACGTAACGAAATTCGTTGTCATTGGTTCTATTGATACTATTGGTTTACATTCTTCATGTGACTTTAGTCAGTGAGACTGGCCTGATTTGCACCCTACATTTCCCGCAACGCCACGTGACCCGGTATCTCACAATCGACAAGCGGCTGCAGTCTGGCATGTAACAAACCATACTCATGGTCGAAAGAGCGTTATTGCTGGTGCCATGATTTCAGTCGGCATAAAGAGAGTCTCGTACTTAATGTGGCGAGAGATACCGGAGTAATAAAAGTCAACAAACACACGTTCGTGACGACCCCGAAAGCAAGGAATTTGCACGCTGTATTTGGAATAAGCGACGCGAGGTATTGCCCTGATTGCATGATGACAGAGAATTGCAAGACTGTTAGATAGCTTGCTTGAGTCGGTGGTTTTGGAATTACCGCTTGCGGCAGGGATACCGCGATGGTTGCTGGATGTTTCTCAATGGATTCAGTCTGTTGCTGCGGCGCTTGAAGCTCAGACAGGAGTTCCTTCTTCAAGGAATCATGCGAGACCGAGAAGTCCGACTTCATAGCAAGTATTTGCTGTTGTAATTCTCGAATCTCATCCATGGCGTAAGTAAAACGTTTTTGCAACGCCAGATCTGCATTCTGTGGATATGCAGGTGGAGGTGTGATAGGACTGCGGCCAGGCACAGCGAGTCGCTTTCTCGCAAGTGCTGCCGCACTCAATGTTGTGCTTCGAGGAGGATGGACCGCAGGATAACTCAAGTTTGCAAATGTCTGCTCATTGACCATCGGACTTCCCCAACTTGCGGTACTACTGCTCACAGGCGTGAATTCTTCATCGTCGAAACGCCAAGGAATATTTTCGAACGTGGTTTTGAGCGACGACATCAATAATTCATTGTTGTTGATCCCTGTATCGACTCTGAGCTTCATGCGTGGGTTGTTGGGTGCTATGATCTGAGGGATTGACTCGGTCGTCTGAAGTCGCATAATAGCCTCCTTAACAAGAGGTAGGACATGATTTAATGCCCATTCACCAATAGCTTGAGTCCAAACAAGAAACTTATTGAAGTGCGCGTCCTTGCTGAGATCGAATTGACACAATGGCGCCATGCAGTATGTCTGATCGCGATCAATCCAGTGGAGGTTGAGCAACGCGAAACTATTGTCGATGGTGCACGAAAAGGATACCGGTAACTCCGGCATCATTTTTCCTTTCCACGCTTTGACGTACAACATCTGTAACGCTCTGGTCGTATAAGCTCCATCTTTCGCACATTGATTATTGGCTGATTCGACCCGGTGCTCCCTGTTCCCGAATGCTCTCTCAAAGGTGAGGAATGGGCAGTACATGGTCGCGCTGGGAGAAACGTAGCCTGTATCGAAATGAACAACGGTTCCGGATGCGTGAAGCCATTGAGGGAGGGTGGCCAACTCCTTGATAGTGAAGGCGCTTGCGGAGAAGCCACATCCAAGTACTGGACGAGGTAGGGAGAGTTCGTAGAGTGGTCCCAATTGGTTGATTGCTCTGTCAGGTAATGCTTCCCGACTGAGTGAGGGAACCATGCAACGAGCAAGACGACTTTCCTGGTCGATTGGTGGAAGAAGATTTGGAGGGAAAAGAGGTGATGGGCCGAATCCACGACCTGTCTTGACTTGATTCCAGAAACACGTTTTTTGGTCATCAAATTTTGTCGTATCTTGCATGGCCGCTTCGACAATGGCAATGAATGAGCTCGGAATCCGTTCCTTTGGTGGTGCGTCCAGAACTTGAATGCGGTGAGGAGCTAGTACCTCAGATCGGAACGACCTCCATGAGAGATGGGTCCCATCAAATGACGAAGAGGGCATATCACTTGAGGGTGATGATCTCGAAGAATCACTTCCTCCACCACCACCATCACGACCACTTCCACTTCCACTCCTGCTACTACCACTCCTGACGGACATTGTCGCAAGGAAAAGAACGGTTGGAGATGTCTTGATGGATAAACAATGTCGTCCAGCGACTGAGAATATACTCCTCCAGGGAATTATTGAAAATTAAGGCCACAATTAGATCGATAGCGCAACGAAAAAAACACAAAAACGGGCAGAGTAAAATTGATGAGATGTATAGGAAAAGAAGCTCAGAGCTTGCCTGGTAATGGAAGGGAGGGAAGGCGCTCATGGAAAGGGCTTAGTCTCCCTTAGGGCGCTCCATGCCATTTTCAAGTCGATCACTGGGCGGATAGGCAAAAGAACGAACCTTTCCGAGCAACAATTGGTCCAGCCACGAAATATTCAAGCTCGACCGGACATGGTCTTCCGAATGAATGCCATAGCTGGGAGAGCCGAGCTCCAAATTTGGTCCCTGAAACAGCAGGGGAAGCGACCAAGGTACACGGTGCCAAAGAATCTGCATGCTGTCTCATCAGAATAGAACAGGTGAAGTTTGGGGAAAGTCTTCGAGAGTCATTGGAGCATGTTAGGCGCCTACCAACATATGCAGTGGATACAAATGTGTGTCTTTGAGTGATTGAAGGAAGCCAGAATCCGAGGTTGAGATTAGACTTGGTGTATCAACAAACGCTAGCCTAATGAGGCTAGAACAACGGAATGGTGGGCGGTTAACTGTCGTATCTAGACCAATCGTCGAATAAGGGGGGTATTTCGGGGGCCCATCGTCACTTTTTCCCAACTCTCGCTCGTGCTCATCTTCTTGTCTTCTATTTCCTCGACACCGTAGAAGGTTAGTAGTTACGAGGACCCGCGAACGAGGTCAGTTGAAACCTTTTCAAGACTACTCAATTGGATGCTAATCTGGTACCTGATATGCACGATCGTCACGAGATAAACGGCGCCTGCAGATACTGTGAGGCGGCCAGCTCTGGAGTTCGATCTGATGACGGAGCCAGACACCGGTTCTCAAGCCTGGGACTCAAGGAAAGGCCATGTAAAGTAGAGACGAACTTCGCATTCGTGCTCTCAAGTGGTCAAAGTCGTCATGAAGGCACACATATATGTGGAGTTTGCAGCAGCACATTTCTTCCTAGACTGGGTCCCTGTGCAACTATGAAGTATGTTGAGTCTTTGGTCCAGTGGAACATTAACCATGTGGTTGTATGGTGTTTTCGAATAACGAATATACCCAGTAGCCAGAAATCATGATCCTGGATTGAGAGCACAGAGCCTCCACTTCCAGCACCGAAATCTCTCCACACCAACAATGCAAATCTCACAAGTTTGTAGCCGCCCAGTTACCATATGCCGCCCAGATCGACTTAGTGTCTTCGCTACTGCAGGCACCACTTGGAGAGTCCGCCAATAGCCCAAATCCAATGCACGTGTGGTCTTAAATATAGATCCTCGTCTATCGATGTTAGTCCGCAAGTCCACTACTGAGGACGGGATACGTTTCAATAGTCTGTATATCTGTTTTTGCACTAGAGATGGAGTCGATCGTGTTGCTGAAATTAGAGTCAATAGATATCTGCATACCAGTACCAGTCTAAAATGCCTATTATCAAAGTGAATATCAAAGTGAAAAGACGATCGGTAAGAAAGAAGGGAAACATATATCTATTCACAACGCCCCTCTAGATCGCCTCAAGTAGCACCAAGCATTGTTTCTTGTTTCATCTTGATTCCATTACACATCTCTGACGTACCATACAGAGTATCGATCCACAACATTACCCCCTCGGCCAATCGACCACTCCCACTGTCAGGCTTGCACTGTGCCACGGCTCCCGTCTCGCAGGCATCAACTTCATACCGAAGTAATCCCATTTCACAACCACCATGGCTGCACAGATATCTTCGCAGAATGCCATGTCAGGCACCAATCTCCTCCTACCTCCATCTCTTCCAGAATCTAGATCGTCCTTGTCCAGCCAAGGCCAATACATACCAATTACTCACCTGACGAACAATTCCTATACCTCCAGCAGCTCACCATACAACAGTCCATTTTACCGAGAACACACATTGAGGCCGAACAATGTTATCATTGAAGATGCTGTACTGGACGAGGAGCGATGGAGCAGAACTGCTTTCGCGCTCGGAATGCCCTTAGGTGATGTGTTTCGTGCCACAAACGAAACACGGCGATTTGCAAACAAAATGTCTCGCAAATCAAATCTCACCGAGAAGAACATGGTGGATCTGATGATGGCATTGGTCCAAGCCGCAACAAAGGCGCACAAGAACGTGCAAACGCAGACAAATGCCACCTTTCATCAGGACGCCGTGCCCAATAGCACAATCACCGCAGACCTGCTGTCGAGTCCAGATACCTGGAGCATGCCTCTTCCAACCCCAAAACCGAACATCGTTGTCGGATTTGCCACCAAGACCTTCACACCACATGAGCTCGAACTACAGTCAGGAATCATCTCGACAGCGGCTGGCCTACCCTGTGACCTGGCTAAAGTTAGTCAGCCAACTCCAGAGGTCTTCTGGCCGTTTTTGACTGTCGACATTCATCCCGATTCACTCCACGCCGCCCAGAGTGCATCTGCTGGTTCTGCATCAACCTGCAACAATGCATTGGCACTATTGGCGGAGGCTGCAGAGGAACCAACTATTCAACGACAGGGTCGTCGACTGTTCTGGAATTCTCGGAGAGCTGTGCACAGTTTTAGCTTGAGCATCAACCTGGGCGGCAAGATTGCTAGTCTGAATTTACACGATTCCGAGGGTGGGCTGATACACCATTCAGCGATGATCAGAGTATACCGACTTGACGATGAGCGAGAGGTGGAGGCACTACTTTCACGTCTAACATCCATATGTGTATGGGCAGAAAACATTCGACTTCCTGCAATTGTGGACCTCTTGGAGAATTTGGGCGGGTTGGTAAAGCTAGAAAGTCAAAAGGTATTTGCCAGTGATGTCTTTGTCAATCAAGACTTGTCGCCTGCACATGATACTGGTTATGCGGGAAGTGCAGTCGGCAGCATCTCACCCGCGAAAAGATTTGGAGGTTTCAAATCTGTAATGAGGGATATTTCCCCTCGATGGCTGAGGGTTCATGCTTAATGGAAGCATGTAAGGTGGCGTTGACATGTATGGTGACCTCAAACAATGGTAATGTTTGTGTATAATCCGGCCAACCTAGGAAAAGGCTTTGGGATGCCGCAAAAGTCGATATAGATTTGAATAACTTGATAATGTAATGAGATTGATCGATCGAGCAAGCAGGCAAGCACTGTTTCGACCGGTTGTTGATGCAGTCCCTCTACCTTCATTCAGTTCAAGGTCTCCTATGCGACTGGTAAGATCGAGTCCGAATTGAAAAGCTGATAATGAACTTCCAGAGAGTGTCCGTCCATTCAGTCGTCATCTGAATCATAGTCCCCAAGTCCAAGCCCGGCAGGGGTGCTAACGATAGACAGTGGTGATGAAGTCTTGAGCTGTTCAGCTTTCCGGACCAAGCCAGGGACGAGTGGCTTTTTGATCTTTTTGGTCCTCTCAAAGGATGGAGGTGGTGGCTGTGTTGCGTTGTCAGGAGCAGGTTGGGGTCCATTATCGAGAGAGCGTTCCTCCTGCCTGGCCTTTGCTACATTGATGGCTCGAAAGGCATCCCGAGCGGCGTCGGCGTCGGCACGTTCCTGAGCTTCCCTTTGTTGATTTAGGAGTTCCCGGGTCTGGATGAGAGCCTCTTCTTCTTTGGCACCCTTCTCGCCTCGCTCGATACGAGCGTTTCTTTGCATGATCTCGTCGAGAGCATCCGCAACTTGCATTTCTCGTTTGCTTTCTTCCATTTTCTCCTCTAGCTCTTCCATGGCGTTTCTTTCAGCGTTTTCGGCTTCATCGGCCTCTTCCCTCTCCAGTCTGTCAAGCCTTTCCTCATCGGTTTCTTTGAGTTCGGCAGATGTAGAATCACGCCAGGATTCAAAATTCCTGTTGGCGCCTCTTTCGGCAGTGTAATCCATGTTCTTCGGGTCTGTTTTGAAAGTGATTTCTGAACTACATCGTGTACAGCGAATGTAGAAGCGGTAGATGGAAATGGTGAGATACTTTTCTTCAGTGGTCTCTTTTCGGGCGTTGAACTTCCGACCTTTGTAGATGTATTCACCACAAGAGGTACATTTCATGCTGAAGGGAGCCATAAGGCGGACTGGAATGGTTTTTGGGCCGGTGGGACGGAGATGCTTCGGAGTACGGGCGATTTTCGAGGGATCGAATTCAGGCGGGTAGTACTTGGTCAGTACCTTACGTTCCGACATGTTGGAAGAGGGTTAGCTGAAAGCCTGCGAGCAGCGAAATAGCTGTTCTCGACAACGGAAAAGATGTAGGGACGATGCCTGTGGTGGTCAAATCCCAGAAAACAAAGATTTAAGAGGGAGGCTCAAGGCTGACAAAAGTCGAGATGAGATACATGACTCGCGCCTGCCACTCTCATTTTCGCCTCGTGGCTTCCCCGCGCACCAGTTTCAAATGACCATAAATGACGCAAATATTCACGTGTCGCTTCAAGAAAGGATCATGGTCGTAAACATTGACCAAATTCATGAGGGTGGATTTGGTAGCCACCCACTACTGCTGCACTGCACCACCATCTCATCTTGGTATCGTTCTTTCGCCTAGCCCTATACGCCCAACGAAACATGGTCTTTCATTCCCGGCTCCGGTAAGGGCAGTTGCGCTATCATGGACAAGTACCTGCGGACCTGGAGACAGGACGCCCTCAACAAGGGCCAGCATGATGCTGCCATCTACATTGGAGACAAGGTGCTTGCTTTGACCAGTATGTGAGTAGTCCTATTCTTCACCCACTCATCCGCTGATCCACTCCCTTTTTCTTCAGACAATGACGCAGACGCTTTCTGGCTGGCTCAGGTCCATTTTGGAAATAACAACTTTACCCGTGCCCTTGCACTCCTCTCTCGAAAAGATCTAATTGCTCGAAGCTTGTCATGTCGATATCTGGCTTCCCATTGCTACATCAAACAGGGCAGATATGATCAGGCTCTCGAAGTTCTCGGCGAGGATAACCCCATACATCTAATTACAACCTCTCACAATGCCCGACGGAAATTGGCCCACATCAATGGTCGATCTCAGAGGAATGTCACCCAACGAGGCGCAAAGGCTCCAAGAGACAGGATTGAGCTGAGTGAAGAGCGGGATCGCGACCGTGAATCTGAGAAGGAACTCAAGTTTCAAGCGGGCATGTGTTATCTGCGTGGTCTCTGCTTTGCGAAACGGAATGCCTTCGATCGTGCAAGAGACTGTTACAAGGATGCCGTTCGTATCGATGTACAGTGCTTTGAAGCATTCGACCAACTTATGAAGAACTCTCTCATGTCTCCTGCCGAAGAGCTAGCGTTTCTAGAAGAGTTGGATTTTGATTCAATACGTATTGAGGATCAGTCCATGGCCCAGGAAGCCGCTCACTTCACCAAATTACTCTACACCACCCGCTTGTCCAAATACTCTTCGCCTGCAACCTTGGCCAACGCCACCGAAACTCTTTCTACCCACTATAACCTTGCCTTGAATCCGGATTTGCTACTGACGAGGGCAGAGACACTCTATACTCAGTGTCGCTTCTACGAGGCCCTCGCCATCACCACCAATATCCTCAACTCTCGGGAGACATCAGATTCATCCTCTACCCTCAATTCTGCGTCGACTGGTACCAACGCTGCCCTCGGCCACAGTCCTCGTCTGTATCCTCTCCACCTCGCAGTCCTCTACGAAACTGGCTCTCATAATACACTCTTCCACCTGTCGCATACTTTATCGACACATGCTCCACATGAGTCATATACCTATCTTGCTATAGGTACTTACTATCTTTCCACTTTCAGGATAGCGGAAGCTCGCCGTTTCTTCTCCAAAGCGTCTTTAATGGATCCACATTCGGCACCAGCCTGGATTGGTTTCGCCCACACCTTTGCCGCCGAAGGCGAACATGATCAAGCCATTGCCGCCTATTCGACTGCCGCGAGGTTGTTTCAGGGTAGTCATCTTCCTCAGCTATTTCTTGGAATGCAACATCTCGCCCTGAACAATATGCAGTTGGCTTGGGAGTACTGTCTTGCTGCGTTTGAAATGAGCAGTGGTGCCATCAAAGCTGAAACCGAAGACGATCTTGGGACGAGGATTTCAAACAGCAGTAGTAGCGTCGGAGGTGATCCTTTGGTTCTCAACGAAATTGGCGTGATTCTTTATCATCAGGCCAATCTACCAGCAGCAGCCAAACTCTTTCACAAGTCCTTGGAACTCGCTTCAGATCTCGGCTGTGACATGACAGCTTGGGTTGCAACTAGGGCAAATTTGGCACATGCTCTGCGGCGGCTTGGCAAATTCGAAGAAGCTCTAGCAGAATTTGACGAATGTCTGAGAACTACCACTGGAGGTGCAGCTCCAGCAACTGGAGCGTTGGAGCCTAGCCGAGGCATGTCAGCATTTGCCAACATGAGTCTTGGTGGTTCCGGGGTTGGTCCCAATCCCAGCAGTGCCGCCAGTGGCTATGATGATCGCAACTTAATAGGCAGCATCCACACAAGCAGAGGCCTCGTTCTACTCAGTATAGGCGGACGTACCAGAGAAGCTGTCATGGCTTTGCACGAAGCTGTGAGAGTTCTTGGTGGCGACGCTGGTGGTGGTGGCGTTGCAGGGACATTATTGAGTCGCGCAATGGGATTTTGGGCTGTTGAAGAGGACCACGATATTGCTGAAGTCGATCCGCTGACACACCATTCTGTCATATCTAGCACCCGAAAAAGAAAGGGTAAAGAACCTGGTGTTGGCAGTGCGCCCACACGAATGAGTAATGAACGAAGGATTGAACGAGGCATGGACCAAGCCGGTGATGACATGTTGAACGCTGCATTCCAGGCTCTGCGGTGAAAGAAATGATTCAAGCCTCTTCTTGCGGTATCAAGTTTGCATGACTGAAATGAATTAGACCACTTGAGATCTTCCGGGGCGCCCTCAGATCCGGCATGATGAAATATCCTTGTATTTTTAAGAGGCCTCAGGAAACGCTGGAAGTATAGTGGTGACGGAAGAGCCTGATGCATGTCGATTGAGATTTTGCCGGCCTTGAGATGGGCTACGGACACCTCACCGTATCCTGGTATGACTTGGAATAGACTTGGGCATGCATACCCCACAATTGAAGTGTACGCTGCCTGTTCAGGTTAGGTAAATGTGATTATCATTGAATCTTCGAAAGTATTGTAGCAACCTTGGGTAGTGGTCTCGAGCATGTGGACCACCGGACTGTAGAAAAGTCCGACGCTGGGATATACGGATACGTGAGAGATAGACTAGCTACCTGGTCAGGTCACCATTCAAATAAAGACCCAAAAGAGTTCGAGTACTGCACATATTCGGAAGACGGAAGCACTCCGATTCGATGGGTTATTTCTCGTGCGCGAAATCTCGCAGAACATAAAGCCCGAGCCTCTAGCTACCACACGTGAGCAGGTACTTTTGATAGGAGTAGAAAGTAAATGACCCCCTGTACACAATGCTCGGTGGCTGCCTGCTCTACGCAATCTCTGGTAAGTGCATGTCGTCTAGAAACCAGGCACATATGATATATAAACGCACGGAAGTCGGGAATGGACCTCTCTCTAGAACGCCAAAAGGCCGACAGTGTCCACGCATATCATGAAAGTTCTCATCTCAGGTGGCGGCATCGCCGGGCCATGTCTCGCATACTGGCTTGCACGCACACGACTTGACATAGTCACGACGATAGTCGAAAGATCACCCATCCCAAGAATCACGGGCCAGTCCGTCGATGTCCGCGGCACGGCGGTCGACATCGTCAAGAAAATGGGGCTCGAGGAAGCCATCAAAACCCGGCATACCACCGAGGAGGGCACAACCATGATTAGGCGATCGGGAAAGGGCAGCTTCGCGCGCTTCAAGGCGGGAGACGTCTTTACGGCCGACTATGAGATCCTCAGAGCGGACTTATCGGAGCTCTTCCTCCAAGCCACGGAGGAGCTGAGCAGCGTCAAGTACAGATACGGCGACTGTATCACGAGCCTCCAGCAGACCCACAAACATGTCGATGTCACTTTCGCCAGCGGGTTGAAGGATACGTTCGATCTGGTCGTCGCCGCGGATGGGTCAAGTGCAGCGACGAGATCGATGATCCTCGACGAGCCGACACTCACAGGCTGCTACAGGTTCCTGGGCCAGTACATTGCCTTCTTCAGTATTCCACGGCAGTCCGACGACCCAAAACTATGGCAGATCTACAACCCTGCACGGGGCCTGTGCATCATGATCCGCCCGCACAACAACACCTCCACCATGGGAGTGTACCTATGCGTCACCACGCCATCACACTCGCAACGAGACCCTGTCTTCGAGGAAGCCATGGAGAAAGGACCCGAGGCCACGAAAGAGAAGCTGCGCGAGTATTTCGAAAACCTCGGCTGGCAGGCCAAGCGCGTGCTCGAGGGCATGGACCAAGCGGACGATTTCTACTTCACGCGCGCCGCGCAGGTCAAGCTGCCCCGATGGACCGGTGGCAGCGGCCGCGCCGTGGTCATCGGCGATGCCGCCTTCGCCACCTTCGGCGTCGGCACCACGCTGGCCATCTCCAGCGCGTACATCCTTGCGGGCGAGCTGTCCAGGATCTCGACCGGTGATGTCGACATCCCGCAAGCGCTGGAGAGTTACGAGCGTGTCTTCCGCAAGCTGTATGCCAAGATGGAGGACCTCCCGCCAGGGTATCCGCAAATTATATTCCCCCAGAGTCCCTGGGCGATTCGGCTGAGAGACTTCTTGATCTGGACGGTGGCGGCGACCAAGGCGTATAAATTGATTCCTGGCGAGGGCGGGGTGGATTTTTCGCTTCCGGCTTATGAATGGGAGGATGGTTCTACTTGAGTTCAATGGGGTCAGGGGCGTTTTGTGTGATCTCTAAATACAGGGCTTTTTCTACTCTATCAATGTTAATGCTCCCTAACCCCAGGTGTGCAATGGTAATTCTGCTAGCTGCTCGCCCAACACAGACGATTGGAGACCAAACTGTGCACTGACTCCTGCGCCATACTTTGATAGATATCAGACCAAGCTCGCAAGGCTGCGTAGCAGGCCATCAGGTTCTCTTACACCCTCAGCTATGACGGCATCCGCCCTCTCGAGTGTGTCGGCGACAGAATAAATTCGTAATTCATCAGCGTTGCCTGAAGGGCGAAAGTGCGCGACATCGCCATTCGAGAAGATGATGCGGACGCCGTCGGTGTAATTGAGCCGAGAAATGGGCGTGAAGCCGGCTTTGCTCGAGAAGACCGTCTGGAGCTCTCGACGAATACCGTCGAGCTGCTTGACCTGTGACTCTGCGAGGCTGAGTGGCGAGTTTTCCGCATCGTGGCCTGTGATCTTGTCGGTCGCGTACGCGATCTCTTGTATACTCGGATCGGGAGGGGAGAACTTTGCGATGATTTTGAGACTTGTGGCGCGTGGGAATTTGCGGAGCAGCCCCGCCCTGCTGAAGCGCGCAGGGAGCGTGGAGAAGAGTTCTGGCAGCGTGACTTGACGACTGCGGGCGGCGAATAAGGCTGAGAGAATAGGGAGGACGGCATCTCGGGTTGGCAATGCAGTCAGTGTGTTGCCGTTACGCGTGATGTCAGAGCCAGTCAAGAATCCACCATTGGCTTCCCACCCACATACACTTTGGCGACCTTTGGACAACACGTTCTGCATACCTGCGATCACGTATGGGCTGCCGATTTTAGTCTTGGGCTCCGTGACACCGGCTAGAGGTCCACGGTCGATTGCGTCGTTGGTGCTGATAGGCACTACTACTGAATCTGCTTTGAGAAAGTCTGCGACAATCATGCCGAGAATGTCGCCACCGAAGAAACGAAGTTTGTTGCCCTCTGGCGCAAGGAGGAGGGGACGATCGCTGTCTCCGTCCGTCGAAACAATGGCGTCGAAGGTCCCGCCTGCCTTATCGCAGAGCTCTTGGATTGTGTCGAGTTGTGCTTGGTCGATGGCTTCTGTGTCAATTGGTACAAAGGTGTCGCTCCGACCGGCAGGAGTTACAACGGCGCCGAGGTTTTCGAGTATTTCAACTAGCAGATCGCGGCCGACTGCAGAATGCTGGTACGCCAGTACTTTCAGACCCTGAAGTGTTTCGCCCTTGAAAAATTCGAGATAGCGCTGAAAGTAGGCCGCTCGACCTTCTGGTTGTACTGACAGGAGTTCTGATTTCCCGTCTCGCAACATTCCATCTTGATCGAAGATGGATTCCGCGAAGGGCTGTGAGAGTAGCTTTGCACGGGTGATTTCGACCGCATCGTTGATAGGATTCTCATCCTTCTTCAAGAGCTCACCTTTAGATGTGTTGAGTTTATATCCATTCCGATCGAATGGAATGTGGCTGCCGGTGACCATTATGCTGCCTTTACCGTTTTGCAGGGCGAAATATGTGAGAGCAGGGGTTGGAATGGAACCGAGGTTGATGGGACGCATGCCTCCATCCATTACTGCCTTTTCCACGGCTTGAGACAACCCTCCTCGATGGTTCTCGACATAAGCAGTTGAGCTGGGGCGAAGATCGTGGGCATAGTAGAAATCATCGCCGACCTCAATACCACCTTCGGATTTTCGCAGGGACTGGAGGTATTGGATCTCTGAGGAGACGTTGATGTAAATCTCGAGTTGAGTTAGATGGATGACTTCACCTCGACGGCCGCTGGTCCCAAATTTGAGGGTTTCAGGTTTGTAGTTCAGGTGAGATAGCAGTGACTTTCCATCACCTGAGGCAGACATCTTTGGGTAGTGCACAAATATCCACGCACAATCAAGCCTGAAGAGAATTGAGGCGATGCCTGATACCTGTAGGTTTTCCGTGGGTCGTAATCTTAGGATTTCCTTGTCCACAAGACCGTCTAACTCTCGATGCTCGAAGGGATAATGGGCAGTCAATGGAGAAGCGTGAAGCGTGGTTGCTGTCAAGCGGTCAGGGGTCCAAGTATTCGCAATGCCAAGCCCCAGCCTGAGGTCTGCCCCCTGGAAGATTTTGGGCTCTTTCTCCAACGAGGTTCTTCATGTCCAATGATATGAGTTCCAGTTCTTTGCATGGGCTCGAGGTCAGGACGACCTATCCTCTGAAGAAGTACTCGGAATTTCTGGGAAGCAAGTAGATGATGGAAGTCGAGGAGGTCATGAGACGATTGAATGTCATCAATCCAATTGCCCGATGGACCTCCTACACGACTGGAATTCCATAATGTCCCTATCCATCAACGTACCGACTGGATTTCGGGAGAGTTCAATCGTCGATGACAATCAATGAGTGAGTATCGCTCACTGATTTGTTGCGTCAATTTCCAAGATGGGTACTCCGTTGCCAGCCGAACTTTCCGGTATCGATTGATTTGCTCTTCACCAAGGAGTGATATCAACATTCCCAGAAGAGAAACCACCCCACGCAAAGGTTCAAGCTACCCCTCCACCCCTCCATGAGCTTCAAGGTATATATTTCGTGGCTTTTCTGAGAATCCGAATCCTCTCTATCCTGCCTTCTTTCACCCTTCCACTGTGGAATTATTTATCTTCTCCTCTCAAGTTCTTGTATCCAAGTCGGATTTTCTTACAGAGTGACTAATCTTCCATACGGACAAAAGTATAGTCTCACTAACATATAGCAGGTAGAAAGCGCGATCCTTCCACGTAAAGCTCACCCACAAGATGTTGGACAACATGTTATCCTGTCGTCTGCTTAGGAGATATCATGGTCAAGGTACTTTCCAAATGATTCGGACATATCTATGTCCGTGCATGAACCGGTGTTCGCACTTCTGCCAGGCTTGTCATCCAACCAATTTCACATTGGAGATGGCAACCTGGATATCAGGAAGTGCGTTCTGAGATATACGGTCGAACTTGACTCTGGATAATACCAGCGGAAGGATCATGCCTTGTTCACTCTTTCCCTAACGCCACAAGCAGTATCCTAACAAACTATCAGGACCTTGAACATGTCTCCCCCAATTGCCACCTTCAATGAGTTTGATGGCTTTACCAGTACTAAGGGCTTGAAAGATGTCCTCCCAGAAATCAAGAAACCTGTTGCCAATGGCCAAGACAGCTATACCAAACTTCTTGACGACTTTGGTGGAAAATGGGATTCTTTCACATTTGCTCCCATTCGAGAGTCACAAGTATCTCGTGCCATGACCAAGCGATATTTTGCCGACCTCGACAACTATGCTGAATCAGATATTGTCATTGTTGGTGCTGGCTCTTGTGGTCTCTCCGCCGCTTACACTCTTGGAATGGCTCGACCAGACCTTAAGATTGCTATCATCGAAGCTTCGGTCTCCCCTGGTGGCGGCTGCTGGCTTGGAGGCCAACTCTTCTCGGCCATGGTCTTGCGTAAGCCTGCGGAGGAATTTTTGAATGACATTGGTGTCCCATATGAGGACGAAGGGAACTATGTTGTTGTCAAGCATGCCGCACTGTTTATGAGCACCCTCATGAGTAAGGTTCTTGCACTCCCCAATGTCAAATTGTTCAATGCCACTTGCGTCGAAGATTTGATCACTCGTCCAACAGCCGATGGAAGTATTCGTGTTGTCGGAGTTGTCACGAACTGGACTCTCGTCACCCTGCATCATGATAACCACAGTTGTATGGATCCTAAGTAAGACACTCTGTTTGTTTACCCTCTTGTGCGCCCCGACGCTGACATGTCTTAGCACCATCAATGCACCGCTTGTGATCTCCACAACTGGTCACGATGGACCATTTGGCGCATTCTGTGCTAAGCGTCTTGTGAGCATGAACGCCATTGAGAAATTGGGTGGCATGCGTGCTCTCGACATGAACAGCGCAGAAGATGCCATTGTTAAAGGCACTCGAGAGGTCTCTCCTGGAATCATCATTGGCGGAATGGAGTTGTCAGAATATGATGGCGCCAACCGTATGGGACCAACATTCGGTGCCATGGTCTTGAGTGGAGTCAAAGCTGCCGAGGCTGCTCTTGAGGTCTTTGACACTCGCAAGGCTGAGTGTGCTGCATGAGCAGAACATCAGTCCAAGGGTCATGACCGTGCGGCAAAGTACATCAGGGACGAGAAAGTAACTCTCGCGATAGTCATTCATTATTAAAGCCGCAATAAGAATCCCTGGGGAGTGCCACACTTTGCTATTGGGCGGAACGGCAGCCGGAAATGCTCAAAGCTCGGGTGATACGATTAGCCGACATTTGTCATCGGTCAGGTACATTTCGTGATTTCTCCCTCCATCCAAACTTAGTAAATTTCTTGCCTGTTTTATGGTTGTTCTCTTGAAATATCATTTGGATTTTCATATCTATGGTGATACCTAATACTTTGGCATTGAACATTTGCTGGCTGTTTCAAGATAGATACCATTCGATAGTTGCAAGATGAGTGTGGCGGCCACCTCCGAAACAACACCCCTTATCTCATCCTCATCAAACATCGAAATTGAAGGCGACCAACACCCTCTCCTGCCCAAGAGAAATGATCCGATACTGTCAAAGCTACGTGGGACGGCGATATGCCTTTCCATTTGGACACTGATATTTGCCATTACTTCCAATGTGTCTTTGATCACTACGATCCAATCTCCAATTGCAATTGATCTCGATGCTTTCACCGAAGTGAGCTGGTTCTCATCGACATATCTGATTGCCATCACAAGTATCACACCTGTCGCGGGTCGACTATCTACTATTTTCACGGCACCAGTCTACTTGTTGGCGTCAATCATCATCCATGTATGTGGTTTATTGATCACGTCTCAAGCTGAATCGCTCAGCACATTCCTTGTTGGCCGTGCGGTGGCAGGCATCGGCAGTGCTGCAGTAACCCCTGTGGCTTTGATACTTGTTACCGAGCTTACTTCTCAACGAAGGAGGGGTTTGTTCTTCGGTGCTGTGAACACAGGATACACCTCGGGCATTGCCTGTGGTGCCATCATAGCAGGTGTGTTGGAGCCGATCCCGAGCATTGGGTGGAGAGGCGTCTTTTGGATTCAGATACCTTTCACACTCACGGCGGCCATCGTAGCCTTCTTTGCAATTCCTCGACACATTAAAGCGAACAAAACAGCGTCTTTCGGTGGCACATTAGGCGAGAAACTCTCACAGATAGACTACTTTGGAGTCATCACCCTCATCACCTCAGTGGTCTTACTGTTGTACAGCTTGTCCTCGACCAAGATTCAGGTGTTTCCCATCTTTCTATCTCTCGCATCTTTGGCACTCTTCCTCTTCGTCGAGGCAAATTGGGCGCAATACCCAATCGTCCCGATTTCTGTACTCAGATCTCGTGGCAATATGTTGACTAGCTTTGCAACCCTTGGCATCATGACGGCTCGATGGTCCATCTTATTCTACGCACCTACATACGTGCTCACACTGAGGAATTGGCCTCAAGAGAAAGCTGGAATTACTCTAATTCCGACAAATCTAGGATTTGCCCTCGGTGGACTACTAGCAGGAGGACTCCATATCCGGCGATCTGGCTCATTCTATATCTCGACTCTTGTCTGCTTCTTCCTTTTCATCCTGTCGATGATCACTGTATCTTGGGTTTCGACGCCTGCTTCCAACATGTGGTTATATCTCTTGTCCATATTTGTGAACGGGCTCATCGCAGGAGGTTTACTCAACTACTCGCTCGCTCACGTCCTCCACTTGACGATTCCATCCACACATTTCATTGTCATCCCACTCAACGCCATGTTTCGAAGCCTCTCTGGGTCTTTTGGTGCCGCAATTTCTGGTGGATTATTCCTCAGAACATTACAACACGCATTGAAGCATGAATTCAAACAACGTGGGCTCACTGGAAAGAGTCAGCTTATCCGGCAACTCATCGGTACGCCGAGGTTAGTCCAGAGCCTTGAAGGTGTTGACAAAGAGGTCGCACTTCTTGCTTATGAGACTGCCTTTCGAACCATGTTTATTGCTGGTGCTTGCTTGGCGATTATCGTGCTCTTAATTCAAGCAGGTACAGGTTGGACGGCTCCTGAGGTGGTGAAAGACGAGGAAACCAGCAGTGGTTCGCAAACAGCTGTTGGGTCTGTTGGACAGGAAATCATCTCACCTGTTGTTTCACGGGAGTAAACAAGGACCGAGTCATGAATTAGTCGATCGGAAACAGCATTTCTCGTTACCCTCAAGAATGAGTCTCATGCGCAATAAGCCAATGCAAACGACCCTCACTCGCCAAACGGGTGAAACAACTCGACTATAAAGTGGCCAGAATCTCCCTCCTTGGGGCAGTTGACAGAGTGCACGCGTTCCTCAGACAGGATCGCCCTATATAAAGAGCATTCAGGGACAAGCAAGAGCCCAATCACGATGCCGCCAGCTGGAGGAACCATATCGTTGGTGGAATATTGCTGCGCCTACATCGTCCTCCTGATAGTGTTCCGAAATTTGAACAAGCCAGCGGTGACGCCAAGTATCGGATTGAACGAAGACGACGATTTCATGACTTGGGGGGACGACGAAAGTGTTGGCGAGGAAATTTCAGGAACTCAGAATGACATGGACGGACCTCGAGATCTGGGAGAGAGAGGTAGCTGAAGTATACCAACTCGGTGGTCATCGAAAAAGTCCATGTTGGAAGACCACAGACATAATGTTCCCCAGCCTCTGGAACAGCACTACACACGACGGAGCGAATCGGATCGCGACGTTGCAGGATCAGGGCGCTTTCCAGACCTGTACTTGTGTCTATCGCTTGCGAGCAACGATTTACGAATTGTCTAAAACGGCGTGGAGGTGCGGGACACGGAATACTTGATGAAAATATTGGATAACAATGGGGAAAAAGTAAACGAATGATACTACCTGGGTAACTCACAAGGATGCTACATCTCCTTGCCGCAAGGCCACTCGCACATACGATAATTCCAATGCAAGCCATTATGTCACACTAGAAGCGACAACCAAGAGTGAGAAGTGTAACTACTTTTTGAAATGTTTTTGATGTCTTGACTGGGAGCCTGATCGCCCTAGCGGAGCACCCCCCCCTCCCCTCCTATTGTGCCCTGGACTCTTACGAGCATAACCCCCACCTAACTGCCTAGGTAGCATATGAGTAACTAGTTAGTTGACCCGAGGGACCCCTCGGACTCCCTCGGACACCCCACCAGGCACTCCAAATACGAAGTAACTCGACTAACAAACGACGTCCAGTGCCCAACAAAGCGGGAAACCAGGCCGGACTTCCCCAATAATAATAGGCTGTTTTGTTTTCACCACTGATTCTCCCCCTCCAAGCGAATGGTCGCAGTGTTTTCGGTGCACCAGCTTGAAATGATTCCATCCGTTCGTCTTGCAACGTGGCAGGACTGATCTCTCTCTTTCTTTTAAGAGGGCTCACAGAAGCGCGCGCTTCGAGGTGACTGTGTTCTCCTTCTTTGTCCCTGCGACTTACTGAGTGAACGCTGAATTCCCCCCCCCTCCCCCCAAGCACTACCTGCGACGTGAACTCCCAAACACTCAAGGAATCCTTTGGGTTCTCTTCCGAGTTTTATCAGCATCCTTTCTTTTATATCTATCCTCTATAGAATAAGTCCTGCCGGATTCAAGATGCCGTCACCTCTCCTTACCGCGACGATGCAAGCGGGCGCCTTGTCGGGACTGTCCAACACCCTGGCGCAGGGTCTGACGGCCTACCGATCGAACGTGTATTCCTCGTTCGATTTCGTTGGATTCGTCCAGATGATCATCCTCGCGATCATCCAAACCCCTCCGAATTTCAAATGGCAGATGGCTTTGGAAGAGAACTTTCCGAGTTCGGGCAAGAAGCCCGTCGATGCCGCGGCCCTCAAAAAGAAGGATGACGATGTCAAGATCGATGAGAAGAAGAATACGACGGGAAAGGAGACACTCTCAATCAAGAATACCGTCGCCAAGTTCGTGCTTGATCAGACCGTGGGCGCGACGCTGAATACAATCATGTTCATCATCTTGATCAACTTGATCAGAGGAGCTGGCTGGAATACCGCCATCACGGCCGTCCAGAGAGTGAGTTATCGTGGGCCCCAGATGGAGTCGAACCTTGAGCTGATTTTTTGCAACAGGATTTCACCACAATGTTACTCGCCGGCTACAAGTTCTGGCCTTTCATTACCTTGCTAAACCTTGTCGTCGTCCCTGTTGAACAGCGTATGCTTGTAGGAAATCTAGCTGGGCTGGCTTGGGGCGTCCTTGTCAATCTCATGGGGCTATGAGTATTCGACGCGAAGTGCACAAACATGAGGCTTCCAAAGGTGGTGGGCAAGGACCTTGTAGACGACCAAGACTGGATATCCACGGACGAAAGCCCTGCTTGGTGTTCATTTCGATACGATAGACTATTTTCTGGTTCGTTGGGGTTTACGATAGACATGAGTAGACCGAAAATAGATAGAAAGGAGCAATCCTGTTTACATCACCTTGCAAGTGACTAGACTGTCGTGTCAATTCTCCCTGGCCCGGCTATCACCACGGATGACACATATTGACTTTTCATATCCAGCCCAGCTCCACGGCTTCTCTCCCAGTCCAACTACAATTTACTAGGCTTCCAAACAGGCTTCCTCTTCTCCCTAAAAGCGGCCAAGCCCTCCTTGGTATTCTCGCCGGCCATAAGGCCGCGCTTGTACCGCTCGTCGACGAGGATATAGCCACGCTCGACGCTGGCGGTCTCCCAGGTCTCGCGGAGCGCGGCGCGCGTGACGATGATGGCGTCCGGGCTGATGTTGGCGACCTTGGTGGCCAGCGCCACCGCCTCTTGCACCACCGTCTCCGGCGACTTGGACACCTTGTTGATCAGATTGTACTGCAGCGCTTCGGCCGCCGTCAGCGTCCGCCCCGTCATGCTGATTTCCGACGCCAGTGGGATCCCCACGTTGCGGACCAGTCGAGGCAGCCCGCCCGCGCCCGCGTAGATGCCGCGCAGGGCTTCGGGAAGTCCGAAAGTCGCGGTTGGTGAGGCTACGCTCATGTCGCTGTTGGGTTGTAGGGGTTTGGTTAGTGAAAGTTTTGTTTTGGATGGTTGAGGGATGATGGGGCTTTCGGAGCGCAATCTTTCTGTTGGATGCTGCCCTTTGGCACGATCCAGGGAAGACGGATCAAGCATCACGAGCTTCCAAGGGAGAGGGGAAAACGACGTACCAATTCAGAACAATCTCGAATCCACCACCCAACGCAAAGCCATTGACGGCCGCGATGATGGGCTTCTTGCCCACCCTCCGACTCATGCCCGCAAAACCGGTGGACGGGTGCATGGCGAGATAAGGCTGCTCCTCCAGGACCTTGGGGTCGCGTTTGCCCAGCTCGATCAGGTCCTGGCCGGCGCAGAACGCCTTGGGGCCCGCGCCGGTCATGACGGCCACGCGCAGCGTCGGCTCCTGGTCGAACCACTCAAACACCCGATGCAGGTACCAATGGACCGGGAAGGGGATGGAGTTCATCTGCTTCACCCGGTTGATGGTCACCAGCAGGATGTTGGGTGCTGGCACCGATAGTAGTACCGATGGGTCGGGCGCTGGTGGCGCCGTTTGCAGCTTGAGATCGGACCATGATTCGGACATTTTGATGTGGTGCTTGGTTGTGTGCTTGTGCTGTAAGGAGAGCTGTTTAGATTGGACGTTGGACGTTGGTCTGGGTCGGATTATCTGGTTCTCTTCGCTGGCCGATGAGCCTCGGTATGTAATGCGATCGAGCTCTTGTTGGAGTCTTGGTATTCACAACTGAGGAGCGACTTTGACAAGGTTGAAAGTATGGAGAAGATCAAATATAAACCGATCTAAAGCTCGATATGTTGTTTGATCCCAAAGTCGAATAATTCATTAGTTGCTGACAACAGATAGTGTACGTTGCTGATGCGGGCATTCATATCCTCTCTAGGAGGGAGCCGAGGCTCAGAAGATAATTCCCCACACATCCTATTATGGTCGGCTTCAGGTTGCAAGGCTTACCGCCCAGATACCCGGTGGACCCCGGCACTCACCCGAGGCTGAGCTCAACGGTCGGGGCAGATGAGTTGTCCATACCTGAGTCAAGATAACTTGATGGTAGCGTAGGTAATTGAGGTAGGTTTTATAGTCTAGGACTTCAGAATTGTGGAACTCCATGAACAATCATGTGGGGAGCCCAGCTATGTAGCCGCAGCCTTACTACCGGAAGCCTGATACTTCACCCCCCTCACCACTCATTCACTACAGCACCACAATATTCACATATATAAATTTAAACCATCCAAATTTTGTCACCAAATCAGCCTCGTCTGGTTAAGCTGCCTTTGTCTCATCGGTCCCCACAACTGTACCTACTCGTAGTGTACAGAAGCAAGGTCGATGGTTCAAACCCGGCTGATGGTAAAAAATCCGTGAGAGTCTAAGAGGTTCTCGGTCTACGGGCTAGGGTTTTCTAATCACAGGATCTAAGTTAAATTCGCCTCAGGGCAGGTCCTAGGTGGGATTAGTTTTTTGATCTTTTTGAGAGGGTGGATTGATGACTTATATGGGTTGAGTTGTTGGTGAGCTGAGCGGATGAGCACCCAGGTAGTGATATATTACCAGCGTATCTCTCCCTTTCCCCTCCAGTGATTATCAAATTGGAATTTTGAGTGCAGAAGTTTAAAACAGTGCCGAGTTTCCGTATGGCTACTAGACCTGATACTTTGAGCTACTTAGGTCACTTCTGGTGGTGGACTTATCGTTCTGCTCGCTGTGAGGGAAGACAAATCCTTATTCATACCCAAAAGGTATACTTTCCATCGCGCCGCTTCGCTGTACACATTTGGCCGAAGCTTGGTTCGCCCGTTTGACAGCTTTCTGAATATCGAAGTCCTCCACCTTGTTCTTCGTCGACAAATGTCTTGCAAGGGCAGTGGCGAGATATCCAACGAATGTGTCTCCTGCGGCAGTCGTGTCAACCACTTTCTCCACTTTCTCTGCAGGTACAAGACCTCTCGTAGAACCCTCGGATGCTGAGAAGTAGACGCCACGGGCTCCCAAGGTCACGACAACGATTGAGATGTTGGTGCGGTCGTGTATCACTTTTGTGAGACGGTCTAGATGATATTCTGTGAGATCCTCTTCGCGAGGGACAGATGATGTGCCTTTTAGCTCCTCGATGACCTTGAAGAGCAGAAGACACTCTGTCTCATTGACAACTAGCACTGCCATACCCTTCAGGGATTCCAGCGGTAGGCCGTCAGGAAAGACTGGGGCGGGATTGAAGACGACGGCAGTCTTTTGTGACGTAGAATTGAACGCTTTCAAAAGACCCAGCACTGTCGACCGGGGGATTTCGCCTTGCATGACCACGACATCTGGTACCCCTTCGGTGGTCTCAATATCCAGTATTTTCTGCACATCGGTAACTTCTTGATTGGCGCCAGGTACGAAGAGGATCCGGTTCTGTCCATTGGAACCTGTATCGACAATGATTGTTGCAGTTCCGGTTTGGACACCCTCGATCTCTTCCACATACTTCGTACTCACACCACCTGTCTCCAGTGTGGGCTTGAGCAGCGATGCATAGTAGGGGTCTCCGTTGCCTACCGCGCCGATCATATAGACGTTGACATCCTGTTCAGTGGTCGATGTGAAAGCTGCTTTTCCACACGCCACTGCTTGGTTCGAGCCCTTTCCTCCAGCATGCACAGTCATGGAGGTTGCGGTTAGTGTTTCTCCGGGTCCAGGGACACGCGGTGTGAGTGTGACGAAGTCAATGTTCAATGACCCAATGACTTGAATTGTCGGCTTGGAAGCCATGTTTGCCTGTATGGTCCGGAAATCTTTCGAGTCTGGAACAACTGTTGGTGGTGAAAGATTTGATAGCACTGTTCCTAAGTAGCGCTGGCTGTTCTATTTGCGATCAAGACAGAGTATGCGTTCTCTCATGTGGTGGACAATAAGGTATTTCAAGTGTGTACCTGGTTGGCGTGGACTGATGCTTGTAGTAAATTTGCATAAAAGGAAAAGACAGTTGAAGTGGAAATTGAATTGGTGGAGTGAGCAAAGTGGGACAGTCACGAAGTGAAGTATTTTAGTTAAGAGGCGCGGCGACTCACAGCTTCTTCTATTAAGGCACGCCCGAGCCCTACTACGGATCGTCCCTGACAATGATGCCTGAGGGAAGACTGAGGAATGCCGAGCATGTACTTCTCGAACAGATTTACATTCTTCGTATCAAAGCATTGGGTCTCCTAGGAACACCATGTTCAGTACCAGCGATCTGGATCTATTTCATTATTCAAGTCTGGTCAAGAACAGGTCAAGGTCGGAGTTCAAGTATAAGATTCGAGTACGGCGCAGCATTGACCCTGCATGGTCTTGCTACGGAATATCTATCCGGAGTTCAGCCGAGACGGCCGTGCTCGTCTCCATCTCCCGATTCCCGAACGATGTGAGGCTGTCTACAAGAACACAGAAACTACTGCCCAGGTGCATTCTTGTAGTCTCTCTCTCTCTCTCTCTTCACCGGGATGAACCTATCCGCAGGAGCAATGACTTTCATACACGTGTCTTGCAGGGAGGGATTCTGTCGGATCTTCGTATCCGGTGATACAGAATGAGCACCAATGTGTGCTACTCCCGAGTTGAAATCCATGATGTCAAGACATCAACTTCTCGAATGCTTGTCTCCTAAAAATGATCCACTCAATAATGAGGTAGCGAACACATGATTGCACTTCGCAAAATGAGTACCCGACGAGCCAGATACCTGGTATCCAAGAAACGTGGCTGGAAATATCCTGAACTCTCTGATGCCATCGCCATCCTGTTTACGTTCAGTATCTGTTTCTTCTGTTCATTTGGTTTCCCTGCAACAGTTTGCTGATATCGAGTATTTACATATATGCCATGTCGCCCTATATCGAGGGTTCAGCAGGTCCCAAGCAGCGAGTCTCTATCCCGGAAGCACCGATCACCGAACAGTACAAAGCGCATGCGCCTCCCGCAGACACACAACTGGTCAACTCTGGCATCGCGCAGACGACGTACGCTGCCACGTCAGAATGTCCCTTTGGCACGACCAAGGGCGATTGGGCAGCGAAGCATCAGCATCAGACCGTGAGTTTCTCGTTCGCCAGCTTTGATCGAGGCTCAAGTCACTGACCCAGTAATACAGGTGCTCGAACAACACTGTTCGTTCTTCGACCCTGACGGCGACGGCGTGATCTGGCCCTCGGACACGTACCGAGTGTGCCGGTCGTTCGACTGGAAGATCTTGACCTCTCTCTTCTTCACCTCGTTCCTGCACAGCGTGCAATCATACAACACGCAGCCTGGATTCCTCCCGGACCCATTCTTCCGCCTGTACGTGAAAAGAGCCTACATGAACAAACACGGCAGTGGGACGGGGACGTTTGACTCCGAGGGCAGGTTCCGGCCGCAACCGCTGGAGGACTTCTTCACAAAGTTCGACCGTGACGGGAAAGGCGGGCTGACGAAATGGGAGTTGTGGCATGGCCTGCGGCGGACCAGAATGGCGTTCGATTTCTTTGGTCAGGTCTCGGCCATGTTTGAATGGGGCTTCGCTTGGGTCTTGATCTGGCCCGAGGATGGCATCTTGAGGAAGGAGGATGTCAGGAGGTTGTGTGATGGGAGTCTGTATCAAGAGAAAGTGTCCAAGAAGCAAGAGCCGGGTGTCGAGCGTGCCTCGTCCGACAGTGATCTGAAAGGACAGCCGAGTGCCAAGTCAAAGGCTCAGTGAGAACGAAGAGCATGTCGATCAGATAGCTGCTTGCAGAGATCACATAACGACATTACGAGTGCAATGATTGGCAATGTCCGTCGACGTGATCAGTATGGTGTTGTCACAACAAGTTCTCCGGCAGCCTTCAACTAATTTATGGTATTAAACAGGTGAGGATAGATTACGACAAGTCATCCAGAGCAAAAACCTAGTTACTGTCAAGGTTGAATGCTACTGTACATGTCGAATCTGTCTCTCGATCAGAGACGCCTAATGCGCATGGCTATGGACAGCTACTCGTATGTAGTGAGTTATGTTGGGAGTCATTTTCATGGCTACCAGTACATCCACGTAAGAGAAAAACGCCGCAAAGATCAAGTTGACTAGAAGTCGCGTTGGACAGACCAGATATTCGATTCTGCGGTGTTTGTCCGGGTGTTGTTTTTCACATGGTGCTCCGTTGTGCAGCAGGTGAGCGTATCAAACTGAGACTATCTGCACGAGCGGTGGTTGGGAGTTGGAAAGATCAGGTCGAACACACCGCATCTGCACGGTGACAAACGAGGGCGAGAGAACCTTTTCCATTTGTCACTGTTTCTCGTGGCACAGCGTGACTGCGTAAGAGACTGGGAGAGCGTGCACTGGGCCCCGTGCCTTTCACCACGACAGGAACGGTTGCACAGGCACGTACGCCACCGTGATCCTGACAGCACGGTTCGCGCCACGCAGTTCGTGGCTGGAAGAGGTTCACGAGCTCTCAGGTCAGCTTCTGGTCTGTTCTCATACTCTTTTCTGATCACCGACGACCTCACCCAAGCGAGGCAAGACCGTCCATAGCTACCAACCAGCAACCCTTCAAGTTTGTGCATCTTGTGCTTGAATCGACTCGTCTAGACATCTAGAATTGAACCAGACGCCCATGATCCATACCGCTGGTGTGCAGTTTCCAATGCAGCTGGCGTGCAGCTCCTTGATGCATATGGACGCCCAACCATAACGGACTCGTCATCTCCACTGACGGGCACTGAAGGACTAAAGACCTGGTTGTGTTTTAGAATCGACAACCATATTCCTAGACGATTTAGAATTTCCATTTCCCCAGCACACCCGCTCCCTAAGATGTGGGGATTTCTGTGTTTTTATTTGAGAGAGCGAGATTTGACACCAGCACGCTGGAGGACGAGAGCACTAGGAACTGACATAATGAGCTCGCAATGACATTCGTCGCAAAGTACGAGTATCGTGCACCGATGATGAGATCGTAGTCACGGAACAGGTAATCCTCGATCGATCATCGTCCACGTTTCTCCTCTGAAACGTGCCACACATGGATACATAGGGCTCGAGATCGAGCGAGAAATCGCAAACCATTCCGGCGAGGATGAGAGATACAGCGATCCAATCTGTTTCGAAGTCGGTAAGGGCACCGAGTGGATGACAGAACTACGTGTAGTCCCCCCGTGCCTCCCCCGGTCAGCATACGAATTGGCAAGGGCAGCCGGACGGCTGAAGCTCACCAGCGAAAAGTTGTTGTTGATTGTAACTTCAAACTCCGTGGCATGCAGGCCGGCGATAATCTCCGACATCTGAGACGTTGAATTCGGGAGCAGTGCGGGAAAGAGTCACACACTGACACGAGGAATTCTTTCAATGCCCTATCTTTGGCTATGGAATGGATCGAGATACTACGGCGACTGCAATGTTGCTTGAGCAATCATCGAGCAGGAATTTGATATTGTGATGAGGGTATGAGTACCGTTGCTCGGACTCTGTCAATGTTCAACTGCCGTGACCACGCGGCCCTGCCCCTAGAAGACAATAATGAAGAACTCAAAAACAGGCAACACGAGACTAAACCGCCAGCCACTTCTAGAAAGTCCACAGACAACGCAAGCAGAGGGTTTTGACTTCCCAGCGTACGTGTACTCTTTGCCGCCACAAGGGATAAGGCCAGCATCGAAACATGCATTCTTGCTGTCGCTGGAATATGATTTCATTTGTGAACGGCTCGTCGATGGTATGGTGAGTCCGACCTGCGGATACTGTACATGCGGGGTCGTCACCATTTTTATCATGTGGACAGAATTCAAATGGTGACAGGCAGATGAAACGGCCCCAGGATAGGATGAAAGCAAGGGATACCATCACCTCGTGAAATTGGCGATTGGCGTTGAAGGGCAACCAATTGGTGGTTGCCGAGGCTCTCGATCACTTGCAGGGACAAGCCAGGATCAGAGTTCCATCGGCCAGCAGTGGTCCAGGGTAGCCAGCCTAGTGCCGAATTTAAATTTGTCCAGCAGGCCCACGTCGCAAATGGTGAGCGTTGGCGCTGGTGAAATTCCCCGAGTCCCTGGTAAAGTGATTGCATAATTAACGCCTTTCTGGGTGAGAGCCAGGGGTCAGGTTTCGCTTAAGCAGCACCTTGAAAGATGACACTGGTCGACAGTCCCATTTGTTTCACCAGCCTCGTCCGGCGAAGAGAAAGATGCGCGGGCACCGACTGGAATCATCCCTCATCTCAAATATGACCAAGGGTCGACCGACCGCGCCCAAAGTCTAAGATGTTGCAGATGTCGTTGATTCAGGTGGTCAGACTCGTACAAGGAGAACCACCTGAACAGCCGAATGCATGGGCTCATTCTGGTCCGCAAACAAACATGGTGGTATATCAAGGCAACCTCATTCCTCACTGTAGATCGAATGCCTGAGAATGTAGCCGTTGTATGTATGTGGCATTCATCAACTGACGACCGCCAGCTCAAACCACGTACCAAGTAATTTGGTGTCCCTTATAAATTGGCCTGATCCTCTCTTCACCCAAGGTCACTGGCTCACGGTTCAGAATTCATCCACTCATTTTCCTTCACGGTCAATTCCAACTCTGTTCAGCCTCTGCAATTCTGTTTAGGTCCTCGGCAACGTCAGCTTGGCCAGTTTCCCCCAGTCAAGTTGCGTTTCAAGCCAGATTGCCTTCTTGGATCGTCATCGCCGACGAATCTCAGCACCAAGCTAAAGCACCCCGCAGCCCAATCCCTTCCCGCGACAGGGCAGCCTAAGCTTCGTTCTAGGGCTCTTCTCGGTTAAAGCCAGCCTCTAACGAACCCTGGTGAGTGCGATGTACCTGCATTAGTTTGAAATCCACCAGCCCACCAGCCCCCGATCCAGTTCGACATCCAATCCAGTGTGCCTGTGCTTTCGCTTCGTGACAAGGGTAGCGACGAAGAGAGAAGAGCCTCTTTGTGACAGCGAGAACACCTCGTACTCGAGGTCGAGTGAACAAAGGGAAAACTGACCCAGTACAGGTGCGGTCACCCATACATAACCCTCGAGATACCCTTCACCGTCCACCTCTTCCTTCACAGTCTTTGTCACCCATCAGTCCATCCTTCGGCCTCTGCCACCTTACGTTCATTAACCCTTCTCCATTGCCCTCTCACTCTTTCGAGGTGCACGAGACAGTCATTCATTTACCCAAAACACCTTCACCATCACCACAAACGCACAGTCCGTGACCGTGCCGTCTCTGCAAGCCCAGACACCTACTCTTTGACCAGAGTATCTCACTCCATTCACCTAGCGTGAACCAACACTTGGGTCAATTTCAGGACATTGCGCTCACCATCCAACCCTCACTTGACCCCATCTGTTTGCCCGGTGCATTGCCACTCCCAACCACAATCTGATATTAAAAAGCTCTCCAAGAGGGCCATTGAAGATCAGAACTTGTCTCTCCATCAACAACTCGAGACCGTCCTGTCAATCAACACCCAATATCAATAAACTCCAAACACAGAACTCACCATGAAGTCCACCACCGGTCTCTTGATCGCCGGCCTTTGCGCCTCTCTGGCAGCTGCCACTCCTCTTGACAAGCGCGCATTGGTCACCACCTATGAGATTGTTACCGTGACTGCCACAGTTACCGGTTATCCTCCAGCCAAGTCAACGGATGCTCCCGCAGATGCTGGATCTGGCGGTTGGAGCAACTGGGGTGGATGGCGTGGCGGAAATGGAGCAGGATCATGGGGAGGTGATGCCACGACCTTTACCCAACCTGCACCTTCCATGGAAGCTCCTGCTCCTCAAAATCCTGCTCCATCCTTCAATCAAGCACCAGCACCCGCCGAGGAGAGCAGCAGCAGCAGCAGCGCATGGTCTTCATCTGCCCCTCCCTCCAACCCCAAACCAACATCAGTCTCGTCTGATTATCAACAAGGCATTCTGGACGCTCACAACATTCATCGGGCCAACCACTCGGTATCTGACCTTTCTTGGGATGATAAGCTCGCTGGGATCGCTGCTCAGATTGCCGCCAGCTGTGTGTATGCCCATGATACCTCGACTGGTGGTGGTGGTTATGGCCAGAACATTGGTGCCGGATCTCCTCCCTCGGATATCCCCAGCATGATCGGCGACTTGATGTACAACGACGAGATCAACTTTTATCCCGGATACGGCGGTGAGCCTGACATGAGCAACTTCCATGCGTGGGGTCACTTTTCTCAGATTGTCTGGAAGTCAACCACTGGTGTGGGATGCGCTACTCAATACTGCCCCAATGGACTCGCCAACACTGGTGGTGGTGTCAGCCCATACTTCACCGTTTGTAACTACGGTCCTCCAGGCAACTTTGGTGGTCAATATGGCGCCAATGTGCTGGCTCCCTTGGGACATCCCACGGTCTCGATATAAACGAGACCAACGTGGCATGATCTAAGCTGATGTTGTAACGAGTCAATTGCATCACCTTTTTTTATGGCGAGGAAATCATTGCAAGCGCAGGCGTGAGGTCATGTGCTTTTCTTCTTCTTTCACACCATTTTTATGTTGTTCAGTGAACAACCAACTTCAATGTCAATGAGGGCGCGTGCTGCCAAATGGCTGGGACTTATGTTATTTGGCATGCAAGGGATCAGGACGATGGATTGCGACCAGAAGTCGTGGACAAAGACATTGTTGGATTGTTTTTTATTTTCTCTTCTATGGCTCCAAGGGTTCGGTCATTGTGATTGGAGATCAGCAACATGATGTTCCGGATCCGGGCACTTTCTTGATTCTTGGGACCACAACACGGGTCTGGTTTGGAGACATTGGGGAGCGAGAGTTGCGCAGCAGACCTTTTGGAAGGGATGAGTGAGTCTGGACAAACAGAACTCAGACAATTATGTATCACTAGCAGCATTGCATGAAAGCATTGAATTTGCAAAACCCGTGGTCCTCCATATTTGCTTTGTCATGCCTGCTGTAGCCTCGATGTTTGCCTCACCATTAACCGTCTCGCCAGGCTATGGTGTAGTCGTGATGACCTTTGACATGTGATTGAATCATCTTGTAGCTAGGTAGGTGTTTTGAATCATGGCAACTGCCGACAGGACAAAGCCGAGGAATCTACGAGTCTACGACCCGAGGCGTTCAGGAGGGAGAGCCTCCGTCCAACCAGGCCCGGGAGAAAGCGAGAGTCACATCATGCCATGGCATTCCCCAGCTTCCAAGCCTTTTTCCAACATGCGGAGAAATGGAAGCTATCACGCACCTTCTTGAATCACCAATCCTCCGGCCACCCGCAAGCCAGGCCAGGACCTCTCTCAACCAGGTAAGAACGGCGAACATCAGGTGGATTCGAGAAGACCGTTCGCCACGATAATGACCCTGGAAGCCTGGTAGAATCTTGGACGGGTGATTCCAGTATTTAAGGCCAAGAGCATGTCACCAACAGCCTGAGAGGGTCAAGTGGTTAGATACGTCACAAGTGCATGCCCAGGTTGAGTGAGCTTCAGTTGGAGAGGCCGGGCAGCTCAGTATTAATTTTCAGTATTTGATGTGGGTGGAGGGCCCTTTTCCTTTGCCTGACATTCAAATCACACGCCCAAACGAACCCAGTGCGCACACTGCCCGTGACAGCTGAGACCCGAAAACTGTGCGGTGCGGTACTGTTCTAGTTATCAACAACATCAATATCTCTTTCAATCCGCGAATTCCGGGATCAGGGTGTGTGCGTTGTTAATAAGTCTGTCCTGGCTGAGCTGCAGTCCCGGTCCCTCCTCATTCTCTCGGAACTCAAACAACACCCACGGCCCAAGGTTAAGCCCCTCGGTTCCCTGACACCAAGCACCGCGGTTACTGGGTTCGTGGTCTAACGTTAGCTACAGCCTGCGGCCTGCGAGTACAGCCTACAGGCAACCTACTCGTACCTTAGGTACCTCTCTAGGTAACCTACCTACCCAACTACCCTCTGCGGCTCTCACCTGGGCATACTAATTGACTACAAAGGTACTCGGAACAAAAGTAGTACGCATACGCTCAAAGCTTGAAGGGAGCACCTTGACCAACCACTGGCAATTGTGCAATTTTCGGTACGTGAACCACATCTTCTTGATTTTCCCCTTCCTTTGCTCCGAACCGCAACCATCCATTCTCTCTCACACGGCCACTTTCACTTTACCACATGTGTTCGCGCCAGCGCCTACACCTACCCACACTTCTCATACTCTCTTCTCACCTGGCCATGTCTCCCGACCTACTATTTCCATGGCCGAGGAACCGAAAAGTGGGCTGTGGAGATGTTTTCGTGGAGATGTCGGATCCTTACTATCATGCCCTCCTCACTCCATCCAACCAGCTCCATTTGCACACCCTGCGACACCATCTGATTGTCATCTTTGGCCCTTCTCAGACCGGAATTAGATGCACTGAACTCAAGGCCCTGGCTCATTCCAATTCCAATTTATCCAGCTGGTCTATCAATGATACTGAGGCCCATTCCTCTTTCTCTGTTTCTTTGGCTTCAAGTTTCCCATTCCCTGTGCCGTGCCATGCATTTCTCCTTTGACCTTTGAGCCCTCATGCCGCCTTACTATCACGTTGACTGCCACTACTTCTACCGTACCGCCCTTCGTCTTTTGAGCGTTGCCACCTTGGTGGCTGCTCTGTACGGATGATTCAGATATTGACCATGCCTTCCAACATTGCAGGAACCCGGTACTTCACCCCCTCCAGGCCCATAGGCGAGACCTTGGACAACACCCCATCCCAAACTGGAGTGCCATATCTGAACGGCCACAAGATGGGAGCGAAACAAGATGACCAGGCCGCGGAGCCTCCAAAGGAATCCAAGCCCTCTCAAGATTCAAAGGACTCTTCCACCAAGAAAGAAAGAGACCCTAACACTATCAACCCACCCAAGACCGGTATCACCTTCGCGGCCCAAGACAAGTTGACAAAACTCCCGATACCCGACCTCGAGTCCACCATGAGCAAATACCTGGATGCTCTACAACCACTCCAGTCCTTCCAAGAACATCAAGAAACTCGAGCTGTGACCCGCGAATTTGTCGAAAACGAAGGCAAGGAGCTCCAGGACCGACTAAAAAAGTACTCAACCGGCAAGACGAGTTATATTGAACAGTTCTGGTATGATTCGTATCTCAACTATGACAACCCTGTCGTGTTGAATCTGAACCCTTTCTTCCTACTGGAGGATGATCCCACCCCTGCCCGGAATAATCAGGTAACGAGAGCGGCGTCCCTGGTCATATCGGCCCTATGCTTCGTACGGGCAGTCCGACGAGAGGAGCTCCCCCCTGATACCTTGCGCGGCAATCCTCTCGACATGTATCAATATTCGAGACTCTTCGGCACGGCTCGAGTCCCTACAGACAATGGTTGCATTATCGGACAGGACTCGGACTCTAAGCACGTCGTGGTCATGTGCCGCGGTCAGATCTATTGGTTCGATGTACTTGATCAACACAATGATGTTATCATGACGGAGAAAGATCTTGCCATCAATCTCCAAGTCATTGTGGATGACGCCGAGCAAACACCTATCAGAGAAGCGGCCAAAGGAGCCGTTGGTGTCCTCACCACAGAGAACAGAAAGGTTTGGTCGGGGTTGAGAGATCTCCTCACCAGAGAGGAAGGCTCAAACAATGCCGAGTGTCTTGGTATAGTCGACTCAGCCCTTTTCATTGTCAGTCTGGACTATGCCGAGCCAGCTGATGTTTCGCAACTGTGTGGAAACATGCTTTGCGGTACCAATGAGGTCGTACAGGGCGTTCAGGTGGGCACTTGTACCAATCGATGGTATGATAAACTCCAGATCATCGTCTGCAAGAACGGAAGTGCCGGTATCAATTTTGAACATACTGGCGTGGATGGTCATACCGTCCTCCGATTTGCCAGCGACGTCTACACCGATACCATCTTGAGGTTTGCAAAATCAATCAATGGTCAAGCCCCCTCACTGTGGTCCACTCATAGCCCTGATCCTTCAAAGCGTGATCCCGAAAGCTTCGGTGATGTCAGCACAACTCCGCACAAACTTGAGTGGGATATGATTCCCGAGTTACAAACAGCCCTCCGATTTGCAGAGACACGGCTGGCTGATTTGATCAACCAGAATGAGTTCCAAACCCTGGACTTTACAGGGTACGGGAAGAACTTCATTACTTCTATGGGATTCTCGCCCGATGCCTTTGTGCAAATGGCGTTCCAAGCTGCGTACTATGGGCTGTACGGTCGAGTGGAGAATACATATGAGCCTGCCATGACCAAAATGTTCTACCACGGCCGAACGGAAGCGATCCGCACCGTGACGCCAGAAAGTGTGGAATTTGTCAGGACGTTCTGGGCCGATACTGCGGTACAGAAAAAAGTGGATGCACTGAAAGCGGCTACTTCAAAACACACGGCCACCACTAAAGAGTGCAGTAAGGCTCAAGGCCACGATCGCCACCTATACGCGCTGTATTGTGTCTGGCAACGCAAAGTCAACGATGAGGGTGCTGAAGCGGCCAGTACGACAGGTTTCAGTTCCAATGGATATTCTAGCCCCACCGACATGAGTGATGTGGGAAGCCCGAAACGACTCGAAGAATCGACTTCCCCTGTTAGCCGCTCTCGGGCAGGGACCGACTCGAGTCGATCGCCAGGCCCTCCATTACAGCATATGCCTACTTTCTTTAGCGATGCTGGGTGGGAAAGAATCAACAATACCATTTTGAGCACTTCCAACTGTGGCAATCCTGCTCTGCGACATTTCGGTTTCGGCCCAGTGTCTGGCGATGGATTTGGCATTGGGTACATCATCAAGGATGACTCGATCTCAGTCTGTGCTAGCAGTAAGCATCGGCAAACCAAACGATTTGTGGATAGCCTGGAATCCTACTTGAATGAAATCCGTCGGCTACTCAGAGCAACAAAATCCAAGGATGCACCGGTAGGCAAAGTCACTCGCGCTCGAGAGGCCGAAGACAAGGTAGGCAAAGATGGCAGACTCAAGTCCCGTGGCCGAGTCATCAAGACGGAGAATGCTAGAATGGACGGTGCCCAAACCCCAACTAGCATGGACACAGCAGAAGTGGAAGACGATGGATTGGGTGGATGTAAGTTTTTCCATGTCAGTGTCTGGGGGTTGTTAGAACTAATGACAATGCAGATGGTTTCTTCGACGCCGGCATGTTGTTACAAGCCCTGAAGAAAGACCAGACGAAGCCAGCGGATCAACTCGCTCAAAGACGTCGCACCGTCGGTAAAAAGCTGGCGTTGACTGAATACTGATGTGTGAGGTCCGGCTGGCAGTTGGCCATTCTGGTTGGACAAGATGGGACAATTGGGGAATGAGGATGCAGGAGTGCCAGAACAAAGCTCTGAATGTGGGAGCGGCGGCGGCGATGATGCGCATTAGTGAAATCGACAGGATCCCCGTGTTCCCTTGTGCCTGGATTCCAACCGAGCCAATTGATGAGCGGGGATGTGCGTCGCATGTGCAGGATGACACGAGCGACAAGTGATCTCCCTGGACAGTGTTGGAATACCATCTTGAGCGATCTATCTGTTCTTTGTATCTAGGTTGGGATTTACATTACTTAGGTATGTTATATCACTGTCATGTCTTCCCTACAGTGTCCTCCGGTTTTGCGACCACAAAGTCCAGCTGATAAAGGATGGCATTCTCACATGATATGACGTATTTTACGGTGCGAAAATCAGTTGTGGCCTGATGCTTCCAACCCAAATCAAGACTAAAGTAGATGCCAAGATCTTTAGCGTGAACCCCGAGTTGAAGAAGGACCTCACAGTTCTCAACGTCTACCACTGCACGAGTCCCTGCGCCAGAAGCCATCTTTCCAACACTGCCATCGACTTCCATCTTCACTTAGTGTCGTTCTCTTTCGCGACTCGGTCGCCTCCTCCTTACACACCTTCTTCATGCGCCGCTTCAAGCCCTGAGTGAATCCGCGGAACTTCCTGTTCGCCACCCTCTTCCGCGCTTCGTTCAACCCTGTGCACGCCCTTATCCGCCCCCGTCATGGCAGCTGCCACCATGCCCTCCCTCCCCGTCGTCGACACTGGGCTCGGTACTGCTGCCTTGGACAAAGACGACACCCTCTCCCAATCCCTCCCCGCCCCTCAAGTTCATACTCCTCCGACCACCGACGAGGCGAGTCACAAAGACGATGACGCAGCCTCGAGTTCTTCCCTCTCCGATCTCGGCGATGATATCGACGACGAAGAAAACAGAATGAGATTCGAAGATGCCGCTCGCGCTGGTGCCGAGGCTGAACAATTCTCTGAGGTCAAGCCTGATCGATACGAAAATGGAGTCCCCATCTTCACGCCGGTATGAAACATTCTCCAACAACACTCACATTCCAAGCCTCGCAGCGGTCTCGCGTCACTCGAGATGGTCCGTGAAGACATCCGTTCGCTGACAAGTATTTACAGACTATGGATCAGTTCAGAGACTTCTCACGATATGTCAAGGGTGTGGACCCATACGGCATGCAGTCTGGCATCGTCTTGATCGATCCCCCGGAAGAATGGTACGTTTTTACTCGTCACCCCCCTGTTATTTATACACCATGAGACAATGCAATCCTCCAGAACCGTTCGGGCCTAACTGCAAACAGGAAACAAGAAAGGAAGGCCCTGGATGAACTAGTCAAGACCATCAAGATCAAAAATCCCCTCACGCAAGAGTTTCACGGCGCCCAAGGCATCTATACCCAGCGGAACATGGAAAAAATGCGATCTTACAATCTCCCTCAGTGGAAGTCACTCTGTGAACAGACTGAAAATCAGCCACCTGCAAGACGTGGAGAAAAGAGGTTGAATGCCGACAGACTACTTGGCAGAGGCACCACCAAGTCGAGGAAGTCTGACGCCTCGCCAGTTCCCGAGACTGGTAAGAGGGGCCCTGGACGACCGCGAACAAGACCAATCAAGGAAGAACCATCCGATCATGGTTCTACACTCCTCGCTCCACCAACCCCTACCAGTCCAGAAGTCAAGCCTGCAGCACTCGATTCCACCCCTGCTGATGAGGCCAACCGCGAAACCCCAGACCCTACACCTACAAAAGGCAAAAGAGGACGGAAGCCAGGAAGACCTCCTGGTCGTCAACCAAAATCTACCGTCAAAAAGGAAGGTGGTGGCGCTGCGTCTGAAACCACCGTGGCTGCTCGCCGCCTCAGAAATGCCCGAGAAGCTAATGAGGACATTGACGAGGAGGCTTTTGAAGATTTCGATTACCGTGTCCACGACAACGACCAATGGACATCCGAACGTTGCGAAGAGTTGGAAGACAAGTATTGGAAAAGTCTCAATTTCAGCAACCCCATGTACGCCGCTGATATGCCCGGATCGCTTTTTGACGATGATACTCAGTCATGGAATGTCGCAAAATTGCCCAATCTACTGGATCTGCTCGGAGACAAGATTCCTGGTGTAAACACGGCCTACCTATACCTCGGTATGTGGCGTGCAACCTTTGCCTGGCATCTTGAAGACGTCGACCTCTACAGCATCAACTACATTCATTTTGGCGCACCCAAGCAATGGTACAGTGTCTCCCAAAAGGACGCCCCAAAGTTCGAGGCTGCGATGAAATCAATTTGGGCTTCTGACGCCAAGAACTGTGACCAGTTTCTAAGGCACAAGACCTATCTCGTCTCGCCCTCAATCTTGAAATCTAAATATGGTGTCACCGTCAACAAAGTTGTTCATCGAGAAGGGCAGTTTGTCATCACCTTCCCAATTGGTTACCACTCAGGCTATAATCTGGGTTACAACTGTGCAGAATCGGTGAATTTTGCCATTGAGAACTGGTTACAATATGGTAAAACTGCTCGGAAATGTCAATGCGAGGCCGATAGTGTATTCATCGATGTTGATTGGTTTGTACGCAAGATGAATGGAGAACCGACTCCGGAGTATGAAGAAGTCGAGGTGACAGACGACGAAGATGAGCTTGATGAACCTGTGGACTTCCCTACACCCCCGAGTAGCGATCGTGGGAAAGTCAAGGGCTCCCAGAAACGGAAACGCGCTCCCAAGGAACTTGGCGCAAACAAGAAAGCTAAAAAGATCGTCAAGATCCGAAAGGTCAGCAAGAATCAGCCGTGCTGTTTATGTCCCAACGATTTCGTCTGGGAGGAACTGCTCCCCACGATACATGGTCAAAGGGCACACAGAACTTGTGCAATGTACACTCCTGAGACGTACATTGCAAATAGTGATGGCAAAGAAATGGTACACAACGTTGAAAACATCAGCAAAGCGCGGCTGGAGCTCAAGTGCTACGAATGTCGGCAAAAGAAGGGATCCTGCTTTCAATGTTCTTCGGCCAAGTGCACCAAAGCCTATCATGCCACTTGCGCAATGCAGGCTGGTGTTCAAGTCGATAAGGGTCCAATTGCAGTCTGGCATGAAGGGGTCGAGTATCGCGATATCGGGTTTGACTGGAGATGCCGACTTCACCGAACTGTCAAGCGGACCAGGATCACCAGTGAACTTTCCGCCTGCAATCATGCGAATAGCTGCTGGAGTAACAAGGAATTCCGAGAATTTCTGTTCAACCTCAAACCGGGTGAATTGGTCCAGTTTCAAGCCACAAATAGCGACGATATTGAGGCTGGTCTCGTCGTTGCCCCCTACGACGATGGTCAGGACACCCTAGTTGTCAAGATTCTCCCAGAGATGAAGACAGTCAGAGAAGTCGATCCTACCACAATTCTCTTCGTTGATAGCGCGACATCTTGTCTGCAAAAACCATCGGCGACTGCTTTGGAATTGCCTGAGGAGCTTCAAGGAAAGACTGCATCCATGGCAGATTCGACCGAGAAGAAACCAAGTGCAGGCGATCCTTTCACAGAAGAACCGCGAACCGAATGGGCTGAATTTGCATCTACAGTACCACCTGTAAATGTGGCTCAAAAGGCTGTCAACTTTTCAAAGGAAAAACAATTGTGGCTTTATATTGGTGAGACGTCATCGGAAGCCAAGGCCCACTATACGGCGGATCCCGGTAAGCGTGTGCACGACAGTGCATCGAACTTCCTGGAAACCGTCACACCGCCGAAACCTGTAATGGCACCTCCTCCCCAACCAAAACGTCACTCATTAGCCGCATCCTATCCAATGCTTAACGTCGCTGCCCGTAATGCTGCCATGATCAATAATATGAGGCCGCAGCCGGTCAATCAACATGGATCCACACTGCCGGGAACTTTCAATGGGACAACGCACGATCTGACCAAGAACACTAGTCTGGAAAAATTTGCCAACCTCCAGAAACCGACACAAATCAAGAATTCACAGTATCGTGATATGATTGCCGGGCAAGAGGCACGCTTCAATGAGCAGACCAGAATTCTTCAACGACAAGCAGCAAAATCCCAACAACTCGACGCGGCCGATCGGGCCAACTCCAGTCCGCTTAGTCATACTAGTATCGGCATCGATCATGATGCGGTGCAACGACAGAGACAATTTCAGAGTCAAGCTTCTCAGCATGCGAAACATATGACTGAATGGTCGAATGATCCATCACTCCCGCCGTTGAAACAGTACAATGAACCGTTTCCGAACTTCCAGACTGGTGATGCCACTAACAGATTTGGAGGATCATCCACGATGAACTCGGCAATGCGATCACAGCAGTACAATTACAGCAATGACTGGATGGCCCCAACTCTAGCTAATGGAGGGTCAGGGTTTGTGTCCGCGCCGAACACTGGCATGAACTCGATGCTCCCAGTGTTTGGACCTCAACCATCACCGTCGGCAACGAACCATGCCTTCCCATCATACATCCAACAGTCGCATATGCAATTCCCATATCAGACCAATGAGAATCATTCATCCGGTTCGATGGGTTCAACGTCTACCTTCCAAAATCATGGTTCACCCTTGGATAACATTCGAGCTGCCGCAAGTCAGCCACCTGCACCACCTCCTTCTGCTGAGGTGGAACGGCAAAGACGAATCTCGAATCCTGCATACCCCTTCAAGAGTCCAGACCAGATCAAGGCTCAAAGGGAAGCTGATAAAAACACTCCTCCCGGGAGCCGACCCACGAGCTCATACACAATCCCAAGTCCTCGCGTACAACATGACTCATACCTTCACACAGGCTCGTCGGACAGCACCATGCAGGTATTGGATCCTCAAAATCCACCTCAATTCATCAATCCCAATGCGACCCAGATAAGCCCCCCTGGATCAAGTGCTGGACACCGATCTGCGCGAGGAAGCTTCTCTGGACTAGGCTTGCAATCTTCCATGGCCCCACCTCTTCAGAATGGATCAAGAAGATCACAATCCATGTCAATGACAATGGGTGGATTTATTGACCTGGCCCCCTTTCCTGCGAATTCGATGCCATTCTCCAATTACGTTCCTAAACGATCAATATACGATCCACTCAATAGTGGAATGAACCTCTTCAACCAACAAAAGCAACCACAGGTATCAGAGCCACCAATGGCACAGCCATCGAACTCACTTGCTTTGAGCCTGGAGAAGAGGTCGTTGGGTTCAAATGGACTGATGCTAAATGATCGACCGACTCCAAAGCAGTTGGTTGATTGGCAAGAACGAGGGGGTTTCTGGGGTAGAGTCTCGGGATACTACATCAACAAACATCAGATCTCAGCAACAGTGTACAAGTCACCATTTATAAACACAGGCATCTGTGGACAACACCCTGATGGAACTCTGGCCGACAGATATTACGAGAGCCTCGAACCGGACCAGAGAACGAAGATCGATCATGTGCGCACAACGCCGAAAGACGTATGAAGCTGTCCAGACTTGTCTCCGCTCTTTTGAGTTCATGGGTGTCTCCATCAGGCTGAGCTCTCCGTACATTGAACACCCTCTGGCCAGTGCGCCACACATGATTCCTCTAAACAGCCGCGTTCCCTTGCGGAACGGGACTACCATGTGAATCTCTGATGCTAGGCGTCGGATCACGCAACGACCGCAAACCTATATACTATTACAGAAACAATTGCCTCGCGGCTTTGCAGGATATGGAACCTGGTTATTTCAACATGATTACGATTCATTGGCGATGACTCTTTTCCCCATCAATTTTTTCCTTCTTTCTTGCGCACGCACTCAAACGGAGACAGAAACCAGGAAAGGCATGGCGCTTTGGAGGAAAGACAAAACCCGCACGTAAATACACCACAACATTTTCAAGGATATGATATTTTGGGATCAAGGCAGCCCTTGACCCACAGAAGGAATGGATATGAGAGAGCGAGAGAACTGATGACGCTGATGACAAGGTTGATAGATCAATTGACCCATGAAGGGTCTTGGTTCTTCGAAAATAGATTCTTGACTCTCTGCGGCTCACTGCTTCGGCCAATGTACACGCCCGAATCATGGACCTTTATGCACCAGCGTTCACGGTACCAATTTTGCAGGGATTGCAGTGAATGCAATACCAAGTGCCATGGTGCACCCAAGCCGAAGCAGCTGAGACCAGACAACTGCAGCAGTACAGTAGCCTCTAGATGAATGAAAGATGACATATCTACAAATATTTGGCCAATCTCATGTCCCGACGTCCGATCTATAGCACTGGCATCCACTTCCTATGCGATCGCATCGCTTCAACTATATTGTGCCCTTCTCCAGTGAGACAGGCCGATGCTTTGTACGCCCCAAGGGGCCACGGATCTGATCAGCCATAAAGTCACCCACAGTAGCTACTCTGGAGTATGGCGGATTGGTATGTATGTACCATTCTTCGGATCCGAGAACACTACACCGCCAACAACCATATCACTTAACCTGTCAACTCATCTGATTCTCATTCTCATTCCGCATCTTTGGCCCGAGCATGCACAGGTCTCCGAACACTAAATAACGAATGTACGTACACTTAGTTAACCAGTGAGGCTCCTCACCCACCCCGAGCACCCACCGAGATCTCGGGCCGAGAAATTAGGGGGCCGCCGCCTGAGATCCAGCTTATTGTTTTGCCCCCGAGCGATATTTATCTACTTGAACCATACATGCAAACAAACCAGTCCGAACTGATGATGCTCGGTACGTCCTGACTGCACTAACTAGCTAGGTAGTCAACTAACCTCAGGTCATGTTCACTGGAGATTCTTCTCTGTGAGTTCGCGATCGATTTTGTGCTGTGCGTTACGGGTCCCGTGCTGGCGGTGTTTGCACCTCTGAAGTACCTAGGTAGTTAAAAAAACCTAATTGGTTCTTCAGTCCAGTACTGTGGTTTCCTCTTATGCTATGCGTGTGGCATCAATCACGTCCGGATCCGAAGCGAAGCGAAGGTATTGGTGGGGGCGGCACGCACGGGACGGGCAAGAGATAATTAAATATCTATGTAGATATCCGTCGTGTCTAACGAGTAATGATAATGAGCTCGGTCGGTTCGGTTCACTGCAATCTGGGGTGCCTGCCTGTCGTCGGACTTCGTTCCGCTATACCTAATTACTCCTCCCCATCCATTCCCCGGTTCTCTGACACACACAGTAACTACATCCGGGGATCTTTTCAGTAGTAGCAGCCATTCGCATCGAGCGCATGCAATTATGCCAGCCTCGGACCGTTCATTTGACAGTGACCAGGACGGAAAGTTTCACCGAAGCAACGACGTGGAACTCTGTCAGATATCCTAAAGTCACTGCCGTCCGCACTTCTTCCTTGTTTTGAGATCTGTGCCTTCCCAACCTTGGACCTTTATCGTGGAGGTCGATTCTCGGTTTCTTTCTTCGAGCGTGTGTCTTCCAAAGTCTACTTTGCGGCTGTTCGCTTGATTGAAGGACTCGACACTTGGGCCTGACGTTGTCGACGTTGATGAGGCTTTTGTCGACCGATGCTGATTGAACTAAGTGACTAGACAAGTCATCTCCACCTAGAGTTGGTATATCGGATCTTTGGGTCGAGGGGTTTGCCCCGCCAAACTAGACATTCTGGGAAAGCTGCACTCGACAAGATATCCGGTATTGCTTTCCGTTCTAGACAGCCCCAGAAGGAACCAAGTGATCTGTCTTTCAATATCTGCATCTCAAATAAAATACCCCACCAAGTTCATCTCCGAGACGACGGGTTCGGAGAGTGCTGATGGCGTCGGTGCGACCGTCGTATGTGCCTCCTGCAGGCTATCGCGACAAGATCGATGACTTCCGGGAACTAGTGAACCGGAAATATGGGCTGAAGTTGAGTATGTGCATCCCCTTTAAATGTTGCGACGAGTCCTGCCACCCATTGTTGGGGAGACCGCGGCAGATATGGCGACATGCTTCTCTCTTCGGGCTGGGAGGGGCTGTATGCTGAACAGTATGCTAATCACAATTCCCTGCCTCAACAGAGTCGTATGATGATCTGCACAAGTTCTCGGTCACACGGCTGAACGACTTCTGGATGTCAGTGTGGCAATTCACTGATGTGCGCGCATCAGTACATCCAACAATGGTATGTACCTTGGCCTAGCTGTCTTCTGGCTCTCGATGGCTAACGGCCGAGATTTTGTGACCAAACAGGCTATCGATGAAAGCCTACGGATCGATGAGTTTCCTGAATTCTTCCCTGGTTCGCGAATCAATTTTGCCGAGAACATGTTGTGCAGGAGACAAGATGGCGTTGCGGTAATCGATATGCGCGAAGACAACCTTCAAAAACCCGAGCGGTATTCCTGGAACGAGTTGCGCGAGTTGGTGAGATGCTATGCGAGTGCCTTGAGGGCATCGGGAGCTAAAAAGGGCGATATCCTTGCACGTACGTGGCTGTACCCCCAGTATCTAACCTAGGTGTTTTGATGCGAATGATTTGATAAATTATTTACTGATCTACGAATAGTCGTGGCAAGCAATTGTGTACGATCGCTCGCGTTGTTGCTTGCAACCACTTCGCTTGGCGTCGTCTTCTCGTCCTTTGCCACGGATATTGGTGAGAAGGTAAGCTCCAAGGCTGGGCATGATGATTCTTGAGAGAATGATGCTCATTAAAACGTACCACCCAGGCACTTGACGACCGACTGGGCGTCCTCCGACCACGCTTCCTTTTCGCAGAGACTGAATATTCTTACAATGGCAAGCGCATCAACATATCGAAGAAAATCTCCTCGTCGTTCTCCAACCTACAGCAACCAAGAGCTTGCGACCTAGTTGTGATCGGATCAACAGAACTGGTTCAAGGAGCACCGTAAGTTGATCTCCGCAGTGGCTCACCTAACCTTGAGTCTGACCGACTATGGAACATCCAGGACATCGTTTGACGAATTCGTCGGTCGCGACACAGGCTCTCAATTGGTCTATCAACAGCTTCCATTCAATACTCCTGCAGTAGTAATGTTCTCCTCGGGCACCACTGGAGTTCCTAAGGGCATTGTGCATTCCCATGGCGTCAGTAGCCCCTTTTTCACCATGTCAGTTCAATGGAGTGGCCACTGACACAGAACCAGGGTCTGATGACGGTTGGACTTAGGGAGTACGTCCTTCACAACAGCTTGGGGTACGATGATGTACACTTTCACTTCTCGGGTGTAAGTGGAAACAATCGTGTTTTGGGTGAAGACATGAACACTACTGACTGCATTTATCGTGGTAGATTGGCTGGACATTGTGGAATATATCCATCGGAGCATTATTCACCGGAGCAACGCTGGTCCTCTATGATGGGAGCCCATTTTATCCTTCCCCAGAAGGCTTTCTGAAAGGCATCTTCTCTCAAGGGTAGGCCTGTGCTTTTCCAGCCGTGAAGTATCATGATTCCGAAGAATGACTGACCGAAAAGCAGACTCACCTCCTTTGGGGCCGGACCGCGGTATTACGCGGAGTTGCAAAAGCGCAACGTAAGGCCAAGTACGAATAGATTTGCCATCGTTACCTTGTTTCATCAAATCAATACTGACAATGGCTCTCGTCCTGTATCCAGGTGATCTCGGACTCCTCCCGCCTAAATTGCATACGATACTCTCAACTGGAGCCCTCTTGACACCCGCATTAGCAACATGGCTTGTCGACGCATTTGGTGCTGACAACAACATCTGCCAACTGTCAATGTCCGGGGGTACGGAACTCAGCGGTTCGTTCCTACATGGAACAAGATCACTGCCATCTTACCCCGGTGAGCTCGCAGTGAAAGCTCTGGGTATGGATGTGGCCGTGTATTCAGCCGATGGCATTGAGCTGCCTGATGGCGAGAGTGGAGAAATGGTCTGCAGGAAGCCGTTCCCAAATATGCCGTCCATGTTTTTGAACGACGAAAAGAAGGAGAGGTATTTCAAGTCGTACTTTGCGAATTTTCCACGTAAGTCCAGGCAGTCTTCTGTCACTATTTATGAAGATTGACATGAATCAAACCGTAGACGTGTGGACGCATGGGGATTTCATCCAAGTAAATCCTGAGACTAGGGGGCTTTATGTCCTGGGGCGAAGGTATGTGCCGCCTTGGTTTGGCTGGAGCACGCCATTTCAGATCACGCTCAATGAATTTCACTAACACGTCTCTCTCCTCCCAGCGACGGCGTTCTGAACCCGTCAGGAATTCGATTCGGCAGTTCCGAAATCTACAACATCACATCCAAACCACAGTTCACACGGTCAATTCTCGACGCGATTGTCGTCGGACAACAGCGTGTGAAACCTCCCAGGTACTCCGATTCCACGGAGAGTGTAGTCCTCTTCATAAAATGCACGCCTTCAGCCAGCAGCGGGACCCTCACTCCCCATCCCAGGATCGTCACAGAGTTGAATGATGCCATATCGAAGGATCTCACGAGGAGACACGTACCGGCGTTCGTTTTCGAGACGCCTGAAGTGCCTTATAACGTCAACGGGAAGAAGTTGGAGATCCAGCTCAAGGCCGTGCTGTGTGGTGGTCAGGAGGCGTTGGATAAGTTGAAGGTCACAAAAGACGAAAGGGCAATGCTGGCATGGTTTGTCAAGTTCTTTGATATCGAGAAGGTTGTGAAGGAGCAGAGTGGACGAGGTGCGAAGTTGTGATCGTTTCGTTGGAGTCCCCAAAGGAATCTTCCTTGTAACATGCAAAGATACGCCTTAGACCGCTATATAGGATTTTTGTCTTCGCCTTCAGAGGAACGGTGTGCGCTATGTGTCCCCTCGCCCGGTACGGCGGCAAGATGAGAATAGGTTTGCTTCAATAGAAGCTGAGGTGCTCCTTCATAATGGGATCGTCCGCCGCCACTTCTTTGAGAACGTACCTACGAGAACCATACTCCGAACTTCGTTCCCTTCCTAGCGTCATACCTACATTGGGTCATGTGAACACGATGGGCAGATAATTTTGGTCCATCGACTCCTCGGTCTCCAGTCTGTCCTGCTCCTTTAAATCCTATTTTTCACCCTTATTTTGACCGGTACGTTCGGCTCCGAAGGCTCGCTTCTCCCAATTCGACTCGCACAATACTTCTATCATAGAGAGGCATCTATTTACACCAAGATCCTAGATGGATGAACTCTATGCTCGACTTTTGCAAGACCACCACAGCCCATAAACAGTATCTAGTACTTTTGAATACCCCCAAATGGTGTTTAACACGGACGAACACCATGCATAACACATCTTGCAACCCGATGCTATATTTAACTTGCTCAGTCCATAAAGAAATAATCCGGATGCTTATTCCCAATTTCGTCGATGGAGAACAGTCTCAACCTTGCTGCTTCCTCGGTATGCTGGTTTTCTCGTTTCTTCTTGTTCTCCCATTTGATCGCGATGATTAGAGAGGCAGATAGCACGGCCGCCAAGGATATCAGACCCAATGCTGTCCCATTGCCTTTCCTGTATAGAGGCGGGTCATCATACGCCTGATTCAGTCCGATTGCGACTGCCTGTGCGATGCAATTGATCAAAGCTGCCGCCGAGGCTCGGTGAGTATACCCGATATTGATAGAAGCGCTCCACACGAGATTGACAACCACATTGGAGAAGAGGCCCATCGCAAGTAAGCAGGTAGCGAAGAAGCGGGCCGAGTTGTTGGTGACAGCGAGTAGTAATACTAGGCCGACGATTGCGACGCAACAGTTGATGAAGATCACATAGCCTCGGTGTCCCCACTTGTCCGACACCCTTGCCCAGAACAGAATACTGACAAACGCACAGGCATAGACGATGACAGACATCAGCTGTGACTTGACGATAGACCAACCAAAGCTGTGGAGGATATCCGGTAAGAAGTTGCCGATGGCATTCACACCTGAGACGGTCGCCGACTCAATACCAACCAGCATCCAGAACTTGTAGTCGAAGATGACTTGAAGTATCTTCTGAGGCAAGATCTTAGATTCGCCCGTATTTTGTGCACGGCGTGAGCGTCTGATGACGATTTGCTTATCTTCTTCCGTGAAGCCAAACTTGACTGTCTCAGGAGTGTTTGGAAGGAGGAATATGACGAAAAAGGCCCACCCGATAGGGATGATACCTTCAATCAGGAACAGCCATCTCCACGCCCTCCACCCGTTGTTGCCATCAAGGGATGTCTGAACCGCATATGCAATGAGACCATTGAAGCCACCGGCCACGGTTGCCATGGAAAAGAAGATTGCGCCTCGGGTTGCGAGCTCATCCGCCGGGTACCAGAATGACAAATAGAAGACTGCACCCTGTACGAAGGCTTCAGAGACACCGACGAAGACTCTGATCACCACGAGTTCGGCGTAGCTGTGAATGACTACTGTGCAGGCTGTGACCAAACCCCAGGCCATCATAGCCAATCCAAACTGCGAACCCAGCATTAATACATGGTTGACTGGAAGTGGGAACCCGGGAGGGGTCAAGGGTCTAGCATACCTGCAGTGGGGGGCCTATCTTTCGAACCAGCAGGGTGGCTGGCAACTGTAGAACAATATACCCAACATAAAAGATACTCGAGACATTGGAGTACTGGTCTGGGGTGAGACGTAGTTCTTTGTCCATGCCCGAAATCTTTGCATTCCCTAGGTCGGAGCGACCCTTCAACCTGTCAGCAATTTCAGTGAAAAGCAGTAGTCTCGAGCACGACTGACCATGGATGCCAAAAAGTAAACCGTGGAAAGAAGTGGAAGGATGAAAAGGTCAATCTTCCATTTCACTCTCCGCTCACGCTGACGTTCTTCTGTCGTCAATTTCGTGCCAGGTGAATGCACTCCTTCAACAAGCTCGACGACTTTCTCATGTTGCGATGCATTGTCAGCTTTGCTCTTCACTGTGGTCGCCATTGTTGTGTTGATTACGCTCTAGTATATGGGGCTGCTGCGCGTGCTGAGAGAGACTTCTCCAGGATGGCTTCTGGGGTCTCTATATAGGGGCTGCTTCCCCGCTGTCCCAGGAAGTGATGTAGTCCTGGATGGTTGAAGCCAACTCCGACTCAGCCCGTATAAGTCCCTGCGTTCCATACGACTTCCTGCAGGAATCTTAATCAGCTCAAGCTTCATTGCCAACACAGCCACTGCCGACGGACGTAGGCCGAATTGAGCCAGCCTTTGCGAAGCAATACACGTTGTGGTGAAAACCCAGCCAATCAGAGACGTTTCGCTCATACATGCGAGCGCGTGCTCCGCTTCGAAGAGCGAAAATCGCTCGGGGGCCTGGAGAGTTCAACGTATTTCTGAGTATCACAGAAAGTGATTCGCAGGTTGGATATATGTTATAGACCTTGTTTTTGAGGTAGAATAATCATTGCGGGGCTCTTACTGGGGTTTGTCTGTAGTCAGTTTGGAGATTCATTTGTCGTGAGGGCGTACGCGTTCGGCGATGTGCGAACTTCGCTCGAGCGACTTAGGTCGGCCAACATCTAATGTTTGCTCGTACAATTTAAGCATAGTACTCGCAGAGCTTGGATGAGACTCCAATTGTTGGTACCAGCCTGCACATGTCAACAGCTATGGGCGCATCAAACCATGGGACATCTTCTCAGATGGAAGCCCTTGTGCATATCGTGACACCGACGGGTATGCTCGGCTATGGCATCAATCAAGAACATCTCGATCGAGGACTGAGTCAAACTGCATCAACTGGAGTGCCTACTGCAATCATTCTCGACTCTGGATCGACAGATGGGGGACCAAACAATCTAGCCTTGGGTTACATGTCATGCCCTCGTTCGAATTACAAACGTGATCTGACCAAGATTCTAACGTCCGCTCAACGATTCAAAGTCCCGGTTCTCATTGGGTCCGCCGGAGGTGATGGAAGTGATGAACATGTCGAAGAGATTCTGCAAATAGTGAAAGAGATCACAGCAGAGGCAGGGAATGAGTAAGCGAGATCGAACATGTCCATTCCATGACAGAATACTAAATTTTTCTTAGGAACTTCTGTCTCAAAACGATCACTATCTTCGCTGGGATTCATAAGGACTTAGTTTCTCAACGCCTTGCACAAGAAATGATTTCTGGATGCGGCGCTGCTGTGCCGCCTGCGTCACAGAAGGATATTGATGATGCTTCACGCATCGTTGCGCAAATGGGCCCGGAGCCTTTCATCAGGGCGATGGAAGCAACGCCTGGGTTCGACCTTGTCGTTGGAGGGAGAGCATATGACCCGGCGCCGTTCGTGGCATTTGCCGCATACTGGCTCAACAAACGCGTTGAGAACCGGGAGCCCCCCATATCGAGTGAACTTCTTGGAGCCTTCACACACATGGGAAAGATAATGGAATGTGGAGGAGTCTGTGCGATTCCAAAGTCCGCAGGCGCGCGTTCAACCATGTACCTAGATGGGACTTTTGATGTCCGTCCACTGGATCCGCGTTCCAGGTGCACTTCCCTGTCCGTCGCCGCGCATACACTGTACGAAAAGACTCGACCTGATATCTTGCATGGGCCTGGAGGCTATCTTGACCTCTCGGCATCCACATATGAAGAGCTCGGTGACGGACGAACAGTTCGTGTCCGGGGAGGTATTTTCCATTCCTGGCATACATTGGGCAGGCCATATACCGTCAAGCTTGAAGCAGGCCGGCTTTCAGGGTTTCGAACCATGTATATGGGAAGTGTTAGAGATCGTGAGTACATGAACCCTGTAAGATCCATGAGCTTGACTGATTATCCAAGCAATTTTGATCGGACAACTTGATGATTTCCTGCTGCGGGTCAAATCGTACGTCGCCCAAAATCAGGACAATCAGGACACGTGGAAATTGGATTTCCATACATATGGCGGTAGCCATCGAGTCAATGGCAAATGGTTAGATTCTCAGCCGAACAAGGTATTCATTATTGGTGAAGTATTAGCAGAGACCCAGTCACTGGCAACATCTGTATGTGATACAGCACGGGTTGCAACTATCGTAAGTCCCCAGCTGGTGTCGAACTGCCGCATTGACTGACTTGCTTGCCATCAAAGCACGGGCCATATCCAGGGCAGAAAGCAACAAGCGGTAATTTCGCATTCGGGATCTTGGGGTCAAAAAGTATAGAAATGGGAGCTTGTCCAGAGTTCTGCCTCTATCATCTCATGGAGCTACGTTCAGGAGAGGAAACAGCGTCATTGAGTGATTTGAGCTCAATTAAGGATGCCGCTGAAGCGAACATAGCAGATTCACCCGCGAATATGCCAATATTTCGATGGCGAGTTCAGGAGGTCGGAAGAAAGACGCAACAGTCCGGAGGAGAAATTCGGTCACCAGAGCCAGCCATGTCACATGAGACAGGTGAGCCTCATGCTAAGGCAGTAATAGGTTCAGGCGCAGATTCCAGCCCAAACGTTCGAGCGTTATTTGATCAAGTCACTTTGAGTGACGTCGCGAGTATTTTGCGCTCCAAAAATTCCGGACCGTATGAAATCACTTTTGATGTGATGTTTGAGAAAGAGGCGGTGTACCGCGTCATCAAGGACTCCCAAATGCTGAGTAGCGAGCTGATGGAGGATCTTTTCGCACTCAAGCCGGAAGAGGTTTTTTGGTGTGGCTGGTTTGACCAGGCAAGGGCTTGGAAGGCCACGATACCTCGAAAACGACATGGTGTACCGATGGCTGGAGGAGGTTTTATGGAGAACGATATCCATGGCTCACAACAATACATCCCGCTCGCGAAAGTGCAAATTTCGGCGGAGATATTGTCCAAGTTGAGGCAACCTGACGAAGAAGCGCGTCATGCGAACTTGTAGAATATGGTATGATGATCTGCGAACAGGAAGAGTAGGGTAAAATATTCTGCGCCTTGCAAATCTTGGACTCTTTGTGGGAAGTGTTCTCGGTCATAATCATTTGGTCATAAACCTTTAGGGTCTGAATGCAGCGTTTTGTTGTCCTGGTACTTCCCAGTCTAAAGGTTGATCGAGCCCACCATTAAAATCGTATGCTCTGAAGTCGAGGAGGTCCAAGAATGACTGATCCCATATGTCTTCCGGCAGTGACATGTCCTCATCACTCGGTGCCGCTACTGTCGGATCCGGATCAGGAGGAAAATCGGCGAACGATTCTCGAGAGCCCGCCGCTTCTGGTGGCGACGTTGGGTTGATGTTTTGGAGGATGTTGGTTGACCATGATCGATTACCTCTTATCTTAGAGGCCAGGATCAGCGCTCCCCAAGCGACGGACGCACTAGCACGATCCTCCACCTCGATTCCCATATTGGTATTACCACTGTCAGCATGACGACAAAGTACTTCTATGACAGTCGCGGCTCGGCCAGACTCGGAGAATTGATGCGGAGCAGTCGCTCGAAGCTTCGCATGAACCATCAAAACCTTGTTCCGTGCGGTCAGCTTGTCTTCGTCGGGACAACTACCATTCAATGCAAAGTATTTGAGCAGAAAGAATGTCGCGAACAAGACTCCACGGAAGAACGATTTGGGGAGTGCCAGGTAGTGATCGATCAAGTTCTTGTCGTTCTGTCCAGGAGGTGTTTCCAGGCCATTACAATACAGCTCAATGATGCGGTTTGCAGCTGCCATTCCAAGACTTTGGAAGGTTGCACCGCGAGTGTGAGGATCGAACCGTCGTTTATTAGCGGTTGAAGCTCCTTCTCTGACCAAAGCCAAGGTGTACACGTGTAACTTACCCACAACAAAAGAGAATGTCAAGTAGCTATCAAGTGAACAAGATAACCGAAGTGGGATGTTATCCATTTCCCGTTCGCACATTTGAACCAGTGTTTCTCGGACTGGGCCATCCATTTCTCCAAGCATGGCATCATGGTATTTTGCAACACAGCGCTGAATCTCTGTCTCAATCGATAGTTTGGTAGGCACAAAGCTTCTTTCGAGGATGGTGTCGACAGTAGAAAGTTCATGAGCACCTCTTAATGAAGGCGGAACTCCCATAAACATTGATAAGCTTGAGGACAATTATCAGCACATTTCGGACTCGGAAGTTGGCTACGAACCTTGTATGAACACTAAAGCAAGCCAACCATGTCTTTGCCATCGCCTCTCGATGCTCTTGTGATATCGTCGAAGATAAAGGTCCTGTCGAAGTAAGAGCACGAGGGAGGCCCAGGATAAACGCAGCATGAACGGCGATGCCAGCAAACATCAAGCTTGGGTCTTCAAGCTGAAACATGATCGGTGACGGCCAAGTGGACAGAAAAAGAATAGCCTGAACCGTGTGCAGACTGTGAGGGTTTTTTAGTATCGTTTTGTTTGTTAGATTCGTGTAAGGTGTGATGAGCAAGTTATATCGTGAAACATAATCCGCATGAAATCGACTGGCGAGGAAAAGAATCGTCCAGAACAAGAATGGACTCGATTCCTGGAAATTGCGAACTGGTATGTTGGTATCAATAATTGGCAAGTGCGGATGGAAGACACGGTGAAAGCTATGAGGGAAGACATCAACTTCACGGTCTCGAAACCAGTAAGTGGACTTACAATAAGAACAAATTGCGAACATCATTCTGATCGAAGGTGCTGTCCTCAAGCCGCGCCTCTCTCAGCTGCAGAAGACATTTTTCGTCTTCACGGAGACCAAAAGGATCGCTGGAAGGAAGACTGCGCTGCTGTGGACCCCGAGATCTGTCTCGACGTTGCAAAGACGATGTAGAGTCACTTAGAGAAGCGGTGCTTGTCGCCTTCAGAGGGTCCTCGGTTGTCTGAGCATTGAGAGCTTCTTTCAATTGCCGTAATTCATTTGTGACCGACTGTAGACGTCTAGACCAAATAAGTACCAAGCCCTAGAAGACCAACAGCTCACTTACAGCCGTGTGGCAGTTCTCTTGAACGTTGAATCAATCACACACACAAGTTCTCGCTTAGTGCATCTGGCACAGGGTTGCGGAAATGTGTCATTCGCATCACATCTCAACTTTACCTGACGGCATTCTGTACAAGCCTTCACAGGCCGTCTACGCGTAGCTGCAGCATCCATGTTATGCACCATGCATTCTGGCTGATCTAGTTCAGTTCACTCCATGATGCTCTACTGCCGGTCCATAAGAGTCGTTTGAGGATGAGATGATGAGTGTTAGGCCGCCGACTTGGCATAGGCACATCACATGATTCATTGCGAAACTCGCAATGTTGGTCATAGCACAGATTGATCAATAGTACGGAGGCAACAAGAAAATTTTTGAAGTTCATTTCATTCAGGAAAGCTATCTAGTTCCCCATGCAAACTGGTAGTGTAACAAGATTGCGTAATTCATGCATCACTCGCAATAAGCTTGATGCTCAAGATTCTATGCCATGCAAGGTATCATTTCCCATTTTGCCCTGCACAACGCCAACGCCGGGTGAGATGAAACAAGAAGAAAGCCGCTAAAATGCTTTTGAAGATGAAGGCGACAGCATTTAGTCGACTTCTTCGACGGTTGGGCCATCATCTCCACCACGGGCACCTCCAGCACCGCCGGGGAATCCACCAGGGCCGCCAGCACCAGGGAAACCGCCGGGACCTCCGGCACCAGGGAAGCCACCTGGACCACCTGGAGCACCACCTTCACCTTGATAGAACTTCATCATGATGGGGTTGGCGACGCTCTCAAGTTCCTTCTGTGTGGACTCATACTCATCCTTGGTGGCGGTCTGGTTCTCGTCCAACCAAGAGATAGTCTTGTCAATCTCGGCCTTCAACTTCTCCTTGTCGGAAGCATCAAGTTTCTCGTCAACCTTTGAATCGGAGAGGGTGTTCTTGAGCGAATATGCGTATGATTCAAGACCATTCTTTGCGCTGATGCGACCAGTCTCAGCCTCATCCTCAGCCTTGTATTTCTCGGCCTCGGACAACATGCGCTCGATATCTTCCTTTGACAGACGACCCTTGTCATTGGTGATGACAATCTTGTTGGACTTGCCAGTACCCTTCTCTACGGCAGACACGTTCATGATTCCATTGGCATCGAGATCGAATGTAACCTCAATCTGAGGAACACCACGAGGAGCAGGAGGAATACCAGAGAGCTCGAACTTGCCGAGGAGGTTGTTGTCCTTGGTGCGTGCACGCTCACCTTCGTAGACCTGGATAAGCACACCGGGTTGGTTGTCAGAGAATGTAGAGAAAGTCTCTGACTTCTTGGTTGGGATAGTAGTATTTCGCTTGATGAGTGCGGTCATGACACCACCAGCGGTCTCAATACCGAGAGACAATGGCGCAACATCGAGAAGAAGGATTTCGTTGGTGGATTTGGATGAGGTGTCTCCGGACAAGATAGCAGCCTGGACAGCGGCACCGTAGGCAACAGCTTCGTCAGGGTTGATGGATTTGTTGGGCTCCTTTCCGTTGAAGAAGTCGGAGACGAGTTTCTGAATTCTGGGGATACGGGTAGAACCACCAACCAAGACGATCTCGTGGACTGAAGACTTGTCAATCTTGGCATCGCGCAGAACACGCTCAACAGGCTCCATGGTAGAGCGGAAGAGATCCTGGCAAAGCTCTTCGAAGCGAGCTCGGGTGATGGAAGTGTAGAAGTCGATACCTTCATACAAGGAGTCGATTTCAATGGAGGTTTGGGCGGATGAAGAAAGAGTGCGCTTCGCACGTTCGCATGCGGTTCGGAGTCTTCGAAGGGCTCGGGCATTGGCGCTGAGATCCTGTTTGATATTGTAATTAGCATGATGGGCGCCGGCGATGTAAGAAAAGCAATGCTGAAAAAAGCCGGCAGAAAAAAGCCGGCAGAAAAGACACAATTTTGAACATGCTGAAATCAAAAACATGCACAGTGTGGATGAGCGTTCCAAAAACTTCGAGAAAACATGGTTTACGCAAACGACAATGTCGTTTGCGTAAGATGGGCATCAGCCTCCTTTCTGAGATGTCGTGGCTTGGTATTGTGGCGTCTGAGAGAGGCAGCGTCTCTGCAGTTGACATCACACAATGCACAATAGTACAGCTTCTGAGCTCGTGCTGCTGCCTGACGAGCTTTGGTTCTGGGTCTCTGATTGTAATTGTTTCGAGTATGTGTAAGCTTGTATTGAGGTGTGGGATTGGCCCTCATTGCTCTGTGGTAAGCATCTTGGTATGCCTTGTTCTTGGCCTTGGTTGCTGCTGCAATCTCGATCAATTGTTCAGGTGTCAATTTCTCTTCGGATTTGTGGAATCCTTCGAGAAGTGGATTGTGTGTGTTTGAACCAGCCCACTCGAACGAGTCTCGAGGCCAGATACACACATCAGCATAGCCGTAGGATTTTTCAGTCCCAATAAGAGACCAGAATACACAGTGAAACACCGACTCAATCACCTTGACAATCGTTCTGAACTCCGGAACATTCTCTGGATCAGGGATTGCACACTATGCAATCAAGGTCTTGTGACATATCTTGTAGTCATCGTCTTGGTGAAGTCGAATAGTTGAACTAACGGCTTGATGGGTGTCCGCGTCGTAATCTTGAAGCCGACCACGCACACCACGATCAGTGCTAGCTCCTGAGCCGACATACAGGATTGGCACACAGTTTGGCTTCTCAAGAACAAGAACATAAACACCCCAGCTGTGTTTTGGGGGATCTTGCACCAAATTCTTGAAGAAATCGACCCCTGGGGCAGACGGGGCGTTCAAGACTTTGAAAAGGTCAGGTGCAAAGGTGAAGTTCATGGCTTGGAAGGCTGTGTCAAATGTGCCAATGTTTTCAATGACATGTTTGAATCGCGGATTCTTGTATTCAGGAGTGTTCAGGACTGCCGAAGCAAGAAGGGGAACGAGCTCATGAATGTTCGTTGCTTGATTGTCCATCGTGTCACACCCGTAGAGGAGAATGTGGATTGAACAGAAGAGTGTTCAGTGCAGAGATTGGAGATGTGGAATGATGTTTGGGACAATGGTTTGAGTGGTGTGAACGAGGTGGAATGTTTGAGGGGATGTGGAAGTGGATGGTGAGAGGCTCGGAGGAAATGTGGAAATGGTGGGAGTCAAATGGTTGAGGAATGACTCCCACCATTTCGAAGCCGGAAGGAACATTCCAATCGAAATGAGAAGGAACGTTCACAGCAGCAGCAGTAAATAGTGAGCTGCCATCGTATCGATGGAAGGAGCAAATGGTGGCGGCCAATGCCAAATGGCCATATGAGGAAGCCACATCTGCACGTAATTCGAAACAGATTTCAATCGGAAGGTCCGATCAAAGCTCGACCAGCAGACAATCACACTTTGACAGCTGCCACAATGTGCTGAATGTGTGCAGAGTTGTCACTCTCGCTGAGAAACATCCCATTCCACATTCATTCAATGATCCCGAGAATTCTGGACCCGAAAAATGAGTGGGGAAAAAATGGGAGTTTCGAAAGAGTGTGGCGAGAAGAACAGGCCGACATGAGTGAGGTGTGAGCTTTCGGGCCTGGGATCAGAAAATGGCCAGGCCCGAAAGCGGTGTGTCGAAGGCGGTGAGGAAAGGTGAGTGTCCGGTGTGAGGGAGGGTGTCAGGGCATCGCCCAAAGATGACAATGGATAAATGAAAAACTCAAAAATTTCAGGTCGCTCAAAACACCACACAAAGCAGATAAAAAAAATGGGAGGGCATCATGAGAATGAAAAAGAATGAGGTATACATACCTTTTTATGCTTTCTTTTGAACTCGTTAACGAAATGGTTAACGAGACGGTTGTCGAAGTCTTCACCACCCAAGTGAGTGTCACCGGCAGTAGACTTGACTTCGAAGATACCTTCTTCGATGGTGAGGAGAGAAACATCGAAAGTACCACCACCGAGATCGAAGATCAAAACATTGCGTTCACCTTCGATCTTCTTGTCGAGACCATAAGCGATGGCAGCAGCAGTGGGTTCGTTGATGATACGAAGGACATTGAGGCCTGCGATCAGACCAGCATCTTTGGTGGCTTGGCGCTGAGAGTCGTTGAAATAGGCAGGGACGGTGACAACAGCATTGTTGACGGTACCACCAAGGTATGACTCGGCAGTCTCTCGCATCTTGGTCAAGATCATGGAGGAGATCTCTTCAGGTGTGAACTGCTTGTTCTCGCCCTTGAACTCGACTTCGACCACAGGTTTGCCTCCCTTGTCGATAACCTTGAAGGGGAAGTGCTTCATGTCGGCCTGAACCTCAGCATCGGCGAACTTACGACCGATCAGTCGCTTTGCGTCAAAGACGGTGTTCTGAGGGTTCATGGCGACTTGATTCTTGGCTGAGTCACCGATCAATCGCTCTGTGTCGGTGAAAGCAACGAAGGAGGGAGTGGTTCGGTTGCCCTGGTCGTTGGCGATGATTTCAATGCGGTCATCTCGGAAGATGCCTACGCAGGAGTAGGTTGTACCTAGATCGATACCTATTGACATTTCGTTAGCCTGTTGTTGTTGGTCTGGTTGTGGTGCCTGCGGGGTGCGAGGCTGCGGGATTGACTTACCGATGGCTGGTGCCATGATTGTAGAGATGATATGAAAAGGTGCTGAGAAAAAGAGGAAATGGGAGTTTGGGACAAGCCTTTGAGGATGACTTTGTCAAAGAAAAAGAGGATTAAAGTGTCTGGTTTGGATGTGAGAATCTTCTGAATGAGTGAGTCTGGTTGGGCTTTATGAAGTGGTGAGGCAGGAAAAATGTAAGGTAGTCTTGGCGGAGTGCGGAAACAGAGAGAAGGTTGTGGAAGAATCACCGTGAAGCCAGAACCGCCCAATCCCCACCAGCGGTTTCCAGCCTCTTCCTGTGAATTCACTGCCTGTTTGAACCTGAAGAGACTACGAGCTATACCATTTGAATTATTCGCACGTCTTTCACGCTCGAAATGACTGTTGCTGTAGGCTCCAGGTCTTCTTGAGCCGGCTGGTGCTAGCTCTAGAAAACTTTTGGGATGGGAGCCGTACGTCATACCCCTCGCCCAAAATCGTTATCGACAAGGCTGAATCAGGCCGGAGGGGGCGGCCATGGCGGGGCAAACTCGATGTTGCCTGGGCTTCCTGCTTAGGCATGGCATTTGCTGCCGGGCAACCCAGTCTCAAGCCGGGGCAAATCTCAATCCCTGTCTCCACCATGAAATCATACGATCCTTGTTCCTCGGGCAAAATTTTAATTCCAACAATCCTTTTGATTCTAGACAATTCGCCAGCCTATTCTATGGGTGTTCCACTGGCCGCTAGCAGTTCCACCGTCACACACCGGGATCTGTGGTTATCGGCCTCAGTCGTACTGAACCTCGTATGTGCTCCGTCTGTACCGAGCTGGCTGATGCAGTCCTGAAAACAGTAATTGATGAGCTCGAAGCTGAAACCATTTGGTTGTCCTCTATGCCCGCATTCTGTCTCTCGTCCATATTGTCATTCGATTCTCTGCTTTCTGCTGCACTGTGATGCTGCTCCAGCCGCCGTTGCAGCCATGGACGCAAATTGACTGGTGGGGAAATGATTAGCAAATCTCGGTCATCATCAGGAGATATCATTATTGCAGCATGATCTTTCTTACAGTATCCCCCGCATGCGAAAACCCCTAGCCATAAAATTAGTTCCGAGCCATATATGACCATTCCAAGGATGTCCAATTTGGGCTGAAAAACGACGGAGACCAACGACGTCAAATCTCCCAATGCGTCAATAAAGACGAACAAGAACGATATCCCACGCACTGTCCGCTCTCTGTAAATATCCCAGTAATGCCGGAGGACCCCAGCGCAGAGAAGACAGGCAGATAGTACAGCCATGAATGTCACAGGCCATTCCACATGGGCACGGCGTCCTCTTCGAAGTAAAAAGACCAATCCACATTCTATGCCACCCATGGCGAGTGCCACGGGCGTAACGACAGCTGCAGACTTCCTCAAAGGCCATTTGTTGCCATAGTATTTGCACTGAATCCATGTGACAAGGCTCAGGAAGGTCAACAACTGCGGCTGGATGCGTAAGGCCACATTGAAGTTTTCGACGATATTGTAGACCCCAAGAGGGATCCCTGCTGCAGCCCACAGCAGCATCATAGTGGGCTGAAGGCCTGTAGTGTCATGTCGTCGATAGTTGATCACAATTTGTGGAATCAGCTGATGCACAACTATCAGTCCGGGTATGTCCATTGATCCTCATTCTTGACAAACCTGCACCGACCAACATACTGCACCAGTCACCCCCAAGATATTCGCTGCCACAGGTATATCCATCGCATTGCCAGGAGTTTGGAGGAGGAATGTCCAAAGAGAGAGGCTTGATAGTAATTTTATTTAGATCACGTGAGAGTTGGCTTGATACGGACACGTGACTAAAGCTTCAAACGCTTTACTCTGTTAGCGACAGTGCACCCGTCCTGGCTTGGCAGCAACCGCGATCCTCTTATGTAACTGGGTCGCGCCCATCTTGGTTTGTATGTCTCCAAACACATTGGGATCTTCTCCGCAGTCGATCTCCAGTTTCAACTTGACCTTTCTACTCTCCTTGTATCGCAAGTGCGCATTACTTTCTCTCGCATATCAACAGATACACTCTCGGACAGATATGTCAGCCAACGGCACCACTGAGCCTCAGGGCACCAGTGACATTCTCGACAACGGCAAAGGCAAAGGAAAAGCCGTCGAGGATGTTGCTCTAGCACAAGCTGATGACGACTCCGACGAGGAAAGTGGCATTGAAGAGGTACGAAAACCTGCGTTGAAACCTCTTTCACTGAATGATACTGACCGGTTTTGCATCACAGCAGCAAGAACCAGAAGATGGTACGATTGAACCCCACCTAGCAATGCCTCACAACTCCCCTACCGCCTCCGAGCACAGTTGCATCCTTCTTAAAATTTAGGTACTGACGCACTGCTTGTCTATAGATGACGAGGATATGGAAGAGATCGACCCTTCAAACATCGTCTCAGGACGCACTCGCAACAAGCAGATCGACTGGGCTGAGGCTGAAGAAAAGTCCAAGGCCGCTGGTGATGACTTTGGCGATGAGGACGAAGATGATGATGATGACTTCGTTGAAGCCGAGGATGATGATGATGAAATGAGAGATTGAGTTGTCTCACTGACGCCTTAACGACACTTGCACCTCTAATTCGTCTTGAGTATGGGGGAATGCAAATAGAAATGAGCAATGCAGCGCCCAGAGAATCCTTCTCTCGCCTTGTTCATACGAATAAAAATCTCGATGATTTGGTACTGGGTAGCTCATAACTCTCAGTACTGCAATGGAAAGCCATCCGCAATTCGAAGCGGGCCTTCATGCATCACAACTTCGTGGTGTGGCGGAACAAAAGCACAACCCTAGATCCACCTGTTCTACGTCCTGTCTCGCATTCAGGTTTCTGCCTTGCATTTCTCAAGGTGTCGGTTCTACTACTGGCGTTCTGGAAAGAGAGCAAGAATCGAATTCTCGGCAGATGGTCAGCAGGCGAGGTGTCACAAAAGGACAGACAAATGGGTTAGATGAAGTCAATACAAAATTCTTGCTACTCAGAAGTATTCCTCAAATCGCCTGACAAGTGACTTGGTCAAGCGCTGGCTGCGTATCTATCCTTCCCCTCCCTTCTCTTGTCTGTATGTCGGAAACCCCTGACTATCCACCGCCTTGCAGAGCCCCAAATCGGAATGTCACACCACCCTGCCGAAATACAGCACGAATAAATTACAAGCCCCTTTTTTACTCTCTCGTCCAACAACACCTATGACTTCGTCTCCCTTTCTATACTGTGGCAATATATATAAGCATCTAAAGAATAGCCAACTCCAAACAACTGTCTTTCCTCGCCCCAGCCTGGTCTCAAATAATGCTGTCTGTGTGAAGACCGGGTAAAGAAGACGGTGTGACATATATGTACCTTGTTCCCCAATCTGCGAACAGAAGTAAGTCTGTCACCGTCACCGACAAACTGTCTTTCTCTCTCTTCCTTCTCTCAACCAAATGCTCCTGATCACCAGCTCCTTCCAGTACCACTAGTGGGTTAGATATCCATGGGGATCGCAGGAGCCATAAGTACCTCGTGCTTCAGTAAATACACCAAGCAAAGTCCCGCGACTACAGACCGTGATACACACACAGAGTTTCCTGTAGAATCGTATCGGTATCGCTATGAATTCTCCCACGGCCCAAGTGCTGGAATCCTGCTTGGGATCTCCGTTCTGACGAGTCTCGCGCTCGTCGAGCCACGCGCTTTCAGCCAGATGAGACGAGACGAGAACAAGATAAGAGCGCACGGTGCACAGGTGATGGATGTTGACGTGTTACATGCTTGTCCACACCCATAGAGAGGAGAGTCCCGAACGGCAGTGCCTATGCTTTAGAATGGTTATATATAACATATGCCTACCTAGTAGTTATTGGTGTGTGTCGCGATACTGTCTATATCGCTACTGCTTGTTGAAGGGAATTCAGTGAACAGATGGTGGTGGTGGTGCCCATTGACTGCTCATGGCTCGAGCGCGCAATAGAGTTCTGAATGGTATGTTGGCTGGGTGATCAGGAGACATATTATTGGTACAGTGGCGAGGAGATGATTCAACCGAGATGTATTACACTGTCGAAGCAAGGCGCAAGCAAGGCGGTGTGTCCTTTACAGATCTAATTATGATTTATCTTGCGTCTTTTATACAGATCTGCTATCAAGCAGATTTAAGCTCATCTCGCGGCCTGCTCCGTTTGCTAAGTGCCATCGGCACTTCCAACTTCCAAAGGCGTGCGCGTGATGATTTGTTTTTGTCTTGCTGTCTCGTTCATAGTTGCATAGTATGCTCAACTCAGGCGACTGAACCTGCCTCCATTGCGGTCGATAGATGCATTCAAAGCTCGCCCGCTTGGTCGTCGAGGGCTTTTCTCTACCTCAAATGAAGGCTCGATCAGTTCCTCAAGACCATTTTCGAGCTGTTTTGTGGACGTGCTTCCGATCCCTTTCTCTTCGTGTCCTTCCTGTGCCACTAAATGGCTATTATGTCTCCGCTTGGCGCAGACCACACAGATCCAGCTATGGCTGTTGATAGCTTTCCCCTTACCATTTGAGATTCCCCTGGCAGAATTGATTTCCACGCATTTCTGATGGTACATGGTTCTGGCAGTTTCACAGCCGGTATCTGTACAGAATGTTCCATTCTTGATTGCATTTTTGATGGGTTTCCTACAAATACCACATGTGTCTTTGGCAAGTCGTGTACTTGTGGTCGGACTGTAATCATGTGTCCCATTAGTCATGGTCGAGGCAGTTGACTTTTGCGGCGTAAGTAGAGTATTAGGCCTCAAGGCCCTCTCCAGCTCCCTATCATGATCATCTATGTGAGGTGGACTCGAAAAACCATTGGAAAGAACAGGGCTGCTGATCCCATTTCTCAATACCGGGCTTTTGAATCCATTTGTTAGAAGAGTGTTGTTTGCTGTGGAGGGGCGGCTGGGTGGGCTGTTAAAGATCATCTCATTGACATCCATGATAACGTTGTCATCAATGAAATGCCGTTCTTTGAGACGTTGAAGATAATCAAAAAATATCTCCAGAAGGTCACCTTCACCATTGCTTAGCCACTTGCGATTCTTCCTCACAAATCGCACAAGTGAATTGGACAGATATGTAGAATGCTCAAGATGTTCTTCCATACGGTGTTTGTCCCAACGTTTGCGAAGTTCTCGTTGATAGTTACTCCAGCCTTCTTTCTTTGCCATGATATCGAGCCGTTCCAAGTGTTGTTGAATCTGCCACTCGTTATCGATCTCATCATCTGTTTCGCTGCGAGGTTCTTCTGACGGGGAAACAGGTCGATGGCTGACAGAAGTGTAAACCGATTTGTCCGATTTGTGCGGTACCAGACGGCTGACTGCCGCATACTTCTTGCGCTGCGGCTCTCGAAAATCGGGGACTTGTGACGCGGGAAGAAGTGGTGTGATTGCTTTCTTATGATTGACAGTCTTTCGAATACTTGGCAGTTGTGGCTTTTGGTCAATTATCCACTTCTCGTCGTCGCCTCCCAAAAACGCTGGTAAGTCGAAGGCCTTGTGCGGAGCATGCCACTCGAATGCGAAGATGTTGTCTTTCCGTTCTTCTTTCTTTGGGGGTGGCAGAAGCTGACATTCAATCAGAATGTGCTTAGATGTCCTTCTTGTCAAATCTTGTCGAGCATTATGAACCGTCCACTTGTACTTGGCATGAGTTGTTGCAAGGTGAAATTCTAGATTGACCAATTTGGTTGACTTCCACATCGTACAAATTGGACAGATGTAACCTTTGGTGACGTTCCGTCGCAAGACTTCGGATTTACCAAAACCTGTGCTTGAAGTCGCGATGAACTTATAGTGAACATCGGGCGTGGTGGGTATTTTTAGAGTAGTTGGCGCTTTAGTTGTGATCTTTGTACTTGGGGTGTTTGTACTGGTGCGCCGATCGACCACGCCTCTTGGGATGGTCGTTGGTGTTGGAGGAAGCAAAGCAGGCTCTCTGAATGACTCCAGATCGATGCCATTCGTTGCTTGTAAGGTTGAAAACGCCGATGTCCATTTAGATGCCACTGATAGCCCGTATTTCGTCCGATAAGTTCGACCTCCATGTAAGAAGAAAATACTAAGCGGTACATCAGCATCTGGAGCCTGTGGTAGATGCATGTACCGAGCCACCACTGCGCCCTGTAGCTCTCCAAAATCGGCTTTGACATCGTGCGCGAAATTGTCACCATCACTTTTTCCAAGAAGTGGTATAGGCGGCCATTGGCTATTTACTCGACACGGGATAATCTTTATCTCCATGAAGTACTTGTCAACCAAGCTCGTGATTAGTCCATCTTTCGTATCGCGTGTAAACATTAGGTCCTGGTTTCGAATCACGAAAGGACTCTCCAGTTCGATATTCACAAAGCAGCCATGGATGGCTGTCTCGGTCGCTGTCACCAGGCAATCTTTTGTGAATGCTTTGGGGATTGAGGTAGGCGCATTCGTGCTGCTGTCCCAGACAGTAAGATGACATTTGCATTTGATAGCGTCGCGCTTTTGACGTTTCGATGATCTTTCAGCCTCATCTAGAAGGTTTGTCTTGAAATTGAGCTTCTTGCGAATGTTGTTCAGATCAATGTGCAGCTCTGACTGGGAGTCTGTGGTTGAATTTCTGCCGCGCAAGCTGCGCAGGCTCTTTGTGCGCTGTTGACGGGTTTCACCTGGCTCTAACGAAGCCATTAGATGAGGCGCCATGCCAGTGGGTGGCAAGACGGCCGAGACCACGCTTTCAGGGATGGGAAGTGAGGATGTAGTGGTGCTTCTGATAGTGCCAACTCCTCTGCGCGACACCTGTGATGTACTTGCAACGTTATCAGCAATTCCGGCCGAAGTGACTAGCCCCTCTTTCCGAGACTCAGGACGGGGCGCCTCTGCAATCAAACGCCGTTGGTGGTGTTGTAACACCCGCGTCAGATTTCTCTCTAAATAAAGTCGCTCTCTCCAGCGAGCTCTATAATCGTCAAAAGTGAAATCTCCTGCAATGTAACGAAAGGTTTTCTGATCTGACGAATTCAGCATCTTGGGGAGGTGAACCCGACGCGCTTTGGGATGCGTGGTTCAACCCCCATGGTCTGTTCCAGAAGCTTTAACGTGACGAGTCGCAGAACACAAATGATGATAGAGCTTGGATTTTCGAAGCCACGATCGCGTGCTTGCTCACCTCGCGCGTCAAACAAATCCCTCAAAAAATCAGAGTCAGCGTTGTTTGCTATTGCCTTGAGAACTGTGGTGTTTACGCGTCGCAATTGTGTTTGTTGATGAATTCGAAGTGATAATGAAAAGCGTGGTTTCCGATGACTTTGTTGGGTGGTAGACGAATCAAACCTTGGATGGAGGTGATTACAGCCCTGGGGCCCTGACCAAGTAAGGGAATGTGGTTGTTGTTCAATAATCTGCGGGTAGAAGCAGGGAATCGAAGGGGACTCTGAGGAGCGAGGACTGGCGGTAGTGCGAATTTCTCTGATTTGGGACTGGCCGGAGCCGGTTCTTGCCAACGGTGGAACTGGGGGCGCGGCTTGTGGCTAATCGGGCGATCAAATTTGACATGGGCGCCCAAGGTTCTTTCCCAGAGCCAAGCTCCGCCCAAGATAGGCGCCTTCAGCCGAAGGCGGGCAGACAACTCCTTCTTTAACAACGGCACTCCCTCCTTCTTTCTTGCGGGAATCTTTTCTTCTCTAGAGACACAGTTCCTACGCAAATCTTTGTTGATGTGATTGACAAGGTGATGTGTTGTCAATTGTCCTGACAGCCACGTGGGTAGATTTACTCAGCTACTCCTGTTGTTGGCATTTAGCTTCTGAGGCGCGTCTTTGTTCTTTGTCAGCAGCTTTGCCTGTCAGGCATGTATGTCTAAGACCAACAGATGGTCACTACACCGAATGACGATACCTTCTTTCTCTGATGTTAGAAATGTGCAAGAGATAACATCAAAGCGAGATTTCATTACGCGTCTAGTGAGAGACTGAATATTATCTCAGAGTTGTGTTCAGCCTGAGCACGACCTAGTTCTCAAAGTCTCCTGCAGAAGTAGATACTGACTCCCTAGGCAGCTATATACAACGGTCGTTTTAATAAACTAGTACTAGTCCTCACGGCTCGTTCGATCTGCTCTCACCCGTGCCGAATAACGAGTGAAGCATGATTAAAACTCTTCTAATTAATCTATGAGGCCCCGGGCGAAGGTTGTACTCACACCCCTAGGTAGCTGCAAGTGGACGTTCTCAGTTTGGTCCGCTCGTCTCTATTCCCCAACATAGTTCGTATGGAGAGACCCACATTCACTCTCTACCCCAAGCTGTCAAGGTTATACATCTCTATAGACATCCTCCAGCAGCATTTCCACCAGTGAGAAATGCTTCTCTGGCACACTTTCCGTACGGGGCACCGCAGTCGCTATACCAAAGGAGTGGGAAGGCCTAGCGAGCGTTGCGGTGGTGACAATCTAATAAATAGAATTAAAGCATTCTATACAACATTTAAGTGCATAAAATCCGACTACCCGACTGGCACCACACGGTGGTCGTATGGAAAGAGGAGCAGATGACCTTCATAGTACACCTAGTAGTTCTGTTGTTCACACAATGTACTTTTTGTACATGTGTTGGTAAAATCTATATACGCAGACATCGCTATGCAATGTAAGAGAAATATATATGTCCTAACTTTTCGCGCTCAGTTTTTCTCTAACTGGACATGAGCTCAATTCGCTGGCTGCTCCTCACGCATATGAATGGGCTTTCAGCCACTCCAACAGTTGTGCCTCGTCCCGTTTCTTGTAATTTGCATTGCCCGTGATGGTATCGGAAATGATGACGAGACTTCGGCTAAAGGAGCCAGTCTCTTTGTCCTTGAAGAAGTCGGCGATGTCGTCGCGGATCTCAGTGTCGGAATAATTCACCAGTCCGTTCTTGATCCAACGATCAATGACAACACTGGTGCCCCCAAGCCTCTCATAGACATGAGCCCAATTGCTCTTGGTAAATTGCCAGGCCGCCTTGCGTGTCTCGGTATTCGCTGCGACAGCAATGATACCACTGTGGGCATCTTGTGGAGGCACTGCGTTAGATGTTACAAATTCCAGTAGACTTATTGCATTATCATAGTTCTTAGATCGGCCGAGAGCTTGGATGACGATCTCTTTTCCGTCCACAGAGGTTGTTCTGAGGAATTCGGCCTTGACAGCGTCGAATTCCTCTTGGCCCCCATTTGCAACTGCCAAGTTGAAAATGACTCCCCGAAGATCTTGGTGGATGGCTTTCTGGTCACCAGATTTCCAGGCAGCAAACTTCTTCTTACCCTCTGCAATGATTGCTTCGTGGCCAGCACCCGCCGCTGCTGCTAGGAGAAGCTTTCTTGACTGTCCTGTGAGCCACTCTTCGTCTGTAGGAAAATCCCAGCCCACCGATTCAGCGGCTGGCGAGACTAGCTTCAATGTGAACTTCTTCAAAGCTGACGATATTTCCTTGTTAGAGGCAAACACAGATCGCACCTTTGCTAGCGAACCAGCAATCGCTTGCCAAACAAGATAGCTTCGCTCTTTCTGGAAACCTTCTAGAAGCGCGAGCAAGGCAGGAGTTGTTCCATGACCAGACACTGCAAGTGCCGTTGCATCGCCTAGAAGACCGATCTTATCTTCTGTCGACAGAAGATCTTGATTCTCACCCAGCTTGACAAGTCGTGGAGGGGGGTAGTTTGTACGGTAAAACCCACTTTGATCTGCGTTGATCTTGTAAAAGGAGTCATCAACATTGCGCACCGTGTCCTCTTTGGATGTCAGAGCACTATGTTCAACTTTGGGTGGGGTTCCAGTCTTAAGACCAACAGGAACCCACCAAGTGGTTTCGTTCTCTTCAGTTTTGACATCACCTGTGCTTAGGAATCGTTCTTGGCGTATTGAAATCTGACCAGGCTCTTCTGCGACAGTTACAACGGGAAAACCAATTTTACGAATCCACGGGTCCATAAAAGCCAAAACATCTTGACCTGATGCAGCACTGAGGGCAGCCCACAGATCATTTGTTCTGGCATTTCCATAGGCATGAGCCCGCAAATAGTCACCAACACCTTTGAGGAACACATCTTGACCGAGGTGGTTGCTCAACATTCGAATGACAGAGCTACCTTTGAGGTAGGAGATTTGGTCGAAAATTTGATCGACCTCGAGGGCATTTCGCACAGGGACTTCGATTGGGTGAGATGCACGGAGAGAATCGAGTTGTAGCGCTTGTTGATAACCTTCAGCCTGGGATTCTGTCAACAGAGAACATCAACAATACCTCTTTTCATACGCACCACAAACTGACTCCACACCTTCCACTCGGGATGCAGGTGGTCAATTGCAAGCCAACCGACCCAGGTGGCGAAACCCTCATTCAACCACAGCTCATTCCACCAATCCATGGTCACCAAATTGCCGAACCATTGGTGAGCCAACTCATGAGCAACGACGTAGGCGACGCGGTTCTTGAACTTTGCATCGGATTTACCTTCATCGTAGAGAACAGCGGTGGTTCGATAAGTGACCAAACCCCAATTTTCCATGGCTCCCATAGCGAACTCGTGAACTGCAAGAAGATCGGACTTGGGTAGCGGATAGTCGATGCCAAAAATTTCAGAGAAGTAGTCGATGATCTTGTGAGCATGCTCCAAAGCGAATTTACCTTGATCCTTGAGGCCGCGTGTAGTGTAGACCCGCACAGGCAGATTTTTACCGTTGTACTTGCGCTCCGTAAACGCCTCAACATATTCGAAGTCGCCGATTGCCCAAGCCGCGAGCTGGATGATGTTTTGTCAGTATTCATCGGCACAATGGCGTGCTCAACTAGCACTTACATATGTGCTCATAGCTGGAGTCTTCTCAAAGGCCACCTTCTTCAGACCATCCTTGCTACCCTTTGTGACGTTCTTCTCGGGCATGTTGCTCAAGGCCACTAGGTCGTCCGGTATCTCCACCTCAAACTCGAAAGATGCCTTCAGGTTGGGTTCATCGAAACAGGGGAAAGCTCGTCTTGCCTCGCAGGCTTCGAACTGGGTACTGAACATGTAATGCACCTCGCCATCGGTGGGAACGCCAGCGGCTGGAGTGACGGTGGGCTTGTACTTTGAACGGTAAAAGCCAGCCATGTTATTGTTGATTGTGCCTTTGTACTCGATCGCTATTATAGCATTGCCAGCCGGAATGTTTTCCGAGAACTTGATGGTGGCTCGCTCGTTCTTCTTGTCATATGATATGTCTGACGAGGAGGTAACAGGTGCTGTTCTCGCATTAATAGATGTAAATGCTCGATACATGTGCAGCATCGACTCACATGTGCCATTTTTAACAAAGACCTGAGCATTTTTAATTTCCAGATGTTTAGCATTGATGACCAGTTCTTTCGTGTCAGACTTGACCTCAGAGTCTATTTTCAACAGGCCATCGTAGCCCCAGGACCCTCCGAGATCCAGATTGAAGAGTGACAAGTCATAGTTGATCGGCTTTATGCTGTACACAAACAAGAGTCAATGGATGGAGTGCTAGGGATTGTCTTGTCGAAGAAAGCTCACGTATCAGGGAGGATATCACGGTCGGTAGGAGGTGCCATGGTCGATCGAGCTTCAGCGGAACAATGTCGAAACTGAATATATGGTCGTGATGGGTTTCTCGACTGGAATGGAGGGGCACGCCTGGTCCTTTGGAAGCCAGGAGTGTGTTCTGAGGAGAGTTGGAGATGGTGTGATTTGTATGAGAGTGTGAAGGTGGATTGAGACCTTGCAACAACAAGAGAGAGTCTAGAAAAAGAAGTGGGAGGACCAGCCTTCAAAGAAGTGAACAAGGTTGCAACGCTTCGTAAATGCAGCATTCAATTACGAAAGATGTTGCCTTCTTCTCTATTCTTTTGCCTGTACAACTGCGGTGGAAGAGGTAAGAGGGGCAGAGTGCTGGGATAGCAACGGATAGCTTGTACGCTACCACTGGCTGCTACACCTGCAGCGCCCGAGACGTCTTGTCCACAGTGCCCCGCTGTGCCAGAGCTGTTATCCGTAGGTACACGTGCATGCCCGAGGGCCCCCACTTCTGCACCTCTCCAGCAGCCCAGTGCCCTTGAACTGCTTAACGCACAATCAGGAAACCGCGTCTGCGATCACGATCACGATCACGACCGCGGGCAACTTCTCCAATACGCGCGACGCTGCAAGTTCCTTCCTCCTCCCTTTTCTAAATATTCTCATCATCCGCCTCACTTCTCCATTTTCAACACCCGATGCCGGCATCGGGCAATGTCTCCGACGATGATGTTCCTCGCGGCTCTGGTCGTCCACAGGCTCGTCACGCCCAGGCTGATGCTCGGGACGACGCTCGTGATTTTGAGGTGACTAGAACTTGGGACTTGTTGACTGAAGCTGCCGATGGAACAATCACTGGTGCTGTTGAGGGTCTGCTTGAGGCTGGCAAGAGGAAGAGGTGAATTCAAATCATGGCGAAACCAATCGCAGAACACCACTGACAGGGTCTTTGCTATAGGTTATTGAAGGACACCACACCACTCCAGCGAGGTATCATCAGACATGTTATCCTCATTCTTGATATGTCTTTGGCTATGAATGAGAAGGATCTCCGCCCAACACGCTATCTTCTTACCCTTCTCTACACCGAGGCTTTCATCCGCGAGTTCTTTGAACAAAATCCTATTTCTCAGCTGGGGATTGTGGGCATGAAGGATGGCATTGCCGTACGTGTCAGTGATATGTCAGGAAACCCTAACGAGCACCTTACAGCCATCCAGAACATCAGAAAGGAAGAGCCTAAGGGCAATCCTTCTCTCCAGAATGCCCTTGAGATGACTCGGGCCGCCCTCTTCCATGCTCCGTCTCATGGGACCCGCGAAGCCCTGCTTGTCTTTGGTGCCTTGCACAGCAGTGACCCAGGGGATATCCATGCTACCATTGCAGCTCTAGTGGTTGACAAGATTCGGGTGTCGGTGATTGGTCTTGCTGCATCTGTCGCAGTCTGCCGCGAACTAGTCAAAAAGACCAACAATGGAGATGGCGCCAACTATGGTGTTGTTTTACATGAGCAGCACTTCCGAGAGTTGATGATGAATGTGACCACTCCACCAGTCACCAATGACAGTACCAAGTCTGCCAGCTCATTACTCATGATGGGGTTTCCCTCGAGGACAGTCGAAGATCATCCTTCTCTTTGTGCATGCCACACAAAACCAAGCCGTGACGGCTACTTGTGTTCGAGATGTGATACCAAAGTCTGCAGTCTACCCTCCGAGTGCCCGGTCTGTGGCCTAACACTTATTCTATCCACCCATCTGGCCCGCTCATATCATCACCTCTTTCCGCTGGTTAACTGGCTTGAGGTACCTTGGTCCAGCGCAAGGCGAAGCGCTACTTGCTTTGCTTGCCTGAAGCCATTTCTACCTGTCCCTCCCAGAGAAGAATGGGCTAAGTCCAGCAGTAGCCACAGCGGTCGCTATGAATGTCCTGCGTGCCATCGTCATTTCTGTATCGACTGCGATCTGTTCGCTCACGAGGTTGTGCACAATTGTCCCGGTTGTCAGAGCGCTCGCCTGCAGACCAGCTTGATGGGCGAAACAGAAATCATTGGGGACAGTAATTCCACCATTCGAGAGAACGGTGCGCGGGAAAATGGTGGGCCAAGCGACCAGCCAATGTTAATTGATGGCTAGACCATTGCAAAAGGCAGCATGATCTCCTTGGGATGATGTAGCCGGCTCCAACTGGCTTGATGAGATATGAATGACGATGCCTGATGATAGATACCCAATACGAGATCAGCCTACCTAGGTACACTTTGGTTCCAGCGACCACACAAGTATCACTTGAGAATTGCCACTCTTCTACTTGCGTGTGCAAATCCGGCTTCGCAAACACTGATAGCCCCGTGTATGTAGCCCCTATTGCCGGCTTTAATGAGTCTGCTCTATCTTGGCATCAATGTTTTTCACCACGTCACACCGCCAACCACGTGACTAATTCATGGAGATTGTGTCCTGTTTGCCTAGAAGCACGCGGCGCCACCAGAACTTGCAAGTTGCAGCCCCTACTAACCACGTCCTGCGACCTGGGCCACCGATCATCTCCTGGGGCCCGTCATCTGCTACGGGCATCATCTGCGGCCTCAAACGCCTCTCCTCTTATTATTGACCAAATCGTTCTTCCACTCGCTTTCAGCCCACCATCACCCTGATAACTTCGCTAATTCCTCGATCGATACTTCACGGTTTTTATTTCATCCTCCATCCACCAGCCTTTGCCAGTTCCCTCCAGATATCCGCATCTAACCAGCACCATGAATCCAGAGTGGTATGTCATCAATCCCCTACGCAATCGCCCCTACATCTTGAAGACCACCACCCTCGCCGGTCTATCCTTCATATCCCAACACGGCATAATTCTAACTGCGAACAGAGTTGTACCAGATTGTTTCCCACCGGACACCTTACTGCTGCTCCTCCGGCCATCATGAACCTGATATTGACTTCGTCTCAGATACGATTACCTCTTCAAGCTCCTGCTTATCGGTGACTCTGGCGTTGGAAAGTCTTGCCTCCTGTTGCGATTCGCCGATGACACATACACCGAGTCCTACATCTCTACCATTGGTGTTGATTTCGTACGTCCGGTCACATCTTCGGCATGGCCATAGTATCACAGACTGACACATGCTCAGAAAATCCGAACAATCGAACTCGATGGGAAAACTGTCAAACTACAGATCGTAGGGCTGCATAAGATTCTTTTATATTACATTTAGCTGACATGGACTAGTGGGACACAGCCGGCCAGGAACGTTTCCGAACCATCACTTCTTCATACTATCGAGGCGCACATGGAATCTGTGTCGTCTACGATGTGACAGACATGGACTCTTTCAACAATGTCAAGCAATGGCTCCAGGAAATTGATCGTTATGCTACCGAAGGAGTCAACAAGCTGCTTGTCGGTAACAAGAGCGATATGTCGGATAAGAAGGTGGTCGAGTACACTGTGGCAAAGGTTCGTTACCAATGGTCACAAGACCGTCTCTCACGTGGTTTATACTAACTAGGCAACAGGAGTTTGCTGACAGCCTGGGAATTCCCTTCCTCGAGACATCCGCAAAGAATGCCTCGAATGTTGAGCAAGCCTTCCTGACCATGGCTCGCCAGATCAAGGAGCGCATGGGAACGACCACAGTCAACAACAAGCCCACCGTACAGGTCGGTCAAGGCCAAGGAGTGCAATCCGGAGCCGCTGGCGGTTGCTGCTAGTTGATTCCCAACATTTGACGCCCGAGATTCATGCCTTACACATTTCGAAACACAGCATGATGCAACCTGTTCTGAGTGCTAGGGTGGTGGGGGCAGGCAGGCAATGTTGAGCGAAGCTGGCACGGCGCCGATTTGAGCCAATCGTCCACCATTCCACACAAGCGGTATGCCTCACCATCGATTCCAAAGGCGTTCAGGCGCATCATCGGTCCCAGTTCAATACATGTCTAGACTTTCTTGCTTCCGATAGCTATCAAAGGGCCTGGGAACAGAACGTCACTTATTTCCACCGGATGTTGGGTTGGGTTGACTGCTTCGGCAGGGTAATGATGGAACGTTGTGAAGTTTGCGGGACATGGAAGAGCATTACAATTTGATAGAAGAATCATGCTTGGTGCGCCCTTCTATTCTCCTCCTATTCAGATGTTCTTCTATAAAAACCCTCAACTGAGCAAGATTATTTTCTGACATCCTTGCAAACAACCGCCCATTTGGCAGGCCATGACAATACAGCATTTTCGTCGCTCGTACTCCCAATTCCCTTGTTATGTGCCCAGCACGGTTTGGACGTGTAAAACCTCAAGCTTCCTCCATTATCACATTATGGTAACACTATGATTGGAACGAGGTTACCAAAGCTTCATACTGACCATTCCATTACCTTTCCCCCAGGTACCGCAGCCCCTGTCTCTGCCAGATTCGCTCGGTACTTCATCCGAAAGTTCAGACAGGTTCCACATCAGCGCGACAAAGGAGCCACAGAGCCATGTTTCACTCCACCTGACAGTCACTCAGCAGTGAAAATTGTTACAATGGGGACTATCAGCGCAACTTGTAAGGACTGAGTATCCTCAATTGACTGGCAGTTTGTGAAGGAGCTTCGTTGACAAGAAGCATCGTTCGACCAGCGATATCTATCTTCAGACCAGCCAAATATGTCACATTGGACAAGAGTCCCTGCTGATACCGTGACAGACTCACCAAAGGGTCTTTGACTAACTTCACCCTTGCAACCCCACCCGACTTACTCGCTGCTGCAGAGTTTCTTTCCATCTCCTCCTTTATCATTTGCTACCCGTCAGTGTGCCAGCAGGTCACCATCGTGAGAGGAGGGCAGAAGTTGTTGAATATGGTTGTCGCGAATCCTCCGACAGCGCAGAATTGGGCAGCCAGTACCAGCAAGGCACTTGTGACTTGCCCAATTTGCTCAAACCAAAGCATCTCTAATTCAAACGACTCGATTCGTGCCACAACAATGTCAACCCCATTTTCGAAGGGGGTCAATTGGCACAGTCCACAAAGCAATTGCCGCAATGCCATCGTCCGGAGAGCGAATCTAATCGCATGCGGCGGACACTATCCCAGGAAGCCTAGGGTTATGAATCTACCTGTGAAAGATATCATGCTATGCGATAATGACTTCGCTCAGCTTCCCCCATTGTCACAGTCTGCGCTCGACGGGTGGGTCAGGCCTGGCACCAGTATGGGTGATCCTCTACCAACAGCTTCTGTCTCTGAACAAGGAGCAAACAGAAGCCAGACAACATCAAATGAAAGTTCTAGCACTTGGCTCCTTCCAATTTCCATCAGTACCGACTCAATCTATACAATATTGGCCATCTCCGGACCACTTATACCCGCAGGTGTCTCAGCGCGGACATCGATATCTCCAGCCACTAGTCCTGGCGAAAGCATCTCCATGCCATGTACACTCAGTCCCTCGACTGAGGTCGATACTGCAAGACTTTCTCGGATTGACAAGTCTTGCAATCCATCAGGCACGAGCACGCGTGACGGAGCATCTGTCGACGCATGTATACAAAGCGGACTGCAAGGCGCCCCGAAAACCTCACAGTCTGAGTCACATGGTATGTCCGACGATTCGTTTGCTACCACCATGTCGACCTTGCAGGGATCACTGCCTTCTACAAACAAGCAGGGTGATGTAAGTATTGGATGTGGACGTTCTGCTTGTTACGTACCACATGACCTACCAATCGTTTTCGTCTTTCTATATATTCCTGATCTGGAATTCGAATTATCCACAAGCATCCTTGGTAATAAGCACCAGTCAGGTGTCAGCTCATCAAATGGCTTCATCACTGCCCTCAGATCTCCCTCCAGGTGTCCTATCACATATATCAGCACACCTGCAAAACTCCGTTAGCTTTCCTTCGCTTTCATTCTGTCACTGATTCCTCCGGTCCTAAGTTTACCTTGATGAAATGAGTATCAAGATATGAAGATGCTGATATATATTCTTATTAGTCAAATCCCACGATCTCGACGATAGTCTCGACCAAGACACAAACTCAGTCGGCCAGTACAGTGTCTACCAATATATCATGGATTTCAATTGAAGCATCAGAACCAAGGCCAAGCACAACAGCTAGCTCCACCGCTCATGGGGCGAATATATCAGGTCCACTGTCTGCGACAAAGACAACGTCAAGCTCTTCTCCATCAGCAGTACCATTGGAAAGCGGAACGCCAATCGATGTATCCAGCACTTCTTCATCAGCAAAATCATACGGGCACACGCTGTCCATCGCCGTCCCAATATCAATCATCACATTCCTCATCTTGATAGCACTCCTCCTCCTCCTCGGCTGGCGCCGCGTGCACAAAGACTCATACAATAGACACATGCCGCGTGTCCCGGGCTACAATACACTGCACCGCTGGTCGAATACGCGCACTCAGAACCGAAACACCCGTCGGTCCCGCGCCCTCTATAGCGGCGACAACGACGGTTTTCTGGACGACACGTACGAGCGCCACCGCCGCAGATACGAGCAGGATCTACTGAAAACCAAGGCGAAGCGAAGCCTGGAAATGAGCACCACTTCCCTCGCGAGAAATCGAGGCAGTATCGCTGCTTCGGGCACGAACGCTCGCGACGGTGGTGTCGAGCACGGCGAGGTCCCTGCAACACCCACAAACGGTCTCCACCAGGTGAGCGTCGAAACTCAAACAAGTGCCTTGGTCAAGAACAGTGCCGCTGAGACGGACAGTATGGAGAGCTGGGAGGAGAAATGGCACAGTTTCGGACGAGAAACGCAGCAGGCTCAGCCGATTCCAGAGTAGTCCTCAAGTCCGACGCCGAGTTCGACGACTTTGGGTCCGGCGCTAGCTCGGCCTCCAGGTTTGGCTCCAGCTGCCATCAGTGCGCAGGATACCTCACGCAAGTCACCCGCTTCCCATGGGTACACAGCGCGGCAAGACGGCGAACCGCGGACTTGAGATGCTGTGCTGTTGGATTTCTAATAGGAAAAGAGGCCCCAAGCGGTAAATAGCGTTTTTGTGATATCTCGGCCAGCTAAGCAGGGTGGGTCCCATCGACTCTGGTGGTAGTTGAATATATGCATCGCAGATTCATCGGCGACAAATCTTCGACCTGGGTAGTCTTGGGGTTTTTCTCTATGTGGCTAGAAAATATTGCTATACCACGTGCTGTCTTTGCCGTTGAATCTATTCACCTTTTTCCACCTCCCTTTCCCAGTTTTACAGTCAAGAAGCTCGGAAAGATGTCGGGATGTACAGTATATCCAGGGTAGTCTCTCCTGCTCCTCGCGTATGAATATTGGCGACTGTAGATGGCATCGCAAGGTGTGCTTGGTCATCATTCTCGGATTGATCCATCCGAAGCATCCCTATCTGCGAAATATCTCTGTGGCCGGCCTGGCTCTGCGCGCTCCTTGCGCGCTCCATGTCTCTGGACTACCGTCTTCTGTCTTGAATACAGCACTAAAAAGAGGGAGAGGGGTCGTATCTTCATGGTATACGGTGGACATGGCTGTGGCTTGCGAACTCTTGCGTGTGTGTCGCGGAGTGTGTCTTCCCGCTCAATGCGTCGCTTTCTCGCTGTGAGTAGTGAGTACTCCTCCCACTCCTTTCAGGGGCGAGAAGGTTTCTGTGGGCTCTTGGAAAAGATGGCTCTCGCTCGAGGCCATGGAATGTCGTGCTTGAACTCGTCCCGCCGGCAGCATTTCGGTCATATTATATTTCGGATCGAGGCACCGAGGACGGCAGTTCGTCGTCTAGGGCATAAAAGGTATGGTGTCTTGGATCAGAAAGCTCAAAACATCTTGAGCCGCCGTGAATTGTACATGGCCGTATCGCATTGGTGGCAATAGGTATGTAGGGAAAGTCGTCATCTCCACGGTCTCCTTGGTAGTGTATCTGTTCAGCTTGAGATCCTGGGCGTACACCTTGATCGTGTCGCGAGTAAACTCGAAACACCGACGACGGGTGTTTCGACTCAGTCTTCACATTGAGAGCTAAGTGCTTGCACCTCCGGGCTTCTGGCCATAAGCAACATAGCTGGAAGAAACAGTCAGCCGTTCAATCTCTCACCATGATGGGTTGCGTAAATATTATCTTGCGAGGAAACCAACTTACAAGTCGTATTGACCGTGGTACTTGCGATTTTTGGAATCGGCTCTGGCCTTCCCGACCAAGACTTGGATCTCGTCGATTGACCACGCAGGCTCGTCGGAAGCGGATCGGCTGAGGCATCCGATTGTGATGCCTTCCAGTCCTTGTTCCCATTGGAGGAGGTTCATCTAGGACGAGAAAGGTATTGTCAGTCTAGGTATGGGGTTACTAGAACATCTCATGTATGACCCTGGGATCGAACAACTCCTGATGACGGCCGGAGGTGTTGTCTTCAACTCAGACGTGGTTGGGTATTGAAAGAATCTGGGAGAGAAGGATATCAGCGGGAAGATGGCTTACAGCACCAATTCTCTTCAGTCGTGCATCCTTCGGCCATATATTATGGGGAATCAGGAATCTCTTAACAACGACATTCACAAAGCCGGCATCTCGAATCCAATCGCCCAGATGAGGACCCGGTCGGCCCGTGTTCGTCTTCTCGATGCGTCCGAGAACGACCTTGTGCCAGTAGGAAAAGGGGCTGTCCTCTGGAATACTCCCGTCAGGACTCGAAACCATACAATCCCAATCGTCGAATTCGACCCAGCCGCCCGGTTTGGTGCACGCAAATGCTTGCTTCATTAGCCTCGGCCAGTCCCTGATCGAACCGGCCAGGTAGCGTGCATGGATGAAATCAAACGGCGTGTCCTCGTAGCCCCACTCATCTTCGATGTCGTCAACCACAAATTCGACGTTTGGGGGAACCTTTTCATCTGTGTTAGCCATCGTACAGAAAGCGAACGACCGCCTTGTATATCAGAGTCTTACATGGCCAGGCTGGATTGGTGATAGATCATTACCAATGACCTGAGATTCGGGATGAATGTCGGCAAAGTCGATTGCCCAGATACCTGTCCCTGTACCGAGATCTAAGACTCGTTGAGGATTTTTGATTGGTGCGAAATACAGGTTGTTATCCAGGAGCAGCATCATCTCCGAGTGTGTCAGATCCATACGATCTTGTTCTTGTTCATCGTTGGGGAGGAAATGTCTCCCTGAGCGGTAGGCATGGTATCTCCTGCCCAATTCGTACCGATAGTCTAAAGCGGATGAGGCCAGTGAAGTTGTATATGAATTGAAAGACTCAGCATAAGCGGAGTCGGTCTCGAAATCGTTGTCGACTGCCACGGCCGTCGGAGTGTTATCACCGGGCTCCATGCTGATATGGAGACTGGTGTGTGCTGTATGCCCAGAGTCACTGCTTTGTTACACCTCCGTGAGTATACTTTGGCCTTGTGAGCATGCAATGTCCTTTGGCGTCTGGAAATGCGATGGTTCTCTAGATGGATGAGGGCTTCTAGCGTTCAAGTCCGAAAGGCAGAGTCGCCTAAGCACCACAGTAGCATAAAGATGTGGGATTAGACAGCGTGAACTGGAAACTGGTCAGTGCGAATGCCGATACTTTATCTATTGAATCCAATCCATGACTCGAGTAAGGTGGGGGCGATCAGCTCAAGTCGAAAGGAAAGTATCCTTACGAGCAGGTACCGAAGCTAACTACCTAAACTAGTGGCCCATTCCGATGTTCAGTAGCCTACAGGAGGCCGATGGGGGACCCCGGACCAAGCAATTCCGTTGCAATAGTGGGCAACTAATAGCCATGCCTCCGGGCGATGCCGACGTTAAATGAACTTAACTGAGAGCTCTCACAAATTAGATGAACGGTACATTTGTGTCGATCAAGATCACGCTGGGCACTGTCACCTGTCTCAGGCCGTCTGTCACCTGCATATCTACCCTAGGCGGGCACATGCCACTTATGGTGAATTGATTCACTTCACCGAGGAGTGTTAACGGATGCTCAGATAACCAGTGTCAGTCCGCTGTCTGTCCGTTTGTGCGTAGGCACGTTTTACACAGCACAGATTTCCACCCAAGATCCATAGCCGAGGATAGATCCATCGAACCTTGAGAGATCGATAAGTGTCGATTGGCTGGTCAAACAGCACAGATGGCAGCAAACAAACCTTATCCGACATGCTACGCTGTTGCATTCCCTCTCACTGGATGTTTCTGTCCTTAGAGCAGGTTTACCTCGAGTCCGGCAGCAGCCCCCGGTTACGCGATGGCAGCGGTTCATTACGAAGGACTTTGGTGTGACACCACTGATCCATGTGGGCGATGTTTTCGGGCGGGTCCACGGCTGTGACTTGCTGGCAAGGGATACAGATCCTGTTCCACATCGAAGTAGCCATTCATTGTGTGTGCACGCCATGGCCATTCCAATGCCAGGCGGCCTCGATGCTTAGAGAGCCTGGGATCAAACTCGCCAGTTGAAGCCCGCCATTTATCGATTTCTGCCCCGCTCCTAAGTCCTCACCCATAAGGACTTCTCAATGCACAATCCTTGATGACTCCTGTCAGTGTAGTTCTTCTGAATCCGAAGCACACAACAGGCGAAAGCATTAGGCGATCAGAATGGTGGTACTTCTCTCCCCCATTCTGGACCAGCTGCTGTTGGCAGGCTTGCTGTCATTCATCGGGTATCGCTTGTTTCGTGCAGCGATCGATCCACTCCGATCAGTCCCAGGGCCTTTTCTCGCCCGATTCAGCCGATTGTGGTACCTAGGTGCTGTGCACAAGGGAGATTTTGAGAAAGAGAATATCAGGCTCCATCGTAAACATGGTGAGAAGTCCTGAGTCGAACCAAGAAAGTGCGAGGCTGACAAGGGCAAGGACCAATCGTTCGGGTCGGGCCAAGCATGTACAGCATAGATGACCCAGCGTCTGCAGCTACTATCTACAGCACGCAGAATGTGTTCCCCAAATCGAAGTGGTATTTCACATTCCAACAGCCTGACGAGCCCAATATCTTTTCGACCAATAGCAACAAATATGCCGCCGAAATGCGCAAGAAGTATAAACCGGCATATGATGCTTTCCATATGTATGAAAGTTCGATTGATAATTGCTCCAATGCGCTAGTGCAGAAGCTCTCAGAACTGTCTGAGAGTGGCGAGAGTATTGACATCGGGTGGTGGGTGACTTGTTTCGCTTTTGATGTAAATGGTGAGATCACGGTGAGTTACTCTAGTTCAAGGTCGCTAATCCAGCAACTAAACGAAATTCAGTTTTCGAAGCGGTTTGGCCATCTTGATAACGGGGAGGACATTGGTGGCATTGTAGCAGCACTTGCGGAAAGACTTGATTACGTGTCCCATATTGGAATCTACCCCTTCCTCCATCCCATTCTCTGGAAGCTGATCATGGCACTCACGTTCATCACGAACAAAGTGGACTCAACGTATGTCTTTGCAGAGCAACAAATTGCCGACCACCAGCGTCGAGAATTAGAGGAGGGGAAATCGTCGGAATCTCCTGATATGCTAGATAGATTCATGAAAGCCCATCGAGCTGACCCGAATCATTTTACTAAGAATGATGTTCTGATCGGAGGTTATACCAGTATCGTTGCAGGTAAGTGATGGGCATGCACTGGTTGTACGACTCTCCATTAATTGATCGTTGCAGGTGCCGACACAACCAAATATGGGCTCTCGGCAGCAATTCACTATTTGCACGAGTATCCGGAGACACTGCGCAAACTGCGATCCGAGATAGATGAATTGGCGGCGGAAGGGAAGATTTCGGACCCAGTGACATTCGAAGAAACGAAGACTATGCCTTACCTCAACGCAATCATCAAGGAAGCTTTGAGAATGCACTCACCGACAGGTTTTCCATTGTGGCGCATTGTACCAGAGTCAGGAGCGACGCTTTGTGGTCATTATTTTCCAGCGGGGGTAGGTGACATGGTAGACCGAAGAAGACTTGTTACTGACCCAAGCTCAGACAACCGTTGGTGTCAACACTTGGGTAGCACATTACTCGTCTGCATTCAATCCAGACCCAGATGTGTTCCGACCTGAACGGTGGTTGGAAGGCAGTGGAGAAGATTTGTCGATGATGAACGCCGCCTATATGCCGGTACGTTTTGATCATATCGGTATTAGGACCTGATGCGTCTTAACAACTCTAACATCGTGAAACAGTTTGGTATGGGTCCGAGAAATTGCCAGGGCCAACTTATTGCTCTTATGGAGATGGCAAAGGTCATCCCTCAGTTACTGCGCCGACTTGACTTTGAAATGAGTTCTGAATGGGAGACATTTAACCACTGGCTCGTGGGTCATAAAGGCCTGAATGGGAAAGTCAGGCTACGAGTAAGGGATTGATTGTGTCGGGAGACTGACAGATATCTTGCATACAAGAACTCCATCCAGACTGGGGCAAACCAAGTGGGACTGGGCAAGAATGACGGGACGAAAGAGAGCAGATATGAAAGACCGGAGACCGATTTGGCAAGCAGCCACAAATATGCAATTTGTAGATATATTCCATAAGAAACTAGTTGCGACCGACCATGGAGATAACCAAGTATGGTTGCTTCCATCGGATGCTGCAACTTGGCTGACTTGGGTGACCTCAACCACGGTGTGGCTGATGGACCAAAGTTTGAAGGGAGATGACTTCTAAATAGAGGCGTGGCCTGGACAGTAAAACACCTCAGTATCTCCCTTGGTACTAAGTACGGATATGGCTGTTCATAAAATGCTTGTTCAGGAAGCAGGGGATCCGACCGAGTTTTCAAGTGCTCCATTGAGAACTAGTCGTCTTTGGCCCTGCCAGCTTACGAGGTACGTTAGGCAGGGAAAGTGTAGGAGGAGTCGCCGAGTTAACACAAATAGCAAATGCTCTGGGGGCGACAGCAATGAGGTGAGTCCGAGTTAGGTCTGGTGCCGAATGCAAAAAGGGACCAGAATAGCAGCTCTTAGTAAGATGGGCCTGGATGTTCCCTGGTGAGCTAATCTCCAGCTCCAGATATCAGCCACTGTGTTAGCAAGTTATTTAGGCAACGCGCTGGTCAGACGCGGCTCCCTTGGAAGCCTATGAGACGCATCCATTTCTTCGGCAGTGCACCACGTCAGATTCTTAATTGTTTTAGCTCAGGTGCGAGGAACAGCCCCTACTCACCGTTGGTCCTCCCGTCAACCCAGCGTTTGACCTTTATTTCTGCAATTGGTGATTGGGGGACCCATACTGTGGCCATGGCGATTCTATATCTAACCAGCAGACAAGGGTAATGCTGCTACTGTAGGTTCTGGCGACTCCGTGGACCGTAGCAGCAAAGCCGAATAGACCCCTCGATGCCACTAAACCCGAGCTAGGTTGACGAATGCAAATGTGATAAGCCGGGTTTTCCTACATATGGAAGATGACACGCCGGGTGCGGCTCGTCGACTTTTCTTCCTTCTCGCGGCATCCCCTTTGAACCTGACCTCGCTCTACGCAGGACCACGAGCATTTCACCATGTCGAACGCAGCATATCGAGACCAAATCCCCCAGGGCGAGGACAATGAGACTGACAGCAAGTCTCTCCTCCAGGGCAAGCAGCCAGTGCGTGACAGAGGCGGGCCCTCGGCGTTCTTCAAACGGACCATGTCCATTCATCACTCTGCAAAGTCGCATCTCCCCAGTCCCAAGGGCTCGCTTCTCGTGTCTCGAACTCGCCTGACTCTGCGAATCCTGTCCTTGATTCTCTCCTTCGCCCTGGTTGTTACTCTCGGGCACGCCATCGGAGTCTACAACTCGACCAAGAATGATCAAGTCAATGACGAACCATTGTGGCCTTCGGGTTTGAAGATGACGCCCACCATCTTGCTCCTGAGTGCGGCAGCGGTGGGCACGGCGTTGAGCGCAACCATTTGCATTGCCAGCTTTTCAGCGATAGTAAGTCATTCTTTGACATGGGTGGCTTTTTACAGGTCGTGGCTAACATTCGGTCCCAGGTTCGACACATCACCAACGTTGGCAATATGTTCACCCTGGTTGTCAGTTCCATCTGCCTGATCCTCTGGATTGTTGTGGCAATTGTATACAAGGTGGACGATCTCAAGCCCGAGGAGCACTGGGACTTGTTGTCATTCGCTTGCTCTCGTCGACATGCGCTTACCGACAGTCCTGCCAACCTCCACTCCATGTGCACTCAGATGCGCTATGCATGGTGGGGAGCATTGGCAATTGGACTGCTCGAAATCGGCGCTGTCGCCACACTGGTGCTGGGTTACGGTATACTAAGGAAATCCAAGGGCGTCTACGCTCGCGTGGAAGAGGACGGTCTGGAGAAGCAGAGACCGGGACGGAAGGTAAGCTTTCAGTTGTCGAACCTGGCAAAGTTTCGATCGGGGGCTGAGAAAAGTGCTCCCCCTCCAGTGAAAGTCAACAAAGGTCACGAGTACTGGGCCGTCGAGAACGTCCTCAAGTCACGAACGCTCCCCGGTGGCACGACACAGTACTTGATCCACTGGAAGGGGCTCAGTGAAGATTCCGACTCTTGGGAGCCCGAGGAGAGCCTGTCGCCCGAATGGATTGAATTCTTCAAGCAACAACGAGGGGGTGAGAACGAATACTGGGAGGTGGAGGAGATTCTGGACTCTCGGATGCGTCAACCCGGGACGATGGAGTATTTAATACGGTGGCAAGGGTACAGTCCGTCGCACGACTGCTGGGTGACGGAGAACAACTTGACCAAGGAGTCGGTGCAACATTTCAAGGAAGGGAGAGAAGGCGCTTAAAAGAGTACTTGTCCCAAAGGGTTTCTATGTGCGCTATCAAGGTTAAAGTATGGTGTCGGGTGCATGATCGCCCGGTGGTGGCAAAAGGGTCGACAATTATCAGCATGTATACGGGTTTGTACAATAGGCTTGTTTTGAAGCTTGCCTCGGCGTTTCCAGGACTCGGATGGGATTATGGGTTATTATGCAACACCGATCTAAATAGTGTGTAGATGGCGGTAAGTCTCCAATTTGATGCGAATCACTCGTTCAAAGCATCTTATTGTCCCAAATTGCAAATGTTGGAATACCCTCTCTAGGTGCTCCTAGCATACATCCCGTGACTTGAAGCCTAGTTGACATGATATCCGCGTCATTTGAAATAGATAGAATAGGTATCTTCCCAGGTGGCTATGGGCCGAGAAGAACTTTAGGGAGGAGCGAGGCCCAGCGTGCGTGTTTCATGTCCCGGCCACCGAACCTCGCACCCAACTTCAACTTCTGCCACTTTGGGCATCCCGCCGCGTTCGCGTCCAGCACCAACGACCACTGTAAGCACTAAAAATAATCCAGGTCGTTGATGAACCCCCAGGTTTTATCCTTGTACTTGTTTCTCGTGCATCGTTGGCCGGCTCTTGCCCGAGAGCAATTTACCCTTGATTAGATCAGCTCAGATATTCGAGATTTCGTTATGATGATCGTGATTAGTCTTCCTTATGGAAAGAAAAGGAGGGAACACTAACCAATATTCCACGAGCAGCGCGTCTGCCTCTTCTCCTCTTGCTCTCACTGACGACGCGTCTTTCTGTCGCTTGTCGAGGAGATACAAGTTTCACAGCTGACGCCCTTCACCCAAGTCCAGTCACTCACGGCCGTAGCAATGCGTCCCAGGTCTCAAGGTAGGAAATAGTCGGGGACATCGGACAGAGGCTTTCTGATCTGAGAAGTCTCCAGACTACAGATCCAGGCACTGCTTCAACCACTAATTGCCCATGTCACGTGGATTTCGGAATAAACTCGGCCTGCTGTGCGCCAGACCTTCAGTGACATTGGGCATGATATGAGAGCAAGGCTCTACAAACCACGCTCCGAGTGCCCTTTTTCTTTTGTCTACAAAGGAAGGGCACAGGGTTAATGCGCGGTCCCGTGCACCACGTGTGAGGCTAAGACTAGCTTCTTTCTCATTGCCCGTGGATAAGCGCCTGTTTCGTGTTGTTGCGGTTATCAGCGAGCCTCGGCCTCATGCCAGTGGATTTTCCGGGGAATACTTTCCTGTAGGAGGTGACACAAGGCGGTTTTTGTATTGATCAAGCACTCTTTGAAATCATACTGACATTTTCTTTATTACCACTGGTGCCTCCTGCAGTGACAAAGTTTGTCGAACCAAGATCCTGACTGAGCGTGCTTGGACTTTGGCATTATTCACGACCAAGACCCTTGTTGTTCGCGCCTTGCACGTGACACACCCCTTCACCCTTCATCTTCACCTTCCCCTCATCTTTTGTCTGTGACTTTGACTGCCTGTGAGTATTGAATTCTACAGGAGTCAGCACGTCAACCTTCCGTTCAAAACAATCCTCCGGGGTGTTCTTTCGCTTCCAAGGCTACGACAGACACAACATTCTGAAAAGTCCCAAAGGAGATCACTATCGACCATCATGTCGGGATCCACTATTTCCATGGGCCGGTACCTTTTCGAACGTATCAAAGAATTGGGAACAGAACACATTCTTGGTGTTCCTGGCGATTTTAACCGTAAGTAACAATCTGACACCCCCATGACAGGGACAAGCCCACGTTACCGAGGTCAGGAAACCACATTCAATCATCGCTAATCACAAGAACCACCCAGTCACTCTTCTCGACGAGATCTACAAAGTCCCAGGCTTGAAGTGGGTCGGATGCTGCAACGAACTCAATGGCGCATATGCCGCTGATGGCTACACGAGGATCAAGGGCTCACCAGCCGCACTGATCACAACCTATGCCGTGGGAGAGCTTTCAGCTATGAACGGAGTGGCCGGAGCTTTTGCTGAGCATGCAGGAATGATCCATATCGTCGGCATGCCTGCCAGACAGAGTGAGTGCTTCGTACTAGTCGAAAAAAAAATCAAAAGTCAATCGTCGAAACCGGATGCTGACTGCCATTCCCGCGATTCTCAGTGCAGAAAAATCGAGTCATGCTTCACCATACGATGGCCCCAAACATGGATCATAGCATCTATATCCAAATGGCTGCTCCTATTCGCCAAGACCATGCATTTCTAATGGAAGACTCAACAATGGCAGAGGACATCGACCGTGTTATTGTCTCTTGTGTTCAAAGCCGACTTCCCGTCTACATCTATGTTCCAGCCGATGTCGTCTCAGTTCAGTTAGACGCAAAGCGCTTGGAGACCCCACTGAATACACAAATCACAAACCCTGACAGCAAGACAGAGGATAGAATTGTGGAAGAGATTCTAGATTTGATTGGAAAGGCTGAGAACCCGACAATCCTAGCAGATATTATTGCCCTTCGGCATGGAGGATCTCAATTGACCAAACAACTCGCTGAGGTGACCCAGTTCCCCAGCTACTCAACCCCCTTATCAAAAGGAATCATCGATGAGACAAAGCCTTACTACAATGGTTGTTTCAATGGCCGAGGTATGCTCCACACCCCCATTCCACCGTGACTGTACTGACATACCTGTAGTGTCATTTCCTGGAGTTGCAGATGGTCTTGAGAGCTCAGATCTGGTCCTGAACATTGGTCCCTTACTCTCCGATTCCAACACTGGAGGATTCACAAGATACATCAAGCCAGAGAATGTGGTACGTCTGGGCCATGATTTCTGCCAGATTCGAGAAGAGACATTCGACGGTTTCCACTTCCTCCCAATCCTGAAGAGAATCGTCGCAGAGCTTGAATCACAACCTCAGAAGTTCAATCTTCCCCGACAGTCAGCAAAACCCAAAGTTGAACCTCCAGTCTTGAACAAATCCACCTCCGGAACAATCGAACAGTCTTTCGTATGGCAGCGACTCGGCAAGTTCTTGAAGGCCGACGACATCCTCCTCGCAGAATCCGGTACCGCACAATTCGGCATGCCTGACTCCACCTTCCCATCCAATACTCGGTACATCACACAGATCTTCTGGTCCTCCATCGGATTCACGGTCGGCGCATGCTTTGGTGCATTGATCGCTGCAAAAGAGTTGAAGCACAGTGGACGGGTCGTTCTGATTGTGGGCGAGGGAAGTCTACAAATGACAGTGCAGGAGATCGGCAGCTATATCCGTTACGGCTTCAAACCCATCATCTTCGTCATCAACAACGACGGCTATGCGATTGAGAGAGCCATTCATGGCCCTGAACAGGGCTACAACGACGTCAGCATGCTTTGGGACCATCAGAAGATGTTGGAGTTCTTTGGTGCACGTGAAGAGACGGGTATCAAAGGCAAGAGCCGATCTGCAAAGACTGTCGAAGAGCTAGAAGATATATTGACCGATGAGGACTTTGCAAGTGGCAAGGAAATCCAGGTGAGTTATTCTTTCCATCCCGAGCGCATCACATGAGAAACATGAACTGACAAGAATATGTGTCCTAGCTATGTGAAATCTTCATGGGAAAATATGATTACCCTTGGAGACTGTCGGAGCAGATCAACGTCGCCAAAGAGCGCATGAAGCAAGCTGCAGCTGCATCAGGCGCCGCAAGTGTAACTGGTTGAAACTGGTATTTGTGTTATGCCACCTACTGGAGGGACCTCCTGGATACAGAACTTCAGACCATATGGTCGACCAGAAGAAGACATGCATGAAGTTATCTTCCCTCTGAGCTGCTCACAAGGTGAGATGGCGCTCTTGACCTAAAAGCGGCATGTGATATACGATGCCAATCGTGTATCGCCTGGCTGGTGTGCGCCTGGCGATGGTGGCTGTGGTTCAAAGGGGTGCATTTCCAGAGCCTTTGGCCTGCTGAAACGTGAAAAACCATACCTAGAAAGGCAGTATTTACACCTTGCCGCTTTGCACTTCAGTTCTTGAAAATGAGAAGATACGCACGTGAGCCAAGTCTGGAGAATGTGTGATACCTGCTCAGATCGTGCAACCAGTGACATCGACTGACAGCTCGGCCCCACCTCGTCTCAGCCTCGTCCCAACCTGATAATTCACTTACCTAACCCGAGGTACCTAACAGATTTCAGGTAAGGTGCAAACATTTTTCAGCGCAAGTCCAAGCCCATCCAGATGTACGGACACTCTGTCCCGAGCTCGAGTTGCTGTAGTAACTGCGCGCAAAGTCCCAACGGTGGGCTCACCGCCTCGTTGAACGACATCGGCTGCATCCGTCGTCCACAGGCCTGCTCTGTGTGGAGGCTTGATTGATTGGTTGGGGGAAAGGAGGAAAGTAAGTATTGCTCTCTAGCGGTACAGAAGGAATGGAGGGCAAGGCAGTTTCCGAAAGGTCTTGACCGGTCGTCGTCAATCGGAAATCAGACGCAAAACAGGTTTTCGGTGTCTGTCAGAATGAATAGAGGCAGGATATGATGCATGGCCACTGACAAGCAGCGAAAGCGTCCTCGCTTAACAAACTTATGTTGAGGGTGAGGGCATGCCGTAGTGCTGTGCATAAGAGTAATTTATATTTCCCGGAAAGGGGCTAGTAAACCATTGAACATGAAACAATCTTCGCAACGGGCCAGGGGACCTGTGAACTCATCCAGGACAAGATCATAAATGATGATGAAGATGCTTACAGGAAACAAGACCTTGCGTGATACCAACATTGCCTTCTAAATAGCTTTTTATATATCATTCACAATTTATTAAGTTACTATCGTTTCAAATAATTTCTAAATTTTCAAAGAACATTTTGAATGCCACGTGCTTATCAGCTCCGCGAAGCTAACTACAGCCTTGTACTAATCCACCAATGGTATGTCCTATTGCTGAGGGCCATGACCTGACCTCCCATTAAAACGAACACGCCCATTTCACTGCTGACATTTTCGATAGGGTCCGAGTAGCAGAAAGCGGACTCTAGTCTTCATTTGGAGCTGTGTATGAGACGGTTAATTCCTTTCATGAATAGCGACTGGGGGCTAACCGCGACAATAGTGCCAATGTGGCAAGAATCAGATCAAGATCCAGACAGACCGGTGTCCAACATGCAACCACAGCCGATGCAACACCTGCTCGGTGCAGAAAGTCATGCGGTAACGACGACCTCGATCGCTGGAGTTGGAGAATCCAAGAGTGTGTCGACTTTCTTGTATTGCAGATTTTGCCGAGCTGCGAAAGAGGAGAACCGGCCGTGAGGTGCTCAGCGTCAAACATGTGATTTCAATCTGAACAAAGCTGGTGGTTTATTGGTAGAGTGCCTTGTGTTGGCATTGTAACGGCGTGTGTGTATCGCGTGGGATGGAGCGTTTGTCTTTCAAGGCCAACGGTCTATTTGCATTGCTCGGAGCAGGTGTTGCTTGTACAATAGAAGAGTATTTGAGCAAGAAAAGGCGTCCCATCGAGGAGTTTAACTTGACCTACCTGGGTATTTATAGCTTGGTCATAATATATTTCTTGACCCACGATCTTATTCAGGAAGGACAAGTGTGGGTACTCGTGAGTATACCATAAAAGGAAGTGAAAGCAGTAGCATTGATGCAGTTGGCAAAGGTATTGAGTGCATCAAAGAGAACTGCAGCAGCGTGATGATATATAGAAGAAGGTTCACATGGTGGATTGACGGAAGGTGGACTTGTTGTGCTGCGTCACTGCATGACCAGGCAGGTACGGCCTGACAAGGTAAGGGACGACCCTGAAATCTGGGTTCAGGTCAAAAGGGAACTTGTCCTCCCATGTAGCAACGGATGTGTAAAAATGGCTCGGATAAGAAAGTGCATCTCGAGGTTTGCATCTGCAATTTTGACGGACGAGTTTCATCCGTTGTACGCGGGGTGTAACTCCCATCATGATGTCCATGGGTGGCATACGTGGAAGGATGGATTTGATGTTGACGACTTCGCAAAGAAAGGGATGGTTTGCTCCATACCAAGAACGTAACGCTGGTGAAAACTGGCGTCCATTAAGTCTACTTCGAAACGTGGAGTGTAAGTCCACGTGGATGGCCAGAGAGTCTATTTAGAGGCATCTGAAATGGGTATCCATCTATTGATCACAACTTGGCTTTCTGTGGCTGGCTCTTCTCCGCTTCGAGAGCCTCCGCATATAATCCATCAAGTACATCACGGTACCTCTTGGCGGCGACTGGTCTCTTGAGCTTCAAGGTTGGCGTCAACAACTCATTGTCGATAGTGAAAGGATCGAGTGTCAGGTAAATATTTCTGACCCTCTCGTAGCCAGCAAACTTCTTCTTTCGACCGACTTTGTCTAGATCTTTCAGAACAGCTGCTTTGATCTTGGGTTCGCTGGCAGCTGCTTTGATGGCCACCAAATCCGTCGGCGAGATCTCGCGACCGAGGACCTTGGATGCGAAAACGGCAAATGTATCGGGTTGAACTCCAAAAATAGCAACGAGGAATGTTTGCACGCTGTCTCCGTAGACGAATCCTTGAGCGAGATATGTCAACGATGACAGATAGACACCTTCAATTCTTTCAGGCGAAAGATATTCTCCCTGAGCCAGTTTGAGCACATTCTTCCTTCGATCAATGATTGAGAATCTGCCAAGTTCGTCCACGCTGCAAATGTCACCAGTCTTGAACCAACCGTCCTCGGTAAATGAATTTGCGGTCTCTTCGTCATTTTTGTAATAACCACTGAACACGGATTTACCTCTCAGGAGAAGCTCGCCTCTCGGATGGGGCTTATCTTCGACGGTATAGTCCATGTCTGGAACACTCAAGAGGCAAGCTTCCTGGCAGGGGACCACACCACCAACGCTTGAGACAGTGAAATCATCTACTGGTTGGACGAGAGCAATTGCATAGGTTTCCGTCAGTCCGTAACCTTGCATGGTTCTCGAGGCGAACACCACACGAAGGAAGGCTTGTAGCGATGGATCAAGAGGCGCAGCACCAGATACCATGGTAGTGACACGGTCCAAACCAAAAGCCCCGGCAACTTTCCGGCCCCAAATACGGTCGTAGAACGCATGCTTGAAGGTAGGAGTCGGAGGAGACGCTCCAGGAGTCTTTGGAGCGGGATTGGCGTTGGCAAGTTTGGTCTTGACAATATGTCGACTGAGAGCGCCCTTGAATCCCGGTTGCTCCACTGTCTGTGACTTGATAGCACCTCCGAAGCGGTTGTATAGTCGAGGAACGGAAGCAAATGTGGTCGGGCGAAGCAGCTTCAAATCATCAACTAGCTCAAGAGGGTTACCGTGAAAGTACCCAATCCGACTTCCAGACCAGAGGACTGAATGCTCGAGAAGTCGGCCATAAATATGAGCCAAAGGCAGATAGCTGATTGAAACTCCGTTGTGATCAGTGGGTGAAGCAACAAGCGAAGATGATGTTGCAGCAACAGCGGTCGCGTGCGTCAGCAAGACTCCCTTTGGTGGACCGGTGGTTCCGGACGTATAGTTGATCGTGATGGCATCTGTCGGTCTTGGAGGATTATATGGCCTCTTCAACGAAGCTCCCAACTGTTCCACGGTTTCTAGAGAATAAATCTTGATACCTGCTTCCTTGGCTAGCGAGTCGAGAAGGGCTTGCTTGGACAATTCCGGGGCCTCATTTGTGGCAGGAGCGAGCGAGTCTAGCACAACAAGAGCTTTGAGGTCGGGCAACCGTGATTTCAACTGGAGAAGCACTGGAACGTGCGCCAATGAAGTCACCACGCAGGCCAAGTTTGCATGCCTGATGATGTACTCAGATGTCTCCGGACCTAGGGTATCGTAGAGCGAAACACTGAAGAGCGATTGTGACATGCAAGCCAGATCAGTCAACTGCCATTCGGGTCGGTTTTGACACCACAATCCAACACCATATTGTGTGCCAGTGATGCCCTCTCGTGCGTGGATTTCCACCAGGCCCACACCCAGGTCTGCTCGTCTCTTCTGAACGGTCTCATAGTCAAGCCACTCATAAGGCGCCCAGGCTTTCTTGGCGGAATCGTAGGGTCTGTAGCCCAGGCATGGAGCATGAGGATGTTTCTGTGCGGATGATTCGAACATGTCGTGGCCTGTACGGATGGCCGGGTCGAGTGTCTCGAGAAGTCCATCACGGGACTTGTGGTGTCGGTACACCGGGGTTCGGCCGGGTTGTTCAGAGCCTGAGAGGGTGATGGAGTAGGGTTGGCCTTTGGGAGGAGGTTTGTGATAGTCTTCTGCTGTTTGCAGGAACAAAGGCTTGGAGGAGAGGAGAGAGGGCATGGTGGCGGCGAGGATGGGTGGCAGTTAAGTCAAGGGAGAAAGCAGGAGGAGGACAGGAGAGAAGGGAAAGGAGGGTGAGATAGGAAGTGAGACGGGTCAGAAGAAGAAAGGAAAGGAATCGAGAATGATATTGGATATGGAGTCTTGGAATTTCGCAGAGCAGTGGTTCCATCAGAGAAGCGATGCAGCGAAACGCGCAGATGGCTGTTGTGAGTTAGATCGAGGTCACCAGGACCAGACATGCTGACGCACAGAGACCAGGTGCCTCGGTCTTGGGCTCTTGGACGAAAAAGACTGGGTCCCACAAGATCAAGCATTTTTTCTGGACCAACTTGATGCCAGAATGTCAGTGCAACTTCGGACTCGGAGAGCACTTGGTAAATAAGAACTAACTAGACTGCTAGACCACAACAACCGCGGTCGCGCGCTCCGGGGGCGGAGCTGTGGAACGCGGAGCATCAGCCAGGTTGAGGCAATCCCCCTTCACACCATACTTGGTAGATTTAATCTTGTCTTGTTGCGCGGACACTTGGACTGAGATGCTGCTGCCAATACTTCCAAGACCATTCCAGTGTTATTCTGCGACTCAGAGAAAACACCTGCAAGTGTGAGAATGTAATTGTCCATGTGACCGCGATATGCGGAGGAGGATGAGAAAGAAGAAATCAAGGGTCTGACATGTGAAACTCTTGAGCCCCGATCATCAGTTATAGCCGGGGGCACGCTTGAGCACGCGGGGCCGGGGGCTGCTGAATAACTGAAGCCTCAAGCCTAGGGAAGCCTACGAGTACACAATAAGCCTACCTAACTAAACGCAGATGCTCCAATTGGTCAGGTTAACCGAACGAGTGCCGAACTGCCCAGTCCTCGACGTTGTGCCTGCCAAGCAAGTTGCCCCAAAGAGGTAGGTGTAGGGCAGCATCACTCCCGTCCCGAAACGGGTATTGATTGCTTGGCGAGTTGCATTTGCTGAGATATCAATCAGTGGCTTGAAGTTGTGATATCACAGACCACCATTGCCAACGAGTATTTCACTCTGTCCATCGTCCGATTTCTATTGAGGCTCAGAGTCGCAACAGGCCGCAACTCTCCCACCATGAAGTCACCACTCAGCTTAGTCATATTCGCTGTCGCTCAGTTGCTAACAACGGCTCTGGCGGCTTCACTCCGAGTACAGATTCCTGCCTCTAACCTCATTCCCAATCCGTACACACTGCCTTCATCTACTCATGCTACCTTGACATCTGGTACCGAGCCTCCTCGGAGAGCCCTTTTACGCCGGGGCGATTACTTCGAGTTCTCCAATATCACCACAGCCGGATCCTACCTCTTGGAGGTTCACAGTCGAGACTTTGTATTCGCACCCTACCGCATCGACCTTACGCCTTCGGCGGATCGCTCGGAGAGCGTGATCAGTGGGGCCTGGGAAACATATCGTGGAACGAAATGGGAAGACCGAGGTGTTGCACTCGTCGCAACTCCGACAAAAGATTTGACTCTGAATGTCAAAACAGTATCGGGCAAGAGCTTCTACGAGCAACGCCAAGGTTTCAATCCAATGAGTTTATTGAAGAATCCCATGATTCTGATGGCTGTGGTGGCTCTCGCATTCACCTTTGGAATGCCCAAGCTAATGGAGAACATGGACCCGGAAATGCGAGCGGAGTACGAAGAGATGCAGAAGAAGAGCCCCATGAATAGCGTTACCAAGGCTATGCAAGGTGGTGGTGTTGGCGGCTCTGCTGATGGCTTCGATCTCGCAAGTTACCTCGCCGGATCTGGACGGTCGACAGGCAGCGAGAAAGCCCCTGACAATGTGCGTGAACGCAAACGATGATGAACAGGTGCGGGCGATGAGTGGGCGCCGACCAATCTGGGGCAACGTCTCGTAGCTTTCACAGCACGAACGTGTTATGCAATACTTTTAGACGCGTGGTTGCATTTCAGCTCTGCCTCAATCCAAAAAAGTTCACTCGAGGAATATATCTTCGATCCGGATCCTTCGTTCGGCCATTTCTTATGCAAGCGTCTTGCCCGGCAGCGTTTGGGCGCTTACAACAAAACTGGGCCACGAACCAAAATGAATGGTGCATCCAAGTTCCCCGAACAAAGCTCGGACTATACCTTCCGCAATTCAACACATTGGGCTGCAAGTCGGGCGCGCAAGGGTAAGGTCCCGCGGTGCGAATAGAAACTATGCACCAATTGCCAGAGCCGGGCTGAGGAATCTACTCGTCCTACCGGTAGCCCAGCCATTACTATGCTGGCATATGGGGGCAACGAAGGATATTTTCGAGCCTTGGTTCAGCGATGCAATGTGGTATATCTGTTCACAAGTGTGCTTTTGCACGAGTTCGTAGCACAGCATATATGGAGCAAGAGGGGATGTTTGTACACTAAATCTCCCCATATTCATGAGAGGGCTTCGGCAGTTTCTAGATACCTGATTTTGCGCCAAGGCTGGCAATAAACGTGTTTCGAAAGGCAGATAATCTGACTAGCAATGCGAAGGGTGTCCCGAGTGCAGAGATGCGGCATGAACGATGACGACGACGATGGTGTGGACGTCGTCGATTCCAACGTCTGCGGGCAGACATCAGTCCCCTGTGGCGTGTGATTCTGACCAGTACTGTACTGCACTGGATGCTTGAGCAATGCCCCAACTGCAATTCTTTGCCCAATAACAGAAACATGATTACCTTTCAACTAACAGACGCCCGACTGCATGAGAGTTGAGGATCATTCGAGCCACATGGCACTTATGTTACGGGTTCCAATTCGGACACTGAATGATTTCACCGCAAGGCAACCACTCCGAAAGGTCTCGCCTCCCTTTACTTAACGTCACGGTTGCGCAGCAGCCCATCTCTCTCTATTGGTAGATGCAACAGATGCTGGAGAAGTCACAACAACGCAGACTGTCGGCTTCCAGCTGCTTCGCGTGGCTAGTCCGGCCACCTTGCAGTCAGGCATCCATAGGTGTTAGAAACATTTATAGACCCTACACGCTACTTTTCGCATGAGAAATATGAGCTCGCCGGTACGCACCTCATGCGTGGCGAATCGATCAACCATGGGCAATGCATTTGTTGAGGACCCTCGTCTTGCTAATTCCACAACACCACCCCCATTGCCACAGCCGTCTCTCATCCCAGGCCGCAAATGAAAACGCACGAGTTGTCAAACCCATGTTGGCCTCGCCTCGTCACCCAGGGAGGTCATGGTAAATGGGGCAACTTACAGAGGTCACCTGGCTGACCTAAACCCACCAGGAAGAAGCCAGGAGAATTACAGCATTGGCAGTTACTGCCTGCTTGAAGGGTTGTTGACTTTTGACGCTTACCTGAGAAGTATATTTCCCATGCTGATCGACCTCCTCTCTATTCTTCATATTGACCCACGGTTGATGCCCCCAAAATTTGGCAACGCTACTGTAGCGATGTTCGTCAATGACCAATGACTCCTGATGCGCTACGCTTTGTCAATTGTCAAGTCGTCTCTGAGGTAGCAACAGTCGAAGAAAAAGCCAAGAAGTCATGGACGTTACACGACTTGATAGCGCTTCTACGCGAAGGCCGGGGATTCCATGGCCATCAAAGTACAAAGAAGGACAAGCACTCGATTACACGAACGAGAATCAACACTATGCAAAGTCGCTAACGTACAATGAGGCAGAGGGGGAGACACTTGTTGAAGCATTCATGCCTGATTATCACGACCCCATCGACGTGTGTGATACACAGATAGACAAAGTCGTCCGCTTTTGCAAGCTTGCCAATTTGAAAACCCTGAAAACGACAAACCTGGAGCCTTCTGCCTGGCTGAATGAAGGATACTTCAGCAAAGATGGCCATTGGCATTCAAGGGGGAAAAACGGTCCCCTAACAGCGTATGGCCTGTTCGCAGCACTCAATCAGCCTGTAAGAGACTTTCGCGCCTGTGTTTCTCCGTCGGATCTAAAGAGCTTGACCTGACCATTTCTGTCGCAAAGCGATACCCCCGTGCATTGTCCAGATCAGCCGACCATAACGGAAGATATCTCTCTTTGTCAGCGCCAGGCAGTCCGGAACTGAACGCTGGGCTTACTGTGGACGCAGAGCAACGTTCCATGTATGAAGGCATGTTTAGCAAACTGGGTTCATTTGCTGACATTGTTTGAGATTTGTAACCGATGTGGATCAGTATATCATATATGCGCTCATATCTACTGTATCGGAGAATCAAGCATTTGCGTTGCGTTCAGCGATATCCAGTCATCTTTCGTTCGAAGTTCTCATTAATGCAGCCATCACCACGGTAAGCTCAGCAGGTTACCATTTACTAGGAATATTGTCATTTGGTTGTGGCTGATTTATTGCATCCAGCGGACAGGGCTTTCAAGATTTATTCTGGAGTTCCACTTGCCATACTACACATGGCGATTTTCTGATCTCCCAATACAGGATCGTCGCTATTGTGCAGAACATCCTCTTCGTCATGCCCAAGATGTTTCATTCTTGTGCTGGGACAAGTCCAGACCAAGCAAAGCTTATCTGAGTGCGGCTCAGGTCTCCTGCGTAGTTGCTGGAATAGACGACTGCAGATGGGAAGCTTATTGCTTCGCAGACACCTACTACGATTCTAACGAAAGACGAGAATCTATGTCCAAATATGGCGAAGAAGCAAAAGTGTCGGCGCCATTCTTTGCCGACCCACTCGCCAGGGGCTGTGAGGACGCCAACAAACCTCTTTCAGATGCTCGACTTTATTTTTTACGAGTCTTCTGCATTCGTCTACAGCAAGTGAAAGTTGAATGGCAGACTGTCAAAGAGAATCTTTCCGAAAGTACTCGGAGGTATTTCGAAGTTCGCAACCCACTTCCATTCCCTATCCACATTACTCTCACATCTGACGTGTGTAATTCTTCAAGCACAATGCCGTGTCTTCATCACAGCATCGTCCATCATTGGATGTGTTCCAAGCAGATGTTCAGACCATGCTAGTAAACCTAAGTTATGCCAGATATACGAGGCAACTGTCGAATGATCTTTCTCATACTCTTTCAAACACTATCAACGCAGTCGAAAGATTCTTGGTGGATCATGACACAACGTTTGAAGACCTTTACGAGTGTGAGAATGGTCGACGGTCCTTCTCTGACATTTCAAGGACTTTGCTTGTGCTCCGTGGGCTGAGCGAGAGGCTCGTAGATGTCATTAGGCGATGCGATGATTTTGTCCGAGATGTTAGTCGCACCCTTTATCCTGTAGCTTTACTTACTCATATGCTGACCATTTCGGAATGGACCACTATCTTGAGGTTCACTTCGAATACACGGCGATGGTAGATGGTGGCAGACAAAGACAACTGTCTCAGGAAAATAAAACACTGTCTGGAGTAGTGATTGTAAGCTCTCTCCACGCCATCTGGGAACCATGAGCATGAGCTAACTATTGCCCCCAAGTTGTTCGTGTCTCCAATTGCTTTGACAGCAGGTGTCTTTTCGATGGATCCGACTGTTCTCCCGTTTCTCACTCCCAATCCTTTGTCAATTTTCATCTTGGGTTTCATACTTCTAGCGATAGGACTGCTCTGCACCGGCCACTTGCGACCCATCACAAACAGGGTAAGGAGATTGATACGGTTTACATCAAGCCAGCAGTGATGCCGTGAAATGGTCTCCTCGTTTGAAATTTTGGCTGGCCCAGTCTCCCTACACGCCATGCTCGAAAAGACAATGAATCTGCTGGTACCCACCACCTACGGCTAACCATTCTAGCCTTTTGAAGTCTTCTTGAGTTTCCTAAGATCTTTGGGGGCCTTATAGGACTCACCGAACTTGAACTATTGGTCTGAAGATATCACCAGAGGTAGAGTGGAGTGGCATGGCAGTATACCCTGGATGTGATGGAGCACGCACCTGAGGTAGAGGCAACCCTCAAACTTTTACTTCCGTTCGATGGTTAAATCGGGGTTGCTAGGACTTTGCATAAATAGTGGTTCTACCTGCAAAACTCATTGATGGCCCTGCTTTGTCGCTACCTATCTTGGCAGCAAGGCCTGTCACGAGGATTTGGATACCCGACCGATTGGTATGGATCATGGACTAGGCACTACCATCCACGCCATTGGTCCTCAGTCCAGTCAAGATAAAGAAGAACATTCGGAACCTGATTTCTCCTGCAACTATATGCAGCCACGTCAAGCAACAAAGCATCTCAGTGCCTACAGCGCAGACCAATAGCATGGCACTAGATATCCTTGCTCTTGCGCAGTCACCTGTCATGTTTGAGAGTGCATGTTGTGTGACGCCCTCTATCATGTTTGGTTTCTGCCCGACCCCACGTGGACTATGGCCGGTTTATTCGCCAGGCTTGCGGACATGCGTTGTCAGGTCATGTTCGGAAATAGCTTTGATATTAAGTAGAAGTTATCCACCATTTCAGCCTGGAATCTCTCTCTGCTACATCGCGATTCTCTCAGAGGCCGCCCACCAAGATGGCAACGCTCCTTCGAGAAGGTATCGAAGCTTTACTAGCCAGGCTAGGGGTGGAGGACCCAATCCCGGACATCGAGGGAACGGACATCCAAAGCAATCCTATCGATATCTATTTATCGTACCTTACGGACACCCTCGTCAAGCTCACAGAATGCTCCCCTCAGGTGGCTCATGGCTCGATTCAGTGGCCCAGTGATCTGGGAGATTTGGCAGTGATACTGCCACGACTTCGACTTCAGACACAAAACCCAAAGGCTCTTGCCGTTGAGCTTAAGCAGAAGGTGTGATGCTACCAGGATTCTCCATTTTCGTTCATGGCATCATTCATTGACTCATTGTTTCCTCACTTTAGTTTCCAGGCTCTCATCTCATGGGCCACCCTGTTGATGATGGGATCCACCTTCGATTCTTCTTCTCTGCTCAGATACTTGGTCGGTTACTCTTGCCATACATCATCGATCGAGGTCGATCGTATGGCATCCCAAACATCGCAAACCACACAGACTTGGAGCTTCCTAAGACTGAGCCAAAGAAGATCCTGGTTGAATTCTCATCCCCTAACTTGGGCAAAGAGTTTGATGGTTTGCACCTCAGAAGCACCATTATTGGCGCTTATATTGCTTCGCTATATGAGTCCATGGGCCACGAAGTGACCAGGATGAATTTCCTTGGTGATTGGGGTCAACATATCGGGCTATTAGCAGCAGGATGGTCCAGATTTGGCTCTGAGGATGCATTGACTGCTGACCCACTTCGACATCTGCTCGAGGTTTATACACAGATTGACGAACTCTCCAAAAGCGAGCAAGCAAACTCTCAAGAGCTTCCTAGCGATGGTCAGCTTTCAGGAATTGCTGCAGAGCTCGAAGCAAATGTGACTGCCCTGGACAATGCTGACCCGGGTGCAATGGCTTTGTGGACACGATTCCGTGAATCGTCAATCAAAAGCTATACCGACATTTATGCCCGTATGGACATCAGATTTGACGAATATTCAGGAGAATCGGAGGTCAACCATGCAACCATATCTGAGGTTGAGACCACTTTAGGAGATAAGATCGTCTTCGATGAAACCAAAGGCGGCTGGATTATCGATTTCAGTGTGCATGAGACCAGAGTTTTGAAGAATGGCCATGCAAAGCTTCGGAACCTCCGGGGTTTAACGACTTACCTGCTCAGAGATATTGCTGCCGCCTTGGATCGGAGTCGAAAACATACTTTTCATAAACTCTTTTACGTTGTGTCCGCACGACAAGATTCGCATTTCCAACAACTTTTTGCTGTTCTTGAGCTAATGGGGCAATCAGAGCTTGCTGATCGCTTGCAACACCTCAGTTTCAGCACGGCCAGAGGTCTTGCACCCGAAGAAGGTATCAGTGGTCTTCTGCTTAGTGACATTCTGGACCAATGCCGTACCACAGTTTCAAATTTACAGGCAAATAAACCAGATAGGTTCTCGCATTATCAAGGTCAAGATGTTTTGACACTCTGCGACAAGCTCGGTACCACCTCACTCATGACTCAAGAACTTGCGATCCGGAGAAAAGATGACCTTATTTTTGATATCCCAAATATCGGTAATGTTGAGGAAGAGACTGGTATGAGCTTACAAGACTGTTTCGCAAAAATCAGTGTGAGATTGCAAGGTGTCATTATTGATCAAGAGGGCCTCGAAAAGTCCGATGATGACCTCTTTGAGGATGAGCGCTATGCTGAGATCCTTCGTGTACTGATTCAATTTCCTGTCACCGTCAAATCATCGTTCGAAAAACTAGACTCTTCTCCAATACTCACGCATCTATTCCGCTTAGTTGCATCAGTGGATTACCTTCTAGACGAAGAAGGAGAGTCCGAGGCATCCGGTTCGAATCATAATATCGTCAAGCTTTGCCTTTACCAGGCCGTTCGTCAAGTTCTGGAGAATGGCATGCATTTGATCGGCCTGACCCCGATCGAAATAGCTCCTTTACAAGAGCATTCTGGAATTTTTCCAATCGAACAAGCCACCGAAGTTAATGTTGAGGACTCGACGGCCCTTAGCGAAACTCGTACTACACCACCCACAGAGATAGTCAATATCCAAGAAGAGAATGCCACCGGGGCAGCACCCGAGCCAGATGAGCCCTCGACGCAGGGCGACGCTGGAGCAGCGATAGTGCCAGCCGAAGAATCCACAACTGCCCTGGACCCGGCTACAAGCTCACCAGTGGAAAGAGCTTCGAATGTTGCAGAGCCACAGACCACAGGAGGGACAGATGCAGAAATGACTCCGACCGTTGCCACACAGTGTGAAGTGAACCCTCCAGATGAGGCACCTCCAGCTACAGAGGCTATCACTGAAGCTGCGGACCATGTCCAGACACAGAACCCCGAGACCTCGCCCCCAGCAGCTCCCGGGGACGACACCAAAGCTCTTGCAGCAAATGATGCTCCTGAAAATGAAACACCGACTACCGCTCCTACTGAGGGCGAAACCACCACATCCGAGGTCATCGAGCATGAGGCTCTCAATCCTCCAGATTACGCACACTGTGACCCCCTAGCCTCGGCTGAGGATAATCACCATCTTAAGATGCCTGAACATGTGGCTTCAATTGAAGCACACTGAATGCACGCCCTTTGCTAGCCAGCTCACCCGCTCTAGATGCACGAAGTGGCTAGGGTTTCGGGACTAGATTGCCTGTGCGCTCAGATGTATTCCTATGAGAGACGGCGGCGGGTTAGGCAACGAGTTCGGCAAGTGTTACTGATTGATAGGCGAGGTCAGGCGTGCGCGTGCGTCCACAGTGTTGGGTATCTAGTTAGGTACCTAGGTCGCTTTGTACACTAATCTACAATTCTGCCCAAGCGGCCCGTTGGACTATTACTTCCAATAACCTCATGAATGCGAATATCGCAGTAGTGTCTCTCCATTACAGCCAAATCCCATTTTTCAACGTTCGACATAGATGGGTACTGTTTTAGGCACCCTTATCCAACCAGGATGTCAAGCTCAATTCCTGCATGATCGACTGATCAAATGATTCATCGCCTCGTTGATGCAACATGCGTCCTTTGGGATTAGCAGAAGGCAGCCAACACAACACCAAGTCATGCATGTATGTCCCACCACCCTCCCCAGAATGCCTCCCTAGATGGTGATGCTCTCAACCACTCAGACAGAAGTCGGCTCGTAGGGGTCGCGGTCTATTGGCTGCCTTACCTGCGAGGCTTCCCGATTGGGTAGACAGGTATGGCTGGCTGCGAGATGGCATGTATGTGTTGTTTAATCCATGGGATTTCTTGGGGATTGGGATGTCGTTGTGATAGTGGGGGTATCGACGGATAATCCGGTGGTGGGTTCGGGCTAAACTGTGGACGATCCATGGCTGCCCAACTAGCGAGTTTTGACCACATCTAACTACAGGTTTACCAGGCTGGTTCACTCGACTTTCAGCCTCACTCACTGGCTGGGTTGACTGGTGAGGCCTGCTTCGCGCGATTGTTACGGATATCCAAAAGGATTTCTTAATACCTCGGTTGTTATCTGGGTGACACAGTCAAAGTGTCTGATTGACTGGAGTCGAGCGTCTGAAGCCGAGAAGCATAGAAGGCTTTCCATTCGGGCATCAGACGAATGTATCACCATGCACGGCATGAAATACCAGTCACGCCATGGGGGAGTCCATAAGCCTCGGGCGTACCGATTAGTATCACCCATCTCTGGTATCTCGCTTACCTGCAATTTCATGCCGAGCGTCCTGTCGGACTCTCTTTACGTGGCAGTTGGCCATTCACGACTTAGCGTCATGCCTGAGTCCACGAACCACATGTATAGGTGTGGCTCGTCATATCCGTGTCTGTTGCTGTACATGGCTTCCCCAGAAAAAGACGCATGGGTGAAGATGTTTGGATGACTGCCGAAACCTTCCACCCAGTGAGATTGGTTGTTAGTTCTAGATGGGTAGGAACCCCGTTGGCGGTCACCGCTCTGCTGTTTGACGGTGTGGGCTTTGGGCAGCAATGTACACCTGATGGACAAATTGATTCTGACATTGTCCATGTTCGAAACCCCTTCATGCTCTCTGCCCCCGTCGTCGTTGGTTGATAAAACCACAACAAAACACCGGTCTCGCGAGCAGTCTCTCTCTCTGGGACTGACAGGGACAGGGTGCCGTGATTTCGCTACCCCAGCTGTGTTCTGGAGGTCGAGGGCACCGCATATCCCGTGTTTTCATATGCTTAACTTGTGGTGCAGAATAGATGGCGGATGTGGCAGCCTCATTACTAGGTCATGTCTGCTCTGTGGCTGGTCACTGGTACATACGGAGATGTACCTCTTGCGTCTGAAGGAGGGATAGGATGGGTGGTGCATGGATACGGAAGCACTCTGCTGTGTCGGGAGTCATTGCATTCCAGCTTCATTTCTTTTGGCCACTTGTAAGTCGACAACACAGAGGTGGCTGAATCTGGTTACTCAACGTGCATTGTCTCACTATTCCCAAATCGATCATGAGGCTCTGCAGTCACATGGAGTGCATTTTAAGAGTATTTTGTGCACATTACTTTGGTTTCGTTTCTGTTTTCTTTTTCTCATTCAGAGCACCGTGAGGATTGCTTTTCGTTTGTGTCATGCTTTCGATGAGAGACTCATCGCGATCTCGCGATCCGCAGGCGCGGGCGATGGATGGCCGCCATCGCAAGCTCTTTGTCGAGTAAGTGAGCTTCCCATGTAACACTGTTGGTGCAACGTAAGCTGAGATGTTTCAAGGTGGACTCAGAGTGACCGAGTCCGACTCTGTGTTGGCGAATCAATCGATACTCCTAAAGAGTTTCTGGTACCCGTTGAGTTCCTTCGGCGTCGGTCACGGGAATTCCAAAGGCTGATTCATATTCACTCGGATTACTTGGAACAAATCAAGCTCCCTGAAACGCGAATTTCGACATTCGAGGATTTCCTGATTTGGACATTTACGCCTCAGCCTAAGATCGGAGTCAATGCGACATTCGATGAGGCAGTTCACCTGGGTGTCTTTGCCTGGAAATATCAAATCCCTTCTTTGAGCAATCAAGTGACAGATGTTATACGTGCCAAGTTGGCTGAAAAGGAATGGCCCCTTGAAGCGTCGATTGTGGATAATATCTATGGCGCAGTGCCCAGTAAGTGCCCGCTCAGGGAGGTGGTCCGCGCCGCCTTAGGACAGTTACCGCGACCCAATGCGGAGGGTGAGGTTTTGAAAGACGAGTGGAAGGCCACATTTCTGAAGCATGCGGAGCTTGGTTGGGATTACATCCAAGCTGCAGCCACTGAATGGACCAAGAGAGATTATCTCACAGATTATTGCAAATTCCACGACCACCAGGGCGTGTCTCATCGTGGTTCTTTTGCAGAGTGCGATGGTTGTCCCTTTGCCCACGAAGATTGTTATCCAGATGAGCCAGAAGAAGTGGTAGATGGATCTGCTGATGCCGAAGCAAAAGCTGAACCTCCGGCTAGCGAGGACGTCCCAGTGGAAGATGCCTCAAGTGATGGGACGACTGTTCACAAAATTGAAGAGCCCGTCGAACCACTTCCGTTAGATCAGCATGAAATCGGCCTGACGAACGGCAATGCCTCGGAAGATCCAGCTTTGGAGTCCACGGATAATGGTGTGGAAACACCAATGGAGGCTCCTATGGAGGATACAGATCAGCTGAAGGACGCAACGGATGATGATTTCAGCGGCACGAAAGAGACTGATTCGGTTGCCGAAGTGGATGGGACGACCGTTACTTCCGAAGGGCCTGGCGACGACCTGAACAGCTTGAAGGAGAATGAATCGGTAGTCGGAGAGGTTGAAGAAAGGTCTGATGTGAAGCTCACGGAGATGTCTAGGGAGAATTCAAGTGACCTAAAGATCGATAGTACCAAGGCTGGTGAGGTGGTTGTCGAACAGGCGGTGCCAGAGTCCAAGAAGCCGAAGAAGAATAAATCGAGGAAGCGACATGGCAGCAAAACGACATTTTGAGGCACACCTGCTCATCTGTTTCGGCAAATTGGACATCTGTATGGAAACTTTGCGGCGATCAGGGTTGAGCTTTTGTGCATCTCAAGATCCGTGTTACGTTCTTCGTGTACTTGCATGGACAATTTCGGGCTATTGCGTAGGCATACGTTTGGGACGAATCATGGGAATTTTGCATTGGATTCGGTTGCTTTTGCATCGCACTGCTTTGGTGACAGCGCCCTTGTATTACCCGGCTTCAAAAAAGTAATAGCAACAGTATAAACAGGTCACAAACCATGCGTGCTTCAAGGTGTCCAATTGCTTTGGATGTCTTGTCTTGTGCGGAGGATTCCCATGTCTTGTCAGCTGTAGTTTACATTTTTGAATGTATGGGATCGGTCTTCAACAGCATCACATCCGCCAGCCGTTGTATATCGGACGGACACCCGGGACGGCAAGACTCACATAATACTCGTAGAATGCCGAGTCCTTCCGAACGATCCTTGACGGAATGCGGATCTATGCCTGACATATGTCGTCATGACTGCATCATCCAAGCTTGGAAGGTAGATGCAGCTATTTGTGATTTCTAGGTGGAATACCTACATACTGAAGCGCTGTTCGATATTTCGACTGCACTTGCTGGACATATCGCTTGAACTTCAGGTTGTGGTGTATCGGCAAGATGGCAAACACAACGGAAGAACTTCACGAGAAATTTGAACCTCACCCAAATCCGCAAAACCTGACCAGCAATGAGTCGCAAAGCGTCGATTATGAACCACATCCGGAGAACTCATTGAAGATCTCAGCGGAGCACCAGGAAATAGTCCGGGCCATTACTGCGCTGTATTCTGGCAGTAGTAACGAGAAAGACATGAATGTCTACGCCGAAAAGGCGATATATGATGATCCGTTATCATATTGCGATACCAGATACAAGATAGCGGGCCAATGGGTGAGTTGGAATTGTGACGGCCTGCAACACTTTCCATGTCTACATATCATGTTCTGATTGATATGCTTTAGTACGGACTGCCCAAGATATTCAGCAAGCTGGAAACCAAGAAGACAGAGGTTGTCAAGGACAGCCCATCTGAGATTGTGTTCAAGTTGAGGCAGGAGTATACACTCAAGGCCATCAATAAGGGGAAAGAGGTCGACTCTCTGGTTTCGCTGGGGTTGGATGATGATGGGAAGGTGAGATACCATAAGGATATGTGGAATTCCAAGGATTATTCTCATACGGGGGTTGGCATGCTGATCAAAACACTGAATGGGGATCATCTCACTAAGATCACGCAGCCGCCGGAATCATTGTAAACCATTCCATGCCATTGTATAAATGTGCTGAGTCATATAGAGACATGTTGGTAGGCAGCTGAATAAGAAGAAGTGCAGGGAATATGAAGACCATGCAAAGGACGAAATGGGATGATAATGTCGACTTTAGGAGGCCACTGCCAGATCCGAAATGCCCACAACACGCAGAATCGGAAAGTTCAGGGAGAAATTCTTGCAAGGGTGGCCTGGCCGGCAATCCATCAGGGCTCGTCGGGACTCAAATTGGTGGGAATTCACGACGAGGAGGATTTCAAGATTGGGGTGACGGATGGCATTTCAGGGCTCGCCGTAGCCGACTAACTAGCTAGTTAGATCCTCCTTCGGGCGTGCACAAGGCCCGAGAGCCCCTGCGGAATGAAAAACAAGCATTGTTAGCCGCTTAAACTCAAGTCAAGTCTTTTGGGCTGTCTCCCGGGGACTGGGTAGTGGGTGGAGTTTGAGGGCTTGCCTAGGGCTTGCCTAGGGCTTGCCTACCTATGGAGTACCTCCCTCATGCAGGCTACGATAAGGCCAATTAATCGAGAACGTTTCTGGGAGCGGATAGGATTGGGATTCGAAAGTTCGAGGTCGTCATCCACAGCACTGCCCCTTCCACTTCCACTTCCTACGTCCACTTGCACTGGCTCTTCGTTTTGCATCGCTGGCGGACGACATTTCATTGTTCTGTTCACCTACTTACTCCCTCCGTTATCACAATGACTTTTCCCATTCCCGTTCCCGCCAGCCAGTTGCTCGACTCCATACGCATCTTCGACTTGGCTCGGTCGACGAGCTGACCCAACATTTTCCTTCCCCTTCAACCCTGCGACTTTCCCGGGTTGCGGAGGCTTCTTCTGTTGATCAAATTGGAAATATCACATCTCCCCAAAAGAATCTAGAAGTATCATACAAGCGGGCTTGTCAAAATGTTTCTGGTGGACTGGACACAGGATGTCTGGGAGTTCAGCAAGAGGAACATCATCCCCGACCTTTTTATCAAAAGACGTTTCAACTTCATCACCATTCATTACCTTTATCTGATCGGCATGTCCCTCCTTCTGTCCGTCATCCTCTTCGGGCTCGGCGATATGGCCTACATCGACGCATTGTTTTTCGCCTCGGGATCCGCCACCCAGAGTGGTCTCAATACCATCGATGTCAATACTCTCAAAACCGGTCAACAGGCTATGCTATACTTGGGTGCCATGTTGTGCAACCCCATTGTGGTACATTCCGTCGTGGTCTTTGTGAGACTTTACTGGTTTGAAAAACGCTTCAAGGATGTTGTCATGGAGGCTCGAAAACTACGTCGCACCAGATCCCGAACTCGCGCCAACACATTCTCCAATGGTGATGCCGAGCAAGGATCCGACGGTCCGGGTATGAAGGAAAGAGGGATGAAACTTTTTCGCAGTGCTACAGATCGATGGCTGCGCCAGGAGCAGCCTCTGGACAAGGAGAATGACGAGGACGGCCGAGAGTCCAATGGAAAAGCCCTCGACTCGTCCAACAGTTCCCATCAAGACCATGGAAATGTCAGAGTCGAAAGACGCGATGATCGTCTACGACTGCAGACCACACGATCTACAGAGGATGTGCGCCTTCCTCAGCTACTGAGTCCCGAGCAACACATTCGCTTCCTGGAGAACCAGCGGAATCCGGATGATGCCACCACCTTGAGAATCCCCAGTCCGCGAGAATTTGAGCAGGGCAGTAGACCCGAGAACATTCCCGACCAAGTGGACGGTGTTTTGTTGCGACAGATCACGAGTGAACCCAATCTTCCAAGCTCGACTGAGAAGCGAAGTTCCGAGTTGAATCCAAGACCGGAAGGAGGCAACACGCATATCACAATTGATGAGCCCCGATTTTTGCGGGATCATCGTAACGACAAATCGACCACTTTCCCGCGTTTGAATACCAGACAATCTACGGTGCCGCAGAACCATGACAGTGTCGAACCTGGCCTCCAGACACGTCCTACACGATCGAGTACATTCCGTACACTCCGACGAAGCAACACCGCACGTACCATGGAACCGGCGCCGTACTTGAGCTGGCAGCCTACTATTGGACGAAACTCTTTCTTCTTTGATTTGACGGAGGAGCAACGAGAAGAGTTGGGCGGGATCGAGTATCGAGCACTCAAGACGCTGGCGTTGATTCTTGTTGGGTATTTCTTCTTCTTCCACTTTCTTGGTGTGGTTTGTCTTACACCGTGGATCATGCATTCTGGAACGTATTCTGCCGTGGTGGAAGCAGTCTCACAAAATCGGGTTTGGTGGGGGTTCTTCACCAGTGCGTCATCATTCAACGATCTGGGATTTACCTTGACGCCGGACTCGATGCTCTCGTTCAATCGGGCGGTATGGCCCCTTCTCATCATGACCTTTCTGATCATCATTGGCAACACAGGCTTTCCATGTATGCTTCGATTTGTAATTTGGGCCATATCCAAGGTGGCATCGCATGGCTCGCCGTTCTGGGAAGAGCTTCAATTTCTCTTGGACCATCCTCGAAGATGCTTCACACTATTATTTCCTGGCCGCGCGACGTGGGTGCTCTTCGGAATTCTGGTGGTGCTCAACGGAGTGGATCTTATCTTCTTCATCATTCTTGATCTCAATGACCCAACGGTGACCCAGCTACCTGGAGGGATTCGTTTTCTTGACGGACTGTTTCAGGCTGCTTCTACTCGGACTGCAGGATTCGCGGTGGTCAACCTGGCAGAATTACACCCTGCTATTCAGGTCAGTTATCTGGTCATGATGTACATTTCGGTCTTCCCAATTGCCATCTCCATGCGTCGTACGAATGTCTACGAGGAAAAAAGTCTGGGTATCTACAGTAGTCAGAACGATGAGGAAGGCGACGAAAAGGAAGCCAGCTATGTGGGCGCCCATTTGCGACGACAGTTGAGTTTTGACCTGTGGTATGTCTTTTTGGGGATGTTTATTATTGCTATTGTTGAAGGGAGTCGGTTGGAAAACACCAACGAATATGCTTTCACTTTGTTTTCTGTCTTGTTCGAGATTGTCTCGGCATATGGAACGGTGGGCCTGTCTTTGGGATATCCAACAGCAAACTCGTCATTCTCGGGTCAATTCCGGCCGTTGTCGAAGCTTGTAATCATTGCCATGCAAATTCGTGGCCGTCATCGTGGTCTTCCATACGAATTGGATCGAGCTATCTTACTGCCATCAGAAAGTCTTCAACAAAAGGAGGCGAAAGAAGGGAACCGCATAGTGATGCGGCGTCGACGTTCTTCGGCTGGGCAGTCTATGATGTCTGCAGTCGATGGCAACTTGGAAGGACAAAGATTTCGACCAGAAACGGGAATGGCTTCAGGGACACATACTGGAGAATTTGAGCAACATCTTCGTCCTCGTACAAATACCAACCGCACCATGGGCAGCAATGCAAGTGGGTCAGACCAGTATCATGCTCTTCATTCGAATCCAGGGCATCCCAGACACGCAATAGGAACTTTGATGGCCAGCCTAGCCACGGACAAGATCGATCCGATCAAAGAGGAGAAAGCTGGTGACAGCGACTAGACTCGGAATGACCGGTGTTTGGTGCATTATCGGTTGGACATGATGAATAGCGCTTTTTCGCAGTGTATTTTAGCGTTGGCGAAGGCTGGAGTTGTATTGATGATTTTGTTGAAGCAGAATAGCAATCATGCACGGTAGCATGCGCATGATATGGGCACCTTGATAGAAGTAGCCGACAAGAATACGAATATCTTGATCGCGACCAGCACTTTTACTATCCAAAAATAGATACCTGGTGGGATCTGGGCTGTTATGTAATGTCCAGGAGGTCTACCTGGTTGACTTTGTAAACCCTCTACGGCTCCAGCAGATGACTTCGAGGTTTTCCTCTCCGCACTCAATTTGGAGGGTGGGCAAGTCAGCCTGATATCTATCGATCTATCGATGCCCTAGTAGTCGGTAAACGTGGTAAGTAATTCAGAGGCGACGAAATGGAGGATATTCCGCATTAATGTAAATCCGAGACATATTTGTCGGTCAAGTGGGGAAGGAACGCTTGGTGATCTTAATGTTTGGGCTGCGCCTCACCTCCCTGACAAGCGGCTTTTTAGTTTGGGCGTCGAGGACTCCAATTCGCGGATTCTCACTGCTGGAAGGAGCGTGAGACGTAACCGTTCGAGTTCACAGTTTTACTCCTCGACCTCGACCTCTCCTCGATTCCCGACTCCTCAAACTCCTCAATTGCTTGATCCCATCAAGCGTCCTCGTTGGGTGCCTTGGTCTGCCTTCTGCTTTTCCTCGCGGGCTTCGTCATCCACCTGACACACACCACCACTACCGCTACGACTCCGTACCTGATACCTCGTACTCTGCCCACCCATTTTCCATCGTTCCTCCTCCGTACTACCTCACCTTCTTCACCTCTGTCGTCTTCGTCTCCTCTCTCTTCTTCCATCCCTCATTCTCTTCCTGGGAACATATACATGCCACTCTTTTCATTTTCAACATTTATATAAACATTCCCACGTTCAGTGACTGCACACAACCGCCCTCCCACCTCCCAATCGTCGGACCCCAACCCCTGTCCTTCGCTTCAGTTTTCCGACGCGCCCCCTCAAACCTCAAACGGGCTGCCCATCCCATCGAATTTGTGTGCTCGACCTTCGCTCAATCCATCTTCGTCCTTTACATATCAACATTGTCGACACTCATCCTTCGTGGTACAATCCACGGCTGTCTATGTCACGATAATCGGCGCGCACCAGCGTCCACGTCAATTTAATTTCCCCCTTCTGTCCCTTGGTGCAAATATACTCCTTCATCTAATCGTCGACATGATGAAACTACGATTATCCTCTGCACTTACGCCGCTGGTCGGCCTACTATCCATTGTTCATGCTCTCGATCTCACCGTGGCCAATGTGGATTCTGTCAAGTCGGCTGCTGCTACCATTGCATATGACATGATGACATACTATCACGGTAACGAGACCGGTGGAACTCCAGGCCTGTTGCCGGGCCCTTGTGCTGATGTAGCATGCTACTACTGGTGGGAAGCCGGCGCCATGTTCGGCTCCCTGATCAATTACTGGGAGTATACGGGAGATGACAGTTACAATCCAGTTGTAAAAGAAGCTCTGGCGTTCCAGAGAGGCGAGGACGAAAACTACAACCCGCGCAATCAGAGCAAGAATATGGGTGTCGATGATCAAGATTTCTGGGCTTTTGCTGCCATGGATGCTGCAGAAGCTAATTTCCCCGAGGCCGGAGGTGATATCCCATCATGGTTGACTCTTGCTCAGGCCGTCTTCAACTTTCAAAAACAACTTTGGGACAATGCAACATGCGGTGGCGGTATGAGATGGCAAGTCTATTCGTTCAACCCCGGCTACGAATTGAAGAACACCATCTCCAATGGAGGTAATTTCCAACTGGCTGCCCGTCTTGCTCGATACACTGGGAATCAGTCATACGCCGATTGGGCAGAACAAATGTGGAATTGGATGGAGCAGAGTCCATTGCTCCAAGTTCAGGACAACATTCTTTATGTCTGGGACAACACCAACGCCGACAACGGTTGTGTCGATGTTGAACATTTTGCATGGAGTTACAACTATGGAACTCTGTTGATGGGAGCAGCCAACATGTACAACTTCACCAATGGCGCCGAACCCTGGGGCCAGCGGGTGCAACAGATCTTGGACGGTGCCTTTTTCTTGTTCTTCCCTCAAGAGTACGGTGGCAACATCATGACCGAATTCCAGTGTGAGCCTATCGGTGCCAATGGCAACTGCAACAATGATCAAAGCAGTTTCAAGGCCTATCTTTCTCGATGGCTCGCGGTCACGAGTGTATTGGTTCCAAGCACCGCTGCTCAAATCATACCTAAGCTGCAAGCAAGTGCTGAAGCCGCGGCCAAACAATGTGTTGGTGGGGACAATGGCAAACAATGTGGTCGTCGGTGGTACGCCAACGGTGTTTGGGACGGTACCAAAGGTGTGGGTCAACAGGTACGTGTTTGAAAACCTATGTGTTTCTATGGGATCGTCTTCTAACAGCAGCCATCAGATGCAAGCGTTGGCAGTTATCGGAGCCACACAAATGACCCCCAACATTGCACCCAAGAGTGCCACCACTGGTGGTACTTCTGAGAGTGACCCAGATGCTGGCAATGACATTGACACGGCCCCCGAGATCAAGTTCGCCCCTCTGACGACGGGCGACAAGGCAGGCGCCAGTATCCTGACAATTTTGATCGTCATCTCAGTTGTTGGTGGTGGTATCTGGATCATCTTGTAGAAGAAAAGAAATCCCATCTCACGAAAATGTTATTTCTCATGTACGACCAAAAGATGCACAAGAGTTAGCACTTGCATGTGATAGAAAATCGGTCAATATATCAGTGTCTATTAGCCTGATCCATGGGACGGCGCAACGGGTGACTTTCGAATTTGACAGAGATAGTTTTGGGACATGTTCGACATAAGTTCTTGATTACTGAGGAAGGCCGTGAGAGCGCTTAAAGGAATGTGAATCAATGTTGGTAGATATATTGGTACGTAGGTATATACCCGGTGCGTTGGTCAATGACGGGAAATCTGTGGACATTGTTACAAGTAGGATCCAAGTCTTTGACCCGTTTCCCGTAGCTTCTGGGTGGCCGTGGAGTGGCGTCGGTTCCTGCAGCTACGACCTTGACCATGCAGGCTCAAGCCTTTCAAAGTCGCGCCTAAAGGCCCCCCAAAGGCATGTTGCGCAAGCCCCCGTGCAGCCCCGACCGCCTAATAATGCCATTGGCGGCTTCCCCCTGGAGGTTTCGGCAGTGCCAATCTGCTTCTACTTTCGGCTCCGTCAACAATAGAGATTAATTTCTGTCATTAGTACCCCGTCCGCAGACCGAATTGTGGCCTTGCGTATCCTGCTCGCTATCATTTCTGAGGCCCCTGCTCTTTGATCCTCAACTGCCCATTCACCGCAAACGTTCCTTTTGGCCATCAACGACTCTAATGTTCTGATATCTTGTTTCTTCATGCTTTTGGATTTAGCATCTTAACGTAGCAACGCTGCTTTTTTCGGACGAGTGATACTCACGATTGTTTACGCCATTTAATAATAATAGCATCTTGTCATCTGCATTATCTGTGCAAGACATCGATCGTCCTGTCGTTCCTGTCAATCTCACCCTCACCAAAGCCTATCTAGAGGCCCGACCACCCATCTGTCAAACACGACCTGACGTCTTTCTAGCCTCTTTCCAGAATCATGGCGGCCAAGTCGCGTCCTGTCTCATTACAGCTGGAGTCCGTCTCCAGCTCGACCACGACTTCAGAAACTGCACCGTCTATCCCACCGAGCCCAGGCAGAGACACCAAAAGAACCACAGCTTCCGCGAGACGGCATGCGAAGGGGTTATCGCTAAATTTCCCCATCCTATTGCCCACTACGGCTTCAATCTCACAGTTTTCACCTTCACCCACCACCGCCTCGGCACTGGCGACCCCAATAGGTTCCACGCGGTCATCCCCTCATGCTCGAGCAGTTGTCTTCAAAGCTTCTGATACGATTGATGAAACACCCGACAATGTCAAGACTCGGGGAAGTGCGGATTTCTTGACTCTGCTCGCCGCCCAGGAGCGGAAGGTGCTGGAATTGAAAGAGGAATTGCACAAGGCAGAGACCGATCTTCTGGGTCTGAAAAGACAATGGGCTCTCCACGAGGCCAACAAAAAGAAAGACGAAGTGAAGCACGTCAAAAAGATGCAACCTCTGGCACTTGACGAGGTGGCAACTGCCGAAGTCCCAGAGGAAGAGCTTGATGAAGAGCGGAAACGGAAGAAAGCGATAGTTGAGAGGGGTCTAAACAACAGTCAACCCGTGGGCAGTCATGCTACGACGTCCAACCTTGGTCGAAGAGGTTCCAAGCGTGTGTTTGAGGGGCGACATACTCGAACTTTGAGCCTCCTCAGTCCAACGTCCACGAAACCTTACCAACCCCTGACCACAGTTGAGCCGGAAGGTACTCAGACCAAGAGCCCTACGGCTTTCGATAGCGAGGACCACGCTTCCAAACCTTCGTTGTCAAGGATGCCTACCCTCGATGGGCTAATGTCAGGTGACCCTCTACAGTTTGGTTTTGGCAAAACATACAAAGATCTGGCCGCCCATAGGAGAAGTCTGCCACCAGTACCCACCGATCTTCTGGTCAAGCAAGGCAAGCAAGTGTATGATGGTGTACGAGACGGGTTATGGACATTCTTTGAAGACATTAGACAAGCAACTGTCGGAGAAGAAGGTGTGAGCGGTACAGCCTCACACAATCGACAGCAGCGGATGCCACAGAGGAGACCGACCAAGAAAGCCTCGGACAAGGGCCCCAAGGCAAAGAACACGGACTCAGCCCCAACATCAGACGATCACGAAGCCACCACGAAAGAAGCATCTTTCTGGAACGAGTTTGGACTCGACACGCCCCACAAGCCAGTCACCACACCACCTGCCAAGGTTGACAAGATTAATGGCCATGTCCAACAAAAGCGTAGCACGGATTCATCCAGTCCGCCTAGCTTGCTACCAGACTCCAACGACGAGGAAACAGAAGATGCGTGGGATTCCTGGGACTCGCCTGAAAGCACACGAGATCCTGTAACGGATTCTGCAAAGAAAGCTAGCAACGAAAGCCTGCCCTGGCCCGAGATTCAGAAACTCACTCCCAGCAAGCTGACCCGCACTGTCAGTGATCTCATGCGTGAGTGGGACTCTGGACAACATGAGGGAGAAGCAATTGACCAGACGTGGTCGGCTGTACATCCATGACGAAGTTGGCTTCTAGGACAGGAATTAATGAAAATGTTATAAATACTTGCACACGAATATAAATGTTGTATATCTGAAAAAGAAGATTGCTCGGTATCTATATGGCCGGGTTGGTACCAAAGCACTGAGTGTCTGTCACATCAATCCAGCTTGGTTGTGAATCTCTGGCCAATAGAGACCTCTAGATCATCATCGGAGATAATCGTGAACGTCCGTCCCTCCTTCAATATTCGTCATGACAATTCCCAACCATGTACTTATCTAACTCATTGTTGATGATCTCCCTTGGCGTGAGGAATTGTAATTTACTCGCATTCTTATATGGACACTGATACGCACTATTCATTCAATAACTCCTAGAACAACCAACACTGGTCACGACAATCAGGTATCGAGAACGCCGCCACCAGTATCTTTAAATCATGGATGAGTCATCCTCCGTGTTGGAACAATTCCGGCAGCAGTGGAAAGCAGAAGTGAGTGCACGGTCAAAGCAACCAGACAAGAAGCCATCAGAAACTCGATCAGTGGAGAAGGCTCGAAGACCGAGCGATGTCAGGGCTGATCGGCCTATCCACAAACCGCCCACCCGTCATCCGGCAGCCGACATCAAAGATGATTCGGACCACTACAGCAGTGATGCTGGCCAGAACGACACTCCCAGCTCAAGCATGATCCAGCGGATCGAAGGACTGGGGACTCGACATGTCGACGACGATGATTTCAGCGCCAGAGGGTCGACCAAGGAGCCGAAAAGCGCACTCGAACATTTTGAGCGTGCGGTGGAGAAGGAGAGCCAGGGCAGTCTGGGAGACAGTCTCTCTCATTATCGGAAAGCTTACAGATTGGACGCCAAAGTTGATCAGTCGTACAAAAACAAGCACTTCCCGACCAAGTCGAAACCCACCAACTCAAATCCCTCGAATGCGTCGGCGACGGTCCCCTCAACCGCCCACCACCCATCTGAAGGACCCAAGCAACCATTGACCTTGACCTGGTCCGAATTGATCGAGAGCTTTGCAGATGCCGAGATCATTGGTGCTGAGCCGATCATAGAGGGCGATATTCCTCCGCCCTGTGGGATCAAAGAACTCCCCGCGGAAGTCCTCCTGGAATTACTACAAGCCATCGGGATTCGCGATCCTGCACTGCTCATGCGGCTTTCACTGGTATGCAAAAAGTTGGCGTATAATCTTCACAAGGACAACGCCCTTTGGAAGCGTATCGCACTCGGTCCCGAGTTTGGTCTCGCCAGTCAAAGGTACAACTTCGTCACGGATCTCCAAGGACGGGAGGCTGTTTATCGAGTCCTAGAGGACGAGGGCGATCTCGAAGACACGTTGGTGACCGATGTGTATTTTCCCAAGCAAACCATCTGGCAGGACGTCTTCCACAACTACCCACGCATTCGCTTCACAGGCGTCTACATCTCGACAGTCAACTACACCCGTGCCGGTGGATCGAGCGCAACCGCCAACACATGGAGCAATCCCATCCATATTATCACCTACTACCGCTACCTCCGATTCTTCCGTGACGGCACGTGCATATCCCTCCTCACGACCAACGAACCCATCGAAGTCGTCCACCATCTCACCAAGGAGAACCTGGCGTTCGTGCGTGCGGGCACGAAGAAAGAACCCCCTTCACATCCGTTGAATTTCACCTCGAGCGCTCCCGCCCTGTTCAGAGAGACGGGCACTTCGTCCTCTGCCCCAGGCGCCGCCAGCAATGCCGCCGCCGCGCCGCCGCCGTCCGCACAGCAAATCATGAAACACGCCCTGCGCGGCCGCTGGCGCCTCTGCCACCCAGGCCTCGACACGCCCATCGTGGAGACACCGACAACCACAGCCGTCGATACCACCACCGCCCCCACCGCTCCTGCATCCACAGCCATTCCAAACACAAGCCCCACACCGCCCATGTCGCCCGGCGATCTACACATCGAGACGGAGGGCGCGGGCCCACGGTACATGTACACGATGCACCTGTCGCTGAAGTCGGCTGGGTCGGCGCGCTCCAAGCACACGACCAAGAACAACAAGCTGCAGTGGAAGGGTTTCTGGAGCTTCAATGTCCTCACCAGTGATTGGGCCGAGTTCCACTTGAAGAATGATAAGCCCTTCTTCTTCTCGAGGGTTAGAGGATATGGGCTGGGGTATTGAGTCGTTTGGGTCGCTTGCGGCTGGTGGTCTTCGTTTCAGCTGAAGAGTTGGAGTTGCTGCCAGCGGTGTCTGAGACTTGAGAAGGACTCAGAGCGTGGTGTGAGGTTGGTGGGTATCTCTGGCGTAGACATTGCGTCGATCAAGGGTAGGGCATATTGCGAGGCTCAGGCGACGGCAGCGGCCATCCGATAGCCTCTTCATCGCCACCTGACAGGTTGACCATGGCCGTAGATTAGACGATAGACCCCATCCATATGAAGTCCATTCCAAGCGCACACCTAATTCCTCGATGACCCTGACCCGTTGTTTTACTCCCTCCAAATCCTCACAATCTCCAACTTCTCCCATCCAGCCGTCTTCCCACTCTCACCCACCGTCTCGGCATGCCATTTCCTCCTTTCTCCCTCCCCCTCTCCCTCCCTCTCCCCTCCGCTCGCAGCATCACCCAAACCCCGAATCGACGCCTTGACCTCATCCGGCCGATTCCCCCGGCAGAACAGCACATACGCCACACCCCGGGCACTCAACATCCCCGGCAGCTGCGCGAGCATCCGACTCGTCACTTCCATGCCGTCACGCCCGCCCGCGTAGGACTGCGCGAGGAGATGTGACGACTCCTCGAACGTCGGCGTCGTCATCACTTGCGGCAATTGCCCTTCTTGGCCATGACCGTGATATTGCTGCGCCGGCACGCTCTCGGTCGGCACGTACGGCGGGTTGAAGACGACCACGTCCGCTGACCCCGGGCGCAGCATGCCGCTCAGATCTCCATTGAGCGAAGCCAAGTAGACGCTCGAGTTGGGCAGGCTAGGGCTACTACCCGCGATCGTTGTCGTGGCGTCCTTGGTCTCCGCCAGAGCCGTCTGCACCGTCGTGCGCGTCGCGACACACGCGTGCCAATTGACGTCGACCGAGGCGCTGAGGATCCCCTCGTGCCCGAAGATCCGGCGCGCGTGCGCCGTCAGGAACGCTACGATCACGCCGGAGCCCGGGCCGAGTTCCACGACGAGTGGTGTGGCGGCCGCGGGGTTTCTCTTGCTGGTGTCATTGTCGTCATCTTGATTTTGGTGAATGATGGACGGCGCCGAAAAGCGTGCGTGCAGCCATTCGGTTTCCGTGGGGGTTGACAGCGTGTCCAGGAAGAGATATGAGTCTTCGGCCGGCTCGTATACGTTGTCGAACGAGACGTGGCGTGTTGATGGGGTTGGGAGTTGCATTTTGTTTAGTACATGTGTGGTTTTCGGGTTGAGATGGTGGGCTTAAATATGGTGAAAGCAGTAAATTACAGATTCAGCTTGACCTAGGCGAGTTGCACAAGTCAGGCCGTTGAGATAACCGGGTCATCTGTCCATTAGGTCCTTCTCTACCGTCGATACAAGCTTCATCCAATTTATTGATATTTGTTCTGAGAGGAAATAAAGGATATAAAATTATTCCCAAAAAACAACTCATGATATACGGCTAAATTCCGGCTAACATGGTATGAGGATTTTGTCGCCCCTACATGCTTTAACAATTTTGCCTCTTTGTCTCATTTCAAATGAACACACGTGAAGAAATCCTGCCGCTTCTCCATCGGCTTCACCTCCCAGAATATCATGCTCGATTCCAGATCTTTCCCACCACATCTCTCAAGGTGTGTACGAAAAGGAGTTTTCCTCCACTGGCACTATCGGCGGCGGCCAGCACCGCAGCAGCTAACGCAGCAGTCTTCAGAATCTTTCCCACTCCAGCTGGACGACCTACCGACTGCTCTTCGAGCGTTTGACCAGGCTTTCCAACCACTTTGGCATCGACTGCAAGCCACTTGAGGTTCTTGAGATCGAATGGCCGATAGCGAAAACTCAGGAGAGTCTCCATCCAGTTCGGTGGGGTGACAATAGTTCTCGTGTGTGAAAATGCATCGAATCCAAACTTGCCGTGATACGATCCGTAGCCACTTTCGCCCACGCCGCCGAATGGAGCATTTGGAACACCAGCGTGCAGCATGATATCGTTGATAGTGACACCGCCCGAGTTGGTATTGTCGAGGATGTGTTTGATTTCTCCCTGGTCCTGCGAGAAGATGTACAGTCCTAGTGGATGAGGCATGGAGCCGATGATTCGAATGGCTCGGTCGACATCTGCAACCACGATAGGTGTGATAGGTGCGAAGAGTTCCTCGGACAAGAGCGAGTCATCAATCATGACATCGCGAACCACAGTGGGTTGGACATGTCTTCTCGACCGGTCCGTGCTGCCCCCGTACACAACAACTCCGGCCGTAGATTTCAAGAGCCCTGAAACTCGATCGAAATGTCGTTCGTTGATGATGGCCGACAAGCTGTCATCTCCGTTCTCCAGGAATTTATCGAACCAATATCGCAAACGTTCGATCAGTTGGTCGTGGACGGTAGGATCAGCGAAAACGTGATTAGCATTCAAGCAGACTTGCCCACTATTTGTGAGTTTGGCATGGGCGATTCGTTTTGCGGCGATATCTATATTGGCCGACTTAGTAACGATGACGGGCGCCTGTCCTCCAAGTTCGAGCACGATCGGGGTGAGGTTTTTGGCCGCAGCTTCGGCGATGATCCGTCCCACTTTTCCACCCCCGGTGTAGAAGATGTGGTTGAATTTGTGAGTGAGAACATGACCCGTTTCAGCTGGTCCACCTGTCACCACACGGATGGCGCTCGGATCCAAATATTTTGGTACTAGATCAACAAGCAATTCCTGTGCGACGGGGGCAAGCTCGGACGGTTTGAGCAAGACAGCGTTCCCTAAGTTGGTGTATTAGCCATGTGGAGTTCTCGATTCAAGTGCCGAACAGTTGAGCTTACCGGCACCGATGGCAGCAATGGCAGGGCTCAAAAGAGTATACAAAGGGAAGTTCCAAGCCGCAATGATAAGAGCAACACCCAGAGGCTCTTTTCTCATCCAGGCCTTTGCCAATGTGCCCATGACGAAACCGGCATCTGGCTTGTCACCCTCAGCCCATTCATCGACACGCTCAAGAAACTCCACAACGTCGCCTTTGATGGCTCGCAATTCCATTCCTATCGTCTCAAATGCAGGACGGTTCATCTCTTGACGCAAAGCCTCGATGATCCGGTCTTCGTTCTCCGCGATCATCCACCATAATTGCTTGAGCTGCCATTTTCGCCATTTGATTGATTTGGTCCGGCCAGTGGCGAAAGTCGAGTGGAGGGTGTCATATGATGTCTTGAAGTCGGTTTGCGACGTGTATTGGGTCGAAGCCATGGTATTCCTGGTTGGCCTTGGACAAAAAAGACAGGACTTCACCTTTGTAGGGGACTATATCGACCAAATGTGATTGATGCAATTAAATGATATTGCTACGTGATATTGAGGGTGCATGCTATACAACTCGCGGGGTTATGAAAGCTTCAAGTCGAGGGCGACAAGCTGGAGGGTCCCTCTTTAGTCAATGTTTGGCGATGAGGGGAAGGGGCCTGGGGCCTTGGGGGCCTTGCCGTCTGGAAGGACAGGGATAATAAGCGCTGTTGGGCTTGAGTTAGAACCGTCGCCCGCGCCGAACTCGGTTGTCTGGGAATGCTCTCAAGGTGGCCTGAAAGGATGGCGGCGGGCTTGCTTGGCAACAATTTGGAGGGCCCTTGAGCTGCTCGTCTCTCAGTGGAATTCCATACAGCAGTCAAACTCGACAACTCAGGTCAAGCATTATGCGAACTTACAGTCAGAATATTCCGAACAAGCCACGCTTCGCAACCAACTGCCGTGATGCGCAGCGAGTAGGGGCCTTCAAGAATCTCCACTAGGTATTCGTGCCTTTTTGGGTAGGTGTCATCGCGGCCTCTAAGCGAACATCAAAGTCGAAGACTAGAATTCGAACGGCAAATTGAGACCGAAGACGTATACATCATCATTCAGCTTGACTGAGATGTCTATCTCAGGCATGGGGGTCGATTGACGACAATTCCATTACTGCAAAGGAAAGAATCCACTCGATCGCTTTTTGGTTCTATGTACCCAACATTTCTTTGAGCTCTGGGTTGGTCTTTGTCTCCAGACAGATAAGGATGCGCAAAGTCACAACAGGTGCTGCTGAGACGCCAGTGTCAGCCCAGGAATCCATGATGATACCTATCGAAGACGAGAGTTCAGTGGAAGCCTCCCCTAGGTACAGATCGGAGAGCCTGGCTATACACTCACAGCAGCGCCTTGAAGAAGAGGCGCAAAGCTTGGAAAGTCAACCCATCACATCCCAAGATATTCGAAAGAATCAGCAAATCCCCAGAATCAATCGTGGTGTCGGGCACACTGCCATCGGTGATTGTGGCGATCCATCTTCGCAATTGCCTGGGCACACCAACTACCCGATCCCAGCGAATAAATTCGTACATCGTGCGACACACTTTTGTAAGACCCCAAAAGACTTGCTCTTCGATCAGTACTAACACGGGTTTTCTTGAATGACCAGATTTGAAGTACTATTCTCCAGTTGCTACTCAACGGCCTCACCACTACGGCGTAGGACAAGATTCGAAACTTCTGAAAGACTACATTCCTTACATTCTCAGCGACAAGATGATATTTTGCGCGATGGTTGCCATGTCATCCACGGCTATCAACATAGCTGCGACTGGTGATCGTGCGCGGACCCCGGAGACATTGGGATTTTATCAATATGCTGTTTCACTACTGAGGCAAAGACTGGCAGCTGAAGGAAATCAACCGAGTGATGCAGTTATAGTCACACTTAGCAGTTTGTGCGGTTGTGACGTGAGTGACAATGTCCACGATTGACCAGTCAACCGGACTCAACTGAGTCGCTGCCCTTGACTTAGGCGATGTCCACAAACTACGAAGTGCTTGACCTGCACACGAGAGCAATAAAGCGCGTTGTTGCATTACGGGGGGGCCCTGATAGACTGGGTAATTATTCTCATTTGGGGTGCGTTTCGATCAGGTACTGACAGTGTGAAGGGTTTGATGGTTACTTGAAAATGATTGTCACAGGGTAAGTCCTGGCATCGAGGTGCGCTCAAACCACCGTAAGGGCTAATCGCATCATTGACTCGGCTGAAGCTCGCAAACGTTTTACAACGCTCGCCATTCTAATATTCTAGACAACGAGGGACTCTTTCCAAAGATCGGCAAGCTCACGTTCCCTGTCCACCCCTTTGACCCGTCCTTGTGCAAGGCGATCTCGAAGCTCCCACCAGGTATTTCTGAGATGTGCCTGTCAGGGTTGCTAAGCCACCAAATCATGTCGCTAGTTGGACGCATCACCAGGTGGAGTCGGAATATGATTGAAGCTTTCAAGGAGGCTGATATGTACAGACTTCACCGTCTATCGACAAACTCTGCCAATGTCACACTTTGTGGCGAATTTCTCCACCGAGAAGATGTCTCACTCACCGAGCAGCTTCTCGTTCTCGCACTGATATGCTTTTGTTATAGTCTCGATGCGACCCGCGCCATGTTCTGGATCACCAATGCGTATCTACAGATCCGTTGCCGTCATCTCAACAACAGTCATATCGAGGTGACTGCATCGACAGAGTCACACATGGCCTGGATTGGAGCCACTCTCGTCGCAACGTTCGAACTGGACAGTCCAGCATTTCTGCTAGGCGTCTCACTGACCAATGCACGGAAGAAGAGCATAGACTGGCAAGCAAACGTCAGACTCTGTGAGCAGTACTTCTGGAATGATGCATTATCGCTCAAATTGGCGGCCAAGATCGAATACCTCACTGGGAGAAGGGCACCTATTGAAACATAAAATGTCACACGGTCACTGCAGAACGCCATGTCAGAAGCCACATCCGTCAAGACATTGCGATTGTGAACGTCTGCAAATTGGTTTATAGTGTTTCCGCGCCAAGAACTCATCCAGGCGGCCACTATTTTCTCATTCTTTACTGACCGTACGGCGATTCCCTCCACACCCTTCACCACGGTACCGCGGATTTTGGTAGACCCTGACCCACCAGACTGTGATTAGTTCGACTATGAGATCTTCCGAACGAATCATGGCTAGCTCGGGTTGTCCTCCCGTGTTTGGTCCAAAGCGATGAGTGAGAGTTCAAGCGCACACTGATAGGGCTTGAACAAGTGCTGAACAGAGTGCTATGGTGATAGCTTACATCTATCAACCATCGTGACTGAGACGGCATGCAAATAGGGCGATGGTCTATCAACGATCAGCCTCAAAAGGGAAAGTCGAATTTTGCAGTCGAGTTCTCGATAGCTGAATTGGGCTTCTCTACAGGTGGTGCCGTTGAAACATAACACACCTGTAGACACCACTCTACGGTAGCCATGACATATCAGAGAGTAAAGCCTTCAAGAGGCATAAACAAGGACCTCTGCCGCCTAGTCACGGCGCAATTACAATAACCTTGCCTGGTTGTAACTTGTATGCAGCCTTGTGAGCGGTTGATACGTCCTAACTCCAATTGTGCTAGTGTAAAGAGGGCTTGGCGCGCTTTTGTTGCCTCCTCCCCAGATTGGGATTAGTTCCATCTTCTCTGTCTTAAGAAGCTGAGGCAGCGGACACATATATTTGTCGTAACACATCACATCTCCAAATTGGTTCTTCCAAGTCTTGTGCGGTTGGCCGTTGACACCAGAAGTTATGGATCATCATTTGGCAGAATTATCGCCATGTTGAGTTTACAGACTCCTCCGACGCGCCCCTTTGGTGGTGGGGTCTTTGCCTCTGTCTTCTCGCCCTTGGATGCAAGGCCACCGGCACAAAGCCAGCGCTTCAAATCAAAGGCCACCTCACTCGTTCCAGCGATAACTCTACAGTTACGCGCGCATCTCAAAGTGCTACTGGGCGTGGGGGATGAGGCTTATTTCTACGGGTTGGAAGAACCAAACTCCGAAGTTCATGCCCCCTTCCAGAGCCAATTGCTCTCGTATCAATCTCTGGACCAGGTCCGACAACCTTCCACGAACGACCACGCTGTGCAGAACGCCAAAGACTCGAAATCGCCTTTATGGGAGCAGCTCATTGTGTGGAAGGACACTGTCGGAGCCGAAGTCTTGAATAAGTTGCTCGCACAAGTACTCGACGACTTGATGACAGAATTCGTTACGTGGTCCTACGCCGGTGTGTATCGAGAAGACCTCCATCTGCATCTGGAATTCTGGGTCGATCATGTCTTTTGCCGGGTCGTCAAGGCCGTTTCCTGGACAATTGGCGGTCGGACCAACGATTCTCCCCCCAGCGATCAAGAATTACGGAAATGGAGGGATACTGCCACCGCTCGTTTAGGAGCATTGAGAGTTGATGAACTCTTTGATATTGTCGTTGAGTGGGATTCGACCGCACCTGCGATTGATGACCTGAAGAATTTCACGACAAATCCCGCCACGAGAAGCTATCTCACTCAGAACTTTGCGGGTGTCCTTCAGGCGCGCCTCTTACACCCTGGAGCATCTACGATTGAGATACTTCAGCTGTACATTTCCATCATTCGTTTGTTTCGAAAGCTTGACCCAAGAGGTGTTTTGCTGGATCGAGTGGCGAGAAAGGTGCGACGGTATCTGAGGGAGCGGGAAGACACGGTGAAAGTGATAGTCACTGGACTCTGGAGTGACGCCAGTGGTGACATTGGCCAAGATGGAGCACACGAGTCCGAAATACTCACGGAGCTTGCCGTAGAGCTGCCCAAGAATGACAGTCTGGGAAATAGTGCGGACGACGGGGAATTCGACTGGAACAATATGAATTGGTTTCCTGACCCGATTGATGCCGCGCCAGATTACAAGAAGTCAAAGAATACGGATGTAATTGGCAGCCTGATCAGTCTTTTTGACTCAAGAGACATCTTTGTCAAAGAGCTTCAGTCGGTGCTGGCAGATCGCCTGCTGAAGAACAAGCCAGACTTTAACCAGGAGATCAGCATACTTGAGCATTTGAAACTTCGGTTTGGTGACTCCGCTCTACAGGGGTGTGAAGTCATGCTCCGAGACGTTCTGGATTCGAGAAAGGTCGATAATGTGGTCCGACGGGATCAAGGGATGCAAGACGAGAACGGTCGGCCTCTTCAGGATGATGTTCAACTACACGTCAAGATTCTTTCTCGGTTGTTTTGGCCTTCATTTCCGGACCAGTCGTTCAATATTCCACAAGTGGTGGTGGACCAACAAGAGAGCTACGAGAAGGGCTTTGAAGCTCTCAAACAGTCACGAAAGTTGACGTGGCTGAATGGTACTGGTCACGTTGAAGTCGAATTGGAATTAGAGGACAGAGTCTACCAAGGCGAAGTCCTCCCCTGGCAAGCAGCAGTGATCTATGCTTTTCAAGACGAATCGGAGGACCCAGTCTCAAAGAATGTCACAAGCTTGGCCGCAGAACTAAGCATGTCACCTACCCTTGTCCGTTCAGCATGTATCTTCTGGGTGTCTAAGCGGATTTTGATCGAGACTAGTCAAGACAATTTCTTGGTTTGCGAGAAGCTCCCTGACGGCAGTGACACCGCCATGGACGAAGGAGTTGGACGAAGCGACACTGCTGCAGCTGCGGCGGCGGCAGAGGTGGCAGCAGCACAAGCTGCAAAAGAGGCAGAGGAAGCAGAGAGAAAGCAGAACATGGCAATGTACCATCAGTTTATTCTCAGCATGTTGACGAATCAGGGTGCCATGCCACTTCCTCGTATCGCCATGATGTTGGGGATTGTGGTACCTGGAGGGTTTCCCTTCAGCAACGAGGAGCTGAAGGAGTTCTTGGCCAGCATGGTCAAAGACGGTGCGTTGCAAGTCGGCCACGGTGGTGCGTACAAGGTCGCTTCTCCTTGAGCGCGTGCACGCGGGAGATGTCAACTGCAGCATTGCGAAGAGGCTTACGATGACGAGTAACTTGTATTATATTGAGCGAGAGCGTTCTCCTCGACACCCCTGAGCTCGAACGGCTGATCAAAGGCTGTAACCGAGTGTCAACTGAATTAGCATGCGACGAATTTTCACGAGAATAGAACATTGGCCTATGTCAAAGGCGTCTTCCTGCATTGTAACCTCATATCCACATCTCCAATGCCGATATGCTGTGTGCGCCCGTAGAACAATCTCCATCCCGATTGATGCCGAGAAAGAATCGGAACAGCATGTGGCGGCAAGCACGTGCACAGCCTCGCGCCAAGCCTCGGCCCCCAGCTTCACGTTCCGCAACTTGAGTCCGCAGTTGACGTTCTGCCCCGAGGAAAGAGCGTGGAGACAAATCAACGGATACTCACACGGATGCTGATTGAGAGCATCTTGGATTGTTTCCACTCTACAGACTCGCATCCGATATCACCCTGTGCACATTCCCAACCGTTCTCGAAGCATTCCTTCTTCGATCTCATACAACAACTCTTGCTCTGCATCCGAGCTTGCTCAACTACTCTCCTCATTCTAGAGCTTCGCCCGTGATCTAAAAAGCTATGGCGTCACGCCTCCTCACACGATTCCCCTGCGCAGTCGCACCCCTCAGAGCTTCCAACCCCCTGCTATCGAGATCATTTCAATCCTCAAGTAGACGGCTACAAGAAGCTGTCGTTGCGCCTGTCGCAGTCAAGAAGCCTGTTGGAGCTTTCAGAGGAGGGTGAGCTTTCCCTCATCCAGGCTGCACGAGACATCGAACCGGGCGATCCGAGCTCGCGTGCACAAGATCTAAATACTACCTGGCTTGGGAGAGATTGCTAATGGAATGGATATCTAGCCTCTTCGGATTCCTACTCGGCACCACTCTCGCAGGAGCCTCAGTGTACTATTATATCCTGGAGGAATACAAGGTCTCCAATGAATTGTTGACGGAAGATATCTATGTAGGTGGCTCTCACCAATCCCTCCAGGATCAGCGCATGTGGAGTCATCAGACAGAAGCAAGAAAGCCTGTAATGGGAACAGCCCGCCTACGTCGGATCGAGATATCCTACTTGTTCACGACAACTAACAAATTGTCCAGGCTCTCCAAGCAGCTATCCAAAGACTTCACTCGTACGTCTCAGAACTGGAGAACAGAGTCGAGCAACAATCGAAATAGGCCAGACCTCTCGAAGCCAAAGCTGGGTAGTAGACAAAAACGGATGACATCGGGGGATTTCGAGTCTTGCTTTCAACGGACTGCGCGGGTTTTCCTGGAATCGCACATACATCAGATATCCCGTCCCACCTCCATATTTGAGCGTTGTAAAACAAAATATTTCTTGTCGTTGATCTCGATTCATCGGTCCTTTCGCTGCATTTCGTCTTGTCCATCGAGCTGTTCATCAAGTTCTGGGAGAACATTTAGCCACGGGCTATGCTTCGTGTTCAATTATGCCAGCAGACATGGACGAGACCTGCGTGAACCACGATATGCCCTTCTCAATTTCTTCTCCGATCTCCACTTCATTCCACTAACGGAAATGATGATTCTCAGACCCTGGTCGCGTGTCATGTGAAGACAGAGGACCATCAAACATGTGCCAGTCCGAGGTGTGCTTCTGACAACATTAGGTTACGAGAAAGGAATGCTAGTCACGGGCTGTTCCATTTCGATATAGCATTGAAAAGACCTCACCTAGTTGATTCCTCTAGGTGGCGACGATCTCATCAGCTTTTCTAACCTCGAAATTCCAGCCAGAACGCTTCCCCCAGTACTGAGATTTCCCTTGTGATGGGTTCATGATGATGAAGGGTTGAGCATCGGGCTCGGCATATTTCTTTCTCCATTCAACACCTTCTCTTCGCCGTAGAGCTCGGCGCCCCGCATATTTGCGAGCATCTGAACTCGGAAACCAATCGTGACATCGGTTCTGGGACGAGATAACTACGTCAGTACATAATCATATCAGCATCGCGAAACGACTGGATCGCGGCGTGCTGACGATGATTATATCAACGAAAAGCTCGTTGCAATGACGCGCATTCCAGATACAAAGCACTTTATATCCATGACCGCACTTGCATTTTGCACCTGTACCTTTCGACTGGGGCGGCCGTCTTAGGTAAGAAGCAACCTCGATCAATTTAAGTTCCTACCTACCCAATGAAAACGTGAGTCTGATCATCTAGGCGACAAACAGTCAGCACCCAGTTCGTGATCAAGGCTCTTCGATTGTGATCTATACTCGGCACACCTGCCAGCGCGAAAAGGCATTCGAATCATTCTCCTGATCGATCTAGATGGCTGACAGGAATTTGTCCCGCCTTCTCCAGCCGCTAGTCCTGTTATGAGAGTCGCATCTCATGCATTTGGGACATAGACCTGGAACGCACAAGCACAGCATCCCAACACTACAGCCTTGATGACAAAGACTATTCGATACAGCGTGTCCGAAGCTCCGAAATTCACAAATTTGTATGTGGACGCGGGACTCAAGGGCTCTCCTAGGTCAGCACGGCCGTTCCTGATGTACCATCACGGCCACCTACTGACGTAAGGTCCAGAAGCCGCTCAAAGGTTGACGGCTGTTTCCCTCGAAGCCGTGAGACACCCATAATGCTAGACTAGAGCGAGAGGTTCTCTGGCCGAGTTTCACAGGCATATTGAGGTGTACAAAGCATTCGTTGTGAGAATAGCGACAACACACAGAATCACCAGGAAAGTCAATGATCCGGCAGCTTCGGGTCAGATTTGGTTTCGGCCATTGGCTTGCGGTACAATGGATAGGATGACCAGTGGATCTCAACTCAGTCATGTTCATAAGGTGTGAAGCCAACGAGGAGCTTTCCTCATCTGGAGGAGCAGATTTTCGTGCCACGCCAATGGATCAAGGAAGCCATACTATAAAGATGCGTTGTGTTCAGCACATATTCAGAATCGGAAAGGGTCACAGTCACTTGGAAATCTATTCGATTGTGCCGATTGCTCTGCCAATCCACGTGTTTTGACGACAAGGCGGTTGCTTCGAATACAATACTTCACCTGTGAGGCTCACCATGGGCCGCCGAACGCTTCGTGTGGGAATCGTGGGCGCAGGCCTCGGTGGACTGGCGGCTGCGATTGCAATCGCAAGAGCCGGCGCTAACGTGACGGTCCTTGAGGCTGCCACGGAACTTGGAGAGATCGGAGCCGGGATACAGGTAGATTCTCTCCAGGTCTAACCATCGCACGAGGGCTAAACCATGATTGCAATTCTGTAGATGCTACCCAATGTGTCTCGCTTCCTCATTCGTTGGGGAGTAGACAAAATCATCAGCGACGAGTTGGTTGAGCACCACGAATGCTGTACGTGGGCTGGTCCTGAACCGACACTGGTCGCACGATCCGATCCCAAGCTTCTGGCTAAACAGGCCGGATTCCCTTGGTAAGTGGCATTCAAACCTATTACGTTTACTGAGAGAGGCATTTTGACTGACGACCTAGGTGGATGGTGCGTCGTGATCATCTACACGCGGGCTTGACCAAGTCAGCAAAAGAGCATGGAGCAAAAATCATTCTCGGTGCTCGGGTGGTCAAGATGGAAGAGGTTGGAGACACCGTCAAAATCCAGTCACACGGCGGACAGTCGTACGGCTTCGACATGGTCATTGGAGCTGATGGCATCAACTCGTTTGTCCGCGGTCAGCTGTTCCCAGAGGCCATGCCGATTGCTACATCCAAAGTGGCCGCATATCGAGGCGTTCTCTCGTGCAAGCAGATCTTGGCTGAGATCCCGGAGGCGCGGACTTTTCTCCGTGGCACCATGGATGTCTCGTCTGGTCCGAGGGGATACATCGTGATGTACCCCATTAGTGGAGGGAAGGAGCTCAACATCGTGACGGCCTTCTGTAAGGATGACTATGTCACGAAGCCCGAAGACGCCGACATCGAGGAGTTCCGAGGTTACTATCAGGACTATAGCCCGGTAGTCCAGAAGATCCTCAAGTTGGTCAATTACACCCAACGGTGGCCGCTGTTGCAACTGCCCCCAATGAAGTCGTGGTCAAACGAGAAACACAACATCGTGCTCATGGGCGACGCCGCCCACTGCATGCAGAACCACATGGCGCAGGGCGCCGCCACAGCCATTGAAGACGGCGCCTTCTTGGGTAGGGTGATCTCCGAGGTCGTGAGGGGCACTCTCAGCGTGTCACAGTGCGTCGAGCTCTACGAACAGCGCCGCATGCCCAAGGCGTATCTCAAACAACAGATCTCCTTCATGTCAGGCCTCATGAACCTGGCCGAGGAGAGCATCGAGCAGCGCAACGCCGCCTCGCAGCCGGAAATCCGTGCGCTGCAGGAGAACTCGCTCCAGCCCGCACCGCCGTCCCCGACCTACCGCTCATGGCAATACTACTCCAGTGCAGAGTCCGCGCCGAATATCTTCTACTATGACGCCGAGGGAGATGCGGACAGCGCGGTGTGGGAGTATCTCATGAGTCAGGGCACGCCGTCGAAAGCGAACTTTCTGACTGACACTTTGAAGAAGTATTGGTTGGGGTTCTTACATGACAACGGCGTTGTCGCTGGCGGTGCAAACGGTGTGTGTGTCGTTCCCGGGATGGAAGAGGTCGACCATGAAAAGTTTGGCAATGGCCTGTAAGGGTTCATTGCTTTCATGGAGTAGAAAAGCAGTTGAATATCCGAGTGTCGAAAAATCTAGGTAGATATTGTTAAGATTCTGTGCAATGCTAGATTTGACGGAATGTCATAGCTTTGAGAAGGACGAGGTGGTCGTTCAGAGCTACATGAATTTAACTGTACCCGTCTGTAAAACATTTACCAAGGCCAGAATCGCACATATCAGCCCCTGCTCCTTCTTGGACCATTCACTTCAACTTATACATCATTAAAGCTGCTCATGCTTGATACTGCGTGTATTTTACCGTTCTATATTATCTTTACTAGTAGTTGCGGCTCTTTCGCTGTCGGAGCAGAGTGAGTGAAGTATACTCACCTCACTTTTGAAGAAAAAGAAAAAATGCAAAAAAGTAAATTGCCTCCGTTGAGAGTTGAACTCAAGACCTCGGCATCAACTGTAGGATGCTACTAGTGCCGCGCTCTACCAACTGAGCTACAAAGGCAGGATCGGCTGAATCGCCCGCTGGTGGGTGATTGTTGGGGGCATTTGAAATTGTTAAAAATATAACTGTGCAAGATTGGTGTGGAGCTGAAGTCTCCAATGAGCTTAGCGTTAGGTCTAGCCCGCTTCGGTATCTAGCTATGCAGGTAACTAGAGCAGGAGCTAGCGCACGCTTAAACGCTTGAGCTAGAATAGAAATCTCGTTGGGCGTGATTCAGTGGAAGCTGGTCAAGCTTCGATGTCGACAACAGAACCCTTACTAAACTAAATACCTGAATCGAATACAATATAGAGGGTGACAAGGTGCTTGAGGACATCGGCCAGTGTACACCGTAAATTGTAGATTTCTACTTGGTACCCCGTCCGTATTGGGGCAGCAAGAGACCCTGAATATTCAATGGACGAATTCCCGAATCGACATTTCTGTTCCGAATAGAGCTCGAACAAGAATTCACTACAGCCAGTATACCCGCGCAACAACAATACTGCAGCTGCCAACATTAGAATTGATGAGTCATGTGCAGGCACAAGCATCGCTGTTGAAGTCAATATCAGCAGCGCTCTCTCGAGGAAACTGCAGACCTGTTGTATTGTGAGAAAGCGTCTTGTTGCTATGTCGGTTTTGTAACCACTATCCACCAACATAGCCAGGGCCCTACCTGTGGAACCCGTGAATCTCTTGCTCGAAAATTTGCTAGGAGGGAGGGGTTGGAAAGTCACATGGAGAATGTCAGCACGAGAGTTGACCGGCCTCGAACGATATACGGAAAATTGGGCAGAGTGCAAAAGGCGATTCAAACACCCTGTTTCTGCAATCGTACCTATAACCGATTGACGAACCTTCCATTCTCTCGGACGACCCGTGCCCGAGCCCAATCGGGCCATTGCAATGGGCGCGCCCATCTCGAGGCTCAATGGCACACTCCTTTCTGGCAGATCAGTAATCCGGGAGAGCGCCGGCCACGTGGACGACGGCTCATGATTCAGTGACAGCGAGCGACTACTCCTTCTAGAGCCCAGCTGGGGAGACCATGTCTGGCCCCTCTCCCAGAAACGTATGCACACAGGATGTGACTGGTTAGAGGAATCGAGGTCGTGTCTACCAAACCAAGCTCGTATCGGCCACATTTCCCCTGAGACACTCTAGCCATTCTGTCGTGAGGCAAGCGTATCATTGGCCGACGGAGTTTGCGCGCGGACGTGTGCCAGTTAGTGAATCCTTTGAGTAGTCATTTTCTCAGGGCTCAGGGAGGGACCTTGAGTTCTAGCGGAAGTCTCTCATGCTTGCCATCAGGAGAGTTCTTTGAGAATTAGCAACCCCTGAACGTATTTTTTCTTCACTTTCCACATATGAGATTGCCGAATGCGTTGCTGTTGCTCGTTGGCGTAATCTATCGATGAGGACGCTCCGGTATAGTACGGTATGCTGATAGACGCGGCCGAGCGGCCGATCACACTAGCACCCGGCCGTTACCCTTCTGTACACGGTTCATGGATACCGGAAGTTCCTGATACGAGGTACATGTAGTCCACCTCAAAGGCTGTATTCGATTTGGTCACTTTGAAGCCTGGGGATGAAACAGTGGGTACCATCCGTGCATGGGTCTGTCTCCTTCTTGCTCATCAGGACGAGATCGAAAGGTATGTGATAACTTCGGGCATTAAGCGCTCCTGATTGCCGATGTGTATTGCATCTGGGAGGTGGTGAACGATGAGAGTCCCGTTGACCAACCAAATTATCTCTGAAAGGCGACCATATCCCACGGATTGCCAAAGGCCATGCTCAGGCTGACCGAAGTCAACGAGATTAATTTTCAGGGTCCTGGATAAAACAGTGGAACATGCGCGGAATCTCTCTTCACTGACCCGGCCCCAACAATGCCAAGATTCTGAGTGATTGATAGTGATAGAAATATTGATGTCGCTTCATTGATACTCAGTACAAGCCTCCCAAGCAAGATCAGTGGAACGTACAGTAGCAGGGTGGTTGAAGGTGGTTGAAGGTGCAAGAAAATAAGCTGTGCTGAATCACTAGTTGCAACTAGCCTTCCACGCTAACGCCAAGATGGTGTAGTCCAGATACTAACTTGACGACGTGGCCGGAGTTTTGCCGGCCAGAAGTTCTCCAACTGAGGCACTTTCACCAGTGACGGTGACCTCGCGTTGTTAACCACAAATATTTCATCGCTGCCACCACAGTCAACATGCCTTTGATAGAGGAGCTTCCTACCAACGCGACCGTACGGCCTTCGCACGGCTGGACTTATGTTGCCGACAGTGGAACTGGGACACCTCTCCCCACTGCCCCTCTCAAATCGCGAAAGCGTGGCCGCGACGCCGGTGCCGCTATAACTACACAAGCGGCCCAGAGGCTATCTGCAAAACAAGAGAAAGCAATACAACAGCGCCTGAACGACCTGGCAAAGGAGAACCACAGAGACGTACACATTCCTATACTGAAACGAGAAGGCGGCCGAGTAGGCAAGGAGCGCAAGACCACCCAGAATGTCCGCAGGATCCTGGCTTACAGCAGGACCTTCCAACATTACTTGGCGGACGAGGAGGCGGGTGCGAATGTCTACGGCAGTGCTGGGGTTGTTACTGCGACGTCTACTTCGGCCACTCACTCTGGACAGGCATCTGGTGGACGAACAGATTCGAAGAAGAAAGGGACAGTCAACGAATCATCAAAAACCGCACAAAAGAAATCTCAACCTCCGGCCCCTAAACGGGCGGGGTCGCTCAAGCAAACAGCACCTGGGCAGGTACCATCCACTCTCGTGAAGAAAGAGAAATCAGAGACGGGGGAAGATGTTCGCACGAGCCAAGCACCAGCGTCCTCCTCGTCTCCTACATTAGTATCCAAGTCACCCACGAGCTCGATGCACAAATCACCACAACAAAAACAGTCTCAACAACAATCCTCGCCATCTACAACTACTCTCGCGCCCAATTCGCAGCCGCCCTACGACCCTGCGCTGGACCACGACCCCCTCCTCAAAACCCTAGACCTGCCCAGAATGCCTTCGGAACGTCTCATGGCCACTCTCCTCGCAGAGCCCCCGCTCAGCTATACAGCCGCGCGCGCAAAACCGCTCGATGATACCTCGAGCACCAGAGGCGGCAGCAACATTCTTCTTGCAAAACCACCCCGATACTTCTGTGCTATTTGTGGCTATTGGGGAAAAGTCAAGTGTAAGAGAGGGTGTGGTGAGAGGGTTTGTGGTATCATGGAGTGTTGGAAGGCACATGCAGGGGTTTGCACCATAAGTGCCTACTGATCCGGTGAACCCTGCTATTTCCTGCTGTGGTGTTGCTTTTATTCCTGCGTTTTAGCGAGCGAGGTTGGCCTCTATCTTTTTGACACGTCCACGTCCTCCGTGTCTTCCACGAGTACAGATACTCAGTATTACCCAGTTACGCGCCTCAGTGGTAGAATAAACCCATTTGGCACAAAGAAAAGATCGGCCCTTAGCGCAAAACTAGACCGATTGTGCAGGTTTTGTTTCGCACACCTGGTACGCCCAAACAGGTGTCTACATTTGTGGTAAAGCTCCAGCATCACTCGTCAATTATCATTGCCATCATACCATGTGTCGCCATCCATTGTACGCGTCTCTCATACTCGTTCGCTGCAATTGGGCACAAAGTTAGTTCTTACAAATAACTTCCCAATATTGAACGTTTCGGCCCCCCAATTTGCCGAAAGCCATTTATGGCTTACCAAAGCTATTCGGCGCTCTATCTCCTGGAGCCACATAGACCACATATGCCGGTATCCCCTGCATTCAGGTACCCCGTCGACCCCTCTCTACATACTTCGCTCTTACACGACCAGTGGCGTGGGTCCTTGTCCGGATCGATGACATGTGAACACGCCAAGCACGTCGCACTTTGGGTCGGATTGTCAAGCGAGCATATCTGACAGGTGATTACATCGGTATGCAAAGGGCGTAATGAGTGTGGAGTAGGCTTCTCTCGGTCGTTACTCTCCTGCCCATGCGGAGGTTGTGGATCTCCAGATGAAGGTGTGGCGATAAATGTAATGCTCTTCGGCGATGAGTAAGTACGAGGTTCCGTGGAGGTAGGGTGAATTGACCTGTCGATCATCGACCGCTTGATCGTTCCTTCTTGTGGAGAAGCCAAGCTTGTTGAGCCTGAAGGAGCAACACCCATATGCTTACACGACAAGCTTCTTGGTGAAAGTAAAACTTTGTATGGGGGCGGAATGTGATCGTTCGGGAACGTCCTCTTACTAGTCGTATCCAAACCAGTGACCGGCGAACACATTGACCCCAAGCTCTCCGAGTCTGCCAGTAACTGGTCTTGGTGGCTCTTGGTGTGGCTCTCTGCAGGTGTTATCTTGCGTTTGGCCTTCACACCACCTGTGCTGCCTGTGCTGCCTGTGTCCCGGCCATCGTCTCCACCCGCAACCTGGGATATCTTCGCTTCTTGGAACGAACTGTGGCCGTCAGGACTCCGCAGGCCTGTTTCTGCGGTTTGTGAAATTGGTTTGAAATAACGATGTAGATTTTCGAGCTCGGTCATTTCATGCTTGACGTTGGTATCGTCTGCATCCTCCTCGCCACAAACCCTCACCATCCCCTGACCCCTGGCGTCGACAAGTCTTTTCCCATTCAGGTCCATGGCGTCTTCCAGCCCCACATCCACAACATCCTCATAGTCGTCATCATCATCACCACTGTCTTCAGGTTTCGGGAGATCATTGATTTCGGTAGACTTGTTGGTTTCGAATCTCGCCAGTGCCGCCGCAGCTCGCAATTCTCGGCCTCTCTTGCTTTGGGCAACACGTGGCTTCCCACCAACAGGCCCTCTGCGAGAGATCTCCAGCGCCAGCCGTCGATCTTCGTCTTCTCCCAAGGCCACTCCGTTCTTTCCAAACTTGCGCTCTATCCGACGTTCGTTCTTCTCCTTCCAGGTCATCTTGGAGCTATCTTGTGCACCACCGGCTTTCCGCTTCCTTCTTCGACTGCGATACGTGCCGCCACACAAGGGCAAACCCTCAAGTTCTTGACTGCTGAGGATATTGTTGCCCATGACAGCACCCATCTCGCTGAGCGTCCTACCGCTGCCCCAGAATCCCTCTCCCGTGTAGCCCTTTGCCCAAAGAGCTTTCATCTCCACGGCATATTGATTTCTCGTCTGCCAAAACAATTTGCCATGGTTCATATGAGAATTGTGGGCCAGTTCGTGCATCATGACCATCTGAACCATGTTGAAAGGAACCCAGCCACCGGACTTACTCCGCAGAACTAATTGAATTATCTCTCCGTTATTGAAGTTCCGTCCAATGAATTCCGGGTTGGGCTCATACTCTTCGAGGGTCGTCACGGAGAGGTAGTGTTGCTTCATCAGCGGTAGACATTGGGCGGCGATTGCACGAAGAAATGTGTCAGCCAGGTCGTATTCCGCCTGCTCAGAAGGCGGCCGCCTCAAAGGCTTGATGAAGACGACGCGGTCATTTGGGTGAGAAGATTTCTGGTGATTGAGGCGCAATGTGTTCAGAGGCATGACTAGTGGGTCAGCGTCACGGCTGATAGAATAATCATCAACTTAAATATGGAGTCTTGACTCAGATCGTGGCAATATCAATTTAAGCCCCCATGGTGTCCTTGCGGCCGCTCGCCACTTGAAAAGATGACGGGCAAAACGATGATGAAGATTAAATTCCGGCGGGGCATAATTGAGCGACGCGACCGCGTAAAGTGCCATGGGGAGGGGGAAGGTTGCGCGAAATCACGTGAGTGGCTGACACTGAGACGCTAATCTGAACATTGCTAGTGTGCTCGAATCAAATGCCGAGGTTCAATCTCATGACTGGCATTCTCAACCAGTTGAACCTCATACGACTTGTACCACTTTTGTGGTCGGTCTCCGCAAAGAAGACAGCCGGCGACAAGACGGGGAATATGCGGGGATTATTCTTTCTGATTACTTCTTGAGGAGTGAAGTTTCCTCCATTTGTGATATATGAGCCACCGAAGAAGAGCAAACGTAATCCAAATCTCATAAACACCTGAGTTGCTCCGAACAGCGTCGCCAGGATTATATCATGTCAGGACCCAAAGCCTCGTCTTCGACCGCCGGCTTCTTCCAGGCCTTGCCGGTCGTACCACCGCAGTACAATGCATCTTCGACCAATCAAGTCAAGCACGATCTTTCAGACGATACTGTCTTCTCACGAATACTTTCCATTTACCTTCCCCGGCCACTCCCCAATCATGTCAGCACTCAGCTCCACAACTTTTCCAGACTTGTCCTCGCCCCTTCCACACTACAACAAACGGTCGATTGTGACACGGACCTACCTACTTTGAGCCCTTTGACCACGTTTGGCGAGGAGAACAAAGTTTCTCCGCTACGGACGAGTGAGGGATGGCGGGCACTGAAACGGATTGAGACGGAGGCAGGCGTGGTCGGTAACGGCTATCCACAATCGAGGTTTGAACAGAAGTTCAATCGAAGAACCCATCAATTCTCGACTCTACATCTATGGCATGGTTCCGCCGCCGTCGCGACATGCCCCATGGCTATGACGGACGGGGCGGCGGTCCTCCTTCGACGCCATCTCAATGACCCTGATGGTGACCAACCCGGCCGAGGGAAGGTCTTTTCCGAGTCGTACCAGCGTCTCATCTCGTTGGATACCAATTATTCCTGGACAAGTGGACAGTGGATGACCGAAAGGAGTGGAGGCAGCGATGTGCGAGGCACGGAAACAGTGGCTCGACGGCTCACTCAAGTCGAAGTCCAACACGATATCAAAGCAGGGCGGGACACGGACGCCGTCGGCCTCCCACTAGGGCCGTGGTTGATCGATGGCTTCAAATGGTTTTCGTCCGCCACAGATGCCGATATGGCTGTTCTTCTGGCCCAGACGAGCACCGGGTTGAGTGCTTTCTACGCCCCACTGCGACGACGGACAGGGAATCTCACATCCACACCACCGGAGACACTCACCACCCAAACAGATGACAACCGAACCGAGATGAACGGCGTGAGGATTCAACGATTGAAAAACAAACTCGGCACCAAAGGCGTGCCCACGGCCGAGCTGGAGCTCAAGTCTATGCGAGCCTACCTGATCGGCAGCGAAGGCCAGGGCGTCAAGGAAATCAGCTCGATCCTCAACATCACGCGCCTCCACACCGCCTCCGGCGCGAACGGCGCATTGGCTCGCGGCCTCGCGGTCAGTCGCGCGTACACCAAGGTGCGCAAGGTGCGCGGGCAGGTCCTGTCCGCCAACCCGCAGCACCTGGCATGGATGGCTGGCGAGACGGTCAAGTACCGCGCCAACGCCCACTTGGTGGCGCTGAATGTGGCGCTGCTCGGCGCGAGCGAGCAGGGCCAAGAAGCCGTCACCGGCACCCGAGCCGCATCGGTCTTGATCCCAGAAGGAAAAACCCAGATCGAAATGCTGCTCCGCCTGCTCACGCCGGTGATGAAGGCCCAGGTGTCGCTGAACGGCGTGTCCGGTCTGCGGGCGTGCATGGAATCCCTCGGGGGCGTCGGATACTGCGAGAACAACGAGGACGGGGGCGTGATGAACATCGCGCGACTGCTGCGGGACTGCAACGTCAACACCATCTGGGAGGGCACCACGAGCGTCATGGCCGAAGACGTGCTGAGAGTCCTGCTGGCGAAGCCCAAGAACCCGAGACCCAACAACGAAAAGAGCCCCCCACCAGGTCCCAGCGCCATCCTCGCCAGCACGCTCGGAGCATGGTCACGCACCGTGCTCGCGCACGTGGCCAAGCACGCTCTCCCCGCGCGCACATTCCAGAACGAGATCGAGATCGTCGAGACGCGGTACCGCGCGCTGGACGAGTTGATCCGCGATCCCGGCGACGGCCAGGAACTGCACTGGCGCGGACGGGAGGTGCTCGAGGCCGTCGAGGCCGTCGCTTGCGCTTGCTTACTGCTCTTCGACGCCGCGGTCGATCAGGACGAGGCAAGCGTTGCGGTTGCCCGCCGCTGGGTCAAGGGCTTCGTCGCATTGCCGAGGGATAGGCTTTACAAGGAGAAGAACTTCGACTGGCGTGGGGAGGTCAGGCTTGACAGGCTGATCTTCCTTGGCGCTGGTGGAGATCGTGCTGGTGAGTCCCTCGATGGCTCTGTGGTGCAGTCGAAGCTGTGAGAGAGGATGATGTTCTTGACAGGGTAGCTAATGCCAATGCTTGCATATTTCCCATGACACGACTAAAAAATAATTTATGCCGTATGACTACGTTTCTCCCGTCAAAACCCTATACACTGCAACGTGGAAAAACTCCGACACTTTACTCAGCCAACGCACTCACCAACTCTTCCCACAAATCCAGCGAACGGTGAAAAATTTGGTGCCACCGGCCCCGTGACGGGTCCTGGCGCGGTCACCGTGGGCACGACGAGCACGAGATCTCCTGTTTCCATCCACTCCACAGTGCTAACAAATCGGAATGTGATCCTGATACTCTTCGCAGAGGCCCGCACAGTGCCTTCCCCTTCTTTCTTAGTCATTACACGCGTGTTCGTATCTTCGTCTTCATCGCTGTCAAATTCGAATACCTCGTGCTCCGACTGCGCCGCACCGTCGTCGTCATTCCTTACATCATCCCTCTCATCGTCTAGGGCGACAGCGGTCACTTTAACGGCAGCGCGGACGCTGTTCACGTACACTAATGCATGTCCACCGAGTATCAGTGGTGGAGAATTCATCTGTGCAAAGTCTGTGGACGGGAAGGTTGCCGAAAATGAACGGTAACCCATAGGGTCTTGGCGTTCGTGGCCTGAGGATGTCGAAGCGATGAGGACCATTCCCTTTCTTGCCTTTTGGAGGGTTCTCTGTTGAATTTGATCCAGAGTTGCCAGTTCAACGCCGATTGTTCCAGTTTCGCCCTGTTGCAGCTGACTAACAGGAAGCCGAAGATTACGGAGTGACACGATCCGGACGGACAGAAGCGGTCCGCTCATGTCTGACGAGTGAAAAGCACCCCTGGGGTTGCCCTTGGGTGAGTAAGCTGTGGAGATGAGGCTTGACGCACTGTCGATCTGCACGCCCTCACTCAGCGGGTAAGACGATACCTGCAGCCGTGGCGGGACTGAACTGGGAATGAAGTTGGATTCTGAAGATATAGGAAACGGTCCGAGCTTCAAGACGCTTCCCACGGACACAGCCCCAGCCGCGACGTGCCCACAGAGTACAACTCCATCACGCCGCAGCATGTCATCTTGCTCTGCAGAGTACACCCTCGAAGGAGGAATGCTAAAGACCTCGTCGACATGAAAGAGTGCTGACTCACTTGACCGATGCATCCGGGAGGAAGGGCTGGTTCCGAAGGATTCTGCTGGGTTCAAAGACCGGAACAGAGCATGTAATTTACTGATACCAGAACCACTGACAGCACTTGTCATGACAATCGGAACACAAGTTTGTATGCCGGTGTCAGACATGGAGCTCACGAGAGATTCTATTTCAGCCACATCTGTGGCCTTGATCGCCTGTAGGTACCGGAGCATATCGCCGCCTTCCAGAGCAGGCATTGGTCCTGCTGTACTGCTGAGCATCACTGGTTTCCGGCCAGCCGCTTTCAGCACAGAGAGGACTTGCGCCAGAACACTTCGTAGGCCAGACCTGTTTGCGAGGTCCATTTTGGTGATCGCAATGATGAGGGGTAATTGCAACCGCAGACAAAGGTCTAGATGTGACTCTGAGATATCTGTCGTGTTCTTCGTGCCGCTGACTTTACTAGTACCTCGATCCATATTGATTGAAGCACCAGTATCGCCGGTTCCCACGTTCTGGATAGGCTCGTTCGCGGCGACACAGAGCACAGTCCAGGCAGGTTTCCATGAGATCAATGCCCGAAAAGTAGATTTCGCAAAACGCGGCAGACCGGGAGAGTCCGAGATGAAGACCAATCGTTCCGAGAGATTGTGGATATCTACCCATGATGAGACGTCCCCAGACGCATAGTTCACCACCAAACTAGAGCCAGGACCGTCTTCGGCATATCCCACGAGTTCCTGCGCCACTGAGCTTGTGATCCCGCAGGCAATCTCATGTCTATGCTTGAGCAAAGAGAGTCGGCTTTTCCCTCGGCCGTTATCGAGAACTGATGTGGACAGAGTCCCCAACAAAGACGACTTGCCAGCGCAGCTGGCTCCGATTATGGTGACTCGGATTTGCTCTGTCGGGGGTTTCCCAAGTACCGGGTCCATGAAACAGTCCGACGTGAGGGCAGCTTTGGGATCAGCAGCCGCATGCCTCGGATTCGAAACCTCAGGCTTCCTGGCATCTGGGTGAACGAGAACTTCGGCGACCCAGAGTTGATCCTGTCGCATCAGGCCGTGTCCACTGTCACCACCATCGGCGTCAACCCATTCACAGGGGCCAACAGCTACCTTTCGCAGGACTTTGGTCACACATCCCAGACTGGCAGCCATGGCTCGTAAGTTGTGCAAACTTTCTTGCAATTCATCCTCCAACAATCCTTCCAATGTGCCATCGTCGGCAATTCCAATCTCATAGAGTGCGCCTTGACTCTCCTCGAGCCCTGGTAGAAGTTTCGCAGGACGATCTGGAACCCCTAGCTTGGGAGTGGCTTCGGGGAGCAAAGGCAACACCAGATCCGCGTTTGAGGAAGAATGGAATGGAGACGACTGCTGTAATCGCCACAGAAGTTGAGTGGTCAACTGATGCAATCTATTTTGGCGTGCCTGTGTAGACGGGTGGGCCGTGGGCCTATCCAGCGGTGATTCACCCATCGAGTGTGACTGGGTGGCGACTGACTCGGAACGAAGTTTCCGCCTTGGGCGTAGAAGGAGGTGGAGTTTGTATTCCGTAGGACCATCGTGTCGTTCGGCCTCGAGTTTGAGCGTGCCAGGAAGGGCTCTTATATGTCCCGGGGCGGACTCATCGACTAGCGGCAATACCTGGGGGGTGGACGTCCCTGGGGTTGACCATGGAGAGTGGATGCGGGCAGGTTCATCCTGATATGTAAAAATCGAAGCCATGGGGATAAGATATCTTGTGTCACGCAGATACCTCGGTCAGAGACGCAGTCTACCTGTTGTGCCGCCGTGAAGATATGTGTAGAATAGTTCGAGATGATTGAGATAATAGCCTGGTGTCGGTATGAGAGTGGTACATGAGCTGAGACGTGTGCATTGTTGCGTTGATTGTGAATTGCTATGATGTAGTAGTTTCTCATTCAATGTCTTACTGTCAAGAGAGCAGAAAGCATCTTGAGTGAATTGCTCGATGATATGTGTAGGCGGATTACGAGATTCGAGTCACCTTGAAGTTCAAGTTGGAGGTCTGGAGGAAGGAGGCGGAGTGGTCTAGAAACGTGACTCCTTTCTCAACGACCACTTCTTGGCATTCAGTAGAGGCCGGCCTGAGGCAGCTACGACACGGCGACACGGCAGGTGCATGAACGTCTCTCACTGTTCGACTACCTAGATACTCCAACACTAACACCACGAAGAAGAGCAACATCAGCTCGTGGGAAAAAGTCATCTCATTCGTTCAAGGGTATCTCAGATATCTGTGGACTGGGGGCTTAACAAGGGACCAGCCAGATGTAGATGGACAAGCACTTGGATTCGTAAATCGGCTCCAAGCACGCTCAGATCCTCCCATCAGTCAATGATGGCGTGGCTCACAGGCGAGGTCTTTGTAGACTGGGGACAATAGCGTTGCGCAATGCTCGCCCTCGAACAAGACCATGCACCTTTATAACAGGAAAGGGTCGATAAAGAAAGATCGAATTCTGTTCACTTGTTCTTGTCTTCGCCCTCGGATACTTTCTCCCATTCACTGTCTGTGCTGATATAACCGGATCCTTCACCTTGACTACGTCGTCGTCGTACTGCTTCGGCACCATCGGATGCCCTCGGTTCTGCCGACGCCGAGGACGAATCCTTGGACCTGTCATGCGACAATCTTTGAGGCGGTGCCAGAGAGGTCGACTTGGCTGTTGTTGTCAGTGGCACAGGCAGGGCTGGTGGTTTGAGGACTGAGGGGGCGGGAGTGTTTTCGGTCTCGGTATCGCTGGCATTGTCGGGCTCTGGGCTCTTCTCTTTTTTGGCTTCACTTTCCTTTTGAATCTTTTGCTCTCGCGCAATCTCTACAGCAAACCAGTTGATGGAGTACCAGAGCCCGCCACATATGGTGGACAAGACGAGGAAGTGTAGAGAATATGTTGCGATAAGGAGGACGAAGAGGAGCAATTGAAGAGCGGCGAAGGCGGCGTTGGTCGCTATCAAAAGCGTCGGCGTCGGACCTGGGGTGAAGATGGAATTCCAGAGCTCCTCAAGAAAAGAAGCCATGTTGATCGTGGTGATGCCGCCGATCAATGTACACCGGAAGGTTGCCGTCTAAAAAATCGCGATGTTTTGCCCCGCACCCTTGTGATTGTTGACCTCCTCTCGGCTTGTCCACGGCGATCGGTGATTTATAGGGAAGTGGGAGAACAGTGTCAGAGGACAGGTGTACCTTTCTAACGCGCAGTTGGGACGGAGGCGCAAGAGCAGGACTGCAATGGTGGCATGGACTTTAACGATGGCTGGGGTGACCCCAACTTGAAAGCAGATACCAGGCGCCGAAGTATGTGCCAAGTCATGTGCCTGGGGCCTGCCTGACGTGCCTTAGTCAGCTTGCCCAAGTTGAAGGTCACCATAAAGTGGATGCCTTCAAGTGTGGTACATACCTACTTGTACCCAATTCCAACCACGATGTTTCGAGCACTGCGTATCTCAGCGCTTGACTCTCTATATCGTCTATAAACCATGTTTCGAATTACGCATAGGGAGTTTCGGTGGCCATCACGTGATACTCCGTGGAGTTTGCCAATGCCCCTGTAAACACGCCCAGGGATTTACAAGCTACAACCTCCGCTGCTCGTTCCCGATATGGTATCCCGACATGATGGGCATCGGGACGGGTGACGATGGCCTTACCATATGACCAGTGTGGCTTTAATTGAAATATATCAATCTAGCGCGACTCTTCGGGAAGGTTTGCAAAACTCGCAAAGTTTCGCCCAATCTACCACGATGATGTCGTCGAAGAGATGTTTCAACTTTTTGACTTTTGACTCGACCAATGCAGACTCGAAACTTTGTTTCGCCAAAATCTGCCTTAGCTGACCAGAATCATCATGCAAGGAAACCAAATGCTCAAACTTGACGTGAGCTGAAGACGGAATTGCATTGCTAGACATGGGTCTCCAAGAGCTTGATGCATCCTCATGAATTCGGGGCAAGACTTGGGAGGAGTGCATGGATGACTTCTGCGATCTTGGGCCGTGTTGAGGAGCGAGATGGAAAGTGTTGGATGGCCTGATTCCACCATCATGTGCTTGTGTATGCCCAATCCTGGTGGAGATCGTCCAGAGTACTCGGGTAGTTTCAATCATGCAACCTCCGTCTAGAATAGAGTACATTGTGTACATCCACCCATCCTTGGGGGCAGTTCGGTTATCCGGCTGGGAAAGCAGCCTCGTACGGGGCGGGCACCTCCCTAGAGTGGCATTTCTCGCTTTCGAGTTTACAGTATCAAAACCTGCACCACATCGCAGGAGGCGGGTTACTTGGACAATGTTGTAAAGTGTAACTGCTCGTCAGCCCCAACTGCAATCTCTTGTGTTTTGTAAAGAAGTTCTTTAGTAGCACCGAATCTCCTGGCAGCTGAGACGCGGTGGAAGTCCGGAATTTCCGGCCCAGTGCAAACTCCATTGTCGAGATGGCGGGGCCGTGCAGTGGCTGGTGAGCTTGCTGTGGCTAGTGCCAGGTAGTGTCGTTTGATTCTCAGCCGCAAATTCCTCTCTTCAAGTTCGAGCCACGCTAGACTCAAGGTCGGGATGGTCATCTCGCCTGTCCAAGTGGCACGGAGCCTCACCATGGTTCATCTCGGGGTTGAAGCCACAGGTCTGGGGGCCAGTGAAGGAAGCGGCCAACGGCGGAAGGTGGACTTGCCTTTCTTGGTGCCAAGTGTGGCAGTCATCAAAACGAGTTACTCGTAGTCGGTGGCCTTACAGGGCTGTTCTAGTGCCAACGGCATATCGGGGCCGACAGCCACTATTTGTGGCGCAAGGTCACAACAAGTGGCTCAGCATGCGTTTTGGGCCTTTTGACGCTGATGTCGGTGGCTGTCGTAGTGTCGTGTAGGAGCATTAAGCTCACAAAGGATTCACGAATCACGACACCGGTGCATCATGCATCATTTGTCCGCAATGATTCAGCAGGACATACCGCGCCAAAGCTGGAGAAAAGTCCGTTCCCCCAGAGAGATTGTGGAAATGAACATGGCACATTGTACATGGCAACGCAGACATTGGAGACACCTGTCGTAGGTTCGATCGTATACTAGGTACCACCGTAGACAGAACACGTGAGCGGGACCAGGGTTGAAAAGCTTTTGTACGGAAGGAGATACTAAGTCTCTGTCCACTCTGATTGGGCTCTGGGTGACATAAAAAGGACCAAAACGTTTAGAGGCTCAAACACTCTGCCGTTTACGAGCATGAAGGATCCAAGATGCAGGTTCCCATTCTCGGTGGAGTTAGAACCAGCACCAACGGAGGTCTAGCGCAATGCAGCATGCTACGACTTGCCAAATTCCGACTAATGACCTACGAAGGAGACGGCCGCACCGGCCACTCGAGAACGTCGTCACTCGACGAAAAACAGACTCGTACAGGCCACGAACGAGCAACCTTGAAACCTTGACATGAGGCACTTGGTACAGGAGTCTTGAGTTTTTCTCATGGTTAAGCGGGGTCTTTGACTCTTTGTTGGTCTTTGGCAAACGGATACGAGTACTCGATAATTCGAAAACGACCACCGGCGATTTCTTGCCGGTCGTGGTCCCCAGTTTGATTGCTGGGCGCGCACATCTGGGGGCCAAATCCTCCTCGCCCTGTTTCGCTCGACTGCCAATGCCAATGATGCTACTCCCTCTTTTGATCACCAATAACCATCGACCCTCATCTTTACGACCTCATCCGCTCTCGCACGTTTTCGCCGGCATCCCGTGAGACTGGGATAGCTCGTTTGACCCTCGCTCAAGCTTTTTGCTGGGCCGTGATGGAACGAGCAGCAAGGAAATCCATCCTAGACCGCTGCCACTTGTTGACTCATGCTACTACTCTTCTGGCACGAGCAGCCACGTCCGCAACCTAACTAATCCCCGAACGAATTATCATGGAAGCCAGCGCGTCCAAGCCTTTGAGCTGAATGCAAGAACGAAATCACCGCATCGAAAAGTCGTCGATATGCTGCGAGCCCATGTCATCTTCCCTTTAGACTACCTGCCCTTCCTAGCGGCACTTTGCCAGGAACGTTGGTTCCAAGGGTGTTTTGGCCTGGTTGATCATACGTGCCGGACTCGGCCAGTTTCTGTCAACACCATCAAAACCTGGATCGTTGCTGCTGCAGCAGATGTACTCCGTATTGGGTATCTGTCTGGACTAGGTATGAGAGCTGCCACATGGCTTCTGATTTACTATGTGGAATCGGTTGCCCAATCTACCTAGGTAGCCCCCAATTCCACCCTGGGCACTGGTATTTCGCGTATTCGTCATGACCGACGGTACCACTCCTCTCCTGCCATGGACTGTCATTACAAACATATATCCAACACAAGGACAAGTGGAAATCCGTTCCCACCACCTTCTGGCCCCACTCCACTATAGCGACTTCGATGCAGTGCCAGTAAGCAGAGCTTACAGACTCCAGTGGCTGTGGTTGCTCCGCTCTCTGTGAGCTTGGGACTTGGGCATACTTCAACGGTAATGCTGCTAGTCGTTCCCCTGCCCTACACTGACTGCTGGTGCGATCTGGAGACTGGACCTTTTCAAGTTATCCACACCCAAAGCCATGCTTGTACTCTGGAAGTTTTGCTTTCCTTCCCACGTCCTCGATCTCGAACTAACTCTGATCAGGCCGGGGTCTTTTCCCGACTTATGATCGGGTCAGGTACCGCCCCGACTTGACCGTGGTGGGTATCTGGATGGACTGCTCTCTCTCATACTACTACTATACCCTGAACACATTCCTTCCCATGCAATTCAACCGCTTGGCCCCTTCTCTACTCTCCTCGCCAGTGTCCCTGGTCCGACACCTCTTTGTCCGTGATCCCTATTGCTCGAGTGGCTCAACCGTGGCGTCGACCCTCTCCAGAACCCGCCTCCTGAGCCACAGCTATCTTTTCGCCCGCGCGATCTGTCAACGGCCCCAAGTAGGATCAAGCAGTTCTTCATTATTGACTTGTATCGTGTCAGAGGGTTGATGTAGGGCTGCGCTAAGCGTCGTGGTGTTCTTGAGAAGCGTTTAACCATCGAAGTATTCCGGGTTTTCGTGTCATCAACGTCCAACCTCATAAAGTCAGCCACAGTCGCCTGCAGTCCAAGTGCCGTGCCTTAATGTCACATATCACCTACGCATGCACCAATCGCCAAGTCACATCATCTGACCCATTTGCCTCTCGCCACAACGCCAGTTTCAACCCACCGCAGTACATTGCAAGACTATTTCGAGACGCGGAGCAGGAATACCTCCCTCCCCCCCACTCGCCAACCCGAGCCGTCAATCTTCCGCTCTTAACACTGCTTAAGAAATCACGCGTCCAGGATTTCTGATACTCTAAAAGCACCACACAGTCGTCCCGAGCTTGCTCCTGCAGGCTCGACTCTCCCTCCGTCAACATTGCGAACCGAACCAACGCTCACTCACCCCCAGCGACCTTATCAACCTCTGCATCTCTCCCAGACCGCTCAGCCAATCGGGTGCGTGGACAGAGCTATAGTCGTGCCAGGGTCTCGAGCACCAACGCTCCAAGCGGTGGTCGCCCTGTGGCATACCAGCGTGGAGGTGAACCGTCTCGATCGACGATTCCTCCCACCAATGTTTTGCGCTCCCAGCAGGTGAACAGCAATAATTTGGCCGATACTCAGCCATATTCCAACCCCCAGGATCCTTGGACTGCGGCTCACCGGCATTCGACGCCCATAGAAGCATCCACAGGAGTAGCTCCTTTTACACTGCAGCGCCAAGGGTAAGTGGCTAGTCACAATCCTCCTACAGGGCTGACACACTAACGGGGAACCAGCATGGCCGCCCAAGTATTACCATCACCATCCTCGCAATTCCCACCACCTCAGATGTCTTATGGAGATGATATGTTGACGGCTTTCCCCAGTAGGTGGGATTCTACCAGCTTCCTTTCCACCACTGACTTTCCATCAGACCTCGAAGACATGTCTACCGTCCACGCTTCATACCATCAGGATCCTCTACACCAACAGTTACTCATGGTTTCCCCACAGACCGTCACTTCAGAGATGGCATATCGACGTCGCTCATCCCACTCTCCCCAGGCGGTACTTGGCATGGTGCCGTCTCGGGATCGAACGCCAATTAGACATAGTCGGCCAAGTGTGTCACGGAATCGCAGCCACAGCAGGGGCGACATGTTGTTGGCGTACGCGGGGGATCCCAGTCAACTTCAACCGTCGCAGGCTCTTCCCTCCATGGCAGCGGTGACGTCCCATCCAGAAGCGTCTATGCCACACATGTACAATATGCACCAGTACGGGATATCGCCCTCCATGGCGGGATACCCTCTTCAAAGTGGTTACTTTCCTGGCTCGGTGCCACCGCACACAGGACAACACCCAGGAGACTACCCAATGGGCCACAATCAACAGGACATGCAAGCCTACTACGGCGTGGGGAGGACGTCTCCCCATGGATCGGCCATGAGTCTATCGGCGCCCGACTCGCCTAGTTCGCTCTACGTTTCAGGACAGGCGTCGCCCAACCAACAGGCATTGCCGTCAATAGGGATGGCGATGCACCATTTTCCGCCTGTGCCATTGACACTCGAGTCGTCCCCGGCCGAGATCGAGATCATGCCGTCGAGACCGAAGCCTCAATGCTGGGACCACGGTTGCAACGGCCGACAGTTTTCCACTTTCAGCAATCTCCTCCGACACCAAAGGGAGAAGAGCGGCAGCGCGATGAAGGCTACTTGTCCACACTGTGGCACCGAGTTTACGAGAACGACGGCGAGGAACGGTCACATGTCCGGCGGCAAGTGTAAAGGCCGGGCACATGCTGAGGCCTCGAATCGGGCAGCCGAAGAGGAAGAAGACTAGCCAGTCCCCCAGCGGCAATCATAACGAAGTCACGACTACCAAAGTGGGCCAACGCCTGCACAGCCTGGCGGATGCATCTTTCGAGCTGCCAGATCATGACGACTGGGGGACTACGACGCCGCCTTTTGTGCAACCTAGAACCACGGCCATTTATTTTTCTGTTTTCATTTCTGGAAATGGCCGACCTTGCAGCGAGATTGTGGATGGGATGCATTCATGGAGACTTTTTGGAAAAAGCTGGGATTTCATGCTACTGCATCAAGGGGGGCGATGGCTGTTTACTCATCAGACTTGAAGGCCATGGCGATGTTACGTCGTATACAACTCCAGGACACATGCGGGTCAGGTGTGAGAGGATTCTCCAGATTCTGGAAGGTCAGGACACCGCGCATGGGGCGCACGAAACGGGACGCTGACGGGATTGTGGCATAAACATTTGACTGGACGGTTATTCTTGTCATGATTTCCACCGAGTATAATAGACATTTCAAGTTGAGCAAACTCAATCACTCCACAATGCCGTACCGAACGTGGTTCGAAAGAGCTAGACGCATGATTGGGCCAGAGGGTTTGATGTTTTGTCAGCTTCCAGGTTCAGGCACGAACAGGCTCGAAACATGGGACCACGACCAAGACCAGCCCTGGCCTCCGCAAAGGGTTGATTAGATCAAGAAGGTCCACTCGTTAGCGTGTTGGAAGGATTGAGGACGCGCAGATCACTCGAATCTTGGGACATCTCACCGCCGCCCTTGAGTGGCGGGTTTCCCGACGGCCAGACGGAAATCCAGAGGGTTGATTGGACGCCTTGCTGGCAACGGGCTAAAGACGCGATTACGACTAAAAAGCCTGACGATACCAGAGGTTTGGGCCAGACTTGAACCTTGGGATACGAACACCGACCAGTTAAGTTAGCGACGCCCAGGACCTAGGAGATGCCGGAGGTGACAGTGCCGAAATTTAGGTATCAAGTGAAAATTATGTCTCGTCATTAAAAGACCAAAGTCTGGTTCTGTACGAACTCGCGAGTCGCGTGTACGTTGCGGATGATTGCGAGGTACCTAGGTACGGATAGGTAGTATGGTTTAAAATGAGATACCCCGTAGTTACGAGGCGGCCCCTAAAGCCTCTTGTCTAAAGTCCACGGAGGTTTCCTCGTACCGAGTGCCGAGGTCCCTACGAGTAGGTAGGGAGATAGTGACTTTTGCAGCCCAGGGAGGCCAGAATCGGGTGGGCGTGGCTAGAGTACGAAGTAGGGGTGTTAAGGGTTGAACCGCGAACCGCGAACCGCTGCCACACTGGCGGTGCGAAATGTAGATGCCTTCTTGCCAAGTACTACTCTTCTACAATAATTATTATTATTATTAGGTCACCTCACGGGATCCTCTGCGACCAGCTACTGCAGCACTTGGACGAGAAAGTTCCAACATTTCCTCTTTCACTCTGTATGACATGGCCTCCGACCAGGTGCATGCCGGTAGGGCTACCTAATCGATGGGATTCGGTTTCTCGGTGGATGTCCTGAGTCACCAGGCGCGTGCCTACCAAGTACGAAGTATCCGTACTCCCACTGGCACCGGCCCCGGATAGGTGCGAGTAACCAACTCTGCTGGTTTGGCCCCAGTTTCTTTGTCCTTCTCGCTTGATGTGACACCAACCAGAGTTGGTTTGCAGGTCAAGACTCAACGCGGCGATGATTTCAAGCACGAGTGTCGACCTTACGCAACAAGAATTCTTAGTACTTGTGCGTTGCAATCTGCCGGTCAAACCCATCCTTCAGTATACACCATATTCCGCTTTCGTCAAAGTCGTCAGCACCCTTCTTGGTGAGGGCTGACATTATCTATCCACTTCCTCCGCTTCTTGCCGCGCTCTGTTCCAATCCATCCCTAGCGGGACCCCCCTCCGGCTGCCAATGGCCCACCATTGTGATCTTTGGTATCATGTCAGCGTTCCGAAAATCAATTCGGGTAGCCGCTTCACAACGTCTCCATTCATCTCGTCTTCGTTACCCTCATAGACCGACGTACATCAGGAGATGTTGCCTCCACCTCGCCCACAAATCGGGTCCTGAGCCACACATATAGATCTGGAAGTGGCGTACAAACCCACCCAATCAACCGAGACCCCTTCTTTTCCAGATTCACCTCGATGTGGGGATGTCAGCGATATCACACCGTCGACCTCATCTCCCATCCTCATTCTTGTTCTGTTCTACGACAACAGTCGTCATGTTCGCGGAGCCCCGCTCAAGTGCTTTGTGCCACCATCACCGTTGCAATGAACTGTCGGTTTCGTTGGGATGCTGCGCGCCTTGACTCGATCACTGGGCTCACATTGCTCACAGCCCGTCATTAACCCGATCTGGCCTTTGTAAGATCTCCTCTTGCGGCCTCAGCCTCCATTCGAACCCCGACATGGCATCGAGTCAAGGTCGCACCTGTCCGCCGACGACCGGAAGTTTCCACATGTAACTGAGTCATATCCTCCATCACTTCTGTAAACAACTCAGAGGTACAACGTTCACACGTAGCCACAAGGTTATGAAAGCGACGAGTGGGTAAGCCCAATAAAAGAATACCCCGCCGCGGTCTCGCAGTGGACATGTGCCCGGTGAACAGTTGGAGGCAACTCTCATATTTCCGGGACCCAAGCAGAATCCTTCAGTCTCCCTCTGACCAAGTTGGTCATCTCGATTTTGGGGTCTGTGGCTGTCGCCCTGGGTGTGATTGCACTCCTCCACACGTTGCTGCGCCACCCTGTGGCTAGTGTAGGATAACAGAATCCTTCTGAGCGCGAGTTGAACTGGGGCCGTAATCGATCCGACACCACTTCGCCTTGTATCAAAATCACCGCGCTCGAGAGTTGATACGAGGTACGACTCTTCACCCAAAAGGATCAGGATGATTCACCCACCTGATGACAGAAATTTTAGTCAGTGGATGGGAAAGCCGTTTCGACATGGTGGACTGGCCTGGCCCAGAAGGATTCGCTTTTCCCTGCACATCTAGATCCTTCGCTCCAACACTATTCCAGCCAAATTGCCCACTCAGGACGTTCAGACCTATCACAACAGGCGCCACTCCCATCAATGCTCTTACCCCCGAGACTTGGTGGATTCAAAGTGCAGGCGTGGCTGGATGTCTTTGGAGCATGGACCACATCCATTTTCGTCCCCTGTTCGCACATGAGGCGTGCCTGGCCATGCTTTGGTAGAATGAGCGAACAAGCCTTATCGAACTTCTACGGCCGTTCATGGAGTTTGGATTTGGTACTCGTACCAAGATGTAGGGGTTATTTTCGTTAGTTTGGCTCTGGAACCATTGGCACGCACTCCACTCGCCTTGTACTGCAAGCTATGCTGGCCCTGTGGAGTCAAAGTACAGGTTCTCCCAGTCCTTGTGTTGGCGTTTCGAACTTGTACTGGGTGTTTGCACCAACGTTGTACCCACTTTGATGTACTGATCAAACTAAACCGACCTGGCCTTTTTGGGGCTGTACATTCGACCTGTTGGTCAAACTCATTCTCCCTGAACCGATAACGCATGTTGGGGGCGACCCAGTATGATATAGCTCAGGGGTTACGCCTCTGAGTGGTCGATAGCACTTCTTCTTTGGCTGCTGACTGGCAAGTTTGCCGCAGCAGGGGAATTGAGGGTGTGAAGGATCAAAAGAACAAGAGCGCACTGCACTTGAGACAGCGACTTCCGATATGTCGCGCCCACTTTGCGCTAGGAAAACCACCAGTATCTGCATGGGATAAAGATCACCAGCCCTATGCATGTCTGGTCATGCATGGTGTTGGTCTAGTGGGAGCCGTCATTTCAACGGGGCAAGAAAAATGTTTCGATCAAGGACGAGAACAATACGGCGTTCTCAGAGGTCCGCGTCGATACTCGCCAGACCATCCCCGTCTCTGCATATACCCCTTGATTTGAGGGGGCGTGTAGTTCTGAAGCGAAAAGCGACGGGGGCTCATTGGTTAATTGTTGTCAATTACCCAGATAGGAAAGGCCACTGAGGTATATATTCGGGTCTACCTGATTCATGCGTCAAGTACTCTATATCAAGACAGTGGGCCTACCGTGGGGCCATGTCGGCTCACTTCTGGTCATCGATATGGAGGTGAACCACGCACTGATAACGCGTCAGAACTCGGATGTCGTCCACGTCCGTTTGTCGTGTTCGACTTGGAGGTCATATCGACAAAGCAACTTTAACATACCAACCTCTTGTATTAGTGTCTCCTTGTCGGATGTCGTTGTTGCCTCCATTCCATGGTGGCGACTTCCATCCGGACCCAATCATCCACGACGAAGCTGTCATTGTGGAAATACATACACTTCAACACGTGCATCAGGAGGACAATCTGCGTGACCGGGGCCGAATACACACAAGGCCCACCAGGAGGGAAGCACAGGACTCCACGATTTCCTCGTCACGGACAAGAATTGGGTTCCTTTCCGAAACCTGTTCTACCTGGTGGTTCTCGTGGCCGTGCCCGATGAGTGGCTCTCGGTCAACGTTGGGAAGCTCCTAGCGTGAAATGACAGTTCGACGAAGGATCAGATCAGCTTATTTGAGAGGAACATGTGAAACAACTTCTGATACTCGGCACACAGCGAGGATATTGGCGGGCATCCACACTAAGGTTTAGCGGCATCGCCTGCATAGACGTTGAGTCTTTGGCATTCCTCACCTACTGACGAGTCATTCACTTTTGATATGATCCACGTAGACTTTCGCACTGACTGTCCAGGTCAGCGGAACATCTTACTCTTTTTGTTACCGACTTTGTACGCTCCGGGCAGGCCGAATCTTGTGTCGTCGTCCTCCAGGCCAAACACATGGACAAGGGATCAAGGTATTCGGTCAAGCCGCCCCAGCAAGCAGGCTGGATATCAACTTTGCTGCGGGGTCCTCCGCATCTGAACAGCGAGTTTTGACTAGACGAAGATGAGTTGTGTATCGAGTCACATCTCTTGACATGGCCGTCACTACCCTTGCCTTGGATCGGGTCGCTCGGGACAAGCACGTGTGATGGCCCGATGCCCATCCCGCGTAGAACGATGAATCCACGTCAAGTGCCATCCCCATTAGAACGGGAAGGCCCACAGCAACCGAAATTTAAGAAGCGTGCGAAGTAGCCCATTGAAGATTCGCAGCTCAATGACTAGTTATTTAGCTCAGACATCGACTCGGCCCCAGTATGATAGCCATTCGGGTCCTATGGCCGCATGGCTGTGCCATATCTTCGTGCGTTAGGTACCGAGGTAAGGAGTAGATATCCAAGGTCAGTAGATAGTTAGCTGCCTTTCTTTCGCCCCCATCTCGTTTGACACTCAACGGACGGTGCCTCGGTACGACGGACGTGTACCTAATGTAGTTAGAATAGTCGATCTCCATGCTAGAATAGCTGCTCAGCATAGGTATGGAGCATCCGTACACTCACTTCGTCATCTCAAAGAAAACTATCGTAAAGGTCCTCCACATCCACAGGCATCTATTCGTGTCACACACCCACCCGGTCAGTCAGTGGCCACAAGCCTTCTGGTCGAATAAACTCCGTGTGTGGAACGAAATGTCTTTGGCGTCCGCGTGATCCGGCATTCTAGTTAGTTAGCTGAGGGTTGGTATCGATCGATCCTGATTGCAGCTAGTTACTGAGATGGTATCGCTCTGACCGACCTCGGGGACTGTAGGGAGAGAGAGAGAGAGAGAACGAGATTTGGGGTTCGGCTGTGAGTAGAGTACGTAGGTGAATAAATACACACACACTTTTCCACTTTTGTGTCACTCGCGAGCTGGACATTGGAGGACCATCAACTCTTTCTCATTGAGCGTGACTGTGACTGCTGAATTACCGATGGCACGGGTTGCTACCTAAATACATATCATAAATGTCGGTGAGAGGACACTGTTTGCACACGATGCACCGCCGTCTTTCCCTGACCTGTCTGGACCCATATGCCGCGCCGAATTCAGCCACGACCGACAAACATTCCAATAGACCCGTCCCGACGTCTCCTGCCCTCTTGTTGGCGAAGTCTCGTCCGTGTGCCCAAGTGATCGCCCTTGAACCTGATCCCCATTGACCTTTGTTCTTACAGCCTGCCGTGCCTGGCCTTGAATACCGAGATTTTGTCATCGTAGAAAAGAATCTCCCTCAGCCTCCATGTCGGCTTGATGTTATTGGCGCGGGTTCCTTCGGCATCTTCTTCGTCGCTCATGGTGTCTTCCGAATCGGACACCCCTTCAAAGTCACTCGAGTCGTTCGTGTCCCCTCCGTCATCGTCGTCGTGGGAGTCATGCTGTGCATTCACATGGGCATGCGGATGATGGTGATGCACGTGATGAGTGTGGGCAGGTCCCGCCGTCTCGTGGTCGGTCTCCACATCGTCGCCGGAATGCCCGCCGCCTCCAGGTCGAGACTGTCCTCCACTGGAACCGTTGCGGGCGTTGGCATACTCCAGAATCTCGAAACATTGATGCTGAATACCCAGGTAGCACAGCTCGAGCTCGGGCCTCAGAGCAACAATATCCAGTACCTGCAGCGCGGCTTCGCGGGAATGTACACTTCCATTGACGTGCTCGGCGATGTGGGCGATGTGCAGGGACCTCAAGGTGGTGGCATTCGGCAGTCTTCGGAGAAAATAGTGCCAGTCTTTGTAGTCAATCGACATGCTCAGTTCTCTCAACTTCATCTTCCCACTCGTGATGCACGTAATCAGTTCTCGACTAAACACCCATCGGCGCCAATTGCTGTCCGGAGTTTCGGGATCTTCGCTTCGGAGGGTGCTGTCGATGAGTAGCTTGGTCAAACTGGAACGATGCCGCCGGATGGCTCCACGGTAGATCATGTCGATCGAGACGGGCGATTTGTAGGACGTGTTTTCTTGGAGAAAGAGCCACTCGAGGCTGTCAGGTGCCAGCGTGTCCTTGACAAACGCAATGAGAGAAGGAGACACGGCATCCGTGTGCAGTCTTTTCAGTTTCAAGGGATAATCAAAATCTGACCTCGAACTTGAGACGGGGGTGCCGGTTTGGGACCGTGTGAGCACACCAGAACTGCCACCGGCCGGCGGTCGAAAGGGAGTCAAGGACACCCTTCGACGACTGGTGGGGGTGTAGCGTTTACGCAGAGCCTTCCACAATTGCTCGTGGTTCCGGCAGCCCAACAAAGTGAGGGTCTTTAACCTTGACCAGTCGAGTGCCTTGGACATGACGGCAATGGACAAATAGACACGTTCGATCTCGAGAGTTTCCAATTGGAGCTTTCGTATACTGCCGCCGTCATCTTTGGAGGAGTCTTGGAACGGGCCAGCCATGGTGGGTGTTTGACTCGGAGTGGGTGCTGAGAGCTGATTGTAGGCGGTTCGCTTGGTCGCGGTGACCGGGAGATTGGACGCATCGTCATCCTGAATGCTGTGCGCGGACAGGAGGACTCCGAGCTGATTGACCTCTGGGTAACCGATGGGGGTCTCCGCGTCGTTCTCTTTTGCCTCCTGCACTGGAGCTGCCTCGGCGAGCTCAGCGACCGAGGAGTTTCTAGAATCGACCGACGTGGGCTGGTCCACTTTTTGATGAGAAAAAGCGTCACAGAACCGGTGAACGAGGATGCCCAAGAGACCTCCCGGTCGAGGAGATTGGTCACCCATGCTGGGCATCAGAGGAGGTAAGACCGGAGCCCGATCTTCGGCAGGTCGAGCCCAGATGTCAAACTGGGCATGCGACGCCATCCCGATCCGCAATTCTTGTAACCGGTCGAGCGATCTTTCGATCAGGACACTCATTTCTTCTGCATAAGGGAGTTCATCGATGTCGAGGACACTGAGGCTCTTGAGCGGCGGCAGTATGGAAAACGTGGGAAACTCGACCCTCGGGTAGGGCGGAATCTGAAAGAGAGAGGTGGCGTGGTTGGCCAGAATGGAAGGCAGATTCGAGGCCTGTGGACCAAGCCCAGCGCCCGGGGGTGGAGGAGAAGCCAAGGGCCCTTGATCTTGGTTGTCGTGCCATCGAACCCACACCCGTTCCAGGCGACATTCTTGACCATCGTTCCGGTTTCCCAGTGAAGCCAGAGCCAGCCAGACATCTCGGAGCACGCCCGTCGGCATGTCCCAGATGAAGGCTTCTAGATTCCGCATTCTCCCCACGGCCAGGGCGACGAGTGTCCCAAGCATCTTCCCGCCTTCCTTGGTGATGAGATACTCTTGAACCCAGTCTGCCGGACCGTTGCCCAGGCTGAACTTTCGGGTATACTGAGCAAAGTAATTCCCACGACGGATGGTGTGAGGCTTGCTGGAGGGCTGGTCGGCGGGCTGACTGAGTTGACCACAATTCTCACAGGTGTGGTGGGCGAGTTGTTGGTAAGGAGCTTCTCCAAAGACGTCCTGGGCCATGACCAGAGTGGCCAAGCCATACGTGAGGGCATCTACACCCATGCGGTTTTCAAAGGTGGCATTTGCGTCGGGCCAGACAATGTCGAATCTGGAATAGATGTGGGGTATGACCAGGGCGTGCAGGGCGGGGTGGGTGAGAGCAAGCGAGGTCAGATCATTAGTATGGGTCAATTCTCGAAGGAGTGCCTGCAATATGTCGACAGGGAGATCGAGGAGACTTAATGGACTTTTCTGCGAGGCTATGGCATCCCACTCTTGCTGCTTGCCATTCAGGTGTTTTGCCAGTAGAGTGTGTGTGCCTCTGGCCTTTAGCTTTGGAGGCTGATCGTCACTGTTCTGAATAGAGTCCATGTTGGATGAATTGAGGTAGACGAGTGGGCGAAAATCGGCTGGAGGAATGTCGAGAGGTTTGCTCGCTCAGGGCTCAGAGCGTGAGCCCTGAGCCAAGGACGGCCGGTGCTAGCTGACCATGGACGTCACCAACAATGACGAGGAGTGTGCTTGTGGAGGTTATGGGAGTGTGCCAGTCGGGTCAGTCGCGGCGGCGAAGCGTCAGATCGAAAGGAAGTGGTTGGAGGTGAGGCAGCAGACGGGAGAGGACTCAGCGAGAGGATCTCGAGTGGTGAGGCTGACCGAACGAGCGGTGTCACTGTCGGTGACTATGCGGACGTGCAGCTCGTCGTGGTGGCACTTGATTCGAAGGAAGGGGTGGGAATTCGAGATGGTGGCAGTGAGGCGGTCTTGCAAGCGCACGTCGATGAGTACAGGTGAAGTGCAGATTCAGGTGTCAGTGGAGGTGTTGAAGTGGTGGTGCGGTGGGTGGACGGCGGGTGCCGCGCACAACTTGCAGACGGACTCAGTTGCCCCCAACGACTCGCGCTAGGCGCTGCTTAGCGCCCTGGCCAGGTTAAACGTGACTCTCCAAACAACGTGCCTCGAACCACTTTACGCGCCCGGATTGAAGCCCCTCCTCCCCTCACGCGTCTTGACTGGCAAGCATCTTACCCGATTTCCGACGTTACGGCTGAACCCGAGTCATTATTCTCCTGCTAGTGTTTGCTGGATTGAGCCTGAGGTGGGCAGTCTCCGTACCACGGATATTCTGAACTCTGGGTGACTTTCTCTCTTGGTACCGACCTCATTCTCTACAATTTTCTCCATCGGAGACTTCTGCTTCTCAAGCACCTCTTTCATTTCATGGCTTGAGACTGCTTCTCCCATCATCAAGCTTGAGGCTGAAAAGCCATCGGCCCATTCAATTCTCCCGTGCACCTTCCCCTTTTGCACCCACTCTTTGCAGCTTCCGTCTGCACCTTCCTCCAACACTACGGAAGCCACTGCCACAGCGGCACTGCTCCTTCATCCTATCAATTCCGTCGTCGTCGTCGTCCTCCTCCTCCCCTCCTCTCCTCCAATCTACAACATCCTCGAACCGTTCCGCGCCAAACATGGATGATTTCCCGGATGAGGTCGTCCTCAAGATCTGTGGATACCTAGACTTCAAAGACTTGGCTAGTCTGCGCTGTGTCACCCGACGTCTTGCCCAGGTCGGAGCCGAAATCCTGGTCAAGAGAGTACGTTTCCACGTCGGTCACGATTCCCTCCAACGTCTCAAGGCCATTGCGGCGCATAATGTGCTGTGCAAATCCGTCGAGACGGTCGTCTTCGAGGGCAACCTCTTGGCCAACGTCGGTTGCGTCCACGCCTTCACCCTTCACTTTGATAGCGACAATCTTACGGCCGACCGCCCCAGCAGTCCGCCTTACGGAGCCACTGAGCGTGAGATGAGACTCTTTGATCGCAACCTCCACAAATATCAGACTGAGATCAACAACAAGTTTCTCCGCTACCGTGATTTCTACGACACTCAACAGGCCATCCTCAAGTCCGACTCTTACACCTCTTTGATATCCGACAGCATCAAGCGCTTCCCCAAACTCAAAAAAATCGCCCTCACCACCGTCGGCAGATGCAGACATGTGCTGTCAGAGCGCTTCATGGACATGTTCGCCGTCGAATGTTCCCTCCCTCTGGAGCCCGACACCCGCCAGACGGCGGAACAGCTCAAAGCCATCCTCTTTCATGATTCTCAGCCTCTGGCCAGCGTCCGCGAGTTGGAGGTGCACGTCTTGAGTCCCAAATTCTTCACCGGCTTCATCCCTCCCCCTCAACTCTCCTCCGTTTTTGTCCACCTCAAAGTGATCGATCTCAATTTCCGATTGGAGAGAGACGACCGCGGCCTGTCCCATACCATGACCGCCGGATCTCGCTACGGAAAATTCGCCAAAGGTCATCTCCGTGAGGCACTCCAGGCGGCCGGGGGACTGCAGAAACTCACCGTCAACTTCGATGACTTTGGCTACTACGGACCGTGTACCGATCTGAAGCACGTGTTGGGAGATTCCGTCTGGCCTGAACTGCACTTTTTGGATCTGGACTGCATGACCACTTCTGAGGGATATTTGATCGATGCCTTGAGACGCCAGCCCGCCCTGAGCAAGCTCACCATCGGTTTCTTCACCCTCGAGGACGGACTGTGGACTACCGCCACAGAGTTGATGCGTAAGGCTCTTCACCTCAAGCTGTTCGTGGCCCACGGTATCTTGGAAGATCCGGAGCGCATGCATCCCATGCACCTGATCGACAGCGATTCGTACGCGGAAAACTACGTCGAGTTCTCACTTACCAACGCCCTCGACATGTACGTTACCGACGGGGTCCCGTCCGACTCGGACCTCGACGAATACCATCCTCTCGATGACGACAACTTTTCCGACCCGGATGAACTTCGCGAAGAGTTTGGCCCTTATGATTCTTTCGACGACATGGACTGCAGCGAGTGATGATCACGGAACAAGTCACAATGTCCTCTTGATTCCACCATGAATGTACGACGAGTTTTATGGCCTTTCTACACCGCATTGTACAGTATTAGCGCTTGCATTTTACGAGACACGGACGATCACAGATACCCCTTGAGCTTCATACTCAATCTTTTTCTACACAAACATCCATCCGACCTGGGGATCGATACTTTTTTCCCTTTTTCTTTTTTCCAAGTCTGTCTGGCGATATGGGGGGGATTCCGCGGTGGCCATCAAGTAACAAAAGTGACCAGAGATGCATCGATAGAGAGAGCACTGTTTCAAGTGTATGAATGCTCTTAGAGGGCAGACTTAGGTATTATTGTAATTGACTCAATGCAATTCATACCCATCCATGATTTTATAATGTTGCTCGTATGCGAATAGGGTGCGGATGATCAGGGACGGTCGGCCGCACCGGGTGATCGTCGGCATTTTCACATCGATGATGCAAAGGTCCAGATAATTTCACCGACCTCGTGCTCGGGAGACACAGCTCTCGATGCTTGCTCTGTCTCTCTGAGATCTCAAAACCCACCCCCTCCCACCAATCACTCAACATGCGCATCACATCCCGCCTCCTCGCCGAGCCCGTCTCTCAACCATTCCGGCCGGGACGACGAGCTCCCGCGCTGGCCCTCCTCCCACCGATCCCCCTGTACCGGCGCCTCCTACGGATCCATCGCAAGAAGCTGGGTCCCGAGGAGCGCATCATGGGAGACATGTACGTCAAAGCCGAATTCCGGCGTCACCGGGACGTCGAAAACCCACTGCACCTCGTGGGCTTCCTGACCAGATGGCAAGAGTACGGGCAGATGCTGGAGGGCGACGACTGGAAGGACGGCAAGATCGATACCGCGCTGGTGGCTAAACTCAGCGACCACCAGGTCGGTCAGATGTATGAGCTCATGCAGACGATACAGAAGAGGGGGAGGGACAGTGTGGACGAAGAGGAAGAGGGGAGGATCCTACAGGCTATTGATGAGGCGGCGGGCAGTGGCAAGAAGGATTCATAGGAGCTTGAGAGGGGTTTGTGGACAGGTGAAAGAAAACGGCAGGTGGTGTTGGTGAGCAGTCACTGCAGACTCATCCGACCGTGCTCTGGATTCACGCTACACGGTCACCTCCATTTCTGCACAAACAGCTTCGACCAAGCTCACCATTGAGACCCTTGCCGAATCATCGGGCATACAATTGTATCGGTTCTCAAGGAGATTCCGCCGATACCGGCAAACCTCACGCAACCAGGGACGACTCCTCGGTGACACGAATCCTAGCTTCCTCAAAGCCCCAACCCCGACCTCACATCACCCTTCCATCCAAGATGTGCCAAACCGAAGGCTTCCAGTCCCACACTTGCGCGCACAAGTGGATGACGATCGTCAAGCCCTGCCAGCCCGGCACGGGTTTCAGCTCCGCCCACTTCCACAAGTACAAACCGACACGAACGGGTCCGTTTGCCGCTCGGTACATCGCGGCGGCGGCGAATTCGTGCCCCAGCTGCGATCTGGACGGCGACTACGATGGAAATTTGACTAGGATGGTGTTGGACAAGCCGAGTCAGATGGGCGGGTTGGGCAACGGCTATACCATGACGGATGGGAGGGGAAACGTCTTGCCTTATGGTCGGGGGAACGGGGCGCCCGTGCCGTTGCAGTATGCAACCTACCCCGCTGGCATGGCTGGGAGACCGGCGGCGAGTGTCAATTGTTGTGCTGTCATGTGATTGAGGGACTGCAAGGAGACGTTGTCTTTTCACGGTCATGGCTGGGTCGAACGCTGGCACGAACTTGGATTGTCAATTTCATGGGGAACCACAGAGCCAACGGATTAGCAGGCTCGGAAGCGACTGACATTGAAAGCAGGATGTTGAATCTTCCCGAGGTGTACAGGACGCGAGGTGTCTTCCCAACACTCGGGACATCTATTGATGCTGGCGAGCCTGGGTGGTGCCAATCCCTGTCATCACGCGGTTCCTCTCAAGTCATGGCCTCGGGTGATATCTCTGAGCCAACATTTGAAGCCCCCGTGGTTACTCGAATAACTAGAATTCATCAGTATCGTCACTTTGTTTGCCCAAGTCAAATGCCACCGCCCCTGTCGAGCACAAATAAATTTATAGTTTTAGACTTCGTGCCCGGAATGATGCCGCACATCTCGTCAACCCTGTCGCCCCAGTGGGCATTTCCAGCCCAGCTTTGCACCTGAATCACGCAATGGCCCCACTCCATTTCGATCAACATCGATCCCCTCAATGCAGAGCGACGCTCACGCACACAGACCTTACTCACGCCTATGAAGCGGGCTTCGGAGATGTCCCTTGGCTGACCAGACCCTTCAAGACCTGGTTCATGACGAGTCCCCTGTTTACCGAGGGGCAATCGTGAGGTCAATAGAGTAAGAATCAATTTTTTGAACGTTGTGGTGATTTCGACCTCTGATATTTATTGACATCTCTTGTTTACCTAAGTCACTGACGTCGAAAATCGATACTCTTCTCGCTCGTGTCCAGCTCCACCGCCCAGTACTCATCAGCTTGCTCGAGTCGGGGACAATAACTCCTTCGCGACTAGAACCACCACCATCCAATATGGCACCCACGGCAGTGGACTCGACCACCCCGGTGCCCAACTCATCCAAGCCCAAGAGTGAGAAGCCCGTGGACCTCTCAGTCTTCCCGGACGGCTTCAAGACCTCGGGTCAACACCCACCGCTCTACGACCAACTCTACCCGTACAGCGCGTTCCCTAAGACCATCACCGGGCCGACCGTCTGGGAAGCCGACGAATATGCCAACCACCCGGAACAGTGGACGCACGTCTTCTCCGCCGAGGAGGTGGCGGAACTCTCCCAGGCGGCCGACACCTTCATCCGCGAAGGACATCCCTTGACGGGGATCAACCCGGGCAACTTCCCCCTCCCCAACCTCGCGCCCAGCCTGAAGGCGATGCGCAACGAGCTGCTCAACGGCAAAGGCTTCATCCTGTACAAGGGATTCCCGGTCGACGAATGGGGCACCCACAAGTCCGGGGTCGCGTACTTCGGGCTCGGCACGTACATCGGATACCCGGTGTCACAGAACGGGCGCGGCCACATCCTGGGCCACGTCAAGGACCTGGGCGAGGACAGCACGGCCATCGACAAGGTGCGCATCTACCGCACGAACGCGCGGCAGTTCTTCCACGCCGACGACGCCGACGTCGTGGGCCTGCTGTGCCTCGCGCGCGCCGAGGAGGGTGGCGAGTCCGACGTCGCCTGCGTCCACAAGGTCTGGAACATCCTGCAGGAGGAATACCCGGCCGTGGCGGAACTGCTCACCTCGCCCGTCTGGTACTTCGACCGCAAGGGCGAGGTCAGCCAGGGCGAGGAGCCCTACATCCGCACGAGCGTCTTCTACCTCGAGACGCCCGAGGCCGGCAAGCCGCAGCGCCTGTACTGCAAGTGGGACCCGTACTACGTGCGCAGCCTGACCCGGTTTTCCGACGCGGGCATCATCCCCGCCTTGTCCGCGGAGCAGGTGCACGCGCTCGAGACGCTCGAGAACGTGTGCTCGCGCGTCAAGCTGCACATGATCCTCGAGGTCGGCGATATCCAGTTCGTCACGAATTCGCACATCCTGCACGCCCGCACCGCGTACCGCGACCACAGCCCGGATTCCGGCAAGCCGCGCCGTCATCTCATGCGCCTGTGGTTGAGCACCCCATTGAACGAGGGCGGCTGGAGACTGCCGTTTCCCGATGTCAATGAGCGGAAGAGAGGCGGCATCCAGGTCGATGATACGCCGCCGGTGGCGAGGTTGGATGCTGATTGAGAGGGGATGTAGTGGAAAAGGGTCGAAAGTTCAGTGGTGTACCATCAGTAAACCATCGAGGTAGGTTATCTGGACAGAGGGATCGGGGTTATCGTGTCACATCAAATAGAGAAAAGTAGCCAGAACAAAGACAGAGAATCATTCTTGCATCGAAATCTAAACGTCTCTTTTATGATCTATCACTTGCGACAAATCAACGCCGAAATCAAAGGGAAAATTGCAGAAACCGCTGTCATATCGTTGTCCCAGAAGACCATTGATCAATGCTCATCTAATCAATCAACAAAGACATCCGCCAGCACGTCCCCCCTGCACGCTTCAAAGTCGACTTCCTGGAGACTGTAGGTATCCTCGAATGCGTGGATACTCAAATGGCGGAAGAACGGGCGTAGCAGTGATTGCACATCGTCCACCGACCGGCTCAGATCGCCGCAGAGCCAGGGCTTCCGTGCTTCATTCTCCGACGCGCTCGGCAGTTCAACGTCCGCGGATGTTGCGCCGTTCGTTGAAAACGCCATCACATCCGCCACCGCGGTGGATACAAAGTCTGGTGGTGGATACACTGCGTCCACGGTGTCGGTGACAAAGAGCCATTCGTGAAGCTGGAACTCTTCGGGCTTCAGGAGCAGGAGGAGATCGAGAAGTTTGGCGCCCTGGAGTTGCGAAGCAGGTGTGGATGTCGATGTAGAATCTTGCCCATCCTCTGCTTTGCCGCTGTTCTCTCGCATGCTAGTGAACAGGTCTCGAAGCTCGATGTCGACGATCGGCCATGTCCCGACGAGTTGGACCTGGGAGAAGGACATCACGATCGTTCGCAGGAGGGTGTATATGTCGCCGCGCGTACTGGACGATGGCGAGGAGGAGACCGTGGCCGTCAAGAGCTCTTCGAGCTTGCGCATGATCAAGGTGAGGTCCCCCGCGAAGGTGTCGATGTCGCCCACGAGGAGGAGGATTGCGATTCTTTTGAGGGTTAGTTGCGTCCGACGGTCGGCTTCGGTTCGCGCTGCTGTCGCCCCAACGCCGAACATCAGCCCCGCCGTCGTTGGTGGTGTCAGCCGGGCGAGTAGCTCAGTCATCAAACCCTTTTCCGAGAGGAAGACCTGTCGGAGAAGCGGGAGCCATCCTTCCTCCGCCAATTGGAATGGTGTTTGGAAGAATTTCGGATCATTGAAGGCTTCGAGAACATCCTTCTTCCAGACTTTATTGTTCGGCTGTGACTTGGACATCAACCGCATCAAGCGCAACATATCCACATTGACAGTGTGTGGAAACTGTTTTGCACGCAATGCCGGTCCGGTGATATGAAGTGCAATGCCTGAAAAGGCCGTGTAAAGTCGGTCTGAGTCCCCGAGGACATTCCCAATCACCGGGAGTGAGTCACACAATATATGGATGGCGTTCCCGACAGCAAGTGTGTTCCTTCGTTGAATGCTGAATGATTCCGTGGACATTTTGCTTTCTTCCGAGCTTCGCCCCGGCAGGGAGTCGAGCCCGAGTCCGACTGGTCTGATGGTGAAGATGGCAGTGAACAGTCTCGCACACAAGTCAGCCAACTCTCGTCGCATCTTGACCACTTCGCCGAAATTGGTATTCTCCATCTTTTTGCACAAGACAGCGACGAACTCCAGCAGCCGGAGCAAGACCTGTCGGTGTGGCATGGGGTTGGCGAGCACTTCACGAAGGAAAGCCGTGCAGTCAGCCCAAATTTCTTCCAATAAATCATCTTCCAGAGCACTAGTGTAGGCGATGAGGAATGCCATGAGTTCTGGTGCACTCACATCAACAGACAAACTCGATTTTTGTGATCGATCTAGAGCCGCTGGGTTGGTTCGATTGTAGATTGCATTGAAGGTCGCAGGCATCATGAACTTGGGTCGTGCCCCGTCGAGGCTTTGCATGAGATTCAGACTGACCACCTGCTCGGATCCTCGCTTCGCCCCATCCACCCACATGCCCATCAATGTCTCAAGACACTCTTGAGGTTCAGCGTCTGCCAAGTGCTCGAGAATTTTTCTCGTCCTCGTTCGCAGCCGTGACGACATGTAATTGAAAGACTTTGTATCGGACACAGTATTGGTGGATCTTTTGACAATCCGCCATGCCCATATTTCTCCACATAGCTTGATCGTGTCTTGCATACAGAGAATGACGGTAAGTCTGTTGTTGGCCACGGATCGAGATTGTGTCGTTTCGGTCGTGATTGGCATCGAACTCTCCGAAGCCAGATTATGGTCGCTCAAGTGGGTATGTGCTCTGGCGAGGATGTACTCCAACCCAGCTAATAGGTTGTTGATGGATTTCTCCGGGTTTTTTGCCGCAACCGTGGCAGAATCACCATTGACAGTGGTTGACGACACCGCTCTTCCATACAAGCGTTGAATATGCTCGAAATTTCGCTTAATACTTCCGCAGAAGCAAGAAGTCAATTTCAGCATATTTGTGAACAGGTTTTGTGTTGAACACAGTGGTAAAGTGTTGCAAAGCAAAGTGATCCACTTGTCAATCATTGAGTCGACTTTTGGTGAAGATATCCCAGCCATGAGGACCACGATCAACTCATTAGGTGGTGGTTCAGAACTTGGTTTTGCGAAAATACCCTGCAGGGTTTCTAAAATGCCTTCTTGGAATTCGACGTCCTCGCCAGGGTTTGACAGGTGGTGAATGAGAAGGTCGATCAGGGACTGCTTTCCTCGAATATCGATATCGTCAATCATCAGTCGCAAGATTGACAACGCGGATCTTGCAGGAGCGGTTTGTACCTTGATTGTTGACAAGATATCCGTGCAGTATTCCAAAAGCGTATCTCCAAAGCCTTCGGGTCCGAAGAAGTCACTTCTCTGTAAGCTCGACTGTCGTGCAATAGTGACCAGTTTGGATATCCTATGGAGACTGAGTAAGAACAGCTGCGGGTGTGAGTCGTCTTGAACGGACACCGAATGGACTATCTTGAAGACCGGACGCAATGACGGCAATGTACTTAGCCAAATACGACGCGGGTCTTCGTCCTGGTTGACCTGAACTCCGTCTAAAATACTGAGCACCGGTTGCCTCAGCATCGCCCAGGGGACTTCATCATCGTTGGTCCGTTTTTTGGCAGAGAAAAAGTCGATGGTCACTTCCGGAAAGCGGGTGTGTAACCACAAGGTCGAAAAACGCGCCATATGATCTTCGAGTGCGGTATCATTCTCTGCGTCTAGACAGATCAACTCCATTAGTTTGCTGTCTACGATAAGCAGTTCTTTCGATATGGAACGGAGATTCCATATGAGCTCTACGGCTTCGACGTGGAATTGTGGGGTACTGGGGAGCAAGACGCCCCATAATTGAGTGATCAGCGCAGGAGTCAAATAGAATATGTCGTGCTCTGTCAAAGTTGAAAGGGTAGCATCGAAGTTGTGAAGAGTATCCAGGATCTTTGAAATTGTTCGCGCCACTTCGTATGCCTGTCCAAGTTCTCCCGTTCCCATACTCAGCAACTTCCCAAGTCGGCTCCCCAATTGCAACTCACGTAGTGCATTTTGGCCACCAGACTTTGAAACCAATTTCAGGACCGCACCCGTCAGGGGAGAAAGGAGAACGGGACCAGCAGGGCCTCCAAGGCATTCCAGTACACAGTTGATGATGTTTCGGAGTAAAAGTTGGGTCGTGGCATCTGTGTCGAGGAAAGGGGTCTGATTTGTCGTTGTTCGTGAGGTTTGACTGTAAAAACGTTCGATTTTGGAGAGAACCTCATCCGGTAAAGTCGAGCCGGGAGTGAGCGCGGTCGGGTCGGTCGTCTTGGGAGGCAGTAACGTGAGGAGTCCATCTAACAGTCTCACCAGTTGGCTGTCGTACGAGAGGTCAATCTTTCCGGTCTGGGGTAGCGCACAGTCTTCAAGCAATATCTCCGAGATGGCCAGGCACAGGAATGGGAGATGGATGGCCGTCATGTCATCTTCTTGAAGGCTAAAATTCGACAGAATAAATTCAATCAAGTCAAGTTGTCGCTGGCGAAGGAGTAGGAAAAGTTGAGCCGCAATGACCTTGGGCTCAATGGCGTCGAAAAAAACGTTGGCACTTCGAAAAACCTCGTCGAACGAGGTCTGGGAGGGTGCGGTAGTCTGGTATTGTTGGAGATCGCGCATCGCAGCGATGAACAAGGAGTCAACCGGCTGTCTTCCGATCACCCAACGATCCATCAGCGACAGCATGATTCGAAATGGGCGCGCTCTTTCCGCGGGGGAAGCGGATTGCTTGCTGAGCATTTTCTGGAGGCTGCGTGTCACAGGTTCGAGACCCTGGGCGACGAAAAAATCGTGCTTGGACGATATCGACGGTACTGTTCGAGTGGCTGTGGTGGGGGATAGGGCGATCGTTGTGTCGGGGGCTTGCTCGGTCGAGCCTTCTCTCTTGTCTTCTCTGCCCATGAACCAGGTCCACAGGCGTCGGTTCAAGCTCATGTCTCGTCTCAACACCACAGACATTGCCGCGGAAACAAGAATATCCAAGTCGTCCGATGTGACACGACTTCGAAGAATAGGAGAGTCAAGAGGAAGATGTGATACCAACAGATCCAGAAACCCTCGCTGAACCAATTGCTGATCGTCCTGTAGTCCCGTCGCAAAGCACCTGACCAGCAGACCTGGTTCCGGGGTTGTGACTGAGTTGATAGCTGGCTGCATTGAGTCATCGGATTCAATGTTACTTGGCTGGCTTGTTGCACTTCCTTTGGGTCCCAACTTGGGGAGGTATCGTGACAAGTAAACCAGTGCCCCGGGTCGTTTGTTGACACTCGTGATGGAAGCTAGAAAGAGACTTTGCCAGAAGAATTCCTCCACCTCGTCCACTTTGAAAATCTCACGCAGTCTGTTGAATGTTCTCAGAGTCTGATCAAAGTCCTCGCTGTTCTCTTCCTCGATACCGGGGAGTAGGGATAATATTATCGCTCGTAGTGCCGGTCTAATCGTCCGGCTGGAAAGCTTCAGAATATGCTCATCATACAAGGATAGGAACAATGGCCGCGTGGTCAGAGAGGCGAATGTGAGTGTTTGAGATATACCCGGCAACCAGAGGCCGAGGTCACGGGACAGTCCGTCTTTCCCCTGTAAGGAGAATATTAGGTCGTAGACCTCCAGGCATTTCTGATGGACCCCAGCCGGGAGGGACGGCTTCAAACAAAGTGCCAGATACTTGGCCAAGGTCGGTTTGAATGGCACATCGGTGTCAGGTGGCGAAGCTTGGAGGGACTTTGCCAGTCGACTCAGGAAAGCGATGTAGTCCGCCCATTCATTCGACGCATCGAATAGCCCGAGTGCGCGTTCAACGCCCGCATGGTAGCGGCGGACCGCCTTGGAATCAGTAGCCATCATAGCTCAATTCTAATGGGGAATTTCGAGACCAAATCAAGACCTGCTCCAAGGTCAGAGTCTCGTGATTTAAACAAATACATTGAACTGGCAAGGACTCTGTTCATGACACTTCGGCTCGGTCGAGAGCGCAGGGGAAGACCGCCGAATCTTGATATCGTGTAGCCAGGGTATTCGCTCGCCCTTGTAAGCGTTCCAGGGAAGAAGATTGTTGGTCTGAGTTCATCCACCCTTGGTATGTAACAAAGTGTCCCTTGACTGATACAGAAGCCTGTTCTCACTGTCAAACTAATAGGGCTAGACTGCCAAGACGGTCGATGACCGAAACAAGCCAAGCGTACCATCGACCACGACTAGTCATATATTTATATCTCAAAAATGTAGTCGTAAATCACTCACTTATCGTACACTGAAAGTGAGAGGAGGAGAGATGGCCGAGTTGGTTATGGCGCCAGGTTAAGGTCTCAACCTTGACACAATATCCTGGTCCGGAAACGGGCGTGGTTCGTACAACCCTTACAGTCTAATTGATTCAGAATTAACAATCTCCAGGGTTCGAGTCCCACTCTCTTCAACCGCAAAATTTTTTGGCAATTTTTTGATCCTGTTGGTGAATGTGAGGGGAGGTTGGACATCAAGCAAGAAAGTGAAAAGACTTACAAGATTTCCCTTGCACAGAGATTCACAAATGACGGGCAGCTGCGGGTCAAGTGAAAGTGTAAGTCTTCCCAGTCCAGACACTAATTTGTATTGTACACCAGGCGATCGTTGTTCACAACTTCACACACATGCTTCATGCAAAGGACGTCCGTATATTGTATTTTTGGTTTTTGGAAATATTCTAAGAAACTAGTCCTTCTGAGTCTGCTTATTGCGAGGTCACACAATTGTTCTCCACACCTGTCGCCAATGTGTTCAACAGTTTGGACTCAGAAACATGAGCGTTTTTTGTCGAGCAAATTCAACCACCTGTGCCGTGCGGCTCCACTTGAAGCGTACCTCGTTCGATCAGTGTCTTTGTAGTAATATCTTCGTGAATCTTATAGGAGTCTTGTCAATTCTGCTCCCTCCTCTCCAGCTTGCTGACGGGTGCCAAAGTTGAAGCCCACAGTTGATCATGATCAGTGGCAGGTATGCAGAGAATAAGTTTCCCCTAGAATCGTTGTGCCATGTGGATCACCAGTGTGTTTGCAAATTACTCACACTTAGAGGATGGTCCTCGCGATGACATACAAGCGCAAGGACGATACAGCTCCACGATTCATCATCGTTCGCAAATGAGAGCAAGTAAGCTATAAAAGGAACGCCATCCCAATTACTCGTGCCTATAGTCTTCGTCAGCCCGAACTGTCATTCTGAAGAGAGAATTCCCCCTGAGTTGACCGATGCCACAGAGGACCGTGATGCCATGGGGAATCTAGCAGTTCAACAATTGCCACTTGATGCATGGAGGCGATCCTTCTTGTTTACTCAACGGAAAGATCATTGATCGCGGTACGCCAAATCCACGATTCGATACTAATGCCACTCATAGCCATCTTGTCACAGCAAAGGCGTTAGCAGTCGTCTTGTTTTCGAGGCAAAGGCTGAGAGTTTCGAAGTTTATTGGCATTCCCGGAGAAGGTTGATTGTTCATAAGTCTCGCACCCAACGGTATCAATCACGAGTAAACTAGATTGAGGGCATGATGGAGCGTTTGTTCACGCCAGTGAGCTACTACAAAGCTAGGTAGTAATGGCAACAGGATGTTGTGAATGTCACGAGGACGCTGTGAAATGTTGGGCTGTGCTCAGCTGCCAAGGCTTGAAGGTGACGAGGCTACGTTAGGTCAGCAAGGCTGTGCGAGCCTCCAAATGACCTTCTCAGAAACAATAAAATGCGACAAATCACATATGTGATTCAACATGACTTCCAGCCGCCATCTTCAGCGCACGAGGAGATCATGAAGCCGAGGACTCCGGACGATGGAGGTTTTCGACTTTGGATAGCTCTCGACCTTATCTCGCAAAGTTGTGAACTCTCCCACTGACATCATCGAGCATCAGGATATGGCCGCCAACGTCGAGCCTCAGTCGCCAATTGCTGGGGAAGAAAGACCACCACTACCTCCACGCCCTAGCGATCTGAACCTCATGCAAGTAAGACCATCAACCAGCCATGGCTCTCGTCCACCCACAAGAGCGGGCCTTACTTCTACGGCCACCACTGCGGTGTCGATGACCGATGTGAATAGTTATAACCGTCCCGATGGCTCAAAAGAGGTCCGGAGCGCTCCTTCTCGTGTATCCTCCACGCCATCAATTCGGCCTGCGATCAGCACTCGGAATAGCGAAGTAGGCGAGGACAGCTCAAGCATCAAAAGCTTTGCACCTTTTGGGAGATATGTTCAAGAGACGGAAAGCATTTTCGATGCAGATACACAAGAAGATCAAGGACTTTCGTCATCGTTCGGCTCGGTGACTCTCTTCGACGAAGACAGCGAAAGTATCTACGAGAATGGCGATGTGGACTTTGAGAAAGAGTTTGACGAGCTGGACGAGAATATCGCAGGCGAAGAGGTTGCCCATACACTCTGGAAATCCAAGCGCAAACACTTTCTCATCCTGTCGGCGGCTGGCAAACCCATCTATACGCGTCATGGCTCCGATGCGATCATATCAAGTTATGTTGGTATCATACAGACTGTCATCTCCGCATACAGCGGCAACAACGATGAGCTTAAAAGTTTCCAGGCAGACAGCACATTGTTCGTCATCCTCTCACAGACGAACCTGTTCCTCGTTGGCATTACGAGTCTTCCAGAAAGCGAAGCACAGGTCCGCGTCCAACTGGAGGCGTTGTATATGCAAATCCTATCCACGTTGACCCTTCCCACATTAACCCATTTGTTTTCGGTACGCCCCTCTACGGATCTCAGACGGCCATTGGAAGGTACCGAGGTTCTCCTTTCTTCACTGGCAGACAGCTTCACAAGAGGGTCGCCTTCGACTCTGCTATCTGCGTTAGAGTGCTTGAAGCTACGGAAATCCTACCGCAGCGTGATCAACACTACCATGATCAAAGCCCGCGTTGATGATCTACTGTATGGCCTGGTTGTTGCGGGGGGGAGACTGGTATCCGTGATCCGGCCTAAAAAGCATTCATTACATCCTAGTGACTTGCAACTCATCTTCAACATGCTTTTCGAAGCCGAAGGCATCAAAGCTGGTGGAGGTGAATCGTGGGTCCCAATATGTCTCCCAGGATTCAACAATACCGGCTATCTTTACATGTATGTGAGTTTTCTAGATATGGGTGGTAGTCAGGTGCGGGAGCTCGACACCAATGAGCACATTGCCAAGGAAGACTCGGTGGCTATCATCCTTCTCAGCGCCAACAAGGAGGGCTTTGAAGACCTCCAAAGTATGAAGAACTACCTCGTGCAAGAATTCCGTCGAAACAACAGTATGCAGGTCATTCAAGCGGCTGTCCAGGCTGGTCGCCCTTCACCAACAGACATCATTGCAGGCACCGTTCTTCGTCACTTCCTTTACAAATCCAAGGGTAATGTGCAGTTTTTTATGCCATCATTCTCACCCAGTTTCGAGACTCTCAAGCAGCGAAGGCGTTTAATGTCTTTGTATCATCGACTACATGCGAGTGTTCATGCAAAGCACGCTGCAGTCAAGGTTCATCACAGTGTTGGCCAACATGCAACAGCACTGGCTTGGGTCACTCCGATGTTCGAGCTGTACTGTGTAGCGGGCCCATCAACATCTCGAAACGCTCTTGCCCAGAACGCCAACAAGGTTGTTCAATGGATTCAGAAGGAGGAGGAAAGAATATTCATAATCGGAGGAGCAGTTTTCTGAACTGTAAATGCCTTTTCAGGCACATACACTATCTGCCTTGTTGCAACAACTTAGTCCATGCACCCACCATCGACCTCAGCGTTGCACCAATTTTAGGAATATGAAATGCGTTATGACAACTCGGAGTTCATTTGTCACCCTGGCTAGCTTGATCCAACACTTCCTCTATCAGCCTCGCATCCCTCTCGATATCAACACGCCAATTGCTCACCGCTATTCGAGCAGCGGCTTTTCCATCCCAAACAGTGCCGCTGACGAACATTCTGCCTGTGGCATTGACTCTTTTGACTAGCCCCTTGTTCAGGTTTTCGTCCTTCATTCGAAACAGCACAATGATGAACGTCTTTGCGATGACCTCGCTTTCTGAAGCACCGTGGGGCAACACTTCGAATCTGTCGTCATCAAGCAGCCATCGAGTTACTCGCCGAGCCAGTCCAATCTGTCTCTTCAACATGTCTATATACCCCTGTCGGCCGTAGGCTTTGATGGTACAATACACGGGCAGTGAACGAAAGCGTCGAGAATTTTCGAGTCCAATGTTGAGTGGGGTTTGAACGTCGTCACCGTCGCCTAGTCCACTTGTGAGATAGGCTGCGTTACCATTGCGAAAGACATCTTCGCTGAGATCCTTGTGCTTGGTAAAGAACATGCCACAATCATAAGGAACATTCAACAATTTATGACAGTCGCCGGTTATAGAATCAGCCAGCTCAAGACCTGTCACGCCATTCACGATTTCGGTATATTCAGTGTCATTAGGAGAGAGTACCCGACCAAACAAGCCGAATGCCCCATCGACGTGGATCCAAACACCGTTCTCCGAACAAATCTGCCGTAACTTCGTCATCTGCTCCAGAGAAGCTGTCGCGAACCGACCAGTATTCACTTCCCCGGATGATATGGCAAGAATATTCAAGACATCGTTCTTTTTCACTTCAGCCTCGAGCCTTTCCATGTCGATCTGCAGGGAATTATCCGCCGTGGCGAGTGGAATCACATTCTTCCGGCCAATACCCAGTACTCCAGCCGCCTTTACGACACTCGAATGTGGTAAAGTGCTCAGGACCTGCAACTTCCGCGCACCTGCAAGAGCCATCAATTCTGACAGCCCAGACTCCCCAACACTGAGGGATGCTGCATCAGTGACACCCTTCTTCTCCAGCGCCTTGCGAAGCACGAATTCCCTGCCTAATGCCAGACCGAGGATGTTGCTAGCTGTGGCACCTGTCGTGAAGATACCTCCGCCAGACCCAGGACCGCCGATCCGCCACTCCTCTCCCGGGAGCCGGAACAGCTGCACCAGTAAATTCAAGGCGTGTACTTCCACCGCCGTCGCGATGGTATCGTTGGGGAGGTGGACGTGGACGTTCTGATCGTAGATCACGGCCAGCAGATCGCCTAGCAGAGCCGCTGGTGTCGCGCCACCAATGACAAACCCGTAGTAATTTGGGGACAGAGATTGGCGGTTGAGGTATGGGAGGATCTCGTTGCTGAGATGGTCCGCCAGCGCTTGCACTGGATTGGAGGAGTTCTTGGTGGTTTCCAGACCTGCCTCTTGGATCTGAGCGGGCTTTAGACTCGCTGTCTTCGCTGGGAGTACACGTTGAGAGTTTAAGGTGCTGCCGCGAGTGATATTCGTGGTTGCGTCGCCATTTTGACCAGGTCCGCCGCTCTTCACAGCGTTATTTGTCGATGTAGGCAGATCATCCGCGGACAGTATGCCTTGTAGCACTTTGACCACGTCCTGCAAGCTGGTTTCGACATCCATGGCGTGGCTTTCAGGCCCAACGTAGCGCCAAATTCACCAATAGATATAGATGCGTGTATTGTGTCGTCCGTCGTTTCTTATGACTCAGAGATTCGAGTTTGTCAGGTATTGAAAGCGCTCGTCAAAGATGACGGAACCCCCCAAGTCAATATATTTCTGGCGATAGTAAGAGCCAAGTATGGAAAAGACGTTCATCACCAAATATCAGCAGGAATCAATCACACATATTGTGAAAGAGGGTATGCCGCACCCACACCAGCGTCGCATTCGCAAAGTACTGCCCTCCGAATGAAGTTTCCGACGCCTTACGCGAGATCCGTCCACTTGGATGGTTTTAAACTTCCACCACCTCGAACCTTGACCCACCAGCACAGGTACGGACAGGCTCACCTTAATATCCACCTTCTTCGACGAGCGTATTCGGCCGGACTATCTCGATATATACACCTGGGTATCCTTACTTGTAATTCTACATTGATTAGGCACTGCGGTGGAATTCCAAGACCACAAAATCCGGAATGCTCCAGTCTCGGTGTACAAAGAAATAACCCCAAAAAAGGAATACTCAAACGATGGAAACACACAAAAACCTCTCGAGATTGCCAGCTACCTATGGTATTAACCCGGTCGATCCATACAGCCAAGCCAGCGCGGGGCATCAAGCTCCAGCGACAGGCACAAAGAGCCTCATTCCGGTCGAGGGCCCAGGCGATCATTCGTAATGTACATAGTCCATAGTCCATCCAATGCCCACACACACAATTTTGCTTTTTTCCAATATCTCTCAACGTTGTCAAGTGACCACGCCTTCTCCATTCCCGGCCGCGGTCTCCGGCTTGACCAGCTCTTCTTCGCCCGCGTTCTCGTCGACGAATCGGCGGTCGCTCAGGTGGTCTCCCGAGACCGCCGATGCGTCTTGCACCGTCTGGCTCTGCTTGTCGGGGGTCCACGAGTAGTCGGCGAGGGTGGTGGCTTTTTGTTGGCCGGGGCTGTGTTTATAGGGGCATCGCATATTGGTACAGGGATTGAAGTGACATGCAATTTCGAGGTGGGTGAACTGGCAGTTGGGCGTCTTGCAGTTGGAGCCGAACCGGCAGAGGGGCGCGTTGGGGTGCTTGAACGCACAGTTGGGTCGTGTGCAGTTGGGGAAGAACTTGCAGATTTCTTGTGACTGCAGCGCTTTGATCTGTGCTGGGGAGGGATGCTTGCCCGTACATTTGGGATTCTTGCAGGCAACGCCGAATGTGCATGTGTCGGACATATCCACAATCGTTCCAGGAGGTGCCACCGGTGACTGGTGGGCGTAGGGGCAATCTTTGTTGGTACATCGTAAATTGAAATGACACATGGTGTTGCTGGCGGCTTGCTTGGGCTGGCCCGTCGCTTGGTCCACGTCCATGGTGGCAGCGTCTGCCGATGCTTCATCGCCTTCCATGGCTGTATCTTGGTCGCCGGTCTTGATCGGACTCTTGATGTGGCCGTTGGCATTAGCACCGCCCCTGCCCCGTCCCCGACCACCTCGCCCACGCGAGGGCTCGACCCTATCAAACAAGGATCGGCCGTGTCCATTCTGTTGAGCGCCATTTGGGGGAAAGCCACCATTGCCACCGGGCATCATACCGGTAAGTTGAGCCATCATGCGGGTCTGTTGTTCCATCATGGCCATGAATTCCATCTGTTGTTGAGGCGACATCTGCATCGGGGTCTGTGGCGATTGGCCTCCATTCATCATCATCGGATTCTGCATTCCGGGGGCATTGGCAAGAGCCATGTTGTTCAAAGCCTTTTGCATGCCAGGGCGGACACCTCGATCCTGAGAGCCGCGAGGGCCTTTGGGCACCCCTCGTACGTTCCCGTGTGAATTGATGCGATCGTTGCCTCGAGTTCGATGTAACGCGGAGTCTCCACCTTTGTTGTTCATACCGCCGCGTCCTCGATTGGACTGTGCACGGCCGCCGTGTAAACCTTTGGGTCCTCGAGGGCTGTTGAAGGAGGTCAGTGAAAACTCAGAAGGACCCATTGAGGGCTGGACAACATACGCATTCTCGGGCGCAGAATCAGCCATATCCATCTCGTAGGCGGCAGGTATAGGGTTCTCGGCGGGCACCTGATCCGAACTTGAGGGTTCTTGTGTGACCGGTTTATCTGATTGTTGTGACGCTTCCTGCATGCGGTCTACCTCTTGGAAGAGCCATTGCGCAAACTCTGTGGTACCGGTAGCATCCTGTAATAATTCTCCGGCCAACTCTGAGGCTATCTGATCTTGAGTCTTTCCATTCGCAAGCATGAGGACGATATACTCGGCGAGGGAGGTATCGTCGTCTTGGGTCCAACCCTCCTCGACGAGTTTGGTGTGTACTGCATTGCTGAGAGCCTGCGCCGCAGGCGTGTCGGGCGCAATTGTCGCCATTGATGGATTTGAGGGTGGAAAAGCGCGATTGATCGGATTTGCTTGACAGACCTTGAAGGATGACCGAGAAGGAAGGGAATTTTGCTGGTATAGGATCTGTTTGCAGAATAATGACTGCGCGGCTTGTTCTTCAAACCCGATTGTGATGATAAACTTGGAGGCGAAAGGTGAAAGGCAACGACCACTTCAAGTTAGCGGGTGATTCGGTGGAGCATACACTCAGCGGCGCGACATCGACACGTGATCGTCTTGGTCAAAGTACTCTATTGGTTCGCTGAGTCACCTTGGGAACATCTTCTAGAAACGACGAATTGCTCTCAACCATCTTCGCCATTACGAGCACGCGTGACTTCTGATGCCGAGGATTCCTTGGACTGATTGTTGACATTTACGATGTCAAAACTCGATTCATGAGGGTTCGTAGCTGACTCACTACCGAGTACAGCCACCCTCCATCAAACACCATGTCATTTGCACGGGCGACATCATGATATCAAATTCAGTTACGGCCCTTTCTCTCCATTCGCCCAGACGCCTGGTGGCATCCTCCAACATCGAGTCATCTCTCGGTCCGGACCAAAGCACTTCAGCGGCAGCTCCAGCCCTTGGCCATATCTTTGTGTCAAGGTCGAACGAGTCCGTTTGTTCAGACCACATCAAAACCTCACCTCCCTCGATCAAATGATGAAGGCTACTGCTGACGTTCTCCAATGGATTATACCTGTAAATGTGGCGCCAATTGTGATATGGACCACAGTAATCGAGGTACGGGACCGTCGTTTTGCTGGGAACCCCGCCTGAGGTATTGAACGGAATACCGGGAGGTGAAACCCCGGAGGCATAAGGGTCGATGAAGTTGCCGTAACCACCTGTCGTCGAGTTAGCTTGAGGGATCCCTGGAAGTAGAGAAGTTGAAGCTCACAATCAAGATACCAGTGGGTATAATCACCGAAGATGACTCGGTGGCCCCTCCTCAGTACCTCCTCAATTCGCTTACTATTCCGCCATACCTGCACGAGAGTACTTGCCGAATGTTGTCCTGTCGCATCTGAGGGAAGGGTGAGATTCCAGTCGAGCAGCATCTCCTCCCAGACTATCGGCTGTAGCCCAAAACTGGAGACGATCCTGACAATGCGATCAATAAACTTCTGTAAGAGCGGCTGTAATATCGCGGGATCATCACTTTGAACCGTTTCGTCCAGCAGATAAGCCGGCAGATTGACTTCATCGCCTCCGATGTGATAGAGCGATGTGTACGGCTGAGTCCGTGGAAGTAGATCATTCAGGACGTCGGCTACGAAGGTCGTCACTTCCGGCGAGTTGAGCTTCAGCTGACCACTGAGTGGTTCGGCCGCGAATGTCGACCAATCAAGCTCATTGAATGCGGCGATCAGTTGTGGATAGGCGTGTGCCACCGAAGCAGTATGGCCTGGCATGTCAATCTCGAGGAACACGGAGATCCCTTTTGAAACGCCATAAGACTGAATCTTCTCGAGAGCTTTGGTCGTCCACACAAGATCAGGGTGGTATGCCCCTTTTCGGGCCAGGGTGGGCAAGGCGGGGATTTCTATCGGCCATGATTGAGAGTCTGTAGCGTGGACGTGTAATCTGCTCATTTTGGCACTGGCCATGGCGTCGATGGTGCGAATGAGGTCACGAGGTTTGAAAGGATTTCTCGCAATGTCGATACTGATACCTCGGTGTTTCCATTTTGGACGATCGGACAACGTTACAGGTGCAAGATCTGTGTAATGCCCACTTGCGCCGGAGTGGCGGTAGAACAGCTGTTGAAAGGTTTGAAGTCCTCGAAGGGCCCCTAACGTGCTTTCCACACGGAGGATGGCTGTGCTGTTGTGAATGAAGAGCTCGTAAGCCTCGTCGCCATCGAAGAATTTCCGTGGATGCAATTTCTCGTCGTCGGGGCATGATTTCAGCTGAATCTCCAGCTTTGATACGTATTGATGTCGACCATGGACGGGCGGCTCGAATTGCGAGTTTCTTGGATGGGACTTCCAGGGAATGAAGTTGGACTTGTCGATCGACTTGAATGTATCGTGGACCGCATTTCGGAGGATGAGGGTTTCGGTGAGCACTGGTTCGACCCGAGCGCCAGACCAGTAGCCGAAAAAGGAGGGGACTCTATCCCACAGCATTTGGGTCCAGTTGGAGGCATCGGTCATTAAAATGCCCAGATCGTTCGCAGACCATCGGTGATCCTGACCAGCCAGGACAGTTTCTCCTTGGTCACATCGAAGAACTGCAGTCAGGCCACCAGGAGTCACCCAGAATGTTTGACCTCCCGTGGCCATCTCAGTGGGCTCGGGCCATAAAGCGCCAACCACAGTGGTGTAGGCAATGAGAACGAAGGTGGCTAAAAGCATGGCGGGCAGATACTGATCTTGCAGAAGCACTTACTAGAGTGCATCTACCTACCTGACTCCTCAGATATATCTCAGCCACAAGTCTGAAGCCTTGACCCGTTTGATACTAAGATACGTACCTTTTCCGGACGCTTCTGCTTGTTCTAGAGGGAGATAACTTTGGCTTGATAATGGTGAAAATACTCCACCTGCTGTAAAGCTCTCGGGTGGGACCTGGTGTCGATGTCGATCGAATACTTGGATCGCTGGGACTGTGCTGGGAAATTGGTACAGAACATACCTATCTGGCATTACCTAACTGAAGATGGTTCTGACCGAGTGATGAGGTTGCCCCGCGCTGGTGGTTCCATTGGGAGTCAATCTTGGCACGTATGGTGCCTGGGGCCATGCAAGTAGGCATGATCGCTCTTGTCTCCTTGATGTGCCATTGAATCTGATGACTGGCATATGGACGCTTCCACGTTTGGAGATCGCCTTTGCGTCGTGGATGGCAATATTTGCCTGCCCAGGAGTATGGATAGCTACGATCGACGTTATTGTCCAGCAAAGGACCTGCAAGTCACAGGATATGTATCTTCAGCCGTGGGTAGGGAGGTAATTCCTGATCAGTTCTATAGTTCCAATACTTGGTACTTGGGACAGGCCTGAGCTCGGAACGACACATCATTATCAAAGTGGAATGAGAAGCACGTTGAATGACCTTGAACCTCCAAAGTCGTACATCGTATCAAGACACGAGATACGGATGTTTGACACAGCCTGCCACGACACGATCAGACAACCATGATGACTACACGCCAACTGCGATTTGCAGGTTTGAGTTCATCACCTTTTAAGCGAACGAGATACTTTATGTCTCGATCACTGCGTGTGAAAGACCGAGCGGGGTCGTGGCAGCCTTCGGCACTCGTTTTTGAGGGGTCTGTTTAGGCTTGCACATGTCCCGCTGAATAGCCCGAGGCCCCCTGTATTATACAACTATTCGTTTTAGGTCCGGCCACGGTGCCTGAAACACGACTCCTCACAACGGGTCGCCGCTATGAGCCTCCCGCTCGGTCTTTCGTAACCAAGTTAACTAACAAGGTACCTAGGTAGGTAGTTAGCGCGCCCATCTCAAATCCCACTCTAACGGTTGAAACCCTAGTCCATCATACGTATATATCATGTGGTTCCCGTTCGAGATCCCCCAGCTCGTGCCTTCAAGTCTTAGCAACGCGCTTGTGTGAAGTTTGCTCTAGGGAGCATACAGTTTCGCCATGATTCTCTCCCTATCTTGGAAATATTTAGCAGTCTCGGCATTCGTGGTGTACTTGGTTCAACTTTATACCCGTCGATACGTGAAATGGCGCAAGGTGGCAGCGCTCGGGGGAGACACCCCCCGGGTCACGACAAGGTTCTTCTTCGGTTTGTGTCTCTTATATCGACAGTGACCTTGAGCACGTGGCTGAAGACTTTTCTCCTAGGTCTCGACTTCCCTGTCCATTCGACTCTCGCGATCGTGAGGAACGAAGCTCTGGAGTTTTGGCAGTATCTCTTCAGCCACACAGGCACAGATATTCAAGGGTACGGCTCTTATACTTGTGAACTGCATCTCCTCGAGGATGTACGGATCCTCTTTACGGCCGATCCGGAGAACACCAAGGCGATTCTTACCCAACAGTTTCAAGACTTTGGAAAAGGTAAGCTGAACCAAGTATTTAGTTGATCTTGAAACTCGCTCATCCTCAATCCTAGGTGAACGATTCCACGAAGAATGGAAACAGTTTCTCGGAGACAGCATTTTCACCACTGATGGCCAGCAATGGCATAATTCACGACAGCTCATTCGGCCCATGTTCATCCGAGACAGAGTCGCTGATCTTCCACTCTTTGAAACCCATGTGCGGAAGCTGATATCCATGATGGGCACTGGGGAGAAGGTTATGCTGAACAAACTGTTGTTCCGCTACACTCTGGACGCGTCTACCCATTTTCTTTTCGGACATAGTGTGGGCAGCCTGGAAGTTGAGCAGTCCGCATTCGCAACGGCTTTTGACGAAGTGCAACGAGTCCAAGCTCTAGAGGGTCGATTGGGGTGAGTTCTACCCTTGAACTATTGCGACCGTGGCTAATGGTGCTAGACCGCTGAGGCACTTTTACTCCAAAAAATCATTCAACGACGGCCTCAAAACCATGGAGGATTTCATCGAACCATACATAACAGAGGCTCTGTCACTATCTCCGGAAGAGCTCGACTCCAAACTCTCACGATCCGATACCTTCATCCATGCCCTAGCGCGATATACCCGAGACCGAAAGGTCATGCGCGATCAATTGGTCGCTCTCCTCCTCGCTGGCCGTGATACGACCGCGGGAACACTGTCTTGGCTGTTTTTGGAATTGTCGAAGAATCCAAAGGTGGTCGCCAAACTTCGAGCCGAAATCGTCCAATTCCTCGGCGACAATGGCCGTCCGCCCACATACCAAGAGATCAAAGACATGAAGTATTTGACATATGTTATCAACGAAACGCTGAGATTGTACCCCATAGTGCCGTTCAATGTCAGGTCGGCGCTGGTTGACACCACTCTGCCCCATGGTGGTGGAGCGGACCGAATGAGCCCTACCGGATGTCCTGCGGGTACCATCGTGGGTTACAGTACCCTCGTCATGCAACGTCGGAGGGACCTATATCCTCCAATCTCACCGTCATTCCCATATGATCCGCTTGAATGGGTCCCAGAGCGATGGAGCACATGGACGCCAAACTCATGGACCTTCATCCCATTCAATGGCGGACCAAGAATTTGTATCGGACAACAGTTTGCCATGGTGCAAATGGGCTACACCATTGTCAGGATTCTGCAAGAGTTTGATCAGATTGTTGACCACGGCAGCAAACGCACAATGCACTGCGACATCATCCTCACGCCCGCGGAAGGCGTTCCAATAGGCTTTGTGAAGAATAAAAAGGCACGAGTCTAAAGTACTTAGGTAGATGGCTTGTTCTTGCAATGTAAACGGGAGTCATTCTCTCCTCTCGGCGTCCCCAAGTAGATTGCCCTCTCTTTCTTGTCGTGCCTGAAATTGCACGTCCTCATCGTCATCAACACCTGATCTTGAAATTTCACGAGGGTCCTTCACCTACCTTTATATATATCCAGGTAGTCACAATGTTCCCTTGGGCAGTGGCATCAGTGTCACCACCGACTACGTCATCCGGGAGGCGGGTTGTTCCGTGAGACGCTAAGCATTTGTGGACAAACTCGAGGCTTTCTCGCCTTACTCTTTTCGAAATCGGTTCCTCCACTTGAGTTCAACTTGCAACATCTCCAGGTTTCCTCCTCACTCCGAACCTTCTGGTCTTTTTCACCAAGCCTTTATCTTCAGAAAACATACCAAAAGGCTTGCCTTGTTCCCTCATCTGCCAACCCAACTCTCCCATCCTAGATCGACTGCATGATCTGTCTTCCCTAAACGCACAAATCCCTCTCGGTCATCGTTCCAATCTACCGGTTTTTCACTCACCTGTTCCTCGAGACACAATCATGGCTTCTGCACAAGCGGAATCTGCCACCTCGGCTCCGACCAAGACCCCTGCACAGTTGATGCAGGAACAGCACGAAGCTGCCGAGGCTCACCGTGTCACCGTCGAAGACGTCGTGGACGAGGAGGACATTCAACACCCTCCTCCGCCTCATCACACTGAAGAGGATGTTAATGGAAACGGTGGTCCTTTGTCTGCCAAAGCTGCGGGCAAGCAAAAGGCATCTGACAAACCCTCGGCTCTCGATACTCAATCTGAGGAGGCGTTCCCTGCTCTAGGTCCTGCATCCAAGCCTTCTCGTGCTCCTGGTTGGGTGGCCAGTGCATCTGCCAAAGCTGCTCCGACAAATGGCTCCCCTGCCTTGGGCTCTCGACCGACCTCCTCCGGCGTTCCGACGCCTTCCTCGACCCCAGGTGCTCGAACCCCCAACACCGCTGCGCCAGGAGTCCACGGAAATGTCTTGCTTCCTGGCCGCTTCCGTGATTCCTTTGAGATCGACAACGCCGATCTGGACAAGAACAAATCGGTGAAGAGAGTCTTGGATGATGTGAAGAAGAAGTACAATGTCATTGTCACACCCAAGTCGACGAGGTTCGCCAAAGGCACAGAATTTGTGGCCGAAGGTCCCAAAGCCCGCGTCACCGAGGCTCTCATGCACATCTCCAAAGAGCTCACTGTGGAGAAACAGGTCAAGCTCGAGATCCCTTCGACGGTCTCTGCTCAGATCATCGGCAAGGCTGGTGCCAACATCAAGAAGTTGGAGAGTCAGTTCAACGTCAGAGTTCGTATTGAGAGAGATGCACGACCTGTCGTCAATCCAGAAGACGTAAAGACGGATGTGGTCGAGATCCGTGGTCACGCCGCTCAGGTTCGCCAAGTCTACGAGCAAATCTCCAACCAAGTCAAGGCCTTGCAACCAAAGGTCGACCTACCCATTCGCGGGATCGCACCAGAACTCTTCCCGTTCATCGCGGGTCTCCATGCCGAGCGAATCCAGCAGCTCGAACAAGATCGTGATCTCCGGATCAATGTACCACAGTACCACACTTGGGACCACCAGCCGCCTCAGCGTGCCGAGGCCAACCAGTCGCTTCTCTTTTCTCCACACGGAGACTCGCACATCGTGGTTTCTGGTGAGCAAGCTGCCGTCTTGGAGGCTCGGGTGTTGCTCGAGAAGTTGGCCGAAGAACTTCAGAAAGAATTGTTGCTGGAAGAGCTGGCCGCTGAGCAAATTCTCCACCCCTACATTGTGGGAGACCGTGGCATGGATCCTTTGAAATTCTTGGAAGAAACCGGCTGTGCTGTCATTCTACCCCCTTCGCATCACGAGACCGAGGACATCCACATCATCGGCCCCAAGGACAAGCTCACCGCAGGTCGGAATCTCGCCGAAGAACTCATGTCACGAAAGCACAACAGAGCGGTGGATTTGCACAAACATTTTGGTGACGCACCACAAGGGCCTGAACGTCATTCAAGGGCGCTGGCGCAATACCTCCAGCAAAAGGCCATTGAACGGGAATTCCTCAAGTCCCACAACGCCGAAATCATTTTCCCCTCCGCACCCAACGCCTCTGTCAGTTGGAACCTCATCAGCAACGACCCACAGAAAGCTCTGTCCGCCCGAAACGAACTCTCGAAGATCACACAAGCATACCCCACTCCTCGACTACAATTGGTCGAAGTTGACCCCTTCTTCCATCCTCACCTTGAGCAGATGCACTCCGAGACCCTCAGAACCAAGCTGGGCGTTCATCTGATCGTGCCGGAGGATGGCTCCGACCCCGTGGTTCTCGTCTATGAAGGACCCGCACAAGAAGGCCCATTTGTCATTCCACGCACCAAGCCGACAAAGAATGATCTCACTACTTTCGAGAAGGCCCTTCAAGAAGCACAGACACAGCTCTTGAGCAGCATCCCTCACCAGGGAATTTCGGTCCAGGACATCAATGTGCCCAAGAAGTTTCAGGATAAGGTAAGGCGATTCGTCAACAACGAGCCCAAAGCCGCTGCCCCTCAGACCTTCCCTGTCCAAGTAGACTTCGGTACCAGACATGGACCCAAAGTCAACGGAGCTTCTCGCGGATCTCCGTCCGAAAAGGTGTACTTGCGGGGTCCGAGCGAGTCAGACATCGCCGCGCTACGTTTGAAGATCGAAGAGTTCCTCCAAGAGGCTGAACAGGACGAGAAGGAGCGCGGCTACACCACCACGCTGCCCTTCCCCGCACAATTCAACAAGAACCTGATCGGCAAACAAGGTGCCAACATCAAAGCTCTGCGAGAAAAGCATGATGTCGAGATCAACACCCAAGAGAATGGCAAGATCACGATCCAAGGACCACAGAAGAAGGCCGAGGCATGCAAGGCAGAAATTCAACGCCTGGCTAAACAGTGGGAGGATGAAGTCAACTTCACCATCAAGATCGATCCCAAGTATCACGGTATGCTGGTCGGCAAGAGCGGGGAGAATCTACAGAAGATCCAGAGCAAGGTGGACAACACCGTAAGAATCGATTTCCCAAAGTCTTCTCGCTTCAGTGACGATGCCTCTGTCGGCGACAATGCCAGCGAGGCCGGTGGCAATCGCGGAAACCAAGGTCAAGACGAGATTCGCATTCGTGGTCCGCGAGCCAAGGCCGAGAAGGTCCGTGATGAGCTCTTGAGCTTGCACCAGTATTTGGTGGATAACTCACACATCGCGACCGTGTCGGTGGCTCAAACTCAAGTGGCGTCCCTCATTGGCAAGCGTGGTCAAGAAATGGAGAAGCTCCGCGCGGACACTGGAGCCCAAATCGACATCCCTAAGCCGGATGGCTCAGATCGAGTGACCATCCAGATCAAGGGCACCAAACAACAAGTCGACAAGGCGAGACAGGAGCTGCAAAAGCGATCTAAGGCATTTGATGACATTGAAACCCGAACTTTGGATGTGGACAGAAAATACCACCGTGCCTTGATAGGTGCAGGAGGTGAGACATCTTTCTTGTTTTGTTGCTACAATAATCAAACACTAACAATATCACAGGGTCCAACATCCAAAGCATTGTGGCCAAAGCTGGAGGCACTGGTACCAGTGCTGAGCACGTGCGATTCCCTCGACAGGGCGAAGAGTCGGACACTCTCACTGTCAAGGGTACCACTGCTGTTGTCAACGGCATTGTCTCTGCAATCCAGTCTTTCGTTGATGAACGAGACAACCAGGTTACCGAGACCATCGATGTACCCGTGACTCAACATCGGGAGCTCATCGGCGCAAACGGTGCGATTCGTAAGCAGATCGAAGATGACTTTTCGGTCTCGCTCAATGTACCTCGCCAGGGAAGTGGTCAGACTGGTGTCAAGATTGCGGGCCGACCAGAGAATGTTGCCAAAGCGAAGGCGCACATTGATACCATCACGGCGAAACAGCCTGGTGAGACGATCCAGATCCCACGATCACTACATCACATCATTGGCAAGAATGGAGCATTGTTCCGCGAGCTTTCAAGAGATGGCATCCGGATTGACCACAACGGCCAAAAGCCACCCCCAAAGCCCAAGGACGGTGGCCGACCAGCTCGTGCGAGAAACACCAATGGTGACATGCCCTTGATCACCGATCAAGACCAAGATGGAGAGTTGCAACACTCTTGGGACATTGTCTCCAATCAGGATGGATTGAGTTCTGACAGTGGCGAGATCCCCTGGGTCATCTATGGCGGCAAGGATGCTTCAGCAGATGCGGTGACCAAGGCCAAACAGAAGATCGAGACACTACTCGAAAAGGCCCGAGAACCACAGCATACTGGGTATCTCATTCTCTCCGATCCACGTCTTCACCGACACATCATTGGCCAAGGAGGCTCCACCATCAACTCCATTCGCAAGGCCTCTGGTTGTGACATTCAAGTGCCCAACAAGAACAAGGGTGAGGAAGATGAAGCGATCACCATTGTGGGTGAGCGAAGCGGCGTCCTTTCTGCGAAGGAATTGATCCTGGAAGAAGTGACCCGAGCACAACAAAGTGGTCGGAATTCTAGCGCGGGTCGTGCATAGAGCGCAGGGTACCGGTAGAAATCAGACCACAACGCGGTGAGTCGCGGAAAAGTTTTGAATGCAGGCTTTATCTAGGTTACAGACGATCTTTGTAAGATTAGAAGATCACGGTGACAGCGAGTTGAACACAAATGAAAGCGGCCATCTCAGATCCCAAAAGCGCAGTTTTTACGGAAAAAGGACCTCTTGGTGGTAGGTAGTCTACATAGGCACTGTTGAATCGAAATAACATTTCCGTATCGTTCTATAGTTCATCTAATCTCAACACTCCTGTTCAACCACGCAGCTAACTAAACCGCCCACAGATCAAGCCGAATCAAGGAAGCGATTCACATCGCCAGCGAACTCCTCGGCATACTGGTACAGGAACCCATGGCCGGAGTCCGGGAAGATCTTCAACCTGGCATCGGGCACCTTCTGCTCCATGACGAAGCTATTGACCGTGGGGATCATGAAGTCGTTGGAGCCCTGCCCGACAAACACGGGCACCGTGATGTCCGCGAGACGATCATAGTCGCCGTCGGCCTTGTTCTCGGGATTGCCCCATGCGCCGAGGGCAGCGACCATGGCGGTGACGCCGGCGCCGCCGTCCTCGTAGCCCCACGAGACGAAGTTGCTCCGCTCCTCGCCGCTGGTCGACTTGTTGCGTTCCTGGATGCGGTTCCAGAACGCCTGGCCCGCTGCTTGGCTGGTGGGCGTGGGCGCGAAGAACAGCTTGCCGAGCCCGTCGTCGAAGCCTGGTGTTGGTTGGCCCGCCAGCCGACCGACTTCGGTGTTCTGCTCGTCCGAGTGGTTGAGGATGCCTTCTCCGGCGCTGGGCCCTGAGCCCGCGATGATGAGCTTGCGGACGAGGCCCTTGGGCCCGTTCAGGTGCACCAGCGGTGCGATGAAGCCTCCCATGCTGAAGCCGAGGATATCGAGTTCCTTGACGTGGATGAGCTCCAGGAATTTGATGACGTGCTGGGCCATCTCTTTGACGGTTGGCGGTACGGTGCCGGTGCTTTGCCCGACGCCCGCGTTATCGAAGAGGATGACCTCGCGCTGTGCGGCGATCGAGTTTACCAGCAACGGGTCCCAGAAGTCCATGGTGCCTCGGAAATGGATCAGGAAGAGAATGGGGACGGAGGTCTTTGAGGTGTTGCCGAATCGACGGTATGCATAGCGAAGTTCTCCTGCGTCCGCATACTGCGTCTTGGCTGTTTGGTGAGTGACGGCCATTTTTGATGGTTGGTGATGGATGGTAGGAGTGATCTGTTGTGTTTGGTGGTATTGAAGTTGCTTCTGCTTCTGCTTCTGCTTCTGTCGAGGACTGCTGGTCTCAACATCTTGTTATCGACGTTGAAGCACCCCTTTATAGTTCTCTTCATGTCTTTAGGATTACTGAACAGACATAATAGGACTCTGCATTGAGCCATATCAATCCATGTCCCAAAGGACCCTTAGTCATAGCAAGAGCTTGCTGCTGGTACACCAGACCAGGGCATCCAAGCAGCAAAGTGACCTTGTCTACACCAGTGTTGTTTAGCAATTCCTGCAGGATTCGGACGTAGCTTCCAGGTACTTTGGGGCGGTGATTTGATTTTCCTGGGGCCTATTCTTACACCGCGCAGATTGGCCGGTGTAGAGGCAGGATTAGGGGGTACATCGTAATCTTAGTAATGTTCCAGCATCACTACACTTGGACTGTTGTTGGTGGGTCAATACGTTTACCCCCAGGCACAAGTGATAGGCTCGCCAACAGTCATCAAGAATGCTCACCGGGGAATACGAGGAGGCTGCTCGTGATGACGTAGGGTGTAGCTCTCTCGAAACTCTCGTGATGAAACATTTCAACCTCTTCACATTCGACCTCGAGTAGCCTATTTTTGAAATACCATCGGCCGTAACTATGTGTGACTGATTTGGAAGAGGTAGAACGTTGTCGGAAACGTCGAAGATGCATTCATTTCTCCTTCAGCATGAAATCTGCAAGGCGGGCAGACGCCGTTTGCTACCTTGCTCGCTTCTGATGATGTCGCGTGAACTTCCACCATGTCTCTGAACCAGTGCGAGCGGGTGAAACTCCAAGCAATACAACGTGCAGTGGTGATGGCAGAGCGAGTGAAAGACGAGGAAGGAAGTCACTCTGAGCCTTGACACTTGATGAGGCTGTAGACTTCACGACAGCTTCACTATGATCACGAATGACACTGGATTCGTGAAACTCGCGTCAGATGACTCTTGGTTGAGCTATAATAGGTCTGAGGCGTTGATGCCTTGGTCAATGTCGCAGACTGTTTCGTCCCTGCCTAACAAGATTTTTATATCGTGGAAGCGGGAATACTATCCAGATAACAATATCACACAAGAATGACGGCTAGGATGGCGTCCGATAACGATGGCGACGACCTCGTTAGTCCCCCAGGTCTGTGAGAAAGTCAGGTAGAGTCAAACCTCATCACTCTTCAACCCCAATCTCTTTCTTATGCACTCTTCCTTACTTTCAAGAAAGCGACTCCTTCCACCTCCGCACCACGTTCACCTTTTCCGCATTATCCCAATAGTTTACCTAACCTACCGACCTTACTCGCTCCCGCAGGTAATGCAACGGCCGAGTCCAAGAGCTCGAGGTCGGAAAGTCCTGAAATTACAGCTCCAATGTACCTCCAAGCCGCAACTGGGGCATCCACAGGCGTCCAACTGGAGAATCGTCTCCGAGCCTCGGTGCGACACAATACAGCCGAAAATCTTGGTCGCCCCATCCTCGATATGCTCAGCCACCGCTGGAAGACGGCTCTCCCTGTGCAAGACTCAGGAAAGATCACGTTGCTTGATGAGGACCAAGAGCAATATGTCAGAGGGCACAAAGTCCCAGGTAGAACTCAAACTGAGATCGAGACAGTATGACCTCGTGTTGATCTCCCCTACATCACTGATATATCTACCCTCTACAAAGTATAGGTAATTTCGCCCTCGCTGCTGGCAGAATTCATGTGGGAGTCGTTTTGAACGTCGAGGGCTACAAAATCGACGACCACGTCACTATGTCAGGCTTCTGGATGGACGGTAACAAGTTCGTCACGACTGCTCAGTTTCTGGATCTCATTCATGGCACCGATTACAAGGAGACGGAGCTGCTTTTAAGGAATCGGGGCTTCATTTCGAACGCTGGCGTTTCAAACGCCTTTTTGTCGGGTGACCGAAGTGGACAAATTGCGGGTTGAGATCTGAATCGGCCTTCTATGTTGATATCAGTCTAAGGTGCTACAGGAGACAATTTCTGGCGTGTGGACCTAGCTTTCGTAGACTATGCCTCGGACCTTGCAGTCTTTATCCCGACGCGAGAGTCTACAGAAAAGCGAGGTGACCCAGCACATTCTGTCACATCAGCAGACCTTGCTATGACCAAATCCCGCCTAGATTTCAATCTAGCTGACCAGGGCACGAATATTTTCATTGCCTATTATCCTGATCCTCCACAGACGGTGAAGCAAGCCAATATGGGTCCGAAGAACGAGAGGGAAGCGAAGAAAGCAGGGATCACTGATGCATTCCAGTTCATGGGCTGGAAGACTTTGAAGGCCTTGGGTTTGATGAATCATGTAATGCTGCCGGTAATATTTTTTCAACTCAAGGAAGCACAAGATATAAATTTCTGATTCGTCCTCTAGGAATACGCGGCGACATTCTCATGTGCAACTCAACGCGTCGCCTTTGGCCGAATCATCGACGAGTGTTACGTGGATCTCATACCGAATCGTCCATTTCCTCTCTTGACATTACCAAGAAGGTGCGATGTGGCAGGACACTGGGGTTGCGCCGGTGGGATGGTTTGTCGCTTCGAATTTGTCGAAGGGGTCCTCAAGACTCGGGTCATTGGTCTATGTAAGTTACTCTTGAAGCACTCGATTTATGAAGCTGATGTTGGTGAAGTTCGTGGTGAAAGCGTTGGAAATGACTCTGACCAATTCCTAATATTCACGGATGATGCCGTCGATAAGATTCGTCAAGTCGCACGCGACCTGAACACTTCCCTCGAGAGAGCCTCGCTTGGCTAATCTGGTTCCTCTCGTTGTCCATATTGTGGGTTGAAACATATTAGTGCAAAGTTCGCGGCCTGCAAATAAGGCGAGGAGCTAGCGAGTGGAAATGACCTGAATTGCAGGACTGAGGTATTTGCAATATTCTTCCACATCTGGAGGATGGTAGATAGATAACGACTCGACTTCAGAAGCACAAGTTCGCAACATTGGCTGCTCCGCATCCCATCCTATCCTGCGATAATGTCGAACTCATCCCCAGCACCATAGTACTACAGTTGATTCTTGAGCATAGACTAGGAGCTCACTTCCTTCAACCCATCGTTATAATGACTTGTCACTTGGAATGACTGTAATCATCTGAGGGAGAGAAGGAAGCAGAAGTCGTCATTTTTTGATGAGCGTAGGGCCCGCACGAGGTTGACCTAACGCAATTAGCGACGCCACCCAGATGCCAAGAGCCGAAGAACTTTGATTTGATCCCGACGAGGCTGAGGATAACATCATTCAAACTTTTTTGGCGCGGCGAAAATAGCAGTGACCTCTTTTATAAATCCTAGTTTACAGAACATTGTTCTGAGGTGAGCACAGGAACCGTATCAGTTCCGTACTTGTTGTTCGCAAGAGTATGGCGGACATTTTGCAGAGTAAGAAGCGGTCAGCCGCGGAGGCTTTTCGGTCGGATCAAAAGACATTTAAGCAGTCTCTCGAAACACACAGATCGGCAGTATCGAAGACAAAACAGTCTCAAGTGAAGACTGTTGACTTCCAGAGAAAATCCAACGGACAAGACGGAGAAGGAAAGGGCGATGTCTTACGCAAATCCGACACCCACTTTGCACCAAATGGAAAAAGCTCCAATCTCAAGAAACGGGCCCAAGACCTTCTACAAGTACGCCAGAAACTACCAATATACGCCCACGCAGACCAGATACGACAAACACTCCGAAAATACGATGTCATGTTACTGGTGGGAGAAACCGGTTCTGGAAAATCGACACAAATCCCGCAATTTCTGATCGACGAGTCCTGGTGCCAGCGCAAGAAAGTGAAATCCAGTGGTGTGAGTGTCGGAGGATGCATAGCCATCACGCAGCCACGGCGTGTCGCGGCGATCTCACTGGCGAGACGCGTGGCCGAGGAAATGGGTACGCCGTTGGGGAATTCCAGCCCGGCGTCGCTGGTCGGCTACTCGGTGCGATTTGAGAACAGTACGGGACCGGCGACGAGGATCAAGTTCATGACGGAGGGGATGCTGTTGCAGGAAATGCTGCGAGATCCTTGGTTGAAGGAATATTCGGCGGTGGTCGTTGATGAGGTCCACGAGCGTGGTGTCAATGTGGATCTTGTCCTGGGGTTTCTACGACGGTTGCAAGATTTGCGCGGCCCCAAGGATGGCAGAGGTGGTATTGGGATGAAGGTCGTCGTCATGAGTGCGACGGCCGATATGGAGAAGATCAAGGATTTCTTCAATGACAACCCAGTGGACGACGAAAACTCTGGTGATGTTCAGAGCAGTCCTCCGTCGAAAGAGATTGCGGCATCGTCATCGGCCCCGGCGACAAATGGCGTTGAAAACGGCAAGGCGACGGCACTGTTCATCAGAGGCCGCCAATTCCCAGTCACCATCACATATACCCCCAGCCCACTGTCAGATCTTCTAGACGCCGCATACCAGAAAATCATGCACATTCACTCACACTCACCTCTGCCAGGCGACATCCTAGTGTTTTTGACCGGGCAGGAAACAGTCGAGTCGCTGCTCAGTCTGGTCCAAGCGTGGTCCACCAGCATCTCCAAAGATGTTGTTCTCTCCAAGACACTCCCCAAACTATTGATACTCCCCCTCTACGCAGCCTTACCCTCAGACCTGCAACAACGAGTCTTCCAACCGACCCCGAAGTTCACGCGCAAGATCATCCTGGCCACCAACATCGCCGAAACCTCCATCACCGTCCCGGGGATCCGCCACGTCATCGACACAGGAAAAGCGAAACAGCGCCTGTTCCGCCCAGCGCTGAACCTCGACTCCTTACTCACGATGCCCATCAGCCGCAGCTCGGCGAACCAGCGCTCGGGACGTGCCGGCCGCGACGCCCCTGGCACCGCTTACAGACTGTACCCCGAGAGCGAGTTCTACAAGCTAGCGCAGGACACAGAACCAGAAATTCTCCGCTGCGACCTGAGCCAGCTGGTGTTGACGCTGAAAGCGCACGGGATCGACGCGCTGCACACGTTCCCGCTGCTGACGGCGCCGCCGCGGCGAGCCATGGAGCGAGCACTGGTGCACCTGTTGCAACTATCGGCGTTGAACCCCGCAGACGGGCAGATCACCCCACTGGGCCGCGAGATGAGTGTCCTGCCTTTACCGGCGAGTCTGGCGCGGGTGCTGCTCGCGAGCGCGCAGCCCGAGTACGACTGCGTCGCGGAGATCGTGGACATCGTGTCGGCGCTGAGCGTGGAGAACGTCTTCCTCAACATCCAGCACAGCCTGACCTCGCCGACCCAGTCGTCTCTCGACTCTGATCCTCTCGCCATCACATCCACATCCATCGACTCCGCCGCCGAGGACGACCCCGCCAGCCAAAGCCGCGAGGCCATCGCGCAGACGCTGCGTCGCGAACTGTTCCGGCGCGAAGGCGACCATCTCACGCTCCTGGCGGCGATGCAGGCGTACGAAGCCGAGACGACGGACCGCAAGCGCTGGTGTGACGCGCGCTTCATCAGCCATCGCGCGATGCGCGGCGCCATGGACGTGCGCAAGCAGTTGACGGCGCTGATGAAGCGGTATGCCGGGCAGAGGGAGGCGAAGGAGCGGCGGCAGCAGGAGAAAGGTACCGGTACCAACCGTTCGGATGTCGTCGCAGCGCCGCCAGCACCACCCACGTCGACATCCGACCCATCGACGCTCCCCACGCGCATCCTCCGCTGTCTGCTGACGGGCTTCCACCCGAACGTGGCGCGCCTGGCCAGCGACGGGACGTACCAGACGATACTGACGAACCAGCCCGTGGCGATCCACCCGAGCAGTGTGTTGTTCTCCGTCCCCGGCGTGGACGGTGCTGGCGGTGGCAGCGCGAGAAAGTTCGAGGGCATCCTCTACAACGAGTTCGTGTATACCGGTACCAAGGCTTATGCCAGGGGTGTCAGTGCGGTGGAGATGCGTTGGGTCGCCGATGTGGTTAGCTTGGGTCAGGAGAGGGGGGTGCCTTAGTTGGTTGGTTGGAGCTTTGGGATGGGCTGATGGAGGATGGCATGAGGGGGTTGTCGAGGACTCTTTGATGGCTTGGTTGGTACTTCGTTTTGCGGTGGTAGGGTTGGCATTTGTGGACATGTAGTGGAGATTCATAGCGTATCGAAGCCGTTCTGGGTCGAGATGTGACCAGGCCATGGTAATACAATGGTGAGGAGGTTGCTGAACATACAACCACACGTCGCAGGCGTTGCATGTATAATTGTTTCACATGACGACAACAGCTTGTTTACTCCCTGTGTAGTAGGCCATGGAAGCGTCGACGAGTTTCAGTCAGAGGAGAAGAAGAAAATTAGTGTTGCAGAGGCAAAGATTCAACATCCATGAACAGTAATGACATTCTATTTGCATCTTAGAGGCACATCCAGCACACCATCATACCCATTTGATGGATGATGCACATCTTCTCTTCGAGAGAAAAAAAACACACTTCAAATCTGTATGTGCAGTGAATTCGCATATGAAAACGAGAAAATCATTCAGACACTGCATCATGTTCGAGGCCTCACACGAGGGACAAACAGTGATCGTGATTCGTAACAACGCCCCATCCCGAACCGCCAAGCTCCAATACAAGATGATAAACATTTCTTGTCGATCGTCCTCAGGAGTGCCATATTCAGAGCTCAAAACAACGCAGACCAGGCCACCTCCTTGCCCATCTGCCAGAAGTACGCAACAAGAAGAAAAAAGACTGTATCCATCCATGGACAGTCGGTTCTGTGATCAGATGTTTGCTTGTTGAGCCGCTCAAGTATTTCCCCTGCGGTCTTTTCGCGCCTTATGTAAATCGACCAATAATTTACCCTACTCCTCCCCTGGGTATTCGCAAATATTCATTGTCGTCAAAATTCGTCACTTGCCCGAAGACAGAAGTGGGCAGTAATTCGTCAGTGACAAGCACTCAGGTCACCGAACCCAGTTCTCATCATCACGTTCATCATTCAACACCAATTCTGGATCTGACAAATCGGGAGCGGCTGACCACGAGGGATCTTCAACCATGGCTGGCGCCATATTATTCTTTTGAGAAAACAGTGGCTCCGGTGAAAATCCGTCAAGATGTGCATATCTTTGAGCCTCGCGCACGGTGAAGGAGTGTTCGCCAGTACTGCCTGGAGTAGAGACGCTGGGAGTCATGCCACGACTGACGCTGGACAATCTCGAGGTTGGTTGTTGAGATTGCTGCTGTTGCTGCTGCTGATTCTCGTGTTGAGCCATTTGCATTTGGGCCAGTTGATTTTGCAGTGCCATTCGTGCCGTCTCTTGTTCGGCTCGTTTGATGTAGTCATCAATATCGAGACCTGTCAGATTGTCGCTCGCCAACATGTTCGCTTGAGGGGTTCCGTAATACGAAGAAGCCGAGCTCAATCGGTATTTGTCGGAGGTATCATCTCCGGGACTGCTGATATCATTGAAACCATCAATGCTGACTTGACGGTCATTACTAACCGAACGGTCGTTGTTCCAAGGATTAGGAGGAGAATGTTCCTCCACCTCAGAAGGCTCACCACTTGAAGATGTAAGACCAATACGATTGATATGATGGGACAGATCGTACTGGTTGTATGTCTGTTGCTGCGGCATGTAGGGAGAATTTTCATTGTTTGGTGGGGTATAACTAGCACTGCCGGTATCGAAATTGTAGGTTGACCAGTCGATCGAGGAAGTGTCGTTGTTGTAGTTGAAGGCTGGTGGCTCATAGTCGTGTGCCTGCTCGTATGACATGAACCAACTTTCAGGGATTCTCTCGGTTTGCGTCAAATCTTGCTGACTTGCATTTTGGCTGTTTTGTAGGCTTGGATTTTGAGTATTGGGACTATCTGTGCCGAACGGAGAATATGAGTAGGCATTGGGATCGAAATTCGGTAGGGCAAGATCTTGGATGGTAGGGTTCGCTGCATAGGTTTGCGGTCCAAGAATGGGGGAGGCGTGTTCCGACTTGACTTTTCTCTGCACCGTCTCGATAGCCTCTGTCATCGAGTTGTGGAGCGGGGATTCGTGGAAAGGTCTGGAGTGCTTGGTCAAGGGAAGACTGTCGGTAGATCGTTGAGCAATGTCCCGATGGCCATGGAGGGAATGAGAGCGAGAAGGGATCTTGTAAGGGTTGCCGAGTTGATTGTGCGCATCGTTGAATTTATGAACGGGTTTATGGTGACCGTTTGTGATGACCGTAGGTTTGCTCTCGTGCGTGTTATGGTTCGTACGTGGTTTGGGATGGTCTTTGGGTTGGATGAGTTGAGGAATATCCTCCGGGACGGGGTCTAAGTGTTCCTTCTTCAACGAACATGTGCATTTGGAACCGTGTTGACAGCAACATGTGTGCGGCTCTGAGGGGTGGTCAGTCTGGTTGTGGTGAGCTTGCACATGAGCACTACCTGTTGATTTGGGGTCGTTTTTGTCGTGTGGGCAATCTTCCTTGGAGTGCGCCTTGTCGTGGCACTCGCATTTCACATGCTGGGCTCGAGCCTTGCGCAGGCCTCGGCAATGGTGACATTGTGAGACCGGTCTTCCTTTCTTGTTGACATGGACTAGAGGACGATCTGCAGAGCGCCAGGATTAGAATCATGTTTCCAGGGGGTTTCCAGAAGTCCACTTACCCTGATGATGGCAGGAACTAACTCGGTGGCCCCTCACACAGGCCTCGCAGGCGAATTTCTCTCCGTTGATGAGCATCCTGATAAGCCGCTGCAGTAATCCAATGAGTGTGTGCTCGTGACTGGAGTCGGCGAAACGACCAGGTCTCAGAAACCGCTTGTGCTAGTGATTGCGGGGTGTGCCAGTGGGTTGCTCGGATGAATACCAGGGGTGGTCGGAGTCGGTGAAGAAGTGTCGAGGGCGGCGGATGGTCGGATGCGAGGGATCGGTCGAGTCTATTCAAAGATTGATGTTTTGGAGCGTATGCACGGTGGTAGAGAGATCAACCGCTTCTTGGAGTTGAGATTTTGCGTTGTGGTGGTGGTGGTGGGTGAGAGCGATCGACGCAGGTTGTGCCAGATGGAAAATTCGGAGCAGGGTGAATGAGAGCGAGAGACGGTAAGTCGACAGTTACTGGGGGTCGGGATCAGGCATGATTGTTCTGAAAATACAGCCCGAGAGTGTGTAAAGTGGTGGAAGATGGTCGTGGGAGAAAGGTCGGATGGGTGGGAGAAGTGGAAGATCAAGATCAAGATCTGTCGAAAGACGAGACCACGCCGCAGGGTAGTTCGTGGTACGGAGGACTAGTAGTAGTTCACTAGGTATTTAGTAACTTAGCAGGTCAGTGCAGTGGACTCGTGCAGTGGTTGGCAAGACTAAGAGAACCCTCTGTGGGAGTGGATATCCCCGCCGTATTAAGTATGGCACTGCAGGCGAAGGTGTCGCCCACGGTCCACGGGCAAAGAGTTTTCATGCACTGGCCGTGGTCGAGGTGGGTGGCCCTGGTGCTGCTGGGCACCGCAAACCAAGAAGACCAAGCCCCCCCAACGTTCAGGTCACAGGTTACAGCTGCCAGCTGCCCGCTGGAAGGCGTCAACAGGCTAAAGTCACATATCCGTGCTTGAACGGGAGGTTGCAATGGAAGGAAGGAGTCAACCGGGCTATGCAAAGCGCGGAAAGTCCAGCTGCTCATGAGCGCACCTGACTCGGTGGCAGACATCGTATCCGGACTCCTACGAGTCTGCAACCCTACTACGTAGGTGGGAGGTCTGGCGACGGGCGCGGACTCCAGGACGCCTACTGAGTGACCCGGAATGCACCGCCGTCAAGACCTGTGGTGGAGGTCAAGGCAGCCAGAAGCACCTGGAATGACGCGATAGCTGGGGATGAGGAATTGGGTTCCTTACCTAGGTAGGCTTCTCCAGGCGGATAGAATAGGTCCTGGAGTACTCTACTGGGATAGGTACTTACGACGTGGGACGAGATACCTCGCAGCGCAAAGGCCACTCGAACACGATCTCGGCTCTTGGGGTACTTCTATAGTTGAGTCTAGGCGTAGTGCACGACCATTATTGACATATGAAGCCGCCATTTCAGACTATCAGTATGATTAGCGATGAACAAATCCTCATTCACTACCTAACTATGGAAAAGGCGTAACTAGTTAGAGGCAACGATCAGAAGTGCACTCCAGGCACGAAACCCTCGGAGAAGATAGGTTTTCGCTACCAGCCACGTCAGCTTCCCGAAGACTTCCATCGACAACTCAGTTCCAAAGCCAAAAAGACCTTGCGGACATTTGACTTTTTCGACTGCCGTCGGGTCCCAGGCTGGTCTCGTTTTTCTTTTGGGCTCAAATTCCCTAGAACATCGGGGCAATTCTCAGATCATCCCGACCCCGCCTAAAGCTGCCAGTAGACAAGGTATTCAGGGTCTCGGTGTTCAAGCTGGCTGTGCTAGGCCTTGGCCTTTTCTGTCACTCGCAACGTTGCACTCATGGGTTTCAGCCTCTATCCTCTCCCCTTGGATCTTATTGAGCCTCAAAAAGGCTAAAACATGTCAAACACCGATGCCGACGACAATCATCTCATATGAGTACAGAGGTCGGTAATATTAGAAACACGGCAATCGAAAAAATGAAATCATTCTTGTTTTAGATGTGGATGGCTTTTTCGCAAATCGTCATTTTTATCTAGAACACCATCGGGAATGGATGGCGTCGATAGCTAAAGCTGAACTATGGAAAGGGTGGTTATATTTTGCAGGCATGGTTGTTGTGAGGCTTTTCTAATGTCCCAATCCTTCCTGTTGGCCACACTGATAGAGAAAAATATCAGGCGGCAACTGACAGAAATAGAAGGGCAGCCATCATCGGTATTGTCCGTTCGTTGCGTCGTGATGCCTCTCGCGTCTCGCGTTCGTATTGCTGTGTGACTTTCTCAAACAATCGAACGCACTTTGAAATCCCTCAATTCCCAAAAACGCCACGATAATGCAGTTCCAGGGGGGTTCTGTACAGGAACAGAAAGCAGCAGAGAACGGGCAGATCAAACATCAAAGAGAAAAGAAATTTAACAGGCGCTGCAACTTTTTGCTTCACACGCTTGGTCCAGCCTTGATGACCTCCTCGGTGGCCTCGTCGGCGTACTTCTTGAAGTTCTCATTGAAGAGGACTCCCAGCTTGGTGACCTCTTCGCTGAAGTCGGCGGAGCCGGTCCAACTCTTCTTGGGGTTGAGGATCTCGTCAGGTACGTTGGGGCAAGTCTTGGGGACATTGAGGTTGAAGACATCATAGGTCTCGTACTCAACCTTGGCGAGCTCTCCAGAGTGGATGGCGTCCAAGATGGCACGTGTGTACTTCAATGGGCAACGCTTGCCACCAGTGCTGGCTCCGGCGCCGACCCAACCGGTGTTCAATAGCCATGCGTTGGTCTTGTGTTCCGAGATCTTGTCGGCAAGCATCTTGGCGTAGCGCATGGGGTGAAGGGCGAGGAAGGGTTGAGCGAAGCATGATGAGAAGGTTGCTTGTGGCTCAGTGACACCATCTTCGGTACCGGCCATCTTGGAAGTGTATCCAGAAATGAAGTGGAACATGGTTTGAGCGGTGTCGAGTTTGGAGATGGGAGGTAGGACACCGCGGGCATCGCATGTGAGGAGGATGATGTTGGTTGGGTGGTTGTCACTTAAGCAAGGGATCTTGGCGTTGCTGATGTACTCGATGGGATATGCGCAGCGAGTGTTCTCGGTCAGTGTGGAGTCGTCGTAATCGACATCACGGGTCTCGGGGTCGAAAACGACGTTTTCCAGAACCGACCCATATCGGATGGCGCCATAAATATCTGGTTCCTTCTCGGCAGAGAGACCGATGCACTTGGCGTAGCAGCCTCCCTCGATGTTGAAGACACCCTTGTCTGACCAGCAGTGTTCATCATCACCGATGAGCTTGCGTTTGGGGTCGGCAGACAGTGTGGTCTTACCAGTACCGGACAAGCCAAAGAAGACGGTGACATCGCCGTTCTCACCCTCGTTGGCGGAGGAGTGAAGTGTCAGGACGTTGTGCTTGACGGGCATCTCGTAGAAGAGGACTGTGAAGACACCCTTTTTCATCTCACCGGCATATTCAGTACCGAGGATGACCATCTCTTTCTCAGCGAAGTTGATGGCGACGCTGGTGGCACTGGTCATGCCAGTGGTGTATCTGTTGGCGGGGAAAGAACCGGCATTGTAGATGACATAATCGGGGTGGAAGTTCTTGAGTTCTTCTCGCTTGGGTCGGATAAGCATGTTACGCATGAACAAGGCATGGTAGGCACGGGCGCAGACGACTCGGACATTGATGCGGTACCGCTCATCCCAGCCAGCGTAGCCATCGACGACGTAGATTCGATTCCGGGTGTTGAGGTAGTCGACAGCACGTTCTCGATTGATCTTCCAGACCTGTTTGATTCATTCGTTAGCCAAATAGTCTTTCCTGTTTTCTCCGACGGAAGTCATGCAGATGCTGAGCCGACGTCGATGGCTCATCGGTCGTTGATAGGGATGGTGGGGCTGAATGGCGGATAAGTTCCGAGACCAGATGCCGACGCATCTCCCTTGTTTCCTATCGCCCTAGCCCCCCGTGCACACCCGCCGCCAAGAACTGTGTCCCAGAGAAACATGTGCGTCATGGGGTAAAAAAGCTAATTGACGCGGGGCAAACCCCCCCTCCAGGTGACCCGACCAGCGCTCGCCCACGCGAACCAACTGCATCACCATGCATGGCGGGGGACAAGCCACATCCAATGATCGATCGATGAACGTGACCAATTTCTGTCTTCATGGTTGCCGGGCGTCGAGCTGATCTCGATAGGTGCAAACCACGAAAGCCAGGACGTGTCGTGGCCATCGATCACCGAGGAGAGATAGGGTGGATGGAAGTTGGAGTTACACATAGGGAGAAATCTTACCTCGGGAGACATGGGCTTGTTGACGGGACCCCACCAGACATCCTTTTCTGAGGATTCCTCCTTGACTACCCGCTTGTCGAGTGGCGAACGACCGGTTTTGGAACCCGAATATGCTGTCAGAGCTCCTGAGGAGGTGATGGCTGAACCGGTCTCATAGACAAGAGCATCTTCGTAGAGAGCTGACACTGAAGGGTTGGCAACAATGGCTACACGATCATAGTCGATGTGAGCTGTGGTGTGAAGTTCTTCTTCAAGTTCAGTGTGTTCTCGGGACGGCCTGTGATGGAGCTGTTAGTACAATGCTCGTGAACGACAGTGACGTGGAGGAAGTAACATACTCAACACCGCCAGGATGTAGAGCCGTCTTGTTGACGGAGTGAGAAACCATTCTGGGAGAGAAGTTGCGTAGTTGTGTTTTTGCCAAGTTGGTTCGAGCTGTGCCAGTCGCAGGAGAAGGGGACTGAGGTCGAATTTGATGAACAGCTTGAAGACGAGTAGAATAATCTGAAGCCATGTGAGAAAAGCGTCCTTGATATTGTACTTGTACCTTTCTGAAGCCTGGGCCAAGCCGATGTGTAGGGCTGTTTCCGAAGGGTCGACGGGAGAGATCGGGAGAACAGGGCAAACTTCTGCTGGTCGAGGCTATCCGACTCTGCCCGAAGCGTGCTGATTGGAAGAAGCGATATAACGTGGATTTGCAATGGCCAGGCAATTGGAGGTCACTGCGGAGCATGCGAAAACGGTCTTGTTGTCCTTCTTATTATCGTGAAGCACTCGAGAACTGGAGGCAAGAGGTGGAGGGAAGTGACGACAAAGCACAGAAAGAGGAGGTAGCAACAAAGAGGAGGCAAATTACGAGCTGAGAAGACCGGAGTTTGGCAACGCCTTGGATCGCTTTTGGATCGCTCACCCCGCCTCTGATGACCATAGTACCACTGCCCGTGCTGCCACAGTCACAGTCATGTTTACCTTTTGAAACCTAACCATTCCGTTGGCCTGTTGATTCTTGGACACTGCCCCTTCGCTTCCGCGGATATGAAAAACTTCCAAACTCTGTTCCCATGTGGATGATCGGTTCTGTCGTTTGGCTTCGAATTTCTGCTAAGATGATGGCAGTCATGAATCCAAGGCCATCTTGATCTCTCATGGCCAATAGGAGACCTTGTGAAAGAGGTACGAGAGTCTTCTCATGTGGGGGGAGGTGTAAACATTGGGTGATTACCAAACGGTTATCCCAAACGGTCTATTGTCATTCGGATATCACTACATCATTGTGCGTGAGCTCAAAATGATCAGTGTGGGTAGTTGGAACTCCGTCTGTCCGGTAGGTAGTGATGCAATTGCATGTAGCCAATGTTTGGCCCAATTTAGATCTTCTATAAAGCTACAGCTACAGCATTGAAACCACGAGGACGATGAATCCCAAGAGTACTTTGGTAGATATAGTCACCTGAATTGCGCCGCTTGAAGAGTGCCCATGCTAGCCGAGTGAGGACGTTCATCCTCCATCAACATCTGCCACGGTCTGTCCAGTCAATCCGTCATGGTCAATCATGCAGTCTTCTGCCATGCTGCCCAGCCGCCAAGCAAACTGCTGGTCGTCCCTGCAAGACCAATGATGCCCTCGTCAAAGCTGGCATATCCCAGAGCCGTGCTTGGAACTGTGAGGTCACAAAGATCCGAAACCAATTGGATGTTCACAATCTGTTGTTGCCTGTGGAATTGTCAGAGTGACCGTCAAACCCGCCCTTTGATAGCATGTGACTTACCTTGCAAGACTCAAGCTCTCCACCTTGGCCTCGGCGTCCTTCTCATTCACAGCCTTGGATCGCTGCCTGAGCTTGTACTTGTTGTAGATTCCTGCGATGGCACTGGCTGTCAGGCCGGTGAACCAGAATTTGTACGCCGTAGCTTGCAGGTTCTTCGCGCGAGGATCTTTCTTCACACCCATGGCATCTAGCACAGTCATTGTGTCGAATAACAGATAACCAGCATAACCAATCTGTCTCAGGACTTGAAGATATTGCGTAACTTTGTCGCCATTGCCATTCTTGGCGGCTGCGTCGTACAGCTCGGAGCCCAAGCGAATATGTTCGACGAATTTGCCCACCCGTAGGATCTTTCTCGTGAGGCCGAATTGGGTCTTGATGGTGGTCCACGGTTGAATGGCGCTGGTTGGGTTGTTGGTTCGATAGAGATACCAAGAGTAGAATCTTGCAAAGTATTGGATGGTACGGAGGACCTTATCGCGGCCGACTGGACATGAAACGTGGTAAGCACGAGGGAATCAAGATATGATCCAGACCATCTTACCTGTCGTCGCGACAAACCGGAGATAATGGGCCACCGCAGGGTGATAGACTAGTGCGTCTGCGACCATCGCTGCGGTTCGGAACTGGAAACCCGCAAATTCGTGAGTGAAGATAACGGAAGCGGAAGGGCGAGGGGTAATCTGGTCTGGCGCAATCAGATGAAAGACACAAGCTCCTTGTATGGTTGAAGATGAAGGTGGGAAATCAGCAGCAAGAATAAAAGAATATGGAGGCTGATGGAGAGCCTTAGTATGGAGAATCGGGATGAGAGGGAGGCCCATGTGCCAAGTTTGGTGAATCCGGCCCTTTCATCGACATTGCCTCGGCATTCACGTTGCCGGTAACGTAACCTGAAGACTCGAAAGGTGAATGCTTGTGAAACCACCGCTACAAGGCATTGTTCTGGTCTATCCCTTGAGGGTATGGTGCCATAGCTTCATCGTTCGAACTATTCATTTATACCGATTGTTGTTGAGAACAAAAAACTCACACATACCTAGGTGACCCAGCTGATTCTGGCACTCGCCTACAGGGAAATTTAAGATCACTTCCGTTAGATGTTTAAGGTCTCTCCTGTTTAGGGTCTTGTCTGTTCGAAAACATTCCTACCCTCTGGTCAGGTAGTCTCAACAAGCATGCCGGCCCTTGTTGAACTTGATACTTCTCCTTCGCGTGACCTAGTCGGAGCCTGGCACGTACCTGACGCCTTCTAGCCGTGTGCCGCAATTCTGGACTGATACATCAGGTTGTCCCATGTTTTTTTTATCAAATAAACGAAATCAGCCTCATCGCCATAAACAAGTCGGTGGAGCATTAGGTACCGACTTCGTAAACACAACAACCCAATTTAGTCCAAGCTCAGTCTGCCGGAATTGATGATGCGGAAACCCAGCCAGTGAGCTCCTGAAGCCGAGGCTTCCTCTGATGGTTCTCATTCCCCAGCTTAACTTTTTGTTTCGTGAATTCCGTGCCGTGCGGAGATGTCTACCATCTCATCCCACTGACGTTATTAACCAGCTCATTGCGGGCTTCATGGGCATTTAGATACCTGGTCTCCTAAGCTCTCAAACTGTACATCATGCGACGATCATTGTCGTGATCTGATCATCAATTCTTCAAACCCTTCGAACACAAGCCTAGCTTAGCTTTCCATCCAAAGCACGCCATCTCTACGGTGGACTGCGGTATCGCGACCAACGACTCGTCCAGAACACCAATTTGGCATCCCTTCGACCGTGATTCTAGAGGTCGCAACTTTTGGCCTTGCCAATTCTTGATATCTTGTCACAATCTCACCATTGATTGAGGCCATGGCTACTAAATCTCCATATCCCGACATAGAGATCCCCAATGTTGACTTATGGGGTCTTATGTTTGACCAACCCCGAGAATTCCCCGATTCTCAAGGTATGTGGAAAATGAAGTACCTCACTGTCACTACGCAAAGACTGACATTCTGTTAGTAATATATCGCGCTGTCAACTCAGACCGGAGTTATACGTGGCAAGATGTCAAAGAAGCAGCCGCCGCCTTTGGCGCCGGTCTACGCAATTTATGGGACTGGAAGAAGAACGATGTATTGAACGTCTTTGCGCCCAACGATGTTGATTTCGGCCCGATCGTCTACGGTGTCTTTTATGCTGGTGGGATTGTATCACCTGCCAACCCGGCATATTCGGTGGATGAGCTGTCATTCCAGTTGAAGAACTCGGGTTCCAAGGCAATCGCCACAACTGCTCAATTCTTGCCGACAGCACTCAAGGCGGCCAAGAAGTCGAATATCCCTGAGGATCGTGTTATATTACTCGGATCTGAGAGAGACCCCAGTCACACCGTCAAGCACTGGACCAACATTCGTAAGACTTCTGGTGCAGTCCGCTACCGAAGGAGAAAAGCGGACCCTGATAAAGACCTGGCCTTCTTGGTGTACAGCTCTGGCACGACGGGACTACCCAAGGGCGTCATGCTGAGTCACAAAAACATCGTTGCAGATGTCTTGATGATCAAAGGATGTGTAGGCAAGTGGTATGGCACGGCGGAAGACAAAATTCTCGGTGTCCTACCATTTTTCCACATTTATGGCCTAACAGGGCTTGTGATGCAACCACTTCATCGAGGCATTGAGCTCGTCGTAATGCCGGCATTCAATCTTGAGGTGTTCCTAAAGGCAATTCAGCATCATAAGATCACCTTTGTCTATGTGGCGCCCCCAGTCATCGTTCGACTTGCTCGCGACCCTTCGGTAGACAATTACGACCTGAGCAGTTTGAAGATGATCACCAGTGGCGCAGCACCGCTAACGCGAGAGTTGGTGGACACCGTACACAAGAGGTTGAAGATCAAGATCAACCAAGCTTATGGATTGAGTGAAACCAGCCCCATGACACACACACAAGTAAGTCTTCTCTTGAAACCAGGGTGTTATCCGTGCCTAATCAACTTCCTCCTCAAGCCTTGGGACGAGTGGTATTCCTCTGTCGGTAGCGTCGGTAAGCTGTTCCCAAGTATGACTGCCAAGTACATTTCTGCAGAAGGCAAAGAGCTTGGGCCTGGTGAGACGGGCGAACTATGGCTATCCGGACCCAATGTGTTCAAAGGATATTGGAAGAACGAAGAGGCAACAAAAGATTCCATTACCGAAGATGGCTATTTCAAAACCGGAGATGTGGGATTTCAGGATAAGGACCACAACTTCTACATCACAGATCGCGTCAAGGAGTTGATCAAGTACAAGGGTTTCCAAGTCCCACCAGCAGAACTGGAAGGGAAACTTATGGACCACCCTGATATCGATGATGTGGCAGTGATTGGTGTCAACGACGAAGAACAGCATACCGAAGTCCCCCGAGCATACGTGGTCGCTGCCAACGGCAAGAACAGCGAGAAGGATGCAGAAGCCATCGTGAAATGGCTTGATGATAAAGTGGCCAGTCACAAGAAACTCAGGGGTGGCGTGAGATTTATCGATGAAGTTCCAAAGAGTGCAGCGGGAAAGATATTGAGGCGATTGTTGAAGGACAAGGCCAAGCAGGAAGAATCGCAAAAGGGAGGCAAGTCGAAATTGTGATGCCACTGATTCGCTGGGGCAGTTGATATGCAGTGGGTGGAGCCGCACGCCATCGCCATTGACACAATGTGTTTATAGCGCTATTATATACAACCGGGTCCGAATTTTGTAGATACCAATAGCAAATACAAAGCCTCGTATGGTGCACGGGGGAGCAGTATTTGATTTACTTGGATGTGCCTAGGGAGTGCTGCGTAAGTAAGACCTCGGTTGGTACTATTCTGATTTCCCGGGGCATTTTAGGTGTCAAACAAGGGCAGCTAAGCTTTGCTGGGCATGCACCTCTAATTACCCGATGCGGCCACCAAGATCTTCGAACCAGGTTGCAGATTTCACAGTCCACGACAGACCTCATAACATTTTCCCGAAGATGAGGATGAGGACGACCAATGTGTGGGTTGAAATATTCGCACGTGGGTGAATGCCAGTTCACACTTCGATATGGTCGAGAGGAGCTTCCACGCGTCCTTTCGATATCGAATGTTACGTCAACCGCCCGTTGCCCATCCTCGATCTCAGTCCTAGTGGCCGGCGAGTCGGACTTGCCGTAATCCTCTGGTTCAGAGTTACAACAGTGGCGTCCCTGTCCAATGATGCACCTGACCATGAGGATTGTTTGATCCCGCAATCGGTTTAGTTGCAGGGTGATCGACATTCTCTTTTGGTCTTGAATCCTGCACCTTGCCGTATTCCCGTTGTACATCCACTCATCGTGGCTTCCTTCAAGCCTGAGCTGTGGAATGGCAGGAGCGAACATGCTGTGGATCAGACGCACCTGCTACTTCGTACTCTGCTAGTAGCACGGCAATACCAGTTGCAAGACTCTGATCCATGTCCCACCCACTCCAACGACATCATGCAACTCAGCTATCTCGTCTGCATGGACTTGCTACTTTCAGTCCTCATCCACTACGATCCATTACACATATTGAGTTGAGTGACCCCTCTCACCTCGTATAAATACCAGGTTCAAGCTTCTTGGATCAGCTTGGAGTCCTCCCAGTCTAGCATCGTTGGCTGCATTCTCCCGCCAACCTCGTCTATTGAATCCTTTTGAGCATCCACCTGCCTGTCTGGGGCCCTTTCATCCTATCATCTGGACAAAATGGCGACTGAAAAATCCATTGAGCAAGACTTTTCCCCTGACGGCCGCCGGCTATCGGTCCATGAGGCGGCCTTGGATGCCACTCCTAAGAGTCGGTGGGAGAGAACCTGGCCCGTCTTCGCTTGTGGTGCTGGATTGTTTTCGGATGGCTATCTTAACGGCGTGATCGGGAGTGTAAATACACTCCTCAAAATACTCTACAAGGACGAATACGTCAAGTCGGATGCCCAGAACAATGTCTCTTCAATTGCCTTTGCCGGGACAGTTGTCGGCCAGCTTGTCTTCGGGTATTTGTCTGACCATTGGTCTCGGAGACACTCCCTTCTCATCTCGACCATCATCTTGATTATCTTCTCGGCGCTCGGTGCTTCATCCTATGGTGCCGGTGGAAGCATTCAAGGCTTGTTTGCTGCTCTGACCGCTTTCAGATTTCTCCTTGGTATTGGAATTGGTGGTGAATATCCCGCAGGTTAGTATTCAGGGGACCGCCATGCTCATTTGAATGTCATGTTCAAAGTTGGCAGCAGTACCACACAGTGACTAACGCTTTGCAGGTAGCGTGGCTTGTGCTGAGAGCACTGGTGAGCTGAAGCGCGGGCATCGTAACCGCTGGTTCATTGCATTCACGAATCTCTCAATTGACCTCGGATTCGTGGTTGCCGCCCTGGTTCCAATGATCTTGGTCCTGATCTGCTCTGAAAACCATTTGCGACTGGTTTGGCGGCTGTGCCTAGGATTTGGCATCATACCTCCTCTGTCTCTCTTATATCTTCGAATCAAGCTCCAGGAACCCGAAGAGTATCATAGGAACAAGATGAACCACTATCCCTACTGGTTGATCCTCAAGTTCTACTGGTTCAGATTGATTGTGGTCGCTTTGATCTGGTTCATATACGACTTCTCCGCCTATTCATTTGGCATCTACTCTTCTTCATGGCTTGTATTCCTCCTTCCAAGTACTGCACCGCTCTGGAAGACCTTCGGGTGGAACACGGTCATCAATTTATTCTATGTCCCAGGAGCTATCATCGGTGCCTTCCTCTCGGATTGGATCGGTCCCAAATACTGCCTCATCCTAGGCGTCTGGCTCCAAGGGATAGTTGGATTTATAATGACCGCCATCTACAAACATCTCGACCAACCTTCGCAGGTAGGAGGATTCGTCGTCATGTACGGGGTGTTTCTAGCTCTTGGAGAAGTCGGGCCAGGAGACAACATCGGGCTCGTCGCATCCAAGACATCAGCAACATCCATTCGCGGACAGTATTATGGGATTGCCGCGGCTTGTGGCAAGATCGGTGCCTTTGTCGGGAACTATGTATTTCCGGAGATTATCAAGGCCGCAGGAGACGATGTCATCAAACAAGGTCAATATCCCTTCTACGTGTCCAGCGCACTCTGCATCTTCAGTGGTTTCATCGCTCTCCTCTTTCTCCCTCATATCGGACAAGACACCATCACCGAGGAAGATGAGAAGTTCAGGGAGTACCTCATTCGCCAGGGTTATGATATATCTACATTGGGTACGAAGCAGTATCATCTCGAGAAGGAAGCCGCAATCTGAACCAATGGAGCAGAGGTTGACGGAGGAATGTTTAGTGGAAGGGCCGTCCGCCATTTCTATCAACCATGAGGATTTTTACTATGTAGTCTTGAGGCCTTCACCTTAGGCGTCCTAATAGCCATTCAATATCATCTCTCATAGCAATATTGCAGATATCCGTGAGGAAATCCCGACAATACCTGATGCTTAACCTACAACTGTCGATGAAGTCGAGACAGCGTGAGCGGAGCAGCAATAGTTTCTGTAACCACGAAAGCCCGTCCAGCGAAAGCTCGATGAGAACCCACACCAAGTAGAATGTCACGGGCTACCTCGATATGATCCTGGAGGGCACCATGGCAACCCAAATATTTGAGTTCTAGACATCGAACTGCAATCGCTCGATTGTCTCGTTTTGTTAAGCCATTCTGGCGTGGATGTATGAGCTCGCTGTGATTCGGAACAGAAAAGAGGGACCGGAGCATAAGTGTTCGGAGTCATTCGTCTATGAAGCATTCACTGCAAATATTACAGTGCATAGATACCCATGTTGGATATGCCATCTTGATTACCTGCCTAGGTACATATGTAGGGAACAGTAAAGGTGGAACATCACTAATTCGGTGCTTGAGAATCCCGCTGACCATTCTAACATAGAGTGTGGTCCTGCAATCAACATCAACTAACCCGAACCGAATGACTCGTGGTCAACACCTGAGCCCCATGCAGCGCCTGCAGCATTTCCTACAGCAGAGCTGCTGGTACCAGCACTATTTCGCGAAATCTCGGCGCCGACGACCAGTCTAGATTTGTTCGCATGCTTGCGGATGTGTTTCTCGACCTCGTCCTTGAAAGCCACTTCGTCCCAGTAGTAGTTTAGGGTAACTACGGTGTTGATGGGGTCGCTAAATTCGGGGACCAGGAGTAGACCAAAGACGGTGTCGAGGATCTGCTTGTTGGTTGTGTCAACAGTCCAGTTGCGATCAAAGATGGAGTGGCTGTAGTTAGATATTCGTTAGCTTCAAGGTCACTACATGAAAGATGCTCGGATATGTGTCTGACTTACCAAATTCTTCCATGTCTGTTCACATTTGGATGGAATACCGGAGTCACAAAGCGGCCCTGTGGGGCTCGACGGGGGTAATCGTCTCCCATGTCGAGATACAGAACGAAGCAACCAGATGCGTAGGCCGATCCACTGGGACCTTGAAGAACGATTTTCCAAAAACCCATGTTGGTTTCTGAGACGTAGACATCGTAAGAAGGGTGTGCATGAGCAGCGATGTCGCGAATCTCCAGCAGCAATCTCCGCGAACGAATGGATGTCGTTGGGACCGTGGAAGATTGTGAGAGTCGCTGACTTGCGATTTTCTCGATTTTTCCTATCTGAACAAATGAATCGTGCAAATTGTGGTGTGTTCTTCGTGCAGGGAATTGGTCTCGTGTCACGAGATCAGGAGTGGCTCGGTATCTGAGTCGCGAGACGCTGATGGCAGAGTTCAATGGTTGCCGATGCACAGGTGGTCGTTCGAAGATGGATAGGACGGGCTCCAGCTCGCAGAGCGAACAAGCGTCCTCGATTGTCTTTGGTACGAACTTATAGCCCCCTGAGAGGTAACTAATTGTCCGCAAAGACGAATTATCTTCATTCCCAATGCATACAGAATCGACGACGATCTCATTCTACATCAACATTCGTGCCACATCGTTGACCTGTCTGGTCGAACAAGTATCGTCCCCGTCGCTCAATACAATGATTCTCTTCTTGACATTGGGATATTTCTTTGCGATCTCTACCAGATGGTCAGCGCCAAGTGCAAGAGCATCCCATAGCGATGTGTCGCCCTCCGGGGTCATCTTCTCCAGTGCCTGTCTGAAATTCTCTATGACATCGGTCAGATTTTGTGTAATTCGAGCGGTTGTGCCAAAAGTCACCAAGCCAACGTTGGTAGCAAAATTGTACGCGACAAGTCGATTGATCAACGCACTGAAGACCTGCTTGGTAACTGACATCCTGGTCAAAGTTCTCTGCTTAAGAGCTTTGGCCTTTTCGTTGGACTTGGGGTCAACATAATCATAGAGACGGACCTTCAACACGCGGTGGGGTCCGTATCTGTCATTGTCGCCAGTGCTCACGCTTCTCTCGGTGGTCAGGTCAATCGAGGAACCAGCGTGGCCTTTTTTCACCAGATCTTTCAAACGCTCATATAAGAGTTCATTGTCCTTGATGGTGACTCGGGGCACGCCTGTCACAACTTTTGACAAGCTTGACCAATTAGAATTAGTTGATCCATAGCAGGTTCCATCGCCCGCATCTTTGAGATCAGACCAAACAGCCTTGTCGTGTCCCCATGACTGGAATCCCGATTTCAGAGCATAGCGCCACTGGCGAAAAACAATTGATCCGACCGTCAGCTGCGCATGGGTTGGGGTCCAGTAGCTAAAGAGCATGTTTGTTGGGTCATGACTCTTGTAAACTTTGATCAATGTAGAGTCCTCCTCAGCCGTGTTGCCCGCCGCCGTGTCTTGAGGGGCGTGGTTGGGAACGATTGTGATGGTTTGATATCCTGCTATACCCTTGGTGGTCATGGCCTCTTCACAGCACACCAGATGAATACTGCCGAAATACAAAGCGAACGAGGCATGAACCCCACGCATGCCTCGAAATGCAATCTTGTACAGGTCTAGGAGGGTCGCACTTCCGGGCACATCTCTAGTAAACCTGACTGATGGGGCAACAAATTCAATAACTGTCTTGGCTTGGCGGATGCTGAGTCGAGTGCGTTTCGGTGTCGAGGGCAGTGATTGAACAACATCATCTGCTCTCACCCATGCCTTGATCTGATTGGCCAATAGCTCGTTCCGTCTCAAGGTCGTATCTGAGATTGCCAGGCCTGTCAAAGGAGAGGTGCTTCGAATACGATACCATCTTTCTATCGCCTTGCGGTCAAAGTTGAACCCGTCAACAGTGATTACTGGGTCCTCAAACACTTGATGACTGATGGAACACAAATACTCTTCAGGAATGGTGTAAAATTCCTCAAGATCAACGGTGTTCATGCTGTCTTTGTTGGTGATCTTTGGGATATCGTCACCATATTTCCATTCAAAGTCCTTTGTTTGAAATGTGGGACTTGTGGCCATGAAAGCTAAGAAGTGTGAAAGAGATTTCTCATGCACGCTCAGTCCAGTGTAAATCTTCCTCACTGTATTCAACTCTCTTGATGAATCTCTTCTCCGCGAGTAGGATTGGGTTGCCCAACGCGAGATGCCTCTCTGTTTTTGAGAAAGATGTGCAAGGTGTCGGCCAGTCAAAGTTCGCAGAAACGAAAGGACTTCTGCTGCAGATGCAAGAGGCCGACGAGGAACTCCAAGATGGATAATTTCAAGAATATCTTCGTATGATTCGTGACTCTTCAACCAAGTCTTGATCTCATCCAGAGTGATAGGAGTGTCATCGTCATCCTCGATTAGTAGATCGGCGTCAGGTTCGATGCTTGACTCCGATGGGCCTGGTGACGAGGTATCATCATCGAGGTCCGCGAAATCTGAGGAATCTTTCATGCTGTAGCTGCAGTCCACGCAGAAGACAACAAGTTCAGTGGGAAGAGCATCCTTACGGCGGAATGTGGCACTAAACAAGTCAAAGACGTTGGTGCCATCTGCCTCACGAGCTCTGACGATAGGCTCTAGCTTTTGAGCAACGATGTTGACGTCCACCGTCTCCTCAAGCCCTGTCAAAGGATGGAAGACTGAATGATCTTGGCCTGGTGCTGCGCACGCGGCTCGACCGGTGTACACCGCCATTTTTCCATACCGATCCATGGTTAGGCTTGGATACTTTGCACCCGATAGCTGTCGTGGGGCAACAACGACAAGTTTTGTCTCTTCACACATGGATGCGAGATATTGGATATCCATTGAATAGGATTTCAAATCGAGGCGAGTATCAGAGTCGATGTGGTGATGGAGGGCTTCACCAAGGGCATTGGCCTCATAGAAGGAAGCCTCCGGAGTTGTACCTCCATAGAGCAGAGCAACACGGAGTCGCTGATTGTCATCGTCATTCTGCTGGGTGAGATCACAAGCAGGGCTATCTTTGAAGATGCCTGAGGAGGAAAAGACGTTGAACACACTTCTGTTGACCAAACCCATGTTCGTCAACACTGGCTCGGTAATGGGCTCCAATGTCTTGATGTCTCTCAAGTCGATAGTACGATAAGCGGTAATGTAGGGCAATTTATCATTTGTTCCGTGAGAATTGGCCGCCTCGAGTTGTTTGTTCTGGTTGACGCCAGCGCGATGGAGTATTAGACCGAGAACGAGTCTGGCACCTTCCAAGCTCCGTGTCATATCATTGGCGATGAGAGTCATGGGTATCAACTCTTCAGCCACCGCTCCAAGACTCTGAGCTAAGGCAGCGCTCTCATTTGGCTGTAGTGTCTTTCCATCCATCAAGACATGCGCGGCACGAACAGTAGGAGGGAACTTCGTCAGGAGATGTACAATCCGAAGTATTGAGTTCTGGCGGACGTCATCATATTCATCTGTGCCAATGGTATGAGTGAAGACACGAAGTGATGACAAGAGAGCTGCCATAGCCCGCTCCGATTGAGCTCGTGGCATCTGCCAGTGTGATGCAGCGGTGAACATGCCGTCTTTGCCCTTTGAAACTTTGTCCTCTCCCGACGACTTTCGCTCCACAGCGTAGAGAGTGAGGACGCCCTTGACGGCCAAGTCAACCAGATTGGCATCCAGGAGTGTCAACTCCATGTTCAGGGTAGTTATGGGCCCCTCGATAGTGTGAAGATCGAGGTGGATCTGGGTGGGGAGGCTGTTATTGAAAGCGAGGCTCTTGCTGAGATGCATAGAACTATGGCGTTTGGAGGCACAGATAGCCATGACGGGTAGTCTGTCGTAAATGTCGCTGTCCACGAGCCTACCACCTTTGGAATGTATCGCTTTGTCCTGAGTGAACGTTGGCCCATATCGCTCGGATATGGCGGTCATCAGAGATGCATGTGTAGGGTTTTCCGAGCGAAGTTGTTCAACTTGTCCAATACCTGATATAACAGTGAATGTTGATGAAGCAGCAAACGATGCCAGAGAATAGCAGGAATCGGGGCACTCGTATTCAATTCCAGTGGAGCATTTTGAATGGACGGCATGACCACAAGGTAGATCAGTACGGATCAATATAGATGCTTCGCAATCCCCAGGGTCAGCTGTGTGGACCACTGGCTTGGTCAGGGGCTGAGAACATCGTGCACAGCATTGGCCGACGTGTACTTGTGGATGATCGACATATGAGCAAGCACCAGGAGCATGTCCGATGCAGACAAGCTTTTCCCATACACCTCTCTTGACTAGCAACTCTGCCAATTTGCAATTGCATGCCTGATGCTGACTATCTTCCTGGATAGGTAAATAGGGGAGGTGAAGTTGGTGTGCGATATCAGTCTTTATTTGATTGAGTGTCGTGGTAGCAGCGTATTGACGTCCGTCTTGCAGCAATATTGGATGATCGTAATTGCGCTGTGCTGAGTTTGGCGTGACAATTTGGATCTGGAGTGATGGTTGTGTGGGTTCGAGGGCTGGGGGGTTCTCGTTGGAGTCACGTGGAGCCGAGGAGGAGGATGCATCTTGAAAGATGATAAACAGTACCTCACTCGGAGTGAGGATGTCCTGAACGGTGTCTTCAGACTCGATCAAGAAGCCGTCCTCAGAACCAAGGCACAATTTGAGATGCTCCTGACGGATTGTGGAAGGTAAAGAGCGATATTTGGCCCCTCGATTGAGGACAGCCTTGGTAAGGTCTTGGAATGTGCCAGTGCCGTCAAATGGAAGAACCATGTCCAGTCTGTCACCCTTGGGAGGGATGAGGGCCACCTTGTAAGGCGCCATGACTGGGATGAGTTGTTGTGTGGCAGAGTTATTGAAGTTGAATCAAGAGAAAAGATGGGAGAGAGAGATGGTAAGAGCAAGGGTGAAGGAAGAGAAAGATGAAAACAAACCAAGTTCACGAGACCCAAGGGTGACGGATCAATGTCACTCACAAGTGAAGAAACAACTGGGGCAGTGACAAACAAGCAGGCAGTCATACCAAAGTAGATATTGAAGCCAGCGGGCACCAGAATAGTAATGATCGAGGAAGGTACAAGTGACCATGGGCTACCTATCAGACAGCCATGCACAGTTACGGGCATTTGTTGCCTTTAACCCCGCCCTAGTAAGAGGCAATACGAGAACAAGAGCTGGGCATAGCGTGAGCAAGGCGCAAGGCGAGCAAGAGACGACAAGGCTGAATCATTGGTAGGCTGATACGTGCCATGTTGCACCGAAAACGCGATTAGAACGCCCAAGTACATGATACCTACTTAAGTACCTCACATACCGCCCTGAGCCAGGTAGAGAATTTATAGCATCCTCGCTTTAGTGGTGGGAGTCTAGAACAATACGTACAAATTGAAAAGTGTGATAGATGCAGGTCTTGAAATGGGAGCCTTCGGGAGCAATTCAAGTGAATGGCAATGCCTTGGAGTTGTGGCCGTAGAAAGAGCTAGCTGGAAATGGATTAGTGCTCCCTCAAATCGATGTCGAATCGGAGTTGGGCAGTGGGCCATGACTTGGCGCGTCCGTCCGCAGGCTGGCAATCGATGGCGTCCTCTCCAACTGGCAACCATTGATGAATTCATCGTCGCTGTCTACACCTGTACTTCATTTTCTCACAAATCAAAGCCACCAACCCTAATCTCCTCACTGTCTCACCTCTTCCCTCCATACCGAGTCAACATTAATCTCTACAGCAATGGGGTCAGATCCGCAGTTTGCCAAATATCCCGACCTCAGCCTCGCCCAGCACATATTCTCCCTGGTCACAGCACCTACCACATCACAGCCGGCATCATTAAACTACCTGCAAAATGCCATCAAAGAACACAAGATGGCTCCTTTGTACCGCCACTTGGCTCATCCAACTGAGGGTGTGCTGAACATAGTTGGTGAGGGCACATCTCAACCTGCCAATCCTCCGCAAAAACCTCCAACCAGACGGGCCTCACTTGTGTCAAGCAACCTTGTACCGCTCAAGAAACAAATTACTTCAGGAATTCTACCTTGGGACGAAGGCTTGTACAATGGGCTCAAGGCTGAAAACGATAAAGAGCTAGAGGAGTTTCAGAAAGAGGAAGAGGACGCTGAAGAGAAAGCTGGCGAGACCGAAGTGCAGGCCGCTCGAAGCAAGCGGGCGGATTTCTGGGCCCGGGTTGGGGACAAGGTAGGAAGCGTTGAATTCCCATACTGCAGAATGCCACTAATCATGCGTTGCAGGATAAAGCAATTGCTGCTTACGAGAAAGTCCTGGACAAAGCCGGTCCTCTCGGTACCAAAATCGATGTCGTCCTTGCCATCATTCGTATTGGACTTTTCTTCAACGACAAAGCGTTTGTCAAGAAACAGGTCGACCGAGCCAATATCCTCGTGGAGGGTGGCGGCGATTGGGACCGAAGAAATCGATTAAAGGCATACAAAGGTCTCCACCTCCTCACAGTCCGATCCTATAGCCTGGCGGCACCCCTGCTCCTCGACAGTCTTTCCACATTCACCAGCTACGAACTGTGCAGCTATTCTTCCCTAGTCACATACGCGGTTCTTGCGGGATCTTTGTCGTTGAAACGCGTTGATTTCAAAGCCAAGGTGGTAGACGCGCCAGAAATCAAAGCAATTCTGGGTGACGGTGAAGAGAAGGCTCCAGGTGCGGATGAAGAAATGAAAGACGTGTCTGCATCCACGGCTGATCGGGCAACTGGTCTCGTGAATCTGACGACACTAGGATCAGGATCAGCTGTGGAAAGCCAAACTGAAGCCCCGGTGGATATGTCTTCGCTGGCCGGACTGGTCAACAGCTTGTACTCCGGCAACTATCGTGGCTTCTTCACGTCCTTGGCAGGCGTAGAGGAGGCCTTCCTCACGCATGACCGCTATCTCTATGAGCACCGTGCTTGGTTCGTACGTGAGATGCGTCTTCGAGGATATCAACAATTGCTTCAATCGTACAGAGTGGTAGGACTGGCTACCATGGCCTCAGCATTTGGCGTCAGTGTCGACTTTCTCGACAAAGATTTGGCCAAGTTCATTGCAGGAGGTCGGGTTAGCTGCACCATTGATCGGGTGCAAGGAATCATTGAGACGACTCGTCCCGACGACAAGAACAAGCAATATGCCGATGTGGTCAAGCAGGGTGATGCTCTGATCACTAAACTACAGAAGTATGGACAAGCTGTGAGATTAAGAGGCAGCGAGCGGGCTTAGGAAGACGCTTAACTCCATTTTCTTGCATCCACCAAGATCACACATGTACTGGCATCATAGAGGCAGGAAGCATGAAAAGCGCCAGGCGTTTCGGGAGGCTGCAAATGAAATGTAACAAGATGGCAGTTATCTGGGATCAAAGGATACCTAGGTAATCGGTAGAGCTCAACAGGTGTCTAGAATACACAGCAACCACTGACCGAAGCAGGTCCTGCCACACAACCTGAACCAGTATGCTGTCCAGCAAGTAGCACCTACCTCACGTGCATCACACATTCTTTGTACACTGGCACGCGAAATTGGTTAAGCCGTCAAGTTTGTGATCTCTCTCCTCTCCAAGCAACGACTCCAAATCAACATGACGAGATGCATAATCTAGCCGCATTCTCCTCCAATTGATCGCTCGGCTCAAATAGACGGTGGAATTCGTGGTTGAGGCTGTCAGTGCCACCCCCACCCCACATTTCAAGTCCATTTTCAGCTCCAACCCCAGCGATAAGATAGACGGGCGCCGAGGGGTTGGAGATTGCAGATTACAGTAGGCTTGCAGCAGATCAGACAGCTTGTGTCAGCGGGCTGTTTGTTGCTAGCCAGAGGTCAGTAACATTTTCTTTGTTGATTCTGCTATCTTTCTTGCTCTATCGCTCCCTATCATACGCTCCCACCAACGGCCATCTACACTTACGTGTGACTGGCTCACAGCTTGAGCTGTATCCATCCAAGATCGATCGGATCTTCTCGCAGAGAACTCCAGTATTCCTTCTCCGAAACTCGAACGCCCCACTCGTTTCCGTCAGAGGCTCGAGAGTTTCAGACATGAACTCATTACAGTCATATAGTCTTCTTCAAAGAGCCCAACTTCTTTCTTCTGAATTGGCCTTCGCCTGCACCGTCTATACCTCGACCAGGACTCTCTCCACTTCATCCCGCAGGCCGGACCAGTCTCGAGGTAAGGAATAGTCGTGGTCTGATTTATGGGTCGCAACTTGCATACGAGTGACTCCTTCAACCCATGCTTGCTTCTGTCCCGACTTTTTTTCTGCCAACGCAAATTTATCATATCATCCGGTGACCATGGCTAACCTCCTGCTATTTAGTCTCGCTGTTCCGCCCCAGATCATCACCACACATTCCACACCGTCGCCGCAACATGTCGTCCACATCCCGCCTTCGCAGTCTCAACATTGACAATATCAATCCTCATGTCAAGGAAGCCAAATATGCCGTCCGAGGCGAGCTTGCAATCAAGTCAGAGGAATATCGTGCCCAACTAAAACACAAGAATCCTCCCACACCGCCAGACTCACCGCTTCCATTCGACACCGTCATTTCGGCCAATATTGGCAATCCTCAACAGCTGGACCAGAAGCCCATCACTTTCTTCCGACAAGTTCTCGCCTTGTTGGAGAACCCGGCCCTGCTCGAGAACGAGGAGGCACTCAAGTCGAGTTTCAACTACAAGCAAGATGCTATAGATCGTGCTCGATGGCTACTCAAAGAGATCGGATCAGTTGGTGCATATTCACAGTCCGCCGGTGCTCCGGGCATACGGCAGTCGGTAGCCAATTTCATTGAGAGACGTGATGGATTCCCGGCCGACAAGGACCAGATCTATCTATCTGCCGGTGCTTCTTCCGGGGTCAATACCCTTTTACACGTTATCTGTGCCAGTCCTGATACGGGAATACTGGTTCCCATTCCACAGTATCCTCTCTACACTGCCACGCTGTCCATCCTCAACGCAAAATGTGTTCCTTACTACCTTGATGAGTCACATGCTTGGGGCACAGACTTGAAGGTTATTCAAGAGGCGTATGACAAAGCCACCAGTGAAGGGACGGATGTTCGTGCGGTCGTCATCATCAACCCAGGGAACCCCACTGGTGCATCTCTTCCCGAAGAAGATGTAGAGGCCGTGCTCAAGTTCGCTGCTGAGAAGAAGTTGGTTGTCATGGCTGATGAAGTCTACCAGACCAATGTCTTCGTGGGCAAATTCCACTCCTTTAAACAAGTGCTCCGGAAGATGCAGAAAGCCGAGCCAGGAACATATGACAATGTTGAACTTGCTTCTTTGAACTCTGTGTCCAAGGGTATGGTGGGTGAGTGTGGTCACCGCGCCGGTTATTTCGAGCTGGTCGGGTTCGACAAGGAAGTGGCAGCGCAAATATACAAGTTCATTAGCATCATGCTGTGCCCTCCTGTCATCGGTCAGTGTCTTCTGGAGGTCATGGTCAATCCTCCCAAAGAAGGAGAACCCAGTTTCGAACTCTACAACAAGGAGTACAATGGCGTGAAGGATGGCTTGAAGAAAAGGGCCCAAGCTCTGTACGAGGCATTCAAGGAGATGGAAGGCGTTGAAATCGGCGAACCTCAGGTATAACTCCTTGCTTTCCTCTTCCCCATGTTTTGACCATTGCTAACCAGATTAGGGCTCGATGTACCTGTTCCCCACGATCCACGTTCCAGAAAAAGCTGTCGAAGCGGCTCAAAAAGCAGACCGTACCCCTGATGAGTTCTACTGCTTGCGCCTACTTGATGCTACTGGTATTTGTGTCGTACCAGGGTCCGGCTTTGGCCAGAAGCCCAACACCCTGCATCTCCGGACCACGTTCCTGGCTCCGGGCACCGACTGGGTTGGCCGGTGGACAACCTTCCACAAGGATTTCTTCGAGCAATATAGCTAGATTCGTGGGCAGGATATCTCTGTGGGAAAATAGATGTACATCTGACTTAGCATCGGCGAATCTGAAAATGGGCTTCTAGCTTCGTGGGACCACGATAAGTGGGAGAGTGGATTAAGAAATCGAGCTTCCCTGGTGGAATTATCACCTTGAAATATGCAGTACAAATTATATGCAAGTTACTTCACAAATCTTGGGAGGATCTCAGTCCATAATGGACGATTCTCCCTATAAGCGTTGTCCTTGCAGTCATTCCTGTCGATTTACGCCCAGGTCTCTCAGAAAAAGCAACTCGGGCGGCCGCCATTCACATCTGGCGTTATTCGTGCTTCGATCCCAAGAGCCCCCTCACCCCAGACGCCACTGAGGCTTCGAGATCACATCAGTGAAATCCGAAGCGAAAGAATCAGAAAAGTCACATGATCATCACCGATAGAACATGGTCCTGATTAACCTCCTTCCTTTTCCGACCAACCATTCCCGTGAATCAAACGAGGAGATGGTCAGCCTTGCTTATATAACAACTCCCTCGCCACTGGCCAGAACACTCCTTCGCTCAACTCCATGGCGGAGCTTTACCCCCTTTGGTCTCAGCGGCCCTTGGCGGATCGTCCAATGCCAGTGCGAATGTAACCATCGAGGGAGAATGTCAACTTCTGCCTGCTACCTCATCCCCCCGTTGGTGAGTTTCCTATCTGTTGTCGATTGTCGAAGGCTTGTGCAGCCCCGTCTCTTGCTTGTCATGTTGAGATTGTCGTTATGAGAGTCGATTCCAAAGCTTGAGTTCACGGCGTGTTGTATTGAGATTTTCAGCTACCTTCGGCAATCGTTCATCGATCGGCCTCGGACGGCCCCGCGCCGTGAGCGTGTTGAGAACGGAGATCTCGACTTTCCGAGAGAAAAGCGAGAGGAAGAAAACCAGAGAGGGTTCCTTATTCTCTTCTATTCGGCGAGGAGGACCTCTTCTGCCTTTTTTGTTGCCATGAAAATCAAAAGTCCAGGGAGTCCTTCCTATCACAGGGAGGAGACCTCCCTGCTTACACTACCCGTGGAAATCCGCCAGAAGATTCTCATCTATAGTCTCTCCAACATCGACAATCGGCTCATCCACTCTGCTTCACGTCTGCCGTGGGTGGAACTCTATCGCGGCAAGCCATCCCCAACACCATCAATTCTGACAGTCTGTCAACAATTACACGCTGAGTGCCAACAAGTACTCTGCCGGAAGGCTAAGCTGGTCGTGTATCTCCAACCAGAATCTGTGCCACGGTTACAACGTCTGGCTATCCGGAAGTTTGTGCGATATCTGGATATCGCCATCCCTTTACTCGAGCAAGACAGCCGGATCTCAGTCCGCCGCAAGGCCACCACACTACTTGCCCGTCCAGCGGAGAAACTGATCCCCAAGCTTGTGGCCGCTTTTCCCCATGTCGAATCCATCACGCTGACACTATGTCCCATGCCGTCCCGCCAATTGGCCGTGATGCCATACATGACGGGCTGGCGCAACTACGAGCTCCGCACACTGCTGGCACAGCCGTGGCTCGCGCAAAAGGTGACGAAAGTGCGACTCCAGCTAGACGGCTCCATGACCAAAGAGGTCCTCGAAATGGTGCAGACGATCGGTGCGGGCGTGGATGACCGACCCGCACACCTGAGACAGCTACGCCAGCGGCTCGCGCAGATCAACGAACTGCCCGGCCTCCAGGACCTCGAGATCTACTTCACCACCCTCCTCTCCCGACCCAGCCACAACCGTCCCATCATCTGGACGATCCAGCAGCAACAGCAAGCCGAAGAGGTCGGTCAGACGCCCGCAACCCCGCCCCTGACGGCCAGTCAGGCCATGTTGACGCGACACCTCCGCACCGAGAGGCAGCAGATGGAGGGAGTGTATGATCTGTTGAAGGAATTGTTCCCGCAGACAAAGCGGTTGAAGCTGTTTCGCATGCTGTATTGGCGCGGCACGTTGATGTATGAGGTGGTGGACTTTGAGAGTGATGTCGAGCTGGAGGTGGAGAGGCTGTTGAGCCGTAGGACGATTGGGTCGATGCCGACGACGACGACCCAGCGTGTGGGCATCAGAGGGTCGCAGTGATTGATGCGATGATGGATGATGGTGGCGGCGACGATGACTATGAAACTATTCTGAACGGGACAATGTTGACGGTGGTACTTGGAAAAAAGACCGATCTTTTGGCTCGGTCGTCCTTTTTTTTTCTCTGCATGGTTCGGGTTGCTTTGTTGCAATGATTTCATGCGTTTCGCTGAAGCATCACGGGTCAAGATACGCATGCCATGGGCTAGACAAAAATCTATATCATTTTCAAGGCAGGGAAATGTGAAAACTCAGATATTGACAGAAACCAGACTCGGAAAAGCCTGAATCAATCTATCAATCTATTTTACATCTTGGAAACATATTTTTCCATTTGTTTCCAGCTCTCTGGGTAGAGACTACTGAATACCAAGTATGGATGGATCACAGGGGGAACACCAATTAGATAAGCAATCACACACAGAGAACAGACGGCTCGGGGATGCGTTTCCGGCTTCGGGCCAACGTCTTAACTAACTAACGCAGAGTCTAGGACTTAAATAAACTTACTATTGTTCTTGAGATATGTGGCTGGTCAGTCGCTCCCCCCTTGACTTCTTCTTCTCCTGTTTGTCCTCCTCAAGTTTTTTTTCCCTTCCATTTGCAAAGAGATCTTTTTTTGGTCATGTGTCTGGGAAACTTGCACTGTGACAGTCGGTCCTGACGTTCGCGCCATTGGGAGTTGACCCATCAACCAACACGAATTACAATTCCGCAGTTGGCTTGCAGGCAAAAGGAGTTATCTGAGAGTCACCATCATGTCCGACTCTTCAGCGCCCAGTTCGCCAGGGATCGTGCACGAATTCCCTAGAAGGGAGTTTCTTGCGTCGACTACTGCTGCTACTACTGCTACTGCTACAAGAAGCTTTGATCCTTCGGCTGAGCATCACGGCCACGACTACCGTGCGGACCAGAATGGTGGCACCGGCATCCCTCGGCCGGCATACCGTGCACCCATGTACATACATCCATACTATCTACCTGGCGGGAATCGATCGCTCTCGGGCATCTCGATACGCGCTTTCGGCTTGGGCATTGCGTTTGGATTCTGTGTACTGCTGACGGTGGAATTGGTCTACTTTGGCTATGGGCTCTGGCGGGCGCCGTGTTTCATTGCGACGCTTGCCATCTTTCACTATCTCGAGTTTGACTCGACGGCACGCTATAACCCGCCTGATGCACGGCTCTCGTCGTTTCTGTTGCTCTCGAACGGCATGGCTTATGCGTCGGCCCATACGGCTGCTCTCTTAGAGTTGTTGGCTCGGTATTGGCTGTCTTCTGAGTACAGACCCAGCTGGCTAGTTGCGCCGTTCTACATTCCAAAGGTCTTCCCGACGATACCGTCGAGCGGAACTGTCGTTCTTGGTTTTGCTCTCATCTTGGTCGGCCAGACTATGAGGAGTCTGGCGATGAGACAGGCGAAAACGAACTTCAACCATATTGTGCAATGGACAAAGAAGGCCGATCATGTCCTGGTGACCGACGGTGTCTACTCATTCTCCAGACACCCCTCGTATTTTGGGTTCTTCTGGTGGGGGTTGGGAACACAGATCATGCTGGGAAACCGCATTTGTTTTGTTATCTATGGCCTGGTGTTGTGGAGGTTCTTTCATCACAGGATTACCCGTACGTATGGTGAAGGAAGATATTGGCCTGGCTGACACTTACTTTGCAGATGAAGAGCGCCATCTCGTCTCTTTCTTCGGACAGGCTTACATTGACTATCGCAACCGCGTCGCGGTTAGAATCCCATTTATTCGATGAAGACAATCCAGAGGATGAAGACGTTAAGATTCACTTGTCGAAGCCTCATGTATCTTTCCCTTTCTCTTGCGAGTGTCCATCGAAGATTTTGCCTTGGGCGTGATTGCTGTTGATTCGATGTTAACAGGCAAGTATGTGGGTACTGACTGTTGCTCAAGCCAAGGGATATCAACTTCATGGATATTTTCAAGCACAAACCGACTCAGGTTATTTACTCCGGGAGCATCGAACTCGATACCCAGGACTCCGACACGAGGCTGTTTCAGCGCTTCTGCAATCTTTGCTTCACTCTGGGGGCTGATGTCGATCAATCTCGCGCGGCTGGGTTTGGTGGCTGCAGTAACGAGCATTGAAGGTATGGAGGAGGTCAAGACTTCTGGGAAGGAACGACGACAGACGAGAACGGCAAAGAGATTTGTAGGTTCAGCTTTTGAAGAGCCTGAGGAAGATTTCTGGGGCTTCGAGAAACTGGAGGGCCTCCGAACTTGAGACAACGCTTCTAGTCTTCGAATGGTTGTATTGAAGCCGATGGTGAGATGGCTGGTAATTTCTGGCATTGTGACAAGAGGTGAACTTTGTTCCTCGCCCGAGGAACCAGGGGGGGTCCCTACTCTTCCCTTTCCCCTTGAGCGAGCAGCATTCCGATGTCGAATGTCACTGATAGGTTGGAGTAGAGGAAGTAGGAGCGCAAGGATTGCGGCTTCATCATCGGGGGAGACTAACGGCCTGCGAGATGTTAGCCGTGCAATGAGTGTTGGCAATGGGTATTGGGGTGAAATCGGACCACTGAGGGACAGGGTAGGGCAATGCAAGGGCGTGCGCCGTCTTTTTGTATTTCTCCATTTACTGTGTCGTTGACGAGAGAAAATGCATCTCGACTTGGGAAATGCAAACGATATTTGGACATGCCACTGGGAGAAGGATATCAAGATACTACCATGGGAGTTTGAATGGTGCGCCGTATTCAATTCTACTAGTGAGGTACTAACTAAAATACACGCGTCTGGTTAATAACGCGACTGAGGGGCAGGTTCACCGAGTGGAGTGCCGCACGCCCAACTACGGGTACTTTGGCTCTCCACCCGCGCTTTGCCTTGTAAGTCAGCATCTTGGGAGCACCAAAGGCCACGGCAGCCTGGTCAACGACTCATAACCGTTTTGATCCTTTCCTCATACACTTTGCCCGATATTTTTGGTCACTCAAAAGCATTCATACGTCTTCTCCATTTGACCCGGAATATTCCAAACGTCTTTCCTTCACAATCATCCCCTCCAGCAAACAGCTGGTCGTCCTACTACCCCACCATCATTCTCTTCTTCACATTTGCCCCTTCATCCATAGGCGCTAGAGAGACATGGCCCAGGTGCATTTTGGTCACTTGTATCCCACCCAGGCTCTCATAATCTGAGGGGCAGCTCTCAATTGACTGGGTCCATCACCTGTGTGCCGTCTGGCTTGCGGACTCCAGTTTGCTGGAATCAGGCTGCCTCGAAGCACCGGTGTTTGCCTTGCTTGACAGTAGGCAATCCAGCCGTGCCAAGAACTTTGACTGCCTGGATCTCAACCACTGCACTTCACATCATTTCTCAGTCATTCTCACATTGTGGCCATCAGACGATCCTGAGTCCCATCTTTCTTGGTGGCGGCCTGCGTATGCCACCCGAAGAGTCATGTCGTCCTCTTTGTCTGATTCTTCCATCCGCAATCGCAGTAATTCCACCGAAGACTCGGAATTGCCAGAACATGAGCACAAACGCCCGAGGCTGAGCGATACCAAGCCTGACGGTACGCACATCATGTCGGACCTGCAGCAGGAACAGTTGTCTTCCACCACTGCACCTGCCATTTCCAGTTCTGATTCGCACGATACTGGTACCCAGGATCAACGTCATCATCTCACACCACCTTTACCTTCTTGTTCCTCCATACCCACCACTGCTGTCGTCTCTCCCACCAGTAAGGTCACCATCAACACCCGCCCATTGTCGTCTCAATCGGTTACACAGCCCACCCCTGCAGCCATCGACTACTCCGGTATGCCAACCAGTCAACTCTCCCCCCCTTCAGAAGGCCCGACGGTCTGTGGAGAGACCACACAAGACCCCCATTCCCCGACTGTTGCTCCTGAAATTGCCCCAGATATTCCCGAAACCATAACGATCTCGTCTTCTCCAAGTAAGAGTCCCGAAATCGAGGTTGCTGAGGTTGAGGATTTCGACCAAGATCCTGCACAGACGAAATGGACCGGTCGACTAGGCGATGCATCCCCTGCCCCAACGACAAAGTCGATTCAAATTGGTCATGTTTATCGTACCTTTCCCTTTGCGCAGGAAACCACCCCTGGTAATGTCAGTCGAGTCGTTCAGCGGATAGCCGAGCGATTTCAACATGGTACTACTCAGGATGGAGAGCTTTTCAGTCGGGTCAATGCTTGGATGATTGATTTCGTTGACCGCTGCCCCGGATTCTCCGCAAGACTCATTGAAGATGACCGGGAATTCTGGGCGTGTCTACCGGACTTGGTAGGGGGACTCCTGAGGAGAGAGTCAGCGCCACCTGCGCAAGCTCGCACAGAAGACCTCGCCAATTTTTTCAACGCATACGCTCAAATCACCACACTTCTCATTGAATATGATATTCGGAATCTACAAATGCTATCACAGAATATGGATCCGTCTCGTCTACGCAACCTTACACTCATATCCGCACCATATCTACTACCCCTTTCCTGGGTCTTCCAATTTCGAGTTCCTTTCTACGAGGCTTTGCAAAACTCGCACCAATTTGACATCGCACAGTTTCATGCCCACCTCATTGGGAGAATTCTGGATGCTCCAAAACCAGGACTTCTCTCCTTGGTTTCAAAGCTGCTTTCGGAACTCAGCCCGTTTCTGGCCAAGAGACAGGACTTCCTCAGATCTTTCATCAACCTCTTGATCGTTGTCCAATATATGATGGGACGAATCAATACCATCAATTCACAATTACTCGATGTGCAGTGGCCGCCTCTCGCACAGCTCGATCAGCTCCGTGACTTATCCGCGGAAATCATCTTGGCGGCAGACAATATTCTTCAACAAGCGATCGTCAAGCAGCAGCCGTGGTTGAACTTAGATACCGCTCCCAAGCTCATCGAGCAGCTTAATCCTCTGATGGCTAGTATTGCAATCGAGGTGCCTCAAATTGGACGCGACATCATCTCCACTGCAGGCGTTGGCTTTGCAGACTCCGATCTGACTGACCTACCGAGGACGATGCCCTGGGCCTGGAAGTTCAAGACTCTCCGGAAATTTGTGACTCATGGACGAATGGAGCTACGGGTTTGGGGCATTGAAACTATGTCGACCGACCTCATACAGGTCTACAAGGACAACATCGACGGCAGACCTCTGGCGCATGCAAGAGCAAATCCTCTAGTCCAATTCTTGATCAAGTTCATTGTGGAAAATCAATTCGTTGATTACATTGTCGGAGTGGATTCCCATCCTCAAGTTATTCGTCGCAGTCATAACGTGGTTGGCTTTCTGTGTGTTTCTGGAACGTACACAGATGCCAACACAGATCAAATTTGGGAAACAATCATCGGAAGCCAAGATTCGAGGACGGTTCATGAAGTATTCAATCTCCTGGCTATGTGTTTTAATGTTTACAATTTGCCAGAGTTGTACTACATCTGCCAAAAACTATTTGACTTGCCATTTCGCCAATACGACCCACACGTGGTTAGTTTCACACAGGCTCTGTTCAGTGTAGTGCGTGCACGTGTGGGTAATGTCCACCCGTCCTCAGATTTCGCTACAGACCCTGTCACGAGACAGCTTTGTATTCGACTTCTGCGAGAAGCGACAGTCCAAGAGAATCTTGACCTAGAACAAGCCATCACGATTCGCAGAGAATTCACCCAGCAATTAACAATGTTACTGACACTCGGTCACCATGAACCTGCGCTCATGACTATTGACGCAGAAGAACAGCGTCTTATCATAAGTGAGGCCACTGCAAGAATCGAGAGCCACCATGACGCCGCTGGGGGAGACCTCCTGACGCTGCAAGCGATGATCCCTCTTATGAGTTGGGATACCTTTCCGGTTTTCGTGGAGACACTCAATCTAACGGCTTTACTGGTTGCAGAGTTCGTTCACCTACGTGACCGATACCGACAGGCTTCTGAACAAGGAGATTGTATGTCCTCTTTTGACACGATCTACGACATATATGCCACCACACTCTACCATTTCATTCGGTGGCTCCCTCAGACCTTTACTCCTGAACTTGTGGACGTGCTGTGGAAATCATATTTCACTTCACCGGACCTTCCTCCGACTATTCGTGCAAGATCCTGGGAAACCTTGACTCACGCGCTAAGGCTCAAGCTGTCAAGGAATGAAAATTCGATCCTGGATCTAATTATTGACGAACATCTCCAAAGTCTCGGACCGGCAGACCATTGCGAGCGATTGCTAGAATTCATTAAAGTGTCTGTTCAATACACCATTCGGCAGTCTCCACATACTCTCCTGGATTCAGAAGAGGTCGTCATTATCCCAGGCATTGAACGACTCTGGAAAGTAGTGCTCGAGGCACCACCGAATACTGTCGAGAATGAAGCCACAGACTTCATCATCCATTCGTATCTGGATCACAGCCTGATCACAAAACGAGACAAGGCAACAATCGATCTCACACATTCTTCACTCGTAGATCGATGTGTACGCCAGGTGATGTCTTCGGCATCGAGATTGAAGACCTACACGGATGGTACCTTGAGTGGTGAAGATGAACCAATGGTCGTTGTGGCTACCGAAGATGAAGTCCGTGCTGAAGAACTTCGCTTCGAGAGATCATTACTCTTTCTCCGGAAATTCCTCGAAGGCATGAAATCACGACCTAGGTACAGCCCTTTACCGACCAGATCTTCCGGTCTGCCGGATTTTCCAGGTGTGAAAGGTGCTCTCATAGAATTGAGCATACAGATCCACGGTAGCAAGTACGTCACAGATGAGATTCAGAAGTTGCATGTGGGCGGTGAGAACACTGGCGACGAGCTCTTCAAATATCTCACGGATACAAGCGGCTTTACTCAACCCAGCGTATTCCATCGTGGTCAGAAGGCTACTATCGAAAATTCGAAGACAATTCTGTTGGACACCAAGTTGAATCAAGGTCTTGTGTTGATCATGAAGACAAATAATACTCCAGAGAATGTCCCGACTCGTTCAGCACGCGCAAGCTCACCAGTTGATAGCAAAATCATGCATCATTTTGATGAGCTGTACGACCTCCTCGACGCGGATGAGCGCCTGTCGAGGGAAGTTTATGGCTTTCTCATCCTATTCTCTGCTCAGACGGAAGTGGTGCGCTTAATAAGATCTATGGAGAAAGCGCCTGCGGAACTTCTTCCCCCGGGGAGGCCGTTCAAACTGTTGTATTGTGCAAGAGCCCTGCGATCGTGCATCGAGGTCGATTCATTCAGTTCAAATCCGGATACAACATTCCTTTCCTACAGTGTTCGCGCTATTATCAAAACATTGCCAGAGCTTGAATTAAGTAATCCGGACCACCCCCTACAGATCTCGATTGTGCATGGGTTGATGGAGGCTTTGCTATTGGCTTTCCGTGCCAAGGTACCCGCCGAAGCCTCACTGGAATATTTTGAGGACCAGAAAGAGTTTGTCACTCAAATATCAAGGCTATTGCGCTTTAGCCTTGATTGTGAAAGCACACCTGTTGAGGGACTGTCAACAAGCCTCATGGTTAAACTCATTCTTGAAAGTTTCATTGAAGCCTGTCTTCATGATGACAGAGTTTGGAACAGTGTTAATGCTGACGGAAATCTTCAACAACTGATGTTCACGGCGTTTGTGCAAGACCCTCGTGTCGAAGTACGCCACTCTCTCCTGGAGGTTGTTGTTGGTTTGACTGGTGCGACGGGCAACAAATTACATCTGAAGATGAACAATCCTCGAGCACCACGCTCTAGATTCCCTGCATCGGTGATCGAAGGTTGCTTGATGCATCTCTGGACTGCCCTGGTCAATGTTCTTCCTCGTGCATGCCTCCAACCACAGCGTTGTGCAGAAATATGTGAGACCATGCTCTCCATCATGAAGAGAACCGGGAAGGCATTCGATACTGACATGCTGCGACACTACTTCCATAATTGGAGTGCAATCCTTTTGAAGCATGAGCATGTCGAAGTGGTTGGCCAACCTCTTGACGACCACGTCGTGGCATGTTTGACCAAACTCATACTTGAGTGTGCGAAGTTGTTGAAGAATGCAAAAGCTCTTCCTCCGAGCACCCAGCTCATCGAAGATCTCATTACACTATTTCTTTTTCCTCCCCTATCAGACAGTGGTCTCGTGGTTGAAGAGACTACGACATTGCCAATACTGGAAGCAAATTCACGTGAAAGCCTCTACAACCTCGTATTGGTACTTTGCCAAGAACCAGAAGATATGTCTGCCATCATTTCGAAATTGAACGATGACCTACTTCCCCAAGATTTCTTCGAACCCATGTTCAGCCATGATCGCCAAGCTCTACGTACAGAAGTTGGCTATGCTGGACTTCGAAATCTTTCCAACACCTGCTATCTGAACTCTCTTTTCGCACAACTATTCATGAATGTCCAATTTCGTGGTATCTTCCTCAACTCTCCGTCGTTGGACCCTTCCAAGCAGAATCTTGTCACCGAATTAGCGAAGGTTTTTGCCTTCATGCAAAATTCGTATGAGAAGTCTGTCGACCCGTCTGGTGCAGTCGAAGCGATAACCACTTATGAGGGGGAACAGATTGATGTATCTGTGCAGATGGATGTGGACGAATTTTTCAACCTGTTGTTCGACCGGCTTGAGGGCCAGATTGATGGTCCTGCGAGGGAAATATTCAAGTCGATCTATGGTGGTCAACTCGTCCAACAAGTCAAGTCCAAAGAATGCGAGCATATTTCCGAAAGACTCGAACCTTTCTCTGCGGTTCAAGTCGAGATCAAGGGCAAAGCCAGACTGGAAGACAGTCTTCGTGCTTATGTCGAGGGTGAAGTTTTGCAGGGTGAGAACAAATACTCCTGCACCTCATGTGGGCGCCATGTGGATGCGGTCAAACGCGCCTGTCTCAAAGATGTCCCTGATAACTTGATATTCAATCTCAAGCGCTTCGACTATGACATCATGACGGGTATGCGAGCCAAAGTCAACGATGAGTTCCAATTTCCGGACACTCTCGATATTGCGCCATACACACTTGCTCGCCTCAGTGACGATAGGGAGGATGGAGAACCTGATGTTTTCCAGCTCACTGGTGTGATCGTTCATTCTGGTACCGCAGATTCGGGGCACTATTATTCATACATTCGCCAGCGGCCCTCTGTCAAAGATGTTCAAGACTCTTGGGTGCAATTCAATGATCAGGACGTGACAGTGTTTGAGCTTTCACAGATGCGCGAGCAGTGTTTTGGTGGAAATTCCGACACATTTTACAACCTGCCGAAGTTTTACAGCGCTTATATGCTTTTCTACCAACGCACATCCAGTATCCAGAAAGTTGAGCGGCAATTCCACAACCCAGGCACTATCAATCCTGTGCGTTTGCCACTCCCTTATTATATGGAACATCATCTGGCTCAGCACAATGAACTTTATCTCAGATCCTACTGTGCCCAAGATAGCTCTCATGCCAAGTTTGTTCTCCTTCTGCTCGAGCGCATGAAGATTGGCAATGGCGGGGAGTGTAGTCAGGACCACACAATTGAGTCGAACACCATTGAGATGGCAATTGAGTATGTTCGTCAGATCTCGTCAAGATGGAAAGACTTGCCTTATCTCGAAGAGACACTGAAGTGTTTCCAAACTTATGTTGGACAATGTCCCTCTTGCGCTCGGACAGTTGCTCATTGGTTCACGGGAAGCAGAATCGTTGAAGATGTCATCGTGCGGAGTCCTTATCCAGCCGTGAGGAAAGGCTTCAGTGCTCTCTTCATAGACACCTTTGAACGATTACATACACTGAAATCTAGGATGTCCCCTGATGGAGACGAATACAGAAATCTCGATAGGGATTACACTCAGTGGCTCGAAGCGGGCATCATACAGATGTCAAAGTTATGGGAGACCGTCATCAAAACCAGTCGATGTTGGTCTGAGTACTTCGGCATTCTCATCAGTATCATCAGACTAGGGGAATCGGAGCTCGCTATCGTTCTGGACGAAGAATTCATCGAGAAATGCATCGAACTCATCACGGTGCATCTCAACAATCCAGCCGATTTTCCGATCAACAAGAGATTGAAGACTCGATACAGTATCTACCTGGCAGCGCGAGATCGCAATCGGCCGTACAATCATAATGTGCTTGTCCGGCTCCTGGTGAACATGCTGACGAGGGTGGATCTCAACCTTCCACCTGATGACTATCGTGCCGGAGCTAAGAAGCTAGGTCTGACATATGTTGAGCATGAAATTCTCGGACTTGGAAAACTACCGCTGGTCCTGGAGTGGCTGAGACGCCTTATTGCTGGTGGCTTTAATCCTCATGCGGTCGATTCTCTCATCGAGTATCTGGCTGGTGACCGTCGTCTAGCAGGTTCTGTGGCTGACACTATTATCAAGGGGCTAAACGATCGTATTGTTAACACCGCGGTCAATTTTCTCCGACCCACTGTTGTCTTTTGCGAGAACTGTCCATTCGAGCCACATATAACCGACCTCATCCCACCAGCCTTGGAAAGTATTGCTACAGTTGGGATTGATTACAGCAAAGACTATCTGGAGTTCATCGAGTCATTACTGAAGGCGGAAAATGCATCCTTAAGGGCCGATCCTGGCTTTCTTGAGGAGTCCATACTGCAAGCCATCGGTCACTGGGCTCCAACGTTTCTTCTGTCCACAAACGACAGCCAGATCAACATCCGGGATGCTACAGTGAACTTACTGCAGAGAATCCTGTTCATTCCCCTTTCAGCAGCCGAAACCGATGATCCTCGACTCTATGCTGTTCTCCGGATGGTCTGTCAAGATCTTGCATCCAGCTGTCAGAATTTCGTTCATCGGACCTTTCTGTCTCCTCGCGGTCGGGACGGTGCAACATTACACCCTGGACAAGCCAATCAGGTTCTCGAAGTGGTGGAACACTGTACGCAGTATTTCAGCATCGACAGTCCGATGGAAGAGGCCAAATTGGCGGAGATTAACAACACGATGACTCAATTGAGATTCAAGGCCGAGTCTACAATTGAAACAATGAGTCCTGCGGAGTGGCAAGAGAATAGCAGTGAATTGGCGGAACTCAGTAATGAGGAATACGAGGAGATCAATAGCCCATAGCGTGGGTCTGACGTCTGCGACGAGGAGACACGCCGATGGGTACTTGAACAACGACGTTTGAGTGGTTGACCCCAATGTTTTGTAACAGGCGCGGCGTTGGACGGGCGTGCTAAGAGGCAGGCGGTTAATCAAATAAGATATGAAGCATGGCGTCCTGGAGAACAGATTGTTATTTTTGGCGGATCATAGAACCAACACAGATATGACGGCGGAAGGAACGATGAAGCTCCAGACCAGATTGTCTCGAGCCATGGGAAACCATTTCGAAGCGCACTATCCTTCGCAGGGTTCTTTTTCCTCCACGGCTGCATTTTATGGAAGGCGTTTTTACGTGAAATATTCACTTGGGAAAGGTTCGGAGTTGACTTACGGGGTGACGATTGGATCCGGGCAGACCTTTCTAATGCTCAGAATGAACCATGAGAAACCACAAATGAATTGTAATGAAATAAAACGCGCGAGATAGCGAGACAGCGAGAATGCAGACAGAGAACGAGATGAACCACGGATCGAGACTACACTCACGGTCTTGAATGCCTTTTTTTCTTCTTATGGCTAGCTTGCCCTATGCCTTTTTTTGCGATGAGGACGAAATAGCGATTGTGACTGACTTGACTTGACTCGTCGTAGGATGGGGTTGATGGGCTTAGAGAGACAGATAGGCAGACAGCCGTCGCCGTGGCTATGAGAATGAGTTCTTTTCAATCCAGTTTGTCCGTATGTGCTTGTTCCACCTTTTGTACCTATTAGATACTCAGTAGATGCGTAAACGACGAGTGTGATTAATTTGAGATGCAGCGCAGCGCAGCGTCAGGCCGATGAGAGTGGGCAGGAATGGATATATTTCAATTCGGAGATCTGAAAAGCCAATGATGTAGGTTGCAGATACAACATACCTATTAAAGTTGCGGCTCGAGACGAGATTGAATAGAAGATATCTTTTTCACTAAATGAAGATATGATATACACCCTGTGAGACTTCTCGCGCTTCGAATATACATTCAGACATCCAGCACATGAACTAGATAGCCCAAGTTAAGAAACAAGAGAGTTGCTCGTCTCGTCTCCGCGTCCATCCTATGGAACTCCTATCTGCCTAACAATACTTCGCACCACGAGGGTAGACTCAAAGCGAGATAATAAGTGATTCACTATTTTTGTTTGCGCCGCCAACACCTTGCATGCTTCCAATTAGCCATTCATCCATTCATCCATCAATCCGTCAACTGTTTTCAATCAAAGCACAGAAGATATGTAATCCTTATTTCGACCCTAAACCAATCTTTCGTGTTATAACAAGACATTTCTCTTTCGCTTTCGTTGAGGTCAAGAGGCCTCTTTCAATGTATCATTCCCGCAGACGAGCACACCTGTCACCAGCATCACAAAGTCTTGACCCGCATCCACTCTCCCGTGCCGACGCCGAGATTCAAGCCATTGCGTCCCCACCACTCTCTAACCTCACCTTCACCACCGCCTCCAACCGCATCCTCCATTGCCTCCTCGATATCGCACGTTTTGTATTCGACCCGCAAGCCGCTTTTGCGGCTAATGTCCTTCCACCACTGCAGGACGCCGGCATGGCCGTTCTTTGTCGCGCCAACGAGGACTTGGTTGTCGAATATCATCTTACTTCCCTTGAAGCTATGCCATAGTTCCAGTACGGGGACATGGCCGTGTTGTGACGCGAGTCTGGAAACGCCATCTTCGTGTGCATATGGAATGCCTGAGTTTTCCCACCATTCAATGCTGTTGGTACGGCCGGATTGGGCTGCCAGGAGAATGGATTTGCCGACTTTCAGGGGGAGTTCGCGACCAATTGCACCAGCGAATTTCAAGGAGTTCACTCGCCACCATTCGAGGACTTCGACGTGGCCTTTGGCGCTGGCGGACTCGAGAGCTTTCTCTGTATAGGTGAGTTTCAGGCCAGAATTTAACCACCAATCCAAAACCTCGACGAATCCGGCACGGGATGCACCATCCATAGCTTCTGGGCCGTATTCCTTCTTAATCACTGCGGGGCAATCACGCCACCATTGGAGGATGGTAGGTGAATTGTAGATTAATGAGGCTTTATGAGGAAGGAGGGCGAGGCCGAAGCTCGTCCAGAATATATCTTTCTGGTGTAAGGCAAGATATGTCAGTAGGTCTGTGAGACTGAACCGAAATATCAATTTTGTAGCGGTCTGAGATAAAGTGGTGGGTGGCTGTGAGTTTGTATTGTTTTGGAAGTACGCTTTGACCTGAGAGATGGATTGAGTCAAAATGGTGTACTCGAGTGTGCGGCGTGATGAACCCGATTTTGGGACAAGGGAGGCCCATTCATGTGGTGTAGGTAGGTGGGTATAAATGCCCAGAGCTGTTGCCAATTCCCAATCGCCCAGATGATCAAGAATGATGGTCCAAACTTCGACGGGGAGGCTGGGTTTATCCGCTTCTTCATCGGTATTAGAGGTGGACAGATGTGGTATTAGACTGTGGGATGTCTTGAGTCGATTTGAACGAAGGATGGTTTGTGCCTCGCTATGGATCGCTTCGAGTATTTCTTCGGGGCCTTCCCACCGCCAATCGATTTCGGGCAATACGTTTGTTCCTTGGGGATTTGGGCCAGGTTGTGTGAGATTGGTCGGCTCTTCAGCCAAGTCCCATATAGCGGGAGTGAGAACATGGACCCAGTCCCATTTGCGATGAATTTTGGACAATTGTCTCTTCCAAGTAGGATGATTCCATTCATCAACACTCATCTCGGGTAACATAGTGATGCGCTTAGACACATCCCAACACCTCAGAACGTGAAGAATGACATCGGTTGTGAAGCCGCTTAACATCAGGGGGACCATGCCAACGTCCATAACGATACACAAGAGGTCAGCCCACCTCGCGAGTCGGTGGCCCAGCATTTTGTATTGATTCCTGTACGGATCCTGGGGAGAATTTTGGTACCATTGAACATTGTCAAGACTTATAGCAGGATCCATCTGTTGATAGTATTCCTCTTTGGAGTATTCAGAAATAACTCGAAGATTCAGGTCGGGATTTTGAAGCAGGAAGGGAAGGATTTCGGGGCCAATCTTTTCGGTGATGTACAGGAGGACGTTGACACGGCGTCGATTGCCATGGTGTCTCGACACAGCCTGAGTGGCCATACTGGGTGTTGTTATCTGTTGTTGAATGTGCTAGAGAACTCGAGTCGAAGGGTACGGGTCGGGCATTATTGATGGTAGTGGCGGTAATCAGAGTGGTAACGAGAATGGTTGTGGCGAAAAAGTGTTATCGTTATCGCAGGCCAGAGTCGGTGTGCGGGGGATGAGGTGGTGGAGTGACAACTCGGTTAGTAACAGGGATGATGATAGGAAAAAGATGCTTGAGGTGCGAGAATGAGAAGGTCTAGGACGAAGTTCCTCTATGATCATTACATATGGGTTAAAGACAGAATTGAAGTGATGAAATCGCAAGCTGAAGACGTTTTGAGAGTCTCCATGTGGCAGCCACTGACTTGATCATCCCAAGTCACATTTGGCCGGCTTGTCATCCCATTTGCAGGATCTTTTTACCCGTATTGCTCTTGTTAGGTAACCGCTACGACTCTTGCCTGGGCGGAGAGACCCCTCAGACCCCTCAGACCCTGATCACACCACACCTAAGATGTTCTGCTGGGCGTACCTGAACAGGGAATTAATATGCCCAACTACCCCTCACATTTCCATTGCTGCAGGCTGCAGTGCTTGGGGGCTTCTGAAACCCTTCAGGGGTCCTCAGCCCACCTAACATACCCGGGGTATTAATCAGCGAGGAGTTACAGGTCCCGTCTCCGTTTGATATCCTAACATCCCAAAACGAATATTGAATCATCAACGTTCAACGATGTCACAGCATAACATGCCCGCTACTGACATTGCTTCGTTTGTTCAACACTTCCAATCATCTCGGCGAATATGTGCTCTTCTAGGTGCAGGGCTTTCGGCTTCAAGTGGTCTTCCCACCTTTCGTGGTGCTGGTGGCCTCTGGCGTACCTATGATGCCACTGCCATAGCAACTCCCGAGGCCTTTGAAGCCGATCCCGTTCTCACATGGCAGTTCTACTCATACAGGCGCCATATGGCCTTGAATGCAAAGCCCAACCGTGCTCATCTCGCTCTGGCTGAATTGGCTCGCCGAAACCCTGATTTCATCACCTTGAGCCAAAATGTTGACGGCCTGAGTCCTCGTGCTGGTCATCCTCCAGACCAGCTAAAACTCCTTCATGGTAATCTGTTCGACGTCAAGTGTTGGGATGAGCACGGTTGTGGTTACAAGCGGGAGAATGATTTTACAGATCCCATTGTACCTGCTTTGGCTTTGCCTGTTGATGAACCAAATCTGGCTCCAGATGCTCAACTCAAGGCTGCTACAAAAGCGAAAAGTGCTTTACTCAAGGGTGCTGACATAGCTGATATCAATGTGCCTCTTCCAGCTTGCATCAAGCCAGAAGACCTTCCGCAATGTCCCTCGTGCAAAAGAAATCTATTACGCCCAGGTGTGGTTTGGTTCGGGGAAGGTCTTCCAGAAGATGTCTTACGTGGCGTGGATGTCTTTTTCAGCAAACCCGAGAAAATCGATCTCATGCTGGTCATTGGTACCAGCTCCAAGGTATATCCCGCTGCAGGATACACCAGTATAGCCAGGAACAAAGGGGCAAGAGTGGCCGTCATTAACATGGACAGAGCAGATGCAACATCTCTCACCAGTAGAGACTGGTTCTTCGAAGGGGATGCTGCGGTTATCATTCCAGAGATCCTGAAGAGTGACATTGGCGAAATTGGTACATTTGACGGAATACAGGCTGCAACACATGAAAGACCATGATGAATTTGGCCTGTATTGTGGTATTTCGAGGAAGTCAGAGTCTGAGTACAAATTGCCGAACTTGAGTTAGGCTGCCACATGCAATGGCCAAGAGACATCAAACCTGTCCTCGAAACCATGAAATGTCAACAGGCACGACTTTTAAATCGGAAAAGAAAAAAGTTATGACTTGCTGCATCAACCGACTCATCGTGTGTTGCTCCCTTGGCGGGCATCTCGAGCCTGAGTCGTCCGATCAAGGGTTTGTGGCTTCTCAACCGTGGGGGCTGAGGCAGAATAGGCAGCCTTGGTCTCGAATACCTCGTATTCCTCACCCCTCCCACCCAATTACAAAAGTCCCCGACCACAAAGCACACCTACTGAAGTTCGTCCAAATGATGGCACTTGATTTTCCAATTGGCTCTTGAGATGTCGTCTTGTACATTTGACTTTCCGCTTCGGCCAATCCGTCCCCTTGGGAGTTCCATCAGCCTCCCCCTTCAGACAATACACCATCCTTTGACGGACACTTCCAACAGCAAGGGTCACAAGATATCCTGACTCATTGTCAACAATCCTTCTCTTGTTGGCATATGATACTAGGGATCCTCAATTCGATAAGTAAGACATGCGTTGTTGACAAACCAGCGACGGGTGGTGGACGTCTGAAAGCCTCTTTAAACTATTGCTCAGGTCACCGAAGCCTTGAAGTGTCACCTTATTCCGATATGGAGAGAATCCACGATCAAAGCCTTTCTGAACGACTCGATCGCAGATATTTCCACCATCTTCAACAACCATCGATTGAATCAGAAGACATTTATTTTTCAGGACAAAGCTTCTTTCTCCCCCGAACGCCGGAGACAACGTGGTCAAAGGATGAGGCAACCATACTAGCCCAAGAAGTCTCTCAATCGCCCGCTGAGTCGAACCACAGAACACATGATCCTAGTTCACATAACCGCGGTTCCTCTGGCTGGCCCTTGACTGAAAAATACTATTCCCTCTCTGAAGACCGCGATAGATCATGCCCCAAAGGCACTTTGATCAAGACTATTATCCTCCCAACAATCATCATAATATTTCCCATGACGATGCTTGTTGCTGGCCTCCTTGGGTTGATCTTTGGGTACAGGGTCAAATCAGAGGACAGCCTTTTCACCGACGTCTCTAACTCGGGTGTCTTGCGAGACCGTAGCGTTGTCCTGGTCGACTATTCTGCAACTCGAATTGTCTTTGTCGCATCATGGGCCTCGACACTCGCACCATTACTCGCCGGCTTTGTCATGAGCTTGGACAGCTTCCGCACGGCACTGGTGATGTTTCGTTCCTCGTCAAGTGCTGAACAAACCGAGTTACCCACTCCTTACCAGTACAGCCTTCTTGTCGGTCTATGTTTGGCTTCTATAGGGCGATTGCGACGCTATTTCTCCTATTCGGCAGAAAACGATATTATTGTTCCACCTATCCTTCGCCGAGCAGCACGCACCTTGACTTTGACCCTAGTGCTGGCATGCATTGTGTTCGCGGCCGACACTGCAGTCCACTATTCTACTTCTACCATAGCATTCGATCAGATCACCATCTCCAGCGAAAAACTCGCTTACGGACGTGCCCTCTCGGAAGCATGTCTCACCCTTAGTCGTCTCGACAATTTAGGTCTCCCGTGCTCCCGTAATGGTATTACCGCGGTAGATGACTATGATACCTACGCTGCTGGACAGAACGAGATTTTCTTCCTTAATCACGACACCAGCAGTACATCACAGATTGCTCTCGTTGACTCGGACCCTACAAAGGGTAACAACGCCTCCACCCAGATCGCCCTGTTGATACCTCAACCATCAACTCTTAGCCCATTCCGAGATTATCGAGCGGAGACGGCAGGTGTCATGATGACCTGCGAGCCAGTGACTAACACCAAGTGCAAGTGGACCGACGGGGTGTTGGGTGAGGAGACCTTCTCGCAATTCAACTGCAGCGATAATTTTTACGGCATTCTGGGCAAAATGGCCAAGATCGACGACTCGGGTCATTTGATAAACGACCCAGACGTCCCAACATTAGCGACCAAACCAGGTTCAGTAATTCAGTACGCCTACTTCGAAGATTCAGACTTGAATATCCCTTACGATCCTGTTGGTAACCTCGGAACATTCCTAGAAGACTCACAGCTCATCAATCCGGTCCATGTAGCTATCGCCGCACGCTTCGCCACCATCTCCCAGCACGCGGGTGTCGACATGACTTCCGATCCCGGCATCCACCACGTCGGCGAGACCATGAACCTCGACCTCGTACTGAACTGCCAATACACGACATACGCCGTCGACTACAGCTGGGTAAATTCGTCGGCGCGCGTCAACAAAATGGCCGCATCTCCGAACGGCACCCTCGCCGAGATCTTCCACGGCTACAACCTCGCCGGCGGATTCAGCAGCTTCGACAATGACCTGGCAGACTCGGTCCTGCAAGCCGCACTGACCAAGAACTCGACCGAGTTCGCCGAGTCGCTCGCCAACGGCTACGCGAAACGCATCATGAGCGTCATCGGCCCGTTCCTCTCTCCGCGCGAGAACATCGAAGAGCAGACTCGCACCCCACTGCTGGTAGCCAAGGTTCCCAAAGCGCCACTCGCCATCCTCGTCGCGTGTTGTCTGGCGTACGTCATCTTCGGGATCACGGCTGCGACGTTCGCGTACCGCTCGCTGCGCGAGCTCGACGTACGTGATCTGGCCTTCCGCTTCAGTCTACCCGCTCTGGGCCTCCACGCGTTCCGTGACAATCTGACTGATGCTGCGGCTGTGGAGACGGGGAAGGATGGCCATCGTGTCTTCGAGGAGAACAAGATCGGGGTAGAGCGCGTAAGGGTTGGTGTGCACGGCGCGCCGAAGATTGGATTCGAGTTGAGGAGTTTCATATAGGGGGTCTCTAAGTGCTATCCTGTGCCTGGCATGTCTGAAGTAGATCACGCTGATCGTGATGTTTCTCTATGAGAGTAATGGGCACGTCCTTTCTGGGTGCTTTTGAGGTGGTTGTGAATTATTTATACCCCTATTTGGAGCTTGTTGGGTACATCTCGCGGGCGAGATGGCACTCATCACGATTTCATGAAATATCAGCGTGTCGACATAAAAAATGACTTGTTGTTTAATAGTAGCACAATATAAATTGCCTATTTGTCAGAATGGGCCTAACTAATATTCTCAATCGAGGTTTCCACATGGATTAATGTGTCTCGACTGGGACTTCTCGATACAACGTTCTGTTCACAAATAATCCATGAATCTACCTTCAAACGTTTCTCGACTCGCTTTCCATTCCTTCCCATCATAGATTCAAGAAGCATAAATACTCGCCATATCCACTGGTCTTGGGTGCAGGATATCAGGAATGACTCCTAATTAACAACGGAGCGAATTCACAACTCATCCCTGGAAAATCCAGGCCTGGGTGCATCCACCACATCATCGGCATCAATCGTGCCTGTCAACAACGGTAAACCATCATCCAATCCCGTCAGGAAATCTGCATTAACCTTGACGGCTCCGATTCTGTTCATGAAACCCAGTCCCACAAGGATCTGCTCTTTCTCCGCGAGGTCGGAGCCGTCCACTACCTGGAAGCTCTGGGCATACGCCTTCCGATCGGCTTTAGGTCCCACTACAACGTTCAAGGCCAGCTCGGCGGCGCCAGTCTCTTCATTCTGCGTTAGCTCGGCCGCGCGCTGTAGGCCGTTCACCAGGTCCATGGTGATAAAGCTGTCGAAGACAGTGAGGTTGATGCGTGCCCAGACTGAAAGGGGCGCACCAGTGCGGCTTTCGGTCACTAGCGAGAGAACGTTTTCTGGTGGTGGGGGTAGATGGGATGGAAGAGTTGGCTTGGGGGCGGGTGGTTGTGGGAGTGCGTCGTCATTGCCTCCTGGGACTGGTTTGGGTCTGCCGCGGGGGCCTTTGGTCTTGCAGCAGTTTGATTGCACGTATTCGGGACAATCGACTTCGCATGTGCACGGGCATGCTTCGGGCGTCCATGGGACTTTCTTGTCCGACAGACCCAAGATGTTCTGGACGACCGCGCCAGCTCGTGCAGCGACACGCTCGACGTCAGGGGTGCGTCGCCTTGTGTCGTCACTGTCCGCGGTGCTTGCTGAGCAGCAATTCGATTGGATCCAGGCTGGACAGTCTGCCTCACAATGGCAAGGGCAGGCGAGAGGAGGGAGAAGGCTCTGCACGCGAGAATCCCCTCCACCTGGCGGAGTGTCGGGTCGTAGTCCTGTAATGACGGTCCCTCCCACCTGACAGCAGATCGGATTGCAACCGGAGGCGCAGCGTTTGCATCGATCGGAGCAGAGGGCGCTCAAAGGACCTCCTCCTCCGTGAATAATGTTGATCCAGTTGATGTGACTGTTGAAGATCTCGTTCCACCGGGAAGTGTTTTCAATGAGGATGTCCGTCGTTGGTTTCTGGACTTGATTCTCGAGCAGATCTCGAACCTTGTCTACTTTCCCCAGATCGACGGTCGCACCTGGGATGACGTTTGGAACAGCCTGAGCCGCCGCATTCGCCACATCTCCTCCCGACGCCGGAAGGGAGAAGATAAGTAATGATGCTATCGAGGCCAAGATCAGCCTCAAAGATACTGTGCGCGCCATGGTGGGGTTATCTTGGTGGGTTGAGGTTGAGTTCTTCCCTTGACTTTGAAAGTGAAAGTCGTCTCCTTATCTATCGAGGTCCGACAATAAAAGTCTGTAAATCAACACCGATATCGCGAGAATCCCTTCAGAAATAGGGGTCTTTGAGAAAAGCCATCAGGCAGGGGGAAGAAGCACCTCTCCCGTAAAGTTGGTAAGGCTGACTCGATTGCATGTGCTAGCTGGCAGCAAAGATGCTATGATCAAATCACAGGTCATGAAGTGGTATTGGCAGCAGTGGCTGCGACACCAATGTTAAGAACTTTTGTGCTAATTAAGAGTTTGGCTTGCATTGGTGTGGTCAAGGGCTGTGTTTGAATACGAGAACCCCTCAAGCTTGGGAGCTCCGCCCCTCTTCTTCGAAGGCTGGTTGTTGGTACTCGGTACTTGGTACGGAGCACCCTATCACATCTCATTTTCCAGGGAGCTGGTTCCAAGCACCTGCTCGTCTCAACTTTCGCAAAGCTTTCGTTTGGGTGGAATCTTTCAAAAAGAAGAAGCCACGTACTTTCCGCATTTGCCCCCAAATCACCCCGCTTTCTTTACTGCAACATATCAGAAGTAGGCACCAGGTTTGATGTCGAGAAAATTGTTCAAATCTATGTTTACACTACCACATCATTTACCTCAATGGTCTCGCGGCTTTGCACATATGTGTGTAGCCTCTCCACGGCTGCCAGTGCCGTTTCCATCTGTGTCTGCGCTGTGGCAGCCCCGACATGTGGAAGGCTGATAATGTTTTGATGCTGCCACAACCTCTCGTACCTGTCCTTGGTGGGTGGTTCCTGTTCATGGCAATCAAGACCGGCTCCCCAGATCAAACCCTCATCCAAGGCCTGAACTAATGCCGCCTCATCAACGATGCCGCCTCTCGCGGTGTTGATTAGCAAAGCATTTCTCTTCATGCCCCTCATTTCTTCTATCCCGATCAGTCCTCTCGTCTCGGGCGTCAATGGCACATGAATGGTGACAACATCGGATACAGAAAGCAAATCCTCTAAATTCTGCACCCGCTTATGTGGTAAGTCCTCCCAAGCTCCTTGTGCCATGTATGGGTCATACGCGACGATATTGCTCTCATAACCCCCTCGAAAAATCCGAGCAACAGTCTTGCCAATATTACCCATTCCTATCACGCCCACAGTGCATCTGTGGAGTATCAGTCCGTTACACTGCTCCTTCTTGATGATCTCCCCTCGATCTATCCTCACGCTGATAGGGCGGATTTGTCTTGCTAAGCCAGTTGTGAGTGAAACCACCAATTCCGCGACGGCCCTTGCATTCACGCCAGGAGTATTGAAGACCTTGATCCCCTTTGCTGCACAAGCAGCGGCATCAATTTTTTCTATACCAACACCTTGCTTCCCAATTGCGCGTAAATGAGGCGCAGAGGCGACGTCCTCAGCGGTCACATGTGAACCACGGACGAGGAGGTAACGAGCATGCTCGCGCCATGAGCGATGCGCGGGATCAGAAGGATGTATGCAGTTAAACAGTGACTCTGCTCGAGCAGTAGCCTGAGGATGGAAAGTATCGAGGAGGTAGACAGTGGGCCTGTTCAGTGCTCTGGGGGAAGGCGGTGGCGTTGTCGCTGCTGGTGCCATGGTGAACAACTGACGGTTGAAAAATGTCAAGGGGTCATTTCCAGATGTCCCATTCAGACAACATCCAGGCTAGGCAGTTGTTAAGTATGTCTTTCGGATCTACATGCATCGAACGTCGTTGGCACATGCTCCATCGCAGCTACCGTGGCGGAACAACACCGACATGCTTCACCTCAATCGGAGCATGGGACAATGCACATATTTCACTAGCCGCTGCGGCTTAAAGCACCGACCGGAGTCGTCGGCACTACTATGGGGAGAATGCTGCAATCTTCCATAGCCTTTGCGATGAGATCTTTACCGGTGATGCAAAGAGCCTCCAATAATGTAGGCTTCGCGGTGTCCTCGGTACCCTCCGCACTGCCCGAGAGGTCGCCACCATTACTAGCGTGAGCATTAGACCGGATCATGACCTCGGGATACAGCGGGCCGACAGTGATGGTGGCATGACTCGGGATTGCGAGACATATTATGCACGTGATCTTAACACGACTCGTTGGCTACGGATGATACGCACTTGATCCTGCTACCGATACCAGCGCGCCAAAAACTCATCGCTTTCTAGACACTTATGTTTCTCGACATAGAAGGACCGGTGAGTTGTATATGCGCGTATCAAGTACAAGTTGGTATTTCTGTGTATGCAGTCTAAGTCGTTGTGAACCCTTACGCTGAAATTTCAGCCACATTTACCCTCGTTTGGCATGCACCCTTGCTGTCTTCTTTACGCCTCACAACTTCCTTTTTGCTTGCTGGAGGCTCGACAGCCTTCCTTGAGCTTTGAACACGGCGATTTATGTCGGCATAAATCCTCCCGAGCTGTTGCATGCCTGCTTGTAACATACTGCCATCTGCTCCACTAAGCGACCAAGTTGCTCCCATGGTAAAAAACTTCTCAAGGAGGTCGAGACGTCCCCCTATCCCACCAATGCCAATAGGCTTGCCTGCTCTTACTCCTGCTTTCACGACCTTCGTCACTGAGTCGATGTAGACTGGATTGTCGTACTGGCCAGGGATTTCAAGATCGGTGCAAAGATCGTTGGAGCCAACCAGGATACCGTCGACACCAGGAATCGCCAAGAACTCATCAGCCAGTGCAACAGCACCGGGTGTCTCGATCATCGGGATAACCATGGTCTCCATATTCAAAAGCTCATTCTGTTTCAATGTCGGCACTGCTTGAAAGTTGAGAATCGGCTGGTTGCCAGCACACCCACGACGTCCGAGCGGTGCATATTTGGCATCTTTCACAATCTCCCGGACCTGTTCAACGGTCTCACAATGTGGGATTACCACTGCAGCCGCACCAGCATCCAGTACCCGACTTAGGTGCCAATGTGCCTTTGAAGGTATTCTCACAATCGGACTGACTCCAACATAATTGCATGCTGTCACAAGTTGTGAGACTTCGCGTATGGTCATCACCGAATGCTCCATGTCGATAAACATGCCATCCATGCCTGCCACCTTGGCCATCATTGCGATTTCATTGGTAATGGCATATTTGACGCTCATCACTGAGCAGACTTGACCCTTGAGAATGCGATCGCGCCATGGATTGGATACTGTAAAGCTCATGATTGAATTGTTCTAGGATTTGGGTTTAGGGCATTAATGCTGAAATGTGGGCAGATACTTTGTCTAGTTCGCTTTGCGTCCGTCTCGATAAGACGTATTTACATCTTCCTAACCTTTCTTATAAGCACGCGGCAGTGTTCTACCCCCACACAAAAGTTCCACACCCTCTTACAACTACATTGGAAGTTCCAAGGACAATCGGAACCCTCATCTGTGTTCTTCGGCGGACCACCGAATGCCCAAGTTCATGTAACGGAAAATGTCCGATCGGTCTTGGCGAGCGAGTCCGGCGGCGTCCTTGGCATCGGGAAAGTCTTGGCCCATTTTGCCACTATCCCGAGGACTTCAACTGGTATGTTGGTCCAACTTACTCCGCGCCCCTTGGCCGGCCGGAGATCAAAATAGCTGCGGTCTGGAGTCGATTGAACAAGGTATCGCCGTCTATAAAGGTTTGTGTCCAGCCCGCGTCGTCTATCAGCCTCAAGTTCTCAACCTCACCAGTATCACAATCGCATAACACAGACGATATCAAGGACGTCAACATATTCAGTCATGGAGCGCAAGGACAGGACTTCCTCTCATTCTTCGGAGCCCAGACCCTCCATAAGCAAGGAGGCTGAGGTTGTGGCTATTGAACAAGCTCAGAGCACCAATGAGGAGGTATGGTTTGCAAGGTTACGATCTTTTGGTCGGCAAATCCAAAGAAGACCTCGACAAGCTTAACAAAAAGGTCGTTAAAAAGCTCTATTGGAGATTTTTAGTCACAATCACAGCCATGTTACTGATGAAGTAAGTGTTTTTCCTTTACATTGCTTTTCGACTGACTGACCACGCTTCAGCTACCTGGACCGTATTAATGTCTCCAACGCCCGCCTTGCTGGCATGCAGGAGGATGCTGGAATGACCGATGTTCAATGGTCCGCCGGCATTTCACTCTTCTATGTCGGTTATATTATCTCTCAAGTCCCAGCAAACATCATCATTGCCAAAGGAAGCCCTCGCATCTTACTTCCCTGCATCATGCTTGGATGGTCGTGCGTTACAATCTCGATGCCCGCCATCAAGTCCCCTGTCGGTTTCGTGCTATGCAGATTCCTGGTCGGTCTTACGGAAGGTGAGAATGACTTGCTGCCAACCTGCTGCCCTTCGCTAATGGATCAAGGACCCTTTGTACCCGCTGTGGCTCTCCTCACCTCTTCATGGTATACAAAGCAAGAGTCGCCTCTACGCATGGGCATCTGGCACGCTGGTAACATCGTTTCCAACATTATCTCTGGCTTCCTTGCAGCCGGGATTCTAGAACATATGAAAGGCGTCGGCGGACTAGCTAGCTGGCGTTGGTTCTTCCTCATTGAAGGCATGACAATCTTTGAAATAACGTCCGAATCAAAGCTAACTCAGTCAGGAATGGTCAGTATCCTGGTCGCATGCGTTGGATTTTGGGGTCTGCCCAACTGGCCCGATAACACTGGGGAGTACTTCTTCACGGCCGAAGAAAGCCAGATGGCTCAATACAGAATGAAGGTCTCCGCTGGTGGTCAAACCGAGGATGATGAGGGCGGCTTCTGGGAGGGCTTCTGCCTGGCCATGAAAGGTCAGTACCTCTGTGACAATGAGTTGGCTCCATAACTGACGTCGTTCAGACCCCTTTACATGGATCTTTGCTGGCATGCACTTTTCACTGGTTCTGGCTCAAGCATTCAAGGACTTTTTCCCATCAGTAAGCAGAAGTCCCGAGATAAATCTTTGCTGGTCTCTAACAGAGCGCTAGGTTGTTGCTACCCTCGGCTTTACCTCTACCCAGACATACCTTGTCCAAGCACCACCATATGTCATCGCGTACTTCGTTACTCTCGCCGTTAGCTGGTCATCGGGACGCTTCCAGGAGGCATGCTGGCACATTGTTGCCTGTATTCTGACCTGTATGGCTGGAGCCATTCTGATGATCTCCACCCTCAATGTGGGAGCTCGATACTTTGGCCTAATTCTGTTATGCTCGGGTCCATTCGTTGGCCTCAATGTATGCTCAATCTTTTCACATCTTTGCAGTAGTGCGCTCATGCTGACATATTCAAGCTTCAACTTTCTTGGGAAACGACTGTCGTTCCTCGACCCCGTACCAAGCGTGCAGCGCTCGTTGCATTCGCCAATTGTGTCTCCTCCGTCTCCCATTGGTTCTCGCCATACTTCTTCCTCCGTTCCCAGGAACCTCGATACCAGACTGGTGGTGGGATCGTCATTGCTGGCTGCGGTTTGACCGTCATTTTCTGCCTCTTAGGCAAATGGTGGGCGACCCGCAAGAATAAAGCCATCGAGAAGGAAGAGGAACGCACTGGGGTTCTCAATCCTTGGCGATTTGCTACATGAGACATGTATGTGTGGGCAATCAAGAGAGTTTCAATACAGAGAAACAGAGAAGCCGGAGCATGCCAACAGAGCATCATTTTGCTCAGAGTCCAAAGAAAGTGAGAATAGTTGCAATTGCTTGAAATTTGGATAGCAGCATGGTTAAGGGGAACCAATTAAAGAAATGCAGCGGCAACATTTACTTCGCCTTCTTGGCCTTGGCCTTCTGCGTTTTAGATTTGTGCTGCTTGGCTTTGTCCTTTTTGGTCTTCCTTTGTCTGGTCGTCTTTTGTTTGGTCGTCTCTTGTTTGAGCTTTTCTTGTTTGGTCTTCTTCTTTCCAGGTTTCTGTTCCTTTTGCTTCTGTCCCTGTTTTCCCATCTCCTGCTTAGGGTGATTTGATGCCGTCTCCTTTTTCTCGCCGTTGACACATGATGGGTGATGTGGCTCAGTTGTACTCGCACTGAAGTGTGTCAAGCTTGGTGGCAGATACAATACTCTAGTATCATTTAGACGGCGCTTGAGTGGTGGGCTGTAGCCAAACACGGCAATCCACTTCTCAGTCTCGTCAACGGGCCACACCTGATAACGGAAATTCTCGGCGCCTATCACTGTCGGATGAACCATGTCTATCCGCAGCACGTGGAACCCGCCGTAGCTTCCCTTTAGGAGTGGCTCCTCGATCTGTTGATAGGTGGAAGCTCCGAGTGGATTTAGAGTTTGAGGAGGTCTCGTTAGCACTGTCACGCAAGGAGCTCGAGATATGTGTTGGGCAAAGAGACCAGAAGCACCTCGGACATAGTTGCTCCACTGGCTCGGAGTTTTCGACATCTTCAGACAGGCAGAATGTTCTTTCAGCATCAACGGCCCCATGACAGTGGACAAGGTCTGCATTTTCTTCTTTTCTGCCCAGTGTGGACCCATTCTCGTGGCACTCCGGTCCACATCACCTGGCATTCGAGATTGACGATAGAACGCTGAAATTGTGTCCGAATCTGATCTGCTTCTACTTGAGTCAGATAGTCTAAATGATTCCACACGCAGAGTGTAGCACATTGGGCACCAGGGGAAGCCGACATGGTATTTCCAACCAAAGTCACTATTAGAAGTCCTCTTATCAGGGTCTTAACTAGGGGTTCGAGACTGAAAGAAGTTGCGTGAAGCTCTCGGCCATCGGCTGCAGCCGCCATCCTATCTCAGTCTCTTTAAGAGGTGGGAGTTTGGGTTGATGAAGCTCGGATCTGAGCACTGTTACTACCACCAGTCTCTCTATGAAAGTCTGCGGCGGGCGTGGCGTCATAAAGTGGCTGCCACCCAAGCATGTAGTGGTCTCGAGGACGTCGGAGTCATTTTGTCACTGCTTTGTGGATAGTTCACAAAAATCAGGATTCAAACCATCAATCAAAGCTCGGTATTTATGTACAAAAGTGAGAACAACAGTAGATCAATAGCCTGGGAGTATAATGAATTCCCCCGATAGCTGATCGCAGCTTTGGGTGGGGTATCATTCGTGGTGGCACTCGAAGTACCATTGGCACATTTCACCACGTGGACTGGAATTGTCCCCAACAAAGCTTCTTATCCCTGACAAGAGTAGGTTTAGATGATGTTGCGACACTGCGTTCTGACGCTGCAGCCTTGACCGTGGCTAGAGAGATTTTGGTGATCGTGTTCCAGACCGACTGATCAAGGACCCGACGACTATCATGAAACCACGAAACAGCAACAGTCTTTGTAGGCAAATTTAATAGACGGCAAACTGTAGCATCCAGTCCTGAAGCGCCGCCAGCTGCTGGCTTGCGTGTACTTACGGGACGAGCATAAAAGCAGCGGCTAATGGGACTGCATTTGTAGAGGAAGCATTGCTGTTTGGATCTCAAACCAAACGCGTAACCCCGCGTGTAACCCCACCATGTCACTTCCCCAGGTTCAGATTCGATAGGCATGACGACTTGCAAGGCTTCACACTTTGTATCCACTCTTAATCCAGCATGAGTTTTGGTTTCTCAATCGGTGACTTTCTGGCCTTGCTTGAGCTTGCGAGCAGCTTGCGGAGAGATTGGATCGGTGCGCCCCTCGAATATGCGGCCATTGTCGATGAGTATGCCACCATGAACGGAAGTGGAAGCCTCAATCCACTGACACTGCACAGGACGAAGAACTTATCAAACATTCTTCGTGACCTCGAAGAGGTTATTCAGACTACCCAACTTGACGACAAGCAAAAGCTGAGTTTGAAAGATGCACAGTTTAGCTGTAGGAACACGCTGGGGGATTTGCAAAAGCTTGTGGCCAAGTATTCGGAACTGGGTCAAAAGTCGAGTGGTCTGCGGGGCAGCTCGCGACGGGCATGGAAACGCTGGAAGTTAGAACCCGATGACATTGCAAAGCTTAGATCTCGACTTACCTCGAACATTACCGCCTTGACTAACCTACAGGGCAGTATCACCAGGTAGGCGGATGTCGTACTCCCATTGCGAAAATGTTCTTACCGGTCCAGTAATCTAACGAAAGACATCAAGGACGATCTAGAAGATCTCCGAAAAAATGAAGACGACAGTCAACGTGAAGTAGTGGCAAATTGGGTCGCCCCAGCCAGCTTTGCGGAACAACAGAACGACACCATCACTCGTCGTCAGCTTGGAACTGGGCAATGGTTTCTCGACCTGCCTGAGTATCGAGACTGGTGCCGGGGTGATTGTGGAACGTTATTGTGCCCAGGCATACCTGGATCGGGTAAGACAGTCATGGCGTCCGTTGTCATCAATGACCTACAGCAGCAGTTTGAGGCCGATCACAGCATCGTCGTGGCTTATCTCTACTGTAACTTCAAGCGGCAATATGAGCAACGATACAGTGAACTGTTGGCAAGTCTTCTGCGACAGTTATTTCAAGAACAGCACAATTTACCATCCGAGATTAAAGAGTTGTATGAAAGACACAAATCTAGGGGCACCAGACCTTCAGTCTATGAGTTGCAAGACTTGCTTCGTCTCTTGGTCAATCATCATGCACACATTTTCATCGTGATCGACGCACTAGACGAATGCCAAAATGATGATGGAAGTCGTGCCAACTTAGTTGCCCAGATCTTGAAGCTACAGAGCGAATCAAAATCCAAGGTCAACCTGCTGGCCACTACGCGCTTTATTCCCGAAATCATCAGTCAATTTCCAACGGCAGTGCAGATTGAAATCCGCGCATCCAAGGAAGATGTGGGTCGATACGTCGACGGCCAGGTATATCGTCTGCCTCCTTTCGTCTCCCGAAATTCGGATTTACAAGCTGAGATCAAGGAGAAAATTGTGACTGCGGCTGACGGCATGTACGTGGATTACCACAAGTGTAAAACATGTTTCAAATAACTAACCAGGCGGGACAGGTTTCTATTAGCACAACTTCACTTTGATTCGTTAATAGATAAGACCAAACCGCGGGCAATCAGAGCTGCCCTGGATGAATTGCCTCGCGGCGCGGAAGCATTGTCTATGGCATATCAAAACGTGCGAGAGAGGATTGAACAGCAGCCTGCTGGATTCCGCTTGCTGGCACGGCGGGTACTGTCTTGGATCACGTACGCACAAAGGCCAATGAAGATCAAGGAATTGCAACACGCTCTTGGTGTAGAGCCTGGCATGGAGGCCATCGACAATGACGAAGACCTCGAGGAGGAGTCGGTATTAGTATCAGTTTGCGCTGGCTTGGTTGCAATCGATCCGGAAAGTGGTGTTATTCGCTTGGTGCATTACACAACTCAGGAATATCTAGAACGCACTCGAGACGTATGGTTTCCAACTGCACACGCTCACATCGCAACCAGCTGTATTGCGTACCTACTGCTGAAGGAAATGTCGACTAGGTGTGTATCCAGTGAGTTGTTCAAAACACGACTCAATCGCCTCCCATTTCTCGACTATGCCGTACGCTTGTGGAGCAATCACACAATACGCAGTCTGGAGCCAAATGTGGAAAACCTTGCACTATCGTACCTTATGTCTGACGATCATGTCTCTGCCGCTAGTCAAGCTATGTTCGCGACCAACTCGTTCGGCACTTATTATCGGTGGGGTCCCGAAAAAGTAGTCGGTTTACATTTAACAGCGTACTTCAATTTGGCGGGCTTCGCGCAGCGACTCATTGCTCAGGGGAAATCACCAGATGCGGAAGACGGCGAAGAGCGGACACCACTCTCGTGGGCGGCAGAACGTGGTCATGTTGAGGTGATGAAGCAGCTCCTAGCGCTAAATGATGTCGCCTTGAATTCAAAAGATCACACCTACAGAACACCACTGTCATGGGCAGCAGGGAAAGGTCAAACAGAAGCCGTGAGGTTGTTGCTCGGCTGCAATGGCATAGAGGCTAATGCTCGAGATAAGACTGGCAAAACGCCGTTATCCTGGGCCGCTGAATGTGGTCATGATGATGTCGTGAAGGTCTTACTCGCCTGTAACAGCGTATTCGCTGGAACAAAAGCTAAGGTGGGCGAAACTCCGTTGATGCTTGCGGTGGCAAACCGTCGCGTCGAAATCGTGAAGCTATTACTCGACCACGGCGATGCTAATGTCAATGCACAAGACGAGAAGGGAGTTACTGCATTGTTAAGTGCAACATATTCAAATCAGATTGAGGTCATCAAAATGCTACTAGCAGTAGCCAACATAGAAATAAATGCGAAGGACAGTTACGGCCGATCACCGTTGTCGGTTTCAGCGAACGGAGATGAAACTACAGCTATGCGACTTTTTCTCGCTTTCGACGGTATTGCCTCGAACTCGAAGGACGACGAAGGGAGAACCCCTCTGCTTTCAGCAGCATATTATAAGAAGATGGAGGCCGTGGAGCTCTTGATCGCCCACAGTGATGTCAATGTCGCGGCTAAAGACAACAATGGTCGTACGCCATTTTCGTACGCAGCACAAGCTGGAAGCGTTGATTTAATAAAGACATTACTCGCTCGCAATGATATCAATGCTGACGATAAAGACAACAATGGTCGTACGCCATTTTCGTACGCAGCACAAGCTGGGAGCATAGATATGGTGAAGATATTACTCGCCCACAATAGTATGGCTGACGACAAAGACAACAATGGCCGTACGCCACTATCACATGCATCACAAGCTGGGAGCATAGATGTGGTGAAGATGTTACTGGCCCGCAGCGATGTTGAAACAGACTCGAAAGACATAAACAATCGAACTCCGCTATCATGGGCTGTCACAGAAGGCGACGATGAAGTACCGGGACTACTTCTTGCCTGCCAAGCCAGAGTTGACTCGAGGGATAAAGGTGGTCGTACACCATTGTCGTGGGCTGCAGCAAACAGCAAATTCTCAGTTGCGAATTTCAATCTTCTCCTGGCACAAGGAGAAGACATAGTCGATTCCAAGGATGACATTGGCCGCACTCCTTTATCTTGGGCAGCAGCGGCTGGAAGTATAGAGGCAGTGAAGCTCTTGCTTCCGCATCCCAGTGTTGAAGCCGACTCAAGAGACCTCAACAATCGAAGTCCATTATCATGGGCCTTCTCATGGAGCGCTGGATGGCATCGGGCTGAGATTGTGAGGCTCTTACTTGCTCGTGGGGCTGAAGGAGATTCAAAGGATAACGGCGGTCGAAGCCCACTGTCGTGGGCAGCAGGACAAGACTCTACTGCGGGTCTCGAAATCCTACTAGCACGCAGTGATATTTCGAAAGATTCGAAAGACGATAAAGGTCGGACGCCCTTTTCGTATGCCGCAATTCACGCAGGTTCGCCCACAGTTGCTAGGTTGTTTCTGACACATGGCGATGTTGAAGCAGACTCGAGAGATATGCACGGTCGTTCGCCGCTGTCACATGCTTGTGAAGCTGGAGGGGACCACCGGTTTGCAGAGCTCCTTCTTGCTCGCGACGACGTGGACAAAAATTCGCAAGACGAACTTGGCCGAACACCGCTTTCATATGCGATCGAAAATCGAGACACAGATCTTGTGAGGCTAATGCTGACACACGATGAAGTGGATGTCAACATCCAAGACCAACAAGGCCGAACACCTCTTTCATGGCTTGGAGGGGATGAATTTCCCTATGAAATTCTGAGTCTGGTTTTAGACCGCCAACCCTTGGAGGCAGAGGGAAGAGATGAAAACGGTAGGACGCAATTATCGCATATGGCAGGGGCAGGCTTCACCCCGTACGTCCAACTTCTCCTAGACCGAGGTGACATTCAGGTAGACTCGAAAGACAAATACGGTCGAACGCCCTTCTTTTATGCTGTGGCGAATGGGCGAATTGATTGTGCCAAATTGCTTCTCGCACAAGGCAATGTGGACGTGAACTTAAGGGACAAAGCTGATGAGACGCCACTTCTATGCGCCGTGAGACGTGGTGCCATTGCGTCGGTGAAACTGCTTTTGGCACGCACAGACGTTGAAACAGACACCACAGACGACAGTGGAATAACACTATTGATGTCTGCGGTACAGGAAGGTGACTTTCATATCGTGAACCTTCTTCTTTCAAGCGGCAAATTTCGAATTAACGCTCAGGATAACTGTGGCAGGTCACCATTATTGTACGCAGCTGCAGGAGGCCACACAGAAATTGCTCAACTTCTCCTCAAACAGCCCAATATTGAGATCAACTTGAAGAATGAGACCGGTGCGACACCTTTAATATGCGCTGCAGTGTTGGGACATGTCCATATTGCGAGCCTACTTCTCACGCATGAAGATATTGACACGAACGCGACAACAAGCGAAGGTTTCTCAGCGTTGATTGTAGCAACCGGAGAAAATCATGTCGATATTATGAAATTACTACTCACAAGGAGTGATGTCCAAGTCAACACGCGTGACGGAAATGGGCGGTCGGCACTATCGTACGCAGCTGAGCAAGGCGCTACAAATTCCGTAGCATTACTTCTATCGCGTCAGGATATCGATGCTGACTCAAAAGATAAAGATGGCCTAACACCCTTTGTATATGCAGTCGGGATGGGCCACCCCAGTATCGTGAAACTACTTCTCGATCACAAAGAGACGACACCAGACTTGAGAGATGAGGATGGTCGGACTCCGCTCTCCTTTGCGGTAGAGGACGGACAAATAGAGTTGGCCGACTTGCTCTTAGACAGTGCTAGAGTCGACGTAAACTCAAAGGACAGCACAGGCCGGACTCCTCTCTCGTGGGCGATAACTGGTCAATGTCAGGAAACTGTCAAACGACTTCTGGCAAGAGATGATTTGGTGGTAGACCTCAAAGATGAACGGGGATGGACACCATTATCACACGCAGCGCGGAACGGGTACACTGAGATGGCTAGGCTTTTGTTGGACCACCCTGATGTTGATATCAATGCCAAGGATACCACTTCTCGAGGACCGTTGTCGTTGGCAGCATGGCATGGACACCTCGAAACCGTTGAGCTTCTTTTGGGCTATCCTTCTATCGAGGCCAACTCTAGGGACGATAATCAGTTTTCGCCCTTATTTTACGCTTGTGGAGGCGGACACCCTAAGGTAGTAGACGTACTCTTGAAGCGGAAGGACGTCGAGGCAAACTTGACAAACCAGGTTGGCTGGACTCCCTGCTTCTATGCAGCCGGACTTGGGCATGTCGAGGTGGTAGAGTTGCTGCTTGCGCAACAAGATGCCCAAGCAGATCTTAGAGATAAAGATGATCGTACCATCTTATCCTGGGCTGTTGAACGTGGCCACATCGCGGTTGTGAGCTTTCTACTAACGCGCGACGATGTAGATAAAGACTCAAAAGATGGAAAAGGGCGAACGCCCTTATCGTACGCAGCAGAGAGTGCAGAGAGTGGAGCGGTCGACATCCTCCAACTCCTGCTGGCACAGATTGGAGTCGATCCAAATTCAAAGGACCAACGTGGCTACACACCATTAGCCTACGCGACGGAGTCTGATAGGAGGGACAATGTGAAGTGTCTTTTAGCACATTCAGGTGTCGATGTAAATGTCAGCAATGGTGGTGGGTGGACACCATTATCGCGAGCAGCATACTGCGGATACTCTGAAATTGTGCAGCTTCTTTTGTCCCACGGAGAAATCGATGCCCACCTCCAAGGTTACGGTGGCTTGACAGCTTTTTGGTACGCGGCGGCTTATGGGGGTATCGAGGTGATGAGCCTTTTCCCGGCGAACCATGATGTTGAGCTTTCTACTGCAGATCATCTAGGTCGCACAGCTCTGTCATATGCCGCTGGTTTCGGATCCACAGAAGTGGTGAAGCTCCAGTTAAAACGTTCTAGGACCCAAGTGGATACCAAAGATGTCCAGGGACGAACACCTCTGTCCTGGGCAGCCGAGTCTGGCCACAGAGACGTTGTCAAACTACTTCTGCAATGCAGAGAGGTGGACATTGAATCAAAGGACAAGGACGACTGTACACCTCTAGCATATGCAAGGGATCGGGGACACCCGGAAGTCGTGGTGCTTTTGCAGGCAGAAGCATATGTGGAGGCTCACGGAGGTGGCGATCACGATGCTGCACTTTACAATGCATCAGCCGATGGAGATGAGCACGCTGTTCAATTGCTTTTGGGAGCAGGAACCAGAGTGGATGCTGTGCATGAAGAATATGGCACTGCGCTGTACGCAGCATCGTATGGGGGCCACGAGGGAGTGGTAAGGATGTTACTGGACGGGAAGGCTGATGCAAATGCCAAAGGAGGCTACTTTGGCACCGCACTCTGCGCGGCGTCAGCACTCGGTCACGAGGCTGTGGTGCAGATGCTGTTGGATGCGAATGCTGACATAGATGCTGGAAGTGGAACCCTCGGGACCGCACTCCACGAGGCGGCTTCAGCAGGCCATGGCAAGGTGGTTCATACGCTGATTGACAGAGGTGCAGATGCCACACTGCTAAATCGTGATAGACGCTCGCCTCTACACATGGCGGCTGCCTCCGGGCATCTCGACATAGTCGAGCATCTATTGCGATCAGGGGTATCACTCAATCAAGCCGACAGCTTGGGCATGACTCCAATATTTCTGGCTCTGCATCAAGGCCACACTGCGATTGTCAACACGTTGATCCTTCGAGGTGCAGATCTTTCCGTCATTGATGGCTACGGCAGGATGCTTTCCGAATGGGCGGCACTTTACCACCCTTCTCCAGAAAAGAGGCCATCATGGGCTCAGAGCTTTCAGGCGACGCCGAAGGCAACGCGGCTGAAGCGCCTTAACGAGTCTGTCCTGAGGTTGTCGAATAGTTTGCTGTCGTCCACCGTCTCTGCTGGAAGACACAAGGGTCTGTATGAGCTCGGAAAATGCTTGATTTATCTCCAAAATTTCGACGATGCCAGGACCGCATTTGAGCTCGATATCGTCAGCGTGGATGACGACGGGGTCCCAACCCATTCCGCGCTCTGCAACTTCCATCTGGATGATCCTCTCGCAGGATACAGATATGTGTGCCAGATCTGTCCTGATTCCGATCTCTGCGAGGCATGCATGAATAGTTACGGTGACGAGCTTAAGGATGTAGACGGCAACGCAGCGGGTCGCTTTTGTCGAGGTCACGAGTTCATAAAAATCCCAGGCCCAGGCTGGACAGCGACGAAGGCACACGCAGCTGGTTCAAGGGACGAATTGAACGAGTGGCTGAAGCAAATAGTAGCGAGGTATGAGGGATTGTCACAGAAGCTGGAGGGTTCTGACCAAGTTGCAGAGAAAACTCTGTAGCACGAGACGTGTGTAGTCAAATCTACGTGTTAATATCTTTGGGGATCGAGGCGCCATAAATAGTGATATTAAAGATATAGCTCGTAAATTACCTTCTAAGACGGAGAGAAAGTGACGCGTAACGTGTCGGATTAAATACGCGTCAAGTGCGAGCATTAGTGGCACGGAGGTGGTAGCTGGAGAAGTACCCAAAGTTTTAGCGCTCGGCGTGACAAGTGATCAAGCTTAAGGTTCTGGACACTTCATTTACCTTGCCTGTGAGATTGCTGGGGAAGTTGCTTCGAACCACCAGAGCCATCAGAACAACCTAAGTACTTGCTGTTATGGAGTATACTAAGTACCTAAGTCATCAAATATTTCCATGACAGAACAATTTCATCATGAGCTCGATGAGTGCTGAACCTCCACTCACTCAAGCATGTCAGAGGTGCTGGCGAAGAAAACAGAAGTGTGGTCGGCAAAGACCACAATGCACTGAATGCGTCCGAGCTGGAGCGCAATGTCTGCCTCGAGTCTGGGGTCGTGTACTTGAGGGTGATGGTGACCCAGCCTTTGATGATGGCTCCTCTGCCAGGTAAGACCTACCACCCATGCCCGGCCAGAATTCTATGCTCACTATCGTAGGAGCGTGATTGAACAGATGAGAAGCAGGATAGCCCTTCTAGAATCACAGGAAGGTCTTTCCGGTGTTCGGAATGGCGATGATGCTGCATTGACCGCTCATACTTCGGAGAGCAGTCACGTCGATCCAAGCACCGGCACTGCAGCAGCGCAACTTGAAGGGGCCTTGCTCGAGAACACGACAAGTGAAGTAGGGTATCTCTCGGTTGCCGCCATGAGTGGACCTGACCGACAAGACATGAATGCTCATAACAGTCCCTCTTTTGCCACTTTGGTTCGCCATACTACACATTTATCAAGAGATCCTGTATCATCTCGGCGGCTTGTCAATGACAACTCCTCCACTCCGCAAAGTCAGAGCCTGCTTGAGATTCAAGCCGAGTTAACGAAGCTCTGCAACTGCGACTTGCGATTCTTCGTCGATGCTTATATCAAGAATGCAGGACACATATTTCCATGCATTTCGCAGGCAAGGTGCCATGAGGCATTGAACACAGCTCTGCAATCTGAAAAAAATGGTGATGCATTGCAAGGGCATCATACGGCGAGCGAAAGTGTGATGGTTACTTGTTTTACTGCCAGCCTCGGTATTCTCCACAGTGCCCATGTACGCACAATCTCACACTCACTTCAATGCCTTATGGCTGCGGCGCTTGCAATGCTGCCTGCAGCCGTAGCCGAGACTTCGGACATTGAAGCTGTTCGATTCTTGCTATTGGCGGCGGTTCTTGGCCTTCATCGCTTCGAGGAAACTTCTAGCTGGCATTTCATAGGACTTGCTATCACTAAAGCTATATCTGCTGGTCTGCATCGAAACAAAATTCCAGAGAGCAGCAGTGACGACTCTCAAACTCTCCTGTGGACACTTTACAACCTTGACCGTGCCTGTTCCTTTGTGATGGACCGGCCTTTCAGCATTGAAGATAGTGATATGACCATTGAGCTACCCCAAGCCACTTCCTTAGCTACTACTCGACCCACAACTGTGGATTTGCACCCCTTTTTTGTCTGGAGTGTGCACTACGCTCGCACGATGTCCGAATGGAAGCGTCAGCTTGTTCCCGATCCCGAGATATGCCACTCAAGCTTTGCTTACTGGCGAGAAACGTGCCACGAGTACGTTATGTCAACCCAGTCAGGTAGCGATCAAGCGTCCTCGGACCAAGTAAGCTCTACCATCCTTGTGAGCGTAGCTGAGGCCCAGCTCACGTGTCGTGCACTCGTGCATCTCCTGCTTCAAGCTCTGCATAGCCCATTGCCTCCCTTGTCCTTATTGCAACGTGTGCGCAAGGGTCTCGAGCACGAAGTACCGCAATATCTGGCAAGTTACAAAGCTGCGATGGATACGGAAAGCCTGGGTCCTAACTTGCTAGACGCGTATGATATCCTAGCGGCCTTCCTCGGCTATATATACTCTCGTCAGTCATTTGTACTCGACCAGACAGGGAAACAATCGCAATTTGGCACCATACATATCGGTGTCGCGGGAATGAGGCTGGTAACCTTGGGCATGGATGTCTTGCAGAAAATATCCGACAGATTCGAGCCGATTTTAGACTTAAAGGAGTTACTGTGGTGCTTTCTCACTGCCCTTGAAAGCCATGGGCAGTCTACGACTCTGCCAGGCCAAAGTTCGCAGCCTACAGCAGTGCATACTGTGAGAGAAGCGCTTTCAGAAAGTCGGATACCGGTGCCTCCACACCTGGCTCTTCTCATGGAGCGTGCATTTTCTTGAGCTTCTGTCAACCATTTGCGCTGGGCGAAAGGAAAACTACTGAAATGCACAATCCAAGCTGCTTCATGCTCCGGCACTTGGGTTCGGCGGAAAATCCATACCCCGCGTGCATGGGGAGCCTCGGCCCCATCTCCGAAGCCCCAGTCCGTTGGAAAGCTGGTACCCGGGCTGCCCGCCATGGCAGAGCTCGCAATCCCAGTCACCCAGCGGACGTCAAAATTCGTTGGTCACCCAACTGGGTCTTTCAGCTAATACTCTATCCTGTAATCTCTGAGCACGGTGGGCGACAGGGTAGGAAACAGCGTTCGTGATCCACGAATTCTGTCATGTGCTGGGTGCCAATCCCATCAACGATCAACAGTTCTTCGGAGTTCCAGCAAAGTCGTGCATTTCGCTGAACTTGACCTCTGGGGTACTCCATTTGATTCGTGCCTCATTGGCCACTTTCCGAAATATCGGTCTTCAGGCATAATCTCCTCCAAGACGATGAAACTTCCTGCATGTGAACGATGCAGAATACGCAAAGTCAAGTGCGACACATATGCCCCTAAATGTACGGGATGTATGCGCGGTAATGCGGCCTGCATCATCGTCGACCCTCTCACAAATGAGAGATACACACGAGATGGTTTGGTCCAGATGGAGCAAAAACTTCGGCTTCTCGAAGCGAATGCTGTGGCGACATCGCCTGACAAGGTTACGTCAGACAAAGGCATCCAGAAGGGTACGAAGATTCACTTTGTTGGCGATGGTAGTGGATTGAATTTCTTTGAACGTTTATCAACCACTGCGAGGACAAGACTGCCTTCTTTGAACGAATCACCGAGTGCAGTGCACCATCCGTCTTATAACAGCTCAGCGGTCACGCCACAAATATTGCCTAACCTAGACACGGCAACGCTTCTCATTACGCATTACTTAAGCCATGTGCAGTTGCATCATCCTTTGTTAGCTAAGTGTACTGTTTCAGACTTGTTGCAACGTGGTTATTATTCGAACAATGCCCAGGTTTCTGCAGAGGACATGTACCGGCTGTTCATGGTCTTTGCTATCAGTTCAGTGACAACCTACAGGAGGGGTCAAACCACTGTACACCCGTACGGATACTTTCGTGCAGCTCAACGTTATGCATCACAGGTTAGCATGTTAGGCGGCATAGCAGGTGTCCAGAACCTTTTGCTCGTTGCTCGATTTGCAATGTACTACCATATCGATTGCTCGATCTGGGATATCGCTCGGTTCTGCATGAGAGAATGCATTGCATTGGGATTCCATCGTCCCCCAACGGAGCCATTGCCTCCTCTGCAAGAACAAATCCAGCGGAATGTGTTCTGGGACTGCTATGTGCATGATCGATACAGTTCAGGTATCCTTGGACGGCCGTACGCGATAGCCGAAGATGATATTACCGTTGAACTTCCCCTTGAAATGAGTGAAGAGATAATTTCGTCCTCACCATCCGAATCCCTCAGCGAACTGAAGGTAGAGGACCACAACCTACCGAATGGAGCTTCTGTCTTCCGATTCGTCATCAAGCTGCGGAGAATTATTACCAGGATTTCCAATTGTTTCTACAGTTCTGGTGGCCATGTGCAACACCGTAGACGTACCATTACCGATGCAGGGCGAGTCAGAGTTGACCTGCATCGCTTCCTGAGGGAGCTGGAATGCGCTCGAGAGCATGCGCCCGTCTTCGAGAGCCCAGAGAGTCTATATGAGCGATCTGAGTGGTATGACTTTCTCGTCGAAAAGGACAAGCTCACCCTGATACGCGGGGCTCTAGCCCAGATACCAGTAGATGGCTTGCATCCGCCACGTGAGCTCCTCAAAGAATCACTACGATGTGCTACTAGTGTCATTGAGCTTTACAGTACAATGTTCTCTAATGGTCAAATCACCTGGACTAGGTCATATTTCCAGATCATGTTCACCTCTGGCCTGTCCATCATGTACACTTTGTCACTGCTGAAGCATGAGAAGTCGTTTCGAGAATCGGGCGATAAAGGGGCCTTTCTACGTGCCTCACGAGCTTTAACGACTGCTTGTGAGCTGATGAAGATGTTCGTGAGCGAAATGCCGGACGCCGGTAGGTTTGCAGACATTTTCGAGGTCCTGGTGAAACGACATACAGGCACGGGAAGTCGAGCTCGGCCGAGCCGGGCGGCCTCTCCTACTTCACGAGATCACGTTGCGCACCAGCTAATCACCCATTCGGAAGCACCAGACAAACCTCAGCCGCCGCCGCCACAGCATGATATCAACGTGGTGTCAATGACCGCCCCATCACGGCAAGATGAGTATTTCGACGTATCAATCCCCGCAGCTGACACTACCGGAATCCAAGTAGAGCCTATGCTCAGTGCTCCGACAGGACCAGACCAGCAAGAGGACGATCTTGCAATGCTAGATCTGGATCTCGACAACTTCCAGAACTGGTCGCTCTTCCCGGCCAACACGGACAACATGCTCGGCCAGGTCGAGGCCGGTCTGGGCGAATACGTATGGGGTACGCCCCCGGACGATAGCCTCTGGGACCAGTGGGATTTCTTCCGTGGTCCTTCATGATCTTAGTTATCCATCAACGTAGATGAGATTGATCATTTGTTTCTCTCGGAATTTGCATGATCTTCTGAGCTGCGATTTCGTTCGAGATATATCATTCAACCATCCATGCTATTCGATTTGCACAGAAACACCGAATGAGAAGTATCACCAAAGGGGCTCGAAACTTTGTCTGGAAATCCTCAAATTCGACTTATCGTTATCTACTGTTCCCTCCTAGTTCAAGTTTTGATACGTGCTGGAAAGCTGGGCACTGTTTGGCCTGCATGTAGAACTATGCATCGAAGGGCTGTAAATTCTCATCAATGAGCCATTCAGCGCCGTCAAATATTCACAGCCATGTCTTGCTCAACGTGGAAAAGTGATTTTTCCGACGTCACATGAGGGAAACAGCACGAGCCGACAGGGCAAACGTAATTTTGCAGATCCGCACCATTTCTCCATCTCAACGTTCAATTGGCCTCCTTTTTAGAACACCAGAACAGGAGAACGCATCAATCAAAAGGTGTAACATTTCGGAGCGCCCTTTCGCGGTACCACTCCCGAATACACTCCGAGATTCCCTCAAATTCGTCAATTTTTGTCATCAGTCGTTAATTCTCATGATTTACTTGGCTCAAACTCTCGAGAAGAGTAGCCATCTTCTTGAACTCGAGCTCAGCACACCGTGGCTGCTCGACGATATCTTTCATCCGAGGATCGCCGTCGTTTTCCGCTGCGGAGGCGTTGTTCGGTCTCAACGTCCCGTTTGAGCCGTTGATGCTCGAAGGCATATCTCAATTCGGGTATCGTCATGATGCGGTTCTTCCGTTCGCGAAGAATCTTCGAGCCGATCCTGACGGCCAAATATACCAAGATGGCCACAGTCAACAACTTGGTTGTGCTCAGAAAATGCCAGCTGAAAAGCAATGAGGCAAGAAAATAGCGCCATAGCCGCAGGCAAATAGTTGTTATCGTGGATTTGTACTCGTGAATAAGCGACATGAAGCTTTCGAGAAAGACTGTCACACGTTAGCTAGTCTGCATTCCTTCTTCGGGTTCCGATGATTCATACCGTATAATGTGCCAAGGATGCAGGAGTACTTCCACGGCTTGCAGAAGTATAGTATCAGGACGGGTAGGGCAAAGACACCGAGCAGCCTAAGATGAATGAAATCTAGGACACGGGAAGGTATAGCAACAAGCGCAAATATTGTGCTCAGAGTGGAGGAAGCTCTCTCGACGCGCCCAAGGGCTTGGTTTACATGTTCCAAGCGGTGGGACATCTGACCTGCAAGTCCACTTGCACTGTTGAGTTCTAAAGCTAGATGTGCTGCATTCCCGTTCAATTGTTCGCTCCAGGCAAGGCCGGACTTCTGGTTTTCAGTAATTTGCTCGCTTAGCTGGAGATGGCGCTGCATACTGGATGATTGTGTGATCTGAGCATCGAGGATTTCGTTGAGTTCTGCTCGCATGTGAGTCGCCAGTTGGTTCAGATCCTGCCCGAGATTAACATGGTGGAAGCAGGTCTGAAGATGGAAATCTTGTTACCGTCATAACATCTTTCACATTGGTATCTTGAAGCACTTCTGATGTCACTAGAGCAAGATCATGTATACTTTGGATCTCCGCTGCGTGTTTTGCGGCGTTTTCGGCGTTAACTTTGTCCGCCGAGACCATAGCCTCGCCTAGGAGCCTCCTGAGGCTTCTAAAATCAGCGAGGACTTGTGCAATGGCCTGTAACATGTTAGTCGAAAGAAACGCGGTAGAATTTTGCAACTCACCTCACGACTCTGATCGATCCCAGTACCAGTGTTAGCCAAGGATTTCTGCATCAATCGAGAAGCGTCAGCAAGCTCCTCTTTTGCTAGTTTCATGGCAGAGTGAAAGTGCTTCATCTCAAGCTTGTGTGTAGTCTCGGCATCTTTTTGGTTCTTTTTCTGCATTATTTCCAGCTCTCGAGTGCTTTCTTCCTGCTGCTTGACAAAAGCGAGCCATTGGGAGCGGGTAGAAAGGAGGTCATTCCGAAAACTTGGCAAGAGTTCCGCGAGACGTTGATAGGATTGAAGTGCTTCCAATTTGGCTGATTCCAGCGTGACTGCTTGACACAGGGTGTTCGCATCCTGTCTGCTGTTGCTATAGCTCGTCCAATAATAGTGCTCCGCCATCAACGCCTCCAGACAAGGTGGTAAAGAGACACTGTTGACAACCTCAAATTCACGGTTCAGATGACGCGGAATTGCGAGAATGGGCTTGCAGATGGCTGGGATCGCAGCTCTGCCTTCACCAGTTTCACAGACTGATAGCCTTGCGGCATAGACCGATTTGGCACGTTCCAGGAGTTCATGTTTCCCTTCTTCAGCAGCGAGGTCTTTGCCTACCGCTTTACAAGTGACAAGCAATTGAGCAGCGGCAGCTTGATGGCAGGTCGATCTTGTGGCAACACTGTCGATGACTTGCATTGCTTTCTCAAGGAGCGGATCTTCATCCAAGTCTCGCTGTGTGAGGAGATCTGTCAGATCGACGCCGAGTTCTGGTTTTTCGAATTGTGTGTTCCGACGTCTGGGCCATCTCAGATCACCTGGATCTGTTATTGAGTGCATTAGAACGTGAGGCTCAAGGTTGTTCATTACCTGGGAGTAACTTTGACTGAGCCTGGTCTACAAGTGAAAGTACCACAAGTGTTGTGATTGCAAACCATCCAAGCATGCGTGGGTTCGAAGAGGGCAGCATTGTCGGGAGGCGCAAGTGAAAACACCAAATTGGAAAGAGAAGGAGTAACAACTTTTAAGATGTAGCAAAGATTGATATAGATGAGGAGGTGGAGCAGGAGCAGTGAAGGAAGGAGACTGAAAGAAAATTATAACACTTATAAGAAAGGTTCGAGGAGAAGTGAATCTCTAAGTATCACAAGTTCCAGGTGTTCACCTCAGCCTCGGTGTGATCTTCGACCATAAAAGGCGGACAGCAGACCCAGTTGAGTAAAACAGGTATTGGCCTTATACTTTGCGACAATTTGCTGGTGGAATTGTGATTGATGGTGACATCCAGAAGCTGGGATGGGAGTGAAGTGAAGTTCAAATCCACCTGGTACCGCGTCTCGACGCGTGACTCACGCTGGGCTTGTAGGGGCAGATCTTGTGCCTGGAGAACCCCCCATTTTCAAAGACTCTAGCTACTGGACTTAGCACTCATTAAGGCGGTACCAGCCTTACTGAATGGCTAAAAGCATCTAGGTGTTCCCTCACATGCAACTGTCTTCGAGTTCTTCATAGGAGGACCAGAAAATCTCGTACTGTAGCATTTGAGACACGTAGGACCATTAGCTAGTGGGCAACAGGCTCTGGAACATTATACTGTGTGTCATCCTCAATATTTTGACACCGATTGCTGAGTCCAGAGCACTGAGATTCCAACGATACAGCAGCTTGTATCGAATGGACTCCACGGCCAGATGCTTCAAAGGGCGCTCTTCGATAGGAAATCCAGCGACTTGTGTAGCTCTGCTTACCTAGGTCACAGTGAAGGCAAATCGTTGTCGGAAAGGGCTCTATCCCACCGCTCAATCACCTATGGTGAGCATCACCGCCTCGCTTCCTCCTTTGCTAGCCTTTCAATATCGGATTTCCAGAGTTGGAAATACTACCACTGGATCGAAATTTAACATCCTGAGTTTGTTCCCTTACCCTGTTTGTTGTTCCTGAGGACCCGCGGTGAGGGTTTCCTCAAAGTGAAGAGCGCTCGCTCCACCGCTGCACGCCATTCATCCATAAACACAAGCCTGCGCTTTTGACTTAGAGAGACTTAGTCCGTCATGGGTTGCAAAACTCGCTCCAATGACAGGATGCCCACTTTGCCAGCATTTGTCTATAACTGCAGCTCGGTATGCGAGACAGCTGCAGATAGATATCTGCTAGGCTTCCAGGCTAGGCTTTCATCGAGCCGAATGGCCCAATTGAGCGGACTTCCGTCCATGGTCATTCGTGATGTACTATGAAACACGCGGATCTGCTATTGTTCTCGGTCTGACTATTAGACTTGGTCGAGGGAGAATCATGGATGAGAGTTGTTTGTGGGTCGTGAGGAAATGGGAAAATGGGTGGGATCTGTTCGAATACCGGACAATAAGGCTGTTCACGTGACCTTAACCCAATCTCCAATTAATTGGCTCCTTCCAATTCTACAAGTTCTAAATTATCTTCCCACGGCCCTCTCGACGATTTATCGACTGCGTCGTTGGTAAATAGTTCGAGGAAGCTTGGGGAAAGTTTCTGCGGCCTCACAGCTTCTGTCTACACCACCGGAGTTGTAGTCGTCATCCTCCGCCGACTTTCTCGCACGAGCACAGGAGGACGAAACTGAACCGAAAGCCACTCAACCACAAAAGAATGGTCTGCACCGGCATCCAGCCTTCACTCCGGAGGCTGGTGCTTGATGCTAGCCGGACGCGCGAGATCCCATATTTTCTCCTACCATCGATCTCCTCCCGACCCTTCTCCTCGAGTCATACCCAGAGATCACGGATTGGTCGCGAAGCAATAGCGATACCTCCGGAAGTCACTCTAAAGTTTTTCGATCTGCCAAAGGGAATATCAAGAAGCAGGAATCCAGACACGGCCAATACTGCAGTTGAAGTGACGGGGCCTCTAGGTATGAAATGGACAATTTCTAGAAATGGATGGGATGGCTAATGAACGACTCCGTCGCAGGTCAACTCACTGTCCCTCTACCACCCTATGTAGCCACATCACAGGAAGATGAGGGAAAGAAACTTGTAATCAATGTTGAGGATCCGCTTGAAAAACACCAGCGGTCGATGTGGGGTATGTCAACGGCACTTCACGAGCTGCAGTTTTCCCTACTCATCATCAACATGCACTAATACAAGACACTGCAGGGACGATGCGCACTCTCGTACAAAATAGCGTGGCTGGTGTGTCCGAAGGTCATGTCTGCATCCTCCGCCTAGTGGGCGTCGGCTACCGAGCCACGATTGAAACGACCGCGATCACCAAGAAGCCCGAATATCCGGGCCAGAAATTCGTGAATCTTAAGCTGGGGTTCGCACATCCAGTAGAGATGCCTGTTCCGCTGGGGGTGACGGCCAGTGTTCCACAACCGACTCGAATTCTGTTAGAGGGCTGTGACAAACAAGTCGTCACACAGTTCGCTGCTGACATCCGTCGATGGCGAAAACCCGAACCTTACAAGGGAAAGGGTATCTTTGTGAACGACGAAACTATCAAGCTGAAGGGCAAGAAAGCTAAATAGGGAGCTGGCTAGATCATTCATGTTCGATCGAACATGTCTTGTATACACTGTATCGATTGTACCTGTAAACCAAGTATTTTATGTACCAATATTCTTGGTGCTTTTGACTCCCGTTCTTGTACAATGTTCCATAATCTATAGCTTGGCCGACAGCACTTCCTGAACAGCCTTCAAAACCTGAGCGTGAACATTAGCCGGTGATGCCACCACACCCTTGTTCTCGGTGAGGGTTCGTCCTCGTCCAAAATCCAGCCTGTTGCCGTGAATATCCGTGACCTGACCACCGGCCTCTCTGACGATCAAGTCACCAGCAGCGTGATCCCAGATCTTCTCGACATAAGATTTTTTGACCGGCAGGCGCAAGTACAGATCCCCGGCTCCTCTGGCCACACTGCCGTATTTCGCCTGGCTGTCCATCTGCACAGGCTTGCCGGTGATGCCGAGCTTCTGGGCGATCTCGGCGTTGTCGCCCTTGGACGAGTGTCCTGCCTCGACGGACTCGCACAGCACGGCCTGGCTGACGTCGGAGATGTTGCTGACGTGGATGGGCTGGCCGGCCGTGACTGGGCCGCGGGTCAGTGGCTGTGAGGCTGCGCCTTGGCCTTGGATGGCGGAGAAAAGAACGCCTTTGCCCTCTGCATCTGTCGCGTCCGCGCCCATGTTCTCGGTCAGCGGGGCGGAATCGTCCACGGGGAGATTCGGACAGCCCAGCACGCCGACCTTGACGTCACCGTCCACGAGCAGTGCCAGGCACACGGCGTATTGGCCGCCGCGGAGGAAGCCCTTGGTGCCGTCGATGGGGTCGAGTGCCCAGATGCGGCCTTTGTTGCCACCGGCGCTGTTACCTTGGTCGATGGCCTCGAGCATTGCGTCTTCTGTCTTGATGGGTCCGCCAAGTGAAGCGTCCGAGTCTTGGTCGGTGAGCTTGGCATCTTTGACGAGACTCCATATCTGGGAGGAAAGATCTTTCTGCTCTCGTAGTGAAGATGCCTCTTCCTCACCGACAACCTCGTCTTGTGGGAAATTGTGCTTGATGGCGGCAATGATGAGGGCTTGAGCGCCGAAGTCTCCAATGGTCACGGGCGACTTGTCATCCTTGGAGACTGTGCCTTTGGCCTTCTCGTGGAAAACTGCCTTGGTCAAGATGGAGGCTCTTGCGACAGCCAGCTGCGCAACTTTGAGTTCCTTCTCGTAGGCCATGATTGGTGGTCTTTGTCCACTTTCGTTGAGGTTGGACTGAGGGGCGGTGAAGAATGATTTGATGCCAAGACCTGATCTGAAGTGTGTGCCGGCGGTAGGTTGCAATTGTATTTGTGAGACGAGATTGGCGAGACGAGTCAAAGCTGCGGGTGAGGTTCTCGTAGTGGGTGCCAGGATGAGGGTTGCAATAAAGATGGTGACAGCACAGATCACAAAGATGTTTGTCGTCTGGTAGTACGTTGTGGAACCGAAAATTCATGTAAAGAAAGAAAAGTCGTGGAACTCACAAGTCACGATGACCCAATCTTTGATCGCAGGAATTTGGCGGGGTAGGAAACAGCAGTGCAGATGGGGAGGATGCTCACATATGGTCTTGGCAGTATCTCACATTTCGAGACTCAGTGATCTTTTGATCTTGCCAAAATGATGCACCTCACAGAGCTTTTCCATGAGTTTGACGAGCAGGAGGGCATTTGGCTGCCGTTTTGATGTGATGAAATAGATACCTACCCAGGTACTTAGGTATGTAAGTCATGCCCAGTCTGTTCGTGGTCAGATGCCCGCCATGATCACGCCATCCACCGCACCACGGCGTGATTAAGTCTCCTCCAGGCGCTTTTAGGCGTTAAGGTGGCTAGAGTGTCTAATGATCTGGGGGGGCAAGCCACAATAAAGAGTGCCGATCCCGATCTTCAAACTTCCAAGGAAAGCCCCAGGGGACCAGTGGCCTGGACCAGGGTATAAGCCCTAGTTCCTCCCACATGGCCCAAGCTTAATCTTAGTTCTCCTGTGGCTTGAGCAACAGGCACAACAACTTGCATCGAGAGCAAAAGCAAAGACAACATGCTGTAAGGACACACGCCATCACCCATTCTAAGAACATCACAGACCTGACGAGCAGGGGTAGGATTGTCAACAATGACGAAACTGACAGTGGCCGAGTCTTGCACTGACCGTGAAAAGGCCTCGGAACTTCCGTAATGTGATTTCGTGTTCTCGGTATCCATCACGAAAACAAAGTCTGCTCTGTGCTGACCACCCTTGGCTGGCCCCCCAGGAAAAGCAAGTCTGTGGAGGACAAGAATAATACTCGGACCAATGTAATGCTCAAACTCCGGCACTTGGTCTGCTGGTTGTGAAGAACAAGCAAAGGATCGAAGCAGGTACGGCATTCTGTTCGGTTTTGCCCCGACACTGCATAAACTATTGTCAAGTTTGTTCGCTGGCTGCATGTGTTCGGCTAATGAAGGGGTCTAAGATAGTCTGCTTGTTTACGAAGTATGTGCGGATATAAAGCCCAGAACCAATTCGGGTCGCCTGGCGGTGAGGCCAGCAAACGAACGAATCATTTGCTGATACTCTGCATTGTGGTCAACAGATTGAGTCAAAGTCAGCTAGCCTTGCCTAAACCCATGTTTACTGTACTTCCTTTTGGGCGTGGAGGCTGCCCCGATGACAAGTGCTCCACCAGCCGCTACCTCGTGGTACTTGCTTTGACGCTTGGACCACAGGCCTCTGATTTCTGTGTATGCTACCGCTCTCAAAAGAGCACGCTCAAGACGCCGAAGATCAATCAAAGCAGATCAGTGTTGAGAAATATGTCAGACTGACAGCTGGAAGGCGCCTAGGGCGTTGTTCCTTGTCACCTAGATACAATTACGGATTCCCCGTGGCGTTAATTGCCTCTCTGACAATAATTAACACGAGGATATTCCAGAGAGGTGTCAGATGAGTTATTGTTGTACTCCAATCCAAGGAGAGAGGGCCGCCCAGGTGGGTGAAAGAATAGCAAACTTTGTGTCACGAGCTCCAGGCTTTTGGACTCAGCCTCTTTCAACCTGGCCCAGCACATCATGCCAGGCATGAAAAAATCAAAAACTCAGACTCACTTGGAAACAAATTAATTCACCGTCACCGGACGGCGCAAACCGAAGCGTTGGCAGGATGTCGGCAAAAATCGTTCTTGATCTTGACCAAAAGAGGCCAACTAATTTGCCTCTGCAGACGAATGGCCACAAGGATACTTGGACCTGGAGGATTCCAGGCTTCATAGGCACTTTAAGCACCCCTATTCCGAGGCAACGATGGGTGAGTTCCAGGCAGTCGGCTGCCAAACAGTGGGCCCGCTCGAGCTCCACAGTGGCCCCTGCTGGTATCCATTTTAGTTTGGCTTTTCTTGGGACCTCTTGCGAGTGAGACGAGCGGGAAGCTCAGTTGTGAAGTCACCTGCAGTACTCGTCCAGGCGGCATGGCATCACTCCGCCAGCCAGGCCGGTGCCATGGTCAACTTGTGCACAACTCGACCTTGGCCCGTCCTGTCTGCTAGTCCTCCGTACTCAGAACTAATGCTCTTCCCACCACACCTGGTCCCAATCTGCGTGAAAGGGTTCCGTATTGCCTCTCTGACTACATAGGGCCTTGAATAGCCATGTTTGCTTCCTCGGTGAGTCTCTTTCCCTCCTGTTCACGCCTTCCATGCCTGTTCCTACCATGTCGTGAACCACCTGGTCGATACCATCCCACATCTGAACAACCCCGCCATACTACCAACCATGCCCACACACCTATCTCTATTTCTCGTCCACGCCCCAGCATGTACGCCAGATGCTGGGTTCGTTGATCTCATCAGCAATGGCAACGACGAAAAGAACGAAGTGGATGAACTAGAACATCTCATTGGTGAAGAGGGTGGCCCTGCAGAATGCGAATGCTGTGGTCGAAGAAAGATACACCAGACCTTTGATGCCTACCCCAAACAATCATATCCTCAAGTCATTCCTCGCCGACGACCACCTCCGGAAATTCGAGGATGCAAGCGCCTCCTCATTTCATTATTACATATTGCCTGCTGTTATCGATCACGCCGCAAGTTTCAGTTAATAACCCGTTATCATTACCACAAACAGAAGAAGCCATTCTCCGCCGTCTCCGTCCATGTCGAACAATTGACCTCCGAAACGTACGAAGAAGATGACCTTGCAGGAGTTCCAGAACTTCTGGAAGTCATCAAGCTTCAGGCCACCGGTTCACAAGAGGTAGCGAGGGCATTGAGAAAGAAGTTGAAGTATGGCAATGCTCATCGCCAGCTACGTGCTCTCAGCATTCTTGATGGCTTGCTACAGAACGGTGGTTCTAGAGTTCAACGAGCACTTCTCTCCGACGGTCCACTTCTCGAACGCCTACGGATTGCCGCTGTCGACCCATTGTCCGACCAAGACGTTCGAACCAAGTGCAAAGACCTATTTGGTCAATGGGTTAGTCCTAAGGATAAATCTCATAGCACTTCATGATGCCATGAGCAATTTTCACATGGCCATCAACAACTCTAACACTCACATACTAGGTTGCCAGTTCTAAAGATAATCCCGGGTTGGAGGGTGCCAAATCTCTTTACAATCAATTACCAAAGACACAAAAGCCTGCCCAACAAAGACGAGAACAGAGTAGAGTCCTCCGGGAAACAGAAGAGGATGTGCAACGTGAACGAGAACTTGAAATGTCAAGGGACAGATCCGACAGCATCCCAAGAATGGGAGAGCCCGCAAGTCCCCCGACATCTCGGAAACTCCATTCACCGGTGACATTGGGTCAATCATCCACCTTCAGCCCAAAGAAGGTCAAGAAAGACAAGAAAGGCAAGGTTAAGGGATTTAATCTCGAGCGGGAGAAACCGCAGATTTTGCAAGGCATAGCTGCCTCCTCGGTGGCCTCGACCGGACTGAACAATGCATTGAGGTTGGTCAATCGAGAGAGGGAGCGGGTTTCCGACAATCCTGAAGTGATGAAACGCTTCGAGACATGCAAACAACTACGTCGACAGATTCTCCGTTATATCCAATTCGTGGAAACCGAAGAATTCCTCGGAGGACTTATTCATGCAAATGAAGAGCTCGTGACTGCACTCATGGCTTTTGAGGTCATGGACAAGTCAGTAGACGATGACTCAGACAGTGAGATGGAGGAAGCTCAACACCTATCAAGACAGGCGGCCAAGAGCGAACAAGCAGCTACACGAGAAGCAGAGAAGATGGTGGCTGGGTTGAGTATCTCGGCACCACCAAAACCGCCTAGGCCCAGTCCTCCTGCTCACATTGCAATGCCTCCACCGCGGCCGACAGCTGTAAGTCCGAGAAATTTCAACAAGTCCAGGCAGGTTGAAAGTGAGAGTGAGTCGGAAAGTGAATTGGATGACGACGACCCCGACGATCCCTTTGGGGATAAAAACGCCATGAAGACGCCAGACCCAGACCTAGGTCGGAAGGGATACACATGGCGGGAGGTTTGAATACTTTCCAACACATGAGGGAGCTAGCATGTCAGTCGTCATGGCCGAGGTGTTCGGTGCTTTTCGAATCAATCCATGCACCGAGGCTGCATGTGAGATCATGGGATTTGAGGAGTGGAGAGCAGTGTTTTTTCTTGCAGTGTATGAAGCTACGACAGTGATGATTTCCAACAAAGCATTAAATTTCCCAAGACGCTTAAATTCGTCCTCTACTCTACTTGTGCTTGATATTCAAAGGGCTCCATTGATTCAATCTGACTACCTCATGGCCCCCTGCTGCAGGACGAGCACGAGTAGTGTCACGTATCTGCTAGTTACTCGTAGTGCCTTGAGCCTTGAATTGCCCCTCAGTATTTGAGTTTCCGCCCTTCCCCCCCCCCCCTCTCTCTCCAAATAATAAGCGAGAATGGCTTATCGCGGTGGGCAAAACTCTGTTATTATTGGCGCCCTTGCTAACTGGTAATGAAAAGTATCTCCACAGCCTTGCCAGTTATTCGCACAGCCTTGTCCGTTCTCTACTGCAACTTCAACTTTTCACTCGTCCAGATGCGTGGAAGTGAAAGCAGGAACACTGTGCGGGCAAACAAACGTGGAACAGTTATGATGTTGAAATTCATTTACACTCCATTAGTTACGTGGAAGAATTACAAGGCATGTCTTTGACGTTATACTCGTCGATTTCCCGATTGCGTGATCGACCCAGCCGAGAGGTTTGAACACGCTCTCTTCTCTACGTGGCGACTGGCGGTGCACAGGTCGTAGCAGTCGTAAGATAGTTGATTGAGCCATGAACGATAAGATAAGGCTGTGATCCGCCAGAACACGTCGGATACTGGAGTGGCGTCGGGTTGAGGTAGATGGGGAGGTTCTGCAGCGCGCCAGAGTTGAATGTATACTGGCCCGGAGCGCAGGTGTCGATGGGGAGACAATCCAGGTCGATGTGAGCTTCGTCGATGAAATACCCAGGGGCGAGCGAGTACGTGACGGTCACGCCACCGCTGGGACTGGCGATCGCCGTCCACTCTCCGACGTTGATGGCGTTTGCGATGTCATTGCCTCCAGCGCCAACGTAGAGGATGCCGTTGATGCCGCTTTGCAGTTCCGCCAACGTCGGTGTCTCATACCATCCCCACCGGTTGCACCCGTTCCCGGATTGGGTGTTGAGCGTGTTGGAATCGCTTTCCTGGTACCCGAACGCGGTGCCCAGCTCACATGTGATCACAGCGGGTGGTGCAGAGCTGGTCGTCGTGGTCGTCGTGGTCGTCGTGGTCGTCGTGGTCGTCGTGGTCGTTGTGGTCGTTGTGGTCGTCGTGGATGTCGTGGTCGACCTTTTTGTAGTGGTGCTTGTGGGCGTACTGGTCGAGGAAGGCAGGCGAGACGTGGCCACGCTTGACCTGAACGAGTGTACACCTGACGAGTAGGTGATCGAAGGCCTGCTCCGGGTATAGGACGGGTGATACCCCCCAGAGCACTCGTACCGGCGAGGATTGCTGCAAACACCGTGGCCCTGACCCGGGGGAACTGCAAGTACCAGGCCGCAACTTGCAAGAACGACCGCAGCAAGAGTGATTTTCATGCTGACCGATGAGAACGAGTGTGTTTGACTTGGATATCACGAACAACAACGTAGAGAAAGGTGGGCGCGAGTTCAAACAACGGTATTGACAGCGTCTGAGTGGGCGGCATCACGCCGATCAAATATTTCGGTTTCATCGTATCTGGGATGTTGAGATGTAAGGGAAAACCAATACCTCGTATTCTGACCAACACCCAATCTTGCGGAAAATTTGAGGCTGAAGTGGCATGGATGTTACTTGACTGTCCACCTTGGATGGGACTTACCAAGACTCTGGGCGGCCGTGAATAGTAGAATACGATGCCACCCTGTCCGGTGTACTCACTGTATCTCCACAGGGGGTGAGACCAAGGTCTGTGTACGAAGCCTTCATGAAGACTAAACGCTACGGTGGTCTAAGAAGTTTACTCCATGGCATTCATGTCGAGGTATGTTTTAATGGTATCCCCAGGCGCTAAGAGAAGCCTAAGCAAGCTAAGTTTTTCCGCCTACTGGGTGCCTGCTACGAACTAAAGATGAACTTGATAATGACGCACCCCCACGATCATTTGATGTTCCACCGATGGATGACCCCCTCGAGTCACACTTGCACTGCAATTCCATGACTTCGACATTCCTGTACGCTTTAATTCTCGATATTAACGACCAAGCAACACTGCCTCTCGGACTTCACCATGCACACTAAACTATTATTTCTCTTCCCCCTTGAATGTCAGGCGCATACAAAAACCATTCGTCACAAGCACAAGTTTGCGCCAGAAATACGACCAAACCAGACGTGAGCCTGGTTAGAAGTCGACGCTCAGAGAGCGCCACGTACTTCAAGTTAGTGTTATGGATACTATGAATTTGGAGCTTGAGGTCAGACGCTTCTTGTATCCATCGCGCACTATTCTCACACATCACAGGCGCTCCGAACAACCTACTGTCCTCCCTTGGATGAGGCACTCTTCTATGCGATCACCTCTGAATACGAGCTTCCCCAAGATCGAGAGGCAATCACAGCCATACTTGAAAGCCTTAAGGCAGGTGCTTTGGAACAAGATGCGGCAGATTTTGACCCATCAGGAACTGGAGGGCCAAGTCAACAAAAAGACTACACAGACACTTCAAGGTCAGGCCCAGAAGATGCAGCTTCAACTGGAGTTACAAGCATAACAACGGGAATTTCGGAACTCTTGGGAAACGGCTCAGACACTTTTGGCCATGATCTGAACGATGCGTCCATTGAAGCAAAGACTGCCTGGTTGAACAACGTGTTTCCCGATATTCCAAAGCAAGAACTGCTCGCCATCCTCGAAAGTCATGGAGGCTTCTTGGACAAGGCGACCGACGAACTTTTGAACCTCTCTTTTCTGAAGCAAGGAAATGGGGACCATTTGGATGAAATCCCTGTTCTCAAGGGAATTGACGGCTTTGCCGAAGGCATTAATGGTTCAAGGAAGAGCAGAAAGCGAAGAAGGCAAAGAACGACGGATTCTTCAAGAGCTAGTTCTGCTTCTTCATATCTACCTGAAGAGGAGACGAACAGCCAGAATGTTTGGTCTACCATGTCTGAGGACGTACAATTCATATGTTCCAGGACTCATCTCCAACCACAACCCGTCAGATCGATATACCACTCGAACCGAGCTCACCTAGGTCGGACCATTCGGTCACTCGCTATGAAAGAAAGCGCCACATACAAGCCTGACATCGATGAAGAGGCTCTGGTTGAGCTTCAGATTGCCGAATTCAATACCGATTTCGAGACTGTCCCAAAAGAACTCCTTTATGGGTTACTGAGCCTGGCCCGAAATATTCCATCTGCTGCCCGAGAATTGCTCGAAGCTATGATGAGTGTCGACAGACAACGTGAGAGAAGTGATCTGACATTGAGCCCTCAATATGTACCTATCAAACTCGAGGACGACGGTCCTCAACGCTCTAAGTCACCTTCGGCCTCAACTTGGTCAGCTATCAAACCTAACGCACGAGGCTCAGCTGCAATTCATCAAGCAGCCGCTTCGCACAACTTCAGCCAGGCAAGCGCAGCCTATAAGAAAGGCAAGTCCGATCGACTTATGGGCGGAGCAGCAGCCTACTATGCTCAAGTCGGTCATGAACGAATGAGAGCGGCTAAAGAAATTTACGCAGCGGAAGCAGACACACATGTCGCGAGACAATCTTCTGCAACTACCCTTGACCTTCATGGAGTTAGCGTGGCAGATGCGGTTCGAATCGCCAATGACAGGACTCAAGGCTGGTGGGATAGCCTGGGCGATGCAAAGTACGCTTCAGGAGGCGGCGGACCCATGAGAGCTGGCTTCAAGATCGTGACCGGCGTAGGTACTCACAGCAAGAATCATGCTCCGAGAATAGGACCTGCAGTGAGCAAAATGCTAATCAGAGAAGGTTGGAAGGTTGAGATTGGGCATGGCGAGTTGATCGTGACTGGAAGGCTTCGACGCCATTGACTCGTTCATACCGTTAGTCGGCCTTTAGTCGGCCTAGTGAGAAAGCAATCCACAAATATAACTTCTACCCCGGGAGAGTTCGATTTGACTTTTCTGTTCGCTTCCTTAAACCTGGAAACCTCCACGTGGCGCAATCATTGTATTAGTTATTCCATCCAAGATCTCACAAGCAGCCAACTCATCTCCCCATCGACGCAATGCAACCATTGATCAATCCCGCTCCAATCCCCCATCCTCAAACCGGATACTCACACTATTCACACAATGCCTCTGATTGGTAGGCGTAGGAAACCCCTCGCCAGCAAAGACATGGCCCAAATGACCCCCACAATTCGCACACACGATCTCACTGGCTGGCGAGTCAGGAAACCGTGGGTCCCTCAACCTCGTCACCGCGCCCTGGATGCTGTCGTAGTACGCGGGCCAGCCGCACGACGACTTGAATTTCTGGTCTGCGCGGTACAATGGCTTGTCACATGCCGCGCAGTTATACGTGCCGTGGGTGGAGTAGTGCTTGTCGTAGCGGTTGGCGAAGGGCTTCTCCGTGCCTTTCTGGCGGAGGATGCGGTATTGTTCTGTAGTTCAGTTGGACGGTTAGTATTTGGGTAGTTGGCCGTTTTATCATGATCGGTGTGTCTTGGATTGGAGGAGACCGCTGGTGGAGATGTATACCTTCATTGAGGAGGGCCCGCCATTCTTCCTCCGGTCGCGCGCCTGGGAATACTGCGGGCAAAGAAGATGGTGATGAATCCAGGGAGGGCGACATTGCGTGGAACAAGGACAACGGCTTCAGATATTGTTGGCTGGACTTGGTCTCAGGCGACTGATTGATTGACTTGCTCGCTTTCGAGTGAATCGAATTGATAGAACACTAATCTTGGTTATCTTCATACGGCCTGCTCCGCAAGGGTTCACGATAATAGGGTCGGCGGCTCAGGGAGTGAGGCTGACCAGACGAGGTGAGCTCACTCTCTTGTTTCACGCTCTGAGACGACAGATCAAGAGTTTCGCAGTTCTGTAGAGCATGCTAGACCTCTTACTTAACGAAATCCTAGACCGAGGAACTGGTTGTATTCGGATGGCAATGTGTTTAAAAATAGCATTTGATACCTATTTGCACTCTTCATAGTCGGACACCATGGCCTCCTACGTTGACCTAACGTAGTCATATGTGGCCCGAATCACGAAGCGACGGAGTGCCCAGGAGCTGTCGGCGGCTTTTTCCTTGCTTCCAGGTGCAATTATTTCTCGTTGGGTGCTCAATCCTTGTGGCGTTGGCAATAGGTCCATGATTCAGCGCATGGTGACCAAGGCTTAGTCAGTCAGGGTCTGATATAATCTGGAGAAGGAGGTCTTGTGGTTATCCCTTGGCATGCAAAAGACAATGGTTCACTACGATGCTTTTGAATGAGCGGCTCGATCTCGCACCTGGATGGATCTCTTATCGAGAATGATTGATCCAGTATTGGTGACCGGGTACTATGGCTTGCGAGGGATCCTCAAGTTTCCAACAGGTTGCTCGAGAGTCGACTCGACTTTCAGTCTCAGCTTTTAATATCCTCGAAACAGAATTACATATGGTCCAACAATTTGTGACTCCCACCCCATTGTTCCTTCTCCTTCCGCTTCCCTCCTTTCCCTCGTTTCCTGCCTTGTGCACAGATGGTCCTCAATACATCATAGACCTTGCTTGCAATGGCCATCAACCTCTTTTATTGCAGATAAATGCATTGATATCCTTCACGAATGTTTCTGCGACTCTACAACGGTGCAATAAACAAACCAGCACCAACAACAGTGATGAGAGTACCAATGACCTTCAAAGCACTGCTCACTTCAAGAGTAGAGGCACCGCCTGTAGAGGTTGCAGCAGAACCAGAGGCGGTGGAAGAACCTGATGCACTACCAGAAGCGGCAGGAGAACCTGTACCTGACGGAGAGGCGGTTGTAGCAGCTGAGGTATCGTTCTCCTTGACCACGGCACCCGCCAGAGTGGCGTTGGCGATCTCGGGGAAGGGGACGAACCCTTCGTCTGGATAGGCGGAGCAAGTAGCGTTAGGGTCGAGTGGGCAGTTCTCCGAGACACAGATAGCTTGAAGTTGAGGACCAGCAGAGGCTGGTATAACAGGTGCAGCTGGTGAGCAGCGGTTGCCGAAAGTGGCTTCCAGAGCCTTCAGGGTGAAGTCACAATCTGCTTGTTCGAAACCAAGCGACTTAGCAGCTAGCACGATTTGTTCGTTGAAGTATCCGCTCTCGTATGGGTCAGATTTCATGAATCTGAAACAAATGTAAGCATGAGTGTGCCTATGGTTGTTTAGATTTTAGGGTGGAGAGGTAGGTACTCACTTGTGGACCTCATACATACTCGCGACGCCTTTGTACTTGGGGAAGTCTCCGGTGCCTTGCTCGCTGCAGCCGTAAAACTCACCGAAGTACTGATAAACGTGAGTTAAGAGAGCACTATTATTAACCCTTGGTCAGTATACTATTTAAACTTTTCTCAACTCACTTTCCCCAGGGGTCATCAGGGGGAAGTGAGGAAGGGAGCCACCGGTCACCGGGGAAGAGGAAGAGGGGGTTGGAGATTTCCCGGACTGCCTCACTGACTGCTCCTTTCCCCAGCGAACGTAAGTAGAAAGTGATTTGGGTCCTCTCTTCCCACATTCCTTTGGGCACTCTCCCCTTCCCTCTACCTGTCGGGGCAGTAAGCGAGGCAGTAGGGAGAAAGTCCTCTCCCTCTCACTTTTTCCGGGGGCATAGACCTAAGGTAGCAGTACTCGTGGTGTAGGGGGAACTTCATACTATTGATTGGATGTCTTCGTATTAGCTGGCTTATCAGCCAGTAAAGCTGTGGCGCCACCGTCGTCCAAGAAGTTTTTGGCAATGCCAGTGGATGTGTTGTTGTAACCATTGCTAGAGTAATAAGCACCGGTGAAATAGTTCAGAATGTTGACTTCGTGGCCAGAGAAGTTCCCTGGAGCCGCAACGCCAGCGACCTTGATGCCCACGTTTGGGGTGGTATAGTTCCCAAGAATGAACGTGTGAGTTATTCGCTGCATAAGCTTTTGTTGGCTATCTGGCGAGTTCGGTTCTCCGATGATCAGCGGGGTGTACCAGTCACCTGGAAGATGTTGTTAGTAGATGGAAACAAGTAGTAGCCACAGTCTAAGGCTGTCTTCCGTTCTTCTGGCGGCTAACTCACAAATCGTGACATTTTCGGGCCGGGCTGCCTTGACGAAAGTACCCAAGGCGGTGACTGCAATCAAAGTTTCGAGAAGCATATCGAAATATAAGAGGACGTAAGGAGTGATTATTCGAAGGATGATGGGTTGAGGAATGCAGGCCTCATGATGGGTTTGGTTGATTCTTTAAATTCGATCCTGTTGTGGGTCATCTGGGAATACCACCCCGCCCGATGCAAGGGAGCAGTAACAGTCGGAACATGTCAAACACTATTAATTTGTCCATATTGCTCGACGGCGTATGAGAAAGCCGATTTGTAAATTGATATAGGTAACAAACCCTAATTTGAGCTCGTCGAACGTTTCCTATTCGGGAAAGTGAAGCATGTTTGCTCATGCGCCCCCGATACGCGAGACGGCCCTTTGCCAATCAAGATAGAACAATTTGCATAGGTGCAACATGATAGGACTAACCTGATATCTCGAAGTCCAGAAGATGTTCCTGGTCAGCGCCAATTGATGTGTCTCGCAAGATATCTTCCAGAGTAGAAGATTCAAGCCAATCTCGCACCCAATAAGATCCATAGATAAATAAGCACAGACCTTCGAGGGGCTTCTCAAGAGATCTGCAGGGTAGGAATTTCATGGAACTCGTGATATAAACCCTCTTCTGAGGAAGGCCAATGTGCTCTGGTTATGTCATGGTCTCCCTGAAAGCTGGGGTCCAGGGGCCAGGGGAGCCATCACCGCACGTGAGATCGCTAGCTGTTGACAATGGAGTACTGTAGTGGAGTAGTCTATAATTGCTCTTCAAGTTGGGCGCTGCCATCGAATCTGCATATATACTGAGGTGGGAATCACGTCGAATATGATGAGAAAGCAAGGAAGTGTGTTTTTGAGAGTGTTCACGATCGCTCCCTCGAACACCCATTAGCATCGAATGGTGCTGAATGACGCGTCGTTGCTTCCATGACTTCCAGGTCATTCTTTATGGCAATAGGGTTTTGAAGGCCCGGTGTGAATACATAACATCGTCGTGATGCAGACAATTTTCCCTGTGGTTTAGGTCGAGGCTGACGGAGGACCTACGAGTACTCGTAGGGATGCAGTGCTCTGATATACAGAGCGCCAAGACTACGGTGGAACATTCGACTGTCTATAACACTTAGCCACTTAGCTGAGGTCTTCAGAAAGCAGCAAATGCGCTATTCACACGCTAGCGTTTAAGTTGGACAACGCTGCCCAACTTGACGGGTCTCAAATAGCGTTTTGGAGACTGAGTTCATCCTGCAAACCATCTAGGTATCCATACCTAGGTACAAGTGACCACTGACCAGCGCTCTTCTTCCTTCTTCCTTCTCCCTCTTTCCCTTAGACTTGGCGAGACGTGTTTGTTTGCTATTTCTGAACACAAAGCTCGTACATTTTCGTTGTCGACCTCGCTTGTTGTTGGCTCAATCACCGCCACTCCCTTGATCATGTCCCGACGGCCTGCTGCAGGCGCCGACAGGGCCACACAAAATGCCCAAACCCTCAAAGCCCTAGTCAAACTCGATGGCAACAAAGTTTGTGCAGATTGCAAGCGAAACAAACATCCACGATGGGCCAGCTGGAATCTTGGGGTGTTTGTCTGCATCCGCTGCTCTGGCATTCATCGTGGGATGGGTACACATATAAGCAGGGTCAAGTCTGTTGACCTCGATGCTTGGACCGATGAACAACTTCAGAGCATATTAAGATGGGGAAATACAAGAGCCAACAAATACTGGGAGGCTAAATTGGCACCTGGTCACCAACCCTCTGAGGCAAAGATTGAGAACTTCATCCGGACCAAATATGAATCCAAGAGATGGGTGATGGATGGGCCTATGCCTGATCCAGCAACACTGGATACCGAGGGAGATGATAATGTGCCTCTGAGTATTGTGCAAGAGAAGGCCAAAATCGAAAGATCTGCTTCTCAACGTCAGGCAGCAGGTCAACCATCTCGGCCGCAACCCCCACCTGCCCCTAGAGCGAATGTCAACTTGTTCGACGACTTTGCTCCCGCCCCGCCACCAGTGAGACCTAGCACTGCAGATATTCCAAACAATCGACCAACCCAAACAGCGCCGCCAGCTCCGAAGCCGGCCCCCAAACCACAGGATTCTCTGTTAGGTTTGGATTTCTTTGGCAGTACTCCCTCGGCCGGTGGTGCTCGGCCTTCAAGCGCAGCCGCCAATCCTGGGGCAGCAGCGAACTCTCGAGGAGATTTGAAAAGCTCGATTCTCTCCTTGTATGCCAGTGCGCCAAAGCCGCAGCCAGCACCTCAGCCACAGCATGCACGCGAGCCATCCTTTGGTGGGATGACTTCTACTGCACCACCGCGGAAGCAAGGGGCATTCGGAGATCTTGCAGATGCATTTGGTGGATTAACATTTCCCAGCAATAATGCACCAAAACCAGCCGCGCCTCAGACTTCGTCGGCATTTGGTGGCCTGAGCAGTCTCACGAACTCAATTCCTGCCAAAGCGACTCCTTCCGCACCACAAGTGACTTCCCCTCCTCCATTGAGTGGGGGAAGCTTCTTTGACAATTTACCCTCCAAGGCGCCGGCCCCTCGACAAAATGTCACATCTCCTTCGACAAGTAATGGTTTGGACTTTTCATTTACATCTAATATCAAAGCAGCCTCACCTCCTAGAGCCGCAGCGAAGCCAGTAGCAGCCTCTATACCAGCAGACCTATTTGCAAACGACGATTTTGGTGGATTTGCCAGCTCTAGCCCGGCCTCTCCTCCCAAACCAACCCCAACCAAGGTAGCATCTCCGATGACGAGCAACAGTAGCAACACATTCAATTCAGCATTCAATTTGTCTTCACAGCCAGCAGCAGCAGCAGCAGCAGCAGCGCCGACCCCAAAAGCTCCGGTGGCCGTGCCAACCAATTCTGCTCTATTTGATCCATGGGGTTCCTCTGGCAATGACAACAGTCCTTGGGGCGCCGCGAACCCTGCAACAGCTCCAGCACCAGTGCCGGCAGCGCCGCCAAAGGTTGAACTGGGAAGGCCACCTGCCCATATCACACCGAACGACATTTCAGGAGGATGGGGTGAGCCGATATCATCGTCAAACAACAAAACTGTTCAGCAGCCTACAGTGACGGCAGATGAAGATTTCGGCGGATGGACCTCGGCGTCGACATCACAGACACCTGTCGCCGGTCCCTCCAAGAGCGGTGGTGGATTTGGGGGAGGAAGCGATCCATTTGACAATCCTTGGGGTTAGTAGCGGAATTTAGAGATGGGATGTATGACTTGAGCAGACACGAACGAAAGAAATCAGCTATGCTATGATATGAAACGTAGCGGTCGTAAGTGACCTACGAAAGCCACGAGAGCAAGCCAGAAAAGGAAATATCTTCATGGAAGACTCGCAGGAGTCCAGAATACCTACATATTTCATCCACGAGGAGTATGGAGTTCATTTCTCGTGCTCCGAAAGTATGAATTGCATCAGGGTTGCGGTAATTAGATAAGTATCGCTTGGCATTCAGGAGCACGATCGACCCGCTTGAGACCCTAAGTGCCCTAAGGGCTTCTACTTTTAAAGCTTCTAGGTGGGCTAATGTCGTCCTGGGGTGATGGCTAGGAGACTTGGGAGCGCACATCCAAGGGATGATTTGCGGAGTTGGGCCGCCACCACGCCCAAGGCGTGCCTAATTAAACAGTAACAAGCATCTCCCATCCCTGGTCGCTTCCAATTGGCCTAACTGGCGCCGCTTCCCATCTTGCTGCCATTGGGGGTCTGTCTCTACTAACTAGGTACCTAGGCACTGTCTACAACTGGTACTCGCACTGCACATCATCCACAAGCCTGATTTGGCAGAGCCAGATACCACGCTCCCGTACTCCCTTGACCTCATCCTGATCATTGTGAGAATGGCTTATCCGGTCCACATCATTTCATATACCAATATCATCGGCATCACGCTCACGCTCACAATCTAATCACATAGACAACCCACGACCCCATCCTCGATACCACCTGCCAATCGTTGTCCATCTTGATCAATCCTCCTTTCATCCCCTCAATGCCTCTCCACAACGAAGTCCGATGATTACAAGAGAACCATTGGAAGCAGTGACCTGTAGGTCTTTGCGCGCAGGAGGTCCGTCGGTGCCTGATACAAGAATCGCCTGAGGATTGGCGACGGGAACAAATTGAACGGCTTGGTCGACTCGATGCAGGTTGGTACTCCAGTTCTTCCGACGAACCAAAGAGAGGGTCTTGACACTCCCTGAACTATTGGCATTCATCGGTGGATCGACTTCCTACTCTTCCGCCGTGGCCACAAAGCACTCCCTGTCCCAAAGTCTTGACTAACATCTCTTGGCCTGCAGACGTCTACACGGAGCCGCGACATGGGGGGGAGCTTCGCAGCCCGGAGAGGCCATCTTCCTCAATTGTCGATAAGTGATGAGACTCACCATGTTACCGAAGCTATTGGCTATATGTATGGTGATGAACCCGAACAAGACTCCCGCGGTCAACCCCCCTATTCCAACCCTCAATTCACATCTCAACACCAATTCGCGACCAATGGCGAGTACATCGATCATGATGTAGCGCAGAGAAGAAGGTCTATTCCTCGGAAACAACTGCCTCCAACACATTCAAGGGACTCCTCAAGCGACATGTCCAACACGCAATCCCACCAGCTCTCTCGGCCCTCACCCACCCAATCCTATTCATGGGAGAATCAATCACAACCACCCTCGTCACCATCCACATCCAGGGAGCGATCACCATCCGAGACTGCAACCTCACACTTCCCTCTTAATGACATCGACTATGAATCTAGTCCGGCGGCTGTCGCGCAAGAGTTGAGCAATTTACAAGCATTAAGACGGATGTCCATGAGCGTAGGTGCAACAGATGATCCCGATTTACCACAACTCAATGCAGCCGGCATGCCTAATGCCCCTTCTTCAAATGCCAGCGAGGATGATGCTTCGCGGCTTTTCTGGGTACCCGCTCGTCTCCATCCCGAGTTGGCGCCAAAAGAATTCAAATCGTTCTTGGATAGCAAAGCAGAGCAGATAAGGAGAAGGTCAGGAGAACTCTCTGCTTTTGCATCGCCATCCACTTCGAGATCCAGTTCATTGAGTGTGGAGAGTGCAAGCAATGCTAGCAGCTTGCGGCGAAAGAAATCGATGCTCTCACGCCAAATCGATAGTTCCGTTGGTTATCAAGATGGGGCAGACAGGCTAGAGAGAAAGAAATCTCAATCTCGTCGAGGCGTGCCAGTCGATCCGAACCTTCAGGAGCTCGAATCCTTAGTCGCAAATAACACTGTGCTTCCGACAGCCCCGCCTATCGAGAGCCCCGCCACAGATGAAACCGGAGATATAATATTACCATCAGTGCCCGGCTCAAGTCTGAAGCGTTCGACAAGGACAACTTATAGACGTGCCGGAAGCGTTAAAGGGAGAGGGGCGAATACGAATACTTATGCTCAGAGAGCCGCGAGGAGAGCCGCTACAGGGAGTCCCAGCGGAAGCCGGCCTGAGACACCCGAGTCGGCAACACCACCTGTGCCCGTCATGCCTAGCTTTGCAAGCATGGACCTTTCCAACCTGGCTGAGACGTTGAAGGATCCGTCAGGTCAATCGAGAAATGGCCCTACGAACTTCTCTAGGCCCGGAGGAAGAGAACCATCCCCGCCCTCAGCAGGTATGGGTTTGGCTGGTCCCTCAAACCTCGACTCTATATTCAACGATGATGATCCTGTGAGAAGAACGAGTACATCAAGCATGCCCGAGCTGAGAAAGATACCGGTGGGCAGCAAATCTCCACCACGCACGAGCTCTTCCGTCGAGAGACAGCTGGTCCCTCAGATAGTTGAGGTACCACCGCCCGAAGAAACCACACATCAGAATCAACCCCCGCGAACATCTTCTATGCAATTGACAAACCATACTGGACCATCTCCTATAAGACATCCGGAGAGAGTGTCTTCTCGAGAGGACCGAATTAAACACTCTTCTCCTCAGCGGCCTTCCTTACCGTCCAAACAATCAATGCCAAGTGTCACAGGCATTCCACCCCCGAGAGGGAACAATTTGCCTCCCCAACCCCGTCCGTCACAAAGTCTAGATCAGCCATCACCGCTCCCAGGCAACGATACAAATACCAGTAATCTATCATACATTCCCACACTTACGGTTGACAAGCGAGCTGACCACAAGAAAAAGGAGGAGACGAAGAAATCTGGCTGGAGTTGGGGATCGCTAGTCGGCAAGCAAGATGGGGATAAGGAGAAGCCGGAGAAGCCTAAAGCCAAAATATCCAAGCCTCCACAGCAACACGATAACACAAGACTCGATGTCCTCCAAACATCAATTGAGGGTAATGGCAAGGGTCGTGAAAGTATAGTTCTGGATCGGGATAATCTCAAACTCGAGGAAGAACGTAAAAAGGAAAGCCAGCGCAAGGCGTCCAGTGGAGAATCCAAAAAGGAAAAGGAGAGTCTATTCTCATCTTTATTTGGAGGGAAGAAGTCGAAAGCCGAGAAAGAGGAAAGGGGCAAGAAGTACCGTGACCGAGGGCTCTCCCCGGAACCACCATACCGGGAGTTACGGCCTGACATCGACTATAATTGGACGAGGTTTTCAATATTGGAGGAGAGGGCGATTTACCGTATGGCACACATCAAGTTGGCCAATCCACGACGCGCCCTTTATTCGCAAGTGTTGTTGAGTAACTTCATGTATAGCTACTTGGCCAAAGTCCAACAAATGCATCCTCAGATGAATTTGCCTACAAGTGCAAAGCAACAGCGAAAGCAGGAAGCGAAGAGCCAGCAACCGGATGAGTTCACTCAATACCAAAGGTACCAACAAGTAAGTTTATGGATGTCCCAAGTCTTGATGAGATATACTGATATATACTCGCAGCAACAACAAGATGAACAGCAGCACCCTGTGGAGCAGCAATATGAAGATAACGGTGCTGAAGAACACGATACAAACGGTCAACGACCCACCTCGAGGGGTAGCAAGCATTCGGCGCAAAGTAAGGGGTCTCCTTCATCATATGGAGGGGGTCATCATAACCAGTACCCTCCCAACAATCAACATCAACATCATCAACAACAACAGGGACAACCGTCCCGGTCCCAAGCGGACGATGACGACGACGAAATGTGGTAATTTAATCATTCGCAGTGGCTTCAAGCAAGTTTTTTACGTCTACAGAGGTCTTTACGTCTCTTTTGCCCTTCTTCCTTCATTTGAACAAACTTTCTTCGAGACTCCCCGCTCGTCTACCAGAGCAAAGAGTCCAGATTGTAAACACAACATTTTTCTAGCATAGCGGGGAAATTATACAGGTTTGTGGATTGGGAGGACGGCGGAATATGGAATGTATTACACTCGGGAATCTTTGGGCATGATTATATTCTCCGAAGACGAGCTGTTCTGTGATGTCGACAACCCTTACTTTTTTGATAGGAGAAGAGGCTCTTCAATGCAATCGCATATGTGTTTTGTGTTGTATTTGTGAACAAGTGTGTGAGTGTGTGCTGTGTGCTGTGTGCTGTGTGTGTGGAGAGAGTGAGCAAATCGGTCGGAGCAGACACTGATGCGACTGATGTTGTTGATAACGAAATAAAAACTCCCTATCCGCCCGAGAGCGGACGAGTGTAGCACGCAAGAGCAGGAGCGAAAGCGAAGCATGATTCTGGATGTCAATTTGGAGAGAAACGGGAGGAGAAGATCTTCAAATCAACTGTGGCTTACGGGCTCGTACGACCCAGCCAACAACACCAATCTATCTATACATATACCATTTCTACCAGAAGGGGATAAAGAGGATAAGACATGGGCGGCTGTCGGCGAAATGACCTGTTAATGAAATCCTTGCTGTTCTGTATGAAGTGTAACGCGTCGATAGATGCAGGAGCCGTGACGATTGTTGTGCTATTACAGAGGAGTTCCTCACTGCAGAATAGTATCAACATCGGCCTTCGGAAGGAGGCACGCGACCATTCCTTTGGTAGTTGGGCAGCCTCGTCGTGCCTCGCTCATGTGACGTTGGTGGCAACGAGACTTCGGAAATCGGATCATCCTGAACTCCGCTCAACCCGTGACCAAGTTTTGGGGTCTGCTCTGCCTCAAGTTCCTGCGACCCACGGACTTCATAGTTCAACCACTTTACTCATCTGCCTGAGCACCCCTCTGTCCTCACAAGTACTCTGAGCCTCGTGTATTCCCTCCGGATATACTTCTCTACAGACTCTGCCTCCAAATCCGACAAACAAACATAACAGCACTGTCTCCGCCGCCGCCCTGAAAACCATCTCCTATTCTCACTTCCTTGCCATCCCACCCCCAAACCACCAACACAACCCAACCATGTCAGACGCTTACGCCCGCGAAGAGTGAGTCTCCCAGCCTCCCTCGCACCTCAGCCACTCTACGTTGAACCTGCACTAACGATCCAAAACCAGGCAAAATAATGCACTCCTCGCCTCGCTATCACAAAAGACCTCGGCGCTGAAACACATCACACTCGACATCTACGACAATGCACGCAGCCAAGATACGCTGGACAATACGAACGAGGTCTTCAGCAATATGAGCACGAGCATCAAGGGCAGCGCGGGCCGCTTGACCCGCATGGCCAAACAGGGCGACAAAATGGCTGTCTTGAAACTCGCCGGCATACTTATTGTGGCCCTGCTGTTGATATATTACGTCGGGGGCTGGATCTGGGGATTGTTGTTTGGGTAGTAGACAGGAATGTGGAGTTTTTGCCGTGTAGCGAGTTTTTGGATCTTGTTGGGAGACGGGGAAACATGCAGCGTGTAGACACTGGGAAGCTGAGACGACACGGTCTGGGAGATCGTTACCACTGTGCAAGCAAGTCCCACGAGAAGAGGAACCTCGCAAAGATCCCGCCAAATCCTCGGATGATCCTTTACGTCGGACAGCGAACGCGGTGTGGAAGAGCACTCTGACAGTGAGGTGAGGGCTGCGCGACGTGGCTGGACGCGAGAGATGACCTGATGTGGCAGGCTTTCCTTACTGGTACCTTGACTTCCTGACCACAAAGGGGATTTTATCTACTCACAGGGACTGATGGGTGGTGGTCAGATGACAATGGGCCAAGTTTGGGGAAAGAAAGAGGCAAGGTCGTTCTGCCATTACCTTGAACCCACATTTGTTACTGTGTTTCAGCGAGAGCGTTCGGCGTTTTGTTTTCTTGGAGGATTGGGTAGATACATATGTATACGAAACAGCGAAATACCACAGCTACCTTCCTTGCCTAACAGGGTTCTCAGAGGCGCAACATCAGTGGTGAACATTTATCCAAGTGTCTCGTCTGTGAAGTGATCTACATAGACTCCAGCCGTCTGCGCTGAAGGACTTACTCTGGCAAGTGGTCGATGGAGTCGAAGTGAACTGATTGGTTCAGAACTCAAGTTGAACATTATCTTGTCTCATATCCGAAATTGTGCAAGCATATTCAACGCACATCCCCAGGCGGGGCACTAGGTACAGATACTTAGTCGCAGAGACCGCTGTGCCTGGTACCAAGTCTCTAGCAGATCTGAAGCGGGCAATGGGACGACCAGCAGGTCTGGCCATATCATCACGATTCCACAGCCGCCGATGAACAATAGGTACTAGCTTGCTAGTACGTAGGTACATTGATCGGATAAACGAGGCTTTTCTAAGAATTTTTATATTCCACATCCCGTGCAGAGAGCTCATTCCCAACGCTGTTCCGTTCCGTTTCTGTTCCATTAATACCCTCTTGCCCCATATACCTTCGATTCGCATTAGGGCATGTTGTTATCATTTTTGTAGCAATACCTGGAAGAAAATTACCGTCACGTTACTGGGTATCGATAGGAAATGTGCTCATGGCGCACCAACGCATGCATGGCCATGGCGCCCTCATGCTAAATAGCATCCTCGAAATCCTCGTCCTCTTCTGAATCCGCATCACCTTCAGGCTTGACGCTCGAAGGAATATTGGACTGCCCAAACCCTTCAACTTTGACGCCCGCTGCGACTGTCCTATTCATGCTGGAGCTGTTGTTGCTCCCGTTCTCGAATTTGACACGCTTTGAATCTCTTTCTCGGTCGCGAATGTCGAAGCTGGCGGGCGTATTTGCGTCACTGGAGTCGTCGTCGAATTCCCGCTTGACGCCGTTGAGGGGCGCCATTGACGAGGTGGGTTGGGAAGAGCTTGCTGGCGTACCGACTACGCTCGTGCCAACCACGTCTTCGAATTCGAAATCTTCATCCTCCTCTTCATCCTCCTCCTTGGCACGCTTCTCGGCTTCTTCACGCTCCCTCTCCATCTCCGCCATATAGGCGGCAACCTCATCCTGCATGGTGTTCGTGGTGGCTGGGGCTGTGGATGAAGATGAGGCGTTGTTGAGTAGATCCAGTGGTTTCTTCTCATCGAGTTCTTCCTCTTTCTTCATCAGTAACCCATTCGTGCCACTTCCTTCAGACTTGACAGAAACTCCGCCAGCATTGAGCCCAATTGCACTCGATGTGTGCCAGGCTGGTAACTGATTCTGCTTCGCCAAGAGCTTTCGCCTCTCTTCCTTCTTCTCGGCCTCCTCGCGGTCCTGCTCCGCTCCACTCGTCAGATTGACAGCCAAATTTTCTGTCTTGACCATATCTGGTCCCCGTTTGGCATTCTTATCATCCCGTTTCAACTCCATGTATTGGTTAGGCTCCCTGCCACCACGTTCACGCGGAACATCCTTCTTGCGCTCCCAAGCAGAGATGAAGTCATTCTCTGGGATGGTTTTGTGGTCTATCTTGTGGATGATATCGTCGAATTTCTTCAATTGAGAGTTGAGCTTGAGTATCTTTTCGTGTGAACCTTTGTCTTTCAAGGCCTGCATGTTTTGTACCAGTGTGGCGCCACAGCGGTCGCAGAAGAATCCGTCATCGCCTATCTTGTCCAAAATATCCAGTTCCTCATACTCGGCTTTGCAGCGGGGACATCGCCAATCTTTGCGCTTGGTTTCATCCTCCTTGTACAGGTCATTTACTCGTTTGCGCAGCTTAGCGATGCGGTACTTGATCGCGTCGATGGCGGGGTGGAATGGGCAGTAGTAGTAGTCTCGAGTAACACCTCGTTGAGTACCGACACGAACTTCGACTCGAGAGTGCGTGGTGAGTAGTCGGGCGCTTCTGAGGGGATTGATGAGTGCGCGAATGTCCTTGGGCTGTGTTGAGAGTAGAACGGCAAGGTCTTCGATGTGTAGAACGGAGTGTAGCATCAGTGCATCGATGATGAGGATTTGCTTTGGGTGCGTGAAGAAGGTGCGGACAGTTGTCCTGATGAGAGTCTTTGCTTCCTCCATCGTGAGAAAAGTGTGAAAGTCGTTGAAGAGGCTGGAATCGCTCTATCGAGACACTCGAGAACCAGCTCAAGGCTTGAAGTTGCGGACGGAAGCCATGCCAACCTTCGACAACGGCAAAGCTGTAGAAGGCAGACGGCGAATGAGTCAGTCAGAATTGATAAGTAGGTGAGCTGACGTGCTAGTGATTGTCGAGTACGCCGAACTTTGAAATCGTAGGTTGTGAAGTCCAGGTTCAAGGCGGCGCAGGCACTTTCTTTGTCTTGGCGGGCGGATTTGCTGCTTGCGTCTCAGCCTTGCCCCGGTGGTCAGCACAGCGTCGTAGACATCGAAATATGTGGAAGCTAATGAGGGGAAAGTAGACCGTTTACACCTTATGAACTATATTATTCTTCAACAATCGAACAATCTGGACTAATCCTTCTCCATGTCTACAAGTATTCGGCAAGCAGAAAATATTCTCCACAAGTCTCACGGCAATTCCAGTTTGAGATTCTTTGGAAATTGCATAGGTACTGGATTCTTGTAGCCCGCTTTCTTGAACTTTGCGAAATGTGGCTTCCAATTTGCCAGCGTCTTCTCTCGCAATTCTCGAGGTGAGGGTCGGAGTTTCGGATCCACCAAGAGACATTCTTCCACCAATTTACACAAGGATTTCGAGTACACCCTGCTGGAGTAGCCCCCAAGAACCGAATAACCTTGACCCCGTAATTCCTCCTCACGGTCTTCGTATCTATCTACCAGTCGGTCAATATTATAGTTGTGTTGCTCTAGAGTCATGAGACCATAGACGCAAGCCGCCATTTGCCAAACCACATGCTTCATCGTGAAAGGAGCTGTAGACGATCCGAAGACGTTCCGCCTCCAGTCGCGGCCATAAGTGCCACTGTGTCTTTGCTCCTAAAGATAGCACATGTCTTAGTACTTGCTCTGTACCCCAGGACTCAAGAAGCCACTGCGACTAAGATAAACTCACAGGAGGCATCCACACCCGAGTTCCATAGTTCCTCCATTTTCTGCTATTTTCCGACGAGTCGACACTTGTAAACTCGGCCAAACCCCAGTCTGCCACTTTCACACTGGGGTAATGAAGACCCTCCTCTCGGGAAGGAGCATCCCCTAGCAAAACTATAGTAGAATTAGCCAGTATGATATCCTCAGAGAAGATTACTTGCCATTGTCGTGCTTCAAGTCCAAGTGAAGGATGAACGGATTTTTCCCCCTTGGAGCAACAGAATCATCAAATCTGATATTGCTCATATGCACTGCGACTCTAGCAAAGTCATTGAATGCTTGCCATATGAATGCTTCCGGTAATCGTTCGCTGTAGGACAGTTAGGAAATGCGCTCACAGATCACAAATAACATACTTCTTTTTCTTGTATGCTCTGACTAAGTCTGACAAGGTACCATATCTTGAAACCTCCATATAAAATCTCCATTGAACAGGTTTTTCAAGAGGGAAGACGACCACTCTCCGGAGTTGGACGATGTTGGTACAGCCCCTAGCGGTGAGTTCATGCATGATCAATGCTTCCCAAGGTATAGTAGTTTCTCCTTCCGGGGTAATCTCACGTCGTTCGGCATCTGTCTGTTTGATCGCCACGGCCTAAGTCCATCAGAATTTGTCCATTCGAATGCTGGTCCACAATACTCACATCGATAACGTTACCTCTGGAATCAGACTTGGTCCACAATCCTACAACACCGAAAGACCCTCTTCCAAGCAACTCCTTGCACTCCCATTCGGCATCTTGATCTGGGTTCGTCTTTATTCTTGGTCGGGAGAGGCCGAATGACCTGCTATAATCATCGTACCACGACTTCTCGCTCCATTTCTTGGTTCTGGACTTTTTCTTCTGTGTATCTCCCGTCCAGCGAGCTCTTTGCTGGACGTCAGCTATTTCCTTAATGACTGCAACATGCAGTCTCTCACCAACAACCATTATCGCGATTAGTAGTTGTAAAAACCTGGGTTCAATTGACCAAAAACATGAACAACACCCGAGAGACGGCAGTAAATCTTTAAGAATTGATCGCATCATTGTCAAGGACTATGCCAACGCATTCATTGTTTCCATTCAACTCACAGACAATTCCCTTACCTGTGTGACGAGTACATCAAGCACGCCGGATGCAGTCATGATTAAGCATACACGTTGCTCACCTATGTTTTGCTGATTCATTGTCCCCATGACAGATACAATCCTCGATATCGCAAACGGATTCATTTTGATGGACAACTCATCTTTGTTTTCGATCCCGATCAAGTATGAAGGGAGAATTACACCAAGGCACATAGTCAGCACGAGGGTAAGCGAAGACAAAGGCAGAAGTCAAAATTGAAGTTGGCTCTAAGTATATCTGTGAAGTGTCTCGGTGGTTATGGTACGATGTCGAGCGTAGGGAAGGAAGAAAGGACGGGCTCATGATGCTGTTAGTGGATTGACTTTGTTAGTGCGAATCTTTGACTAGCTTCCACTACTCCCTATTAATAGCCTAATTAGGTCGGCGCCTCGGGCCGCACGCAACTTGATTCCACGCCGTTAGTAGCGCAGAACGGCCATCGCTTTCTACCCGCCTACCGTCTTCCATGCAAAGAGAGTGATGACTGTACGAGTAGAATTTCCTGTTTTTGGAGATCATTTCGTCGACCCTAGTACCGAGTGTCCATCTATTACCCCCGGCCACATCACGTGACGCTGTTGTGCTCGCTCTGGATGGCCTCTTGTCTGACCAAATCCAAGCGCTCAGGCACAGAATGACAATTCCCCACATATAGTCTTTACAAAAGTTGGTGCGAGTTCAAACACTTTTCAGTTGTCAAATTCCCCCCACCTTGCCGATCGTTGACCAGCAAACCCTCCTCCGCTTTGAGGCAATGCTGCTAGTATGGCAACCCCTCCAGAGTCGATTCGATTTCCCTGCTCGATATGCTCAAAGACCTTCTCGCGTAAGGATCATCAGCAGAGACACATCCTCTCCCACGAAGCCTTGAAGCCTTTCTCTTGTCCCCTGTGTCTTGCAGAATTTGGTCGCAAAGACACACTCCTTCGCCATGTAAGGCTTCATGCTGCCGGAGATTCGACAGATGGAAGTCAGCTGCCGAGAACGGCCGTCGCATGCGAGAACTGTGTGGTCATGAAGGTGCGCTGTAGCGATCAAAAGCCTTGTACCTCGTGCGTCAGGCTCGAGCTCGAGTGCGTTCCCAGAGCAGGACAGAATTTGGGCCAAGCTGTTCAAAGGAATGAGAGTGAAAACGAACAACAACAGACTACACCAGACAAGAATGAAGAATGGGAGAATTAATAGGCACGCCACAAGATGGGCTGGACCTGATTCCCTGGACACTATTCAAGCTGTACTACATTTGCCGAAGCAAAGTATGAATGCCATCGAAAGTCGTGGGCGTTCGAAACCGACCACGAGGCTCCACCGTGACCGAGGGCTCAGCCAAGAACACCCTGGTTTAGTTCTGTGTCCTTTAACTACAAATCGGTATTTGCAGTCAAAGCTCGTTCTTGGTCTAGTAGCGAGCTTTGACCAGGGCGTGGATATTCGTTTGCTTGTTGAACCAAAAATTATCCGTTTTCCATTCCTTGGAAGGATCGGCAAGTTGGATACTGAACTTCCTAAGAAGTGTCGGGATGAGTTTGTGCATCTCTGCAAGGGAGATCTGAGATCGTCAGTGGAACCGATTTCGAACAGGAGAGCGACACATCTATCTTACGTTTTTACCAATGCAAGTTCTTGAACCTCCCCCGAAGTGCAACATGTGGCGGTCCATCAAAGCCCCATCACCATCGATCCACCGATCAGGATTGAACTTTGCTGCATCCTGTCCAAAAATTGACTGGTCATAATGGACCACGGCACCATTCATGGAGACTCTGCTCCCTTCGGGGAAATAAAATCCGGAAATTGTTGCCCCCCCTGCTGGCACGTGTCGTGGCATTCCCAGTCCAACACTCGGATGAAGCCTCATGCCTTCTTTACAGCTTGCAACCAGATACGGCATCTTCATCGCTTCGGCATAAGTGATGTGTGGTGTTCCCAGTTGTCCACGAGAGTCAAAGTCGTCAATCTCTGCCACGAGCTTCTTCAAGCACGCCGGTTCCTTCATTAAGTGGTACAGGATTGATCGGATAGCAACAGCGGTCGTGTCACTTCCAGCGAATCTTTGCACCATTAGTCACGCTTTTCGGTACCTGTGAGCTTTTGATTCACTTACATGGCGACACAGGCTTCATTCTGGATATCGGGTATATCAAATTCGGGTTTGTTCTTCTTGATGTCGAAGAATTTGTCGAGTAGGTCGACCCGTCCACTTGCAGCACCAGTCTGCATCTGTTTCTCACGGGCGTTTGTCCAATACCTACCAGCTGCCCGAATTTCGTTATACCCGCTGATGGACTTTCTGATTGTCGGGAATAAAAGCCCTAAAGTGGAGTGGAATGGGCGCAGGTATGACGGAAGAACACATGACAGGGCAATCCCCGGTAGAAGAGTGTCTAAGGATTCAATATAGTGTCCATAATCGTGTTCATCGCGCATGAAACCAAATTGTTGTCCGAAAAAGAGCTCTCCAATGACATCAAAGGTGTACCTACATGGTGGGCATATTAGTTGAGTTTTGGGACGGAACAAGTGATCATGACTTGCCACTGTATCCATTCGCCCAGGTCGAAGGGATTTCCTCTTTCTGCAATTTGTGCCATCTTCTCCAGGAACACGTCCGAACATGCATCAATATATTTCTCCGATTCCAAGATCGTACTCATTGAGTAGACATTATTGACAAGCCTCCTTCTCTCCGAATGCTTGGTCTCGTCCAATTGAGTGAAGTGATCACCATGCGGACTGATCTTTGGAGCCTAGAGAGGTGGGTTGCTTTAGCCATCGCATCATCTCAGAGGCATTGCTTTCCATAATACCTACAAACGGCGGATAGAAGTCACTTTTAACCATTCCTGACTTGATGTTGTATATCAACTTGACCGCTGAGGGATCGGAAATGGCGACTTCATTCGGAGCGATGCGTACAAGGTAGCCATATTTTGAGTGAAGCTCTCTCTGAGTATGTTCGGCCCTTCCCCCAGCGACAGACCCTCCAATCCATAGACGGGAAAAGGAGGCAAGGAATGGTCCTGGTATGCTTGAAAACGGGTGGAAGAAACGACAATATACTATCCAACCCGCTTCGTACAGCACCAGAGCTGCGGCCAAGTAGAAGAAAAGGCCGCTGGTCAGATACCACCCATTTGGGGGCAGAATCCCTGTTAGGGCGCTGGTGACCGCCATGAAAGATCCTGGCAAGAGATCAATGGCAAGTAAACAAATCTGTTATCCTTATCCGTACCCGTGCTTGAAAATGACCTGTCACTTGTGTCAAGTTTCATCAACCCTTGTTCATCTGCTTGGTGCGGACAGAGGGGTGTTCTAATATTATATAGGTACGGTACCTAGGCATCTCCGTCTTATCGACGACTCGAATCTTTTGAACTGCAGACCCATCGAGTCATGTCCGTGCGATTCACCCGCTCATCATGGTCATAGTCTCTACGAAGCCTTCGGTTAAAGATCTATCAGGCCAATCAATTCAGACGTTATCTTTTGAACTGTTGGCAGGACATCGTACAATCGACAAATAATTGGTCGAGGATGATGTTTCAAGCTAACCTAGGCTCCGGTAAAGTGGAGGAATCTTCAAATGCCCCTCTGTGTTCTTAACTAGTGTGCCAGGTTCCCCCAGAAAAAAGGGAAGTCGACCCGGAAGTGCCCAAGCTACCCTGGCTTATCTGCACTAAGAAGGGAGTACGGAGGACGAATACCTCCAACGCCGCCCCTGCTCCAGGTTGTAGTGGGCTAGTAGCACCTGGAGAGTTTTGTGCTCCTCCAAGTTCCAGGCCAAGACACAACCGTCCCGGATTCCCCGGGCGCCGCTGCGCCAACCATTTATCTTTCATCACACGGGCTACCGGCTACCTCCTACACAGAAAGAGAAATTGGGCAACTTTAACTAGGGAAGCGCCCCTCGGGCCGTAGTTCCCACCCTCAAGCTCCTTCCTTACCTGCTGCTAAATATCCCGCCAAGAAGTCTCTTGAAGGCTAAATCATCGTGGATTGTACTTCTTCGGTACTCACCCTCCTCACCACCAACTACTGAATGTTGCATTGATCATCCAGAGGCCTCATTCACAATAGCTCATCCAGGATGGAAAAGGCCAATGGCCAACAGAAAGTCATGGCCGCCACTCCAAGTTCTCATGAGCAGCTCCAAGAACAAAATAGACTGCTCCGGGCTCAGGTGCGGCTGCTCCAGGCAAACTGCCAATGGCTTTCTTCTTGCAACAACACATTGGTCGATTATTACTCAATACAAGGAGCTGGTCAACCTGATTCCACATTTTCGAACCCATACAATAGTCTTTTACAGCAACAGGGTCTGATCCCCTCGGGCAATCGTGACACAGATGACAGCGTGCTGAATTCCACCTTTAATCAAGCAAACCCTGCGACGGACGTGGGGCTCCCAAGTCAACAAACCATACTTCCATTTCATACCGACGTCTCTACTATTCATAATCCTGTGTCGCATCGCACAAGCACGTCTCACCAAAAGCTGCGGAGCCGGCAAGCTTCCAAACGGCCACTGGAGTCTTCTAGCCTCTGGTCAGGTGATCCTTCCAACTTAACCACCACTGAGCAGGCAATACAGACAACAGCATCAGCGCAATTTGATATCACTGATGGTGGAAATGCACCAATGCAACCTGATTTTAGCAACAGCGTGAATGATGTGCCCGGCCTGCCCGGCTTCGATGAATCTTCCATTAGCCAGGCCTTCAGTTCCAAGCCAGATATTAATGATGAATCGAACGAGTTGTTGAGCTCACACAATACAAACGATCCTCACTACGAAACCGAAACAAATCCCTACTATCTGCTACAACAAGGCAATTTGCCCATCGCAAGTACACCATTGTTAGATGTGCTCCCGGTGGAAACCACTGACCCTGTTCCGACGAATGGAGCGCAAGCAATCATACCGCGGGGAGCGTTGATCCAACAGCCACAGTGGACACCTGATATACAACATCTCTCAACCGCCACCTGCACCGGAGGAAATCTAGATCAATATATCTACGCCCTCCGAGACTTCATGCAACGTGCCGATGCGGGTGGTAGTACTCTTCCTCTCAAGCAGAGAAACAAAATTATGGCTAAAGGAGTATTGTGGGTGGTCCATGAGGCTTGGCCTGAAGCCGAACATTTCTGGAAAACAACGGCTTCCTTTCAGGGGTTTCTACAATGCGAAGTGTGGCGTAATTTTCCCAATCCATCCGTCTATCAATCTATGCACGCAGCCTACAAACCGACGCACATTCAGCTGTCAATACCACATTCTCCTGTCATTGACTGGCTCCCCTGGCCCGACTTGAGAGATAAAATCATTCTCAGCCAAGACTACATTGACGTTGATCTTGTCTGCAAAACTGCTATCCAAAATGTGGTCGCCCACCGTCGAGCGATACCCCAGGCTCGTCCACAGAAGCGAGTCCGGCGAGATGCCGCAGGCAATTCGCGCTCAGCCCCGAAAACTTCTTTCCGGGTATGGGATTTATGTGCCCTGGAGGAAGCTGATGGAAAGAAACCACAAGAAGGCACTGCACTGTCGTATCGACCGAAATCTGCCTCCGTGAGGGCTTTGGAGAAAGCCTACGCACTAGAGTGTGCTGACTTCGAAACCCAGAGGTTGCATCCTAATTTCTTCACCAAATTTCCAAACTTGTGGTGCGAAAGTGTGATTTCCGATTACACAGTCCAGGAACTGCCATCACTGCGCAATCGCTCGGATCACGATGTGTTGGCGTCTTCGCAACCAATGTCATCGGCCGCAGTGGCACGGCTGGAGGCGCTTGGCTCGAAAATGTTAAAGGCCGGGGCATGAAGATTGTTCCCTTGGTCGAACGACAAACGGTCGCACTTCGCTTTCCCTAGCTTCGATTTGAGCTAGGTTGCTGCAGGCGACAAAATCTCCTCGCCTATCTCGGCTCGCTTCTAATGCAGATTTTGCCGACGTTGACCTCACCTTGTTGGAAATTCTGAGTCAAGTCTATCCTCAGGTTGTGGTTTCCATTCTAAACCCGGGCCGGAAAATACAAGAACCAGATACATATGCAGCGTGATATCGGCTTGAAAAGTCCCGGCGACCAACGAAGCATGGCCCACGGGGATCTGCAATTTCAAGACCGCGGCAATTTGACATCGTGTCTAGATCTGCGACTATACGGCGTCTCCATAGATCTCGCATAATAGCGGCACAAAAGGAGACAGGTGACAATTCATCCCCAGACCCGTGTCACTTTTGTAAAGCAACACCTGACACAACACGTACGCTCTCCTGATACGAGTAATATTTAGAGTCATACGATTGGCTTTCCCGACTCGCAGTCCGAAGATGGCAATGGTCTTGAATCTTGATGAGACGGATACGTACGTGCAGTGCTTGAATCTGCGTTATGGTACCGTTCCACTTCATCTCTTCAAGTGTACTCGTCCTCTCAAAGTCTGTCCCTGCTCCTCTCAGACTAGATCTCATCAATGTGGAGGTGGCTCTACTCCGACTTGGTCATGCGACTGGCTAAAGTCAAATGAGTGTTCATCGAGACTCAATGTGAGGCTCCCAATGATACCGAATATCGAAACGGAACAAGATGGCTGTTCCAGCCTGCATTTTAGATGAGCAGACTCAAGGACCACCATCTCAAAAGTCGCACTCCAGGGGCCATGAGCCTTTCGTTCCCGATGCCTATGTGCACGACAATTTCTCCAGCCTGGAGCCGACATGTACGCTCTTTATTGTTTACATCGGCACAACTCATCCCAACATAGATGTACCCAGTGACTTCAGTCAGCCGCTCATCGCAGGCCCGGGCGTATTATTTCAGGAAGCTATGGAACTCAGCAAGCTTCTCCGGTTCATTGCCTTTGGAAGAGGATTTTCACACAGATGTCGAATGGGCCGATTCCCGGTGGGCTGTAGATAAGAACGAACTGGGTGTTAATATCTGGACCGCAGGTGCCTCTTCTCGTGGTGGGTTTGAAACCATGATTCTCCAGCACATTTTCTGGGTTCACTTCCACTGAAACGCAAACCATCAACGTGCGGTCACATTCCTAGCTTTGATCCTCATTTGAAGGGGCATGGAAATGATAGCGACATTCCTTTTGGAGCAATTCGATCTCAAGGTTGCAGGGTTTTGCGGTAGCGCTATTCATTGAATTCCACACCTCTGTGCCGTGAAGAAAAAGAGTCAAGAGATACCGATACTTCATGAGCCCGGCATGAGCTTGGGGTGATCCATCACTTCTCACCAGGAACCCAAAGAAATCTCCGTAAAGAGCCCTTCCTTTATTCTTTTTGTAGTATGCAAGGGCACAGGGCGGGCGGCAAGAGTCTTCATCACAACGCGCATACGGAGTGTCTTTTTGTTACAATAAGCAACTAGAACCCAGCTGAGTCTGATTTCCAGCCAGACCAATCCATTACTGAACAAACAAACCTCGTAATGTAATGCGTGAGCCATCCCAAATTTCCATCGCGACTATTGCCTATAATCATCACCGTACGATACCCATGAAAACCACCGTGAACCATCCTCTGGATTTCCGCCATTGAAGGCTCCACAGTCACGATCGAAGCAAAAACAGAACCATGGAGACAATGAGATTGAAGCCGACGGTGAGACATGTGGTTCTCGATCCACCATGACCCCAGTAGTATTTAACGTGCACGTTTAAGACGTGGGCGGCAACTCCTTCCATCGAATTTCTTTGATACCTAGCTAGTGCGCACCGTTCTACCAATGTTGTGTGTGTTGTGTGAACGTTGTGAAACACTGTCAATCGGCACTCTGGCAACACGGCCATCACCATCACCACCGGACTTGCACATTTTGGGGTGGTAAGCGGTGACCACTTCCATCGAAAGGTTTTGCCGCCAGCAAGCTCTTCTCCATCCATCGGTGTGTGGATCTCGCCATCTGGCTATACTGAACATGCGTCACGACGAGGCGTAAAAGCCCGCTTTGTGGACGTCGCGTTGCGCACACGACATGCGCGGAGCACCAACGGAAAGTTGAGATTCTGCCCGTTTGGTTTCAATTCACTCGCCGTTGTTGTACCAGCCGGGGAGGACGCCTTTGCCCTTGCCCTTGTCGACTTTGCCAGTATCATCATCACTATCGTGGTTGTCTTCCGGAGAAGGACCTTCCTCGGTGCTGTCTTCGTCCTGGCCTGCTCCTTGATCGATACTGGCACTTGCAGTGGGTTCATGATCCTCAACCACGCCCCGCTTCTTACCGTGTCTCGCCCTGCGGCTTACTGGCTTCAGACCGTTCGGCTTCAGCACGTAGTTGGGATCGAGTTGTGCGTCGGGATACCTCTCTCGGAAAGCATCGTACCACTCCTGCGCCGTCGTGGCATCTTCGGTGATTGCGAGGTCGGTGGCTATGCTGTAATCCAGCTTGCGGATTTCAAAGTAGGGCTTTCCCCCGTAGATGTCCATATCGTGATCGATCAGCCGTAGGTTCTGGTTCTTCTTCCCATCGTTCCAGTGACGGGACATCTCGTCGTGTCGAGCTTCGTTGGCCGCGCAGCCTTGCACGGTACAGATGTATCGCACGTCGGTTGCGAAGCTCTCGGAATGCTTCAGTCTGGCCTGGGTCGCTTGGATGCCTGCTCTGTCGTGATGATAGACCCGGGGCTTTGTGTTCTCACCAGTGGCAGCCTGGGAAGTGGATTTGGCACGCATGCGTTTGGCAGGGATGTTTTGGCTGCTGCTTGGTAGGGCATCTATCGTTTGGTCAAAAGCCGTCGTGCAGAGTCGAGGGCATTTCTTGACCTGTCGAAAAGTCCGTGCGTTCCTCGGTCCAATGCTCGTCGGCTGGGGACAGAGCGGCGTTTGCTCCAACACCGGGCACGACTAGGGTGGTATCATTGACAACAGGTTCTTCAGGGTGATAAGGGGAGGAGAGTCGTTCATTTGAAGACATCGTGAGACACAGTGAGGCAGAGAAGAATGGAATGATATGTGCTTGAGAGGTGGAACTGTTGGAAGCAGAAATCAGAAAGTAGATGATGGATCTTGAGTTTCAACGAATAAAGGACATGATCGCCTATGAAACAAATGATTCACATTAAGGGACTGCCCGCGTGTCATCCATGAAGATCGATGCCTTGCAGTGTGCTCGGCGTCGTGCTGCAGAAACGAGGTGTTCTTGTACGAGATCGATGATGGCATTTCTGCAATGCCTTCCTCATTACAGACCAAGCCGCGGTGTATCGAGTAGTTGGATTAGTAAAGTGTCGAGTCTCGTCAAACAAATGGGTAGATATAAAGCGTATCAATATGGTTTGCAGTGGAATGGATGGTCAAGAAGCCTCAAGAATGGACTGTTTTGGAACATATTGATGACAACGCTTTCAATTCTTTCGGAAATTGAGCTGAGCGGACCTACAATGTTTCCACCGACTAGCATGGTTCACTGTAGGGACTCATTGAGTCCGAATAGGGAGTGGATAGACACACTCGATCTTTCAGGAATGCGGTCGGGCTACAGCTGCCCCGTGGTACCCCAGCTTGCTGAAGGGGCACCACAAGCTTTTCGTTGGGAATAGTCAAGTCAATTGAAGCTGCAAACCTTAGCATTGCCAGTAGGCCTGCCACTCACGCCACGAGAAGAAGGGGTGGACGAATAGCGAATGTGTGGTTTTACGCGCCGTGAGAGGCACCGTATCGGTGGACTTGTCTCCCGGTGAAGCCGAGATATTGACAGGCTGGGCTCCGATTGCGTTTGCTTGAGACAACGTGCGAGGGACATATCACAAAACATAGGTCCTTGGGTGACTGGGAAAGAGGTGGAATGGGACGTTATATTTCTGGGAAGGAGAAGATCATGAAGTGAGTAGTTCTTGATGCTGAAACTGTCAAGTCCTACTTCGTTCCAAGCCCCATGGCAGCGTCCACGTGTGAACCATCATGTCAAAAAGACAAAGTTTGCGAAACAGAGTTTACGGTAATTCGCAAGGAGTGCCCAGGTGGTTGGAGCCAACTGAGATGGGAATTTGGGTAGGAGGGAAGCCTAAGTGGGTAGGTGAGCAGGGGTGCTTCGGACCCGGAGCTCCACCACTTGAATGTCTCTTCACGTTCTGTTTTCACAGGCTTCCGTCCGCATATGGATACCGCCTAAAGACAGTATCCGTACCAAGGTCCCGGAATATCCTTGGGGTCTACCTGTAGCTATTAATGCTCCATTGGCCAATCGAGGACGCTTGTGATTTCGCAAAGTGCGAGTCTTGACTCTTGAGGGTTTGAGAAATCAGGCCTGACATCTATGCATCTTTTTTTACGTAGATCTACAGGGTTCGCGGCTGAAATGGCATTTTGGCTGGCTTGTGCCTCGAGTCGAGATTCGGCTCAACCAATGTGCATGTGCAGAGGGAAACGCATGGGGAAAAGGTTCGAAAAACGTGGCAGCCACAAAACCCCTGAAGGCGATGGGAATGTACGGAGTACGGATACCTCGTACGAGTAATGCCCAGGCCCCAGACACAATTTATCGCTTCAAGTTCTCTGGGAGCTGAGGGACCCGCATCATCTTATCAAGGAGTACGGAGTACGCACTGCCTTCTAGAAACCGTTTCAGTCCGATCGATCATAGCCTGTAACCTCTCGCTTCTAGTAGAAAGCAGACACAAATTTTGGAACGTGGCATGTTTACAAGTCGAGCATGGAATGAATGGAAGCCTGAAAAGGGAGCACCCCTACCTGAAGATGGTTCTGGAAATTTCTCAGGGATCCAGTCGCTGGGAGCAAACGAACAGGGTTTGAAAAAGAGCGAAGTTTCTGGGACGATCATGTGCCTCAGCAGCGGGAATCTCCACACCTTGGAAAGTCCCAGTCTTCCAGGTTAAAATTACATAGCCGATTGACCAAACGAGATCTAGCAAAAGCGATGGGCGAAGGATTCACGCGGTACGAGGTATCTCTGGGGGCTTGGTCTTGGACTCTTGGTCTCTCAGGCTGCATTCTGCAGAATCACCACCGCAGCATGTCAGTGGCAGCCACCCGGACCATCGCCCGTGGGAGGAATCACGATTAAATTCCAGTCGGGCCAGGGCCAGGGTCACGTAGGAAAGGGGGGACAGGGAGGTGAAACGTGGTCAGCCATGCAGTAGCTGCATATACACTAACTGATCAGGGCTGGCCCGATTAGATGAGCACCACCGGGGCGTTTCTTCACTCTTGGCCTTGGGGTTTACGTCCAATGTTACAGTGTATGGAGTCCAGAGTATTATTGACGAGCCTGGTCTTGGGAAGAATCAAGTACAAAGATCGTCAATCAAAGCCTCGCTCAGTGTCTGGGTAGGATCAGAATTAGATTCGGGTTGGTATCTGTCAAACCATCCATTTGAACGGGTCTCTTGAGGAGAGCTTAGTATTGCTCCAGCAGCCTCATAACTTGCGTACTAGTTAAGTACGAAGTACCTATGCAAGACCTGGAGTCATGAGTTGATCCCCAGTTCTCGGCGGCCTTCGAGAAGCACTCTAACTGACTGGAGTGTCTTGCTCGGTCTCGATGCGTATCTTAATCACGGGAAAGGACTAGTCACTAGTCATCAGACTCTTCACAGTCGAGGACTTGCTCATTGTCGATTCACGCTCGGGCCAAGTCAGAGCTACCGCTGGCCATGTGGACACCGCTTGATACATCACAGGCCAACAGCATGCCCCCCAAGCCCCCTCCACTCACCACCTGCAGTCGACGGATACAGATAGATAGCAACTCCGTACGCACCTTGAATATCAATTGATCATGCCCACCGTTAGAGATACCTCGGTCAGTGTGTCAAAAATCCCTCTTCAATTTCTGATCGGATTCAGCCTGGCCGTGACCCGGCAAATCGTGTGTCAATCCAACGCTTCCGCTTGCTGCCACTGGCACTGGCATCCCGTGGACCCCTGCAAAACTCGCCTCCGCCCTACGGGGACTAATTATTCAAAGTGAAAACGCCAAACTTGAGGCTTTGGCTACAGCGTCTTCGTCTTCGTCCCAACACTAGTCACACCCTGGCGAGGGTGTCTTTTTCGCTCTCCAATTCCTACCCTGCTAACTAAACTCCTTTGGTTACGACCAACTAACCAACTCTGTATCTTCCCCCTTCACCTCAGCTGGCAATTCTCTGCTGCTTCGTCCTCCATCTTGGTGAAGCGTCATTCTCACCCTTTCACCTCTCAACTCTTCATTCCAACACCTTTCTACCTCTTCTGCGACTTCACAGACACTCCCCAGGCTCACTGTGGTGCACCACCTGCTACATCGGACCATCATCCACCAACTTCGGAGATTAGCACACATCGACTTTCATCGCTTGGACTTTGTCATGTGCCAGTGACAACACCACAAAATCGCCCAACCAAGTCAGAACTTGGGTCGCTCAGATCCCGACTAATACACACCGCTTCCCTCGCTTCGCCCGAGTGCCCGTTGCAGATCGACATCCTTGTGCATTGGGGACTCCCTCCTTCTCGCCATTACGACAAGGCTTTTCTCAGCCAGCTCTCTTTTCTCAGGCTCTACTATATGTTGGCGCCCGTATTCCCATCGCGGAGGATTTGGATGCTTTGATTGTTTCAATCTGGGGAAGAACTAATGGGGAACTCCCAGGGCAAGCCAGTTGTCTTGACCGACGAGGGTAATTCCACCATAGTCCGACCATTCCTCTTGTCTTCACTGTACTCACCCAACACGCAGTAAACCTTAATCACTTTCGTCTGCTCAGAGTGGTCGGAAAGGGAGCCTTTGGCAAAGTCCGCATCGTTGAACGCAAGGATTCCGGTCTGACATTTGCACTCAAATACATCCGCAAGGATGAGGGTACGTGTGCCATTTTCCCTTTTCCTCTTGTCCGAGCGTCTCCCAGGATCCAGATGGATTTATCCTGATTTCCTCGAATTGTTGCTGATTAAATTTAGTGGTGCGCTCCGAGAGTGTGCGTAACATTATCCGCGAGCGGCGCATGTTAGAGCATCTCAATCATCCGTTTTTATGCAATTTACGGTATAGTTTTCAAGACGTCGAATATCTTTATCTGGTTGTGGATTTGATGAATGGCGGCGATCTGCGATTTCATATTCAGCGCAAGTCCTTCACCGAGGAAGCCGTTCGCTTCTGGATGGCCCAGCTGGCATGTGCATTGCGATATATCCACAGTCAAGGCATTGTGCACCGAGATCTGAAGCCGGACAACGTGTTACTGGACTCGGAAGGTCATGTCCATTTGGCCGACTTCAATGTTGCCTCGGATTTCAAGCCAGGAAAGCCCCTCACAAGCAAATCGGGAACATTGGCATATCTTGCACCAGAGGTATTCAGAGGCTCGGGATACTACAGTGAGGTGGATTGGTGGTCTTTAGGTGTTACGTTCTTTGAGTGTATCTACGGTAAACGACCTTTTGAAGGCAAAACTCATGAAGAGTTGGCCGACAACATTGGGGCTGCCAATCCGCACTATTTCATCACCAAACCGCCAGTGTCGATGCCGTGTCTTCATGCAATGACATCGCTGATTGAGAAGGACAGGCGGAAACGAATTGGTGCGACTGGTTTCGACACATTTACATCTCATCCCTTTTTCCAACCCATTAATTTCGAAGCATTGGAAAGAAAACAAATCCCACCTATTTTCATACCATCCAGTGAGAAGACCAATTTTGATGCTACATACGATCTCGAAGAACTTCTTCTAGAGGAGGCCCCTCTTGAAGCGCGTGCAAGAAAGCAAAAACCAAGAGCCGAATTACGCAATGATGCAACGACCAAGGAGATCCGGGAAGACGAGCTGCATCGCATGATCGAGACCATGTTTGAGCCATTCGATTACACCCTGGCGAGCTATGATGTGTATGTATTACTCGGGACTGAGAACCGCTCTGGAGATACTAACATTGTTCTAGGAGTGCCGCTGCAGCCGTTGAAGGGACTGTCCCTGATGAAGAACCCGAATTGCATACAACACAAACCGACTCGCAATCTGTTCCTACATCCCCGGATGGTTCGCCACCACTTTCTCCCAGTATGCCACCACCATTGCCCCAAGTACCAGCGGAGCAGTACGCACCACCACCACCTCCATCGGAGGAATATCATGCGGCAGTGAGTCATGTAAATCAACCCAGCCGACCTATATCTTCCTCGAAATCATTCAGTCGACCGCTTCCACCACAACGACCAATGGCGGCAACGCGACAGGCGAGCAAGGGTGGTGGAGTGCAGATGGTACTAGACGAGCATGGAAGTTGGTCCAACTTGGCAGATCAGACGCCGACAGTCACACCTGATGGTGCGGATGGCACTGGAAAGTATGACCGTGGAAGTGGCAGTATGCTCGGGTTTTTGAGCCGGAAGAAGGGCAGAGACCGAAGTCCCAAACCCAAAGAAGCCGGCGTGCTCGGCAAGCTTGGAACACGACACATCATCAGTTGAGGGGAGGACAGGAAGAGAACAACTACGACGACAGTGACTGACAGCCTTGAACGACACTCGAGATGTTGTGAAAGGACTTGATCAATCTTGCAATTACGGCGACCACTGGCATGGCGCCAAGCGAAAACGGCACAGCATACGAATTTGTACAGACGCAGCAAGAATCGGCTTTAGCATTGGCTGACAATGTGGATGAGAAGAGAAGCTCCAGCCTTGGTGGGGAATACTGTGATCAGATATGGACGACTACGTGCTGGCTCGAGGAACGAAGAGCCCGACCACGGGTTCGGCAGAGATTTGAACTGGCTTTCTAGGAACACATCTTGAGATTCCTTTCTGCACTCAAATTCGAAGTGTGGAGGTCGGAGTTGATCCCCGTCCAGGGCCCTGAGGCTTGAGGGAAGTCGAAGACGCATGGAGGATTGTACAAGTAGGGGAGGATAATCTGTAATTATACGAAGACGCGACATGAATCCACCCATATTACGAGATACATAGACCATAATCAGCCAAGCACGATGAGTTGATATGTTTGTTTTGATTGTTTTGATTGCCTATTATTGATTGACCGATTGTATCTACGGAGCACTTCGCAGCAAATCTGTAGGCAGGTGGAGATGATATCGAAAGCAGTTTGGGGTGGCAGCTGCAGTGGTAGATTTAAACTGAATGTGTACCGTGGTGTTGTGTGTTTTTGCTGGGTTGCTAGGCAGGCAGGCCCGAGCCCCATAGAGCTGTACTCTGGGGAGTTTAGCCTCCCTCGGTAGCGACTGCTGCTGCTGCATCAACACGCAGAAACACACACGCCAATGCCGACCTGAGCGCCCGCCCATCCAGCCAACCACTGCCACTACGTTGCACCTAAGAAAACCCACCCACCAACAACCGTGCTGCCACCACAACGGCCCAGTGGTGCCTCACACATCAAACTCACCAGCTTCCCCAGCATCTCATCACTACACACAGCACAGCACAGCTCAGGCTCTACGATCCTCCACCTTCCCGTGACTGTCTTGAGCTTTATGCCTTAACTTCTCGGTGTTGCTCCAACGGCAGATATCCTCTATCATCACCTGTCCTCGTTATGCACCACTGTTAGCCGCAATTGGAGATCGGTCAACACCACGCGACGCGTTGACAATCTCGCCCTGCCAAACTTCAACCCCTCTCAACCGTCCTCTTCGAACACCACCACGAGTGGCCCATATTGCTGCCATATCTTTATGAATGGCAGCTGCCGTATTTGTACCGCCGTCGCCTCATGACCCGCTCTCCAAAATGGCAAATCCCTCTCGAAGAATGCCCTTGGCCAGCATCTCCAACGCAACAAATTCTCCACACCGACTTCTCACCAACAGTGGCTCTAAGAGGTCTCGAAGTGTAGCTAATGGTCAACAAGAAAATGAGCCGCCGCAGAAGCGGTTGGCCATCGACAAAGCCAGCCGAGAGAGCAACCCTCCCACTCCCCGGAGAGACCAGCAATCCCAGCCCACCATGGCCGAGGCTCGTGTATTCGAACGAGGTGGTGGTGATGGCGCTGCCAATGCTTTTCAGAGAAAGCTAGTTGCTGTTCGGGATCGGAGTGCAGGGCTACGGGTTACCAAGAATGTCGACAATCCCAGCAAGGAAGAGTCTATTCGTACCTGGCAGAAACATTACCGCAAACTCTTCCCAACCTTCAGCTTCTACTTTGACGGTGTCTCTGAAGATGCTCGATCCCGTTTTCTTCGTCAAATCACTAGCTTGGGTGCGGTACGTTTGCTATCGAAAATTTCCTTGACCCAGTTTCACGTAATGTCTTATACTGACTTCTTGGTAGAACGAAGAGAGATTCTTCTCCAAAGCGGTCACACATATCATCACTACGCGCCAGATTCCACCTGAAGGAAGAAGCCATGCGACTACTGATGATACAACACAAGCTAATGCCGAGAGCCATCCTCAAACGATTAATCCATCTTTACTAGAAAAGAACCCCCGTAGCCATGTGGGTCAGGGCGCCAGACGCGATACTATCAACCAGATGGATATCCTTGTCAGAGGAAGGGAGATGGGCATGAAAATTTGGGCTGCAGAGAAACTTCAGAGAATCCTCGGCTCTATACTCGATGAGTCAGGAACCCATGGTCACCATACACGTGGATCCACACATACGCAGCGGATACAGCATGAGGATCTTGGACAAGTCCTGAAGAATGAAAAGTTGGGGGCCACATCGGAGAGAGATCAGCCATTCTTATCCATGGTGGCATTCAAGGGACCTTTCATCTACATTCACGACATGGAGGAGAAGTATCGTCCTACAATGTATAGGGACTACCCTAAAGTTGCACGACGGGCTGATGGCGAATGGCCACAATTTCGTTCTGCTAGTATTGGCAAATGTCCTTTCGTGGAAGATCCTGGGATGAGGAAGGAAATCGAACAGGACCGGGCGAGAGCTAAGAAAGCCGCAGCTTTGCAGCAACAACAACAACAACAACGTGAACAACAGCAGCAGATACCACGAACGAGATCAACCCTGTCCCTTGAGCCGGCGAGGGTGGATCCTCGTCGCACGAGTCCACGCAAGGCACTCCAACCCGTGCCTAATGCCAATGGAGCAGATCTTTCGATGGCAGTCGAGACCGAGAAAGTTCCCCAAAAACCATTACCGTCTGCGCCAGAAAGGCAGTCTTCTTTCCCACCTATGCCGCCGATGCCCTCACAGCCGCCAGCTTTTGAATTTGTCCGGCCCAGTCAGCTCAGTCTCTCTCGGGAGCCTGCGGCTTCTGGGATCCAACGCTCCAACCTCACGTCCGCTATACAGTCACAGGTGATCTCCTCAACCGCAGCCACCGGTGTTAAAGCTGGTACTAGTAAGGAAGTGCATCAGCTTAAGCGTCAGGTATTGGAACGTGGCTATACCGGCAGCCTTTCTGTTGGTTCTATTCCCTCGTCACATAGGATGAACGATCTCGCAGGTGCTTTGAAGCATGCGCGTGCACCTGCGCCACAACGAGCCGCCAAGAGCAAAGCTCAGGAAAAACTGGGTGGTATCCAAGAAGAAACTGATCCGTATGCAGACGATCTTGCTGCAGAACGGGCTATTCAATCTTCTCGACGGAAAAAGACAGTGAAAAGAGATCCCAAGCCCGGGTATTGTGAAAATTGCCGTGACAAGTATGATGATTTCGAAGAGGTAAGAGACACTTTGGCACGAGGTCAAAATGATCCGATCGCTAATTTGCCCTAGCACATTATTTCGCGTAAGCATCGCAAGTTTGCCATGACCCAGTCCAACTGGTCTGAACTTGATGCGCTTTTGGCCAAATTACAAACCGCATGAAAAGGAGTTGAGCCTCACTTTTAATTTACTTTCGAGTCTCGCGACATTGGGCGCTAGGTAACCTGAGGAATTGTGTGCTTCGCGCGTTTGAAGCCGGTGTTGGACTGCCTGGACTGGGCGAGATTTGTCATTCACTTTGACTATGATCAGCAGCATTCAGTATCAGTTCCTGATTAGCATTTTTCAGCGAAGGGGTCTTGATGGCATCCGTACCATTTATTTGTTCTTTTTCTATTCATCGGGCGTGAGCATTGCACAGCCAGGAACTGGCAAGAAGCTGTGAAAGTTAGAGATACAAGAGATACATGAGGACTACACTACTGGGATATGACCCGGGCGCCTAATTGAAACGGCATTCATACACCACGTTTTGCTTTTGAAGTGCTGGTTGATTGCGTGAATAGGAGCGACACTGGGTCTCTCGTTTGTCAGAAAAGTTACATATCACGTGATATGCAGGCTAATTGCCATGACGTCGTTGAGATACCAATGTACTCACATCAGATCGCCCTTCGGTCCATTGCTTTCAACACGTAGTACTGATAATACTGGAGCATTTCCTCTCTGTCTCATAGACTGACTGCTAATGGTACTGAATCCAGCCCAAAAGGATCTAGATTCGCTCCTCTCTCTGAACGATAAACTGCTTGACCACTGAATTTCACTCTAGGGATACAAGTGTGCTCGGTCGGGTGCCTGTGGTTGTCCTGCCAACGGCAATTCGCTGCAGGATCTCGATCCTCCGACTCACTGCCTTTACCTCGTCCGCCACCAAATTATTAGTCCATCGAGCGCCTCATCTCAACCCCTCATGCTATTCTCTTGCAAAGTCTTCAATTGAACAGAGCATCAGATCCCCAAGTCAACTACGACTTTCTAAGCGACATGGTTCGCGAACAAGAACCACCTCGTAACCCTCTCGCCCCCTCCATGGCCAATACCGCGCCCCCACCAAAGCCTCAAGACAAGGGCAAGACAGTCACTCAAGCCAGTGGTCATCAGAATGACACTTACTCAAACCTTTTTGTCCCTGCGAAGAAGCCTGCATACCGTCCAGAGTTGCATAGGCCACACTTTGTGACCAACCCCCTACAAGCATTTCGAGATTTCAAGTCTGGTGGCCAGCAGTCCCAAGCAGCGCCTGCATCTACACCCAAACCATCCGATGATCACGACGATGGTTTCTATGAAATTCCCAAGCCGACCAACTTCCCTACATGGACCCATAAGCCCGCCTCTCAGCCTACCTTTTCGTCGCACACCTCCACGAATCCCTACTATAAGGCTCAAAATCTGATTGACCTAACGCTAGAGAAAACTGGGCATGCTACAAATCGCAGTACTTTCGAACAGTCGGAGATTTACTCGTCATCAGATCCGTACACCTATGTCGACGCGGCAAAGGCCAATGAGAACATCAAAGCCCTGCTTGAAGGTGCCTTCGAAGACGAAGAAGATCAGCCCCGCACACGGAGGCGAAAGAAGGCACTGGAGAGTAAACTCGACGACTTGGCCAGCAAATTGAAGTCTCTGGATGTCAAGGCTGGAGATGATCGTGAAGCGGCAAAAGTTGAAGAAGATGAAGACGATGAGGACGAGGACGAAGATGATGGCACTGTCACCGGTTTGAAAGTCAAACTACTCCCTCATCAGATCGATGGCGTTGACTGGATGCATGACAAAGAGACTGGTACCAAGAAAACCAGAGGAGTCTTGCCCAAGGGCGGGATTCTCGCGGACGACATGGGTCTGGGCAAGACTATCCAATCGATTGCATTAATGTTGACGAATCCGAAACCTAGCCAAGAAGAACTCGCAAAGAGCAAGCGCAAATTAGCTGAAGGCGTTGGTAAGGGCACACTTGTCGTGGCGCCGCTAGCTTTGATCAAGCAGTGGGAAGGCGAGATCAAGGACCGGATTGAAAAAGATCATGCCCTAAAAGTTTGTGTGCACCATGGGCCCGGGAGAGCAAAAAGCTACAAGGATTTGATGAAGTACGACGTGGTGATCACTACTTATCAGACTCTCTCGTCAGAACATGCTGGATCTGAAGGCAGTCTCAAAGTAGGATGTTTTGGTATACATTGGTATCGGATCATCCTCGATGAGGCACATTCAATCAAAAACCGCAATGCGAAAGCGACCAAGGCCGCTTGTGCATTGGAATCTGAGTATCGATGGTGTCTGACCGGAACGCCGATGCAGAACAACCTTGATGAATTGCAGAGTCTGATCCATTTCTTGCGAATTAAACCTTTTGACGACTTGAATACCTGGCGTGAGCAGATCACCAAACCTATGAACAACGGGAAAGGAGGACTTGCTCTTAGGCGGTTACAAGTCTATCTCAAGGCATTCATGAAACGAAGAACCAAAGATATCTTGAAGCACGACGGGGCTTTAAATTCTGGCAAAGGAAAAGAAGGTACAAACTCCAAAGGTCCAGGCTTCAAGATCGTGGCTCGGACGGTGGAGAAAATCGAAGCGGAATTCACAGAGCAAGAGCGCGAATTCTACTCCAGGTTAGAATCCCGAACAGATCGAAGTCTTGAAGCCATGATGGCAGGGAACAAGATGAGCTATGCCTCGGCATTAGTTCTTCTCTTGCGTTTGCGACAAGCCTGCAACCATCCCAAGCTGACTGGTTCCGACCTATCCAACGAAAAGGATGCAGTCATGGGAAGCCAGACGCCTGGTCGAGCAAAGTCGAGTGTCGATGATGACATGGAATCCATCGCGAACATGCTCGGTGGCTTGACTGTAGAGACAAAAAGATGTGATATGTGCCAAATAGAGTTGACGACGGTTGAAGCTTCCGGCGGTGCCATCCGGTGTGGTGAGTGTGAAGCGGACCTCCAAGAGCAAAATGTCAAGGCGAAAACCAGTCAAAAAGAGAAACGAGACAAGCGAGCAAAGCAGGAGCGGAAGGCAATCTCAGCCCAGCGCAAACAAGCCCGCCGGGTCGTTGTTGACAGTGATGATGAGGAAGAAGATGATGATGATGACGAGACTTCAGACGACGATTCCTCCTCTGACGATTCAGGCACTTTTGCTGAGAACAACGTCGTGCAATCCACAAAGATTCGTCAACTCATGAAGGTTTTGAAGGAAGACTCACATATTCACAAGTATATTGTGTTCTCCTTTTTCACCTCCATGCTTGACCTGATCGAGCCGTTTTTGAAATCCAGTCGGATTCGGTACGTGCGATATGACGGCCAAATGCGCAACGACGCCCGTGAAGCCAGTCTCAACTCACTCCGGAGTGATCCATCAACGCGCGTACTACTTTGCAGTCTACGGGCAGGGTCGTTAGGCTTGAATCTCACAGCCGCCAGTCGAGTTGTGATTTTGGAACCCTTCTGGAACCCCTTTGTCGAAGAGCAAGCCATCGACCGTGTCCATCGACTAAATCAGACGACGGATGTGAAGGTCTACAAGTTCACCATCAAGGATACAGTTGAAGAGCGGATCCTGGATCTTCAAGAGAAGAAGCGTGAATTGGCCAATGCTACGATCGAGGGCAAGAAGGGTGGCATGAAACTGTCGTTGCAGGACATGCTGAAGCTGTTTTCGCACAATGCCGAACGAGATCATCCAATCAATGTCAACGAACTCGGAAGGCCTGGACCGGACAGTCGTGGCACGCGGGGCCGAGGATTGTTGGACAATACCGGTACCGGCTCTGGTTACTCCTCTACCACTGGCGCTGCCATGAACAACGTCCCCCGAACTTCGACCATGTCATCCACCACCTCGTCCTCTTCTGGCGCTCCTCCCGTTTCAAGAGACAAGGATAAGGATAAGGACAAAGGACGTTATGGCCCACAGAAAAAGCCTTTGAGAAATGAATATGAGATGTACGGCCGGAGGTGGTGATGGAGCCGTATTGAATGATTATGCTCATGACGCCTATGATGAAGACTACTTGAACGAGCCAACGTTCCCCATTCGCTGGTTTGCATGGGACAGATACTCAGGTGGTGTTTATGTTTGGGATTAGAATCGGATCTCGCGATCCAGTGTTATTGTTGTTTTAATTGAATCTGCTGGTCTACTTGGAGACTAGACAATAGCTAGTCAAAATGCTCTTGTCCCCAGCTCCGAACTCTACGGTATAAAATAAGACTGTGTTCATGTCGCAAGGCTATCTATGTCGCTTCTTCTATCAATCCCGAACCACCTACCTCGTATGTACGTTCCTCACTTCGAGGACTGCGAGTCTTGAAAACTGGTGGATCTGCCCCACACATGGGCATTCGGCTGTGGGGTGGGTGACTTCCGGTCCTCTTTGCCCAAAGCCCAACTTCTCCCACTTCCACCTGTGGGGTTCCTCTCCGCCTCGAAACGCCCTCCAATAATACAATTCAATTACTACAACAAGTTGGGTCTTGTGGTCGTTCTGGAGCTCTCCACGCATTGACTGATGCCGCCGCAATGACCTTGTGGCCAACGTCATTCGTATGCCCAGAGCGTCCCCGAGCCGATAGAACCCAAGTCATCAAAGGCTCAACCTATGAACGGCATCGAGATGCACATCCACCTTGCCGAAATCCTGGATTTTGCGGGGTCTCCACTCCCAGCAAAAGTCTTTCTGCAATGTGCCCTGGGCCCAGCTTTGTTGTCTCATGTCTAGATTTTCCTTTCTTCTACACACATTCATTTCTAGACATGGTATGACATGTCAAAGTCAACATGACATCCTGGGTCTGCTCGGAGGCCACCTGCAATAAGACGTTCCGTCGACGATATCATCTGCTCAGACATCAGAGTAATGTTCACACAAGAGCACGTCCCCATACGTGTCCTTCTTGCTACCGGGCCTTTGCGAGGAAAGATGCGCTGCTTCGACATAAGAGATTTCATGCTGAGAATCCCTTTTGGTCGGGCTCGCGATCGGCTCAGTTGAGCACAAGCTATGGAACCGACGACGAAGGTGAGGAAGGTGAAGTGGTGGAAGGTGATGGAGAAGGAGATCTTGAAGGCGACAGCATCACATATGAACCATCAATTGAGGAAGAGGACTCGACGCTCATCGATCATCCTGTCCCTCTCGATCCTTTACTCACAGACGCGGAATCTTCAGACCCCTTCGGTCGACAAGCTCTAGCCGCGAACAATGACCGAATAGCAAATATCAATCTTCCACGGAGCGAGGCGCAATCCGCTGCTAGGCTCAATGCACCGATGTTTCTCGAACCTTCAGCGCGCCCGTTGATGCCCTGGGAGTCCTCTACACCTCTGACCATGCATTCGACCCGCCTTGGCTCAGATCATGAGGAAAGCGTCATCGATACCTTTTCTCTTGAGAGTCCAGATCTTAATTCCATGTTGCGAGCTCAATCCGGCAGCGTCGCCAGAAAGGTTTCTCCTGTTCAGCAAGCTATGCTCTCGGCTCCTACCATGGACCTTGGGCCGTCGGATCACGGAAGCAGCGTCTTCGATGTTGTTTTCCCGCCTGACGAGGCGAACAGCACTGATCTTAGCTCAATTTTGAGAAATCAAACCAGCATCGCCAACACTATCTCTGTTGTGTCCTCTACAATCGCAAAAACTGGACTTCCGCCACACATCGAGCCTTATAGCCAGATTGGCAACGGAAGTCCCAAATCTGCGCTGAACGATGATTCAGACATACTCCGTAGCGTGGAAGCCAACATTCCCATGGAGTACTTCGAACTGATGCAGAAACTGTGTGCAGTATCGCTTCTACAGAGCTACTTTACCAGTCTGCATCACCAATGGCCGTTGATCCACGAAGAATCCTTCTGGGGTCGGAAGCAACCTCTACTGTTGAAATGCGCACTGGGACTTCTGGGCTTAGTAGTCAGCTCGAATCCAGACAAGACTGTTGTTCGATCAGTCAGCGGACTGAACAGTCTTCTGCGAAACAGGCTGCGAGAACAGATCCAGCAGGCTATCCCCGAGCGGAAACCCTCCTCAACAGTTGCCTACCAAGTATATCTACTGACCATGCTGTTCACCCTGTATGTCAAGGACGCCCCAGGAATAGCGGAAGCGCGTTCACACCTCATGGTCCAAGTCGATCAAATCCGACGAGCGGGACTCCTCAACTTCGAGACCATAGTCGCCCAAGACGACCAAGCCGCAAGCCCCTATTCACGCTGGGTGGTCCGAGAAGAAAAACAACGACTCGTCTTCTCCACCTTCCGACTTGACTGCTACCTGCACATCCTCGATGACCTCCCACCGACCATGCGGTTCCAAGAACTCTGCCTCCCGCTCCCCTGCACGGACAAGGCATGGAACAGCAGCAAGAAGGACTGGAAAGAGACCATCAGCCAAGAACCCTCCAACCGCACGAGCTCCAACTACGGCATCCAATGCTTCCTCGCCATGTCGCGCCTCTCACCATGCAGCCGGTTGAACCTGCCTGGATTCCGCACGATCCACGACTTCGAGCTGGGCCTCGTGTCCATGCAAGCACGATCGTGGGAGGAAACACAGCACCAGACGACGTCGTTCGACGGCTTCGCGGCCGGCCAGGACGCGCCCGCCGACCACCTCTCGGCCGGCGGCTTCGGACAGTCGTGGCCGGTGCTCTGGGGCATCTGGCACGTCACGATGGAGCAGTTCCGGTCGTCGCACGTCGCATACTGCCCGCACCCGAGCGAGAAGGAAACCTACCTGACGTCGCTGCTCATGTACCACGCATCGCTGCTGCGCGTCTACGTCGACATGAAGATCCTGCGGCGGCTGGTCATGTCGCTGACGCGCGACGGCTTCTCGAGCCCGGCCAAGCGCCAGATGGAGACGCTGGTGCACGATTGGGCGCGCTCCGGCCGTGCAAAGGACGCCCTCTGGCACGCCGCGCAGATCCTGCGCCTGCACTCGGAACACGCGCCGGAGCTGCGCGCCCAGTCCATCCCCATCAACCCCGTCGCCCTCGACTGCGTCTTCCGCGCCGGCCTCGTCGTCTGGGCCATCAGCCGCTCCACCCAGAACTGCGGCCTCTGCGCCCCGGGCGCCACCCCCTTCGAGAAAGTCAAGCTCTCCCGCCCCCACCCACACCCACACCCACACCCCGGTACCAATGCTGGTAGCCACAACAACAAAGTCCTCCGGCCCCGCACCACCAGCAGCGGCAGCGGCAGTGTGGAGCTGACGACGATCGACAACCTGACGCGCGACTACGAGCTGTGGCTGGAGGAGAGCGGCGACTCCGGCGAGCTGCTCGTCGACGGCGTCGTCGTCTGCGCCTGCCACATGGCCGCCCTCGTCGACAAGTTCCAGTCGCAGATCCACGATCCCGCCCTCGGCTCCAGCGACATTCCTTCCTACGTCGACATGTTGAATGCTTTGAAGGATCATGGCTGATTTTTATCATCATATTTTATCATCATTGTTTTTCTGGGCGGGTTTGGAGGGATGGGCAGGTTGTGGATCTGGAAGATGGCTTTTGGTTAGGGAAGGAGAGAAACTGTGTGTGTATAACGACATGACATGTATATACGTTCCTGATTTTTTCGATACCGTATCATTGCGATTGCGTGGATGGGGAGTCAAACAGCCCTTGAGAAATTGAGTACCAGGCATAGAGAAGGCAGCGGTTGTCAGTGGGGGAAAACTTCTCCACAATATCTTTCATTCTCATAAATGCATATAAATATAGATGTCCTCGCTCCGTGTCCATAATTGATATGACGACGTCAACACGTTCATTCTTCACTCAGTCCCCAGCACCCAAACTCCCCATCCGCCTTCTTCACCCAGAAGCCCTTCCGTTCGAAGTCCTCCTGCCCCTTCTTCATCTTCTTCGTCTTCGTCAACATTTTCACCACTGCCATCCCATCGCCAGAAATCCACGTCATAGGGGCTCGGTCGATCAATTTATCCGAGATGATCCAGAGCGCTAGCCATGTATGACTTAGAACCTCTCCCCAGCAAAAGAACGTGATCTCCCACGAGCAATTGGCCTTCTCCTTTTTGACCAGCCGGCTGCCCCAGCCGGCCTTACCTTCACGGATGAATTGGCTCATGTTCTCCCAGAACGTGGTGAACTCGGTCTCGGTCCATAATGGGGCGTCAGAAGTATTGTTCCTGTGGACCTCGTCCTCCAGAGCTCCTCCATTGTTGTTAAATTTGGTCAGTCTCTGCTCTACCGTCGGCGCTTGAAGGTCGTGGCATAATTTGACAAGTCTTTCTTCTTGGCTGAGTGATCTTCTCGAAAGGGCGACTGTGTCGTCTGTACCGACCCGAACACAGAACAGCCAATAACCCCGCTCCAGCACCCGGACATCTCTCGACACATGAACTGGTCGGAAGACCTTGGACATTGGTATCCGCTGTGAGAGACGCTCATATGTCTTCGTGATGTGTGTAGTGAAATGGTGCTGGCCTCCCGGAGGATCCGGAGCGTTAATCTCATCTTCAAGCTCTCGTAGTCTGCAAATATGCTCTGGCTCTGCATCATTCTGACCGACATTTTGGTCAACTAATCCGTCTTCTTCAATTACCATTTTGGTTGAGATGCTCGAGTCCTCCGCATTCATGTCTTGATAGTCTCCTCCTTGGCGAAGTGGTGTAGTCAAATCAACCGTGGGGATTTGGGGCGATATCGTCACATGCTCAACTTCACCGAGCTTCAAAGGCTGAGAGGGAGATAATGTGGATGAAACTGATCCTGATTCATTCTGCGTGGAGACCGTCTTCTTGGTCGAGTGTGCCTGTTCGGGGGTCTTTGGGCCACTGGCGGGTGCTCGAATCTTGTCCTGTACGGCCTCAACGGGCAGTAAACCACTATGAGCGTCCAGGTTTTCGTCAACGCGCTGTCTCTTTCGTTTTGGCTGACACCGTGATGTCGTGTATTCCTCTGTAGAGGTTCTGATTGCATCGGCACCGCGCTCATTCGATCCAAAATGTAGTTCAGGATTTTGTGGAGTAGCGAATGAGTTTGGAACTGTGGAAAACGAATGGGTGGACGACGACTCAGAATGGGCTCTCCTACGGTTTGGGCGGTTCAAGGACAAACCAACCTCGAAAGATGGTGATGCATTCTCTGGTGCTGTGCGAGGCCGCGGTGGACTGGACGGACCTCGGTGGTGTTCTCTTTCAGAGAATGAGCTATCGACAAGGATCTTGGAATTAGACGGATCAATGGAAGTCAGAGGATTAGGCTGTCTATGCTGTTCAAGAAGTGCTACCGCGTCATCGTGGGCTTGTATCCATGTGGAAGAGGCATCGTCAGTACTAAACGACGGATCTTGCCTGCTAACGTCGTCGATCTTGTCGGTAGCATTGGAGGATTGAGAAGGTAAAGGAGACTTCTGGCTGGTTACCTTGGTTCTTGTGATGGGTTGGAAATCGAGGACGGATTGTGCGATAGTCGCATATCTTCTGTCGTCTTTAACATTGCTAGGTGCTGTAATGTGTACGAGAAGTTCGCATGCAAAGTTATCCATTTCCGAGTATTCCTGCGTGGGCACATAATGATGTTTATCGACGCATGGTAGTCTGAGTGAGTTCCTACCTTTGAGTTGTTAGGCATTCGTATTTCCCCGTCCTCTGCTACCTGCATGAGCATCAGAGGGGCTCAAGTGCAAGTCGCGTAATGATTGGCAAATGCAGGCAGTCGTCAACGACAACCCAAATTATAGATGCAAAGGTTGGTAGAGCAACGAGCGTGTTGGGCAATAATAATGTCGAGACTTGAGAATTTGCAGGCTTGTTTATTGAGGCTTGGCTGGTTAGCCTTTACAACAGTGGGAATAGGGTGTTGGCAACGGCTATGGCTTGAAGACAATCATCACTGCCTCAGAGTATTCCGTACGGGGTACGTCTTTGGCACCTCAGGTATAAGTGCAGCTACATATTAGCTCTACCATAGGTGCCGAGAGGCCTGGGGCTATCACAAATGGACACTCGCCAGGGCCTTGGGCTCTAATTAGGGAAGGCAGGACTAGGTTAAATACCTACAAGTACTCGTGAGGGCGCCATTACTCACAGCATCTTATTCTCCACATTTCAGCACCCACCTCGCCACCAAAAGCCTTTAGAAAGAATTCCAAATTCTATGCTTCTAGGACTTGGCTGGCATGTCAAGTCATCTCCTACCGACCAATCGCCTGCTTAGAGAAGTGACTGTATTGGTCAAGATAAGGCGTCTAGGTATGCACGCCTGATGTAGTTGGATTTCGAATAGGCATTTCCAGTTGGGAAGAAGACAACAGCTTTTTCTTTTAGGAATGTGCCTTTGCCCGATGCCGACATCCTCCAACAATTCTCCATGAGCGACCCGCATTCGGGCTGCTCCTTATAGTCTTGGTCAGTTCCCAGATAACACAGAGTCGAGTCTATCTTGCTCTCCGTCGGCAGACCCGAGCATATCACCACAAACAAGCACGGAAATGTCAAGTGAGGTTATTAAGGGCCTTGGACCAATTCTAGTGTACGTTCATCACAGATGTAAGGGCCAAGGTAAGTTGGCAATCTCAAAGCCGGTTGATGGAATAGAGAGTGATGTGTGTGTATGGAACATCCCCAATGCTTCATCCTATCCCACCGACTGCTACCCAGCCGACTTCAGGTTGGTAACGCTGCCAGGGAAGACATTGGCACTCAAACTAAATGCCTGTCAAAATGGACGGACAATCTCGCAGTCTGACAGCCCTTGGAGCAATCCTGCACGGTGAACAGTGGTCTCAGAGCGGCCGAAGGATGGAAGGTATGTGATACAAAGTGGGAGGTGCGACGAAGGACATGGAAGGGTTCTCGAAACCGGATGGTTGGCGCCAGGTGGCTCAGTCTGGATTTGCTGATACAACTCCTGTGCAGAGTCTACGAACAGAGCGCTTGAGCATCTGAAGCTTGGACGAGCCTGAGCTAACTTGAAGAGCGATACTCGAAGATAAAGAAGCCCAACTGTGTGGTCAGGCGGAAATTCTTTCAAGTATCGACCGGTTCCGTGCACTACCTTGGTCGAGAGAAAATTCGGATTGCCACCATCGTACCCCACCTGGAGGATTGTGATATGGATGGTCGCACTCACGCTCACGCTGTGTTCTGTTACGAGTAGCAGCTACGGAGTATACAGATCGCATCTATGCTGTGTTCGGCCTCCATACTCAATCACCTGAGGCTCTGCAAGACAACGCAGATAAGCAATGATGTCTCGATGAAACGTCAGATATGGAAGAAAAAGCCGACTCATAAGGACCAAAGAAAGATAGAAGGAGATAGTACCGAATATGGAGATTCTGGTTGAACCTACAGGTGGTTTAAGCATAGACTCTGGCTGACGACTCTCCAAACAAGGATCTCAGGCTCTGGGCCCGGCACTTGGAGACTTCCAGGCCCCTTCCAGCCTACCGAGGCTTTGAATGCTCAGCTTTTGACAAATCGAGCCTTGAAGCACATCGCCCAAGCTTGAACTCTAAGCACCTGCAGGTCACCTAGCTCATTCCCATTTTAGGGCTGACATATCAATTCCTTCCATCGGGGACCAGAGGACCAATTGAGGCGATCAACAAGATCTGATCTCTTTTTTTCAAACGACAGAGATGGAATTTTGGGCAATTGAATTGACCGACGTCAGAGTTCCAGTTCTCCTTTGTGTGGCTGTGCACCCCGTAAGACCTCACTTGCAACCACAAGGGCCCCGGCGCATCGGAGTACCGGATGTTTTGGCAGCACTCCCAGGGTGTTTTGCAGCAGTGACTACTGCTTCTGGTGTTTCTCAGGACGAGTTCAGAGTTCTTTTAGGTGAGAGACAGGTTATGCACCCACACTACGAGGTACTGGCGAGTACGCACTACTCTGTGCACTGCAATGCACTCGACCTTGGCTGGGTACATTTTTCACACCAATGACTCGAAGCTAGGGCCAATCTTCACCTGCGATGATTTCATTGTCACTGCTGTCCTCTGGGAGCGACTTTTCCATGTTGCAGTGGCAATGCACCACTGGCACGGAGTAATTATCATAGGCATCCCCCTCTTCCCCCAAACGGCATTTCGTGCATCGAACGTCCTCGGCCATTTCAAGCTGTCTCTTGTGCAACTCGTTCCATCGTTCTCATGCCAGTTACTAGTGATGAAAGCATCGTCCTATCCACACACACACCTATGGTACAGTACCTACTCAACAACTATTCATACACACCCTAAAGTCTTTCTCGACCTCTGAATTCGACTAAAGTCACACATTTGCGGGCCATTCTTTCTGCTCTCCTTCCCATGTGTTACCCTGGATATCTCCACCTTCTATCTCTTTGACAGCATCAGCCCGTCCCGCAAATCGCCAAACCGCATTCACCTTGTTCATCCAATACCTTTGCTGAATACTGTTACGACACCATCCTTTCAGGGACTTGATAACTTGCTTGGGAACCCGTTTCAATAATCTGGACCCTAACGTTCAGCGAACATCTCAGGGCTATCTGCTCTTCTCGAGTAAGTAAGACACTGGCGCTGTTCAGCCGCTAGCACTTTTACTACTGCTCCCGAGCTCAGACCCTCCATCGGTTTCCCCATCTCTTATTCTCTTCCCGAATCCCTGTCATCTAGCTCATTTGTATCCGACGGTCATCCGGCCAACAAAGCGTATATCAACCTTGACATCTGTCGCATTCAATTTCACCTCTCGCATCTTGTTTCCATCCTTTCAAGGTCAGAGCTTACTCGTTGCCTCTTTCGAACAGGTCGAACTGGACACCATAGTACACTTTCTCGCCGGCAAAACTCCTCGGCTCTGCCCGACATATCTGCGACGTTCCTGTTGCACAAACTGCCGCCCTACCACGATCAGCAATCTTGTCCCGCTCTCAAACTCTGCTTCGTGCACGTCCCCAGCACAAAAGACCAAGAGATCCCGCTGTACCAAATTCGACCTCATCAACTCCACGCTGTCTCATCTTTAGTCTCATGTGAGCATGCTAACTGCTGCCACTTCCCTCTTGATCTCTCCATAGCCATCGCTTTCCTCCTTTAGGGTCTGGGCGTTGCGTGTGCCTCCACAACAGGTGCAGTTCCAGTGCCCGAATTGTTCACATCTAACCGGCTTTTTGTCTGCCGAGTTCACCTTGACGATAGGCCATTCCAATTGAAGCAGCTCTGGACTTTCCATATCAAAGCATTGTTTTTTACCCAATTTCGAATCAAACAAGAAGGATCATTCGTGCCAAGCAGCTCGTGATTACTTTTCAACATATTTGTTATCATGGCGTCGCATTCTCACCAGATGCATCCCAACATGCAGCCAACCTCGCCAGATATGGATTCCTCAGCCTGGTCCGGGCAAGACTATGCCTCCGGCTCAAATTATCGTAAGTATCCACTTATCTTCGGTTCGATCGATCCGACCTAGTGGCACATTCGCCTGGCGCCGTCTACGCACTTCGAGATCATATAGACATATTCGAATGCTAATTATCAAACAGACAATGGTGCGAACAATGACCTGGCTAACCCTCCGCTTATGAGTATGGGATACTTGAAAGGGTTTGGCGGCGTGCAGAAGAAGATCACCAGAGGTGAGTATTGATCTGTAAACCTCATGGTCGGCGAGACTAAGACTGTTCAGATGGACAGCCTGCCAAACGCAGGGGACCAAAACCCGACAGCAAACCAGCTCAGACACGGAGGCAAGAGCTGAATCGCCAAGCTCAACGGTATGGAAGACTATCATCCTTTGTTACCTTATCAGACTCCAGAACTCTAATGCTTGCATAGAACCCACCGAGAACGAAAAGAAAATTACATCAAGGCTCTCGAGCTGGAATTGGCACGGTTGAGAGAATCTTATGTACTTGAAGCGAATGGTCGTGAGGCAACAATCCAACAACAGAAGCTAATACTCGAGAATCAGCAACGCGAGATCTTAGCATTGAGAGAAATCTTAGCATCCAGAGGCATTCAATTCGAAACGGAGCTAGAAGGACGTAAGGCAGTCATTGGTATGCGACCAAAGCGAGAAGATGCTTCTATGACTCCACCTTCCATGGCCACACTGAGCCCACCATCAATTGGTGCGCGATCGCTTGGTTATCATTCAGTAGGGGCAGGAGCCAGTTCTGCAACAACAGGATATTCACCACAAACATATCTCAATGGCGGAGCGACAAGTCTCTCTGGACACTCACCTGGTGCGACGCATTACAGTAGCCATTCTCCATCAGGGCCAGATATCCAAGAATATGGAATCAAGCAAGAACCAGGCGTTGTTCCAGATCTCCCTGGTATATTTGAAAAGGAGCCTCAGCTTGGAATTGACTTCATATTAAAGTCAGTACTACCCTTGCTCCGACGAGACATCAGCTAACAATTTAAAGGTTGGAGCAGACTTGTCGAGACCACGAAGAATACCTCGTCCGCAGATCAGTTGACTCACCTGACGACCCAGAGGAGGCTTTGTTCTCTGGTCATGCATTGATGGCCTCATGTCCACCACCCACCCATATTGAGCGCGTTCCAGCAAAGGAAGGGGGCTTGATACCAACATATGAACACAAAGTGCCCGACACAGAATCTGTCCAGATCCTGAACAATTTGTTGAACTTGAGTCAAACATTACGAGGCAGCGCCATTCCAAGTGGACAGGTCACTCCTATTATGGCTCTTCAATCACTCAAGGGACATCGAAACTATGGTACATTGACCCGAGAAGACGTTGTTGGAATGATCGATTCGATCAAGAGCAAGGTTCGTTGTTACGGTTTCGGTGCAGTCATGGAAGATTTTGAGCTTCGGGATGCTCTGTCTAGCATATTTGCCACCAAACCCGAAACCTACGATCAATTCGGAGATCTCGAGGACGAGATAGATGAGATGTACTCGTGAGAAGTCGGCGTTGAACACGAGTTAAGGACTACATGATTTGGAAATGACTATACGATGATGCTTCTCGCATTCCCCCGCACCTCTTTCGAAGAATTGTCTGACGATGATGTTAACGACCTACATGTCCTCCCTCAGTGGAGAACAAATGCTGCAACGTGGTCCAGACCAAAGGCACCGTACAGCTGGATGGCCGTCTTTATGATCATGTTGTCTGGTGCTTGAAGGGCTGTACTTTGAGGATCGAAGCTGGATGAAAGATGGTTTACTCCCTACACAGGTCAGAGTCTATCAAAAAAAGAATTTTGGATTACCTTGTCGTCGTAAAATCTGGACTATTTTCCACTTTGTAACTGTGAATGCGATGATCCCAGCGACGGCTCACCTGCCTTTTGAGTACAGTAGTGGCCCACTAACTAATTGTGGTTAGACTTTGAATTGGCAAACCTCGCCAAGATTTCGATCAAATAATTCATCCCACTGCAATGCCCGCCACATCCACCGCAGGCGAGTCCAACTGCGCAAGCAAAGACTATCTCACAAAACACAGTCCTCTTACTGCAACAAACACTCTTTCCTGGCTGATAACTTAATTTCATCTCCCAAAATGCCGGGAATAAGTCTCGCAGAGACCATTGGGCAGTTAAATGTGAATGATGAATGGGGCCCTGAAACATCTTCAGTCACCACTCTTGATGGCGTCCCATATGCCCCATATTCGAAGAGCGACAAATTAGGTCGCATGGCCGATTGGACCCAAGAGGGCAAAGAAGGACGTGACCGAGGAGGGAGACAGTATGGCAGGAACTTCAGAGGTAATTATCTCTTGCGCCTCCTTTTCAATTTGATGCTAACAACAATTCTCCAGACCAACAAATCTATGGTGCCGGCACATCCTCACTTTTCGCCGTCCAGGTCGCAGAAGACGAATCGTCCTTTTCGGTTGTTGATAATACTCGGGCTACTACGAAGACTCGAGGATTTGGTCGAGGTGGAGGTACAGTCTTCCGTGGACGTGGTCAACGTGGGGCTCCTCAGCGAGGCGGCAGAGCTGGATTCCAGAGAGCCGGGCAGGGTAGAGCAGGTGGCCAACAACAGTATCAAAACTACGATAATCGTGGAGGTCGGGGCGGTCGGGGTCGTCGCTTCGGCTGGAGAGATTATGATAAACCACAACGAAATCGTGATGCTTCGGTCAATATCCGGTCAGATTGGATCATGAAGGAGGAAATCGACTTTAATCGCCTTACAAAACTTAATCTCGAGACCTCGGCTGGTGAAGATGTCGACAGCTACGGCTTCTTATATTACTACGATCGTGCTTTCGACAAAGCTCCAGTCAAGAACACGGAACGAAAGCTACTTTCTCTCGACCGCGCAGCATACAATGTCACCACATCCGCCGATCCAGTCATTCAAGAACTCGCCGAAAAGGATGAGGCCACCATCTTCGCCACCTCTGATATTCTTTCCATGCTCATGTGTGCTACCCGCAGTGTCTACAGTTGGGATATTGTGATTGTAAAACACGGCGACAAGATCTTCCTCGACAAGCGACCCGATAGCAGCATCGATCTGGTGACTGTGAACGAAAATGCTGCCGACGCACCGCTTGAAGCTGATTCAGCTGCAACCCCCTCCCAACAGCAAACCGGTGTCAAGCCTGAAAGCATCAATACGCCATCAAACCTCGCCAACGAAGCCACCATGATCAACCACAACTTCGCCCTCCAGACGGTGCTAGAAAACCCATCGTCAAAGGTTGAATTCTCACACCCCAACCCATTCTACAGTGCATCGGAGGAAACAGACCCTCTGGCCTCCAAGGCATACAAATATCGGCGATTCGACCTATCCCTCGAGCGTGACGACGAACCACTGCACCTCATCGTACGAACAGAAATTGATGCAGCAGTCAAGAACAACATTTCAGGCGAAGACCAATACCTCGTCATCAAGGCCCTCAACGAGTTCGACCACCGCGCACAAGGTGCTGGCGGTGCACTTGATTGGCGCACCAAACTGACCTCTCAACGCGGTGCGGTGGTCGCAACCGAAATGAAGAACAACTCATGCAAACTGGCTCGATGGACTACACAAGCCATCCTCGCCAAAGCCGACCAGATGAAATTGGGCTTTGTGTCCCGGTCGAACCCCAAGTCGGCCGCCAACCACGTCATCCTCGGTGTCGTTGGCTACAAGCCTAGAGAATTCGCCAGTCAGATGAACTTGGGCTTCAGCAACGGTTGGGGTATCGTACGAACGATCGTCGACCTGGTCAAAGGCTTGAGTGCAGGCCAAGAAGGAGATAAGAAGTATGTCCTCGTCAAGGATCCCAATAAGCCGGTCATCAGACTGTATGAAGTGCCGCTGAACACTTTTGATGAGGATGATGAGGACGGCTTGACAGGTGCGGTGGCTGGTGGTGGTGATCAGGACGGTGATGAGGAATAGGGGGGTTGTGATTTGAGTTTCAGTGAGTTAGAGGCACGCCATGCTTAGCAATAGGGCCAGGCATGCAGAGCGAAGGACATTCTACCAGATGAAGCTACGGAGTACGAGACCCTGACACAAAGAACACGATAGAAGCCCAAAAATGTCACTGTTGTTGAACAACCAGACCAATGGACAATTGATTTACCCTCCCAAAGAAGTTTGAATGCTCTGCTATTTACATTAACATGTCATGAAATTCGTCCTAACTCTGACCACGGCTCGTGAAGGTCAGTGGTATCTATGTATTTAGCTAGTCACCCATTTCTCAACGCCATATTCGCTCACGATGTTGTACAACGGACCCGAGTATCGTCTGTCTTTTTGAGACTTTTTCATATTTTTCCATTTCCTTACAACCTCGCCGAGCTTCATCTCACGCGACCCATGGTCTTGCCGATCTCGCTCTGCCAATCGGCACCCCTCTCGAAGCCATTGCTGGAGGTCTGGAAGTCCATCATGGCCTGGTAGACGGCCTCCTTGGAGGTGGTGACGAAGGGGCCGTACTGGACGATGTTCTGGTCGAGCGGCTGGCCGGCGAAGATGATGAAGCGCGCGGGGTCGCTCGCGCCCTCTTCGACGTGCGCGCTCACCAGGTCGCCCGCTTGCTCGAACACCACGTTGTGGTAGGGCGTGATGGTCTCGCCTGATGCTGTGTCTTTAGCTCCGTCCGTGAACGTCACGGCCCCCTCGAGCGTGTAGGCGAATGCGTTCCAGCCCTGCGGCAGTTCCTGGACGAGCTTGCCGCCCGGCTGGAGCGTCACGTCGAGCAGCCACACGGGTGTGTATGCGAGGTCTTTGAGGGACTCGACGCCGAGGGATTTGCCCGAGATGACTTTGACTTCGACCTTGCCGTCGTCGGTCTTGGCGATGGGGATCTCGTCGGCGCGCAGGTCGCGGTATCGCGGCTCGCATGCCTTGAGGTTCTCCGGGAGGTCGACCCACAGTTGCATCCCGACGTTGATGTCTTCGGTCTGCACGGGCATTTCCGCGTGCATGATGCCTTTTCCTGCCGTCATGAATTGCAGGTCACCCGGGCCGATCGTGCCCTTGTTGCCCGCGAAGTCTTCGTGGTCGACGCCGCCTTTCAGGAGGTATGTGATTGTCTCTTGGCCCCGGTGTGGGTGGTCGGGGAAGCCTGCGCCCGGTGGGATGCGAAAGTGGTCGAGCATCAGGAATGGCGTTAGGTGTCGCAGCCGAGGCGTGCCCACCGAGCGGCGGACGACAGCGCCGGCGCCCTCGGACTGCTCACGGGCGAGGAAGGAGAATTTTATGGCTCGTGGTGTGGTCATGTTTGTGGTGGAAAGGTTTCTTGTTGTGGTGTTTGTTTGAGACTGTTTTATGAGGTTGGAGATTGGTCTGGCTTTCTGTAAGATGATGTTCTTCAGAGCCAGATTGTTGGTGTTTTCGCGGTTGTAGTATGCGATCAGTAGTACTGTGATGATGCAGATGAAAATGGAAACGGGATACCTCATAGGGAGAAAATTGAAGCTACTTATACCTGGGTACTCAACCGGATTGAAGGATGCGGTAGGTTGAAGAAACTGGAAGATGTTGGTCGCACGAGAAGGAAGACTATAAGATATCTTCCTCGACTCTTTTGTCAGGACTAGCACGATCTTATGCAATCAGGTCAACCATGATAATGACGGAGTGCTCCATCCACTACTGCGAGCACTGGAATCGAGTACTGTAGCAGCGTGGCTGCTGCATCTTGTTTGGTAAGAGATCGGAAATGCCCCCTCTTCATCCTCCTCCCACGGAACATCTACCGCGGTTGGACGCCACAGAACTGCCAGGGATTCGTAACCAATTTTTGTGTGTGGCTGAGTGGAATCAGAGGTTTGCTTTGGTAAGAATCAGTCAGCACCTGTTGGTGTGTGGGAATCCAAATCTAAAACATCGGCTGTCACATGTCCGGAACGACTTCTATCGCGAATGAGGTTTTGTCCTACCTTTATTCACCCCTCCCATTTGTCTTTGATGAGCTTCGCCAACGTGCAGCGAGCGTCTACGTCCTGGCGATCTACATGGCCTACTCTGGTAAATATTTTTCCAGTAATAGCCCATCTTCTTCTTCCTAACCAGCTGTGAACCCCAACTAGATTGTGTGTTGACGCACACAGCAGACAACTCAGACTAACCATACGTGACTAAATGTGATGTCTTCTTCTTCCTACCTCGCTTGGGGTTCGCTGCATTCACATTAATTGCCTGGCTCCTTTTGGTGCCATCTGAGGACTCTCTATCAACAACTGCCCGTCAGAATGGATCAAGACACAACAGGCAGGCTCGAAGCTGAGGGCGGCTCTAGTCAACTCTCGCCAGCATGGTCGTCCCGAGCATTGGCAAGACAAAAACTTCAGATCATCTCGTATGGCCACTCGAATGGCCCGCTGCAGATCCCCAGCGGTACCGAGCATCTCAACTTCTCAGTGCGGGATATTGAGAATCCACCTGTCAGATTGAGAAGAACCCATACAGGGCTTTCAGCTCGTCTGCGCAAGGAGGTCATGGCTGGCTCCTATGCTAAAGAACGACTTGCAAATATCTGTACCATTGTCAATGATAGAATGGCAAAAATGATAAATGAGGACAATTCCAATGCTCTCGTTGTCGGGATCATGTGCGAAGAGGGAAAACACCGGAGCGTCGCCTTCGCGGAAGAGCTGTCAAGGCAGATTGAGTCTCGAGATTGGGATATTGATGTTCAGCATCGTGATCTGGGTATCGTTGGCAACGAAGATCCTGGAGAGATGAAAACTCTTCATTTGGATAGACCAAATCTTCCATCCGCGAAGAATTTCAACTCCATAGGTCGGAAAGGAAAGAAGCAGCGTGATCAAGAGAGGACGCAAGGTAGGTTGTCAGCGCAAAAATTCGTCGGCGGATATTCTGAGGACCATGAGGATGGGGGTTGAGTATTTTTAGATGAGGATCTCGATGGATCGGTATGTATCTTCAAGCACATCTGCGAGCGTTCTTATGTTACCCCAGTGATCGAGGATGGCAGCATAAGCCTGGTCTCTTAGTCGAAAATGGGACAGATCACATTTGCACATCCGAGAGATATTTAGTGTCTCGACTTCACAAGACCATCCGTTAGTATTTCTCAGTAGTACTATTCCTAGTCCATCCTATATTACCAAGTCAAGTAGCTCGGCTATTCGGCCACAGAGAACTTGAAATCTCCCCAATCCATCCCCACCAGGTGCCGAAATCGAGATCCGGTTTGCGGAGAAACAGGGACCAATCTCATCCAATCAGGGTAGTGCAGATATGGTCATCACTTCCTTCCTCACACACTGTCTCGTTCCGACACCATAGTCATATTAAAAGGCTGTTGGCCAGCGAGACTTCAAGTGCACATTACGGAGAAAGTGCAAAAGCAAGACAAGTTTGTTTCAAGAACGCTAGAAAAGGACGAAAGCTACGAATTGTACAGCATATCAGAGAGTTGACAACTGAAAGGCAGTATTCAAAATTGCAACATGGTATTCTATCAACCGGGGAAAACGGATCATAATCTGCCACGAGATCCATTCAAGGTATGTCTGTCGGATTCCGACTTCCAAGGCATCCTGTCCATGGCTCCCTCTCAAACATCCTTCGCCGTGACCACTAAACAATTGAACTTTCTCAGGCCTGTGTTGTGCCCCGACCCATCGGTTGGATCAGCACTGTATCTCCACCCAATGTGACTTCACCTTCTCAACAAGAGAATGGCACTTCCTCCGCAGCACCTGTGCACAATCTGGCTCCATATAGCCAGTTCAACAACTTAACCTTCGATCCACCATATGTCATGTTTTCAGCAAACCAGACCGGCTTTGGGGAGCGGAAGGACACCACCCGCAACGCTGAGGCAACAGGCGTCTTCTGCTGGCAATTGGCCACTTGGGACCTGCGAGAAGCCGTCAACAAATCAGCTGAAGCTGTTCCATATGGCGTGGACGAGTTCGAGAGGGCAGGTCTGGAGAAAACGTGGTCCGAGGTATTGAAGACTCCGGTTCCTATGGTCAAGCAGAGCCCTGTCCGGTTCGAGTGTGAATACTACACGACTTTGAGACTTCCCGGAAATCCTCCTATGGGAACCGTTGATGTGGTGGTTGGCAAGGTGGTCGGCATCCACATCAGTGAAGATGTCTTGACTGATGGTAAGATTGACATCAGAAAGACCCAGCCCATCGCTCGATGTGGCTACTACGAGTACATTGTGGCCCGAGAGACTTTCGAGATGATCATACCTGGTGATGGTGCCAATCTGTTTGGCTTGGAAGGAAGTGTTGCAAAACACAAAGCACTGCGCGAATCAGTTGAGAAGGGGGAAGTCGATGGTACTGGTCCGCCTTAAACTACTGTATTTCAATTGAACAACTGTCAAATGATTCTCCTTCTGTGCATATGATTGATGGGAGTAGATATTGGAAGCACTTAGAAAAACCCCGTGGATCCAGAGACTAGGGCGGAGCATTACGTGTTGCAAGCCACGTCAGATTTTGATTCTATGCACAACCGTAGAATTTGCTATTCAAGTTCCCCCTGAGCATCTGAGTTGGCTTGAGGCAGCTCATCTCAGTCTGGCGAACAACATCTCAGTCCCTTCGACGATATAGACCATCAGATGACTATGTCCGCATCTAAAACTAGCCGGTCGGCCCGATGCTGAGAAATCATGCTTGAAAACCATGTTATGAAACCTCATGCCTGGTACAACCAAGAGCTAAATTTCGTCCGTGTCAATCTCTTCACCGAGATCGGTCATACACCATCAACAAGCTTGACCAATGGAAACATGGTCACAGGTGAGCTCGAGAGGTATAGGCTCTCTGTATCAATCTTGTTGATATCTATAAATGCATAACATGGCAGTACGTTGTCCCTGGTCGGCTAATCTTCCTGATCCATTTCAATCCAATTCATACCCTCTGGGCCGTGTCCCTATCCCACTGATCTGATGTGGCTTGTCATTATCCTCCCATATTTCCTCTATGCATGGCGTACATTAGCCATTCAAGACTCGGATGGCTATGGTCCGCTCAACTTCAAAGCAGCATTCGGGCCGTTACCACAGCCGATGATCATCGATGTCAACCCAGCCTTCATCGAGCAAACAAGAGTCAAAGCCAGTTTAACCCGTCTGGCCATTAATATCGATGTGCCCCCCTTTACGGAAGGTGTTCCTTCGACCGAAATATCCAACATCGTTAATTTCTGGACCCATGAATACAACTGGACTACCGTGCAGACCAGCCTCAATTCGCAATACCGCCATTTCACCACCACAATCCCGCCGTTGAACGACTCACAGACAAAATTTCCAGACCCGACATCACTCCATTTTATACACCATATCTCGTCACGACCTGATGCCATTCCCCTCCTCTTTATCCACGGGTGGCCAGGCTCGTTCCTCGAAGTTGGCAAAATCCTGACAGATTTGGTTGAGCCATCCGATTCCTTTGATCCGGCTTTCCATATCGTTGCGCCTTCTATCCCAGGCTTCGGTTTCTCGCCCGCACCCACCAAGCCCGGGTTTGGACTAGTTGAGACTGGTGCAGCATTCCATCAACTCATGCTTCAACTCGGCTATGAGCGATATGTGATTCAGGGCGGCGATTTCGGCTCCCACACGGCGCGGTACATGGGTGCTGCATATCCAGAATCAGTGGTGTCGATATTGTGCAACCTCTATGGTGTTCCAGCAAATATGAGCGATCGGGCTCGCAGGGAGGCGAACGAAACAACAGCTGAAGAAGACGCCTACATAGACATCCTTGACATGACAGAACCCTTTGCTGAGGCATTCTGGAATCTAGAGGCCGCAGTCCCACTGCAATTGGGGATACTATTGACTGACAGTCCGGTAGGTAATCTTGCCTGGCCATACATGGGCATGCGCGGTTTTGCACCAGGCTACGAGTGGGCTCTCGAGGATCTAATCACATGGGCGATGATGTTGTACATCCAAGGCCCATATGGTAGTGTCAGGATCTATCATGAATTACAACGAGTAAGTCCACAACCCTACCTCACCCGCCTCCTCCTCTTCGCATGCTAATCTGAATCCCACAGGAGGGCACCTTAGCTTTCCGCTTCCCTTATGTGTCCATCCCTACTGGAGTGCTGCAATACTTTCCAGACGCCGCATATGGAGCACCCCGTGAGTGGTGCGAACGCACCGCCAGGATCACATTTTTTGTGCGTAAGACTCAAGATGTCCCTGGTGGCCACTTCCCAGCCCAAGTGAATCCGAAGGAGTTGATATCAGACATTCGATCTTTCTGGTCGTCTCACGCAGGTGGATGGGCGGTGGGGTCAGTGGAACAATGAAAAAAAGGCAGGGGGAATAATAGATCGCCCATTATTGAGTGATTTCTTTGAAGACAAGTTTGTCCGCCTTCCAGCATCCTCCTCTCTATTCGAGTTGTACAGATCATAGTGGAACTTGAAAATGCTCAGAATTTCTGGTTGCCTAGTATGTCAAACTTTATCTTCAAAGTGGATCCTGCGGAATTTTGCGACCTTCATGTTCGGCGGACAGTACCAGCATTTCCCGTCCCATACTCTTGCTTGTCCTTTGGCCCAAAGACTTGATGGAAAAGTGAGTCGCTCCCTGGGACTGGAGTGAGAGACGTGCGAATACGAGTACGAATACGAGCGGGATCAAGAACACGAATGCAAACATGACCACATTCGGCGGCGATGGAAAGAATTATCTTGGCATTGGTAAATTCAACCTCATCGAAACTCAAGGAGGACTTACAAGACTTTGCATTCAGTCATACGCCGGTGCATACCCAATGACAAGCTATGTGGTGATGAGATCTATGTTTCCTCTTGTTGCTTCCACAGCTGAAAAGGCTAGAGGGGTCTTACTGACGTGAGCTCCAGGAAGGCTCTAGGGAGATTGGAAATCGCCTAGAATCAAGTAACCATTGGCAAATATTCATCAATTATTCAAGATGTGATTATGATAGGCGCTATGCTCATCGGAGTTCACTCAAAGTCATTCCGCGTTCCTCGTCGCCCCGCCCGGCGCCCTGGCTTCCGCTCCGCCGGGCGGCGGACAATAGTGCGGTCTTTTTTTTTTGGTTTGTGCACAGTTCCAATCGAATCTGCAAGGCCGAATACTCAATATATAGGTACCTCTAACTAGGATGTGCCATGATGACCGATCTCATACTCTTGGCGTAATCCAGTTCGGCGCCTGCCGTGATGTGATGGCTCTGGAAGCACTGGTTCCCTTGGATTGAGGGACCATTGGTTAGCACATCATGCCGGTGTGTTTCCTTCCAATTGGTAACGACCATTGCATATCTAGGGATGTTGAGCCTCTCGGTCAGCATGGGCACGTACCTGCTTGATGCGCAAAACATAATGAAGCCTTCCGTTCCATTTCCTGCAAGTGGTCAGATCGAGCCTTTCCTGGTGGATACTTCCCGCCCTCATCGTCGCCTTTTGAGACCGTCGCTGCCTTCCGGCCATGTCGATACGTCACATCGGCGCAGGTAATTCCCGCCTTCCGACCATGTTTACTCCGGAGTGTACCTTCCCTCGCCATATTCCCTGAGGTACTTAAGTGTCTTCTCCCCCTCTTCTGCTCCATCGTTTCTTTTTTCTCTTTCCAGTATCGTCACACGCTACTACCACACTCTCTTGGTTTTGAATTTTTATTTTTAACCAACCAACACTCTTTTTTTTTTAAAAAAAAAATTGAAAATGCCGACGTAAGTCTAAGTGCCATGCTCGTCACTCCTCTCACACTGGTCGTGCGGCTCACAACGAATATCGCTAACATCGTTTGATAGTTCTTCGGAAGTTTTTTCTTGTCTTGAAAATGGGTTTCCTGGCTGGGCAGTTGCCCTCATTGTGGTGCCGTGGGTGCTGGTCGTTGGGGTCCTCGTTGCGTGGTGCTGTCACGGTGGACGCACCACCCCGTCGGACGAGGAGAGTGCGGAGAGGAGCCCTCCGCCCCGACCTGTCGGGGCGGGTAGGGGGCAGCCTCAGCGGCCCCGAAGCACCCAGGCACCTCCACGTAAGGCGCCGAAGCCGTGGTCTTTCAACGAGCGTGAAAGACGCGGCACCCTGTGGAACAATGGGGAGGTCCCGATGAATCCAATCCCTCGCAAGCCTCCGCGTGTTTGGGGATTCGTCCCCAACAATCGCACATAGCAGAGTAAGATTGGAGGAGGGGCTCCCAAGCCATAACCCAATTAAAAAAAAAAAAAAAAAAAAAGACCGCACTATACCCTCTGTAGAAATTGTACAGAGCTGCTTGGGATCTGAGTGCCTTGCTGATCGGTATATGTCAACGCGTCTTTTTTTGTCTTTTTTTCACTTTTCCCGCTGGCTCTCTTGCCAGAGGGGTTTCTGTTTTTCCCCCTTCGTCAGAGCACTACGAACTCTTGTCTCAGGACACAGCATCAACCTTTGAGATCCAGCAATGCCTCAGCTTCATCATTCACGCTTGAGTTTCACCGATGCCTTGTCTCGCCTTTATCATTCTCACTTGAGGTTCATCGAAACCTCAGCTTCTTCATCCTCGCTTGAGATTCCAAAAATTCTCAGCTTCATGTTTCTCGCTTGAGGTTCACGGATGCTCCGTCTTCGTCAACCTTCAACCTTGCCTGGGATCCAGAGATACTTCCGTCATTCTCCCTTGAGATCCAGAGACACTCCGTCCTCACCATTTACGCCTAGCATCCACCGATGCCCGATATCCATTCGTGCAAACTCAATATCCAATCATGTCGAATCAGCTTGGTCTGAACCTGAGACCACCGCTGCCCGATGTTCAACTCTCAAATCTAATATCCTGTGGTATCATAAACTTCCCACTTCAACCTGAGGTCCACGATATCAGGCATCCACCATTCACGCTTGAGATCTACCACACCTTGCAGAACGAAAGTCTCATAGGGCCTTGAGGTCCGTCCATCCAAATCGGACTCCCCCTGAGCATCATTCATTCACGCCTGCGCTGCACCACCATGTGGAACACTGTATAGCTTCATAGGTTTACCACTGTCGATCATCCAGCATCCACCTTGAGATTGATCATTGTCGGGCGCCCATCGTCCACACTTTAAGGTCCACCACACCTGAGACACGAGAGTCTCGTCAGGACGCAAAATCTATTCATCAAACTCGAACTGCTCAGACGTCATCCATGCTTGAGCTTCACCTGCAAGTGGCTTACTTGCCTACTTCTGCTGCCTAGGTTGGCCGACGTGGCAAGCATCCAAGACTTCGACCCACAAAGATAGTGTTTCACTGAGGATATAGTAAATTCAAATTGAAACTCAACTGTACAACAAGACAGCACAGCTCAAAGAACATAAAATCTTCACTTCCTTCAGTTTTTTCTGCTTTCGAATCTATCTTATGCGACTTCACATGTTCTGATTTTGCCTCGAGCATTTTCCTCATCAACAGCAACAACAACGGTGCATCACCAGCTAAACAGCATCATCGCAACCATGAAGCTTGGGTATATTGTCTTGAACTTCCTAGTTCTAGCTCTCAGCTTTGCAGACGCTTTGCACAGAAATTGCAGTATATATTCGCATCCACTTTTTGATTGTGACCACATCCTGTACTGCAACCAGGACCCCGCGACTTGGGAATCGGAAACAGGAAATCTAGGCAATGGGACCAACGACAAACATGTGGAACTCGCTGGGCTATCGAAAAGTGTATTCCGTGAGAAGGACGGCTTCAGGTGGAGCGTGAATACAACAACTGAAAATGCAAATGTGAGCCTCTCCACAAGAGAGGACCAATGTTGTCGACCAACTGTGGAATGCTTTGAGCTGGCTCACTACTGGCACTCACGGGGATATGAGATTCGAGGTCAAATGGAACAATTGCAACTGGAGATCTGGAAGAAATTATTCTGTTGTTGGGCCACCTTTTGGGAAAATCATCCTGGCTGTTCGCGGCCACCAAGGATGTCCTTATCGGACACGGTGGTGTGGCATAGACCGCCAAAATGTGCGGAGTGGACTGAGGTTTGACCGACAGGGAGGGTACCCTCATGTCGACGACTGAAAAAGATGCGCACCCCGCAATCCCAATGGAGTTGGTCGGATGGTGAGTCCACTATCTCCTCATGGCTGACCTTTGACCTTATAGCTAACCTCGACAGCATCCGCACCGGACGGTGTCCAGATGGTATGGCCATTAGACTGGCATGCTTGATGATGTTTGTGAGATGGTGCTTAGAGCTTGGATAGGGCTATGGTCAGGATTGAGGGCAGCAAGCTTTGGAATTTGGAGGTGACAGGAAATAATGGCGCCAAAGGAGAAGATAGTGTCGCTGAAATACAAAACATTCAGATCAAGCAGCCTTAAAACAATTTGTCTTGTATCATCTCAGCCATCACGGCCAGTGCCTTGTGATTAGCAGTCAATTTGAATTTGATCTGTGATGTCGATGATCTTGTTGCACGAATCTTCAGTTGCGGACCATGACCAAGGCACGCAAACCCAAGGCCTGACCAAAGCGCGGAACATGGGCTTTGTCTTCAAACTAGGATAGCAGGTCGTTAGAAATGAGGGGGAGCTTCACCATGTTAGCTATTGTTGACCTCACCGCCGACCTCGACAGCATCCTCCAGGATCTAGTCGCACTAAAATGCTGCTAGTACCTACCTAGAAGTGTTAAAGACTTGGCAGAGCCCGGCTGCACTTGCCCCTCCAGCCCCAGCCATGGTGTTGGTGCACGGGCTCTCGTTAAATGATCGTCTGGAAAAACACTTTCTCGTCAGTTGAGCATCAGTCTCTGCCTTTGCTCTGCCTCTGGCATGTGAAAGATTCACTTCACTTCACCACCTTCCTGCACCTTGAAGTCCACCTGCTCTCTCAATTCCTATACTACCACTCATACATCTCATTTTCCCCCTCTTACTCTGCTTGCACCTCTATACAAGTCAGGTTGCTCTCGTTGCCACTGTCCTTGATCTCAGCCTGTCGTTCCCGCTCTTACCTCTGCACTCCCGCACTCTGACTCCAACCTCACAGCTCCGCCCGTCCCTCGTCCCAACACTTCTTCTTGTCCGCCGAAAGACATACACCACCTCCTCGAACAATTCAATCTCGTTCCAACTACCACTCCAATAGCGTCATCAGACCTTCGACCCTCAATTCTTTTTCATACTCGGCTCTTCTCCGTCGCGAATGTTGACTGCCAACCTTTCTCATCCACCATCCCATTTTCATTAGCATTGATCCTGCTGGCCTCCCGCTCTTCACCAGCCCTTGGCCACCCGAGGAACTGGGGCTGTCCCTAGGCTATCCGAGGGCGTTGGAGGTGGACTCTCGTGGATGTTGGCGACCCAAAGGATGTCGTCCCATGGCGGACAGCAGAGTTTCCCTTTTGGCTGTATGTCGCTCTCCACCATCTCCCTCCCCTACCGGCGCATTTGCTTACCTCGTATCCACAGATCAGCCAGAGAACATACATGGTCTCGGACTGCCCGAGTTCATAACCCCAGGTCCTCCTCCCGGTCAACCTCTGCTTAATGCCGACGAAAACCAAAACCTTGACAACTTCTTCCATGACTTTGATAGCAATGCGATTGCTGCATTGAAGCCAGACCACCATGCTCAATATAATTTCACCCAGGGCCACCCTCAATACTACAATATGCCACCCATGTTTGTCGGCTCAGATACTGGCCTGGCCCACCGCTCTGGCATGGACCCCCACCAGTCGGGTGGGTTTCCATATGCCAATAATATGATGAACGACCACGACATGGCACTCTTGGGCCATCCTACCAATATTAATGGTGCGATGCAGACTGCTCAATACGCCAACCCTTCATTTTCCGATCCCCTACTCGCTCAACTTCAAACTGCTGCTGCAATGCAACCAACCTACCATCACACTTGGCCCCAGCAATTCCCTCAACCGAACGCTCTCAACATGCCCATGCATGGTCGGACCGGTGTTCAATATGGCACCGACTTTCGTTTTCAACCGACGGGTTATGCTGCACCAAATGTTCCTTCAGACCCTGACATGATCCACCCTCTTCATCCCATGGATATCCTGGAGCCTACCAGCGGCTCCAACACTCAACCCAACACACAGCCTAACACACAGCCTAACACACAGCCTAATACACAACCTTCGAGTCCTATCTGGTCTAAAAAGAGGACATTTGAGGAATTCCAACAAGAGCCACCATCCAGGAACGGTTACACTCCTTTACTCAAAACTCAGCTACCCGGGCCTTCCCAGTCATCCATTGCTGGCCCTAGCTCGCGAAAACGCAAGTCGGTCGTGAAGAGCGAACCTGGCCGAACATCTCAACCTGCAACACCGTCATCCAACAGCAAGCCACAGACCCCTCTGAACTCCAACACTCGGCCGCAACCCCAGTCTGCCGACCACGATGACGACGCCGAGGCAGAGGAAGATGACGATGCCACAGCTGAACAACCTAAATCACGATCGCCTGCCCCTTGGCCTTCCTCCAAGGCACGCCCTCCGCGGGTTCACGTCCCACCACCACCCCCCAAACCCCCTCGCAAGAAAAAGTCCAGCACAGGCTCAATAGCAACACCCGCAAAATCAAAATCAAAATCCCAACGCACGACAACCACAACAGCAGCACAGTCCACCCAATCGTCAAGGGTGCCATTGAGCCTAGCCCAGAAGAAAGCCAACCACACAAACTCCGAGCAACGTCGTCGAGACGCAACGGCACGATCCTACGCCGAGTTATACGATCTAGTACCAGAGCTGGAGGACCAGGGCAAGCAGAGTACGATGAAGAAGCTGGAGCTCGTCGTCGCCAAAGTCCGTACCACGATGCAACGCGTTGAGGAACTCCGGGTGAAATTAGGCATCGATTCCGCTACGGGCAGACAGATGGCCCCGCCTGGCGGATCGAACTTGTTGCACGGCGAAATCAAGGGCTGGCAGCAGTGAACCGATCCAGACTAGAATGAAACCTACAAAGTCTTGGAGAAGAATGGTATCATTTGGACTTAGAGGGACCGCCTGTCATACCGATCAGATTAGGATCGGATCCTCAACTCAGGTATATGTACGAATGAATGACATTAGCGATTTCGCAAGCATTGGAAAAGCGGTATATAGTGTGTCAGGAACGGAACAGAACAGAACAGAACAGGATAGGGGAGCTATACAGCATCAGTAAAATGCGCTGGCGATCAATCTTCT